CCGCCCGTGCGACAATCGGAGTCGCTGACGCGCGGGTGTCTCAGCAGGCGATGGGGACGTATTGAGCACGTGTCAGGACGAGGCATCGGCCCGTGACACGTCGGAGCTACGGTATACCCTCATGCTCCACGCCACGATCGTGAGGACGTCACACCGCAACGTGTTGTTGCCAGCACTACACTCCCCCCGGCCCCTGGCGCACAGCTCGAGGGGGGGAGTCCCGGCGCCGGCAAGCGACATCGCGAGCACATCGCACACCTACGCGGCAGAGGCTTCATTCCTCTACCTCCTCGCCGTCCCGCACCATGAACGTTTCAGGGCCATCCATCACGGTGACCGTCCTTCCCTTCGGCAGCGCTGCCGCCCAGGAGCTGACCGGCATGCCCGACGTCATCGGAGAGCCCGTCATGTCGACCATTCCGATTGATTCCAGGCCCTCGGGAAGCCGCGTCACGGTCGTCCAGCTGATATTCAGCGTCTTCAACCCTCTCGCCGACTGCCGGTCGATGAAGTCCCTCTCGAGAAGGCTGCATCTCGAGACGTCCAGCTCCTCTAGCGCCGGCATGTCCCGCACGTACGTCGTCGCCGTCTCCGATGCCCTCAGGACCCGCAGCTTGCGTTTGGAGCTCTCCGGGATCTTGTTTGCATCCAGTGCATCGCAATGCGAGACGTCGAGCACCTCCAGCGCTGTCATCCCAGCCGGCAGCTCGCACAGGTCCGTCACGGATGCGTCGAGCTCCCGCAGCGTCTCCCGCACGCTCGCGCTCAGCCAGCTCGCGTCGAACTCGCACGCTGACGCATTCAGCTTCTTGAGCTGCGTCATGCCCCCGGGAAGGCCGCGCACGCTCGAGTATGACACGTCGAGCTCCTGCAGCGCCGCCGCCATGCCGTCGTCGATCCAGTGCTGGTCCAGGTCCTCGCACCGGCGCACAATGAGCGTTTCGAGGGGTGTGGCTGCGGCTGGCACGCGACGGAGGGTCGTATACCCGACGTCGAGGTAGCGGAGCTCCCGCGCCGAGTCCGCCGGCAGCCAGTCGTCGGCCAGGTCGAAAGGAAACCGGTCGTCGTACCAGCCAATCAGCGTCAGCCTCTGCAGCGACACCATCCCGGCAGGCATCCGGCACACGCTCGACGCCACGATCTCCACCTCGACCAGCGTCGCGCCCGACACCTCATCCAGGAAGTCCTCGCACAGCTTCTCGCACTGTTCGAGCCGCAGCACTTTGAGCGCCCTCACGTGTGACGGGACGTGTTTGATGGGGCACGCCAGGACGACGAGCTTCTGCAGCCTCTCGCCGGAGTCGTCGGGCAGCCACGCCTCCTCAAGGCCCCGGCAGCCGCACAGACTGAGCTCCTCCAGCGCCCCCAGCCCGGGGGGGAGTCTCGGCATGTTGCAATGGGTCAGTTCGAGCACCTTCAGGTTGCGGGCGGAGCTCGACGGCAGCCAGTCTGGTGCGTGCGCCGAGAGTCGGACTGTCTCCAGCGCCGGGAGATCCTCCGGCACGCGGTCGATGCTGCTACGGGCACCCTGAAGCACCCTCAGCGCTGGGCGGCTCGACACCGGCAGCCACGCGCTTGGATCGAGGCGCTCGCAACCCATGACGTCCACCTCCTCCAGCGACCCCATCCCCTCCGGCACGCGCCGCAGCCCGCTCCGCGCCGCGTTCAGCGTCTTCACGCTCCCGCGCGCACCAAGCGGCAGCCACGTGCCGCTCGACAGCCAGTCAGCCTCCCACTTGAGGTCCGACACGTCCACGTGCTTGAGCGCCGTCATGGCGTCGGTCAGCGGCGGCGGCGGCAGGTCCGCCCGCACGTCGCCCTCTTGCAGCTTTGGCTTCTTGCCCACGTAGCGCTTGACCTTGTTCGTCTTGCTCAGGCCCACCACGAACGCCTCGTCCCGCGGCTCCGCCCCCGCCCGGTACACCACCACCCACCCCTCCTCGCCCACCCGCCCGATCCGCGCGTTCGCCGCCACGCACCCCTGCTGGTGCAGGCGCTCCATGATCTGGTCGGCCACCTGCGCCGCGCTGGGCGTGAGCTCCACGCCGCCCGGGCACCCCTGCAGCACCGCGCTCATGCACGCCGACGACGTCGCCGCCAGCGCCACGCGGTCCCGCGGCTCCAGCAAGCCGACGACGTCCGCCAGAGGACCATACGACCCACACAGCAGGTCGGTGAGCTGGAGGGCTCTGCGGGGCCCGTCGCTGCACGTCATGTGAGAGAACGGGGACGTCTGCGTTGAGTCGCTGCTCGCTGTCGCATCGAGGCACGCCACACATCGCTCAAGCCCCCCCTCCGCGGCACCCTCTGGGTCGCATCTCACCTCGGGGTGGCAGGATGCGGCGCCCTCCCGTCCATCATCCTCGCGCGCCGCCTCGTGATCACCTGCACGAATACGACGATCGAGTCACGGCGTTGCAATCACGACGGGTCCGAGGAGCGGCGGGATCTGCGCCACATACCCTCCCATAAGGCACGAACCCCCCGTACACAGCGGAAGCGCGTACAGACCTCACCTTGATGACCGCGCCGCGTCCCAGCTGCACTGATGAGCCGGTCCCGCTGGCCGCTACAGCGTCAAGCGACCTCCAACTCCCGAGAAGACCAACGGACACTGCCGAGCACAAGCACCACAGCGCCTGCTTCCGCGCGCCGAAGGGGGCCCCGACTGCGCGTCGATGCGTGCGTTTCTGCGACGTCTAGGTGCTGCCACGCCGCTAAGCACCCTCGGAGTCCGTCGCACCGCGTGGCGTCACACCTGCGGGGGGCGTCCCACTGACACGTCCGGGCCGTTGTCAGGGACCGCCCCATCACGGCGCCGGCCCCGCTGCGCGAGCACGCCGCGCCCCTCGCAAGCGAAGAACTGTCCTGCCACCTTCTCATCATCGCGCACCGCGTGCCACGGCCGCAACACACCCAGCGCAACAGCGTCACATGCGCATGACGGCATTCGACGACAGCTTGATCGACGCGGTCATCCGCCCCGCGGAGTACCCGTTGTTCACCAGCGCCTGCAGGTCCGACCCGGCCTCCCACGCCCCCGCGCGCCACTCCCCCTCCTGCGTCAGCCCCAACTTGGCCCGCTCCTCCGCCTCCGCCGCCCGGCGCGCGTCGCGCTCCTCGCGCAGCCACCCCGCCACCAGCTCCAGCAGCCGCCCCTCCCGCATCTCCGGCACGTCCCGCGCGAGCTCGAACCGCTGCAGCCGCCCGCCCGCCACATACATCAGGTGCGTGGGCCACGCCTCGAGGCCGTCGAAGATGTGCGTGCAGTACACCACCGTCGCGTTGCGCTCCTCGCACTCCTGCCGCAAAAGCCGCATCAGCGCCGCGCGCCCCAGCACGTCCAAGTCCACCGTGATCTCGTCCAACAACAGCACCTGGAAGGGCTTCAGGAGGCCGAACGCGATCTGCACGCGGCGGCGCTGGCCGTCCGAGACGCGGTGCATGCGCCACTTCGGGTTGACGTCGAGCGCCTTGATGATCCGCGCCTTGCGGTCCGGGTCCACGCCGGGGACGGAGTCGAGCATCTTCGACGCGGGGAAGTCGCCGGTGAGCGGGACGCGGTAGCCGGCGAACGCGACGTCGCGCTCCCAGTTGCCGCCGACGTACGAGAGGTCGCCGGACATGGAGAGCGCCATGTCGTGGAACGGCGGCCGGCCCAGGACGCGGCACGCGCCCTCCGGGATCATGTGCTTGCCGGCGAGGACCTTCAGGAGGGTTGTCTTGCCTGCGGAGGGGGGGAGTTCGCGGAGGGATATCGGTGCGGTGCGGGCGAGGTTGGCCTGACAGGGGGGGGGGTTGGTGGAGTTTTGGGGTGTCGAGAGCAGCGTGGGGATCGAGGTGGCGTACCTGCGCCGTTGGGGCCGACGAGGAGGCAGAGCGATCCGCGGGGGAGCGCCATGGTCATGTTCTTGACGACCGGGGGCACGCCGGGCTTCGGCTTCCCGTCCAGGTCCGGGTACGAGAAGTCGAGGTTGACGCACTCGATGGCCGGGACCGAGTCGTCCGCCGCGGGAGCCACGTCGGGCTGTGCGGCCACGGACGGAGCGGCGCCTGCGCATAGTGTGACCGAACTAGTCGGGCGCGGTCGGCTGCCGTGGCTAACACGTCCGCAACGCGCAGTGCGGGGCCGGCGCGAGGCAGTGAGCTCTCGAGCGGTGCGGCCAGCGCGCTTGGCTGGCTGGCGTGACGGTTTGGCGCGTTCCGTGGACGAGCCGTGGTGTTGGGGGCGTGTGCGGCTGGTTGAACGGCCGTGGGCGGCGGGGGGGAGTCCTGTGCGGGCACTGTGGCGCGCGTGCCACACAGAGCGTTCCCGGCGCGGCGCGGGCGCGGTGGGGCGCGTGATACGGTCCCGTGCCGGCCACGGCGGGCCTGTACGGCGTGTGCATGGGCCGGGAGCGCGCCTGGGGTCGCGGAGTCCGCGGGCTGCGCGGCGGGCGCGGCCTCCTCCTGCGGCTGCATACGTGCCAGCCGCGCGAAGGGGCCCTCCGTAGGCAGCTCGTTCCCGCCGGCCTCGTGGTGGGCATTGCCGCGGCCGTCGGTGTGGGTGGTTGTCACGGGCACTGGCATCGTGCTGCGCCGGGGGCGAGCGCGTGCAGTGCTGTGCGAGAAAAGTGGCTCGCTCGCAGGGCCTGGATCGGTGCGGTCGTGTCTGACGTGCGGAGTCGGTTCCGGAGTACCGCGGGAGCACCGCGGGGACGCCTGTTGGGGCGTAAATGCACGAAAGGCGTCAGCGGGGGGCCCCAAGCCTCTGGCACGGGTATGAGCGATCGTTCGAGCTTGTAGGCGCGAGATGGGGCGTCGGGCGCGCGGCCAGTCGGTACAGGACACGCGTAAATGCGCCCGGTTCCGTTGGAGCAGCGTTGACGAGCGCAGAGATCGTTGAGCGGCCCGTGCGGGAGCCGAGCATAGCTCTCGCGCCCGAGCCGGGCAGGAGCGGTCTCGGCGCCCATTCCGATCCCGCGTATTCCGACATAGATTCGTTTAAGTAGATCGGCGGGATGTTCGTGCCGGCCAAGCCCGCGCCGCTGGCGCCGCGCACGGCACCAGCCCGTTCAACAGGGCTCGCCGGCTCCGCGCTCCCGCTGCGGGCAGACGCGGCGCCCCTGCGCGGCCTCCACGCCCCGCAGACGCCCTGCCGCCCCTGCCCGGCGCCCACGCTCCACGCGTCGGGCCCGCACCACGCCCGGCGACGCCCGCTCGTGCACCCGCCCGCGGCCGGAGGCCCGCACCGCGACCACCGCCACTTCCACCGCCACCGCCGCTCGCGGGGCGGCGTCGTGCACCAGCCGGGCGAGATGGGGGGCTCCATCGAGAGCCTCCTCAGCTCCGCGCAGGACATCTTCAAAGACCGAGTGGGGGCGGACGCAGCCAAGGACCTGGGGCACGAGGGCGACGGCGCCGGCGCGAACGGGGGCAGCGGGGAGGCCAGGGACGTGCACCACTTGTCGGACAACCCGCACAAGCACCTCCAGTCCACCGCCGCGTCGCTCTCGGCCAGCGTCGACTCGGACGAGCCTTCGCCGTCGGTGGGGCGGGCGGTGTACGAGGTGCTGCGCATCGATGGGGCCGGTGCGTGCCCGTCCCGAGCTGTGCGGAACTCAGAGGCGGCGGGGCGCGGGCGTGCGCGGCCCGCGTCGCGCCCGCGCGCGCGAAAAACGCCCACCGAATTGCCTGCGAAGCATCTCCGGCGAGATCGGGTTTCGCCTTTTCGCGCGCTTTCGGCGGACTGGGTGCCCGGCCCGGGGTGGTTTTGGGCCGGGGCCGCGGCGGAGGCGCCGGATCCCGCCGCGGAACACCACGGCGCGCGCCCCACGCGGCGACGCGCGCGCAGACACTGGGGCGAGGCAACGTTTTTGCTTCGCCAGGACACAAACCGCCCGCGTGGCGGCCGACACGCGGCTGCATGCCTGATTTTCGCGCGGCGACGCGTCGAGCACCACTCACTGCTGCGTCTCGCGCAGCACGCGCGGCCGGCCCACCCCACGAACGCGTGCGACCCGCACTTTCGTGCCCCAGCAACCACAACGCGCTCGCACGCACTTTCCCGCGCCCGCACGCGCCCGAACCTCCCGCTTCCCGCGTGTTCATCCATATATCCCACGCCCCGCGTGCGCCACCGCGCACACCACCCCGCATTCCGACCGCACGGCGCGGTTGTTCCACCGTCTCGCCCCGCTTGCCGCCGCGGCCGCCCCACGGGCCCCGCGCCCCCGCCCCGCTCCCCGCAGGCAACACCCAGCGCCTGTACGTCCGGCGGCGAGACGTCCTGCGCGCGAACGGCCTCCAGCCGCGCGACCTGCGGCGCATCGACCCCTCCATGTCCATCACCAAGACCTCGCCGTCGCTCACGCCCAAGGGCAAGGTCCTCCTGATCAACGTCGGCGGCGTCCGGATCATCACGTCCGCGGAGAAGGCACTGCTCTTCGAGCCAACCAGCACGAGGTGGGTCCACACACACACTTGCACACGTGCGCGCGTGCTCTCTCCCTGGCCGGGGCCTGCCCGCCAGCGGCGTGGTCCGCGCAGAAGCCAGCGACCAACGCCCTGCCCTGCGCGCGCAAGTGCCTCGCCGTCGCGGGCGTGTCGTCGTCGCCCCGCGCCGCGCCGTTGGCGCTGCGCTGTCCACCAACGCACGGCGCCGCGCCCGGTCCCGCGCAGCTCCCGGCGGTTCCTCGAGCTGGTGCTCCCGAAGCTGCGGTCCGCGGACCGCCAGCGCGGCAGCCGCAACCAGGGCGGCTCCAAGCGCGGCAACAGCTCTGGGTCCTCGGTCGACTCCCAGACGCCCCCCTTCGAGCTCGAGATCGTCGAGGCCGCGCTCATGGTCGCGACGGGCAAGCTCGACACCATGCTCCTCAACGCGACGAAGCGCGTGCAGGACGTACTGCAGAAGCTCCCCATCGACACCAACCCCATGAACCTGGAGGAGCTGCGGAAGGTCAAGGCGCAGCTCGTGGAGCTCGAGAGCCGCTCGGACACGGTGTCGACACTGCTGGAGGAGGTGCTGGACGACGAGGACGAGCTGCGGGAGTTCAACCTGACGTCGCGCCCGTCGCGGGAGGAGAAGCGGCGGAACCGGGAGCTGGTGCGGCTGGAGCGGGAGATGCACGGGGAGCGGTGGAGGAGGGAGGAGGGGCCGTGGGGGGGCGGGGAGTACGGGGGCGTGGCGGGCGGGAACGGGCCCTGCCGCGGCGGGCGGGCCGGCGGCGAGCCGGCGGGCGGCGGCGCAGTCGCCCGTGAAGCTCACGAGCGACGACGCGGGCGGCGTGGCGGTGCCGAAGCGGCGGCGGGTGGAGGGGGACGCGGAGGGGGAGGGAGCTGAGGGGGGGAGTGCGAGGCAACAGGGGGCGGGTCTCGAGCGGGAGAACGGCTCGGCGGGGGACCGGCGGCAACTTGGGATGCGATCGCCCGACGCCGACGGACGCGACGAAGACCACTGGAGCTCCTACCACGACGGGCAAGTCCATGCACCCCCCCAACCCACCCCTGCAGCACCCCGTCCTGCGCGCGTCGCTTCGCGGGCCGCCGCGAACGGCCAGTCACCTCCCGGGCGTGCGTGCGAGCCGCAGGGACCCCGAGCACCTCATCGAGGAGGCCATTGAGGAGTTGGAGGACCAGGAGGAGGCGGAGAAGGAGTTGGAAGAAGTCGAGGACCTTTTCGAGTACTATCTGCAGCGCTGCGCGTCCACGCAGTCCGAGGCCGAGCGCCTGCTCGCGGGCGCGCGCGACCTCGAAGAATCCATCGGCGTCTCCCTCAGGTCCGCCCTGCCGACGCCCCTGCTCGCGCCACCCCGTCTGCACGTACCCCCTTGCCTGCGCCGCATCGGGCGTCCGGTGCGGCTCGCCGTGCGCGCGCCGGCTCCGCTCCACGTCCCGACGCGCGATGTGTCCGTGTCGTCGCGTGCGCAGTGCGCGGCGCCTCGCCGTGATCCGTCTAGAGTTGATGCTGTCGATCGGGTCGTTCGCCGCGGCGATGGGCGCCGTCATCTCCGGGATCTTCGGAATGAACCTGCGGTCGACGTTCGAGAACTCGGTCGTCGGGTTCTGGGGCGTCACAGCCGCGATCGTCGCGTGGTGCTGCTTTGTGTGCTACGCGCTGTGGAACTTCGCGCGCAGCCGGCGCATCCTGTGATGCGCGCGCGGGGGGCGCAGGTGGCTGCAGAGGAGCTCCGGCGCTGGCCGGGGGCGACGGCGGGCGCGCGGCGTCGCTGTGAGAGGGGAATCCTCGACTGGTTGTCGCATTCTGCGCCTTGTCTGTGTTCCCCGGGTCTGCGAGGGCGGCGGGCTCCCGCACTGCTCGGCGGCCCCGGACGCGCAACGCCGTTGCCAGCCCGGCGCACGCGGCCTCGCCCGCGGCGCCACGCCCGTCCGCGAACACTCTCGGATGAGCGCGACACGTTGCCCCCGTCGCGTCGTCACGTCGCGCCGCGTGCGCCTGCGCGGGCGGCCAGGCGTCGGGCAGAGGTCCGCACTTCTGCCGGCGGGCTTGCTCGGCTGCGCGCGACCGGCGCGGCTCCGAAAGGGGTACTGGTATGTGTGCGTCCTGTCCGGAGCACTGCGCGCACGCGCCGCGGGCGGTCGGACGGGTTTTTCGCGCCGCTTGCGCGCGAGCGGCATCTGCAAGGACGTGTCCGTGCGCGGGTGTTGCCGCGGCGGGGGTCGGCGGCGTGCGGCGCCGCGGTGGGCCGGTCAACACGCTGTCCGCCTGATGGCAGGGTGCTCGCGGGCGTGCGCGGTGCGGCGCCGTGGGTCGAGACGAGGGCTCGCTGCGGCGCCGGTCGTCCCGCAATTTGTTGTCCGCCACGAGCTGTCGCGACACGGACGCGGTCCGAGCGCAACTAGAAGCCCACGCTCGGCGAATCCTCGCAGCGCTGCCGGCGCTTGCCGCACGGCACGACGCTCCCCGACAGAGCGCGGCTGAAGAAGAAGGTCGAAAGTGGACATGCGCGACTGCTCCCGGGAGTGAGCCCTGCGGTTTCGCTTAGTCGCCGAACCCTGCCGCACTGAAGACGAGTCGTAATGCGTCGTTCGCTGCTGCACTGGCTTTTCGCCGCGGCCGCGCTCTTCGCGGGACAGGTGAATATGCGGGCACCCGCCCACCCCACTTCCCCGCGCCCTTTCGACTCGTCGGCACGAAACGGACCGTTGGCACTGCACTGTCCAGGGGCAAGGCAGCCAGCCCCGCATGGCCCGGAGACCCGCTGTTCCTCCGCCCCCGTGTTCGCACCCACCAGACACACGCCCTCGCCCGCACGACGCCCCCGGAACTGCCCGCGGTTGCGGCCGCCCGTGGCACTCCTCTCTGCCTGCCCTCAGTCGCTGTGTGCCCGCACCGGCCTCCCACGGTCGTTTCAGCGCGCGGCCACCCGCCCGTGCAGCCCGTCATATACTGCCCTGCCGTCGGCGCGACCCGTGGCACCTTGCACGCGCCCCGCACGCCCGTGCGACGCCCCAGGCTAGGCCATGCTTCCCGCCCCCCTGCGGCGCGCCGAAGAATCAGGGACAGCTCTCCGGCGTCCCTGCCGTTACACCGATAGCACGTCTCTCGCCGCGAGCGACGACAAGGGCGAACCCAGGCCGGCCGAGCCCGGGACGGCCGTCGCTTTGTGCTGGCGGTGAAGCACTCCACCCGCCCGGTTTCCGTTCCCGGGCGCCGCCGCTCCGCCCCCACATTGCCGCCGCACGTCCAGCGAAGGTGGCCAGGCAGCGCGCGGCGCGAGCCGGCCTCGCGAGCGCCGCACGCGCGCACGCTTCTGGCCAGCTAGCCGGGTCAAGATGGCGCGAATGCGCCGCACCGCGAGCCGCGCCGACCCCGCGCGCGCCCCCCCTGCCCGCAGATAGCGCTCGTCCGTGCATCCTGGGGCGATGATCCGCCAGGCGGCTTCTCGGGGCGGCGCGGCAGGGACCTCCTGCGGTGGTCCTTGCCCCCCAACGTGAACGATCCCGACGCCCTGGTGCCGGGCGGGCCGGTGGACTGCAACACGTACAACTTCCAGGACTTCAGCTTCAACCAGATCGACACCGTCGGGCGGTTCCCCCCCAAGGAGCTCGCCTACCAGCCGCGCGCGGGCAAGTCGCGCGCTGAGTTTGCGCCCTTCAGCCGCAAGGACGACCTCGTCTTCGGCGACAACTGCGTCTACACCCTCGACCTCATCCGGGCCTCCTCGAGCGCCCCCTCCCTCGAGGCTGTGTGCCTGAAGGACTTTCAGGACGCGTTCGAGACGGCCGTCCAGGTGCGCGTCGCTCGCTGGGTGTGCATGTCGCCGCGCCTGCTGCTGCGCGGCCCCTGCGTTCGCGCGCCCGCGTCCGTCCGGACGGCGTCTGAGGCCCGCGCGCCCGGTGCGCCCGCGCCGCGCAGATCCGGGAGGACCAGTCGAACTTCGATGCGATTTTCAGTCTCACGGACAAGACTCTCATCGAGGAGTACAAGAAGGAGCGCGAGGAGACGCGCCGCGTGCTCGCGTTCGAGGCCGAGGGCCTCGGGCAGTTCTCGTACGAGGGCGAGCGCATCGCGTGGGCGCAGAAGGGGGTCGAGTCCAACGACTACGTGGTCAAGGCCTGGGACGCGTTCCGGCTCCGCGGCGTCAAACTGTCGCTCCCGCAGGCGCCCGGGGAGTCGCACATCCAGCCCGCGATCTGCGGCGACTGGGTGGCGTACGTCAAGTACGACGCGGCGGACGCGACCAGCTCGCTGTGGCTGTACGAGATCTCGTCGGAGAAGGCCGAGGCGATCGGCGTCGGCGGGACGAACGGGCGGAACTTCCTCGCGCCGTCGTTCCACGTCTTCGGCGACGTCTGGCCGCTCGACGCGTCCCGGTCGTACTTCGCCATGGCCGCCGAATTCAACGAGACCCGCGGCGACCACATCGAGTACGGGTGCCGGCTGTCGTGGGTCGAGACGCAGCAGGCGCTCGCGTTCGACGCGGCCAACGGCGACCTGACGATCGCCGGCGGCACGGGCGCGACGGACGCGGCGGTGAAGGTCCTGGACTTTCCGCAGCGCACGTGGCACACGCCGATCGAACCCGCGGAGTGGTCGTTCACGGCCGCCGGCGCGGAGTTCGGCACGGGCGAGGTCGACGGGTCCGGGTCGTTCAACTACAACTCCCTCGTCGGGATGCGCGTCTCCGGGGACTACCTCAACCTGCTGGTTGCCGCCACCAACGGGGCGGGGGCCATCGTGCGGACGCGCATGGCGTCGATGCGCGTGGCGCGGCGGGTGTACGCGCCCCGGGCGGAGACGGACTCGTCGCGGGCGCTCATGCTCGGGCAGGCGTCGAGCCACCACCAGCTGGTGTGGCAGCTGCGGCCCGACCAGCCAGGCGACCTGCTGACCGTGTTCCACGTCATCATCCCCGTGCCGGCGAACGACGAGGAGCAGACGTCGTTCTGCACCGTGCTGCCGTCCGCGCAGAGCGGCCACGTCGCGATCTTCCGCGACATTGTCGCGTGGGAGACGCCGGACGAGGCCGGGGGCGACGGGATGCGCGTGCTGCTGATGGACGTGAACAAGGACAACGACGTGCTGCCGGACGTCACGGACTGGTTCCCGATGAACGGGCAGTTCTGGGGCGACCGCGACAACGACGGCATCGGCGACGCAGCCGACATTGTGCAGTCGCTCGGGTCCTGCCGCGACTCGGACTCGCGGGGCAAGTGCTGGTCCGACATCCAGATCCTCTACACCGTCTGGGGCGGGTACGCGCTGATCGTCTTCCTCGTGTGCTTCTTCGGAACGCGCTGGTATATTGGCAAGAAGCGCATCATCCGCGCGCTCGTTGCCGGGAACGTCGACCTGACCAGCCCCAACCCGACGAAGCCGATGTACGAGGACGACCCCGACGGCACCGCGGACCTCTTCGTGTCGCCCGCGACGGAGAAGGAGCTGGAGGAGCGGCGCCGGCGGGCCGAGGCGGGGCTGCCCATGACGGCGGACGTGGAGGCCGAGGCCGGGAAGGGCGCGGGGGACGCGACGTCGCACACGGCGGCGACGGGCATGACGCACGCGGTCGAGGCGGACGAGGCGGACCCGGCCGCGCCCGTGGTGCTCCCCGAGGGCATCCAGAAGGACGCCATCACGGTGGGCATGTTCTCGCTGGTCGGGCAGATGCTCGTGCTGGCGCTGGCGATCGCGTCGCTGGTCATGGGGATGATTCCGTACCTGAGCACGTCGGCGATCGCGCTCACGACGGAGGCGCGGTTCATCTGGGCCGACTTTTTCATCACCTACATCTTCCTGGCGGACCTGGTGGTGCGGTACTGCACGCGGAACCCCGCGCACACGCCCACGCTGCGCGCCTTCCTGAAGAAGAACTGGACGGACGTGCTCGCGCTGTTCACCGACATCCCCGGCGTCACGGGCGTCGGCGCTCTGGGCTTCCTGGTGCTGACGCGCTTCCGGCACATCGTGCGGCTGTTCCGCATGGCGCGCATCCTCAAGGTGTTCCGCGTGGTGCGCGCGTACCGCAAGGTCACGCGGCAGAGCGCGGTGCTCGACATCATGATCAACCGACCCACGCTCTTCATGGGGGTGTTTTTCGGCATCATCCTGTGCCTCGCCGCCGCCGTGATCAAGATCCTCGAGCAGAACTCGTCCCCGGACTTCGGGAACTTCCTCACCGTGCTCTGGTTCACCATCGTGACCGTCACGACCGTCGGTTACGGCGACTTCGTGCCAGTCAGCCACGGCGCGCGCGCCATCACCGTCATTCTGATGTCGTTCGGGATCGGCCTGGTCGGCATGCTCACCGCGACGGTCATCAAGGGCGTGCTGCTCTCGGGGCAGTCGTCCAGCAAGGCGACGCGGCGCAAGCGCGCCAAGCACAACCGGCTCGAGATGCTGCGCGCGCACGCCTCGCGCATGTCCGTGGCGTACAACCCCATGGTCATGTCGTACGCCGACCACCTGCAGCGGTCGTGCGCCTCGCGGCTCAGCATGGTCGACAAGATCGACCCGATCCAGGAGACGGGCCAGCACAAGTCCCACATGCTCAACTCCCTGATCGACCTGGAGGACGAGCTGCTGATGCCGGTGGAGGAGCTGATGATGCAGGCGACGGGGAAGTTCCGCGGCATGCAGGGTAACATGATGCAGCAGACCGCGGAGCAGGAGGAGCGGCAGCGGCGCATCAAGGCGCGCCGACAGGCGCTGATGCACCTCATCAGCTCGGGCGCGGCGGCGAGCGTGATCTCGCCGGTCGCGAAGCTCCAGTTCGTCCTGCAGTTCTTCAAGCTCGACCAGGGCAAGGAGGCCGTCGGGAAGGAGGGGAAGGACTTCAACATCTTTTTCGACGAGCTGCGCGAGGTGCTCTTCGGGCCGCTGCGCCCGGACGACCTGTTCGTCGCCAAGGCGCTCGGGCTCGCGATGGCCATGAACGACGACGGCACGCTCCCGTCCGGCACGCGCCCGGACCTGTACGACCCGCTCGACAAGCGCCTGGTGCGCCTGGAGGAGCTCCTGAAACGCTTCCACGTCAGCAACCGGCACGACTACCACGAGATCCTCCTCGAGCTCACGCTCCTGACCGTGATGCACGACCGCGTGCGCAACGCGCAGTACGCCATGCGGTGCCTGACCTTCGTCAAGGACATGGAGGGCACCGAGCGACCCAAGCCGGCCATCCGCGTCTCCGAGCAGGCCGGGTCGCAGTGGTCGCGCGGGGACCTCATCCCGGAGTTCAACTTCGTGTCGCGCCGCACGGACGACGCCAGCATCGTCGCGATGTACCGCAAGGAGGCGCGCGACCTGGCCAAGACGGCGGCGGAGAGCAGGATCGCGCGGCGGAGCCTGGCGCAGCCGGCGAACGGCAACGGGGCGCACACGATGCGGCGGAGCGACGACGAGCGGGCCGGCGGGACGCGCAAGTCGCTCCAGGACGAGGACCCGCTGAAGTCGGTGCCGAGTGGGCACAAGGCGGTGGTGTGGCTCAAGTCGCTGAGGCCGGGGCGGCGGAGCACGATGCAGCGGGATAGCGGGCGCGAGGGGCACTACGACAGTGCGGGCGAGGGGTCGCGGCTGTCGCGGCGGGTGCCGCGCGTGGTGCGGGACAACTCGTTCCAGGTGGACGGGGACGAGCATGCCGCGCGGGAACCACGCATGCGGCAGAGCGTGGAGCAGGCCGCGCAGGACCTCGCGAAGATCGGCGTGCACATCCGGCCGTCGCTGGACGGAGGCGGGTCGCGGGCGAGCAACAGGGGGGCGGCGTCGTCTGCCGGGGGGAGCACCCGGCCACCGGTGCTGTAGCCGCGCAGCGCCGATCGCATGCCCCTTCGCCAAGCACGACAGTAGTAGTTTTTTCACGCTCGCCGAACCTCCTGCGTGGCACCGCCCTTGATCGCATTGCACGGGCGTCGCGCCGCGCTCTCAGCTGGGTCGACGGGAAGCCCCGTAGACCGGTCCCCCGGCCGGCGGCAAACGCCCGCGGAGGACCAACCAACCCAGGCAAACATTTGCGTCCCTGCTGACCCGCTTGCTGGTCAGCACATACCGCCCTAGGCATGTCATGGACGCTTGTGATGATTGTGACAAGCATAGCAACGGAACGCCGCAGGTCACCCTCCCCGCTCGATAACAGCACCGCAGCAACCGCGCCTCAGGGTCCTCATCGAGTGGATACGCCGGCCCCATAGCCCCTCGCCCAGGTAGGTCAGCGAATGATCAAGGCATCACGACGACCGCCGCTCGTCGCGACGCCTGCATATCTCCTCCGCCCACCGCTTGCCCACGTCCGTCTTGAACTTGCCTGCGCGCACAGCGGCCACAGCCGACGGTCTCGACGCTGAAACCTCCACTTGGTGCCCCCCTGCACGTCGCGCTTGCGCCCCAGTGAGCATGTCGCGCCGAGCGCCCCCCACACCCCCCTTTCGCCGCGGGCGGCATGCACAAGTACCACGCCAGACAGCCCCGCCGCACGCACGGCCGCGGCCTGCACGGGCGTCTGGCACCCCCCTGCGTCTCTCAGCGCTGTCCCCGCACCTCGCGTCGAGTCGAAGAACTCCTGCAGGGCCATGTCCTGCTCCGCCTCGTACTCGTGCGCCTGCAGGATCATCTCGAGCTTGTCCAGGTCCTTCACGAACACCGCCTCGGGCGTCGCCTGGTCCTCGTACTCCCGCCACAGCTGCACCACCTCGCTCGCCAGCGCCACGTCCTGCCCGCCCAGCATCTCGCGGATCCGCTCCATCGCCGCCGCCTCCCGCGCGTACTTGTCCGCGTCGCTCACGCCGTCCCCGGGCGCGATGTCGCCCACGATGGCCTGCGCAGCGCAACGTCACAAAGCAGCGCCGTGCTGAGCCGCAGCGTCGCACTCGGGGACAGCGCCGCGCGCGCGAGACGCAGACAGGGAGCGAGACGGGTGGCCGGCCGGGCCGCACCTCTGCGACGTCGTGCACGAGCGCGACCTTGATTGCGCGTCCTGCGTCAACGCCGGCCTCCCCCGCGAACATCGCCATCATGCCCATGCGGTACATGTGATCCGCGATGCTCTCCGGTGCCTGCGGACGAGGTCGCGACGGAGGCGGTGGTCGCGGGGGGCGACGGTGCGCGGCGCAGAGGCACCGGCGCGAGACGCGTAGTGCACACCTTGACGCCGCGCTTCACCCACCCGGTGCGCTTGGTCTGCTTCAGGCTGAACAGGAGGTGGAAGAAGTCGATCGCCTGCGCAGCACGTGTCCCGACCATATCACGTCCAGGACGCGCAACAACGCCGCGAAGTACACACAACCATCACCCCACCGTCCACGTCGCGTACAACGCCGATCTTTGCATACATCCTGGTCGAACAGGAGGATCCTCATAGATGGAGGAGCCAAGAAGGCATCGCCAGTGGCGAATGCCGAGCGTCACGCGCACCTGCGAGGCCGTCGGGTCTTTGCGGGGCTCGCTGCTCATCGCCGCCACGCGCCAGCGCCGCCCCCCGCAGATCGGCCTCCCCGGAGCTCTCTGTCGCGGTGCGCCTGGTCGAACCGCCGGACGCGTCAGTCTCCCGCTCCACCCACAGGGAGCACCAGGCATCCACTCTCCCACCCACCTCTGTCTCGCTCCTTCGTGCGCTGACTCGAAAACGTCACCGCAGGAGCACGGCTGGCATGGACGTGGATGGTACTTGCTCCGGCAGCGGCAGCGCGCAGCTGACTTCGCCCCACCGGCCCGCAACGGTCCTGGGGTGCTCAACCCAGCCCGGCGCGCCCGACTGAGTCCGGCCTCCAGCGCCCGGCAAGTTTCGCGGGTCGCGCAAATTTGTGCCCCCAGGCGTGGACCATGTCCACATGCGTGCGGACCGGGTCCAGGGAGGGCTGCAAGACCTGAGCCCGTCCAGACTCGCGCCCGGCCGGTGTTTGAAAGCTCCAGTGCAGGCAGGGCCCGGCGCCACATCGCGCGGAGCCGCGTGCGCACCCGGCGCCGCTGCTTTCGGTGCCGTTCGTCTTCGCGCGTGCGGACCGCGGACCGCGAAGGCCCGACGCTGCGCCGTGCGCGCGGCGCGGCGCTCAGCGTCCTGCCGCCCTGCCTGCTGGGGAGCGCGCTGTCGTGCGAGTCCGGGCGCGGACGGGGGCGGAATGGACGACGAGGACTTCCTGCATTGGGCCAAGGATGAGGCCGCGCGTTTTTTCGGCACGGAGGAGGACGTGCGTCGCGAAAAGCAGGTGAACAACGCACGGCACGCCTCTGTACGTCATGGGCGAGACCGGGACCGCGCCGGCCCGTCCCCTGCGGGGCTTCATGCACGGAGACATCCGCGGACGTGCCGCGCGATCCGGGCGTGCTTCTGCGGCCGCGCGGCAGGCTCGCAGCTGCTTGGCTCGCTCCCGCTGCTCCGCGGCGCGGCTCTGACGGCGCAACCGGGCCCCCGCCGCTGCAGGACTACGGTATGTCCGACGAGGACTACTTTCTGGGCGAAATCGGCCGCATGTTGCAGACACCGGTCCCGAAAGGGCCCCATCACGTTGACACAGGAGCGCGGTCCGCTCTGGACGAGCTGGACGAGGCGCTGGGCGACATCCAGAGGCACGGCGCCACGCATGACACCATGACGGTCCAGGCCAGGTGCGCAACGGCTCGACATGTGTCCCCGGCACCGCGTCCAGCGTCATGTACTGCACACCACCGGCCGTTCGCGCTGCACGCGGGGGGCCTGCGCGGTCCGCGAACGCCTGCGACGTGCCATTCACATGCCAGGCCCAGCCAGCGCGTCGCGGCCCGCTCTGTCGCGGCCGAAGACAGAGCAAATGGCAAACAACCCCCCCCCCCCCCTGGGTGGCCGCAGACCGCACCGGACCGGACCGCGCGAGGCGTCGTCGCACCGGGAGCTACGCAGCAGGGCGCACGGAGCCCCCACGGGCTACGCGGCGCGGCGGTTGCCGGGCAAGCAGCACGCGGAGCACAGCGCCGGCGCTCCGGCCGCGCTCGCGAGGGCGCACTCGCACGCCGGGGGGTACGCCGCGGCGCACGCGGCAGCGCGGGCGTCTGGGGTGAGCCACTACGGCCTGCGCCGATGGGACAGCAGCACAGGTATGACCATGAGTCAACATCAACACAGTCATGTTTGGGCAGTCTCGCAGGCTGTCTCGCCTTCCGCCACGGTCCCGCTCTCGCCCAGCACGCCGCCGGCGCCGCTCTCGGGCACCGGCCGCCCCGCTCCGGCGCTGCAACGCGCTTCATTGTTGGTGCCGTAATGGTTGCCCACTGACGCCGTGCCGTTCCTGACTCTTTCCCGCGCCCCCCGCGTCCTCCGCGCAGCTGTCGAGGGGCAGCACATGGGCACCTCGACCAGCAGCGGCCTCCGCACCGCCGCGCCGTACCTGCCGCCCCCCGCCGCGCCCGCGCCGCACCCCGCCGCCCCGAAGCCCGCCCCGCGCGTCTGGGACGCGTACGAGGCCGTGTGCGACCACGGCCGCCGGTCCCAGCAGAACTCCCACGGCGGCGCGCGCGACGCGTGCGGCCCCTTCGACTGGGCCGCCAACCTCCGACGCGCGCAGGAGCAGGGCCGCGCCGTGCACACCGCCGCCGAGGACGCGGTCCAGCGGCTGCTCCGGGGCCCGCGGTCGGTCGTCTCGGGCGTTCTGCGTGCGTCAGGCCGGTTCTGCGAGCAGATGATGCGCAGCGCGGACCACGTGCTGGTTGCCGATGCCGGCGGTGCGCGCGGGCAGGTGCTGCCGAGCGCGCTGCGGACCGCCGGGTCGCGCGGCGGGTCGCTGCAGGGCTCGCGGCACGGCTCGCCGACGTCCCGCGCGGGCTCGCGCGCCGGCAGCGCGCACGAGGCGCAGCAAGCGGCGCCGCCGCGGTACGTGTGGGCGTGGGTCACGGAGAAGCAGGCGAGCATCGGGCGGCACGCGGCTAGCCAGGACGGCGCCTCGCCCGTCAGCGGCTGCCTGCTGGAGCTGCGCGGCGTCGAGGCGGCCGCGCGGCACGGCCGGGTGCTGTTGCAGCTCGGGTTCGTCGCCGCGGCGCCGGAAACGGTGCCGGCGACGTTGCGGATCGAGTCCGGCGACAGCCTGACGCAGCCGTTCGCGCAGATCGCCCCGGACGTCCCGCTCGCGGCGGTGCTCGGCCGCGGTCCCGTCCCCATGTACCCGGTGTTGTCGATCGACCCCACGCGGCTCGGGCGGTACGTGAGCCTGACGTTCACCGGCCTCGCCGACGGAAAGAAGCAGGGCGGGACCGGGAAGGCGAAGCAGGGGCGGAGGGAGCCGGCCAGGCACGCGCTGGTGCACCTTGCGATGTCGTCGTCGCGCCGCGCCCCCGGGGCGGCCCTCGACGCTGCCGTCGACGTGCACGCCCCGATCGTGGCCGCACCTGCCGAGGACGGGGCTGGGCTCGCGGCGGCGAAGGACGACGCGCCGGCGGACGCGGAGGGCGACGGACAGCGCACCGTGCCGCCAAAGGCTGCCCCGCCGCCGCCGCCGCCGCTGCCGCCCGGCCTGGGCGGTCCCCCGCCGGCGCCGCCCTTGCCCGGCATGCCGCGACGTGCCCCGCCGCCGCCGCCGCCCCTGCCCGGCGCGAAGGGCCCGCCGCCGCCGCCGCCGCCGCTGCCCGCGCGGCGCCCGGGGCGCAGGGCGCGGCCGCGGCGCCGGCGCGCGAGCCCACGAAGCCGACGGTGCGGCTGTTCTGGTCCAAGATCGCCGCGCGGCAGGCCGAGGGCTCGGTGTGGTCCCAGATGGACCTGGAGGACTTCGCAGCAGGCCTCGACTTTGAGTCTCTCGAGGAGGCCTTCCAAGCCAAGCAGTCCGGCAGCTCCGGGACCGCGACGGCCATCGCAGCCGCCCTCGCGCGCGCCCGCGAGGCCCACACATCGGTCCTGGACCTCCAGCGCGCCCGCAACGTCCAGATCGTGCTGGCGCGCGTGCGCATCCCGCTGGACGACCTCGGCGGCATCGTGCAGCGCCTCGCGACCGCCGGGTTCTCCGGACCGGACGGCGACGCCGCGGCGGCCGCGCCCGAGCTCTCCGCGAACGACGTGCAGGCGTTGCTGACCGCGATGCCCACGGACGCCGAGGCGCGGCAGCTGTGCGCGTACGTGGCCGGCGGGGGCGACGTCGCGCGGCTGGACCCCGCGGACCGCTTCATGCTGCGGTGCTTGGAGGTGCCGCAGCTCGGGCAGCGGCTCCGCGCGATCCGCGCGCGCGCGAGTGTGGGCCCGCGGACGGCGGCGCTGGCGGCGGCCGCGGACACCATCGAGCGGGCGTGCGCGGAGGTGCGCGGGAGCGACACGCTGCGCGCGGCGCTGGGGATCATCCTCGCGGTGGGGAACTTCTTGAACGCCGGGAACAAGGCCGCGGGGAACGCGCGCGGGTTCGCGCTCGAGACGTTGGCGCGGCTCAAGAGCGTCCGGGACACGCGGCCGGGGCAGAAGAACCGGACGCTGCTCCACTTCGTCGCGAGCGAGCTGGTGAAGTGGTGCGAGCGGGCCGGGAAGCCGCTGTCGTCGCTGCGGCTGGTCGGCGGGCTGACGGCGAGCGCCGACGTGGTCAAGGGGGGAGTGCCGCCCCTGTCGGGCGAGGCCGCGCAGATCGCGCGCGAGCTCGACGCCGCGCGCGACGCCGTCCTCGAGATCCGCGCCGCCACGGACGCCGCCGCGGCCCCTGACGCAGGAGGACCGCCAAAACCCCCCCCGGGGGACACAAAGGGCGACAGCCCCGGGAACACGTCGCAGACCGACGGCGAGACCATCCACACCACCGAGGTCGACGACGCGTCGTCCGCCAAGGACGCCGCGCCCCCCCCGCAGCCGCGGCCGGTCGACCCGTTCTGCGCGGGCATGCTGGCGGTCTTCGACCAAGCCGCCGCGCAGCTCGCCGAGGCGCGCGCAGCCGCGCAGGCGTCCGAGGACAAGCTCCGCGCGGTCGTGGACTTCTTCGAGGGCCGCAACGCGGCCCCGGAGGCCCGCCAGCCCGCGCAGTTCTTCGCGCGGATCGTGCAGTTCGGGGCCGACCTCGACGCGGCGCTGCGGGAGGTGTCCGAGCCTTACGCGGCGGAGGCGGCCGCGAAGGACGCCGAGAGCGCCGCGGCGCGCCGGGCGTCGTCCGCGGAGCCGTCGCGGCGCGCGCCGGGCGGCGCGCAGACCGTCCTGGCGGTCAAGGCCTACGCGAGACTCCCCCCGGGTATGAGGAAGGCGATGCTGACGGAGCGCGGGGCGCGCGAGCGGCTCCGCGAGCTCGGGATCGTGCGGCGGCACTCGGACTGCGAGATCGACGTGCTGCGCGAGCGCTTCGGCCCCGACGCGGCGCCGCGAGCGGCCGCGGTGGTCGCGGGCGGCGAGGGCGAGGCCCCCCCGCGCGGGCGCGGGGCTCCCGCCGACGGACGCGGCGGCGACGCCCGTGGCGCGGCACGCGCGGTACGGGCTGCCGCAGTCCGCGCCGCGGCAGCGCTCGACCGGCCGTCGCGGGGACGCGGGCGCAGCGGCGAGGGGCGGTGGGGCGGAGGCGAGCTCGGGGTCGCCTGCGGCTGCGGCGTTGGACGCATCGTCGGACGCCGTGGAGATGGCGTCGCCGCTCGTGGTCGATCAGGGGCGTTCTTGGCTCTTCGGCGGAGCGGAGGGCCCGTCCCCGGCAGCGCCGGAGCGCGACGCAGCGACCAACGGCGTCCGCGGGCCCGCGGAGGAGGAGGAGGAGGGCGCGGGCGGCGCGCTCGCGACGCCTCCGGGTGGCGGGGTCACGTCGCCGGGCGCGGACACGCCAGGCCCGCAGGCGGGCACGCCGGACAGCGCGGACGCGGACCCCCGTTCGCCGCCCGACGCGCGGGGGGACGGCGCGCTGACGGGGCTGGCCGCGAGGATGGCGGCGAGCAGCAGCAGCGACGAGGCGCGCAGCGGACCGGGCGGCGGCACCCCGAGCAGCGTCGGCGGCGGCGCGGAGCCCTCTTCCTCCGCGCGCACCCGCGACCTGCGACGGGCGCACGCCGGCCAGCGTGGCGGTCGCGACGGCGGCGGCGGACCGGGACGGCGCGAGCGGCGGCGCGAGCGACGCGTCGTCGCCGGCGGGCACGGAGGGCACGCCGCGCCGCCGTGGGCGGGCGCACGCCCAGCGGCGACGAGGTGGCCCGGGCGCTGTACAGCCCCGTGGTGGACGCGTCGGGCTCCGCGACGCCGACGTCGTCGGAGGAGGCGGCCCTGCGCGCGCCGAGGTCGCCGGACGCCGGGCGGGCGTGGCACGAGCAGCTGGAGGCGGCGGCGGGGTCTGGGACCGCGCGGGAAGCGCCGGCGTCGAGCGTGGCGCGGGAGGCGAGCCTGGCGTGGCAGCTGGCGGCCGAGGCGCAGGCGCATCGCGCGCGGGACGCGGCGCACGCGCCTCCCGGGGAGCAGCATCCGGGGGGGGGTGCGGAGGGCGTCGCGACGGGGGCGATCGCGGAGGAGTCCGACGCGGACGACTGGCTGCTGGACGGGACGCCGATGTCTGCGGAGCAGCCCTCGGGCGCCCGCCTGTCGTTCTGCTGCGACACCCCGGACACCCCCCCCGACTCGCACTCGCCGCCCGACACCGACGCGGGCCCCGCCCAGGACGACGACGACGACGCGCCGTCGCCCGTCCTGCACCACACGGTCACGTTCCCGCTCGCGCGCACGCCGCTGTCGTCGGTGCCGGAGTCGAGCCGCCTCACGGAGTCGCCGCGGGACGCCGCGCCGTCGCCGCTCCCGTCGTCCCGCAACACGTCGATGGGCACGCCCTCGCGGTTCCTCGCGACCACGCCGCCGGCGAGCCCGCTGCGCGTGCCGCAGGGCGTCGGCCGCGCGATGGCGTCCGCGGCCGGCAACGGCGACGGGTACGAGTCGCCTGGGCCCGAGGGTCTGGGAATCCCCGTCTCCGTGTTCACGCTGAGTCTGGGGCGCAGGATGGACCCGGACCTGCTCACGAGCCACGAGCTCGCGTCCGGGATGAACACCGCGCGGTCGGAGCTGTCGTCGTTCTCCGCCGACGCGCTGGGGGCCGCGTGGCCGGTGCCGCGGCTGGCGGTGGCGCGCGCGATGGCGGCGGGCGACGACGACTGGAACCCGCCGTCGACGCTCCGCGCGCACGAGGTCGCGGACGACGTCGCGGTCACCGCGCGGGGTCCCCCGAGCTCGCGTCGCCCGCAGGGGGACCAGCGCCCGGCGGCGCGCATGGTCGACCCGGCGTCGCCGGCGCGCGGGTACGCCGGCCGCGCCGCGGCGCAGATCGAGCAGATCAAGAGGAACGCGGACGGCCTGCGCCGGAAGCTCAGCGACGCGGACGCAGCGACCCCGTCGAGCTCCGCGTCGATCCTCTCGCTCAGCACGGCGTGGACCGCGACGCCGCTGCCGCCGACGTCGGCGCTCGAGGGGCCGGACCCGACGTCGGAGCCGCGCTTCGGCGCGAGCGCGCGCCTCCTGCGGCGCCGCCAGGGCAGCCCCGACCCCGCCGCCAGCAACGCCGTCCCCGCCGGCCCCGCGCGTGCTGTACGCCGCCGACTACCTGCGCGCGTCGCCGCCGCGCCAGCGGTCGCCGCCGAAGCCCAAGCCGCAGCCGCAGCCGAAGCCCGCCACGCCGCCGCCCCCGCGCGTCGCCCTGAAGCCCACCAAGGCCTCGGAGGCCAAGCGCACGCCGCCGGCGACCACCAGGGACAGGCCGCGGTCGCAGTCCGCGCCGACGGCGCGCCCGCCGCCCAGGAAGACGTCACCGCTCCCGAAGGTCGCGTTCCTGCCGGCGCGCCGCGTGATGCTGGAGCAGAAACGGCAGCAGCTGGCGCAGGAGGAGGGGGCTGCGGCGGCGCAGTCCGCGCGGTCGGACGCGCCGCGGAGGACGAGGCCGGAGAGCGCCCGCCCCGCGACGGCGCGCGCGGCGCCCGCCGCGGCCGCGTGGCGCCCCAGCGGGACGGGCGGCGACGGCTCCCCGGGCAGCGCCCTCCGCGCCCTCCGCGGCGCCCGCGGCGAAGAAGAAGAAGAGCAGGAAGAAGAAGAAGGGCGCGAAGAAGAAGAAGGCCAAGGCGACCGCGGCGCCGCAGCCCGCGGCCCCGGCGGAGGACCCCACCCCCACGCCCCCCCCGGCGCCGCTGCGGTCCGTCTTCTCGCTCGCGGCGGCGCTCGAGCCGCGGTCGCTGAGCGCGTCGGGGCTCTGGCACTGCCCGTCGCCCGACGTGCGCGACAGCGGCGGCGAGCGGCGCCCGGCCGAGCGCCCGGCGGCCGAGGGCCCGGTGTCGCCCGTGCGTCGCCTCAGGACCCTCGAGGGGTTCAGGGCCGCGATGGTGGACATGGTGACGTCGCCGGAGCGCAAGGCGTGGCGCTCGGAGAGCGACAAGCTGCGCGCGGCGGGCGGCAAGGGGGACGCGAAGAAGGGCGGGGGGGGGTTCCGGAGGGTGTTTTCGCTGGGACGCAAGCACCAGGGCGCGCCGTCGTGAGCGCCGCCGCGCGAGCGAGCGAGGATCCTTTCTGGGGCGTCTCTTTCTCGCGGCCCCCCAGCCTTCCGCGCTGGGGAACGGCGCATGTACATGTGTGTGTGTGGTACTAGTGGAGGGCGTTGTTGTGAACCGTTGACGACGCGCCTTCAAAATCGGAAGGCGCGCGGCGCGGGCGCTGCGTGGACGGCGGACGATGCAAGTCCCTCCGGGGCTGTTTTGTTTCGCGGGGCACGTCGTGCATTGCGCTGTCGCGCCCGACAGGGTTTCGCGGGAACGAGGCGTCGAGCGCGCACGCGGTGGTGCCGGGCCGCACGGCAACACCTGGGCGGTGGTTCGACGCGCAATCTGCGGACCGGAGGAGAGGAGACGCGGGTGGTGGAGTCTCTGATGAGGGGTTCAGAGGCTGACGCGGGCCTGCCGTGGGCTACAAGGTCCGACGGCCACGCCAGCCGGGACCTAGGCGTTCGCACAGGCGCGCATGAGGGCTGCGGAGGCGCCTAGACGGCCGTACACGTGATTCCAACCACTTGGAAGTCCCGCGGTCGCGGTCGGCGGTCGACGTGATTCCAGCGAGAGCGGCGCAAGTTCGCCGGGACGACGGCGCTCTGTCGTCGCGCTAGCAAGGCCCACATCGAGCGTGTCGTGGTCGAGTGGAGCTCGCGGGCGCTTGGCCCCGGAGCAACGGGCACAACAGGGTGGACGCGATTTCGCGCGGCTGAGGCAAAGAGCGCGGAAGGTTCGTCCGAGGAGCGGTCTCCTGCGTATCTGGGCGCACATTCGTCGCATCACAGGCCACGTTGTCAGCCCACAGGGTCCCCGCGGGCCCAGTCTCTGTGGGGCACCTGCAGGGCCGCCCTGGACGCTCCTCGGGCGTCGCGCGTCGCGCAATACGTCGCTGCGGGCAGCAAGAAGGCTTTGCGCCGGCCGAGAATCGAACTCGGGTCTCCCGCGTGGCAGGCGAGTATTCTACCACTAAACCACCGGCGCGCGGCGGTCCACTATCCCAGGAATGCACTGGGGGGATCATGCGTAGCAGGAACGCGAATTTCGTGCATTCCAAATCGACATTTGTACATCGGCACACAAATCGTAGCTTATACGTGTGAAACAATACGTTGTGCGAACGTTCGCAGCTGCCGGCGACCCGGCCCCGCCCCGCGCCGATCATACGCGGGCGCGTGCGGGCGCTGCGGTCCCCGCGCCCCCCCTCGCCCCGGTCGCGGCCGCGCACACGCACATCACGGCGCCCGCACCGGACGCGCGCGCCCCTCCCACGCCCACCCACCACGCCCCGCTCCGCGCCACGCGCCGCGCCCCGCACCCCGAAAACCCCCCCCCGCGCGCACCTCTCACCCGTACCAAGCGGACGAGGGCGGAGGACCGCGCCGCGCGCGCGCAGACACGCCGTGCGCCGACCCTGCCTCGAATCTAAGCGCTGACGCGGACGTTCCAGATCGCCGCGGTGGCGCGCGGATCCGCGGGCCCGGGCGCGCACCGCGCCGCGCCTCCGCTCCCCGCGCGCCCGCAGGCGCCTGGCGCGGCGCCTGGCGCGGCGCGCGCGGGCGGCCGTTGCCGCGGTGGTTCGGAGCCGTTGCAGGAGCCTATGATTGGCCCAGAGTCAACCTGGCACGGAATTCGACGAAGTACATGTTACACGACGCGCGCGCGGCGCGTGCGGGTCTGCGGCGATGCAACGGCGTCCGGGCGGGCGCGGCCGGCGCGGGCCCTCGGGCCGGGGCGCGTCGTTTCGGCGTCCCGGCCGCCCGCGTATGTTGTTCGGCCGTGCTGTGGGCGCCGCGGAGTAGAGAGGATGATACGGGAGCTATTGGCGTGTGGGTGTTTGTGCTACTGTGTGTGGGTGATCTTGGGCCCACGGCGCCGCGACAGGCGCCGCGGCGCCGGCGTTTGGGAGCAGTGGGCTGGGCTAGGGGTCGGCCGCGGGAGAGCGGGCCGCCCGGTGGGAGGTTGAACTGCGCGCACGGCGAGGCCGCGGGGGCTGCGTGGCCTACTGGCCGTCGCGGCCCATCGGGATGGTGAGCTCGCGGCGCACGGCTCGCCCCGTCCCGCCACAGGTGCGGCAAATGACCTCCTGCGTGTCGCCGTCGCTCCACTCCAGCACCTCCAGGCCCCGCCCCTCGCACCTAGGACACACGATGGAGTCCTGGTCCTGGTCCTGCGCCTGCGGAGCGCGCGCGGGGGGAGCTGCGGTGAGTCGGAGGCTCGGGCAGGGAGGCCACACGTCGCGGGGGCGCGTGCGGGGCGCCCCGCGGGCCGGGCCGGCGTCGTTCGCGGCGAGGGCGGAAAATTGACCGCGGCGGCCGCGCCGGCGGATCGCGTGCGGGCGCCAGCGGGGCGCGCTGCGGCCACCGTTGCAGAGCCCCCATTAGGGCGAAGGTCCGGGGTGGGGGCGCGAGGCGCACCTCCGCCGTGTTGTCCAGGTAGTCCTTCGCGACGAAGAGCAGACCCGCGGTCAGGATCAGCGACCCGGCCGCCTGCGAGACCGAATTCGCCGTGTTGGCGTCGAGCGCCCGCGCCCTGGTGTCCCTCCGGGCCGTCACGCGCATAGCCGGGCTCCGCGCGACGCGGTGGGTGCACCCCACGGCCCTCGTAGCGGCAGCCGGGGGTGCACGAGAAACGCCCATCGCGAGGCCGGTATGCATACCACGTCGAACGTTCGTCTGCCCGCTTTCCGCTCTCAACTCGTCACCAGTCGGATGCTCACGCGTCGAACTCCGCTCCCTCGTACGAACGATCTCCGTTTCTGCCGCGCGACGGCGCCGAGACGCGCCCACGACGACGCGCAGCGGCCCCTCGGTGTCAGACCTGGGCCGTGACGCCACGCACGCGCCCCCCACGCGAACATCGGGCCGCGCGCGCGCCGTCGCGGGCGACCCCTCGACGCACCGATCGCCGCGGATGGCAGCAAGGAGCCTCGCGCGCCTCGCCCTCGGCCCCCGCGCCACCCCCGCGCTGCAGGGCTGCGCCGTGCTGGCCACAGGGCCGGGCGCAGCGGCCGGCGCGGCGGGCGCGGGGCAGGGATGCGCGGGCGCGCAGCAGATGTGCACGAGGGCGACCCGCGCGTGGACGGACGGGGGGTTCGCGGCGTCCGGCGGCGCGCGCTGCCCCCCTGCTGGCGGGCACGCAAGGGAGGTCTCGGGGAGCGCGTCGGCGGACCGCAACGGAAGCGCGCGTCGCAGGGTGAGCGCAACTGCCTCCGCGGCCCTCCCTCCTCGCCACGCTTCCCCTCGGCGCGCACGAGGCGCCGCGGGCGGAGGCACCCTCCGCCGCGGAGCACCCTGCCCGCCTGCGGGTCGGCCGCGGCCCCGCGCGAGGCTGACGGGCCGCCGGATGCGCGGACGCGAAGCCTTGCATGCCGCCGCCGCGTCGCGCAGGGCGGCACCCCGCCGCAGCGAGGCAGCGGGCAGCACCCACCGCCTCCCGCCCTGGGGGGCCGCGGCTGCGCGGCGCTGGGCGGCGCTCCCGGCAGAAACGCCGGCCCACCGATCGCGAACACCCCTCTGCGTCCTCCTCGCAGGATCGCGGCACGAGCAGGCCGTCCGACGACCTCCTGGGGCTGTCCCAGGCGGAGCTCGCAGCCAGCACCGCGCGAGACCTCCTGGAGCTGGCGCGCGACGAGTTCTCCAAGCGGCCGCCAGAGAGCGAGGAAGTCGACCGCGTCCTCCAGGAGGTGCGCGACCCCCCGCCGTGTAGCCGCGCAGCCACCCCGACGCCGCGCCCCCGCGCCCCGGGTCGCCGTGCTGCGCGGCGCCCACGGCACCGCCCACGCACGCGTCCGCAAGCTGCGGCGCATCCCCCACCGAGCCCAGCCCAGCCCGTGGCCTCGAACCACGCGCCTCGCCCCCACGCGCTTATGCGCCAGCCCCACCGCCGCCGGCCGCCTTCCCCGTCGCAGATCGGCGTGAGGGACCCCGTCACGATGCTCGAGTCGCTGTACCGCGGCGACCCGACCTTCCTGCGCCTCGGCCGCGGCAACGGCGCCCTCCTCGTGGACACCTTCATGCGCCTGAGGCCCGACGCGCTGCGGACGAGCGAGCCCGAGAGCGACGGCGACGGCGACGACGACCCGCGCGCGGACGCGCAGGCTGCCGCGAGCGCGGACGAGGTGAGCACCGCGCAACGGCGCACACGCGCGCGCGCGTACCGCCGCTGGCCAGCCGTCGCCACGTGAGCTCGGAGGCCTTGCCGCCGACGCCGCCGTCGCGTGAGCCTCGCGCATTCTCACAGCGGAGGGTGGAACCGCCGATCTTCCCGCACCACCGCCTCCGGAAGAGATGGCAACATCACAACGCACGTAACGTAACATCAAAGACAGCGCGCAAGCGAGGCTCGGCGCCATCGAATCGGACGCCAGCGGCGCGCGCTGTCGCGCTCGATCGCGTCACCGGCGAGACCCCGCGTGGGCGCCCCCTCTCACTGCGCAGGCGGCCGGCGCGGCGGGTGTTGACGAGCAGGACGAAGAGGACCTGCCCGGGTCGCGGCTCGACGAGTTCGGGCGCGCGTCCGCCGTGGGCACGCGGAAGACGGCGGCGGCGCGCGCGTGCATCTACCCCGTCGGCACTGGCAAGATCACCGTCAACGGCAAGCCGCTGGACGTGTACCTGCCGAGCATGCGCGCGCGCCGGCGGCTGATCTGGCCGCTGTACGTCACGGGCCAGCTGTGCGCGGTCGACGTGGAGCTGACGGCGCAGGGCGGGGGGCGCATCGGACAGGCCGAGGCCGGGCGGCTGGCGCTCGCACGCGCCCTCAAGGTGCGACGAGGCCGCAGCCCGCGGCGGGTGTTGGCTCGCTGCTCCTCTCGCGAAGCTCCCCGCGTGCGCAGCAGTCGCGCAGCGTCACCGCGGCCCGCCCGGCGCCCCGTGCAGGACCTGGACCCCCGGCACGGCCCCGTGCTGCGCGCGTGGAGGCTGCTCACGTTGGACCGGCGGCAGGTGGAGCGCAAGAAGCCAACGCGGAAGAGCGCGCGCACAGCCAAGCAGTGGTCCAAGCGCTAGCCGGACCGCCGGCCGGCCTGGACAGGCGACGCGCTGCGTGTGAACAGATTGCAGCGTGACGTGGACGAGAGTGGGTGCGAGCGAGGGGCGGCTGTTGCCCTGTTCGAAGGGGCCAGTGGTGCTGACGCGACACGGGGCGATCCGGGCGCGACCACGGACCTGTGCGTCACGGTGAGGTCCCCGGGGGTGTCATTTCATGCCGAGCTGTGGGCGCGCTCGACGGGCCGCGCGGCACCTCCGCGCAGGCAGAGGCTTGCAGGCGCTGCGCGTGTAGTGTGTGTGGAAGTGCGTCCGGGGCGACTGTGTGCGTCCCGTGATCGATATGCTAGGTGATCAAGCGCGCAGTGGCGTCGCTTTCGCTGCGAGGCGCGGCGGGATCTAGGCGCGCGACCGTTCGCCGGCACCAGGGTTTCGTAGATAGAGAGCATAGAAATGGATGGGGTGCGTGCGGGCTCGCCATGCGGCCCGCGAGACCAATGCGTTTCATGGAATTCCCGTCGCCACGTGCTGTTCCGGGATTCGTTCGCACGTAGGCACGTATGCGCTGTACATGTACGAATGTCCCCACAGGCCAGGCTGTGGAACGTCCCGTCTTTGAGCTGCAGGGCGCGCAGCCCAACAGGCAGGAGGGATGGGTCGGCCGGTACGGGCCGCCTCCGCCCATTCAGGACCCCCGCGGATACCAGTACCCTCCGCCAGAAGAAGACCCGGGATATGCGGCCGAGATGGCGGCCTACGAGCAGCGACAACAGCAGCAGGGCGGCCACCAACATTGCGGGCAGCAACAGACAGGTGCGTTCCAGGCCGCACGGCGAGGCTATGCACCCTGCGAACGGAATCGGCGCTCCAACTGCGAGTAGTCGTCCGAGACAGCGAACGACCGGGCAGCGCGACCCGTCCGCAGCCCGCACCGGGCCGGGTCCCCGCTGCGAGACCATGTGCTTCCCTCCCTCGCGCGCGGCGGGGCGGCCGCGACGCCGCACGGCACGGCTCTCAGTCGCGGCCGGCCCTGCTCGTGTCCATGCGGATAGCACTCGACCCGTTCATTCGGAACGACGCTGGCGATGATGTTCGGTGCAGGCTACCCCGTCCAAGGCGAAGCCGTGCTGGGCATTCCAGTCGGGCAGGCTCCCCGACAGCCCGGCCCGTTCACCCAGCCGCCGCGGCCCGTGATCGTGGAGGTCCGGCCGGGCGGCCCCGCGGTGCGCAACACGGCGCTGCCGTGCGGCTGCGGGCTCGGGTGGACGATGCTCGCCGTGGGCATCGGAACCTCCATCTTGACAGGGGTGTTCGGAATCATCTGCTGCGGCATCGGGACCTTCGCGGAGCGCATCACGAAGGACCCGCGGGAGCGCCAGGGCGCGCGGGCGTCGGCCATCGGCCTCCTGATCGGCATCATCGCAGTCATGCTCTTCTTCACGCTGCGGTTCGCAATCTGACGCAGGCGGCGCCCGCCGCGCGGGGACGGAGCCCGCATCGCGATCCGTTGCGCGACGCGTGAAGGCAGGGGTGCATGTGACGCCGCTTGGATGTTCGAACGCACTCCGATCGCGTGGTTCGCCGCGTGTTCGCTGCCGATGGCCGCCCGCTCTTCCCGCTGACACGCCGGAGCCTCCCCCGGCACGTGGTGATGACTGGCATACTTTTTGGCATTTCGCGCGAGTACTGCTAGCACGGCGCCGCCTGCATCAGGACGACAGCACGTCTGCTTTTCGCGTCCAGCGCGGGTGTGTCCATGACATCCTTTGCGTCGTCGGCGTCTCAACCGCTACGCTAACTTTCGTGCATGGATCGCTGCGTCGGAGCCGCTTGTGGGCGCGGCGTGCGGCTCGAGATGTGTGTCAGCGCGGCGGGGCGTGCAGGAAGGCCGGCTGGCCGAGGTCCCGGGAAGATGGCGGTCCGCTGCCATGCGCGTCATGTGAGCGGAGGAGTTGCTTGCACCTGTGATGCAAGCAACCGTGGCGCACGGTGTGACGCGGTGAACCGCAGCGACGGCTGGCCTTCCGTGGCAGGACGCAGGGCCGCCGCGCCACCGCTCCGGTGCTGCGATCGCTGCTGGGTCTGACACATTGCGGGGGGGGGGGTTGAACCCGAACCAGCGCTGGCTGGCTGTGCGCTTTCGGGGGGCGCGCACGAGCGCGGCGCGGCATATCCGAGGAGAGCCTGTCCTAGGAGGATCTTTCGTGCGTCGCGTCGTGCCCTGAGAGACGGGCGTTCGGACTCGGGTGGTGCGTCGGTGGTGGTGGGGGAGCGGGATGTCCAAGATAGACCTTAGCTTCCTCGAGGGGCGGTCCACAGCGGCCACGCTGGCCGCTGAGACGCCGCTCGGGCCCACGGATGCGAGCGGGATGGCGCAGGCGTTCCCCCTGCCGCCCGTGGAGGACGTGAGTGCCCACGACCACCGCCGCGCTCGCTCGTGCGTGCCCGCACTGCCCGGCGCGGGGCCGCCACGATCACGCGGCATTTGTGCCACGCCGCCCGGCACCTCAGCTCCCCGGGCCACGCCCCCAGGCCCGCGTCGCGCGCCCCTGCATAGCTCCTCGGTCTCCAGCGTCTCCCCGCTGCAGCGGCGCCTCTCACGGCCGTCCGCCTGCCGCTGATCCGACGCATAGCGACGTGTCTATCGGGGCTGGGCCGGATCTGGGCTGGCGTCGCCGTTTACGCGCGGCGTTCTGCTCTCAAGCAGGCTGTTGCAACCAAACTGCTCTGTTCGCCACGTCCCGCCGCGAAACGGGCCGCTCGACAGGCGGCTCCGACCGCCCTTGATGTCGAAACGAGGCCGTCCCACGAAACCCCCGCACGGGGACCTGCGAGCGCCGCGCTTTCCCAAGGTCCTGCGACCTCCACTCTGTGCCGCCGTCGAGGCCCGCGCCCGCTTCTCACGCGCCTCGGCGCTCCGCGGTGGCTCCTGCAGATCGACTCGTTCGAGCGCGAGGTCGTCGAGCTCGTGAAGCCGCAGCACGGCACCACGACGCTCAGTTTCATCTTCCAGGGAGGCATCATCGTCGCGGTGGACTCCCGCGCGTCCATGGGCACCTACATCTCGTCGCAGACGGTCAAGAAGGTCATCGAGATCAACCCCTTCCTCCTCGGCACCATGGCCGGCGGCGCGGCGGACTGCCAGTTCTGGCAACGCAACCTCGGCACGCAGTGCCGCCTCTACGAGCTCCGCAACGGCAAGCGCATCTCCGTGCGCGCCGCCTCGAAGCTCCTCGCGAACACCATGTACTCCTACCGCGGCATGGGCCTCTCCATGGGCACCATGGTCGCGGGCTGGGACCCCCAGGGCCCCGGCCTGTACTACGTCGACTCCGACGGCCAGCGCACGTCCGCCAAGGTGCTCTCCGTCGGCTCCGGGTCGCTCTACGCGTACGGCGTGCTCGACGAGGGCTACAAGTGGGACCTGTCGATCGCGGAGGCGGTCGAGCTGGGCCGGCGGGCGATTTACCACGCCACCTTCCGCGACGCTGTGTCGGGCGGGACGGTCTCGGTGTACCACGTGAGCGAGAACGGCTGGACGAAGATGCGCGGCGACGACGTCGGGGAGCTGCACTTCGAGTACTACTCCAAGCCCGAGCTGCATCCCACGAGCGGCACCAACCCCCTCGACACCATGCGGTGAGGGTTGGCGCGCGGGCGCCGCTGTGAGACCCGCGCCGCCGTGGCCGTGCGTGGCCGCCGTGTCCTTGCGAGCCCGGGGCGCCGCGCTGCGTCGCGGGTGCCAGAGGGGCGTCGCGTCGATCGTAGCCTGCGCCGCCACGCGGACGCTGCATCTGTGCGCGCGGGCAGCGCGGGCGTTTTGACTCTAGCGCCACGGCCCGCGGCGTGCGCGGGGGTAGCTGTCGCGGCCCGCCGGGCAGCTCGTGCGCGGCCGCGGTTCCGACGGCTCGGTGGTAGAAGCCAGGGGCGGGGGAGTGGGAATCAATGACCCCCGGCGCTGTCAGCGCGCTGCTCGAGCAGGCTGCATGGGGCGACGAGGCGCGGGGCGCGACGTACATCGAGCTCCTGTTTGCGGAACGCTGGCTCGTCGGTTGATTGATCCACCGCTCAGCAGTCGTCAGTTGTGGGACTAGGTCTGTACTTTCGGGCGTCGCCCCGCGCTCCTTTCGCGCTCGCGCAGCGCTCGTCGTAGGCACGATGATCCGTGCGTTCGCACACCCCGCCCGGCCGGGGACGCTGGCCGCCCCCGCGGCCCCACGCAGCGCAGCCAGCGCCGGCCACAAGCAGCCGTGGGATGCGCGCACACCGCAGCGCAGGTGACGTCCCGCGCCGCGCTCCCCGCGCGCGTCTCTCCACTTGCAGCTCGTCCTGTCGGCGCTGTTCCGAGCCCCCCACCGCACCGAGAGAGCGCTCGCACGCGACAGCGCTGCCGCGGCAAGGGATGCTTCCAGCGCCCAGCCAGAGTCGATCACGAGCTCGCGCGACTCGTGCCACGCCGCCACGATGCATATACTGCGCGGCAGGGCCAGAGCGGGAACTCGCACGGCCATGCAACGCGCGCGATCGCGGGAAACCTACGGAGCAGTTGAGCACGACCGCACAGCTCACCGAGCTGCCTGGACGCCGCGGCACGCGCATGCAGGGCGCACATATGCGAGGCCAGCAAGGGCAAGAAGTCGGCAGCGGGCGACAAGCCGGAGGATGAGCCGGAGAAGCCCACCCCGCCAGCGCCGGCACCGAAGGACGCGGCCGCGCCGGCGCCGGAGCTGCCCCCTGCGGACAACCCGCCCAGCATGGAGCTCACTGCCTCCGGGGAGTCCATCGTCGTCGAGGGCGAGCTCACCACCGACTCCCCCGTCGAGGAGGCCGTGCGTGCGGTCGCCGCGGACCCCTCCTCGATGCGCCCCGACGAGTTCGTCGACACCGTCGCCCGCCAGGCCATCAAGGTACGCTCCTGCGCACCCCGCGGGCGCGGCAGCGCGCCCCGCCGTCTCACCGCATCGTCGCAGTCTGCTCACATGCATCACTCCTCTGCATCACGCAGGACATCTCGAGCGCGGACGCGGACGCCGGCCGGGTCGCGCAGGAGGCGTACGACGCCGCCACGGACGCCGCGGAGCTCGCCGCGGAGCAGATCCAGGATGCCGCAAACCAAGTGCAGGCGCAGATCGCGGCGGCGACGACGCCGCCGGCGGAGCCCGCGCGCACGCGGCCCGCCAAGCCCGCGGTCGAGATCCGCAAGCCGCCGTCGGACCCCGAGGAGCGCGACGCCGAGCTGATCCGCGTGAAGGACCGCGTGCTGCGCGCCGTGGCGGGGACGGACCGCGGGCTGAGCGCGTCGCCGCTGCAGATCTCCGAGATCGACGACCTCGTGATCCAGCTCGAGCTCTTCGCGGACGAGTCCGAGGGGGGGCTCCAGGCGGACCCCTCCCTCCTCGGGGGGCGCTGGCGGCTGGTGTACTCCTCCGCGTTCGGCAAGGGGCGGTACGGCGGGCGCTACCCGGGCCCGACCGCGGGCCTCGTGCCGTTCCGGCTCGGGCAGGTGTACCAGCGGATCCAGCTCGGTCCCATGCGCCTGGACAACATCGTCGAGCTGCTCTTCCCGCCGCCGCTGTTCCCGCTGCCGGGCATCGGGTCCGAGGCGCCGACGGCGCAGCTGACGCTGTCGCACGACCTCGCGCTCGTCGGGCCGCGCACGGTGCAGATCACGTTCACCGACACCACCGCGCGCGTGACGGGGGGCGGCGCGCTGGCCAACCTGCAGCCGCTGAAGCTGCCGGAGCTCCCGGAGCCGCTCCGGCCGCCGACGGAGCTGCGGCAGGCCAACTTCGACGTCTCGTACCTCGACCGCGACATGCGCATCACGCGCGGCGACCGGGGCGAGCTGCGGGTGTACGTCAAGGCGTGAAAATGCACGTGCAGGGCGGTGTTGCGAGGCTCGGCGCTTGGACTTGCGCGGCGTGTGTGATAGGCGAGCCTGCGCTCACCGCGTTCGTGCGCGGCTGCCGCGTCGGCGGTCGCAGAGTCACACGCTGCGGCCACGACGCCGCGTCGCGCGCTCGGCCCTTGCGCGCCGTTCGTGCCCCGGCCAGCCCCCCCCCGGTCCGTCACGCTTCGTCCGCTGCGTCGCCTTCCGCCGGGGCAGTCAGCGATCCGTCCGGCCCGACGACCGCGCGCATCAGCAGCTTGACGCGCCCGCCCGGCAGCAGGCCGCCAGGCCGCCCGCGGTACGCGACGCGGAACCCGCACGCCTTGTACATCTTCACGGCGGGCTCGTTGTCCTCGTACACGTGCAGGTAGACCTCGCGGTACCCCCAGCAGCGCGCCACCCTCGCCAGCGCGCCCAGCAGCGCGCTCCCGAGGCCCTTCCGCCGCATGTTCTCCGCCACGGCCATCGAGGACACGTACGCGTACGTGGTCTGCTGCGTGAAGGGCGGCCGGCCTGCGCCGACGTCCGCGATCGGCTCCGAGGGCAGGTCGATCACCTTTAACACCGAGGGGTCCGCCGCGATGGCCACGTGGCCCACGCCCGCGACGGACGCGCCGGAGTCGGACGGCTCTGGTGCCTGCAGCGCGGCGCACGCGTCGCATCCGATGTCGCGACGGTGCGTGATGGTGTGATGTGCGGTGCGTGGCGGGCCGGCGCGGCGGGACCGCGGCCGCGCTCACCTCGGCGATGAGGCAGCAGAAGGCGTCGCGCGGGCAGAACTTGATGGCGTGCTGCAGCGTGGACATGGCCTCGGCGCGCAGCGACTGCAGTGCGGCCGACTCCAGGAACGCGGGCCCCCACACGGGCTCCTGGAACGACGACGCCTGCAGGTCCGCCACCGCCGCGATCTCCTCGTCCGTCCTGCGGCGCGCGACCGCGGCGACCCGCCCGGTGAGCGACAGCAACAGCATGGCGCGTGCGCCGTCGTCGTGCCGCGCCGCGGACGCGGTCGGGCCCGCACCTGACGGGCCGGATGCGGAGGTCGCCGTGCACGCAGCCTTCGAGGAGGGCGCGGGGGTCGCGTTCGGCGGGGCATTCGGGTTGCAGGTCCACGAGGGAGCGCTCGTCTTGCTGGGCGGCCCGGGCGCGCTGCAGGTAGGCGCGCTGCGGGCGGAAGAGCCGGTCGAGGCCCACGGAGTCGGCGATGCCAGCCAGGAGCCCGAACATCGGCGCGCCGGGGCCCGAGCGCGGGGCGCAGCGGCCGATCGGGCGGGTGGACGCGCCGGGCGGGAGGACGCAGCGGCCAGCGCAGTGGCCGGTGGCGCTCATCTCCGCCGCGTGCGCAGCAGCACGTCCGCTGGGATGTGGGGAGTTGGCTCGGACGCTGGAGACGTGCGGGGAGGTCTGTGTGCGGAAGAGCGGGCCTCTGCGGGCCTGAAGCAGCTGCAGATCGCGGTCAAGGCGTGACGTGGACCGGTTCGGGGCGGAACGAGGAGGAGAGAAGCGCCTGAGCGTGGCGGGCGCGATGGCGCGCCCGTGAGCGGGCGTTCGCGGCAGGAGCGGGGTGTTTGTGCCCCGCTGTCAGCTTGTCAGGGGCGCGGAAGACCCGCAGCGGCCGCGACGGGCTCAGGAGGGCGCCGCACGCCGCCCTGCTGCCACCTGCACAGCCTGAGCGCACGTTCGAGCGGTTGCACGCCCCCCCGGAACGGACCAACTTCGCCTGGCTCGTGGCCAAGAGATCGAACCGCGCCCGCGTACAAGGCGAGCCTTGGGCAGCGAGAACGCTCCGTCCGCACGCCTCTCGGGCTTCCCAGTCGAGGAGGGCGCCCGAGCGAGCGCGGAGGTGTCCCTGGCGCCCGGGAGCGACGGCGATTTGCCCCGGTTGTAGGGCTTGGCCCACATTTCCGCACCACCGTCGCACTCGAACGGCATTCGGTATGAACGCGGCCTGTGCCTCGGCTGCGAGGTGCCGCGCGGCCCCGCGGCTCGCGAGCGCGCCGCGTGCGCGCAGGGGGCGCGCGTTGGCTCGTGCGTTCCCGGACCCGCCCGAGAGGGCGCCGAAGCCGGACGAGGAGCCCGTCAAGCTCGACCCGTGGAGGCGACCGATCGTCCAGCCGTCGAAGGCGACGCCCGGGTCGCGCCTGGACCGCGTCATGGAGGCGATTATGCCCGCAGAGGTGCGCCGCATGCGCCACGCGCCGCGCACGCACCCTCCGCGCGCCCCCGGCGCGCCCGCACCCGCCCAGCCCATCTCAAGATCCATCGCATCGCGTTCCGGCCCCCTCGGGCCGTAGATAGAGCCGCGGCGGCCCCCACCGGCGCCGTGACCATGGTCAACCGCCCCACGCTTTAGCGCCGCTCTGCGGCGCCACACCGCACACACCCTGCCGCGCGCGGCCGGCCGCGGCGTCCACTGCGCCGCGGCACCGCGCACACGGCCGCGCGCGGCGCACACCCCCGGGACTCCCCCCTGTCCTCGAAACCCACCAACCACCTTGATTGGACGTTGACTGCTTGCGCGCGCCGCGCGCCAGCACGCGCGCCCCGCCGCCGCCCGCACACAGCGCCCCCCCGGCGCGAGGTGCCTGTGCGGCGACGGAGCCGCGGCCGCGCGCGCGCGCCGGGGACGTCGTCGTCCCGCACTGCAACGTCTTCGTGGGTGACGATGCTTGGTTCGACGTCGATCAAACAACAAACAACGTTGCTCTCGTCCTCTGCTGCTGTTTCATGGTCCGCGTGCGCGCGGCCGCAGCGGCCCCACGCCCGCGCGCCCGCGCGTCTGGCTCGCAGGAGGGCGACGCGAAGGACTGGGCGTGGATGTGGGGCAGCACCGTCGTCCTGGTGTGGATGTCGGCGTCGATGGTGCAGCTGGCCATCCACTGCCAGTGCATGCTCCACGAGGCCTCCCGCTTCAACTGAGCGGCCCGGCGCGCCGCGCGGACGACGGCGGGCGCTCGCGCGTGCGGCCGGCGCGCGCAGCGAGCCAGCCAGCGTTGCACAGGAGCGCAACAACACCGAGACCGACAGCACACGCTGAACGAACGAACTAGGCCCCGCAACTGCCACTACTGCATGTGTAACGCTCCCCGCGAGCCGCTGCGTCGTCGTCGCTGTCACATGTACACGGCAGCGTGCCCGCCAGCGACAGCGGACACCCGCACGCCAGAGGTGCGCGGAGATTAGAATTTCGGGTCTGAACGCACGAGCTTGGTTCCCAGCGGCAGCCGCGCCACCGCCAGCCGCGCCGCCCGCGTGCTCAGCGCCTGCTTCGACGCCGCCTTCGCGCCCGCCTTCCCCTTGCCCCCCTCCCGCGCTGTTTCAGTCCCCCCCCCTCCTCTCCGCGCCCTCAACCCCAGCTCGCCCAGCACGGCGTCGTACCCGTCCGCCCGGGTCTTGAACTGCGCCCGCAGCACCTCCTTCCCGCCCCCCTTGGCCGCCCCCGCGCGCGTCGCACCCAGCGCCTTGTGCCGCGCCCCCCGCCCCCCGCTGAATATCGACGCCGCCGCGATCTTCCGCCGCGCCGCGCGCCGGGCCTCGTCGGCCGCGCCCGGGCCGGTCCCCGGCCCGATGCCGATCTCGCTGCGCAGCCGCGCCTCCTCGCGGTCCTCGGGGTGTTCGGGCAGCAGTCTGACCGCCATGTTGAGGTCCCCCGCCCGCTGCCGGCGCGCCAGCTCGTCGTGCCGCGCCTCGCGCATGCGCTGCCGCAGCGCGCCGTTCAGCGCCGCCTCGTCCTCGTGCAGCCGCTTCGACTCCTGCAGGAGGCCCGCGCACCGGCCGGCATGTCATCGAACCACCACGCTGCGTGCGTCGTGCAGGGCGGGGCGTCGCGCGCCCCCCCGTGCGCGCGCGCACCTTCTGGAGCTGCGCCACGTGTCGGTCGGACTCCTTCCTCATCTCGCGCGCCGTCTCCTGGTGCTCCAGACGGTAGAACGCGTCGGATCGGACGCGGTCGCGATGCTCCTCCTGCTCGAGCTCCATGACCTCGGCGTCCTTCGAGCTGCGCGGGCCGGGCGCGCGCGTGGCCGTCGGAGCGGGCGCCTCGGCGTGCGTGTGCGTGTGCGAGGGGCGCGGGCTGCGGCGCGGCCGCCGCACCTGTACGTCTCCTGCTTCCGGCGCAGGCCGCGCATGATGGCGTAGTCGCAGTTCGCCGGGTCCGTGCGGATCTCGACGCGGCTCTGGCAGCACGGCGTCCGGAAAGTGAAACTCCACACCTTGGTGCTGTGGTACATGCCGACCTGCTTCTTCTCCGCGTTGAACCGCACGCCCTTGCCTATGTGGTGCCCGCAGCCCAGGCACCACACGTTGAACGGCATCTCGAAGCGGATGATGAGGATCCCCAGGTGCGCCTTGCGCGTGCGGTCGCCCAGGGACCCCCGGCTGTTCCTGCGGGCAGGCGCGGCGGCCCGGACCGGGCCGAGAGGCGCGTCGGCGTGTGCGGGACGGCGGCCGCGCACGCACGCGCGGCAGGACTGGCCGCGCGAGCAGCGCTGCTGCTGGCGTGTGTGTGTGCGGGCGTCGCGGCCCGCCGAGCGCGCGTTCCGACGGCGCTTCGATGCGTGGCCGGCGTAGAGAAGGAGTGCGAGCGCCGGAAGGCGACGGAGATTGGACGAGAGCGGCGTCGCGCAGGGAGCGTCGGGGCGCGCACTGGTACTTGTCGATGCTCCCATGCTTCCTGGGGTCGTATTCGGGGGGGAGGTAGTAGCCGTCCGCCCCAACGGCCGTGAGGGAGCCTCCCTTCCCCGACATGGTCGCCGCCGCTGCCCGTGCCGGCCGGCAGCGAGGGGCCCGGCCCACGCAACGCGCTCCTCCTCCTCGCTGACGCCCGGAAACAGCGCGTGCGCCGACCGGCAGAACGATGAGACAGCGAGCGAGCCTCCCGGGGCGACGGAGAGCGTTCTCGCGCCCGCTGGTGCAGACCACGGGGCCTCGGTACTGCCGAGCAACGGACGCAGGTCCCGCCGCCGTGTCGCGCGAGTGTGCCCGCCGAGGCCGCTCGGGCGGTGGACCAGAGACTGCTGCCGGCATGGCGCCGCTCGCCCCGTCGAGAGCCGCCCGCCGCTGCGCGTACGACGCGTTTCTTCTACTGGCGGGGGGGGTGCGGGGCACCCACGGTGCACGCATCGTGCGCATGGTACGGGTACCCCTGTGCTACTAGATTTCTGAGAGGCAACAGGGTAAAGCTCCGCTCGCGGCGGCTTTCGGCCGCCACCGGCGTAGATTTCCCATCCTCCTCCCCCTGTCTGAGCCCGGCCTCACGGACCTCCGGTAGCCGCCATCCGCCCTTCACGCGCGCCGTGACCAGCAGGGCGACGCGGAGCGCCTGGATGTCCTCGTCCGCGACCTCGTCGCGGCAGAGATTGCATGTACACAAGGAGGTCATCGCTGAACGTTGCCCCGTGCTGCCGGGGTTCCGGAGGTCCACAGGGCAAGGGGGCTGCCTCGCGCTGTCAGTTTTTCGGCGGAGCACGCGGTAAGGTTTGCTCTGTGCTCGGTGGGGGTGCTCTGTCAGCCGGTGAAGTGCAGGGGGGGACAAGGGAGAACCTGGTCGTTCGGCGTGACCCGGGATGACTTGGCGCTGGCACGCGCGCCGGTGGTCGCTGCGTGCCCAGCGTCGTCTGCTCAGGGCACTCAATGACACCGTTGTGACGGACGGTCGATGAGAAGTCGGCGCAGACCGAGACTTCGCGAGACTTGTATTGCATTGTGATCCAATCTACAAATGCTGATTCGAGATGCACAAAATTACACTTTTCACATGTACGATCCCCCCAGTGCATTCCTGGGATGATGGACCGCCGCGCGCCGGTGGTTTAGTGGTAGAATACTCGCCTGCCACGCGGGAGACCCGAGTTCGATTCTCGGCCGGCGCAAAGCCTTCTTGCTGCCCGTAACGACCTATTGCGCGACGCGCGACGCCCGAGGAGCGTCCAGGGCGGCCCTACAGGTGCCCCACACAGACTGGGCCCGCGGAGAACCTGTGGGCTGACGAATTGCCCTTTGACGCGACGGACGCACGCACAGATACACAGGAGAACGCTCCGCGGACGAACCTTCCGCGCCCGTTGCCTCCAGCGCGCGAAATCGCGCGCACCCTTCACGCCCAGTGCTCGTTGGGGCCATGCGCCCGCGAGCTCCACTCGACCACGACACGCGCGCGATGAGCCTTGCCAGCGCAAGGACAGATCGACATGATGCCAACGCTGTTCGGCGAACCGCGGTATCACAGCCTGGAGCGCCCCTGGAGCGCGTATCTGCCCTTAGGACCCCATCAGTGGCTACCCGCAGCGTCCCCCAGGGCTGTTCAAGCTGCGCCGCAACGGCGCCTCCGAGCCCGAGTCCGCGCGCGGGGATCCGCCTGGCGCCACCGCCGGGCCCGCGGGTCTCGCGCACCACCCGCCACCACCACGCCGCACGGCGCCAGTCACAGTCGCGCTCTACTCGTACCACCGCTTCGCCTTGCCCTTCTTCGTCGCCTCCGCACCCGCCCCGCCCCCCTCCGCCCTCCGCGCCTTCTTCGCCGCCCGCCCCCCCGCCCCCGCGGGCAGCGCTAGCGCCTCCCCCCCGAAGAGCTTCTCGACGTACGCCTGCGTCAGCGCGTCCAGCCGGTCGTGCTGCTCCTTCCCGCGCTTCCGCTTGCCCGGCTTCTCCGCGCCCCGCCCCGCGCCCCGCCCGTCGGCAGCCGCCAGCGTCGCCACTGCGTGCAGCTGCGCCTCCTCCGACCGCCGCCGCGCCGCCGCCGCGTCCTCCTCGCCGCGCGCCCGCGCCCGCGCGGCCCCGCGCTCCTCCCTCCTGGAGTTCCGCCCGCGGCCGCCCCCGGCCTCCTCCTTCGCGGCCCGCTGCTTCCGCTTCCGCGCCCCCGCCGCCCCGTCGCCGCCCCGTCGCCGTCCGCGCCCGCCGCCGCCGCGGCGCGCTCGAGCGCCTTGCGCTCCTGCCGCCGCTGGCTCCGGCTGCGCCTGCGCTGCCCGTCCGCGCCCGCCTGCTGCTGCTGCTCCTTGGCCCGCGCGCGCTGCTTCGCTGCCTTGTCCTCGCGCATCTTGACGACCTTCGCGTTCTCGATCGTGAACTCCACGATCGGCCGGCGCTCGGCGCCCCACACCGCGGGGTTGTTGTTGGTCTCGCGGAGGGCGCACAGCGCGTGCTCGTGCTCGGAAAACTCCAAAAACCCCAGGCCCTTGCTGCGCGCCACGCCCTCCGCGTTCGCCTCCTCGCGCAGGATCTTGCACTGCTTGATGCGCGGCCGCGCCTTGCTCGCGCGCTGCGGGCGAGGGGGGGACTCGAGGGGGAATGGTTGGGACCGCACGTCGGCGAGGCGGGGGGGTCGCGCACAGGCTGCGAACAGGGTGTCGGCGGGCGCGCGCACCCGCTTCACGGCCTTCTCGAACGCGCGCCGCAGCTTCTCCTCGTCCCACGAGGGCGGGATGTTGCGCACGGACAGGCGCGTCGTCGACACGAAGAAGTTCGGACTCGCGAGCTTGGTCTTCTTCTCCGCGGCGGCGCGCTCGCGCTTCCGCCGGTCGTACTCCGACATGCCCTCGAACGCCGGCGTCCCGGCCTCGATCGCGCCCTCCTGCGCCAGGTAGAGGTTGCGCTTGTCGCCGCGGCGCTTCTTGTCCGCGATGGTCTGCCCGAGCCCGCGCGCGCCCTCGCCCGTGAGCGCCACGTCGCACTTGACCTCCGCGCCGCCGACCGTGATCGCCGGCCCCTTGTTCGCCTGCGCGCGGCGAGACGCCTCCGCCGCGCGCGCCGCGCCCTCGGGCGCGCGGAACTCGACGAACGCCGTGCCCTTGGGCCGCCCCGTCGCCTTGTCCTTCACGATGCGTGCCATCCGCACGGGCCCGAACGCCTCGAACCGCAGCCGCAGGACCTCCGGCGTGGTGTCCGCGTGCAGCCCGCGCACGAACACCGTCGTCGATATCTCGCCCGCGCCGTCGGCGGCCTGAGCGCTCGCCTGCGGCCTGCGCGCCGGCGCCTGGACCTTCTTGCGAGACGCCTCCTCCTTCGCATCGTCGTCGTCGTCGTCGTCGTCGTCGCTCTCCGTCTCCGACTCGCTGTCGTCACCATCGTCGCTGTCCCCGTCGTCGTCACCGTCCGCCTCGTGTCCCTTGACGACGTCGCGCGCGAGCCGCTGCATCATCCCGCGCTCCTCGACGCCCCCGACCGCGCCGTCCTCGCCGCTGTCAGACGACAACGACTCCTCCCCCCCCGACTCACTCGACGTCAGCGCACCCTCGCTCTCGCTCCCGCTCTCCTCCCCGCTCTCGCTCTCGCTCTCGCTCTCGCTCTCGCTCTCGCTGTCGTCCCCGGCCGCGTCCGCCGGCTTCGCGCCCTTGCTCGCCTCGTACTCGCGCTTGCTCACCGCCCAGTCCACGGCCACGACGCGGCCGTGCAGCTTCTGCCCGTTCACCGCCCGGATGCCCTCCTCGGCGTCCTTCTGCGTCGTGAACGACACGAAACAGTACCCGCGCGTCCGTCCGTCGGGCCCCTTGGGCATGGTGATGTCCCACACAAACACCCCCGCCTTGCGGAACGCCTTCCGCACGTGGTCCGTCGTCATGCCGAACGCCGCGTTCCGCACGATCAGCCGCCACTTCTTCACGTGCGACCCCTCGCCCCCGACCTGCCGCGCCCACACCCGCGCCGCGACACCCCCCCCCTCCGCATCCTCCTCCGCCTCGTCACTCGAGTCCCCCGCGGCCCGCTTGCCCTTGCCCCGCTTCTTCTTCGCCTTCCCGCGGTCCGCGATCACCTCCTGCCCATGCAACGCCTTCACCGCTGCCATGGCGTCCTTGACCGTCTTGTACACCACCACGCACGTCGCCCCGCGGCACCCGTCCTTCCGCAGGTGCTCGCGCTCCATGTCCGCCTCGGAGATCGGCTTCACCACGGCCTCGACGTCCCCCGCCGACCGGGCCATCCGGATCGCTGCGTTGCGCAGGGAACACGAAACAACAAAACGTCGCGCGAGGGCGTTTCCTGCGCCTGGCAGGCGCCGCGCGGCGGCGCGCTGGACCACGCGTGCGTCGAGCTGGCGATCTGGCGCGCGGCCGTGGCGTACCGGCACCGAGGGTCTCCTGCGTCAGGTTGCCCAGCGCGACGGACCGCGCGCGGCGCTGGTAGCTGCTGCCGCCGGCCGCCGGGGCCTTCGGTGCCGCGTCCGGCTCCTGCTTCTGCTTCTTCGGCGCGGGCTCCGGCGCGGCGCCCGCGTCGTCCGGACGCTCCTTGCGCGTGGCGCGAGCCTTGTGCGCGACGGCGGGCGGCGCCGTGGCATCCGGCTCGCCGCCCGCGCGGTGCCGCTTCAGCGCAACTTCGACCAGGAGCGCCTTGCCGAGCAGAGGCGTGCCGTTGAGCTCGCTCGCGGCGCGCTCCGCGTCCTCCTTGAGGGCGAAATGCACGAACCCGAATCCGCGGTGTTCTTCCGAGCCCTTCTTCTTCACGAGGATGGTGCGCTTGACCGGGCCGATCTGCGGGGAGGACGCGCGCGCGGCGTTTCAGGCGGGGACCGGGCCGGGACGCTGCAGGCTGCGCGCCACGGGCGTCGCGACGCGCGCACACAGTCCGTGGGAAGGAACAACGCGCCCGGAGACCGTCGCAGGGGAACGCGGCACAGATATACAGGGTGAACGTCCATCCTCGATACTCAGAGGTGGTGCCCACAGCACCGCGGCCAGGTGGCGGCCAACGAGCGCGGCGTGCGAGCGGGAAAGAGGCAGCGCCTGCTCGTCTGCGCGCCGCTGGGGCAGCTGCGGGGACTGAACTCCGCGTTTCGCGGTGTTTCGAGATCGCCCATGGACACGTCGAGCTGCTGGAGCGGAGAAACGAGGCGCTGGAGCTCGGAGGCGCACCTCGGAGAAGTGTGCCTCGATAGACTGCTCCGTGGCATCCTTTGCGATGCCCCGAACGAACAGGGTCCGCGCGTCCGCCTTCGCGTCGCCCGGCGCGGCGCCCTTGCCCTTCTTGCCCATCCCGAGCAGGTTGCGGCCCTCGACGTAGCAGCCGCGACCGCCTGCCAGCCAGCGCCCACGCGCAGCAGACACGGCCCTCCCGCGACGACGAGTGCGCCGCCAAGCTGGATACCCCGGCGGGCGATCTCGGGCGATGGTGCGCGGCCGTTTCCGCGCGCCCAATCGCGTGCGTGACGTCGCGGGGTAGTATTGGGGAGGTGTGCGTTGTTCTCCTCCCTCCTGTCAGCCGAGTGCCGCGCGCGGCCTTGATCGCTGGATGCCGTCGCGCGGTACGCGGACTCCCTCTGTATCGAGCGGTCGCTTTCGGCGCTTCTCGGCCACCTTCGCTCCGGACCTGAACCATGCTCGCCGCGGCGAGGAGCAAGGCGGCCCTGCTGGCCGGGCGCAGCGCCTCCGCGCGGTCGCTCGTCTCGGCCATCGGCCACCGTGCGTCCGTGCACTCGCGGAGGATCACATCCGCGACGGTCCCGCGAGGTAACAAGCTGTACCCACCCGCACAGAGACCCCACAAACCCATCGTGCTTTCACCGGCCCGTGTGCGTCGGAACCGAGCGAATACGGAGCGCCGGCCACTCTCACTCAACGAATACATACCAAACATACCTATCGGCACTCACTCCCGGCCACAACCCACCCACCGCCCCCTGCAGCGATCCCCTCCAGTGCGTCGGTGCAGCAGGCCGACCAGCTGCGCCAGGAGGGCAAGCTCTACCTCGACGTGCGCACGAAGGAGGAGTTCGCCGCCGCGCACGTCCCCGACTCCATCAACGTCCCCGTCTTCGTGGCCACGCCCCCGCAGGGCATGGCGCCCAACCCTACCTTCGTACAGGACGTCGAAGCCGCGATCCCCGACAAGACGAGCGAGGTGCTCGTGGGCTGCGCCGCGGGGAAGCGCTCCGCCGTCGCCGTGTCGCAGCTGAAGGCCGCGGGGTACGCCAACCTGTGCGACGTCGAGGGGGGGTTCAACAGCTGGGTGGGCGCGGGGCTGCCCGTGACCAAGTGAGCTGTGATCGGAGCCGCGCGGGGTGGCCGAGCGGGGGCGCGGGCTTGCGACGCAGCCGCGGAGCGAGTCGCTGCCCAGCGCATCACGCACATCATGATTTCGGGGACTCGCATTCTCCGCGGTAGTCTCACAGGATGACCGTTGTCTCACAGGATGGCGCGGTACGGCCCTCGGCCCTCACGATCCGAGTCCTCGCCGCGTCGTGCCCTGCATCAGCCCCGCCATGTACCCGCTCTCCAGCTCCCGCAGCACGCGCTGCTGCCCCTCCCGCGTCAGGACCTCCGCCTTGACTCCCCCCTCCTCCCCCTCCCCCGCCTCGCCGCCAGCCTCCCCCGCCCTGACGCCCATCAGCCGCTGGAACCGGCTCCGCTTCTCCCCGTCCTCGAACTCCGCCGCCTGCCACCCGTTCAGCCCCCCGGGGACCTGACCCTGAGACACCCCCCCTCCCGCCCCCTCCCCGGCCTCGGGCGCCCCGCCCGCCCCCGCCCCCGCCTTCTTGCTCCACAGCAGCCTCTTCTTCTCCTCCAAACTCATCGCGCCGGACCCCGCCGACCCCTTGCTCGCCATCATCTCTTTCAGCTTCTCCAACGCCTCCTGCTGAGTCAGGGTCAGCGTGCCCACGCCCGCCGCCCGCTGCCCCGTGTCCACGCCCGTCAGCACGCCCGCGGCGGGGCGCGCGTCGGCCGACCGCGACCGCGACCGCGAGCGCGAGCGCCTGTCGCGCCCACGCCTCCTGCTGGCGCTGCGGTCCCGCGAACGGCGCGCGTCGCCGTCGCGCGAGCGCTCGCGGCTCCGGTGCCGGCTGCGGCGCCGCCGGTCGTCGTCTCTGTCGCGGCTGCGGGACCGGCGCCGGCGGGCGGCGGGGCTCCTGTTGCGGCGACCGTCGCGGTCGCGGTCGCGGCGGGGCGAGCGCCGTGTGGCGTCGCGGTGCCTGGCGTCGTCGTGGTGGCGCGGGGCGCCGAGGTCCCGGGCGTGGTCGGCGTGCGCGCGGGAGTGTGTTGCTGGTGGGGGTGGGTCCGGGGAGCGGCGGGGAGGCTCGGGCGGCTGGACGGGGGTGGCGTGGGTGCCGCTGCAGAGGTTGTGTGGGAGGGAGAGGTCGTGTTTGCGGTCGGGAGGTCTCGCGGGGGCGGGAGGGTGCCCGAGACGGCAGGGAGAGAGGCCGAGGTGGTGCTGTGGCCCGCAAGGCTGTGGACGCGGTCATTTTCTCGCGGAACACGAGTCTCGCGATGCGACACCATGCCGTGATAAGACGCGAAGTACGTTTTGGGGGGACGTAAGGGCGCAGCAGAGCTGTTGCTGCACACCTGGGACGAGCCGTGTCCTTCCCGCTGCTGTCCCAACGCGACCTCCGCGCGGCGCGCCGGTCCTCTCCGGTGGTTTCCGGCGGCTGTTCGCCCTTTTTCATCTCCTCTTCCATCCGCCGGAGCTCCTCCTCGAAGCTTACGACGTCCGCCGCTGGTGCAGCAAGAGGCGCCGCGCCGCGCAGAGCTGGCGGAGCCGGCACGTCCGCGTCCCCGAACGGATCATATACATCGTCAGCACTCCCCATGATGCGTCGAGGGGGGAATCGAAGCGCGTATGGCGTACAATCGCCTGGCTACAACTCCGTGAAAGGCATTTTGCGTTCCGGGGGCTTCCAGTGGATCGCCTCGCAGCAGCACGCGACGATCACGGACAGCGACGCGAGTGGCGGCCGCGCGCGCCCGGCAGGGTCAACCTCGCGCTTGACGCGCCCGCCCCGCGAGGTAAAACAAACATCACAAGGGGGGGGTTTTGCTCGACTGCCCCCGCAGTGGCGAGGCAATCGAGGACGCCCGCTCCCGCACCCTGCCCACTGCTGCGCGCTGCTAAGTCGTCGAGCGTCCCCAGCTTCTTGTTCTCTGGTTGCGGCCACTTGGAAGACATCACGCCATTGGTGCGGGATACATCCACGCGGACGGCGCCATCCCATCGAAATCGAGCCCCGAGGAATCCATCTGCCATGAGGGGCCGCGAGCGGCTAGAAATACCGGATCTGGACCCCGCAGGTGCGCGAACGAGCGGGAACTGCACTCTGTTTTGTCCACCGCGTATAGGGGAGCCGCGACGTCGCGACGGCGGCGCACTCCCCGTGTCGCGCGGTCAGTACAGCGGGTCGCATGTGTGCCAGGCCCTCGTCCTGCGCGCGACGTTGTGGACGCGGAGGAGTGGCCCCTTGCCTGCCCTGGTGCAGGGCTGAGGCCCGGAGAGCGCCGATTCGTGGTCAAGGAGGCCGTCGGTGTGCCCCAGCAGAAGCCCAGGATCCAGCACGTCGCGAACAGCGAGCTCCTTGCCAAGCTCCGCGGGTTCCTGCCGGAAATGGAGCGGTCGAACAAGGAGCTGGAGAGCGCCATGAAAGGCCGCCCGCGCGAGGAGTTCGACATCGAAGCCGTCGACCCGCAGGGCGCAGAGCAGCATATTGAGATGGATCTCGGCGTAGGTGAGATCTGCTGTGCGCGTCACCGCTCAGGGCCGCCGCATTCCGCAGCCTCCTGGCATCTACATACCTCGTCCTGCCGCACGCATGCGCGAGTATTCGGCCGCGAAGACGCCTCACAGGCTGCCTCACGGGCTGCCCGTTGTCGGCGCGCGCAGGCGTGCTGGAGCTGCGGGACCAGGCTGCGGTGCGCGCCGCGGAGAGGGACCTGGCGCAGAGAGTGGTGTCCGTAGGGGGCGAGGAGCTCTCCGGGTGGGACTTGGATTCGGAATCCGAGAACTCCGACCTCGGACAGAGAGACCCCGGCGCGTCGCCGGCCAGTCAGAACGACGACGGCACCGCCTCGGGCCCCAGCGCCTCCACAGCTCCGCCCTCCAGCCCCGGTGCGGGCCGCGGTGCGCGGCCGAGGAGTGAGGGCAAGCCGGGCGAGCGTGAGCGCTCTGCGGGCGCGAGGCGGCCGGCAGGGCGGCAGCGGAGCACGGGGCATGAGAGCCGCGATGGCAGACGCCGCCAGTCGTCGCAGGGCAGCGGGCGGCGCCGCCACCCGGGGATCGTGGAGCTCGACTGACGCGGACGGCTCCCGGTGGCGGCGTGCGCGTGCGGGCGCTCCTTGGAAGTCGTGGCCGTACGATGCACTCCGACATCGACGTTCCTCAATTGATTGTCCCACTGTTTATCTTTTCCCTGTGGCCTGATCGGCCCCCCCCCGCGACAGCGCGTGCGGTGGCGCGACGGCGTGCGGACCCCCAAGGCAGCTGGGGGCTCCGCAGCCGCGATGATCCGCACCTCACATTTTACAACTCACACACCCACACGTAAGAAGAAGAACAGGGATTATTCTCCGACCTAGGGATTATTATTAGAAAGAGCTGCACTGGAAAGAGAGCGAAGCGGACGCCGCCGTTCCGCCGCGCTCCTCCCAGCTCGGCTGCCCCGCTCGTCGATCGTGTGACGACGTCCTGTCAGCTCCAACCCTGTGCGAACTCCTCCGCGGTGCTCACGGTCCCGTGCTCCTCGAAGTGCTGCACGAGCTGCGCGAGGAACGCGTCGGACGACAGCGTCTCCGAGTCGCAGATGAGGCAGCAGTGACGCCGCGCGCGCGTGACGGCAACGTTCATACGCCGCTTGTCCGACAAGAACCCGACCTCCCGCCGATCGTTCGACCGCACGGCAGATATTATGATCGCCTCCTTCTCGCGCCCCTGCGACCACCACACGTCGGCCCGCACGTCAGACGCACAACACACACCCCCCCCACCAGCACGCCCGTCTCGCTTGCGCCGGCCGAGCCACGAGCAGCGCGCGTGCGCACCTGGAAGCCGTCCACCGTGCTGATCTCGACGCCCTCGTACCGCTCCCCCCTCGCCTCCCGCAGCGCCCCGACTTGCGCGGAGTAGGGCGAAATCACGCCGACGCGGCTGGCGGCGACGCCCGCGGCGTCGAGGCGGTCGAGCAGCGCCAGCACGACCTCCACTTCGCCGTCGTTCCGCCACGACCCGCCCTCGCCCTCCGCCTCCCACATGTCGCACCCCGCGGTGTCGACAAGCATCAGGGCGGGAAACGGTTCGTCGCCCCCGTCCGCCGCCGCCCGGGGTGCGATGTCCTCGAGCTTGTGCGCGGCGACGGAGGGGTGCGCCTCGAGCTTGTTTTCGTACAGGGCGCCGGACGACCACTGCATGATGTCGGCGTGCATCCGGTACTGAGTCAGGAGCATCTCAGACACCCCCGACTCCCCGTACAGCGCGATGAGGCGCTCGAAGAGCGTGCACCCGAGCCCGCCAGCCTCGCCCTGAGGACTGAGGACCGTCGGCGGCAGCTGGAGGTGGTCGCCCGCGAGGATGGCGCGGGGCGCGCGCAACAGGGCCCCCCACGTCGCGACCTCCAGGGCCTGCGCGGCCTCGTCGACGATGCACACGTCAAACACCAGGTTCCTGCACCAACGACCAACACGGAGCGCGCATGAAACACGTCACGTCCCGCCGGTTCGTAGGAGACAACTACACATACTACATACTATGCGGCAACGTCTTTCTCCCTGGCGAGACGCGCGTCGTCTCCGCCCCCCGTCCCCGTCCGAGACGCGGCAGAGCAGCAGCAGCGCGGGCGCGGGTGTCGGTTGCGGCCGCACCTCATGTGTCGCACGTGGAGCCCTGTCAAGGTACAACACACGACGTCAGCCTTCCTCAGCACCTCCTCCACCGCCGCCTCCTGCCTCTTCCGCTCCTCCCGCGCGAGCCGCCGGAGCTCGGCCTGCAGCTTCCCCCGCTCCGCCCGCTTCCAGCCCTCGAGCTTGCTCAGCGCCGCAGAGTGCTCTCGAATTTCACGCCGACAGTCCTGGGCCAACGCGCTGTTGTCCGACCGCAGCACGTGCGCCTCCAGCGAGCAGGACAGCACCTGCGGCAGCAGCCGCGCGGGGTGCCCGACGCGCACCACCAGCGGCGCTCCCTCGGACGCCCCGCCTGGCGCCGGGGCGGCGACGCGCTCGACGATGTTGTCGACAGCGATGTTGCTGGCCGCGCACGCGAGGACCCGGCGCCCGCGCGCGACCTCCTGCTTGATGACCTCCACGACGGCGGTCGTCTTGCCCGTGCCGGGCGGGCCGTGGATGAGCGCCACGTCGCGCGCAGCGAGAGCACGCCCCACCGCCTTCACTTGCGAGTCGTCCAGCCCGCGGTCGATGGGCTCCCATTCGAGCGGAGCTTCGTGGAAGCGCGGCACGGCGCCGCCGAAGACGATGTCGATGAGGTGCGCGCCCGGGCTCGCGCTCGCGGTGCCGGACGCCGCGGCCTGAGTCAGCTGTGTCAGCGTGTCCTTCAGCCGGCGGTGCGTGACCTCGTTCGCGAGCTTCTCTAGGCGCAGCGGAACGTTGAGGCCCTCGTCGGGGAGGGCGTCGACCGCGACGACGATCGTTCGCTCTGTGATCCGGTAAACGACGCCGCTGGCCGTGGGCGGGCCTGCCGCCGCTGCACACACGTGGGCCGCGGAGAGGCCGCTCACTCAGGCGCTGAACGATCCAACACGTGCCCCGCGGGCACGCGCAGTGGCCCGCGACGCGTCTGAGCGAGCAGGCAACAACACACTACGTGCACGCGACGCACGCGGTCGCAGCGAGCAGGCAGGGGCCGCACCTCCCTTCGACGGCCTCACGTCGACCATGTCGTTCTGCGAGAGCTTGTGCGGAGGAATCGGGTTCGCGCCGTCGCCCTTGTTCGCGACGAACGTCAGGAGAGACCTCCCCAAAAGACCCCCTTCCGCCCCGACGCACTTCAAGTTCGCCACCACCGCCCCGCGCCCCTTCCCCTCGGCGCCCCCACTCGAGTGCGCCTCCTGCGCCTGCGCCAGCTCCTCCTCCCACTCCGCATTCAACAGCGGCAGCATCGCCTCCGCAAACGCCGCCGCCGACCCGTACTCCGCGACGCGGACGCCCGCGCGGCCGAGCAGCGCGCCCGCGCCCTGCCCGCGCCGGGGCTTGACGCCTGCTGCGTCGAAGACCGCGCGCCGGGGAGCCGCGGGCCGACGATGCGTCAACTCGGCTTTTGCGTCGATTCCGAGCGGAAGGAGCGCCGCGGCGAGGACGTCGTCCGCCACGCCTGCATCGCCGGGGCCGGCGTCAGCTCTTTCGGGCAGTGCGAGCTCCTCGGGGGCGCCGCCTGGGATAGTGGTGCCGATCTGAAGTCTTCGGCTTGCGTCGGAGCCGGTCGACTCGTGCGGGATGCCGAGCCTCCCGCAGACTTCGTGCAGCGCTGCGCGCTGCCGCGGGTTCAGGCTCGCCGGAAGGATGACGCAGCGGTCCGCAAGCGGGGTCGCTGCGTCTGTTGCAGTGCTTGGCGCGTCGCTGCGGTGCGCTGCTGCTCCGGAGCTGAGTTTTGCGTCCCGCGCTGCCTTCTTCGCTGCGTGACGTTTCGCCTTCGCCGACGAAGGCATGGCGGTCGGCCGCCCCCGCGCGCGCGCCGTCGGCCGTGCTCGCTGCGGAGTGCGGAACTGGCCTCCCCCGGGGCCGGACGACGGTCCTCCGTTCCGCAGGTCACTTCGTGACCGCCGTCAAAGCAGTGACATCCGTTCGGAGGGGGGAAATCCGTGCCCGGCGCCGGTTTCGTTGACCTTTTGGAGTGTTCAGCTGTGGAAACTGTTCAGCCGAATGCGTCACAGGTGCCCTCGTCCGCACAAGACATAGTGCTCTGCGCACCGTTCCGCGCCGGGCCTCGTGGCGCGCGAGGTGCCCTGACCGTCGGACACTCCCGCAACAACCCCGGGCCCTGACGCTGCTTCAGGCGTGACTCACCGCCCTCTACCGGCGCTCCCGCGCGGCGCGCGCCGACACACGGAGGCCCCTGAGGGTGTCCTCCACGCCGCGCGTCCACAAGTGTGCGGCAGCCTCGTGGGCGGCTAAAACACGCAAGAAGACACAGAGCGGAGGAAAGATGGGCCGTGCGCGACGGTGATGGGAGGCTGGAGGGCGTGAGCAGGCTCATCTCGTGGTCCTGGCAGCTGGGAATCGTGGGGGCGCCATGAACGGCGGAGGGAGGTCCGACTGGGCCCTGAACAACGCGAAAAAGATCGCAGGTAGGCTCTCTGAGAAGAATTTGCGGCCCTGGGCGCACATCAGACCAACAAAGTCAAAATTCGTCGGATGGGGGCAGAATTGTATGCTTTAGGTATCATTTTCGTGCGAGAACGCCGCGAACTGGGACGTGTACTTGCGTGTGCGGGCGATCTAACGTCCCGGCCCTGCAGGCAGCACCGGCAGCGCCCTGCGCGTGCCGCGCGTCGCCTGTGGCCGCTCGGCGGGGCTCGAGGCAGAGTCAGTGTACGCGCGGCACGGGATCCGAGGCCGCCTCGATGCCCTCGCGCCCCTCAGTCGCCGCTCGCCCGCGCGGGCATGCTGCCTGGATGCGACGGGTGCCCACGTCCGCATCCTGCGCCCCCCGCGCAGTGCCTGGCCGTGTTATTGCGTCAGCCCGCACGTATCATCATCAGAAGGCTATGAGACCGGGCCTGTCCCACGGAATTGCCGCCAGCACTCTCACGGCGTGCCCCGTCTCCCACGCGCTGCCACCGCAGGGCAAGTTGAGGTGGACTGGGCGACCGGGCGCGATGTGTTCAAGATCAGGCTCGCCCCTGGCATGGACCAGGAGGCCCTCGACAACGGAAACAACATGCTCAAGATGGCAGGCAAGTTCTCAACGCGCCCCGCGCCCCGCCTCCTCGCACCCCGACCCCGCACCGCCCGCCACAGGACACCAACGCCATCAGCGACACCCCAGACGTGCGGCGGCGCTCTGAACCGCTCTCGAATCGCCGCGTTCGCCCCCTCGTCACCTCACGCGGCATCCCAGCGTTCACGGCCCCCGCAGAGCCGGAATACCTCACGCGGTACCTCGAGAAGCTCGGCGTGACGCCCACGCCGAAGATGATCGAGCTCCTGCGCTCCCAGCAGGGCGCCATCCGCGTCAACGAGGACGTGAAGCACACCTGCACTGGCGGCAAGACCCAGTACAGCAGCGCGATCGAAGTGCGCCCGCCGCTGCAGGCGCGCATGGTCGTCAAGGCGCTCAAGCACGAAAAGGACCTCCGCCAGCAGGTCTCCACCGCGGCCCTCAAGAAGATATCTGAAGTGCCGAACGAGGATCGGCTTTTGCATAACGTCCGCGTGCGGCGCCAGTTGGGGCAGATCACGCGGGCGGCGTTCGAGCCCGGGGCGGACCAGGGCCTCGAGGAGCACCGCAAGGGCTTCCTCGAGTTCGCGCAGGACCTCATGTTCCCTTTCTCGATCATCGCGAAGGACCAAGAGGCGGCGCGAAAGCACCTCGTGGCGCAGAAGCAAAAGCGCAGCGCGGCGGCGGGGAAGAAGGGCGCGAAGGGCGCGAAGGCGCTCGCGGAGACCAGCAGGGAGCTCGGGGCCACGGGCGGGCCCGGGCGGGCGGCCGACGCGCGCACGCCGCGCCGGAGCGCCGCTGTTGGGTTTCGCGCGTCGAGCCACGTCAGTCCGACCCGCGAGGACGCGGAGGCGGCGTCGCCGGACGGCGCGCGGTCGCGGCGCAGGAGCCGCGCGGTGAGCCGGGCCGCGCCGGGCACTGCGAGGTCGCGGCGCCCGTCGATGGCGCGCGGGAGCGTGGCGGAGAGCATGGCGAGCTCGGTGGTGGAGGGGAGCGACGACGAGGAGCCGGAGACCCCGCCGGAGTCGCCCACGGCGGCGAAGCTGCGCGCGGCGCTCGCGTCGGGCCGGACGGAGGTCGAGGAGCTCGAGGACGGCCACATTCGGTTCGTTGACGCTGCCGCCATGCACAACTTTATGTCGGAGCTGGGCGCGGAGGAGCAGGCGGAGTTCATGCGGCGGCGGCGCGTGTCGATCGGGCCGCTGGCGTCCCGCGGGGGCGCGTCGTCGCCGAGCAGCTCGTCGCAGCCACGGCTCGCGCGCAACGCCCTCAACGTCGAACAGATGCGCGGCGCTCACGAGCGGCAGCGGAAGACCAAGGTGCTCGCGGGGAGCCTGGTCGGCTGGGACGACCGGCAGCCGGTGCTCATGTCGCTGGCGCGGATGTCGTCGCTGCGGCACGTCAACCCGCATGTGGTGCGTGAGGACCCTCTACGGTCGCACGTCGAGGAGGAGGGGCACGCAGGGCTGCCCGCGGAGCTCAGCGCGATCGGGGAGGAGCGCTCCGGGCAGCTCAAGGAGCTCTCGTCCGCGTCGGTGGTCCCGCCGCGCTTCCCGCGGGAGCAGCACCCTGCGCCGCGGCCGACGTCGGCGCACAGCTTGCGGCGCGGGCCGACGGGCGCCGTGCAGCCGCACCGCGACCCGGCCGCGCAGAACCAGCACGTCCACCAGCACCGCGTCTCCGCGCACCGCTGCTACGGCCGCCGCGACGCGGAGACCCTGCAGCGCGGCACCGCGCTGCTGCAGCGCGTGCGGGAGCGCGCCGAGAGCGGGGACGGCGAGGACGGGGCCGAGGGCGGGCACCTGTGGTCGAGCAAGCTCCGGAAGAGCTTCATGTCGCAGGGCTTCTCGCAGTCGATCCGCGCGGGCCCGTCGGTGCTGCGCGACCCCGTTATAACGTTCTACCTGGAGCAGTGCCACAGGCTGCAAGGGACGGAGCCCGGGGACACGTCGCTGCCGCGGCACAAGCGGCCGTTCGTGGACCCGAACCTGCGGTCGGAGCTGACGCGCGGGCTGGGGTCGCGGACGAGCTTCGCGGACGTGCAGGACCTCCAGGCGAAGTTTGCGGACTCGCTGGTGACGTGGTACCAGCACGACTGCCCGCGGCCGACGAAGGAGTCGGTGTCGCAGGCGTCGCTCGGCCTGGCGGTCGAGGCGCTCACGAGCCTGTCGACCACGCACTTCCTGCGCAAAATGCTCAACTACTTGTACGCGCGGTTCGTGGTGGGCGTCGTGCACAGCGAGGACGGCGCCGGCGCGGAGGGGTCGCGGGATGACGGTTCCGATGATGCCGAGGTGTTTCCGGCGGCCAAGAACCTCCCCGAGGGGTGTTCCGTCGAGGAGCAGGACCAGCGCCTGCAGGACATGGCGCAAGCGTGGACGGCGATGCTGCGGAGGTACAAGGACGACCCGGGGCTCAGCAAGCTCGCGGTCGGGTTCCTGCTGCCGGCCTGGCTGCTCTGCGTGCGGAGCTCCGTGCAAGAGGTGAGTCGGAACCCCCCCCCCCTTTTTGCAACACCCGTGCGCGGTGTGTCATCTCACGTACCTGCCGCCGTGGCCCGGCGCGGACCATGACGTTCTCGTTTGCGGGCCCTGTCGCGCAGACGTTCGAGAAGGCGCTGCCGCTGTGGGCGTCGACGGAGGTGGGCAAACTCACGCTGCGCGCCATGGACAAGGCGGTCCTGGACATCCTGGACCACCGCGGCCTCTACTCGCAGATGTCGTGCATGTCGAGCCACCCGAGCTCCATCGCGATCCTGCGCTCCTTCCAGCGCCGCACGCACCAACCGGTCCACAAGAGCCTCGGCGACACGTCGTCGCTCGTCAGGAAGGCCCTGATGACGTCGCTCGCCGCGGAGGGGCGCCGCCTCGCGCAGCAGTCCACGGCCAAGCCCGCTGAGCCGGAGCCGGAGGACGACTTGCTCGCCCAGCTCATGCACGACGCTGCACACAAGGCGATGCCGCGAGAGAGCGACAGAGGCGGAGAAGGGACCGCACACGAGGCGGAGGTGAAGCCGAGGAGGAAGAAGAAGCCGGCGAACGAGGAGGAGCGCGAGCAGGCCATCGCGGGGCCAGCGCCGCAGATTGAGGGCGTGGAGACGCGGCTGGCGCTTGCGGCGCACATGCGGGGACAGGTGGTGCCCGGCGGGGGCGCGAACCGGTCGACGAGCCTGCCCCCGGGGCTGCAGGGCGCAGGGCATGACGCCGACAGCCGGAAGGGGGGCAGGGGGGACTGGCTGTACCGAAAAGGATGACTTGGTGTCGAACACTCTGAAAACATATAGCAGCTGTTTTTGTAACGTCATAAGTGTCTGTCTGTCTGCATGACGACACGTGTCACGTCGAGGCTCATCGCAGTGCAGTGGGGTCCCACCCGGGGCCTAGCGCATCCCCGACATGCTGAACACGGGTCGGGGGGTGCGACGCTGGTCACAGGCTGGCATGTCCGCGCTCGCGCCACTGCACGCGACTTTGCGCGTAGAATGGAACGCAAAGCATGCGGCCAGAGCATCAGCGACGCCACGAAAGCGCCGGGTGCGTCGAAGCCCGAGAGAGCGCAACCTGGCCATATATAGTGCAAACCAAGTAGAAACAAACACCGCTCGTGCTGCTTGCTGCCCTATCCAGATCACGAGGACGCCAGCATGCCTCTTGTAACAGATCTAGCGTGCTTCGATCGCATCGCCTCGCTCAGTGCGCACGCCATGACGCAGCGCTGCACCACAGCCTCCCTGCCTCACCGCCCCTTGTTGGCAAACTCCACCTTCACCTCCATTCCGTGCTTCGGCCCGACGGGGATGGTGACGGGGTGGCGCTCCCCGGCGTCCTTGCGCGTCGTGCTGAACACGTACCGATCCGCCAGCATCCCCATCACCACGCGCGCCTCCAGCAGCGCGAGGTACTGCCCCAAACAGTTGCGCGGCCCCGCGATGAACGGCACGAACATAAAGTCCCGGATCTTCTCATCGAACTGCGGTGCGAACGGACAGGCCGACGACGATCGATTCGACCCCACACGAGGCGAGCAGGCAACGCGAGGCACGAACGAGTGAGGCCGAGTGTGTGCTGGCCTTCAGCGTTCGCACCTGATCGTACTCGCCGCCCGGGAGGAAGCGTTCCGGCTTGAACCTCTGCGGTTCGGGCCAGTGGTGGTGGTGCACGCCCTGGACCACGCACATGACGTATGTCCCCTTCGGGATGACGTGCCCGAGCACCTCGTCGTCCTCCAGCACCAGCCGCGTCACCACGGGCACCACCGAGTACTTCCGCAGCGACTCCTTGAGCACGCCGAGCCCGTACGCCATGTTGTCGACGTCGTTCTTGTTCGGGCTCGCGGGGGCCGCACCGGACAGCAGCGCGCCGGGGATGTGCTCGCGCGCCTCCGCCGCGACGCGCTCGCGGAGCTCCGGGGCCGCGGCGAGCTCGTACGTCGACCACGTCAGCATCGCCGCCGACGTCTCGTGCCCCGCCAACAAAAACGTCTTCAGCTCGTAGCACGTCTGCAACCGAAAACGACACCGGGACACGGCGCGAGAACGTCAGTCCAGGGCGTCTGTGCGCGCAGACGACGCCGCGCCACGCAGCCGTGAAGCGCGTATCGGCACAGGGAACAACGTTGCGCTCGGCACCACGACCTTTGCGTGGGGTGCGCCGCGGGCCGCACCTGCGTGATCGCGGCGCTGTCGAGGCGCTCGCCCTTCTTCATCATCGTGGCGAGGAGGTGCGTCAGGATGTCCCACTCCTCGTCGGGCGGCGTGGGGTTCTTCTGCAGCGCGGCCCACCGGCGCTTGATGTGCGCGATGAGGTACCGGTTCAGCTCGGCCATGCGCGAGCGGTGCAGCCAGAAGTCCGGGAGGAAGGGGTTCCAGGACCGCCACGGCCGCAGCACGCGCCGATTGTTCTCCTCCATCACCGGGAGGTACAACTCCGGAAACACGCGGTCGCACTCCTCGGGCGGGAGGTTCATCGCGGCCTTCCCGATCACCTGCGGAAAATGCGCGCGCAGCCGGGTGGAGGGTGGGGGGGGCGTCACGCGCCGTGCCGGGGGCGCCGCTGGGCGAAAGACGCAGGTGGTGGTGTTTGTTTGTTTGTTTGGGCGCGATAGGTGAGGGGGTTGGTCGAAAAAGGGCGGGCGCGATGGGCCTCGACATAGAGAGCGTGCGTGTGTGCGGCTGGGAGCGGTGGTGGGCGTACGCATGCGCGTGAAATCAGATACGGCGAGACACCTGCGCACCTGCAGCGTGAGGAGGCGGAACTCCTGTTCGATGTCGAGCGTGCCGCCCTCCTTGGCGATCGGGTCGAGCTTCTTCGCGAGGCGCTCCGTGCTGTCGAACGCGATGTCCACGATGCGCTGCAGAATGTCTTCCTTGAACACCGGACTCATGCGCCGCCGCTGGTCGCGCCACAGCTGCCCGCCGGCGGTCACGAGGCCGGTGCCGAGGATCTGGATGAACTCGTTGTAGGTCCAGCCCAGGTCCTTGCCGTAGTTCTCGAACCGCGACTGGAACATCCGCTTGAGAGCCTCGGGGGAGTCGGTGGTGACGCACTGCTTGTCCAGGACGCGGAAGCGCGCGAGGCCGCCGGCCTGCTTCGCCCACAGCGCCGTGAGGTCCCACGGCACGCCGCTGAGCATCTGCGCGCCGGAGCCGTCGCAGGAAACGCTTTTGCGAACCACAGCGCGATGCAAGACACACACTGGCACGAATAGCCGTGTGCGGCGACGCTCGGGCGGTGCGAGCGGATCGGCGCGGCGGGGACGGACGCAGCGCGAAGGGCCAGCGGCGGGGCGCGGTGGACGCCGGGAGCGATGCGGTGGCGGTGGCAAGACGGGCGCGCACCTGCAGCACGTTGCCGAGGAGGAAGTTGCCGCCCGCCGGCGCGGGGATCTTCCTGAGGACCCACCAGCGGCGCGTCCAGGCCGCGACGTTAGTGATGACGTTGGCCAGGACGAACGTCAGCCACACGAGGCCTGCAAGCGCACAGAATCGCCGAGAGAGTGGGCGCCTGGCGCGCGTGTGTCAATTGGCGCGGAGAGCGGCGCGCGTCAGATCAAAGGGCCGCTGATCGGCTCCTGCGCCAGTCAGGACTATGCGGGCGCTCTCGCCGCGGGCGCGCGCCAATCACGCGCCAGGACCACGCGGAAACCGGCCAGCCCCTCTCTGCATGACCTACACACACGCAACCATCGATCCTGAACGCTCGAGTCCACGCGCACGCTCAAACCGATCCCCGAGCGACTGCCAGGCACGTAGCCTACGCGGCACCGCCGCGATCACGCCGGTTCGCCCCCCGTACGACACGCACACCGCGACGTGTTCCATCCTGCCAGCGAACACGCCCTCATTCGGCGGCCCCAGACGCATCCCGCGGGTGCACCGCGCGCCGTGGGCCGCGACGTGACGCCTTAGTGTGTGAGCGCCTATCGGGACGGAAAACAGAAGCCAGGTTGCGCGGACGGCGCGGTGCAGCGACATAGGGTGAGGTGTGCACTGTACCTGCGAGCGCGGCTGCCAGCGCGGCTTGCTTCGGAAGGGGCAGCGCGACGACATCGTCGACGCTGGAGATCTCTCCGAAGTATCCGCGTGCTAGCACGGCCCACTGCATGGTTCGAGCCGCACGAGCGAGGGGACGCGCGGGGGCTACGTGCGCGCTGGGCGGTGCGCCGTGCCGGCTCGCTCGGCCGCGGTCGACAGCGGAAGCGCAGATGCGTGGCGCGGCTGGGCCCTGCGGTGTGCCTGGTGTGCAGGGTTGCGCGATCTGGGGCGCAGCGCAGGCGCGGCGGCGCGAAAGCGCCGGGCTGGGTCGGGCAGACCTGCGCGGGGAAAAGCAGTCGTCAGGTCTCGACTGGCGGTAGAATCGCGCGGGTTTGATAGGCAGCGCGCCTACGCGCGGCGCGTCACTGCTCGCGCCGTACAGTGCACGTCACGGGGACCGTCTCCGCGCCTGTCGCCCATCGAACGGCATCGCGTGCGCCCCCGGAGCGAACACTTCGTACCTGGCAGCGGCACCGCAGTGGGCGGGCTCTCCGAGAAGCCAGGGGCTGCGGCCGCACGCCGCGGACGGGGCTGAGGAGTCGCTAGATAGATCATGTCGGCGCTGCTGAAGTTCGCGCTCCTGCTGCTGTGCCTGCTCGGCACGGCGGTCCCCGCAACGCTCGCCAGGAAGCAGAGCAGCGTGGACGCCAAGGTGCGTTTCCCGCCCGAATCTCCGCGCGATCCCCGCGATCTCTACGCTGGGCGTCCACGCCGGCGCACCGCGCGCCCGCACGTCGGCGCGCCAGCCCGCGGGCGCGCCAACTCACGCTCACGCTGCCCCGGGGCGCCCCGGGGGGCCGCGAAGCGCTCACCAAGCGCCCCGGCGCGCCTTTCCGCAGGTGGAGGAACTGATCGCGATGGCGGCGAAGTCCCGCGACGGCGTCGTGGAGATGGACGACCGCGCGTGGAGCCGGTTCGCCCACGGCAAGCAGCGCCCCTACTCCCTCGTCGTCTTCTGCAACGCGGGCTCCGACGTCGTCAAGAGCCCGCTCGTCCGCGAACGCCTCGACCACCTCCGCAAGGTCCGCCCCGCCGCTGCACCCCCACGCCCCGCCTCGCGCACCCCCCCCCCACGCACACACAACGCTCCGCCGGCCGCCTCCGCGCAGGAGATGGGCTACGTGTCCAAGGCGTACCGCGACCAGCACCGCGAGGGCGTCACGCGCGGCAAGGTCTTTTTCGCCCACATCCACCTCTCGCACGCCAGCTCCGCCTTTGCACAGCTCGGCATCTCCGCGCTGCCCGCCGTCATCCACATCGCGCCGTCCGCCAACCTCAAAGGCGGCTCCCGGTACACCACCCCCGCGGACGACGACATGAAGGCCTCCGCGCCGGACCACGGCCTCTGGACCGCCGACGACTTCGCGGACTTTGTGCGCCAGCGCACGGGCGTGTCCGCGGCGGTCGTCCGGCCGTCGATCTTCCGCTCCTGGTGGTGGCCCTTCTTCGCCGTCGGCTTCCTCGGCGTCGTCGCGTACGTCGGCGTCAAGATCTATCTCTCGCCCATCGTGCGCTTCCTCCCGCTGTGGATCCTCGGGGCTCTCGCGCTCTACACCTTCTCGGTCGGGGGCGGCCTGTACAACATCATCCGCGGCATCCCGCTCGTCGGGCGCAACAACGAGGGCAAGGCGGAGTACTTCGTGCGCGGCGGCCACATGCAGTGGGGCGCGGAGGGGTTCCTGATGGCGCTGCACTATCTGATCTTCTCGCTCCCGCTCATGGGCATGTGGGCGGTCGCGACCAAGGTGCCCAGCCCGACGACGCGCCGCGTGCTCGCGTACGCGCTGCTGTTTCTGTCGTGGTTTGGGTTCCGTCAAGGGTTTGGGAACCTGAACTGGAAGACTGGTTACGCGCCGAGGTGGTTCGTGGACATCCCCGTGCTGCGCGCGATGCTCCCGTTCTAGGCGGACCGCTGCCGGGCCGCGTGTGAGGCGTGCGGGATGGTGGATGCTTGTTTGTTGATGTCAGGGGGGGTATTGAGCGCTGGCGAAGGACGGGCGCGCTTGCGGTACGTGGGGGTGTGGATGTGTGGCGTGGTGCGTGGATGTGTGGCGTGGTGCGGGTTGCGGGGCGGGGCGCGTGGGGGGGGGGGTCTGGAGTTCATTTGGGGAGTGTTATGCTGGTCGGACCCGTGCGGGCGGCGGGGCCGGCGATACCGGGCGCGCGGGTCGGCGAGCACGGTCGCTTGCGGACGAGTCGGCGAGGTTGCGGATCGAGCGCTGCGGCGTTGGAGGACGCATCACTGCGTTGCGCAGAGCAGCTCCCTTGTGTGCACTTCGCGCGGGTCACTACCGCTGCGGCACCTCACGGGCTTGCGGGGTCCTGCTGCGTGCGGGCGCTGCGTGTCGTGGATTGATCCGCGCTGGTGGCGGGCGCGGCGGGCGCCCTGATTTGCACACGCATCACTGCGGGCTGCGCGGCGTCGCCGTTGGACCGAAACCATGACGTCCGTGGACGATATCTGGGCCCAGCTGAAGGCCTCGTCGCTGAACAAGCTCAAAGAGGGCCAGCAGCGCGGCAAGAGCGGCGCCACGGCGCCGGAACAGCCTGAAAACACAGGCGCCCAGGACGCGGGCCGCGTGGACGCCAGCGGGGCCGCGCCGTTGGGCATCGCGCATCTAGAGCAGCCCTCCAGCCGTCAGGGACCCGGGCGGCGCGGTCCGGGCAGCACGTCAGGCGCTAGCGCGCCGCGCACCGCTGCCGGGAGCGCCGCAGCGCCTGTCAAGGTGTCCGAAAGGGCGGCTGCGGCCCCTCCGGGCGATGCGGCGCCGGACCGGACGGAGCCGGTCGGTATGAGCTGCGCGGAGATCGAGGCCGCGCTGCAGAAGGAGTTCCATGCGATCCGCGAGCGCGACCCGCAGCGACGCAGACTTGCGCTACAGCGCATTGCCGACGCGCTGCTCAAGGTGCGCCTCCGCGTCCCGCCCGAAACGCCTCCCTAGTATCTCTGCACTGTGGTCCGCAGCCGTACAGGCTTCGATGGACAGTCTCCCGCTCTGGAGACCCCATAGCACTACGTTTCCGGTCCGTTGCGGCGTCGCAGGACCCGAAACCGCCGGTTTCCGCGCTCGAGGAGGCGCTCGAGACCGTGGTCGGCAAGCACCTCCTGCGCTGCTTCGACGACGCCGCGGAGGCCACGCGCTCCCTCGCTGTCGAAACAACAGCCGCCCTCCTGCGGGAGGCGCCCGAGTCGTGCATGGCGTTCCTGCCGTACCTCATGCCCGTGATCGAGGAGCGCGTCATCCCCATGGAGCCCGAGGACGGCACGGCGCTCGCGGAGGGCCGCAAGGCCGTCACTGCCGTTCTGGAGCAGTCGGAACACGTACGTCATGCCTTGTTCCTCCTCGCGGTGTGGGTCGTGGACGAACAGGGCGAGGCCGTCTCCGGTGAGTCCCCAGCGCAGACACACATGCGCACAGCGCGCGGCTGCATTGTGCACGCGTATGACGTCGTGCGGGACGTGAGATGCACGGCGCGAGTCCCACGGCGGCGACGGTTGTGTTCCGTGCAGCGTACGCGTCCGAGCTGGTCGAGATGGCCAAGGTGGGCGTCGCGGACGCCTACCACGAGGTGAACCTCGCGGCGTGCGACCTCGCGCAGGGCCTCGCGCGGTGCCTCAAGCACCAGCTGTGGGGCGTGAGCAAGCCTCTCGCGGCGGCGGTGATGCCGCTGACCACGCACCGCCGCAGCGCCGTGCGCGTCGCGGCCCTGCGTGCCCTCGGCCCGCTGATGATGTGCGGCGCGCAGGAGCTGATTCTCGACATGGTGGGTTGGCGCGACCCCAATGTTGTGGCGATCAAGGCGTTCTACGAGGGAGAGGTCAAGGTGACGCCCCGCGCCCGCGTCCGTGCCCGTGTCGGCCCGCCGTGGCCGGCCAGTCGTGCTCCGGTGCCGCGGAGCGATCGCGTTTTTGCGATTCGTGTCTGCGCGGTGTTTGTGCGAGCGGTGTACTGCGCTGCGAGCGGCGGCCGTGCCGCGACGTCCCCCGCGCGTCCAAGGTGCCGCGGCGACCGCGGCGGTCCCGAGACACGCCTCGCGACGGACCGGCAGTCCTGAAACCAGGTCTCCTGCGCTCTTCGTCTCCGCAGGTCAACTTCTGCGGGAAGCTCATCACGGACGCGTCGGTCCCCGTGCGCCTCGCGTTCCTCGACACCATCGGCCTCTGGCTCACCGACCTCCCGGAGCGCCAGGACCACGAGCAGCGCCTCACCCAGTTCTTCCTCGCCGCACTCAACGACGCCACGCCCGCCGTCGCCGAGTCCGCGGCCGCGTGGATCGAGCGCCTCGGCGAGCAGTACGAGAAGGACCACGAGAAGGAGCTCAAGGAGAACCGCGAGTACCTCCCCGACGCCGCGCAGGGCTACGGGTGGCTCCCCAGCGACGTGCACACGCGCCTCCAACGCCGCCCGCTGCCGTACCCGCTGACGCGCCGGCCGGCGCTCGGCGCGCGCATGGTCGTGCAGAAGCACTTCGGCGCGATGGTGCACGCCCTGTGCCACGAGCTGAACTCCTGGCAGGAGGACCCGCGCGCACGTGGCGCCGAGTTGTTGCGCACCTTCATGCTCTACACAGAAGACTTCGCCACGCGCTACCTCGACAAGCTCCTCCCCGCGATCGTCGCGGCCGTGGCGCACTGCCGCGAGCCCGGCCGGCGCCCCGGCGCCTCGCCGGACCACGTCGACGCTACGGGCCGGCGCATGCTGACGCACCTGGAGGAGGCGTGTGGGCTGCTGGGGTCGGCGGTGGAGCCGGCGCAGTACCTGCGGCTGCTGTGGACGGCGGCTGGGCCGGCGGAGCCGGTCGCGAGCGCCCGTGCGGCGGCGATGGAGGTGCTGGCGTGGGTGCTGGATGGGGCGCGGGGGCGGGGGGACGTAGTGGCGCACGCGGGGGCTGCGGCGGCGTGCGTGTGCGACGGCGCGGCGCTGCGGGCGCAGGACGTGCAGGTCAAGCGCGCGGGGCTGCTGCTCGTGGCGTCGCTCGGGGCCGCGATGGGCGGCGCGGACGCGGCGTCGTGGGGGGTGTTGCCCGACGGGACTGACGTCGACGGAGAGTACTGGGCGACGGCGGTGGACCCCGTGTCGAAGCGCGCGGCGCGGCACAACGTCGACCGCGGGCTCGGGAAGATCGAGGAGGGGGACTGCGAGGAGGACGAGGGGGAGTCCGGGGCTGGCGGCGGGGACGTCGACACCGCAGCGCCGCTGGAGCGCCGGGGCCTCGACTTGCTCGGAAAGCTGGTCGTCGCGGCGGTGCACCTCGGCGCACGGCCGCCCGCGCTCGCGCGGGACGCCGTCGAGGGGCTCCCGGACGTGGGGGGTGTGTTGGAGAGCCTGGCGTCCGGGGCGGGGGAGTCCAGTGCGTGGCGGGTGCTGCTGCCGCGCGCGGCGGCGCTGTTCGGCGCCGTGCCGCTGCGCCCAGGCGGGAGCCTCGGCCCGGACCTCGCGCAGGACGCCGAGGCGTTCTGCATCCTCGCGCGGATCGCAGAACCTGTCGCTGCAACGACATCCGCGGAAGAACAACACCCCCCCCTCAGCGCGGACATGGACGCCGCGGCCGGCGCGGCGGCGGCCTCGGCGGGCGCGATCGCCGCGGAGATGCACGCGCGCCTGTGCCGCGGCGCCGGGCCGCTCGAGCCCGCTTACGAGCAGGGTCTTGCCGCACTGTTGTCGACGGCGGGCCTGGCAGTCGAGTCATGGCCGTGTACTTACGCCGCGGCGCTCCTCGACCGCCTGCTGCCGCTCATGCCGCGCGCCGCGGCGACGTGGCGCTGCGCGGGGCCCCTCGTGGACGCGGTGGGAGCGTGTCTGAGTGTCGCAGGGCGCGAGGGGGGGGGTTGCGTCACCGAGGGCGCGGCTGCCGTGGTTTCCGTTGCGGACGCGGCGCTGGGACCGGAGGGCGCTGCGTGCCTCGCCGCCGCCGCCGACGCCCGCGCTGCGTGCGCGAGAGCGCTGGCGAAGGTGCTGTCAGGTGCAGGGGGGGTTGTTGAGGAGCTGCGGGGGAGGAAGGAGGTCGTCGATGTGGTGCGGAGGCTCGCGGAGTGCCCCGGAAAGACCGGCGAGGACGCCGCGGCCGTGGCGGCGATGCTCGGACCGTGAGCGCCATGTGACACAAACAGCTGCGGTGTCGTCGTAATCGCTGCCCTGAGTCAGGATGCGGGCGCGGTGGAACGCAGTCGTATGAGTGGGCGTGGGTGGGCGTCCCCGGCGAGTGCGCGGGTCGTAGACGAGGGGGGGGGGGTGTAGTCAACCTTGGTGGGTGTCCTGAGGGCCGCTGGCGGGGTGATTTTGCCGCCTGCGACGCGTCACGCCGCTACACTTTTGTGTGAGATCGGCGTCATGCTTCCATCAGTGCTGACAATAGCGTCACTGGTCGTGCCGGGCGCGCAAGCTCCGCTGCTCACCGCAGCGGCCGGGGCTGCGATCGTGGGCGGCGTGCGCGACGCGCGAAAGACTAAGCGGGCGCTTAAGGATGTAGAGGATACGACGGGGCAAGGCGACATCCTCGAGCCGCACAGGCAAGGCTGAACTGCGCCCAAACAGCATCTGGATGAAGTCGCTCGTTTCTACCATTTTTGTCGAGTAAAAGATGTATAGCACGTGATGAAACGATCCGGACGATTCTCCCTGTTCTATCTAAGTCGCGACCTCTGGCAGCGGCTCATAATATGTGCGAGGATCCCCGGCTATGTGTCCCACACTTGACACGGTCTCCCACGGAAAGCGCACCTTGCCGTGCAACGCAGGCCGCACCGAATCCACATCGTCTTCACGGGCATCTCCTGCACAATCACGAGCGCGAAGAGAGGGAAGAAGACGATCCTGCAGGTCCCGACCGCTGCCACATTTGGCTCAGACACGCCCGGTCGATGCAGAACCCCACGCTCGCCCTGGTCGCGATCCCTCCATCTCCGCCACCACAATCCGCCCGCACTGCGTCCTCGTCCGCAGGAGGCGTCCGGAGAGGCGGCACCTGGGCGGTTGCTCGCCATCATGGGGCCTTCAGGCAGCGGAAAGACCACCCTGCTGAACGCCCTGGCGGGCCAGGTGCCCTTCACCAAGGGCATGAAGCTCGTGGGCGAGGTCACCGTCAACGGCACGCCCCTGCAGGACGCGCACCACCGCGTTGGGTACGTGCAACAGGAGGATATCTTCTTCTCGCAGCTGACGGTCCGGGAGACGCTGACGATGGCCGCCAAGCTGCAGTTCCCGTCGAGCGCAAACGAGGGCGACATCGACAAGTACGTCCAGCACATCGCCGGCACGCTCGGCCTCAGCAAATCGATGGATACAATCGTTGGCGACCAGAAGAAACGCGGGCTCTCAGGTGCGGCCGGGCGCCACCGAACAACGGCGCTGCGACTTGGTATTTTGCGTGCCTTGACGGCGCGAGTTCCTTCGCGTTGTTGCTGTCGTCCCCTGCTCCGCTTGCCGCGTGATTGCTTCGCTATCGTCGCGCGGGGCGCTGCAGGTGGCGAGAAGAAGCGGCTGAGCATCGGATGCGCGCTCGTGGGGTCGCCCTCGGTGCTCTTCCTGGACGAACCGACCACGGGCCTCGATTCGTTCCAGGCAGAGAAGGTCATGGGGGTGTTAAAGAGCCTGGCGGACCAGGGGCACACCGTCGTGTGCGTCGTGCACCAGCCGCGGTAAGTGCTCGCCGTGCATTCACCGCTCCTGCGGCGCCAGGGGCCAGGCGGGCGCATGTTGCGGTTTCCAGGAAGCGCAGGGATCTCTTATGAAGATTGAATATCGCATCTTGTTGAGATAATACCGGCCTTGCCTGCGGCCTTGCGAAGCGCTGCTGCGTCAATCCCGTCCGTCCGTCTTTGGGAGACGAAGGGTCGATGCGCTGAGCGAAGGGCCCGGTCGGTCCGCACGTCAAGGACCGTTCGACACACGCAGCCCTCTGCATCGTTGCGCGCAGGTCCTCCATCTGGGCCATGTTCGACGACCTCATTCTGCTGTCCGAGGGCAAGTGCGCGTACTCGGGCCCGGCAGACCAGGCCCCGCGGTTCTTCGCCGACGTGGGCTATCCTTGCCCTCCCAACTACAACCCCGCCGAGCACCTCATTGATACCGTATCCATCGACTACAGCAAGCAGGACTCCGAGGAGGTCACCCGGCGGCGGCTCGAGCAGATCCTCGCGGACGGAAGAGGTCAGAGCCCGCCCCTGCGGCCCCCGCGATGCTTCTCCGCTGCACGCCGTTGTGGTGGGGAACGCTCTGGCGTCGCTGCACGTGCGCGCAGAATGGAACCTCCGGCGGACGATCCCGGCCCCGCGGGGCACGGACGCGTCCGTGTACGCCCCGGCGATGGAGCGTCCGCGCTCTGGCTTCCTGCGCCAGCTTCGCCTGCTGCTGGTGCGCGCCTGGCGCCAGAGCGCGCGCGACTCCGCCACCAACGCGGCCCGCCTCGGATCCTCGATCGCCTCCGCACTCATCTTCGGCTCCATCTACCAGGGGCTCGGCCTGAGTCAAGCCAGCATCCAGAACCGCCAGGTACGAAACGCACAACAACCCATGCACACACACACACGCGCGCACAACGGTGTGCGCCTATGGTCGCGCATCTGGCACCGTGCGTCGCCTTGGAGCACAGCTCGCGTCGGCTCACTCGGGTCGCTGTTCCGTCTTCACGCGCAGGGCCTGCTCCAGGTCGCGGCCGTCAACACGGCGATGAGCAGCCTCGTCAAGACGCTCAACGTCTTCCCGCGCGAGCGCGTCATCGTGACCCGCGAGCGCAGCAAGCGTGCCTACGCCGTCGCGCCCTACTTCCTCTCGAAGGTCGCCGCGGAGCTGCCCGTCGGCGCGCTCTTCCCGCTCGCCTTCGGGGCCGTCGTGTACCCGCTCTGCGGCCTCAACAGGTCCTGGAAACGCCTCCTCGGCTTCATGGGGCTCGTCACGGTGGAATCGTTTGCGTCCGCGTCGCTTGGCCTCGCCGTAGGGTCGGTGGCTCCGAGCGCGGACGCGGCGCTCGCGCTCGGGCCGATCGTCATGGTGATCTTCATCGTGTTCGGGGGGCTGTACGTCCAGGAGAAGACGGTCCCGCGGCCGCTGCGGTGGATCCCGAAGGTTTCGTTGATCAAGAACGGGTTTCAGGGTCTTTGCGTCAACGAATTCCAGGGTCTGAAGTTCGAGCCGAGCGAGAAGGGCGGCAGCGGCGACGTCGCGACGGGCGAGGAGGCGCTCGACCGCCTCGGGTTCGGGGGCAAGTCGGCCGTGGGTTCAGCATTGGCCAACGGCAGGGTCATTCTCTTCAACTACGTGGTGACGTTCCTGGTGCTGCGGTCGCGGTCGCCGAAGTTCCAGCCGATGGAGGACCTCGACGGCGAGCCGTGAAGGATGGTCGTCTGAAGCTCAAGGGGGGGGTGGTCTGATGAGTGCGTGGAGGTCGGCCTGGTGCGTGTCAGGGATGACAACCGTCGGCAGCATCCATCTAGTGGGACGCGTGTGAGGTGGACCTCGGTCGTCGCGAATGCTCATCACATCACGGCGCTAGTTATCTCCGCAGCGCACCAGCCACGCCCCCGGGGGGGGTTATTTCAGAGTCTGACTGCTGATTTCTTGCAACGTAGGCAAGGACCTCACTGCTGGGCCCAGACGCGCTCCCGCTCCTGCAGCTCGGCCGACGCCGTCGCGATCGCCCGCGTGGTCGCGCTGCGCAGCCGCATCAGCGCCCCCACTGGATTCCGCGACTCGACTGCCCGCATCTTCCGCACCGCTTCAATCCGTTGCCGACGACCGCTCTTCGGCGGCAGCGCCGACGGCACCGCCATCGTCGTGAGCGGCGTCCACGTCGCCGCCCCGGCCGACACCGGCCGCTGCGCCTGCTGCAGCCCCCCGAACATGGAGTCCTCCGCCCCAACTCCCCCCCCCCGCGCCCCCGGCGCCGCCGACACGGGCCGCCGCGCGGACGGCCCGGAGCTGCGCGGCCCCGGCCACCCAGACCCCGCTCGGTCCTGCTCACGCAAGTACCGCGACAGCGTCATACCTCCGCTAAACTCCCCCCCCTCCTCAGCAGCGTCGTGATGCTGTACTGGCTCCGATTCCTGAATCGCGCGCAGCATGCCCCCCGGCGGCGACGACGGCCCGATGTGTGGAGACCCCAGCGGTGTAGAGATCGCGCCGTCGCCTTGGTTCGACCCCAGCGAGTCCGTGCACATCAACAGAGACTTGAATGGGCCCTTTGCTGACGACGCGCGGGCGGACGACCCGCGCGCGGACGCGGCGCGGGCGGACGAGCCGCGCGCTGGCGCGGCGGCCGCCGACGCAGCGCTCGCGGGGCGGTCCTCGCTCGCCTGGAACGTCGACGACACGCGCGGGCGCTGCACTGTGAACGGCGGCTCCAGGTTCGGGGGTTCGGGCCGCTTTTGCTGCTGGGCGACCCACACGGCGGAAGAGCGGCCGCGGTGCGGACCCGCCGTCTCCGGGCGGGCGCCCGCGCGTCCCTGCGGCCTCGCGGACGTCGCGCGCGGCCGCGTCGCGCCCGCCGGGGCCGTTGTGGGCCGCCCGGACACGGCGGCCGGTCCCGCGCTGCCGTCGCGGCGGGGCGCCGCGCTGCCGTCGCGGCGCGGCCGCGAGGCCGACCGGGACCGCGAGGCGTCCCGCGACGACGAGTCCGGCGCGCCCAGCGCCCGCGAACGCCGCCGCACGCGACCCGTGTCAATCGATTTCGCCTGTGCGCTGTTCGGCCGCACGGGGTGGTTGCGCGGCATCGTCCAGACGTAATTCGACGGGAGAGCGCGGCCGTACTTGGCCGGCGGCCGCACGCGGACGCTCGCAGCCGGCTCGGCCCAATTCGAGCTCGCAGAGACCCGCCCGCGTCGGCGCACTTGTGATTTGTACCCCTCACTCCCCTCGGGCTTGGGGGGGACTCCCCCCGGCCAGTCCAGCGAGATCTCCGCGTGCACTGTGAGCTCCGTGTGCGCGCCGGCCGCGTCGCCCTCATCCGCGCTCGACAGCGCCATGCTGCCTGCAGCGCGCATGGGGGTGTCGGATTCCGACTCCACCCCTGATGCGGCCGGCAGTGCCGGCCGCAGCGTGCTCGCCTGCGTCACGCGCACCCGCTGCGAGCCCGTCGTCGCCGGCCGCGGCGACATGACCGCGCTCGTGCCCCGCACCCACGGCCCCGCCCCCGACGCCTCCCACGCCCGCCGCGGCGACGCAACCTCCGGCATGCTCCCCTGCCCCGACACCGGAGCGAACCCCGCGAGCGAGTTCCGCGGCGGCACCTGCAGAATCGTCGCGTCGGAGTCCAGCGCCATGCCGCGCACCTCCTCCGGGCTCAAGCCCAACAAACGCTCGTTGTCCGTGAACGCGCCGGCGCTCTGCATGCTGCTCGCGCCGTCGCTGCCCTCGACCGACAGCGCCCGCTGTCCTATCGCCGCGATCGACCGCAGCAGGCTCGCGTTCAGCGCGTTGTCCTGCGATTTGCGTGCGCTTGCTGTTGCCGCCGCCGCGCCGGCGTAGCTCGCGCGCGCGCCGCCGCGGCGCCGAAGGCGCAGCGCCTCGAGCTCGGACTCCCGCGCCGCGCGCTCCTCGGCCTCCTGCCGCGCCCGTGCCTCCCGTTTCGCGGCAATTTGCCGCCGCAGCTCCTCCTGGCGTTTCTGCTCGCGGGCGTCCTGGACCGCGCGCTCGACCAGCCGGTTCGTCATGTCCTGGTCGCCCGCGGACAGCGCGTCCAGGATCTTCATGCGCCGGTACGCCTGCGCCACTAGATTGAACGGCAGCAGATTGCCCTGCGTACGGCCCGGCAGGATGAGCGGGGCCGCCTCGCCGACCTTGCGGCGCTCCGAGAGGAGGCCTGCGCCCGCGTGGAGGTTGCGGTCCTGCCCCGAGACCCCCGCCGCCTCCGCGGCGGCCCCGCCCGGCGCTGCGGGCCCGCCCGCGCCTGCGCCCGCGTCCGGCGTCACGTGGAGCATCCGCATGGTGTGCGCGCGAGCCTTCATGCCGCGGAGCGCCGCTGCAGGACCGAGGGCGATGTTTGGGGCGTGAGGGGGGCGCGAGAGGGCGTGCGGGCGCGCGGTGCGGTGCCGGGGAGATGTGCGGCGCACCTGAGCGGTCTCGTTGCATTTCCTCCCGTGTGGGCAGGGGCTGGAATCTGTCTTTCTGTTTCTGGGGCTTCTTTGGTGGCTCTGCGGCGCGCGAGGGCGGGGGCGTGCGGTGGGGGTCAGGGCGTTCGCGGGGGGACTGCACGTCGTGGTCGCGAGGTCCTGACGCCGGCGAAAGCGGGGGTGTGGTCGCCGCCGACGTCCGCGGCGTGAGCGCGAAGGCAAGCGGATAGCGGTGGCGCGGCGCGGACGCGCTCGGTCTGCCCAGGGCCGGCAAGCGCTGCGTTTGATAGCAGGCGTGGTGTTGGTTGGGCGCCACGCACCCCTCTTGTGGATGTTCTTGCCCGCAGGATCCTGTGTCTGCTCCGCGAGGGTGCTGGTCATGATTTCGATGAACTCCGGGAACTCCACCGCGCCCGAGTCGTCCCGGTCCACCACCTGCAACACACCCATGCACTTTCGCCGCGGCAGTCACGCGAACCTCCGCAGAGACATCGCAAACGAACCGGCCTGATGCCATGTTGCGAGAACATACAGCCCGCCAGGCCACACGCTACCAGCAAATCACCCCCCAGCGCGTCACCCTTGCGCTGCATGGCACAGCACCTCAACATTCCTGTCCTCCAACACACGATTACCGTTTCCCAACTGGAAAACAACCCGTTCGAGACACGCGGACGCCTTCCACCAGGTCAACCACGCCCCATTTCGGCGCAAAACGGGCCAGCAAGGCCCTGCGCGGCTCGCGCGAGCCTCACCTGCATCATGCGCTTGGCCTCCTGGACCGAGATGTCGAGTCCGAGCAGGTTGAAGGCCTCCATGAGCTCCTCGAGCTCGATAGCCCCGCTCTCATCCTCGTCGATGAAGTCGAAGCACTCCTTGAGCTCTTTTCGCTGTCTCCGCGACAGCTTCGGCCGCATAGGCCGCCCCCTTTTGCGGAGCCACTGCGCCATGTCGTACGACACACGGTCGTGGTACGCGCGCCCGTTGGTGACGCGCGCCGCCGCCTCGAGCTCCTCGAGCGTGGCGCGCGGCGCGCCGCCCTGCGGCACCGCACCCGCCGCGAACGCCTCATCCCCCATGGCAGCGCCTTACGCGCTCTACCGCGCCACTCGCAACACCTGCTGAGGCCCCATCGCGCACGTGTGCTGATCTATGCTGTAGCCCGCGAAAGCGGCGGTGCAGGGCGTTGGCGGTGCTCTGGAGCGCTGGGGTTAGCGTGCCAGACACTCCGAGGGTAGCTCGCGCGCTGTACGCCCGGAACCGCGCCTTTCCGGCTCGCGTGTGTGGCGCGAACTGACGAGCGAGGCGTGTGACGTGGCCCGCCGCGTCCTCCCCGACTTGACACGCGAGGGAGGGCCCGGGGGGGCCCAAAGACGCACCTGCATCAGGCGAGGTCAACCAGGTGCGCAACCGCCTGACGCAAGTAGGACCACCGCGCCGCGCTCGCAGGGCGGAGTCGAGCCGCACGTGCCTCAGTTCCCGGTTGCCACCTGGATTCCGAGCCTGATATCGGCAAAGAGCGGAAACGCGTGGTTTTCGTGGAAGGTGCTTCACAAGCCCGAGCCGCTCTCGTCGGTGGCGCGCCTGTGCGACGCGAGTCTGCGTGCGGCGACAGCCTGACTAGTGAGGCTTCGCCTGGCGGATTCCCGCGCTGCGTGACACGGACCACGCGCCGCGGCGCGGGACGGACACAATGCGCTTTCTAGTGGCGCTGCTGGGGCTCCTGTGCCTGGTTGTGGGCGCGTCAGTCGCGGAGACGATCCCTAGCGCAAGCGGCAAGCCAGCCGTCCACGAACTGGACGATCTGAATTTCGACGACCTCACAGTGGACGGTCCTTGGCTCATCGTGGTGTATGCCCACTGGTGCCAGCACTGCCGCAACCTCCTGCCGGTCCTCGACGCTCTCCCGGAACCCCTCAAGCAGCACAACGTCTCCGTCGGGAAAATCGACGGCGACGTCAACCGGGTGCGCGCACGTCACGCCCTCGACCACCCACCTTGTCTGCCCCGTGCGCGACAGCCCTTCGCACCGCAGCCCGCTCTCCGCATCCACAATCAACGTCCACACACCCCCCTCGCCCCCACCACCACCGATCCCACCGCCCGTGCCCGCATGACCCCCGCCGTACACAACCCTGTCGCACCGCCCACACCTCCGCACTGCGCTCCTGGCCCAGCCCGGGGCGCCGGTCCGCAACCGGGCCGTCGCTCATCTCCCGGCCGGTCTGGACTCTCGGATCCGATGCCACTGTACTCGCGAGGAAGCTTGTGATTGCTTCACGCCCTTGTGATTGCTTTACATTCCGTGCCGCAGATCCTTGCGCGGCGGTTCCACGTCGAGGCGCTGCCGTCGATCTTCCTCATCAAGAACGGCAACACCTGGGAGTACAAGGGCTCGAGGTCCCCCCGGGCTCTCACGGAGTGGGCCTCGCACCTACATGCCGAGGTGTGCGCACACCCGTCAACCGCCCGCAGCGACGCCGCGCCATCGCTCGACGCGCGCGCTTCCGCGCCCGGCACAGCCTGCGCACGCCAGCTCCCAGGAGCGCCCGCCGGCAGCTTCAGTGCCCGCTCGTTGCGACACGGATGGACATGTGGTGGCGGGCGTGTTGCTGGGCGCAGGTGGAGCCGTGGCCGCTGCTCAAGTCGCCCGTGTCGTTCATCGGGCGCCTGCGGGGCCGCGGCGCCAGGCTGCCGCTGCAGTTCAAGGAGGGATACCATGCGGCGAAGGCACAAGGCTACAGGTAGCACATTTTTACACACCCCCCCTGCTCGCACGATCCGCGCCCCGCCAACACCGCTTCGCGATCGCCGAGTCGTGTTCGGGGCCGGGCTCGCGCCGGCGCCGCGCAGATGGAGCGGACACGCGCTTCCTGGCGTCGCTACGTCGTCGAAATGATGTTCAGCTCTTTTCTTTTGTTCTTGTTCGTTTCTTGGGTTGTTGAGGGCTGGAGCGTGCCGGAAGGGAGCGCTCCGCGTGCCCACGGCAGCGCGCCGTGCCCCTGCGTCGTGCAGTGACCTGACGATGGTCGCAGCGGTGCTGGCGGTGCCCGTACTGGTGGGGTTGGGGCTGCTGGTGACGCTGGACGTGGTGGCGGCGCGGAGGGCGCGGAAGCACGCGGAGCAGGAGCGGCTCGCGGCTGCGAAGCGCGAGTGACGCGCGGCAACGCGGCGTCGCGGTCGGCCTGGGGTGCGCAACGCGAGGGTGGTGGTTGGGCGTGCGGTGACGAGACTGGATCGGATCGGTGTAGTTGGCGACGCGCGGCGGGGGGCGGCCGTGTGCCCAGGCCGCGCTATACTGCGCAGGTCGTGTGACGGACGGCGCGTGCGTGGTTGCTGTCGGTCAGTCGGGCCGCCCGGGGCTGGTGCGTCGCGGGCGGTGCTTTGGCGCGACGTCGCGGGGGCGTGGCGCAGAGTTCAGGCAAGGTCGCGGTCTGCAGCGAGCGTGGCGAGGCGGACCGTGCCGTGTGTGAGGCGGCGAGGAGGCAGCCCAGAGGGTCTTGGAGGACGACAAATGCTGTTGTCTGCCGGGCGCGGCAAGTCTTGGCTCCAAGGTGAGGCTCGAGCACGGCGACTGGGCCGGCGGCGGCACGCCAGAACGACCGCGTGCGGTCGCTGGGGTTGCGCAGAGCGCATCAGGTGTCAGGGCGGAGCACAGTGCGTGCGATAGCCGCGTATTGCGGGCCGGCCGGCGCTCGCTCCGCACAGTCAGAGATTCGCCAGTTCAGGCGTGATCGCTCGGGGCGTGTTTCGTTTGCGGAAACGCCCGTGGAAGGCCGCTGGGAGCGCCAGACGTGTCTTCGGTTGTCTCGGATCGCTCGCGCAGGTCTTCCTGTTCTCGGCCGAAGCGTTTCGCGGAACAAGTGGTCTCCTTCTGTTTCGTCCAGGCAGCACAGCCCTGCGAAGAACGCTCGCACTCTCGAGGGAGAGAGATTTGCCTCTGCTGGGTCAAGGCGAGTGGTTGCGCCCCGCCGCCCCGCATGGACGCAGTGCGCGCGGACCTTCGGCGCCACGCAATGCCGTGAATCTGACTCGCGCATCCGCCCCGCTCGCGCACCGCGCACCGCGCCACACGGCATAGATCGACGCGCTTCTGTTCGGGTCCCACAGCGCCGACATACCGCTCATCTGACAGCACCGGCCGATGCATCTGCAGGTGGGCAGGCAACGCAGGTGCACCCATGGCTGGCAAGGTCACGCCCGTGATGCCCGGCCGGGCCGGCATGGCTGAGGAGCCGGCAGGGATGGACACCGAAGCCATGCTCCTGGAAGGGCTCGCGGAGATCCCCACGATCAGCCGCGCGTGGTGCATGCCGTCCGCTATCGGCGGGTGCGACATCCAGGTGCGCGCCGTGCCGCGCGGCTCCGCGACGACCTGAAACGTCTCGCCGGGGCGTTGCAAACCGCCGCGGCGCCGCGTGCGGTTGCCCGCAGGTGCTCTTCTCGCAGCGCGACTTCGCGAGCAACACCCTGCGCAAGTTCATGTCCACGGTGCACGTCCCCGTGTCCGTGATCATGGGCGCGGCTCCCTGCATGGTCCCAGCGCTGCCTTGGCAGCTCCGCCCTGACGTCGTCGCGACCGCTCCGTCCCCCTCCGGCCGCCACATGCTCGTCGTTCGCGGCGGCTCCACGAAGGACCCGACGATCCTCGAAATCTGGGGCGGCGGGCGCCTCATGCGCGAGCTCGAGGTTCCCGCGACCATTCACGGCGCCGTCTACAACGACGGGTGGTTCTCGGACGGCGCGGCGTGGTCGCCGGACGAGACGCGCGTGGCCTACGTCGCCGAGGCTCCGCGCCGCGAGCAGACGCCGGAGTGGGGCAAGAAGGTGCCCGCCAGCTCCACCGCCGCCGCTGGCGACAGCAGCAAGGAGCCGCGCGCCGGGCCGAAGGGCTGGCGCGGCAAGGGTCCGTGGCAGGAGGACTGGGGCGAGTGCTACGCGGGGAAGCCGGACCCGCGGCTCTTCGTGCTGGACCTCGCCAACTACGACGTGCGCGCCGTCGAGGGCATCCCTGCGGACCTGTCGGTCGGGCAGCCGCTCTGGGCGCCCAACGGCGAGCACCTCGTCTTCGTGGGCTGGAAGCACTCCCCGGAGAACCTCCCGCAGACGCACAAGCGCCTCGGCATCGTGTACTGCCTGAACCGACCATGCAGCATCTACGCCGTGCACTGCCCGCCTGGCACCGCCGGCGACGGGGGCGCCGTGGACCTCACGCCGGGCTGCATGTCCGCGCACTCCCCGCGGTTCACCCCGGACGGCTCGATCGTGGTGTTCCTGTCGCACGAGCAGGCCTGCACCACGGGCGTGCACGCGTCGACGGGGGCGCTGCGGTGGATGCCGTGGTCCGACGGGAAGGGCTGCGCGGGCCCGGACTTCTGCGCCAAGGCCGAGGAGCGCACGATGATCTCCGTCGTGCACCCGCCCGGCACGTCGAGCGAGTTCCCAGGCCTCTACGCCACGTCGCTCCCCTCCTCGCCCTTCCTCGCGGACGGCCACACCATCGTGATCAACATGCTGTGGCGCAGCGACCTCGTCATCGTCGAGGTCAACACCATGACGGGCGAGGTCACGCGCATCACCCCCCCCGGGCCCGGGTCGGGCTCGTGGAAGCTCCACGACCTGCAACACGACGTGATCGTGGCCTCGATGTCGGCGCACGGCGTGCCGGACCGGCTCATGGTGGCGCGCAAGGCGCACGGCACGTGGATCTGGGAGCCCATCTCGGTCGCGACGCCGGAGCCGTACCGCCCGGAGGTGGAGGCGGCGCTTGCCGACATGGAGTATCAGATCCTGCAGGTGCCGTACAGCCGGGCGGACGGGGGCGCGGCGGGCGAGGAGGTCGGCGAGGGCGACGACGCGACGGAGGCGACGTTCGAGGCCATCGTGCTGCGGTCGCGGAACGCAGGGAGCGGCCCGCAGCCTGCGGTGCTGTGCCCGCACGGCGGGCCGCACGCCGCGTTCACAACCGCGTTCACGATGCCGTACGCGTTCCTCACGAGCCAGGGGTACACGGCGGTGCTCGTGAACTTCCGCGGGAGTCTCGGGTTCGGCGAAGACTCGGTGCAGAGTCTTCCGGGGAAGATTGGCGACCAGGACGTCCGTGACTGCCTGGCGGCGCTCGACGTGGCGGTGGAGGCCGGGCTGGTGGACCCGGCGCGCGTGGCCGTGCAGGGCGGGTCGCACGGCGGCTTCCTGACGGGACACCTCATCGGACAGCACCCGGAGAAGTTCAAGTGCGCCGCCATGCGCAACCCGGTGTGCAACCTCGGGCTCATGGTCGGCACGAGCGACATTCCGGAGTGGTGCTACGTCGAGGCGCTCGGGAGCGAGGCCGGCATGAAGCGGTTCCGCGCCAACCCGTCCCCGGAGGACTTGGAGGTGTTTAGGGCAAAGTCCCCCATCACCACCGTGGACAACGTGAACTTGCCGCTGCTGGTGCTGCTGGGCGCGAAGGACGCGCGCGTGCCGTTCACGGACGCGAAACAGTACGTGACGGCGCTGAAGGACCGCGGGGAGTCGGCGCCCGACGTGCGCGTGCTGGTCTTCCCGGAGGACAAGCACGCGCTGGACAAGCCGCAGACGGAGTTCGAGAGCTGGATGAATATCCTCGCGTGGCTGAAGAAGTACAACCCAGCGTCGACGCCGTGAGGCTGCGCGCGTGTGTGAGAGGACTCGCGCACATGAGCTATTGCATTTGTCGTGCGCGGGTGGTCAATTACTACTCTGTGATCGCTGGTTTCAGGGGGGCGAGCAGTGCGGTGTGAGTGGGGTATGGTGGATGTGGGGCGGGTTGCGGTGCCAGGGTCCGCGGCGTTGCTGCGTGGTCGTGACGGGGGGGGGCGTTGGGGTGAGGGAGTCCCCCGCCGTGCGGGACGTGGACGGGACATGGGCCGATGCCGCGGCCACTGCATCGCAGAGATAGTCTAGAAGCGGAGGCGACCACTTGGTTGGTGGTCGAGCATAGCTGCCATGATGCCGGCCCAGAGGGTCCTGAAGCCAGCGCTCACTGCCGTCGAGAAGGCGGCGCCGAAGAGGACAGTCTGCGTTACGGGCGGCACAGGGTGAGAGACTCGTTGCACGAGCGATCCGACAACCTCAAAGCTCGAGATGCGGGCGGGGAGCGCGCTGGAGGGGCGGGGTGCTCGTGACTGCGCCCGTATTCCCCCCAATCCGTCGCAGATATGTCGCGTCCGCGGTGATTGAGAGGCTCCTAGCTGCGGTACGTTCAACCACGTTGTCATTACTTCTGCTCGCCGCTCAGGCTCCCCCCGCGGAAGGCCTCCACTTCTCTGGGCGTCATGCAAAGCGCTCGGCGCCAGCGCCCCCCGCCCTTTTCCCGACACATGCACGCGCCCCCATCGCCTCAACTCCATTCTCCTCTCGAATTCCTATCCCAATGCTCCCCGCGCGCCTCGTTCGCGTCAATGCAGGGCCACACTGTGCACGCGACGTGCCGAGACCGCTCGAAGGCCTCCCTGATCGACCCCGTCAACAAGATGGCCGAGGAGTGGGGCGCGTCCGACCGGCTCAAGTGGTACGAGGCCGACCTGCTGCGCGACGGTTCGTTCGACGAAGCGATGGAGGGTTGCGACGCTTGTGCGCACGTGGCCGCGGTGTTCAAGACGAAGTGGAAGGACCCCGCCACGGAGCTGATCGACCCTGCGGTGAAGGGCACGGCCAACGTGTTCGACAGCGTCGAGAAGGCCGGCAGCGTGAAGACCGTGGTGATTACGTCGTCGGTGGCGGCGGTGTGCTGCTCGCCGCACGAGCACGCGGACGGCAACGCGCACCGGTACAACGAGGAGGACTGGACGAGCACGACGCGCGCGACCGTCACGCGGCAGAGCTACAACCACGCCAAGGTGACGCACAATCGATGCCGCTATCTAACTTAACTGTTCAACTGCACACGAATCGACCACGTCAACTCCATCTCCTTCCGCGCACCGTCTCTCCGCAGCGTGAGCAAGAGAAGAAGGCCTGGGAGCTGGCGGAGGGCAAGTCTTTCCGCCTGGTGTCCATCAACCCAGGACTGGTGATGGGCCCTGCGCCGGCGGAGCGCACCGACAGCGCGTCGATGGACATCGTCATGCAGATCGCCGGCGGCAAGCTCAACCCGGCGCCGCGCCTGAAGTTCGCCTTCAGCGACGTGCGCAACGTCGCCACCGCGCACTGCATCGCGCTGTTCGACGACAAGTGCCGGGGAAGGTACCTGTCGTGCGAGCCCGAGACGACGGACGTCGTCGAGATGGGCGCGTCGCTCACCGCGGAGTTCCCGAAGGCCAAGGTGCGCACAACGTCAAGAAGAGAACACACACAAAGAGTTGTCGCCTCGCGGAGCCAGTCCCATGTGCGCGTTCACGTGCGTGGTCGCTGCCGTGCAGATTCCGAAGGGCTACCTGCCGCTGTGGGCGGCGTATCTGGTGGGGCCTTTTGTTGGGTTCGGTTGGGGGTTGATCAACGACCTGTGGACGGACAGGTTCCTGCTGGACACGTCCAAGGTGGAGCGGGACATGAAGTGGTCGTCGTGGGCGGTGCACGTCGGCGAGACGGTGCCGGACATGGTGCGGCATCTCACGGAGAAGAAGGCCATGCCTGACTACAGGTGAGGGGGGGTGTCACGCCGAGGGGGGGGGAGGGGTGCGGGAAGAGGGAGCGGCGCACTTGTAATGAACATGCAGTGAGGTGTCTTTCTTCGCGTCACACTGGAGGTCGCATGGAGAGGTATGACGGCTTTTCGCATGACAGGCCACGCGGGGGACGGCGGTGACGAGGGGAGCTGAGTAGCGGTCGGCACGTCGCCACACAACGCGGACAATGCCGCAGACTCAGTCACCGCTGTCACCCAGCCGGCTGCCGAAACCCCCTGGTACAAGCAGCCTAGGACGTGGACCAGCACTTCGGCGTGTCGGCTGGCGGGCGTCGTCCAGTACTCGCGCGGCTCGCCGCGTTGTTGCTGACGACGCCCGCCACTCACTCTAACTGATTGCAGGTCAGAGCCTTCCCTTGGCACATGATGGCACGCTCACATGGCATTTCGCGCGAGTACTCCTAGCACGCTGCCGCCTTGATCAGGACGATAGCACACCCGCATTTCGTTTCGTGCGCGGGTGGTCAATTACTACTCTGCATGGACCAAGACTTGTGTCAGAGAGGCGCTGTTGCTGCGCGGCGCGCTAAGATCGTGTCAAACCTCGAGAGATCAAACTGGTACGGCACATGATCACTGCAGGTCCACCACGGCCCCTAGCCCGTCCTTGACGTTTCCGAACCTGTTGCGACGCAGGAACACGCCACGTCCAACAACCTGCAGGTTGCAGGCACTCGCACGCGGCGAACGTCTTCAGCGTGGTCGACCGTGGAGGCGCGAAGCGCGTGCGTGCGTGTGGAGCTCGGAGCTCAAGCCTTGCTCGAAGTTTGATATCATTTGCCAATTCAACTTGCAAGCTGTCGTCTGCTGCACGTGCGCGCTCACCCGTGCGTTGCACTGCGCGTTGATGCCCGACCCCTTGTTCCGGCAGCACGCAGCGTATCTCATCACGACCGTCGTGCCAGCTCCCATGGCCAACAAGCCGCACGCGCAGTTGGCACTGCACTCACCGCCCTCCATCGTCACCTGCGCGTCCACGTGCGACCGGGCGCGCGCTGTCCGCCGCAACGCGAAGCCTCGCCGATCCGCGATCGATCGCACACCAGGGGCTGGCCGCGCCCGTCTGCAGCTGTCAGGTATAACAGAGCGACGTGGGAGTACATCCCCACCTGCGCGCCGCTGTGGGCATGAACGCCGTGCGCGCCGTTGTTGCTGCAGGTCGCGCCGCTCATCGTGACCTTCGTCTCGCCGCCCAGCGCCGCGATGCCGACGAAGTTCAGGTCGCACGCAGTGTCCTTGACGAAGACCTGCGCTCCGGAGTTTACGGGGTATAACTCTACCCCAACTGGTTCACCCACTGTATTCGCAGCGAACCCGCCTCGAACATACAAGCGAGCGTGTCCAGCGTGGCGTTGATCATCGCTTCGGTTGCTGCGGCTGCCGACAAGGCCATCAGGCCGTGGAACGACGAGGATGCCGTTCCTCGCTCGCGACAGCCGTGGCAGCTCCCGCGACCGCAAGGACATGCGAGCGAGCACATTTCTGCCTCACCTGTGCGCCGGCCTTTGCCAGGATGCCGCTGTCGAAGCCCGTCCTCGTGAACGCACAGCGCCGCACGACCACGCCTCGCGCTCCGCAGACCTCCAGCGCGCCATTCAGGGGCCCGAGAGGCTCCCGCGGCGGCCAGCGGAACGCTGCGGGAGTCAAAAGGAGTTGCGACGGTCACAGTTGAGAACAAGCGCCTGTGCTGAGCGTGCGAGCAACAATCACCGATATCCGATCCAGTATTCGAACACATGATATACTGCGTGTGGTGCGGGCGCACCTGACTCGGTTCCCTTCATCTTGACGCCGTCCAGGCGGAAGGACTCGGCGCTGTTGTGCACCACGAGCTTCACTCCCCGCAGCACGCCGCCCCTGAGCGTCACGCCCGACCTCGTGATTTCCACCGTCGCGTTCCTCCCTCGCACCTCTCCCCCCCTCAGGTCGACGACCTGCGCCGGCACTCGCCCTCCACGGCGCCATCAACCACACGCCCATTTCATGCCAGGACGAATCAAGCCGCAAGCGACGTTCCCACACGCCGTTGCGCCTCATCACGTACTCAGAACAAGCGCCAACGCTTGCACGGGCCAACGCTCCCCCGTCACCCGTGCGCGGCCCGCACCCGCTTGCTACCACAGATACCCTCGCTCGCACCTGTATTTCGGGATCGTCCAGCTGCATCTGCAGATCCTCGACCGTGGCCACGAAGGGTCCAGGCGGTGGCCCAAGTGTGCCGCCTTCGCGCGATGCGGACTGGGAGCTCAACTCGCGCACGTGGATTCCGCCTGTTGCCTTTTCAGTTGCCTCCACACTGTTGGTGCGCTCGCGCAGCGGTCTGCGGCGCGGCGCGCCCGTCGCGCCCCCGACCGGGCTCAGCTCGTGATCCGTCGCGCTGCTGACCGACCCCGCGGACAACGCGAGCTCAGCGACCCGCAGTGAACCGCCCGTTACTTGCAACGTTGTAGCACACGACGATGCCCCCTCGCTCAGCGGCTCCACCTCCGCAGCGACGATCTTGGGCGCGACCCTGACCGTCACGTCCAGGTCGTTCACCATCTCAGCCGTCTCGTCCATTGCGTCAAGCTCCTGCGCGGCGCTGAGCAAGCAATCCGCAGCCCTGTGGCAGAGGCCGCGCGGAAGGGACGCCGTACGCGCGAAGACGTGTTCCGCCAGCACGTACGGGCCAATGCGGCGACATCGTGGCGTCTGCGCCCGTCCGTGCGGCCCTTGAGGCCCGCACCGCCACGAAAAACCTCCTGGAATGCGAACAGACACCCCCCTCCCGGATGCGGCCGACGTGCGAGCGGAGCAGGCAGCGCTCGCCGCGGCGGTCGTGCGCGGTCCTGCTTGGTGCGCGCTGCTGCACGGCAAGCGAGGCCTCGCTGCAGCCGCAGTAGGCACACGGAATTGCGGGGAGGCGTGCAGATGTCATGGAAAATCAACAATCAGACGGAATCCCAGCCCTCTTTCCGCCTCTCGTGCCTGCAGCATCAGCGCGGCGAGGTTGCTCGGGGCGACGCTGACTCCCCGCGCGCAGCCCTGCGTCTGGAAGCTCACAGCGACACTGCAAGGGGTCTGCCGGGCTGCTGCAGACACACATGAGATACATCACGCCAATGTATTATGCGCACACGCCGCGAGCTCACGCCTCCTCCTCGGAGACGGCCTGGTAGCCGCCGGCGCCGCACTTCGCGTCCTTCGTCGCGACCGGCTTCTTCTCGTCGTCGTCCAGCGCGCCCCCGCACTGGCGGCACGACACCGCGCACCTGCTGCACAGGCGGTCGCGGCACGCGAGCGCAGCGAGCATCTGCGCGCGCTGGCGGCGCATCCGCCCGATCAGCAGCAGGACCAGCACCGCGAGCGCGCCCACGCTCACCGCGTGAACCACCGGACAGCCCCCCCCGTGCCGGCCGTGGTGCGGACGCCAGTGAGGGTGCGCCGGCGGACCCCACGGCTCCGCGGGGCCCGGCCCGCCCGGACCCGTGACGCGCACGCGGTGCATGACCACGCGCCCGTCCGTCGTCACCTCCCTCTCGATCATCGTCCCGTCGGGCAGGACCTGGATGGAGCCCACACCGTGCACGGCGGGGGCGCCGGGCGGGCCCTCGATGACGAGGGGCTCGTCGTGCGCCGAGTCCGCGAGGTCGGGGTCGACGGGGCTGTCCCAGCCGGCGTCGAAGACCTGCCCGAACCAGCGTTCGATGTCGTCGGCTTCGTCGGCGGTGGTGGGGTAGTCGTTGGAGTGGTGGACGGGGCGGGAGTTGCACGGCTTGCCGTGGTGGTGCTTGCCGGGGGGGTGCTTGCCGTGGTGGTGGGCGGGCGGCGGCGGGCCCGGGCGCGGCTCGGGGGCGTCCGGGTCGCCAAAGTGGAGGTGGATTTCGTCGACGTCGTCGCCGTTCTCGTCCTCGAAGGTGAGCTCAGCGGAGCCCTTGACGCCGAAGAAGTCGGCGAGCCACTCGATGACGCCGGAGACTTCGTCGTCGAGGTCGGAGCGGCCGACAACGTCCTCAGGGGGGCTTGGCATCACGGCGTCGCCCACCTCGGGCATCTGCAAGCCGACCAGGCGGACGCGAAGAAAGACATACAGCGTTATAAAATGTTCCGGCGCTCACGGGGCGCTGCGTGCCGAGGAGAGGCACGCGGAGGGCGTAGGAGGAGAAGTGATCAAGTGGCGCTCCAGCGGGCCGTCTGAGGCGCCAAAGGCGCGCGTGGTGGTAGGACGCGGAAGGAGCTGCACCTGCACGTCCGCGTCTCCCTCGAACGGCTCGGCCAGGGCCGAGTATTTGACAGCAAGGTCCTCACCCTCCAGCTCGACCTGCGTGGGGAGGTCCATGCCGACCTCGTCCGTAGGATTGCCCTGCAGCAACGACATGACCCACGAGAACGCGGAGTTCAGGGATCTCTTGAGCCCCTGTAGCGCCAATCACCATGGCAAGCGTGTGCTGGCTTGTTGCGCTCGCTCGTCCTCGGGGACGCGCAAGTTTGCCCGACATCCACGTCAGATCCATGGAGGCGGCCAGAGGGCCCCGGAAATGTGATTTCTGGGGCACTTCGTGCGCGGGAAGCAGGAGCGTGGGTGCGTTCTGGTACTCACCTTGGTGAGCGTCACGCTCGTGCGGGCGTCGGCCAAGCCGGCCGACAGCACGACCGCGGCGACAGCCAGGGTCACGAGGAACTTCATGGTGCCGGCAGAATCTGGTCCGGCAGTCCGTCGGCCCGTGTCTCAGGGTCGACAGTCCGCGGAATCTGCCCGTGGCGCTCCGTGTGGGCGCTACAAACAAGGCGCTGTCTGGATAGATCGTCGCCGCGCCAATGAGGCGCAAGTGCGCCCCCCGCGCAGCGCCGACGAGCCAAGAGCGCCGCTCCAAACGCCAAGACCGCGGGCGCGTGTGATGAGTCAGGTCCGCGGGCGCGTCCGCTGTCGACACGCGTGATATTCTGTTCCGAACGTCATTCCGTATTTCACACTCCATGATTCTCGCCGCGCTGCGTGCCCGCCGCGTCGCACGCGCCCGCTGCGACGTCAATCGCTAGCCTTCCTATTCGCGCTGTTGCCGCGCCGGGGGCGCGCCGACGACGACGGCCCGGGCCCGACCGAAACCCCAGACACCTCTGACACGCAGTCCCTCGTCACGGGCGCGTCCCCGTCTCCCTCCGGCCCGCTCGAGCCTCTGTCGTCCTCCCAGCCATCCCGCTCGTCAACCGCCACGTGCTCCAGCGCGTCCGACGCGGGGCCGTCCGCGGGCCGCATCAGCGGCCGCCCTTCCTCCGCGCGCCTCTGCTGCTGCGCCGCGTGGTCCGCGGCCACCCCCTCCGCACCTTGCCTCCGCGGCGCTGGCGTAGCCGCGGCCGTCGGCGGGACGCTGCATCGCAACGGCCGCGCCGCGGAATCAGGTCCAACACAACGAGCGGCAGCAGGGCACACGAGTTGCATCGTCGGCGGCGGCATCGCAGGTCGCGAAAGCAGCGGAATAAGGAAAGGACGGTGCAGCGGGCGAAACGGCCGTGTGGGCGGGTCGCTCACCTCCCTCCCACGAACAGCGGCTGCAGGTACCGCTGGTCCAGCATCTCGAAGGTCGGCAGGGCCTCCGCGACCGCTGTCGTGCGGTCTTTCAGGTTTGTGGCCACCGCGAGCGCACGCTGTGCCAACGTGCCCCCAGGCGACATCGGCGTGCTGTCTCCGTTCCCCTGGCCGCTCCACGCGCCCTCGAACTTCCGCGACCCGTGCGCGACGCCCCGCCGGGCCGTGTCGCCTCCGTCCTCGCCCCCCACCTGCCGGTGCGCGATGTGGGCCATGGTGACGTCGCCGGGGGACTCCTCGTCCTCGGGGCTCGGGGCGCGCAGGTTGAGCTTCTCGACCGCGGTGTTCGTGAGGCCGCCGATGGCGAGAACGGTGAACACCACGAGCGCCAGCGTCACTGCCTGCATGGCCTCGCCGTGCGCCGTGTTCGGGAGGTCCACCGCCGCCTCGAGCGACAGTGCGAAGGCGACGGCGCCGCGCAGACCTGCGTGTGCGGTGCTCCGGCGGATGGGCACGCGGGTGAGCGGCGGCGGGCGCGATGCGGTACGCGGAGGCACGCGCATGTGTGGCGTGGCGTGTCGCCTCGGCGGGCGCGCGAGCGAGGGCGCGCACCGGAGAACCACAGCATCTGCTGGTGCTCCGCGGGGATCGCGCGGATCGGGACCCGGACGCGGTTGATGATCTTCGACCCTGGGAACACGTGCGCGGCGCGCGCCCCGAGGATGGCGACGAGGCCCCAGAACGAGAACGCGAGGTAGATCCAGTGCTGCGGGCACGGAGGTAGGTCAGCGACGGTATGAGGCATGCAACCAGCCATGCAAGACTGCACACGTGGGGAAAAGAGGGGGGGTGTCGCACCCAGGCGAGCGTGAAGGCCGTGATGCCCATGTAGATGAAGACGAAGGTCTCGGCGAGCGACGCGGCGATCTTGAAGAAGTCCAGTGCCGAGTCGCGCGCCCTGTCGGACAGATTCTTGATGGTATAATGCGACATCACGATTCCGCAAAACAAGATCGAGACGATGCCGGACAGCCGGAGCCCCTCGGCGAGCATGTAGGCCATGTACGGGAAGATGAGCAGCAGGCAGACCTCCTGCGCGGAGGTCGATGCAACAGCGGCGCGTGACACGTCTGCAGTGAGCGAGTGAGCGCGGCGGGGGTGCAAGCGGCGGCGCGTCGCGGTGCTCATGGCCAGAGAAGGGAAGCATGTGAGTTCTTGGGGCGTAGACGGGCGAGCGCATGCAAGGCGAATCTGCGTGTGTGGAGGGGGGGGGGGTTTCGCACCAGGAGCGTGAGGTGCTCGTCGTGGCTGCCGGAGTTGTCGCCGCGGAACTGTCCATGGCGGAAGAGCAGCGCGCTCGCGGCCGCGATGACGCCCCCGATGCAAAAGGACCCCAAAAACACCCCCAGGAAGGTCCCCACGGCGCGGAAAAAGGACCCCGCGGACACCTCCCGGATCATGAACTCGCGCAGCGTGCGGTACATGACGATCGCGACGGCGTCGTTGAGGACGGACTCGCCGAACACGAGCGCGTAGAGGTTCTGGTTGACCTTGAGTTGCTGGAAGATAGCCAGGACTGTTACGGGGTCCGTCGCTGAGATCAAAGAGCCGAAAATGAGCGACTCCACGAAACTGAGGCGCACCGACATGTACGCGAGCCCCGCCAGCCACACGACGATCCCTGCACGGCGCCGGGCGCAGCGCAACAGAGTGTCGGCAACCAGAGACGACGTCGCAACTTGCGCGAAGCGTTTCTTCCATCGCGCAGGACAGCAGCGCTGTCACTGGCCACGATAGCTCGCGCAACGTCGTCGCCGCAGTCACGGAGCACGTGGTGCAACAAGTACCATCGCCGCTGCGTTTGCGTTGCTTCATTGTGCCCTGCATGGCGTCGCGATCACCACGCCGGTGCGCCGGACAAGCCGGGCGGCGTCGCGTGTGTTTTCGAACCGTTTCAATGCCAAGACAGGAGGGTGGGGAGCGCACCGACGATGAAAGCAGAGAGCAGCGTTCCGCCAAAGGCGAACGTGCAGATCGCGCCGAAGTTCTTGAAGAAGGGGCGCGGGGGCATCGAGATGCCGGACTCGAAGATGATGGGCGGGAGCAGGAAGAGGAAGAAGAAGTCGGGCTGGAATTTGATCCAGGCCAGCTGGTGCGCGCTGGTGGACACGGCACTGACGACCAGGCCCGCGAACAGGCCGAGGAGGAGCGCCGCGCCGGCCTCGTGAATGTACGGCACGTCGCGCTTCCTGATCCACCAGCCCAGCAGCAGCGAGGCCTGCGGTCCGATGCAACAAACACGAAAAGAAACTTTCAGTCTTGTTCTCTTGATCGTTTGTCCCCTTCTGCCACACGGCCCGGTTTCCGTCGCCAGGACAGGGCCAGGCACCACGGCGCAGCCCGCGATGCAAGTCGCGGCGCGTGCGGGGCCACGAGGCGTCGGCAGGCGGTGTGCGTTGCGGGGGGGCTGTTAGACCTGCAGGAGTGTGAGGGTGAGCAGGATGGACAGGCCCGCGATGGACTCCTTGCTCTGCCCGATGCCCTCGCCCTCGCCGTCGCTCTCGCCGTCCTCGGCCGGCGCGTCGCCATCGGGCGCTGCTGTGGGCTGCGGCGGCGATGTGCTGTGGTATGGTGTGGGCTCCTGCATCACGCGAGCCAGGAACATCGAGCCGTCCGCTGCGCGACGGCTAGCTACGGATGAGGGCTTCCTGGAACCGCACTCGATCGCCGTCGGATTGTCCTGCGGGGCGTGGGAGGCGGGGGGATGGTTCTTTCATAGGTGACTTGGTGGGATGTGCGGGGCCGTGGGGCCGCCCGAGCGCGCGGAAGTGGGTAGAAAGGTGAACACTGGGGTACATGATGGAGGTGCGGTCGTTTTTGATTCGTCAGAAGGCGGTTTGGCGGCTCGGCGAGACCAAACGTGAGCTGTCAGAGCCTGAGAAGCCGAGCTTGCCTTGCATGGCGTATATGTAGCGGATCCAGTCGTAGCGACGCCGACGAAGGCGAGGAAGACCAGCGTGCAGGTCCAGAGCCTCGCCGCTCGCCTCATGACGATCGCACGGCCCTAGTATTCCGCGCCTGGTGCAGGGGAAAGGACTTGGCCGGCTGGGCGCCCGACGCGCCGCCGAGCTCACCAAACACAGCGGGCGCACGCGACTTGACCAGCGGTATGCGAGAAGCGAATGGTCACGAACTAACGAGGAGCAGGAGGCTCTCAACTTGCCCGGCGGGCTTTCCAGTGGTGGTCTCGAGGCACAACCCGGCACCACAGACTACGAGCGTGGCGCGGCTATGCCGTCGCGAGATGTGGCTCACTCCTGCTACCGCCTCGCGGCGCCGCTCGCACATCACGCCCTCTCGCCGCGGCTGTACAAGGCCACTTACTTCCCCCCTGACTATGGAGGGTGTGTGAAGGCCTGGAACAGCACGTATGGGCGCGAGGCGTCTCGGAGCGCACACACGTTGGTGAAGCTCGAAGCGGATACGCATTCGTGAGGTTTGAGTGATTGGTGACGGTGGGAGAGGCTAGAAACGTATCAGTGTTTTTTGCGGGGAGGGGCGAGCGCTGCGGGGCGCTCGAGGGCTTGGCGGCGATGAGCGGCGGCGACGATAGTTCCATGACCTTCGAGGACCGCATCCGAGCGAGCGGGTCGTGGAACACCATCGGCACGGCCCTGGTGGCCACAGGTGAGCTGGTCGCCGCGCCTCGCCTGCACACGACGTGACAACTGATTCTCAGGCCGACGACGGCTTCCCCACATCACAAATACGCTCACCAACGCACAAGACACACTGGCGTGCCGGGCGAGCGCAAGCACGGCCAGAGGTGCTCTCAGCCTAGGGCGGGCGGCCTGGGAGCGCCAACGCTCGCTTTCGCATCGAAACAAGCGCAGCCAGGCCAGAACATCGCACTTGCCGTCTGTTTCGAGAGACGACCGACCACGAAACCCCCGCCGATCATCGTCCACAGCGAGCGCACAGACCCCTGTTGGCACTCAAGCCGCCGCCTTCGCCCCTCACGAAGCCGCGCGCGCGCTGCAACCCCCCCGCAGGACTCGCCTTCTTCGCGGGGCAGCGGTACGCGTGGGCGAAGCGCAGCACGTGGGGGTACCGCATCACCAATCTCATCATGTGGCCAACATTGGGGGTTGGCGCCACGATGCTGGTCTGGAAGGACGCCGAGGTGAGCTGCGCACCCCGCGCCGTGTATCGCGCGTCCTCTGCGCGACGTACCGCGACAGTTGCGGCACGACGCCACCGCCGCAATGCGCTGTCCATGTTGTCTGACAGTCTCCCGCGCTGACGTGGCTTGGGCGTGTGGGCGGGTGCAGCGGTATCGGGCCGAGTACGGCGGGAGCGCGGCGATGACGGACGAGGAGCTGCGGGAGGCGCGGGAGATGAACGCGGTGCGCATGGAGGTGCTGCGGAGGGTGATGGCAAAGAGCCGGGACAAGGGCGCGGGGCGCGACGGAGCGGACGCGTAGCGCGCGGTGCCAACGTGCAGCACGGGCACGCGCACGGAGGGGCGTAGAGAGGGCCAGGAAGTAACGGAGGAGGGCAACGACGGCGGTGACAGCTACCTAGCTGCGTTGGCAAGTGCGGGAGCCGCGGGGGGGCGTCGGCTGAGCAGAGAGCGCCCGCTGATTCCTTGTAACGATCGCTCTAGGCGACGGGTCGAACTGTGGCATGTGAGGTCGCGAACGACAAGGGCTGTGCCTGCGACAGGGACGAGAAGCGAGCGGAGCGTCCTCGAGAGCGCCAGCACCCACCCACGGCACCTGCGCGCATCCTCTGCCGTCCGCCTGCGCCGCCCGTTCCGTGCAGCCACCCACTGTGCACTCTGCACGCGGCCACGCAGAGAACGTAGGCACGCCTCGCAGCCAAGATTACACTCTCCGACGGCGCGAACACGTCGCAATGACGCTCACAGTCGCTCCCGTCAATGACGCCTCCACTGCCATGATATCGAGACCCTCATGATATCAGAATCATATCATGCCTTGAACCGTTTCGCCCGCTCGTCCATCTTGGCCTGCATGGCCGCCTCGAGCTCGCGCTTCTCCGCCTGCTTGAGCACGCCGGACGTGCTCGCCCCGAACCGCCCCGCGCGCGCCTTCATCTTCTCCAGCTGCTCGTCACTGAGCCCTGCCAACGGGTCCGCCGCCGCTGCCCCGTTGCCAGCCGCGTCCTTGCCCGCCGCCTTCGCCTCCTGGCCGCCCTTGCCCTTGCCCTTCCCCCTGCCCTTGCCCTCCTTGATCATCGTGTCCAGAGACTTGCCACCTGCGCCGCGCGGCGTTCGGAAAACCTCGAGTGGACGCAGCGACGACGTCATATGTCATGCTATGTCCCCGCTCGTGGCGTCCTGGGCCGCGCGGCCGCGGCGGTTCGAATCAGGGCCGCGCACGGCGCGCAGGGTGCTGCGAGCGCCTGAGCGACGGAGCACACGCGCGAGAGCGGCACGCGCAACGCACTGCGTTGCGCGACAGAGGGGGGGGCAGCAGCGGGGAGCGCGCGATTGCGGCGCCGTCTGGCGCGGTCGCGGGCGTCGGCGCGGGCGGCGTTGCAGACGAGAGCAATGCGTTCATGGAGAGATACCAACCTTCGAATCTCATTGCGCGGGCCTTCTTCTTCTGCTCCTCCGTCATCGCCCCGCCGTTGACGCCGAAGCGCTTGGCGCGCTCCTGCAGCTTGCCGACGTCCGCGTTCGCGGCGGCGTCCGCGGCCGCGGCGGGGGTGGCATCCGCTGCTGGCTCAGGGGTGGCCGCGGCGGGCGCCGGGGCCTGGGCGGCCGGGGCCGGGGCCGGGGCGGTGTCGCCCTCGATCTCCGCGTCGAGGTCTGCGTTTTCAGGCGCGGGGGCGTGCTTCGTCAGACGTGCAGCGCGGCTGCCGGCTCGTGCAGCCCACGCGGGAGACGCAGAGCGAGATCCAGAGCGCCTCCCAGGGAAATTCGCGACGTTTTGCACGGTACGGGGTTCCCAATAGGATGATCTGTCGGGAGGGCGGTCGCGGAGCGCTGTGGCCGCGTGATTCGAGGAAACAAGAGCAGAACTGTAAGCACCTGCAGCAATGTCGTCATGATCGGCGGGAGCCGAGTCCATGGCCTCCTTGAGGCGCGTCACGAGGTCATCCTTGTTCCCGGCCGTGTCCAGCCCGCGTTGCTCGAGCTCGACGACGAGCTCCTGCGAAGCAGCGGGGCTTGCCCTGTTGTGTGGGCGGGAACACTGCGCACGCCCTGCTCCCGCGGCCGCGCCTGCGGCATACCATCGCGCGCTGCGCCTCACACGCAGAGGCGGCCTTCGCCCGGCAGCGCAGGCCGCGTCGTCGTTCACGCGCGACAGGACGGGCGCGGGTCCGGCTGCCGGGGACAGCAACGGCGCCGGGGGGGCGTAGCGCAAGCGCGGTGCGGGGCGCGGGTACCCGCAGCGGCGTGATCAGTCCACGAGCGACGCGCGAGGCGGCGCAGACAGCCGGGGGCGCGGGCGTGCGGCCGGCGGCGGACGTCAACGGCCACAGGAGGCAACGAACGAGGCGCAGGACGCACCGCCTTCGTCTTCCGTTTCAGTTGTGCGAGCGTCGTCATGTTGTCTGCGTCCGGAGTGCGCTGGCGCGGCGCGGAGCGCTCTGCTCGAGGGCCGGGGGCTGCACACGCCAGCCTTACTCCGCCCCCCCCTCGGCGCTGCTCAGCAGTGCTGAGGGCCCCGTGCGTCCACTACAATGCCGCCCGTATTCGGTTCGAGGCGGCAGCCGCTCGGAAAAGTTGCGAGCATCTCACATCGTGACGGTCGACGTCTAGACCCGTGTTCGCGGCAGCGTTTCGAATACAGTAGCTGGGCACTCTAAACGCGGCTCTGTGGGCGCAAGCGACGCGTTCCGTGCGACTTGCGGGCGGACCCGCCTAGATACCCTTGCGTAGTTCCTGCTGGGAGGCCCCACCGGCTTGCAAGGGGGGCATAGGCCGGCCCCTGAGTGCCACCTCATCACCCAAGGAGCAGGCCGTCTCGGTCAGACGCGATGACGGAGGCGTCCGCGACGATCCCAGTGGCCCCCTCCGGCACCGATGAGTCCGAGAGGGAGACATATAGAAAGGCGGGGCGCGCGTATTTCGAGCAAGTCATGGCAACAGCACGCAACACCGCCCCAAGCAGTGGGCCGCCCGCCAACGGTGCGTTGGCTCCTCGACGCGGCGAGCGTACGCCTTGAATCACACGGCACGACACGCGTCCCGCGCCGTCCGTCGCGTTCCCGCCCGCACACCGCGCTCACAGACCCCCCCAGCTACGCGTGCAGGAGGCGCGAGCACACAGGGCGCCGACGAACCCGCCGCGCACCTCCACACCCGCAGCACCGTCCGGCGGCCCGTCGCCGGCATGCCCACCGCCAAGGCACGCCACCCGGCCTGACACCACCGTCTCCACACCCCCCGCCCCTCACCAGCACCACCGCCCGCCCGCCGCGGCCAGCCCACGCTCCTCGACCCGCGCCGACGCCCCGCAGGACCTCGAAGCCATGCGCAGCGCCGTCGAGCAGCACCGCGTCGCCCTCGTGACCGGGAGCGTGCTGTTCTGTAGCTGCACGACGTGGATCCTCCTGCGAGACGCGCTCGACTACCTCCCGGCGCCCGGGACGCTCTGTGTGCTCCAGATGGCCGCCACGGCCGCGGGGGCCGCGTTCTGGGGCCGCAGGGGGGTGTTTCCGTTCGCGTCCGGGCTGCCGAGCCTGCACGCAACGCAGGTGCGGGTGACGACGCGTGGAGGTCTCGCGCGGCATTGACGCTGCGTTGCGAGGTGCACGCGCCTCGGTGCGGGGCTCGGACGCAAGCGCCGATCCAGTGAAAAATCGAATATCATCAATCGAATATGATTACTCGACTGCTTGTTTCTATTTCTTTAATTACCCTGGATCGCCCCCATCGTTGTGCAGGCGTGCGTTCCAGCCATGGCGTGGACCTCCCTTCGGCTCCTCGCCATGTGCGGCCTGGTGTGGCACTGCGGCGTCGCGTTCGCCCTCGCGTCGTCGGCCGCGGCGCAGTTTCTACCCTTCGTCGTCCTGCAACACGTCCTCGCGACACCCCCCCTGACGCCACAGAACCAGACCGTCGGCGTCGGCGCCGTCGCGGTCGGCATGGCCGTCGCGTGCCTCGGAATATCCCTCCCCGGCCCAAAAGGACTCTTCTTCCTAAGTCTTCTGTTGGCAGCGGATCTTGCAGAGGCTGGGTGGGTGCGGGCGAGCTCGATGGGGCACACGCGGCTGGCGCACGCGCTCGGGGAGCACCGCGCGGCGGTGCTGCGGCCCTTGCTGGACGCGCAGGCGGAGGTAGACCCGGGCCAGGTGTACCTGTTGGCGCATTCGTTGCCAATTGTGCCGGTCCTGGCGCTGGGACTGACGTTTGGAGAGGCGCGGACGCACTCGCGGGCGCAGCACCATATTCCAGGTCCGGACTGCACGGGCGCGTGCGCGCCGGCGTTAGGCTCGGTCTTGCACGGGCGCGCGAATCGTCAGATATGCAGCGGAGAGTGACGGTGATTGATAAACGGTGCTGTTTGTTTTGCGTGCGGCGCAGGGCTGACGTCGATCGTGGTGTCCATGGTGTGCTACGCGGTCATGTCGACCGCGCTCTTCTTCCTGCGGCATACAGGCCAGCGCACACGCAGCACGGAGCTGGCGCTGGGCGTCGCGACGGCGACGGCGGTGGTGCTGGACCAGGCGGGCGGGAGCTCGTACGGTTTGCTGGCGGCAAGCGGCGCGCTGGTCACCGTGCTGGGCACCACCGCCGCGATTCACGCCAAGTGAGTGAGTGAGGCTCCGCGCGGCTGTGTGCTACGGCTATCAGGAGTAGTAGTACGGGGAACCGCGTCAACCACCTCGCCTGAGTGACCAATTGTTGCTCTCGGGTGGGCCGAGCGCAACGACGCGGTGGAGCTGTGTGAGGCTGATTGGTTTTTTCTAAAAAATGATATCGCGAGTGCACAGGTCTGTCATGTATGTGTGCGTGAGGGAGCCCGAGACGCAGCGGCCGCAGGCAACAACGTGTGTACCGCCGCGGCCGCTTCCTGCCAAGTCGCGGTCCTCGTCGTTCGTGCGCCAGCGGAGTGCGAACAAATGAACAACAGCGAACAAGAACAAGGGGAAACACCCGCAAACAAGAAGCTTAGAACACAGCAGCAAGGGGGACTGGAGACAAAGGAGGGCGACCTCGCCACGCACGGCTCCGAGACCGCGAGACTCGAGTCCTGGGTGACGGACAAACCACTCCTCACTGCGAGTGCGTGCGAGACAGCAACAGCGCGGCACGCGCGTCCCGCACAGCGCGTCAGGGCGAACAGATAGCGCAGGCCGATACGGCGCGGAGCCACGCACGCACCATGAACACCGCGCATCCGCGGCCTCAGCCCGTGCACGCCCCGTCGTGTCTCGCCGTCACAGCCCTCGTCACGCAGGAGCGGTGCGCGCCCCCGCACGCCGAGCGCGGCTCTATCTCCCTCAGTCAAACTCATGCGCGCGCGCTCAAACGAAGTCCGGCGCCAGGCTCGGGTTGTAGTCCTGGAGCGCCTTGTGCTCCACCTTTCCGCTCTTGAGCGCCTTGAGCGCGCCCGCCGTGGCCACCGCGCCGGCCACCGTCGTCACGATCGGCACCTTGAAGCCCAGCGCCAGGCGGCGGATCGCCTTGCCGTCCTCGAGGTCGTACTTGTCGCCCGTCGACATGATGATGGCCAGGTTGATCTCCTCGTTCGTGATCGCGTCCATGATGTTCGGCCGCCCCTCGTGCACCTTGAGCACCTTCTTCACGGGGATCCCCTCCGCCTCGAACCGCTCGGCCGTCCCCGACGTGGCCACGATGTTGTAGCCCATCTCCGACAGCACGCGCGCCACGGGGACGAGGAACTCCTTCGACTCGTCGTTCACCGACATGAACACGTTGCCCTCGAGCGGCAGCCGCTGCCCGGCCGCCAGCGACGCCTTCAGGTACGCGATCGAGAACTCGGGGTCGATGCCCATCACCTCGCCGGTGGAGCGCATCTCCGGGCCGAGCAGCACGTCCGCGCCGGCGAACTTCTCGAACGGCAGGACGACCTCCTTCACGGACACGTGCGGCGGCACGGGCTCCTCCGTGAAGCCGAGGTCCTCGAGCGTCTTCCCGGCCATGAGCAGCGAGGCGTACTTGGCGATGGGGTGCCCGATGGCCTTGGCGACGAACGGCACGGTGCGGGACGCGCGCGGGTTCGCCTCGATGATGTACGGCACGCCGTCCTGCACGACGTACTGGATGTTGATCAGCCCGACCACCTTGAGGGCCTTGGCGAGCTTGACCGTCCACTCGCGCATCTGCGAGAGAGCCTCCTCGGAGACCGTCTGCGTGGGGATCGAGCAGGCCGAGTCGCCCGAGTGCACGCCGGCCATCTCGATGTGCTCCATGATCCCGCAGATGGTCACGTTGCCGTCCTTGTCGCAGAGCGCGTCCACGTCGAGCTCCGTCGCGCGGTCGAGGTACTTGTCGACCAGGAGCGGCTTGTCGGGCTCGACGAGCGCCGAGGTGCGCACGTACTTCTTCAGCTCGTCGTCGCTGAACACCGTGACCATGCCGCGCCCGCCGAGCACGTACGACGGCCGCACCATGACCGGGTAGCCGACCTCGTTGGCCTTCTTGACCGCCTCCTCCTCGGACGCCGCGGTCGAGCCGGGGGGCTGCCGGATCTCGAGGCGCGTGAGGAGCTGGTACCACAGGTCGCGGTCCTCCGCCTCGTCGATCGACGACGGCTGCGTGCCCCAGATCTTCACGTCGCCGGTGCCGGCGGCGTTGGGGATCGGGTTGGCGTCGAGGTACTTCTGGATCTCCGTGCACAGCTTGAGCGGCGTCTGGCCGCCGAACTGCACCACGATGCCCTCGGGGCGCTCCTTCTCGATGATGTTGAGCACGTCCTCGGCCGTCATGGGCTCGAAGTAGAGGCGGTCCGACGTGTCGTAGTCCGTCGAGACCGTCTCGGGGTTGCAGTTGACCATGATGGTCTCGAACCCGGCCTTGCGCAGCGCGAACGCGGCGTGGCAGCAGCAGTAGTCGAACTCGATGCCCTGGCCGATGCGGTTGGGCCCGCCGCCGAGGATCATCACCTTGCGCGCCTCCGTGGGGTTCGCCTCGCACTCGCCCTCGTGGTACGTCGAGTACTGGTACGGCGTGTTCGCCTCGAACTCCGCGGCGCACGTGTCGACGCGCTTGTACACCGGCACCACGCCGAGGTCCTTGCGGGCCTTGCGCACCGCCCACGCGTCGACGCCGAGGCACTTGGCGATCTGCTCGTCCGAGCACCCGCGGCTCTTGACCTCGCGGAAGTCCTCCGCCGTCAGCTCCTCGAGCTTGCACGACCGCAGCCACTTCTCCACCTTGGCCACCTCGGCGAACTGGTTGACGAACCACGGGTCCATCTTCGTCAGGTCCACGATCTTCTTCTCCGTCCACCCGAGCTCGAGCGCCTTCGCGATGTAGATCATGCGGTCCGGGTTGGGCGTGCGCAGGTTGTACGCAATCGTCTCCTCGTCCGTCGGCAGCGTGAACTTCTTCGGCACCGACATGCCGTCGTAGCCCAGCTCCGTCGACCGCATGGCCTTCTGGAACGACTCGATGAAGGTGCGGCCGAACGCCATGGCCTCGCCGACCGACTTCATCTGCGTCGTCAGCACGGGCTCCGCGCCGGGGAACTTCTCGAAGGTGAAGCGGGGGATCTTCGTCACGATGTAGTCGATCGAGGGCTCGAACGACGCCGGCGTGGCCTTCGTGATGTCGTTCGGGATGCGGTCCAGCGAGGTGCCGCACGCCAGCTTGGCGGCAAACTTGGCGATCGGGAAGCCCGTGGCCTTGGACGCGAGCGCGGACGACCGCGACACGCGCGGGTTCATCTCGATGACCATCACCTCGCCGTCGACGGGGTTGATGCCGAACTGCACGTTCGAGCCGCCGCACTCGACGCCGACGATGCGCATGATGGCGAGCGAGGCGTCGCGCAGGCGCTGGTACTCCTTGTCGGTCAGCGTCTGCGAGGGCGCGATGGTGATCGAGTCGCCCGTGTGCACGCCCATGGGGTCCACGTTCTCGATCGAGCAGATGATGACCTGGTTGTCGCCCAGGTCGCGCATCACCTCAAGCTCGTACTCCTTCCACCCGAGCAGGGACTTCTCGACCAGGACCTGGTTCGTCAGCGACGCCTGCACAGCAACGACGACATGCACGAGACTGAGCGAGACAACTCCGAGGCGCCAGCCACGCACACGTGCAGGCGCAGGTGCGTCGCCGCTGCGCGACGCGGGGCGTGGCCGCGTGGAGCGGCAGCGCGAAGCGGAGCGCGACGGTGTTTGCGCGCGCGTGTCCGTGCGGGGGGGGCGGCGCACCGAGAGGCCGGCCTTGACGATGCGGTGGAAGTCGTCGACGTTGTACGCGATGCCGCCGCCGGTGCCGCCGAGCGTGAAGGCCGGGCGGATGATGACCGGGAACTCGCCGATGAGGTTCTTCTGGATCTCGATGGCCTCGTCCAGGGTGTTGGCGGTGCCCGACGGAGGGCACTTGAGACCGATCTTCTCCATTGCCTGCTTGAACAGCAGGCGGTCCTCCGCGACGTTGATCGAGTCCAGCTTCGCGCCGATGAGCTCGATGCCCAGCCGGTCGAGGACGCCCATCTCCGCCAAACCCTTGGCCAGGTTGAGTCCGGTCTGACCGCCCATGGTCGGCAGGATCGCGTCCGGGCGCTCCCTCTCGACGATGTCCGTCAGGGCCTCGAACTGCGTGGCGGGGGAGCGCGGCGGCGCGGGTCGGGCGGGGCCGGCGCGCGCGCCGGCCGTCGTCGGTTGCAGGCGAGGGCAGCGGGGGGCGCGCGTGTGGCGGCGGCGCCGCGAAGGCGCGGTTGGGGCGGCTTGCGTGGACGGCAGGGGACGTGACATGCGGGTGGGGGCGTGGAGGGGGCGCGTGGGGGCCGGAACGAGGCGCGAGAGGGCGTGCTAGGTCAGCGGAGGGGCTCACCGTCATGGGGCCGACGTAAGTGCGATCGGCCGTCTCCGGGTCCGTCATGATGGTCGCGGGGTTGGAGTTGATGAGGATGACCTCGTAGCCCTCGGCCCTGCGGGAGATCGGCGGCGTGCGCGGCGGTGAGGGGCGGCAAGGCTGGCATGTGGCGGGGCGCGCAGACGGTGCGGCCGCGGCCTATCTCTGAAATTAGACCGCATGGGATCGTAGCACGAATACGTCGCTACGAGTTGCGGTCTATTTCGGCGCTGTCTACGGAGCCGCGGCGGCGGTCGGGAGCACTCCAACGCTGGCGGCCGAGTGGTGGACTTGTGCCGCCGGCGCGTCGGCGGGATAGTTTCCGGCGTCCCGCGGCGGCAGCGGAGCTTGGGGGCTCACCTGAGCGCCTTGCACGCCTGGGTACCGGAGTAGTCGAACTCACACGCCTGGAGGACGCGTAGTATGGAGAGGGGATGGCGGTTAGGTCCATAGCGGCGCGGCGGGCGCGGGACGGGGCGGCGTGCGCGGCAGCGCGGAAGCGTTGAGAGGAATGGTGCGCACCTGGCCGATGACGATCGGTCCAGCGCCGATGATCATGATGCGCTTGAGGTCGTCACGCTTGGCGACCGTGGCGGTGCCCGACTCCCACGCGCGGAACGGCGTGCCGTCCGCGCGGACGATGGTCGAAGACCGCTCCGGCGCATTGCCGCGGTTGCAACGCCCGACGACCGGCTTGCCGGACGCCAGCGGCCCTGGGGAGGGCCGCCGGCAGGGGGCGGCCCCCGCGGCGACCACGCGGTTCTGTGTGACGCAAGCTAGACGCATGATTCTACAGCGCCATGTGACCGCGCAGGGCGCGTCTGCGGGCCCAAATAGCCCGCCTGCCGCCCGAACGGGACCATCAGAGACGTCACTCCCAAACATCCCCACGGAGCCTCCGCAGGCCGTCACCGGGCGCTCGACGCGGCCACGACGCCGCACAGAGCCAGACCGCCCTTGGAACTACCCCTTCGCGACGCCGGCGCGCTGCGTCGCGGCGATGCCGCCACACAAGCGCCGCCATGCTTACCGCGGACCTGGTCACAGGGTGCCGCCCCGCACGCGCACACGCCGCGGAGCGCACCGGGGCCGCCCGCGCGATCGGGGCCAGCGCCGAGTGCTTCAGCGAAATTCTCTCCAAGCTGATCCGCAGCCGCACGCCGTGACTCACTCTTAGGACTCGCAGCAATAAGAGAACCCTAGCTGGCACCTGCGCCACACGCCGCGCAGGGCCTCCGCCGCACACTCGCCCGCGCGCCGAGCGCCGGGATCACGCCGCGCGCGCCCGCGATTCCCGCAGACGCGGCGTCCTTTGTAACCAGCTGCGATGTCTTCCGCGCGGCGCTGTCACAACAGGAACCCGTCGCTCGGGCTGTCGAAGTAGGCCTCAAGGATCATCGCCGCGGCCACGTCGTCCACGCGCCCGCCGCTCCGCGCCCCCGACCGCCCCAGCGCGTCCCCTGCGAGACACGCAACACAGCGTTTGCAGTTACGCGCCGCCGCGTGATGCGGCGCGTCGGACCACGCGTGCCGCGCCTGCGCGCCGCACCTGCAGTGCTAGACGTCATCCGCTCGTTCACGATGATCACCGGCAGCCCCGCTACGCCCGAGAGCGTCTCCGCAAAGTTGCGACAGGCGCGCCCGGACTTTGAATCGGTCGCTCGGTCGGCCAGGTCGCCGTTGGCCGTCACGGGCACGCCGACGACGATGCCGTCCGCGCCCTCGCGGCGCGCCATGTCCGCGAGCTGCCGCGCGAGGGCGCGCCAGTCGCGCGGCGTGTCGAGGATTCCGAGGGGACGTGGCGCGAAGCCGCCCGCGCTGAACGCGACGCCGGTCTTGCGCGCGCCGAGGTCGACGCCGAGGACGCGCTGGAGGCTCGGCGCGGGGCGGAGGCGCCGGCGGCGGCCGACCGGGCTGCCTGTGCGCGCGGGAGTGTTCTCCTCGCGCCGGGCGGCGCGCCTCGATGCCGCGGCGGGGCCGTACTTGCTGGCGAGACGCGCGCGGAAGTCGGAGAGGCTGCCTTCTGAGTCGGACTCGCTCGAGTTGGCGCAGGCGACGCGTCTCGAGGTCGCTATGGCACTGCACGGGGGGTGGCGGGCTCAGCCTCGAATGTGCGGGACTGGACGATGCGAGGGGATTTGATGGAAGTTGGCTCGATAATGAAGGCAGAGAGGCGGCGAACGCCTCAAGAAAGTCCGGAAATAGGCACTCACGGGCTCTGAAGCATCCATCCGCTTCGCAGCTCCGGCGCGCTGGCGTGAGCGGCCCGCCCTCCACCTTGGCGCCGAACCACCGCGCCGCCGTGTCCATCCCTCAACCGACAACTCGCCCCAGCTTCACCGCAACAACGAGGCCGCGCGTGCGCTGCAGCTCCTGTTGCTCGCCTCGGGAGGCAACACCACGCGCCGTGCACCGCTGCCGACATCGCTCGACCCCGACGTACCCCCGACCAGCGACCGGGTCAGCGGAGTGCCGGCGCGACCGGCGAACCGCGGCCGAACCGCCGTCGAAGCCATCTCCTGGATGTCAGACACGTAACTGTCACACCCCCTCTTTCTACCCGAGCATGGCCAGAGCGAGCCTCTCCTGCTCCTCCAGCGACATCCCCTCAACCTTCCGCCGCTTCCCGCCCCGGTCCCGCTCAGCCCCCCCCCTCTTCGCGCCCACAACCACCTCTGCCTCGACCCCGCTGTCACTCCCCCCCTCCACATCCCCCTCCGACCCCGCCCCGCTCTCGTCCGACCCCGAAGCGCCCCCCAGCATCGCGACCGGCGCCCCGACGCCCTCCGCTTCCCTCCGCTTCTGCCGCTGCAGCCGCCGCTTCTCTTGCCGAAGCTGTCGCGCCGCCTCGCGGTCTGCCTTGTCGCGGGCCCGCAGCTCCTCGCGCACGCGCTCGAACCGCTCCTCCGCGGTCGCCGCCCCCGCGACGCGCAGCCCGCCGTCGCCGACCTTCACCTTGCCCTCGGCAGCCGCGTCCGGCAACAGATCGAACGCGCTGATCTCGTTGCCTTCGTCGTCGAATACGACGCGCTTCGACGACGGCCCGAGGTCGTCCGCGCGGATCTTGAGCTTCTTCTTCTTCTTCTTGCGGCTCGCGCGCCGCTCCGCCGCCGCCCGCGCCGCCGCTTCGGCTGCCGCCTCCGCCGCCTTGATAGCCTCGTCATCGCGCTGCCCCGTGCGCGCGCCGAACACGTCCTTCCGCCGCACGACCAGAAAGTCGTCGGGCTCGCCCTCCGCGCCGCCGGCCTCCTCGCCGCTCCCCGCCGCCCCGTCCAGCGCCGCGCGCAAGGCAGCGCCGTCGCCGTCGCTGCGCGCCACGCGCCGCGCCGCGCCGTCGTCGCTCTCCTCGCTCCCGCTCTCCGCGCGGCCTGCTGCGCCTTCGTCCCCGCTGCCGCCTTCGTCGCTGCTCTCATCGCTGCCGCCGCCATCGCCGTTGGTGTCTTTGCCGCTGTCCGTGTTTTGGCGATTGGTGTTCGCTGCGCGGTCCGCCTCGTCCATCATGTCGCCGGCTGTCGTGCGCGACTGCGAGGTCTTCAGAAAGCGCAGCTTGGGCACCGACGCGAGGCCCATGGACAGCGCGAGGTCCGCCACCGGCACCTTGTGGACATCAAACAGCGCTTTGTTGCTCTGGAGGTTCAGGCAGCGCAGATACGACACGATCGCACGCTGCGCCATCTCCTTGACCTGCATCGAGCAGCGGCACGCAGAGATCTACGTCAAAACACGCGTGATCGATTTCAGCGGCGCGGAAACACGCAGCATTCGATGATTCCTCGATGTTCGTGCTTCCCTCCGTTTCCTTCCGTGTGCCCCTCGATCGCGGCGCGGCTCTGTACATCAGCGAGCTGCGCGTGCGTCGAGGGCGGCCTCACCTCGGGGACCTTCGACAGCAGGGCCTGGAGCGCCGGAGACACTTGTTGTTGTTTGTCTGGGTTCGGCCGAATCTGTTTGATAGGGATCTTGGCTTCGGCGAGCGCCTTGACCATCTCCGGGCGCTCGTGCGGCGTGAGCATCAGCATCGCCTTGCCGCCGGACGTGTACCGCGCAGTGCGGCCCGCGCGGTGGATGTAGGTCGCGACGTCGTCAGGGCAGTCCGCCTGCACGACCCAGTCGACGGCAGGGAAGTCCAGGCCGCGCGCCGCGATGTCCGTTGCGAAGAGCGCCATGCCCTTGGCCTCGCAGAACTCGTAGTACGCAGCCATGCGGCGCATCTGGTGCATTTTGCCGTGCAGACAGCGCAGCGGGATCCCGGGGCGCAGACGCCGGAACGCTTCGAACACGAAGCGGACCTGCAAAGACCATCCACGTACGCTGGGCTGAGCGAGCGGGTCCGAGCCAACAAGCTCGCAGCACGGTCGGGCGCGACATTCGTCCGCGTGTCGCTGCAAACGGCCTGTGTCATGCGTGGCGCGTCCGCGCACCGTCGGCGAGGCAGCACGCGCGCACCTGCTTGCACGTCGACAGGAAAACGATCGTCTTCTGCCGCGTGTGCGTCTTGAGGAACGACCACAGCATGTTGAGCTTCCCCTCCGCAGGCACCTCCACCCACACCTGCCTGAGCTTCGCCGGCGTCGCCACCGCGCTCTCCGCGTGCACCGACAGCCGCTCCGGGTCGCGCAGCGACAGCCGCGCGAGATCCTTCACGGACCGCGTCTGTGTCGCCGAGAACAGCATCGTCTGTCGCTGCCGCGGCAAGTTGTCGACGATCGCGTCCAGAGCCTCGCGGAACCCCATGTCCAGGATCCGGTCCGCCTCGTCCAGCACGAGCACGCGCAGGTTCGAGCAGTCGAACCCCGCCGTCTCGTCCATGTGCTGGAGCAGCCGCCCCGGCGTCGCCACTAGGATGTTGAGGCGCTGCACGCGCGACGCCTCCTCGCCGACGTCCTTCCCGCCGATCAGGAGGCCCGCGGAGAAGGTGTGGTGCCGGCCGACCTGCGCCGCGCACGCGAACCAGGCCGTGCGGTTGCGTGCACACTGTGTTCGGCGCCAAACAAACAGAGCGCTGCATTCGGCGAGTGATGGCGTCGCGGCCAGCGCCGCCGCGTCGAGCAGCGCGACGCCGCGTCGAGCAGCGCGACGCCGTGCCCCGCATGCGGGTAGCCGGGTCGTCCGGTGCAGCGCAGTTGCACGTGACGGCGATCAGCAAGAATCCTCGTGGATGGAAACACACCTTTCGCAGCTCCTCGAAGATCTGCAGCGCGAGCTCGCGCGTGGGGCAGATGATGAGCCCGCCGAGGCCGTCCTGCATGGCCCAGCGGGACCGGTAGAGGCGCTCGAGGAGAGGGATGGTGAAGGCGAGGGTTTTCCCCGAGCCGGTTTTGGCGGCCCCGAGGACGTCCCTGCCGCACAGGGCGTGCGGGAGAGCGGCGCGCTGGATCGCCGTGAGGTTGGTGTACTTGGACTCCTTGAGCCCCGCGCGCGTGAAGCGCGAAAGCGGGAGGTCCTCGAACGTGCGTACTCCGGCGTAGCAGGGGGGCTGGGGGCGGGCCAGAGCGAGCGGGTTCGACCCCGGCTCGGGCTTCCCGGCCTGCACATTGCGAGAGGATGGGTGGTGGGAGCGCTGAGGGGCGTAGCGGCGCACGACCAATGCCGCGCTGCGGCACACGGCGCAGCCAAAGCCTTCAGAGTACCCAGAAACAGAATGTTTCGCATTGTGCGAGATGGTGTGGGTATGAGCGGCCCGTTATCTGTCCACGGGCGCTTCACCGAAATGTGAGGCACGCGCGGGAGTTCCCGTCGAGATCCGAAACGCCTGCGTGGCGACTGTGCGCGGCGGCGAAGGACTTGCGAAAGGCATCGCACCTCAATCCTGTCGTCCAGCTCGGCAATCTCCTCCTTTTCCTGCTGCAACGTCAACTTCATGACGCGCTTCTTCCCCTTCATGGCCCAGCACCAACCCCTGACTCCTCCTGGCCGGGACTCGGCCCCTTTCCTCCCTAGTGCTCAGCAGCCGCCCGTTTCGCGGCGCTGGCCGGCCGTTCGCAGCGCTCTGCGCGCTTGTCTATCGGGAGATCCTCCTACAAGTATTCAGCGTGAGAATCAGGCCTTCCAGCGCCGCCACGCAATCGCCGTCTCGCCCTTGGTTACGTATGCGCAGGCCCGCCCGTATCTGGGGACTTTCAGCTTTGCTTGCAGGCCGCGCAGGCTTCTTCTTCGCCGTCCGCACCTCCCCGCGACGCAACATCGCCCGCAACGACCCCGCCTGCTCGCCACGGGGGCAGGGGCCATCGTGGACACGGCCCGGGGCCGTTCCCGGGCGCTCGGGTGCCGACCCTCGCGCTCAAAGACCGGCCTGGATGCGCCGCCGCGGTAGAAGCCCTCGTTTTCTGTCCAGCAGCGCGGAAGTTGCCGCCGGGGGATCTTCCGGCGAGGCGCACGGCAGCCATTCCTTGGCTCTGCTCTCACGCGCAATTTCTCCGCGCGGGGGCCGCGAGACGCGCCCTGCGCACCATGCAGACGCGGCTCTCGAGTTCGTTCGCCGCGGTCCGGCCAGCGGGGCATGACGCGGCCGCGAGCGCGCGTCTCGCGCGGTGGCCTAGCACAGGCAGGCAGGCCCTACGGCCCGCCGCACGCGCGGCCGCGGTCGTGAGGCCGGAGCTCGACGCAGCGAGGCGCTCAATCCGCGTTTTCGCAAGCGATTCGCGGGACGTTTCGGCGCAGAGCGCCAGCGCGGACCCCAAGCCGAGCACCCGGCCTGACCTCCCCAAGAACTTCGAACCATCCCGGGAACAGGACCTCTACAGGTGAGCCGCGCCCAAACAATGCGCCGCCGACCTGCATTACCGGCCGGCGCGACATCGCAAGCGCCCGCCGCGGCGCGGCCGGCCCGAGCGGGCGTCGCGGACTCTGCTCGCTGCGGCCAGGCACCATCCCAGCGCCCACAGCGGCGTCCTCGCGGCCCTCTAGAGCCCCAATCTTGCTCCCTGTGGACCGCACGCTCTCGCCAGAGCGATCCGTGCGATACCACGGTCGCCTCTACGCTCCTGCGGACCAGCTCATACGGATAGTGGACCAGCGGGGGGCGGAGGGGCAACGCTGGCGTTTTCCGCGCATTCGCGGCCCCGCGCCGCGCGTCCGCGCTCGATCCGATCCCCTGGGCGCCGGCTCCGCGCAGGTGGTGGGAGGAGAGCGGGATGTTCCGGCCGGAGCAGGCCCCGGCGGCCCCCGACGCGGCGCCGTTCGTGGTGTCTATGCCTCCGCCCAACGTCACCGGGAAGCTCCACATGGGCCACGCGATGTTCGTCACGCTCGAGGACGTCCTCGTCCGGTTTAACCGCATGCGCGGCAAGCGCGCGCTCTGGGTCCCCGGCACGGACCACGCCGGTATTGCCACGCAGATGGTGGTGGAAAAGCTTCTGGCGCAGGAGGGCACGAGCCGGCGCGAGGTCGGGCGCGCCGCGTTCACGGAGCGCGTCTGGGACTGGCGCGGCGAGTACGGCGGCTTCATCACGCAGCAGCTGCGCCGCCTGGGGGCGTCGTGCGACTGGTCGCGCGAGCGCTTCACGCTGGACGACGGCCTGAGCGCCGCCGTGGCGGAGGCGTTCGTGCGGCTGCACGACAAGGGCCTCGTGTACCGGGGCTCGTACATGGTGAACTGGTCGCCGTCGCTCCAAACCGCTGTGTCTGACATAGAGGTGGAGTTCTCCGAGGAGGCCGGGAAGTTATACTTCTTCAAGTACCCCGTCGAGGGCGGCGAGGACGGGGAGGAGGAGTTCCTGCCCGTGGCGACGACGCGCCCGGAGACGATCCTCGGCGACACGGCCGTGGCGGTGAACCCGAACGACGAGCGGTATAAGCACTTGGTCGGGCGGAGGTGCGTGGTGCCGATGACGGACCGGACGGTGCCGATCATCGCGGACGAGTACGTCGACATGGAGTTCGGGACGGGCGCGCTGAAGATCACGCCGGGGCACGACCCGAACGACTACGAGATCGGGCAGCGGTTCGATCTTGAAATCATATCCATCATGAACAAGGACGCCTCGATGAACGAGAACGCGGGGAGCTACGCCGGCCTCGACCGCTTCGAGTGCCGCAAGGCCCTCTGGGCCGACATGGAGTCGACCGGCCTCGCCATCCGCGTCGAGGACTACGAGATGCGCGTCCCGCGCTCCCAGCGCGGCGGCGAGGTCATCGAGCCGATGGTTTCGGAGCAGTGGTTCGTCAAGATGGAGCCGCTCGCGAAGCCGGCGCTCGCGGCGGTGCGGAGCGGCGACATCCGGATCGTGCCGGACCGGTTCGAGAAGACCTACACTGGCTGGTTGGACGGAATCAAGGACTGGTGTGTCTCGCGGCAACTCTGGTGGGGCCACCGGATCCCGGTGTGGTACGTGCACGCGGACGAGGACGCCGCGGCGGCGGCGCGCGCGGGCCCCGCGGAGGGCCGGTCCGGGGAGTACGTGGTCGCGCGGGACGAGGAGGAGGCGTACGACAAGGCGCGGGCGGCGCACGGCGACGGCGTGGCGCTGGTGCAGGAGCCCGACGTGCTGGACACGTGGTTCTCGTCGGCGCTGTGGCCATTCTCGACGCTCGGGTGGCCCGCGAAGACCGAGGACCTCGAGCGGTACTACCCGACGCAGGTGATGGAGACGGGGCACGACATATTGTTTTTCTGGGTCGCGCGGATGATCATGATGGGCATCGAGCTGACGGGGCAGTCGCCGTTCCACACGGTGTTCCTGCACGGCCTGGTGCGCGACGAGAAGGGCCGCAAGATGTCCAAGTCGCTCGGAAACGTCGTGGATCCCGTGGACACCATCGAGACGTACGGGACGGACTCGCTGCGGTTCACGCTCGCGACGGGGACGACGCCCGGGCAGGACATCAACCTCTCGATGGACCGCGTCACCGCGAACCGCAACTTCACCAACAAGATCTGGAACGCGGGCAAGTTCATCTTGTTCAACCTGAGTCAGGAAGACAAGGTCTCGGACGCGGACTACGAGGCCCTGCGCGGCGCGACGGTCACCGACCCGGCCGAGATCGCCGCGCTCCCGCTCACCGAGCGCTGGATCGTCTCGGCCACGCACCGCTGCGTCGACCGCGTCACCGCGCTCCTGGAGAAGCTCGACATGGGCGAGGCCGGGCGGCAGCTCTACGACTTCTTCTGGGGCGAGTTCGCGGACTGGTACATCGAGGGCAGCAAGACGCGGCTGTACTCGGACGACCACGCCACCGCGCAGGAGACGCGCAAGGTCCTAGTGTACGTTTACGACACGCTGCTCCGCCTCCTGCACCCGATGATGCCGTTCTGCACCGAGGACCTGTGGCAGGCGATCCCGCACCGCGGCGAGGCGCTGATCGCCGCGGAGTGGCCGGAGCCCGGCCGGTACGTCGACGAGGGCGCGATTGCGAGTTTCGAGGCTCTGCAGGCCACGGTCCGCGCGATCCGCAACTGCCGCGCCGAGTACGGCGTGGAGATCTCGAAGAAGATCGCCGCGACGCTGGTCGTGGAGGACGAGGCGCTGCGCGCGGAGATGGCCTCGGAGGTGCGGGCGATCGCCGCGCTGGCGAAGCTGGAGGAGGCGTCTGTGGAGGTGGTGGGCGCCGCGGGGGAGGCGGCGGTGGGGAACGGGGGGGAGTCGGTGACGCTGGTGGTGCGGGACGGCGTGGAGGTGCTGGTGCCGCTGGCGGGGCTGTTTGACGCGAAGAAGGAGATGGCGCGGCTTGAGAAACAAAAGAGCAAGATTGAAAAGGAGCTGGGGTCTCTCAAGGGGCGGCTGGGGAACAAGGGGTTCGTGGAGAAGGCGCCGGAGAGCGTGGTGAACGAGGTGAAGGCGCAGGCGGCGGAGCTCGAGGAGCAGCTCGCGGCCGTGCAGGAGAAGATGGACAAGGTGGCAGCCATGGCAGGGTGAGTGTCATCTGGCGAATCGATGTGAGTGACAGTCTGGCAGTGGTATTTGTGGTGCGGGTGGGAATACCTGTGCGTGGTGCGCGTTCGTGGACACGTGAGGCCGGGCTGGATCGCTGGCGGTGGGGCGGAACAGTTGCGGCGGTGTGCGGCAGCCAGTGCTGCGGGCGCGGGGGCGCGGAGGGCGGCGACGCGGGCCGGCACTGCGTCGCTGTTGGAGCGGGACGCCGCGACGGCGCGTGCCGCCCGTGGCGCCCGGGCGGAACGGGCGGCCCCGCAGGACGAGCTCCGTAGAGCTCCGTAGCAAATGAGCACAAATTTCGGCACCGTCACGTCTTGGTGCGAGACGACGGTTGGCGCCAAAACGGCGCCGGTTGTCAGATATTCGGTGCGTCTGCGCTGAGATGTGGTTCTCGCGCGCGTTGATCCACGAGGCAGCCGGCAACGTCGCGCGAAGTGCAGTGGGGCACTTCGCGTGTGTGCATGCCGCATGCGCTCGACGCGGCGTGAGTGTACGCGACGAGCGAGCGGGAGCGTCTTTGAGCGCCACACAGCTGCCCTGAAGCTCCTGTATCTCGCTGAATTCGCAGACACTCAAATTGCAGAAGAGAGACGAGACGCTCACCAGCGGTCACATGCCATACGCCGCAGGCGCGCGGGCGGCCTGGCAGCGCAGCACCGCGCCAGGAGCGCGCACACCTCGCACACTCCCTCCCTCCCATCAGCACTGCCGACCGAGCCAGACACCCCCACAGAAGAAGTACTGACGCACCTCCGCCCCCGCTGCACGCCGGCCACGAGCTATCCGCCCTCACAGCCGGCCGCGGACCCAGGCCCACGCCCGCCTACGCCAACTACCAGCCCTAAAGCTCCCCCGCTCACTCCCCCCTTAGACCGGCACGCCCGTCAGACCGTGCTCCTTCAGGAAGTCTGCCACGTCAGGATGCTCGCCGTCGCGCTCCGGGTCGGCGGCCAGGAACGCGCTCGCGCTCAGGCCCTCCTCCCGGAAGCTCGTCGCGAGCGCCTGCGCGCCCATCTTGTCCTGCGCCTGCTTCAGGATGGCCGCGGCGAGATCGCGCCGGTCGAACATGTCCTCGACCTTGGACAGCCCGCCCGCGACGGCCGACGCCGGGAACACCCCGCACTTCATCAGCGTCGCCGTGACCATCCCCAGCTGCTCCGGAGCCTTCGGATAGTCCATCTTGAGGTCCTCAAACATCTCGAAGAAGCTTTCCAGGCCCGCGACGACGTCGTCCTTGCCCAGGAACTTCTCCGTGACGGCCAGCTCGATCAGGCGGCACACGGCGCCCTGCGACTTGGCGTCGAGGAGGTCGAGGGTCTTGTAGACGCACTGCTGCAGGAGCTGCGGCATCCACCCGGGCTGGTTGACCTCCTGGAGGCAGAGCTTGGCCTCCTTGGCGTCCTGGACCGCGACGAACTCCTCGATGAGGCCGCGCGTCTTGTTCTCGAGCTCCTCGGGCGTGAGCTCGTTGCCCGAGGGCTGCGGCGGCGACACCTGCTCGGCGATGGCAATGTCGCCGATGAGGCGCGAGGCCTTGCCGTCGTGCGTGTTCATCGTCGAGCGCGCGGCCTGCGCGTGCAGCGCGTCGGACGCGCGCAGCGCCGGGAACAGCGCCACCTCCTCGGGCCGCGGAGGCCCCTGCGACATCCCCGGCAGGATCGGCGCGCCGGGCGCGGGCGCCGCGGCGGGCGTCGGGCGCGTCATCGTGATGCCCGCCGCCGCCGCCTCCGCGTGGATCTCGTCCAGCTTCTTCGCCTGCAGCGTCTCGCGCCGCGGCACCCAGTTGTTGGCGCGCGTGTCCAGCACCTCCCGGATCATGAACCGCAGCCGGCTCGCGAGCTTCTGGTCCTCGGACATCTTCTTCAGGTGCCCGAACGACTTCTCCAGCGCCTGCCGGTCCAGCTCCATGTCGCGGCTCGCGTTGCGGTCCCCCTTGCCCTTGCGCGCCGGCGCCGCCTCCGCGTCCAGGGTCTTCCCGGCGATGGAGAAGAGCTCGCAGACGGCCTCGATCGCGATCTCGCTCGGCGTCGCCTTGCCGGACCCGAGCAGGTCCTGGATGACGTCGTACATCACCCACTTCGGCACCACCTTGCTGTCGCCGGCCTCGCGCAGGTGCAGGTGCGCGATCAGGCGGACCGTGCCCATGGTGCGGCTCTTCGCGTGCCGCTCGGCCTCGGCCGCGTCCTCCGGCTTGGCGACGCGCAGCTTCTCGCGCGCGTCCCGGGCGGCCTCGAATTCGTCGTGGCACGTGTTGAGGAGCACCTTCACGAATTTGATCGGCCGGGACTCCCCCTCCGGCGGGGGGAACTCGGGGAGCTCGCGCGAGAGCGCCTCGCAGAGCTCCGCGTAGAGGTTGCAGAACGTCGGCTCGGCGACGGCCTTCTCGAAGACCAGCGAGATGGTCAGGCGGAGCGCCTCCGCGGTGGTGACGATCTCGAGCATCTGGCCGAGGAGGCGCTCGAACTTCTCCGGCGCGAGCTTGTTGAGGATGCCGCGGATCTGCCGCCCGACGCGCTCCAGCGACGGCGCGCCCTCCTTGCCGTGCGCCGGCGCCACGGGCCGCCACGCGGTGCGCCCGACGTCGGAGGCCTTCTGGATGCGCGCGGATGCGTCGTCCGTCCCGCGCGCAGCGCTCCGGGGCGTGCCGCCGGGCTGCGGCGCCCAGTTCCCGGTGCCGCCCGCGCCCGCGCCGGGCGTCGCGGGAGTGCGGTTCTGCGCGGCGGCGAACGAGGCCGGGGAGTGGCCCCAGGTCGAGGCGTCGGCGCCCTCGCCCGCGAGCTCGCGGACGTGCTGCCGCTGCCGGTCGCGCTGCTCCCCGGTGAGGAGCACGAGGGGGAGGGTCGAGCCCTCGAGCTCCGTGGGCGCGCGGACGTTGGTCTCGGCCAGGGAGAGGAGGAACTCGCGCGTGTAGCGGACGATCTCGCCCGGGGGCTTGGGCTCGCGCTTCGGCCGCACGGGCGCGCGCGTCTGCGGAGCGCAGGGGGGCCGGGACAAGGTGGGCAAGGGCGCGTGCGGCGGGTGCGGGGGTCGAGGCCGCGAGCGGTGGCGCGTGGAGGCGTGCGGGGGTACGGAGAGGGCCGGAAGGATGGCTGGAGCGCCGGAGGGCCGCCGGGAAGGCGTGGCAGCGGGGAGACGTTTGCTTTGGGGGCTCATGGGGCCCGCGCGGTGCGGTGGGCGCGCCGTCGCAGCGCGGCGCAGCGCGGGCGGGTTGCTGGTATCGTGTGTAAGGGGAGGGTGGCCATCGGGCGCCGCGCCGCCGCCTCTAACGCATCGAAATCGCGGTGGCTGCCAGGAGGGGTGGCCCGGTTGCGTGGCCGGCGGCCCGTGAGGGCCTCCCGCGGCGGCGCCGGCATTCCCGCCGGGCATGGATGCGGAGGTGTCGCGGAGAGACGGCGTGCGGCCCGGTGCGGGGCGCTCGACAGGCAGCCCGCCTCCTGGTCTAATAGCTCGAGCCGAGGTCCGCGCGAAGCGGGCGCCCGCGGCCCTATGCGGCGGAAATCGCGGCACGACGGAATGGTACGAGCATCCTCTCGCACTGCAAATGGTATCCACCCCGCCCACGCGCCGAAACCGCGCGGCGGGGCCAGCCTGAGCGCCGTCCACGGCGCTCCGGCGCTCGCGCGGATGCGCGAGGCCGCGAAATGCGCGGCACGCACGACGCACACGTACCTGCTGACTCGTCATCGCGCCAGCGCCCATTCCCATGAACCCGAACGGGCTCTTGCCCCCACCTCCAAAGAGGCTTCCCCCGCCGGGGCGCAAACTCACTTGATCGAGATCCGTCATGATACCCCGTCGCGATCCACATGCGCAGCCCCGCCCGCCCAGCCGGCAATGACCGCCGCGGCGCCCCCGGGCCCCGCCCTTGCTCAGCAGTGCTCGGCGAAGCGCGTCAGGGGTGTCCGCACCACGGCTCTCGTACCCCGCCAGCGGCCTCTTGCTACCCCCACACGCCCGCCCCGGATCACACCTAACGCATCCCCGTCACAGCACACCCCACGACTCCGCAGCGACACCGCCACACGCGCCTCGGAAGAGGGATCCACCAACCAGGGGCTATGCGCGGCGCCCTCGCGCGCCCCTCGCGCGCCACGCGCGCCGCGGCGGCGTCGAGCAGGCCAGCCGCGGCCCGCGTGGCGCCCGCGCAACCCTCCACGCGCGCCCAGCCGCGCCACGCGCGGCCCGGCGCTGTTGTCCTGGCACGCTCTCGGGGGCGCGCGACGCGCGCGGCCGCGGACGGCAGCGCCGATGCGCCCGCCGAGGCGGAAGTCGAGATGCCTCGCACGCCCGAGCGCCAGATCTCGCTCGCCGTCAGGTGCGCACCCCGTCGCTACGCCCCTGTGGACGCGGACCTTTGCTAGGGTACGCAGCTGCTCGGGCCCCCGCCGTCGCGGCACTGCGCCTTCCGCGCCCCGGCACACGCCTCCGCAGCCCCTGCCTCTCCCCGCCGCGCCCGGCACGGGCGCCCGTTGCTTGGCCGCGGTGCGTGTGCGTGTGTGTACATCGCCGTGCCGACCCGCCGTCTGCGGCCCTGGCGCGCGCAGGTCCGTGTGCGCGGCGTTCAAGGAGGGCAAGACGCGGCAGCGCACGGAGATCCTGCTGCCGCTGATCGGCGCGACGGACCTGGACGACTGGCCCGGCGGCATCCAGCAGCAGTTCAAGGCGGCACTGCCGCTCGTGGAGGACCTCCTGCGCGGCGTGCGCGAGGGCACGGGCCTGACGGGGAAGCTGGAGGCCGAGGTGATCGACATGGGGGACGCGGTGGGGTGTTTTGAGTCGGACAAGATTCTGGCGGTGCTGTTTCCGAGCGGGTCGACGATGAAGGAGATCATCAAGCGCGCCGAGGGGAAGGAGCTCGTGCTGCTGATCAACCCGCAGTGGAGCACAGGTGCGCGCGCGCGCTGCAAATCGCGCCGCCAACAGGTCCCCCCCCGCACGGCCCGTGCGTCCCCGCGCGCGCTCCCCGCGGCGCGCGCACGCGGCCTCGCGCTTCCCTGATCGCGCGCTTCCTCGCGGGCCCGATCCCGGCCGCCCGGGCCGACCGCTGCTTGCCAGCACGCCGCGCACCGCATCCACGCACACGGCCCGCACGGCTTTCCCGGTCCGCAGAGAACGCGTACAGCAACGTGATCTCCGACTTCGGCATCCTGTGGGCGAAGGAGCGCGCGGAGAAGTTCCTGCAGCCCTTTGTCGAGACGTTTTACTTCGTGCAGACGCGTGTCGACGGCGAGAACCTCCGCGTGCTGCGCGCCTGGCCGCTCGGGTACCAGGTGTTCGCGGTCGACGAGGTCGGCGGCGGGCGCTTCCTCGGGAGCGAGCCGGGCCGCCCGGCGTACGCCACCCTCAAGGAGCTGGCGGCGAGTTTCGAGGGCAGCAAGGCCGCGATGGGCATCATCGACCGGATGTACGCCGAGGCGGACTACATGCGCAAGACGATGAAGGCGCCGCCGCCGCGCGAGTGACGGCCGCGGCAGCTGTGATGCGGAGCACGCGGGTCACAAGATGGCGCGTCACAAAAGCTGCAAGTATCTGGGCATCACCCTTGGCCAAGACAAGGGCCGACCACCGGGTGTATCGTCGCACATGTCCACCGCGGGCGACAAGTCCCGGAAGGCAATGTACAGCCTGTCGAAACGCTGCTGGCAGACGGGAATCTTTGACCCCCTCCTGCAATCTGCCCTCTTCAAGACATACGTCACACCGGTTTCGACGTACGGCTGCGAACTCTGGTCACCACGCCTCGGCCTCAAGCCACTGCGGGACCTTGACGGCCGCCTGACACGCATCCCGTCCCAACACCCCGCGCGCGCCCAGCGTGCATTTCTCGCCTCCCTCATATCCACCGCCAACCAGCGGATCACTTCCTGCTACAAGACGCCGCCCGAGCTGCTCTTCCGCGAGTTCGGGGCGCTTCCCCTCGAAGCGACGTTGTGGGCCCGTAACTTCGACTTTTGGGACTCGTTGACGAAGCTGCTGTACACAGCGCGAACGAACCCGACCTTGCCCCCCGACTTCCCGCACATGACGGTCCGGGCGTTCACCGCGCAGCTGCTGCTCGCGGCGGAGCCCGATTCCGACGCGTTCGTCACCCACCCTCCAGCAGGAGACACGGCGGAGGGCGACGCGACATCGTCGAGCGCCGCACGGATGGGCCGCCCCCGTGCGGCTCAGCCGGACCCGTCGGACGACACGGACGACGACGACGGAGCTGCACCGCCGGGCCAACAGCGGCGACTACGACAACTTCAACTCCCCCCGCACATGCAGCCGGGCCGGCGCGACGCAGGAGCACGGACCGCCGCGCGCCGAGACCACGCAGCTCGGACCACCCGAGGCAGGGGACGTGCAGCACGGGACGGCCGCACACCACCTCGATCGCGGCCCTCGCTACCACCGGCATCCCGCAGCACTGAATCGAACCGCTTGACTGTTCGCACGCTGGACCGGACCACGCGAGGGGGATCCCGCGCTACACCGAGGCCGAACTACTGCGAGGACTCCTCGGCTGCCACTGGCGACGACAGCGAATCAGAGTATGAGGGGTCGCACAACGCTACTGCGTCTTCAACGACCTCCCTGACGGACTCGGATGAGCCGGGCCAGCGGTCGCAGCCACGGATCACCCGGGGACGGGGGCGAGGCGGACGATCACGGGGTCGCGGGCGGCGCGGGGGAGGCAGGAGCGGCGCGGGCCGACGGGGACTACGCACGACGTCGACAACTCGTACGAGCACAAGGCGCGCCGAACCCGCAGCCCACCGCCTCCGCAAACGCGAGCTACCGTGGGCAGCGCACATCGCGGCGGCCATCACTCAGATAGGCGGCACGCCAGGGACCCCGCAGCAGCCACACCCTGCACCTGCTGTGGGCAGGGTACGAAAGATCGCTCAGGTCGTGCTGCCGGACCACGAGCCCGCGGCAACCCCGGATCCCCGGACCGAGGTCGCTCAGCACGGGCTTGGCCGCACACGGGCCAGGTACGCCTGGTGGTGCCAGCCACCACCGCGCACCATCCCTTCACATCTGCTCGACACCGCGATCTACCACGCGGACCGCCGTGCCCTATCCCGCCTGCGTGTGGGAGCTACGAGGCTGCGCACCTCCACGATGGCCATGGCGGACCAGGAGCAGCAGTGGCATCACACACCGCTGTCGCACCCGTCGAAAGTCTGCCGCTTCTGCGTGGACATGGCGGCATCGCCCGCCCCGGAGGACCTCCGCCACCTGCTGCTGGACTGCTGCGCCCCAGCGGTACGCTCTCTCCGGGAACGAGCGGGCCTGGCCATGGACTCGTCTGGGCACCTCACGCTGCCACCCCCGCCCGCTGCCGATGCGCCCCTGTCGTCCACGGCAACTGTTGGACAGCGCCGCCGCTTCGCTCTCAACCGCCGGCTACGCCAGCACCTCGAGGACCTGTACGGCGCTGCAACACTCGACTCGGAAGCCGCTGCCAACGCTGCAGTGCGGTATTTCCTGAACCTGCCGAATCAGCGAGGCATGGCGATCTTTGCTCGTGGCATCGAGGATCTGCTCCAGGCCGACTCTGTCACAGCTGCCGAACCTGTTGCTACCATAACGGTGCGGGGTTAGCATGACTCGCCACCTAGTCGAATGATCTTGTCAGGTCCCAAAGCCTTATGGCTGACGACGCGAAGAATGTGACACCTCACCTCACCTCAAGCGCGCCGTGGTGGGAGGCATGCCACCCACCCACTGTCATGCTCGTCGCGTGCTGGGGGCGGGGCCCGTCGAGAACGGCGCGAGAGTAGGGAGCGGGGCCGGGGCGCGGCGCACTGCGTAGCATGTTGTGCGGCGCGTGCTAGAGCTCGGAGGGGCGCTTCCCGGAGACGAATTCGAGCACGCGTGGCATCGCGGTCTGCAGGGCCTTGGCGGCCATGCCCAGGTTTTCGAGGAATTCTTCGCTGGACGGTTTGTCGCCGTCGACAATGTCGGTGATGGCCTTCACGCACACGAACGGGACGTTGTGGAGGCTGCGGGTGGAGGGGGCGGAGGGGGACGTGGGAGGCTGCGTGCTCGCGGGCTGGAGCGTCGGAGGGCTCGCGACGCGGCGGCGTGCGGTGTGCTGGGAGTGACGGAGAGGGCGATTCCGGAGCGCACCTGCAGGTCCAGGCGTGCGCGGACGCCTCCATCTCCTTGATACAGGCTTCGTTGGCGTCGAGCATGCGCAGGTCCTCATCGCACGCCTCGAGGGAGTTGCCCGAGGAGACGACGCCGGCCTTGAAGCCCAGCGCGGCGCGCATGGCGTCCGTCTTCGCGCACTCGATCCGCTGCACGCCGTACACGTCGAACCCTGGGATGGAGATGCGCCGGTCGTGGTTCGCCACTGCACAACACCAAGGGACGCGCGGCTGTCGCGCGTACAAGACCGCGCCTGGCACACGACGCCTTGGCGAACCACGGAGCGCTGACAGCGTTGCTGGACCTCGTTCGGCACGCCACGGCACGCCAGTCACCATATCTGTCGAAATTGTACCGCAAGAGTTCCAGTTCGCGGCTGCTCCGGCCCCGGCGCCGCATCCGCACCTGCAGTCGACACGTACACGTCGCCGACGGCGCCGCCGCGCTTCGCGAACCCGCCCGCGGTGCCGGCGTTGATCACGAGGTCCGGCTTGAACGTCATCACGCTGAGGTACGACACCAGCGCCGCGGGAACCGTCCCCACGAGGTCCACCCCCGTCGGCCCATCCTTGCCGTGCGTCACGACCACCACCTGCATCCCCGCGTGGTCCCCGCGGTAGCACTTGCTCGGCAGCGGGCCTGGGAGCACGCCGGCCTCCATCTCCTGCGCGGCGCAGCCCGAGCCGGGCGGCGTGGTGAGCGCTGGGCGCTGCGCAGCACCGCCACGAGCACAGCAGGGCGGCGCGGGGGCGCGCCTTGAGCCCGAAGTGCTCGATCATGGGCGCGGCTTCGGCCTCCATCGCGACCAGGATCAGCAGGGTCCGGACGGGCCCGTCGCGCTGCGGCGCCATGGTTGGCAACAGTGCGCGGCGCAAGCGCTTTGTTGCTCCGTGCGGACGGTCGCGCGGTGCTCCGGCGTCCACGCGCGGCCCGCTGCTCACGCGTGTGCGCGGGGCGCGCGCCGCGGCGGCCCTCGTCCTCCGTGCGCGAGGGTACTGGAAGTACTCCGGGGGGGGTGCACGTGGCGGCGAAGAGTACTGGACGTGTCAACGAACCGAAAAGCCGGGGGCGGGTGTGGCGCGCCGGCGGGGCGCCGAGGGCGGCCGCACGCGCGTCGGGCGCGCACTTTTCATGCATATACAGCGATCCGAGGCGTTAGATGTGGCGAGGCGAGTGCCTTTCCCGCGACACGGCTTAACTGTCCAGACATGAGGCTGCATGGGCAGCGGGGCTCGAGGGCGCACCAGCTCTCGGCGGGCGGGGCGAAACGCGCGTGGACGCCCGAAGAGGTGAGCAGCCCCGCCGCGATCGCGGCGTCGCGCGCACGCGTGCGCTCCTCGCACTGTGCCTGCGAGGCGCTCGGCCGAGCGGGCCGGGCGGCGCCCGTGCGGCCTCGCGCGGCCGGCTGCGACGTCGAGGGGCGCAATTGCGGGCAGGTGGCGCCGAATTGACGGGGCACGGCGCGTTGCGCCACCGGGGGCAAAAGTCGCTGCAGCGGAGGGCGACCGCGTCGGCGCGCTGCACGCCGCGCGGGGCCGCGTCGGAGGTTCGGCGGCGACCTGGAGGTCGCACTTCTCGTCGCGCCGCAGCACCGCGCGAGGCGGCAACTCGCGCGCCGACCGCGAGCGTTCTCGCTTTCTTCGGTGTGCAGGATGCCGTGCTGCTCGCCATGATCGAGAAGCACGGCCCGCGGAACTGGAGCTTGATTTCCGAGAGTTTACCGTGGAGGAGCAGCAAGAGCTGCCGGCTTAGGTGCGCCACACGAGCAGCTGTCCGAGGTGCCTCGCACCGGGGCTGCAGCGCCGCGTGGGAGGGCGGCCTCGCCCCCCGCCCCCGGCGCGCAGTCCCACGGTCCGACTGATGCGCCGACATCCGTTCGCGACGCCGGGCCGACCCGAGGCGCGTCGGCCGCCGCGAGCGCGCAGCTGTCGCGAGCAGCCTCGGTACCGCGTCGCGCGAGCCGTGCGTGCGCCGTCGCGCCCGGCCGCCCGCGTCCGCGGGTCGCTCGTCCACGGAACCGCGCTGCTGCGGCAGGAAGCGCCGCCCACGAGCCCCCGGCGCGACGCGACGCTTTCGCTTTGCCTTTCGACCGCAGGTGGTGCAACCAGCTCTCGCCCGACGTGCGCAAGGACCCGTTCACCCGCGAGGAAGGCCTAATCATTCTCCGCTGCCACGCCAAGCTCGGCAACCGCTGGGCGGACATCGCCAAGCACCTCCCCGGCAGGTGCGTCCGCACGGTTCGTTGGCCGGCCAACGTCCCCGCTCCTTTTCCGCCCCAGCGCGCCCACGCCGCCCCCCGCGCCGCCCCCGCCGCCCTCGCAGGACCGACAACGCCATCAAGAACCACTTCAACTCAACGCTCCGCCGAAACTTCCCCCAGCTGTGCAACCCCGACGGAGCACCAGGCGACGACGACGTGCCGCTGCACAGCCCGGGCGGCCCCGGGACCGAGCCCGGCGCGCCCACCGCCAGCCTGCCCTCCGAGAACGAAGCGCGCAACACCATGATCTCGGCCGCCGCGCTCGCCGCCCTCGGCTGCGCGCCACCGCCTGCCGTTGGCACCGTGGCGGCGGAGCTCCCCGGGCTCGCCGCGGAGGCGCCGGCCGAGCCGCCCGCGAAGCGCCGGCGCGTCGCGCCCGTGCCGAGGTACTCTCCGCGCCTCCCCGCGGGCCGCGAGGCGTCGCTGTCGGCGTCGTCCGGCGACGACGGGGACGACGAGGGCGCCGACGACGACGACAGCGACTACAGCGTCGACGGCGACGACAGCGTGCCGCGGTCGACGTCCCCGAGCTCGCAGGGCGACGCCGGCGTCGAGGACGGCGGCCCCGCGGGCCCGCTGACGTGGCGCGTGCGCCGCCCGCGGCAGCCGCGCACCCGAGCACCGGGCGCCGTGGCACGCCCGGGCGCCGGCGCCCCCGCGGGCGGGCTGGCGCGGAACGGGAACGGGAACGGGAGCACGAGCGGCAGCGAGGGCCCGAAGGGCCCGCCGCCCGTGCACGCGAACGCGGCGCCGGCCGCCGGGGCGGGCCTGGCGGAGGCGCCGGCCCCGCAGGGGGCGCAGCAGGTGGGCATGACGGGCAGCCTGCAGAGCCTCGCGGCGCTCCTGGGCCCGCTGATCAACCTGCAGCAGGCGCTCGCGCTGTCGTCGCTCGCGCCCGGCGCCGCGGTGCTGAACACGGACGCGCTGTCGGCGGGCCTGTGCCAGCTCAGCACCATGGCGGGCGGCGGGGCCGCGCAGGCGTGCGGGCGCGACCAGCTCATGCAGGCGATGATGCAGGCGATCGGCGGCGCGGCGCTGGCGATGACGCCGCTCAACGACGTGCTCGCGCGCACTGGCAAGCGCACGGACGGCGCGGGGGGGGGGTACCCGCCGCCGGGGCTGAGCCAGCAGCCGCTCAGCCTGCTGTCCGCGCTGCTGCCGGCCGGGATGGCGTCGATCCAGCGCATGTCGGCGGAGTCCGTGCAGGCGAACGCGTCGGGCGGGGGCTCGGGGGGCAACAACAACGGCTCCGGCAACGACGGCTCGAACAACAACAACGACGGCTCCAAGGGCGGCGCGAACAAGGAGTCCGGCGACGGATCCGGGAAGTCCGGCGGGTCCGGCGGGCCGTCGGTGCGGCTGGCGGAGGTGCCCGGCACCAACGTGACGGGCGCCACGGCCCCGCTGGTGTCGAACGCGACGGCGCCGAACGGCGCGCTGCCGCCGCACGGGCACGGGCGCCACGCGCACCAGCACGGGCGCCACGTGCACCTGCACGTGCTCGGGAAGGGCTCGAGCGGGACTGCGCTGTCGCCGCTGCAGCACCTCGCGGGCCCGAAACACCCCCGGGCGCGCCCCGAGGAGCGCTCGTCCGACGGCGAGGCGTCCCCCTTCGAAGCCGCCCCCGCCGGCTCCGCGCAGGTGCGCGCCGGCAACGAGCAGCCGTGACGCACGCACGGCGCCGCGCCCCGGCCGCCTCGTCGCCGACAGGACAGCCCATCGCTGCTCCGAGCTTGAACAACCCCCCCGCCCCCCTCTTCCCACCCGGCGACGCTCGGGAGGAAGCGACCAGCTCTCCACTGGTCCCTCCTACCCCCCCTCCTGCACTCCCCTTTGCAACGCCTCCCCCTCCCCCCTTACAGCTGCCGCTCGCGCAAAATTGAACTGCCGTCCGCCCGCCGTGCAAGCGATGCGACCCGCCCGTCTCGCACTGGCGCGGACCCTCAAACCCCCGGCCCCTCCCCGGATCCCCCCCCGGCCCCTCCCCGGATCCCCCCCCTCCCCCCTTCCCCCTTTTGGAAGCGGCCCTGCGTCTCTGTAGCTCGCAGCACCTGTTGTGCGCCCCCCCTGGCGTAGCGGCGCAGATTCCCCTGCGTGATCGAATCCTCCTGAAGCCCGTCCGGCCGGAATCCGTCCGCCTTCCTCGCGAAGTTGCCAGCATAGCACGCGCGGCGGCCCCGCTCGGGCCCCTCCGCCCCCAGCCACATCCTGGGGTTTGCCGCCGCGCGGTCGACGGGCGGGTGGACGTCTAGGCGAAACTCCGACGCCCACCCGTCGACCCGCGCGAGCAGCGCGTCGATTTACCGTAGCGCACGATCGACCAGTCTTAGCGGCACCTGACTCGAAAGAGACCGATTTTGCCCCGCGTCTCTAGCTCACACCACGACCGTTGCAATTGCCAACCCTCAAGTCAGCTGCCGTCTACCGCCGACGCGTACAAGCCTTCTCGCGCGCGAGAACCGCCCCTAGCGGCGCGCCCCCGGACCCGGGAACGTCCCTCCTCGGACTCTAGCGCCCGTGCTGACAATCGGCCCCCACTTCACCTCTTGCCCCCACAGCTTCGTTGCAGCCGTCCCTCTTCGGCAATACTCCCCACCCCCGCCCCTCCCCTGCCCTACCCCCCTCGCTCTGCCCCTCCCTATCGCCCCTGCGCCGCACCTGCGCGCCACGCCGCCCGCGCCCCGCGGCCCCGCGGGGCGCGAGAGCAGAGTGCTCGTGCGCTCGCGGCACTGCGTTCCCTGCCTGCGCGCCCGCCACGGCCAGGGCCGCCTCGCCCCATTTGTTCCCTCCTCGCGCCCCTGCGAGCTCTGCTGCCCGGCGCGAACCATCCCCCTCGCCGCCAGCGCCTCGCCCGGCCGGCGCCCCAATTGCCTGTCCGCGGCCATGCTGATGCCAGCACGGCCGCCGCTGCCGCGCCCCGGAAGGCCCGGCTCCATGCGGAACAAACCCCCCCTCCCGTTTGATGTCCTTTTGCTGAAACCCCCCCAACCCCCCTCGACGCATCGTGCGCCCCGGGGCTGACCCCGCCACACCGCGGCCACGCTGCTGCTGGTTGCACCAACCTTGACCACGAACTCAACAACCCGGTGATTCCTGCGCGGGCGGTGGTGAAACCCCCCCCCTGGCCTTGGGCAGCCCAGGAACCACCCTTGACCCCTTTTCACCCGCTAGCAAGGCGGCCTATCCCGGACACGTCTTGCCCCGCGGCCGGATCTCTCGCTCGAGACCGCGGACCACTGCCGAGCCTGCCTGACGCACCGTTGCTCGACATCCTCTGGGAAGCAGCTCTTGGCGGGTGCGTGCGCACTCGCGCCGCACGCGCCGAGACCCTTTCCCCACTAGCTCGGCCAGCCGCACGGACGCACGGCCGCCGCCGCGAATCCCACCGTCGGCGGCGGAGTGCGCTCCGCCGCCGGACGTTGCAGCGCGCCGCGGCCCCAGCGCGGCGACGCAGTCTGCGCCGCCGCGCCTGGCTCGGTCCGACCCGCGCGGCGTCCTCCATCCCCACGCACCTGCGCTCCCGCGAATCAACCAGGGCTGGGGCAACCCCACGCCCGCGCTCGGAGCAGCATGACACACCGTGGCTTGCAAGATGTGGACAATGGCCCTCAAAGAAGGGACACCAACACCCCCCCCTCCCTCCCCCCCGCGAGCCACGCCTCGCCGCCCTCGCTCGACTCGTCCGCTAACAACACAACGAGCGTCGCAGCGGACGTTGACACCCACCCCTGGAGCAAGTGTCGCCCCCCCCCTCTCCCGCCCCCCGCCACTTTTCCCGGCCAACACGACAAACTCATCCTCCTCTCTCTCTCTCTCTCGCGGGCCGCCTGGAACTCCCTGCCGGCCCGCCCCACTCACCGCCACTTCATTCAACACTGCACCTGATCTCAACCGTACCCCTACACCCCCGACACCCCCCTCCCCCTGCCCGACCCCACCGATCCCATTCCACGCCGCGAACCACCCCGACAGCATACGCCGGAGGTCACACAAGGTCATCATGACCGGCGCCGACGCGGCTCCCTTGCCAGCCCTCGCCGGCTCGACCGGTCGCATTATCACCATTGCTCCCACGACATCCGTGGCGCAGTCTACCAAACGTCCCCGCCCCGCGCGCCGAGAGAGACAAGACAGGTCTGTCGGCCTGCAGCGCGCGGGAGCGGCGGTTGTGACTACCGAGAGGCTCAGTGCAGTCGCGTCGCCTGCCGCCGGTCTGCTTGCTCGTCGCTCAAGCGTCCTCGCGGTGAGGGTGCTTGTAGGTCAGCGAAGTACGAACAACAATGCGGACAATCAATAAAAATCGTAGTCATAATAATATGCGTGTCGACGCCGTATGGTTTCTGTCCCTGCGAGCCCCCCCTCGCGGCGAGGACCGCAGGCTCGTAGGCCGCCGAACTGCTCGCAAGCTTGACGCTGCACTGTCAGGGTGCGTCCCACGGCCCCTGCGTCTGCGCCGGCGTGCTGGGCGCGTTGCCGTCTTGATGAGGATGATAGCACGACCGCATTTCGTGTCTTGCGCGGGTGGTCAATTCTTTCTTCTGCGAGCACACACACACGTTGCAGGGGCCGTGCCGTTTCATGACAACGGCCCGCCCGCCCGGCCCGCCGCACGCGACCTCCTCCGAGCCCGGACGCATCGCGGACGGATCCACTTCTCGCCGAAAGCAACAACCATCACATCGCACGAGCTGTTGCAGAAAAAACCAAAGACTACTAATTGATGATGATGATGAGAACGCTCCATCTACACAGCCGGGCGGCCCGGCCCGCTGCTCGCACACGCGCGCTCGCTGCGCCCGTCCCCGCCGAGCCATTTCACGACGGCCGCTGCTCCGACGGCGGCAGCGGCGACCCAACAAAGCGGAATGCGCGCGGCTGCTCGATACCAAGCGAATGCCCGTACGCCCCGGCCGCGTCGTGCGCGCCCGCCGCGTCCCACGCGTCGCTCGCCCACGCCCACCGCTCCGCCGTGTGCGCCCACATCGTCAGCGCCGCCGGATCCCCGGCCGGCCAGCTGCCCTCCGCGCCCACGTACGCCAGCTCGTCGTCGGGCGGCAACATCGGCTCCGACGCCGCCCAGCGCGCGTCGAGGTCCGCGTCCAGCATCGCCTCGCGCAGCAGCGCGACGTCCGGCGCCTCGGACCCGCCCCCGTCGGACACAGCGCCTCCGTCAGCATCGGGGACTTCTGCGTCCGTTGCGGGCCCGTCCGGCGCCGCCGCGACGCGCACGTCCGCGCCGGCGTAGTCCTCTTCCCAGCGCGTGAGCAGCGCGTCGCCGCCGGCGTCGCTCTCCGCCGCAGCGCCCTCGGTGGCGAGGTGCACATCCGCCGCTGCGGCACTGGCCCGCTGCGTCCGTGCGCGCGCCCGGGCGCGCCCGGCGGCGATGACCCGCATGCGCCGCTGCCGCTCGACCGCTGGGTCCGTCGGGCACGTCGCGGCGGCCTCGTCCGACAGCAGCCAGCGCAGCGCCATCTGCTCTACAATCTCGCACGCATCGACGAGCCAATCCTCCCCAGCGGCCTCCGCGCCCGCGACATCCTCGCAGCCGAGGATCGCCAGGAGCTTCGCGCCCCACTGCCCGCCGGCGTCGGCGTCCGCCCGCGCGTACGACACCGCCGCGCGCGTCCACTGTGCGTCCCTCCCGCGGAACGTCAGCAGCGCCGCGACGCCGCCGCTGAGGCCAGTGCCGCACGGCAGCGCGCCAGCGTCGCGCAGCAGCGCGATGCGCGGCCCGAGATGGAGCGGCGACAGCGCCCAGCAGCCCGGCGGGACGTCGGCAGCCGAGGCGACTCCCAGCAAGGGCGCCAGGACGTCCGACAGGAGGGCGCGGCGCCCGCGCATCTCTCGCGAGTCGGGATGGAGGCGGAGGACCTCCGGCGCCGTCCGCGCGAGCTCGCGGAGCGTTGCGGGGCCGCAGCCGACGTCGTTGAATCCCCGGAAGGCCTGCGCCATCACGATGCGCTGCCGCGGGACGAGCACGCGCGGATCGCGCCGCGCCGCCGCGCAGGCGTCGGCCTCGTCGAGGCCGGCCTCGGCGACGAGCAGCGTCGCGAGCGGCCGCCACAGCGCGCCGGGCGGGGCCAGGAGGAGCGCCGGCGCTTGTGCCACGATTCGCGCGGCCTCGTCGCGGTGGCCGGCCGCGGCGGGCTCGGCGCTGCCCAGCATCTCGCAGAGCTCCGCGAGCGTCGCGTCGACGTCCGAGCGGGACAGCGTCAGCAGCCCAGGGTGCATGCGCACAGCAATGCCCAGGCGCCGGCGCGCCTCGTCGGCGAGCGCGGCGACGGGGCTGCCGCGCTCTCGCTGCTCCGCATCGGGGCGCAGTGCGTGTTGGAAGCCGTACGCGGCTCCGAAGACCTCGCCCACCGCGCGTAGTGCATCGTCTATGGTTGCGTGGTCCACAGGTGGGGCGTTTCCGGCGCGACTGTGGCCCGTGCATCTCGCGTGGGCCCGCGCCGCGCGCAGCGCGGCATCTGCGGCTCGGAGCAGCGTCGGCGGGACCGCCCCGGCGTCGTGCGACGTCGCGTCGGGCGACGTTGGGTCCGCGGTGTCCCCCGCGCGCCTGCGGGCCTGCCCGCCGCGTTTGCGCGAAGGAAGCAGGCTCGGGAGCATCTGCAGATCGGTGTCGGGGAGCGCGGGCCATTGATGCTGGCGGGCGAGGCCCAGGCGTCGTGATATGCGGGACGCAAGGCACCAGAGAGCGAGCGGCGTGGGAGGGCGTGCGTGGCTGGCTGGGGGCGTACCCGGCCAAGGTGCATCGCGAGGCTTCGAGGGGCGGCGTGGGCGCCGTTCGGGTCCGGCGGGCGGTGCAGGAGCCCGGCTAGCCGCTCTGGGTCCTTCATGGCATCCTCCTCGCGCGCGCGTGAACGCATGGCCCCGCCGTACTGGTCCAACAGTTCCAGCGCATGCATTTGGTCCTCCCGCTCCTCGTGTGCTTCGGCGCGCGCCGCGGAGGCAGCCTGCTCCGCGCGAGCGCCCGCGTGGCTGCGACGCCTGTCGAGCACGCGGTCCAGCATGCCCGTCGCGCCGTAGCCAGGGGGTCTCCGGGCCCTGGCGAGCTGCGTGTCGAAAGGCGGTGCGTGGGCGAGCGGCGCCTGGCCCGGTGCGTCGCCGCGGAGACCGGACGCGCGTGCGAGGGGGCTCTCAGAGCCTTCGTGGCCCTCCCCTGCCAGGTCTGAGTCGCTGTCCGCTGGAACATCGCGCCGAGGGAATGCTGCGTATCCGCGTGCGGCGTGACGCGCGTCTCCCCGGCCCTCGGGAACCGATGCGAAGCTGCACATGAGCGGAGGCAGTGTGCGGAGCTCCTGAGAGCGCGGCCACGGGCGGCGCCGCGGCGAGCAGCCCGGTGCGAGGACGCGGCGCGACGGAAGCAGTGGCGGAGGGTCCAGGGCGCGCAGGCCCGCAGCCTTAAACGCGCTCGTGCGAGCGGGAGAGGCCGAAACCTCACAAGGGTGGCTGCAGGCACGAGTGGTCGCGTGTGGGCGGCAGAGGCATGTTCCGTCCGCGCGGGCCGCAAGACACATTGCAAATACGTTTTCGGGAAGGTCGCGCGATCGCCGCAATGCTCAGCGCGACAGATGAAGCGCACCTTCGCGCCAGCCCCGCATAGGCGCCTCCGAACGGCGCGCGCAGGGCCGCACGAGCGACCTCGCCACGCATTTCCGTCACCACCTGAACCAAATACCCCGCATCTGCCCGGCCTCACCTCACGCCTCGCCCGCACGACGCACCTACGCGTCTGTGGTGCCTGCACCACCACACGCCCTCAGCCTCCCACTCCACTCACCCAACAGGCCCTACGCAACCGGACCACCACGAACGTTCTGTACTACAAGCGCCGCACGAGCGCGGGGCCCCTCGGAGCCGCACCACGCCGCAGCCCTCTGGACACCCCCCCTGAGCCTGAGACTCCCCCTCGCGCAGCCGTGCGCGCGCACGAGCCGCGACGACACGCCCGCGGCCCAGCGCCAGCTCCGTGGCCGCTCGGTCGCTCCGCGCGCGCATCCGGGGGCGACCCACGGGGGGGGGAGTCTCCCATGTGTCAATGACCTAGTGAGGCCGCGGAACCGCACGGCGCGCGAGCTCGGAGCGCGGCATCGGGCGGACCGCCATCGCGGAGTCCAGGGACGCGCTCTTCGGGCCGGCGACGGCCGCGTCAACGCACCGCGCGACAAGACAAGGCCTGGTAGCGAACGGGCTGCGGTTGCCGTCGATGTGCCGTATATGCGGCCTCCGCGCCCGCCAGATCGTAGGCCGCGCTTGGCTCGATCCCCGCGGCGCGCGCCTCGGGCGCCGACGCCGCGAGCGGTGTTGGCGTACGTTGTTGGACCTTTGAGGTTCTCGACTCGCGAAATCCTAACGAATAGGGCACGATACCGCCGTCCGAGGATCATGACAGAGGAACTCAGTTGAGTATACGCAGGGTTGTGCGGTCGGATGCTGTGGGGAATGACTCAGGACTGCGCGCTGAAAGGTTCAGAAAGAGGAGTCAGGACAACTGCCGGCGGCCGCGCGCTGCGGGGCTGGATTGGCGCGCGGTGCGCGTCGCAGGTGCTAGTCCGAAAGGAACCTTGCCTTTGCGAGTCGGTGCCATGATCCACGCGGCCTCCCTGCGCCTCGGCGCGATCCCTGCTCGCGTCACCTCTGTGACCAAGCCCCGCGCCGCGCACGTCGCGCGTTTCCAGAAGGGCGCGAACGGCGGAGACTACGTGAAGAATCTGAGGGATGACACCCTGAAGCTGAACGAGTCGGATCACATGCTGTGCATGCAGGCGAGCGCACCGTCTTTCCCAGCCAACCGACTCCGCGCCCCCGCAAACGCGGGGCTTGCGCACGCCGCCGCCGGCTGCGATCGCGTGAACTGAACTGAACCAACCGATCCCGCCCGCGGTAGCGGCGCTACCTGTCGGCGCGGCTCGCTCGCGGACAGGTGTCAACCGCCCCCATCCGATGCGGCCTCCACACCGGTTGCCGCGCATTCCGCCCGCCCGCAGTGCGAGCAAGCCCTCCACAACACAGGGTGCAACAGGACTAAGGGGGTGTGCGGCAAGACCGAGGAGGTCGCGGCCCTCCAGGTGCGTCAAGCAACCCAAGCCGCCTAGTGCGCGGAATCTGGCCCCCTGCGCGATGCTCCGGCCGTTGGACCGAAGCGCCGGCTCTCTCGAGACGCAGGGCGCGCCGCCGCCGCGCGGCGTCCGTTTATATCCCCGCACGGCCCCGCATTGCGGCCCTGGAGGCGGCAACCAACCGCCGCTCCGCGTCTCAGGCCCCGCCCGCGCCCCCCTCACCCCGCCCCCGCCCGTTCACGCGCAGGACCTCATGATCTTCTTCAACAAGGGCCTGGGCACGTGGGCGAAGCTCGCCCGCGACAACAACGTCCCTGTTTCGGAGGAGCTCAACTACTTCACCTCCCTGACGACCTTCGCGACGCTCACGAACGTCAACTTCAGCGAGGACCGCTTCGCGGAGTTCCTCCGCATGGGCCAGGGCCTCAAGGCGCGCCCCTCCCCCCCTCCCTGCCCCGCTGCCCCCACCCTCGCCCCTCCCGCACCGTCGCCTCACAGCCCCGCCGCGCCGTGCCCCGCAGGAGGAGCTCAAGCGCGACATCACGAACGCGGGCGTGAAGTGGTCGCAGCGCCAGCAGCACCCCAACGCGCTCAACCAGATCGCCGGCGCGCTCGGGGTCGGCGCGCCCGACGCGCTCGACGTCCCCGACCTCCCGTGGTTCCCCATGCACACGCACCCGGCCAACTACGACGTCGACGTCAACGTGCCCGTCGAGGAGCTCGTCATGGAGGGCCGCGCCGTCGGCCTCAAGCACCGCACCGACACCCTGGGCTCGGCGACGCTTGCCGGGCTCCAGGAGCTGGTGTGCTACGGGCTCAAGGGCCTCGCGGCGTACTACCACCACGCGTGGCGCCTCGGCGCGCGCGACGAGGGCGTCGACGCGTTCATCCACGAGTGCCTCGCGTTCCTGGCCGCGCCGGAGTCGAGCGACGCCGCCGCCGTGCTGGCCATGGCCATGCGCGTGGGCGAGGTGAACGGGCGCGTGCTGCAGCTCCTCGACGAGGAGCACACCAAGACCTTCGGCAACCCGGCGCCGCACGTGAGCGCCCCGCCCGCCGCGCCCCTCGAACGCGAGTCCCCCCCCCCCTCTTGCGTTGTGTGTCGTGGCCTGCGGGCGCCGCGCGAGACGCGGCGCGCCCCGCGCGTCGTCTGCGCAGGAGGTGAGCACGGTGCCGCAGGAGGGCAAGTGCATCCTGGTGTCGGGCCACGACATGCACGACCTCAAGGCACTCCTCGACCTGACGGAGGGGACGGGCATCAAGGTGTACACGCACGGCGAGATGCTGCCCGCGCACGGGTACCCGGGGCTGCGCAAGTACACGTCGCTCGCCGGCCACTTCGGGTCGCACTGGTGCGCCGCCCCCGCCCGCGCCCCCGCCCCCGCCCGCGCTCGACCACCATCCTGCTCCGGCTCCGCGCTCAGCGGGCCCCGACGCGCCGCGTCGCGTCCGCGGTCTCGCGTTCTCGGTTCCGCACGTGTTGCTGTACTTTCGCTCTGTTTCCACCGTCGGTCTGTGTTTCATGGTGGTTTGGTCAACATGTGCTTGCAGGGGCAACCAGCGCTTCGAGTTCGGGCTGTTCCCCGGCCCGATCCTCATGACGACCAACTGCCTGATGGAGCCCGTCAAGGACTACCAGGCCCGCATCTACACCACCGGCGCCGTCGGCCACGACGACTGCCGCGAGCACCTCGCCGGCCCCGAGGCCTTCCAGACCGTCGTCGACGCCGCGCTCGAGCTCCCGGGCTTCACCGCCGCGCAGGTCGAGCAGTACAAGCCCTTCAAGAACGGCAAGCTCGTCGGCTCCGCCACCATGACCACCGGCTTCGGCCACCACTTTGTCCTGAGCGTTGCCGACAAGGTCCTCGGCGCCATCTCCGCGGGCGAGCTCAAGCACATCCACCTGATCGGCGGGTGCGACGGCCACGAGCAGGGGCGCCACTACTACACCGACGTCGCGCGCGAGCTCCCGCAGGACAGCGTCGTGCTGACGCTCGGGTGCGGCAAGTTCCGTGTCAACTCCCTCGACATGGGGACGATCCCGGGGGAGTCCGGGCTGCCGCGCCTGATGGACATGGGGCAGTGCAACGACGCGTACTCGGCGCTCGTCGTCGCGCAGACGCTCGCGGGCGCGCTCGGGTGCGGCGTGAACGACCTCCCGCTGACGCTCAACATCTCGTGGTTCGAGCAGAAGGCGGTGGCGGTGCTGCTGACGCTGCTCAACCTCGGCGTGAAGAAGATCGTGCTCGGGCCGCAGCTGCCGGCGTTCCTCACGCCCGAGGCGCGGCAGCTGCTCGTGGACACCTTTGAGCTGACGCCGGCGGACTTGGAGCACCCCTTCGACGACGTGCAGAAGCAGCTCGGGCTCGCGAACTAGATGATGCGTGCGCTCGCGGCGCCGCTTCGGCGCGGAACTCGCGGCGAAGGGGGGCTGTGCGCCCGGCGACGAGGGGCTGTCGGGGGCGTGTGCACGCGCGGCACGGGCCGCGGTACGGCGCCCCGCCGCTGGAGACGCGCGAGAGCGCGCTCCGGCGATGGCGGTGGCAGCTGGGCACGTCTCGGCGCAGACGCCTCAGTCGAAGGGCTTGAAGCAATTTAGATAGATCTGTTATCTGTTAAATAGATCTGTGAAGATGATGATACGGCATGTTTCTGGATCAGCTTTCGTTATCTCTAGTATCGCTCGCGTGCTGCGCCGGCGCCCCCTTCCGGTGGCCCCCCTCCAGGCTTCGCAACCCTCGCCCGACTGCAAGCATGTCGTCGGTCGCAAGCATCCTCGCGGCGAGGGTGCCTGTAGGTCAGCGAACACCTGATTCCTCTCCTCCCCGGACATCCTGTCATGCGTCATCAACAAGAACATGCAAGCAGAAGAGGTGTTCGTTCCTACCGCCCCCTGCGAAGAAGAGCTCCCGTGGCCGGCCGCGCCCGACCTCCGGGCCGCTCATCCGGCGCGCAGTGTGTCGTAAAAGTCTAGACGGATCGATTTCGGTGGCGGCACTGCCCGCATGCATGCCTGTTGTGTGCAAGGTTGTTGTCACCCGATAACGCGCGGAGCATCGCGCGTGCGTCCCGAACCGGCCCTGCGCCGAGGCAGACGAGCGTTCAGAGGTTGCTGACGAACATCGCAGGTCGGCGCGGTCTTGCCTGTACCCGGGCGGGGAGTATTGATCGAGTCAGGCAACGCCCCCGTCCGCAACGTCGCAGAGGGGAACTCGGACAACTCGAGGGCTCGCTGCGACAGCCAGCGCCCCGCAGCTGCTACTCTGCACACAATATCTTCGAGCACCTGGCGCCGCGTCGTTGGCCGCCCTCCTCACACGTCTTGTCTTTCACCTGAGTCCCCAAGTGTGGCCTGGGGGCCGTGGACGCGCCAAATCGACGTCCTGAGCGCACAGCGTGCTGGTCAAAGGTCAAGGCTTGGCGAGATCTGAGACGCGGGGCGTGGGACGCCCTGTCCGGGGCCGCCGCGGGCGCGCTCAGTGCCCAGGCAGGCAATGTCTCCCGCCGGCGCGGCTGCGGCGCCGATCGCCGGGCACGGCGGCGAGGACGATGGCTTCATGGTCGGTGTAGCCATCAGCGTGTTTCAGAACAGCGGAGACAACGGGAGCAACTGGTGAGCCGCGCCCCCCCACTGCTCCATACCAGGCACGATCTCTGCACGCTGCCGCGGCAGCCATCGCGAACGACGCGCGACCTCGCCGCCTCCCGCGCCTATAGATCCGTCGCACCGCGGGAACGCTGCGTCGGATCCCTGTCAACCCTCTCTGAGCCCGCGTCGCACTGGGTCGCCATGAGAGACATCAACCGCTCTCCCGCTGGGGGTTCTAGCGCCGCGCTCTCCCTCCCGGCCCCCGCAGGACCCGCTACCAGTCGCAGCGCCTGTGCTGCTGCATCCCCACGATCGCGGGGGGGCACAAGGCGGAGGACGGCCCTGATTTTTGGAACAACTACCAGGACGACATCAAGCTCGCCGCGAGCCTCGGATCCAACTGCTTCCGGTGCGACCCGCCGCCGCACCACCGTCCTCGCTGTGCGCACGCGCCTCGCGCGGGCCGCCCTAGCGCCTTGGCACCTGCCGCGATGAGACACATGAGGGATCTGTCATCCGTTGCACGGCGCGCAGGTTCTCGCTTGAGTGGGCGAGGCTCGAGCCCAGGCGCGGGGAGTACGACGCGGCCGCCTGGGAGCACTACGACGGCATCGTGCAGTGCATCAAGGACCACGGGATGCACCCGCACGCAACGCTGCACCACTACGTGCACCCCACGTGGTTCGAGGACCTGGGGGCGTTCGAGAAGGAGCAGAACATCGCGATCTACGTCGAGTTCGCGCGGGAGTGCTTTCGCCGGTGGGGCAATCAGATTCGGTACTGGACGACGTTCAACGAGATCACCGTGTACATCGTGGCGGGCTACCTGTCGACGCAGTTCCCCCCGGGGAAGCTGTTCCGCTTCCGCAAGGCCGGCCAGGTGTACGCGAACATGCTCACGGCGCACACGCGGGCGTACCGGGCCATCAAGGAGCTGCCGGGGGGGGGTAAAAGCCGAATCGGGATCGTGCACAACTGGTTCGGGTTCGTGCCGAAGGGCAAAGGGCCGGGGTACGCCGCGGCGAGGGGCCTGGCGTCCTGGATGAACACCGTGTGGGGGAACGAAGCTGTCTTGGAGTATTTCAAAACCGGCGTGTGGAGGTGGTCGGCCAAGCTGCCGTTCACCAGGTCCGTTGCTGCTTGCGCTGTGTGCTGCGAGAGCGGTGTCGCGCCCGCCAGCGAGTCGATCATCCTGCGCAGAATCGCCGTCGCGCAGCGCTGCGGCTGTTTCGCGAGCGACTTGAAGCCCGTGGCTGCGCGTGCGCAGGGTGCACCGTGACGAGGGGGAGCGGCCGGGCCTCGACTTCTTCGGGCTGAACTTCTACTCGAGGGGCGTGGTGTCGTGGGCGTGCGCGCCCACGCACATGGACGACGAGCCCATGACTGACATGCCGTACGGGGTCTGGGAGGGGGGTCTCCTGAAGACGCTGCGGCACATATCGTCGCGCTTGCCTGGCACGCCGATCCAGATCACGGAGTCGGGCGTCGCGGACAAGGCGGACAAGCTGCGCGGCCCGTGGATCGAGAGCCACTTTGCGCAGGTTGCGCAGGCGCTGGACGAGGGCATCGACGTGCGGTCGTTCCTGTACTGGACCCTGATGGACAACTTCGAGTGGCACGTGCGTCCCTTCCCTCGAACACACGCGGCGCAGACGCGCGCACGTAGTGCTGTCGTTGCCAGGAACTTAGGTCTCAGGAACTGCAAACTGCATGCTGTTTTGTTGCATGAAGCAGCGCTGCGTTGCGTGCTTCGTGTGGCCGCAGGAGGGCTTCTTCATGAAGTTCGGGCTCCACCGCTTCGACCCCGGACAGAAAACCCGAGACTTCCCTCTCAAAGACGGCGCAAAACCTATTCTGGAGTGGTTCGCCAGACTCAAGGGCAGACGGCCGCAGCTGGCGCCGGAGGCGCGATCCGCGCGCGAGGTGGAGCCCGAGGTCGGCGCGGCGGAAGGCGCCCGGCTGCGACAACGTACAACGACAGACCGTGACGCGCCCGCCGTAGCACTCGCGGGGCAGTGACTGCCGGGGATCGCGGCCTGAGCGTTACACGCGCGACGCAAGCACCGTGGCTTTCGACCGCCTGTGACTGTGGCGTGGTGTCGCAGCAGGGGGGGGTCTATTGGTTCCAGATTGACGGCGAGGCCGTGACTGCGCTGACGAGCTTCGTGTCTAGGACGTCGAGCTTCTCGCTGAGTTCGTTCAGAACCGGCGCGAGGCCGCCGACGTCCACGACCTCCGGCAGCTGCACGCGCGACAAGCACGGCCACTGCGCAGCACGGCACCGAGTGTTGAACATCATCGACAAATCATTCCTCGAATATGGCTGTGGTTTGCACGAGCACTCCTGCCCGTCTCGGCGACGGGTCGCTGCCGCAAGCGCGCACGCACAGCTGCACGCGCAACATCATGTCGAGGCTGTCGGATCTCACCTCGAGGAGCGGCGCGAGCTCGGATCCCCGCAGAGCGACTGGCGAGGACCGGACCATCACGACGATGGCCTGGAGCCGCAGCAGCTCGAGGCGCTTGACGGTCATCCGCGGGAGGACCTCGACGATGATGTGCCGGATGGTTTTCGGGGACCCCGCGGTGACGGACAGCGACTCGAGGCACGTACACGCCGCGATGTGATGCAGCACGCTGGTGTCCGCCGACAGCGAGCCCCACTTGAGTTCCAGGCTGCGCAAGCCCGGCCCGAGCGCCGGCAGCTGCGACAGCACGCGCACGCTGGCGTTGATGCAGGCCAGCGTCGCGAGCGGCGCCAGATTGGACAGCCCCGCCAGCATCCCCTGCCCGATGTCCACGACGTCGCACGTGTTGATGACCTCGAGGTTCTCGATGCGCTCGCGCATCATCGCACTGCTGTGCCCGTCGACCGCGGCGTAGTCCCACGTCACGGGCGGCAGCGAGCGCGGGGGGTCAGCTCCGTAAATGTGCATGAGCCATCGCACCAGGCCCGCGGAGGGCGCCTCGCCCGGATCCATCCAGTGCACGCCGTCGAGGTTGACGCGCAGGTGGCGCAGCTCCGGCAGCGCGAGGAAGGTGCGCGTGGCATTGATGCTATCCTTTCGAAGCCACAGCCCCAGTTTGCGGAGCCGTGGCATCGAGAACACGGGGCCGTAGCCCGCATCCGTCGCTCCGGTAACACCTGCACCGCGGCGTCGCCGCGACACCCGACGCAGCCGTCAGAGACCGTCGCAAATCGGCGCCGCACACCATCGCATGTGAATGCACGCGCGCACGCGCGCGACGGCAGGCACGACGGCGCTCGAGCGCCGCGCTGGATTCCACGCTGGTGGTGTGCTGTCGCATGGCGTCGTCGCCGTCCGCACCTAGCGTCAGCTCTTCTAGCTTTGGAAGGTTTGCGATTGAGGAAACATCGAACGCGTTCTCGAGCTCCTCGGTGCCCCCGAACCCCTCCCCGGGCACGATCCGCGCGACGATGATGCACGTGAAGCGGTTCAGGACGGGGATGTCCAGGTCGATCGCCAGCGCCGGCGGAGCGCCGTCCGACGCCGGCCTGCGCAGCGGGAACGTCGCGACGACACGCAGCTCCTCCAGCGCCTGCGCAGCGCACGAACACACGACGTACTTTCGACGCCACTCCTATACAACGCGCCGGCCGGCAGATGCGGCGCACCTGCTTCCGAGCAGCGCGACAAACGCGACGCGTGGGGCGCGGCGCTGACCTTTAGCTGCGACAACTGCGCGAAGATCGATCCGAGCTGGTTCCGCTCGACCGCGATCGCCTCGCGGACCATCGCGAGCGGCGCCATCGCCATCTCCTCGGACCCCAGGTACAGCCGCGTCAACGACAGTCCTGGCTTCGCCGGCGTCCTGGGAACGGGCCGCGACATCGCGCCCTCCTGGACGGGGGGCGAGGTGATCGCGGAGGAGGACTCCTGCGACGCGCGCTGCGCCGGGGCGGCGGCGGGGGGCGCGGCGGCGGCGATGTCGAACACAATGATCGAGGAGAAGGCCTTTGAGGAGTCCTCGGCCACCTGACGATAGTACCCCCCTATCGCCTCAAGCTCCGACGCCTCCTGCGCGATCGCGGCCGCGGTGGGTCGCCGTGGGGGACCGGCGAAGAGCCGTGACGTCGATGCATGCGTGTGGGTGTGGAGGTGTTTCGTTTGGTGGCGGGGGGGTTTTGTGCGTACGTCGATGGAGGTCGGGAGTCCGTCGAGGCCGGCGATGGCCCGCTGTCCCGGGCGTCTGCCGGCGAATGCGCTCGTCACGTTGTGAGCGAGGACGTCGAGACACGTCGTCACCACGAGCGGACACGCCATGTTGGCCACCACGCAGCACACGCAGCAGATCGGGGACCGCCCGCACTGCTTGAGCGACGTGCACGGCCCGTCCTTCCTGCGCAAAGCGAGTAAGCGAAACCAGCCGCAAGTCAATGAATCTTCCGGCCTCCTCAAGTCGCTTTGTGATACCTGCGCATTTATTTATGTCGCTCTCGCTGGGGGGCGCACCACAGCAGGATCCCGAGAAAGCGCGTGTACCGGCTCCACGCGTGTCCGCAGAAGACGCCGCACCCGCCGCAGCTCTTGCTGCCCTTCCGGCCCTCCCCGAGACGCACGCTGCCCTTGAAGACGACCTGGCGTAGCAGGGGTCGCGCTGGGCCAGCGAGCTGCTCGGCGAGCAGGTCCATGCCCCGGTCCGTTGGCGGCACGATCAGGCATATGCTCGGCCTGCGCGGGCGTCCGGGCGGGCTGGCGGTTCCCCTGAGCGCGGTCTCGACACGCAGATATAAGGCAAGAAGGGAAAAAGTGTTGAAAAGAGCTCGAGTCTGATTGACTGGAAAGATGGGCGTGGGTGCCGGCGCGGGTGCGTGCCTGTCGGGCTCGATGGCCCAGTCTGGGGTGGAGTGGAGGAGCGCCGGGGTGTCCAGCGGCCACCTGAAGGCCGTGGTGGGCACAGCAACGGTGCGCACTTCTGCCATGGGGCGACGGAGCGTGTGGGTGCGCATCCACGGGAGTCGGCCTGCGAGGAGGAAGAGCGCTCGTGCGGCGGTGTTGGGAATGTCTCGCGAACCGGACGCCTCGTGGCCGATAGTGCCAGTTTGCTTTGAGCCTCGTTTCCGGAGCCAGGGGCACTTCTTCGTCACGATTCGCACGTCCGACGTACGTTCCGCGAAGTGAGGAAGATGTTCCTGGGTGTGCGACGTCGCGGACCGGGCGCGGCGGGCGGAGAGAGGGGGGGTCGTACCCGGCGTTGATAGCACGAGGCGGAGCGGGCAGTCGGACCGCACGGACCGGAGCACCTCGCCGTACATCCGCCGTGATGTGAGGGCGAGCGCGAGGCGCGGGTCGATCTGCGGCGCGGCCGAGAGACTACAGTGTCGGCCGCGAACACACTGTCAGCGTGCCTCCAATAAAGCTGCGCGCCATGGCCGGTTCACGCGAACAATTGCACTACCGCGTCGTCCGTGCGCGGTTCGCTTGCTCAGGCTCGGGCGCCGCTGCGCGGCAAGCACGGCGCGGGCGCAGGGGGCGCGTTCTCGGTGCCCGCACCATAGATGACAGAAGTGCGTGCATGGCCAGCCTCGGGCTCTTCTTGCCCTCCTCCGTGACCTGTTCGAAGCTCATCGGCTCAAGGTAGTAGAGGATCCTCCCAATCAGATCCACGGGCAGCAGCTGTATCTTCCCGTTGCCCTGCTGCTGTGGTGCGTCCTCCGTCCGCTCCGCGCCCGCAGCCCCCCCTTCGCCGACCGCCTCCGTGGCGCTCAAGTCGTTCCCTATCATCTCATCCGGCGACACCCCGGCGAGATCGTCAGGAATGTCCGTAAGCTCCACCTCCATGGTCCCCAGTGGTAGCCCGTTGGGTTGCTTCCCGTGCTCGCCGTGCGGCCCCGCCACAGCCTGCTACGATCTCAGACAGTCGCGGTCGACGCAGGGGACGCAGTGATGGGGCAGGTGCGGCGAAATTGCGCGCGCACAGCTGAGCTGCTCGAGGGTCCTGTGTTGTCTCGGCCCGTCATCCACATCGCTGCGTTGCGTCTGCGTCGAAATGAACAGCGGCCGGCAGCATGGCCTCGCGCAGGTCCTCGCCGCGCTCAGGAGGCGCCGATGCGCCGCGTGGAACTTGGAACTCCTCCCCTTTGACATCCCCCCCTGACACATCGCCGCTCAGTCACTGCGTAGCATGCAGTCCGACTGCCTCGGCGGTCCAGCGACGACGAACCAGCGGCGGTGCGCACGACTGCCGCACCCAGGTCCAGTGGACGGCCAGAGCGTACTTGCATACTACTCAAAGGCTGTTTGTTCAAAGCACACTGTTGACTCATGCTCGCTCACTGCGGCATCGTCGTCCCGAGCGGCGGCGACGCCGGAGCGGCGGACAGCGCGCACCGAAAGCACCGTTCGCCCGGGAAAGCCGCGCCGTGCTCCCGATGCCCCGAAACGAGGAAGACTCCATCACCACACTGCGACGCACAGCAAAGGACGGCCGCCAACGTCCGGCGGCCCCCGGCCGCGTGCAGCGATAGGAGCGCGAGCGGAAGCGATCGTTCGAGCCGACCCTCAGCGCGAGCGCGTCGTCCAACTGCCGAATTACACGCTGGAGTAGTCTGGGACACACGCCGTGGGCTCTACGCGCACCGCGGCTGATTGAGCACGACTTCGGCCGGCGAGAGCGAGGGCGCGTTGGCTCGCAAGGCGCCCCGGCGCCACCTGGCGGCCCCGAACATAGGAGGAGCGGGCCTGGGCCCGGGGAGCTTGCGACTGTGTGTCTTCCACGAAGGATGTCGAATAGTGCCGCGCCGCGGGGTTGGTGAAGCGGAAGGGTGGCGTGCGGACGCGCAATGGGAGGGGGGGAGGGGGGGTGGGTCTGGCGCGACATGGAGTCGGTGGCCGAGAGGACCCTGCAAGGTAGTTTCATACTCCCCTCGCGAGCCGGTCGGTCGGGCCCGCGAGGTGATGTTTCCCTGAGCTGGTCTCAGGCGGCGCACCTACTGCTGAGTGTGCACCTGGTCGCCGGTTGGGGTGGCGCGAGGAGGGTGCATGGCGGATCTGATGTGTGGGTTTCCCTCAGGGACGAATGGGGTGGGGGGTGTAAATGGGGGAGTCGGGGGTTGTGGACGATGGAGGTGAGGCGAGGTGTCAAATATTTTGCGTCGGCCATGTGGCGTCGGGACCTGGAAAGATTACCCGACCAGGTGGCGAGTCATGTCGACCCTCCACTGTGATGGTCGCGACAGGCTCGGCAGCTGTGACAGAACAGCCCGGTGTGGCGGAGAACAGAGATCAGCGTCTTGTCCCGGGGGCCCGGGCAAGGCGGAGCGGGCGGTGTGCAACACTGCATGGTGCGCAGTGTCGGGTAGGGGGTGTTGAGTACCGGCGGGGAAATAGCCTGGAACGTGTGTGACAGCCGCATGTGCAGGCGGATCTGCGGATACTGCGGGGCCGACAGGGCGGCACGAGGCCTCGCAACAGGTGTTCGGTTCTGGAGCAGCAGTTCTTGTCGTGTTCACGACGATGACGCGGCGGGGTTGGAGAACGAAGGTTAGATGTGCGCTCTAGAGGTCAACGCTTCAGACGCAGGGACGCACTTCATTGCCGAGCGCGCGCGGGCAGCGCGTGGGCCGGCGGAGGATGGAGGGGGTGAGAAGGCGGAGTAGAGCGGTCGAATCCTCAATCAAGGTGGGGGGGTGTGGGAGAGGTGGGTGTGGGGACAATGGCGGCGTCGTCATCGTTGTTTTTGCGTACGTCGGATACGCAGGTGTTGACAAGCAGGTCAGGCTGCACGGAGTGTCATTGCGCAACCGCGGGTGCGCGTGGACGCGCGGGGCGCGTCTGTGCAGCATGTGGCGTGCGGCGCTCGACCCCGAGTGGCCCTTGGTGCGTGCAGCAGCCCAAATTGTCGGTGGAGAGTCAGTGGGGGGCTGGGAGCGAGGGAGTGGCGCCGGAAAGCGGGCGCCGGGCCTCTCTGGACCGGGAACGTCACTCGAATGTGTGCCATCTTTGACTCCAGCCCGGCTCGCGCGAGGTGCCCGAGGGGGACTTGACCCCGTCGGAGCTTGATTGAATTGCGCGGGTGCTGTCCGGGCGGGATGAATAAGCCATCGAAATGGGCCTGCAGGTGTGCAGTTGTTCCGACGCAGCGCCGTCACCCGCGGCCGCTCCCCGCCTCGCGGCCGCCCTTCGCGCTCACCGCCGCGCGCTCCTTGAACGCCTTCAGCTTCGCGTTCGTGTTCATCACCACGAACTTCTCCGGGATCGGCGACGACCCCAGCCGCAGCTCCGCCGCCCGCACCGACGCCGCCACGTCCTCGTCAACCTCCGGCGCGCCGTTCATCGGGTCCCCGCCGCTCGACGCGTCCGGCTCGTCCGGGTTGCTGCTCCACGGCTTGAGCATCTGGTCGCGCGCCACGACGCCGAGCCACATGCGCAGCGTGTTGGTCATGGGCTCCCACATGGAGTGGAGCGACGGCATGACCTTGACGCAGGCGATGAGGAACGGCGCCGCGACGAACTCGATGAACTCGATCTGCGAGCCCGCGATGTACGTCTTGCTCGCCTGCATCAGCGGCAGCGACGGCAGCGAGAGCTGGTGCTCCATCTTGCCCTGTTCGAAAAACTCCTCGAGAACCAGCGTGGCCCAAGTGACCGCGGCCATGTCGTCCTTGAGCACCCCGCACAGGTCGGCCATGTGCAGGAGCGCCGTCGAGATCTGGCACGCCTCCTCCGCCGGCGTGATCTCCAGGTCCCCGGCCGAGTAGCCGTCGGCGAGCGCGCGCAGCGAGGCCGTCATGCTGAAGTGCTGCGCCATGTCCGTGCCGAGGACCGCCCGGAGCATCAGCGCGCGGCACCGCACGCGCGTCTCGTAGCCGAAGCACGAGAGGAAGTCGGCGTCATGGTTCTTGGCCATCAGTTTGAACAGGACCGAGATGTGCAGGTTCTCTTGCACCGAGGCGTCGTTGTACGTCAGCGCGAGGTCGTCCGACGTGGCGACGAGGAACTGGTTCGTGCACCCGCGGTGCCCGACGTCGTGCGCGAGCGCGGCCATCATCAGCGCCAGCCGCTCGCTGCGCCCGAGCCCCTTGGGCAGGTCCTTCGCCGCCTTGCCCGTCTTGAGAATCATGTACGTGCAGTGGAACACGTCCACCGCGTGCATCCACGTGTGGTACGGGTTCCCCTGCTGCGACGCGTACTCCTGCTCCAGCAGCGTCACGCACCGCACCACCGCGCGCCGCAGCGCGAACCGCGTCGCCTTGGGACGCACCGGCGCGCCCGCGTGGTGCCCGCCCGACATGCTCTCGCCCGCCGCGGCCGCCCCGGCGAGCACCATCGCGGCCGCGGCCGCCTTGTCGCTCGTCGAGCCCCGCGAGATCTGCGCCTGCGTCGGCGGCTCCGGCGTGATCAGGTCCAGGTCCTCGAGCATGAAGATGACGCAGGCGCGCAGCTCGTCGGGGCCCGTGCAGTGCAGCGACGTCCACTTCCAGTCGTTGATCGCGTCGGCCATCTCGCCGAAGCCGCCGCGCGTCATCGAGCCCCGCTGCGCGGGCGGCTGCTCGGCCGGCGGCGCGTTGCTGCTCTTGGCGTGGCTCCCGGAGCCCTCGCTGGTGCCGCCCGTGGCGTTGATGTTCGCGGGGATGCCGTAGCTCGCGCTGCCGGACTGGCTGCTGCTCGTGGCGCCGCCCGGGTAGCTCGAGCTGCGGTTCGACTTGGCGCCCGCGCGCCCGCCTGCCTCGGGTATGATATTGACGGGCTCGTACATCTTGGCCCAGAACTCGAGGCCCGTCTCCTTTTCCTGCCCGGCGCGCCCATCGCAGCCCGGCGCGCCCTCGTCCGGCACGGAGTCCATCAGCCGCTCGAGCACCGCCCTGCCGCCCTGGTACGTCCTCGCCATGCGCCGCATGAACTTGGCGATCTTCTCAATGCAGTCCTCGATGGCGGCGGTCTGCACGCACTCGCGCGTCGTGCCCTCGGCCTGCACGAGCTTCCCGTTGCTGTCGATCATGCGCGACGACAGGATGAGCTCCTCGAGCAGCCGCTGCAGCGGCCGCGTCAGGGACGCCTCGGTCGACACGTAGCAGAGAAGGGAGAAGAGCGCGAACAGGAAGAGGATGGTCGCCTTGGTGACCGCGTGCATCGCCGCGGCCGAGTCCACCTCGTCCGCGAAGCTGATGAGCACCACGAGGCGCCCCGACGGCGCCTGCAGCCACATTGCGTCCGGCCCCGGGCTGCTGCTGTCGTTGATGGGCAGGATCGGGGCGCCGTCGAGCCAGACTTGCCGGAGAGGGAGCCCGAAGGTCGGGCTCACGCCGTTCACGATGCCTTGCTCTGCGGGCGGACGGGGCGGCGCGAAGCTGCGTCAGCGGCCGGGCTGGCGCGGGCGGCGTGCGGGCGCGCGGGGCGGCGCGGGGCGGCGCGGGGCGGCGCGGGGCGCTCACCGACTGCGACGTCGAAGGCTTCTCGGTTCGGCATGAGGTCCAGGAGCTCGATGAAGGAGTAGATTTCCTCGCCTTGCGACCACACGCGGCGGTTGGCCATGAGCACCATGAACTCGCCGAGCAGGATGCCCGCCATGCCGAGGCAGAGCGTGATCATGAGGCCGAGTTTGAGCCGGAGGCTCGTGGAGGCGCGCGCCTTGGCCCTCCGCAGGCTGCTGGTGGCCCAAACGTTCCGCCTCCAGATGCTAACGGGGATTTTCATGAAGGCCGTGGGGAGGAGGAAGGTCATGGCGATGACGCGCGCGCGGACGACGAACGCGAGGTGGTCCACGACCTCCCACGCGGCCGCCGGCGCCGCGAAGGTGCCGAGGCCCGCGCTGTACGTCAGCAGGGGGCCGGCCGTGATGAGCGCCGCGATGACGATTCCGTCGACGATGTACGTCTGCGGGAGCTTGAACTCCCCGAGCTTCGTTCCCGCCAGGATGTGGCCCACCGCGTCGACGAGGATCACGAGGCACGAGACCGAGAGCAGCGGCGCCACTAACGACACCTCCGGCGCGGCGTACCCCGACGACACGAACACCAGGATGTCCAGCAGGAACGTGATGAGGCACACGATGACCACGAAGCTGTGCCACCACGGGCTCGCGACCACCTGCGCGCGCGCGGAGCGGCGGGTGAGGATTGCGGCGATGGTTGGTCAACGGGGGGCGGCGCACGCGCCGTGCGGGGCGCGCGCGCGGGCGCGGGCGCGCGAGGGCGCGAGGGCGGTATGGGGAGCGCGCGGGCGCGCGCACCTGGAAGAATAGGTCGTCGGCCTTGAGCGACGGGAGGTAGGGGGTGCCGTGCTTGGCGGCATCTTGGCCCTCGTCGCCCGACTCCGCAATGCTCGCGAAAAGCTTGGTGCGGTCCGTCGGGCGCGCGCTGCGCAGCCCTGCGTGCGCCGTCACGCTGATGGGGCCGCCCGAAGACATCCCGCCTGGCCCTCGGGCCTCGAACTGGAGGTGGTCAAGTCACGGCTGCCGTGGCGTGGTGCGCCCTTGCGAGCGGTGCTGGGGCTCGTTGGCTCGCGGGCGTCCGTGGGCCGTGGCGCCGGGAGCTCCTGCGGGGCGCGCGCGGAGAGGGGAAAGTCGCGCGGGGACTGGCCAGTCGTTGGCGCCAGAGGTGGCCGGCGCGGCGCGATGGGGCCCGACTGGCGGGGTCGGGCGCGGCCGCCGGCGTTGAACGGGCGGATTTCGCCGGGAATTCGCGGCGGTGATCCCCGAGGGTGGGGCGAGTCGCGAATCCGAGCAGCAGTTGAGGGCCGCAGTGGACGGCCTCCCCGCCCGCGTCGGCGGCTGCGGTCCCGGGGCAGGCGGGCACTCGGGCGCGAGTGAGGTGTACGGACGCGAGCGGCACTCACCCGTGACGCCGCCCTGCGAGCCAGTTCCACGGCGGGCCCGCCGAACAATTAGAAGGAGGAGACTGGCGCCCGCGTGCTTGCGTTTCTGCCGCACCGTGCGACTGGCATGAATCATTCTGCGGCAAGCGACCGCGCCGGCGCGGCGAAACCGCCGGGGCGGCCCCGTGCGGCGCGCGGGGGGCTGCGAGAGGGGCCTCCTGTGCTGAGTCATCGCCAGCGCTCGGGACGCGGGATAGGAGGCGATCGACCGGCCGGCGCGAAATAGTTCGATGCTGCCGCTGTCGATCCGGGCCGTCGGACGAAATATCAAGCCCTGACGCGTGCGTTGATCGCCCAGCACTGCTGCTTTTGCCTCCCGGGGTGCCTGGCGCGCTGTTCGCCGCTGTTGATCGGCCTCCTGGACTCTTCAAGGAACCACCGTTCAGTCCGCGCCAGACACGGCCCGCATTCGCGCTCGCAGCGCCACAGCACACTGCTCCAGGGGCTGTCGTCACTTTTGCGGGCCTCCGCCGGGTGAGTGATTCGCGCTGCGTCCGCGACAGCCCTTCTCCAGAGCCCTGCCCCCCTGCGCCCCGTCGCCCTCGGCGGCGAAGAGCCTGTCGGCAGCACCACGCAAGAGAAACAGCGCACGTGCGCAGCGGCGGCTCCCCTGCGCGCCCCGGCTGCTTCGCGCGGCAGCAACCTCTTCCTTTGTGCCATCAGCGCTGCCCCTGGCCCATCCGGAGGCCCCGGACGCACGAGCCGACGCCCGCCGCGCGACTGCTGCTGCGGCCCCTCAAGCGCGCGCGTGCTGTGCATGGGCGGCCGTCCGCGAGGACGCGCGGCAATCCCCGACCTCCCCTGCATCAGACGCTCTCCAGACGGGCAGAGATCAGCACATCGCACGGCCCGAGCGCGCCGACATCATCATCCGAACTTGCCGCCGTGCGCCGCTCACCGTGCGGTTCCTGCGTGCCCCGGTTCGCAGGGCTTGCGCGGTCGGGTAGGACAAGATGGCTCAGATGGCGAAGATCAAGGAGATTGAGGACGAGATGGCCAGGACGCAGCGCAACAAGGCCACGGAGGGACACCTGGGGATGCTCAAGGCCAAACTCGCCAAGCTCAAGAGGTGCGCGAACCCTTCCTTCGCCGCGCCCCCTCGCACACCGCACAGCCTTCGCCGTGCGCCGCCCCGCATCGCGCCAGCGGGCGTATTCGCCGCGCCCTCGCCCGACACTCTTCTTGGATGCTTAATGTGTGCAGGGAGATGGTGGACGCGGCGACCAAGGGCGGCGGCGGCGGCGGCGGGGACGGCTTCGAGGTCAGCAAGGTCGGGGACGCGCGCGTCGGCTTCGTCGGCTTCCCGTCGGTCGGCAAGTCCACCCTGCTCACCAAGCTCACGGGGACGTTCTCGGAGTCCGCCGACTACGAGTTCACGACGCTGACGGCGGTTCCGGGCATCTTGCGGTATCGCGGCGCCCGCATCCAGCTGCTGGACCTCCCCGGCATCATTGAGGGCGCCAACGACGGCAAGGGGCGCGGACGTCAAGTCATCGCCGCCGCGCAGACGTGCGACCTCATCCTGATCTGCCTGGACGCGCTCAAGCCGCTCACGCACAAGAAGATCATCGAGCGCGAGCTCGAGGGCTTCGGAATCCGCCTCAACAAGACGCTGCCAAACATCACGTTCCGCAAAAAGGACCGGGGGGGTGTCTCCCTCGTGAACAACGACAAGGCGTCCAAGCTCGACCTGGACGCCGTCAAGGGCGTGCTCGCCGAGTACCGCATCCACAACGCCGACGTCATCGTCAAGTGAGGCCCCCCGAACACGGCAGCGCGCTTGTGCCTGCTTGACTACGTCGACTCCCCCCCTTCGCCCGACCTTTCAGCATCGACTCCGTGCTCGCGCGACAGCCCCTTCGTTCCAGCACGTGCGGCGCCGGCGCCGGCACCGCCCCGCGCACGTGCGCGCGAATCACCCCTCGCCCAACCCGCGCGCCCGCCCCCCGTTCGCAGGGGCCCGTACGACATTGACGACCTGATCGACGTCATCGAGGGCGCGCGCGCGTACATCCCCGCGATCTACGTCATCAACAAGATCGACCAGATCACCCTGGAGGAGCTATACATCATGGACCGCATCTCCAATTACTGTCCCATCTCAAGCTACCACGAGTGGAACCTCGACACGCTCGTCCAGATGATATGGGAACGCCTCGACATGGTCCGCGTGTACACGAAGCCCAAGGGCCGCCTGCCGGACTACAACGACCCGGTCGTGATGAAGCGCGGCAAGTGCACCGTGGAGCACTTTTGCAACAAGTGAGTCCGGCCCCGAGGCGGGGCGTGCCTGGCTGCCTGACTCAAACACAGGGTCGGGGCTGGTGCGCGGACTGGGGGCCGGAGCCCCCCGCCATGGAGCCTGCGACCCACAACCGCGGGGGTTGTGTCTGGTGGTTGAGTGGGGTTGGGGGCGCAGGGGACGCGCGCCGGGATGCGGGCGGGAAGTCGTGGCGCGCCGCTGGTTCTGATAGTGGTTCGTTGATTGTGGTTTCCCTTTGCGCAGGATCCACAAGATGATGATCAAGTCGTTCAAGCACGCGCACGTGTGGGGGTCGTCCGTGAAGCACCGGCCGCAGAAGGTGGGCAAGGAGCACGTGCTCGAGGACGAAGACATCGTCCAGATCGTCAAGAAGGTATAATACCAAGGTATAAAGGTACAACAGGCATCAACACGCCTCGGAACCTCGACCTGGCTCCGCTGGCCTGGCGCCCGAGCCCCTGCAGCGTGCAGGCGCCCGGCGGCCTGTAAAGCGAGAGCGCTGCGCTGCGCTGCGCTGCCCGGCGCGCCGAGTCTCACTACGTCACATGCATGCCAGGGTCTGGGGGTTGTCCTACGCGCCCCGTTCCCCGCCCGGTCCGCGCGGAGCGTCGCTCGCCGCGGGTCCTGCGCGCGGCGCGCCGGACCGGAACCACGACTCAGGCCACGCCGCGGGGGGGGTGTCCTGCGCCTGACTCGTTGGGTCCTGACGCACGTACGTCGCTGCACGGGGGGCGCACGCGTGCGTCGGTCGGGCCGCGATGCACTTCGACGAGCTCCAGGAGACCGTCGTGGGCGCAAGACAGCACCACAAGGCCTGAACAGCTGACTTGCCGGTTGTTCAACATGCATTTGCATGTCACTCTCGATTGCGTTGCAGCACGCCCAGTCGTGAGTGGACCTACCTGCGTACGTGTTGCGCACCATGGCGTCGGTCGTCCACCCGAACCCCCCCCTTAAGAACCCCACGGACTCGGTGCGCGCCCCGAACCCCTCGGGCAGCCACGAGAACGCCGAGCACCAGCTGTACTGCCGACACAGCTCCGCCAGGCGCTGTGCGTCGCCCAGGACCTGCACCGCGACCGCACACCCCGGGGGGAGCTCACGATCCGAGCCCCCCGCCGCACCAGCGCTCAGCGCTCGGCGCGACGCAGATGCATACTCGGCACAACGGATCAGAAGGTTTTCATGCGGCAGGCGCGGAGGGCGCTCGACCTGGCAGCCGTTCGGCCAGATGGACTCGGCGCATGGCTGGTCGAACCCGCGCGCACTCGTGGTGATGTCCTTGCCGCGGAAGGACGCGAAGCCCGGGACGTCGGGCGCGCTGAGGCCGGGCGACCGCGCAAGCGCTGCGTTGACTTCCGCCACGAGCGCCGCGTAGCCCCCCGGCGCCTCGTCGGGCGGCCCAGCCGACGCCGACTCGACTCCCCCTGGCACACCCCCCGATGCAGGAGGGATCGGATCCGCGTCGCGGTCGGACGCCGCTTCCATTGCGGCGAGCGCTGATGCCACAAGGCCGATGGTGTCCTGCGGCGCCGGCGCCGCGGCGTTTGCCTCCTGCTCGAGGAAGCTGCGAATGGCCGGGTCGCTGAGCTTCGTGTACACGCCGGGCTTGCCCGGCTCGCCGCACCGGACCGCCTTGCCCCAGGACACCACCCCAGCGAGCACGTCGTTCGCGGCCGCGGTGCCCGCGATGACGGCCGGGCCGCCGCTGTCGCCGTCGCACGAGTCGAAGATGCCGCCACCCGCGCAGAACATCGCGGGCGTGATCGCGCCGTCCCACGCTTGGGGGGAGTTGCACGCGGCGTCGCCCGTGACCATGATGTCGACGTGGTTCAGGCGGTCGGCGCGGCGGCCGGTCTCGGTGCGGCCCCAGCCGAGCACGGTGACGACGTGGCCGTCGTTTGGCATCCCGGGGTCGGTGGCGGCCGCGACGGGGCGCTGGTTGCACGGGGTCTGCGCCACAGGCGGATGCGGCACGGCGGGTGAGTATTCGAGGCGCCTGTTCTTGAATTGTGGTACGCAGGGTGACGGGCGCGCCTGTAGGTGGACGGCAGCGATGTCGAACTCGGCAGTGCTGCTGTCGAACGCCGGGTGGATGGCGACGCGGGACGACGGGATCTTCTGGAACTGCGATGGATCGTCGTTCACGTCGTACCACCCGCACCAGGCCACGATCTCCTCGACGCCGTCAATCAGCCCTGCGCGCATTCAAGCCTCCGAAAACCAAAACTCGGCTCTGCCTCTCTCCTCGCGCGATTTCGGCCGCTCGAACGGCACACTTTTTGCAAACGTACCTGTCTCTTCGTGGACGCAGTGCGCCGCGGTCACGACGAGCTCGGACGTGACGAGCGTCCCACCGCACAAGTGATTCCCACTTTGGTCGCGGAGACTGACCGCGTACGGGTACCTGCGCTTTCATCCGTCACCGCAACACAATGATCCTGCCTCTAGCATCTCAACGGAGTCGCAGAAAGCTGCGAACGCCGCGGGGCGCGCCCCCTTGCGCAGTGTACGCACCTGCCGCGTGGCGCATCGCCTCCATTCCAGATCCGCCATCCGGCGGTGCCGTTCCGCTGCTCCTCCGCAAAGCCCGCGAGGTCTCGGCGCACCAGCGCGCGCAGCGAGCCGAGCTCGCGGGTGCGTGCGGCGTGCGCGTTCGGACCACCTCTCAGAATTTCGCCGACGTGTCCTAGCGTGCTCCGCGACAAGCGATCCACCGTCCGGACCATGAACAGGTCGCGGTCCTTCTCTGGAGCGCGCAGGGCGACCGAAAAGCACACGCACGCGAGCAGGAGAGCGGCGAAGAGCCTCTCTTTGGCGAGGCTCCCCATTGCTCCCGCGGTGCCGTATCTCGTGCCGCTCGGCAGATCGTCAGACTTACGACATCTGCGGCACGAAGACTCTTATTTGCGGCGGTGACGTGCTGATTTATGCCAGAGGTCGCGTCTCCGATCTCGTTCTCCCAACATATGTCAGGAAGACTCTGTTGCCCCCTATGTCACGGACTCCGCAACACCCCCCCGGGCCGTGAACGCGCTCGCGCCATGACCGACGGCTTCAGCACGATCCCGTCCACGACTGGAGGTCTCGCGAGGCTCTGAGAGCCGCGGTCGGACACCCGAGGGAGTGGCCAGGTGGCCGCCAGCACACACCCCTCCAGCTCAGCGCTGACCCCGCGCTCGCCCCACAGCGACTGATGAGCTCCGCTGCGCCGCCGCGATGCGACACTTACCGGCTCGAAACGCCCGCCTCGGTCTTCGAACGCCGCAACCGCCCTCGAATCGAAACGAGAAGCCACATTCAAACAAGAATTCCCTTTTCTTGACTCAACCCCACTTGCCGACCCGCCGGGACGCAGCGCCTGCGCCGCCCCCTCGTGCTCGCTTCCTGCCAGACCTCCGTCCGCCCCCAGGCGTCCCGGAGAGCCTCAATGCGCGTCCTAGTAGCCGCCAACGGCACGCGTGGTGACGTCCAGCCCCTCCTCGCTCTGGCTCGGTCCCTCCATGTCGCCGGCCACGTCGTCGAGTTCGTCACCGACGAGGGCCACGCGTCCCTCCTCGCCGCATACAACTTCGCGGCGCGCCACCGCTTTCCCGTCCCGGCGCAGACGCGCTTCAGCGACCCTTTCGTGCGCCGCGCGATGGAGACGGGGTCGATGCTCGCGTACGGCGTCGGCCTCGTCCGCGTCATCAAACGGCACTTCGACGCCGACGCGGCTGTGCTAGAAGAGGCGTTTCAGGCCTTCCAGCCCGACCTGCTGGTAACACACCCCCTGACGAAGTTCTGCGCGATTCCCGTCGCGCATGCGTACGGCCTCGATGCCAGCGCGATACTCGAGGCGGCGCTGCAGCCCCAGACGCGACCCACGCGTTACGTGCGCCACTATGCGTGGGAACACGATCTTAGTTTTCTCGATCCTCTCGACCGGGCAGCGAACGGCGGGCTCTCCATGCTCTACCACGTCGTCGTGGAGCAGCAGACGTGGATGCTGCTGCGGGGGAAGGTCGCGGGGCTCGCGCGGCGGCTGCGTCTGCCGTGGGGTGCGGTCAGGTGGGGGGACTGGAAGCGCCACGTGTGGCGCGTGCGATCCGTGTACGGGTGGTCCGGGGAGGTGCTGCGGCAGCCGGCGGACTGGAACCCGCGCGAGGCGGTCTGCACGGGCTTCTGGTACATTGAGCAGCAAGGTGCGCTCGTTCTATTCAAACCTGTCGCGCGGGGTTCGAATTCTGCTCGCCGACTTGACTGCATGTCCCGATTCCAAAGCGCAGGATACATCATGGCGAAGGAGCTAGACTGCTTCCTGGAACCCCAGGGCCCGAAGGCTCTCCGCCCGGTGTGCGTCGGGTTCGGCAGCATGACGGTGTCCGAGAAGCTGTCGCGGCGGCTCACGGAGCGCGTGCTGCGGGCCGGCCGCGACGCCGGCGTGCGGCTGGTGCTCCTGGGCGGCTGGGGTGGGATCGGCCTGCACCGGCTGCACCCGAAGAAGACGAAGGACTACAGAGAGCTCGTGGCGTACGCGACGTCCAACGTCATCGAGGTGAAGGAGTGCCCTCACGAGCAGATGTTCCCGCGGTGCGCAGCTGTTGTGCACCACGGCGGTGCGGGGACGACCGCGGCGTGCATGAAGGCCGGGGTCCCGCAGGTGAGACGACGCCGCCGTCCCGCTGAAGCTGTGCCTGCCACGGAGGACGGAGAGGGCGCAGTTTGGGGGGTGGGGGGACTGATCTTTGCTTGCTTGTCTGACTCACCCTCGAGGCCGCGCCACGAACCATGAGGCTGCAACGGCGTGGTTGTGTGTGTGCAGATCATCACGCCGTTCTGGGCGGATCAGCAGTTCTTCGCCGGGAGGGTGCAGGAGATGGGGTGCGGGCTGGCGCTGGCGCACCCGCGCCGCGCGTCCACCAAGCGCATCAAGGCAGCCCTCATCCAGGCGCTCTTCAGCTCGGGGATGCGCAACGCCGCCGCGGACGTCGCATTCAAGGTGCGCATTCACGTCCCATGACGCGATCACGTGATCCTCGAAGCATACATCGACATCAGACGTGGTCGAGGGGTGTTCCGTGCTTCGAGCAGGTCGCGCGAGAGCCGGGCGTGAAGGCGGCAGTGCGTGCGATTGAGGAGGCGTGTGGACACGAGCCGTCGCCCGCGATCGACACCTCGACGGCCGGCGCGTGCGGCATCCCTGCCGCAGCGCAGCCCGCGCGGCGGGCCGTGCGGCGGGTGTCGTCGCGCACCGCTCTGGCCAGCGCGAGGCCGCGCGGCGTCTTGCGGAAGTTCAGTCGCAAGCTCACCGACCGTCTCGCGGAGCTCGAGACTGAGCAGGGCGGGTACGTGGTCCGCGTCGCAGGCCCGCGCCGCTGACGGGCTCCCACGCACCGCGGCGCGCCCTGTGCGGATGCGCCGCAATGGCACCAGTTGCGGCATGTATGTATAATACGTGCGTCGTTCTGCTCGTGCCGCGGGCCTGGCCACGCGGGTTTGATGCCCTGGTGCGAAGCGCGTACTGGGATGTTGCAGATCGTGTAAATACGAGAACGTGCGTGAGGATGGTGTCGCCGGGGATCTGTCCGTTGGCACTTACACGAGGTATTCGCCCGGGCCGGGAGTCCGCTCTATGCTGTTGACAGGGACCTTCTTCGGGTCCCCGCCCGTCTTCTTGAGGGTGCGCTGGCTCGGCTTGAAGTCGCTGAACCTGTCGCCCGACCCAAAGCTGAACGCCGCCGTCGTCCGCCGGCCCGAGGGTGCCTGGCTGCCGAACGCCGAGCCCGGTCGCGACGTCGTCGGACCGGGCGAGTGCTTGCCGAACATGTCCTTCTCGTGCCCGAACCTGCAGTGCCCGAGCCAGCGCAGACAGACAGGCGGCGTCAGTCCCCATCCCGCAGCCCTCCACACCCCGAGCTGTCAAAACACCCCCCACCGACCACGAGGAGTGCCCTCAATCACGCAGCAACGGCCAGGCGAGCCAGTCTGCGGCCGGCCGTCCGCTGAGAAGCGGGCATTCCAACAGCCCAGAACATAAACGTGCGCGGCTTCCATCCTTGGGGGGGGGGTGTAATGAGGGGACTCACGAGATGTACTGCTTGTCGCACTGCTCCCGCGTGGCCCGCCCGAAGCGCGCCGTCGCGCTCGTCGCGTGCCGCGCCACGGTCTGCCGCCCGAAGGTACTGTCCAGCCCGTACGTGCCCGGCCCTGGGGTCTGCAGCGCGGTCGGCTTCATGCCCGGAACGCCGCCCTTACTCATGTCGTAGCGCCCGCCCTTGCCGTGCATCACCACCCCGGGCGCGTCGCCGACCTGCCCGCGCACCTTGGGGTTCAGGGCGCCTGCGCGGACCAGCGCAACACAACTTGTTGTTGCTGGGGAGCTGACGGGGCCGGAGGGGCGCCCGGAGCGGGCGCCGTGCCTCGCAGGGTAGGGTGCTGGCTGGGCGTTCGTGTCGTGGGGCAGCCGCGGCGTGGGGCACTCGCCTGGGGTGAATTCGGACTGGCGAAAGTCCTTTTTGAGCTCGCTCCAGCGGTTTCCGCGATCCAACGCCGCCGTTCGCGCGCTCTGCCGCAAGCTGAGCGTTTGTCTGCGACGCGGGTTGGCGGAAATCGCCACTTCGCGCCATGTCGGGAGCGCAGGGGCTCCGCGAGATCCCTCAGCACAGCAACGCAGTCGCTCCCGCGCCGGACTCACCTCCCGAAGCCGTTCTCGATGCCGTAGCTGCCAGGACCCGGCACGTCCTCCTTGTTCAGCGGCTTGTTCGACTTCGTTCCGAACGTGTGCGACGCGGAGGTCCTTTTCCCTGCCAGAGTTTGTGACCCGAACGACGACTTCGACGCGTAGCAGGCGCCCGGGCCCGTGCGCCCCTTCATGGTGTCGTCCATGACCTACACACACAACCAAACTCCAGCCACGCGAGCGGTCAGCACGCCTCGGCGCGGCACCAAGCCCCTCCGGCCCGAGCATGGGCCGGTGAACAACCGGGGCATGTGATGTCGCTCGTGCGGCGCCGCGGGCCGCAGAAACGCGCGTTGGTCCTCGCGGATCGGTGATACATGATAGGAGCGCGCGACGAGACCCGGGAAACGCGCACCTCGTTGTATAGGGGGGCCTCGCGCCGCGATTTACCGAAAGAAGTCTGCGGTGCGGTTTCCTTGCTAGATACGAGCTGGGTCCCGAAGGAGGACCGAGTCCCCGCCACCACCTTCGGCTCCATCGTGGTCCGCTCCTCTCCGCGCGTGTCCCGGCTCCGAAGCGGCGCTCACGCGCCGTGGCACGCCCGGAAAGGCCGGGAGCGCTGACTACGCACTCCCGTTCGCGGCGCAGCGCGCCTGGATGCGTCTGAACTGGTCTGAAACGTACGGACCGTATCAGAAAGATCGACGTCAGTGCGCGCACACGGGCGTATTCTCCCTAGGAGGCGCAGGAGGGCGCGTGGATCCTCTCGGAGGAGGTCACAGGCGACGTCCGGCGCTGGTCGACGATCAAACGCGGCCAGGAGCCTCTGTGCGACAGCCTGGAGTCTGCCGCGACGCCACGCGCCGGCGAGTAATGTCGACGCGGCGCCCCAGCGCACACACGCGTCCGTCAGACCTCTCCCAACACACCTCCCTACGCCCCACACGCAGCACAGCCGCGCGGAGCCCCGAGGCCGCGCGCCAACGCTCCCTGCGCAGCACCGAGCGACTCCATCGCCGTCGCGCGCCGCACGGACACGCAGGCCACTCCACCAACTCGCACAACCCCCGACAACCCCCCGCCCCCCCACACACCGCCTTTCAGAGTCGCCGCACGCAGCCCGCTCCAACGCATCCCCTCAGCACAACTCCCGGCGCGAGGCCCCTCGGACGGTCGCCTCGGTCACACCGGTGCGCAACGTCAGCCTCAACACCCCCCCCGGCCGCACCGCCGGCGGGAGCCCGCCCGGCCCCGCAGGCCGCGCTCACTTGCGCTTCTTCGCGGACCGCAGGTCGGCGTTGCTGCCCTTGTTTTCGTCCGTGTGGAAGAACCCGGCGCGGTCGACCTGCTTGGCGTTGACCTCCACGCCGCAGATTTCGGCCTTGTCGCGCCCGGTCTTGTCCTTGGGGAGGTACTTGTCGATGAAGAGGACGCAGAAGAGCACGAGGTACGACAGGTACATCGCGAGGCCCATCTTCCAGTTCGCGGAGTTGACGTGGCACGACGCGGCGCCGCCGACGTACACGTACCACGCGGAGGCGACGGTGACGGTGGACCCGACGACCATCTGCAGGATCTGCACCGTCGTGATGAGCTGCGCCATCGGGCGCGCGAGCTTCCGCAGGGAGGGGACTGTTGCCAGGAAGTAGTAGAAGTACATGATGGCGTGGACGCAGTAGTTCATGGCGCCGAACCAGATGCCCGGGCCGATGCGGTTGACGTACGAGTGCCAGCAGTAGAGCAGCACGGTCAGGTGGTGGAACCAGTGCAGGAAGATGACGGGCTTCTTCTTCAGCACCAGCCACACCGTGTCCATGAGCTCGGGGATCTTCGAGAATATGAACGCCATCATCCAGAAGCCCACGGGGCCGTTGATGTACCAGTCCCCCGGGTCCGTGCACACCGTCCAGCGGAAGCCCTCCTCGTGGACCTTGGTTAGAAGGAAGGGTGCCATGCGCAGGGCGCCGCACAGGGAGAACGCCGCGAGGCCGAGGTTCCACAGCGCGACCGTCAGCATCGAGCTCGTGCCCTTCCACGCGGACCGGTGGACCATCTGCGCGCGCGCGGACGTAGCGCGACGAGAGATGGGCAGCGCCGGGAGGCAGCGCGCGGGGCGCGTGGCGGGCCGTGCGGCGTGATGAAGGGGCGCGGGCGCCGCTGATGGCTCGCGCGGGAGGAGGAGAGGGCGCGCGCGGAGCGCGTTGGGCGCTGGTGCGGCCGCGGCGGGCGTGGCGGGCCGCGAAGGCAGAAGACGCTGCCGGCGGGAGGGGGCCGCGCGGGCTGTGTAGGCCCGGGAGAGAGCCGTGCTGGGGCGCGACGCCCTGGACATGGAGGAACCATCCGCTTGCGCGGCGCGCGCGGGCCGGGGGACGCGCATCCGCGCGCGTTGCGGGCTTGCGGTGGTGCGCGGTGGCGTGGGAGGGCGCGGGGGTGGTGAGGGGGGCGGACCTGGCCGGGGAAGTAGAAGACGAAGAAGAGGTAGGCCGTGACGGCGAAGATGGGGATCTCGGTGTGTTCCTGGGAGAACTGGATGAATTTCCACCCATTGAAGTCCTTCTCAAAGTCGAGCGCCGTCCGCAGGGACTTCGAGACGATCTCGTTCCCCACGTCCCCGAACTTCATTCCGTAGATCGACATCTCGCCGGGGGCGCGACGCAGCGCCGCGGTCCACCTCGTGGCTTCGGATCGCCCGGGCTCTGCGTGCTAGGTTGCTTGTGGCAGTCCGGATCGGGGCGGAGGGGCAGGTGGTCGGCGCACGGCCGTGCCGGAGTGGTATGCGTGCGTGCCGCCGCGCGCGCCGGACATCAGGGCGTCGGCGGCCCTGCAGGTCGGTCAGCGGGGGCGCTGACTCGCCGCGGGGGGCAATGGTATTACGTGGCGCCGCGGGGCCCTGCGGGGCCGCGAAGCGCGCGCCGAGACGCCTGGTCCCGGTGGAATGCCTGCTGGATCGGCGGGCGGTTGTTCGCGAGACACGGCGCCGGTATCGCGACAGGGAGGTTGGTCTACGGGATGGCAGCGGCCCGGGATTGACGAGACGTTGCAGGCCTAGTGCAAGTCCGAGGAGCCGCGCCTGTTCCGCTGCTTCTCGCGAGGCGCGATGCGCGTCGTTCCGCTATTCGCGTGCGCGTGCGGCTCCGTGCTGGTGCCTCTGGTGGTTGCGGGCTGGGGCGGCATGGAGGAGGCGGCGTGGTCCCTGCGACCGGTGCTATCCAGGTACACCGTTGTTTTTCGCTCGTGGCCGTGCGTCCGGCTCCGCTGCTCGCCCACCGCGCGCACCACGTCCACGTGCCCTATGCCGCAGCCCTGGCCGCTCCTGCACAGTCCCACGCGTCGTGACGCTCGCGCCCCGTTGCAGCCTCAGCTCCACGCCTTTGCTGACGGTCCTGTGCGCCGCGCTGGCCTGCGCGTTGCTCTTCGGCGTCACGCGCGGAGGTCAGAAGAAGGATGGACTGCCTCCGCACCCGCCTGGGACCACGGGCGTCCCGCTGCTCGGCGAGACGCTCAAGCTCCTGAAAGCTTACACGAGCAACGTCGAGCACGCGTGGTACGGCCCGAAGATCGCCCAGTTCGGCGCGATATTCAGGTCGCACGTCTACTTCAGCCCTGCCGTCTTCTGCGGGGGCGACATAGCGCGCCGCCTGCTGTCCGCGCGCGAGGGGGGGGACGGCCTCGAGATGTGGATGCCGGGCACGATGCGCCAGCTCGTCGGGCCGCTGCACCCGCTGCGCCTCCAAAAGAGCCTTCACACGCCAGTGCGCAAGGCGCTGACGCTCGCCATGACGCCGGAGAGGCTCGCGAAGTTCGTGCCGGTGGCGCAGGCGATCGTCGACCGGCACCTCGCGCAGTGGGCAGGTGCGCAGCCCCAGACGCGCCTCTTCCACTTGTCTGGTCCTTCGTCGCACACGCAGTCTCCTTTTCTCGAATCCTGAGCCAACTGACTCGGCCGTGACCGGACCCGCGCGCGGCGCAGGCGCGGAGAGCGTCAAGATCGCGGACGGCGCGGACGCGCTCGCGTGCGACACCGCGCTGCCGCTCGCGATCGGCCCACGTGCCGCACAGGCCGCGGGCGGCGCCGACATGTTGGCAGACATCAAGCGGGTGTACCAGGGCTTCTTCGCGGTGGTGCCGTTCCCGCTGCCGGGCACGGCGCTCCGGACCGCGCTCGCCGCGAAGCGGCGCATCGAGGCGTTCCACCGCGCGCACTTGGCCGCGCGGATGGGGGAGGGGGGTGTTGACGAGGACAGCGACGGGTGGGGGGGAGTGGCGCACGCGGTGCTCGCGCACGAGGATCCGCGGATCGGAGGCAACATGGACCTCGCCGTGGACCTCATGGTACGCCCCCACAAGAGGTAGAAACCACCCACCATTGCCGTGACGCAACACACCCCCCCTCCCCCCTCCCACGCGTGTGCGGCGTCGCGAGACGGCGCGCGCGCGCTCCCTGGGGAACCAGCCACCTCGTCCCAGCCGCGACCGCCGCCCCGGCGGCCTTCACCCAGCTTTGTGCTGCACTCGCGCTGCCTGACTCAGTCTCGGCGGCCCTGGCTCTTGCGCGCGCAGATCGGGCTCCAGATCGGCGGGCAGAAGGTGCCGGCGGTGTCGATGGCGCTTCTCGCGTTCCAGATTGCGCGGCGCCCAGACGTGCGCCGGCGCCTGCCGCAGGAGCTCGACGAGGTGCTGGGGCCCCCGGGGCCCTCGCAGCGGTCGCCCACGTTCGACGACATCAACGGGCGGCTGACCTTCCTCGACGCGTGCGTCCGCGAGTCGATGCGCGTGCGCCCGATCGCCACGGCACAGATGCGCGTCGCCACGCGGCCACTGGAGGTGGGCGGGTACCAGCTCCCCAAGGACTCCATGTTCTTCTACTCCATATCTCTGACGCACCACATGGACCCGGCTTTCGGGGCCGCGGAGGGGCGGTGCCCGATGGCGGCGGCCGGGACGCACTTTGCACACATGGACTTCGATGAGGGGTTTCTACCTGACAGGTGGCTCAAGGAGTCGGACAGGAAGGACGAGCGCGCGGCAGGAGCCGCGCGGCCGCAGCGGTGGGTGCCGTTCGGCGCCGGGATGCACGCGTGCGTCGCGCAGAACGCCGCTCTGCTTGCCATCAAGGTGTTCGCCGCGACGCTGTTCTCGCGGTACCACGTGGAGCTGCTGGACAAGCGGGTCGCGTGGAGCGACAGCCCGTTCTGCGAGCTCGAGCACCGCGTGCCCGCGCGGATCTTCCCCCGGAAAGCACGGTGAGCAGAGCGCTCTCGGCGCACGACGTCGCGTCCGGGACGGCCGCGCACGCCGCCGCAGCGCGGCTACCGTCCGTGTGCTTCATGTGACAAGCAAGACCAGAACCAAAGATGCGTGCCACTCCCTCGCAAGCACAAAAACAAGCACATCGCTGCGTGGGTGTTAAGGTCACAAGACGACGCGAGGAATGTAACACCTCACCCCAAGCCCGCCTGTTCCGGCCCGGCCCGCGCTACTTCGGCGGCAGCGTCTTCGCGAGCCACTGCGCGAGGTCCTGCAGCTCCTCGGGGCACGCGCTGTGCGGCATCCCGTTGTACACGCGCCACGTCACGTCGACGCCCTCCTTCTCCAGCAGCGCCTTCGTGTTCGTCCCGAACGAGAACGCAACGACCTGGTCCGCGTCCCCGTGCGCCTGGAACACCGGCGTCTGCTTGTGCGTCGCCGCCACCACGCCCGGCTGTGTGTGCAGCGGCATGTACGTCGACAGCCCAGCCACGCCCGCGAGCGGCACGTCCGTGCGCAGCATACCAAGCGCGATCGCGCCGCCCTGCGAGAAGCCCCCGACGACGACGCGGTCGCTGGGGACCTTTTCCGCCGCCACCAGCTCCTTGACGTAGCGCACCGACTCGTTGATGCCGTCCGCGTCCTCCTTCGCGTCGATGGCGTCGAGCGCGGCGATGTCGTACCAGCCAGGCATCCGCATGCCCATGTTGAGCGTGATGGGCCGGTCCGGGGCGTTCGGGAAAACGAACTTGACGTGCGGGAGCGCGGGCGACAGCATCTGGCCGACGTCGAACCAGCCCGCGCCGGTGTCGCCGAGGCCGTGCAGGAAGATGACGGTCGCCGTGTGCTCGTCCTGCGCTTCGCGGACCAGCGGGGCTGCGGGGCGCCGGGGAGGGCGGGTGCAAGATGACACGTGCCTGTGGGGGCCGGTGGGGCTTGCGGTGAGTGAGATTGCGGGGCAGGGAGTACCTCTGTAGTTCAGGCCCATGGCGGCGGGGCCCTTGGAGCTGGAGGCGCGGAAGGAGGACGAGACGGGGGCGGAGAGTGGGGAGGCAAAGGGGGCGCGGGTCGGCCGTGGAGTGGGTGCAGCGCGGACTGGGAGGCGCGCGAAGCCGCAGCTGGCACAGATCGTGATGGTCGCGGCGTTCAACAGGCGGCCCATGGGGCAGGGCGACGGCGGTGCAACAGCCTGATGATGGCTCGCGAGCTGAGGCCGTGTCTGGGAGAGATACTGTCGATGCCGATGCGCATCCGGGACAGTGTGTCCGTGGCGTGCGCACGGGACGCGGGAAAGGTCCGCGGAGGGCCCGTGCGGGCGGAATCAGGGCCCCTCATTGATGCAAGTTGCTGACAGACCGAGCAGGGGGCTCTGCCCGCGTCCCTGGCGTGATTGCGGGCAGCAGGGCTCGGCCGAGGCACAGTCACGCACTGGGGTACACGGACGTGGTGAGGTGGCTGGTTTGAGGCGGCGCAATGGAGGTACGTGGAACGGAGAGGTGGCGACTGCGGCTGGGACGAAAGGCGGACTGTCGGTCCTCCACGCGCTACAGATCAAAGATTGCTACGTCGACGGCAGGGCGTACTCTCATAGAACCAGGAGCTAGCGTTCCTTCTGCGATTACGCAGTCGTATTCCCCTGCGCGCGTGGTCTGCTAGAAGAAGGATGCTAAGAAGAATGCTGGCTGAACCCGTTGTCTGCAGGCCGCTCGCGACCTTGTGTACAAAGCTTGCAAGACGGGGAATATTGAGCGGCTCGAGAAGGCTGCCGCAGAGCTCCCCGAGAGCCAGGAGATCCGGACATTGAAAGATGACACCCAGAGAACGCCGCTACACGTCGCAGGCACGCCATTGCATCCCACGCGAAACGCGGTCCTGCGTCAGCCACCACGCAGCTAGCATGCGACGGGCCCGCGCGCTCGCCGCTGCACCCGGAACATCGGCATTTCGGCACTTGAAATACCCTGTTCTTCGTTCTTTCGTCTCCCGCAGCCGAATCCCAAAGCGTGGACTTCGTGAGCCACCTGGTGGAGCACCGCGCGTGCGAGGTGGACTCCCCCGACGAGGACGGCGACACGCCACTCATCGTAGCTGCCGCGAATGGCAACGCTGCCGTCGTCGACTATCTCCTCTCGCGCGGCGCCAGTCCACGCGCAGCAGGCCTCCTCGGTGGCATGCCGATACACCGCGCTGCCTCGTCCAACCACGCCGGCATAATCACAACGCTGATCAAGGCCGGCAGCGACGTCGACGCCCCATCTAAGACTGGCGCGCCGCTGACGTGGGCCGCGGGGTCGGGGTCCGTGGACGCCATCAAGGCCCTCCTCGACGCCGGCGCGGACGCGAACTACCGCGCCGAGGGCGGCATCGGGGCGCTGCTGATGGCGGCCGCGCAAGGCACGGCCGCTGCGGTTTCAGCACTTCTCGCGGCAGGATGCGACCCGAACGCGGAGCAGCCGCGCGGGTTCTCCTGCCTCCACGCCGCCGCGGACCGCGGCGAGGTCGCGATGGTCCGGGCGCTGCTGGACGCCGGCGCCGACGTCGGTGCGCGCGACGAGCAGGGAAACACCCCCCCCGAGGTGGCGGCGATCAACAAGCACCGGAACGTGGTCGAGGTGCTGCTGGAGCGGTGCCCCGAGGGGCCGATCGAGGGGCGCGGCGGGCGCGCGCGCGAGTGGACCGTGGACGGCTTGATGGCGTGGGGGGACGAGTATAGAGGTCAACAGAAGTTCCAGCAGGCGGGCGGGGTGGCGGACGAGCGGGCGGAGGTGCCTGCGGCGGAGGAGCCGGACAAGGACCGGGCGGCGGAGCGGAAGCGCGAGGGCGACGCGGCGTTCGTGGGCGGGAAGATGGAGTAAGAGCCCGACGTTGCTCCGGAGCTATGTTTTCGTGTCTGTTGCGCCCTCGCTGTTTGTTGACTGCGTCCTGCTCGGCGCGGGTGCGACGTGTGGCCTGCTCCGCCCCGGCCGTTGCAGGGAAGCGATAGAGGCGTACACGGCGTCGTTGCGGCACGACACGTCGCTGTCGGTGACGTGGGCGAACCGCGCCGCGTGCCGCCTGCGCGTGTCAGACTGGGACGGCGCGCTGACGGACGCGCGGACCGCGCGGACGATCGACGCCACGAACGTCAAGGCGTGGTACAGGGAGGGCATGGCTCTCCGGGGCAAGCGCATGTGGCAGGAGTCGGCCGAGGCGCTGTACGAGGCCATGCGGCTGGAGCCGGACAACGCGACGGTCAGCAACGCGTTCAAGGAGGTGATTCTCGAGGGACGCAGCGACACGATGGCGAAGAAGGCGGCTGCCGAGACGAAGGCGGGCGTGTGATGACCACTGCGCACAGGGAGACTTGTTACTAGGTCTTCGCGTTCGCGCGCGTCATGGTTAAAAGAACCCCATGCACGAGTACCCGCCGTCTATCGACAGCACCTGCCCGGTCACGAACCCCGCGCCTTTGCCGCAGAGGAACGCGACGCAGCTCGCCACCTCCTCCGGCGTCGCGATCCGCCCCATCGGCGTCCGCGACAGCACTGCATCCTTGTACTGCTCGTTTTGCAACACCTGCATCGCGAGCGGCGTCGCGGTGTACCACGGCGCGACGCAGTTGACGCGAACGCCGTCCCCGGCCCACTCCACCGCGAGGTTGCGCGTCAGCTGGTTCATCGCCGCTTTGCTCATAGCGTACGGCGTGCCGGACTTCATCGCAAGGGGGCCGCCGGCCACGGAGCTCACGAAGACGACGGAGCCCTTGGCCTGCCGGAGCAGCTTGTGGCACATCTGCGGGCGCGCGGAGGGGTCCGTGACGTGGGGCACGGCGCCGGGGCGACGGGTGAGGGGGCGAAGATGGTACGACAAGAGCGCGCGTGCCTGGGAGACGAAGAAGGCCGAGTCGAGGTTCGTCGACATGACCTTGCCGACCTCGTCCTCCGTGTAGTCCACCGTGGGCTTCCGGATGTTCGTTCCGACGTTGTTCACCAGACTGCACAACGGACAGGTGAAAACAAGGACATGAGTTTCACGTCGCGATTTCCGGGCCATGTGGCGGCGGCCGTTCGGGACAGCCGCGCTGCGTCGTGCGGGTGCGCGTCGGTGCGGGCGCGCACATGTCGAGTCCCGTGTCGCCGAACGCGGTGCTGGCGCCCTGGAGCAGCAGTTGCCGCCCGGCGCTGTCGCTGCAGTCGACGGCCATGCCCAGGACTTGGTAGCCCTTGGCTCTCCACTCGTCGATGCACTTGTCGAGGTCCTCCTTGTTGCGCGCACACGTCAGCACGGTGCACCCGAGCACGCACAACTCCTCCACCACTGCATGTCCGATGCCCTTCGTGCCCCCTGCACCGAGCATCGAGAGCGCGGCTCAAGCGAGGTAAGGCAGCGTTCGAGCGGGCGTGAGGGACAAACGGTTCGTTTGGAGCCTCATGCGCCGGTACGTGCGGATGATGTGATTGGCGTGCATGAGACGACTGGAGCGAGCCGTGCGCGCACCTGTGACGATCGCGGTCTTCCCCGCCAGGCCGAACCGCTCGGACAGTCTATGCAGCGCGGCGTCGCCCATGTCGTGCGCCGCGAGGACGCGGTGCCTGGCCAGCGAGCGGGAGGCTTGGGAGCAACAGGGAGAGGGATTGCTGCCCGGGGACGACGTGTAGCAGAGACAAGAAGGACGTCGTAGACTCCTTGAGTGTAGAGCTTGAATGTACGCGCCTGTGATGCTCGTGCCTGGCGTTGTAACCGCTCCACGGGAGGCATGAAGTTGGGACTCCCCTCGAAGCGCCCGTTGCGCCGCGTCAGGGCGGTTGCCCGCGAGAATGGGCGGCGCGATGGGACGACGTGGCATATTTCCTTGTGTGGAATACGGCTAAGATGAACGCACAGATCCAGGGATTCAGGTGCCTCGCCACCTCGACGCGCGCGCAGCCGGTGTGCTCGCGCGTGGGCGGCGAGGTCGCTCCGCGGCGCGCCCGGGACCTCTCTGTCGCCGTTCGCGCGCAGAAGTCCGCCCAGGAGCGCGACGGCCAGCAGGGCGCGTCCTCCCCGGTCCTCCTCTCCTCCACTGCTCTCAAGGCCGCTCCCGCGCTCTGGCTCGCGAGCGCCATGCCCGCGCAGGTGCGCATCGCACGGGCCCTGCCCCGCCATCAGCACCTCGCGCTCCGCTCCCCCCACGTCCACGCCTCGAGCCTGTGCGCTCAGGCTGCCCCCGCACTCCTTCCAGCCGCGTGGCCCGCATATTCCGCGTTGAGACCAGCTCCCGCCGCACCATAGCGTTAAGCACCAGTACAACTATGAGATTAGGGGCGGGAAACCCCCCCATATTAACCACTGACGTCACGCGAGCGCACTCGAGAAAAGCTTGGCTGTGGCTGATCTGACGCCCGCCCTCCGCGCCCCGACCTTTTCTCGCACTTCTCGCGGCGCCTGGCCGCATCCACTCACCAGCCCGCACCCTGCGTTCCCACGCGCCCGGCTACACGGCGCCGAGCGCGCGGCACGCGGCGTGTGTCTGAGCCACAGAGGCCGCTCTCGCTCCCTGCAGGCCTACGAGTTCCAGGGCTCCTACTCCTCGTACTACGTCACGCTCGGCCTCTTCCTCATGACCGCCCCGGGCCTGTGGTCCCTCATCAAGCGCGCCCCCAAGGCCGCAGTCAAGCGCCAAACCTTCGAGGTGCGCAGCACAGCCACTCCTCGCACCGCTCGCGCACGCCCCGCGCACGCCAAGCCACGCACGCGCGCCCACCCCTACTCCAACCCTCCCAGCACACGATACCAGCCCGCACAACCCATTCCACGCCCCCGCACGCGCGAACGGCGCATCCGTGCGCTGCGCTGCACAGCTGCGCCCGCGGCCCACCGCGGACGCGTGCCCTGCTCGGTCCGCGCAGATCGACGGCCCGAAGGTCGAGGGCGCGAAGCCGCTCGACGACGTCGCGCGCGGCGTCGCGGCGTACTTCCTGAAGTACAACTACAACGTGGCGGGCACTGGCGAGGTCATCACCTTCGAGGGGACGTACCAGGCGTCCAAGTCGCAGGCGTTCGCGATCACGACGTACACGCTCTTCTCCCTCGCGTCCATCGCGCTCGTCCTGTCGATCGTCGTGCCCGACGTGGGCAACTGGTGGTACTCGATGGTGCTGCTGTCGCCGCTCGCGGGGTACTACTACTGGTCGAACGGGGATCGGCAGGAGCAGGTCAAGGTGAAGATGGTGACGGCGGACGACGAGATGACGACGGACATCATCGTCGAGGGCGACAAGGAGGAGCTCGAGCGCTTTGCGTTTGAGCTGGGCTTCGTGGAGAAGGGCAAGGTGCGCGTGAAGGGCGTGCTCGAGGGCTGAACGGACCGAAGCAAGGTGGTGCGCGTGCGGCGCGTGCGGGGGCTGCTGCGGCGGCGGGCAGCGAGCGCTGTGTGACACGGGTGGTCAGTTACTACTCTGAGTGGTCAATGAACACTTTTTGTGCGGGCACTGCGTGCGGGTCGAAGTCGCGAGATAAGTGGAGGTGCTGTGGTCAGAGTGCTTGCGCGCTCGGGCGCCGTGCGGCAGCGGGCGGCTCGTCGCTGCGCCGCCGTCGCATCGGGCCACGATCCTCGCACGCGCTCGCACGAGCAGGGCCGCATCGTTGCTAGCCGGCACGCGCGCACCTCGGCCACGCAGCCGCGTGTCACGAGCACGCCGCCCGGGACCACCACTGCAGCTCTTCCAACACGTCGACAGCATCTACTACTAGCATCAACGTCACAGCGCATCACAGCGCACCTACGCCCCGCGGGACCCCCGCGCGGCCTTCCCCGTGAACGGATCCACCACAGGCTTCACGGACACGCCCTTGAGGAACCCCGTGGACGTCCGCTGCGACCCGGGGTGCCACGAGCGCACCATTTGGCGCAACACCTTGTCGGGCAGCTCGCTGCTGTCCGCGTCCCGGTACCGCGGGAACTCCCGGCGGAACAGCACGAACACGTCGGACTCGTGGCACTGCCCGGACTGCTCGAGGAACTTGTCCGCGAACCTGCAAAAGTCCTGGTACTGGTTCTCCAGTGCAACCGCCTCCTCGCCCTCGACGCGCCGCGGCCGGCCCACCTCGTACACGCCCGCCGCCATCAGCGACCCGATGCCCGTGCTCAGCCCCCACGTCGCGTCCTGCGCCAGCACACGCAGCCGCCGGCGGAGCGTCACACCTGACCGCAGTCGTCGAAACGGCGCACAATGGACGAAAACGGCCGCGAACGCGCGAAGGCGGCGTCGGGGCCCTCACCTGCACCAGCGCGTTGATGCCGACCGACATTCCGAGCCCGCCGAGCACGAACAGCGCGTAGGCACCGGCCTTGATGTTTCCGGGGGGCACGTAGCCCACGTCGTCGACGTCCAGCCCCGCGGCGCGCCCGAGCTTCCCGAGGACCCAGTCGCTCGGGCGCTCGACGTCCACGCGGCCCAGGAACAGCAGCAGGATCTGCAGCGGCGAGATGAACCACAGGGACACGGCCCACATGGCGGCACCCAGGAACTGGGGGATGCCGAAGCCGTCGAGGAGGCCCTCCCACGCGCCCCCGAGGCCGTCCTCGCCGTAGATGAGGTCGTCGAGGAGCGACTCGCCCGTCATGAGGTTCACGCCGATCAAACAGGCCGTCGTCAGCGTCGCGGCAATGGTAACCAACACGATGTTGTCCGACCGAATCGTCTCGCCGGCCTCCTGCCCGCCGAGCGTCGGCATGACCCTGCGCACCGCGTCAGCGCGTGTCGCGTGTGGATTCGGACCGTCTACAACGCGGAAACGCGCCGCAACGGCCCGGAGCCCTAGCAGGCAGCGCGTGGCCGTTGTGTGGTGTTGGAGGGGGTCACGCACTTGTACTCGTCCGGAATAGCGTCAGGATCGTAGGACCCGGGCTCCGCGAGGCTCACGCGGCCAGACCGACGTCCCTTGAAGACAGGCCCCTCCTTTTTGCTAGGCGCTGCGCTGTCCTGGTTCGACGCCGCTCCGCCGCTCTCCGGGGCCTTCCCAGCCGCTTCCTCGCGTCCCTCGTCGCCCAGCATCGCGTCGAGGTTCGTCGTCGTCGTCGTCCCCGCGCTCTTCTCGTCGTCTCGCGACGCAGCGCACCCCACTCTGGGCCGCAAACCACGTCGCACGGGCCGCAGCGCCGTTCCCGCGCATCTCCGCGAGATCGGCCGCGCCGGCCGGCTACAGTGAATCCGAAGGGTGGCGCGACGCCCAACCTGCGTCCCCGTCGACGCCCGCATCGCACTCCCCGCCGGTGCTCGAGCCCCGGCCTGAGATCCTACCGGGGGCCCGCTCCGCGTCCACGAAGCAACGAATCCACGGAGCGATCCAACAACTCGCGGCTCCTGTGCCAGAGATTCTCGTTTCTACGTGCGTCCCGCCGCCCCCGACCCCTCAATTGCCCCCTGGGACGCACGGAGCAACTTGCTCAAGTGACACCTGTGTTGGCCAGTCGGACGGAGGCGTGGAGCGGAGCGCCAGGCCGCGTGCTGCACCGCGGAGCGCCGCGCCTGCGGTCCCGCCTGCTCCGCCACGCTGCGCGCCGCTGCGCGCCTCCACCGCCCGCTCGCACGCCAGCTTTCTGACGACAACCATCTACACCAGTTCTTTCACGTGACTGAATGCCCGTCTCCCTGGCGTTTCCCTGCGCTGCTGCGCCCCTACAGCCGCGCGGCATGCCGTTCCGCATGTTCTGAGCGCCCCGGCGCGCCACGCACGCATCATACGCCCCGTGCTGCGACACTGCAAAACATGACTGCGGCGACGTCGTTTCGCGCGCGGAGGCGTCTCACAGGCCCTTGATGACGCTGCGGCCCGCGAGCAGCGCGGCGGCGGCCGCCACGCCGGCCCCGCCGGCCACGGCGGCGAGCTGCGGGCCGCGGGGGGCGCGGAAGAGGGCGCCGGTGAGGAAGCCCGCGGCGAGGGTGTTGAGGGCGTCCGGGTAGTCGACTGGGACGTGGTTCTCGCCGACGTAGAACAGGCCGGACTCGGAGAGCGCGAATATCATGCCCACCTGCGGCGCGGGAGAGAGGGGGTGCGGGGCGCTGAGCGAGCCGGGTCTGTGCGGACGCGGCGTGGTCGGATCTCGGCTGAACGGGAGAGGGTCGATCTGGGATGCGTGGCGGCGATGCCGCGCGGGGGCGGCGGGGCCGCGGGGCGCCGCGGCGCGGGAGGTGGCTGTGGGGGGCGCACCATGCCGAGGGCGTTGCCGGCGCGGGTTCCGCGGGAGGCCGTGCTGTTCAGGAAGCGGTTGATCTTGAGGCGGTTGGTGTCGACCATTCCCGGCTCGGGCGAGGACGCGATGCCCGTGGCCGCGCCGAAGGCTCCACCGCCCAGCCATCCTGCACGCGCCCCGCACGTCCAAGATTTCGCCGATTCCGCCATGAGAATGGCCGCGCCGTGCTCCGAAACCTCGTGAGCACTGGGTTTCGCGATTATTCGGAGCGCATGAGCGACGCAGCGGCCGTGCACCGCGCTGTAGGGCAAGCGTGGACGGCGCTGCCGCCCTGATTGCGCACTACCATCGCTGTGCGCCCGGATGCGACCGTGAGCGCGACCCGGGGGGCCGCGGCGTACCTGACAAGTAGCCCACGCCCGTGTAGTACGCGAGGTTGTCGCCCCAGGAGCGCCGTTTGATCTTCGCCTCGGCGTCAAAGAGGAATTGCGGGCTTTGTGGCATCGCGTACACGCTCTGCACCGCCCGGATGCCCCCGATGCCCCCCGTGTCCATACCTGCGCAGCCCAGCACCCCCCGCGCGGATGCTTCTCGCATCGGGACCCCGCACCGCACGCTCACCTTGCAGGAGCCCGCAGGCCGAACCGAGGCCGTGCAGCCCGCGCACCACCGTCGAAATCCCGCGACGCGATACACCTTGCAACAGACCAGCGATATTCGGGCAGGAAAACCACGTCAGGCCGCGCAGGCGTGCAGGCCGCACCGTCATAAGGGTTGTACATCCTGGCGGCCGGCGCGGTGACCGGGTCCGGCTGCGCGGGGGGCGCGGGGCTGCTTGGGAGCGTCAGCGACTCCGACGGCACCGCGCTCGGCGCAGCATCCTCCTTCTTCCTCCCCCAGACCCAGTCCCGGAGCCCCATTGCGTGAGCACCTACCCTCCACCGCGGACCTTGCCGTCAAACACCCTCCGTTCACTCCCCCGGAACGCCACGCCAGCCAGCAATCGCACGCCGGGGCCGCTCGCTGCGTGATTGCCCGCGCCCTGCCGCGACAGCGCCCCTCGAACCGCCAGTGTCACACGCACAGGGGGTGTCTCCCACGCCGTCAGACACACGTCACGACAGCCCTCCCGCCGCGACGAGGGCGCGAACAAACAGGGCCGCGCCCGCCCGCGCCCCCAGCGGCCTCGGCTGCCCCGGCGTCCTCGCACCGCCGCGCGCACACGTTGCGCACCCTTCGCTGCGCGCGACGGACGACGCACTCCCTCACCCCTGCGCCATGCGCGCCTCCCTCTTGAAGTCCTCCAGCTTCTTCACCCCGCGGTGCATCTCCATGTTACGGTACTTGTCCTTCAGCCTCACCTCCGCGTTGGATGCGTCTTGCAGGAACGCGAAGGCGCCGCGCTCCCACCCCTGCTGCAACACCCACTTCCATATCGTGTTGCCCCGCCTCGTCCTCTCCGTCGCGTACCATGCAGCCACCAGCTCTGCGACGCGGCCGAGAGGGCACCACGCGGGCGCGGGTGGGATGGCAGCACTCCCCCGGGGGCGTGCAGCCGCTGCGAGGGCCGCAGGGCGGCGGGGTGGAGCGAGGCGTTGTGAGCGCAGGCGCACCTGCGAGCGTGTCGCACTCGGCGTCCGTCCAGCACCCGCGCAGGGTTTTCCCAGTCCTCGCGCGCTTGAGCGGGGGCGCTCTGCGCTCGTCGTCGCTCGAGTCCGCGCCGGGATCGTGGATCTCCGACGGCGACGCCATCCGCCGCGGCCCGCCGGGCCTGCTGGGGCTCGCCGCGCCTGCGACGCAGACACAAGGTGCGAGGACGTGGCACTCGGGTTTGCAGGGTCCGGAATCCGCCGCCACCCTCCGAACAAGAGCAGAGCCACGCAGCGTGCGGGGAGCCAGCGGAGGCCGTCCCGCACGGCACGTTCCGCGGCGCGACCGCCGGACGCGCAGGCCAGAAGCCGCGGTCGGGCGCACAAACTACTCGAGCTTTCCCATCTTACGCGCAGCCGCGGCGGGGTGTCTTACCCAGCGCGTAGGAGGCCTTCCGCTTCGTCACACCCTGTGGCGAGAGCGCGAGCTTGTTGGCGTCCCCCTTCTGCGGCGTGCGGCCCGCTGCTGGCTGCGCACGTAGTGGCGCGATCGACCGGTGCGACTCCCGGCGCACGACGGGCCGCGGGGGCGACAGCGACAGCTCGCGCTGCGGGCCTGTGCCTGCGAAGAGCGCGAGCGGCGAACGAGGAAGTCTCAAGCAGCGACAAAGTCAACCAGTGGTGCGCGTTGAAGGTGCAGTGCGTGCGGTCGAGCGGCGAGACTGCGCCCGTCGGCGTACCTCGGCCCTGCGGACTCGCGAGCTCCTCCTGCGTGGTCTTCCACCGCGCCTCCTGCCGGCCCTCGGCCCGGCCTCCGAACTTCACCGCTGCAATGTACAGACGCGCACGGCGCAACACCGGCTTGCCATCTCAACCACGTGCGCGGGGCCAATTTCGTCTGCGGAGGACGCGATCGCGCGCCTCCGACCCTCACCTGCGTCCTTGCGTCCAACCACGGCGTCGGCGCGCATCATCGCCTCACCCAGCGCGTCCGGCAGGCCTTGCAGCGTTCTGTGCAATGCCTGCCTGGCGCCGCCCAGGCCGACGACGGCCGCCGCCCCGGCGCCCTGCAACTGCGGTGAGCTGCGCGCTGCGCCGCTCCGCGGCGTCGGCCGCGCCGAACCCACCTCCCGGGCCCGCTGCGGCGTTCCTTCTGGGGTGCGGTGCGCCGCGTCCGCCCGCGCGGGCCGCGGCCCGCCGGACGCGAGCACAGCGTCCAGGAAGTCGTCCATCGCCTGCCCCGCCTCGTCGCGCGCCGGCGTCGCCCGCGCCGACCCCGCGCCCGGCGCGCGCCCCTGTGCTGCCCCGCGCGCCGCCTCCGGCCGCCTCGCGACCACGAGCGCCTGCGGCGTGAACTGCGGCTGCAGCGGCAACGACGAATACGAAGCGACGCACGGTCATTTGCACGCTCTCGCGACCCCGGCGCAACAAGCACGATCCGCCAGAGCAGCCATCGGGGGGACTCTCCGGCATGCGCACCTCGTCGTCCCGGCCGCCCCCGTCCTCCGAGCTAGACGAGCTTCCTCGCCCCGCGGCCCGCCTTGCCGCGCGCATCTTCTCGCCATACGTCATCTTCGACGCTCCGGGGGGGGCTCCGCCCCTGAACGCGACACCCCCGCTCATCGCCGCCTTCGCCGAGACCGGCGCCCGCAGCTGCAGCTTCTCCAGCACGCTGCCGCCGCCCTCCGCGGGCCCCCGCCGCGCAGGCAACGCCGCCGCGCTGCCGCCCACTCGCGCCCGCTGCAGCGCCGCCGGACTCGCCTTCGTCGACGGCGGCCGCTGCCTGGCGGCCGCGCCGCTCGGCGCTACCTCCCCGGCCACCCGCGCAGCCTTCGCGAGCGCCTGTCCCTTCGAGCCCGAGCGCGGCGTCGCCGTTCCTCCCCCCTGCGCAATAACACGCGCCCGCCCCTCGGGCGCGGCGGTCGCGGCCGCGCGCTCGGCCTGGGAGCTGCCCGGGTGCAGGCAGCTCGCGGCGACGCGGGGCCGCCCCGCCGGACGCGTCGTCGGATCTGCGGCGAGCGGCAGGTACAGAGGGCGCGGGTCGGCGTCCCAGGACGACTCGCCGTCGACGACGCGCCGGCTGCGACGCACGAGGTCGCCGTGGGCCGTCCTGACGTGGTACGTGAGCTGTGCCACCGCGAGCCCGCCCCGCCCACACACGCGACACCAGTAGGTGCAGGACTCCGGGTCGGCGGGGGCCTGCTCGAGGCCGAACGGGACCGTGCGATGGCAGCGCCACTTGGTGTCCACCGGCCACTCGCGGAGGTCCGCGGTGCCGGCCTGGACGGCCCTCGCGTGGGGGGACTTTTGCGGCGACCCCCCCGCGGGGCGCGGCGACTGCGGCCCGCGCTGCGCCGTGGCGGCGGAAGCGGGGCGCGCGGGCGAGGCCGTCGCGGCGCCGCGGCGAGCCGGCGGCGCGTCTGGCAGCCAGATCGCGCCTGGCGTGGGGTTGGCGGCGTCCGTCGCGACCTGGGCCTCGGTCGCCGGCGGGGTCGCGTCCGGGGCGCGGGCCTGCCGGGGGAACGCGTCCATGACGGCCTGCGACGGCGCGAAGGATCACGTCGCAATTCGAGGTCTGGCGCTCCCTCAGGGGGCAGGCAATTCAAGGTCAGTTGACGTGCCACTAGCGACGCGCACCTGCAGGGCTTTCCACCCCCACGCGCGCATGCCGGCCTGGATGCTCGCGCCCTCGCTTTGCACGTAGTCATGCAGGACCTTCTCCAGGCTCTCTTGCTGCCGATCTCCGCTCGGCTGGCGCCGCGCGTCCACGATTGCTTTCTGCACTCGACGCACACGCACGCACGCGATCAGCGGCCAGGGCCGGCGCCGCGGCCGTCGCCACGCTGTACAGCGCCCGTCCGGAACACGCCGGGCGCGAGGCCCGGCGCGGCGCGTGCGCGGCGCGTGCGCACCTGGATGGTTTCCACGCTCGCAACAATCGGTGCGAGCTTGCTCTTCTTGCCGGCCTTGGCCTTCGCCGCGACCTGTTGCTTGTACGTCTCGAGCCTCTCGAGCTGCGTGAGCGCGTCCTTCGCGGCCCGGTCCGCCCCCCCGACCTCTTCGGGCACTTTCAGCCCCAACGGTAACAGCGCCTCCAGGATCTCGGTCTGCGAGGTCCGGGCGCGGAGCGCGTTCGGCCGTGGGATCTCCGCCAACATGCCTCTGCGGAAGGCGGCGCGTCCGCCGCGAACGGGGCAGCGGAGCGGGCGCACTGCCGCAGCACACGCAGCGCTGTTGGCCGAGCAGCCGTCTCTCGGCGCCGCCGCGGACCGGTTTCGCGGCGCGGGGGCGGGTCGAGAGGTCGCTGTGCGTGGGGTTGGCCGAACGGCGCACCTTGACGAGGAGCGGGCGCGCAACGCGGCACTTGTTGAGGCACTGATCGATGGTGTCCTTTCCATGGGTGCGCTCGAGGGCGTCGTGCGCCGCGGGGAAGGACGTGGTCATCTCCCCGATGATCGAGCGTAGGTATCCGTGGATCTGCGGCGGCGGGCGGGGCGGGAGGGCGCCGGGCTGAGGAGCGCGGACGACGAAAGTAGACATTGTTGCACACTTGCGCCCGACGCGCTGCGCGCGCCGCGTCGACGCACCAGCGACGCGCCACGCGCAGCCTGCGGTAGTATATGAGCCAGCCAGGTACCGTCCGCACGCAGGAAAGCGCAGGGCACGCGCGCAGAGCCACAGGCTGCACGTCGCGCCTCAACAGCGCGCGCCTGCTGGCCCCCGCTGCCATGAACGGCGACGTCCGCACCTCCAGTACGTCGCCTCCCGCGAAGTCATCCGCGCTGAGGTTGAAGCAGGCGCTTGCGGCCGCCAGGAAGCGCACATACGCCGCCGGGTCGAACTCCCGCCCGCTGAACTTGAAGCCAAACACGTTATTCGCGGCCCGCACGACGGCGTTCAGCTCCGCCGACACCTCCTCGCGGACCTTTCCCGCCTGCACCTCGCAGTCAGACGGGCCGCTCGAGGTCGGGCCACGCCCCGGGGACACCCGCCCGCCCGCCCCTCGACGTCCTCTCTGCTGGAGGCAACCGCCTGGCGCGGCGCGCACGAGAACCCCAGAGGCTCGTGCCCGGTGCGAGGGGGCAGAACATCCAGGTCAGCGCAAGCGTGGCTCGTTCGTGCGCCTGCATACGCCGCCGCGGCGGGCTGGGAGCGAGAGAGAGCTCGCAGGTGGCTGTTTGCACGCCGGGCCCGGAGGTCACCTGGTCCGCGGCGAGCTCGACCAGCGCGAGGTCAAGCGCGTCGCTGAGCACCCGCTGCCACTGCGGCGCCTCGCCCGGGCCCGCCATCTTGCGCTTTGGAGTCGTGCGGGCGGTTGTTTGGAGCCTTCGCGACGAAAGACGCGCGCCGGGATGCGCCGCTCGCAGGCGCACCGGAAGCCGGCCGTGCGACCGCGCGCTCTGGCCGGCGCGCGCGGCGGCGCGGGCCGTTCACGCCGAGGAATCCCTGACCGAAGGCGAATTACACCTCCGTCCGCCCGACGGGCCGGTGCGGCGCCTTGCGGGCCCGTGGCGGGCCGTTGGCTGCACAACCGAGACGCCAGTATCGCTGGCGAGGCGTTGCGGTGGCTCCAGAGTCGCTGAGACCCGGGCACAGGTGCCACGTGGCGAAGCTGGGCTCGTCGCCGCTGTTGCACCACTGCGCCCGCCCGGGCGTCACTTTGGGCGGCCCCGCGGCCTGTGCGTGATATACAGTTCGCCACATTCAGTTTCTTTCAAACGCGTTCCGTTGGGAGGCGAGAGGGAGTCGGAGCCGTGCGAGTTGCACACCTAGCATAATGGATTCACGATAGTCTAGTCTAGGGCCCGTGAGGGCGATCCAGTGACCGCGTCGCGAGCGCGGTGGGGGAGTTCGCTCGTGAGCAGCGCCCCGACACCATGTGCGGCTCCTGCCGGCCCCAGGCCGCCGGCGGGAGGCACGTTGCGGTGTTGCTGTTGGTCTTGCTCGCGCTGCGCACCATCGAGGCGCGTACTTCCGGCACGAGGCTGCCCGTCATCATAAGGTGAGCTCGTAGCGCCCGGCAAACGCAAATCCAACCATCCTCACGCCGCTCCTTGGACGCCAGGCGTTGCCAGCTCACCGCCTGCTCCGTCCACCACGGGCGCGCGAGCCGTCCCGTTCCGGGGCGCATTCCGCGCACGACGCTTCGTGCACAACTTCATATTCGAAACAAGCTACCGTCTGGCCCGCCCATCGTGAGAGCAGCCTCCGACACGACCTTCGGTCTTTGCCCCTGCAGAGCTCCGCCCCATTTGACTCTCCAGGGCGCCAACCAGCCCCCGACCGGGCCAGGCGGCGCTCAGCCGCGGTCGTTCTCTCCGTCCCAGGGGACGACGACGTGGCTGTTCGAGCTCGCGCCTCAGACAGACGCCTGTACGAACCCTGCACAGGCTGTCGTGGCCCAGCTCGAAGCCCTCGAGCTGCCTTTCGCCCGCCTGGGCTCCCTCGGCGTCCTCGCAGTCCACTGCTCGGAGGGCGCGATGGCCGCCGCGGCCGCCGCAGCTGCCGATTGCCTCGTCGCGGTGGAAGAAGACTTTTTGGTATCTCTCGACGACACCGACAACCAAGACTCCCCGCAGCCCCCCACGGCGCGCCGGCGAACACGTGCCCAACAAACCGCACCCCCTCCGTCCCTCCCGCCGTTCCCCGCGAGCCTCGGCCGCACTCTACAGCCCCCAGAAGACCCGGCGGCAGCGCGGCGCGCCGCCCAGGAGGCTGCGAGCGCGCCGCTGTGCCAGTCGACGGCCAGCACATCCGGCGCGGTGACGCTGTGGGGCCTGGACTACATCGACCGCGGCAGCGTGCCGGGCTCCGCGAACGACGGGCGGTATTGCTACGCGGCGACGGGGGCCGGCCAGGCGCTGTACGTGGTCGACACTGGGATGCTGCTGACGCACGACGAGTTCAGGACGGCCGACGGCGCCGGCACGCGGGCCTCGCGGCTGTTCGATGCGGTGCCGGCGGCGCAGGACGACGCGAACGGGCACGGGACGCATGTGGGGTCGGTGGCCGCGGGGCGCACGGTGGGGGTGGCGAAGGACGCGGAGGTGTTTGATTTGCGCGTGCTGGACGCGAACGGTCAGGGGTCGTTCGCGGCGGTGGTGAACGCGATCGTCGTGGCCACGGAGCATGCGGTGGCGCGCGGGCGGAGGGGCGTGATCAACGTGTCGCTCACAGGTGCGGACGAGCGCTGGTGTGGCGGCGTCGGCTGGACAGGGGGCTGGTGGGGGGCGCGGGACGATGACGCGCGTCACATATCCGCTCTCTTTCGTTTTGCATTCGATTCCCTTTTTGTTGTTCTTTGTGTTTGTATTTGGTGATTCTCGTTTCATGGGCCCCGCAACCCGTCGTGCTTCGTGTGCTGCGCAGGGTACGTGGCGGGGGTCGCGCGCGCAGTCACGCTCGCGATCAGCTACGCACACGACCTGGGCATGCTGGTCGTGACCGCGGCGGGCAACCAGGGCATGGACGCGGCGTTCCGGTGGCCCGCGCAGCTCCAGCGCGGCCTCGTCGTGGGCGCGCTCCAGTCCGACGGCGCGGGGGGGGTGTCTCGAGTCCCCAACTTCAACTTTGGGGCCACGCTCGACCTCTTTGCGCCCGGGTCGCGCATCTACGCGGCGGAAGGCTCCGGACCCTCGGCGTACGGCCTGCGCACGGGCACGTCCATGGCGGCGCCGTTCGTGGCCGGCGCCGCGGCGCTGGCGATGCAGCGTCAGGGTGTGTCAGACGGTGAGGCGGCGGGGCGGACGGTGGTGCTGGCGAGCGCTGCGGGCGTCGTGGCGGATCACGCGGCGCTCGACGCGCGCTGGACGGACCGCGCGCTGCAGGTCGCGGCGCTGCACGGCCCCGGGATCGCGACCGACGTCACCGCAGTCGATGTCTCGGGGGGGCCTGCGACGGTGCAGGTGTCGCTGTCAGGTGCGTGCGGCGCTACGTCGCTGCAGTCAAGGCCTCCAGCGCCTGCAGACGAGCGCTCTGGTCGCGAGGAGCGCACAAGAGCGCACAGAGCCTTACCAAGCAAGACACTTCTTTACGTCCCTGACTCAATCTCGGTTTCTCTTTCTCTTCTTCCACCGCAGGGGCTCGAGCGGCAGCAGTGACGGTGCACGTGGCTGTATCGGACGACCTCACGCTCGCGGCGTCGCCGAGCACGCTGACGTTCCCGGCGGGCAACTCGACGACGCAGCAGAAGGTGACGCTGACCGTGGACCCGCGCGGGCTGTCCGCGCCGGTGGCGTTCCTCGACCTGCGCGCCGCGAGCAGCGACCCGACGTACGACGGCGCTGTCCGGGCCGTCGCCGTGCGCGCTCCGGCCTCGCCGATCCGCGGGGACGAGCCTGAGGCGCCCGCCGTGTTGCCGTGGTCTTCTGTCGACTCCGCCGCGCCGTTGCTGACGCGTTTCGTGCTCGACGAGTGGCAGGCGAGCTCCTCCGCGACGCGCACGGACGCCCTGACGACCCCCGACTTCGCCGGGGACGTCCGTGCGGCCAAAGACAGGGACATGGCATGCGGCGCGACGGACATGGCGGGCCCCGACCTGTGGTGGGCGTTCAACCTCGAGAACGGCTGCGGCGGCACAGACCGGTGCACGCTGGCGGTGGAGTTTTGCACGGGCGGCGCCCAGGGCACGTCTGTGGGCGCCGTGCTGTGGGACATGGCCGCGAACGTCAACGTGACAGCCTGCGGGCTGGAAACGCGCTCCCAGGACCCTCTCGCGACGTGCGCGGTGGCGAGCACGATCTCGTTCGAGGTCGTGGCGGGCCGGTGGTACGCCGTCCAGGCCGCGTTCGAGTTCACCGGACTGATGCAGGTGTCGATGACGACGTCGTTGTCGCCGTCGACCGCGAACCTCCGCACGATGGCGGTCCCGCCGAACTCCGCGCCGCCGTGGACGGACGGGGCGTTCTCGCCCGCGCGCGTCGCGACGCCTGGCCCGACGCTGCCCAGCGGCGCCGTGGCGTGGCCCGCAAGCGTCGCCGGAGCGGTGCGCACCTTCTCCGCAGCGGTCGACGTGGACCTGCCGGGTAGTGCGCTCACGTCGGTGCAACGGGCGCAGGCGCTTGCTGCGACACGCGGCGCCGTGGCTCGCGCCGTCGGCGCTCAGGCCGCGGACGTCAGCGTTGCAGCGACGGCGGTGACGGCCACGCGCCGTCTCCAGGCGGTGCGTCTGTCGTTGACGGCGACCGTCCGGACCGCGGACGCGTCGAGCAGCGCGGCGGCATCGCGCGCAAGCGCCGCGGCGGCCGCGCTGACCGGCAACGCCGCAGCGGTCGCGAGCGACATTCGCGGCGCCCTGGCGAACAGCGGAGTCGCGGTCACCGCGGTGACGGTGTCGGGCGTCAGCGCACCGGTCGCGGAGGCCGCACCGGCGCAGATCAACGACAGCCCGACTGCTGCGCCAGCGAGCCCGACGAGCAGCCCTGGGCAGGCCACGGGCGTCACCAGCGGCGCCCAGGCCACCAACGCACCCGCAAACACGGGCGGCGGCGCCCAGCCGACGTCGCCCGCGGCCACGCAGGCCCCTTCGGACGCCAGCAACGACGGCGGCGGCACCACGCGCGCTGGGACGGGCGGCGGCGGTGGCGGCGGCGCCGACGACTCGGGTGGCGGAATCCTGGGGCTGGATGGCGTCATTCTGTACGCCGCCGCGGCTGGCGTCGGCGCCGTCGCCCTCGTCGCCGTAGCGCTCGTTATCGTGCTCTCCGTGCGCAGCGCACGCAAGCGCAGGGCCGCCGGCGCGGCCCGCGAGCAGGCTGCGAAGGTGCCGAAGCCCGACGTCGGTGGTTCTGGCGGCGCCGACGTCGAGTCCGTCGCGGTCCCGACGCCGGTGCGGCCGGACCAGGGCCCTGCCGCGCAGTACGTCGACCGCACGAAGACCGACCTCGCGCGCTTCCAGTCTGACCTGGACAGCGTCGTGGAGGCGCTGTCTGCGGAACAGCCCCCGGGGGACTCGGCCACGGGCCTCGTCATGAGTCCCGCGGACACGTCGCCGCTCACGTCGCCGCACACGCCGGGCAGCAGCCGCCCCCCGCTCCCGCCCATGCCGTCGGACCGCCTCCTGCGGCTAGCGAGCTCGCAGGCCACCGACGTGCCCGGGGACCTCCCGTCGCACCCCCTGGGGTGGAAGAGTGACTCGCGGCGGTCGCTGCGCCCGCACGGGGCCACGCCGCCGCCATCGCGGGGAGTGTCGTTCGGCGCAGAGTCCGCCCGCATCGCCAAGACCGACTCGCGGGGGTCGCTGCGCCCGCACGGGGCCACGCCGCCGCCGTCGCGGGGAGTGTCGTTCGGCGCAGAGTCGTCCGCCGGCGCAGTCAAGACCGACTCACGGCGGTCGCTCCGGCCTTCCTTGGCGCCGCCGTCGCCGTCGCGGGGCGTGTCGTTCGGCGCAGAGTCCTCCGCTGCAGGGGGGGGTCCCAACTTCGTGCCCCCCCGGGACAGCCGGGCGCGCAGCAGCGCCGCGGAGAGCGTCGCCGGCGGCACGGGCCTGCAGCGCCACCGGTCCGTGTCGCCGCGCCCCGCAGGCGGGTCCCCGCTCACCAAACACCTCTCCCTCGCGTCCGCGGTGTCGCCGGTGGCGACCGCCCGGCACGACGCCGCCGTCCCCGGCGCCCAAGTCGACAGCCGGAGTCCGTCTCCGTCCACACCGCCGGCGCTGGTGCCGCTGCCCATCCGCCGCGCGGCCACGATGGCTCAGTCGCAAGCAGGGAGGAGGCGCAGCCCGCCAGGACTCGGGCGGCAGGGGTCGGTGTCGCCGTCGCCGCCGACGACGCCCCCGAGCGGCCTCGACGTGCGGTCGGCCGTCGCGCTGCACGACAACCCGGTCTACGAGCCCGAGCGGCAGCCTGGGCGGGCGGGGTCGCCGGAGACGCACCGGGGGGGGTTGCAGAGCGGGATGATGTCGCTGTCGCTGCGGCAGGCGTCGGCCGTGCACGCGGAGATCCAGGAGGTGCTCGAGGAGATGGCGGCCGGCGGGGAGCTGGACACGGTCCACGAGTGAGTGCGCGTGTTCTATCAGCGCGACATGTGTTTCCGTCGACGCGGTGTTGTTGTACATAGCGCGAAAAATATCGCCCTGGCCGCCGCTGCAAATCGTTGGGCATGGGTGCGCGGCGGCGTGGCGGATGTGACTTGTGACGACCTGGTCGTGGCGAACGGACGGCCCGGACTTCTTCGCGGGTACATCGTCACGGTTTCCGTGCCTTGCGCGCGCCCGTGCAAGCGCCGGACTGGCGCGAATGCATGCATGGTCGATGCTGAGGGCGGCGCGGCCCTTGAAGCGGCATGGGTGGGTGAACCGGGTCCCGTGGGGAGCCGCGTGGAAGAACAGCATGTGCAGTTTTCGGAACTTGCTGTGCGACGTAGGCAGGTGCGGCCGCCTTCGGAGTAGAAGGTCAATGGATATGTCCAGGACAGCTGCCGACGACGATAATAGCGGCGCAGCAAGGCCGGGCCGGCAAGATAGCGATGAGAGAGGCAACGGAAGACACGTAATTCCGTATTCACGTTCTTGTGCCTATCTCTTGCTAGAGTGGTCTAGATGGTTATGACACCTGGTTTACACCCAGTAGGTCGGCGGTTCGAGTCCGCTCTCTGGCATTACTTGTTTGCTCCTTTCGACGCGCTCGTGCGTTCTTGCATCGGAGCCCTGTCCGCACACTATTCTTCCCTTCAGCGCGCACGTTTTGCGCCGGTGCGGAAGCGCTGTGGTCCTCGTCCGTCGTCGGAGCACGTGCATGGTGGTGGCAGCGTTGCATGTTGTCCCCCGACGTGCGCTCAAATTCACGCGCCCGAGGCGTATACACGCGCCGATCGGCTGATTCGTTACAGTGCTGGCTGCTCTCGCGCGGAATCGCCCGTTTCCCCGTCTTGCGGCGGCGCTTTCTGCCGCACTAGATAGATACCGCAACACTGACGGAGCTGCGGATCGTCCCTCGCGCCGCGCAAGCCAAGATCGTCAGCGGCCGCCGGCTGCCCGGTACCTCCCTGCGGGCGCAACACGTTGCCGGCACGCGTGAGGCACGACACTGTCGAGCTTCGCACTTCTTCGTGTCGCCGACGCTGACCACATCCGAGCACCACCGCCGAACGCTAGTGAGCTCGTTCGTGGCGCGACGTGCAGCGCGGGAGCACGGCTTTGCGCGGCGGTGCGGCGCACGGCGGACGGGGCACCGCCGGGGGGGGGGGTCCTGACACAACTGATGCAATGAGGGTTCGCCCTTCCCTGGGCCGCTCGCGTCTTCAATGGCGCAGCGAGGGGCTGTTGGAGGCACAGGGCACGACTGTCGACTCGCATAGGAAGGCACGAAGTGATTTTCGCCCTCTCGAAGCGGGTGGCGGTTGCAGCTGTTGGCAAGTGGTGCTTGCGGGCGCTCAGCGCGTCTCTCTAGCATGCCCTGCTGCAGCTCGTCGGATCCTCCATCATCTTCTCGTCCACCCCGTGGATTTCCACGCCACCTGCGGGCGCAACGCCACGCGGGCGTCCCTGTGAGCTCAGGCTTCGCACCTGTTCCGGCGACCGAAAGCGCCCTCGAACCACCACGAGCCGCACATATCTGGAACAGAGGTGATCAGTGCCTACTCAGCGCGTGAAGTATCTCCGCCAATACACCTGCGGCGCGCAACTGCACCTGCACCTGCGGCGAACGACGCTTCCTGGGCCGGAACGACGCTTCGGTAGATGAGCCGAGCGATGCGTCGCACGGTTGAGCGGTCAGGAGCAGGCTTTCCTTCCACGGGCCGGGCGACGCTGGATGTTGCGGCCGCAAAGGCAGCCGCATCATGCGGGCGCACTCGCGCAACGCCAACCGAAACAGCCTCCTGCGGCCGCGCTGCTTGCCGCCGCAAACCTCGCCGCGCCTCTGCAGTTTGCTCGACCCACGGCATTCTCCACGCGCGCACCGACGCTCATGCAGCTCCACAGTCCCCCCAAGGAGCTGTCAGGTTTCCGCCCGCGCCACGTCGCGGCGATGCTCGCTCCTGTCGCGCCTGCCCAACCAACGCGTACGAATATTCCCGGCTCCACACCGGCCGTCAAGAGCAGCGCGGGCTCGTCGAGATGGTTTGAAACACGTGCTCGCAACGCACCACCGTCGCCGTCGTGCCGCCCACACGGCAGCCCCTCACTTCCCCGCCCGCCCCCGCCTCACCCCCTCCTGCCCTTCCGCCTCCATGTACCGCGCCGCGTCCCACAGCAACCTCACCAACCGCCCTCAGGGCCGCCGTCGCCGCGGACATCCCCGAGGCGGCCAGCATCGCCCCCTCGCTCGCCCCAAGCGCCGTGCCAATGCGTGAGAGCCGCGTACCATGTTCATGTGGGGCCACGTCAGGCGTCGTCAGCCGGCAACTCCCGTTTCCTGTCTGTCACCAACCCTCCGTGCGCGATCGTCACAGGGCCTACGCGGTGGTTGAGATTCCCCGCCCCAGCCGGCGTCTCGCTATTCCAGCTCAGCGCGCGCGTCGCTCGGGCGTCGCAGGTCCTCGGTGCGGAGCCGCGCGCTTCCGAGGCGGTGCGTCGACGTCGCAGCAGCGCATAGCTGTCCCGCGCTGCTTTATGTCAACTGAGATCGAAGACCCGCCTGGTGGATACGCACGCGCATGAAAGTTCGGCCAAGGGCAGGAAGCGTGGGCTGTGCGTCGATTGATTGATTGATTGATGCCGTTTGTTGAAGCAGCATGTTGATGTACATCCTGCTACTGGATGCTCAGGGGAGCGGCGGATTTAAGGCGGCCCACCTAGGCAGGGGAGACGCTGAGTGCGTTGCACGCGTCTGGGCGGCCCGGCGCGGCCTCCTGCGGCAAGAGTGCGGGGCGTGGCGCTGCGCGCAGCCAGCGCGCGCGGGGGGGCGGCGCGCGGGCGCGGGGTGCCGGCGATGGCAACAGCGCGCCACGAGCGGCCGCGCCGTGCGAGGGTGTGGCGCGAAACGCACACGACCGGGACGGAGGGGGGCGGAGTCTGCATCTGCAATCGCGTTCCGCGCGGTTCCCGAGACTACTACGACAGCAGAGCACGCAGCTCGGCGCGGCGGAGGACGAGACGTACCTTCGTCTTCGGGGCAACGCAAGGCCGTGCGCGCCGCAAGGCGAGCCCGTGTGGGCATGGCGGGGGTTGCCGGCACTGCAGCAAGGTGCGTCACGCCCTGCCGGTGCTCGTGAAGGCACGCGCAGGGGCAGGGCCGCGTTCCGTTCATGCCCACTGCTTGGCAACGTGCCCGCGGGTCGAGCGCCACGCGCGAGGTGAGCAGTGCCGCACACATACCCGTAGCGGGGCTGGACGCCCGTCGGCAGCCCACGTCTGCAATGCCACGCTACCGACGTCCGTGCACTTCTGCGAACCAGCGGTATCCTTGAGAAGATGACAAGGACGCGCGTTCGTGCGATTTTGGAGGGCTGGTGCACGATGGATGCAGCGCAGCGTAGCGCTGGACATTCGTGCTTCTGCGCGCGTTTGACGGGCAGCCCGAGTCGCCATCGAGATATCGCATCAGTGGGGGAGCCTCGTGGCCGCCCTAGGCGACACGCATATGTACGGTACGATACCATGGCACGCGTGCGACGCAACGTCTGGTGTGGGGGCATCCAGGACTCTGCCCGACCAAAAAAGCGGCTCTGCGGCCACTATGTGCGATTACTCTCACGCGGTGCGCCACATACCCACATATACTGGCACGGTCGTGCCTTTTGAACGCGACATACCCTCTCGACGAGCCAGCGAGCCTGTTGCCCTTCAGCTGCCAGAATCATCTGAGATCGAGGTACGCACACCATGTCAAGATTTCTCACCCCGACCTCCGCAACTTTGAGCTTTTTCCACTCCAGGAATGCGAGGCTTAGTGCCGTAAAATCGTTCTGTCCGCCGTTTCAACGCTCGGCACTGGGTGCTCGCGGATGCGTTGCTGCGAGCCCGGAACACGTTGCGCCGCAGCCGACTGCGCGTCACCCAGATGATTCGCAACTGAATTTTCCCATGAAGTGAGGTGAAACGCTGAAGACATTCTTTTCGGGCCGGTCGAGCGTTCGGGGCACGACGCATGCGCCAGGGGCGCGGCGCCCTTTGAGTGGGACCCGCCACGCACCCGCCGCGAAGCAGACGACGTCTCGTCGTACAATTCGCGCGTCTCTGGTCCGCGGCAGTGATCGGACCCCGCGTCGGCGGACCGCGCCGCTTGCCCCATCGAGCCATCTGCCCTCACGTCGGCTCTGCGCCTCCCGCGCGACTCCCGGCCGCGGAGCAGCGTTGCGCCCTCTACCCTTGGGCATGTCGGGCAAACGCTAGCATCCGAGGACTGTCCGGAGCGCGCCCGCGTGACTTCGTCTGGCGGTTACCGTCGCAGTGCATCTCGCGCCCCCCACCGCGTCGCGCCGCCCGCCTTCGCCGGTTGCGCAGATGGGCTGCTTCTGTTCGAAGATCCATCCCAATGTCGAGGTCGACTTCATCACCATCCAGGTCGCGAGGGTGACCGCGTGCAAGGAGAACATGCAATGCGTCGTGCAGTTCGCCGAGCAGGTGAGGCGCCGTGGGCCGCGGAGCCCCAGAAAATGCACGCGGTGGATGTCACGAAGACAGAAACTCGCATGACACGGCGCGCGAGGCGTCCGGCGCCCCGATCTGCGCGAAACACGGCAACTTGACAGCACGCGTCGTCGGCGGAGCGCGGCGTCCGTCTCTGCCCCACCTCCGCCGTTGCCGCCCACGTGCTCATTCGTCCGCGCCGCTGCCATGCTCGAGGCTCTCGGGACGACGCGCGACCCCCGCGTTCGGCCCCGTTGCTCGCAGATGCGCGACTGCCATCAGCTCTTCGTGGACGCTCTGAAGGACTTCGGTGCCGGCGAGGGCGACGTGGCGCTGTCCGCGATTTGCGCTGCGCTGAAGAGCAAGGTCAGTCTGGCGGCCAAGGATGGCGAGAAGGTCGCGAAGGACTGCAAGGCGATCTTGACCTCGGTGGAGCGGTGCGCGGAACTCGAGAATGACCTTCTCATCACCGCGAAGCTGAAGCAGAAGGCCGAGATGAACGTCGAGAAGCTCAAGGTGCGCAGGTCACGCGGGTGGAGTGGGGGCGGCGCTCGCTGTGCCAGCTCGTCCGCACGCCCGCGGTGACGCAGAGAGCACTCCCGGCACGTCGCAGGGCAAGCTCGACGCGGCCAAGGCCAAGGACAAGGAGGAGAAGATCGAGAAGGCGGAGAAGAAGCTCGGCGAGGCCGTGAGCAAGTTCGAGGAGTACGGAGACAAGCTCGCCGACCTGCGCACCGAGCGCAACAAGGTGCGTCCCTCGCGACGCTCGCAGCCCCGCGGAGCCCGCGCGGCGCGCCAGGGCCTCACGATTTGCTGTTCCGGCCTCTCTGGACCCTCGCCGCGTGACCGACCCGCTTCATGACTGTCCCGGTGCGCAGATCCTGCAAGTGCTGATGAACAAGAACCTGCTGCCCGTCGCCGAGAAGGCGGCCCACTACATCGCCGCGTCCATCAAGGCGTGCGGCGGCGCCAGCGTCGTCGCGGCTAAGTACAAGCACAACGCGCCTGCGCGCAAGCTCGGCAAGGTGGTTGCGGGCGAAGGCCACATGGGCACTTTCGACACGATGCAGACCACGCTGACGGGCCTCGGCACCGCGATCGGCACGTTCTCCACCGCGCTCGGCAAGGCGATGACCAACCTGCACGAGTACGCCAAGAGCTGTCATGAGAACAAGGTGCGTACCTAGCGTCGGACTGTCTGCACTGTCAGGGGTGAGCGGGGGGCAGCCGTGCGCCGCGCATACCGCGACGAACGTTCGGACACGGCCAGATGTCACACGCGGCAGGAAACAGGGACGTGTGCTGCCGGCACCAGCTTTCTCCGCGCGATTGCCAACAGCGCCGCTTGGTGCTGCATCCTTGACCTGGCTCGCCGGGCCGCGACGCCCGCGGGAGCTGCGCACGTGGCTGTGCATTGTCCTGGACTTGACGGCGTTCCCGTCACGTGCTGCGCAGGCGTGGGCGAACGCCGACCCCATCGCAAAGGCCAGCGCCCTTGCAACGTTCGCCTCTACGCTCGCCAACGCCGTCAACGAGAAGGTCAAGGTCATCAGGGACGACAGCGATGTCAAGATGGACCTCGGGATGATGGGAGAGGCTGTCAAGGTGCGCGCCTGTGCCCCGCGTCGCTGCTGAGACGCACTCAGGCGGAGACGGCCCCTGCCTGCGTGCCGTTCGGGCGGGATTGCGCGCAAGATCAATTCATGGCTGAGCCTGAGTGCCTGTTCGAACCCCCCGCAGGAAGAACACAAGTCGGTGTTGAAGGTCCGGGCTCGGGAGAGGGAGATCAACGAAGCCGAGGCCGCCCTCGCCGCAGCAAAGCAGAAGGCGCTCGTGTCAGCCATCGATCCGGAGGTCCGCGATCGCAAGAAGCAGCTGGAGAAGCTCGAGGCCAAGGCGGAGAACGAGCGTGCCGTCTGCAGCGATGTCGCCAAAGAGTACGTGCTACGGCTTCCTGCGGGGGGTCATGTCTGCTCCCGCCGCCACGCCCGACGCGCAGTCCAACTGCGACAGAACTGGTGCACCTCGCGCTCCCTGACTGCCCGCGAGCCCGCAACCCGATCGCAGGACTCGCGAGTCTGTCCGCCAGTACCTCGGGGGGGTGGTGTACAACTTCTACGCCAAGCACGCTCACGAGCTGTGGGCCCTGCTGAACGCCATCCTGCCCTGGCTCAAGGTGACCGAGCACCGCACCCGCTCCTCCCGCTTTGCCGAGCGGCACGCCCAGGTGCATGGATCCACTCTGCTGCACATATTGAATTGTATTGTACGCGACCTGAAGTTTCCCAGTTGCGCTTCTGCGAGACGCAGGAGCACATCAACGACAAGCTGAGCTTCGACAACCCGATCGCGGGCTTCGAAGCCGAGTGCAAGGCCATCTTCAAGACTCCTGTGCCTAAGCCCAAACAGGAGGAGGCCCCCCCTGCGCCCGCTGTCAAGACGGAGGCTCCCGCTGCCAGCGAGAACATGCACCTGCAGGTGCGGTACCGGCGTGCCTTTCGCAACTGCATCCCGCGACCACGGCGCGAACCGCGCACCACCGCGGGGGCCGGCGCTCCGCGGAGTGCCACAGTGCACCCGTGCCCTGCAAGCCCTCGGTCATGCATACTTGCGCGGAACACGGATCGTGTTCCACCAAGCGGCTTCGTACGCACTGCACCGCACCGCACCTCGTGAACACAGGCCATGATGGAGCGCGGCCACCAGGAGCGCGAGGACCGCATGGAGCGCGGCCACCAGGAGCGCGAGGACCGCATGGAGCGCGGCCACCAGGAGCGCGAGGACCGTGCTGCCAGGTGAGTACAGATTTTGATTTACGATTATGATTCCCAGCGCACGCGAGGTCGTGTTTGCGCGCGCGGGCCGATGCTCTGGGACTCGCTGCGGTCGGTGTCGCTCATGAGTACCCCACGCGCTGCTCCCCGGCCCGCAGGGAGACTGGCGACCGCCGCGACAACGCCGAGCGCATGGCCGCCGCGGAGCGTCGCGAGGCCGCGGAGCGCCGTGAGGCCGCGGAGCGCCGCGAGGCCGCGGAGCGCCAGCAGCAGCAGTTCATGCAGAACATGATGATGATGAACATGATGGTGAGTACGGGAAATATAACATACGTATTTCCAAACATGCACGCACATACACATCTGACTCACTCGCGTCGATCAGCGTGACGGAACGATCCCGAACAGCGAGGGCTACGGCTGCGAGGGCTGCAGCTTCGCCAGGCGCGCGGGATGCGGCCGTTTGCGGCGGACCAATGCATGCAAGCCTGCGATGCGCGACGCAGTTCTGAAAGGATGCCTCCCAGCCCCTGACCATGCAGAACAACAACAACAACAGCAACAACGGCGCGGCGATGATGATGATGGGCCAGCCTGGCATGATGGGGCAGCCCGCTGCTCACCAAGTCACGGTGCCCGGCACGGTCGGTTAGCCGGACATGGCGGCCGCCCCCGCGCAGGCCCCTCCGACAGCTGCGCAGGCTTCACTGGCACCAGTCGCGCCTGCTGCGCTGCGCCCAGCCGCGTATGGGTGCCCCGTGCGCTATCTGCACGTGCTTGATTGAAAATTTTTCAATGCTTAAAGCACGTGTGTCGAGCGCAGGCCTGGTCATTTGTCCTGCGTGATGGAGCGCGGAAGAGCATCCATACACGCCTGGGACACCTGGCTGCTGCGAGGCTGCGCATGACACCTGAACCCCCCCCCCCGACCCCCCCTCCTCCATCACATTGGTTCCGGCGCCCCGCCTTCCCTCGCGCACATGCCTCATCTTGAAACCTGCCTGCCTGCGTGTGATCCCACCTCCCCTCAATCGTGGGGCCATTCTCGAGTGAAGCGTCTCAGTGCCGCTGTGTGCAGTGGCAGCCCGCACTGCCGCAACCAGCAACAGTACTGCTCGCACGCCCCTCTGCATTGTCGGCCTGGGAGAGACGGCCGTCCATCACCGGCGGGTCCAGACCGGTAGGAACGCGCCGAGTGCCCGCCGCGCTCCACGCGTGGTGCTCTGCGCAGGCGTGCGTCGGTTGTGGTGAGACGCGAGGGCCCGACTCGCTGGTCGTGGCTCCGTCGCTGCGAGCTCCGGCGATGCCACACATGTCTGCTGCTCGAGGGGCGCGGCTTGGGGAAGGCGAGGTCCTGGGCGGTATGTCGGGGGACTCGCAGCAACACAGCCCCTGCGCGAAAAACGGCGGTGATTTCAGGTCCGTGGCGAGTAGCGGCGAGGCATGCTGCGCGCCGGGAGCAGTGCACTCGGCCGGGACCGTTCGCGTAGGACGTCGTGTGCGTCGAGCCGCGCTGCATGGCGTGGAGTTGAGCAACACCAGTTGGGAAGCTCTTTTCCGCACCGCAGGGACGGCAGGGAGTGTTTGAATAGATCGGCCCTGTCGTAGATGACGTGGCTGACACGTGCGAACGTGAAAAACAACGGCATCACCCGCACCAAGGCTCGTGTCGGCCAACGAGCACGGGTCGCACTTCTGTAGCGCTTGCGGGCGACATGGCGCCGCACTCAGCGCCGAAGCGCGATACGCGGGATGGCTTGACGGGGAAGAAGAAGCAGCGCCCAGGAACACGACCACATCGAACGGGAACCGCGTCGAACGGAGCCGCCGAGACAGCAATGCCGGCCAACATGACCGTGGACGACTTCCTGGACGGCGGTTTCGCGACAATCACCCGCGAGGAGAACCCGCCACATGCAAGGAGATCACACATCAACAGCAAAGGTGGGCCCTCACCACGCTGCCATCGCCTTGGCCCTCCTGTGGACTGCTGCCCGGCGGTGACCTTCCATCCGTGTCCGACAGGACCCATCGCTGCACGTGCGAGCCATACCACCCAGCTGCCAGGATCCTGCCGCCCCGCCCTTGCTCCCGCAGATGACCCCGCAGAGGAGGGGCCGCCTGCACGACAGCGCCGCAAGGCGCAACGCCGCCACGAGGACGTGCTCGACGAGGACGACTTCCGCGCGTACCTGCTCGGCGGGGCCCTCAGCGGCGGCGGCCCGAGCCCGCCCGCTTCCGACGACGACGGCGAGCCTCCCTCGGCCAAGCCGACTCGCGGGGAGAGCAGCGCTCGCGACGCGGAGCGGGCGCAGCGGTCCGACGAGCCCACGTCGTCGGCGACGACGAGCAGCGCCGACGACACGTCAAGCGAGTCGTCGGGCGGCGCCTCCGGCGACGCAGGCGCGGCGCTGCAACAGTCGCCGAGCGTCGTTGACTTTGAGGACCCGTTCCTGAAGCGTCGGAGGGCAAGCGCGGCGGCCAGGGGCGCGGAGGGATCTGGCGTGGACCGGAGCGCGGCGCGGGAGGCCGGGGACGGCGGGGTCGTGTCCAGGGGGGAGTTCCAAGCGATGCAGGTGTTGTACCCCGGGCCTGACGACAGGGCTCGGCTCCCGCGGCCGCACCACGGCGGAGCTGGCCGCGGGTGTGCGCTGCAACGATGCTGCCCGGCTCGCATGCCGGACCGGCACGTTCGGAAGCTCGCCCGCGACCCCGCGCGCCGACGTACCCTTCGTGTGCTGCCGCTGGGTTGTCGCGCGCGCAGAGGGAGGTGGAGAGGCTCGGAGCGAAGGGCCTGGACAAGAAGGCGCTGGCGGAGTTTAAGGCGCGGGAGCTCGAGCGGATCGGAGCCAAGGCCGACAAGGGGCCGCGCATACCTCTGTCGATAGGCAAAGGACTCGCGAAGAAGCGGTACGCCACGCAGCGACGTGCACGGCTCCGCACACGCATGCCCCTGCATGTGCGTGCGCAGGCATGCGTTCCCGGGCGCGGCGCGGGCCACGGCGCGCGAGGGCGCGCAAGTGGACGCATGACACGTGCGGAGCGGCTCGGTGCGCTGCGCGCAGGAAGCAGCGGGAGGACGCCGCGCGGGACCTGGCGTTCGAGACCGGGATGGCGCAGCGGAAGGGGTCCGGGAAGGCGAAGCGGCGGGAGCGCGCCCGCAGCGTGGACAAGGGGCTGGGGGAGCTAGGGGGCTTTTCGGCGGGGATGCTGCGCGTTTCAGGCGACGGCGCGGGCAGGAGGCGCCGCGGCGGAGGCGCTGCGGGCGGCGGCGTGCGGCGTGGGGGCGGCGGCGTGCGGCGTGGGGCCCCTGGCCGGCCAAAATTCAAAATCCCAAAGTTTTGAAGTGTGACGTGCAAACACGCGCTTGAAACAGCGCGGGTCGTCCCGCGGGCGACGTGGTGGCTGGGCGCAGGGACGACGGGGCCTTCCTGCCGGGCGGGGGCTGCGTCGTGGGGAGGGCGGCGGCCAGGTTTGGGTGTTGCGCGGGCAGGTGGGCTGCGGGGGTCAGCCGAGGATGCAGGCTCGTCGCGCGCTGAGCGGGCGACGCCGGTCGGGTGCGGAGTGTTGCGAGGTGGGCATGGGCGGGGCGCGGCCGCGCGCGTGGTGCGGTGGGACAGGGCGGCCGTCACGTGCCAGGACGGGGTACTGGCCTGGCCTGGCCAGGGCGGCTGCTCCGCGGCCCTTGGGCTTGCCAGGAGCTGCCTGCCTGCCCAGTCACAGCGGCCAGTGCCGACATCCGCTCGCAGCCCGCACGCGGCCCTTGGTTTCGGCCATGAGCGCACAATCTGCGGGCGAGTGTTGAGAGCGCATGCAAGCATGAAGCAAGGGGGCGGCGCTATCGACACAGCGCTGTCCAGGCTCATGGTGTCCGTGCCCAGCCTGTTCGAGACGAGGAGCTCCGTCAGCTTCGGTCACTCGCCGTACGGTGCCGCTGCGTTCAACCCAGTTCGCCCGAACAAAGCCAAGCAGGGACGTAAAACGTGGCTCACCGTCGCTGCCCAGAAGGTGCGCTGCGTTTCACTCGCATGTCGTTGTAGTGTCAGTTCCGCACGTCCGCCTTGGCCCGCGTACCGCCAAAAGCAGCGCAAGTTCGCCCCATGCCCGGGGCACCCTGGCCAGCCCCCCTCGCAACTGCCGAATTCCGCCCGAATCAACGGGCCTTTGCGTTGCCTTTTTCGGCGTCTGCGCACGCTGTCTGTGCAACGGGCTCAGCGCGCTGCCGCGACGGCCACCCAGCCCGGAGCGCGCTGCCGCGAGGGAGCCCTGACGCAGCGACCCTACTGCGCCGTGTGCTCGCGAACCTGGGCCCTGCGGCGTCCGCGCCCCCTCGCTTCGGCCAAAACCCCACGTGGAGGTTGCGTTTCCGGCGCTGACGGTCGCTGCAAGCGCCCACAACCGCAGCACCACTGCTCGTGCTCACCACTCAACACCATCACGTCCCGCGCCACCTGCAGCTGGCGGAGAGCACTCTATGGAAGCTCGCGATCATCACGACTGCCGTGTCGTGCGTCTTTGCGGACTTCATCGCCGCGCACGCGTCGGGCGGCGCCCCCACGGCCCTGACCAGCTCTCGCGGCTCCTGGCTCACGCTCGGGGCGGCAGCGCTGCTCGCGGCCGACGGAGCCGTGACGTACGGCGTCACGCGTGAACTCCAGGGCTTCGTCGCAGGCAAGGCACCTTCGCCCGCGCGTCGCAGGTCACAGCAACAATCTCCTGCTCTCACGATCGAACCGAACACCAAGTTTCGGCGTGCGCGCAGGCACGGCGTACGCCGTGGACGCCCTGGGCTCGGCCGCGCCCGCCATCATGCTGGTCTACAAGGCCGTCCTCGTGGACCACCACGCTTATTTACACCCGCAGATAGGCCTGGAAGTCTTCCAGCACCTCCAAGGCTGCTTCCTGCAGCGCGCGATCGTCACGTCGCTCGTCCTCCAGGTCCGCCCGGCGCCCCGCCAGCCCGCGCCCCAGCACGCAGCAATCCAACCCTCCACAGCTGCACAACCCCCCCCCCCTCGATGTCCTGTTCCTCGCAGCCGCTCGCGCTGTTCAAGATCCTCGGGGTCTTCTGGCGGCGCGGCGCGATCAAGGCGTCGCAGGACAGCACCGCGGCGCAGCGCACGAGCTCCGTGTTCGCGTCCCGGATCCGCAGCATGATGCTAACCCTGGCCAGCCTCTCTCTCTTCCTCCTCGGGCTCGCGAACTGGGTGTACGCGCAGCAGAGCCACCTCGTCGGGAACAGGGAGGTCCCCACGCTCGTCGGCCACCTCGGCACCGTCGCGGCCGTCACGACGCGCAAGGAGGCCGCCTCGGCGCTCCGGGCGGTCACAGAGGACCTCCGTCGCACGCCGTGGCAGGTCAGGCGGCACGCCGTGGTGTACCTCGAGCTCGACGGGCACCGCGAGTACTTGCGCGGCGACTGCGGCGCCCCGGAGACCTGCCCGGCGGACGCCAGCGAGCACCACCTCGTGGTCAGCGCCGGCGGGCCTCGCCCCGCGGCGGTGGCGTTCGCGCGCGAGCCGTTCTTCCTGAGCTTCGCGCGGTGGTCGGCGATCCGCAAGGTCACGCTCGTGCTGACCGTGCTGGCGTGGTCGTTCGCGCTGTGGTACGTCACCGACTCGCTCGTGCTGGCTCCGCTGTGTGCGTTGCTCACCGACGTGACGCACGCGGCGTCGCAGCTGGACGAGTACGGCTTCGCGAAGAGCGCGCAGTCCCCGGAGGAGGCCCTGAGCCTCGAGGACGCCCTGCACCGCGTCAGCGAGAACGTGTGGCGCGCTGTCAAGAAGAGCATGCGTGGCGCCGACGTCGTGGGCCGCGTCGCGCGGGAGGGCGAGGACGGCCTCACGGGGCTCGGGCTCGGGGAGTGGCGCGAGCTGTACGGCAGCGGGCACCGCCGGCACGGCCCGCGGCGGTCGAAGCATGGCGGTGGGGCGCGCGTGTCGCGGGCAAGTGGGCGATCGTCGACGGAGGGCGGGCCTGGGCATACGGTCCCCCACCTGGTGCTGACGTCGTCGAACACGGACGTGGAGGTCGTCGAGGACCCCGAGCTGTACGCGGACCTCATCGGCACGCGGGAGTGGAACTCTCTCGAGGTGCCCCCGGGGCTGCTGCCCAAAGCGCTGATCATCATGTTCGCGCGGATGGGCCTGGTGGCGCCGGACGGGGCGGCGAGCGACATGCCGACGGAGGCCTCGCTGCAGGCGCTCATCGAGCTCCTCGCGGACCAGTACGACGAGCACCCGTACCACAACTGGTTCCATGCCGTCGACGTCTGCCACTCGTGCTTCCAGCTGCTCCTCGACTGCGAGAGGTGCGGGCCCGCCAACGTGTTGTTGCACTGCCAGCCCAGCTTGAGGGCGAATCCCCAGCTGCACCAGGCTGCACCGCGGCCGGCCGCTGGCTGCGAGGCGCTCAGCCGGTGTTGCGTGTGTCGCGCGGTGCGTTGCAGGAGCGAGACGATCGAGGCGCGGACGCAGTGGACGAGCGTGGAGAAGTTGTGCCTGCTGGTCGCGGCGCTGAGCCACGACCTGGGGCACGTCGGCGTGACGAACGACTTCCTGGTGCAAACGGGCCACCCGCTGGCCATCACGTACAACGACAACTCCCCCCAGGAGAACGGGCACTGCGCGCGGCTGTTCCAGACCATGGCGCGCAACGCGGAGGCCAACGTGTTCCGGAACCTGCGCGCCGCGGACCGCGTCTTCGCGCGCGAGACGATCATCTCGCTGATCCAGGCCACGGACATGAAGCACCACTTCAGCCTCACGAGCGAACTCGAGACCCTGGCAGAAGACCTCGCGCGCGCAGGCTCCGCGGGAAACCTCCCGGAGGGCCACCGCGAGCGGCGCCTGCTCCTCCGGTCGCTGCTCCACGCCGCCGACGTGGCCTACCTCGCCAGGGCGCAGGGCTGCGTGCTGGAGTGGACCTCTCGCATCGTCACGGAGTTCTTCCTCCAGGGCGACAAGGAGCGCTCGGCGGGGTCGCAGCCCGCGGCGGTGATGGACCGGACGAAGGAGTACGTTCCGCAGGGGCAGCTCGGGTTCCTGGACGCCGTCATCCGCCCTTATTTCTGCGCCCTTGTGCACGTCGCGCCCTGGTGGGTCCCCGCGCGCCGCCCGACAGCCCCGGTGGTTGCACCGCGGTCCCCGCCGCGTAGCGAGATCGATGTTCACCGCGTACCGCCCGCCCCGCGTGCGTTCGCAGGCACGGGTGGCTGGTTGACGGCCTGCGGTGTACGTATCGCACGTGGCTGCTAGTAATTCGGCAGCACCAGGCGGCGCTGGCCGGGTGCGAAGACGTGGAGGCCACGTCCGTCGCGCGCCGTCCCGCGGTGACGCCGGCCAGCAACGGAAACGGCGCGCCCGTCAGCCAGAAGCGCGTCGAGGTCAGTCCCATTCCGGCGTTGGCGCGCGCCGTTGCCAAGGACTTCTCGATCCACGCGAAGGAGTTCGCGGAGACGGCGGCGTACGAGTGCGTGGCGCAGCCGCTCGACGACGACGCGCCGGACCTCCTCGCGCTCGTCGACCAGGGGGACGCGGAGGCCCGCCGCACACAGGAGGAGTGGTCGTTCCCCGAGGTGGCCCTTCCGCGGACGCCGGCGCGGACGCCGCGCTCCTCGCTCTTGCCGTCGGTGTCGTCCGGGCCGCTGGAGGGCGTCGCCGCGCCACGGGAGTCGACTGGGGATGCGCAGAACCCCGGGCAGGACGCTGTCGATGCGGTTGCGCCGTGGGAGAAGAGTGTGCTGCGCAAGCAGGCGCTGGTGTTCCTCCCGACGTCGACGATCCCGGCGCAAGGTGCGTGCGCGTGCCAGGCCCGTCGGAGCCGCTGCTGCGTGCCAAGGTGTGTGTTGTCTCACGTGCGTGCGCTCGCCGTGGTGGACTCCGCAGTGCTGACGATGGACACGAACAAGCAGTACACGGTGATGGTGCAGCGGCTCATCACGACGGCGTGGCGGCCGGGGGCCGCGGCCACGCCAAGGCTGCCAACGCCGCGCCAGGCAGCCCCTACGGCCTGACACCCCTCTCCGCCCGGGAACAGTCCCCCCTGACTCCGCCCCAGGTGCCACCGCTTGCGGCGGAGCCCTAGCTGCGGGCCGACCTCCCGGCCGCCACAATTTGTGTTGGCAGAGCATGCAGAGTTGTCTAGACGGAGTCGAGTGGCGTCGACACGAAGATGCGCGCGGGGGCAGGGCGACGGAGAGGCCCTGCTGCGTCGCCTCGCGGTTTCTGGGTGACCGCCAGGACGTGGGCGCATCAAATTTGTGTGCAGTATGATCAGAGGCGCTCCATGTGAAGACCGCATTCCGTCGCGGGTCCGACACGCACCTCGCGGCTTCTCCCGTCAGCGCGGGGTCCGTGGCCCGCGGAGACGTGACCCGCAGCGTTCGTCGCGCCTCTGTCCTAGGTGGTTGTGTGCTTCGATGAGCACAAGGGCCGAATCAGCGGCGAACGCGGGGTTGCATGGCTTGAAACGGCCCGCGAGCAGCAGACGTGTGTTGCGATTCGTCGCTCCTGAGGCACTCGTGGCCGGTTCACGGCCCGTGCGGCCCCGGACGCGCGCGGCTCAGACCTCTCACTGGCGCGTTGACCGCGCCGCGTTCCTGCGGGTGTGCGCGGCAGCCCGGCAGCGAGGGTCGGCCCCGCATGGTTTCCCGAGCGACTCGATGTTCCGCGACGCGCGCGGGATTTAGCTCGGCGCGACAGCCCCGGCCGGCGCGGCAGACCATGCGGGGTGCGAGCGCAGGCAGCCCGGGCCACACTGGGCCGAGCTGCGGTGTGTTCGCGCTCATATGCGCACAATGCTTGCAACGGCCGCGTCCACGAACTTGTAGCGAGTGCTCCGGGGAAGCAGAATGCGGTGCCGCGGCCAGTGACGAGGACGCAGAGGCGCTACGGACCAGGCAGCATGACGGTGGTGAAGGCGGCCCTGCACCCGGTCGCTCGGCGCTTCTCTGGGGACGAGAAGAGGCCGCCGAGCGACGATGCGAAGCCCACGGTGGGATTCGGGGCGCACGATGAGATTGGAGTGGAGACTTTAGACAAGCGGCGGCGGCAGCGCCCCGAGCCGTATCGGAAACGATTGTGCGTCAAGGTGCGTTCGCTGTCCCCGGAAGCGGTCTCCCGTCGCGCGCGCCGCGGGCTGGGGGCACTGCTGCGCCGGCGGGGCCGCTCTACTTCGTGTTGGTGTCCTCGTGCGTGCAGCTCTCCATGTCGTACGTGTGGATCTCCGTCGTGGTGGTGGTCGCCCTGGCGCAGTGCTTCCAGGACAGTTTGAACTACTGGGTGTGGCAGGGGAGTTTGGCGGGGGCCTGGGATGCGTCCACAGGTCGCTCGGCAATGGCCGTTTGTTTCGCGCTCTTCCTCATCGCGGACAGCGCCATCAACGCCGTCCTCGCGTCAGACTACGTAGTGCTGCACAACGGTGAGCCCGTGCGACCGCCGGCCGCAATGCGCCCTCCCAGAGCCCCCTGTGCCCTGCTCTCACGCCCTGCTCATCCACCACCACCACCACGCACGCTCGAGCTCCAGCCGCCCCCCCGTGACGCCATCCCGCCGCGACGGCCGCACAGCCGCAGCGAGCAGCGCGTTCCGGCCTCCAGCTGCGCCGTGGCTCGCGTGCTTCGCGCGCACCGCCGCGATGTGCAAGCCTCACACGAGGCAACACGGCTCCGTGCCTGCAGCCTTCACGCTCATCATGGACGCGGTCGGGACAGCGGGGCCGGTCATCAATCTCCTCTGGCAGCGGCTCGTGCTGGACCGACACCCGTACCACGACACGCATCAGCCGGTGAACGAGGTGGCATACGTCCACGCCACCTACGCAGTGGGCGTCGCGGTGCTCGGAATTCTGATACAGGCACGCCCGCAACGCCCCCGCGCACGCTCCGCACGCACACTGCCTCCCCGCTCCGCCCGCATTCCGGGCAGATCCGGCCCGCGCGGGCCCGGGAACGACCTCGGGGTGGCGCGACATCGAACCTGCTTGTTCGCGCTTCTCTCCGCAGCCCCTCGCGCTCCAGAAGGTCCTGACGTGCCTGTGGCGGTATCGCGTCCTGACGGACGCGCGGAGCACGGACCCGGCGCGGCAGCTGCGCGCGCGGACCGCCGCGCGCATCCGCCAGCTAGTCTTGGCCATCGCGGGCCTGAGTACCTTCGTCATGGCTCTCACGAGCTGGCTCTACTCCCTCCAGAGCTTCCTCATCTACGACCGGCGCATGGAGTCGTTCGTGCGCCACGTCGCGGCCGTCGGCGGGGTCAGCCGCAGGGCCACCGCGGCGCTCGTCCGCAGCGCCCACGAGCACTCCTGGCAGTTCGGGGCCGCGAATCTCCTGTACGTCACCACCAGCAAGTACCAAGAGGCCTACGCGGCGAACGCGACGACGCCCGTCTCGCCCGTCGAGTTCCAGCACCCGGACGGCACCGTCGTCGGCTTCGACCGCCTGCTCGAGGCCCGCGCGCTCGTCATGTGGACCGGGCTGCGCAAGATCGTCCTGGTGACCTTCTCCGTGCTGCTCGTGTCGGCGCTCTTCACCATCACGGACATGCTGATCCTCACGCCGCTCGCGAAGCAGTTCGCGGAGGTCGCGGACATCGCCGCGCAGCTCGACGAGGAGGGGGAGATTCAGTTTGTTCCGGAGGGCGTCAACGTCGGCAACGAGGACGTGGGGCTCGACGAGGCGCTGCGGCGGATGTGCAACTCCGTGCGGCGCGTCGCGAAGTCCACGCTGAAGGGCGCGGGCGTCCTGACGCGCGTGGCGCGCGAGGGCGGCACGGGGGGGTTTACCGGCCTCGGGCTGGGGGAGTGGGAGGAGCTGTACGGGCGGCGTCCGCTCGGGCGCCGCCGGGCGTCGAGCTCCGGCCGCCGCTCGAACGACTCGATGCGCTCGCCGTCCGCGTCCGGACAGAGCCGCATCAACCAGTCGTACAGCGAGCTATGCAACGACGCCATGGGGTCGGGCATCAGCGACGCCGCCGCGACGGTGCGTGCCGAGGAGGCCGCGTCCGGGCTGCAGCCCGAGCTCATGGGCACGCCGGAGTGGAACGTCCTGGACGTGCCGTACGACGCGCTGCCGCGCGCGGTGCTGATGATGTTCCGGCGCCTCGGACTGGTGTGTCAGGAGCCCTCGCGGGACGGCACGGCGCCGGTGAAGGCCGACAGCAACCTGGCGAGCGCGCCGAGCACGGACAGCGCGCGCTCGGACGGGATGGCGGCGGACCCCCCGGTGACGCACAGCTTCCTGACGCCGGTGTCGCCGCGCAACAAGAAGAAGTCCAAGCTGCCGGACGAGGCGACGGTGCTGGCGCTCGTGTCGGCGCTCGCGAAGCAGTACGACGACAACCCGTACCACAACTGGTACCACGCCATCGACGTCTGCCACTCGTGCTTCCAGCTCCTCCTTGATTACGAAAGGTGACCCACCCACCAACATGCCAAGCAAGTGCAACAACGCCCGCCGTGCGTGCTCGGGGCCGCCAGGACGACGCTTTCGCTGTGCGGCGCGCGCGGGCGCGAGACCGTGTCGTGCGGCGTGCGCGTGTGGGTGCAGGGAGCCAGGTCCACCGGGCAGCGGGTGGAGCAAGCTGGACAAGTTGTGCGTGCTGGTGGCGGCGCTGGCGCACGACCTGGGCCACCTGGGCCTCACGAACGACTTTCTGATCAACACGGGCCACCCGCTCGCGGTGACGTACAACGACGTGAGCCCGCAGGAGAACGGGCACTGCGCGCGTCTCTTCCGCACCCTGGCCGACACCCCGGAGACGGACGTGTTCAGCAAATACAGCGCCGAGGACCGCGCGTTCGCCCGCGGGACCATCATCGCGCTCATCCACGGCACCGACATGAAGGTACACCCCCAACAACACCCCCCCCCCTCTTCTTTCTGCACTGCGTGCGAAACCGCGCCTGACTCGCGCTCACCCCGTCCCGCCCGCCCCCCGCGCCGCGCAGCACCACTTCGAGATGGTCAGCGAGCTCGAGCGGCTCGCGGAGCGCCTGGAGGAGCACAACGAGATCGGCGTCCTGCCATCGGACCGCGCCGCGCGCACACTGCTGCTCAAGGCGACCCTGCACGCCGCCGACGTGGCGCACCTGATCCGCGGCAAGCGCTGCATCCTGCTCTGGACGCCGCGGATCATCACCGAGTTCTTCGTGCAGGGCGACAAGGAGCGCCTCATGGGGCGCACGCCTGCCGCCGTGATGGACCGCACCCGCGAGTACGTTCCGCACGGCCAGCTCGGGTTCCTCGACGCGGTCATCCGGCCGTTCTACACCACCTTCGTCCGCGTCGCGCCCTGGTGCGTTCGCCCCCGCCGCGCCGCCGCCGCACAACCGCATGCCCACGCCCCAGTCGTGCCCAACTCCCCCCCCCGCCCCCACTTGCGCTCGCAGGCACGAGTGGATCATTCCCGGTCTGAAGTCTGCGTTCCGGCTGTGGCTCTCGATCATCCGCGAGCACCAGGCGATGATGCGCACCAACCGCAGCGAGTCCCGCCGCAGCTCGCTGTCGAACCGCCCCTCGATCGAGCGGCACGACGGCATGGCCGAGACGGTCTTCCGCAAGCAGGCCATCGCCGTCACCGAGGTGCCCCCGCGCCTGCGCAACATCGCGGCGCAGTACTCGATCCACTGCCCCAAGTTTGCCGAACACGCGGCCTGGGAGTCCGTCGCGCAGCCGCTTCCGGCCGAGGACCTCGGGCTCGCACAGATCGTGTGGGACGCGTTCCGCGACTCGTCGTCGTCGCTGAAGAGCTCGCTCAAGTCGGCTTCGAACCGGTCGGAGCTCGAGACGCGCGCGACCATGGACGTCATTACGGAGAAGCGAAAGCGGCAGTACTCGATCCCGGAGGAGGAGCCCCTCAAGGTGGCTGCAGAGGCGGGCGGAGAGGACCTCGGGTGGAACATGGACGTGATGAAGAAGCAGAGCATCCTGTACATGCCGCTGGAGATGATCCCCGCGCAAGGTGAGAAGAGGAGGCGGCTCCCCACACGATCCTGCGTCGTTATGTTCACTCTGCGGTGCCGGTGCGACTTTGCGCGATCGGGATGTGTGTGGTATTATTTTCGGCTGACCGGGTTGTGTGCATTTTGTGTGTGCGCCGCAGCGCTGACGATGGACACGGACCGACAGCTGCGCCACATGGTGGCCAAGCTACCGGGGAGGCGGTGGCGCGGCGGGTCGATCGACGCGCCCGGCCTCGGGAGGAGCAGGCACAGCCCCGCGTCTGACCACACCCAGGGCCCCAACACGTAGGTCGCACGCCTGCCCAGGCACGCGACTGGCGCCACCAATGATTCTTCCGGGACGGATAGTTCAACGTCAGCCCCGGCGTTCTCTCAATCCAGGCGGAGGGGGGGGGGGTCATGCACCAACAACCCCACCCCCACGTCGCTATCGGGGCTGCTCCGACATGGCCTCGGTGCCCCCGTTCCCCTTCCCAGCCCCCCTCTCCCGCCCCTCCTCCCTCGCTTCGCACGGAAGCTTGCCACCTGCACTGCCCAGAGCGGCCACGACGCCAGTGCCTTGCGTCCCGCGAGGCCACCTGGCAGCAGTGGCTGCAAATCGCCTGGCAGGTCCCTCCTCTTGTTTTCGCTTTCGCGCGACTCATCGAGCAAGTGCTGGCGGATAGACCCGCTCGCCACCTGTGTCCCCGCGACTCCTGCGCCCCGGCTAGCACCATGTCTGCGGCGTGCTGCCCTGAACAGCCCCCCTGCTCGTTAGTCCGCACACAAATCGCGGGGGCGCTTGACTGGATGCCCCGCGGGAATCCGCGATGCTAGACCCGGTCGGCCTCCGCGCCCTCGATTGTGAACCGAACAACCCTCCTTGACGTCTCATTGCACCGTGACGTCGCCCGCAAGTAACGTGGCCCGCGGCGCGTGCCAGCGCCGTGGAGACCGAGGCCCGCAGAGGGCTCTCGCGGGCGCTGGGGTGCCTTGGCGCGAACGCCGGGCGTGGCTGCCCAGCGATCCCGGGGGGGGGTGTGGCTGCAAGTGGAGGTCTGCACCAAGGGCGCACGGCGCGGGCACATCGGGACGCGTTCTCGCGCTCGCCGGACACTAGCGGGCGCAGAGACCCTCGTCGCGCAGGCTCCTGGCTGCCCCCTCCCCCCGCAGTGCCCGAGGTGCTCTCGAGTGAAATCGGGCTTGACGGCCTGTTTTGCGGGATTGGACGGCTGGTCCTGGCACGCAGGCAGCTGGTCGGTTCCAGGATCTATCGGCAGGCAGGTCTTCGTGCACGAAGCGGAGTGGGAGCCCTGAGGGGCGCCCGAGAGGCCAGGCAGGATGGGCAAGGGCAAGAAGAGCGTGAAGAAGTTCAGCCAGAAGGGCCACCTGAGGAATGCGATCAAGAGCCGGCATGAGAACCAGAAGCGGAAGCGGTGGCAGGCGGAGAAGAACGCCAAGCTCGTCGCCAAGGCCCGGGAGGTGGAGCAGGAGGAGGCACAGGCCAAGAAGCGCCCCGAGGACATGAGCGTGGACGATTTCCTCGACAACGGCTGGAAGGACATCGCGAGCGATCCGCTGGAGCCCGGGCCGGCCAGCGACGCGTCGTCGTCAGACCACGACGGTGCGCCCCCGAGGGACGGTGCTGAGCAGCCGCCCAGGCAGCCGACGACGGCTCCGGCGCCACAGAAAGCCGCGCACGTCTAGTTTCAATCTCCCAGCCTCCGCTCGCGATGTATCCAAATGCGTGCGTTGCTCATACTGTCCGGAAGAGCGGGCGCGACGCCGGTGCGGGCAATGTAGTTGCGTGCCAACCATACAAGGGACTTCTGCGGTCATGGAAACGTCGCACGGCATGATCCGACGCGCGCGAAAGACAGTGTAGCTCACACACGCTCCTATCGCGGCGTGTGCCTGGAGCGCACAGGGGAGCACGACGCGCGGGCCCTTCCCTCTGCGACGCCATCGCTCGTCGCTTCTCGGCGAGCAGAGCCACCCGCATCCCCTTGCAGCACGATCACGGGCTCTGTCTGTATCCCAGCACCACGGCGACGCGCTCACTGAGCAACACTTAGAGCTTTGTTCCGCGTCGTTGTTGTTGCTGTTTTGCAACGTGCTTCCTCCCGTCCCGGCCGCGTGTTCCGCAGAGGAAAGCAACCTGGACGAAATCTCGTCCGAGGACGAGCCGTCCGCGAGCGAGGAGTCCTCTTCCGAGAGCGGCGAGGACGGCTCCGACGACGAGCAGGGCACTGGGTCTGAGAGCAGTGACGACATGGACGAGGGGCCCGCGCCCGCCGCCCGCAGGAAAGCCAAGGGCGGCGCGATCGACCAGCACAGGTGCGCCGCCGCTCCGTCCGCCCCCCCTCCCCCTGGCGTGCCCCACTCTTGTGGGCCCACCGCACGCGGGCACGTGCGCTGCCGATCGGGCTCCGACCTGCGTCTCCGTTTGTGCGCGCATCTCCTCCTTTCCCCGCTTCCTCCTCGCGCGGGGACTCGGGGCCGGAATCGAGCGCAGCGACGAACGTGTACGCCTGTGTGTTTGTGTGCGGCAGAGCGGAGCTCGAGGCTTTGAAGGCGCGCGACCCCGAGTTCTACAAGTACCTCGAAGATGTGGACAAGGACCTGCTCAAGTTCGGCGACGACGGCATGCTGGACGACAGCGCGTCCGGCAGCGACAGCGACGACGACGATGACGATGACGGGCCAGGGGGCGATCAGGGCGACGGCGGCGACGACGACGAGGCCGGCGAGCGCCGCGACGGGCCTCCGGCGTTGGCGCTGACGTCCTCGGAGGCGAAGAAGATCTGCCGCAACGCCGCGTCGCGCGGGTCGCCCGCGGCCATGAAGCACCTCCTTCAGGCGTACCGCGCGGCGTGCCACTACGGCGACGAGGACCCCGAGGGCCTGGAGGGGTCGCGCATGATCGTGACGTCGGCGTCAGTGTTCAACCGCGTCGTCGTCTTCACCCTCCGCGAAGCCCACGGCATCTTTTGCCGCATGCTCAATGTTGACCCGGCGGCCAAGAAGCTGACGCCGCAGGCCGTGACCAAGGCCGGGGCCAAGTGGAAGAAGATCGAGCCGCTCGTGCGCAGCTACTTCGGCAACACCATGCACCTCCTCGGCGCCGCCACCGACCGCGCCCTCACCATCCTGATTCTCCGCCGCCTGCGGCCCTCCGTGGCGCTCCTCACGCCGATCCCCGGCCTCACGCGCGCCGTCCTGCGCGCCGCCACGTCCGTCTTCTCCTCGGGCGAGCGCAGCGCCCGCCTCGAGGCGTTCATGCTCATCCGCGAGATGGCAATGTCGTTGCCGCAGCCGATGCTCGACAACGCGATCAAGGCGCTCGTGCGCGCGTACGCGGGCGCGGCCAAGTTCATGAACCCGTCGTCCGCGCCGCACCTGGGCTTCATGGGCACCTGCATCGTCGAGGTCCTCAACGTGGACCTCCAGACCGCCTACGCGTTTGGCTACAATTACATCCGTCAGCTCGCGCAGCGGCTGCGGACGTCGCTGACGGCGCGCACGAAGGACGCGTACCTCGACGTGTACAACTGGCAGTTCATGAACTGCGTCGAGCTCTGGGCGCGCGTCGTCGCTGCGCACGCAGACAAGACCGAGATGCGGCACCTCATCTACCCAGTGACTGAGTGCGTCCCCCGCCCCGGCGACCTTCGCGGCGCTCACCTGCGTGGCCGCGGGCGTGGGCCGGCGCGTAGCCGTGTTTGACAGAGCTGTGTGCGATGAAGGTTCGTTGCTTGTCGGTTTGCAGGATTCTGTTCGGTATGGGCCGCCTGATCCCGACGCCGCGGTACTTCCCGCTGCGCCTGCGCTGCGCACGGATCCTGAACCGCGTCCTCGAGGCGACGAAGACCTACGCGCCCGTCGGGCGCCTCCTGCAAGACATGCTGACCTACTCTGGGTTCAAGAAGAAGCTCAAGACCGGCGCGAAGGGCTCGAACGCGAGCTCAGCCGACCTCGCCATGGTCCTCAAGGTGTCGAAGAAGTCGGTCGACACCGCCGCGTTCCAGGTCGCCTCGATCGAGGGCATCCTGGAAGGACTGGTGAACTTCCTGGCCATCCACGCTGGGTCCGTGGCCTTCCCCGAGCTGGCCTTCCCGATCCTCAGGGACCTAAAGAGCTTCGTCAAGGACGCAAAGCTGGTGCGTCCGCGCCCCGTCGCCTCGCGTGCCAGCAGCTGTTGCCGTCTCTGCGCGATGGCCGTGCGATCGACCTGCGGCGTTGCAAGCCTCCGCGAAGCCTCGCAAAAGATCACACGTCCGGCTCGTGGTGGCCTCGACCAGGGCGACACCGCTCCGTCGTCACGCCGAGGCCTTGACGCGCACCGCGCGACCCCCACCTGGTTGCGCAGGACCGCGTCCGCAAGCCCGTGAAGGAGGTCATCACGGCGGTGGAGCGCAACATCGAGTTCATCGGGCAGCAGCGGCAGAGCGTGACGTTCTCCCCGAAGGACGTCGAGGAGGCCGACAAGTTCGAAGAAGAGATGAAGGCCACTGGAAAGCTGGCGATGGTCAAACTGGACAAGCAGATGCAGGCCCGGGCGGCGGAGCGCACCGCGGCGCTCCGGACGACGGAGGTGGTGCTCAAGGCCGGCGAGGGCGACGCCGCGCTGGACGCGGACGGGTCGGGCGAGGATGAGGAGGAGTTGGAGGCGGAAGTGAGGGGGGAGTCTGATTCGGAGTCGGACGGGAGCGATGGCGCGGAGGAGGACGAGGAGGAGGAGGAGGATTCTGAGGACGATGAGCGTGTGGGTGCGGAGGTGGACTTCGGCGCCGAGGAAGACCGGCTGGAGGACTTTGTCATGTCTGACAGCGAGGATGAGTCAGGGGGGGAGTCGGACGAGGACGCCCGGGCGCCAGTCGGCGGCAAGGCGGGCGGCAAGGTGCGCAAGGAGGCGAAGAAGCGCAGGATGGATGCGAGCGACGACAGCGACGAGGAGGGGGCTGGCGGGCGGGGTCAGAATCGGCGCGTGGACTTCGGGGGGCGGCGCGGGGGCCGCGGGGGCGGGCGCGGGCGCGGGCGCGGCCGGAAAGGTCGGCGGTGAGCCGCGTGTGACCTCAGACGTCGCCGTGTCTCATCGTTTCCTCCGATATACTAGATTCGTGACTACCGGCTTGCTGCTGCCCATGACTAGCGACGACGCTATCCGCATGGTGTCCTGCCCGTCGAGGCGGTACTCCTCGACCATCACGCCGCCGAGCGGGTCGTCCCACTCGTGCCGCACCTCCACCACACCGTGCCCCTTGACTTTCACGTTCGAGCGCGCTTTGCCTCGCCGGAGGTCGCGGCGGCGGTGCAGGCGCGGCGTGCCGTCCCAGGGGTACGCCTCGCGCACCTTGTACCACGGCACGACGGACAGGTGGTCGACGTGCATGTCGCGCGCCGTCTGGCGGATCTCCAGCCCCTGCGGCCCAACGGCGATTCGCGCGAACTCGTTCCTCGGCCAAGGAGGCACGAACTGGCAGGTGGGAACTGGGCTTTTCGCAGTCGAACTGCCATGCGTTGTTGGCCTATGAACGATTGGCACATGGAGCAATACTGACGTGCGTCTGGCTGCGGATGGGAGCTGGCGGGCGCGGAGCCGTAGCGAACGTTCCGGGCTGTGGTCGAGCTCGTACCTTGAGCAGCAGGACGGCCTTGCGCAGCACGTAATTGAGTTGTGCGGCCTTGGTTGCGCGGTCCATAGACTCTGAAGCTCGTCTGTCCTTGATCCAGACGCCCGTCAGCTCCGCCGGGCCCCGACGAACGTTCTGCAGACTCAAAGTATGTAGGCGGCAATGACGAAGCCGTGAACAGGTGCGAATTTGCGCGCGTACGCGGACGTGAGACTGAAGCATGCACAGCTCGCCGAGCAGACTCGAGGCGTGGAGCGACATTGCGGGCTATGAAGCAAGAAGAAGATCGTACATGACCGGTGCCTTGCGGCAGAACTTCGCTGACTGCTCGTTTGGCGCCACTCAGGAGCCCGTAGACTTTGCTCTGTGCATCTGAAAAAGCCCTCGCGACTGCCTCACCGGGATTCTGAGGCAAGGATGGAACACCCGGCATCTGAGATGACAAGCTGAAGAGTACAGCGCGCCGGCAATGAAACGCTCGTATTCCGTGAGTACGACGCAACAGGGCAGCAATAAAACAATGCTGTGTTTGGCTCTCGCTCCCCCTTGATGCCCGATTCACTTGGACTCGAGAGGTGGCGACGACCGGCGTGGGCACCACGGCGCTCTGGTCCAGTCCCCGCTGCAGCGGTCTACACGATTCCGCTCAATCCGCCCCGAAAGACTCCTCAAAGTATGATTCATACGGTCCTCAGGGGGAGTCTGTGCCGCCCGCACTCCACTCGCCAGCCTCCGCCGGCTGTCACAGCCTGGCCGTTCGAACGCCGCGCGCAGACATGTTCAGTGGAGTGCGGGCCGCGCATTGCGTCGGATCATGTTTCACAATCACTGCGTTTCTGGCCTGGCGGAGAGCGGAGAGCGCAGACTGACCCGGCACGAGCGTCAGGGATAGAGAGGGCCTTCGCGAGGCACCAAACGTTGCGGCACGCCGATGATGCGAAAGAATTACGGGCCAGCGAGCAACTAGCGGATGTGGTTCGTCTTCGTTGCACAACTGCATGGGGATTGAAGTGCACCGTCAAGTGCCTGACGTCGCTCAGCGGTGCGATGGACGTGGTCAGCTACCGCGCGGGGTCGCCGAGAGCGGCACGATGGCGTCATCCAAAGCACCCACAACCTTGCTTGTCCCCTTTGTCCTGCCCGGGCATCTCCAGCCCGTGGTACTTGCTCGAGTGAATGGAAGGCAGCGGACCTTCCTCGAGGCCCTTCGTCGCGGCGCCAACGGGCCGCATGACCTGGTAGGTGTGCACGTAGTCGCTGACTACGCCTGAGCTCATCATCCCTTCCAGCCTCTGCAGCGGCGCGGCCGGGGACATACGCAGCGTGAGCACCCCTAGCCGCACCCACATCGTCGCCGCATTCCCAGACCGCTTAAGGCTGAGCGCGGGAGGAGCAACGCGGCCGAGTGAAGCTCACCGACACGACTTGGGCCATCGTGGGCCGCTTCTCCTTCTGCTGGCTCCAGCACTCGCTCAGCAGCGCCTTCACCTCGGCCGGCCACTGCCGCGGCACCTTCGGGCGGTACCCGCGCGCCACCTGCAGCGCGTGCTGCTGCACCTTTGAAAAGCCGGTATCGCCCGCGAAGCCCCTGGCCGCGAGGACGTCCGTGATCTGCAGCCGCATCATGAGCACCTCGTACATGCACAGCCCGAACGAGAAAACGTCCGCGCTCTCGTTGTACGGCTTCTGCAGCAACACCTCCGGGGCCATGTACATCAGAGACCCCGTGCAGCCCGTCAGCGCGAGCGCCTCGTGGTGCTGCACGTCCGCCTGCGTGTTGAGCTGCGACGGCCGCCCGCGCGACATCATGCGCCGGTACTGCGCGATGGACAGCTGGCGGGGGACTGAAAGGGAGGTGTCCAGCCCAGACCCCTCTCCGCGGCTGCTGTCGACGCTCTTGCGCCCCGAGGCTCGGCGGAGGCCGCTGGAGCGCGGGCGCGTGCCGGAGCTGATCCACTTGGTCACCGTGCGCATGAGCTGCTCCTTTTTGTCGGCCATGAGTCGGGCCAACCCCATGTCTGCCAGCAGCGCCCGGCACTCCCTCGACTCCACGTCCGGCACCTTGATCAGAATGTTCTCCAACTGCACGCGCGCACGCCGTGCGACCGACACCCGTCGGACGCCACATACACATGCTGCAACTACGCAACGCAGCACTGCACCCACCACGGACAGACATCGCCGCGGCGTCGCCCGCGCGTCCGACAGGTCAAGAGGGGCCCACCTTGACGTCGCGGTGGATGATGTCGTTCCGGTGGAGGTGCTGCAGGGCCTTGGCGGTCCCGCACAGCCACCGGAACGCCGCGTCCCACCGGTACGGCATGCTGCGGCTCCCGTGGGCGACGCGGTGCTTGCGGATGAGGTCGCGCAGCGACCCGCCGAGGCACAGCTCCTGGACGACGAACAGCCGCTCCGCGCCCTCTGCCAGCTGGTTGTGGCGCGCTAGGCGCAGCACCTCGAGCGCGGCGCCCGCTTCGGCCGCGCCGGTGCCCTCCGTGACTCGCTCCGGGGCGCCCAGCTCCGGCGCGGCGCCCTCCGAGGCTGCGAAGAGAGATAGACGTGCGCGCACTTGTAGTCTGAGAAATTGAGGGGCAGTCAACATGGGTGGAATGCATAGGCCGTCCGGGGCCGCAGAATGCAGGTGCCGACAAAACGGAGACGCGTCGCCGCTCGCTCCCTCGTCTCATCGCTTGTGCGGCCCGAGCGGCGATGGCGCAGGGCGCTTCACCTAGCGAGCTCCGCGCGTCTCTGTGCGCGACGGTTTTGTCCGGATCGCCCGTCGTGAGCCCGATGCCCTCGAACTGCACGATGTGCGGGTGCTCGAGCAGCCGCAGCATCTCTGCCTCGCGCACGTACGACAACACATCGTCCTCTTTTGCTTCGTGTCCAGGTAGCAGCAGCTTGACCGCCACATCGCGCTCCCGGCCGGACATCGGGTCCCTGTGACGCATGTGCAGGACCTCGCCGAACCCGCCCTTGCCCTGCGCGGAGAAACGCGGCAATCGTGCGCGGGAAGTTGCCAGGGCAACGGGGGTTGCGCTCTGTCGGGCCCGGTTTGCGCAGGTGTGCGCGCGGGAGGCGTGCCGAAGGGGAGCTCACCAGCACGCTGATGAGTTCGAGGTCGTCCCAACGCATCTCGGAGTCCGGGCGTATCGTTTTCACGCGTGCAATCGTCGTCTTCCCTGGGGAGAGCACACGGGCGGGCTTCGCGCTCGCGTAGTCACGCGGCGGCGTCTGCGGGCACGCCTCGTCGAAGGAGACTTTCGCGGCCGAGGGAACGGGCTCGAGGTCCGCCCCTGACGCCTCAGTGGGCTGCATGGAGCCCCCTGCCGTCTCAAGCTCCCGCGCAAGCCGCATGGAGTCTTCCCCGGCACATTTCTGGTCTTCTGCGACGGCACTGGCCAGTGTCGCCTGCATTACGTCGACCTACGCGCACGGGATGCGGCATGCGCTGCGAGGGTGAGGAGACAAGCCCTGAGCGGAACGAGGCCACAGGAGGCGTGTGCCGCGACATCGGACGCGTCAGTGCAGATCCCGGCCGCGTCCTAGACAACGGCGTCCGCGTCCCGGCGGCGGCACACTCACCGCGCCCCTGTCGGCTCCAAACCTCCAAACACGTGAACCGGCAACTCTCCAGCGCCAGCCTCCCGCTCCGAGCAACGAAAGGCAGTGACGCGGCCAAGAGATGTCTCGCTATTGCTCAGCGCTGCCTGGCGCGAGCGCCATGACCTGTCGAGGGCGAACGGCACCCCGGGTGACCCCCATTGCCACATGAGCGCACAGACCGACTCGCGCTCCCCCCCCGGACGCTGCTCGCCGCGCAGACAAGCGCGCACAAGGAAACACCATATCGTCTGACGCCGTCTGCGGTCCACGTCACGTCGAACACACCTTGGAGTGGCGGCCTCCAGGCAACCTGAGAAGACAGTCGGAACCTGCCTGTTCACGGTCGGCGGTCGGCCACGGTCTCAAGACCGTCTCCGCTGCTCTGCCCTCTCGCGTACAGCACCATAGCAGCGCCCTCAGGTCCCCGGCGCGCTCGCACCGCACCATCGCTCACACGCCCCCTCGTTCGCCATAGTACCTCAACGCAGCTCTCAAGTTGTCGGTCACGACGTTCGTCGCGGGATCCGTGGCGCGCAGCAGGTTCCCAGGCCCGCCCAGAAGCACCGCGTCCGCCGCCTCGCCCTGCAGCCCCGCCCTGGCGCAGTGCTGCGCGACAGAGAGCCCGCTGAGCGCGTAACACGTGTGATAGTGATCGACGGACTTCCCGGGCTTGTCCCGCAGGCCCCCGCCGCTGTCGGGCTGCCCGCACGCGAGCACCCACCCCTGCAGACACAGCGCGTCGAACAACGCGCGTTCCGGCGTCGCGGGCGCGTCCTGCGGTGCGCCGCTGGCAGGCTGTGTGCCGAGGATCTCTCTGCATCGCGCGGACAGGTCGGAGCGTTGTGTGGAGTAGGCGTGAGATGGGCAGGGTGCGCCGTGCGGTTCGTTCGCCCCGACGTTGCGTGGCGGAGCAAGGGGCGCTGGTGCGGGGGTGCGTGCCTGAAGACGGCCGGCGCGGCGCTGCTGGCGGTGGCGACGTCGTCGAGGGCAAGCTCGGCTGCCTTCTGGGCTTGTCCGGCGCGCAGGAACGCCGCGATGGCCTCATCGTCGGTGGTGCGCACTTCAGCGGTGTTCGACTGCACGGTTTCTACCTCCTGCACGCGTGGGGCGGTGCGGGGGCCAATCAATGCCCCAGGAGCGCACGCCGAGGGCGCCGATGCACGCGCGCAGAGCCGAGGGCGCCTGTTCTCAAGGACGGCGCGGACATCGAGGAAACAAGACTGTGAAATCACCTGAGCCGCTGCAGCCTCCGACAGCCCGACGGCCTGCTCCTTCAGACTCCGCGGGGCCAGGTCCGCACTCTGCACCTCATCCGCCACCGCGCGCCACGCCTCCGCCGCCCCGCCAGTCCCGGACGCTGCCGCGTTCACCGCCGCGCATCCCCCCACGCCCGCGTCGCGCAGGATCGGCAGAGCAGCCGCCTGCCAGAACGCGTAGCAGCTGTCGACCAGCTTGTCCGTGCGGCCCCGGAAGCCGCCCTCCGTGCTGCCCTGGCACTGGACGGACGCCCACCTGGCCGCCGCGCTCGTGTCGATTGCATCGAGCCTCCCGAGGAGCTTCAGGCACGCAACGCCGCAGTACGTGTACCCACCGTGGGCCTCGTTGCCAGGCTCGCCGCCCAGGCCGCCCTCGTGCGTCTGGCAGCGCCGGACGTAGTCGACGATCCCTGCAACATGCAGACTTGCTGCCATGGTTGTCAGTTGGTGCCCAAATGAGGCCGCCGCCCGCGACAGGGTCGGCGGGCGTGAGGCCGAGCGGCGCACGCAATGCGAAACGCACCCGCGCGTCGGTCGAGCTCTGCGACGTCGAGTCCAACCATGTATGCCGATGCAACGGCAGTATAGGATCCTCGAATGTCAACCTCTCCGCCCTCCGTGACCCGCATGCCGCCGCCTTCCTCTGGCGGAACGCAGTGCCGAAGGAGCATCTCCCACAGGGCTCCGCGGTCCGGTACGGCGAGGGCGTCATCGCCGCCGAGCTCGACCAAGGCTGCAATGGCAGCGTACGTGGTCGCGAGGTGCGGCAGCTGCCCCGGCCCGCCTCCGAACCCGCCGCGCGGGCTCTGGCAAGACGCCAGGAAGGAGATGAGCGCTTCGCGGGTGGCTGTGGGGCCCTGTGCGACGCGTTCGGGCCCGGCGGACTTGGGCGGAGGTGGCAGGGGCCGCCCCAGGAGGGCGAGGGAGTGAATGTTCCAGTACGCGATCCATGTCCGCGAAGCGTCTAGCGCGATGAAGCCCGCACGGAGGGGCTTGGCGATCGCGTTGCCGCAGAACGTCGCGTGGGCATCTCTGCGGGGCGGTTGAAGCGTAGCGAGCGTCGCACTGGAGATACGTCGCTGGTGCCGATCGCACCTCCCCGCGAGAAGCAGGGACGTCGTGGCAGGTCAGCCGGACAGCGTCGCCGCGCGTGGCCGCGTTCCAGGCACCACTTACCGCCGCAAGTTGATGGCAGCTGCGGCTGCCTCCTGGTCGTGCAGGAGATCCGTGTATATCTCTTCGATTCTCCTCTCCAGCTCCCTCTGATCGTGCGTGGTCGTGGTCGCCAGACCCTGGTCGAACATCGTCGTGCCGACAGCATGTACACGCCCACCCCGTGATACTGGACCCGCTAGCGCATCCCTCACCCAGCTGTTCAGGCAGTTTCCCAGCTGCGACGCTTGGCCCGGTAGTGAGGAAGCTCGAGTGACCAGCGGGCCGTGCGGCGCGCCGCTGAAGTGCACGACACAGTGGCCAGTGCTCAGCGACCGGACACCCTGGGGGGGAAATTAGGACGCAGCGCGCGGCAGCGGCGTCTCTGGGGCCGCTCCGTGGCGTGGGAGCGCAGACAGTGTCGCGGAGCAGCGCCGCCGCGATTTCTCCGGTGAGTTCCACGACGCTACGGTCCAGAAACGGCGTTCGCGCCAACTGTGCTTTGGAAGTCGCTCCGACCACGCGGACTCGACATACGAGCTCGCCGAGGCGCGAGCGACGCGAAATCCGACCCGGGATCGTGCGTTAGATAAAGTTCTAGGCAGGCGCGCACGATGGAGCGGCGCAGGAGCGGTGGCGCGTCGGCGGAGGCGCGCAAAGAGGCCGCGAGTGATGCAGCGCTGGCGGGCGTGGTAGCGCACGTGACCGGCTGCGCGTTGGACGAGGGGACGAGGTTGCTCGTCGAGGTACGTCGCCGCCGACAGCGCACACCTCGGCTGCGTGGCGGCGGAATACGAGCGCCTTGTGCTGTGCCTCACTGCTGGCTGTGCTGGGCGCTCATTCGCGTGGCTGCACCGCCGAAGCGCACTGGCTGCCCCGCTAGGCGCATATGCGACAAAGCGAGGGGCGCCTGTGCCCTGGATTTCGGTCCGGCACCGCCCATCAGACGTGACGAGCGCGCGCCGGGCGACACAAGCCCCCTCGCCGCGCCCCGCCGCAGGGAAAGCTAACGGGCCTCGGCGCGGGCATCGCGGACAAGCTCACCAGGGACGTCACGCACGTCGTCTTCATCAGAGTCCAGTTCGAAGCCGGCCCGCTCAAGTGCGTACGTGTTTTGCCATGTCGTGCGTGATGGGCGACACGGTCCCCGAGACCGGTGACCCCCGCAACGTCACCGAGTCGCGTCGCCACGTGCACGGCGCGGCGCGACGACGTTCCTTGTTCACACGCAGGACCGCGCGTCTCAAACGTGCACCGCCTCAAACGCGCGCGTCCGCAGGGACGCGGAAACGGCCTGCCTGCGTGCGGTGTACCTCAAGGCCCTGCAACAGGCCCGCCCGCCCGCCCTCGTCTCCGTCACGTGGGTCCACCAGTGCGTGACCTCCGGTCGCCGCGTCGTGGAGAAGCACTTCTCCCACCCCTTCCCCGGCGACGTCGCCGCGGTGAGTGCCGCCCTCTCGCAGCACGAAACACTCGCAGCTGGTTGCTGCAGGCAACGCGAAGGCGCGACACTCCTTGTCCGGGCGAGTTGCGTTGCAGATGGCCCCCGAGGCCCCCGGTCTGGCTCCGCAGCGGGAGGAACACGGCCGCGGCGCGGCTGCGGCCTCGCCGAACAGCGTGCGGCGGGCGGCAGCGGCGATGCGGGCCAAGAAGCGCGTCGGCGACCGCATGGCGCCGGCGCCGATCGAGCAGCTCGGGCTCATTGACACGCACGCGCCGCAGTTCAACTCCACGCAGCAGCTCAACAACAACGACGAGAACCGGAACGATGCACGCGACGGCGCGGAGGAGGGCGACGACGTGGACAGCGGCGACGAGAGCGGCGGCTCGCCGACGCCGTCGCTCCCGCGGTCGCCGCCGCGCGATGCTGAAACGCAGGACGACCCCGTAGAGGACAGCTGCGCCGAGGACGGGGCAGCGCCGCTCGCCACACGGATCGCGCAGCGGGCGGGCGCGGCGGCTGCTGGCGGCGGCGCGCTGTCGCCGCGCGACGCGAACACCCTCGCCGCGAGGCAGCGCGCCGGCGGGAACAGCGCCACGCCCGCCCGGCGCGCGCAGCAGCAGCGCGCGCTGCACCTGTCGCCGACAGCCGTGTCTCCGGCGCGCCGCCGCACGCCCGTGGCGACCGCGTCGCCGGCGGCGGCCGCGGGGGCGCTGCAGCAGAGTGCACGCAAGCTGAACCAGCCGCCTGCGGACGCCCGGCCGGCATTGAGGCCTCGGAGGTCTGTGTCGCCCCCCCCGGAGGAGGTGCTGCCTGGGAGCCCCCTGGGGGGACTGATGCTGGACGAGGACCTGACGCAGGACGAGGCGGACATGCTGGCCCCGCGTGAGGCGCTGGCGGGCGCTAGCAATGCGGACGGCTCGAGCGGAGCCGAGGCGCCGCCCGCGCGCGCGAGGACGAAGCAGCGGATCAGCGACGGCGAGGAGGAGTCCAGCGGCGGCGAGAGGGGGTCGGACGAGGAGCCCGGCCCGCTGCGGCAGCAGAAGGTCGTTTCATGCAGAGAGGCGCCAAGGGTCGAGAGAGAGGTCCGGGGGGACGAGCGGGACAGCGGCGACGACGACGGCAGCGATGCGGAGCCGCTGCCCGCCCCGCCAAAGGAGGTTCTGCCCAGTTTCGCGAAGCGTTCGGGGAAGGAAGCCTCGGCGGTGGTGGAGAGCGGGAGCGACGGCAGCGAGTCGGAGGAGGAGCCTGTCCGGCCGCCGAAGAAGATGGCGAAGGGCGCGGGGGGCAGTGCGGTGAAGAAGACGCCTGTGGCGCCGGGCGGGTCGGCAAAGAACAAGCGCGGCCAGCGCAGTGCGGTGAAGACGCCTGCGACGCGGGGCGTGGACAGGGCCGCGAAGGGCACGCCTCCGACCAACGGTGCGTCGCCGTCGAGCCAGGCGTTACAGAACTCCGCTTGACTTTCCAGCACCACGTTTGACTCTGTTGTGTGCCGTTCTCACCGCACGTGCCTCCTGCCCGCGCCCGCAGGGTGTCAGCCGGCCCGCAAGTCGGCCGGCAGCGCGGGGCCGGCGTCGCGGAAGCGCAAGGCTTCCGCGGTCGCCACGGACGCGCGCGCGGGCCCCACGTCAGGCAGCATCTCTCTTACGGGCTGCACGGAGGCACAGCGGGACCTCTGCAAGGTCGCGACGCAGAAGCTGCGGAAGCTGCGCACGTGCGCGGCGGGCAAGGAGGAGGCCATGACGCACCTCGTCGTCGGCGACACCTCGAAGCGGACCCTCAAGGTGCTACTTGCGATTGCGCGCGGCGCAAAGATGGTGCTGCCAGAGTGGCTCGTGGCCTGCGTGGAGCAGGGGCGGTGGCTCGACGAGGCGCCGTACCTGGCGGAGGGCGCGTTCGCGGAAGCGGCGCGGCGCTCCGAGGAGAGTGGCCCCGGGCAGCTGCTCGCGGGCGTGCACGTGCACCTGGTGGTGACGCGTGCGGGGGCGAAGGAGGACCGTTTGGCGACGAACGCGACGGCGCTGAGGCGCGTGGTGGCGGCGCTGGGCGGGCGGGTGGCGTCGGCGGCGACGTGCGACGTGTGCGTGGTGGCGGGCGCCGCGGACGAGGACTGTGCGGGGAGCGTGCCGCAGGCGGTCGTGCGGAACGGGGTGCCGGCGGTCACGGTCGACTGGCTGCTCAAGTCGAACGAGCGGTACGAGCTGGTGCCGAAGGCGGAGTTCCGGGTTTGAGGAACGGGGCGCGTCTGTGGTGTTCGTAATTCGCAGTCCCACAATGCACTCCTCGTGTTCGAGGACGACGCGCAAGCGGTGGGACAAGAGCCCGGGGCACAGGGGGGTCACAGCATGACTGACTGACTGTGAGTATGTGAGAGTGCATCTGCGAAACGTCGAGTCAAGGCGTCTGTTTTGCATGTTGTCGCTGCAGTGCTAGTCAAGTACGCGCGTGGCATTGGTTGCGGTGCTGTCTGCAGGCGGTCGCGTCCGCGTTGTACACCACCGGGGCCCCACATCTCCGTCAGACAGCTCCGCTCTCCCCCCTCCTCCGCAGGCGCCCGCTGTCGACGTACACCGCGCCACGCAGCCCTGCTGGCAGCGCGCAGTCGTCGTTGGCGAGCATGCTCAGCGACCTCCCCACCCTCTCCCACAAGTCCGGGGGCAGCCAGTCTGCGGCCAGCCGCCTGCAGTACCTCACGTCGCAGCACTCCAGGCTCCGCAGCCCCTCTGGCAGCCGCGCCAAGCTGCATCCATACCCGCGCAGGAATCGCAGTCGTCCCCTGCTGCTCTCCGGGAGAAAGCACGCAGCGCTGAGCGTCCGCACCGTGCGCAGGTCGAGCTCCTCGAGGCTCTCGAGGCCCGGCGGCATCCTCGTGATGTTCGCGTCGTCGGCGCGTATCACGCGCACGCTCTTCGCGGACCCGAGCGGCAGCCAGTCCGCGGCCAGGTTCCGACACTGCCGGACGTCGAGGGTGTCAAGCTGGCTCATGCCATCGGGGAGCCGCGAGAGATTGCTGTTGGTTGCGTCGACGTACGTGACCTTGCGCGCGCTGGACGCGGGGAGCCACGAGTCGCTCAGGCGCGTGCAGTCTGCCACGTGGATCTCCTCCAGGGCACACAGGCCTTCGGGGAAATAGCGGATATTCGACATATCCGCCTTGATGACGCGCAGGGCGGCGCAGGACCCCCGCGGCAGCGACACGGACCGCAGCGCCGTGGCCCCGATGTTGAGCTCCCGTAGCGCGCGCATGTGCGGCAGGAGCAGGTCTTCGTTGGGGTCATCCATCTCCACGCCGCGCACGCTGAGCTTCTCCACTCTCCGGGCCGCGTCGGGGGGCAGGAAGTCCGGGTCGAGGTCGTTGTTGTCGAGCTGGAGCTCGCGGATCGCTGGGAGACGGCCGCGCGGGAGGCTGGCCACGCAGGACTCGTCCGCGATGATGACCTCCAGCTTCTGGCTGGACGAGGCCGGGAGCCAGTCGTCCTCGTCGAGGTCGTCGCACCCCGTGACTTCAAGTCTGACGAGGTTCGCGCAGCCCTCTGGCACCCGATCGATGTACACGTGCCACATCTTCAGCACGGTGATGCTCTTCGCCGACGAATGCGGCAGCCAGGGCGGCGACGTCCTCAGGTCGCAGTGCCCGACGTTGAGCTCCGTCAGCCGCGCCATGTTGCCCGGCAGCTGCTGCAAGTTGCTGGAGTTGGCGTTCAGGACGCGGATGTTCCGCCCCGAGCTCTCCGGGAGGAAGTCGTCGTCGAGCTCCGCGCACAGGTCGACGCTGAGCTCCTCGAGGCACTCCATGTTCTCTGGCAGCCGCGCTAGGCTGCTCTCCGTCGCTTTCAGCGTCCGCACGCGCCGCCCCGAGCTCTCCGGGAGGAAGAGCGCCGCCCCTGGCTCCTCCTCCTCCTCGCCGAGCTCCGCGCAGTCCTCCACGTCGACCACCTCGAGCCGCTCCATGCCGGGGGGGAGTTTCTGTATCCACACCCACTTCGCGAGTAGAACCCGCAGGGTCGTCCTGACGTCGGGGTTCAGCGCGGCCGCGAGGGCGTCGCCACTCAGGTGCCCGCACTCGGTGACGTCGAGGACCTCGAGCCGGCGCATGGTAGTGGGCAGCCGTTCGAGGTCCTGGCAGTGGTGGACTTTGATCACGCGGAGGTCTCGGGCGGCGCGCTCGTGGATCCAGCGCTTGTGCAGCGGGAAGTCGCCCGCGATCACCACCTGCGACGACCGGGGGGCACGCAGCTCGTCGCACCGCAGCAGAGCGCGGAACCGGGCGCCATCGAGCTGTTCCGATTGCCATTCAACAAGCGCTCAGTGTTGGTTTGCATGTGTTCGCTTTCTCTACGGTTTTTTGCTTTCACCTCTTCGAGCGAAGTGAAGTGCTTGTCGATGAAGACCTTCGCCTTCGGCCGCTCCCTGCGCCGCAGCTTCCGCGCCGCCGGCAGCTCCAACCGCTTGACCGCGCTCTTGTTCACCACCTGGAACCCGCTCGTGCGCAGCTTGTACTTCTCCGAGCGCGGAACGAGCAGCTCGAGCGCGTCCGACAGCGCCACGAACACCCCGAGCCGCCCGACCCACGCCCGCCCGCCCCCCGCGCCCTCGCACTTGACCAGCTTCCGCAGCACGCTGTCGCCTGGCCCGGCCGTCGCCCGCCAGCGCCAGCGCCCCGGATCGCCGACGCGGCTGTTCAGGACCGCCGCCATCGGCCGCGTGCCGCAGCTGGCGAACCGGACCGCGTCAGCCTTGTCCAGCCGGTCAACAATCATTCCTAGAACTTCGAGTGGAATTTCGAGCAAACTGGTCTCGAGGGGGGGGTCGGGGACCGCGGACGCAGAGCACTCGGTGGGCTCGGTGAGCCCGGTGCGTTGCGGTCGCCCGACGCGCGCGTCCCTAGGCCGTGTGTCGGCCGGTGCGGTGCGCCGGTGGCGAGGCTTGCGCACTTTCACGCCGTCCTGCGCAACAAGGACGCAGAATGCCGTGTTTCGACTGATGAGGGGTGCACGGTGCGCATCGTGAGGAAATGATCCTAGTCTGACAGCGACGCGGGCCATGAGTGCACAAGGGAATCAGGCTCGCACGGGCGCACAGCTCGTGGTCGCGCCGCCTGACGGTCGCAACGCTTCCGATCAGCGAGCACATCACCATGATGCGTGGCTGGAAGCCGCTGACATCGGTTGCGCGCGGCACGATGCGTATTCTGCGGGGGCGTTGGTACATACTTGGTCGCCCCGTTGTGGAGCGGACGCCGACACTTCATCCTCTCCGACCTGCTTGCTTCGATCTTCACGAGGCATCCTATCGCGCCAAGTAGCGACGCAGTCTGTTCGCGCGCGGGTGCCGCCCACGGAGGCACAGTTCCCTGATGCTCCCCTCCTAGCCCCGGCCGTCGAGCAGCACTGAGGGGCAGGCGAGCGCGACCCCCAGATTCCTGCGTCAGAACTGGACCCGCGCGCACGCCCGGCGTCACAATGCGCCCCGCGACCAGCGCTGTCGGCGGCGCCGGGCGCCCGGCACACCCTTTCACTCTCAGGGGGGGTACAGCGCTGCATGCACGCTCCGCTCGACCCGCCGACAGTCCGCCCCCGGCCCAGCAGCCCTGACCGGACGCCCTCATCCTCGACCCGATCTCCTCACAGCGGGCCTTTCCCCCGCGACCAACACACCCGCCGCCTCACACGGTCTGCTTCGCGCGCACAACCCCCGAGAGCGGATCCAAACTATTCATGTCCGGCACCAGCTCGTACCGCCGCCCGTGCCCGTCCACCGCGATCAGGTACCCCATGCTGCTGACCTCGTGGACCGTCGCGCGCATCGCCTCCTGTGGCGCCGCCGCCCCGTTCATCGCGACCACGACGCCCGGGTCCAGCGCAACCTCCTGCCCAGTGTGCATCCAGCACTCGGTGTACTCCCCCCGCAGCGACTCGAAGCCCCCCGGGCCCGCCAGCTGAGTCAGGAGGGGACTCAGCTCCGCGAGAAGGCCCGCGAGGACCGACTCGCGCGACACGGGGCTCTCTAGGGTGTCGCCCGACGCCTCGATGCACCGCCGGATGACCTCCTGCGCGGCGGGGATGGGGGGCGTGTTGCAAGTTGCGGGGGTGTATTGGCCATGCCGGGCCACAGGAAGCGGCTGCGCGTTCGGAGGTGCGCGGCGGCGCGTCGCACCTGCACGCATGTCGTGGGCTCGTTGTTGAGGACGTTCAGCCCGATGCCCGTCACCATGGTGAACCCCGACGCACCGCCCCCCGTGGCCTGACACAACACCCCCCCGATCTTCACGCCGTCGGCGTACAGGTCGTTCGGCCACTTGATGACGAATTTCCTCGCCGCCTCCGGGCACCCGCGCGCCACGGCCTCCGCGCGGAGCGCCCGCACGACCGCCAGGCACGCCACGTGCTGCACGAGCGAGGCCCGCAGCCCGCCGAAGTCCTGGCCGAAGCGCAGCAGCAGCGACACCGCGAGGCAGCCGCGCGGAGTGGTCCAGGCGTTCGACCCGCGGCCTGCACGGCCAGGGACCGCGATGGACGGTGACGCAAGGTGCACTGGACGCAAAGTGCGGTGACGCCGCGTTCGCGGTCGCGGCGAGGGCCCGGAACGGAGCGTTAGGGGTCGGTTCGTACCGCGGCCGCTGTCTTGGGTGTCTGCGACGAAGGCGGTGCCCGTCGGGAGGAGCTTGCTGCAGGCCTGGAGCAGGCTCTGGGTGGAGTCGATCTTGGGGGAGGTCAGCAGGACCTGCCCGAGGTTGCAGTCGCCGGGAAGGTGCGCGAAGAAGTCGTCCGCGCGGAAGGAGTCCAGCATGGCGAAGTCGGACGGCGTCGCGGCGGCGGCGACGACAGCTCCGCCTGCGGTGCGCTCCACCGCGGAGGCGAGGTCCGCGGCTGCGTCTCCGTTCGTTCCGCGCACGTGCACCGCGACCTGTGCCGGCATCCTGTCCTCGGCTGCCGCGGATCGGCGGGTGCTCGTCCTGGCTCGATGGGAACGCGCGGGCCCACTACTCAGTCGAGTGCAAGTGCGCGTGAGCATCTGGGCCGCCATGTTCGGGACGCTGCGACGGCGCCCGGCCTTCTGCTCCCCGCCTGCGACGTGCTCCCGCAAAGGACGCGCCCGGAAACGCGGCCTGGGGTGTGCTCGCAATTGGCCCCCTGCCCCTTGGGGGTGTCGGCGCTGCGGTGCCCCGTCCAGGTCGTCATCGCCGGCGGTTTCTGACGCTACGATGCAGTCGTGACCGGTCGCGGGTGACGCGGATGGGTGCAGAGGCGTGATCGGCGCGCACTGGACACCTGCCGGGTGGTCCAGCACTTGCGCGACGAATGCCGCGCAACCACGCGCTTTGCGCAGGTGAACATGGGAACGGCATCGAGCGCGGTCATCAGTCGCATCGACCCCCGGGAACAGATGGTGTGAAACGGCGCCGGGAGGGCGACGACGAGCAACGTAGTGATGCCGGCGGTTACGGCGCCCGTGCGGCGAAGCGCGGGGGCAAGGGCCGGCGACGCGGCCGCGAGAGCGAGGACCACTCGTTCGGCGCCGGATTCGCGCGCGAGGGCCGGGCCGCGTTGTCGGAGGAGCGGCGGAGCGCGCTCGAGGCTCAGCGCGCCGCTCTGCCCGTGGCCGGTGCCCGGGAGGCGCTCCTGGACATGGTGCGCGCGAACCCGGTCACGGTGATCATCGGCGAGACCGGCTCGGGGAAGACCACGCAGATACCGCGGTACCTGCACGAGGCTGGGCTGGCGCGCGGCAAGTGCATCGCATGCACGCAGCCGCGGCGGGTGGCGGCCGTGACAGGTGGGCCGCACCGCCGATCGCGCTCCGGCGGCGCTCCGCGGCGTTCCATGCACCTCGGGACCGGCTGTGCACGTCCCCAGCAGTCGATGAGGTCCGCATTCGTCGCAAAAGCTCAGTTGTATCTCGCGTGAAGAAATGCCGGCCTGTTCGGCGCCTATTTCCTACCGCAGTGGCACGGCGCGTCAGCGAGGAGATGAACTGCAAGCTAGGGCGCGAGGTAGGGTACAGCGTGCGGTTCGAGGACGTCAGCAGCGGCGCCACGCGCATCCGATACATGACGGACGGGATGTTGCTTCGCGAGGCGATCGCGGACCCGGACATGCGGCGGTACGGCGCCGTCGTCATCGACGAGGCGCACGAGCGGACAGTGCTCACCGACGTCCTGCTCGGGCTCCTGAAACAGGTGCCGTCGAGTCACAGCGCACCGGGAGCCCCCGAGTGCCATCCCTCATCGTTCGCCCGTCAGATCGCGTCGCGCACGGTCCTCACGCACGCTCCCCGCACCTCGCAGGTCCTCGCGCGGCGGAAGTCGTCGTTCAAGGTCGTCGTCATGTCGGCCACGCTTGACGCGGGACGCTTTTCTTCCTTCTTCGACAACGCGCCGATCGGGTACGTCAAGGGACGCACGTACCCCGTGGACATCCGGTACACGACGGAGCCCGAGGAGGACTACGTCGACGGCGCGGTCAACACCGCCATCCAGGCCCACCTGACTCAGGGCCCGGGGGACATTTTGATGTTCCTGACTGGACAGGAGGAGATCGAGGCGGCCGAGCGGATGCTGCGGCAGCGAGCCGACGCGATCCTCAGGATCGCGGCGGAACACACGCGTGGGGCGTCCGGCGACGGGGCCGCGGGGGCCGGGCTCGCCCGAGACGCGAGCGCGGCGTTGCGTGAGCGCCTTGCAACGGGGGCCTCCGACGGCGCGCCGGGGCCGTCCGGCGGGGAGGCTGTGGATGTGGAGCGGACGCCCGGCCCCGCGGGCGGTCCCCTCGGCATCACGGTGTGTCCGCTGTACGCTGCGATGAGTCCGGATGCGCAGGTTCGTGCTTTCGAGCCAGCGAGGGTTGGGCACCGGAAAATCATCGTGGCGACGAACATCGCCGAAACGTCGGTGACGATCAACGGCGTGCGGTTCGTGGTCGACGTGGGGCTCGTCAAGGCCCGCGGGTACAACGCCAGGCTCGGGGCAGAGTCGCTGCAGGTGGTGCCCATCTCGCAAGCACAGGCCAAACAACGCGCGGGCCGCGCGGGCCGTGAGGCGCCCGGCATCTGCTTCCGCGTCTTCACCGAGCGCGCATACCGCGAGCTCCGTCCCGCGACGACCCCGGACATCCTGCGGTCCAACTTGGCGTCCGTCGCACTCCAAATGAAAGCCCTGGGCATATCTGATCTTGCCGCGTTCCCCTTCGTCGACCCGCCACCGAAGCCGGCGCTCCTGCGCGCCCTCGAGCAGCTCTATGCGCTCGGCGCGCTCGCGCGCGACGGATCGCTGAGCAGGCCCCTCGGGGAGCGCATGGCGCGCCTGCCCGTCGATCCGATGTATGCAAAGGCGCTGCTGGCCGCCGCGAAGGCCGGCTGCGTCGCGGAGGCGCTCGTCGTCGTGTCGATGGTGTCCGGAGACGGCGCGGTGTTCGTGGCCCCCGCGGGGAGGCGGCAGGAGGCGGATGCGGCGCGCCGAAAGTTCAAGGAGAGCTCGGGGGACCACCTGACGTTGTTGGGGGTGTGGGAGGGGTACCACGCGGTGCCGGAGAAGGCGCGGGGGGTGTGGTGCGCGGACCACTTCGTGAGCGGGCGGTTCATGCGGAAGGCGGTGGAGATCCACAAGCAGCTGACGCGGCAGGTGGAGCAGATGGGGTTGGTGGGGGGGGGGAGTGAGGGGGGAGTCGAGGAGGACGCGGGGCGCGCCACGCTACGGCGGGCGCTGGCAGCCGGGCTGTTCGTGCACGCGGCGAAGCGGCAGCCCGACGGGACGTACGTCGTGCTGGCGACGGGTCAGACTGTGCATATACACCCCTCCTCAGTGCTGCATGCGCAGAACAGGGCGGGGCAGCGGGGAGGCGCGGGCGGGGAGGCGGAGCCGCCGCGGTGCATCGTGTTCGACGAGCTCGTGCGGACCTCGAAACAATACGCCAAGACGGTGCTGGCAATCGAGGAGTCGTGGCTGCCAGAAGTCGCACCAGACTTCTTCAGCGCCGGCGCGGCATGAGCGCGCGGCCGCGCCGCTCGCCTGCCCCGCATGTGACGCCGGCGCACAGCCTTCGTGACCTCAGACAGCCGCGCTATTTACAGACCAGGCTGCCCAACAATGTCCCTGAGAGTGCAGCGTAGCCGCCCGCCGCCGTGCGCGCCCGCGGGCCGTTGAGAGTCTTCCGTCACGCCATCCGCGGCGCAGGCGACTGCGTGCGGTGCACGATCCTCGCGTGCGCGTTGTTCGACAGCCTCGGACCGTTCCGCGGCCCCCCCGTTGTGGCCTTCTCCCGCCCCGCCTTCCCCATCTCCTCGTCCTCGCTGTCCTTCTCCACCTGCTCGTACCCGTTGTGCCGCTCCGTGTGGTGGTGCTCCCCGCCACCGTGCTGCGCCTTGCCGTTCCCGGTGCTGCCGTTGCTGCTGTCGTCGCCGTGCCCGCCCGCCGCTGGGCCCGCGCCGGCCGCCGCGGCGACGAGGTTCGTGATGCGCGTCTCGCCGTCGACGAGCGGGTTGATCACGCGCCACTGGAAGGGCGTCAGCAGCAGCGAGAGCGCCGTGGTACCCAGTAGAAGCAGGTACACCTTTCTGCTGATGAGGCCGAGGGCGCGGCCGCGCGACAGCAGCACGAAGGAGAACTCCCCGATCTGCGCGGTTGCGACGCCGACGCACAGCGCCACGTCCGAGGGGTACCGGAACGCACGGACGACGCCGGCAGTCACCGCGACCTTGCTGCTGAACACCAGCACCGCTGCCACCATGAGGATGACCTTGTTGTTCCACAGGAACGCCGGCTGCATGAGCATGCCCAGCGTCGTCAGGAAGACCGCCGCGAAGATGTTGCGCACCGCCTCCACGTGCTGCAGCGTGCGGTGCACTTGCTCCTCGTCCGCGGCCGAAACCATGAGCCCCGCGATGAAGGCCCCGACCTCCATGCCGAGCTTGAGCTCCTCCGCGATCGACGCGACGCACAGGCACAGCCCGATCGCCGACAGCTGCGAGACCTCCCCGCTGTTGCCCCGGGTCTCAAACACGTGCATCAGGCGCAGGAGGTGCGGCAACGCGTACCGCGAGACGAGGAACGCGCCGCCGAGGAAGGCGACCATGCGGCCGAGGTCGTTCAGGATGCGCGCCGCGGACGCCGTGCCGGACGCGAACGCAGGCAGCACCGCCAGCATGCACCCGAGGATGCAGTCCTGCACGATGAGGACGGCGAGGGTGATCTGGCCGAAGCGCGTGTCGGACTGGCGGAACTCGACGAGGCACTTGAGGACCACCGCCGTGGACGACATCGACAGGAACGCGCCCACGAAGATGCCCAGCGCCGTGCCTGCAACAGCAGCCCAGGGACGAGACACGCATGTGACGGAAGCGTCCAACGACAATATGGCTGCGTCGCGGGACGCGCAAGAGCGGGCCGGGGCATCACGCGCGCGGCGCAGGGCCGCCGGCGGTCTGGCGCGGCGTGGGCAGGCGGGGCGGGCGCGCACCACCGACGGCGGCGCCGAGGGCGCCTCCGACGCCGACGAAGAGCCCGACGATGATCGTGGTGCCCCCGACGGCGACGGCCTTGGTGTGCCGCAGGTCGTGGCCGCGGAACTCGATCCCGAGCGCGAACAGCAGCAGCACGAGACCCAACTTCGAGATGGTCTCGATCTGCACTAGCTCGTCGATCAGGGCGAACCCGCCCGGCCCGATCGCGGACCCCGCGACCAGGTACCCCAGGATCGCCGGCTGCCGCAGCATCGTCGCGACCAGCCCGCCGCCCGCCGTCGCCACCAGCATCACCTGCAGCGCACGGCTCCGCGAGCAGCAACACAGCTCAGAACCGCCGCGCGGCGTCGCAGAGCGTCAGGTGCGTGCGGGCGCGCGTCGGGCGGGGTGGCGCACCACGAGGTCGCGGAGTAGAACGCGGTCTTCGTGCAGCTCCATTTGCGCGACGAGGGAGTGCGGGTGCGTGAGGACGTAGGTGTTCTGCGCGCTGTCCATGAGGCGCTTGACGTCGTCGACCTCGTCGACGTTCACCGACGGCGGCTGCTTGGCCCCCTGCGTCGGCGCGGGCACCGCCTGCGTCGCCGCGCCGGCCCCCTGCTGCGCGCCCCCGTGCGCGCCCGCGTCGGTGCTGTCCGGCGTCGGCGTGGGCTTCTCCTCGCCCCTGTCGCGGTCCTTCCCGCTGATGACCTTGACGACCTCCATCTGCGCCGGACATCAACGCGGAAGCATTGCTTCAGGTGCGTCGGCAGTGGGCTGCCGCGCGAGGGCGTGCGGGACCGGCCGCTGGGCCCGTACCTCGTCGCCGTCGGGAGAAGTGCTGTTGAAGCCCTCGGGGAGCCCGGACCCGGACCCGGAGTCTTCCTCTTCGTCCTCCCCGGCGTCTAGTTTGTCCAACTGGTGGTCGATCTCGTCAATGATCTTGTGGCCCAGGTCGGTCTGCAGAGCGCCGCGCGACCGAACGACCGTGAGCCGACAGGGACGCACCGCGAAGGGTGCGCGAATATCGGCACCGTCGGGGGCGGAGCGGCCGTGCGCGATCAAGAGGGTTCCGAGGGAACCGAAGTCGGCGTTCAGGGACTTCTGGTGCGCCGCAGACGGGCTTTGTGCCACACGGTCGCTCCGCGGGGGCGTATTCGAGCGCGTGGCGGCGGAGTCGTGCCGCGGGGGCGCACCGCTTTGTCGCTGTCGTCCTTTTCATCCAGGGCTTCTTGTGTTACGTCCGACGCCGCGCGCTGGCGCCCGTTGTCGTTTCCTGCGGCGCGATACGGACACACAGGAACGTCGGACGCCATTGAGGAGCGTCGCAGGTGCTGCATGGCGCGCGATCGCCGGCGCGAGGCGTCTTCGTCGAGCACAGGAGGGTGCGCGTGCCGGGCACGCGTGAGCTCGCCTTTCGACGACGCGCGGTCCTTCGACGCCGACATCGGTACCCGGCTGGATCGCGAGAGCACGGGAACTTCCGGGGGGGCCGACGCGGCCAGACCCGAGCTGCTATGAGACAACCCATCTGTCGAGATGTAGATATGGCCCCTGGCGCCGATCGCCAGGAAGGCGAACCACGCGAAGATGATCACCATCCACGGAACTAGCCACGACGCCGGTCCAGGGCCCCCAGGGCAAAGCACGTTTCGCATGACCGACGCGAGCCTAGGCGTGCGCGAGCCTAGGGGCTTCCGCGTCGGGCTGCTGGGAGGACGCGCAGCGCCCGCGGCGTCCGTGGAGCGCAGCATGGGCCTCGAGATGCCCGCGCGCATCGGTGCGCCCAGCGCGGGAACGCAGCCCGGCCACAAGAGAGACGCGGCTTAGGATGCGCGTGTTGCTGGCCCGGCTCGGCGTTGGAGCGTCGCAAGCGTGGCCCGCTCGAGCGCCTCCCGCGAGCACCGCCGTCGTTGGTGGCGCACGGAGCGCGGCCTCGCCTCAAATATCGTCGAATGCGCGCCGAGAGGCAGCCGTGATGCCTAACTGGACCTCCCTCGCCGCGCACGCCGTGACCCGCGGTACGTACACGGACGCACGGGCGCTTGATCTCCAGAGACACGCGGGGGAGCGGCTGGGACCTGATTCGGGCGGCCCTTCTCGGTGTAGAGCCCCGCGCACGCTCGCTGCAAGCTGGCCGGCCCGTTTCTCCGAATGAACGCTGAGGTTTCGGACCAACGATGCGGCGCCGCACGGAGTGCGAGTGTGTGAAGGTTCGCGCGGCTCGCCTCCGCCTTGGCGGCGGCGAGGCCCGTCGCACGGCCTCAGGTTCTACCCTGGACCTCACGCACGCCTCCCCACACCTCCCTGCCGCGGCCGCGCACGTCGGCGTCGCGCCCACGCATGCACACAGACTGCAGCACGCATCGCGATCGAAAAGCGAACGTTCAACCGTGCGTTTCCGCCACCCTGTGCTGCCGCTGCAAGTTCCACCCCTAGACCGCGGGTGACTTCTCGCCGCTCGATCCGGCGCACCGAGGGAGCTGCCTATGCACTGAGCTAGCCCATGATCGGCGAATAAGGCGAAGCCACCGGTCGGGCGCCCCGATGGAGGGTGCCTTTGCTCGACCAACGATGCGGACCACCACGCTCACACGCCGCGTCGGGGACGCGAAGTTCCGACGCAGAAACACGCTCAGATATGGCGTGTGCGCCGCGATAGCTCTCGTCCTCCTCACGTACCTCGCTATCGGACGCCGCCCGGCTTGGTTCGGTGAGACCGGCAACGGCAGCACACACACCGGAGCGTCCGCGGTTCAGGAGGGGTCGGTCGCGGCGACGGACGCGTCCGGCAGTCTCGAGGGCCGCTATCCGTGGGCTGCGGGCCGCGTTGCCGCTTGCATCACCGGCCAGCTGCGCACGTTTGTGTTCCGGGCAGTCTTCAACGACCTCTACGACAACGTCCTGGCGCCGCTGCGCGCCGACACGTTCGCAGTCATCAACCTGGACCTCCACAAGTACCGGTCGCCCGCGCTCATGCGAAAGGCAAGCCGCAGCCCGCTTTTTGGATGTCCCAGCACCCACCTGCATGACGCACACAGCCCTGGCCGCCTCCGCAAGCCCCTGCCACGCGCGTATCTGGCCTGCGTCGACCACACCGGCCGCGTGCTGCACGTCTGGCCGTCCCCGCGCACAGACACCCCAGGCCACGCCTTTCGTCCACGTTGTTCGCCCGCAGGATCTTGAGCTCGCGTTCGAATTGATAGAGCCGATAACATATGTTGTCTTGGATCCGCCGCCCGAGGTGTCGGGCCCCGCGAACTCCCCGGACTGCATCGGCGGCGGCGAGGGCCCGGTACGCTACAACTGCCCCCTGAAGGTGTGGCAAGAGGGCGGGTGGTTCCGGGGCGGGCGGTACGTCGCCTCGGGGCGCGCGCACGCGTCCTACATCCAGTTTGCGCACGTGCAGCAGTGCCACGGCCTCGTCGAGCGACACGAGGAGTCCATCGGCTTCAAGTACGGCATCGTGTTCCGCTTGCGCACCGACATCCGTGTCTCGATGGATGCCCAGCTCGCGGCCGAGGGGCGGCTCGGCACGCGCCTCGCGGAGGCCGCGCTGCGCGGCGTGCGCCTGGGGCTGTCTTCAGCGGGTGCGGGGCTTCCGACGCCCACACCCCCCTCTGCGGCACGGGAGGCGTGTTTGGTGAGCGAGGCCGACGAGGGCAGCCACACAGTGTCGGACTGGTTCGCAGTGTGCTCGCGCGGGGGGTTCGCGGCGTACGCGGGCGTCGCGGACGTCCTGCGCGGCGAGGCGTGGATGCAGCTGGGGGCGTGTGCGTGGCACACCCCCGAGGCGCCCGAGTGCAAGCTACGCCGGTGGCTGGACCGCGAGGCCGTCGCGGTGGAGGCGGCGGGCAAGGGCTTCTCGTTCCAGTGGACGCGGCTGTGCGCCGATCCCCGAGACCCCGCGATGCATGATGCCATGTCCAAGAGATGCTTAGACAACGAAACGTACATGAAGGACACCGCCGCGCGGCTCGGCGTGGCGCTCCCCGACGCCTAACCTTGGCGCACGCCGGCACGCGCGAGGACGCGCGCCCTCGAGCGGCCGCGTGCTGTCAGCGCGCCGCGCAGCAAGCCGCTGAAGCGCCGGGCGTGCCGTGCGGACGTCCCGCGGCCCGCACGTCGCTCGCTTGCACCGCGGGGCCGCCCGGGCGTCCTGTGCAGTGCGTGTGAAGGCGTCTCCAAGGCAGCGTGAGCCGCCGACCGTTGAAGGTCGATATGTACCCTGTCATGACGTGACGTCACCGCGCGCAACGACGGCCGAAGACATCGCCGGCCGCTGGGACGCGCTTGGGGGGCACGTGTGCCCGCACGGACCCTCGTCCCGCTGCGGTGTCGAGAGCCCAGGTCTGCGCTGAGCGCACACACCCGACCACATGAGCTCATCCGCGGCACGACCCACACGCACGCAAGGCGTGGCTGCGAACGCGAGTATCTTGCACAGATCCGCGGACGCTTCCTGGAGGCCCTTCACTGATCGATCCCCCGCGGCCAGTCACGTGCGGCTGCTTCGCGGCCGGTCCGCGCCCCGTGGATCCTGCTGGCGTGGCGCCCCCCCCCCCTGGCGGCGGCCCGGAGTCGGCCGGGACGCGCGCGGGCTCGAGGGCCGCGCGGCGCCCTCCGCGCCGGCATACTCTCTCGGCCTGACCGTGCGAAATCGTCGTCGTCGCGTGCGTTCTCGTGCGACACGGCGCCTCCGCTCGCCGCGTGCCCCAAACAACGGTCGACCCGTGCGTGACGCAGCGAAGGCTCCCCCGGCTCGATCGGCGCGCGCGGGTGGTAGGCTGCTTGCGCTCAGGCCTTCTGGCGCGGTCGGACTGCGCCGTCGGTCGCTGTGTCCGGGTGTGGGACCAGGAGCCTACTCTAGGGTGCACGCGCTCGGCTGAGGAGCTGTGTTGGGAGCGCGGCGGCAGGGAAGTGCGCTATGGGGTGCGGATCATCTAAGGACGCCGTGGTGGCGCAGAACGGCCCGCGTGCGGCGAAGGTGCCGGCGGATGCGCCGCTTGCAGGTGAGTGGTCAGAGGGACTGCGCAACCGCCCTCTCTCGGCTTATACGCGGCGCCGAAGTGGCCCCACGTCGCGGAGTATGCTGGGGTCGCGTTTTCCCGGACGCTTGAGGCCTGCACGGGCGACTTGCGCGGTTCCGTCTTGGGCGGAGCTGCTCCTCGCGCTTCCTGCTCCCACCAAGGCGCAACCCCGTCCCGCTCGTGTCAGCTGCGCCTCGTGTTGCACCTCGAGCCGGCGGCGGCGCGTTCCGCGCGAAACGTCGTCCGGCGTGCTCGCACGCTGGCGTGCTTGTGGCAGCTCGCACGCGGCCAGTTCGGCGCGTGGCCCTCGCGTTCGCCGCGTGTGACAGTTCCCTCGCCAGCGCACGCGCAGGGGAGGCGCCTCTGGCCACGGATGACGACGACGTCGGGCCAGCCATCGCCCCCAAGGCCAGCGGAGTGGGCACGCAGCCCGTGAACAAGGAGCCGGGCTCGCTCGACGCCGAGAGTGCGGACGAGTACGCGCACGTCGTTCCTCCGAAGAAGCGCCAGCTCGCCTCGCACGCCAAGGAGTGGGACGAGCTCCCCGCGGACGACTACCAGGGTGCTCCCTTCCCCGGACTGGACGAGGAGCGCGTCAAGAAGCTGCACGTGCGTTATCGGCGCCTCCGCCGACGGTTGAGCGCGTGATGAGCGCCGCACTCGGCCGGAGCGCGCAAACCGGGGCCGCGCGCGTCGCACGCGGCGAACGGCATGCACGCAACATCCTGCCACTTGCCTGCTTGCACGAGTGCGAATCTAGGGCCGTCTCTGCCTCACGGCGCTCAGTGGGAGCATGGCGGGCCTCGGGAGGCGCCTCGCCGCCGGGCAGCCGCCTTAACGGGTCCCCCGCCCAGGCCCACCTGTCCACTCGCACCGCCGCTTCGCGCCGACCGCGGCCGCCATTTGCCGCGTAGGCGCGCCTTCCTGGCGCTTTGCCGGCCACCTCATGCCCCAAGGGCCCCGGACCCCGCGGCCACGCCCGCCACCGCGCCCACCCGGCCTGGGCAGCAACCACCTCACACTCCGGCACGCGCCCGGTCCGCGCGCAGGGGCTCGGGATCCTCGACACGGACCCCGAGGAGCGCTTCGACAACATCACGAAGACCCTTTCGAAGATCTTCGACATCCCCATCTGCCTGGTGTCCCTCGTGGATGAGGACCGGCAGTGGTTCAAGTCCAAGGTGGGCCTCGACGCGTGCTCCACGGACCGCAAGTCGTCCTTCTGCGCCTGGACGCTCCTCCCGACCGCCCCGGAGGTCCTCGTCGTCCGGGACACGAAGAACGACCCCCGGTTCAGGAACAACCCGCTCGTCCTGGGGCCGCCCAACATCCGATTCTACGCCGGAGCGCCGCTGATGCTCGTGGACGGCACGCGCATGGGCTCGCTGTGCCTCATCGACAGGTGCGCGGCTCGTCTGGCCCCGCGCCCGCCGCCTGTGCCTGCTGCGCCACGTGCACTCCGCTCACGCGCCGCGCCCGCGCCGTTCCGCTCCGCAGCAAGCCGCGCGACTTCCCGGAGAGCGCGCAGCGCGTGCTGGTCAACATGGCGGAGATCGTCTCGCGCGAGCTCGAACGCGGCCCCCTCGAGCAGGCGCACGACGACATTGGGCCCGAGGGCGAGATGATGGCCGCGGGGGAGCTGCCGGACCTGGACGACGACGACCCGGCGCTGCGCATGCTCCGCGCGATGGACGCGCTGGGCGAGGCGCTCGTCCTCGTGGAGGCTCACCCCGAGGGCGCGTGGCCGATTGTGTACGGCAACGCAGAGTGGGCGCAGCTCTCCGGGTACGAGGCCGGGAAGGACCTGTGGGAGCTGTTCACGCCGCGCCGCCTGCCCGAGGGCAAGCAGCCCGCGGAGGCCTACGCGGGCGCGGTCAAGGCCGGCGTGCCCTTTGCATCCAAGGGCGCGCTGACCAAGGCCGGCGGGGACGTGGTGAGCGTGTCGTGCCGCCTGAAGCCCGCGGCGGAGGCGCTCGACGTCACCGCGCAGAACGTCCTGTCCGACGGCCTCGGCGAGGAGGAGCTGGAGGTGCCGCTCTACTTCGTCACGCTGATTCCGCTGGACGACGGGCTCGAGGCGCTGGACGACGCGGCGCTGACGACGCGGACGTCGCCGATCATGTCGGTCGCCGACGCGGGCGTGATCAACTCGGCGGGGTCGGTCGGCGGCGGGCACCTGACGGCGAGCAACGACAGCAGCGGGATCAAGGCAGCCAAGGCGCCGTTCGTGGACGTGCGGCTGGGGCCGATGATCGGGCAGGGCGGGTACGGCCGCGTGTACAAGGGCCTGTGGGACGGCGCGCCCGTGGCGGTCAAGATCATGGAGCACAGCGCGCCAGCCAACATGGACTCGAACGACATGCGGATGCTGTTCGAGGCGACGCTGAGCGTCAACGTGGCGCACCCGCAGCTGGTGCAGTCGTTCAAGTTCTCCTCGCGGCCGAAGCAGGAGGCCGGCAGCGACGACGACAAGCGCGCGTGGGAGACGTGGATCGTGCAGGAGTACTGCGACATGGGCAACCTGCAGCAGTCGTGCGACGAGCAGAAGTTCGTGCGGCCGTCGGGCGAGCCGGACTACCCCGCGATCCTCTCCGTGTGCCGCGAGGTCGCCGGCGCGATGTGCCACCTCCACGGGCGCAACCTCATCCACGGCGACCTGTCGGCGAACAACGTGATGCTCACGTCGCGCGAGCGGGCGAAGAAGGGGTACTCCGCGAAGGTCGGGGACTTCGGGCTCGCGCGCACGGCGGAGGGCGGGGAGGAGTGCTCGAAGCCCGGCGCGATCGGCACGGTCACGCACATGCCGCCGGAGACGCTGACGTCGAGCGTGATGACGTTCCGGACCGACGTGTACTCCTTCGGGGTGCTCATGTGGCAGATGATCACGTGCAAGCGGCCGTGGGAGGGCATGATGGCGCCGCAGATCGTCCTCGCGGTCACCCAGCAGGAGCGAGACCTGGAGTGGCCCGACAACATCATGCCGTCGTACCGCGAGCTGGGGCTGATGTGCGTCAACCGCGACCCCGACGCGCGCCCGGACTTCAAGGGCGTGCTCGACCGCATCACGGCGCTGGAGAAGGACTTCCGGCGGACCAAGTCGCAGGCAGCGTGATGCGCGTCGTTGCGCGCGGGTGCGGAGCGCCCTCGTCCCCCGTAGGTGTCGGCGTGGCGTCGGGGTGGCTTGCGGGCTGAGCGGCACGGCGCTGAGGTCGGAGGGGGTTGCGGAAAGATGATGATCGGCTTTGCTCAATTACATTGCGTTGGATGGTCGCAAGTTTGATGCGCGGCGAGGGCCGCGCGCGCGGGGTTTGCGCCGGCGTGGCTGGAGCCGGTGATGATTGAGCGGGCACGGGCCGCTGCACTGTTACGACTGTTACGACACGTTCGTCACGTCGCGGACATCCTCCTTTTACAATATCTGACTCAAGCGATTTTATATCTTATTCAAGTCCACCGCTCGCACGAGGTCGTCCAGCCTCCGCCGCAGATTCCTCTGGCTCACCGCCGACCGCGCGGACAAGAAGGTCTCTTGCAGGAACTTCAGCAACGGCATTTCCTGAATCATAATCAGTCCTTGCACCAACGCCTGCCGCCGCTGCGGGTCCAGCGTCACCAGCACGTGCCCCACCGCGTCGCACACCCGGTCCACGCACGTCTTGCCCCCCACGCGCCGCTCAAACGCCTGCGCCATCCTCCGCAGGTGCCCCACCGCTGGTGGGACCTCCACCAGCGTCGGGTCGCCCATCGGGTCCGTGGCCGCCGCCTGCACCGCGCGGTGGAACTCCTGCACCGCCGCCGTGTTCTCGAACAGCGCGTCCGCCAGCGCCTCCAGCTGCGCGCGCGCGTCCTCCGCCTCCCGCGCCACGCCCGTCTTGGGCAGCCCCAGCCGCCCGCGCGGCAACGAGCGCGCGTTCTTGGGCGCAGGGCGCGGCGCCGGGGCCTGGTCCCGCGCCGCGGCGTCGACGCTCGCGTTCACGTCGAGCCCCGCGAGCGTCGCGCCGAGCATGGCCGGGTTCCCCACAGAACTCCCCCCCACCGACGCAGCGCCGGACCGGGGGGGTCTTTCGTCGTCGGACGACCCGACCGACGGGGCCTCGGGGTACCCGCCGATGAGCTGCTCGACCAGCTTGTGGACGCCCGGCACGTCCGGCGCGCGCGACCGCCGCTTGCCGTACAGGGGCGTCGTCCGGCCCGGCGCTGCGGCGACGTCCAGGTTGGCGGGGTCGCGGCACTCGCCCGCCGCGTCGGTGCGCAGGAAGTGGTACACCTTCGCGTGCCGCACCGCCGCGTCCTCCGCGTCCGGCACGAGGTCCCGCGCCGCGCCCCCGCTCGCCAACTTGGAGCCCAGCTCGCGGCCCAGCGCCATGCTCTTCCGCAGTTGGTCTTCCAGGAGCAGCCGGCTGCTGCTGCGGCCGCCGTGCAGCGCGTCCGCGCGCGGCGCGCGGACCTGCGCCTGCGCGCGTCCGGCGTGGCCGACGTGGTTGCTCACCGCGCCGCTCTGCGGCGGGACGTTGTCGTCGCCGATGTCGTCGTCGGCTGGGTCGTGCGGCTTCGGCACGCCTGGCTGCGGCACCGCGCGCCGGCGCCACGCCACCGCGCCTGGTGGAGTCGCCTTCCGCCGCCCGGACGGCAGCCGCGGGGCCGGTGCCGGCGTCGGGGCGCCGATCAGGTCCTGAATTGCAACGTTGCGCGCTGCGTCGCCCAGCCCCGACCGCTGGCGGACAGGCCGCGCGCCCTGCGAGGAGCTGCGCTGTGGAGGTTCCTTCGCGGGCGCGCGCGGCGGCGGCGGCGCCGCCTCGGCGGGGCGCGGCGGCGGCGCGTGCAGCGGCGCTGCGGTTTCAATCAGCCGCCGCGACTCGTTGCGGCCGCGGTGCACGAGCCCCGCCATGGCGCGGCGGACCTCGTCCGTCCTCGGGTTCGCGTCCAGCACGCCGCTCAGGTCCGCCAGCAGCGCCGCGAGGTCGTCGCGCGCCTCCGCGCTGCCATCCCCGGCATCGAACAACGCGCGCTCCGCCGCAGCCGGACGCACGTCCGAACGCGCGCGCGCGAGGCCCGCCTTGTGCTGGCGCGCCTCCGCGCGCCGAGCCTGCACGCCCAGGTGCCGCCGCGCCCGCGCCATCGACTTGTACTGCCCCAGCAGCGCTGCCGCGTCGTGCCCCGGGTCGCGGACGTGCGACGGCTCGACGGGGTCGGGGCCGGTCGCGCTGGCGAGCTCGCGCGCCAGGCCAGCCGTGCGGTCCGCCGCGGGCGCACCGGCGGGCCTGCGGCGGCCCCGGGCGTCGCCTTGAGGCGACTTCGCCGACCATGCAGGGACGCCCGGCGCTGCGGCGATCGCGACGGTGCCGAGGGCGCCGACGTCGACGTCGCTGAGCTGCGGCAGCCCGAGCAGCGCGGCGCCCGCGGCATATGCGGCGGAGTTGTCGCCGTGGTAGGCGCGCTGCGGGACCGAGGTGAGGCGGTGCGCAGGCAGGGTGGCCGCACGGGCGGGCGCGGGGCGCGCCAGGGACCCCTTCGTGGGCTGCGAGGGAGGCTTCGTTACGAACGAGGACGAGCGCGCCGTGGGGGCTTCTGCGGCGGCGCAGCGGGGTGGGCGGAGGGCACGTAAGGCTTGGAGCGGGCGCCAAGGCCGCGGGAGCGCCAGGGGGGCTGTGGCGCGAAGACAGAGCGCGCTGCGTGCTTGATGTTGCTGTTCATGTTCGAGGGAAGCGTGCGCGACGGACGGCGACGAGGAAAAGCGAAGGCGCGCGCGGCGCGAGACGCGCGTTGTGCCGAGGTGCGCGCAGGCGACTTGGTGCGTGCGAGCATGTCGGGGGACGCGCGCGGGTGCGCGTGCAGGGACGCACGCACCTTCTTCCAGCGAGGCCGAGTCGTCAGCCGCCGCGTTCGCGCCGATCTGCGCGGCTGCGGACAGGCCGCCCGCTTGACGCAGGCCTAACAAAGCGTGCGCGGCCATGGTGCGCTGCGCCTCGGACTGGACAGCCGCAGGGATTCGTATGCGACGCAAGCGTGATCTTCAGCGTCTTGGAGACGCCACGTCTCGCGGCGGCACCCGGTCCTACAGCCGGGATGCGGCCGGTGCTGATGCTCTGCAGCTGGAGGAGGCGCTGCGGTCGAGTGGGCCTTGCACGCGCTTCGACTGGACCTCGAAGCGCCGCGGTGTGGCCGCGGCTGCCGTCCGGGGAGGCCCTTGGTGCAGGGCGGAGCGCCGCGGTGTCAGACGGGGCGAAAAAGGAGTCGAGAAGCGGTCCGACTGCCTGAGGCAGCCTCCCACACAGTGCACCGGGACGCAAATGCGCTGTCGGTGCACCGCCCTATGCACGAAACACTCGAGACACACCATTCGTGCGGTGCACACGGACGAGGTCCTTCCTCGCGCGACACACAGCAAGAGAGCCTGGCGAAAGGCCTCTGCTCCTCAGCCAGTCTTCCAACTGAACTCACGCGTTGATTCAGCGATTCTGACACGCTTTCGGCCCTCGGTCTTCAAGCAAGCGCGCTACGGCGGTCGAGCACGCACCGAGCGAGGCCAGGATTGACGAGACCTGCAGCGGCTGGCTCCCCTAGGGCCGGCCGTCCGGTGCTGGCGGCGGGTCGGGCGCCGCGCTACACGATGACGGACAACGGGATGAACGCCGCCCCTGCAGCAGCGGGCAAGCCGTCGGACGTGGCGTCCAGGGCGGCACCCGCACCGGGGCACCTGCGGACCAACCTGACCGCCGCGGAGCTGGAGCGGGGTCTCAAGGAGCAGGAGGCGGCGATGCTCGAAGAAGAGATGAAGCGCCTTGGATCCACCGACGCCGACAAGCCCTTCGCCGACCTCGACGTGAGCTACGGCCCTGCACCCGCACCCGCAGCGAGCCCGCTCGGGCCCAGCTCGGGCCTCACAGACGGCGAAACGCCCCGCGATGCGAGCCGCGCGCTCCTCCTCCTGCGGAAGCATCCGTTCTGCGGCGCCGTCACCTCTCTGCGGCCCGTCACACTGCGCGCACGACCACCGTCTCTGCTCACGCCCCGCGCCCGCCGCCCTGCTCGCCCGCAGGACGCCATCGACCGGCTGTTGCCGTTCCACGTGTTCGGAGGCGAGTACGACGACCGAGACGTCGCCCTGCAGGAGCGCCTGGGCCCGCACGACGCCCTTCTGTGTGCGCGCACCGACGTGGTGATGCGCGGCGTGCGCGTGCAGCTCGGCCGCCTCGTCAACGAGCACAAGAAACTACGCGGCCGCGTCGAGAAGATCACCCAGCCCACAGGTCCCCCGCCCCCCCAACGACGATTCAACCGCACCGCACCCAGCCCAACGCACCACAAGCACACAGCGGCCCGCCGCGCCGCCAGCACGGCCGCCGACGCGCCCGGCCGCGCCCGTCCTCTCCTCTCTCGCAGGCAAGAAGCGGTCGTTGCCGGACGACACGTACATTCTCCAGGCCAGCATCACCCAGGACCTGCGCGCCGAGGTGGAGTCGCTGAAGGCGCAGCAGGCGGCGTTCGAGCGCATGCAGCAGCAGGCGCAGGCGCAGCAGGCGCAGGCGCAGCAGGCGCAGCAGCAGCAGGCTGCGTTGAAGAAGGACGGCGGGGCAGCCGCGACGCAGGCGAGTGCCGCGGCGGGGCGCACCTCCGCGGCGGGGGCGGGGGCGGGGGCGGGGGCGGGGGCGGTGCGGCCAGCGATGTCGCAGGCGATGCGTCCAGGGGCGGGCATGCAGGGGTACGGCGCGGGCATGCCCGGGGCGCGGCCTGGGGCGTCGCAGGCGCAGATGACGCCGCAGCAGATGATGGGGCACCCGTACGGCATGATGATGCGGCCGGGGGCGCAGATGACGCCGCAGCAGCAGCAGCAGATGATGCAGATGATGCAGAATATGACGCCGCAGCAGCGCGCGGCGTACTCGCAGATGTGGGCGCAGGCGCAGCAGGCGCTGCACCAGATGCAGAACATGACGCCGCAGCAGCAGCAGCAGATGATGCAGAGCGTGCCGCCGCAGCAGCAGCAGATGATGCAGCAGATGTACATGGCCCGGCAGATGCAGCTGCAGCAACAGATGCAACAACAGCAACAGCAAAAGCGCTAGATGCGGTGTCGCGCGTTGTGACCGCGCACTGTCGTGACCGCGTCACAGGAAAGAACCGCAGCCGAACCCGAGAGCTGTCGACCCGGAGACGCGCCGACCCCTGCACCACCGAGAGCGCGTGCGCCACAGTCCCCCCAACGCAGCACTTGCATCAACACCCCGCCTGGCGCGCGCACACACCTGCGCGCCCGCCCTCTGCAACCACGACCACCCGCACCACCACTCGTGCACCCGACTTGGCGCGTCGCTGCTCAGTAGAACCACCCTGCGCCCCTGTCGAGCCGCATCAGGATGGCACACGCCGCGAGCATGCGGCCTCCGGTCCCCCTCAGCGAGGGCGCCGTCATCGCAGGAAGCCACGACAGCGGCTCGCCCTCCTGCACCGCGCCCGCGGTCGTGCCGCCCTCACCGGCGGGTTCTTCTGTCCACACAGCCTCGCTGCGCGGCGCTCGCTTCTGCCCCTTGCGGGCGCCCTCGTCGGCGCTCGGCCGCTCCGCGCGCCTGGACGACGGCGCCGCGGGCCGCGCACGGTCCGCGCACGGGGTCGACGCGCCAGAGGCGAGGCCCGCCGCGGCGGTCGCGCGGGCTTGCGGCGGTGGTGGCGCGGGCGCGTCGCAGGCGGCGCGGGCTCCGGCGCGGCCACCTCCGCGGGCCCGTGGGCGTTCCCCTCGCGCGCGGCGGGCGCCTCGGCCGCTGGCTCGGGCACGGTGACGGCCAGCGGCAACCCTTTGTGGCAGCGCGCGGCGCTGCCGGGCGCACCATTCGCACGCTCCGCGTCGCCGCGCTCCTCCGCGGCGTCCGCGACGGCCGACAGCGCCGCCGCGAGCGTCTCCGCGCCGTACCGCGCGTCGAGCGCCATCATCGGCCCGGACGACGGGCACGGCAGCGTCGCCGCAACCGTAGGCGGCGTGGCCGCCACCGCGCGGTCAACCTGGGCCGCCGAAGGGCCGCCGCGAGCGGCGGGCCGCGGGACCGTCGGAACGGCGTCGTGCGCGCCGGGGGGCGTCGACCGACCGGTGGCGAGCTGCGCAGCATTGGCAACGCCCGCCCCCGGTGTCGCCTGGGCGGCGCTCTCGAGAGCGTCGGCGACGAGCGGCACGAGCGCCGCGGCGGGGATGCTGTGCCCGGCCGCGCGCGGCTTCTTCGCGGGCGCCGGGCTGTCCGCCGGCAGCAGACCTGCAGGAGTTGCCATTGCCACGACGTTTGGATCGTGAGGGCGGGAGACGCGAGACCGCCGCGTGGAACGCCGACACGTGTCAGGAACGGGGCGCTAGAGACGCGTTTGTGCTTCCTCGGTGCTTTGCGGGCGGTTCGAGGCCGCGGGCGCACCCTGGTGCATCTGCGCGTACGGAACAGCGGTGCGGCAGCGCTTCTTCGGCGCGCGGGGCGTGCCGGCGTGGTCGCCCTCGTTCTGGCCGTCGCCGCCCTCGCCGTCCTTGAGCTGGCCCCAGAGCTGCTCGACCTGCGTGGAACGCGGGGCGAGCGCGCGTGGTCGGGGCGCGGCGAGGCTTCGCAGGAGAGGCCCAGCGAACCGCGTTTCCCGTCGTGTGGCGGCGTCACTCGCGCGGATGGCGCGGTGACGGCCACGTTGGATTTCGTGGATCATGTTTCTGTGCGCGAATGGCCCCGAAATGGTGCGGGGAGGCCCCGCGAGCGCGGTATGCTTCGTCAACGAGCGAGCACGGCCTCCGACACGGCCGGAACGATACCTTGCGCGTCAGGAACGCCATCCACATACAGCGTGGGAGCGTTTCGCGACACGGAACTGGCTGATGGCTGCCGCGACGAGCCGCACCGGCCCCTACCTGCTGAAAGTCCCGCAGAGCCGACGGGCCCGGCGGGTGCTTGCCGATCTTCTGGTCCCATTGCCACGGAGCGAGCGACTGCAGCTCCTTCAGCAGCCTGCTGCTGATCTTCCTTTCCGCCATCGCGCCTCAGGCGGGCACGGGCGGCCCGAAGAGCCTCCCGGGCTTCGCGCTCCAAAGCTCTGCGTGGTCTCGGCTGCGACCCGAATCAAGCAACCACGGTCAATTTCGCTGAGACTTTACCTGGAATTCAAACTCAGCTCGCGCGCGTCGCCGCAATGGGCCGCACGGGCCCCGTCGAGGCCGAGAGCTGTCTCAGTGAGACAGGTCAGGTGGCTCACACATGCTCTTGCCGCCTCACTCACGAAATCAGCCACCAAACGGACCCCGCGAACCTTGGCGTCCACCCTGCGCGCCCACAGACCGCGCGAGGGCCCGGAACCGGCACACACGTCACCGCTGCGGACGTCACAACAACTGCACCGCCGCTGCGCCTACGCGCCCGCGACGCCCCCCCGACGTCACGCTCGCACCGTCCCCGCCGCCGCCTACTTCGGCTTGCACTCGTTCGGCAGCTCGGCCGCCCCGCTGGCGAACGCCATCACGCTGCGCGTCACCTCGGTGTCGATCGCGTTGAGCGCCTCCTGCGTGAGGAAGCCCGAGTGCGGCGTGACGATCACGTTCGGCAGGCTCAGGAGCAGCGCGAGGTTGCGGTCCCACGCCTTGAGCCGCAGCGCGGCGCCGCCCCCGCTCCAGTCCGTGAAGAACATCTCCTGCTCGTTCATGTACACGTCGAGCCCCAGCGCGCCGATCTTGCCCCGCTCGAGCGCCTCGATCGCCGCGGTCGTGTCCAACAGCCCGCCTGCGCACCGTGCGGGGCCAAGCACGCGTTCAGGCATCCGATGTCGTGGCGGGCAGCTCGTCGCGCGAATCATTCGCTCGCGGTTCGCGCAACTCGAACCGTCCGGCGCGGGGTGGCCTGCTCGGCGTGGTGCGCGGCGCACCGCGGGAGTTGTTGATGAGCGTCACGCCGTCCTTCATCTGCGCGATCGCGTCTTTGTTGATGATGTTCTTGGTTTGAGGCGTGAGCGGGCAGTGGAGGAACACGAAGTCCGACTGGCCCAGCATCTCGCCGAGCGTGTCCACGTACTCCACGCCGATCGCCTTCATCTTGTCGCTCGGGAACATGTCGAACGCCAGCACGCGCGACCCGAACCCCAACTTCATGATGCGACACGTGGCGCTCCCGATCGCGCCCGTGCCGACCACGCCGACCGTCGCCGTCGACATCTCCTGCCCGACGAGCCCCGCGAGCGAGAAGTTCGCCTCGCGCGTGCGGCAGTAGGCGCGGTGCAGTTTCCTGTTCAGGGCCATTGCCAGCCCCACGGCCTGCTCCGCGACCGACGTGGGCGAGTAGTGCGGCACGCGCGTGACGCGGATGCCGTGCTGCGCGCACGCCGCGAAGTCCACGTTGTCGGTGCCGGCGCAGCGCATGGCGACCATCTTGGTGCCGCCCTGCGCGAGAGCCTCGATGACGGGCGCGGAGAGGTTGTCTGACACGAAGGCGCTGACCACCTCGCAGCCGGCCGCGAGCGCGACGGTGTTCATGTCGAGGCGCGCGTCGACGAGCTGCGTGTTGGGGAACTCCGTCGTGAGCCGCTCCAGGTGGTTGACCTGAGCGCGAGTCCTGCGCGCGGGGGGCGTGCGTGACGCAATGTTGCGCATTTGTCGTACTGTGAGATCTCAGAGGTGGTGCTCGAAGCGATATATTGAAGGAAACGGGCGCCAAACGGCGCGGCCAGCGGTGCGCTTCTGATGCTGTTGGTTGGTGCAGGCGGGCGTGTGGCGTGTGCGGTGCGTCGACGGCGCGCACTTCTGCCACCACGTAGAGAACGATGTTATCCGCACGTCCTTGCCCGGAGGTGACGCGGGGGGCGCGTCACCGGCCGCCGCGCGACATACTGTTAGCCTCTGATCACGCCCGATTGCTCGCGGCAGATCGAACGACCCCGGCCGGACGCGCGCTCGACCGCATGCGTTTGACGCTTGGACGCGAGCGCGGGGCCGCACAGCGCTGCCTGCTGGCTGCGCCGCCCGGGCGAGCGCGTCATCTGTCCTGAGAAGCATCTTTGCGACCACGGCGGTGTCCGCGCACGTTCCCGGACACAAACGCACGCACACGGACAAACAGGCAAGTGACCGGCATGGCTGTGGGCAACGCGCAACGTTTCCCGCCGCAGCTGCCACGAGCAGGGCGTGTCTGTCAACGGAACACGTCGCCAGCCGGTGCTCCTAGGTGGGCCGCCCAGCAAAGGACCGCAACGCAAGGTCCTGAGCTGGTCCGAGATAGTCCCTGCGCGCCGGGGGACTGTCCCCGCGCGCACCACCGCCGCCGACGGGCCCGCGCGCGCTGCTGGCCAGTTGCTGGCTTTGGTGCAGCTGCCGACGGTACCGAGATGGCCGGAACGCGCGCGACGCGGGTGTCTCAACGCAGGCAGGCCCCCCTCGACCCCGCCGCCTGGCCTCACGAACCGCCAGCCCCACGCGCTGCGCCTGGCGACTTTTGCCGCAACTGCATGCGTCCCACACCACCGACACCCGCCCACCAGCACATCAAGCCATCACACATCGCGGCGAGGCAGCGCACCCCTCCGGCAACGCCCCCCCCGCGCTCACTTCTGGCGGAACACCGCCGCGAGGGGGAGGTGGTCGCTCGGGTGGTCTCTGCTCGGGAGGTTCCCCCGCTGCATCGTCAGCCGCTCCCGCGCCGTCATCGGCTTCACGACCGCGAGCGTCTCGAGCGTGTTCGTCGTCGCGAGGACGTAGTCCAGCACCGCCGCGTTGCCCGGGACTTTGCGCGTGAAGGGCGGCGCTGCCAGCGCCTCGTGGTACGCGTCGCGGAAGCGGTACGGGTGCACGAGCGCGCGCTCGGAGAGGATGATGTCCGACCCGGGCTCCGTGGAGTTCGCGTCGAGCGCGCCCTCGACCAGCAGCTTGATCACGCCCGAGTCGGGCGCGCCGTTGATGTCCCCGGCCCACACGACGGCCTGCGCGGCCGCGCCCTTCGGCGCGGCCTGGTGCGCGCGGACGAGCGCGGAGAGAATCGACCGCGCCTGCAGCACGCGCTCGTGCGGCCGCGACACGTGCCCCTCGAGGTGACAGTTCACCACCCACAGCGACTTGCTCGAGCGCTCCCGCCAGCGCAGGTGCAGGATGAGGCTGCGCGCCTTGTGGTCCTGCTGCAGGCACTCGAACTTGTCGGCCTTCCAGAACGTCGCCACCGCGACGCTCACGGAGCGCGACGCGTCCTTGTCCTGGAGGGTGCCGTCATACCCGCGGGCGCGCATGAACCGCCGCCACTCGAGCCACTTGCTGTTCGGGTCGATCTCTTGCAAGCACACGATGTCCGCGTCCATCGTCTCGATCTGCTTCCGCATCAGCGCGAAGCGGTAGTCGTATTTCATGTACTCGGGCGCCACGTAGCTGTGGCGCTTGCTCGTGCCGTAGAAGTCGCTCAGGACGTTGTACGTGGCCACGCTGAACTCGTTCGGCGCCGTCGTGGTCACCGCGGAGCCCTTCTCGAGCACGGCGATCTTCCCCGCGCGCGCGCCAAACAAGGACTTGCCCGCGGAGTGGTCGCGGTGGGACGACGGCGGGGGGGTCTTCGGGCCCGAGGGCGACCACGCGGCGGCCGGCGTGCGCGAGTTGGTCATCGGGGTCGACTGCGCGCTCCCCTGCGTGGGCCGCATGGGCGAGAACGACGGCGACACCCCGAGCTGGTTCTTGATCTTCCGCAGGTACTCCTCCTCGCTCCGCTTCTCCTTGCGCTTCTTGCCGCCGAAGATGAGCCGCTTCAGCACCAGCAGCCCCAGCACGGCGCCCGCAGCGATCGACGTCCCCTTGCGCTGCTCCGGCGTGAGGCCGTCCCACCTGCGGGCGCGGGGCCGCGGCCGAGGTCGGCGCTGCATGCACGGGCGCGCGAGCGACGCAGCGGAGCCGCCGCGGAGGTCGGCGGGCCCGCCGCCGGCAGCGTGACGGCAGCGATGCTGCACCGACGCAGCAAATGGCGCGGTGCAGGCACATGCGCGGCGCGGGGGCGAGCGGGCGCGTAGCACGGCGCGGAGGGTCGGACGCACTTCTCTTTCGCGAATCCCCCGGCCGCGACGGACTTGTCCCTGACGTACCCGGCGCCCGTCACCGCGCCGTTCCTGGCGGCGATCGCCGCCGTCTTGGCGCCCGACCCGACCTGCGGAGGCGTCGGCCGGGCAGCGGGGGCGTCGTGAGGGCGCGCGGGGCGAAGAGGGTGCGCTGCGAGGGCGGCGCGCGCGACGCGGGGGCTGGTAGTCACCTTTTTCGAGGCATCGGTCACGGCATCCGCGGCCTTCGCGAAGCGCCCTTTCTCCGCCGGCGCGGAGGTGGTCTTGCTAGCCATGGGCCTGGAGCGGCTCGGGCTGCCTCGCGCAGCCTGCGACGCGGCGCTGCGGGCGACTAGGGCAGGCGCAGAGCAGTGAGGCGGGGGCCGGCGGTTGCGGAGCCTGAGCCGCCGTGCGGGGTGGTGTGTCACTGTGGGTGATAGAGCGATCCACGAGGAAGGTGTGAGGGGAGTCGCGATGGCTCGGTCGCGCGGGAACGGCTCCGCAGCCGCGTGAACGAATGTTGACCTTGATTGGCGGCCAAGCAGGCTGCCGTGCGCACGTCGTGTGGGACGACGCGGCCGCACAGGTAGGCCTGATGATACACATGCTCGCCGGGGGCGCAAACGATGCTCGCGGTGGCTGGCCACGTGCCACGGGCACGAGAGAGCAAAGCAGGGGGCTGTGGGCGTTGACGGCGTGCGTGTGGCGCCAGCAGCGTCCCCGTGGCGCCCGCACGCGCGCACATCAGCCAGAGATGCGGCTCCGCGCCCGCGTTCACGACGCGCGCGGACCGGTGGCGCTGCCGCCCGCACCTGCCTCAAACCGTTGCCCTGTAGCCCGCGCCCCGGGAACGCTGCGCGCTGCGACCTGTCGAAACGACCCTGGCGTGACGCCGTGCACCTATACGCGAGCACTTGCGGCACAAACCTCGCGCGGCCTCCCAACGAGGGCCCCGCCGGACGAATCTTGTTCTCTTGTTCTACCTCCGGGGTAAGGCCGACGCCGGGGGCCTCGAGGCCCGCGAACGCCCGCGCCGCGCGCAGCTCCGGTGCTTGTGCGTCCGTTGCGACAGTGCGGGCGGCCGCGAAACGGCGGAAGACGCTCTCTCTTGCGCAGTGCGCTCCTTCAAGTCGTGGACGCGCCTCGCGTGGAACCCCCCGCCACGTTGGTTCCAGCGGGGGCTCGGGTGCCGAGCGTAGTTGGTTGCACTCCCACTCGGGTCACGAAGCCGTGCTTTGCGAGGGTGCAGGCGATTGGGGGGAACGCGAAGGGGTCGTTTGGGTGGTTCCTGGCCAAACAACGGCCCAGCAGCGCACGATCGAGCCGTTTCAACTGAGACCTGGAGCTCTTAGGGCCCACGGAGCGCGCACATTCATTTGGGAGGCGCTGGGAGGGTCGTAACTTGCTGCATCTTGTGCGCGACAAGTGGTTGAGCGCTCCAGCGAGCGCGGCAGGGCATGCGGGATGAAGGCGGCCGCAGTGAAGTGGCGGACCGACTGGGACAAGGACGTCATCACAGGTGCTTCGCGCTGCCCCTCCGCGCGAGGCAGCGCGCAGGCCTGCGGGCACTCCTGCCTGCCGCGACACCCGCCGCACCGGGCGTCCACGAGCTGCGAACCCACGCAAGCCTTGACGCCACGTCCGCAGGGAACTTCGCGAGGCGGAACTGGGTGCGGTGGAACCGCGAGACGGACGGTCCGGATGGGTGGAACATCCTGTGGGGTTCCGTCAACGTACGCTCCTCCGCAGCCATCCGCACAGGCGCAGCGCTCCCCCCGCGCACCGCACGGCCGCGTCGGCCCCGCCCGACTACAGCCCTCGCACGCCCGCCGCTTGCCACGCCCGCGGCCTCACTCGAGCGACGCCGCCCGCGTGCCGCCCGAGCGCAGACGGTCCGCGACATCTTCGCGGCGGACAGCGGGATCCGGCTGAGTGAGAGCCAGATCGTGAACCACTTCCCGAACCACCAGGAGCTCACCCGCAAGGACCTGATGTACAAAAACTTGCGGCGGTACCGCAAGGAGTCGCGGAAACAGGGCATGGACGACGCAGCGCTCTCCTTCACGCCGCTGACCTTCATCCTGCCGCAGGACTGGCCGCTGTTCCTCGAGGAGGCGCGCCGGCGGCCGCAGTGCACGTGGATCTTCAAACCTCATGGGCGCGCGCAGGGGCGCGGGATCTACCTCATCAACAAGCTGTCGCAGGTGAGCGAACGAGCGCGAGGACGGACGCGTCGCGCCCGTGGCCGCGGCCGGGGAGCGCCGCTTGAACTGCCACCTCGCCGCGAGCGGCTCTGTTCCCAACAGCGCGCAACCGCCCGGCCCCCCGCCGCTCCGATGCACGCGTCGCCGCGCGAGCTCCCCACGCAGGCAGGCAGCCAGACAAAGAAGACCTCCCCCAACACCCCCCCCCTCCCCGCCTTCGACTTTCCCGCAGCTCAAGAAGTACGAGTCGCGCGTGGGGGCGCGCGGCAACCTGGACACGTACGTCATCTCGGAGTACCTCGACCGTCCGCTCCTGATCGGCGGCAAGAAGTTCGACCTCCGCATCTACGTCCTCGTGCACTCGTACCGCCCGCTGGTGGCCTACATCTCCCGCGAAGGGTTCTGCCGGTTCTGCAGCGTCAAGTACTCGCGCGACGCAGCGGACATCCGTAACGGCGAGATGCACCTCACGAACGTCGCGCTGCAGCGCAACAGCGACGCGTACAACGCCGCGCACGGCAACAAGTGGCCCCTGAGTCAGCTGCTGTTGCATCTGGAGCAGGCGCACGGGCCGGGGACGGGCCAGCGGCTGCAGAACAGCATCGACTTCGTCGTCCTGCACTCCCTGCGCGCCGTCCAGGGCTCGGTCGACTCAAACAGGCACTGCTTCGAGCTCTACGGATACGATTTGATGGTGGACGATTCGCTGCGGGCATGGCTCATCGAGGCGAACGCGTCGCCGTCGCTCACGGCGACGACGCCCGAGGACCGCCGCATGAAGGCGCGCGTGGTGCACGAGGCGCTGCAGATCGTCGCGCCGGCCGACTGGCGCTCGCTGGAGAGCAGGTTCACCAAGGAGATGCCGCGGCGCGTGGGGTCGTTCGAGCTGCTCTACGACGAGCGCGAGGAGCTCAAGGCGAAGAAGCAGCAGGCCAGGGAGGCGCTCGAGCGCGGGCGGCTCTCGTCGCGGTCCGAGCGGCGGTCGGGGGTGGTGCTGTGGTGAAGCCGGGAGGGGGGTTTGGCGGAGGGGGACGTGGGTGGGGGAGTCGCGTGCGAGGGGTTGACGGTGAGGTTTGCCTGCACTGTGACGCGTGGTTCGAGCGGTTGGAACGATGTTGTGTCCCAAATGCTCTTCTGTTGTTGAATGGGCTCTGAGTGAATCAGGGGGGCGTGCCTCATGTTCGTACGCGTTACGCGCGTCGATCGCCAGCGCCGAATCGCGATCGATCGGGATGTCGGAACGACTCACAGTCGGCCCGTGCACGCCGCACGTTGGCACCGCCCTGCACGCCCTTCTGCACCCCCCCCCTGCCGTCAGCTCCGCAGCCTCAGCCCGCGGCCTCCATGGGCGCGGGCGGGTTGATCCAGAACGACCCCGGCGTCGTGAGGTCGTCCAGCGAGAACCGCTCGTCGCCCTCGTCCCCAATGCAGTCGAACACTGCGTCCGCCTCGGCAAAGTCCTCCTCCTCCGTGTAGCTCGACTTGGTGACGACGACGCGCATGCCGGCGCCCTTCCCGGCTAGCAGCCCGATGCGGGAGTCCTCGATCACCACGCACCGCGCCGGGCTCACGTCGAGCTCCTTGGCGGCCAAGGTATAAATCGCTGGGTCGGGTTTCTTCTTAGGGACCATGTCGCCGGCGTACACGGGCATCTTCTTGAAGATCTCCGGCCCGAGCATGACCTCCACGATCTTGCTGACGGCCTTCTCGTTCGAGGTCGAGCACACCGCGACCTTGACGCCCTGCGAGAGCGCGTCCTCAATGAGGCGCTTCACGCCGGGGCGCAGCGGCAGCCGCGCCGTCTCGATCAGCTCCATGAAGATCTCCGTCTTCAGGGCGTGCATCTCCTTCAGGAACTCCCACCGCGCCTCCTCGCCCTGCGCGCGGTCGCAACAACGAGTTTTCAACGCAGGTGCGCGACTCGCGGTCCTGCCATCGCGTGGGCTGTCCTGTCTCCGAGCGTGCATGCGCGCATACGGCCGTACGTCGCGCGGACCTGGATGGACTTGAAGGGCTCGACGTCCTCGCAGCCGCTGAAGTACCGCAACATGCGCTCCTTGCCTCCGCCCGTCTCCAGGAGCTCGCCGTACAGCTCGACGCCCCACTCGTGGTCGAGGCCCTTGCGCTTGAACGCCTCGTTGAACGACACGCGGTGGCCGTCCTTCTCAGTGTCCACCAGCACGCCTGCAGGCCGCGATACCTAGTACAAGACCTTGATCGATGCCGTTGAAGACCCAAAACGAATGAACTGCCCCTGTAAGGCATACCGCCTCATGGAACATAGATACCATTGCACTCCGGGGCCTGTTTCCATGCACGAAGCTGAATCATCGAGTCGCAATCAAGCACGGTCATTGCACAACCTATCTGCGAGGGTGGACGCGGGCGCAAGCGCGCGATGCCATCCGGGTGTCCTCACCGTCGCAGTCGAAGAGGAGCGCTTCCGGCATGTCGATGTTGCGAAGCGCGCGGACCCTCACAGCGCCGGCGCGGGCCCGCGGAGTCGCGGCAGAGCGCGAAGCCGAAGCATGGCGAGGGGCGCGCAGAGCTGCCGCGGGCCTCACTGCGGGCGCCGCGATGCGCAGACCAACGTACGAAGAAGGCGCGCGCGCAGCGGCAGCCCCGGCCGAGGCGCCAGCAGGGCGCTGCGTGGCGCTCAGGCCTACGGTGAGAACCATGGCTGGACGGTGCTGTCGCGGCGAAGTCGCGATATCGCGCCGTGCGACGTCGAGTATGCTGCGAAGGACGAGCGAGTGGGCGGGCACAAACGCCGCCATCGCACCCCGGGAAGCGCCAGTCCGCCGGGTGGTAAAATGTGGAGCGGAGGTCTCACGACTACGTCAGGGCGGTTTCTCGCGCGCCTTCGCCGGCGCCGCTGTGCGCAGGCGGACAGAGTGCGTCAGGACACCGTGTGTACGTCACGCGCGACGCAGCACTGTTGATGCGGTGAGGGAGCTGCCCCTGTGATGGCCACGCGTGGCGAGGCTGCGCCGCGCGCGCAGGTCCCCGGGCGGCCGCAGAACGCGAACAGGTCAGCGGGTCTGACGGGGGCGGCGGGGCAGAGCTACAGCTTGGTGTACAAGTGGGAGCACGAAGCACGCTTGAGTGATGACCAGGTGCATGCTCTAGCGGTGCTGGCGGGACACACGGCGGAGCGCCCGCTGCCCGACCACGTCCTCCACGAAGTCACGTCGCCGCGGGCAGGGGCGGCGACGCAGGAGGGCGCGAAGGTTCGCGAGGTGAGCAGCACAAGACGAGGGCACTCCCTGCCCGGCTTGCAGCCTCCGCAAGTCGTTTTCGCGAGTTGCCTTCTATTGAGCTGCATGTTCGCGAGACGAAGAACCCGCATCGGAGCGAAGATGCAGCCCGGCGCCTTCAACCGCGGCCTGTGCACCTTCCCCCGCGCGCCACAGGACCGACCGGACGCGCCCGCGGGCCCCTCCGTCGAGGAACTCGAGCGCGCCGTGCTCCACAACGGCCGGGAGTTCCGCAAGTGGCACGCCCAGGTCGAAGCCGTGCGCGCACACGAACGCGAGGGGCGTTTTCGTGACCACGCCACCGCCCTGGCATCGCGGCTCGCGGACTGCGACGAGGTCCTCTCCCAGATCGACGCGGTCCTCTCCGTCCTCGACACCGTCCACGCGGAGGCCAAGGGCGTCGCTGCGCGCACCGCTGCACTCCACGACGGTTGCGAGCGCCTCGCGCAGGAGAAGGATGCCCTCGAGGCGTACGCGGACCGCCTCACGGAGTCGCTGGAGTTCTTCGCGGAGGCGGACCGCGTGCAGGACCTCCTGTCAGGCCCCGGGGCGATGTCGGCCGAAACCGACCAGTTCATGGCTACGTTGGAACGTCTCGACAAGTCAATCGAATTCGTGTCGTCGCACCCGCGGTTCAGGTGCGCACGACGCTGCTGCGAGATGGCTGCTTCGGGGCGCGTCTCGTGCTCGCCGGGGCAGGAAACCACTCGATCTTGCTTCCGTGGCCGAAGAAATGAAAAAACAACTATGATTTCACTACTGCATTTCTGACGGGTCGCGCCTTTCTTTCGCTTGCCTGCGCGCAGGGAATCGGCATCGTACCAGACGCGCTTCCGGCAGCTGCGCTCCCGCGCGCTCTACAGCCTCCGCACGCGCGCTGTGGCGGCCCTGAAGTCTGCATGCGAACAGTCCGCCTCCGCTGACGCCGCGCCCGGCGCGCCCGGCGGCGACCAGCACACCGCCGCGACGATCCGCTTCCGCGCCATCGCCGAGCCGACGCTCTGCCCGCTCATCGCCACGATCGAAGCACGGGCCGGCGCCGACCCTGACCACGCACAAGCAAACGGCGTGCGTTTCGGGGCGCCGACGGCGACGTCGGCGACCGCGGAGTACCGCCGGCTGCTCGAGGATCTCCGCAACGCGTACTGCGACGCCCGCGCGCGCGTCGCGTTGCCCCCTCTGCGTGGAAAAGTCAACAGCGTGCCCATCGCGCCGCTGCCGGCCTTCCTTCGGGGAGCGGCCGCGCACCTGCTGCGCGCGTGCGAGGCGGAGACGTCGCTGATGGCGCACATCTTCCCGGCCTCGGCGCGGGCGGACCCGCGCGGCTGGCCGTCGCCGTTGGTGTCGAACCTCGCGGACGCGCTCTCGGATATACTTTTGCCGTCTGTCATCGCGACGCGCGACATACCGGTCCTCTGCGACACCATCGACGTGCTCCAGCGCGAGATCCTCGAAGGCGACCTCCCCGCGCGCGGCGGCGCCGTCGCAGCCGCGTTGGAAGGCCCGCTGACAAGCATGTTGGGAGATGTGCGCGAAAGACTGATTTACTGCATTGAGTCGGCCCTGAGCTCGACCGTGCAGGGCTTCCGGCCCACGGACGCCGACCTCGACTACCCCGCGTGCCTCGAACGGCGGGCGCGCGACGCTGGCGCGGCCGGCTGGGCCGACGCAGGCATGGGGGAGTCCGAGGCTTGGTACCCCCCCCTGGCTTCAGCCGTGACGCTGCTCGGGCAGATGAACGGGCGGCTGGCGCCGCGGGTGTTCTCCGGGATGGCGAGCGAGGCCGTGCGGTCGTGCACTGCGGCGCTCGAGTCGGCATCGCGGGCAGTGTCATCCAAGGCGGGCAGCATGGAGGGGCTGCTGTTCCTGGTGCGGCACCTCCTGGTGCTCAAGTCGCACGTGCAGTCGTTCCAGGGGGACTTCGAGGACACGGAGATCGAGCTCGACTTCTCGCACATGAGGCGAGAAACACCCCCCCCCTGACGCAGCACCCTCGTGACCTGTCGTCCTCAAGCCGAGTCTTGTTCTTCGTTCTTGTTCGCGTTTGCTCCAATCATCGATGCCCGTGTTCCACTCGGACCCGCGAGCGCGGCAGCAAAAGCCCGCCCCCATGGCGCACAGCGCGCAGCCCGCAGCGCCCCGCCTGACCCGCCGCCGCGCCCGCCGCCATCTGCGCTCTGCAGGGATCAGCTCCGCCGCATCATGGGCGGCGAGGCGTCCCTCTTCGCGTTCTCGTCCTCCAACCCGGCCCTGCAGCTGCTGTCCGAGGGCCCGAACGTGCGCGACGCGACGCGCGACGCCCGGCGGCAGCTGGACCAGGCGCTGCGGTCCGCATGCGAGAGCCTCATCGGGGCGTGCATGAAGACCGCGGTGGAGCCGCTGGTCACGTTCATCACCAAGGTGACGTCAGTGCGCGTGTCGGGGGCGGCCGCCGACGCGCCGCTGCGCGAGATGGCGTTCGCCAGCGTGGATCGCATCGTCGAGATCGTCACACGCGTCAACGAGGCCATGGAGAACGCGCTGCCGCAGGTACGCACACGGCGCCGCGCAACTGCGGCGACACGAACAGCAGCAAGCCACGACGTCTTCGCCGTCTGTTTCATGTTGAGGTTTGCACGGTCGCGCTGCTCAGCGAAGGACTTCCGCTCAGCAGCTCTTACTTGAAACCGCCCGGCGGCGTGGTTCCTTTCGCAGGCAGTGCAGCGCATGTCGCTATACCTGGGGCGCACGTCCGAGGCGCGGCAGGCGCTGCTGCGGCCCATCTGGTCCAACGTCGCGGAGGCGCACGGGCAGATTGCGGCGCTGTTGGAGGCCGAGTACACCCCGGAGGAGGTCGCAGCGGTGCCCCTCAAGTCCCCTGACGACCTGCAGCGGCTCCTGGAAACGCTGGATTCTGCGTGACGGAGCTAGGGCTGCTGCCGTGCAAGCAGATCTCATCATGGTGCGATCGGATCGATGCAGACCACGCCAGCGCCGGTGCAGGCGTGCCGTGTAATGCAGCAAGCTGAAGTCGCCTGGCTCAAGCAGACACGAATCCTCATTTCATCGCGCATCCCGCACGTGTGTGTCGACAACTGCTCCGCCGGCCAGGCTTCCGGCCGTCGGCGACGTTTGCTCCTGCCATCACACCCCTGAAACACCCCCCGCTATCCCCGCTGCACCCGCGCTGCTACCCGCCCTGCTACCGACCTGCACGGTACGCCTCCACGGTCTCCGCGGCGGACAGCGTCCCGAACACCAGGAAGAGCACGCCGCCGAACAGCGACATCGTGCGCTCCGAGATCCGCGACGCAATCCCGCGCCCGCCGACGACCGCAACCCCCATCGCCACCGCCTGCCCCGCGATCGCCCCCGTCGCCACCGCCACCGGCCCGCGCGACGCCGCGAGCCCTATCGTCGCCACCTGGCTCCGGTCCCCCCACTCCGCCAGCAGCACCATCGAACACGCCTGCGCTGCAACGGGCCCAAGCACACGCAGGGCGTCCGCCACGAACTTCGCGGCGCGCGACTTCTGCTCGCCCGACCCGCCGTCCTTGAGCTCGGCCTCGGCTTCGGCGAGCTCGTCGTCGCTGTCGTCGTCATCGCCGGAAAAGTAGGACCACAACATTGTGCCGCCAAAGTAGAAAAACAGAGCGCTCGACAGCCCGTCGACGAGGACCTGCGCAGAACGGGAGCGCGGGCACGCGTGAGGCCGCGTTTCTTCGCGATCCGCGGCCCTGGGGGCGAGGGTTGCGATCGCACTGCGAGGGACCACCTTCGGCAGGACGTGCGCTGCGGAGCCGAGCATCGTGGAGAGGACGGTCATGATCGCCATGGCCAGCATGCATCCGATGAAGACGGCCAGCCGCGAGTGTTTCATCGACAGAACTGCACGGAGGCGGAGCCAGGTGCACGCGTGAGAGCAGCCAGTGCCGTGGCGCACGCGGTCGGGAGCATGTGTTGATACGGAATCCCATGCACGATGAGCAGATGTGGGGCAGCTTGCAGGCCACGGGCGGACGCCGCGTTGACGCCTGGAGGCCCGCGTGCTGGCAAGTGAGCGTGGTGTGCTGGGGCGCGGGAGGGCGCCGCCACGGGGCGCGGGCGGCGTCGAGGACGCAGCCGCGGCCTCGGCCGCCCGTGGTGTGACGCACTCGCTGCGATGCAGAATGTCTTGTCACCCAGCTCCGCCAGGATGTTGAGCGACGTGGCCTGCACGAAACCCTCCACAGTGCTGCCCGACGCCAGCCGGAGCACGCTGGCACTCGCCGCGTCAATCATCTCGCCGTCGCGAACGATCACGGAGGATCAGATCGCGGCGCGGAAAAACGTCCTCGAACCCTCACGACCCGGCCGTGGCGCTACCTCGGGCTCCGCTCCCCCCTTGTGTGTGCCCGCAGTCTCGCACGATACGAACGATACCGGCCCCGCGCGGATGCGTGCGACGTGCGCCGGGCAGCCGCGAGCGCCGCCCTCGAGGTCTGCCGCGGACGCTGATCTCCACACGTCAGGGGAGGTGTCACACCGTGTGTGTTACACCGCACGTCGCGCTTGACGCCGCCGCCGGCACGAGCAGGGAGCACTTCTCGAGGTCGCCGTCACGCGGCGGTAGCGCGTCGAGCTCAGGCGTTCAGGGACGTCGCGTGAACCCGAGGCCCGGGCCCGCTTGTGCACGGTGTGCCAGCGCTGGCGATGAAGCTCGACGCGGAGGCGCTCCGGCACTTGTCGAACGAGCACTTTCGCGTGCTGACTGCCATAGAGATGGGCCAGCGGAACCACGAGATCGTCCCGCTGCCGCTGATCGACCAAATTGCCGGGCTGCGGCGCGGCGGGACGCACAAGCTCCTGAGGGACCTGGGCAGGTGCGCGCCGACGCCCGACCGACCCAGGCTCGACCCCAGATAGCAGCGAAGCGGAGGGGCGGGTCAACGTGCGTTTATTCTCTCTGTGGAGCCGCGCGCGGGCCGCGCTGCTGGCGGCCTGCGTGCCGAACGAGCCGCCGCGTGTGCGCGGGCGCGCAGGCACAAGCTCGTGCACCACGACGGCACGAAGTACGACGGGTACCGTCTGACGTACCAGGGCTACGACTTCCTGGCCATCAAGACCCTCGTGCGGCGGGGCGTGCTCACCGCCGTCGGGCGCCTGCTCGGCGTGGGCAAGGAGTCCGACATCTTCGAGGCGCTCGGGGCGGACGGGGAGGTCGTCGTGCTCAAGCTCCACCGCCTCGGCCGCACGTCCTTCCGCAGCGTCCGCAAGAACCGGGACTATCTGCGCAGGGGTTCTCACTTCAGCTGGTTGTACTTGTCGCGGCTCGCCGCGATCAAGGAGGCGGCCTTCATGCGCGCGCTCGGCGACCGCGGCTTCCCGGTCCCCGACGCCATCGACCAGAACAGGCACGGACACCCCCCCACGCAGCCCGCACGCCCACCGCACTGCTCCCTGGGAACGCGCGCAGAAACGCGCCGCGACGCCGCGCCCGCGTACCGCAGGCACGCCGTCGTGATGTCGCACGTGGAGGGCTACCCGCTGGTCCAGGTCCGGGAGGTCCGGCACCCGGCGCAGGTGTTCAACGAGCTGATGGCCATCCTGTGCCGCATGGCCGCGGTGGGGCTGGTGCACTGCGACTACAACGAGTTCAACGTGCTCGTGTCGCGCGAGGACGACGCGATCACGGTGATCGACTTCCCGCAGATGGTGTCGGTCACGCACCGCAACGCGAAGGAGCTCTTTGACCGCGACGTGGAGTGCATCATACGGTTCTTCCGCCGCAAGGTCGGGTGGGACCCGGAGAGCGACCCGGACGTCAAGGTGCTGCGGCCGGACCTGGCGGACTACGCCGCGACGGAGCACTCCGTGGACCGGGAGCTGCATGCGTCAGGGTTCAAAACGAAGCATCAGGAGGCGCTCGAGGCGTACGAGTGGCGGCGGGGCTCGGACGACGAGGGGGGGAGCGGGGACGACGAGAGTGGGGACGAGGGTGAGGGGGAGAGCGAGGGGGAGGAGTGAGGCGGGCGGGAGCGGGGTGGAGGAGGTGCAGGGGGGTGTGGAGCGCGTGGCGTTGGAGGAGGCGGGGCGCGAGAGCGGGAGCGAGGCGGGGGAGCTGGAGGCGGGCTGGTCGTCGTCGGATCCGGAGGACGACGGCGTCGGGGCGGCGCGGGGGCGGCGCGGGGGGGCTGGGGGTGCGGGCGGCGGGGCGGGGGTGTCGGAGCGGGACGCGCGGTGGAAGGTGCAGCGGCAGATGGCCAAGGCGAAGCACAAGGCGGCGGCGCGGGGCGCGGCGAAGGCGGCGCGGAAGACGGGCAAGGGCCGGTGACGCGCTGTGAAGAAACGGGCATGCGGGGATGGTGTCGTTGCTTCCGTGACGGAGCTGCGGGGGCGGACTGGTGCAGCACGCAGGCGAGGAGGTGCCCCGCGTGGCGTCGGACCGCCTCGCTCCGTCCGAAGCGCGAGTGCGCGGCGGAACCCCGTGGCATGTGATGAGGGTGACGGCGGACGCAGGAGCGCTGGCGAAAAAAGCTGTGCGGGCCAGAACCTCGCGAAAACAATTGGTTCGTGGCGCCGGATACCGGTTTCGTGTCACGCGCGGCGCGGACGCGGCGGCAGTGCGGGTGGCGTTCACGTCGCGCCTGAACTTGCTCTTCATGACGCGCGAAACCGTAATCTGTGACGCTACCGGTCTTGCAAAAGAGACACGACACCTGTCATCGTCCGCAGCGAGACCGCGGCACCCCGGCACGCCCAGGGCCCGTAATGGCCACAAATGCCGTCTTACCTTACCATCTAGAGGCCGCCCGCGCGTGGACGGCGCGGGGGATCGATGGACTCCGCGACCGGCGCAAGCGGGTAGTTTGTCGTATTCGTGCGAGTGTGCCGAAGCATCGCACGTGCATTTGCGCGACGCAGCCGCACCGTTACGTACTGGCTCGCGACTTACTCGGTGCCATGGGCGCGTGTGCGAGCTCCACTGGCAGCCTCGTGGTGGCCGAGACGGCTATTCAAGTATGTAAGGAGACCCCGGCGTCGAAAACGGGGGTCGTCAACGACGACGCGAAGCGTGCAGTCATGGACAGCCAGGCTGAGACAGAGGCAGGGGCCACGTCCAACAATGCGAGCGACACGGCCCACGGCGATCGAGCAACAAGCCCTCCACGCATGCTCGACTCGACCTCCACCGGCCTCAACGCTTCGGACGGCCTGACTGCCGTGCGCAGCACTGCTGGCCACAAGAAGCCGGGCCTGCCCCGCTGCGAGTCCTGGCATCTGGCCGCGAGCCGCATGGACGCGCTCGTGTCCGAGAAGGGCTCGGGCGAGGAGGCGGACATGATGAAGGTTCTCTCGACGACTGACGGCGCGGTGAACCTCCAGCGCCTCAAGCAGGCAAGTGGGTCGGCGCCGGGAACGCGCACGGGGCGGCCTGCACCCGCACGCTGTTTCTGTGGATCCGCTGACATGCTAGGTCCGGGCCAGACGTTGCGCCGGCGCGGGGACAGCCTGAGCCGATGGGCGCGGTGGCAACGCTGGCGTGCAGGTGTGTGCGCGCGCCGGGATCCAGTGGGGCAAGGACGCGCGTCTGACGGAGGTGTTCGAGGCAGTGGACCGCGCGATCGAGGCCGGTGGCGCGCAGTGCTCGCCGCAGGACTTCTACCAGGTGCGTGACCCGCGCTCGAGGCGGCGCAAGGGTTGCCGGGAGCGTGTGCGGCGCACCCCGAAAGTCGCGCGAAAGCGAGCCGGAGACGCTGCAGCTCGTCCGTGTGGCTGTGTTCGCCGGCGCATTGCGGTTTTCGCGAAGGATCGAGGCCGGTCCCCGTCGTGCTGTGCCGCTTCCAACACGTGCCGCGTGCGCCCCGCTCGCCACGCAGATGTGCTCGTCGAACCTCCTGCTGCTCAAGGAGATCTGCGAGAGCCGCCTCGTCATCCCGGACTTCGAGGGCTTCTGCCACAAGCTCTCGTACCTGCACAACAAGGTACTCCCCAACAAGAGCGGCGCCAACGCCGACTACATCGCCGTCCTGCGCGACGCCGAGTCCGAGCGCTTCGGCGTCGCGGTGTGCACCGTCGACGGCCAGCGGTGGGAGACGGGCGAGACGAACGACTACTTCACCATCCAGTCCACGTCGAAGCCCATCACCTACGCCATGGCCGTCACGGAGCGCGGGCGGGACTTCACGCACTCGTACGTCGGCCAGGAGCCGTCGGGGCGGCCCTTCAACGACCACGGCCTGATGCTCGACGGCTCGAACCGCCCGTACAACCCCATGGTCAACCAGGGCGCGCTCATGACGGCGGGCGTGGTGGCCAGCGGGCACCGCGGCAAGGCCCCGCGCGCCATCGTCCAGCACATCATGGACACGTGGGCCAAGCTGTGCGGCAACGTCGGCGAGGTCAAGTACGGGCAGGTCTGCTTCGAGTCGGAGAAGGAGGACGCGCACAACAACTGGGCGCTGTCGTGGATCCTGGCCGGGAAGCGCGGGCTCCCGGACTGCGGCGCGGGCGCGCCGGAGGTCGAGGAGATGCTCGACACGTACCTCGGCTGCTGCTCGATCGAGGTGACGTGCGCCATGATGAGCGTCGCGGCGGCGACGCTGGCCAACGGCGGCAAGTGCCCCATCACGGGGGTCCAGGTCTTCTCGCCCGAGGTGGTCAAGATGACGCTCACGCTCATGGCCACGTGCGGCATGTACGACGGCGCGGGGCGCTTCCTGTTCGAGACGGGCCTGCCGGCCAAGTCGGGCGTGTCGGGCGTGGTCATGACGGTCATTCCGAACGTGATGGGCCTCGCGACGTTCTCGCCGCGGCTGGACGCGAACGGCAACTCGGTGCGCGGCGTGGCGTTCAACCAGGCGCTCGTCGACATGTTCACCTTCCACCAGTTCGACAACCTGTCGTCGCTGGGCTCGGGCAAGGTCGATCCGCGGCTGTCGGAGGTCAACCACCGCTCGCACCGCCTGAGGATGATCCAGTGGGGCATCCAGAGCGGCGACAAGCACGCCAAGGAGTTTTTCGCCGCGCTGCGCCGCATCGTCAGCCTCGTGGCGGTGATCGACGGCGAGGTCGTTCCGGGCGAGGTGGAGATGTGCTGCAACGTGCTGCACAAGGTGCTCGGCGTGTCGGTGGGCAAGAAGGCGATGCACGACGAGTGCGAGGCCGCGCTCAAGGAGGGCGTTCACGGCCTGGACGAGCTTATTCCCGTCCTGCAGAAACTCGGGGGCAGCATGGACGAGGTCCAGGCCGAGATCACGCTGGAGTCGATGTTCTGCGTGGCCGCCGCGGACGGCGCGGTGACCTCGCAGGAGCGCGAGGCCATGCAAGAGCTGGGCGCCCAGCTCGGGCTGCCGCCCTACGTGGTCGACATGAAGCTGACGGATCTGCAGGCGGAGCTGAAGGTGGAGGTCGAGCAGGCCGGGCTGAGCATACGGGCCAGCTCCAAGAACGGGCAGGTGGAGACGGTGCTCGAGGAGGACGGCGACGAGGCGTGAGACCGCGAGCGGCTGTCGCGGGAGCCGCGATGGGCGCGTCGAAGATCCGCGACCCCCCGCCACCCTGGTCTGCGCATGTGCGTGACCTTCCCTCGTCCCACCCGTTTTTCACTCGACGTTTCATCGTCGAATCCCCCTGGCTGCGACGCCAGGAACGTGCCTTGCAGCTCCCCCCCCCTTGCCCAGTTCATCTCTCCAACCGACCGCACAAACGTCTGAGCACCACGCGTTCGAGGAAGAAACATCAGAGCGCGGATTGACTGGCACCGTAGCTGCGAGCACCTCGGCGCGTGCCACGTCTTCCCCAGTCCCACCAGGCAGAGACTCCCCCGTCTCACTGTAACTCAGTTCAGCGCGGCAGGGCGTCGTCGCGGCTCCCTGATGCCGCAGCATCGCGGGTACCGCAGCGAATTACCAACTGACTCAGGCCCAGCCCGTTGCACCACTTCCGTCATCAACTCTGGCAGGCTGCGCCCCGCTCCGCCGCGTCTCTGCTAGAAAGCCTGTTGGGCCTTGGTGTTGCGCGAGCAACAGCGGGGCCGGCGCCCACTGCATCGCCGTCCTGTGTCGGACCCGCCAAACCCGTACGCTCCGGCGTTGCATCGCACCCTCGTCGGCCAGCGGTGGGAGACGGGCGAGACGACCGCCCACGTATGTATGCCTCTGCTGTTGGCTGAAGGCCGCAGGAAGTGAGAGGAACAAGAAAGGGTGCCCGAGAGCAACAACAGCGGTGGAGTACCTGCACGCGTCGCCCATTGCGTGAGATTCGTGACGGGAGATGACCTACAGGCGTGCTCACGGCGAGGGCGCTTGAGCGACCGGCCCAGTCGACGTCGGAACCATCCCCTGCGCGGTCCGCTCGCACGGGTGACGCGTCGAGCGCCCTGCCCGCGTCTCACAACACTTTTCCCCCTGCCGGTGTCAGGACCCCTCTTCACCGAACTCCCTCGTGAACTTCTCGTAGCTCTCGAGGTCGTCCGCGCTCACCGTCGGCCGCGCCCGCGTCAGCACGCGCTCGAAGTGCGCTCGCGTGATCGCGGGGGGAATCACCAGGTGTGCTCTGTTGTGCTCCACGAACCAATCGAGACCCGCCTCCATCTTGGTCGGATCCGGATCCGCCGGCGCGCACGCCACGTAGCCGTCCTCGGCCATCCCGGGCCCCGCCGGCACGCGCTTGAAGTGCGTGGCGTCCTTGATAATGCGAATGGGTTCCATCAACACGTCCTTGACGACGATGGCGATGTCGGAGCCGGAAAAGCCCTCCGTGAGCTGGCCGAGCTCGCGGAAGTCGGCCTCCGTGAGCGAGTGCGGCGTGTCGCCCAGGTGGATCCTGCGCGAACATCGGCACCCGAAGCGACGCTGCTGTGAAACACCACCGTTCCTGGAAGCACGCGCAAGCGGGGGAGCGCGCGGCGGGCACGCAGCGCACCTGAACATGCTGGCGCGGGCGCCGGACTCCGGCAGCGGGATCAGGACGCGCTTGTCGAACCGGCGGCGGACGGCGTTGTCGAGGTTGTACGGCAGGTTCGTGGCGCCGAGGACGAGCACGCGCGCGTCGCTCGAGTTGACGCCCTGCATCTGCACGAGGAACTCCGTCTTGATGCGCCGCGCCGCCTCGGACTCCCCCTCCCCGCGTGCGCTGCACAGCGAGTCCAGCTCGTCGATGAAAATGATCGCCGGAGACCGCTCCCGGGCCATGCGGAACAGCTGCGACACGAGCTTCTCCGACTCTGCGAGGACGCACCACCGTGGCGGGCGACGTGAGGGCGGCCGCACCGAACGCCAACTCGCACCCAACAAACAAACCAACTCGCACCCAACAAACAAACCAACAACACGCGCTGTCGACGCGGCGCGGTGCCGCGGCGCGCGGGGCGGTGGTGCGCGAGGGACTGGCACGCGCGAGGCGAGTGAGTGTCGTCGCGGGCGCGGGGGACGAGGACGAGGGGGGCGTTGATTCGCACCCCCCATCCACTTGGAGACGAGGTCGCTCGACGAGACGCAGAAGAACGTGCTGTCGGCCTCCGTGGCGACGGCCTTGGCCAGGTAGCTCTTGCCGGTCCCCGGCGGGCCGTACAGCAGGATGCCGGACCACGGCTTGCGCTTGCCCGTGAAGAACTGCGGGAACTTGACCGGCAGCACAACCGCCTCCTTGAGCGCGTCCTTCGCGGCCTCGAGCCCCGCGACGTCCGCCCAGCGCACGTTGGGCTTCTCCGTGAGCACCGCGCCGCCGAGCGTGCCGCGCAGCCGCGCCAGGTCGGCGTCCTCGCCCTCCCCGTTGTCGCCCGCGCCGCGCGGCTTCTGGCCCGCGCCGTCGCCGCCCGTGCCCGTCGGGGTGTTGCGCGCGTTGCGCTGCTGCGCCTCGACCACCTGCGCGATCTGCTCCACGCGCTCGGCGTACGACGGGCGCTTGGCTTTCAGCTTTTCTACCGACTTGGGGTTCTTGTCATACTTGATGGCCGCGTCGAGGAAGTCCAGCGCCTTGCGGTACAACGTCAGGGCCATCTCGAGCTCCCCGGCGGCGTCGGACTCCGTCGCCTGCTGCAGGAGCTCTGCGGCAGAGAGGAACAACCGAGCAAGGCAGCGTGGGGCGTCGAGGGGCCGTTGGCGGCGGGACACCGCGCGCGCATGGACGCTGGCGGGAGTGTGAAGGCTGTCGCCCCGCGAGACAGGTTCCTTCTACGCGGATTCGGGGCGGCGTGGCCATGTGCTGTGGGCTTTGCGCAAGACCGGGGCGGGAACGGGCAGCACGGCGCGCGAAGCGCACGGATGAATGCCCGTCAAGGAACCTCAGATATCGGAGCCCCGTGTTCGATGCTTCAGGTACGCGAATCCGCGCGGACTGCCGTGGGCGCGCCCCACACTCTGGCGCTCCGGGGGACGCGGGACCGCGGGCTCTGCTGCGACGCGGCCTCCGCGTGAGGCCATCGCTACGCTGCTGGAAGGATGGAGTGCGAGATCGCGTTCCAGCGGGCCGGTTACGAGGCGTACTGGGGCCGAGAGGGACGTCGCGCGGCCAGTCAAGCAGAGAGGGCGAAGTGGCGCGTCCTGCCTCTGTTCCCGCGCGGAGCGGCAGCGAAGACGCGGGCGCTCGGGGGGCGCACCGATGGCCTTGGCGGTGAAGTCGGCGACGCCTGCCATCGCGTCACCTCGCCCCGCGCGTTGGAAGAACCCTGTGAGGGTCGGTCCTCCGCCTCTTGCGTCGACGGAGACGCGGAACGATCTAGATGACACTACGCCGCGGAGCCTCCAGTCCCTGGGGGAAGCAGTGGTGCCGCCAGCGCCCTCGAACGGATCGCTGGCTCGCCGCGCTGGCACTGCCTTCCCTCAGTAACTGCACCCCGGTCGCTGGCAGCGCCACGCACCGTGACGGCAATGATTGGGCGCTGAAAGAAGAGACGATCCTTCCCACTTTCGGTCACCCGAGCGCGGGAGCCCCCTAGAAATCCGCACAGCCGACGGTGGCCGCCTGAGGCGGCCTCAGGCACTGCCTGGGCAACCTGACGTGGAGCAGTGGACCGACCTCACAGGCGAACATCGCAGCACGCCGCGGCCGTACCGCACTGGCCTCAGGCTCTCGCCACCGCAACTCCGAGGCCTGCCTCGGAGTCGACGACGCGGCTGCCGAACACAGAAGACACCAACGCTCCAGAAACGATCAATCGATGAATCAATCACGGAAGCGATCGTCGCCATCGGCCGCGCCAAGCCAAGACATGCGCGCTAGCGTCCTCGTCGGTGCGCCAGCGTCCACATCACTTCCGAGCGAATCGAACCACGACATGTTCGGCTCACATCCTCTCCCGACCCTCTCACGCAAGGCAGCGTCTGCCTAGTCCAGTCTGAGCGCCCCGCCGTGCTCGTCCTCGTGGTCCTGACCCACCCCGCCGGGCAGACCTCCGCCTTCGTCCTCCCACAGCCCCGAAAGACCCCCCCCCCCTTCATCGTCCTGGATGTGCAGCTCCCTGTCGCGGGAGTGCAGCCCGCCGCCCCCGAACAGCGCCCGCAGCTTGTGGTTCTCCGCGTCCACGTGCTCCCGGAACGTGTGCCCCGGCCCGATGAGGTCCGTCTCGCCCACGCACGGCTCCGCAGCGCCCGCGTCGTCGCCGCCGCCGTCGGCGTCCTCTCCGATCGTCTCCCACGACAACGCCGCGACGTGCGCGGCGCCGAAGCCCGCAACGGCGATGTGCGGCGCGGGCGGGGACAGCGGGCTCGGGGTCGGGCTGCCAATCGGCGACAGACTGGCGGGGGGGGGTCCGAACCGGTCGCGAGCTGCAACGACCGCGAGGGCGGCGCCGGAGCTGTCCGCCCACTTCACGCGCCGCGTGGCGCTCTTCGCCTTGCGGCCGCTCGACAGGATGCCCTTGACGCTCGCGGTGGGCGCGGCGGCGTGGCCCGGGTGGCGGCGCCCATCCTGCGCCGGCGCCGGCTGGTCCCACCGCGTCCGGAGCAGCTTGCGCGCGGGCTGTGCGCCGGCGAGCAGCTCGTCGGCCGCGTCCTCGCCGGCCGAGGCTGGTCGTTTCCGCGCGCTCCCGTGCAGCAGCTCGCCACCTACGTCTGCGCCGTCGGCCCCCCCGGCGCCCACGTGGCTGGCGCGGAACTCCCGCGCCTCCGCCGCAAGGCGCTCCGAAAGTGCGCCGTTGCTATGACCTGTTGTTGGTTCGAGCGCGATCTTCGGCGGTTCCCTGCTCCCCGTGCCACGTCGTCGCGCGTTCGTTGCGTCGTCGCTGGCGCCGTCCTCGTCCTCGTCGTTGTCCCACAGCCCGCCGGTGGGCGGCGCAGGCGGCGCCTCGTCCTCCATCTCCACTTCCACGGCGTCCTCGTCCGGCGCGCCGCCCCCACCCGCCCCGCCCGAACCGTCCACTGCCGTCGCAACGCGGCCCTTGTTTCCCAGCCCCGGGATCGAGAACGGGTCGATCTGCAGCACGGGGACGGCGAACAACAACACCACTCAGCTGGGGAACGAGCCGTACGTGACAAAGACGGTTGCGGCGCCTTCCAGCACCACGTGTGGTTGTCAGCCGGGGGTCGCGCCTGTTGTATGTACGACGGGCACGGTTCGAGCCGCGCGCACGCTTCCTCTACCTCGCGCTGGGACCGGCCGTGCACGCCCTGCGCTGCCGCCTCCGCGGGGTCCCTGACAGGTGCCTCGAGGACCAGCCCCTCGTACCGTTGACTCGAGCACGCCGTCAGACACCCCTGGAGCTCCGCGACGGTCAGGTTCGGCGCGTCGAGGACCACGAGGGAGTGGTGCCTGTTCTGTAGCGTCCGCGCGAAGCTCTTCATCAGCAGCGCGCGGTACTGGGGCTCCATGGCGGCGTCGTAGTTGTACCGCGGGGCTCTGCTGACGTCAGGCCGAGCTGCGGCGTCCCCGGCTGGCCGCGCACGCGAGCCGCGCTTGTCGTCGCCGTCGTCGTCGGAGTCCGAGTCGACCGTGAAGTAATCGTCGAGGGAATGAATCCTGCGAACACAACGTTGCAGATACGTTTAGTTGACGATGGTTCTTCGAGTTCTTCGGGCGGAGGACCGTTCCTCGCACGGGCAGCCGTGCGACGTGCGTTGCAAAAGCTTGCGTCGCACAGGCGGCTGTTTGCGCTCAGCGCGACGACGTCGTGGGCTTGCCTGGGCGGTTCCGCGCCGGCGCCGACTTCAAGGTCGCGGATCGCTCGCGCAACGTGGCTCTTGCCGGACCCGGGGATGCCCCGCAGGACCACCACCAGGCGCTCAGGCCTCGCGAGCCGTCCTGGCATACAAAACAGCGTCCGCGCGTCCACGAGCACGGCCGGGGGCATCGGCGGAGGGCGCTCGCCGGGCCCCCCTGGGGGCGCTGGCGGCGCCGACCCCCCTGGCGGCGGCGGCGGGCGCCCCCAGCCCGCCGGATGCCCCGCGTGTGCAGGGACCTGGCTCGGAGCGTGCGGGTGCGGCGGCCCAGGGGCCGCCGGGTGCGGCGGAGGGCGCGGCGGGTGCATGTGCTGGGCGCCCGGTCCGGCTGCGCCGAGCGTTGCGCCCGCTGCACCCCTTGGCGCAGGCGGGAGTTGCGTCGCCACAAGTCCCGTCGGCGGCGGGACCGGGCCCGCGCCCACCGGGCGCCCCTGCGAGAAGCAGGGCGGGACGGGGTGCGACGGTCCGAGCGGGGCGTGCCGGAATGCGACGCGCACGTGCAGGGTCCTGCTGGCGCGGGAGCCACCGCGTGCCGGGCTGTGGCCGATGTGGGGCCGTGGCGTGTGGATTGCGGGTGCGTCGTGGTTGGTTACGGTTCAACGGAGGGGCGAGGCCAGGCTGGCGCGCCCGCAGGTCGCGTTGCGCCCGCGGTGGCGCGGTGTCGTGCGGTGCTGCCCACCTGCGCGTGTCGCGCCGCGTGCGGGGCGGGCCACGGTATGAATGCTCGAGGCGGACCGGTCTGGTTGGGTGCGCCATGTGGCATCCAGTTCCAGGGCCCCGACCCGCCCGGCGGCTGCATGGCCGCGCGAGGTGAGAGCGCTGGCGGGGGAAGCGTGCGGTTGCGGGCGGCCGACGCCTGGCCGACGGCCGTGGGCGGCCGCGATCGGGCGCAGAGGGGCCGTTTGCGACGTCAGCGGTGTCGGGGGTCGCGTGGCATGGACGGGGGACGAAAAAACGGGCCAGAGGCAGGCTGGGCTCAAACGCGAGACATGCGTGTCACGATTTCCTATCTACTTTCTCACTCGCGGCACTCTAGTGTCCATACATGGGAACCGTGCGTCGTTCACCGCGATATCTGCGCGCACGCGCGCCCGTGGCCGCCCATGTCCCGCGCCCCACCGCTCCTCGCCGCGCGACGCGGCGTGCCTCCGGTGGTGCCACGGCAACCCACGTTGGGGGGGGGGTTCTTTCACGCGCAGGTCCAGGTCACACTCCAGGAGGCCTGACACGTCGACGTTGGTCCGAACGCGCACAAGTCTCGTTCGGGGAACGTGAACGACCTCGGCCGCGCCTGTGGATCGCGCGCGCGAAGCTGGCCCGGCGACATAACACCGCAGTCAGGGGGGGGGTTGGTTTTGTGCGTCTTGGTTGCACGTCGATGGGCCGGGACGGAGGCGGCCGCCGGCAGCGGCGGCTCGCAGACGTCGGGGGCAGTGGTGCGGCGCGCCGAGCGAGGCTCTGTCTGTCTGTCTGTCTGAGTGCGGTAACAAGTTGTGCTTGTGTCGCTGAAGCATATCTCTTTGCTGGGGGGGGCGCGAGGTCTGTGGCGGCGGTGGGGGATCATGGACTGATTTCGTGTGTTGGACGGAGGAGATCTGCTGCAGCGGAGGGGCGGCACAGGCCTGTGTGCGTTCCTCGCCTGGGAGGAACTTCGCACGAGCGCCGCAGGCTGAGGCGGGATGCGACGGCTGCGGTACTGTCTCAGCGTTGGACACAGAGCACGCTCAGCGTGCTGCGGTGCCCTGCGGTGCGCGTCGAGCGTGACGACGCGAGCGGAAGGGGCGGAGAGCGCGGGGCCCGGCAACGAGCGCGGCGCAGCGAGCGCGCCAGGCACGCTCTCTTTCGAGCAGGCGGTCAAGCTATCCATCGGCGGTCTCGGACAGATCGCGATACCGGACGCGCTCGAACGAGGCCTGTCGAAGGCGCTGAAGGGTCAAGGGTGCGCACTCAGGAGCCCCGCCGTGCTACGTCGCGACTGCCTCATGGCCGCCGAGTCGCCTCTCGCCTCGCAGCGACTGTGAGTGCCTGTGCGGTGGATCGCTCGTGCAGGAAGACCTCGCTGCAGGGCGCCGCGAGAGCGCTCCAGAAGCAGCTGCGGGCGCGCGCGGCCACGAGGCAGCGCGGCGGCACGGTCGACATCGCGGACGTGGGCATGTGGCGCTCCCCCGTACCGCGGCGGCGCGACGTCGACGACGACGACATCGCGGAGGTCGAGGAGGACGTTCGCGAGAGGTGCCAGCAGTGTCCTTGCAACATCTCTGTCTGTCTGCCTTTCCAGCGTCGTGGCTGCCTCACGAACGCCCGCACGGCGGCTTGGTTCGCCTCTCACGCACGTCGCCGCGTCGCGCGCGTCGCCGCAGGCTGGCCCTGGAGGGAGTCAGCATGCTGGATGACAGACTGGGCGTCGTGGACGTGCGCCAGCAGCGCCGGGTGCTGCGGGAGGAGCGCAAGGAGAAGCTGCTCGAGTACCGACGCGTCGCCGCGCGCCCGGGCCGCGACACGCCGTACGAAAGCACAGGTACGATTCGTACCCGAGGTCAGACCTCGACGTGCAGTCCCTCTCTGTTGTCACTCGTGCAGCGCGCAGACGTACCCGATGCATCGTGCCGCCGCCGCGTGTGGCCGCAGAAACCAAGGCGTATGCCGCACAGCGGCTGCCGGCGACGTACGCGGCGTGCTGCAGAGTGCTGTCCGAGATCCGCACTCGGGCGCCGAAGTTCCGCCCGTCGAGGGTCCTCGACTTCGGCGCTGGGCCCGGCGCGGCGACGTGGGCCGTGCAGGACACGTGGGGCGCCGCCGCGGTCGAGGACGCCCTGCTGGTGGAGCCTGCGCTCGCCATGATGCAGCTAGGGCGGATGATCGAGGGGGAGCGCGCCGCGGACGTGGAGGCGGCCGGCGTCATGCCAGCGCCGTCGAAGCAGGCGCTCGAGCAACGTCCCTGCGCGCCGCGGACGACCCTGAGGTGGCTGGCGGCGCTGCCGAAGATGCGCGACCACAAGACGGGCCGCTCGAACAAGCGCAAGCACGACCTCGTCATCGCCAGCTACGTCCTCGCCGAGGTCCGCACGGCTCCACGGCCGCGCAGCGCACACGCGACCATCCCTTGCGCCGTCGGTTCCGCCACACCCGCCGTCGCTCCCGCGCACCTCACCGGCCGCAGATCGACGACCCGCGCGAGCGGCAGCGCATCGTGCGCGATCTCTGGGCCCGCACGAAGGACGTGCTCGTCATCGTAGAGCCAGGGACGCCGATCGGCTTCATCCACGTGAAGGAGGCGCGGCACCAAGTCCTGGCGGAAGAGAACTTCGGCGCGACGTGGGACGTCGTCGACGCGGCGACGGGCGACGTCGTGTACTGGGCTGCGTCCGCGGGGCCGGCGGCGGGCCCGACCGGACGCGAACCGTCCTCCGCGGTCGTGCCCGACCAGTACGTCGCCGGCCTCGAGTCAGGAGCGCTCGAACTGCGGCCGCGCGCACCCGTCCTCGGCGCGCACGTGCTCGCTCCGTGTCCGGGCGACGGGGCGTGTCCGATGGACGGCCGGTCGCGCTTCTGTCACTTCTCGCAGAAGTTCGAGCGCACGGCGGCGCTGCGGGCCGTGAAGCGGCGGGCGGGGCGGCGCGGGGAGGCGGCGCGGCCGCACCAGGACGAGCGCTTCTCGTTCGTCGTCCTGCGCCGGGGCCCTCGCCCGGGCGTCCGCGGCGGCGCCACCGCGCACGTCGAACCCCCCCCCGCGGCGGTCCTCGCCAGCGACGACGAGGACGACGAGGACGACGAGGCCGCGGCGTACGACAGCGATGGCGGCAGCGACCCCGAGGACGCCTGCGCGGACGGCGACGGTGCGCCCGAGGGGGGGGGCGTGACGGTGCTGTCTGCGAGCGGCCAGGACGTGACGGACCTTTTCGTGGAGGCTGTGCGGGACGCGGAGGACGCGGAGGCCGCGGCGGCTGCGTCGGCGTGGCGCGGCCCGGTGCCCGGGGTCCACGAGGGGGTCCACGAGGCGCATTACTCCTCCCTGGACGTGGCCGACGACGCCGGGCTGGCGGCGGCGCTGCGGTGGCCCGTGGCGGTCCGCCCGCCGAGGCTCAGCCGCGGGCGCGTCACGACGACGATGTGCGCGCTGCCCTCGCTGCATCCGCGGGCCGGCGGGGCGGAGGAGGCCGGCGTCGCGGACGCGGACGCGGACGCGGACGCGTGGCGCGCGCACGAGGCCGCCACGGAGCCTCTGGAAATCCGATCGTTCGTGCTCCCGCGATCGAAGATGGCGTCCCACAGCAGGGCGGCGTACAGGATGGCACGGAGGCTGCGGTGGGGCGACCGGTACCCCGCGGAGATCATGAGGCAGTCGCGGATCGGCGCGGGACAGGTGCTGGACGCTGCGTTTCCGCGGGACGGCGGCCGTGAGGGCCAGGAGGAGTAGGAGTAGGGGGTTTTGTGTTGTTGTTGTGGACCCGCACGGGGGGGGCCACAGGGGCGCGCGGCGTCGAGATCGGTGGCCGCGGGCCGGGCGTGCCTCGGGAGTGTGAGCGCGTCGTCGGAGCTGGCGCTGCGCGTCGCGGGCGGCATCGCGTCCACGTGACCGCCGCGCGGCAGTTGAGGTTCACGGCCGCTGCGCCCTGCGCCGAGCGATTTCGATGGTGACTGCGGGTACAGATGGATGTTCGCGGGCATGTCTCCCTCTCAGGGAAGCGTACGTGGCGCCAGTTTGCGGCCTGTGGGGACCAGCAGGCGCCGAGCCCGCATGCTGTCAGACGGCGGGCGGGGGGCCGGCCCCGGCCCCTCCGAGGCATTGCCGGGGTCGTCGGCGCGTCACGGCAATACGTGCTGCCGCGAGCTCGTGCCGGTCCGTGCGCTAGGGGTCGGGAACGCTCCGGCCGGATTCCTCTCCGAGACGAGCTGCTTCGTGGGCTGCAGCGCCGCGTCGTGCATAGGAACTGGCGCGGCCGGTTCGCGCCATCATGCATTCTCGATAGGCTCCCCATCGTAACGGCGAGCCGGCGACCCTGAGCTGCGTGCTTCGCCCTGCAAGGGGTGAGTGCCACCGCGCGCCCCTCGCCTTGCCGGCAAACGTCGCTGGTTGTCGGCCGCACAGCATACTCGCACCCCTCTCCATCTCGTGGTCCAGTTTCAGCCCGGCTCGGGACGCGCTGGCCCGGAGGCGCCTGCATGTTGTCTCCCCACCAGCCCCTTCCTCCCGCCAGCGCAACGCCGCGTGGAAATCCCGCCCCCTGCGTCGCCCGAACGACGCACCAGGGCGTCCATTGCCCCGACCTGGCTCCCCGGTCGCCCGACGCGTCCGTGCAGGTCGGTTGTGCTCCGTCTGAAAGATTCAAGCCGTCACGGGCCTCATCAGCAGCCTTGCGGGGGCCGCATCGCGCCTCTCCTCACTGGCCTCCCCCGCAGCGGCCGGCGACGGCGGCGGCGACGGCGACGCGATGGCGGCGACCGGGGAGGGAACGCCTGCGCACTTTGTCAAGGTCGAGGAGGACAAGTCGCAGCGCAAGGGGCGCTCGCGGCTGATCCGGTACTTCCTCGTGGACTCGGAGGGCAACCGGACGCTCGCGGCCGTCGGCGAGGAGGCGGCGCAGGGCGACGCGCACTACAAGTACTACAACCACCCCTCGTTCGACGCGCACGGCGAGCTGACGTGCCACAACCGGAAGGACCTCAACGCCTGGCTCGACCGGGTCATCGCGGACTCGCGCGTCGCCGCCGGCCTGCCGCCCACGTGCGCCGCCCGCGCCTCCCCGCGCGCATGCTGGCGTCGTCGTCGCTGCGCGCTCGCGGTCGCCGAGCGCGCGCGCTCCGCGTCCGCTCCGTGCAGGGACGGCTCGGAGGCGGTGAACGTGAATCTGCCGGCGGACGCGCCGCCGTGGGTGGACTCGCGGCAGGAGCGCTTCACGCAGGAGGGCAAGCGCGGCGCCCGGTACTACCTCATCGACGCGAGCGGGAGGGAGACGCTGGCGGCGAGCGGCACGGAGCGCGGGAGCGGCCAGTACGCCTTCAACAGCACCCCCTACTTTGACGCGTTCTACCCGCTCAAGGCCGGCAACATGTCGACGACGCAGCGCTGGCTCGGCGACGTCGTCGCGGCCTCGATGGCCGTGCACGGCCGCGCGGACGGCGTCGGCGCCGGCGCGCACCGGAAGGCGCAGCCCGGCGCCAAGCGCGGCAGCGAGCCCCGGCTGGGCGGGGCCGCGGAGGCGAGCCACCTGAAGCGGCTGCGCATGATGCAGATGGAGCAGGACAGCAAGGCGCGCTCGGGGCAGAACCTCGCGCTCGAGGTCCTCCGCGAGGAGTGCGGCCGGGAGCGGCTGCGGCGCATGCTGCTGCGGCACACCGCGGCGGTGATGCTGCAGGACGAGGACGCGGCGACGCCGGCGGTGACGAACGAGGCGCTCGCGGGCCACGTGGAGGTCCTCGACCGGTACGCGGACCAGCTCGAGGGCGGCGGCGGCGGGCGGGGCGGCGCGGCGGTGGACGAGCGCGCGGCCGCCGTCGCGCTGCACGCCGTGGCGTCGCGGCAGCTCACGTTCCGGACGGTGTCGCAGTTCGACCTCGTCCCGCTGCTCCGCCGCCTCGCGCGCGCGTGGGCGCCGCCGCACGAGGCCTGCACGGCCGCGCCGGCCGTGCTCTTCCCCGGTGCGGGAACGCCGCGGACGACGGGCCGCCGGCGACGCGCGGCCGCGCCGGAGCCCCGCGCGCCGCCGACGGGACCGCGGGCGGGACCGCAGCAGCAGCCGGACGGCGCGCGGCGTGGCCCGACGCCGAGGCGGTCCCGGCGCTCGCCGCCGCCCTCCTCGACCGCATCCGCGGCGCGTGCGCCCAGACGGGCCTCGTCCTCGCGGACCCGCGCCTCATCGAGGACCCCGTCCAGCTCCTCGACGCGGCCCTCGCGCAGCGGCCAGACCTGCTGCACCTGCAGCTGCACCGGTCCGACCCGACGCGGGCCGTGCGCGACGCGTTCCCGCACGGGTACCGCCCGCTGAGCGCCGCGCCGCCGCGGGACGGCGTCCTGCCGAGCCTGCGCGCGGCCGCGCAGGAGGGGGGCGGCGGAGTTCACACAGCAGCCGCGGCCGCCCCGGCGCCGCACCTGGAGGACGCCGGCGCCGTGTACGAGATGCTGCGGGACGCGCGGGACCGGCTGAAGGTGCAGTCGGCGCGCGGGGAGGTCGGGGAGCTGGCGCGCGACACCATGTCGCGCGCCGAGGCCGCGCTGCAGCGCTCGGGCACGATCGCGGGGCTGTCGGCGACGCGGCGGAAGCAGACGCTCAACAGGTGCAAGGAGCTGGTGCGGGAGTGCGACGCGTTCTGCGCGTCGGGCGCGCACATCAGCAGCGAGAACCGCATGATGAAGCAGCGCGCGATGGAGGCCGTGGAGGAGATGATGAACGTCGTGCAGCCGCCCGGGTAGGCGGGCGAGTTGTGCGGGGGGCTGTGGGTGGCTGTGCTGCGGGTCGTTGTGCTGCGCGTGTGAGGGCGCGGTCGCAGCGTCAGCGGTGTCATCCATCCAGCAGCCTGCCGACACACCCTCTGTCGCGAACGTGCCACTCGCACCGCAAAGTGCGGCAGTCGAGACACACTTGCCCGCACGGGGTGCATCGAGGTGTCGCGCGAATGTCTGAGAGCTTGTCTGGATGCGGGGTACTCCCTGCAGAGTGTGACGGAATGTTTGAAGGGCACTCAGAGCTGCTCAGAAATGGCGTGTCGACCAAATTCGGCTCAGTGGTCTAGTGGTATGATTCTCGCTTCGGGTGCGAGAGGTCCGGGATTCGATTTCCCGCTGAGCCCTGCGTACTTTTATGCACCCACACGACGTCTGGGTGCCCCCTTCTGAAGCGATGACACGCCACCGCGACACCCAGCACCCCCACGGCGGCCGTGGCCGCCCACGCGCTTCTGCTCCCGCGTCCTGCGCGTCCCGGGGCGGCTGGCGCGCGGCGCGACGCGGGACGGCGTTCCCGCGCCCTTGGCCGGCGTCGCCACGAACGCGCACGAGCGACACAGACAGCCCGCACCGACTGTGCGCAGAGGGCGACCCTGCCGGCCGGCCCGGCGGACCTGGAGCGCACGCAGCAGATCACACGGCTCCTTGCCCCGCGGCCAGGCACCGGGCGCGCCACAAGATCGTCCAAGAGCAGCAGTGCCCGGCAGCGCGGCAGGCTCGGCTCACGCGCCAGTGGCCCGAGCGCCGCCGGAGCCACCCGGGGGTCGCCCGAGCCTCTCCTCTCCTGCACACCCCCGCGCCGCCTCTTCGCCGCGCGCCCCGATTCCGGGCTCCAGGCAACCCCACCAGGGCCCCCCGGCGACGCCGGGATGCCGGCCCAGCGCCGGACAGATCGGTGGTTGCGGTCCGAGTCCAGGCAGTGCTGTGCAGGGAGTCGCGGGGCGTGGCCAGCGCGCACCTGCCTCCGGGCGAGGCTGGCAGGGTGTGCAAACGGTCGGTCGGCGGGCCCGTGGTCGCCTCGCGCGCGGCGGGCCGACCTGGAAATCAGCGCGGCGGACGACACGCGTCCAGATCAGGCGGTTCACGCGCGCAACGCTCTATTCAGTGCCCGTGCGTTCCCGTGCGCGGCTTGCCCACCACTGGGGCAGCAACGCAGCAGCCGTAGCGCTGTGGACTGCGGCTGGCCAGCATCGCACGCATCCAGTCGTCCTGGTCGTCAGCTGGACCCAACTAGTTCGCACGCACAGCCACGGGCGGCGCGGCACGTCCCACGGGAGGGGAAATTCCCCCCGACAGACTCGTGGCAGTGCCATGCGCGTCGACGCCCCCCGCGTCCCATTGCCGCCCCTCGCCGCCGCCTGCGCATCAGAACAGCGCATGCCGCACCTCCACACGTAGCGACCCGGGCCGAAACGGGATGCTCGTGCGCACCATGTCTAGTGGCTGCAGCACGAACGCACTGTCGCTCGTCCGAGGCCTCGAGCGATCTCCTGCGATGCATCGGCGTCCTCACGCTGTCCTGCGAAGACCGGGTCCCCGCGGCCTTCATGCCGGGACGCCAGCTCACGGCGACGCCACCCCACCCAGCGGGCACACAGCCAGCCCGCCGCGGCTCGCCCGCCGATGATCGGGTCCGCAGGTGACGCCCCGTGACGCCTCCTGAAGGCATCTGCCTCGCAGCGGTCGCGAATGCGGCGCCCGGCGCGCGCTGCGGCCGTCGGCGCTGCCCCGTTGCAGCAGACGGCGCTGCAGGCCGTCCGCTCCTCCCTGGGAGGCCTCTCCGAGCCAGCGACCCCTGTCCTACCCGCCTGCTGCCTTTCTCCTCGTGGCCGTCGAGTGGATGGCCGCGAGGTGGGTCGCGCGGCGCCGGGCCCGCGCGCTGCGCACCCGCCGTGCCTCCCGGTGCGGCACCGCGCCCGGCGCCCCTGGCGGGCGTGCCTCGGCCTCGGCCTCGGCCTTGATTGGCTCCGCTGTGGGACGCCGGCGCGTAACCGCCGCCTGAGCGTGTGCCGACCATCTGCGTGTAGTTGAGTTCAGCGGCGCATGGTTGCGAGCCGAGGCTGACTGTCGGCCTGGCGTCGCGTGGTCTCGCGCGTGCGCACCCGCGGTCCCTCTGCCGTGCACGAGACAGCGGCGCCCACCCCGCGCCGTGCCCTCGCTTTTTGGCACTTGCAGGTGGTGTCGCAGCTTCGGCGGCGGCCGTCTTCCGCTGAGGCCGCGGGCCGCGAGCCACGGGATGGCGGCAGGCACGCCGATGCCGTCTCAAGCCGTACCGCCCCCTCGGTGACCGAGTCGAGTGCAGGCAAGCCTTGCCCCCAGCCCACTGTACCCACACACTCGCGTGCGCGTCGTGCTGGCCGCACGCTGCCCGTGACAACGGCGCTGCCGACCGCGCAACGGCACGAGCCCCGAGGCCCACACCGCACGAGCGCGCGCGAACCACCCCTGCAAGCATTCCCCCCAGCCCACACACTCACGTCACACGTCGTCGTCGTCGCTCTCCGCGTGCTCCTCCCTATTCCTCGGCCCTGCCGTGGCCGCCTCCTGCTGAGCTCGCTCGCGTACTGCTGCTGCGCGCTGCACGCGCGCTGCGCGGCCGTCATGTGGTGCAGGAAGCAACGTCGCGCCGATTGTTCTCCCGCAGGACTGCTGTCGGCCAACGCCTGCGCGAGCCACGTCAACGCGGACCTCGCACGGCCTCCGGGGACGATCGACGCGCGCACGCGTCAACGTGCCGGTCGGCGACGTCGGCGGCGTCCCCGTCGGTGTGCGGAGGCGATCGAGGCGTGCAGCGCCGCGGCGGACGCCCAGCGCGAGCTGGTCGCTGGACACGCACGTGGTGGGCAGCTACTTCGTTCGCACACCCTCTAGCGCGACCTCGGCTCCGTCCTGGGCGACCAGGGCGCTGCGCGGAGAGCCAGGTGGATGTCGGGGGGGAACTGTGCGCCTGCAGCGCCGGACGGGACGCGGAGGCGGCTCGGCAGATGCCTCCGCGTCCCGCGGTGCGGAGCGGCGCGCGCGTCCTGCGGGCGGCGGTTCAGCTCCTCCCCGCGGGGATCTGCAGGCGGCGAGCGCAATGGAGGTGATGGGGGAGTCGGCGGTGCGCGACGACGCTGGGCGAGCAGTGCGTGGGCGCGGACGTCGGGCGCGACGAGCACGTGACGCGGGGGCGACGCAGAGCCGCCGCTTGCACGTCGAGCGCGGCCACACGCCTTTTGAGCCCTTGCACCTGACGTGATGCACGTGGGGCGAGCTGCTGCGGTGCACGTCGGCTGCACGTCCGCGTCCGCCGCCGTCGCGCCTGTGCGGCGTTGACGCTGTCGGGGTGCTGGTCGCTCTGCTCATGAGCGGCATTGATTAATGCCGACAACGCGCCAGCGTCAGCGCCGGCGACACGGAGCGCGCGGACCTGGTGCCGCCGCGCCCTTGCCGCGCCCTTGCCGCGCCCTTGCCGCGCCCTTGCCGCGCCCTTGCCGCGCCCTTGCCGCGCCCTTGCCGCGCCCCCCGCCGCGCCCCCGCCGCGCCGCGCCCGCCGCGCAGAACACACCCCCCTTTGTTTTACCAACCCCCTCCCCACGGCCGCCGCGCCTGGCTGCAGGGGGCGACGAGCGCGGAGAGCGACGAGCGGGGAGCAGCGGCAGCGCCGGCGCGCGCGAGCGCTCCCGCCGGCGAGGTCGAACGGGCGCGGTCGGCTGGACGGCGGCGGCGCTGGACGGTCGTTGTCGGTGCGCCCGCGCAATGCGTTCCGCGGGGCGCGGGCAGTCTGGTCCACGAGCACTTCCGCGCGGTTCTCCTGCTCGCAGCTTGCGGCGGCAGGATGCGGCGGAGCACATGTGCAACTGCAGTGTGCTATCCTTGCGCGAAAGTCCAGGCACGCGGCCCCGGCCCCGCCGCAGTGTGAGTCTACGACATGTGCGGGGGTCCCTGTCTCACATATCTGGCCGCTCATCGCCCTCGGCGCGTATACGTATCCACACATCTCCATGCGCTGTGCGCTCTCCCGGGTCGCTGGCTTGCCCGTCCTCTCCCATCCCCCTTCCATCGTCCCCCACGCGCACGATCCCGTGCTGGAGAGCTCACTGACAGCTGTCAGTGGCCTTGGCCCGCTTGGCCTGCTCAAGCCGCTCCAGGTCCGCCTTGCGCTTCACGGCCGCCGCCTTGCGCTCCAGGATTGCCTTGAAGTGGCTGCGCGCCGGCGCCGCGACGGTCTCGTCGTCCGCGCCGCGCTCCTTCGTGCGCGGCTCGCGCTTGTGCTTCCCCTTGAGGATGCGCTTCAGCCAGTAACGGTGACAAGGCTTGCACCGTCGCTGGCCGTCGGGAGTTCGATTCACCCTGCACCCCTGCCTTCCTTATGCCCGTACCGGCCTTCTGCGCGACGCGCGACGTCCAGGGAGCTCGCCAGGTCCAGGAACTGCAATGCAGCGCCCCAGGCCCTTTTCGGCCCCGCGACGGCCGTTGCGCGCGCTCCTGGGCGCGACGTTCACGTCCGACGACGTCCGCGCACGTCTGCACGCGGCGCTGTGGCGGAGAAAGTGCGAAAGACGTGCGTGTAGCGGCGCCGAAAGACAGCGTGATGACGTCGGTGCTGCACCTCGCAATGCGCGTCTCCGAGCTCGCCGGCCGAGCACCCGCCTCTGCGCCGCCCCGCACCGCTGCGCCGCCCACCCGGGCTCACGGGCCCGCGAGGAACGAACATCGAGCGACGACCAGGAAACTGAGACTGAAGATGTCCGGGAAGCACACGTGCACATCCTCCCGCGCGCGTCGCGCTGCTCGCCAACGTCCTTGCGGCGAGGGCGCGTCGCCAGCCCGCGGCGCCGTGCACGAGACATCCTGTCCGTTGTGCCCGCACATGCAGCGTGCCAGGGGCAAACACAGCGAGCTGGACAGGGGCGTGTCGCCCTCCTTGCCAGCATGTCCGTTCTCACACGTCGTATGGGTTGGGCTGCGCCAGCGCGATCCCCATGGCGCGTTTGTGGATCTCTGCGGCGCACTCTGCTTGCGATGTCCTGCCATCGACCGACATCGGAAGCAGAGTGCGCCGCGGATATCCACAAACGCGCCATGGGGATCGCGCTGGCGCGGCCAAACCCCTACGACGTGTACGAGAACGCACGGGATGGCAAGGAGCGCGACGACGCCCCTGTCGCAGCTCCTTGTGTTTCCCCCTGGCACACTGCAGGTGCGGGCACAGCGACACCTGCATCCAGACGGACCCGTTTGAGGTCGAGGGGCTGAATGGCGAGCGGGTCATCGTGAAGCGTCACGACGCGAGCAAGTGCTTGGAGCTAGCTGTGCATCGTTGCGACACAGGGAGGGGACCTGCGCGAACCATCGACGGCAGCGGAGCCTCGGGTCCGCTGAGGCGTCGGCGGGCGCGGACCGAGCAGCCACGGGATCGCGAGGCGCCCCACGGCGCGCGGCGTGTGCCCGTCTCATGGCGCGCCGCCGGCACCTTGCGGGGGCGCGTGGCAGCCCGGTCGTCGAAGTTCTGCACCTGTGTCGTCACTCCGCGCCACCTAGGGCTGCTGCGCGGCTCCGGATATGACCGCCGCCCCCAAGGCGGTTGAGGCCGTGCAAGTCTCCCAGCTCGCCTGCTGCGCGCGCGCTCCGCGCGGAAGGACGACCCCGCGCGACGGCATCCACGCGATCGGAGCAACGCATGGTCAGCTCGCGGTGCCGCGGGCGACCGCTCAGGTGTCCGCAGCGCGCGTGCTGCCCGGCTGCGGCGCTCGAGGCGGGCCGCACGGCGCGTGGGAGCGCGGAGGGAGGGCGCGCTGGCCGCGGCCGGTCGATCTTGCCCTCGCGGTCCGGGCCGGCGGGGCCATGTCCGGTGGCGGGCGTGGAGTCCAACTCAGTCGGACCAGTGGTGGAGTCCGGCCCTTACGCGTCTGTCATGCGCGTCTCGGCGTATCGGCGACGTTTGCCCCCCCTCCCCCCTCTGGGCTTTTTTTGCGCGTCTCGGCGCATTGGCGACGCGTGGCCTCCCCCCGGCCTCGAACGGGAGGGATGCACATCGCGTTGGTCCACACAGTCAAGCTTCTGCCCCCGCCTGGGCCGCACGTGCGCTCCTGCGCGCGGCCGCAGCTCCTCACAGCGTCCGGCAGCGTCCGCTGCACGCGGTGCTGTCGCGACGGACCTGCCAGCTCGTGCCCGGACGACTCGGACGCGCAGGACATAGCGCCCAACGCCGCACCACGCGCTCCCGGGCCCGCCCCGTCGCGACTCGCGCGGCGCGCGCCCTGCACGCCGACTGCGTCGCCGGCGGCCTTGCGTCGTCGTGCGGGCGACGCGGGGGGAATTTCGCGCCGAGCGTACGCGATCGCGACAACGGCCGCCGCGCGCGGAATCGGCGCTGGCGGGGGCGGGGAGCTCGTCGCGGACGAGCACGGGCCGCGGGACGTGCGGGCGCACGCGTCGGCGGGCGGACGTCTGGCGTACCTGGCAACCAGGGCGCGGTCGTCGCGGGGGGCAACGCGCCTGTGCGCGGGACGACGTGGCAGCGTCTCCGCGCTGCGATCTTCGCGCGCTGCGATCTTCGCGCGCCGGGAATCTTCGCGCGCCGGGGATCTTCGCGCGCCGGGGATCTTCGCGCGCGTCAGCATCCAAAACATCCCCGGGGATCCATCGCCGCCGCGGGCGTCACTACGCGACGGTCGCGCGCGAGCTGCGCGCACAGGCGGCACTGGACATGCGCGGGGCGTGCGTGCCCGAGATTCGGCTCACAAGCCACTGTGGCATCGCCGCTCCCGGTGCCATGAATGAGCGAATGCGCGCGCATTGCATGCTTTGAATTTCTGTCGACGGCAACGCGCCGCGGATCCGATTCGACATTTGCTGTGGTTCGATTCGCGTCGGAACGCCGTCAGAAGCCCACGTCGCCCGGCAACGTGCGTCGCTCCGCGCAGGGGGTCTCGGGCCCCGCGAGCTGCGGCATCGTGCCGACCCGCCTCAGGCGCGACTCCTGGGTGCGCGACTTGCGCTGCCCGGACTCGCTCGCACTGCCGCCGGCCGACGTCCGCGCCAGCGCCAGGACCTTCGAGGGCGGGCGCCCCGCGACGGCGTCCACCGCGCGCGACGTCGGCGAGAGCGACGTCGGCGACCGGATCACGCCGTCCTCGCCGCCGGCGTCGCCGTCGCCCCCGTCCGTCACCCGCACGCGCAGGCCCTTGGGCGCTCGGCTCGGGACGTCGACGGGCAGCGACCGCTGCGTCTCCACCCGGCACCCGTCCCCCGCAGCGGCGCCGCGCTCGTCCTTGGACGCCGCGGCGCGCGCGGTGCGTCCCGTGGCGTCGTGCTCGGCCGCCATCGCGTGCGCGCTCACGAATTGTGCGGCGGGCCTGCAAACACGAGGGAGGTGCTGCTGCGGTGGCGGTGGTGCGCGTCGACAGAGCGCGATAGCGCCGCGGACCGCGGGCGCGCCGCGGCGCCACGGCGCGGTTCTGGCGAGAAGAGGCCCTTCCGGGCGCCGCGGGGCCGGACGTGCGGGCGCGCGCGGCACGCATCCCTTGCAGTGTGAGGTTTGTGAGGCATCGCCGCGACACACGGCGCGGGGAGGCACGAACGCGACGAAACATCGACGTGACGGAACGAACGCGGGATGGAGAACAAGCTGCGGCGCGCGGAGCCGGCGCTCTGTCCCGCGCGTGTCGCAATTCCCGCAGATGCGTCTGCGGGGCGAGGCACCCCCATGTGCCGCCAACGCTCGCACTCGGGTGGCTGGGGGCCGCGCGGGAGGCTTGCCGAAGTGGCTGCGAACTCCTGGCGCTTCTTCCGGGTGCCGGGACCGCGTCCGGGGCGCAGCGGTGAAGGGCCGGGGCTGGGTGCGGTCACAGGGTGCTGGGCGACGGGCCGCAGCGCTGCGCGCGCGGGAGGACGTGGCGCACGAGGCGCACGTTCGCAAGAAATTGAGGCTCGCGTTCTCACCTTCGGAGTGACAGCCCTGCCCCGGTGCAGGCCCCACACGACCGCTCTTTGCCTTGCGCTCCGGCCTCCGCTCCTTGAACGGTCCCGTGGCTGTCGCCACCGGACGAGGACCGCAACTGTATGAACGGGTGCTGCGCGGATCGGCCCTTTTGCCGGGCGGACGGAGCGGGGCGTGCGGTGCGCACGGGAGCCCTACGCGACACCGACAACTCCCCTGGGCGCACGCCTCATTGCGGCACGCGCGGACGTCCGCCGCGGATCGGCGGTGAGGAGAGTCTGAGCCATCTCGCGAGGCGAAGTTGGACCGCCGAGCTCAGGTGCGCGGGAGACGCGCCGGTAGCCGCATCTCGGAATGGCAACCGCACCTCGCCTCGTGTGACGCCAAGACGCGAAGATGGCCCCCGACTTCGTCGCAGATATATCGCCACGAGCCCAGGTGTGCGCTCGCGCGTGGCAGGAGGCGCCCCGACTCACCGACGACGACGCGGTGAAATCAGGCTCGGAGCATCCGTGCGTCGCCTTCTCGAACGAACGAGTCCTTGCCGCATTCCGACAATACGGCGACAAGACGCATCCACTGACGCAGAACGACCGTGCCACACGGAGCGACTTCTGTCGCCCACGTGACGCGCGGAGCCCGCGTCTCATGCCGCTATGCGCTTCCACCGCCGACCACCGCGCCATTCACGGCCTTGACGCCCCGAAACAACGCGCAATAGCCCCGATAGATGCGTAGCATGCGATGTCGCCTCCGTGCATACCTCCCGACCCGCGAGGATCGCCGTCGCGGGGATGAGACGCGAGTCGCCAGCAGACAGACGGCCCGCGAGAGTGCCCGCGGGCCCTCCAGACGGCGGGTGCCGCGGGGCCCGTGAAGCGGCGACGCCGGTGCCCGCGCCGCGCAACTCCAGGCGACGAGAAACCCTGTTCGAGCGCGCTACGAGGCCTCGAACCAGGAGCGCAACACCTGTGGCCTTCCACCGGCCCGTACAGCACCTGGACGGGCTCGACCGCGCGCGTCCGGCTCGCAAGCGCGCATCATCTTCCAGGTGAGGCGACGCGTCCCCCGTTGCACCCGGGCGGGCGCGCCGCACGCCCGCGACGCCGCGGCCCGCCCGCTGCGACGCTCGACCCGCCGTTCCCGCGCGTCAGCGCATGCCTCGCACGAAAACGCACACCAACGCACTAGAGACGCATGACAGCTTCCACGCGGCGCCGCGGCGACGAACCTCCGTCGGAGAATGCGTCGGAAACGACGCAGATGCTCCCACCAACAACAACCCGATGCGCCGGTCCCTGGCGCCGTCGCCCCGGCCTTTCCGGCCAAGTGGCGCGCCTTCCCGCCCGTGAACGTACCCGCACGAGCCGTTCCCGCCACTTGCGGGGATCCGGAGCCCCACGATTGACGTCGCCGCGCAGTGCCTCCCATCCTCGTGCAGGGCCTGTCGACCGCGCGTCCCGGCCCCTCCGCCGCGATGTCCGCCCACGGCGCGATCACCCGGGCCCTCGCGGGCCCCGACGCGGCGCCGCGCCGCGCAGTGCGCTCCGCGTCGCGCGCCAGGACCTCCACCGTGCCCAACGCAGCGTCCCGCGGGCGCGGAAACGGCGCCCGGCCGCGGTCCCGCAGCCCCGGCGTGGACCCCCGCGCGCATGACGCCGCGAACATCGCGGCCGCGCGCCAAACGAGCCCCCAGCGGCAGCGTTCGCGCATCCGGTCGAAGCTGCACGCCGTCTCCACGCGCGAGGCGAAGCGCGCGCAGGAAGCCGCCACCGAGGCGCCTCCGCAGCGCGCAGACGGACCCGACGGACCGCGCGCGGCGCAGCCGCGCACCGCGTCGCCCGAGGTGCGTCGCCGCCCAGCTGCGCGCCAGCAGACCCTGTTTCATTTCCTCCGTCCCACGCACACGACCCTCAACCCCTCCCGCCCCGCCCGCCGCCCCGCACCGCCCCGCCGGCCCCGCCCACGCCCCCACGACCCACCGCGCTGCTCGCAGGCACGCACCCTGGAGCGCATGTGGCGCCAGCCGGCCTCGGAGCCGACCGTCACACCCACCAGCGCCCCGCACCCGCGCGCGCCCTCCCGCATCCGCCCGCCGGCGCGCCGGCAGCGCGCCGAGGTCCTCGGCGTCTTCGTCTCGCCCCAGCGCGAGCGCCCGCCGGCCTCCGCGGCCCCGCAGCTGCCCCCGCGGCACACCGTCTGCATCCCAGCACCCAGCACGAAGACGCTGCACGCCGTCGCGCCTGCCCAGCCCAAGGCGCTCGCGCCGACGCAGCGCGTGCCGGCCCCCGGCGCGCTCACGCCGGCGCCGCGCGCGAGGCGCGCCGCGGCCGTGTGCAGCGTCGTCGCGCCGCAGCGACGCCGCACTGCCGCGTCGGACGTCGTGCTGACTCAGCCGCCGGTCCTGACGCCGCCGAAGGACGCGGTGGACCCCGTGGCGCTCGCGGCGATGCTCGCGGTCGGGTCCGCGGTGAGCAGGCTCCTCGAGGCGGCGCCGCTGCGCGCGCCGCGGGCGCGGGCGCCTGCGGTGGTGTGCGGGGTGTTCGGGTGGCAGCGCCGCGTCGAGGCGGCGGCGAAGAAGGTCGCCGTGTCGGCGAAGAAGGCGCAGCCGGCGGTGCGGATCCGGCCGCGCGCTACGACGTGCGGGGTGATGGCGGCGCGCGCGCAGGGCAAGAGGGAGGTGCGCGCGGCTGCCGTGGGCGCCGGCATCGACGACGAGCTGGCGGCGAAGCTGGTCGCGATGCTCGCGGGCGGCGCCGCGGAGGCGGTCGCCGCCGCGGGCAGCGAGGCGGCGCCTGCGGAGGCCGCGGTGGCGGCGGCGGAGGGCGCGGGCCCGGCGCGGCCGGAGCGCGCGGCGGCGCGGCGCGAGGCGACGGTCAACCGCGTGTTCGTGGCGCGGCGCTGAGGAAACGACGCAGGACAGGCCTCGAGGCGCTTGCAGCGCGCATGGATGTGACACAAGCATGATCTACGCGCGGGCGCAACCACGGCGTCGTCCGTGTGTCTCACGCGCGCCGAAGTCGCTCCTCACATGCCCCGAGGCGCCTGCGCCGGCGCGGCGGCGCGTCCGTGCGCCGGGCGTCACGCGTCGGCCGTCCGGACCTTGTGGCGCATCTTTTTGTTCCTGAGGAGCTTCTTGAGCGTCGCGGGGTTGGAAATCTCCTGCGTGACCTCGCTCGCCTTGCGGTTCGCCTCCTTGCGCTCCCGCACCTTGCGCCGCCGCTCCCGCTCCGCCTGCAGCAGCGCCCTGCGCCTCTCCACCACCTCGCGCCGCGCCGCCGCGGCCGCCTCGCGCGACTTGCGGTCCGCCTTGATCTCCTCCAGCGAGCGCTTCTTGCGCATGACCTCCGACATGGCGCGGAACGGCTGCGCCGCGGTCTTCCACCCGCGGCCAGACGCCTTGCCCACGCCCACCGTGTTGTGGTTCCGCTTGCTCGCCATCGCGTCCGTGTCGATCTGCGGGCCAAAAGAACACGCGCCGCTCGGTCTCCCGCTCTCCCTGCGCGCCGGAACGCGACCGCTGCCGCCCGGCGCACACGTGACCACGCGCCCGCCGCACCCGCTGACCCCCGCGCAGGCACCGCGCGGACGGAAACCGGCACGACGATGCGCGGAAGCGCAGCAGTCGTCCAGGGGGCTCGGCGGCCCGCCACGCACCTGCTGCCCCAGCCCGGCCTCGTCCTCCACCGTCACCACCACCTCGCACTTCTCCTGCCTCCTCTTCTCGCGCTCCAGCGTCACGCCCTTCGGCGCCATGCACGCCGCGCGGTTCTCCGTCGTCGTCGAGTCGTTCCGGAAGTCCACCGGCCGGTACGCCGAGTCAGGGAAGGCCTGCTTGGGCTTCCAGACCTTGCGGGCCGCAGGCGCCGCGTCCACCTCCATCGCGCCGCCCCGAGCGCGAACGCGCCCGCTGCCGAGCCAGAGGCCGCGTGAGCTACCGTGCCCGCGCGCGCGTGGGCTCGCTGGCCGTGGCGGAGCTGCGGGCCAGTGGAGCGGGCAGGGTGCCTCGCGGCGGCTGCAGGAATGTCCGCGGTGGCTGCACGGGGTGCGGGCGCGGAGCGATCTGGGCGAGGCTGCGGATTGGGGCCGCGACGCAGCGCCGGAAGGCCGTGTAGCGGGCGTCCCGGGCGACCGGCTGGCGGCGGACGGGGGCGTGTGGGGGCCGCGGGAGGTCGTACCGTTCCCCTGACGCGGTTGATGCGGCTGCCGCGGCTCAACGCCGGTCCTCGGCCGTGGCGGGGGTCCACTGGTGCGTTGTCTTGTCGGAGGGGTCGCCGAGCCGGCCGTTTCGGTGCAGCGTCCCCACGTTCGGGAGGCAAACGTCCGGCGCTACTGCTGCAAGGGCGTCTCTGTGGACTATGCGCCGCCACAGTCGCGAGTCCGTGCAGTTTCGAAGTGCCTGAAGGCTGAGGAAACCGTTCGAGCAGCGAGTGCGTTTCGGGAGGCCGTGAGAGGCCGCGCAGCACTCCTGGTGCAATTCCGCACTTCACGTCGCCCGTGTGCCGCGACCGAGGCTTTCTTCCACGTCTTTCAGGACCGGCGAGAGAGCTCGAACCATGATGCACTCCGAGGCTGCGGCCATGGGGGCCCAGGACGCCCGCGGGCACGTCCAGGCGGCCGCGAAGGGAGCGGCGACGGCCTCCAGCGCGCTGCCTTCGCGCGCCCCGCCAGCACCGCCCGGTGAGCGCCACACTCGCGCCCCCGCGTAGCACACATGCTCCTCGACGCCTCCGGGCGCTTCGGCCGCGCGACAGGGGGCAACACGCGCCCTCCACGCGCCCTGTTGCCACCACACGAAATGCCCCGCCGCGGCCCCGGGAGCCAGTATGACGCGCCTCAACTCACATCACCCGAACCACATCGAAGTTTCCTCACCTCGACTTCCGTTCTCTGCCTCTGAAGCCTCCCCGATCGCGTGATCTGTGCCTCCAACCACCAGGACCGCCGCTCGACGCATCGCAGGCGCGCGCCCGCCGTCGCACCCGGCGGGCGGATCCGCGCACGCCAGGTCCGAGTTCGTGTCGGACGCGCAGCTCGAGTCGGCCGTCACCCGCCTGGGCACCTCCTCCCGCCACTCCCAGCACTCGGGCGACAGCCGCGCGTCGTCCCTGCGCGGGCCGGGGGGCCTGCTCCCGCTCGTCAAGAGCTCCATCGACCAGCTCCTGCGCGGCGTGAAGGAGTTCAAGACGCTCGGGGGCCGCACGGACGCCCGCGCCAACCACCGCCGCGGCATGTTCGCCGCGCTCGTCCTGCTGACGGGCGAGGCCATCGCGGAGGCGGAGCGGGAGTTCGAGGCGCAGGGCGGCAAGACGATGGACGCGCGCGTCGGCGCGCAGGAGCTCTCGACGTTCCAAGTGAAGTACGTCGAGGTGGCGGGCATGTTCCGGGACTTCTGCGGCGGCGCGCTGCCCGTCGACGTCGTGGTGCGCCGCCCGCTGCACGCCGCGCGTGTAGCGACCCCGGCGCAGCGCGTTGCGGGCACGACGCGGAACACGACGTCGCGTTTGACTTGTGGAACAAATCGCTGCGTGCTCGCGACACGACGACTCGCTCCGGCTCCCCCGTGCGACGACGCGTTTCGTGCTTGTCCGCGCGCTTGCCGCCCACACCTCCCGCAGCGCTGCCCGCGCTGGTGCGCCGTACAGATGCACGTCTCTGAGGCAAACACGCCACGACCACCTCGCTCCTGCAGGGCAACGACGGAGCGATCCCGGGATCCGGCTCCACGCCGTCCCCGGCACGCGCCGGCCAGCTGCACCTGGACAAGCCGCGCGCCCTGACGCCGCAGGACCACTGCAGCATCGAGCGGTTTTTCTCAGGGCAGGTCGACACGTCACACGCGCCGAGTCCGATCGGGACGGACCCGGCGTCGGGGTCGCCGCTGACGAGCCCGCGCAGTCCCGGCACGTCCGGGGCGGAGAGGGCGCAGGGCGCCGACGCGACGACGATCGCCGTGCAGCAGCTTTGGCAGCGCACCGGGCGACGCGCAGGGCCGCTGGCGCAGCCGCGGAGGCCGGACGTGAAGGCCGGGGCGGCGCTCACGATGGTCGAGGCCGCCGCGAGCGCGATGCGGGGTGGGGGGGGAGTATCCGGGTCCGCGGGGTTCGACGCTGGAGGTGGGCGCGGACCCCTTCTCGCCTCAGGGCGACGGCGGTGGGGCGGCGGTGACGCAAGAGGCGGAGGCGGAGGGCGACGATCCGTTTGCATTCGAGGACACGGGCAGCGCCGCACCTGCGGCGAAACAAGCGCGCGTCGCGGATGACGACGACGATGACGACCCGTTCTCGCAGCGCGACGGCGGGTTCGGCAGCGGGCCCGCAGCCGCGGCCGCAGAAGCTGCGCTCGGCGCCGCCGGGCGCGGGGGCGCGCCCTCGCTTCCCCGCACGCACCCGCAGACACCCCGGGGGGACTTTGGCGCGCCGGCTGCGAACGGCGGGTTCGAGGACGACGCCTTCGGGGCGAAACCGAAGGCAGCGACGTACGCGGACGTGCTCGCGAAGCAGGCGCGGCCGCAGGCGAGCGCAAGCACCGGCAGCGGCGTGCAGCTCGCTTCCGCCGACACGTCCATGAACATCACCTTTGGCGGCGACGACGAGCAGGGTGATCCGTTCGGCGACGAGCCTGGCGAGGACAGGCGCAGCGAGGACCCGTTCTCTCCAGCGGCGGACGTGGTCCGCGGCGACGGGCCTGCGACGTGGTTCAACAACCCCCTCGGGCTGGCGGGGGACAAGGAAGAGGGGTCGGAGGACCCGTTCGGCGCCGAGGATGACGGCACTGCTCCGTTCGGGGCTCCGACGATCCAGAAGACGCGTTTGTCGGTCGACGCGCCTCCATGGGTGCCCCCCCCGAGTGCCGCGGAGGCGGTCTCGGAGGGGGGGAGTGGGATCGGGCCGGGCCTCGCTGCCGCTCGGGGAGACGACTCGCCTGGGGTTGCGCAGCGCGGGGCCGACGCGCCGGGCGGAGAGAGCGACCGGGGGCAGGGTGCCAGGGAGGAGCTGGGTGAGGCGCGGTCGCGGTGTTTCGGTGGGCTGGAGCTGGAGGACAAGGCGGCGGCAACGGTCGAGGCGGCCCAGGCCGGAGTCGCGGCGCCGGCGCCGCAGGAGGGTTCGGCGGGGGGCGCAGCAGTTGCGGTGTTGCCTGTTGCGGCCGATTCGAAGCCTGCGCGGCCCCCCGGCGGGTCGCGGAGCGACGAGAAGGACGCGGGCACAACAGGCTCTCCTGGTGCGCAAGCCGCGAGCCCGAAGATGCGGAGAGACGCTCCGGGCGATGCCCACGGGCCTGCGGCGGTCAGCGGTGCCAGCCCGCGGCCTGAGCCGGCCGCGCGCTGGACGGACCAGCCGGGCAAGCAGGCGCAGGAGGAGGCGGCGGCCCTCGCGGCGGAGCGGCGCATCAACGTCCGCGAGATGTCGCGGCGTCTGTCCGAGCAGAGCAGAGACGGCAACGTCCCATCCCCGTCACGCGCACTCAACGCCGGGACGCCCACGCGCATGTCGCTCGAGGGCACGCGTCCCAGGATCTCGCAATCGCCGTCCACGGCGCGACAGCCACCGACACCGACGGGGCCCGGCGCGTCGCCCCCGGCACCGCCGCCAGCGACAGCTCCGTCCGCGCCGCCCACAGCCCCGCAGGCGGTCGACGCTGCGTCGCCGAGCCGCCCCGCCCCTGCCCCGAAGCTGCACTACAACGTCAACGCGTCGCCGTTCCAGCCCCGCAGCGCCCACGCATCCACGTCCTCGCAGCCGTCGAGCCCGCAGAAGGCGCCGCGCGGGGGCCTGTCGCAGGCGTTCGCGGGCAGCAGCAGCCCGCAGGCGCATGCCCCGACGTTCCCTTCGCCGCCAACGTCGCCGACCAAGGCCGCTGGGCACAGCGGCTTGTACTCTGGGCTGGCGAAAGTGGTTCTGCCGTGGGGCACGTACCACGGCAAGGTCCAGCAGGGCGAGGTGCGCGGCGCCGGGGTGCTGCGGAGCTCCTCGGGGGCCGAGCTGAGCGGGGACTGGCAGGGGTCGGAGGCCGGGCTGGTTCTGGGCATGGCGACGCATGCGGACGGTGGCAAGTACACGGGGGCTCTGCTGGGCGGGCAGCGGGTGGGGATGGGGCTGTTCGAGGGCAAGGACGGCGCCGTGCAGGCGGGGCACTGGATCGGAGGCGTGCTGCGGACGGGGTGCGTGATGCAGGGCGACGGCGAGCAGTGCTGGGGGCAGCGCGACGGAGACGCGCGCTGGACGGGCCCGGGCATGGTCGTGTACAAGGACGGCGGCGGCTTCCTGGGCGATTTGAGCGCGGGCGGTGCGGCTCGGGGCGACGCGAGGGGGGGGAGTCAGCGGCTCGAGACCCCCGGGGTCTGGCTGGACCCGTTCGGCGCGCCCGTGCACGCGGACGCGACGGCCGACGAGACGGCCGCCGCGCGCCGCGCCGTGGAGCTGGTGGCGGACATGGTCATCGGCGCCGCGAAGTCGCAGGCGCTGGAGCAGTCGCTGCCTGACCTCGCCGAAGCCGACAAGCTGGTGCTGGACGGCGCGAACGTCCTCGGAGTCGCGCTGCCTGACGAACAGGCGGCGCAGGGGTGGGCGCCGCAGCTGGAGAAGGCCGTGCGGTCGGGCCGGGACCAGGCGCGGAACGCGCGGGCGCTGGCGAGGAAGGCGGGGCTGGCGAACTGGGGGGGTGTTGTTTTTGTTTTTCTTCTTTGTTTGAGACGAAGAAAAGGAGGTCCGTGTGTCTCACAGCGCCTGGTTCGCAACGTGTCGGCGTATGTACAGGGGCGGCGGGGGGAGCTCGACTGGCCGTGTGCCAAGTGGCCTTACTTGCCGGGGATCGGGATGGGCTGAGTCAGCTCGATGTCGACACCCCCCTTGATCAGGTCCTTCTCGATGGGCTCGATGACGTCGATGATGACCTCGTCCGCGAAGTACAGCGCCAGGTGCTCGAAGATCTCGCGGTTCACCACGAGCTCCTGCGCCACGAACCCAGCGATGGCAATCATCGCGAGCCGCCCGTTGTTCAGCTCCTTGGTCTGCAGCGCCTTGAACTCCTCCGGGTCCTCGGGGCTCAGCCCGAGCGGGTCGAAGCCGAGGTCGCCCGGGACGTAGTCGTCCTTGAGCGCGTTGAACCCGCGGCCGCCCTTCGGGTCCGCCCAGCCCGTCGACACCCGGTACGACTCCGCCAGCCCGATCGCCACCACGAGCGCCTCCCAGAACAGCGGCCGCACCTCCTCGACCTGCGCGAACAGCGGCGGCGACGCGAACGGCTCAGCGGGCGCGGTTTTCACGCAAACAAACAACGTGACGTGCCAAGACGCGAGAGGCGCGCGCACCTTCTGGAATTGGTTGATCGCCGGGACGCCAGAAATGCCGCCGTCAAAGTTCAGGAAGGCGGGAAAATCCTCGAGCTGCTCGCCCACGACGAACCCGAGCGCGGCGAGCATGGCCACGCGGGCGTGCGTGAGCTCGGCCTCGCGCCAGCGCTTCATCTCGTCCGTGTCGCGCGCGAGCTTGACCAGGCCGAGCGGGTCGAATACGTCGGGGTAGGGGTTGGAGATGCCAGGGAGCGTGCGGACGTAGGCCTCGACTTCCGGGGTCCTGGCGTTCGCGCGGGCGCGCACGGAGGCGCGGGCGGCCTTGGGGCGCGAGAGGGCGCCGGCGGCGACGGCCTGCGGGACGGCGGCGGGACGCGGGGCGAGGTTTTGACTGGCCGGGAGTGTGCGGGGGCGCGGTGCGTGCGGTTGCGGGGGGTGCGTGCGGGGCGAGCGGCGCGGGGAGGTGGTTCGGGATGCGAGGGGTCCGGGGACGGGGAATGCGCGGGGCGGTGCGCGGTGGAACGCGCGCAGGAACGGTCAGACTGCAGAGCGACTGCTAGTGGCTGGCAGCTCCCTGGCCGCAGTACGGGAGAATTCGTGAACATATCGCGTTGAAAGGGCAACTAGTGGATTAACGGCCACTGTGAGTTGCTGAATTACGCGATTGAGGCGCGCGAGTGGGCTGTGCGGGGCCGGCGCGGGCGAGGAAGCTTCTTAGTACATGATTGGAGGAGAGAGCATGCAGTAGCGCGACTGCTGTGGGAAATCGCAAACGAAGCGGATCAGACGCGTCGAAGAGATAATGTAGAATTGGTTCGCAGCGACTCGTGGCCATGTACCGGCTTGCGGCGGCCTAAATGGCACCCAACCGAATTCGGGCTCGACTGATGCGCGGCTGTGCAGCGGCGCACCTTCGAGGCGAACGAAGCGGTGAACGACATGACTCCAACGATATCCTTGCCCTTGAATCTCCGAGGATCTGGCACGGTGCGGTCGTGGGGCGCCCCAATGAGCCCGGGAGCGGCCCCAGTAGAAGGTCCAACCAGGACTCAGGCCCCCCGCGTCACGTCGACACGCGCTCGCGAAGCCTCTCCGAACGCCCGCCGAAGTGTACCCCACGCGAACAACACGATGCTCTGTCAAATCACTGTTGCGGAGGCACAACACGAACGCAAAGAGCGATCCCACCACCGCCCGCCCCCACACTCACTCGCTGACGTGCCGCGTCATGCCGCACCGCGCTGCCTCCTCCGGCCCCACGCGCCGCGAGCTTCCCAGCCCAGGGCTGCCCAATGCGCGCGCAGCGCGCGGCTGAGGGCCGCCGTACGACCAAAAACAGCGAGTCAAAGGTAGGCCACGCTTTCGGCGCAGTGGCCAGCCGGCATTGCAAGACAGCCGCGCTGCACCCCCAGAGCCCGCACGCAGGGCCCTCGCGCGCCCCCACCAGAGCGCAGCTGTCCCTCTGCACCCCGCACGCGGCGCACAGCACACGCCCGCGCGGACCGTCCCTCGGAAATCGCAGCGGCAACATCTATGGTGTGTGTCTTCTGCCTCGCGAGGGCTGGGGGCGCGCTCGGCCGTTCCGCGCCGCACCTGCATTGCGGCTGCGGGGATCTCGCTCGAGCGCGCAGTGCCGGCCTTCTGTCGTCAGGTTCGGGGAGACACAGCAACTGTGCGACTACTTCGAATGCTGTGTTGGCTGCACGGAACATGCTACGAGTGCCGGGGGGCACGCGCCGTGCGCCGCGCGCTCGGGGCCGGTGCGCAGTGTCAGCACACATGGGTCGCGCAGTTCGAGGCGCGCGGCTGGCGCCGGACAGGGCGTGTGCGGCGCTGCATCAATCGACAAAGCATGGTTGTGTTTGGAATCGAGCACAGTGACAAAGACAAAGAGCCGCACCCTCACATCTCCACGGCCACGTACGGCGCGTCAGGCCCCGCGCACTCCTGCAGCGCCGCGTTCCAGCTCCGCAGCGCCCCCTCCGCGACGACACCCCCCATCAAATCACTCCCCCCCGACTGCGCCACACGCATCGCCGCCGCCAGCCCCGGCAGCCCCACCCGCGGCAGCAGCCCCTGCATCAACGCGCTGTTCCCGCTCATCGCCGCCGCGAACAGCAGCGAGTCCACCGCCCCGGCGTCCAGCGTGCCCGCGGAGCCGCTGTTGTCGCTCCACGCCGACGCCAGCGCCCGCGCGACCGACGTGCAGATCTGCGCGGTCGCCGTGCCGCCGCCGCGCAGCAGCGCGAGCGCGCGCAGCGCCTCCGTCAGCGCCTCGCCGCCGCCGGGGCCTGCCATGCCTGCCAGCATGACGCTGAGCAGGAGGCCGAGCCCCTCCGCGGCCGCGCGAGCCTCGCCCGCGCGGCACGCAGCCTGCACGAGGCGCGAGGCCTCGGCGACGACGACGGGCCCGGCGACGGCGCGCCCGAGGAGAGAGTCGCGCTGCGCCGCACCACGCGGGGCGTTGCTCTCCGTCGCGGCGACGGCCTCGGGCTGAGCGCGCAGGCTCTGCTCCGCTTGGTGCCTGCGAGAGACGTACACGCGCCGCACGCGCACGGATCAGACGGGGGGTCCTCGGGCGCAAGAACCGCAAAAACACGCGAACAGAAAACATGCGGTTTCCCTCGTTGCGCCGTGGCAGACGGTCGCGCACGGCAGGTGCCATCTGTGGCCGCTGTGCGCCTCACCTCGCCAAGTACGCGTCCCAGTCCAGCAGCCCGAGCGCCGGCCGCACGCCCTCGTGTCCTGCGTCCTCCCCCCAGTCCGACGGATTGCTCCCCACCGGCCGCGCTGCGTCGAGGTCGTCCTCCTCGTCCCCGTCGATGCTCCCGACGCCCCACGCCTTGTCCGCGTCCTCGTCTGCCCCGCCGAAGAGGTCGCGGAGCTCCTGGGCCGCCTTGGCGTCGCCAGCGTCGCGCCCGTAGCCTTCCAGCGCCGCCGCCGCGGACTCCGCCTGGCTCTCGCGCGGCCGGGCGTCCGCCGCGCTGCTGTCCGGGCCCGCCGCTCCGCTCTCGTCGCTGCCGTCGAGCGACCACGCAATCATCTTGCGCCCGCCGTCGCCGCCCGCACCCTCGCCATCGCCATCGCCCGCCGGCGCAGCCAGGCCCTCCGGCACGCCGCCGGACGACGACGACGCGTCGTCGCCGCCGAACGGATCGTCGTACGAGCTGCTGCCGGCACTCCCCGCGACCGCGCCGCCGCCGGCCGCCGGCGGAGCAGCGTCCGCCTCCCGCCCGGCCAGCACCTTCTCGAGCATGTCGTCGAACTCCCCCGCGCCGCCGTCGCCGTCCCCGAACCCGAAATCGTCGTCCACGCCCCCCGCCGCGAACCCCCAGTCCAGCCCGTCCTCCGCGTCAGCCCCCCCCCCACCAAACCCACCAAACACGTCGTCCGTCGCCGCCGCGTTCCCGGACCGGTCCGCCGGCTCAGCGCCCGACACGGACGCCTGTGTCCCCGCCGCGTCCCGCCCCCCGGCGATCGTCGCCTCAATCGCCGCGAAAGCGTCCTCCATCGACTGCGGGTCTTCCGCGGCGCTGCTGGCGGCCGGCTCGCCCGGGTCCGCGAGGTCGACGAGCCAACCCTTGGCGATCTCCTCGCGCGACGGCCGCGCGCCGAGGAGCTCCTGGAGGCACTCGAGCGCCCTCGAGAACTGCCCGGCGATGATGGCGGCGCGAACCTCAGCGATGAGCGGGAGAGCCTGGCTCTGCAGGACGAGCTTGCAGGCCTCGCGGCCCTGGTTCGCGACGGCCTCTGCGAGCAGGCCCGCGACCGCGTCCCTCCCGAGCACGCCGCCGAGCGCCTTGCAGCCGGCCTTGACCACCGCCGCTGCGCGGCGGGCGCTGCCGTCGCTGACCGCCTGCCCGAGCGCCGCGGTGGGCTGCACCAGCGCGAACGCGTGCGGCCAGCCGCGGGTGTCGACGACCCACGCGTGCCCGTTCGCGAGCCCGAGCGCTCGAAGCGCGCCGATTGGCCGCGGCTGCGACGTCATCGCCGCCGCCGTTGCCAGCGCCGCGCCGGGGCCGTCCGGGCCGCCCGCGGGCGCGTGGGAGACTGGGTGCGTCGCGAAGGACGCCACGACGGCGGTCTGCACAGCCGCGCCGCTCGCGCCCGCCGGACCGGCCGAGCCCTCGCCGCCGAGTGTGGCAAGCAGGACCTCGTCTGGGGTCGTGATGAGGAGCTGGCGCCGGCCGCCGGGGGACACGGCCCAGGCGCCGCTCTGGGACGCGTAGATCGGCAGCGTCGCGACGTGGTGGAAGCGCCAGTCGCCTATATCTAGAAGTGTGAGCCCGAAGATATCCAAACCGTGACTGTGGCCCAGGGCGCAGAGGTCGGCGGTGGGGGACCACTCGAGCCACGTGGGCGCGGGGAGGTCCGGCCCGAGGGCCTCCATGGTGAGCCAGGCGTAGAACTGCAGCCGCTGCACTGCGCCCGTGGAGCTGTGCGTGTAAACAACCCCCAGGAGACCCCCCCCGTGCACCTTGACGGGCACGCGCCCGTCGGAGAGCGGGAGGGGCTGCAGCTCCTCCGTGCTGAGCGCGCCGGACGACGACTGCACGCAAGCACGAGGAACAGGGCACGTGACGTTGCAAACGCTCCTCCGAAACGTACCTGGAAGCGAACGACGAAAGCAACCAACAAAGCAAGCACGTACACAAACAGCTTCGGTGCAAGGGAGCTCGCAGGGCCCTGTCGTGCCAGGTTCAGCGCGCAGCTGTCCGCGGGCACGCACCCTATTGACGATGCGCAACGTGACCTTCGCAGACGCTATCGCAGCGGCCTCCGCGGCCATCGCCCGCTGCCGCGCCGCCTGCGCTGCCTCCGCCGCCTTCTTCCCGCGGAGCTTCTTCGCCTCGTTCGGCGCCTTCGGGATCTGCACCGGCGGCGTGCTGACCACGGCAAAGGAGCTCCCGTCCGCACTGAACGCGAGAGACGTCCCCTCGCCCATGTCCAGGCGCACCCACCCCTTGGGCTCCTTCGCGACCACCATCCACTTCCGGACGATCGGCGTCACCAGACCTGCAGATCCCAACAAACCCAAACCACTATTTCGTGGGACACCGCACATCGCAAGGAAAGACCAGCCGAGCCGAGCCGCTGGCCAGAATCACCGAAACGAGCCCGCGAAACCACCGCTCGCGTCGCGGGGGAGGGCACGCACCCACAGCGCCCCCCGCGGCCGGCGCCACCATCACGGGCTTCTCCGGGTGCCGCTCCAGCATCGGCCACGCGATGTCCGGCACCTTGTCCGCGCCCGCCGCCTGCAGCACCGCCCCCGCCTTCGGACACCCCCCCGGCTCCGCCCTGCCCAGCTCGTCCAGCGCCGTCGGATCCAGCCGATACCGCACCACGCCCAGTTTCGGCCCGCTCGGGTTCACGAGCACCTCGACGGGCACGTTCTTGTCCCGCGCGGACGTCGGCGTCCCGCCCAGCAGCCGCACCGCCCGCCCGAGCGGCGCCGCCGCGCACGCGGGCCACGGGGACCCCTTGGCGCGCACCTTCAGCACCGCCACGCCGGCGTTCGCGCCGACGACGACGATCTCCGGCCGCGTCGGGTGCACCTCGAGGCAGTACAGCTTCGGCGCGTCCTTCTGGCCTTTCGGCAGCTTGTCCAGCGGCATCGCCACCGCGGCCCTGTCTTTCCCCTTGTGCGAGCCCTTATCGAGGATGTTGGCGCGGACCGAGCTCGGCATGACGAGCACCGCGGAGACCTGCGGCGACACGAGCGCCACGTCGGCCGGGAACATCGCGGGGCAGTACGCCACGGCGCTGCAGTAGCCCCGGATGTTGAGGGGGCGTGTTGCGGCGCGGGCGTCGAGCGTCGGGAGCGCGTGCACGATGAGCATGCGGCCCTCGCCGACGCTGACGAGGCGCGCGTCGGACGAGGCGCCGGTCGCCGGCAGCGCCGCGATGCAGCGCACGGGGGCGCCGTGCAGTTTGGCGCGGAACGCGCGCGGTTCGAGCTTCGGGAGCGGCGCGCCGGGGTGCGGAGCGGCGCGGAACGCGGTGAGCGAGTCGCCGAGGCGGTAGAGGTAGACGCCGCCGCAGGCGGTGCCGACGGCGAGCGTCGGGGGCGCCGCGGAGGTGGCGCCGGGCGCGACGGCGAGGCACGTCACCGCGCGGCAGCCGTCGGCGGGGGCGAGGACGGCGACGGCGCGGAGGTCGGCGTCGAGGACGCGCACCGCGCCGTCCTGCGAGCCCAGGGCGAAGAACGGTCCGCGGGCCCGCGGGGTCGCGACGGGCCCGGGCACGGACAGCATAGAAAAGGCAAGGCCTGTTGTGAAGGCCTTGGCGCCCAGGTCGCGGCGGAGGACGACGGAGGAGTCTCCTGTGACGAGGTCGTACAGGACGGCGCGCTGCTCGCACACGAGGAGGACCCAACGGCGCCCGTGGAGCGTCGGGGGGCACTCGGTGAGCACGCCCGGCGCCGGCACTGACGCGTCCGTGGGGCTGCGCTCGGTCATCGTAGCGACGTTGTGTTCCTGCCAGTACAGGGCGTCCGCGTCGCAGAACGTCGCCGCGAGCAGGTTGCCGACGGGCGCGGCGGGCGGGTGCTTGGTGTCCGCAGGAAGCATGTCGCCACTGCGCGCAGGGGGGTTGTCGCGGGGGTTCAGCGGCCCGCGCACGCGGCTCTCATCTAAGGCATGCGGCGGCGGAGGCAGGGACCGCGGGAACGCGGTGGGTGGCCCGCGGGCCGGGCGAGTAAGTCGCGCCTCGTGCACGTATGTGTACATCGGATTTACGGCGCTGCGTCGGACCGGAGGTCGTGAGCGCTTGAGGGCGGATAGTAGGGCGTCTGATGCGTGGTGGTGTGTGGTTTTTCCGGGAGAAGCAGGCAGGAGCTCGCGTGCAGGCAGGGTTGCAATGAGAGGCAGAAGTGGGCTCCGCCACGGCCGCGAGATGGCTGTCGCGAGATGATCGCGGGCTAGCGAGCTTCTTGAAGTAGGATGCGGTGCTGGACTGCGAGCACGTCCGCGCGCGCGCCTCGCGTGCGCCAGGCGGGGCTGGTAGTTTGGGTGGGGGCAGGTTGCGGGCTCACCGGAACGCCTCACCGGCCCGCCGCTGGGTCTGCAGGCGGACCTCGAGGTCAAGGTCCTTGGCGAAGTCCGGGTCATTCGGGCGGATCGTGCGCACGACCTGGTTCGCGATGACGTCCCACACGAGGGCCTCCCTGTCGACCGTGATGAGCGCGAGCGGCAGCACGGGGTGGAAGTTGACCTTCCTGACTTTCGCGTCGAGTGGGAGGAACCCTGCGAAGCCCAGCGTGCCGCCAGAGAGCACCAACGGGCGCTCTCCTGGTTGAGGGCCCGCTGCCGGCGGTGCCATGGCGCTGACGCTGGGCGCTACACCCGGAACTTCTCACTCAGTGCTGGACCATCCGTTCCCGGGGGTTGCGCGAGATCGGAAACCAACGCCCCGCGCAAGCCACGGCCCGTGGTCCCCGGTGAAGCTCAACACGGCCGAACGCGACGTGCGGGCCGCGTGCGACACTGTTCCGTGGCGACCGAGGAATGCTCGTGGACAGGCCCACGATCAGAGCGCAGTAACGTGCGCGATCGGCCCCAGGGCTGTCCAGCGAGAGCCCGGACTCCCCGCCCAACCCCCCTCGCGGCCCCGCGCGGCCAGCCAGGTCGCTCCCGTCCCGAGATATTCCGTGCACACCCGGCTCGCACCACAGAGTGCGAGCTGAGTCCTCGAGCGAAGACGTCTTCCAGTGCTCGCGTCGCGGGGGCCCGATCCCACCTTCCCTCTTCGCTCGCGCCCGCACAGCCCGCGCCGGCAGCGGCGACGCATCCCGTTCGCCGAGCGCCTGCCATGGTAGCCACGCTCCGTCTGAGCCCGCCCGCGGCCCCCGCGCCCGCTGTGCGCCCGCCCAGCACCGCCACACGCCGCACCGTGCGCGCCCGCGCCATGAAGCGCCTGGGCGAGGCCGACCCCAAGGCGCAGTGGATCGAGGAGAACTGCGGCTTCGGCGAGGTCACGGACAGGTGCGCCGCGGACGCGTCGCGCCCCGAGCCCTGCATCTCTGCAGCACGCAGTGGTGGTTGCGACGCGGGCGCTCTGCACCGCGCAAATCGATGATGCAGCGATCAGGAAAGCTTGCGCATATGTGGTGTGCGCATCGCGATGGAATTCCGGGCGCAGCGCTGACTCTATGCGGGGAGCCCGGACGACACCTGACAGTGCATATGAGCGTCGCCCACGCACTCGTCCACGCAGGAAGCAGCTCGGGTCCTCGGGCTGGAGCTCGTTCATCCGCTACGACACCGCCTCGGGCAACTCGCTCTTCGTCAAGACCTCAGGTGCGGCCGCATTCGCGCCCTGAGCGTTGTCCGCGCTGGCCCGAGGGCGCCGCACGCCGAGCCCCCGCCGCCGCCCGCGTGCGCTCGCAGGCCGCAGCGCGCAGGAGATGTTCATGGGCGAGGCCGAGGGCCTCAAGGCGATGTACCACACGCACTCGATGCGCATCCCCAAGGTTTGGCACTACGGCGACTTGCCCAACGGCGGGAGCTTCATCGTGATGGAGTACCTCGACTTCGGCGGGCGCGCGAGCCAGGCGGACCTCGGGCGGCAGCTCGGGCTGATGCACACGGCGGAGCCGCTGCACGAGGAGGCCAGAGCGGGCAAGTTTGGCTTTGTGTGCAACAACACAATCGGAGCGACGCCGCAGCCGAACCCGTGGACCGACGACTGGGTGGAGTTCTTCCGCGAGCACCGCATCCGCCACCAGCTGCGCCTCGCGGGCGACGCCACGCTGAGCAAGAAGGGCGACGAGCTTTGCCGCAAGATGCATAAGCTGTTCGATGGCGTGGAGGTGAAGCCGTCGATCCTGCACGGGGACCTCTGGAGCGGCAACATCGGCGCCGTCGGCAACGAGCCGACCATCTTCGACCCCGCCGTGTACTACGGTCACCACGAGGTGCGCTGTGCGGCAGCAACGACGCAGCGCTGCTCTGCCGCGGACCACGCGCGCGCGACTGCCGCCTGCGTGGCGCCTCGCGCTGCCGTGCGTAGTGGCTTCCGCGCGCCGCGGGGGGCGCCCGGCCGGGGCCGAGCGTAGCTGCGTGCGTGGGCGATGTGCGCGCAGGCAGAATTTGGGATGTCGTGGTGCGCGTCGTTCGGGGGCGAGTTCTGGCGGGCGTACCACGAGGTGGTGCCGAAGGAGCCGGGCTTCGAGGACCGCAAGGACTTGTACCTGCTGTACCACTACCTGAACCACTACAACCTTTTTGGTGGTGGGTACAAGTCCAGTGCGGTCCGCTGCCTCGACTCGCTGCTCGCGAAGCTGTGACGGAGCGCGGATGTGCGCGACCGTAGCGTTTCAGAGCGGCGGTGCCGCGCTCGCGGCCAATCGCGCGTCAATTACGCGCCAGCGGCGGGGGCCCTAGATCCAAACGGGGCGTCAAGGAAGGGCTCGCGCGGGCGACGTGCGCGGGCCTTCATTGGCGACGCGCGGCCTCCCAACACGTCGTCCTGGTGCTTGGTAACTCAGAATGAACGTTTCGAGTGTCGTGCGGCCCGCGGCGGCCGGCGCGGTGGGCAGCGTCGCTAGCGCTGGGCGTGCCGCGGGGGCTGTTCCCGCCCCGGTGGCGCTGGGGCGGAATGCGACGGCGCTGCCCGTGAAGAGGACCTCTGCGGCCCAGGCGCCGCGCCGCAACACCGTCGTCGGCGTCCACAGGGGGTGCGTCCCGCGCTTTCTTGGGACCTTGCCAATCAAGTATCGCGCCCGCGCTGCTCGTCCGCCGCGCGAACCACGCTGCGAAGCACGCGAGCGCATTGCGTTGCATCTTCGCAAGCCGCGCGCCGCGTCACCACGCCAGCTCCGTCCTGTCAGCACCCGCACGGCCGCTTACCCTGCTGTGCGCTAAGCAGACGGCAGCCCGCGTGAACCGCAGGACGTTCTACTCCATCGCGGCCATGGAACCGGTCAAGGACCTCGAGGAGGGCCACTTCTCGTGGGGCCAGCTCGTCCCTCAGGCGCTGCTCGCGTGGATGGTGAGTGGCGACGAATCAGCTCTCAGCTCTTGCTCAGTCCCGCACCGCCGCGCACCGACCCCGAAACGCCCGGCCCCCTGCGCCCGCAGAGCTTCTTCCTCGCCCAGCGCGCAGCGAGCGCGCTCGTCCCGGAGAAGGCCGCCGCCATCGCGCAGGTACGCGCCTCCCTTCCACGCTGCTGTTTGCCAGTCCCGCCGCACGTCGCCCGCGCCGCCCCACGCCCGCGACCCCCGCTGTCCGCAGGGTCTCGTCGCTCCGGTCGCGGGCGCGAAGAAGGCGGCCGTCGCGGGGGCCGGAGACGCGGCCATCATCGGCCTGCTGGGTGCGCAATGCATCTTCCTGGCCGCCGTCTGCGTCCTGTCGTGGAAGAACACCGCGAGCCCGCGCGGGATCTTCTGCCGCTCCCTCATCGCGTGGGGCCCCGCCGCCGCGTGGGCGTACTTCGCGCACTCCCCCGCCGCGTGGGCCACGCCGGGCGCGTACGCACTCGTCGCGTTCGCGGCGCTGGCGACCGCGGGCGGGCTGTACTACGGCCTGAAGGCGCCGCTCAGCCAGGGCAAGTCGCCGTTCATCCGGTTCAACCTCGTCGGGATGCTCGCGCTCGCGGTCACCGCGATTCCCGCGGTGGCGGGGAAGGCGGCCGAGGCGGTGCTGGCGCCGGCCGCGACGACGGCGTCGAGCGCGACGCTGTGGGCGTTCACGGCGTCGACGGCGGTGGCGATGGTGGTGTACGGCGTCATCGCGCTGCACACGCACTGGGACGCCCGGAAGGTATGCACACGCTGCGATTGATTGTCTCGTATATTATGATACAATAATTCATTTTCATTTTTTTCTTTCCAATGTCACTGCACACGCCGTGAGAACGTCTCCTCGTGGCGCCGCATCCTGAGACACGACAACACGACTGCCCGTGGCTCAGCCGGTGCGGTGCTCCGCGGCGCCGCGAAGCGACCTCGCCGTGCCTGCGCGCCAACTGACGTGTGTGCCGCCCGTGGGCTACATGCGCTGCAGACATCCATGGTGTCGCTCATCTCGTTCGTCGCGGCGCGCGCCGCGCTCGCGTACGCCACGACCGGCGCCCCGGTCTCCGCCGCGGCGATCGACCCCATCCTGACTCAGTTCTACGTCTGGGCGGGCCTCGCCGCCGCCGTCGTGGTCAAGAACGCCTTTTAACCCCCCCCACGCGCGAGCACCGCCGCGTAGCACGGCGGTTCCCGCCCGTGCCTCGATGTGACCTTCCCACACACGCTCCGGTGCCTCACACCTCCATCCCGCACGGCTGCCACCGCGCACGCCCCTGCACAGGTGCCCGCGGGGCTGCGCACACCGTCACCTGACGTCAGCTACATCCCGGCGAGCCAGAACATCCCCTTGATGCCCTCGGGGTCCGCCTCGAAGCCCAGCTCCTGGTAGAAGCCCACGACGTCCGCGTCGGCGAAGAGCGTGATGTTGCCAATCTCTCGCCGCAACAAAGTTCGAACCATGTGTTCGAGCATCGCGCGCCCGAGGCCCTGCCCCTGCACCTCCGGGTCCACCAGCACGTCCCAGATGGTCGCGTTGAACGCGTGGTCGCTCGTCGCTCGCGCCAGCCCGACCAGGCGGGGCTCCGCGGCGAGACCCCCCCCGTTTTCGGGGGACTCCAGGACCTCGAGGTGCAGCGACGCGACGAGGAAGGAGTTCCGCAGGGCCGCCTCGACCTTGCCGATCGGCCGCGACGGCCACCCGACCTGCGGCGCGAAGGTGGGGTGCGGTGAGCTCACAGCCACTGCGCGGGGGCTGTGCAGGGGCGGAACGGGCGGTTCCGGGCGCTGCGCGCAGCGCACCTTGCGGCAGAGGTTTTCGAGGTCGTAGGCGTCGACTTCAGCGCCGTTGCGGTACACCACGCGCGCCCTGCGGCCGTCCGCGCGCTGCTGCTCCACAAGAACGAGCTCGTCCGCGAGCGGGTCGTCGCAGGGGAGGGTCACCCACGGCGCGCTGCCGACCTCCACAGCCGAGGACTGGTTCGGCGTGTCGAGCGCGCGGCATGGCTGCCGCCCGCCGCGGCACGGCCGCGATTTCCTGCACGGCAAGAACGGGCGACACAGCGCCGTCTGGCACGGCTCAGCGCGCGCATGCAGTCCCCGGCAGCGGGCTACGGTACCGTCTGGTACCGAATTGCAGCGCGAGGTCAGATTTCATTCCGCACACGCGTCGGGAAGGGCGGTCCTCTCTGCACCCCAAGGCTCTCTAGCGCAAGAGCCGGCGGTTCGGCAAGGCAGGTTTCTCACCGGCGTGCGACGTCGTGGGACGGGGCAGCGAGCCTGCCGGCGCGAGATCCGCTGAGGGGAGCCGTGAGGCGCGCTAGGCGGGGAGGAGCGCTGTGTGCCGCTGCCCCACTGAAGGTCGCCCCGCACGCGCAGCGAGGGGCGAGCGCGGCCATGGCGCGTTCCGGTGTGGGCTAGAGGGTCTGGCGCGCGCCGGGGTGGAGCAGCGGTGTCCTGGGCGCGCGCGTGACGTGCCGCGAAGGCGAGGGAGGAGGACGCTCGACCTAGCGTTTTGCGTCGGCTCGGCGCGGGGGGGACGCGGCGTATTTGTGCGGGCGTCGCGGGTGGGAGGGGAAGTTCAGGACTGTCGAATCTGACGATGACGCCCGCCGACGAGCCCGCAGGGAGCCGTGCGCGACGCACGCGCTGGAGGTCGAGGTATCTCGAGTGCGCCCGTCATGGGGGAACAAGGGCCCCTCGGGGCCTCTCGCAGCCTCTGTGCACCCCGTGTGCGGCGATGACCAGGCGGACACGTCAGTCCTTGACGCTGCCAAGCCCGTCCGCCGGCGTGATTCGACCCGGACCGCCGTGCGTGGCCGCCTTCCGGGAACAAGCTTTGCTCCGCGTGGCGCTGAGCCGCTGCCCGTCCAACTGCGCGGCATTGGCGGTTCATGGCGCACCGGGTGCACGGCGATCTCGAGAAGTGGCGCTTGAGTGCTGACGGCCGGGCTGGCGCGCCGTGACGCAAAGCGGGGCGACGCGCGCTGCACCGGACGTGCCGCCGGCAACAGAATGGATGTTTTCGCGGCGCTCCGCAGCGGTATCAAGTTCGACGGCCGCTTCAAGAACGACATCAAAGCCTTCGAGAAGCCCGTGAAGCCCCGGAGGGCCACGGCGGCGCCCGACCCAGGTGCGAGCGCCGGGGGAGCCTCCAGGGTGTGGCAAGGCTCTAGCCGCGCAGTCCTGAACAGAAATCCGCCGTCATGCATCGCATTGTGTCGCATCGAACGTGTTGATGCCCCCTGTCATTCGTCCCAGCTGTTCCAAGGTGTTGTCGATGCAGGAGAGCTCGACTTCTTCGGCGACAAAGCAGGCGCCGCGCACGGGCGCGAAGAGCCGCGGTCGCCGCGAGAGCCGCTCGACGACCATGACGACGCTGAGACGGACGAGGTGCGGGCGCCTGCCCCTCCGGCCGCTCGTGCCGACCATCCCACGCGGCGCCCATCCAGCACGCTCATGGCGTGCACGACCGCGTGGCCGTCTGCGCGCAGGAGCCTGCGGATCGCGCGGACGCGTCCGACGACGACGGCGAGAGCGATTCGGGCGAGAGCGCGGGCGACAGCGACGACGACGCGCCCGAGGACGTCCCCCTGTTCGCGCCCGGACAACTCGGCGGCGGAACAGCCCTCCGCACGGCGCTGCAGCGCGTGAACTCGCGCAGCCGCGACCCCCAGGAGGCCGCGAACATCGTCCGGAAGGCTATGCGGATCAAAGTCCGCGGCGACGACCCGCCAGCGCCTCTGCAATCGTTCGCGGCGCTCGTGGACGAGTTTGCGTGCCCGCCGTGCGTCGTGGACAACGTGGTGACGGAGCTGCGCCTGGGGGACCCGACGCCGATCCAGAGCCAGGCGTGGCCGACGCTGCTGAACGATATCGAGCTCCTGGCAGTCGCGCCGACGGGGAGCGGGAAGACCCTCGCGTTCGTGCTGCCGCTCATCGCCCAGGTGACGCCCGGGCCGGGGAAGCGCGCTTTGCGTGATGGGTGAGCTTGCCTGAGCGCCTCGTGGCGCGCACGTGCCTGACGAGGGGTGTATTGGTGATACCGGGGGAGTAATTGCAGGTGGTGAAGAAGATGGCGGCGGGGACGCTGCCGAGGCGCGGGGTCAAGGCCGTGGTGATATCACCGACGCGTGAGCTCGCGGGGCAGATCGCGGAGCAGGCGCGCATCGCCAGCAAGGGCTCCGGAGTCAGGTGCGCGCTGCTGACTAAGGGCATGCTCGTGTCAGGCGCCGACCTGACCAAGGTCGACTTCCTCGTCGCCACGCCGCTGCGGCTCGTGGGCCTCGTCAAGGACGGCAAGATCGACCTCGGGGTAAGACACCCCCCGCTCATGAAAAGAACACCCACCTTTTGTACGGCCTGCGACACGCACCACACCGCGCCGCGAGGCACATCGGCGCGCCGTCCGCCGTGATCGCAGGCGACAGCGTACGTCGTGCTGGACGAAGCGGACCTCCTCCTGCAGATGGGCTTCGTCGAGCAGGCGGACGCTATTTTGGCCGCGGCCGGCGCATCTCTGCCCAAGGGCGTGCCCTGCGTGCGCGCGCTCTTCAGCGCCACGCTCCCGGACACCGTCGAGGACCTCGCGCGCTCGATCCTCCACGCGCCGCTGCGCGTCACGGCCGGGGAGCGCAACACCGCTGCCGCCACTGTCCGGCAGCACTTCGTCTTCGCTGGCCGCGAGGCCGGGAAGCTCATCGCGATGCGCCGCCTGGTGAAGGAGGGCCTCAAGCCGCCCGTGCTCGTGTTCGTCGAGAGCCAGGAGCGCGCCAAGCGGCTCCATCGCGAACTGATGTATGACGGCATTCATGTGGACTCTATACACGCCGGACAGAGCCAGGCGATGCGGAACGCGGCGGTGCTGAACTTCCGGCGCGGGCGGACGTGGGTGCTGATCTGCACGGACGTCCTCGGGCGCGGGATGGACTTCCTGGGCGTGAACACGGTGATCAATTATGACTTCCCCGCGACCACGGCAGACTATATTCACCGAGTGGGGCGCACGGGGCGCGCGGGGCGGGAGGGGCTGGCGATCACGCTGTACACGGAGGACGACAAGCCGCGGCTGCGGCCGATCGCGAACTTGGTGAAGCAGGCCGGCGGGGACGTGCCGGAGTGGATGACGAAGCTGAAGAAGGAACGACTGGGGAAACGGGAAAGGTGAATCCTCGACTCCCGTTTCCTCCTTGGCTGCGCGCTGCCACCCGGCTCTCCTGCCGCGATGTGCGGCCGCGGAGCGTCGCTCGGACGGCGCAGACGAGGTTTTGAAGAGGGGGGACTTGCTTGACACGTGCTGCTGCAGGGCGCTGCGAAGGGAGGGCAAGCCGGTCAGGCCGCACGCGGGTGGCGCGAGTGGCAAGTCCGAGAGGGGGGCACCGGCACAGAAGAAGGCGGCGGGTGCCGCGACCGCACCGCCAAGGCGAGTGAAGGGAACCGGGGTTGCGAAGGAGCAGCAGGGACGCAAGCGCGGCGGCGAGGCGGCCGGCGAGGCGAAGGTTGCGAAGAAGCGAAAGAGCAAGTGAGCGTCGGCGCGCGCCACGGGGTCGCGAGTGAGCCACAACCCCGTTGATCGCTGCTGTCTCACACGGGGCGAAACACCGCCCGCTGACGCAGCCGACCTACGATTTCAGCTGCACGTCGCGCACGCACACCTCGCACTCCTCGCTCTCGCACAGCACGGCGATCTTCCGGAACCCGGCGGACCCGTCGAACGCCTGCACGGACTTCTTCTGTTGTCGCGAGTCCACCAGCGACGCGGCGTCGACGTCGTAGCACGCGTAGTCCCCGGAACGATACGACTCCGCCATGTCCGCGAGCTTCGCGCGCTTGCCCGACACGGAGTCCCCCAGCAGCTGCACGGCGAGGCTCGCTACGCTGCCGTTGTCCTTGACACACAGATGCACGAACTTGACGCCCGAGAACGCGGGGTCTTTCGTCGCGAACGAGAGGGCGCCGTCGCCCTTGACCTTCGCGCACTGCGAGCCCCCCGACCCGTCGTACGAGAACCCCTCCGTCGACCAGCTCGCATCGAACCATCCCTCCGCAAACCACCCGTCGCCGAAGATCAGGCGCGGCTCCGCCGGCGCCGAGCCCTGCCCGGGGCCGTCGAACGCCTGCACCGCCGGCTCCTCCCCGTCGTCGTACAGCGTCGGCGCGATCGGGTCGTTCTTGACGTTGTTGGGGTCCCCGGGGTTGTATGGGTGATACGGATTATACCCCGTGCACGCCTCCCCTGCGCCAGCAACGCGACGACGCGGCAGCCGCACGGTCGGCGTCCGCGCGGCACGGACGTCGCGCACTCACGGTGCCGTAGCGCGGCAGAGCAGATGCAATGCGGCACTGCGCATGACGGGGCATGCGCAGCCGCGCGCGCGTGCGAGACGGGAGGGGCGCGTGCCTGCGCCGCAGTTGTTCGGGGCGTAGTGCGGCTCCCACGCGATGCCGGGCGCCGGGTTGTCGGGCTTCGGCGCAGGGTTCTCCGGGCGGTGGTCGCACGGCACCTCCCGGAACAGGATGCCCATGACGCCCCACTCCTTCCCCGCGAGCTTCTCGAACGCGTACTCGGAGAGGTCGATGTGCGGCATGTCCCCGCAGCACCACCGGCGGTTGGAGTAGGCGTTGGCGTGCTCGCAGGGGCACTGGTCCGTGATCTGCGCAGCGGCGGCGCACGGGGCCGAGCGATGGAGACAGCTTGGCCTTGCTGCCGCGTCGAGAGTGTCGTGAGCGCTCAGAGTGCCGTGGCGGCTATCATTGTGAGAAATATCAACAAATAAACATCTTTTTATGAATATCGATTCGTGGTTTGGCGTTGCAGGAGGCGCGCACCGTGATGACGATGCTCTGGCTCTCGTCGGAGCAGACGTGGTCGCGTCCGAGCTGGTTGCCGTAACCGTCGCTGAACGACGCGGGCTTGCACCGGACCTCATAGCACCGGCCGCACGAGCCCGCAAAGGCGTCGGTGGAGTCCGTGAGCGCGCCGATGTCCCACCCGGTGCCCTTGTCCGGGTCCAGGTACCCGTACCCGCAGGATCCGTAGTGCATCGTCTCCTTGTAGAACGTCGCGCGGCCGAACTGCGGGAACGGGTGGCGAACGCCATGTGACGAGGCCGGGGCGCTGGTCGCGGCGACAACGCTCCGTGTCTCGCGCGGATCCGACGGGTGCTGGACCGTGTGATGGAGAACGAGGCCCAGTGCGCGCCGCGGCTTCGAGACATGGCCGCACCGCAGTTTTGCAACATGCTACAATGGTTCCGGCACTCGGGACGGCCAGGGGTCGCGAACCTTCCAGCCGTTCTCGGCATGTGCGGGGATGATCATCGCGGCAAGCAGGATCGCGACGATCTGGGCGAGCCGCGACACGGCGCACGGTACTGCGCGGTGGCAAGCCGTCAAGGGCTGCGAGGAAACGAGCGTCGTCCGCGGCATGGAGCCAAGCGTTTGCGAGGAATTTTGCGCGAATCCCTTTGACAGATTTCCGAGTTTCCGAAGTGTTGCCGTGCAGGCGGCACACACGCGGCTATCGTGCAAGAATCGCGGGGAAGCTTCTGTGACGGCAAGGCGCTGCCACGAACTCACGGACGGCTTGGAGCCGCTCACGGCTCCACAGAACGTATGGAAAATTCGAGGTTTGTGGTTGAGTTGGCACGATCGCGCCCCGAAGGCCTCCCACGGGCGCCTGCGAGCCAGAGGGGATGTTTTCAACGACTGGCAGCTGCGCCACGTTGCCGCGCACCGCCATGCGCCCACGCCCGCACCGGCTTCCGCTTGCCGACGTCCATCCCTTAGAATAAGTACGGCTCTCCTCGCGGACAACGTCCACGCGATCGTCCGCACTTGACCACCTCACAGACACGACTGGCGACTTCCCTCGCGTCGCGCGGACATCCCGGACCTCGCGCACGCGCGTTCACTCGATCGCTCGTCCGCCGAAACTAAATCCCCCTCCGTGCCCGTTCCCTCGCCCCCCGCCCCCGTCAGTCGAGCCGCTCCCACGATACCCATCCCCGGGCGCCATCTTGCGCGCTGGGCGGCCCGCCATCGGCGCCGCGATGCACCCGAGGGCGGCGCAGAGTCCAGACGGGGCAGCCTCAGTCTCTGAGACCCCCCCTGTCCGCGCTCGCAGCCTCGCCATCTCCCGCTTCAGCTCCGTAGCTACGTCAGACCTGCGGTAGCACCGAACCGGCGAGATGGACTCGCGAACCAAGGCGCGAGCCGCGTCGCGCCGAGGACTCGCTCGACAGCGTGCTTCGCGAGCTGCTGGACACAAGCGTCCCACGTCGCGCGGGTTCAAGGCGTGCGCTGCGGTACGTGTTGCGGGAACACAGTGTTGCGGGAGACGCGGCGTGGCGCACCGCATGAGGATCGAGGGGGTCGCTCGGAGGGGATCGGAGTTTTCGTGGTCGATTTCTGGGGCGTCGAACCCGAGCAGGTTGCCGTTGGTGAGCCGTACGAGGTCTCCAAGGGTCGGATGTCTCGCCATCAGCCATGCGGGGCCGTCGCTTCCACCCGAGGCGCCGTCGAGGAGCCTGAGCCAGTCGTTGATTTTGTACAGCGCTGCGAAGCGATGCGAAACCTCCCAAGCTCTCAGCGTCGCTAGAAGCGTCGAATCGTGACCATCTGCTGCTCGGCGCCGACTCACCCGTGACAGGCTCGCATCGCTTGCGCACTCCGACGATCGGTGCAGTTACGGAGGGACCTGCGCGCAGAGCGACTCGCGGCGCCGTCACCTCGAACATCGCAGGCGTGAGCTCCTCCAGTCCCTGCACGCCGTCGCCCGCCCCCACCGCTACCCAGGCATCCAGACTGACGTCTTGATCCCGCGCAGAGACTTTGGAGCTCGATGCCGGACCAGATTGGGCCGTGCAGCGCACCCACGAGCCCCTCCTGCGCCGATACAACGTACCTTTGTATCTCGAATAAGGATGTGCAGGAACAAGACCAGGGGCTACGGGAACGCGCTCCCGCACCTGTGTCCGAGGACGACCTCGCCCTTCCGGAGAATCCCCGTCACGCGCGCCTCCGTGGACGGCGCGTCGAGCACGCGCACGTGCGGGTCGGCCACCACCAGGAAGTAGCGGGTGTGCGCGAACATGACAAGATGACCCTAGGGACAACCAACGGCAAGAACAATGCCAAGGCGAAGCCTGACCGCGGGCCCGAGGTCAGGTGCGACGTGCAGGCGCGCCCAACATGCTCGCCCTCGATCGCTCGGCAGGGGGGGGGGGGTTTGATGTTGGTGTCGACACGCTCCTTGGTTGTGTCGAACATGGGAGCGTCGTGCACGCTGGTGCAACCGTGCCGCGTGCCCGGCGACAAAGGGCGAGCAGGTGGGGCCCACGTGTGCGTCGCGCTCGACGAGGGGCCCGCGGCGGTTGCGTTGCGTTCACTTGTTTCGATGGGCGCGCTGTTGTTGGGGGAGTCTCCGAGGGGTCGAGTCTGGTCACACTGCGAGTCACTACCACTCGCGCGTGAGCGCGAGGTCGATCTTGGTATCTTCAGCATCAACAAGGATCGATGCGGGTATGTGGTACGAACAAGAAAGAAACGAATCGTTTGTTGTAAGAACAATATCATGCAGGGAAAGGACGACGGGTCCGGAGACCCGGCCGCCGCGTCGCCGACGATCACGAAGCGTTCAGTTTGATCGTTCCGGGGCGAACGCACGACCTCGCACGGGCACGCTGCGCGGTGCGCTCACGCAAGCGAGTCAGGGATGCGAGTCCACTCCCCCCCTTACGCCTTCTCCCGCGCGCCACCCTCCGCCCCCGCCTCCGCCTCCGTCCCCGGCCTCCGCACCCACAGCGCCACCGCCAGCCCGAGCGCCACGATCGTAGCGACCCCCCCGATGGCCATAAAGTACCCCAGAGTACTGTCCTTTCCGATGCCGTCGATGGCGTACCCAACGCTCATCGTGCCCGTCGACATCACCGCGAGCACGCCCGTGTCGAACAGCCCCTGCATCATCACCACGTCGCGCGGCGCGGCCTTCTGCCGTGCCACGTACTGCGTGCCCAGGACCGACGCCGCGACGTACGCGAAGTTCCACCCCACGCCCAGCAGCACGAGCGCGACGAAGTACATCCACTCTGCGTCGGGCACGAAGTACACCCCCGTGCCGGCCGCGAGCACGAGGAACCCGAACAAGAGGTTGTTGAGCGCGCCGAACTTCTGCACCGTGCGGCCGGAGACGAACCCGGGGAGGAACATGCTGATCAGGTGGACCTCGAGCACGGTCGTGGAGTCGTCGCGCGACCGCCCGTTCGAGCTCATCAGCACCGGCGTCGCGCCCATGAGCGACGCCATCCACCCAAAGGCCCACGCCGCCGCGCCCATGGCCAGCACGAAGTCGACCGACGTGAGGCAGTGCGTCACGACGGCCGCGTAGGGCCTCGGCGCGCGCACGGGGTCCTGCCCGGGCTTCGCGGGCTCCGGCGGCGCGCCGACCGGCAGCTCCTTCTTCCGCGGAACGCGATGCCACTGCGGCGGGCGCCGGGCGGAGGGAGGAGGGGGGCGTTATGCAAGCGCGCAGGCGTCAGTGCGAAGGCGCTGCGGTGGCTGCGGGGCACGCAGGCGGCCGGCACGCACCTGAACAAGGAAGCAGACGGAGACGATCTGCACGACGTAGAGGATGCACGCGATGACGTAGGCGCCGGTGGTCGGCGACCCGTCGATCATGTCGCGGGCGCGGCGCGCGAGCTCGGGCCCCGTGACGGCGCTGAACAGCGCGCCGGCGACGAGCGCGGCCAGTGCGCGCGGGCGCTCGTGGGGAAGCGCGAACTCCGCGGACGCGAACCGCAGGCTGTTCGCGAGGCCGTACATCGGGCCCTGAAGGACGGAGCCGACGATGAGGAGCCCCTCGTTCTCGCTGTCCATGCCGAAGCACTGGAGCACTGCGCCGCCGAGCGCCACCAGGCCGCCCGCGAGGTACGTGTAGCGGCGGCCGTAGCGGTGCATCGTGGCGGCGCCGGGCAGGCACGCGACGGCGCCCATGCAGATCATGATGCCGAAGGACAGCGTGGCGAGGCCGCGGCTGCCGGTGAGGCGTAGGACAACACCCGGCGTGTTCGAGACCTGCGCGGGAGCGGTGTTCGGCGGCCCGTGAGCCGCTCGCGTGTCGATGAGTGGGCTGGCTGGACGGTAGCAGCGCGGAGCGGCTGCGCGGTTGACGGCGTGGCGCGGCTGTGGGAGGGCTGCGAAGGTGCGGGCGGTCGCTCGGGGGCGTGGCTGCGTCTCTGGGCGTGTGCTCGCACCTGAATGAAGAGAACGCTGACCGCAACGCACCAGCCGACGGAGAGGAACGCGATGTTGCGCCAGCGTTGCACGGCCGTCAGAGGCTCGGGGGCACTGGCCTCGCCCTGTCCGCTCCTCGACGGCGCGGAGCTGACTTTCCCGGTCGCCGCGTCATCGGCGAGCGTCAGCTCTTGCGAACCGGGCGCATCATCGGCCATCGCGAGCCCCCTCCCCGTGCTTCCACGCCCACTGGCCAATTGCAGCGCAGCAGCGCGTAACGTCCGAGAGTCACGATGCGTCCGTGACGAGCGCGACTGTCAGGCCTAGCTGGCATCTGCCGGTACCGCCCAGAGGCCCGGCCTCCAGACTAGCGGGCGACAGCGCTCCCAGACTGTGGCAGTGAAAAGAGGCCTCTGCTTGCGTCCAGGCCGGTGCGTGTTGCTTTGCTCTTTTGTGCCCCTCACGGCGCGCGCGCGCCACGATCCTCTTCGTGCACATTCAACCATCGCGGGCCGGCAGAGCGTCGATAAGTCCGTGAATGACACAGCACGGAATCGGCCGGCCAAGGTGAAATCGAGATTGTGGCGGCAAGATGCGGCGCACGGGAGGACTGCAGCGGAGCTTGTCGCTTCTTTTGCGGATTCTATGAGTCTGAGCTACATCACAAGCGAGAGTCTGGCTTGTTCTACCTCCAGTAAACACCACCGCAGCGAGGCAATGACCCAAGCCCCTGGCACGCGCCGGCACCGCTTACGTGCCGCCATTCAGGTCGCAAATCTCCCTCTCGACGGTCCGTGTACATCAATTGTACCGCGCAAGTGGTAACTTCTGAGATTCATGGTCTCTGCTGTGACTTGACGTCATGGGAGGGTCCTCAGAGCTAGCTCACGTGGTGCCACTCCCGGTCCGCGGGTGCGGTCGAGGGGGCGCCGAGCGGCGCGGCGCGTAGACGCTGAGCAGAGAGACGCGTGTTCGTGCGTGTGGGCGAGGGCGGCGATGACGATGTTTGACTCGGAGGTGGCGGCAGTGGCTGAGAGGCTGGCGGGGCGCGAGGGGCGGGGCATCCTGGCCGCGGACGAGAGCACGGGGACGATTGGGAAGCGGTTCGTCGCCGTGGGCGTCGAGAACACGGAGGACAACCGGAGGAAGTACAGGTGGGACGATCTCCTTGCTGCTGTGGTTGCGTTCAGGGACGTCGCGTCGTGGGGCCTACAGACGCTAAATCGTTTGTTCGAGCGCCCAGCTTGGTAGTGTTGATCGATCACATCCCAAAGGGCGTGCTGAGCGCGGAGATGATATCATACCGTGGCCGGCGATGCCGCTTGTTCCTTGAGCCTATCCATCGCAATGACGCGGACGTGAACGGACCAAACGCGCGCCTGATGCAGCGGCATGACTGACCTGTCGTGTGGCGTTCCCAGGCTGTGCAAAGGGAGCCGTGAGGGTGCCGGGTCGAGCTGAAATCGCGCAGTTGCGGTCTCATGATGGCAGACACGTCCGCGCTGAATTCGCGCTCGTCCGTGCAGGGAGCTCTTCTGCACCGCGGACGTCGGGGACTTCTTCTCCGGGGTCATCCTTTTCAAGGAGACTCTGTATCAGTCGGCCTCCGACGGAGTGCCGCTCGTGCAACACCTTGCGCGGAGAGGGATCGCTGCCGGCATCAAGGTCGACGAGGGCCTCGAGCCCGTCGAGGGCGGCCGCGAGGGCGAAACGCACACGAAGGGCCTGGCCGGACTGTACGAACGCTGCGTCGAGTACAAGAAAGCCGGTGCCAGGTGCGAACAGCTGCTCCTCTTCTCCCGCGACGCACAGCGCCCCGTCAGCCCCGACGCCCTCGTATTGCGCGCGACCTCCCCAGAAATGATCATACCTTGCGAAATCAAGCGTCACCGAAGCCGATTCCGTTCCCCACCCACCGCGCCGGCCCCGTTGGCTGCAGCTTTGCAAAGTGGCGCGCAGCGCTCAAGGTGTCCCCGACGGACCTCCCGAGCGAGGTCGCGGTCGAGACGAACGCGGCCGAGCTTGCCGAGTACGCTGCGATCTGCCAGCGCGCCGGCCTGTGCCCCATCGTCGAGCCGGAAATCCTCCTTGACGGCGACCACTCCATCGACCGCTTCGAGGAGGTCACGACGCGCGTCGTGCAGGCCGTCACGCGCGCCCTGTGGCGCCACAACGTCGCGCTCGAGGGCAGCCTCCTCAAGCCGCAGATGGTGACGCCAGGCGCGGACTGGCCTGGGGCGAAGCCGGCGCCCGAGGAGGTTGCAGAGCGCACGCTGCGGGCGCTGCGGCGGTCGCTGCCGGCCGCGGTGCCGGGCGTGATGTTCCTGTCGGGCGGGCAGACGGAGGAGGAGGCGACGGCGAATTTGAACGCGATCAACGTTGCGCGGCGCGCGGAGGGGTCGCGGGCGCCGTGGGGGTGCTCGTTCAGCTTCGGGCGGGCGCTGCAGGCGTCGGTGCTGAAGATCTGGTCGGCGGACATGGCGGCGACGGACGAGGCGCAGCGGATGGCGGCGGCGCTCGCGCGGGCCAACGCGGCGGCGGTGCGGGGGGAGTGGGACGGAACACACCCCTCCCTGCTCGGCGGGAAGGCGCTGACGGAGACCTTCCGCGGACACACGTCGCACAAGCCGTGAACAGCGCACTGCGCGACGGACGTGCGCGCTGCGGCCGGTCCACTGTCACACGCGCGACGCGTCAACGCAACGTGCCCTTTGGACGCGAGATCCGCCCGGGGGACGGCATGTAACGGCTTGCTGCTCCTTGTACGTCACGTGACGGGCCCTTGTATCGCAGCGCGGTGTTCGATTCCGTGTTCTACTTTGCCCACAGCGCCTGTCAGGGCCGACACAGCAACGTATACCCCCCCGCGGACGTGCGCACCGCCATGGTGGCGTCGTCGAGGTACAGGATCTGGTAGTTCCGCATGTCCTGGTCGCGCGTCTTGTCGACGACCGCGCGGCCGAACAGCTCCACCTTCACCTGCGCAAACACCCCACGCACGCGCTCTTGTGGCAACAACGGTGTCCGGGCCCGCCGACGGCCTCGGCCAGCACGTGCGCGGCGCACGCGAGCTGCACGCACCTCCGGCATGGTGAAGTCGAAGCCGTTGAGGTCCGTTCGGAACTCGTACTCCCCCCCGAAGGTGTTGATCAGCGGCCCGGCAAAGCCCTTGAGCTCTGCGGCGGGAGACGGACAGGAACAAGGGAGGGCCGTCGTGGATCGACACGGACATCGCGTCCGCGGGGCGTCCGCGGCGTGAGCGGCGCAGTCCGAGGCCGGGGCGACTGTGGCTGCCTGTGGTGTAGTTGACTGCTGCGCTGAGGCGCCCGCCGGAAGCACTGCGAGTCTCGCACGCGGCGAGAGGCGACGGCGTGGGCACGTGCGTTGCGATCGCGGCAAGGCTGGGTCCTCACCGATGCGGCCCTTCTCGAGCGTGAGCGTTTCATCCACTGGAATGTATTTGAGGAAGTCGAAGGGAACTATATCTGACCACAGGACCGTCCACCGCCCCTGCATCGCGTCCCGCACCTCCGCGGGCGGCCTGCTGCAGCCGCCCTCGTCCTCCAGCAGCCGGAGCGCCCCCGTCAGGAGCGCGCTGTCCACTGTGCGCGTGACAGCCGCCTCCTTCATCAGGCCCACCGCGTCCTCGAGCTTCCCGGACGTCTTGTCCATGAACGCCTGCACCGACGCGGACGCAGTGGCATGCAGCTTGAGGGCAGCGAGATGGGTGACAGCGTCGAAACCCGGAGAAAAAAAAAAAAACAAGTTGAGAAAGCCGGCCCCGCACGCGGAATCCGGCCGTGGACGCCTGGTCTATTCGCGGCCGGCAAGGGCATGTGTTCTGGGTCGGCGCCGTTACGCTTCGCTCCCGCGTGGCCGTCCGTCGCGCGCCTGGGCAAGGCATGAGTGCAGGCGGCAGGGCCGTTGGGCCGCGAGCTCTTGGCCGGGGCGCGCGGAGGTCGCGATGCGCACCTGCAGCGCCTCCTGCTCCATATCTCCCCGGTCGCTCTTCGCGCGGACGCTGACGCCCCGCGCTGGCTGCCGGACCGCTCGTGACCTAGCCACGCTACCTGCACCCAGCGCAGTCCTCCACAGGCCGAGTCAGGGCCGCAGGTCGCCTCGAACGACGAGAGCACCTAGGATACTTCGCGGACATGCCGGCGAGGTGCTGTACGAAGGCGATCTCGGTCGACGGTGCATGCTGTCGGCCCGAGATACATCATGCAGCGGCGACAGGCGGCGTTGCGGCCACGTGAGGCGGCCAAAAGGCTCAGCTTGCTGCAGGGACACAATGCTCACGTACCTGGAGACCGCCGGGTAACGGGCGGGCTGCATGGTGGACGCAGTGCCCCCGCGAGGGTGCCAACTGCCCAGGTCATGAGCCCTCTTGTTGCGAACCGGCGGCCTGTGCGCGAAAGACAACACGCGTGGCTCGCTCGCGGCAGGCTTGGACGCAGACGAGCTCGCGGCCCGTGAGTGCCGGTCACACGCCGCTGGACGGGCATGTGAGGAGCGGTGAGGCGACCCTGGGGGTCTGAAGCTTGTGGGGGGGAGTGTTGGCTCTGGGGCGCACCCTGCGGGGGAGCGCCCGCCGCCCTGGCGAAGCTGGTCGGCGGGGTCGCGGCCTGTCCGCGAGCCGCAGTCCGCCGTGGCTTGTACTGTACCGTACAATTCATATTCAATCAATCAATTCAATCATGTTCAGTAGATCCAGGAGTACAGGATGCATGTGTGTGCCTAGGTGGAGGAGGGAGCACGAGTCGCGGGGCACTCCCGAACGACGCCTCCACGCGAGCGGAGTTCAGCGACTCGGCGCAGGCAGCAGCACCGCCCGCTGCCGCACCACAGCGCGCGCTCGCGCGTGCGGTGGACGCGCCAGGCAGCGGGGAACAGCACGCATGTGCGCAAGCGGCGTCATCAGGGCGGGCGTCGTCACTTGGCCAGTGCGAACCGCACGTGAGGCTGCCAGTATAAAGACACACCCCTCCTTGTCAGACCCGACAGGGCCGTCTCCTAGGCCAGCAGAGCACACCGTTCGTCCGCCGAGCACCTACGTGCGGCACACCCCCTCCATCCCCGCCCGGAAACATGCACATTCGGCCAGATGGTAAGCCTGCAACACGCGCGGCTCAGACAGGTCGCAAAACCCCCAGCATTTCAGGCCTCCGGCCCTCCGGCATGAATCAGCGCCCCCATGCCATCCTCGCGGTGCTGATACAGCGGCGACGCCACGAGCGCGTCGTCGCGCACGCTGAGACACCCCCCCTACCCGCTACGCAGGGAGCGCAAAATCGCGGCGCCGAGAGCTGCACCGCGGCCGACGCGGGTGCCGACTGACCTCGCAAGGCGGCCCTGGGGATCAGCCGGAGGGCTGCGGGCCCAGCCTGGACCGTCCAGGGAGGGGGGGGCTGTTTGGGGGGGGAGTTTGGTAAAAGGGCGGCCGAGCGTTCGAGCGGACGCGTGCGTCCTCGCGCGCGCGGGCGCGGTCAGTAATGCCGCGGGCCGGGGCCGCGGGGTCCGCGTCCGCCGCCCGGGGGGCCCCACGGTGCCCCCCCGCCCATCGGCATGCCAGGCCGCATCCCGGGGGGCTGGCCCTGCGGCCGTCCCTGCGGGGGCCCGCCCGGCATCGGCCGAGCTCCGTACCCGCCTCCTGGACCTGCACGACGTGGCACGCGGATGCGGTGCGCTACAAGTCAGCCAGCCTGCATCGAACACACGCATGTAACATGCAAGAGTGCGTGGCTAGCGGACGATGCAGCGGCGAGGTGCCGGAGGGCGCGTACCGCCAGTCTGGTGCGACATGGGCGGAGGCCCGGGCATCCCTCCAGGGGGTCTGCCGCCCATAGCCCCCCCGGGGGGTCCTCCTGCAGGCATCATACCCCCCGGGGGCCGCTGCAGCTGCTGCGGCGGGCCTTGCGGCATGCCCCGAGGGTGCGACATGTCCGGCCGCATCCCCGGCGGCCGCGCCTGACCAGGCCCCGGCCCGGGCGACGGCCGCTGTTGCTGCATCGGCATGCCACCCGGCATCGGCCGTGGCGGCCCCCGTGGCCCCGGATCGCCTCGCATCGGCCCGCCTGGCACCGCCCCGCCCCCCGGCGCGCCCGTCCACCCGCCCGCCGGCCCCCCTGACGGCCCACGTGGCACCAACCCCCCCGGGAGTGCCGGGGGGCCTGGGAGCCCCCCGCCCCGCCCGCCAGCCTCGAGCGCGGGCGCCACGCCCACCGGCCGCGCTGCAGGCGCAAAGTCGCGGCTCTCCCCGCCCGAGAGCGCCCCGACCGTCGACCCGTACCCCTGCGCCGCCGCCTCATGCGGGTGTTGGGAGACGAACTCCCTCCTGACGTGATCCAGCAGGTTGTTCGCGAGGTCGCGCGCCTCGTGCAGCGCCTTCGCGCTCGTCGACACCAGCGCGATGTGCAGCGGGTCGTCGGAGCCGGGGCCAACCGACGCGGGCGTCCCGGAGCCGCGCCCGCGCAGCGTGACCGCGATGTCTGCGCCGGAGAGCTTCGCGGACTCCTGCTGGATGTGCTCGAGGTAGGAGTCCTTGGGCCCGCGGAGTTTGCTGACGAGGCCGAACGCGGGGGGGGGGTTGATGTCAATGAACACCCGCCAGCGGCCGCCGGGGCCGTCCGCGCGGGCGGGCGCGGCGGAGGCCTGCTGGGGCTGGGACTGGCTGGCTGGGTCCGGCCACTGCGAGACGGGCTGCGCGTGCTGCTGGGAGGCCGGAAAGTTGCTCACTGCGGCTTGGCTGGGCTGGTTGTACGCTCCGTAGCCGCCCGTGGCGGCGGGCGCGGCCTCGTACCGGGCGATCACGTCGCGAATTTCCTTCTCCGCGCCCTGCGGCGTGTGCGGGGCCGCGGAGCGTCCGCGCGGTGAGGGCGAAGTTGTTGCGGTGGGGGCGCACGTAGCGAGCGGCCGCGGGACCGGGGCGTGGAGCGGCGCTCGTGGAAGCAGGGGATTGAGTCATGCTGTTCTTGCGGGGACCGTACCCGAACGTACTGCGCCTGGTCCGCGGCAGGCACGCCTGGAGCTTCAATGCGGAGTGCAAGTCTCTCTCCGTGCGCGCCAGGAGGCAGGAATGATCCGTGCTGGGCGATGCTCACGTAGTGCCTGCAGGGTCGGTAGTGCGTGGACGCCCGCGTCAGGTCCTGAGACGCGCGGAGCGGAGCGCTGGTTGCACGACACGCGTGGTACTGGCGTGGGCGTGCAGCGCGGTGTGCTGACGGCTCACCTGTCCTGGAGGGATCGCAGCCAGTTGCGGTCTAGCACTGCGTTGCGCGTCTGTTCCTGGAGGTGGTTCAGGGGCACCAGCGCGCTCCCGGCCCCCCCGGCCGATGCAGGAGGCTCGCCGCCGTAGCCGCCGTAGCCCGCGCCGTTCGCTCCCGACCCGTACTGGTTCTGCCCGTACCCGCCGCCTGCTCCGCCTCCGTACGAGCCATACGCCCCGTACGCGCCGCGCTTCGCGGAAGGCCCGCCGGGGCCCCCGCCGTCGAACGTTCGCTTCCCTCCCGGGCTGTTGCGCATCGCGAACGGCCTTCCTGCGTGTCCGCCGGCCGCGTGGCCGCGCCGTCTCGTCTGCGCGGCGCGCGGAGAAGCCGGGTGAGTCCCTGGGATCGATTCAGAGGACCCCAGAGGTACAACAGAGGTCCGCAGCGCACGTTGCGGGCGATGTGGCGCCCGCGACGGCCCGGGCGGGTAGATGGCCCTCGCAGCTGGTTCGCGGAAGCCACATTCGCGACCTAGACAGTTCGCGCAGCCAGGAAACCAGCTCCCAGTGCTCAGCTTCCGTGCTGTGCCTGCTGAGCGATATCCTCGGGGGTCCCCGACGGCCCGCAGCGTCAACACCGCCACCCTACACCCCACGCAGCAAGACCCGCCGCGAACGGCGCGTTTGGTCGAGCGGCAGGCCCAGGGCGGTCCTCGGCGGGAAAATTTTTCGGCATCAAGGGAGCCGCAGTCCCGCTCTCTCGGGCCCGTTCGAAGCCGCGGGGGGCGCGCAGCAGGATGGCGCACGAGTCACCGTACCGCAACGATGCGCAGCTCCAGGTGAGACGGCCGCGTTACCGAGAACGCGAAGTCGTTGGCCTAGGTCACCAAGCCCCGCGCGCGTGCGAACAGCCGGGACGACCGCCTTGAGCCTCGGCCCGGCGAGGCGCGGCTGCGCTCGTGAGCTTGCGGGTCCGGAGTGGGAAGGCGGGTTTCTGCGCGCGTGCGGCGCGGCAGCTGCGTGGCAGAGGTCACCTCTGGTGCTGGGCGCGGCGCGAAGAGAGGCGCTCACGCCACGGCGTTTCCTCGCGCTGCGTCGCGCAGAAAGGCTGTATCGTCGAAGTGCGCGGGATCTTCGAGCCGAACTTCCCGCGCTCGTGGTTCAAGGCCGAGGTGGTCGCTCCTCCTATTCCGTCCCAGGCAAGGCGCCCTGCTGCCCGCCTGGCTCGCACGCCGTGGCGCGCGGACCGCTTCCAGAATCGCGGTGTGCGCGGGGCGCGGTCTTCGCGGACGCCGCGGGACGTGCGGCCCGCGAGAGGACGTGAATGTTGTTTCCAATGAGGCGGCGCTCGTGACCGCGCTTCCTCGCGCCGACGCTCTGCAGCCCCGCGACCAGAAGCTCGGGAACACGCGAGTCGAGTATCAGGAGAGCTTCAAGCAGTACATCGCCTCGCTCGCCGACCCGGAGTTCGACGAGATGACGTCGAGCAACGAGCTCGCCGACCTGCGAGGTGCGCCCTCGCCCGTCCTCTCGGGCCCGGAACGCACCGAAATAAATTAAATTCAAACTTCATCGCCAGAACTGCCGTCCGCCTCACCTCGGCTCGCCGTGCCCCGCGCCCGCGCAGTGGACGGCCCCTACCACTGCCACCACCACTTTATGATGCCGCGGGACCCCCACGTCCAGGGGCACGACAGCGAGGTCGTCATTCAGTACAGCAAGCCCTTCGCGAACGAGCTCACGGACTCGTCCTTCCGCAACGCCCTCTCCGGCGTCATCACCCCGCTCTCCGCCGTCCGCCCGGCGTACGACGACGACGGCGACGACATCGACGTGCGCCCGCCCCGCCCCCGCTCCCGCTTTGCAAGGGCCCGCCAGCGCCTGCACGCGCACACACCCGCCAACACGCCACACGGCCCCTGCCGCCGCCGCAGTTCGCGTCGCTGCAACTCCGGGACGCGATCGACCTGTGGTACAACGGCGCGTGGTGGGAGGGCTACGTGTACGCCTTCGAGGACGAGGACGCGTCCTCCTGCACCATCATCTGCCCCGAGGGCCGCGAGCTGTACCAGGTCACTCTTGCCGAGCAGCGCGACGCCAACTGGACCACGTTCAAGCAGCTGCCGGAGATCGACGTGTCCAGCGGGCAGCCGGTGAGGGGGCGGAGCAAGAAGGTCAAGAAGGTCGCGCGGATGCCGTATCGGATCCGCGTGGGGAAGGATTGGAGTTGGGAGCAGCGGGAGCTGCGCGCGCGGCCGCCGTGGGTGGGCGCGTTCACGCTGATGGACGGGACGAAGGGCAAGGGCGTGGACAGCCGCGCGCGTGCGTCGAGGGACCTCTCCGCGCGCGGCGCTCCGAGGGTCGCGGGGCAGCGCCGGGCGAACCGCGACCTCTCGCTGGCGCCTGCGCCTTCGCGGCAGCCGGAGCGCGCCGCGAGCGCGGGCGTCCCCGGGGAGGGCGCCGTGCCGGAGAAGAAGAAGAAGTCCCCTCCCGCGGTGGTGCCCGCGCCGACCGGGAACGGCGAGCCGCCGTCCGGCGGCGAGCCGCCGAAGCTCACGTCGGAGCCTGCGGCGGCCGCGCGGGCCGGCGGCGGGCCGGGCGGCGCCAAGCGCAAGCGCGCCGCGCAGGCCGCGGCGGCGCCGCACGAGGAGAAGGCGCCGGTGGCCAGCGCGGCCGAGGTGACGGAGACCGCGGTGGTGAAGCGGGCGAAGACAGCGGCGGCGCGGGGCGAGGGTGGCGCGGGCGCTGCGAGCGGGAGCAGCGAGGAGGGGCGCGTGCGGAAGGCGGAGGAGCGGCGCGCGGTGCAGGCGCGCCGGGTCGCGGAGGAGCAGCGCGCTGCCAAAGAGCAGCAACAGCAACAGCAGCTGGACCCGGTGAGGCAGCGCGAGGCGCTCCTGGAGGAGCAGTGGGTGAAGTACACTGGCGAGAGGAAGGCGGTGGGGGCGGGAAAGGAGGCGAGGAAGGCGGAGAAGTCGGAGGTTGAGAAGAAGAGAGACGCCGAGAGGATGAAGCAAAAGGAGAAGGAGAAGCGGGAGCAAAAAGAGAAGGAGGGACCCGACGGGACGTCGTTCGACGACCTCCTCATGGCGCCGTCGGCGAAGCGGCCGGCGACGGCGAAGCCCCGCGGCGCGCGCAGGGCGGAGGAGGAGGCTATGTTGCGGAAGAGGGAGGAGCAGCGGCGGGAGCACGCGCTGCGGCTCTCGCGGGCCAACGGGGCGGAGGGGGCGGCCGCGGCGGACCGGCTGCGCGACAGGGACCGCGACAGGGACCGCGGGGGCGGGCGGGGGCCTGCGGTGGCCGTGCGCGCGGCGGCGGTGCTGCGGCTGGACGAGGTGCGCGCGACGACGATCTGCATCGACAACGTCGGGTTCGACGTCGACAGCGAGGAGCTGAAGAGGTGCGCGGCGCGGTCCGGCTGCTGTTCGTTTGGGTGCAAGCGATGATATGTTTCGTTGGTTGGTTTTTCGCCGCTGTTCGGCACTGTCGGGCGCCCGAGGCGAAGTCCCTGCGTCCCGGAAGAGCGTGGACCCGTGCGGGGCTCGCGTTGCCGTCCGCGGCCCACCCCCCGTTCGGTCACGTGCGTCAGACGAGAGCCAGTCAGTCAGTCAGCACACCCCCTGGATATACACATCCACGCGTTGCAGGGCGCTGCAAGTTTTTCTCGGCCCGGAGAGCGGCCTGCAGGAGGCGCACAGCAACTGCATGCAAGTCGGCTCCGACTCGATCCGCAGCGGGTGGGGCTACGCGCGCTTCAAGAGCCCGGAGGCCACCGCAGCTGCTTTGAAGCGCCTCAGCGCCGCCACGCTGGTCTTCGGCACCGACGACGGCAGCGACCCCGGCACGTTCCCGCGGCCCCTGCTGCCCCACGAGCCCCAGTGGCCCCCGGGGGACAGCGGCAATGAGTCAGGCGACGTTGGGTACCTGCACAAGTCATGGGAGGGGCCGGGGGGAGCGACGGGCCCGCGCGTCGAGACCGCGACGCACACGCCGCAGCCCGGGCTCGCGGAGTGGGAGGACGCCAAGATGTGGTCGTGGCTGCACCTGCGCCACCAGACGGCGCGCGACAGCCTGCTCCAGGATCACGTCGAGGTGCGCACGCACGCACGCACGCACGCGAATTCGCCGGGCGCGGAGCAGCGGGCCGGCGCGCCGCGACCGCCAGGGCTCCGCGGGGGAGGGGCGGTCGTCCGGCACCCGCGCCCACACTCGCCGCGCCACCAATGACGCAGAACGCAACGACGTTCTGTTTTTTTCTTCCATCTCGCTCGCGTTTCTCTCGGCTCCGCCGCGGCTCCGCGCTCCTGCCACCGACATCTTCGCGGCGATGACCGCGCCGTCGCTGTCGTCCCCCGCGCTCCGCAGGAGATGCAGGGGCTACTGAAGGAGGACGCCTTCGTCAGCGCTGCCGCTGAGCACGGCGCCGGCGGCGCGCCGCCGCTCCGCCCCGCCGACGCGGGCGCCGAGGCCCTGCGCAGCACGATCTTCGTGAAGCACCTCGCGAGCGACGTCACGGAGGACGACCTGCGTGTCGGGTTCGATCAGTTCCTTGACTTGGAGGAAGTGACGCTCGTGCGGGACCCGGTGACGCGGCGGCCGCGCGGGCGCGCGATCCTGAGGTGCCGCAACGCGGACGCGGCGGCCGCCGCGGTGCCGGAGTTCAACAGCATGCTGCTGCTGGTGAAGTATACCCCGCGCGTGGTGACGGTGGTGCCGGCGACCGCGGGGCGGTGGCAGGCGGTGTGGCGCAACGGCGGGCGTGAGCCGGAGCAGGGCATGTCGGTCAAGTCGCAGGCGGTCATGGACGCGGCGTACCGCGCGCTCGGCGGCGCGGCGGCGCACGCGCCGCGGGGGGGGGGTGTTGCGATCGTGGAAGACAAGACGCTGGGGGCGAAGGCGGCGGCGACGATGCGGCGCGTGAGGGCGATGCTGCAGCGGCAGTGGGAGGAGCGGCGCGAGCTGCAGGCGGTGCTGAGGGAGGAGCTGCGGAAGCTGCACAAGGAGCAACAGGTGCGCACATCAGACCCGCTCTGAGTCTCACGCGAAAACGCCAAGGCTATCGTTGCGGGGACGGGCAGGCGTGTGTGCGGCTGCTCGGCGGATGAGGAAGGCCGCGATGCGTGCTGGTCAATAGAAGCGTCGACTTGCGTGCGAGCGAACATCGAGGTAGCAAGACTGGGGTTGATGTGGTGTGCAGGAGAAGCTGGAGAAGAGCGTCAAGTACTTCAAGATGGCTCTGAACGTCACGAACAGCAAGCTGTTGCAGACCACCCTCGGGGTTGACCCGGGTGGGGGCGCGGCCGTCGCGCACGACGTGGCCACGGGCGAGAACATCCAGAGCAGGGTGTTGCGGGCGAACGTGCCCACGGAGCTGCGCGTGACGGAGCAGGAGGTGCGGAACCAGGTGAGGTTCGAGCAGGAGATGGGCGCGCAGCAGTGAGTGGCACGTGCCGCCGAGCGGCGGAGTGGAGGCGGTGGCGAGCGCGATCCGGCGTCGCGGAGTTTAGGAGGGGCTGCGCTGGCACGAGGAAGTGGCGCTTTGTAATGCACAATCAGTCTGACGAAACGTGTCAAGCCGGAGGTCGCATTCGGGACGAATGAAACACCTCACCTCATGAACCGTGACAAAGGGTGGCCGAGAGCAACGACGTGTGACGCGGTGGGAGGAGTGTGAAGGGTCATGTTCCGTGGAGCGTCTCTGAGCCGCCGAAATGCAGTCGCTGGGTCGCAAACAAACACCGCTTTCTACACATAGAGTAGTAATTGACCACCCTACACATACCACGGCAGCAGCACTGTTGCCGTGCGCTTGCCTGGGCTCGGCGCTCGACTGTTCCGAGGTCGCCAAGGCAGGGCTCGCGCCATTGCACGTCGCGCGACGAGCCAGCGCGCCGTGGTGACGCCGCGAAGCAACACATGCCGTACAAAACCCTGCACATTCACAGACCTCGACACACGGCCGCTGGCGACCGCCGACGCCGCCAAACGCGTCCACACCGACGCGCGCAGCCCCCTTCGACGCACGGGCGCCAAAAAACACCTCCCCAACCCTCCCAGCACGACGCAGATTCGATCGCCAAGGCAATCACGGAAAAAACGCTCAGTCGCGGCTCGTCCGCCCAGCCAACCCTATCCCCGCGCTACCGCGACAGGTCCGGCGCTCCCTCCGTGTAGTTCCGGAGCCCCCGCACCGTCACGTGCAGAGACTCTGGTGCAAACCACACATACCTCCCCTCCCCCAGTGCTGAGTCAACTGCGTCCCGGAATGCCCCCACCGCGCGCGCGAGGACGTTCCGCCCGCGCTCCTCGCCCCACCCGAGCCGGTGCACCAGCGTCGCGCCGTAGCACGCCCCGCGGTAGTGCCCCTCTCTGTTCCCGTCCGCACACGCCCGCCGCCAATACTCCTCCCCCCTCGTCTCCGCGACGACCCGCTCGACCTTCGCGCACGCCTCCATCCCCGGCCGCTCCCAGCACTCCTTCCCGCTGCACGCCACCTCCAGCTCCGCGAGCACGCCCGGCCGCTCCAGCGAGCGCGCACCGAACACAACAAGACTGAGCGTGTCCATGACGATGCCGCCGCCGGTGCCGGTGTCGTCGGCGCGCTCGAGGTCCGCGAGCCCGCGGCTCGCGTCGTCGCACACGCGGGAGAGCGTGTCGAGCTCGGCGCGCGTGAGCGGACCGCCCGACAGACACCCTAGAGATACCTTGGGCCATTGGGAACCCGGGTTTTCCGCAATGAGGTTCGGGACGAGGCGCTCGAGGTGGTCCTTGAAGGCGAGGAGCGCCGCGGGGATGCCTTCGAAGGCCAGCGTGAGCACGCCGTTCCACGAAACCAAGAAGGCCTTGGGGCGGAAGAGCATTCGGGGGAGGTGACGGACCATGCGCGTGATTTCCGGCGCCGCTAGATCCTGCGGGGCGGCGTAGGGGGTCCGTGGAGTTCAATGCGGTGCGTTGCTGCGCGGAGGGGCGTGCGAGGCGGCGGTTGGGCGCGCGGCGGACCTTGAGAGCTGCGGGGAGCGATGGGACTTGTTCAGAGTCCTCCGTGACGCGGAAGTAGAGGGGCGCCTGCGCGGGCTGCGGGGCGGCGCCCTGCGAGGACTGGTCCGTCGTCCCGTCGTCCGCGCGTTTCTCGCAAGAGGACCGCGGGCCGAGCGTGGCCGTGCCCATGACTCTGCTCCTGCACGCCTGTCACGCAGCGAGCGTGGCCGGATTTGCCACGATGGTTCGCGTAACCCCGTCCGTGGATCTCGCGCTACTTGAATCCAGCGGTGATCGTGACGGGACCGCCCCCCTGCGCGGATTCCGGAGAAAACCTCAGGAGCTCAATGGCCCCCCGCTTCGACGCATCCGACCACCAACGCCGCCCCGAACGGCATTCTCCCCGCCGCGAGTATACGTCGGACCGGCGGGAGGTGTGAGGGACGCACCTCGTCGCGGCGGTGCCGTCCCGCGCCCGCGTCTCTGTGCTGCCAGGTCAAACGCCGACGCCGACGGCCCCCGCGCGCACCAGCGCGAGCTCTCGCGCTCCAACGATGAACAACGAGCCTGCCGTCCCGAAAGCTGTCTCCCACGCGGGATCTCCGCGCCAGCGCCCGCGAACGCGATGAAACCCCGCACGGACAGCACCTCCACGGCCGCGTTTGGCCCGCAGGCAGAGCGGTTCTTACGCCGAGGTCAGTTCTGGACCAGACGCGTGGTGCGGCGGCCTGTTGCGTGGCGAGGAGGCCCAGGAGCGATGCACGCGGGCCGTGACTGACTGGGAGCACTGCAGGCCCCTTGACGGGGCCTGACGCGACGGCGGCCGCTCCGGCGGGCACGAAGGCGCGCCAGGCGGGCGTGCGCATGCAGACGGAGGGCGAGAGTGACGTCGCGGGCGAGTTCCACGTCGCGAGGCGCTGGTGGAAACTCCGCACCTAGGGCGTCGGCTCCTGGAGCTCACACCGCGAATCTCGATCGGTTTCGCACTGCCAGGCGCTTTCCTATCGTTCTGGTCCAGTGTCCCGCGCGTCGCGCCGGCGGGTCGCGTCTGACTGACGTCATCTGGGCCCTTTTCCTCCGGGCATCCTGACCCCTCTCTGTGCGGCGAGCTGGAGGAGCCTGTCGGTGTCCCTCGGCCCCGCGCCACGGCTGTGGATAGATGCATCGGTTCCGCTGTGCGTACCGTCCGTCCTTGGCCGCCGCGCGCCTGCGTTCACTATCATCAGCCAAGCAGTCGAGGCGACCAATGCGCACCGAAACGGGCGCTTCTCCTTCTCTGGCGCCGACCACACCACCCCCGCGCCAGAAGCTCTCGCCGCAGCGCGCTTCGCGTTCCCCGGAAACGGCTGTGACGTCGCCAGCGCCCACAACAGCACCCGAGGCGCTCCCGACATCCCAACCCCCCCTCCAGCAGCTCTTCGTCCGCGCGCCCGGCGACGGCCCGTTCACGGAGGTCTTCTGCATCGGAGACGGCCTGCCCGACGCCGAACCGGACGGCTCACCCCGAGGGGGGGGTGTCTGCTGCGTCATCATACCTGGCAACCCAGGCGCGCACACCCCCGGGTCGATCCGCGGCAATCGAGCCTCCCCACCGGCCTCCCAGTCGCACCAGTCCCGCGCCCTTCGCACAACCCACGCGCGCCCTCCGCCGCCGCACCGCAGGCTGTGGAGCTTACTACGAGACGTACGCGCGAGAGCTGCACCGCCGCCTGTCCGCGTCCGCGGCCGAGCCGTGCACCGTCGCGGCGATATCCCTTCCCGGCCACGCGCTCGACCGCGGACCCGGCCAGGCTCCGTCTCCGCCACAACCTATGAACCTTGATCAACAAATCAACCATCTGGCCGATCTGCTGCGGTCCGGGAAGCTCGGGGGCGCGGGCGGACAGCGGCTGGTGCTGATCGGGCACTCGATCGGCGCGCACGTCGCGCTCCAGGCGGCCGTGCAGGCGGAGGCGGGCGGGTGGGGGGCGCTGGACGGCGGGCGCGGGAAGGTTGTGGCGCACGTGCTGGCGCTGATGCCGTTCATGCGGTTCGACTGGGCGGAGCGCGAGCCCGTGCGGCTGAGGCGGCTGACGTGGACGCCGTGGCTGTTCGGGGCAGTGTTCGCCGCAGTGTCGCTGCTGCCCCTGGCAGTGCGGGCGGCGATCATCGGCCGCATGACGAAGCGGGCGATGTCTGCGCGGAGCGTCGAGGTGACGGCGCGGAATATTACGTGGGACCAGGGCATGAACAGCGCCGTTCTCGGCCGCTCAGGTGCGACACCGCCAGCGCAGCTGCGGCTGGGCTGCAGCCCCCACATCCGTCGTGCTGGCTCACGAGGCGACGAACGTATCACGCACAGCGCGCCCAAATCGCGCCCGTGTCTTGTGCGAGCTGCAGAGTTCGTCGGACTCGACAAGGAGCCCGACTGGGCGATGCTGCAGCGGTGGGGGCGCGAGGGGCGCCTGACCTCGTTCTTCGCGCCGGAGGACCCGTGGGCGCCGGCACGGTTCGAGCGCGACATGCTGCGCCTCGCCCCCGCTGTCAGGTGCAAGCTCCTCGCCGATCAGGTGCACGGCTTCTGCGTAGTCGACGCGATGGCGTCCAAAGTGGCCGCGGAGACTGCGGCGGTGGTGCGCGAACACGTCGGGGGGTTCGGGCCCGAGGGGGACACCGCGGCGCCGTACGAGACCGAGGTGGGGCCGGGGCGCGACAAGCCGGGCGTGGTGCATCCAGGGGAGATGGAATTCTTCTGAAAAGGCGTTTTCTCAATTGAAGACGCGGCGGTTTCCGCACCAGTCGGGCGACCTCGCGCCGGGTGTGGATCACACGTGCACGGGATCGACGTGCCGTCTGGGCGCGGGCGGGGAACATCGCATCTTGCCCTGGTTCCCCAGGACTTCGAAAGACTTCTTGTAGTGATGTACGTTTGAATGGATTTCCAGGATTGTTTGTGAGTTTGCAACGACTGCTCCGCAATAGAGAGGTAGACTGGATGATACGCGCCAGTTCGCGGGACCGCCGCCTCACGTCGTGCTCTCTCCGACCGAGTCCCGCTCGTCAACCGCGGGGTGCGACGACCGCACCATCACGTGCCGGGGGTGCTCCAACACGTCGTACGTAACGACGACCCCCTCTACACACACACTGTAGTACCCCTCCGGCATCAGCGCACCACCTGCATCCAGTCAGACCCCGACAATCGCTACAGTTGTGGTTGTTGTTCCCACGACGCTGCATGCACACTGCTCGTTCTTGCTTCCCGCGCAACCGCGCTTTCAAGGCGCAGGGGCGCTGTTACCTTCGCCCATCGTGGTTCCCGGCGACATGTCCGCCCCGTAGACGCCAACGGACGCACTCCTGCTTCTACCTCGGTCAACACTCCCCCCCGACTCGCCGCTGCCGTTCCCCGCGCCGTCGTCGGCGCGGCCAGACAGCGGCGACGCCGCTGTCGTGTGGCTGAACACGCTCCCGCCCCCGCCGGGCGCCGGCGTGGTCGACGCCGCGAGCCGCCGCGCGGAGTGCGATCGCGCGTACATCCGCACGTCGTTGCTGGACCCCGGCTTGGAGGACCCGATGCCGTTGAGCCGCTGATTCAGGGAGCGGATGTCGCGGCCGAGGACCTGCAGCACGAACTGGCGGAACTCCGCGAAGTCTGCGTACAGGGACGCTCCGCGCAAGCGCGCCTGCTGCCACGCGCCCTCCAGCGCTTGCGCCTCGTCGGGGCCCAAGAGGACGGACTGGATCGCGAGCGGCTCGTCTTCGGCTGCACGACACGGGCGGACGTGCGGCGTGAGAGCGAGATCTCGCACACAGCGGTGACGTTGAACACAGCGCCACCTCAAACACGTCTGTGCGATTCCCGCCTCCGCTCCGCAGTTCACGCACTGAGAGGGCGATCGCGCGGGGCATGTACCTTCTCGCGTGACCCACTCGGGCGCGGTAGCGTCTGGTAGGCTGTCGCAGAAGGGTACGTAGGGCTTGATGTCGAGCACGGGGGACCCGTCGACGACGTCGGCGCCCCCGAGCAGCACCGTGCCGGCGCCGACGTCCACGTGCAGGACGCGCGCCGTCGAGAGCCCGATCGGGCACGGCCGGTGCGGGGTGCGCGTCGCCAGGACCCCCAGCCTCTCCCCGTTGAGGCGCGGCACCTTGACCTTGGCCTTCGGGGTGATGCCGCGCGCGTGCCACAGATTCGCGATGTCTGCGCCCACAGTGCCACGCGCTACCTTGAGCCGACGCGGAACCCTCGCGATATTCTCATCAAAATCAAATATCCCGCATTCCGTGGCGAAAGAACGTCCGGGCGCAAAGAGTCCGGGCGCAGAGAGCGACGCGAGCGATTGCCGAGCAGGGGCTGCGGACGCGCGTCCGGTTCCACGCACCTGTGTTGGCGTGGAAGACGTACAATATCCACACGTGGGAGTACAACTCCAACCCTTCCAGCGCCGCCCGGGGTACCTCCGACGCCAGGTGCAGCCGGCAGCGCGCGAGCGGCACCAGCTGCGGCTGCCGGGGCGTGCCGTTGCGCTGCCTGCGGGCGCACACGCGGCACGTGCGAGTGAGGAAGATTTGTTGTACCGTGTCTTGTTGCGCGGCGGCGGCGCTGGCTCGCACGGGCTCGTGCCGGCAGGCGGGTCGCTGGGGGGCACGTTGGGCCGGGCGCGTCGGTTGGGCGTGCGCGCCGCTGGCAGTCGAGGAATCAGGTCTCAGGAATCGCACCGGAAACACGACTCGAGGTGTCCGATCGGCCGCAGCGGGTACGCGTCCGCGCGGGCCTGCACGCTGTCGCCCGTGCCTTCCGCGACCGCCTGCGCCACCGCCGCTGCCGTCTCCGCGGCGTCCCCCGCCTCTCCTGGACTCAACGTGATTTCACGAACCAAGTTTGAGGGTCTTCCGCCATCCTTGGGCTTCTGGACTGCCCGCCTGCGCCGCACCGTGACTCAAGAGCTTGCGACCGGTCAGCCCGCCCGCCGCACAGGCCGCGCCGGGCCGCCACGTCGACGCGACGCGCCCGGAAGCACGTTGCGTCGTCGGGGGTGCCCGCGCCCGGGCATGGCGGCAATCAGACACCCGATTCGATCCGGCAAACGTATGAACTGTATAGAGAGGACGTGGGGGTGCATCGAACGCGGCCGGAAAGGCCTGCATCCGCGCTGCACGCGCGCTGTAGGAGCTGATGCTGAATAGGGCTGCGGCGCGCCGATGCGGACGCTGCGGCGCCTACGCGCATTCGATAGAAGTGGGGTGGTGCGTGTGGTGGATCGAGAGAGCCGCGAGCAGTCGCGCAGTCGGCAGGAAGCGCGTGAGTCGTAGATAGGCGAGCAGGTTACCTCAAGTTGCGCTCCGCTCGTATCCTCCCTTGCCGGTCCGCGGCCCGCTTCTCCTTCTCCTTCGCTAGTTCCTCCTTTGCCCGCTCCAACTGGATCTCGAGGTCTGACCCCAGGTGCTGGAGGTGCTCCTGAATGCTCCCCACGCGGCGCGGCTTCGCCCTCCACGTCAAATACCCGGCCGCCCAGGCAGCCGCCAGGCCCGCGGCCGCGCCCCCCGTGGCAGCGAGCGCGAGGGCCGTGTACCCTGCCTCGCGCATCGCCGCCGGCCGTCCTTGGCCGCGGAAAAACGGCCCTCCTCCGACTCTCGCTCAGCAACCACCTCTAATGATATCGAACCAACGGCGCGAAACTCCGGATCATCCCCCTGGAGAGACGGTTGCGTTCCCAGCGGCGAGCTCGCGGGCGCCGCCGCGCCCGGGGGCCGATCAGCCGCTCCTGGGGCGCAAAAAGCCCCCCAGGAGGCCCCGCCGTCATAGTCAGCCGCACGACGGCCGACGCCGACGCGCTCGAGGGCCGTGCGCCGCGGGGGGGCAGCGCACAAGCGAGCCTCGGGCAGGAACTGAGCACGCGCACGACAACTTCGAGTATTCGACCGGCAGCGGCTGCGAAGTGGTGCTTGTGCGGTCTCGTCGGCCGTTGCGGGCTGTTGGAAGCCCGGCCGCGCCCAGGCCGCCGGCCGCTGCTTTGTGGTTCTAGTGAGGGAGGCGGGGATGAAGGTGACGGTGCGCGGGGTGTCGGGGGTGTTCCACACGCTTGACCTGAACCCCCAAACGGACGTGCGACTGCTGCGGCAGCGCCTGGAGGACATCGAGGGGATCGAGGCCAGCCGGATACACCTGTGCTATGCCGGGCAGACCCTGCAGGACGGCCGGGAGCTCCAGGCGTACGCCCTGGAGGAGTACAACCTCTCGGGAGAGTCGGTGATTTACATGCAGGTGAGAGGCCGCCCCTGCAGCGCAATACATCCTCCAAAGCCGACAAAACTCGACTAAAATGATATAAATCATTGTGTTCTATCGATTCATTGCGCGGAAACTGCATTCGGAGCGGCTTGCAGCCGCAGCGGGGCGATCAAGCTCCCCAGCTCCTCCCGCGACATGCAGCCCCCGCACGCACGCTCCCGCGCCGCGCGCGCCGCGCGGCACCGCCCACGCCCGCTCAGCGCACTCCCCCTCCCAGCCAGCGCCTCGGCGTCCCGAGTCCCGCCACGCGCACCGCGCAGCCACCCCGAATCCTCCCCCGACGCATCGCGCAGCGCCCGGGGCTCCGCCGCCCGCCACAGCAGCCCTTCCCGCGCGCGCCCCGCCTCACACGGAGCCGCCCGGGAGTTCCCTGTCCGCAGGTCGCGCTCGGGGAGCCGTTCCCGATCTGCTTGGGCTCCTACGCGTCCCTGTCGTCGCGTATCACAGAGTTCGTCGAAGTTACCGCCACGGTCGCGGACGTCGTCGACCTCCTGCACGACCACCAGGTGCGCGGCGCCTCGCCGCGTGGCCCCGCCCGGGCGGCCCGTCCCGCGCGCCGCGAGCCGGCCCGACGCGACCGTCGCGCACGCATTGCGTCGCAGCCGCGGGTCCCGTGCGCTGAGCGGGCGCGAGGTTCGTGCGGTGCAGATCGCGCTGGGAATGGACCCGAGCCACATGATCGTGGTGTGCAAGCGCACGTCGGGGACGACGATCACGGACGTGAACTTTAGCGTCACGAGCACCATCGAACAGATGGTGCGCGAGGTCAGCGCGGCCGAGGGCGTGCGCGTGAAGCACTTGACGTTCATCGCGGCGCAGGACGGCAACGTGCACGTGTACTGCGACTACACCAAGGACAGGGACGAGCACACAATCCTCTTCCCACGGCCCGTGGAGCCCTTTGTCATGGAGGTACGCCCGGCCCTGGCCACGCGGACTGAATCCGAAGACCCCGGGCTTTTTCGTACGTGCTGTGCGTGCGAGAACGCGCGGCGCCGTGCTGGTGGTGCGCGTGCAGCCGAAGAAGGGGATGTTGACGGCGGTGATGAATAAGGAGAGCCGGATGGTGACGCTGGAGCACTTGAAGCACCAAGTGTGCCTCCAGGAGCTCCGGCACCCGCCGAACTTCATCAAGAAGGAGAACTCCATGGACCTGAGGTGAGCTGAGGTGTCGCATGTGTGTAGAATGTAGAGAATGTGAATAAGATTCGATATGCGTGTCACGACACTCAGCAGAGCAGACATGCTTGCTGGAATGAGCTATCGGCGTGACGAAACGTGTCAAACTGGAAGTCACATCGGGCAAGGGAAGGGGTGGCCGAGAGCAACGACGCGGTGGAGTACCCGCACGCAGGATGAGCGAGCAACCATGTCAGCTCCGTGAGCGTCGTCCGCGCGCCGCATCGACGTCGCGGTCTCGAGGCGGCGCCGAACCACGCCCGTGTCGAGCTGCGCGACGCGTGCCGCAGTACGCGCGCCTCACTGCAGTCACTTGCTCTTCAGCGCCGCAAGTAGTTCCTCGAACGCCTCCGCGAACTGCACGGAGCGCGGCAAAAAATAACCGTGGGCGCTGCGCGTTCCCCAGCGCCGCGCCGAGCGCGGGCGCGCGGGCTCGCCGTGCCAGCCCAGCAAACAGGTCGAGGCGCTCCGAACCCACCTTGGCGCGCAGAGCGAGCGCGGCCTTGCTCGCTTCGCGCCGGTCCGCGTCCGTCGCGCCCTCCGCGCCCTGCGCGGGCCCCCACCCTGACGCAGCGACCTCTATGTCTTCCAAATCCGCTGAGTCAGCCTGAACCTGCACTTTCCCGCGCTGGTCGGGCCGCCCGGCTTTCGCCGCCGCGACCTCGCACTCGACGTTCAGGTCGAACCCGCACCGCTTCTGCCCGCGCACGAAGTTGATGCACGCGTCCCCGTCCACGGACTTGACAGCGGTCACTTTCAGAGACCAGCCTCCAGTGCCTGACTCAAGCCCGGGCAGCCGCGCACGGACCTCTTCGTAGGCCCACGCAGAGAGGTCGCGCTGCTCGAACGTCCCGGCGCTGTTCCATGCCGACCCCGCCGCGGGAGGCTGCGTGGCGTTGGCGTCGGTCGCGTCCAGGCGCACCGGCTGCGGGGTGGCGCTCGTGCTCACGCCCTGCGCCCAGCTGCTGTACGAGTACTGTCCCTTCCCGGTGGCCTGCTCTTCGAGCTTGCTCGCCATCGTGGGTGGCCGGCAGCGCGCTCCGCACGTCGCGAACGCAGTGCGCCCGCAACCGCACGGTCCAGCGTCAAACTCTGCACGACATCCGAATCCACGTAGACAATACCTTCAACATCACGTGAGGCGCATTGGAACCAGCAATGAGGTCCACGAGCCGCGCACAGAGCCCGTGACCTCCATTGCACGCTCAGCCCTCGCTCCCAGGGCCCCGCTGCCGCCCCCGCGTCCCTCGCCTCCAGGCGCTGCGCCAGTACACCCCTCAGCCAGCCGCTCCGCGCGCTGGCGCGCCCGCGCTCGAACGCGTGTGGACGCCACGACCGTCCACAGCATGTTCCGGAGGCACAACATCACGGTAGTAGCGCTGCGGGCTGGCGACGTCTCGTCGCGCCCGCACGGCGCGCGGTGCCCCGCGCTGTCGATCTCGGCCGGCCGGGGCGGCGCCGCGGTGCGTACCTGCGCAGGAGGCGCCGCGCAGCGTGGCCACAGCAACAAAGGTGCGCGGTGCGCGGCCTGCGGTGGCGGTGCAGTTCGAACGAGGTGCGGTGATTCTGACGGAAGCTGCTGCGAAAGTAGCCCTGAATCCGCGCGCGCGCGCCCATTCGTGCCCGCACCGCGCCGCAATCGGCCGGTCAACACTCCAGCGCTCCTGGCTTCTACAGGCAGCGGGTCCCCCCCCGCTCGCGGCTCAGAAGAGGCTGCCGCGCGCGCCGCGGGCAGCCAGTTGACATCTTTGAGTGCCCACCGTGACGACGCGGTACTCGTCGCGTCCTGTACGGGTCTGACTGCTCGCGCGGGCGTGAGAGTCTGGAGTGCAACATCTCGGGACCGTCGGCGCTGGCGCGGCCCTTTCCGGCCTTTCGCGCGATAGAAATAGAGACCTCTAGAGTTCCATCACCTTCTCGATGCTATCGTTGCACGAATAACCGCGCGATCGATCCGCGGGGGGCCGCCCGTTGAAACGCTGCGGTAAGACGCTCGCGTCCCGGGCTGCACGTCGCGCCTGCGGCCGCCCGGTGGCGCGCGCCGGCCGGACAAGGATCGAACTATGCTGAGCGGGTGATTTCGCGGAGACCAGCGGCGTCGCGATGGAGGCAGAGGACCGCGCCTCTGAGGGGCCCCGCGCCGCGGTGTGGCTGGGCGCCCCGCGCGCGGCCGCGCGCGGGCTGCTGCAGTTTTTCAGCGGCGGGAACGAAGGGACGCAGTTCAACGACACCACGAGCGACAGCAACATCGCGCTGGCACTCTGGGTGTTCGCGATTGGAGGACTTCTGTCCTTCGTGCTCTTCCTTCTCATCTACCGAACCTACCGGGCGCGTCCCCTGCCCCCTTGCTGCGCTTGAACCCCGCCCTGGCGTCCTTCTCCAGTATGCGGCTACGCTGTCGCGTGCGAATATTCGACAATGTCGCCGCGTGCGTCACGTCGCGGCCGTTGATCGCTGTCAACTGCACACGTAATGGCTCTCCCGCGCGTCCCTGCGCGCGAGCTGACGCGCGCGCGCCGCGCCCCGATCCTCTGCAGATCTACACAATCCGGCTCCACCACCCCGCCGTGTCCGTCAAGCCGCCAGGCCTGCCAGGCACGGGCTCTTGGACACTCTGGTTGCGTACCAGTCTCGCCTGGGCGAAACCCGCGCTGACCGTGACGGACGAGGAGCTCGTGCGCACCGCGGGCCTGGACGCCCTCATGCACGTCCGCCTGTGCCTCCTCGGCGTCCACCTCTTCGTCCCACCCACGCTTGTCCTGTGCGCAATACTCCTCCCACTTCACGTGACCGGAACGGTGCGATCCTCAATACCCCCCCCCGCTCTACGCCCCGAACAGCTCGCACTCGGCATGCCCGCCTCTGCGCCGGGCGCGCGCGCCGGCGCGGAGCCCGGACCTCGCCGGCGGCACGCGCCGCGTGTGCGCGTGTTCGCTCCAGCGGCTCTGCGCGTCCGAGATCCGGTCCGCTCGGTCCGTCCGCGCGTTGCAGTACCTGGACAGCGCCACGGCGTCGATCAACAGCAGCCAGTACATGCGTCTGACCGCCTCGAACATCGAACGAGGGTCGCAAGTGTTCTGGGTGCACGTGGTGTGCACGTACGCCTTCGTCGCGTACGCCACGTGGCTCCTGCGGCGCCACTACCGCTCGTACGCGTACCTGCGTCAGCACTACTTCCTCGACCTCGAGCACGACGAGGGGCCGCGGAAAGGCCGCCCGACACACAACAACAACAACAAGGCGGCGAGGGCTGCCCTCGCGCAGGGGCGGCGCGACAACGGCGCGCGCTGCCTGCACCACGAGCCCTCGCCGCGGTTCCGCGCGTCCGACGCCGGCAGCGTCTGCGACGGCGACAGCGACTGGTGGGTCGGCGCTGAGCCAGCCGAGACCGCGCACCGCCGCTCGTCGATCGTGTTCGAGCCCACGCAGGGCACGCACGCCATGTCGCTGATCGAGAAGGTCCAGGCGGGCCTCGCGAAGGACTGGGAGCTCTCGCCGCTGACGCAGCTATGGCGCCCAACCCTCGTCGGCATCGACATCAGATCCGCGATGGGCGACGGCGATCCGATGGAGCAGGCCGGGCTGCACCTCGTGCACTTCCTTTCCAAGGCGCCGAACGTCGCGCGGACCGCGATGCTCACCGCCGCGCGCACCCTCGCGCGTAGGCCCTCCCAGCACGGCGCGCCGCGCACGGCAGGCGCAGAGGAGAAGCCCCCCGAGGCGAGCGCGGCGAGCGCCCGGCCGCGGCACCGGCGCCGCGTGACGATCAGCCTGCACCGTCCGGGGCAGCAGTGGTACAAGCCGGAGCTGCCCGTGGACGGGGAGGGTACGGCACACTCCCGGGGGGGGGTTAGTCAGCGTCGCGTGAGCTCGAGCGCGGCGGAGCTGTCGTCGCACCACGTCGCGCGTCAGCGCGCGCCGTATGTCCACACGACTGCCGACGACTCGCACCACCTTTTGCGCAAGAGCGCGAGGAGCGCTGCTGACGACGCCGGCGCTGAGGGAGCTTCCGGAGAGCAGCTCGCGGGTCTGCACGTGTCGCAGGCGCGGCCGCCGCGGTTCCTCGACGAAGCGATCAGCAAGCTGCCCCTCGACGACGGCGCTGCGCGGCACGCGCCGTCCGGGCAGCGCGTCGTCGGTCGCATGGCGCAGAACAACGAAAGGCCCCGCGTCCCTCTGGGACAGTCGGCGGTGCTGCGCGCGGTGCAGCGGATCGAGCAGCGCGCGGACACGCCTTCCAGCCACCCGGTCCCTGAGCTCTCCGACGACGACTGCAGCGTCCTTGAGGTGCCGTCGCCGCGAGTCAGCGCGGAGGCGTCGGGGACCGAGCGCCGCATGGCCAGGCAGGGTTTCACGGTCTACACGGTCCCGGACGAGATGCGCGACGCGTCGGGGCGGCCGGCGTCCACGCACAAGCGGAGGGTCGACCTCGCGAGAACAGTGATGACTTCAAGCCTGTTCAACTCGACTGCCAAGGGCGCGGAGGAACCGAAGGCGCCGCGGAGCCCTCGCCGGCCTGGCCCCCGCGTGCTGGAGTCGATCAAGTCGCTCGGGCTCGGGGATTACCACGTTCCGGCGTCGTCTGCGGTCGGACTCGGGCGGGGCCGGAACGCGGGTGCGCAACAGGCGGTGGGAGGCGTCGGGGGCGCGAGGGGGAGTCCGCCGGCGTCGGACGCGACGAAGGGCGACGACAGATCCTCGCGGACGAACAATCAGCCGCCAATGCACGGCAGCGAGGCCACGACGGGACCGGCGTCCATGACGCCGCCAACCCCCCGCTCCCAGCTCGATGTGGGTCCTGCGGCCCCGGACGGCGCCCACGGCGCCAGCCTGGACTACCAGGGCGCTCTCGGACGCCCTCCGGCGCCGCGGGCGCTCCATGGGCCGGCGCGGTCGCGCGGCGGCAATACAACCCCGCTAGAAAGGAGTATGACGGAGACTACCCCCCGGGGAGTGCCGTCGATCCCGACGGGCGCCGCAGGCGTCGTCGCGAGCACGCTGCGGCGCGGGGCGTCGGACGCGGACAGCGCTGCTCGGAAGGTTGCGTTCGCGCAGGCTCCGCAAGTGGAGCTCCTGCCGGCATGCGTCGAGCCTACGATGGGGACGGGGATGCCGCGCGTGCCGTCGCTTGGGCGGATGCCGTCTGTGCAGCCGCCGCTTGTCACCGTGATGGAGGCGAGCGGGGCGAAGTACCCCCCCTGCGACAGCTCAGACGCGGATACGACGGCGGGCGGCATGCGTGCGCGGCAGGTCCTGCCGGGGGCGACGACGCTCAGGACGCACAACCACGCGGACGTGGTACGACCGCGACTTGCTTCGCATGCTCTGGACCTAGGCGCCGCGTTCCAAACACTGATTGATGATATCCTTTTGATGACCTTTTGATTGCCATCTCTTTCTCAGTGTTTCTCGGCACTTGTCCGCGTTTTCCTGTACCAATACGTCCTATGCTTCCGCCCGCGCACTCATGCAGATCGGATACGAGGTCGGGTGCTTCGGGTTCCGCGACCGCAGTCCGACGCGCGCAGCAACGCGGCGAAACATCTCTCTCGGTCATCTCGAGGTGGGCGCACCGCACGGCATCGAACAGGACGAGGCCGCGCCCGCCCCCGTCCGGCCCCTCTGGCGCATGCCGTCTGTGCGCAACGTCGCCTCATTCCGCGCGCGCTCCCTCGACCGCAAGCCCGTCATCGTCCGCGCCATGCATTACGCATTGCTCGTCACCGACGTGCCGGAGCTGGACCCGGAGCGCGTGAAGGAGGCTGCCGCGAAGCAGCGCTCGCGCCTGAAGGGCATGTCGCGGATGGCGACGCGGGTGAAGCGTTCCGTGCGCGAGAGCCTCGAGGGCGATCGCGATGCGAAGGACCGTCGGCCGAAGCCCGGAAGGGAGACGAGCTCGCGGCAGTTGCAGAGCCTTGCGACGGTGATGGCGGCAGCGAGCACGGACAAGCGCGCCCAGCAGGCCGTTGCGGCGCGCGTGCGTGCCGGCAGGCGCGCCAGCAACGTCGGCGTGCGCCGCCCGCGCGACTCGATCAACGGCTACGTCCCCGCGGACCCCACGCTCGGCCCCGCGGTTATGCCGCGCCTGCCCGGCATGCTGCAGGACGCGCTAGCGCCCAGCGGCGTCCCCGCGGGCTCGGCGGGCGTTGCCGGCGCAGCCGCTGCGGGCAACGGCGAGGCGCCCGGCGGGCTCCGGCGGCGGAACGTCGGGCCCGCGCAGGACGGCGCAGATAGTGGCCACATGGCCGCGGCGCCGGGAACGCCGGAAGCGCTGGCGCTCGATCCCGAGGGCGTGTTCTTTGATGCCGCGTACGCAGCCGCAATCGACCTAGGGTTCGATTCGCGCGTGATCGCCGGGCCGGGCGACGTCGTGCACCGGGTCTTCTCGGAGATGTTCCCGGACGACTACCTCTGCACCGTCCCCGTGCGTTCCCACCGCTACGTCGACTCTCTTCTGATGGAGTGGGACAAGACGTGTGCCAAGCTGGACAGGGCGCGGGCGGAGCGCGCCGTGCTGGGGGCCGCGCGGCCTGTCGCGGTCGGGCGGGGCGGGCTCTCGCGGCTCGCGGCGTGCGCGTGCCTGCCGAACCCGTTGCGGGGGATGTGGGCCGCACAGGACGAGGACCCCGGGGATGTGTTTGAGGTTTCGGGGGGGAGTGTTCGCGACGCCGAGGAGTACTACTCGGCGCGGCTGGACGCGGTGGAGTCGCTGATTCGCCGGGCGCGGCGGGAGGCGCTGACGTCCGCGCCAACGCCGTCGCGGTTCGTGATTTTCAAAACGCAGCACGCGGCGGCGGTTGCGGCGCAGGCCGTGCTGCACAAGGAGGACGGGCGGCTGATGCACGTGAGCCCGGCGCCGAGCCCCGAGGACGTCGCGTGGCAGTCCCTCTGGATGGTGAGCCCCGGAGACCCCCACTGCGATACAATACATTAACAACCACATGCAAACAGGCAGAAATACACTTGGACTTGCTAGGCAGTCATGGTCCGAAGCTGCGACCCACCAGAGACATTCTGGCATTGCTTGCGTATGCGTGCAGGGCCGGTCCGAGCGCTTCTGGCGGCACATAATCACGATTCCCCCTCTGGTGTTCCTGGCCCTCCTGCCCATCGGTATCGTCGCGGGGGCCGTCGCGGAGATCAACGTCGCCGCGTGCTCCGACGTGGACTCTGAGATCTACTCCGAGACGTACTGCTCGCAGTCCGACCCGCTCCTGCGCAACATCGTTACTCTTCTGGCCCCGTCGACTCTTCTCATCCTCTGGCAGACATTCCTGCTCCCAAACCTCGTCTACTACCTCCTCCTCGCGGCCGGGCGCGCGCTGTCGCTCTCCGAGCTCGACAGGCAGGTCCTGGGCTTCGGGTTCTGGTGGTCGGTCCTCAACGTGTTCGTGGGGGGTCTGTTGGGTTCTACCATCCTGCAGCAGGTGGAACGCGTGGTCGAGGACCCCGGGCAGGTCGTGCAGATCATCGGCCGCGCCCTCCCGGCCTCGAGCAACTTCTTCCTCGCCTTCACGGCCATGCGGGCGCTCTTCGTCGCCCCGCTGTCGCTGCCGTTGCCTGTCGGAGGCATGGTGGGGTACTTTTTGTGCGGGTGCGGTACGCCGTGGCTCTGGGGGCGGTGCGGCGCGCTCACGCAGCGCGAGCGCCTCGAGCGCGAGCGGCCGCGGACCGTGCGGTACGGGTGGCAGCTCAGCGTGCACATTTTGGTGGTCCTCTGCGGATGCGTGTTCGCGGTGCCGTCGCCGATCATCCTCCCCGTGACGCTGATATACTTCGTGCTCAAGTGGATGATCACGCGGTACCAGACGCTGTACTACTACCTCAGGCAAGCACTCGTTCCATTCCGAAAGACTGTTCGACGGTCAAATCGCACTCTCTTTGTTTGAACTATCGTCTGTTCCGTGCGCGCACAGCTCCGCACGCTGACGAGGATGCGTTCCGCTGCTGGTTCTCGCAGGGCGTACGAGTCCGGGGGGGCGTATTTCCCGTACGTCATCTCGCGGATTGAGATTTGCCTGGGTCTCGCAGTTGCGTTTATGTCGGCGGTGCTGGTGACGGCCGAGGCGTACGTGTGCTCCGCGATGCTGTGGCCGCTCGTGGTGATCATTGCCCGGATGCACCGCACCGCCCACAAGCAGTTTGGCCACTCGACGGTGCACGTGCCGCTGGCCACGGCAGCTGCGGCGCCACCTGCTGCTATGGATCCTCAGACGTACCTGCCGGCCGCGCTGCGGTCCGGAGCGCGCGGGTGGCACCCCGAGACGGGCAAGGCATGGGTGGGGTACCGTCGGCCGAAGTTCACGATCTGAGATCTTGAGGAGCGAAGCGCACGATAGGAGAAGAAACATGATGGTTGGTTGGTGTTGTGCGTGGGTTGGAAGCACGATGCGAAAGTTTTGAACATACTGCCGCGACGGCGAGTCGCGGAAACGCTTGATTAGGGCTGCGATCGGCAGCGGTGCAGCGGACGCAGCGGTCCCTGCGCACTGCAAGAATGTTACAGATTCACAACATGATCGGTATGTTAAGCGGGTGGTCAATTACCACTTTGTATGTTAAGGTCGACGCACGAGCTTCCTGGGCGATGCATCCCCTGCCAGCCATCACGCGGACCCGCTGCTCAACGTGTGCTTCCAGGAGCAGCCCGAGTGGCAGGTGACGTGAGGGGGCTGTCACCGCCTCACCTGACATGCGTGATGTCTTGCGTGTGTCTCACCGGATTCCGACGCGTTCGTCACCCACCCTCCAGCAGGAGACACAGCGGAGGGCGACGCGACATCGTCGAGCGCCGCACGGATGGGCCGCCCCCGTGCGGCTCAGCCGGACCCGTCGGACGACACGGACGACGACGACGGAGCTGCACCGCCGGGCCAACAGCGGCGACTACGACAACTTCAACTCCCCCCGCACATGCAGCCGGGCCGGCGCGACGCAGGAGCACGGACCGCCGCGCGCCGAGACCACGCAGCTCGGACCACCCGAGGCAGGGGACGTGCAGCACGGGACGGCCGCACACCACCTCGGTCGCGGCCCTCGCTACCACCGGCATCCCGCAGCACTGAATCGAACCGCTTGACTGTTCGCACGCTGGACCGGACCACGCGAGGGGGATCCCGCGCTACACCGAGGCCGAACTACTGCGAGGACTCCTCGGCTGCCACTGGCGACGACAGCGAATCAGAGTATGAGGGGTCGCACAACGCTACTGCGTCTTCAACGACCTCCCTGACGGACTCGGATGAGCCGGGCCAGCGGTCGCAGCCACGGAGCACCCGGGGACGGGGGCGAGGCGGACGATCACGGGGTCGCGGGCGGCGCGGGGGAGGCAGGAGCGGCGCGGGCCGACGGGGACTACGCACGACGTCGACAACTCGTACGAGCACAAGGCGCGCCGAACCCGCAGCCCACCGCCTCCGCAAACGCGAGCTACCGTGGGCAGCGCACATCGCGGCGGCCATCACTCAGATAGGCGGCACGCCAGGGACCCCGCAGCAGCCACACCCTGCACCTGCTGTGGGCAGGGTACGAAAGATCGCTCAGGTCGTGCTGCCGGACCACGAGCCCGCGGCAACCCCGGACCCCCGGACCGAGGTCACTCAGCACGGGCTTGGCCGCACACGGGCCAGGTACGCCTGGTGGTGCCAGCCACCACCGCGCACCATCCCTCCACATCTGCTCGACACCGCGATCTACCACGCGGACCGCCGTGCCCTGTCCCGCCTGCGTGTGGGAGCTACGAGGCTGCGCACCTCCACGATGGCCATGGCGGACCAGGAGCAGCAGTGGCAACACACGCCGCTGTCGCACCCATCGAAAGTCTGCCGCTTCTGCGTGGACGTGGCGGCATCGCCCGCCCCGGAGGACCTCCGCCACCTGCTGCTGGACTGCCGCGCCCCAGCGGTACGCTCTCTCCGGGAACGAGCGGGCCTGGCCATGGACTCGTCTGGGCAGCTCACGCTGCCACCCCCGCCCGCTGCCGATGCGCCCCTGTCGTCCACGGCAACTGTTGGACAGCGCCGCCGCTTCGCTCTCAACCGCCGGCTACGCCAGCACCTCGAGGACCTGTACGGCGCTGCAACACTCGACTCGGAAGCCGCTGCCAACGCTGCAGTGCGTTATCTCCTGAACCTGCCGAATCAGCGAGGCATGGCGATCTTTGCTCGTGGCATCGAGGATCTGCTCCAGGCCGACTCTGTCACAGCTGCCGAACCTGTTGCTACCATAACGGTGGGGGGTTAGCATGACTCGCCACCTAGTCGAATGATCTTTTCAGGTCCCAAAGCCTTATGGCTGACGACGCGAAGAATGTGACACCTCACCTCACCTCACCGGGCAGGGTCGCCGACCGACGACACCGGGACGCGTGATGGGGCCTGCTGACGAGTACCCGCACGCCCGCGGGGCTCGTCACTCCTCGAAGACCTCACTCAAGCTGCGTGCGCAGGTGCTGGGACCCCGACATCTGTTGCCGCCGCTTGCTCATCCTGCGTGCGGGTACTCCGCCGCGTCGCTTCCAACAACACAGACTCGCGGCGTCACAGCTCCGAGACCCGGGCGCGTGCACCACACGCGCCGTCAACACAAAGTAGTAATTGAACACCCGCGAGGCCGCCGCGCCCCTTCGTATTTACATTTCCACCACCCAAAACCCTCGCAATTCCTCAGACCCACTTCCAGGTCTCCCAGCCCCTCCTCCTCACGGCTTCCACGGGTCGTCGCTCAGCGGCGCGTTCCCCGCTTCCAGCGCCTCAACGAACGCCCGTGGCGGGTCCCGCACGATCGACCCGGGCTCGTACCTCCTCGCCAGCGCCATATTGAACGCGTAGCCCAGCGTCAGCGTCACGAACGGCGCCCAGAGCGACCCCGTCGCCAGCGCCTCCGCGGCCAGCACCGCCGACCCGAAAAACGTCGTGCTCGCGTTGTACGTGTCGCGCGCCCGCGCGACCGTCCCGAACCACCACAGCCGCAGCGCGAGATCCCGCAGGTCCTTGGCCGGGAGCTCGCTGACCACAGGGCCCTGAGCCAAGTACTCCCCCGTGACGAAGCGCTGGAGCTCCGTGTTGCCCGCGAGGGTCGACGCGAAGGACGCGCCGTCCGCCTTGCTCGAGAACAGCTCCGTGGACAGCTCCCGGTAGACCGACGGCTCGAGAAGGCTCGGCGACACCGTCGCCGAGGAGGGGGTGTGATCTTCGGCTTCTGCGTCGTCCGACTCCGGGCCGGCGTCGGCGGGCGGGGCCTCGAGCGCCTTGCGCCACGCGCCCTCGGCGGCGGCGCGTTTGACGGCCTCGACGCCCATGAGCGCTCGGTCTTGAATCTGCTGGACGGTGAGGGGCTGCCAGCTCTCGAGCGGGCTGCTCCACGCGACGGCCTCGACCGCGGCGGCGCCCGCGGCGAGGAACGGGAGCAGGAAGCGCGTCGGCGCGGCGAGCCCGTTGAGCCCGAACGGCCCGAGTGCCCCCAGGTAGTCGGTGACGGGGACCCCCGGGGGAGTGATGCCGTCGGGGCCCGCGACCGCGGGGACGATCGCGGGGGGCACGAGCGGGCCGAGGAGGTGCAGGGACGGGTCGGCGGCGAGCGCGGTGATGCACGCGAGGACGCAGCCGCGGAAGGCCGTCGTTTCCGCGTACGCTAGCGCTGCGGCGTACAGCCACGACGCCGGAACGGGCAGCTTCGAGGTCCCCTTCTTGATGTCGCGCAGGTCCTGGTCCGCGAGGATGTCCAGGCCCGGCAGCAGCCGCGGCAGCACCTGGTATTGCAGCCAGACCAGGCCGATGTAACCCCCTGTCCACGGAACCAGCGCCTGGGCGCCGGCGAGCCATCCGGCCTCCGGCTCGCCCCACATGCGCGGAATGTCGACCCCGACGACGCCGCAGAGGATCACGACGACCTGCGCGAGCGCGCACGCGGCCGCGGCGGACCCGAACGCCTCGGCGACCGACTCGACGACGCTGTAATTGTCCTCCGCCTGCGAGGGGGGGTCTTCGAGGGTGCCCTTCTCGAGGAACTCGACGACCGACTTCACGAGCTCCTCCTCCTCCGCGATCTCCTCCGGCGTCGCCGGCCCCTCCCGGGCCGCGGAAACGCCCCCGGGGGGGTCAAAGATGGACTCCGCCTGTTGCCACGCCTCCCCGCCGCCCGCCAGCTTGCCCTTCAGCGCCTCCGCCCCGGCGGCCCCCGCGACCGCGCCGCCCGCCACCCGCTCCAGCGTCGCCTGCCGCCCCGCATCGTCCATCCGCAGAAACTCCCGCGCACCCTGCGCCCCTCCGTCCTGGGGGCCTTCCGCCGCCGCCGCCTCGCTCGGCCCCCGCTCCTCCGGCGGCGCAGGCGCGGCCTCGGCCGCGGCGAGCCCGACGCCGACCGGCACCCGCGTGAACGCGTCGTACACGAGCACGCGTCCTAATTTTAGGTCAATGTTCAGCCCTGCTTGCTCAAACTGCATGCGCGACATGTCAGACACCGCGTCGACCCCGCCGGCCTCCTCGACCTTCTGCTGCAGCATCGCCTCGATCTCGCCGAGCGCTGGGAGCGGCGTGGTGATGTACAGGTCGATCGAACACCCCTCGGGGAGCCCAGCGCGCCGCGCCTCCTCGAACGTACCCATGCCGAGCTGCCGCAGCGCGCCGACGCGGAACTCGAGCGTCTGCGCGCGCTCCGTCGTGCGCTGCAGCCACGACTCGTTCACGCGGTCCAGAAGCCACCCGAACCCTCCAATCAACCACTTCACCCTCCCTTCGCGATTGAAGTCCTCCAGCTCCTCGTACATCTTCGAAGTCGCCGTCCGGACAAGGTCGCCCTCGCGGGACACCTGCTCCGCGAGCGCGTCCAGCCACGCGAGGTCCTCCGGCACCCGCAGCGGCCGTTCGAGCCGCCCAACGATGGCCTCCAAGCACTCCAGGTGCGGAGTCAGGTCGTCGAGACCCTCCTCGAGGAATTCCACAGGGGAGTACCTCCCCCCGATCGCCTCCCACAGCTCCGCCTCGCTTCGGAACGCCAGCGCCGGCGGCGGCGCCCACCACCCGAGCCCCAGCTCCGCCGCGCGCGCCTGCGTCAGCGGCCGCCCCGCCGCCTCGTCCGCCAGCAGCTCCCCGGCCACGGGCGCGAAGACGCCGAACGCACGCAGCGTCTCCGCGTCCAGCCCCTCTCCGGCGAGCTCCGACTCCCCCAGCGCCGCCGCGATGTCCTCTGGACTCATCAGCATCTCTGTAACCTTCACCAGGCCGCGTGCGAGCCCGCCCCACACGCTCCGGAGCGCCCAGAGCTCGAAGTCGATGAACTTGCGGTCCAGCGCGTCGATCTCGATGTCCGCGAACAGCTCCTCGTAGAGATCCGCGTAGTATTCCGTCAGCAACGCCAGGGCACGGATCTGCCGAACCTCGCGGCTGAGGCGCTGGGCCTCGGGGACGTTCTTGTCGCGGCTGTCCTCGAGCGTCTGCTTGAACGCGCGCGAGAGGTACGCGAACACCGCGTCGTAGGCGTCCTGGCTGAGCACGTCGAGCGTCGCGGTGTTGCCGTTCCGTGCGGCGTCGAGGACCATCGCGCGCGTGACCGGGAGCTCCTGCGGCACGATGCCATCGAACTCCGCGACCGCCGCCTCCCACTTCTTGTTCCGGGCCTCCGCCGCGGTCTCCGCGGGCGCCACGTCGCGGAACGGCCCCGGGGGGGTCTCCGGCGCGGCCGCGGCGCTGTCGACCGGGAACAGGCCCCCGGGGAGGACGAGCGGGGCCTCGAGGATGAGCGTCGGCGCGAGGCCGCTGCGCAGGAGGTCCTGGATCATCGCTGCCGCCATGACAGACACCATCTGATTCTCATCCAGGCGAATCGGATTCTCCCGGGACCCGGGGGGCGCTTCCTGGCCCGCGCGCGGCGCTGCGGCGCCGCCGGTGTCGTCGGCCGCGTCCGGGGCTGCCGGCCGGGGCTGTTGCTTCGGGTACAGGTCCGCGGCAGTGATGCCGCCGCCGTACTGTAACAGGATGCCTTTCGCGGAGTTGTGGAGGTCGCGGACGTCTCTGCGCGGCGGAGGAGGATGCGCAGGGTGCGTTGCGGGCGCTGGCCGGCGCGGCGCGTGTGTGGGGCGAAGTGGCGTGACACGCCAAGGGGGCGAGGGGCGGCGCGGGCGCGGGGGCGAGGTGGGCAGAGGGCGGGGTGGCTGACCTGCGGAACTGCTCGCAGTCGACGGCGGCGCCCTGGATCTCGAAGAGGTCGCGGCTCGCGGCGAGCGCCACATCGAGTCGCGCAGCCTCGTCGAGAGCCGCGCGGTGGAAGTCCACGACCTGCTCGACGGTGGGCGCCCCGCGCGCCTCCATCTGCGGAACGAGCTTGTCGATGGCGACGAGGAGCTCCTTGGCCTCCTGCGCGCGAGAGGGGGCCGAGTGGGTTGGCAGCGCACAGTCTCGGCGCCGCTGCGGCCGAAACGTCGACCGAAACGGGCTGCAGACCACCAGGACGCGAAACCATCGACGGAGAGCCGCGGGTGGGCTGGTTATCGGCAACCGCGCGCCGCGGAAACACGGCTGCGGCCGTCAGGTCTAGGTGGCGATGCTATGTGTCTGTTCGTGCACGGCCGCCGCGCGCTGGTCGGGCCGAGTCGTCCCGGTCCGGCCACGCGCCGCCCTCCCCACTCCACGAGGCTTCCGGGGCGCGCGGCGCGCGGGCGCGAGAGCGTTGTGTTCGGCGCGGGGAGCCGCATCGGAGGGGAGGGCGGCGTGTTGGAGGGCAGGTGCGGATTCCGTACATTGAGGGCTCGCTTTCCGGCCTGCTTGGCGCGCTCCTTGCGGCTCCGCTCCTCCTTGATGCGCTCCCGGATCGCGTCCTTCGGGTCCATTTGCAGGCGCCGCTCCAGCGCCACCAGGTTGGACTCGGCCTGGCGCAGCTGAGGAAGCGTCCTCGCGGCGGTCTGGAGGGACTGCTCGGTCATTTCTTGCAGCCACTCCGGGAAGTCGTTCTGGCTCTGCGCCGCGCGGTTGATCAGCTGGTCGTTCTCCATGACGTCAATCTGTCTGCGGAGCTGTGCGAGCTTCACGCGGACCTTGGGCAGCGTGCTCTGCGACACCAGGCGCGCCAGCTGCCGCTCGACCGGGCCCATGCGACGCAGAATCGCGTCGATCTCCGGGTCGGACGACCCCGCGTCGCCCTGGTCCGCGGAAACCGCGCCGGAGCCGGAGTCGCCCTCGGCAGCACAGCGCAACCCCGCCCGGCGCAGCTGCCTCGCGCAGCCCGCGCGGCCCGGCACCCGCGCGGCGTCTCCGACCACCGGAACCCTCCCTCGCACGGCCGGCCGAAACAGCCGCCGCGACGCCGGCGGCACGCCGCGGCAGCTTTTCGTGCCACCCAACACCGGGGCTACAGCCGGCGCTCTCGCCGCCGTCATCCTCGCGCTGACAGACCACGAACCCAGCTCCGGACTGCCTGGCCTGCAAGAGCCGTGCCCACGCGCAGCGCCGACGCCGCGCATTGCGTCCGCACGGCCCTGCGGACCCACACCGTGTGACGCGGTCGCGTCAGCCGTCCCTGACGTAGGTGAGACGCCGTGTCTGGCAGCACGGCGCCCGAAATTCCGTCGCCGGCGACAGCCCCTGGCGTTCCGCGCAGCCCCGCACGCCCGCGGCCCGCCCACGAACCCCCGCCGTCCCTCCGTGACCGTTCACTCATGAAACCATATCTAATCGCAACACATAGCGATTACCCCCGGAAGCGCCGGACACCGAGCGCCACGCGCACCGCAGACACGTCACACCAACGCGGCCCCGCCCGCGCCCGCTACGGCGCGCCGAGCATCGCCACACGCGCAGACCTAGGCGCAGTCGCATCCCTTGTACCCTCCACCGGCGAGGGCACTGTTGCCGGGCCGTCCAGGGGCCCGTGCAGCGCGCGGCGGCCCGGCGCGGGCGTCCTCCGCGTGCGCGTGGGGTAGCACGCGGGCGGGAAGCAGTCCGTGTTCGATACGCCGATGAACGCGAAGAGAAGGCCAACGAGGACTCCCGCCATACAAAGCACCAGGATCGCGCACACGAGGGTCCGCGGGCGCAGGTCGAGGCACCCGACGCGCAGCAGGCCTCGCTGGCGCAGCTCCTCGAGCTCCGCCTGCTGCTGCTGCACGTCTGCAGGGCACAAGTGGCGCGGGGGGGATTTTGTGGAGGGGGGGTGTCGGAGGCGTGGCGCGGAGCGGCAGGGGGGTTTCGCGCTCGTGGCAGCGTTGGATGCGTGGCGTGCGCGCGCGCGTGCACGCGCGTCCAGGGCCGGGAGGCTGGAGGCGTGGGGTGCTTTGCGTATTGTGTTGGAGGGGGGGGGTGTCGCGGTGGCGTACCTAGGGGGACTTCTTCGACGACGTGCAGCTCCTTTTCGCGCTCCGGGTCGATCGCGACGCAGGCGGAGCCGTCGAGGTTCACTACGAGGAGCACGGGCTGTTTGTGTGCGTCCTGCGCGGCACGGAGAGGGGGGGGGGAGTTTTGGCTTGCTTTGCGCGGCGGGCAGCGGTGGGTGTAGCGGGTGTGTAGGTGGGTGGGCAGCGCACCTTGGGCCACGCGTCGTCCACAATCGGTGCGGGGAGGCCCCCGCCTAGTTTTGGTAGGTCACTGTCCGGTGCTCGCGTCTTGCGGGCGCGGCGTCGGTCCCTGTGGCGCGCTTGGCGGCGTCCATTCGACGGACAGTCGCTGGACATGGGCGATGGTGCAAGGTTCGCGGGCTATCGCCCTTTTTCGGGATGGCTAGGGACTAGCTGCAGAGGAGACCGTCGCAGGGGCGTCAGGGGGGGACTCAATCTTCGGCTCCCGCTAGTCCGACGGATCGTTTAGAGTCGGAGATGTGTTTTTAGGGTCGTTCGTCGGGACCAGAGAGGAGACTCCTCCCCGTTCCGCTTATTAGAGGCACGCCTGACGTGTTCGCGGCCTTCCTGACGAGCACGCGGCTCCGCGACTCGCAGGCCCCGCGCGGGAGACGCTCGCTGAAGTGATGTATCCGCTCAACGACGGAGTGTGCGCAGCGGGCACGTTCTATGGCGGGGGCGCTCGAACGCCTACAGCGCACTAGGGTATGCTTAGCTGACCGCGAGGTTATGGGGGGTATCTTCCCTCATCTCAGCGCTGTAACGGCGCACATCTGAGCCCGCATGTCGTCCGCCGGGCCCCAAGTGCGTACCGTGAGCGCCTGAGTCGTCACAGGGACCTTTTTCGCACACCCCTGGGTGACCGCCGCCCGCCACGGCGCCGCTGCCCACGTCACAGCCGTCGAGGTGCGGCCGCAGCGCGGAGCACGCAGCGCTCGCCCGCCAGCGACCTCGAACACGCGCGCCACTCCAGTCATGCGACCTGTACGTCGCGTTATCATTATCATTTATCAAATCATCAAGTTCCCATTTTTTCTCAACAATCGATGGTCGCTGCTTCACTTCAAGAGCCACGGATCACACGCTTCGCGCCGCGCCACGCATCGACGCCCCGAGGCACGCACCGCGCCGCCGCGGCGCACATCAGCGTCACGCAGCGTCGCCGACGCCGAGGAGCTTGCGCGGCGCCGGGGTCGGGTCCGCGGGCTCGTCGCAGATGCGCGCACCGACGGGCCGGCACCGGCTCACGCGCTCCGTCCCGAACAGCGCGTACAGCATGCCCAGAAGACCAAAGAGAATCAGCGCCACCACAATGCCGCAAATCACGCTGCGGATGTGTATGCTGATGCGGCCGACGCGGACCGTGCCGCGCTGCGGCGCCGCGGGCTCGCCGTCCTCGAGGCCTGCGGCGCACGGGGCGGGCCGGAAACGTCTCGGAGACATTCGTGATGCAATGCAAAAGAACGCGCTTTTCCGCTCGCTCCGCGCGAGTGTGGGGCGCGCGTGCTTCGGGCGTGATCGCTGAGGGACGCAGTAGGGCATTGCTGGCGCCGTGGGTGCGAAATAAGGCCGGGATGTTGATTGTGGGGTGCGAATTGCACCTGGATGTGGGTCTTGGACGGCGTGAAGCTCTTTTTCGCGCTCCGGGTCGATCGCCACGCAGGCGGAGCCGTCGAGGTTGACGACGAGGAGGAGCGCGGGGTTCTTCTCGGGGTCCTGCGGCGCACCGGAGCGACTCGGACTGCCGCGTCGGTGCGTGCGGGCGACTCGTTGCTACGCGCGAGGTGAGCATCACCGCGCGCCACGCTGCGCGTTCCGCTGACTTGTGACCCCCTCCCGGCCCACACTGATAGGCGCAAAGAAAGGAAACGTCATGAGGGGGAATGCAGCTCACCTCCGGCCACGTCCCGTCCGGGAGGGGCGATGGCGACACGCCTGCGTTCTCGGCCGGTTTCTCCGCGCCGTTCGCGGCACTGCCGCGGCGCCGCTCGCGGCGCCGTCCCTGGCCGCCGGCCGGCATGGCCGGCAGCGGGGACACGGCCGCGGTGGGCGGTGGGCGTGCCGAGGCCGGGCCTTGGGCCTCTACGATTTGTGGGCGTCGGGCGCGCACGGTGCCGTGAAGTCCCTGAACGCCGTCCACGGTGATGGTGTCTGAGAAGTGGGCTGGCCGGCGGAGAGCTCTGAGGGGCTCGCTGAGGCGCAGAGCTGCGGGAATGGCAGCAACGTGCTGAGCCTGATGCCTAGCCGCCCGTGCGCGTCTGTGCGCCCGCCAGACGCAATCTTTAGAACGTCGATCCAGTCTACTGGTGAGAGTGCGTAACGTGCTCGGTATCTGCGTCGCTCAAACGAGATGGCGTAGACAGCGACTGTTGGCGGCGCAAGAGAGCCGGCAGCACGATGGGCTCAATCGGTGCTTGTGACTGCCTGAACGAAGTGCTTCTGCCTGTGTTTGTCACGTTCAACCTATCTACAGCCTACTGCGCTTGTTTCCCTGTCATGACGCAGCGCCGCTGCGCCGACAAGGCCCGTCTGACTGACAGTTGTAGGTCACCTCGCGTGGGGCGCGTCGCGGCGTATACGGGCTCGGCCTCCGTCGCGCCTGCGCAGAAACTACGCAGTCCCTCGGCGGATCCATCCAAACCGCAGATTCCACACGGCGCCACACCCCCACCCTCTCTGCGCTTCTGCCATCACCAACACTCTGCCCCTCCCCGCCGCCGCCTCCGTGATGTGCTCCGACAGCGGCACCCACCCGCGCACGTCCCCAGCAGCCACCTCATCGGCCCCGCTTCCGCCTCACCCGGCCAGGACGGTGAGTACCTGCACAACACAACTCGCGTCATCAGCGCAGCGCCCGCGTCCGCCCCTCGACGGGTGCGCGTTCCTCGCTCCCTCCCCGCAACACGGTGGCCCTGACGCTGCTGCCACCGGTGCGAGACGCAGGCTCCGTGCGCCAACGAACCACGCGCGGCCGCGCCGACCCGTGCACGCGATGTGACCTTTGGCACATCAGGGCGCGATGTGCCGCCTCGGACGCCCGCCGAGGAGGCCGCGGCGCGGGCGGCGTCGTTCCGGAAGCTCGTGGAGCGGCGCTGGAGCCTCGCGAGGCCAGCGGTGCGCGCGCCGCGGTGTCAGCGGCGTGGCGAGGTGGTCTCTCGGAGCCTCACGCGTCTCAAGACGATGATTGGCGGGCCCGTGCGTGGCGTGAAGCTCGAGATATCCATGGACGATGCGCACAGCGCAGAAGAGACGTCCCCGCGGCGGCCCGCGCGGCCGCAGAGCCCGAGCACTGGTCCGCACAAAACACCCCCGGGCGAACGAGGACGAGCGGCGCCGCCGGAGCGGCCGCGGTCGGCGCGTGTCGAGGGACCTGCTCTGTCATCGGATGTCCTCCGAAAGGGCGGTCCTGGCCGTCGCTGTGCTCGGCGCTCGTTGCAGCGACCATCGAGACACCTCGGCCTTGCGCTGGCGCCTGTGTCGCCTGAGAAGGGCCGGAGGATCGGCTCCGAGTTGCCAGCCACCGACCATACTCCGGCCTCCTTCGGGACTCTACTCACGGCGGCCCCGGCGGAGGCGCGAGCGGGCCGCAAGCCCAGTGTTGCACCGACTCCGCCGAGCGTCTGTCTCTCCGTACGCACGACGCGTACGGCGCCCCCGCTCGAGAAGCAGCCCGCACGCACCGTCTCCCCCACGGCAACGCCGCACATCGACGCGAACGCGCCGCGCCGCGCCGAAGCTCCTGCGCACAAGAAGAACACACCGCAACCCCCCAGGCGGCCAATCAGGCCACGCGGCGCCACGGCACCCACCGCGGCCGACAGCCCTTCCGAGCGAGACCTCTTCGGTCCGTGGGACATGTGACTCCGCGGCACGCGAAAGCCGGTCACAAACACACGCTCCAGGTGCTTGTGCCACATGCCGCCGCGGCGCGCAGCGTCCGCCGCAAGGGCCCTCGAAGGCCCTCGCCCCCGCGCGCCCCCTCACGACTCCGACTCCTTCTTGCTCGCGTCCTCGCCGCCCTCCTGCGCCGTCGCGTCCGGCTCCAGCCCCACGCCGTCCAGCTCCGCCTCCGCCGCCCCCGCCGCCGACTCCTGCGGCCCGGACGTGCGCTGGCGCTTCGCCGCGGGGCCCTCGCCGTCCGACGTCCCCATCGGCGCCCAGCACCCAGTCAGCTCCGACTCAGCCCCAGACGGTATAACGTGGACGTCGGAATCATACCCTTCCGGTTTCTTCTCGCCCGGCTCATACGGGCACCGGCACCCGACCTTCCGCGGCGCGCACGTGTCGCACGCCTCGCGCCGGTTCGCGCGCAGCCGCCGGTGCAGCCCGCGCGCCGCCTTCGTGCTGCTCTTGTTCGGGCCCAGAACGCCGTCGCCCTTCACCTGCACGGTCAGCCGCGCGACGCGCCCGGCGTTCGCCATCGCGGCCGTCAGCGACCCGGACCCCGCGAGCTCCCTCCGGCGCCGCACCGACGGCGCGACGGCCGCCGGCCGCGGCGGCACAGCGTCGAACGACCCCGATAGGCCACGGTGCAGCTTCGCCTGCGGGCGCGGCGCGGCCTGCTGCGGCCGGATCGCCGCGGCCGTCGTCGCGGGCTTGATCGCCGGGCGCGCGCCGCCGGCCTTCTTCTCCTTGCGGACCTTCGGCGCCCCTGCGCGGCGCGACAGGTCGCGCTTCCGGCTGTGGCCGCGGCGCGGGTCGTCGTACAGGATCTCGTCGTCGCTCTCGCTGTCCGGGCGCGGGAGGAAGTCGAAGTCCCGCGACGTGTGCGTGTTCCGCTCGCTGATCATCGCGGCGAGCGTCGCCTGCGCGGACTCGTCCAGAGGCGCCCCGCCGCCGCCAATCCCGCCGCCCCGCGCGAAGGCGGCCCCCGCGGCCTGCGGGAACCACATCCCGCGCATCGGCGCGCGGCGCGGGCTCCCCGGCGGCGACGCCTGCGGCAGCACCGCGTGCGACACCACGAGCCCGCCGATCGCGTGCGACACCTTGCGCGCCTGCAGCACCATCGCCGTGCGCTCGCCCTGCGGTATCTTCGCCTCGTCGACGCCGTGCGCGGCCACCATGTGCCGAATCAAGCCGTCCGCGGGCACCACGCCGTGCTCCGCGAGGTCCGCGCCGTCCCGCAGGCACGTGGGGCAAACTACGGGCGTCTTGTGGCACCCGCCTCGGCGGATGTGCGCCGCGAGCTCGCACGCGGAGCCCGTGTCGAACGCGCGGAGGCCGCAGAAGGGGCACTCGACGCGAACCTGCAGCGCGCTGATGAGCTCCTGCCGCGGGTGCCGCCCCTCGTCCTCGCCCCATTGCGTCGCCGACACTGACAGAGGCTTCGAGCAGCCGTCCACCGGGCACGCGTACTTCCCGCCCTCGCCGCGCGCGAGCTTGCTGGCGACGCACTCGAGGCACACGCAGTACGCCGGTCTGTGCGCGGAGCACGACGCGAACCGGCCGCGGAAGAGCTCGTGGACCTCGCCCAGCGCCAACCCACACATCGCGCATCGCCGGTCGAGCTCCCGCCGCGCGGCCTCGGGGTCGACGCCGGCGTTGCGGTAGCAGTAGTCCAGGGCGTATTCCGGCGAGAGCAGCCGGAAGTCCGCGCGCACGGGGTGGTGCGTCGTCGCGGGGTCGCTTACGTCCGCGGGGGGAGCAGCGACCTGCCGCGCCATGCGCGCGTTCGCGGCGGCGGCCGCGGCGCTCTGCGGGGGAGCTCGGGGGGGAATGCGGCTGTGAGGGACGGTCTCGGGGCCGTGGGGCGCGCAGGACGAGCCGCGCGGGCGGCCAGGAGGGCTAGTGGTGCTAGAGCGCCGGGGCGCGCCAGCGGCGCACGGCGGGCGCTGGGGCCGCGCGACGCGGCCGGGCGGCGCGGGGGGGAGGGCAGGGGGGCGGGGGGGCGGGGGCGCGCACCGCAGTGTCCGTGAGAGGCACGGTGCGGGCCCCGCGGGGGGGCACCGGCACGGAAATGTCCGGGGCGTCCGCAGGGTCGGTAGCAGGCAATCGGGGCCGTTCGGAGCCGGCGTCGTGACGCCGGGACGCGGTGTGGCCGGAATCGAGGCGCCCGGACTGCCCGGCGCCGTTCGCCGCGGCCGGGAACGCGGCCGGTTTGCGCGCCGCCTGCGTTGGCCGGGCTGGGGCGTTGGGGCCGGGTGCGACGTCGGAGCCGCCCCCCGCAGACCGACCGGCCGCGCTCGTGGGTGCCGAAGTCTGGTGGCGCGCCTGGGCCGGCGGCAAGCCGTGCCGGGCGCCTCCCCGGGAGCCGCCATTTTCCTGGCGAGGCGGGAGGGTCGCCTCCGAGGCTCGCTTGTCCCCCGGGGGGCCGTGCAGGTGCGTTCCCTGGCCGGCAGGGCGCGCCATGGGGCCGGAAGACGCCCTCAGACCGCCGTTCGGGCCGGCGGACTTCTCGAGCGCTCCGGTAGGGAGCCACGCCTGGTCGCCCTCCTCCATTCCGTTGGCTCCGCCTGGCTCGTCACCACGTGGAGCGCGGCCTTTTCTGGCACGAAAGATATCTCGCCTGGCCGGGCAACCGGGCGGAGAGACGGCGCGTGGGCGAACGCGGGGCGCTCCGAGTGCGGGCTCGGAAGGCTCCTGCCGCGGTCTCTGCGTCGCAGGAGCGGCAAACGGTCCCGTGACGACGCGCCTTTCGCGAGCGCGCGCGAGGTTGTGCCTCGCGCGCGTCGTTCGGTGGCCGGAAGAGGCCCGGACAGGGCGCTGCGTAGGGAGGGGGCTCGGCACTTGACGTCGTCGCCACGCGCGCAGGCCGGCGGGTCCGCGTCGAGGCGGCGGACCAGCGGTGATTTGGCGAAATGCGACGCCTCGATTCCGCGGATCCCGTCGCGGCGCTTTCGCGCGCCGGCGCGCGCGCGCTAACCTAACACAGCGGACAGGCCGACCGCGGGCGCGTGCACCGGCGCCGCCGGGCCGGAACGCGCGGCCACGCCGAGCCGGGACCATGCCGGTGCTGCGCGGCGGCCCCGGCGCGCACCGGAGCCCGCTCGCCCCTCCCTCGCGCCCGCACTCCCCGTCAACAGCAAACAGCCACCGCGCTCCCCTCCGCCGAGAACAAGTCTCACACTTTCGCTACGAAGCCACCGCGGGCCGACCGCCCGATCCCACGCCACCCTCTGCACGCCCACGCGCCCGCCACCACGCCCCAGGCACCACCCCGCAACCCTCGCCAGCGCACCGGCCGCGCTCCGCACGGCCCGGGCCGCGAGCGCTGCGCGCTCCCCTCCACCTGACAGCAGCCTCCGCGCGCTCGCACCGCCACCTGCGACTCCCCCGCCTACGGCCACTGCAGCAGCATGACGACGCAAGTGATGTTGTCCATGCTCCCCTCTCTCAGCGCGCGCTCGCACAGCGCCTTCGCCGCCGCCTCAGCCGCGGCCTGCGGCACGCGCTCCGCGCCCCACCCCGGCCCCGTCTTCGGCGTCGACGGCTCCGAGCCGGGCGACAGCACCTTGGACGACGACCGCGAGAGCCCGAGCCGCGCCGCCGTGCTGCTGAGCGCGCTGGGCGACTGGCCCGACCGCGACGTCCGCCGGACCAGCCCGCGCTGCGACGGCGACGCCGCGGGGCTGCTGCGGTCGCGTTGCCGCAGCCACCCGCGCACCGTGCGCGTCGCCAGCTCCACCGCGTCCTGGTCCGACATCACGTCCCACAGCCCGTCCGACGCCGCGATCACCATGTTGTCGTTCGGGGTCAGCCTCAGCCGCGACACGTCCGGCTCCTCCGTCACCAGCTTCGTCGGCTGCTTGAACTCCACGTCCCCGAGCGACCGCGACACCGCCAGGCCGGACAGCACGCGGCCCTCGCCGGGCGTCGCGATGATGACGCGCCAGCACCCCACGAGCTCGACCATGCCGCCGTTGTCCACGATGCGCCGCCGCTCGCGCGGGAGGTTCGGCTTATGGTCGACGGTGAGCCGCAGCGCCTTGCCGTTGCGCCCGAGCACCGCGCGCGAGTCCCCCGCGTGCGCCGCGTACAGGAGGTTGTTCTCGCGCAGCAGCGCGAGCGCCGTCGAGCCCCCGCGCGCCACGCCGCTGTTGCACTTTTGGATAATGTCCTCGTCGACCTGCCGGAACGCGTCCTTGAACGCCGCGACCTTGCCGTCGCGGTGGTACGGGCTCTCCGGGGCGCGCTGCGCGGCGGCCTCCGCGGCGCGGAAGTCCACCTCCGGCGACGGCGGCTCCATGTTGAACCCCGCGTGGCACGAAAGGTACCGGTGTACGTCGCGGGCGGCGATCTCCGCGCAGTCCGCGCCGTTGTGGCCGTCGAAGACGGCCACGTACGTCCGCGACGGCTCCTGCTGCCCCTGCCGCGTCAGCATCGCGGACGTCACGGAGGACAGCCCCTCGACGACGGTGTGGCGGTCCTCCATGTAGGGCCGCCCGCCGCGGACGCGGTGGACGCCGGTGATCGCGACGGGGACCGCGACGCCGCTCGGGCCGACGCGCGCCGCGTCCGCGAGCTCCTCGGCCGCGTCCGCGGCCGCGACGCCCCCGGGGTCCTTGCCGTTGATCGCGTCGGGCAGCGCCGAGACGAGACTGTTCGTGCGGGACGGCGCGGGCGACGGCAGCGGCGACGGCTGCGCGGCCACCGCGCCCGCGGCCGTGGACGCGGCCTTCTCAGCGGCGAGCAGGACGTCGAGCGCGTCGGCGTGCTGCGGGCGCGTGACGTTCAGCCGGGTCGTGCTCGCGGCGGCGCGCTGCACGGGCCCGCGCGTGACGCTCGCGCGCGCAGCGCCGGCGCGCTGCTTGGACCCGGGGCGGTCCAGGTCCATGAGGTCGTCCACCGCCGTCGTGTGCGTGCTCGTGGGGAGCGTGGCGGTGATCTTCTTGCGCGAGACGTTCATCGCGGCCTGGTTGGAGAGCAGGCGGGCGTTGGACGCCGCGGCGCCGGCCTTGGAGCCGACGACGACCTTGGAGGCGGTGGTCGCGGCGCTGCGGCGGCCGGCGGCGGGCGCGGTGGTGCGGGCGCCGGCGGCGGTGCGGGCGCCCGTGGCGACGGAGGCGCCGCCGTTGCCGTGGGCGTCGTCGCGGTCCATCGTCGCGCGGTACGAGCGGTTGCGGCCGAGGCGGTCGGGAGCGGACATGCGCCCGAGCGCGACGGGCCAGGCGAGACGCGCGCCGCGGGCGCGGGCTCCGGGGACGCCGCGCGCGCGGGGCTCTTGGCGGCGCGGTTCCTGCCGGGAGCGCCGGCGCCGGGGCCGCGAGGGCGCTGCTGGCGCCCGAAACGGGCCTGCTTCTTCGCCCCCTGGGTGAAGGTCGCGAGGGCTCGCTGGAGGTCTCTCTGGCGGGCGTCCGGGCGCTTCTCCGGGTGTTCTAGGTCGAGGAGGTCGGCGTGCGACCCGCGGGCCGCCGGGGGGCCGTCGAGCGTCGCAGTGCCGGCCGCGGCGTCCTCGACAGCGGGGGCGGGCGCGGTGCGGCCCGCGCGGCGCCTAGCGGAGGGGCCTCCGCTGCCGGGGCAGTGGAGGCCGAGCGGGGCGCGAACGTGCAGCTCGGCCGGGCGGAAGAGATCCGGAGATCCGCGGAGGGCGGCGCGCGCAGAGCTGCTGGCGCGAAGCAGGCTGCGCGAGGTGGAACAGAGTCTCGTGTGGTGCCGCGCTGGGACGCTTGCCCTCATCAACGTGGTCGTGGGTTACCTGCGGGTGTGAGGAGGCCGGGGCGGCGCGGGACGTCGGCGGGCGGGCCACGGCGCGGCTCCCCGGGCGGGATACTAGCACAGGGAGTGGACTGCAGTGCGGAATGCGCGGCTTGCGAGGGCGCGGCTGGGGCTGGGATGCGCGGGCGGGTGGGGACGGGGAAGCTGCGGCCGGGGGCGCTGGGGCGGGTGATGGCGCGTGGTGGCGCGGGAGGGCGATTGCCGCAGAACAGAGGCATGCGGCTCCGCGTGCGTGCTGCGCGGCCGAGAGGGGTCGCGGGTCGGGTGACGGAAATGGTCGAATGCGTTCGCGTGCGCCGGGCCGCGGGACTCACCGTGGGCTTCACCGGGACCGCATGCGACGCAGTGCAGGGTGCCGAGGTGACCGCGAGAGGCTGCAGGGGCGTCCGGCACACAGGTCTCTGGGTTCCCTGAAGTCGAGCGTGGGGAGGTCACGGGATCCCGCGAGGCCGGCCTCGCAGTGGAGCGCGAACGCGAAGCGCACTCGAGTGAAAAGCGAGGGCCGAGAACGACCGCGACCGCAGCCCACACGTCTTGCGCTCGCTCTGACGGGTTCTCCGAACTTCAGCATTGCCCCGCGCCGCGCGGCACCATCGTATCCCGCCCGGGCGACGCGGGCCGCGCCGTCAGACGGACACAAGCGTCATTAGGTGCAGAGACAACGGCCTCCGCTTGCGCTGCGGCCGTGGAATTGGGTGATTGAGCAGCGCCGTGAACGTGGTGTTGCGAGAGGAAGTTGATATGGCAGGGCGCGTGCGATTGGACGGCGCTGCGTGACATGTGCTTTTGCGATGTGGGGCGTGTCGTGTCGTGGGCTGTGAGGTGAGGTGAGGTGAGTAACATTCTTCGCGTGTGCGGCATGTCGGTGTGGGTGTGGAGCAGGTGCGGCAGGTTGCGATGAGGCGGGGTTGACGGTGCTGTGTGATTGGCGGCGGGCGGGTGCTTGTGGGGGCGTGCGTGGAGGTGCGGTTGTGCGTGAGGCGAGTATGTGCGGCCGGAAGGTTCACATCAGTGCCGGAAACTCGCGGTGCACGGGCTGCAGCGGCGGGCGACAGGCGGTGTGCAGGGTAGTTTGTTTTTGTTTTGTGAAGGTATATTTTTTGGTGTGGAGGTAGGAGGGGCTGTCCCGCCTAATGCGGGCTCATCTGTATGGATGCCGCGCCAGTCGCGTGGGCGTCCGCCGCGGCAGCGTGGGCACGGAGGTCTCCGCACGCGTTGTGCGCGACGCGACCGTAGGATGGAGCACGGCGCTCAGCGACGGCCCTCGCGGTTGTTGGTGCGCTGCACCTTGGGCGGGGTGATCGGGTGGGTGGTGTCCTCGCCGGAGTCCACGAGGTCGTCGATCGCGAGCTGGCGCTTCTTCACGTGCTCGCTCTTGGGCGTGGTGGTGGTGCACGTGATGGGCTGCGCGCTGGGGTTGGCGCCCTTGCTGGCTTCCGTGCCGTTGAGGTGGAACTTGATCTTCTGGGCGTCCTGCTTGGTGGCGGGCTCGGGCCCGTCGTGGCCGAGCTTCTGCAGGAAAGCGGGTGGCGTTGGACACTGTGGGGTGTGTGGGCACTGTTCGCGTGGCGTCCGGGACGTCGAGGGCGGGGGCTCACCGCGAGGCGCATGGGTGTGGACGGCGCGCACGTTGCGTCAGCGTTCGCCGCGGCAGTGTGGGCGCGGAGGTCTCCGCACGTGTGGTGCGCGAAGCGACTGTGGGATGGAGCACGTGGCGGTCAGCGACGGCCATTGCGGTTGCTGGTGCGCTGCAGCGCGCAGCGGCCGCACACGTAGATCGCCATGCAGGTCGCCAGCGAGGAGGTTGAGCGCTCACTCATTCCTGGGCTCTGCGCGAACAGCGACAGCGACGACGGCGGCGACAGACGGCGAAGGCCGCAACCTGTGAGCCGATATCCCGTGCCGATGCCCGCCAGCAAAGCTCCACCGCGCGCTGCCGAGGCGTCACGACTGTGTGCACGACGACGACGCACACGTGCGCGAACGTCCGCCACACAGCGAGGCCGCCAGCGGGGCACGCGGCCGGAAGCGACGCGACATCCGCTCCGCGAAACCCCGCACGCAACCGCGACGGCGCGCACAGGGACCACCTTGAAGGGTGACATCGCCGCCGGTGGCAGAGGAATCGGGCCATCACAGAGCGTGCAGGGACGTGCGCGCCCCTTGACCCGCACCAGACGCTGCACTACACCGAGACAGGTCGGCACGCCGCGACAAAGGCCGCGAGGCCGTCGAACGAGCACAGGGTCGCAAAAATGCAAACATTTTTTGGGGCCTGCAGACGCCGGCGTGGCCGCGCCGTTCCGCGCACGACGGCGACGCCGGCGCGGATTTAGGTGCAGACACCCGGAAGGCGACCCGCACGCGGGCGCTGGAGCGGCGAGGAGGGCCCACGGGACGGCCCGCGAGCGGCGCGCAGGGCCCCGGCGAGCAACATGGCTCCGCGGCGGTTTCCGGCTCCGCGAGGACGCGCGCGCGACGGAGCCGCAGCCCGGCGGACCCCGCACGTCCGTACGCGCAGGTCGGGCGCAAGCAGCCGGCGCGCGGCGCCGCAGGGCGACCGCCGCGGGCCCACAACAGCGAGGCCGGGCACGCAGGGGGCGGCCGGAGCGGAGCGCCCGGGGGCGGAAACGGGGCGCGAGCGCCACCCGCCCCGCTAAAGTGACGCCGGTGGCACCGGCGCGGCGGTCGAGAGGGCGCGAGAACCGCGCTCCCGCGAGAAGGCCCCGGCGGACCAAAGTCGGACAGAACATTAAAGGAGTGCCCGAGACAACGGCCTCCGCTTGCGCTGCGGCCGTGGAATTGGGTGATTGAGCAGCGCCGTGAACGTGGTGTTGCGAGAGGAAGTTGATATGGCGGGGCGCGTGCGATTGGACGGCGCTGCGTGACATGTGCTCTTGCTGGTGTGGGGTGTCGTGTCGTGGGCTGTGAGGTGAGGTGAGGTGAGTAACATTCTTCGCGTGTGCGGCATGTCGGTGTGGGTGTGGAGCAGGTGCGGCAGGTTGCGATGAGGCGGGGTTGACGGTGCTGTGTGATTGGCGGCGGGCGGGTGCTTGTGGGGGCGTGCGTGGAGGTGCGGTTGTGCGTGAGGCGAGTATGTGCGGCCGGAAGGTTCACATCAGTGCCGGAAACTCGCGGTGCACGGGCTGCAGCGGCGGGCGACAGGTGGTGTGCAGGGTAGTTTGTTTTTGTTTTGTGAAAGTCTATTTATTGGTGTCGAGGTAGGAGGGCCTGTCCCGCCTAATGCGGGCTCGTCTGTATGGATGCCGCGCCAGTCGCGTGGGCGTCCGCCGCGGCAGCGTGGGCGCGGAGGTCTCCGCACGCGTTGTGCGCGACGCGACCGTAGGATGGAGCACGGCGCTCAGCGACGGCCCTCGCGGTTGTTGGTGCGCTGCACCTTGGGCGGGGTGATCGGGTGGGTGGTGTCCTCGCCGGAGTCCACGAGGTCGTCGATCGCGAGCTGGCGCTTCTTCACGTGCTCGCTCTTGGGCGTGGTGGTGGTGATGGGCTGCGCGCTGGGGTTGGCGCCCTTGCTGGCTTCCGTGCCGGTGAGGTGGAACTTGATCTTCTGGGCGTCCTGCTTGGTGGCGGGCTCGGGCCCGTCGTAGCCGAGCTTCTGCAGGAAGGCGGGTGGCGTTGGACACTGTGGGGTGTGTGGGCACTGTTCGCGTGGCGTCCGGGACGTCGAGGGTGGGGGCTCACCGCGAGGCGCTTGAGTGTGGACGGCGCGCACGTTGCATCAGCGTCCGCCGCGGCAGTGTGGGCGCGGAGGTCTCCGCACGTGTGGTGCGCGAAGCGACTGTGGGATGGAGCACGTGGCGGTCAGCGACGGCCATTGCGGTTGCTGGTGCGCTGCAGCGCGCAGCGGCCGCACACGTAGATCGCCATGCAGGTCGCCAGCGAGGAGGTTGAGCGCTCCCTCATTCCTGGGCTCTGCGCGAACAGCGACAGCGACGACGGCGGCGACAGACGGCGAAGGCCGCAACCTGTGAGCCGACATCCCGTGCCGATGCCCGCCAGCAAAGCTCCACCGCGCGCTGCCGAGGCGTCACGACTGTGTGACGACGACGACGCACACGTGCCCGAACGTCCGCCGCACAGCGAGGCCGCCAGCGGGGCACGCGGCCGGAAGCGACGCGACATCCGCTCCGCGAAACCCCGCACGCAACCGCGACGGCGCGCACAGGGACCACCTTGAAGGGTGACATCGCCGCCGGGGGCAGAGGAATCGGGCCATCACAGAGCGTGCAGGGACGCGCGCGCCCCTTGCCCCGCACCAGACGCTGCACTACACCGAGACAGGTCGGCACGCCGCGACACAGGCCGCGAGGCCGTCGAACGAGCACAGGGTCGCAAAAATGCAAACATTTTTTGAGGCCTGCAGACGCCGGCGTGGCAGCGCCGTTCCGCGCACGACGGCGACGCCGGCGCGGATTTAGGTGCAGACACCCGGGAGACGACCCGCACGCGGGCGCTGGAGCGGCGAGGAGGCCCCACGGGACGGCCCGCGAGCGGCGCGCAGGGCCCCGGCGAGCAACATGGCTCCGCGGCGGTTTCCGGCTCCGCGAGGACGCGCGCGCGACGGAGCCGCAGCCCGGCGGACCCCACACGTCCGTACGCGCAGGTCGGGCGCAAGCAGCCGGCGCGCGGCGCCGCAGGGCGACCGCCGCGGGCCCACAACAGCGAGGCCGGGCACGCAGGGGGCGGCCGGAGCGGAGCGCCCGGGGGCGGAAACGGGGCGCGAGCGCCACCCGCCCCGCTAAAGTGGCGCCGGTGGCACCGCCGCGGCGGTCGAGAGGGCGCGAGAACCGCGCTCCCGCGAGAACGCCCCGGCGGACGAAAGTCGGACAGAACATCAAAGGAGTGCCCCTCGCCTAAGGGCACCACCCTCGCCTAAGGGCACCACCGAAAAAAGAGCATTCGCCTGGAATCACGCGTCGCCGCGCTCACGCTCACGCCGAGGCCGCACAATGGCGGACAGCCCCGGCACCCTGGCCGGCCTCAGCACCTCGCTGAGAGCCGCCGTGCGTGCATGTCATCACACGGGCGCCGCACACAACAGCGTCCCTCCGCAACCCCGCATCGCCGCGGCACGCATGCATCAGCGGAGCCGCAGAACCTCCACTGCATCCCGGCGGCTCCCCGTGTGCGCCGCGTCTCGCAACAACCCCAGCCTGAGCGTCCGTCACAAGGGGGTTGGCCGTGGCGTCAGGAGATGAGAAACACGCGACGCACGCTGCCTACGGGGCTGCGAGGAAGGTGCTGGGCTCACAGCTGCGCGTGCCGAGCCATCCGCGGCTCAAGAACAACGCCCGAGGTGGAACATTCCATCACAAAGTAGTAATTGACCACCCGCGCACGGAACGAAATGCGGGTGTGCTATGGGAGCCGCACGACGTCGCCGTGCAGCACGAGCGGCCCCATGGTCGACTCCACGAGCCGGCGCATGCGTCCTTTCACGGCGAGCGACTGCAGCTGCCGCACCGTGGACAGCACCAGTGAAAACACAATCAGGAAGCTTGTGGCCCCGACTGCAGCACTGAACTGCGCGAGACACCACTGGTCCACGCGCCTGGCCGCGACGACGACAGCGCCGAGCACAACACCGCCCTGGATTCGCAGCCTCCTGCGCAGCACGGCGGGCGGGGCAGTGGTGCGGTGAGGAAGCAGGAAGAGAAAAGGTTGCGCCGCTCGGCTTGATAACACGCCTCCGTTTGAGGCGACGTCCAGCGGGAAGCGTCGACTCCGGCCGCGGCGACGCGAGGCGCGTGCGCTGGCGCGGGGCGCTCCGTTACAGAGCGCAGCTGCGGCGGTCGCGCGGGGTGGTACCTGATGCGTTTCGTGAGGTACTGCTTGGTCTGTTCGCCCGGGACGACGCCGACGATGGAGGCGTTGGTGGCCATGAGGTAGTCGCTGATGTTGTGGATTTTCCCAATGCCTAGCGCTTGGAAGAGGACGACTGTGGCGAAGACGAAGATGTCGCACGGCACGGACTGCGTCCACTGGCCGAGGCGGTGCCAGGTTTCCGCGGAGCTCGCGGAGAGGTTGCAGATCGTTCGAGGAATCTCGAGTAGCATGAAATTCACGGATAGAATCACCAGCATCGCGCCCGGCGCGGGCTTGATGGGCAAGTACGGCGCCTCCGTCTTGCCCGCGACATTCGCGCTCTTGCTGCACGCACAAATCGGCAACCGAAAACCACTATCGCGCGAAAACACTCCCGAAGCAAAGAAAAGTCCCCGCAGCTGCGACCGCCGCCCCTGCACTCCCCTCCGCGCAGCCAGCACACGCAGCAAGCACGCTAGTGCGGCGCAGGCACGCACCTGTACCCCGCCACGCTCAGCTGCGAGTCTCCCGTGCCCAGGTACCGCAGCGGCAGTTTCGTCGTCCAGACGTTCAGCGCGAGCATCGCCGCGAACATCGCAGCGACGACGCCGCCCAGGAGCGCGCCCGTGCCCGCGGGCACCGCGCCGCTGAAGAGCTTCGGGAGGACCGTCGACCCGGACGTCCAGATGTTGCCCGCGATGGAAAGGCAAATCACGACGGTCGTGCCGTCGCCCTGGGGCGCAGTAAGGCGAAGGGGCGCGCGAGGATAGTGAGGGCTGAGCGATGCGCGGGGGGAAAGCGGCGGGCGCGGCCCGAAGGCCCCGGGGTGCGGGTGCTGGCAGTTGGCTGGCGTGCAAGGCGTGAGCGCGTGTGGGGGCTGTTTTGTCGGAGGGGCGTACCAGGCCGTGCTCCTCGATGAGCCAGGCGGCCCGCTCCGCGATCAGTGCGCCCGCGAACAGCAGCCCGCCTAAGCAGAACGCGATTACCAGCCTGAACAGCGCCAGCACGCAGCTCTTTGCGACGGCGGGGAAGAAGCCGGATTTCAGCAGCGCGACCGGGTCCGGCAGCACGAGGGCTGCCACGAACGTCGCCGCCAGCGCGGAGCCCGCCCAGGCCACGGGGCGGATGGGCTTTGATCCCTGCAGCAACACGTGGCGCAGTGACGGTCATTTCACGCGACGCAGGCCGCAGCTCGCCACGAGGTGGATGCCCCATGCAGTCGTGCTTCGTACGGCGTGCTTCGGTGGCTCGTGCGATGCGTGCAGGCAGCTGCGGTGAGTGCTGCACCACAGCAGGACAGCGCAGCGACGACGCGGGGGGGAGGGGGGGCACGGCTCGCCTTGATGACTATGTCCGCGTCCTTCTTGCCCGCCTTGTTCGCCCTGCGTTTCTGCCTCATCTTCCGCAACTGCCTGTCCAGCTGGTACGCGCCCGCCCACACCAGCAAGAACGCCACGACGCCCGTAGCCACCGCGAGGAACGTCAGCATCAGCACGGTCGCGCCCTGCCACGCGAGGCTCGTGCCGGGCGCCTGCGCCAGCGAGCTAAACTGCACGACTTTGAGACCAGTAAGCAGCGAGGTGACGCCGGCGATGCTGCTGCCCAGGACGAAGAGATTCCACTTAAACCGCTCCTGCGCGTTGGAATCACCGGGGAGGAGCAAGCGCTGTCAGTCGCGGCGCTCGGGCGGTTCGCGCGAACGAAGCTGCGGCAGCATGGCGCTGTGCGCGCTCGGCGGGGCCGCTCACGATGGTATCGGTGTCCTGGCGTTCCTCGATCTCGCGGAAGACACACAGGCAGGGGATTGCTTGGTAGAACTTCTCGGTGTTGACGCTGCCCACCTGCCGCGGGAGAAAAGTGCACAGCTGCGCAGCGATGCTCGCGGTGATGTACGGCGAGATGCCGATCTCGAGGAGCGACAGAGGGGCCTCCCACGGCGCCTTGAACGGCGTCAGGAGCTGCGGCGCGTGCTCCTGGATGGCTGCGAAGTCGAGCGACGGCAGCGCTACGAGGCTGAGGAGCACCAGCCCGCACAGGACGCTCGCCGTGACGGCGATCCGCCGGACCATCTCCCAGTTCTGCGCGGCGGGGCGGCGTTCGCGCGGGCGCGGTCGTCGCGAGTCATGCCAGCTGCGCAGGTGCACTCTGCACGGTTTCAACGCGCGTGCATGCTTGATTTCTCCATGTCATTCATCGCGAACGCACCCTGAGGAACGGGAGGACGCGCAGGAGCTGCTGCGGCACCCACTCAGGCGTCTGCGTCGTGGTGGAGTCCCAGTCGATGCGGGGGCGGATCTTGCGGCGCCGCGGGTCGCCGAATATGGGCAGCGCGGCGACCACCCGCCCACCGCGCTGCCTCGAGGCACATCTAAAGGACTCAGGAAGGTGGCCTGGGGCGAGATTTCCGCGGCACACGGAGCAGAAACACGGTGCGAGAGGCGCAGGGGTCCGCAGCGGCGCCGGGCGCAAGCCTGCGCGGTGGACGCGCCGGTGTGGGCCCCGCGCGGCCGCAGGAGGATGGCTATCATAGTGGCGCCTCGCCGCGCCAGGGGCGTGGACCAGAGGCCGCTGCATCGCAGCGGCGCCGGCTGTTGATCACGGGCAGTGAAGGCGTTCAGGCTCTCGGTGCCGTTGACGGAGAAACCGCGACACCCGGCCTGTGCCACAGCACTGACGTGCTCGTCGTCGGGACCGCTCGGTGGTAGCTATATGTGTGCTCTGGCGCGCATCGCCGCCGCGCACCACCAGCGCTACACGACGAGGTCAGGCACGACGCTCGCGAGTCTCCACCAGTCCTTGCGACCGCGCGACGCGAATGTACCGCGGCCCAGGCGTCCCCCAGACCCGTCAAACGGCTTGTCTGACCACGGGCGTGCAGTTGAGGCCTCTGGGATGTTGTCGGCTGAGTCCGTCCTGGTCCTACCGGCCAGAGTCCGGGACTTCACGCGCTCATTGCCCCACCTGCCGGAGGCCAATGTCATATGCTTCTTAGGAGCTACATCTCACGACACATCACCGCCTAGGGCGGTCTCCACTCCCCCGGGCACCTGCTGCGCTTCACAGCCAGCTTCAGCGCCCGCGTGGCCGACGGACCGAGCTCGTTTCCGCACCGCAGCGAGGTCATACGGCGTGGGGACGCTACGACGTCCGTGGAAGCAGCCTACGTCGACGTCATACCGCACCCGCGCCCAGGCAAGTCGAGTTCCTCGAAACCCCGCCACACGCCGCACAATACCCTCCCCGCCACCCAGAATCACCCGCACGTCATAGTCCGTGCGCAAGCGCGCCGGATTCCCGCCGAGCTGGCGCTTAGTGCCCGGTGGATACGGCAGCCAGCGACCACGCCAGCGGCAAGCACCGCTGCAGCGTGCAGGAGGCGCAGCGCACCTCCGTGGCCCATTCGCGGACCCAGCGCCCTCGTATCCATCTCTCTTTCGTTCGGCGCCCCGCGCGCCCCTCCTCCCGGCCGTGCCGTCGCAATTTCGGCCCAGCGCCCTCCTGAGAAGCAGCAAGTCGTCTCCCGGCGCGCATTTGCGCTGCCTGGGCCCGCGTTTCCCCCGCATTATCGCCCCACGGTCGCGAGCGCACCTTGCACGCGTGGCCGCGGTCCGCCTCGATCCTCCACGACGCCACACGAGGGCGACCCTGGTGCCGCGCGTCACCACGGCTCAGCCGAAGCGCGCCGGGGGCTGCGCGCGCGGCGGTTCCGGGCCATCCGCGCAACGCAGACAGACACGCTTCCCCGCCACCTCCTGACATTCTCAGACACATCACGGCCGCCGCGGCCCCCACATTCGAACGCAACGTGGACCGCTTGCCTCGTGCGGTGGCTGACCCGCCCTCCCGGCCGCGTTCTGGCACCAACCTCACGCCAGTCCCGTAATTCTCGTTCTATCTGTCCCTCCCGTGCGCCTGACGCGCGGTGAATCGCTCCCGTGCTCTGCAGCGCTCCCGCGAGCGGGAATCACACAGCCCGGGACCCCTCGCCGCGCCTGAGCCCGCGCCCGGCCCCCGCGCTCCGCCCCCGCGCCACGCACGATGCAGGGCGGTTTCGAGGGGGACCGGACCGCGAACGGCGGCCCGCTCCCACCCGGGGCTGCCCCGTTCGTACCAGACCGCGTCACGCGCATGACGCGCCCGGCGGGGCGGCCCACGAAGGACGCCATCACCATCGAGACCGTCCCCACGAGCACGCTCCGGCGCCCGAAATCCAACTCGAGCCTCACGTCCAAGCTGGCACGCGGAGCCAGCGGCAGCGCCACCCCGACGACGCCAGCTGACGCGAGCACGGACCCCGCCCGCGTGCGCTTCGGCAACTGCGACGACGACGACGACGACGACGACGACTCCCCCGTCGTCGGCCCAGCGAAGCGCCGCGGCGGGGGCGCGGGAGGCTTGCGCCTGAACGCCAGTGCTGCGCCGTGGGTGCCGCCGGGGCTCCACGGCCCGCTGCCGGAGCCGGAAACCGCGGAGGAGTACCGCGCGCACCAGCGGCAGCGGAAGAAGGCGCACCCGGCGCCCGCGCGCGTGGCGGTGGTTGCGCCGGCGGTCGTACACCCCCCCGGGGGAGTGGCTGCGCGGGCGCTGGACGTGGAGGACGGGATGCCGCTCGCGATCACGCCGGGGGCGCGACGCGCGCCCGTGGGCACGTCGTCCGCGCAGGTCGTGCTGGACGCCGGGATGCCGCGGCCAGAGGTGCGCTGACCTCCCCCGCAAAATCCCAAAACCCCCCCTGCCTCGTCGTCGCGTGGCGGGACAGCCGCGCACCACGCGGACCCCTGCGCAGCGTCCTCATCGCTGGCGCTCGCACACCCTGCAGCACCCGCGAGCGTGCACAACTAACAAATTACCCCCCTTTTTTTCAAACACAACGCTCAGCCCTCACCACCCCATCCGCCGCCGGCGCAGGCGTCGCGCGGCCCGTCCGCGATCTCCTCCTCCCCGGGCGTCGCGTCCCAGCACACGCACGGCGACGTCGCGCTCGGATTTGACGACGTCTTCCACCCGCCGTCGGTGCGCGCCTCACTCGAGCAGCGCGTCCCGTCGGCGTCCTCCCAGGCCGGGAGCGTCAGCGGGCACACCGTGCGCTCCGTGGGCGCGCCGGCGTCCCTCCCGGGGTCCGCGGCGCAGTCGCCCGCGAAGCGCGCGCCCGTGGCGGCGCTGGGGCGCCGCGGCAGCGGCAGCGGGCCGGCAGCAGCGACGGTCGCGGCGGCCGCCGCGCTCGGGCTCCCGGCGGACGCGCCCGAGGCCGAGGCGGCCGCTGCGGCGGCGGTCGCGCTGCCGCCCGTCGACGAGATGGCGCCGATTCGCACCGACGCAGTGCTGCTGTCGTCGCCCGGGAGCTCGGCGCGGCAGACCGGCGAGGGGCTGGCAGGGCGCGTCGAGGCCGTGGCTGCGTCGGCCGTGGCGACCGCCGCGGCTGCGCGCGCGGAGGCGGCGGAGGCGGACGCGAAAGCGGCGGCGGCGCTCGCGGCCGTGCAGGCGCTCCGTGAGGGCGCGGCCGGGGCCGACGACGCCGCGCAGGACGTGGAGGACGCGCAGGACGGGCCGTCGCCGGGGCGGCCGCCGCGGGCCCCGCCGACGCGGCTCGGTTTGGAGGATTTTGACATTTTGTGCGTTTTGGGGCAGGGGGCGTTCGGGAAGGTGTTTCAGGTGCGGCGCGTGGACACGGGGCGCGTGTACGCGATGAAGGTGATGCGGAAGCGCGAGGTGCTCCGGAAGGACCACGCGGACTACATCACGGGCGAGCGCAACATCCTGACCACAGTGCACCATCGGTTCATCGTCACGCTCAGGTGCGCACAGCGCACCGCAGCCGCGCACTGCCCTTGCATTCAGTGGACCGTGCGCTGCGCAGGAGCCGCGCCGCGTCGGTTCCAGACGGCGGCACGCGCTGTTTTGTCGCTCCTACGATTTTGTTATATTTCGCGCGATGGCGGACGCTGGGTGCGGCGATCCGACGTGTTGTCGCGCGGGGGTGGTGCGTCCGCACAGGTACTCGTTCCAAACGCCGACGAAGCTGTACCTGGTGATGGACTTCGTCAACGGCGGCCACCTGTTCTTCCAGCTGCACAAAATGGGGGTGTTCGAGGAGGACCTCGCGCGGCTGTTCACCGCCGAGCTCGTCCTCGCGCTCGGGAAGCTTCACGACCTCGGCATCGTGCACCGGGACCTCAAGCCCGAGGTGCGCGCCAACGGCCAGCCTCGCGCCCGCCGCTGTTCACTGCAGGGCTCTCTCTGCCGTCGATTTCGCCGCGATCCGCCCACTTTCCCGATCACACGCGGGCCGAAAGCCAGACGCGTGGCTGCGTGTGCCCTGCGCGGCCTCCCGTACCTCCACCGCCCGCTCCCTCCCCCTACCAGCACGAATTACTCCCCCCCCTCCCGTGGATCACAGAACATTCTACTGGACTCCACGGGGCACATCAAGCTCACGGACTTCGGCCTCGCGAAGACGCTCCAGACGGGCGAGCGCAGCAACTCCTTCATCGGCACGCTCGAGTACATGGCTCCCGAGGTGGTTACGGGCCGCCCGCACTCGAAGGAAGTCGACTGGTGGTCCGTCGGCATCCTGCTCTACGAGATGCTCGTCGGCCTGCCGCCGTTCCGCGCCGCGGACCGCCACAAGCTCAAGGCGCAGATCACTCACGCCAAGGTCAACTTTCCTAAGTTCCTTACCAAGCACGCCGTGTCCTTGCTGCGCGCGCTGCTGAACCGCAACGCGCAGCACCGCCTCGGCGCCGGCGAGGGCGGCACGGCCGCGGTGATGGCGCACCCGTTCTTCGCGGGCGTCGACTGGGCGCGGCTGGAGGCCGGGCAGGTCAAGTCGCCCTTCACGCCGTCGCTGTCCAACTCGCACTCGGTCGAGAACTTCGGCCACGAGTGGACGACGCTGCCGGCCGTGGACTCCCCCGACGACACGCCCGTGGGGTCCGGGGAGGAGCACCTGGACATGGAGGGGGCGTTCCGAGGGTTCACGTACGTGCACAAGGGGTCGTACATGAGCCAGAACGTGGCTGCGGCGTTCAAGGATAGCGGGTACTGAGGGGCGGTGGGCAGGGGGGGCTGTTCGGGTGGTCGGACGGCGCGGTGGTGCGTGCGTGGGCGGGGGGGTGTGGATGTGTGAGAGGAGGTGTTTTCGGGGGGAGTGGGGGGAGGTGGTGCGTGCGGCGCGCGGTGGTGGCGCGCGGGTGGTTTTGCGCGTGCTGTGCGGAGTGCGGCGGATTGACGCGGGAGGGGCGGGCGCGGCCAGTCAACGCTGCCTCGAAGGTCGCGCTCTGACCGTTGCGCGGCGCGTCGCAGGCGCCTTGTTCATCGGCGGAGGTCGCGGGGTTCGAGGAGACAGTTCTCTTGCGGCCCTGCGGTCGCTCGGAATCGCAGCATCGGCGGCGGAGCGAGCTAGGTTCCGGCTAGGCTCAGGCTTTATACTTTTCGGGGGATGGGAGGCGTGCCTGGAGCGCGGGGCTGAGCGCGAGGGCCGCCGCGACCTGCAGGGCACTTTCGGCGCGACCTCCGCGTCCGCCCGACACGTGGTGACCGGGCCAGTGCAGCACCGGAGCGCTCCCCCGAGACTAGGCCCTCGACCGCGACGCCGGCGCCTGTCATGGTGCGTGCACGCGCGAACGCACGCGCCGCACTCAGTACATTCCAAGGACCCGCGAAAACCGCCGAACTCACGTCGCCACGCCCCACCCGCGCCGCCGTACAGGGTCGTTCAGCCTCCCTCCGTTAGGCAAGGTCCAGCGCGCGGGCCAGGCCACACACGGGTCTAAACGGCCGTCCGGGCGGCGATGCCAGCCATGACGACCCTCCGGCCGCAGACCCCGCCTCTGGGCGGCCACGCCCTGGACCAGGCCGGCCCCGGCGGGTCTCCGTCCACCGGCGAAGACCCCTTTCTCCCAGTGCGTCCACGAACCCAATACACCCCTCTCCGCGCCCTCCGCGCAGCCATCGCTCCCTGCAATCGCCTCCCGGGGCGCGCTGCCTCGCTCGCGCGCCTCACCCCCCCGCCCGCTCGAGCCCACGACCTCGGTGAGCTTCTGCGGCGCAGGAGGATACGTTCCCGATGGCCACGGAGCTGTGGCCGCGAGGGACCACGATTGGGTACCGGTATATCGTCAAGGGGATGCTCGGGGGCGGCGGGAACAGCCAGGTGCGCCTGGAGACGCAGCCTTTCGAAGGCTGCTGCGGCAGCGGCGCGCCCAGCGCCGTCGCGGCCGAGATCGATGCGCGGATCGCTGCGACACGCGGCCCGAGCACTCGTCCGCGCGCTCCGTTCCCTGCGGGCCATTTTCGAACCCCGTGCGCCGCCCTGTTCCGCCCAACTCCCCTCAACTGCCACTAGAGCGTCAGCCCCCGCGTGCGCCGGCCAGACCCCCACCGCGCCAGTCTCTCATCGCGCGACACTCCTCGCGAACTCAGAGACACCGAGGCGCGTTTTAAGGCGTCCTCGGAGCCGCAATGTGGCGAGAATCGTCCCCAAAGAGAATGCGAATGAGAGCACGGAGCCAGGCGGCGCTCACGGCCCGCTGCGCCCTCGACTTCGCCGCAGTGCATTCGGGCGGTCCACTGCGACCTCGGAGACCAGGTCGCGATCAAGACGGTGCACCCGCTGCTTCTCAGCCGGCGTCCCCTGGGACATGCGTTGCGCGCACTCCAGGCAAGCGAATGTCCGCGCGCCCGGCGCCCCGACGCGCGCGCCCGGCGCGCCGCGCGCCCGCGGCTCCGGCCTGCCTCTGCGGGCCCGCGGCCGCGGGCGCCGTGCCGCGAGCGACCGCGCGCGCTGATTCTCTGTTGTAGTCCGCCCGCCAAGTTCCGGCCTCCCGCACGCGCGCGCGCAGGACCTGATCACGGAGGGCCGCGTGATGGCGCAGTTCCGGCACCGCAACATCCTCGCGGCGCGGGACCTCTTCTGCAGCCCGCCGGATCTTGCGATGCGGCTTACAGCAGCGATGCGGCTACAGGCTGGGGCGTCGGCGCAGGACGCGAACCGCGCGCTGCGGGACCTTGAGCAGCTCGTGACCTCGGGGATGGCCTACGCGGGCCTCGTGGTCAACGTGCTCCCCGGCATGACCTGCGCTTCGCTCCTGGATGGCACGGGACGCCTGGAAGAGACGATTGCGGCGCGTATCATCGCAGGTGCGGCCGCGATGCTGCGTGTACGCGCTGCGCCGTGTAGAGGGCTGCGGCTGGGAGCGCGCAGGCGGGTCGGTCGGCTCGCGAGAGTGTTGTAGCGACGGAAGGAGAGACGGGATTTCTCGAGTTGTTCTGCCTCGCTTGGTTCCCGTTTCGCCGCGCCGTGACGCTCGAGCTTCCGTGTGCGCGTGGCCGCAGAGATCCTCGAGGCGCTCGTGGAGGTGCACCGCCAGGGCGTCGTCCACGGAGACATCAAACCCTCGAACGTCATGATCGGATCTGGAGGCCCTTCGCGCGGCCAGATCACCCTGTTCGACTTCGGCCGCTGCCGGCCCATCAACGCCAACTTGATGCTCCACGAGGAGGAGTGCGCGGGCCCGGGGACCGACGACGATGCCGAGCACGAGGACGATAGCAGCGGCATGCACAGCACAGGGCTCACGCGAGCTGGGAGCGGCGCTGCGCCGCAGATGGGCAAGTGCGACGAGCCGCCGGGGCGGCTGCAGACCGAGCCGTACAGCAACTCGGGCACGCACGCGGGCGGGGGCCACAGCGAGCGCAGCTGGCCGCGTGTCAGCTCGCAGACCTGCGGGGCGCAACTGCCGCGTGCGACGACCGTGCAGTCCGTCAACGTCCGCGGCGGGGACTCGGGGCACCGCCGCGCCAGGGCTGCGGCCACGCAGGCCGGGGAGACGAGCAACGGCGGCGTGTTTATCATGCAGCTGCCGGCAGCGGACGCGCCCGCGTGGGGCACCCCGCAGCAGCCGATCACGAGCATCGCGACGTCGCAGGGGTCCTCGACGGTCGGGTCCACGCCGTGGCCTGCGCCGGGCGGCCCGCAGAGCGCCGATACGATCAAACACGCCGGGTCGTTCCTGGGGCACGTGGCGGCGGCGGCGCGCAAAGCGTCGCAGAGCGGCGAGCACGGTTCGGACGGGCCGCTGGACGAGACGGAGACGCCGACGGACGACACGCGGACGCGCACGCTCTCCGGGAACGCGGACGTGCCTGCCGCGGTGAGTGTGCCGGCACCGCGTCGCGCGGCGCCGCCGCCGCCCGCGCGCCCGCCGCCGCCGCCGCCGGTGACGACTGTCCCGCCGCGGTGCTCCGAGATGAAGCCCGTGCGCGAGCCGTCCCCGCGGGTGTCGGCGGCGCACCCGGCGGCCAGAATCGCCCCCGTGAGCGTCGCAGTTGCGTCGCCCGCGGGGGCGCCGCGCGCGGCGCGGTGCGAGCCGCCGAACCGCGTGCCGATCTCCAAGTCCGTCGGGAGCGCCGAGGACCGCATCGCGTCGGGGCACCGCCGCACGGAGCCGCGGGAGCTCGCGCGCGACGCCCCTCGCCGCCGGTCAGCGAGCCTGCCGCGCATGCAGCGCCCGGAATCGATGAGCGACCGCGCCCGACGCACGTTCGCGACGGCCAAGTCGGACTTCAACACGTCCGTCGACACGCCGTCGGAGATCTCCGCGTTGTTCCGCGGCAATCACGTCTCCGCCGCAGCGGCGGATCCGCCCGCGTCGCCCGCGCACGGCAACGCCGGCGAGCGCACGCCGAAGCCGCGGCGCGGCACCGCGATCGGCCTGGCTGCGGCGGACATGGTCGCGCGGCTCGGCGCGGGGGCGCTGGCGAAGCATTCGGTACCTGCTGTGGATGCGTTCCCGATGCGAGCCGAGCCGTCGCCGGTGTTCTCGCGGGCCCGTGCGCGGGCGCCGAGCGCGGAGCGGCACTCGCGCTCGCCGCTCTCGCGGTCGCGGCACTCCCACTCGCGGCACTCGGGCAGGCGGGGCAGCCACAACAACGACGCGAAAGCCAGTCACTATTCCATGGTCCGCGAGGAGTTCTTCGCACTAGGGGCCGGCCCCGCGGTGGTGCATGCGGGGGGCAACCTCGACTACGCCGCCCCCGAGGTGCTCAGGGGGGACCTGAGAGTTGACGTCAGGTCAGACCTCTGGTCGGTCGGACTCATCGCCTTCGAGCTCGCCGCCGGCTTCCACCCGTTCAAGCAATCCCAGGACCAGGCGGCGAACGTCCTCATCGACGACCCGAAGGACGCCCGCCACGTCGAGCAGACCCTCGCGAACTACTGCAGCCCCGCGTTCGCCGCCGCCGTCGCCAAGGCCCTCGCCGCCGACCCACGCAAGCGCTACGCCTCCGCGGAGGACATGCTCGACGCGTTCAGGGCGCTCGCGCCCTGCACGGCGTGCGGCGGGCAGGTGTCGGCCGAGCAGCTCCGCGGCTTGGCCGCCACGTCCCTCGCATCCCCCATGGGCTCGCGCAAGGTTCGCGCGACGCGGCAACGCAGCTCGCTGCGGCGCGTGACGACGCTGAGCGGCGCGGGGCTCCGCGTGACGGGCGGCGGGCTCTTCGACAGCGGCGCGAGCTACCACGACAGCGGCAGCGAGGCAGGCCTGGTTTTCCCAACCCACGCCACCACTGGAAGCCACACTCTGCATCGCTACGAAAGCTCGACGTGCGCCCGGCCCGGCAGCCCGTCGGAGAACGACTCGGACATCTGCCCGAGCGACTTCCCCGGGCAGGCCGTCGGCATGCGCGCCTCGTTGCAGTGCGACACCACGACGTTGCCTGGCGTGCTGCCGGCAGCATCAAGCATGGCGCCGGCGGGCCGGCCGTCCACGCACGCAGTGCCCGTGCCGGTCACGGAGGACACGGTCCGCACGGGGCTCCTCGTGACGCGCGGGAAGGACTGGGCGTGGGGTCCCCAGGACGGCGGGGAGGGGTCCGAGGGGGTTGTGTTGTGGGAGGAGGCGCGCGGGTGGTGGCGGGTGGTGTGGCCGCGCCGGCAGTGGTCGGCGAACTGCTACCGCGTGGGCGGGGAGGGGTGCTACGACCTGCAGAGCACGGGACAGGTCCGCGAGGACGTCGCGAGCGTGCTGGTGCCGGAAGTGGGCTCTTACGTGGTGCTGGCGCCGTCGGCGCGACTGGCGAAGGCGCCGTGGGAGCTCCGGCACGGCGAGGTGGGCAAGGTCGTGGAGGAGGACACGGGGGAGTCGTCGAGCCGGCGGAGCTCGGAGGACGCCCCCGGGCGGCGGCGCTCGTCGGGGAGCAACGGCAGGAAGCTGCGCGTGGTGGTTTGCGGCGGGCACGGGGTGTGGATGTCGGCGTCGGCGCTGCAGGTGGCGCCGGACCCGTGGCCGGCGTTCGGCGAGGCCGTGACGATGATGCGGGCGCGTGCGGGCCTGCGGGTGGACCGTGGCCCCGGGTGGAGGTTCGGCGGCCAGGGGGGTCCGGAAGGGACACAGGGGGTGTTGGACAAGCCCGAGGACGCGACGCACTGGTGGGTCGTGTGGGACCACGACGGGAGCCGCGAGCTCTACGAGATACCCTGGGACACGTGGTCGGGAGATAGCGGGTTGATATTTACCGGCGGGAGCGGACTCTTGCCGCCGGCGTGGCGCGAGCTGCGCGGCGCGGGCGTCGGCGGCGCGTCCGTCGCCGGCGGCGGCACGCCGTCGACGAGCACGCGGCACGCCCGCACCGCCGCGCTGTCGCGGCACGGCGGCGCCGAGTCCTCGCACCACCTCGTGCGCGCCGCGCCGCGCCTCCGCGTCGGAGCGAGCGTGATGCCGGCGTTCCCGTGGGACGTCGCCGCGACGCTCGCGCTCCCCGGCGCGACGATACGCCCCCTCGGCGACGAAGTCGCCGGCGAATGGGCCCCGGGATTCCGCCTCGAACAGATGCAGGTCGGACGCGTCACCGCCATCTGCCAGGCGACGCACTCGCTCACGATCGCGCTGCCGGACGGCGGCGAGGGGCAGTGCCAGCCCAGCGCGGTCGTCCCGGCGCCGCGCGCGCTCCCGATGCCCGGGGAAGTCGTCACGCAGTCGACGGCGCTCCAGGGGTTGCGTGTGCGCGCGGGACCGGATTTCGACATCGCGCGGCGGTCCGAAGGCACCCCGCTGGTGTCGCGGCGGAGCCGCCGGTCGATGCGGCGGTCCGGCGAGCTCGCGACGATCGGCGAGGGCGGCGGGCTCGGGTCGGACGAGGGTTTGGTGGACTCGGTGTTGTCGGCGGATGAGGGCGGGGAAAACGACCCGGACGACCTCGCGGCGCGCGCTGCGATGATGCGGGGCACGCTCTGGGGCCCCGTGCACCAGGCGCTGGACTCCCGCTGGTGGGTCGTGTGGGACGACGGTTCCGTGAGCAAGCATGCGATTGGCGCAGGTGGTCGCTTTGAGCTGGCGTTCGACACGCGTCCGTCGCGCAACGCGCTGCCGTCGGTGGACCTGGCCGATCCGGCTGTCCAGAACTCGGCGTCGCTGCGCGGGGGCCGGCAGATCGTGCTCGGAACGCGCGTGATGCTGTCGCCGGACTTTGCGCAGCATCCGTGCGCGGTGTACGGGCCGCTGCGGCCGGGCGAGGTCGGCGTGATCGTCGACGACGACCCAGACAGCGCGCTCGAGGTCCTCGTGCAGCCTGCGCAGGGGCGGAAGTGGTGGTACGCGCGTGCGGCGCTGGAGCCCGCGCCCACGCCGTTTCCCGTCGCGGGCGCCCCCGTGCGCATCCGGTCCGCGCGCGCGGGGCTCTCGGTGCGCCGCGGGCCGTCGTGGAAGTGGGCCGACCAGGACGGCGGCCTCGGGGGCGTCGGCGTCCTCGTCGCGCCTGCACGCGCGCCCGGTTGGTGGCGCGTGCACTGGTTCGCTCCCGGCGTGACCAACGCGTACCGAGTGGGCGCGGAGGGCGCGAGCGACCTCGAGTTCCTCGGCGGCGTCGCGAGCCTCCCCGACAGCGTCGCGTGCTTCGGCGAGGCCCTCCAACCGGGCGAGCACGTCATGATTTCCTGGGCGGCAGCCGACGCGTCGAACGGACTGCCAGGGCCGCTCCATCCGGGCCGCGTCGGCGTGGTCATCGCGGTGGACGACTCGATCTGCCCCGTGAAGGTCATGTCGCACGACGGCTCGCTCGGGTGGTACCGGGCGTCGGATCTACAACGCGCCCCGGCGTTGTTGCCAGAGGAGGGCCAGGACGTGACCGACGAGGACGCGCGCGCGGGGATGCTCGTCCGGCGGCGCGTCGAGCGCTGCTCGCGCGGGTCCCGGGCGAGCTCGCGCGCGGAGGGCGCAACGCCGGAGACACTCGCAGCAGCACAGGCGTCGCTCACGCTCAACCCGATGCAGGGCTCGGTCGGGGAGCTCGTGCGGCCGGGGAGCACGCCGGGTACGTGGGTCGTGCGGTGGTACTGCAACACAATCGGCGGCATGCACATGGACACCTCGGAGGGGCTCGAGCACTGCGGCACGCCGCTACGGTGGGTCGCTGGCGATGTGGAGGCGGCGACGGCGGCGGGGCTGGACCCGCGGATCGCGGAGGGCCTCGAGGAGATCGTCGGCGCGATGCGCGAGGCGCTGATGGAGTCTGCGATCGAGCGAGCGGGAGTGGGGGAGGGCGGCGGCGTGGAACGGGCGCGCAGGACGCTCGACGACCCGTGGCTGGCGCCGGGGCGGCGGTTTGCGCGTGGCGACGCGGTCGTTCTGTCGCACCGCGCGACGGAGCTGTCCGCGGCGATGCAGGGCCACCTGCGCTTCGCGTGCGGTGGCCGCGTGCTCAAAGTGCGCGACGTTGGCGCGGGGCCGCAGATGGTGCTTGTGCGGCCGCAGACGGGCTCCGCGGGCGGGCAGCGCGCGATGCGTACGAGCGTGGAGGCGCAGCGCGGCCGGTGGTACCCCTCGTGGGCGCTGGACCTCATTCCCGACGGGGTGCAGCCGGGCAATGCCGTGTCCGCTGAGAACGCGGTGGCGGGGCTGCTGGTGCGTCCGGGCCCTGGATGGCGCAGCATCGTGCCTGGGATCAAGGTCGGGACCGTCGGACGGCTCGCGCGGCCGGGCGCGCGCCACGGCTGGTGGCTGGTGCAGTGGCCCACGGGCGACGTCGTGGCGCACGCCGTGGGCGCGGGCGACGTGCACGAGCTGGAGATTGCGGCGCGCATCGGCGAGTGCGCGCACCCGCGCACGACGAGCAAGAACGCCGAGGTCCCGCAAGCCTTCCGCGGGCTGAAAAAGGGCATGTGGGTGGAGCTCACTCCGTCCGGCGCCTGGACCGCGGACGCCGCGCACGGCCCGCTCAAGGGCCCCGTGATCGGCAGCATCGTCGACGCGGACTCCCCCTACGGCCCCTTCCGCGTCAAAACCATCACGGGCAAGCACTGGTGGTACGACGCCGAGGCGTTGCGGCCGCTGTTCGACCCGGAGACGCTCCGCGGGCAGGCCGTCGGCGAGCAGTTCGCGCGCCGCGGCCTCCGCGTGGCCGTCGGGCCGGACCACCCGCACGCCAGCCGCGGCGGCTCCGGTGTGCTGCTTCGCGGGACGCGCCCTGGCATCTGGGAGGCCGGATGGACCGAGCATGGCGGCGTGGAGAAGGTGGTGACGTACCGGACGGGCAACGAGGGGTGCTTCGACCTCGCGTTCACCGGAGATGTCGATCCGAGGCTCGGGCGGCTCGAGTGGGCGTTGCCGGACCCAGACGCGGTGGCGGCGCTCAGGCCGCCGTTTGCGCCGGGGACGCGCGTGATGCTGCGCAAGCGCGGTCTCGAGAACCTCGCGCACGTGCGCAATGGGCCGCTCGTGCCGGGCGCGACCGCGACGGTGGTCGAGGACTTCGGCGGCACGCAATTCGTGAAAGTTCGACTCACGGAGGAAGATCGCACCGCGGCGGTGATGGCGGTCACGGAGCGCGTGTCCACGTACAGCGACGAGCCGATCCTCCCCGGGCGCGCCGCGCCCACGTGGGCCTACGCGCGCGGGGAGCTCATCGCGTGGCCGGACCCCCCCCCGGAGCACGACGACATCGTCACGCCCGCCAACGCGCGGTTCGGCCTCCGCGTGCGCCGCGGGCCGGACTGGAAGTGGGGCATGCAGGACCGCGGCCGCACGGGCCTGCTCGTCAAGTCCGAGGACCCGTCGAACGAGTGGTGGCGCGTGGAATGGAACAACGGCACCGGCAACGCCTACCGCGTCGGCCACGAGGGGTTCTACGACCTCGTGTACCACCTCGAGGACGACGTGCCCGTGGCCGAGGAGGCGAAGCTGTGCACGCTGTGCTGCGAGGCGCCACGCGGCGCGAGGTTCGCGCCGTGCAGCCACGCAACGTGCTGTATGCGGTGCGCGGACGAATGCAAGACGCGTGGGCTGGACTGCCCGCTGTGCAAGGCGCCGATCGAGGCCATCGTGGCGTGCAAGCCCACGGACAGCACGTATTGAGAGGGAGGCGCGATACTAGATACTCGTTGTGGGAACAAGAAGATCCATCGATTGAATTTGGAAAGTCCCCGCAGAGCCGGGACTCGCTTCTTTCGGCCAGACAGAAGCGAAGAGAGACGGGGTCGTTGGACGGCCGGGCCGCGAGGCAGCGGTGCGCTCCGACGCGGCTCAGGGGCGCGAGGGAACGCCGTGTCCTTGGGGTGACTCAAGGGGGCGTTTCAGCAATACACCCCCACCCCGCTGCATGACTTGCACCGGGCCGGCCGCCTCGGTGCGGCGCACGGCGCGGATGCGCGAGCGACGTGGCACGGAGGCGGCGACTGCGTCCCGGTGCGGCATGGAACGTAAAGGCCAGGCGTTGGGACTGCGTGATCAGTCGAGTTGCGACTGACTCTGGCAGTCGAGGACATAGCGCTTGGCCTGCGAATGCAACCTGTGATATTGCGACTGACGGCTACCGAAGAGCTCAAGCCGTGGACGCACGCATGCGGTCCGATGAGCCGTGCTACATTTCGGTCGCTCACGCACCCTCGCGGCGGGGTCCCTGTAGGCCAGGAGACAGTCAGAGTCACGCACGAGCCCGTCGTGGGCGCCGCCGACCACTTTCGACACCAGCCACCACTCGATGGTGGTGGTGGCTGTATCTATGTTTCACAGAGTATTAATTCACAGCTGAAGAGGGGTCTCCAGGATGTCCTGGTCCGTCCAGGATGCCGCACAGCGACACCCCACCCACCGCAGCGTCGCTCCGACGTCTCACACCCAGCAGCGGTGCCGCATCGCGACACAACAGACGCAGCGAGCGCTGCGCAGTGCGTTTCTGCGTGTGACAGTCTCAAGGGCCGCTCTCACGCCCAGGCGGGAGCGCGCTCGCGCTCGATCTCCACGCCGAGCGCGCCCAGGTGCCCGTCGATCGCGACGTGCGGCTTCGTCACGCGCACGCGCACTTTTTGGACCTTGGAGCTCACCGCAAACAATCGCATGCTGATGTCCTCCGCCACGGTTTCCACCAGCTCCCGCGCCTCCCCCTGCGGACCGGCCACCGGCGCGCACACTCAGCGTGGACCACGGGGGCGAGTTCGGGGAAACGTGGCCGGGCATTCGACGCGGAGAGCGCGCGAGTCATTGTGTCACGTGTAAGGGGGTTGAAGGCGTGCCGTTACGACGCTCTTGACCTCCTGGAAGGCCTGCGCGTAGTCCACGCTGTCGCGGAGGTCGTCGCTGCGCCCGGCCGCCGAGAGGTCCCCGCACGTCATCTCCACGTCGACTCGAAACTTCTGACCAAGCGTTCTCTCCTCCGGGAGCACGCCGTGGTACCCGTGGAACTCGCAGCCCTGCACGAAAGGCGAGGATATATCCGTTCCTGCCTCGTAGTGGGTCGGTGGGACCCGCAAAGGTTCCGCTCACGCCGCAATTCGGGACGCTAATGCCCGGTGTGTGTGTCGGTTGGCCCGGTGCGCGCGGAATCAGCGGCGAGCGGCCTCGTGACCTGCAGGAGGATCTTGTCCGTATCGCAGGCTCTGTATCGCGCCAGCGTCGACATCCGCGCCCCGGCGCACTGCGCCAGGGGCTGCACGCACGACACGGCCCGAGACAGCCGCTGCATTGTCGCCCCCACAGAACAGCAGCCGCCCTTTCTCTTCGCCAACCACGCGCCGCCCGACGGCCTCAGCAACCAGGAACGGCGTCCCTTTGTGCCGGCCCGTGCGGCCCCGCCGGCGCTTCACGGCGCGCTGGTTTCTGCGAACCCCTCCCCTGACGTCTGTGAGGGACCTCGGGTCGCGCGAGGGCCAACGGTCCGCGGCGGCCGCCCCCCCTGCCACAGAGGCGTCGCCGCGAAGGGCGCACATTCTCTCACGAGGACTCACGGCCGCGGATTTCATCGCCCGCCTATTCGCGCAGCTACAAACGCGCCGTGGCTGCTCGCTGCGGTGGCCCGTCTGGCCGGCTGAGCCCACTTGTCGCGAGACCCCAGCGCCTCGCACGCGGCGCGGGTCGCCCGGCGCCCGCATCCTCGAACCGGCCCTCGCAATCGCGTTTCATGTGCGCAGCGTAGCACGCTGAGACCGAGCGGGCGCGCGTGCGCGCGTTTCCGGGGCCGTCCGGGTGTTTGGGGGCCGCGGGCGCGGCCGTCACGTCGACGAGAATGGCTTCAGATGGTGTGTCGTACCGCACCCTCACCATTCGAGATACAGAGGTCTTTTTTCCGTACGAGCCATACCAGTGCCAGCTCCGGTACATGGATCGCGTCCTGGAGGCGCTCGACACGGGGTCCAACGCCCTGCTCGAGTCCCCGACAGGTGAGAGGCCAGGCGCAGCCGGCCAAGCCCGCATATCAATGCGACCCGGGCGTGTTCTAGCGCACAATGTGTTTCTTCTCTTCACTTCGAAGCCGGCGCCGCGCCGACGGCACGGCCTGCGGCACGCCTCGATGGCCGACATCCAACCCTACGACAGCCTCTCGCCGCGGCCGATCAGACCGTGCAATCGCGACGCTTGTCCGGGAAGGAATCGCCGCGCGAACTCCCCAGGCCAACGCCACGGCTGTTTCGGTCCCGCTGCGAGCGCTCACGCGCCCATCGGGACGCTCACCTACTCTCCAGGCCAGACCCTGCATTAAGGCCTCTCGGGCTCGCTCTCACGGCACCTTTCGCGCCCTTCCTGCACAGGGACGGGTAAGACTCTGTGTCTGCTATGTGCGACCTTAGGGTGGCGTCGGAAGCTCGAGAAGGAGCTGGCGGAGCACGGCGGGGCCGGGCGCGTCGACCTGCACGCCCGTCCGCGCCACAGAGACGGCGCGGGCCCCGCGGCGTTCGGCTTCGCCCCCGCGGAGCACAAGACGGGCTTTTCGGCGCCGCCGGAAGACGAGAAGCCTCGATTGGAGCAGAAACTCATGCAGAAGCTCGCTGCGGGGCGCTTCCGCGCGGTCCTCGGGCAGGACGGCGCGCTCGCGCCCTCGGGCTTCGTGTCCACCGAGCAGGCCGTGCCGCAGATCGTGTATTCCAGTCGCACACACACGCAGCTGGCGCAAGTGGTGCGGGAGATTAAGAAGACACCGTACGGCGCCAAGGCGGTGGTGGTGGGGTCGCGGAACCAGATGTGCTTGCACGACGAGGTGCGGCACCTGCCCGGGGGCGCCGCGAACGCGAAATGCCGTCAGGTGTGTCGTCAGGGGAGGTGCAAGTACAGGGGTCGGACTGACCCGTGGATGGGGGAGGACTCGAACAGAGAGCGGCTGCTGGAGACGCCGCACGACATCGAGGACCTGCTCGCGATCGGACGGGACGAGGTCGCAGGTGCGCCGCGCGCCGCATGCAGTGTTGAGTGATTCCTGTCTTTGTGCATTCGGGGCGCACGGGGTCGTCGCGCAGCACGGCGACGCTCCGCGCGCCGGCTCCGCGTGCGCGCGCCGGAGCGCCTGTCCAAGCCAGCCGCTTGATTGCCCCACACCCGCCTTGAACGTCGCAATGAAAGAAAAAAAGATCTTTGCATTCGTGACATCATATGTGTGTTCGCGCCCGTTCTGTCGTGTCGACACGCAGGTCCCTGCCCGTACTTCGTCTCCCGCGGCCTCGTCGCGCAGGCGGAGATCGTCCTGATGCCGTACAACTACATATTTGACGAGCAGGCTAAGCGGGGCCTGGATGTCAACTGGCAGGGCGCGGTCGTCGTCATCGACGAAGGCCACAACGTCGAGTCCGTCTGCGCCGACTCCGCGTCCGTCCAGATCTCCCTCCGCGACCTCCGGGACTGCATCGGCGAGGTCGAGGGCCTCATAACCAACGGGATGCTGCTGGCGGCGGGCGGCGCTGGTGCCAACGTGGAGAACCTGGAGGCCCTGCAGAACGTGCTGACGGTCCTGATCAAGACGCTCGAGGAGGAGATGGCGGACGCGAAGCCGCCGCCCGGGTTCGGCGGCGCGAAGGCGCCCGGGGGGGGTCAGGTGGTGGGCGAGAGAATCTTTGAGGGGGGGTGGGTGTTTCGGTGGCTCGAGGGGGCGCAGCTGAACCGGCGGACGTGGAACGTGATGGATCAGATGATCGAGGAGACGCTGGAGAAGCTGCTGGAGCGGAACGAGGCGGGCGGCGCGGGCGACGGCGGCGGCGGCGGCGCGCTGGGGGGCGGGGCGCCGCGCGTGGCGTCGTACAAGCTGACGCAGCTGCGGGAGTTCTTCGCGACGGTGTTCTCGACGCTGGCGCTCGTGGAGGGCGCGGGCGACGCGTTTCGGTGCCACGTGGCCAAGGTTGCTCCGCGGCAGAGCGAACGAAGGGAGGCTCGGCCGGACATCAAGCTGTCGTACTGGTGCTTCGCGCCGGGGGTGGCGATGGGGCGGCTCGAGGCGCTGGGGGTGCGGAACGTGCTGCTGACGTCGGGCACGCTGTCCCCTTTGGACTCGTTCGCGTCCGAGTTGGAAATTCCCTTTCCGGTGCGGCTCGAGAACCAGCACGTGATCCAGCCGCGGCAGCTCTTCGCGGCGGTGCTGCGCAAGGGCCCCGCGGGCTGCGAACTGAACTCGAGCTACAAGAACCGCGACAACAACAGGTGCGCGGCGCGCGATTGATTGATGTTCGTGTTGCCACGACGGCGCGTGCGTGCGTGCGAGCGCGTCTGCGATGCGCGTGCCGCGCGGTCGACCGAGCTCATTTTTTCCGTCGTGGTTCCGGCGCGATTCGTTCACCGCGGCGCGCTCGTGCCCGCCACCGCAGCTACAAACGGGACCTGGGCAACCTGCTGGGCAACGGGGCCCGCACGGTTCCCGACGGCATGCTCGTCTTCTTCCCGTCGTACTCGGTAATGGAGGCGGCCGTGAGTTTCTGGAAACACGACTTCGTCGGCGGCGAGGCGCTCTGGGACCGCATTGCCCGACACAAACGCCTCGTCGTCGAACCACGCGACTCCGCGCTCTTCCCGGAAGCCGCGCAGCAATTCCGCGACGCAATCGACGACCCCGCGTCCGGCGGCGCCGCGCTGCTCGCCGTGTGCCGCGGCAAGGCCAGCGAGGGCCTCGACTTCTCCGACCGCGCCGGCCGGGCCGTGATCGTCACGGGCATCCCGTTCGCGGCCGCGTTCGACGCGCGCGTGCGCATAAAAAAACAAATCCTCAACGAATCGTCCGCGCGCCGGCGCGCGGACCGCAAGGGCGCCGCGGCGGCGCTCACCGGCGACGGCTGGTACCAACAGCAGGCGGCGCGGGCCGTCAACCAAGCCCTGGGACGCGTCATCCGGCACATCCACGACTACGGCGCGATCCTGCTGTGCGACGAGCGCTTCGCGCCGCAGCACATGCAGCGCCAGCTCTCGAAGTGGATGCAGCCGCACGTGGCGGTCCACGACACGTTTGGGCGCGCGGCGGGAGCCCTGACTCGATTTTTCAACGAAATGGCCCTCAACCCTCCGGCCGGCGGCGTACCGTCGCGGCCGCTGGCGGCGCCGACGCTGCCTGCCCCCGGCGCGCCACCGAAGGCCGGGCAGGCGCCGTCGGCGCTGTTCGGAGTGGGCGGCAGCGTGGGCGCAGGGGGGGGGGTGTTCCCGCGGGCCGGTTTCGCGGCGGCGGCGCCGCGGCCGGGCGGGGCCGGGCGGGGCGTCGCGATGAGTGTCGCAGGGATGGCGAGGGCGTGCGTGGCGGGTGCGCCGGGGGCGGCGCAGGGGAGGACTATTGCGCAAGCGGGAGGGGGCTTTTCGTTGACGCATGCTGCGTCGGTGGCGGCGTCGAGCGCCGCGGCGCGCGGGCAGGTGGTGCCCCGACCGGCTGGCGCGCCGATCTCGGATATCGACAGTCTGCTCATGAACAGTCAGGCTCGCTCGACTGCGAGGCCGCCGTCCATCCTCCATGTGCCGCCAGCGCACCCGAAGCCGCTCTCGGCCCGCGGCACGGCCACCGGACGGCAAGCACTCGCGCTGTCGGCTCTCGCCGGCCCGTCCCGCGCCGCCACCGACGCCGGAGCGCACAGCACAGCCGCGAAACCTGCGCACGCGGCACCCGCGCCAAACCTCCCCGCGGCTGCGCCGACCGGGGCGGCTCCGCCGTCCGCGGAGGTGTGCGCGCGGTTCGGGTACGGGGCGAAGGCGCTGGGGAAGAAGGAGGCGGCGGAGGCGTTCCACCGGCGCTCGAAACAGGTTTTGGCGCCCGCGGCGAGACAGGAGTTGCTGGATGCTCTTCAGGCGTTCGCAAAGGGGTGCAAGGGGGCGGCGGACGAGTCGGAGGCGTACTCGCAGGCGCTGGGGGCCCTCCTGGAGCGCGTCGTCCCGACGCTCAGGCGAGTCCGCGGCCCGGAGCCACGACACATGGCGTCTTTGCAACGAGAGATATGTTTTCATATGACAAAGCTTCTTCTGGACAGCTGTACCGTTCCTTGCATCTGTTCCGAGTGCCAGCAGCACGCTGGAAGGCACGGCGACCCCCCTTTCCACCCGTGCGTGTTCCTTCGCAGAGGAGACCTGGATTTAGTACTGCAATTCGCATCGTTCATCAAGCACGCCCACCGGCCGCGGTACCACCGCCGCGTGATGCCGCTCCTCGACGACGCGACGCGCGCGCAGCTCTCCCGCGTCCTGCTGCACGAGGAGGCCAAGCGCGCCGAACGCAAGCGGGCGCGGCAGCTCCAGGAGCCCTCTGCACCCGGCACCGAGCCGCTGACGTCAGGCCCGCCCGAGTCAGGGGACGCGGACGCCGAGAAGCGGCGGCGCGTGGAGGTCGTGCACGGAACGACGTGCGCGCACTGCAGCGGCGCGATTCGGGCGCCGCACCGCGCGCCGTGCGGGCACAGGGCGTGCTACGCGTGCTGGAGTCAGGTCCTGGGCGAGGGGGGGAGTAAAGCGTGCCCGGTGTGCCGGCAGCGCGTGACGCGCGGGCAGCTCACGCGGGAGTGGATGGCATGAGCGCAGCGGCGGCTCAGATGCAATCGAAAATAAGATATGATCAATACGTCTCAGATCTCTTCGCCTCACCGCGACGCACGCCCCACCGACCGTGCCGCGCCAACCGCCTCGAACGCTTCTGCCGAGTTGCGGTTCGCACGTCGGGCCGCTAGCCCTCGATCATCCTCCGCCGCCCACAAGAGCCACTGCGTCTCGCTGCGCGTCGCTGCACTAGCTGTCAAGCTCACACGGCACCCGCGCCACGTAATACAGCCAGCCGAGCACCATTGATATATAAACGCCCTCCTGGGGCTGCGCTGCCTTTCAGGCCAACATAGCGCCCGAACGACACACACAGACGAGACCGAAAAATATTCTCTATCTGCGAAGCACTGGCGCCGGGAAGGAAATAGAAATGCAAGCATGCGGTCGCACGATCACGCCGTGCCCTTGTCCGCCTCGTCTGCGTCCTCCAGCTCCGCCACCCGCGGCCGGTGTCCGCCCCACAGCGCGTGCAGCTCCCCCCGCAGTCGCGCCACGGCCACGACCGTTCCGTACGTGCACGGTACGATGTAGAACAGGGCCGGCTGCGGCGCCGCGGACAGGATCCCCGCCACCATCGTCAGCACCAGCCCCACCGCGTACGCCGCCAGCGTCGTCGGGAAGTACCGCAACACACTCCCCCCCCCTGACTCAGCGCCGAAGACCTCCCCGGTCCCGGGCAGCGCGGGCGTGCCGGCCCCGCTCGACGGCTGCGACGCGCCGGGCGCCGCGGAGCCCTCGCGCGACGGCGCCTGCGCTGCTGGGCCGCCTGCAGGGTTGGCACCTGCGCCGTGCGCGCCGGCCCCCGTGAGCAGCGGCGCCGCCATCTCCGTGTCCCGGACCGCCGCGTACCGCCGGCGCTTCATGCTGCAGGCCGATCACGCAAGCGCGGAGGGTCAGCGACGCCGCGTCAGGGCTCCTAGACACACACAGACAGAACAGCTGCGCAAGCGGGGTGGCCGAGGCGCCAGGGCGCGCCACGGGCTTCCGGCACGCACGCCGCATCAAGCACGTGGTGGCAGCCCGCCTCGCGTGCTCCTGCTCGTCCGCGACACCCCGGCAGCGATGGAAATACCCTCAACACAGAAAGCGCCCAGGACGCGCGCAGAGGCGCCGTCGCGAGCCCAGGGCGCCGCCCCCGCGTCGCGCCGCCGACGCAGCGGACGTCCGCACGGCTGCGCGGGCCCGCCCGCGCAAGAACACCACAAAACACAACAAAACCCCCCCCCTCACCTGTTGTCATACACGAGCCCGAGAGAGAGCAGGAGGCCCGGGATCGCAACGTCTCCGAGGCCGAGGAGCATGAACTGTCGCCTGCCGAACTTCCCGGCGTCGCCGTCGTCGTCCCCGGCCGCCTGCGGCGCCGCGAGGGGCACCAGGAACTTGACGGGGAGGTCCAGGTGGTGCGCGAGGTGGTCGATGAGCCACTGCCAGTGCGTGAGCTCCGCGGCCTGCTCCAGGGGGTTGGTGGCTGCGTCCGTGGCGACCTTGGCCATGACGTTGTCGCCGAAAATGCGTTCGGAGAAGAAGACCCAGAAGACGTCGTAGACAAAGAGGCCGCCGAAGAGCAGGGCGCAGATGCGCAGGTTCGGGAGGCGGACGAAGGAGATGAACATGCAGCCGAGGAAGGCGCAGATGACGTCGTTGAGCAGCCAGTGGCCCGTGGCCATCCAGGAGAGGACGAGGAGGCCGGCGGTTGTGGCTAGGAGGGTGCTGCCGACGGACGCGCCGCACAGCGTCGGCCGCGCGATGAGGTCTGCAGAGATGAGGTGGAGGGGGAGCGGTGGGCGGTCTGCCGTGCGCGCTCGCGTTCGGGAGACGGCGCAGCGTGCGCGAGTTGCTGGGACGGAACGCGGGCCGTTCGGAGCCGGTGTCGGTCTCAGAGCCTTCGAAACGGCTCGAAAAAGTCGTTCAGGTAGTGTTCTTCGCGCCCGTCTGCTCAAAGGTGCAAAGCATCCCGGTGGGAGCTCAGGACGGCCGCATCCAAGCCACGGGGGCCCCGGAGGGTCGAACCGCGCCGTGGCGGTCGTACGCGCACCTGCGACCCGTCTGCTCCGCGCGGCCGCGTACTGCAGCACCGGCTCGAGCGTGAAGACCGTCGCGCCCGCCGCGACGGACGCCATGAGCAGCACAATCAGGCTCTGAACATATCTGAACAGAAAGAACATCACCATGAGCGCGACGCTCGCGGCCACGGGGAACACGAGCGCGTCCCGGCGCGTCAGAGTGACCGAGTCCTGCTCTCCGCGCTCCTCCCGCCCCGCCCGGCCGTCCCGCGCCCCGCGAGCCTTCTGTTCGGCACGCTCTGCAATCAACGCACGCTTCGAGGCCACCGCGGCGACGCCGACCGCGAGCGAGATCGTGCCCAGGACCGAGGGGCTCAGCAGCCTGAGCAGCTCCGCGGCGCGGGAGCCGCCGTCCTCGGGCTGGGACATTGCGAGCGGGCGCTTGTGCAGTGGCGCTGTGTACGGCGCAGCTAGCGGGTTGGTAGCGCGACCCCCGGTCGGACAGGGGCGGCGTCGGTACTGGCGCGCGTGCTCGTGCGAACGCGCCCTCGAGCGCCGCGGTCGCGTCCCGAGGGAGGTGTTTGAGCGCGTGTGTTGTACTAGAGGAGAACAGAGGGCGTAATAGACCCCCAGGGCGTCGTTCGGGCGCGATAGGCCGCCGGGCGCTGCGTACGTGGCAGTGGGAGTGCTAGGTAGCTCCAGTCGAGGCCCGGCGACTCTGGCGGGGCTGTGCAATGGGGGGTTCGAAGCAGGAGGTGAAGGAGGCTGTTGAGGGCGCGGAGGAGGGAGCGGCGCCGCCCGAGCGGGAGATTATATTCGTAGTGGAGTGCTCGAGCGCGTCCGCGATCTACGTGAGTCCCAGCGCGCCCCCGCGGGGGCACTAGCAAGTCGCATGCTGCGTCCCCGCTTGCCCGCTCGCGCCTGCTGGCCCCGTCCCGGGGCCTGAGGTCCTCATACCGCGCACGCCGGTTCCTCAGACCGGAGCGGAGCCGCCCGCCGCCTCAGCCCGCACGGCGCCTGCGCACCCACGCTAGCTGCGAGTTGCCAGTCGGCACAACATGTCCTGCAGCTGCGACTAGCTCTCGAGTGGCCTGTCTGACACGCACAGCCGCGAAAACGATGGGTCTGGTCTATGAGTATCTTCTCTGTTCGTTCCGATCGCGTTTCGCGCCTCATTCCTCGCACGCGCGCCGCTTTCCGCCCCCAAGCTCTCATGTTCGGCGCCGCGCAGCTTTCCGCCCGTTTCCGCTCGCCCAGCGCGTCACCATCGCGCCGCGCTGCCGCCCCCGGTCCGTCCGCAGAAGGAGGATGACCCCAAGAAGGTCCCGCAGCTCGTCGCGAGCATCACGTTCCCGGGCGTGCCCGGGCGCGCCCTCTCCACGGCAGCGACGCCGCTGAGCAAGGGCGAGCCGGACGACGCGGGCAACGAGCCGCCTCCGCGGTACAACTTCAACCTGAAGAAGGCGTTCAAGCTGCCCGTCACCAACGACACCCTCCTCACGCTCATCAACAAGCCCGTCACCATTGAAATAGCCAAAGGCGCGGCTCCCCCGAACGCCCTGCGCGCTCTCCACCGCCCTCCCTCCCCCCGCGGCCCCCCGTGCCACCACCCGACGTCCCCACGCGCACTTCGGCGCCCCGCGCGCCCCGTGTGCGGCGCAAAAGCCATGCCATGTGGTCCCCGACGCCGCACGCGCCCGCGCCTGGCCGCTCCGCAGACAAGCAACTCGACAACCCGATCGCGAAGGCGAGCTTCGACCTCCTGGACACGATTCTGTCCGGCGCGACGGAGCTCGGCGGTGCCGACGTGCCGTTCTCCGCGATTCTCGACAAAGGCGAGGCGCAGCCCGTGCTCGCGGACGCGCGTCTGACCGCGACGGTGAAGACCTTCGCGCTGCCGGAGCCGGCGGACGCGCCCGAGGAGGACGCCGACGGAGACTCCCCCCCTGACAAGGCCGGGGACAAGAAGGGCGCGGACAAGGGCAAGAAGGACGACGGGAAGGGCGGCGCGAAGAAGGGCGCCGCGGACGAGGACATCGCGCCCGGCGCGCCCGCGCCCGTCCTCTCGCCCGACGCGGGCGCGGAGCTGACGGTGCTGGAGTTTGGCGTCGATGCGCTGTCGCCCGTGCCGAAGCGCATCGCGGACGCGCACGCGAAGAGCAAGGAGAAGACGGTGCTCCGCGTGGGCGCGCGCCTCCCGACGGGCGCCGGCGGGCAGTGCCTCCCCCTCGAGATGACCACAGCAAAGTTCGCCGTCGACGGCGCCGCCGCGTTCGACCTCACGCCGCGCCGGTACCTGCTCGGCCGCGCCGCGGTGGACTTCCTGCGCGCGAACCTCGACTTCAAGGGCTGCGTGATGGCCGTCGAGGTCGCGCGGACCTTCAAGGGCGACGAGAAATCGCGCTTCCACGACCCCGCGTACGCGGCGTACCACGGGGTCGGCCTCGTGGACCTGGGGGCGCTGCTGCACCCGGGCGCGACGGACGCGGTGTTCGAGGCGCCGCTGACGCTCAACTACGCGACCGCGCGCGAGACGATGGGCGCCGCGCTCGGCCCCGCGCTGTTCCCGGCGCCGGGCGTCGTCGAGGGCAAGGACGTGACCGTAGTGGACGACTCGCCGGAGAGCGCGGAGCAGTGCCACTGGGTGGACGCGGGCGCGAAGGTCCGGTTCTCCGTGAAGCTGAGCCGGTCGATCCTGCCGCCGTGGCAGCGCCCGGTGCCGCCGGGCACGACCGTCGAGCAGCTCGTGCCGCCGAAAGGCGAGCCGGAGGCGCCGGCGGCGTCCGGGCTGGAGAGGTTCCGGGAGGAGTGCAAGGTGATCGCGCAGGACGTGGCGAAGGAGTACCTCGCGGCGGCGGCGGCGGCGGAGAAGGGCGCGGAGTCCCCCGGGGGAGTGGCGCTGACCGACGGCGCGTGGCAGGCGCGGCAGCGGCAGCTGCGGTACCAGCTGAATCGCTCCGGGAAGTTCATCGCGATCCGCGAGGCCCTGCGCGACCACGTCGTCCGCGTCGTCCGCGAGCGCTTCCTGCGGTCGGGCGACATGGCGCCCGCGGAGATGGCGACGGTATACAACGACCTGTACTGCCTGCTCACCGACACGATGCAGAGCGGCCTCGGGGAGATCTACCGGCCGCGCGCCGAGGCGGAGCAGCCCGCGCCGCCCCCGGAGGAGGCCGCGCGTCTCCTCGTGCTCGCGAACGAGGCGGAGGAGTGTGGGGACGGCGACAGGGCGGCGAAGCTGCACCTGCAGCGGCTCGTGCGGTGCACGGACGCGCAGCGGTGGCTGGAGTACGCGCGCTTCTGCGCGCGGCGCGGGGACGCCCCGCGCGCGCACGAGGCGGTGCGCGAGGCCGTCGCGCTGGACCCGGGGCACCGCGGGGCGCTGCGGACGCTGGTGCTCGTGCTGCTGCACCGCGGGCTCCACACCGACGCGCTCGCGATCAAGCAGGCCGAGGTCGTCGTCGCGACGCTCACGGGCGGCCCGCAGGCCGGCGGCGCGCGCCCGCGGCAGACCGTCGTCAAGATACAAGGCGCGTCGCAGGACAAGCTCGCCGCCGCGGCCGACGGCGCGGAGAGCTACTCCAGGGAGCCGTCCTTCCTCGGGGGCGCCTCCTCGGAGGGCATGGCGGGCGCGCTCGCGAAGCCCACGACGCCGGAGGCCTATTCGTCGAAGCACGATGACGCGGAAGTGGACTGGGCGCTTCAGGCGGTGGTGCTGCGCGCGCTGGGGCCGTCGCGGGAGCGCGACTGGCGCGCGTCGGTGTACGAGGCGCTGCGGATCGCGAAGATCCACGCGAACATGGACGCGACGGCGTCGGCGTCGGTGGCGCGCATGTCGATGGAGGGGACCGCCGCGGAGGGTGGGAGGGAGTCTCAGGCCGAGGGCGCGCCGGCCGTGAAGAGCCCGTTCGTGTCCGCGGGGGAGCTCGCGATGAGCATCGGCCTCGGCGGCGTCGCGCTGGCGTGCCTGGCGGAGGTGAAGGGCAGCGACGGGTGGACGGGGCTCCGCACGGGCGACGTGAAGGTGCAGCTCGGGGCGGGCGCGGCGTCCAGCGGGCGGATCGCGCGGGGCAGCAAGGCCGGGAACACGCGGCTCGCGACGCTGGCGGAGGACGCAGAGGACGGGGAGGGCGGCGCGGCGAAGCCGCCGGCGGCGGCCGTGCCGGTGGCGGACGGCGCGCTCGCGCTGTGCGAGGGCCGCGCGCTGACGGCGACGGGGGACTTCGCGCGCGCCGCGGAGTCGCTGCGCGCGTGCGGGGAGGCCGCGGGCGCCGCGCTGGGCGCCAGCGTCAACCTCGCGCGCGCCGAGTTGTACTGGCGGCAGGGCGACGAGGACAACGCCGCGGTGCAGTACCTCGCAGCGGTCAACGCGGAGCCCGCCGCGTGCCCGCTGCGCGCGTACGTCCGCCTCGGGAACGCCATGATCGCGAAGGGCGAGGCCGCGGGCGCTCTCGAGGTCATGCTGCAAGGCTGCCGCGTGTGCCCGCACGCGTCGACGTGGCTCGGTGCCGGGCGGTGCTACTACGCGCTCGGCGACCTCGAGTCCGCGGACCTCGCGCTGACGCAGGCGAACGTCCTCGACGACCTCGCGGCGGGCCCGTGGGCGTGGCTGGCGGCGGTCGCCGCGGCCGCGGGGCGCAACGAGGAGGCCGAGGGGTGCGCGCGGTTCGCGCTGAAGCACGGCCTGAAGGACGCGACGCCGCTGCGGGAGGCCGCGGCGTCGCTCTCGGGCCGAGGGGAGCTGCAGATGGCGGCGGTGATGCTCCGGCGGGCGCTGGCGTTGCAGGACGACCCGCAGATGCGGCTGATGCTCGGCGACGTGTGCTTCGAGCTGAACGCGCTCGAGGGCGCCGTGGACGCGTACAAGAAGGCGGCGGGGTCGGGGGACGCGGAGTGTGCGCCGCGGGCGCGGGAGATGCTGGAGCGGCTGGGGGCGCTGACGGCGGCGTAGGGGCGGGCGCTGCGGGGCTGTGAGCGCGCGCTGGCTGGTCCGGGCGGGGGTGGGCGTTCGCGGCGGGGGCGGGGCGGACTGTGTGTGCGCTGGTGCGTGTGTGTGTGTGTTTGTGGGGATACGCGTGGGGCGGTGGGGGGGTTCGTAGGTGCGCTGTGGCGGGGGCGTCGCGCGGAGGTCGGCGCGTGTCGAGCTTGTGTGGGTTGGGAGGAGAGGGGGGGGGGGGGGTTGAAAATCACGACCCGGTCGGACCGAGGTGCCGTGCGTGGCGGGGCTCGAGGGGGCGCGGGGGAGCGGTGCGGTGGCGTGTATTGGGATTTTTGCAGCTAGATATATCGTGCGCGAGTGGTCAAGAGTCTGCTACCCGTGCGTGTGGGAAAGGTGCGCGGAGTCGCCCGGTCTCCGCGCTGTCGTCGATCGATCGCTGCCAAGCGACGCGCGCACGCGGCCCTTCGAGGCACGGGCGCCGCGACGGCACACGTGCCGTCGCAGCGGAGAGCGCGGACGCGACGCCCGCGGGCCCATCCAGCGAAGCGGTTGCGAGGCGGCCCGGTCGAGCGGCCGTTACTCGTCGACCCCGCGCCGCGAGCGCGGCTCCTGCGCCGCACGACCTTCCTCGCAATTAATGCGACCTGCATCGTCGGACGCGCCGCGTGCGCCCGGCGCGAGGCCCGCGCACGAGGCCCTGCCCACAGTACCTTGGCTTCGCGCGCGCTGTGTGCAGGCGTTCGGCGTTGTGGGCCGAGCCGGCACCCCAGGCGAACTGACAGCAGCACTTTCTTCGCTCACTCCGCGCACCATGGGCTCCTCTCCGCTCATCTCGGCGCCAGAGGCGCAGGCTATCTCGGATGCGGTTGCTGCCAAGAAAAAGGGCCACAAGGCCGCGAGCAAGGGCAAGGCAGCCACCGAGATGGATCGCCACAGCAGGCACGCCCTGCCCCCCGCCATCTCGCGCAAGAACACCCCCGCCCCCCGCGGCCTCGACCCGCCCGCGGCGCCATCGCACCAGCTGGTTTCTTCCCGCCCCGTTCCGCCGCGCGGCGCCCCCGACTGCCCCCGTTTCCCACCCGGGCGCGCGCTCCGAGTCGACGCAGGTCGGGCAAGGGCTCCGGAAAGGCGAAGAAGGGGGGCGCGGGGGGGAAATACACTTGGGAAGGGAGCCACCCTCTCTCCCCGGTTGACGCGGTGCAGGTGATGGACCGTGACGACCCGAACTACGACTCCCAGGTGCGCGGGAGGCTGTCTCGGGGTTGCCACGCGTGCGAGCGTGCATAGGGCGCCGTGTCGTGGCCGGTGGCGCGGCCTGGGAGGCAGCGTGGGGGCTTGGCTGGTCCGTCGCTGTCGCTTTCGCTGGGGGAGGCGGGCGTGGGCGAGCGGCGCCGGTGCCGCTCATGGCGCGGCGGGGAATGTGCGTGCTCGCGCTGGTCGGCGTCCGAGGCCGCGAAGAGCGCTGACGCGGCCGGAGCGGTCGCCGAGCCGGCTCGGGCAGCTCGAGCGCGATCGCGCGCCGGGCGCGGGCCGAGCCGATCTCGGCGCCGAATCGCAGCTTCCCCGATCTATTTCCCACGACGTACGGCCGCGCCCGCCGTCGATCGTGCCCGCAGGACGCCGACGCCGCGTCCACTGCGCAGCAGATCACCGTCTCCGAGTTCAAGCAGCGCGTGTCCGAGATCATCCACGAGTATTTCAACTCCGGCGACGTCGAAGGTACCCCCCCGCGCCCCCCACCCCCCCAAACCCGCCGCAGCGCCCCTGCCGCGGCCCGGCCACGCCCCGCCACCCAACCACCTCCCCGCCCGCGCCCCAACCAGGCCGCCCCCGCGCCCGCGCCCCCGCAGACGTCGCGCTGTCCCTCGCGGAGACGGCGCTCCCGCGCCTCATGCACCACTTCGTCAAGCGGCTCGTCTCGATGTCCCTCGACAAGAAGGCGCGAGAGTGCGAGATGGCCTCCGTGCTCCTCTCGAGCCTCTACGGGGAGGTCCTCGCGGTCAAGGACATTCAGAAGGGCTTCCTGAACCTCGCGCGCAACCTCGGGGACCTCACGCTCGACATCCCGAACGCCCCGCAGGGCCTCTCGCTCTTCGTGGCACGCGCCATCGTCGACGACGTCCTCGCGCCGTCCTTCGTCGAACAGGCGCGCGACCCCCGCAGCTAGCCTCCCCTGCGCCCACCGCGGCGCCACGCGCCCCGCGGGCCCCAGCTGCGCCGTTCCCGGCGTGCTGGTACTGCACTGGCGACGCGGCCCAACACCGCGCGTTCTGCCGCCAACGGCCCCGCCGACCCCGCAGCTAGCCCCTCCGCGCCGACCCTCGCTCAGCTGCGCACCCCGGCGCCGCGACCGCGCCGCCGCCGGCACCGCGCCCACAAGCTGCGCTGTCGCCCGCGTGCTCCGCAGATTCGCGCGCTTCAGACGGACGGCACGGAGGAGCTCGCGCGCGCGGTGGCGTCGCACCTCAAGGGCAAGCACAGCGCGGAGCGCCTGGCGCGGTGCTGGGGCGCGGGCGCGGGCACCAGCTACGAGGAGACGCAGGCCGCGATTCGCAAAATGCTCGAGGAATACGCCAACTCCGCGGACCTCGACGAGGCGCAGCGCTGCCTGCGCGAGCTCCACGTGCCGTTTTTCCACCACCACGTCGTCAAGCTGGCGCTGACGCGCGCCGCCGAGGACGCGCGCCACGCCCCCGCCATGCGCGCCCTGCTGGCCTGCTTCGCCGCCTCCGGCCTCATCTCCGACGTCCAGCTCGCGAGCGGCGTCCGCCGCGTCGTCGACCGCGCGGGCGACCTCGAGCTCGACGTTCCGGGCGCGCGCGCGCGCCTCGCGGCCTTCCTCGCCGACGCCCGCCGCGACGGATGGCTCGACTCCGACCTCGCGCAGCTCGAGACGACACCGTCGGACGCGATGCAGGTGAGCGCGCCCGCTGCACGCCGCGTCCCAGGCCACGCGCGCGCCTCTGTGTCAGAGGGGGGGGTTTACGTTCTGGGCGCGGACGCGGTGTCTGTGCAGGTGGACCGCGACCTCGAGGTGTACAAGCAGAAGGCGGAGGCGGCGGTGCGGGAGTACTTCGCGGCGCGCGACGTCGGGGAGGTGTCGCGGTGTCTGGCGGACATGGGCCCTGACGCTCTGCGGCACCTGTTCGTGAAGCGCGCCGTGACGGTCAGCATGGACCGCGGGCCGAAGGAGCGCGAGTGCGTGTCGACGCTGCTCTCGGAGCTCTTCCCGGACGACCTGTCCCGACCGCAGGTGCGCGCAGCGCCAGTGAGATACGCCGCGAAGCATCAAATAGTGAATCGTGATTGATGCTTGATGTTTCATGCTTGTTTGTTTGCTCGTCAACGCAGCGAACGCGCCCTCCGTGGCCCCGGCACGCTTGCACCTGTAGTGCGGAGCGCTGCGCGCCCGCGCCGCGATCGCGAATCGCGAGTTTGCCGACAGTCTCCGTTTCTCGACTCCTGTTCCCTCCGCAGATCTTCGAGGGGTTCCGGCTGCTGCTGGACGCGGCCGACGACCTCGCGCTCGACATCCCCGACGCCCCGCGCATGCTCGCGCTCTTCATCGCGCGTGCGGTCTACGACGAGGTCCTGGCGCCGTCCTTCCTCCACGACGTCGTCGCGAAGCTGCCGGAGCGGTGCCGCGGCCTGGACGTGGTGCAGGACACCATCGGCATGCTCGCGCAGCCGCGCGCGGGCGAGCGGATCGAGTCCTGCTGGGGCGTCGACGCCGCGGCAATCAACGGCGTCGTCGCGCCGGGCGGCCCGGCTGCCGCGGTGGCGTGACGACCGGGGTGTTCAGCGCGGGGAGGGGAGGGGAGGGGGCGCGGGGAGCTTAGCGGGTGCGCAGTGCGCCGCATTCTTTGGACACCGCGAGGCGTAGGGTGCGCTGTGCGTTTGTGGTGGCAGCGTGGGGTGTTTTGGCAGGGGGGGTGGTGCGGGGGCAGTGGCACCTGCGTGCATGTGACGACGCGAGGCGTATGGGTCTCGTCTGGCCCAGAGTGGCGGCTGCCGTGGTTGGTAGATGCATTGCGTTTGTTGTGGGGCTGGTTCAAGTGCGCGCACGCTGCAGTCACGCTCGCGTCTGGTCGGTGGTCGACGCCCCCGCTCGCCGCCGCGCTGCTGCGCGCAGTCGCCGGGGTCGGCGTCATGAAATATGGAACGAAAACAGTCGAATTGTTTTTTCGTTTTATATTAAATTCGCACATGGACGCGGTGGACGGGCGAATTTCACATTTCTGTGCCGACCGGGAGACTGCCGACTGCAGAGACGACGCGCGCCGCCCCGCCGCTCGGCGCCCCACGGAGCAACAACAACAAAAACATCTTGGCAGTCGAGCAACCTCAACTGCAAAGCTTTCCTCGCAGACATCTGCTCGCGAGACGACAACGACGGCGCGCTGCACCACCCCGCGCCGCACACCACCTCATACCGCCCCGCTCCACACGCACCCCTGCGGCCGCTCCGCACCGCTCGCGTTGCCCGCCTCGACCAACACCCCCCGGGGGCGTCTCGCCGCCAAATCCAAACTCCTCCGCGCCCCGTCGCCCTCCCCCGCGACCCCCCACGGGATCCTCCGAGGCGCATCCCATCGCTCCGGCGCCGGCGCTCCCGCCTCCGCGTCCACGCGCGCCGGCGACGACGTCGCCAGCAGAGCAGGCTGCGACCGCCACGCGCCAACCGCACGGTGCACCGCGACGCCGTCCATCGCGGGACCACCCCGCGGCGGCTCCGCGTCCTCGCAGACTGCCACGCTGCCCGCGCGCGTCGCCGCGGCGAGCGACGCGTCGGGCGGTCGCACGCCCTCGGAGGTGCTGTCCGGGCGCGACGGCAGCTGGCGGATGACGCGCTCAGAGGCGACGCGCGCGAGCGGGGGCCGCGGTTCCGCCGAGGAGCGCAGCGCCGACGCCGGGATCGTGACGGACTGGGGGCTGTCTTCGAAAGGACCCTGCATGAGTCAGGCACACGGCGGGGGGTGTTATGTTGCGCGGGAGATATAACACGCAGCAACGCCGGGTGCGGAACCGCCGCGGACGTACTGAGACGGCGTGGCTGCGTGCACGACGACACCGCGCGACAGACACGGGGGGTGTTTTGCGCTTGTGACAGACGCACGACGCACAGCGCGAGACGTGGCAGGGCCGCCCGCCGCACCTGCTGTCTCCACCCGCCGATGCTCAGCGGCGTGCGCGGGGCTTCGTCGCGCGACGCTCCTCCGGGGGGGGTGTCTTGGGGGCGCCGTCTGACGTCCCACTCCGGCGACGACGCGGGGGGGGGTGGGCGGCCCCCGACGGCGGCGCGCAGGTCGGCGAGCTGCGCGGAGACGACCGCCAGGGCGGCCTGCGCCTCGTCCCGCTCCGCTTCGGCGCGCCGCCGCAGCGCCCGCTCCTGTTGCACTACCGCAATCGCGCGCCCCATCTGCCAGTTCGGCGGGAGGCCGTTCCGGAGCCGGACGCGGCAGAAGGGGCACGAGTTCTTGTCGCACTGGTCCCAGCACGCGCAGCAGAGCTGCGGACGGGGCAGTCATGGGGCGAAAGAGCGCTTAGAGTCCATGAATCCAGGTCTAGGAACCGCGAACTAAGGCGGTGTCTCCCGGCCTGGCCGCTGGGCGTTCGTGGACGGGCGCGACATGCTCTCTTCGCGCGGGCGTGGAGCGAGGGGGATGGGCGCCGCGTCTGGCGGCGCGTGCGATGATTCTTTTGCAAGCTGGCGCGCGCCCGTGCGGGCCCGAGGCGCGGGAAGCGCACCGTGTGGCCGCAGGGCAGCATGACGGGAACCTTGGGTCCGAGGTCGGAGAACTCGTCGGAACATATCTCGCAGTCCATGGCCGTTCCCAATGAAGAAGCAAACCAAGCCGTGTCTCTGAATCGAGGGCTGACGCAGGAGGGCTCCCGGGCACTGCGGCGATGCGCGAGGGCGCAGCAGAGTGCGTGGGGCGCCGCGGGCCTGGCCCGAAGGGGCCCGCTGCAGGTCGAGGGCGCGGAGGTGGGCCCTGAGGTGGCACCGCTGTGGTGTTTCGGGGGCGCTGGGGCCGGCACATAGGGACGGGAGGTGCGAACGAGCGCGCAGAGGACCCGCGTGATACTCGTCGCCGCTTGGAGGTCGGTAGAAGTCACTGAGGGAGGGGTGCCGGACCGCACAAGCGAGCTTTGCTGGCTGCAAGTGGCCCAGCCGGCTATCATACCGTCGGGAACGGCCGTGTCGACGGCGCGGTGCATCAAGCTCATGTCGGTGTCCTGAGGGCTCTACAATTCAGGAGAAATCATCCCCCCCCGGACACGAAACATATAGGACAACATGAAAGGCCTAGGCGGGTGGTAGGAGCGGGAGACAGGCCATGTCGCTGACGTTCCGTGCCGGAGACACAGCTCCTCGCAAGGAGAACACGCACGCATGGCGGGAGGTACGCTCCAAGCGGCCAGCGCGACTTCGCAGCGCCGACCTCTTTGCGCCAAGGATGGTCCTTTCTTCGCCCGGCGCGAGCTACTTCCTATATTTCGGGGATCCCCAGCGACTTTCCACGCTTCCTCGATGCTGTCACACGCAGTTCCGCTCGTCGACTCTGCACAGCGCTCCCCCTGCGCCCTCCGGGATGCTTGTATAGGCCTGGCTCTCCTTGACCGGTCGGCGCTGGTCGTAACCCCAAAGTTCCACAGCCCGCATGGCACCGCAAGATAGATATTGTCGCCGCGAAGCCATGCAGGGCATCGCGGACCTCGAGCGGGGCCAGGCTGCGCACGGTCCGTCCAGTGGCCCGAACAAAAGGAAGCCCGGCGCGGTCGCTGCGGGCACGAAGACGGCCAAAGCAACCAGCAGGCTCCTTGCTACCTATCTCGCGACCTCCGCGTGGGCCGTGCGGCTGCGGAGATCCCCGCGTCTCGCGGCATTCGCTGCAGGGTGCGCCGTGCTGTGCGTGGGCGTCCTGGTGGTCATCGCGGGCAAGGCAAGCCCCTCTCGCACCCCCCGAGCCCGCGCGGTACATGCAGACCCGCTCCGCGCGCCGGACCTGGTGGGTCTTCAGCCAGCGTGTTGAAATCCCACTCCCGCCGTCGGCGAGGCACACAGCGCCTCGCCCGCTCTCTGCCGAACGATTGCGTGCGCTGCCGAGCTGCACCGGGTTCGTGCGCGCCAGGAGCTCGTCGTCGCGAACGATCGCGACGCCGGAATCGCGGCCTGAACGACTCCGATGCATCGCGGAGGCGCACGTGATGTAGCAACGCCGTCGGGCGAGGCACCGACGGCGGGAGTGCTTCGAATGCACTGGCAGGACACCCACCGGGAGACGATCAGCGCGCGTCTTCCGCGGACGGAGCATTCCCGTCGCCCCAGCGTGTCTACGCGCACCTCTCATGGCGCAACCCTTTTGTCTCCGGAACGCGCGGCCGGAATGCGCGCGTCGATGCGGCACAGACGCGCGTGCGCTCCGCTGGACGCGTGCAGGCCGTGGTGGCGCGCAGGGCGGCGGCGGAGTTCCCTCCCGGGGTGATACCTGAACAAAAGCAGTGCGAAGGGCTTGAGTGCTTCGTGCCGGCTCCGAAGCGCCTTCCCGAGCCGCAAACGCAGGTACAAATCGTGCCCGTGCCGCAGATGTAGAGTTGCGCACTCGCATCACGCAAACATCCTGCGATTCCGAGTGTTTTGCAAAATATCAATTGCACGGACGGAGCTCCAGGCCCGCGCCGAACGGCGCTCACCAATGCTGCTGCGTTGAGCGTACTGATTGCGCCCGCCCCGTGCGCCCCCGCAGAAGCGTCGCCTCGGCCGGGGCCTGAGTCGCGCGCTGAAGCAGGCGACGACAGTCATGGTTTCTATATCTGTCGAGTTCGTGGCCGAATCGGAGGCCTTCGCGGCCGCCATCGCGGTCGAGGCGCGCGACTCCTTCTCCGGCGCCGTCCTCGCCCGCGACGCCGCCGCCGTGCCCGCCGCCGTCGCCACCACATCAGGCAACACATCCCCCCGCACCGCCACCACGTCAGTCGCACTGGCCAACGTCGCCGCCTGCGGCTCCGCCGTCGACGTCGTGCTCACCGCGGCCGCGACCAGCGCGCCCTCCAGCGCCGGCTCCGGCGCCGTGATCGCGCGCCAGGAGCTCTTCGTGTCCTGTCAGGGGGGGGTGTCCGCTCCCGCGACCGTCCCCGCGGCGCTCGCGACCCGCGTCGGGGCTACCGCCGCGACCGCAGCCTTCTCCGAGTGCTACGACGGGTCGCCGTGCCCCGTCGCGGCCTCAGGCGCCACCATGACGCTCCTCTCGGGCTCGAACGTCGGCACCGACACAACGTCCGCACCGGGCGCCTGGGGCGCGGTCACCGCGGACGCGCAGGGCGGCGCGGTGCTCCCGACGTTCTCGACGGCGTCGCTGCGGCTGGTCCTGCCCACGGGGCTCGCCGCGCCGACGCATCTCGCGCAGCCCGTCGCTATGCCGCGCCAGCAGCCGTTTGGGTCGTTCGCGCCTGCAGTGACCGTTTCGCCGCCGCTGACGGCGCGTGCGCTCTGCGACGGCAGCGCAGCGGCGCCGAGGACGCTCGCCGTGAGCGCGGACGGCTCCGGGGCCGTCGTGCCCGCCGCCGTGGACGCCATCGACGCCAATAGTCCCCCGGTGTACGTTCCGGGTATGACATGCGTGTGGCGCGTGGACGCGTCGCAGCACAGGCCGGACGCGGCGCGCAGCACGGTGTGGGCGATCGACGGGCGCGGGCTGGCGCAGGGCGCGTCGGTCACGATGCGTGCGGACGGGGCGTCCGCGGCCGCTGTCAGTGTGCAGGCGGGCAGCGGCGCAGAGGTGCGGTACGCCGACGCCGCGGGCGTGGCAACGGTGCTGACGTTCGAGGCGGCGGCGGGCGCGGCGGTGGGGAACGGCTTCGCGGCGGCTGCGCGGCGGGGGTCGCTGACGACGACGGTGACCACTGAGGAAATCGCACAGTCGACGTGGGGGGGCGGGCGTGTGGCGATCCTGGTCTGCCTGATCGCGGCCGGGCTGTCGTACGCGTTCGCGGCGGTGATCGGGTGGCGGCACTGGAAGCGCAACACGCGCTGGCGCCGCCTGGAGCGAGACAACGACTGGGAAGCGCAGCTACATATGTTTTTTGCGAACTTCCAGTACGAGGTCGATTATGGACAAGAGGGCCCCGAGGGCGACGCCGAAGCGAAGCGGCAGGGCCTGTCGGACCGCCAGGTTGCTTTCCTGCTGGATCCAGCCATCCAGGACGCGCTCGGCGCGACGTCACTCCCCCGCATCGCTGCGCAGTATAAACCGCGAGAGCCCCCCGGGGTGGTCGGGAAGGCGGTGTCGGCGGCGGCGGCGGCGGTCGGGAAGCCGGGCGGAGGCAAGCCGGGCGACGAGGACGACGCGGACGACGAGGACGACGACCTTGCGTGCACTATCTGTTTGGATGAAATTTCAGAGCTGAAAGAGGCTGTGGAAAAGGGCTCGTGGCAGGCGTGCAGCGCCGCGGCGCGCTGCCGCAAGGAGGTGGCCTTGAAGGCGCGCGACGTGGAGCAGGGCAGCCGCGGGGCCCAGGGCGACTTGCACGTGCCGTCAAATACCGAGCAGGCTTCTCAGAGGTCGTTCACGGACCAGGCGGCCTTGCTGGGCGGAGACGGCGCGGGGGAGTCGGCCAGCGGCGCCGCGATGTCCGCGCCGCAGCTGGACGGGCCCGCGGGGCAAGACGGCGGCGGGGAGGCGGCAGTCAGCACGCGCGGCGGCAACGGCGCGGACCGGAAAGCTGACGCGCAGGCGCGGGAGGCGGCGAAGATGGACGAGTCGCTGGTGTGGCTGACGTGCGGGCACGCGTTCCATCGGCGCTGCATCGTGATGTGGATGCGCAAGATGGCGGTTTGTCCGTTATGCAAGGATGACGTCCGGAAGGGCATTCAAAGTCAGGGGTACGTGCCCACGGCGGAGGAGATGCTGCGCGCGGAGCAGGCTGGCGCCTGGCGGCTCGCGGCGCGGGACGCGGCGGGCAGCGCGCGCTCCGTGGGCGACGGGGTGCCGAAAACACCGCTGCGTGGTGTGCCGGGGTCCTTCGGGGAGGTGGGGAGCTGGCGAGAGCACCCGGGCAGCGCGAGCGCGCAGGAGAGCTGGCGGGCTACAGCGGGGACGTCCCGCGCCGAGAGCGCCCGCGTGGGGGGCCCGAGGGTGCCGCGTTCGGTACTCACCGTCGGAGTCAGGGGGGGGGGTGTCAGCGAGCCTGCCGTCGTGATGACGGACGCCGCGAACACCCCGGCGTCGCCGGACGTCGGAACCTGGCGGGTTCTGACATCGGTCGGCTCCCGCGGCGAGGGCGACGCCAGCGCGCCCGCGTTGGTGCACCAAGGCAGCATTGAGGATCGTCCAGGCAGCCGTGGGGAGCCGGCAGCGGTCTGGTCGCCCGTGGCGCCGCGGAGGCAGGCGGCGCCAAGCAGCCGCCCGCCCGGCACGTGGCGCACGGCGTCGCAGAGGGACAGGGAGTCGTTGTTGCGTGGTATGAGTTCGACTCTGTTGGATGTCAATGCTGCCGATTTCGAGGACCCTGACAGCGACAGCGACGCGCCGGCGTCGCGCAGCGCGGTGCGCGTGAGCACCTCGCTGATGCCCGTCGAGGAGGGGGACTCGGTCGGCGACAGCGAGGACCTGGCGAGCAGGCGCAATACGTCAGACCAGGTGGCAGAACACCCCCCGCGGCCGTCGAACGCGCCGCGGGCGAGCACGACGCTGATGCGCGTCACGACGGCGTCGTCGGCCCGCGACAGCGACGAGGGCGAGCGCGGGCCGGAGCGCAGCGTGCTGACGGGAACCGCCAGCGCGACGCACTTGTCGCTTGTCGTCGCCACCACGGTCGCTCCGTCCTCGACCGCGTCGCTCGACGACTCCAGGTCGCAGCCCTGGCGCGCCAGCGAGGGCGTGAGCGTGCTGGACGATCGTGGCGGCGCCGCGCCGCGGCTGGAGGGTCGCGCAGATGCGGTGTCGACAGATGACGCGGCGCGGCGCGACGGCGCCCCGTGGAGGGCGTCGGAGCCGCCCGGCACGCAGGACGCGGACTGGCGGCGGTCGCTGGGCGCCGCCAGCACCACGCAGCTGCGCGTGATCGCCGAGGATGACGAAATCACACCACTCCCCCCGGGACCTATTCAGGACTCCCCGGAGACCCCCCCCCGCGCCGACGCACAGGACGCGCCGCGCGAGGCGCCGCCCGTACCATCGGACAGCGCCGCCGCGCCCAGCTCGGCCGCTCCGAACGGCGCTGCTGCCGCGCAGGGCGACGCGAGTGCGCACGCCACGTACGGAGCGACCGCGCGGTCGTCGGTGCCCCCGGAGCCAGGGGCGTGGCGCCGCTCCACGGAGCCAGTCGCGAGCAAACCACCTGTCAAGTCCTGGCGCGAGGTGGCCCGGAAGGAGGCCGCCGCGCCGCAGGAGGAGGTGCCACCGTCGCCACCAGATATTCTGCCGCCGCCGCAGGGGCGGCGGCGGCGGCGTTCGCTGGGCCCGCCGGACGAGGCTGGGGAGATCGTGCCGCACGTGCCGGCGGCGCCGCGGCCGAAGTGGGCGCGGGCGCCGGAGGTGAAGAACACGAAGACCAAGGAGGCTGATAGACCTAGAAACAGGTCTGAGAATGCATCGGAGGAGACGGCGGGTGCGCAGGGGGGCGCTGCGGGGGCGCAGCCGGCGTGGAAGGCGTTCGTGGTGAAGACGACGACGGCCCCGCAGGTGTGGGCGGGGAAACGCGGTGGCGAATGATGCAAGTGCAGCATACTCTGAGGATAGGCAGCTCTCTCTCGTGAGGATACGACACCCCGCTCGGGGTGTTTTCATTGGACTTCCGACGCACGCTTTGTGACTTGGCAGAGCGCTGTTTGGGCGAGGGCGGTTTATGTGGCATTTCGCGCGAGTACTCGCAGTGCTAGCACGCTGCCGCCTTGACCAGGACGATAGCACACCCGCATTTCGTTTCGTGCGCGGGTGGTCGATTATTTCTTTTGCTCTTAAGCGATCACGGCGGTGCAGTGCATCCACGCTCTGAGACCTCAGAGACTTAAAAATCCATAAAGATCAAGAAACAATATCACCCAGGGATGTCCGAGATATCAGCCAGAGGTACATCACGCCGCGTGTGCATGTTCGTACGCGCCAGGTGTCGCGGCGCTGGCACGCCGAGAGGCGGCCCAGGACGGGCGCTGCGTCAGGCGGACGGCCCTCCGTTGCCAAACACAGTGTTACACCCCCTGACCAGTCGGCGCTACAGTGGCCCCACGACGCCCCGATCGGCGGCAGAATCCGTTCAGCGGGCTCTGGTGACACGGCTTTAGCGAACTGAAGCAGCCCCGGAGCATCGCTGCATCGGCCGTGACGTGGGCATCGTCCAAGCTGTTGAGGAGTGAGCTTTTGCGGCTGGTGCTCCGCACAGAGCCCGGTTCCTTGGACAAGAACGCGCTCGTAGGTTTCTGAGGATATTAGACAGGGGGTTAGATCGGGTCTCGCAGCCCGCGGGCGGCGGGGAGGGGCGATGCGGTCGAGTGCCTCGCCGCGCCGCTTAGTGCAAGAGAGCAGCGAGGTTAGCCAGCCAGAGGGCTTCCGCCCGCACGAGCTGCTCGGGAGAGGCAACCCCGCTGGGAAGCTGCTGTACGCGCTGTACGGGCGCGACGACGCGAAGAACGCTGGTCAGGACTTCAATGCCAGGAACCGCAAGAAACACCAACAGAAGCTTGAGTCAGGGTGGACGCCGCCCCCCGTGGACCACTCGCGAAGCCGGTCGGATGTCTGTCCGATGACCAAGGTGAGCGCGGAAGCGCCCCGCACGCGCCAGGACTGGAGCATGCACGTCCCTGCTTGTCACGCGTGGCCCGCGGGCCTTCCTGAGCGCAGCTCAACGGCTCCCGCGCAGCGCCCCTCGATATCCTCACTCCACAGCCCGCAGCGGTCGCTTCCAGGCCGTCCCACGGCGCCCGCGGGCCCCGCAATGGCTCGGTGCCCCCTCCTCGCCGCAACGCTCCGGCGCCTGGACGCCCCGCAACGCTCCCACAGCGCGCCTTCCGATCAGCATTCGTTGCATCACGCGTCTCGGGCTGCTCGAACGCGTCCGAGGTCCCCGGCCAACGACCCCGCTGCGCCGGAGTGCCTGCAGGTGAACGTCCGCGTGCCCAAGTTCGGCCGCCGCGCGCCGGACTCGGCCGCGGACCTGCTCGCGAAGTACAAGGGCAAGAAGACGGTCGACGCGATCCGCGAGCAGCAGGAAATAGAGAAGGTCTTAGACAAGTCACGCGGCCCACCCCTCGCGAGGTGCGACACACGTCCTCCTGCACATACCGCGCGCACCCCTGCACGGCGCCTCAGCGCCCAGACGCCGACATACGCCGCGCTGCCACGCCGCGGTCCCAGCAGGGCCGGGCGGCGGCGACGGTCCCGCCCGCCATCGCAGCCCTCTACCGTTCGCGCGCTTGCGTTGCCTTGCCGCATTCTCAGCCGCGCGGGCGAGCGGCGGTGCGGTGCAGGGGGAAGCTGCTGGACGACCGGGAGAAGGCGCGGCTGGCCAAGTTCATGGAGTATAACGGAAAACCCCCCCGGGAGCCCACGCAGCGGGAGCTGGAGCTGCAGGCGCGGCAGCGCGCGGCGTTGAGGCCGCGGACGGAGCGGGAGGAGCTCGAGGAGATGTTCGCGAAGGTCGTGCGCGAGATCGACGAGCGGAAGGCGTTCCTGGACGACATGGCGCGGCAGGGGCGGTATAATGAGTTTGCGGGGACTATTCGGGGAGAGATCGCGGAGCGGGTGCGGGAGATGTCGCGGATAGACCAGATGCTGCTGAACACGCCCGACTGACGCGGCGCGGCGCGGGAGCGGCCGATGTGATCGAGCACGCGCAGAATGACACGGATGCAGGCGGACGTACATGTGATTGCAAGATTTTCGTGCGCGGGTGGTCAATTACTACTCTGTGATTGCAAGATTGAGGGTTGTGGTGACGGAGGTAGGGGGGGTGAGGGGTGTGGCAGCGGTGGAGCGCCTGCGCGCGTGAGAGCAAGGCGGTCGCGGGTCCTGCCGGCCTGCGGAGGTTGCCGGCAGCGAGGAACGCCCGACAAAGGTGTTTTCTCAAACAGATGTCTTTATAGTCTGACAGTCTCCTGTGTGTGTTAGGTGCGTTGCACGTCACACGGTCGCGGCGTTCCGGCGCGCGTCGTGGCCGCAGCGCGCGGCTCAGTACTGCTACTCACTACTACTAACTATCAGTACCACAGCTCCATGTCCCGCCCAATGGTGTCAAACACAAAGTCCCGCGCCTCCTCCAGCGCGATCTGCGCCGGCTTCCCATTGTAGTTGTAGCTCATGCGCAGCTTGAGCGGCGCGGCCTGCGGCGGGCGCAGCGGCGGGAACCAGCGGGTCGCGAGCGATCAACCAATGAGGGCAACGCGAGGATCTCCCGCAGCACCTCGACATACGAACGCGTGCGGCGTTCGCGGTCCCCAGCGTGGCACGTGAACGCAGCTCGGTGCAAAGAGGCAAGTGGTCGGCCCAGCCGCGTCGGTGGGACGCGCGCACGCACCGCGGGGTTGTTCTTGATCGCCTGCGCGAGCATGAACATCCCGTCGTCCTCAACCATATTGTGTTCCAGATTGATCTCACGCATCTTCTCGCCCGGGTAGGCGCGCAGGCCGCGGCTGAGCAGGATGAGTCCGTCGTTCTTGAAGTCGTTCGACCGCAGGTCGAGCGTCTCGAGCGTCGTGCTGAACGACAGCAAGTCGCCCACCGCCATCCCGCCGTTCGGCCCCGCCTTGCACCACGCCATCCGGAGCTCGCGCACCGGCACCCCGAACTTGTACAGCGCGTTGCACACCGCGCGCGCGCCGCCCTCGTACAGCGGGTTCGACGACACGTCCAGCATCGACAACTTCATGAGCGAAAACGCCGGCGCCAGACCCTTCATGCCGTCAGGACCGATGTCGTTCCCCGACACGAGCAGCCGCTGCAGCGACCGGTACTTCGGCTCCTTCTGCGCCGCCGTCGACGCCCCCGCCGCGCTGTCCCCGCCGGCGGGCCCCTCCCCGGCCTTCGCCGCAACGCCCTCGCTCTCCGGCGCCGCAGCCTGCTCGACGAGCTTCTCCAGGGACCCCACGCCCGGGTCCGACAAGCCGCTCTCCGGCGCCGCAACGTCCTCCCCCGCCGTCAGCGCCTTCCCCAGCGACCCCGCGCCGAAGTCCGATAATGCGTTGTCGGAGATGTTGAGCTCTTGCAGGGTCTCCCCGCCCCAGCGCTTGACCACGGCCGCGATGTCCTCCGCGACGTCGACGCCGGCGTCGTTCCCGGACACGTCGAGCACCTCGATGCCGTCCGCGCGCTCGCACAGCGCCCGCAGCACCGCGCGCGTGCCCTCGAGGCCTAGGTTGTTCTTCGCCACCGCGAGGTCGCGGATCGACTCGTTCGCGCGCAGGCCGTTCGCGAGCACCGACGCGCCGAGCGCGCCGAGGTAGTTCGCGCTGAAGCGGAACGTCTTGAGCGTCTTGTTGCCCGCCAGCGCCTCGGCGATTGCCACAGCGCCCTCATACTCGATCTCGTTGTTCGACAGGTCCAGCGACGTGAGCGCGGTGTTCGTCTTCAGCATCTCCGCGATCGTCTTCGCGCCGAAGTCCGTGAGGCTGTTCCCCGACAGATTCAGCGACGTCAGCGTCTCGTTCGCCGCCAGCGCCTCCGCCAGCTCCGCCACGCCCTCGTCGCGGATGCCGTTGCTCGACAGGTTCAGCGTCGCCAGCTTCTTGTTGTTCCGCAGCGCCTCGCACAGCGCCACCACCGCCTTCTCCCCCAGCATGTTGCTGCTCGCGTCCAGCGCCACGCACGTCCTGTTGAACGCGAGCGACTCCAGGAGGTACGCGCCGCCCTCGTCGCCCAGGCCCTCGCCCGCCACGGACACCTGCTGCTTCGACGTCACCCGCTTCACCAGCCCGTCGACCTTCTTGCGGAACTTCCGGTCCGTCATGTCAGGGGGGGGTGTCCCCGACTCCCCCCCCACGCCGTCCGGGTTCGAATACTTCGCGAACTGCGCCGCGAGGTCGAACCCCTCCGCGGTCACCGCGCCCTCCGCGCTCGTCACGTCCGTCGCGCCGTCAGAACCCCCCTTACTCCCCCCGCCCTCTTTGGCCAGCCCCGGCAGCGACGGCAGCCCCGCGAACACCCCGCCCGCCTTCGAACCCTTGGCGCCCGGGCCCTTGAGGAAGTACCACGCGCCGCCCGCGGCCGCCGCGATCGCCACCGCCGCCCCGCCGTACACAAGCGCAGGCGAAGGCTCCTGCGCGCAACGAGGGCCCCGGGTGCGTGTGCGCGTTGCTGGACCGTTGCCGGACCGCTGCAGTGCTTGGCTGGCGCGGGCGGGTGATTTCAGAGATGCATTAGGCTCGGGGTGTGCGGGGCGGACCTCTTTTGGAGGGATGACTTGAGAGACCTGCTTTGCCTTCTTCTTTTTCTTCTTCTTCTTCTTGGCCGGGTCGGCGACGGCGCTCGCGGCAGCGGCTGTCGCGGCTGCTGCGGGGAGCGCGGCGGGCGGCGCGGCGGGGTGGGTGCGGGCGCGCGCAGGCCGCGGGTGCTGTCATGAGAGAGCTCAAGTCGCGCCACTTCCAGCCAGGGGGGGGGTTCCGAGAAAAAATTCCGTCGCAAATGTTCGAGCTTGATTTAAGCATAACAATGTGCGGTAAATCAGCGGCGGAAACGCACCCTGCGCGTCGGTGCCGGCGGTTGCTGCCGCCTCCATCCTGCCAACGGTTCCACCCTCCGCGGACGCGTCTCGGGCGCCCTCCTCGGCGTTCTCGGCCGCGTCTACCTCCTCGACGATCTCCACGACCTCCTCGGCCTCGGACGCGCTCCCGTCGTCCCGGCGGCCCTCGGCCACGTCGAAGAGAGGGTGTGGTCGCGGCTCGGGCTGGCGTGCGTCGCCAGGGCGGCCCCGCAGCGCCGAGGGCGCGTGCGGCTGGCGCGCGCGTCCGGAAGCTAGCAGGCTACGGCGGGAGGCCGCCCCGGAGCGGGGGCAGCGCGCGAGCGCCCCGGCGTTCGCGGGAGCAGCCATGAGCTGCGCTGGTCTCATCTCGCGCCTCTGTTCGCGCGTGCGGCGCGCCTAGATCGCCTGCGGTGCGCGGAAAGCGATGCCGTGGATGTAAGGGGCGCGGACGGGCTCTTGGAAGGGAGAGGGACCATTCGGACGCGCGCTGCGTGGACGAGTCGCGAACACAGGACAAGATAAGGCGTGCGCTGCGATATTTGGCGCAGTTGCGAAGACGATCTGTTCGCGGGGCGACCCTGGCGATCTAGCTGAAGCCCTCGGGGCGCAAGGCACGGGTTCGGGCGAGGTCTCGAGCGCGCAAGATGGACTGAGGTTCCACGCACCGCAGGAACTATGGCCGCCTGGTCGCAGCTGAGCCTCTTTCGACCCTCTTCCGGCTCGGCAGGAGCGCTGAGCTCGTGGACTACCCCGGCGCGGCGCCTGCGCGGCCCGTGAAGCCCAAGCCGCGTCGGGCGAGGACCGCCCTAGGGGACCCCAAACCACCTCAGCCTCCAACGCGACCCCCCCCGCGCCCGGCGCTCCTTCCCGCGCCAGCCCGCGCTCGGCCGGTCACTCACGAGGCATATCGTCTCGGGAACAGGACCCGCGGGTCGCGGTGCGTTGGGAGCGGCCTACGTTCTGATTCTGCCTTGCTGCGTCAAGTCCGGGCCACCTAGGTAGAAAGCTCGCACGTCGAGGCTGCCGGGCGGTCGCTCGTCGAGTTGCGCGACGAGTGCGGCCTGGCGGATGCCAATGTATGGCGGAACGGAGGCACACTGGCGCGAAGAAAGTGTAGAACAACCGTGAGGTGCTTTTGCGGCCTGAGGGGGCGTCGGTTCGCGACGTTTGCGCCGTGGGGAGCATGATTCACGACATCAACGTCGTGCTGATCGGAGACTCCGACGTCGGAAAGGCTACACTCGCGGAGACTCTCAGGCAAGGGGTTCAGAGCCATGGAGGGGGCGTCGGGCCCGGGCGGGAGCCCCTCGTCTCTGTCTGCGGCGAGAGCTGCCGCATGAAGATCACGGACGTCGTGGAACCCTGCGACGCGGGAGGTGCGCCGCGAGCCCGCCCACGCAGGCCGTGCACGGGCGCTTTCGCACTGCAGGTCAGCGCGCGTGAGCGACGCGCGTGGTGGCCGGAACCGCGCTCCCTTCCCTCTGCATGCATCCTCACCTTGCAGTCACCACGTGAACGCTGTCGTCGAAGCCTGACCCGCGCAGCACAAACCGAATGCGAACCGTTGCATCCCACGCCCCCACTCAGCACTGCCTCCGCAGCCCTGAGCGCGCTAATCCCGCACTTCCGCCTCCCACACGGCCCCAGTTTCCTCCACCCCGCGCCGCGCCGTCCACACCAGCAACGGAACACCCCCCACGCGGTGGGGGGGGACTCTTGAACCCACCTTGACTACACACCGCCCACGCATCTCTCGCCGGCGCGCTCTCTCCGCAGACACGGACGCCACGACGCCGCCATGGCCGCGGAGCGCCGCGGACCCGGACGTGTGCGTGGTGTGCTACGACGTGTCCCGTCCCGAGACGTTTGCGCGCATTGACTCGCACTGGCTGCCGCGGCTAGCGAACGCGTCTCCGCGGCCCGCTCCGGGCGAGCCGCGCCCGCCCAGGACGCCCGTCATCCTCGCGGGGCTCAAGCGCGACCTCGCGGGGGACCTCACCGCCCAAGGCAAGTACCCCTAACTTCATTTCCAACAACATATAGTAATATATATAGTAATATATAGTAATATATAACAACATATAGTCATATATCATGTTTTCCGCACGAATCGAGCCGTGGTTCGGCGCGGACGCGCAGCCCAGATCGCGCGCGTCCCTCTGCGCGTGCAGGCCCGGACAGGCTGTCGTCGGCGGCGCGACCAGTACTTGACAGGTGGCGGGAGGTGGAGTATTGTCTCGAGTGTTCCGCGCAGCAGCGGAGCCACGTGACGGACCTCGCGCAGGTGACGTGCCGCGCCGCGCTGTTCCCGACGCGCCCGCTCGTGGAGCAGAGCCGCGACGCCGCGGGGGGCCGCCCGCGCCCGGTGCTGACGCGCGCGTGCTGGCGGGCCATCGAACGTGTCTTCCGCGAACTCGACACGTACCGCGCGGGCGTGCTCAGCGAGAAGGAGGTCAACGAGCTCCAGGTCCGCGCCGCCGCCCCCGAACCAATCAAATACCCACATTCTTGCAACAACCAATCAACACTTCATATCTTGCGTTCCCGCCGTCCAGCTCTCCTTCTGTCTGGGCTCGAGCCCGCGCGTTGTCGTCCACAAGCGTTCCCTCGGCCCCCATCGCCGCGCAGGTGCGTTCGTTCGGCACCCCGCTGACGCACGCGCAGTACGGCGAGCTGTTGCAACTTGTGCAAGAGGTCGACGACGCCGGCGTCGCTGCCGTCCCCGTCAACCTCGTGGCCTCGCCCGTCAAGGACGCGCCCGCCGCGCCGCCCGTCGGACTCACGCTCGCCGGCTTCGGGGCCCTGATCGGCATCATGGTCGGGAACGGCTCCGCGGACGCGGTGTGGCGCATCCTGTTCGACCACGGCTACGACCGCCGGCTGCGGATATCGCAGCAGGTGATTTCCAAGGGCCTCGAGCCGTTGAGACCCACGGGCCGCGGCCGGGACGGCCGCAGGCGCACTGCGGAGCTGTCGCCGACGTCGGTGGCGCTGCTCGAGCGCGTCTTCCACCGGTTCGATTCGTCCGGGTGCGGAACGCTCTCCGTCGAGGATGTCGAGGCGATTTTCCGGCCTGCGCACGCGGGGCCGTGGGGGTGGGGCCGCAGCTGGCTGCAGGAGGGCGCGCCGCCGCGGTGCCGCTTCTCCGCACCCGTGAAGCGCCCCGCGGGCGCGGCGCGGGCCGGACGCGGCCACGCGATGCAGCACTGGGACGCCGAGGCCACCGCGTCGTCCGCCGGGACCCCGACGCGGACGCTCACGGCGCTGACTCAGGCCCAATTCCTGACGCGGTGGGACCTATTGGCGTTCGACGACCCGGCGTCCTGCGTGGAGCACCTCGTGCTCGTGGGGCTGCCCGCCGCGCTCGCGAACCTCGCGCTCGAGGACCGCAACCCCCCCGGCGTCCTCGCGGCGGCCCAGCGCCTGCTCATTCGCGCCGGCGCCGCCCCGGGAAAGGCGCGCTCGGCCCTGCACGCCGCCGCAGCGGCCGCCCGAGGGCGCCCGCCGCCTCCGCCGCCGCGCGTCCTTCATATGGCGCTGTTCGAGCCGCCGCCGCCGGTCGGCGGCACGGCGGCGCTGATCAGCGCGATGTTGGGCGCCCCGACGGGAAACACCCCCGAGTATGACAGCGAAGGCCCCCACGACGTGGCCGCCGGCGGCGGCGCGGACGCGGACCCGCGGCCGTGCGCGGCGCTCGAGGCGCTCGAGCCTGCGGGCGTCGGGTCCATCGTGCGACAGACGCTCGTCGTCGACGCCTGCGACGTCCCGCGGGAGACACGCGGCTCCGTGCTGCGGCGGGCCGTCGCGTGGACGGCCGCGCTGGTCGGACTGGCAGCTGGGCCGCCGCGGCTCGCGCCTGACGTGGCGGTCATAGCGTACGCGGACACCCCAAGACTTGGCAGCACACGCGACGGGAGTCGGGCGGGGGAGAGCGGGGACGCGCGCGACGGGCTGAGCGCGGCGCTGGCGGCGGCGGCGCGGGCGCGCAAGCGGCTGGCGCGCGGCGTGCCGGTGCTGATTGTGGCGCTCGGCCCGTCGCCGTCGGTCAGCGGATCGGCGCGGGATGCTTTGGCGTGCCGGCTGGCAGGGGAGCGGCCGGCGCTGCGGGCGCCGCTGAAGAACCCGCAGCAGGACGTCGCGTGCGTCGTGCGGGCGATGCAGGAGGTTGCGTTCGGATGGGGGGAGGGGCGCTGGGGGGGTGTGGGGCATCCGGCGGGGGGGGGAGTGTGGGTGGGGCCGGCGGACAAGGTGGCGCGGTCGCCGACGCGCGGGCGGCCCGTGCGGCTGAGCCGGTGTTTGGCCGCGGAGCGGCGGTCCTGGGGCGGTTCCGCCGCGTGGCAGCTTTGTGCGTGGTGCACGGTGGGCGGCGTGGTGGCGTGGGCGGTGTGGCGCGCGGTGGACCGGAAGGGCGGGGGCGGGCTGGAGGAAGCGGGCGAGGCGGTCGTCGAGATCGGCGCGGAGGCGGGGGAGCCCGGAGTTGGGGCGGTTGCGGGACGGTGGGTCGGTGAGCAGTGGCTGGCGCTGAAGGCGGTGCCGGAGAAGGTGATCGAGGCCGTGATGGGACGCGGTTGAACGTTGGAGAGCGTCTGTGATCGGCGGAGGGGCCGTGGTGGGAGTCCCGAGGCGCGGCGGCTCGTCTGGGTGCTGCCAGCCTCCTGCCCGTGGCTGGCGCTGTCCGGGGACTTCAGGGATGTTTCGCGACCTACGTGCATTCTAGTGACGTGAGAGATCGATCGTATTAGGGTGGCTCCGGAAGTGCACGGGCTCGTATCAGGTCGGATCGCGGCAGGTAGTTGGTGCCGCAACGTCGGTGCCTGACTCGGCCGCTGCGGGGCGCTTGGCCGTCTTGATGGCCGTTCGGGCCCACGGTGGATGCGGCATTGAAGTCAGGTTGCGTTATCTGTAGACATCAAGTGATATCTTCCGCCTGAGTTGCGTCGGCGCGTACATGCTCTGGTGAGCACAGAGCAATGAAGGTGGTCTCTCTCTTCAGCGGGATCGGCGGACTCGACCTCGGCCTCGAGCAGGTGAGTCACTCCTCTGCACGCGTTCGACGCGAACGAGGGCCGCCAGCGCGCACGGTCGCGCCGGCGAGGCGCCTGGAAGCGAAATCCGCTCACGGCCGCTCGTTGCGCGACAAATAACGATCACACCATTCCGTTCTGTGTCCATTAGGAACGGATGCGATCCATGGGGGCCAGACATCAGCCACGTCTCGCGGGAACGCGGCCAGTACCGCCTCAACGACCTCCTACTGGTCTTTTGCCGTTTGCGGCCGTTAACGCCTTCGCCGCACGTGTAGCGACGCATTCCCGTGCTGCCTGAGCTTCCCGACCTCCCGTGGCTCCACCGAGCGGCCACGGAACGTACGTCATGGTACAGCGGAACATCGACGCCCACCGCACAGAGCCGCGCTTATTAATACATCCCTTGCAGGCGGGACACGAGATCATCCTGCAGTGCGAGAACTTTCCCGACGCCCAGGCGGTCCTCCAGGCCCACTTCCCCTCCGCGGTCCTCGTCCCGGACATCCGCCAGCTGCGCACGCTGCCAAAGGAGACGGAGTGCGTGGCGGCGGGCTTCCCATGCATCGACGTGTCCGTCAACGGCCTCCGCAGGGGCCTCCAGGGGCCCAGCTCGGGCCTGGTCGCCCACGTCTTCCGCCTCCTGCGCGACGCCAAGGATCGCAACCGGCCCGTGCCGTGGGTGCTCCTGGAAAACGTCGAGGGGCTCTTGTCGCCGACGAAGGACGCCGGCGGGGCCTTGATGCCCCCGCCCGTGCAGGCAAGGACGCACACGCCCCGTCTACGCGCTGCGCGCGTGTTCGGACACTCACGCTGCTTGTCCACCATCATTTCGTGGGAATACAAAAACACGCCATTGCAGCGCACACCGCGATCTGCCTGCGCTCAAAGCCCGCACACAGTACCCTGGGCTACATGCGTACCCTGTGGTTGGCTTTGCTTTCGCAGACGATCGTCAGCGAGTTCGAGGCGATCGGATACTCTTCCTGGGCTCAGCGCATCATTTGCTCGCAGGCCTTCGGTCTCCCGCAGCGCCGCCGCCGCGTCTTCATCCTCGCGGCGTTCCACGCCGATGCCCGCGACGTCCTCCTCACCGGCGGCCAGCTCATGTGCGCCGGCGCGTGCCACGACCGCCTGTCGACCACGGACTTGCGCCAACCGTGCTACCGCTGCTGGGAGCCGGACGCGGACCCGAACACGCACGCCTTCGCGTTCGATCTCGGCGAGGCGCGCTCGCTGCCGAGCGTGGAGTGCGCGCCGACCATGACCAGCAAGTATCGCGCCTTGGTCGTGTTGCTACAAAACCAGTACGGAATGCTCCGTGTAGCCGACGCCGAGCGCCTCCAGGGCCTCCCCGAGAACTGGACGCGCGTGGAGGTGCCCCGGGGTGCAGCGGGCGTCGCGTCGCCTTCCGCGCAGAGCCTCACGCCGAACGCGGACGGGTCGCGGCCGTCGGTGTGGACCATGATCGCCAACGCGGTCACGGTGCCGGTGGCGCGGTGGATCGGCGAGAAGCTCGCGCCGGGCATGCTGCATGCGAGCAAGTACGTCGGGGGCAGGGACGACGTCCCGCTGGCGACGTGCATGCAGCGTGAGGTGCCTCTGGCGCCTGATGGCGCTGCGCGCGACCAGGGGCGCGGACAGCGGGCGGTCGCGCTGCAGCCGGGGGCGTCCTGGCCGGACGCTGCGTGGTGGGTCGTCGGGCAGGGGCGGCACGTCGCAGGTACGCGCCTCCCACTGTTTACAGTGCAAATGAAAGAGAAATCACTTTCATTACGATTCGTGCTTCGTAGCGCCCGACTTCTCCCCACTGTCGCCGCCGACGCCTCCGTCTCGCTGCAGCGGCTGGAGACTCCCCCGTTCTGGTCCCTTTCACTCCCCTGAGCAAGTTCATCAAGGGCGTCGGACTCCCCCCGGGGCCTGGGCGCGTGTCGACGTACCTCAACCGCCTCCTGGAGCGCGGCTGGCCCAAGGTCCGCGTCGACGCGCTGCGCCGGCGCTTCATGCGGGCCGGCGCGCGCAATCTCGAGCTGGACGGCGAGGCGGACTGCCTGGACGGGCGCTCCTACGTGCCGCGCGTGCGCGACGGCGTCGAAAGGGCGGACCGCGTCGCGGAGGAGCCGTTGTCGGGGGCGCGACTGGAGAGCGCCGTGCAGGACAGGGTCCAGGACGTGATTGCGGCGACCGTGGCGGACCAGGCGGATTTCGGCGGCAGGGGGGGGGTTGGGGGGGTGGAAGGTTCTTCAGACGACGACGACCCGATGGGCGGCGGGCCGACCGAGGACGACGGGGCGCGGAGGGGGCTCCGGGTTCACGTTCGCGACGTGTCGGAGGTGCCGGAGATGGAGGTTGGGACGTTGGAGGAAGAAGGGGGTGAGGAAGGGACCAGAGAAAGGGAATTGGAGACTTCGAATGTCGCCGTGGTTTCCGTTCCGGCGCTGCCGGAGGCGAGCGGCGGCGCGCTGGCGGCGAGCACGTGCGCCGCGCCGCGGCCGTGCGTCCGGTTCGCCCCCGGTGAGCCCGGGACGGGGGGGGTGCCCGTCGAATGCGAGGAGGTGTTTGGGACCTATTACCCCTTGACCGATTTGATTCGCTGCGAGGCGCCGTGCTGCGCCGGGAAGGGCCTTGCGCCGAACAGCGGGCCGCGGGACGGGATGTTCTCGGGGACAGAGTGGCTGACGCACGCGGGGTCTCAAAAGAAGAACTGGCGGTCTATTTTGGTCATATCCGGCCGCGGCGTGCCGTTCGTGGACCCCGCGGCACCGAACGTCACGATCGCGACGTGGTTCAAGCGCGCGGCCGAGGACCGGCGCAGGCGGCAGCGCAAGGCGCCACGCCGCGGCGACGACGCCGACGCGTCCGAGCGAGTCCTCCGGAACCGCGCTGCGGCGCCTGCTGACCGCGCGCAGGCGCGGACCGGCAGGGAAGAGGACGGCGGGGAGGGGGGGGGCGTTGGACAATGGGGGGGGCGTGCAAAGAGGACGCACAGGCCCGTGGAGGTGTTCGACCCGACTCCGCAGGAAGGCGCGGCCAAGCGGCCGCGACAGACCGGGCTCACGATCCCGCGCACGATGCAGAAGGAGCCGTGCGGCGTTTGCTCCTCGTGCATGGAGCGTGGGGGAAACAGACTGTGTCTGAGCATCAGGTACGCGATCGATCGAACGCGCCGCGAAGTCACGCGCGGGGCCGTGCAATGCTTCTTCTGCACCTGTGCTGCGTCGGTTGCGTTGGAACACCCGGGACAGAGATCGGGCGCGGCGAAGACATATTATTATTACGTGAAACGCAGTAATGCAGTGAGTGTGTTCCGCGTCTGACTGTGGATTGCAGGGCGTTCCGCGCGGCCCAGAGCGGCCACGCAGGTGGCATGCTGGCGTCGATGCGCGAGGGCGCGATCGGGGCCACCGTGGAGGTGTTTTGGCCCCTTGACGAGAAGTTCTACCAAGGCCACGTGGTGCGACCCCACGTGCCGCTGCCGCCGCGTCGCGTGCCTCCCGCGCCCTCTCTCGCTACCTCGCGGCCCAGCGCACCAGTACTGCGAGCCGGGCCGGCTGTGTGCCGCGTTGGTGGCCATGAGTGCACACATTCCCCGTACGTTGAGATGTCTGTCTCAAGAGCGCTCTTTGTCGCGTGCCTAAGTTCGGCGACGTGTCGGAACTCGTCCGCAGATCCAGTTTGATCCCTACAAGTGCCAGCACATGATCAAGTACGTCGACGGCGACGTGGAACAGATCCCTCTGTGGAGCCCAATGCAGAACATCCGAATTACAACCCCCCCGGGGGACTGGCCGGCGAAGCGCCTGCAGCTGCAGCACAGCAGCGACGTCCTCGCGCTCATCAGCCGCTCCGTGCCGCCCCACGGCGCGGCAACGCCCCGCACGGACACGCCGCCAGCTGGCGCCGCAGCCGACACGCCAGCGACCGTCGTCGTGCCCGTCGTAGCCGTTGAACCCGCTGCGATTCCCGGCAACGCGCCAGCGGGCTGCGGCGTCCCGGCCGCGGCCGCGCCGGGCATGGAAACCCCCGCGGCGCCGGCGTGACGTCGCACAGATGTTTAGGGCGCACGCGCCGGCAGCGGTTGCAGCGCGGACCTGTGACAGCCTGCAACGATCCGCTGCGCACCGGTCGCGGCGGCCGTGGGCCGCGGCCCTCGACTGCTGGGCCATATTTGACGCGCGCAACGACACATATGAAATCGAGGTTCAACATGCCTTTCCGAACTCACAAGTGCAGCGGCGCGGCGCCCCGCGCGCGCGCCCGCGCCGCACGACCGCCTAGAACAGCACCAGCCCCACGGTGGTGTTGTCCGCGTCCCCCGTCAGACACTGCAGCTCAATCGCTTTGTTCGCCAGCGCCTTTGCCGCCTGCTCGGGCGACGCCCCGCCCTGGACCTCCTCCATCACCAGGTCGATCACGTCCTGCGCGCCCATCGCGTCCCACACGCCGTCCGTCGCCACCACCAAGCAGCACGCGTCCGGCGGCACCTCCATCACCTGCACAGTCGGCGCCGCCACCACGCCGTACGACTCCATCAGCTTGTGCCCGATCGCCCGCGTGACCGCCAGCTCGAAGCCCTGCCACGGGCCCGTCCGGATCCCGATGTAGCCGTCCTCCCCGATGCCAGTGCAGTGCCCAAAGTGCGTCTGAATGCGCTTGCACTCGTTGTGGTCGTTCCCGGTGTGCCGGCGCGTCAGAATCGAGCCCGTGAACTTCCCGCTGGCGCCCTTCCGGCCCAGCGCGACCAGGGAGTCGCCGCAGTGCGCCACGCAGAGCTTGCTGCCCTGTACTAGCACCACTGTTGCAGTACTGCCGAACTCTATCAATCGCGGCTCCGCAACGCGGCTGTTCGTCGGCGTGTACACGGGACAGCCCATCATCTGCGGAAACGGGGCGGGCGGCGGCGTTCCGTCGGTCGCCGCGACGCCGCGCGATAATACACGCGCCCGTCTTGCGATGGTGGTGGTGGCGGCGCTGACCTGCTTGATCTTGTACTTGACGGCGTGCGGGACGCCCTGCGGATAGTGGTACTCCTTCGGGGCGTCGCTGTAGGTCGAGATGACCTTCGCGTGCGCGTCGTTGAAGATCTGAGTCAACGTAGTCTCCAGCTCGTGCTCGCCCTTCAGCACCAGCGCGCTCAAATCCCACCGCGCCTCCTGCGACCGCATGAACCGCACCAGCGGGCCTCGGGAACCGCGCCACGGAGCGAGACGAGCGCCCTGCCGGTCGGGGTGGGCCGAAAACCACGGACGTACTAGGAGCAGGGTGTTTCATTGCGCGCGTGCGGGCCGAGCGGAGGTCGCCCGGCCGCGGCCGGCGCGCCATCTGGGCCGCTGAGAGAGGCGTCGCAAGCGCAGCCGGGCAGCGCGCGCGGGGCGCGTCGGCGGGGGCGGGGACGGGCCCGGGACGGCGAGCGTTCGCTACCTGAACAGCGTTGAGCACCCACATCCCGCCGACCATCGCGGCGCGCTCCCCGAGGATGCCGTGGCCGTCCATGACGCACACGCACAGGCACGGCTCCCCGTGCCCGCTCGTGTCGGCGCCATTGGCCGCAGGAACCTGCATCAGGGAGCGCCGGGAGACGGTCTTGGGCGTCATGTCGACGGTGTTTCCCTGCTTCTGCGCAATCTTCTCCTCCTCCTTGCGCTCCTCGCGTCTTCGAAACGACATCGAGATGCGCGAGAGCCCCTTGGCCGGCTTCGCGTGCACGTTCTCGTGCTTGTCCGTCGCCGAATCCTTCGTAATGAGCGTGTGGCCGGCCCAATCCTGGTTGAGGGAGCCGTAGCGGTCGCCTGGGAGGCTCACGACGCCGTACGTGACGCGCGGCGCCGCGCCGAGGCCGCCTGCGCTAGCCATCCCACCCTGATGCCTAACCGCCTCCCCTCCGTCGAGCAGCGACGGCGAAATCGTGCCGGACGGGCTCGCGCGCAGCAACGGGAACGATCACCGAGCTCGCAGCGTTGATCCAAGCGCCACGAAAGGAGTGGCGCCGGGCACCGGCGGCCGGGCTCCTTGCTGGCAGTGCAGTCCGGGGGTGTGTCGCGACACACCTCCGTCCCGCGCGCAGCGGCCCGGGCCCACCCCGCAGCCGGCCAGCGGCCCCTCGGCTGCGTCCCTCGCGCCCCGCGCGCCGTCGCGGCCGGGCTCGGACCCCGCCGATATGAGCCATCAGAACATATTCTTATTATTATGGTATGAATTCGTCGTTTGGGGCGATCCAGACGCACCGCCCGCGCGGCCGACGGCGACGCGGCCGTCCCCGGCAACGCCGCGACGGCGCTCCGCATGTCCGGGACGACGACGACGCGTCTCCCGTCGGTGCGTTGCGTGGCAAGCCCCCAGGCGGCGCACGTGACGCTCGGCGGCCCGAACCTCGAGCGCGGCGTCGGCGCACGTCGTGGCGAGGTGCGTGCCTGGCCGCTGCATCGCCCGGCACCGAGATTTCACGACACAATCGAGATTTCACGACACAGATTGAACATATTTTAGTATCACACCTGTCCAGTCTCAAGGTATGAGAAATACTCCCCCGACCGACACGCGCGTACTGTATATATATCCTGACCTTACCTTCCAGGCGCGTAACGCTCTCTAACTTCCCCCCCCCCCTGATCCCGCCCGTCACCGGTGCACCTCAGCTGCCACCATGCGCCTCCACTGCTGCCTTGCGGGACCCTCCGGGACCACGTCGAAGTCCCGGACGGTCATGAGCTGGTACTCCTTGCTGCGCAGCGTCGCGCCCGACCGCTTGATGAGCCGCTGCCAGCCCGTCCCGCGGCGGAGGGCCTCGCACAGAGTGCTGGGGTGGCACTGGGGGTCCTGCGCACGTCCGGGGGGGAATCGGAGGGGGGGTGAGGGATCGAGGCATTCGCGCGGGGGCCGGGGGGCAGCGGCGCAGGGTGCATATTTGAAGCGGTGGATTGGAGATCGGGAAACCATGGTTGGCGGTGCGCCGCACCAGAACGAGCAGGTTGATGTCGTCGGCCGTCTTCCCGCCGGGCCGCTCCACGCCGACGATCGTGCGCGAGTGGCCCTGGTGCTGGAAGTACAGCGGCGGGCGGTCCACCACCCTGACGCCACCACCCCCCCCCTCCCCAACCCCGCGGCCCGCAAAGTGCCGCCACACCCACCGCACCAGCGCCCCGTGCCGGTGCGCCACGTCCGCGACGCCCTCGTCCTCCTCCTCGTCCTGGCGGCCCCAGAAATCGAACACCTCCGCCTTTACCCCGAACTGACGCAACATCGCCGCCGCCTCCGTCGTACCTATCCACTTCCGAGTGCCCTGCACGCGGCCCCCGAGCTGCACCGCGCCCTCCCGATCGTACCCGCTGTCCCACGCGCTCTCGAGCCACGCCTGGAGGTACGGGATCCGCGGCACTGCGCCGTCGCCAGCAAACAGCGCGGCGCGCAGGGGCGCAGCGGCGCGCTGCAGATGCCACGTCAGCATCTGGATGTTGCGGTAGCCGCAGCCCCAGCCGCGGTCCGCGGCGACGCTGGCGAAGTGCTGCGCGGAGCGGCACAAATAGGCCTCCGGGGCGCCACTGCGTTGCGTGGTCAGGGCGCGCTCGAGGAGGGGTATGACGCCTGAGTCAGGCAGGCAGATCGCGGTGGGCTCCGGGCGCTGGGCTGCGAGGATGGCGTCGCGTCTGGGCTCGATGAGGGTCCGCTCCGGGGTCGCACGCGCTGCCGGGCAGGGCTTGGGCTGTTTCGCTGCGAACGGTGCGACGGAGGAGGACGGTGGGCGCAGTGCGGGCGCAGCCGAGGTTGTGTGTGTGAGATAGGTGATTTCGGGGCGTAGCTGCGCACCTGCGCTTGCGCGTGCGATGCTCCACGGGTTGGTTGTGGCCGCGTTGTTCACCGTGGGTCCCGCCGCCTCGGCGCGGGCGATGGCGGCCGCAGCCACGGCGGTGAGAGGCCGGCCTCCTTGCTGCGAGGCAAGCTGCGCCTGCGGGCGGCCGCGGCAGGCGGTTGCAAGCTGCGCGTGAGACGACTTGACTGCGGTGTGTGAAAAGAACGGCCGTGCGTGCCGCGAGCGCACCGCTGCTCCTCGCGGCGCGGTAATCGCGGGCGGGGAGCGTCGCGTGCGTCGGGACGCGCCGCGCTGCCGCAACGGAGCAGCAAGATGAAAACAACCTCTGCGTCATGCCAGGGTCGCTTCCGGAGCGCGCGACAGGCAGCGCAGCCGCCCCAGGAGCAGCCGAGGGGGGATACGGCGACATAGGGGCAGCTGAGGGCGTATGTATGCGTAACACGCACCTTGCCGGGCGGCGTCAGCGGCGACGACGCGTCCAGGGAGTGGGCCAGCTTGTGGCTCTCCCACTCCTCATAGCGGATGACTTGGGAGCATCCGAGCGGACAGAGGAACTCGTCGTCGTCCCTCGCCGCTTCGCCCGCGGGGGCCGGGCGCCTCTTTGCTGCCCGAGGGGAGCTTGTGGGGCTCCGTGCGGGGCGCTGCTTGCCCGCCCGCACCACCGGGACGTCCGACTCGGTCTCGCTGTCGATGACGATGCACGGCGGAGTCCCCTCGCGCCCCGCGCCCATCTCTACGGCCCGGAAACGAGACCGGCACTGGATTCTAGGCGCACCCCGATCGCCTCCGGCGCAGCCCTGCGGTCCTGACCCGCTGCCTGGTCGCGCAACGCCGTGTCCTACCGCATGGCCATCGACTGGACGCGAGTTTTCCGCAAGAGATCGCCCGTGGGCCGCGGAACGCCACGGAAAGTGCCCTGGACCCCCTTCTTTCCGCTGCTTTTGTACCCTGGCCGCTATCTACGGCTCCGAACCAGTTCCGCCGGGAGGTCCCGTGTCCGAGCGGCCCGCGCCCGCGAAGACGGCCTCACGCCGCGGGCCCCGCAGCGTCAGGTTCTGGACACTCTGTTGGTAAGACTCTGAGCTCCCTCGAGGCCGTCCCGCGGCGCTTTCGGCTGCCGGCGTCGCCGCGGGCCCGACTGCGATACCCCGACCGCGTGGGACTCCGACCGGCCGAGCAGCCGCGCGCGCCCGGCTCCCGCGGCGGAGGAGTCGACGGACCAGCTAAGCAGTCCTTCAAGAGTCGTTTTCGCGTTTTTCCAGGAATTGATCGGGCTGTTTCGTCCCTGAGAGCATACCGATGGACGTGAACAACCTGTTGGAGTCGGCGCTCGCGCCGACGGGGGCTGCGGAGGGCAGCACGAACGTCAGGGCGATCACGGAGAAGGTTTCGGCTCTGCTCGGTGAGTCAGGCCACGTCTGTCAGGACGCAGACGCCCCGATTCCACCCGTGCGAGTCCCCTTCGACGCGGGAACCGCCGTGGCACCGCGCCAGCCGCGTCCAACGGGCGGCGCGAGCAACCAGCCTCCTCGGCAGCTTGCATCGTGATCGCAGCGCCAGCGTAGCCGGCGGGTCCGGACGTCGCTGCGCCGCAGAACGCAGTACGATAAGCCACGTCCGAAACGCCACCTTTCCGCGTTTGAGAGGCCCGCGCGCCTCGGTGCGGGCGCCCTTTCTCCACCCGGCACTTTCTCGTCCTCGGCGAATGCTCGCGGCACGCACTCGACAGGGCGCCGTTTGAGTGGATTCGCGCGCGTCCGCCAGGGCACGGCCACAGGCAACGCAGCCGCCCGGCCCAGCAGCCTGGAGGGCGCGCTGCAGCGAAGATCCGCGGCAGTTGGTGCCTCCCGTGGAGCACGGTGGCTTGCAAACGCGCCGCCGGCGCGAACAGCATGAATATATCCTGTCTGATGCGCGGGATCTCCGTGTTAGAGACCGGAGTTCGCGCTCGGGCGGTCCAGGCGCCGACGTGCCCGCGGAAGACCCGCAGTCTCGATGGTGGTTGGAAAACGGCCGGGTGGTGGTCTCTTTCGCGCCGCAGGGGTCCTGTCGGGGACGCTGGAGCACGAGCGCGCGCTCGAGAACCAGTCCACGATCTGGAAGGAGCTTTACGAGGCCGAGAAGGCCAAGCGCGCCCAGCTCGAGGACGTACTGGCGGAGGCGCAAGCTGCTGCTGCCAAGGCGACAGCCCAGAACGGCGCGCCCGCGGCCAGACACCACATCCACGCCGTCGCGTCGGGCACGCAGTTGGCCGCTCGCCGCCCCGTGCTGCAAGGGCACCCCATTCCGGGCTCGACGGGCGACCTCGCGCACCTGCGGCAGACTCAGGAGCCCGCACGCAGCTCCCGCGAAGGCGGCGTCGTCATGCGCCTGAACGCCACGCGAGGCAACGGCAGCACCGCTGCCTCCGTCGCGGTACGCCGCCCGCACGCGGAATGCCGCAGTGCTACGAGCTTTCAATCACCACACCACCACACCGCTTCCGGCTGCTCGTGAGCCCGCGCGCAACGGAGGGTTTCGCGCTGTGTGGCGTGAATCGTGCAGGAGGGCTCCGAGGCGGCGGTGTCGGGGCAGATGAAGGGCACCCGGATGTCGAAGTCGGAGTTTGTTCGAGTGGCGTCGGGATCGTCTTTCATGTTGACTCACGAGGACGCAGCGCCGCTCTCCGCGGCGCCCCCGCTCAACACGGGTCTCAAGCAGTCCGCCAGCCGCCTCGCGCAGCAGGCGCAGGGGAACGGGTTCCTGCAGGGGGCTCTCACGCCGCCTACGTCGCCGCAGCGTGGGAAGGCGTCGGCGGACGAGGGCAGCGACGAGGACGACGGGCCCGGCGCGGACCTGTCGATCATCGACGAGGGCGTCGCGGGGGTCGGCGTGACCGCTGCGGCGGCCCAGGCCATGGCTGGCGCGCGAGCGTGGGCGTGGCTGGCCTCTGCGTGCGGCGACCAGGCCGGGGTGAGTCCCCGCTCCACTCCCCGCACCCCTGTCGCGCATGTCAAGAACAGAGTATGTGCAACAGGGGATCGCGAACGAAAAGAATGCATTTTTTATTGTTATTTCAAGTCGCGCAGCCGCAGGGCGCGTGGCCGGCCTCTCACGCCGCCCCCCGGCCGTCCTGCGCGCAGAGCTGGCAGCACGTCAGGCGGGCGCCGTACCAGCTCTCCGCCGCGGTGCCGTCGATGCCGGAGCAGAGCCGGCCGCGCTGCGGCACGCGGCGCGATTCCCACGTGACCGACAGCAGCCGCTCGGTCCCCGGGAGCCAGCACCCCTCGCACAGCAAGGCGGCATCAAGCATGAGCGGCCGGGCGTACGGCGCCGCGAACGGCCGCAGCGCCGCGCCGCCGCCCCTGCAGACCTCCCCTGTCGAGGCCCTGGCTGCGCACACGGAGCTCGAGAGCATCCTGAGCGGGGACCCGCCCCCGGAGGAGGCGTCCCGAGCGCAGCGCGTGTCGCCCGCGCAATACCCGACGTCGCCGGCGGGCCGCAGCGACGGCGACAACGGCCGCAGTGGGCATTCGTACCGCAGCGCAGACCTTGTGTTCTCGCGCGGTGCGAACCCTGAGTCAGTCGGGCTGGACAGCTCGATCTGCGCGGAGGTGGGCGGCGCGGCGATGCACGCGGAGGACGCGGCGGCGTTCGCGGCGGGCCGCGCGGCGTCGCGGCTGGGGAGCACGTCGCTGGAGCCCGACCACACGCCCGTGGCGACGATGGCGGCGGAGTGTCTCGCGAAGGAGCGGGAGAGGGAGAGCGCGCAGGCGCAGGTGGCGAGCGAGTCGTCGCGCGGGTCGCTGGGCGCCGGGGCGGGCGCGGCGTGGCGTCCCAGCATGTCGATGCGCTGGCTGCAAACGCCGCAGCGCGTGCTGCTGGTGGCGAAGCCCAGCATGGAGATCATGCCGCACGTGCGGAAGATCCTCGCGCTGCTGTCCCGGAACGGTGCGCCCCGGCCGGATCGCGACGCGCTATATATATATATATATATATATACATATCATGCCATATCATATCACATACATATCACATTGTTGTTGTGTCTGTTTTGCTGCCTTTCGGTGGCCGTGACCATGCTGATGGGCTAGCACCTAGGCGCACATGCCGCCTGGGCCCTAGCAGTCGCCAACGCTGCGCCCCACACCCATGAGCAAGTCTCATCGCACTCTGTGTGTGGTTCCTGCACTCGGCATCAGAACAGGAACCGTCGTCGCGGCGCGGAATGCACGGCGAGCATCTCACCTGCCTCCCCCTCCCCTCCCCCGGCCCGCAGGCATGCAAATCTTCATCGAACCGGCCCTGCACGACCGCCTCTCGCGCGAACAGCATTCGCACCCCCCCCTGCAGCTCCTGCCGTGCGAGGCCGTCCAGACGGCGGAGCGGCTCGAGGAGGTCGTCGCGCGGCACCAGCGCGGCAAGGCCGGGAGCGGCGCGCAGATCGTCACGTGGCCGCAGGAGCTGTGCAACCACCGCACGCTGCCGTGCGAGATCGTGCACAACCTGGACCTCGTCGTGACGATGGGCGGCGACGGGACCGTGCTGTGGACGTGCTCGCTGTTCGGGTCGTTCCCCGTGCCGCCCGTGCTCCCGATCGCGCTCGGGTCGCTCGGGTTCGTCACCACGTTCAGCGTCGGGGAGGCGCCGGCGGTGGTCGAGCGCGTGCTCAACGGGCCGTTCCCGGTGATGGTCAGGTGCGCCTGCGCGGGCGGTCGTTGCTGGCGGACGACGCCACGCAGCGCAGCGCTCGTGACGAACGAAAATCGAACCATCAATCACGCCAAGTCAAAATCGTCATAAAATCACGAACATTTCTCATTTATCTATATCATCGCCCATTCGCTCCCCTGCCGCTTTTGTTTCCCCGGCGCTCAACTCGCCCGCACTCTCTCCGCACGCTCTCCATCATTCCAGAGCGCCCGCCCCACGAGCCCATCGCGTCCTCTTCTCTCCGCAGGCACCGCCTCCACGCGCGCATCCGCCGCGCCGCCCGCACCGCCGGCGACGGCCTCCCCGCGCCCGGCCGCCACGCCCCGACCCCGCCGCCGGACCACGACCCCACCGCCGACGAAGCCGCGGGCCACGTCGCCCTCAACGAAGTCGTCATCGACCGCGGAATGTCGGCCTTCCTCTGCTCGCTCACCGTGCGGGCCAACGGCAGCTTCGTGACGCACGTGCAGGGCGACGGGCTCATCGTGAGCACGCCCACGGGCTCCACGGCGTACAACCTCGCCGCGGGCGGCTGCATGGTCCACCCGGAGGTCCCCGCGATTCTATTCACGCCCATCTGTCCGCACTCGCTGAGCTTCCGGCCCGTGGTGTTCCCGGACCACGTGTGGCTCACGGTCGAGGTGCCGCGCGAGAGCCGCGCGGAGATGTGGTGCAGCTTCGACGGCAAGGATCGGACGAGGCTGGGGCCGGGGGACTCGATCGACATCCGTGCGTCGCGGTGGCCGGTGCCGATGATCTCCGCGCTCGGGGCGACGGACGACTGGTTCCTGTCCGTGCGCGACGGGCTGCACTGGAACCAGCGGCAGATGCAGAAGGGGCTCGGGAAGTAGCGCGCCGGGCGCGGGCGGGACGTTGACAGCATGCTGCACAAAAATCGCGCTCCGAGATGGGGGGGTGTTTTGTTTCCTGGAAGTCGGCGGGAGCGACGGCGGCACCGTGCCCCCTTCGATCGTTGTTACACTGTTGATCACGGAGCTGTTCGCATGCATCGATTTCGTGCATGCACCGCAGCAGACTGCGCCGCTGCCCACGGACAAACAGGGGCGCTCGGCGCGGCCCCTGCGCGCCGAAACGCGCCGCGCTCGCCCGCACGCACACCGCATTCCGCCCGCCGCACCAGCCCCACCGCCCGCACGCACACCGCATTCCGCCCGCCGCACCAGCCCCACCACATAAAGCAGTACTACAGTAGTAAAGTAGTAACGTAACCACATTGCATCGCTGCCTTATTACATGCGCAGGCGTCCTAGATGGTCATGCCCTGCGGCAGGCCCGCGGCGGTCGTGCCGCCCTCGCCGCGCTTCAGCTTCGGCTTCTCCGTCATCACCGCCTGCGTCGTGAGCAGGATGCCCGCGATCGACGCCGCGTTCTGCACGCCCGACCGCGTCACCTTGGCGGGATCGATCACGCCCGCCTCAATCAGATCCTCCACGCGGTCGTACATCGCGTTGTACCCCACGTTGAAGTCCTTGCCCAGCAGCTTCTCAATCACCACGTCCCCCTCGATCCCCGCGTTCGCCGCGATCTGCCGGCACGGCGCCCGCAGCGCCTTGCGCACAATCTCCACTCCCATCTTCTCCTCCGGGTCCGCCACCGTGTCCTTGAACGCCGGGAGCAGCTCCGACAGGTGCAGCAGCGCGGCGCCGCCGCCCGGCACGATCCCCTCCTCGACCGCGGCGAAGGTCGCGTTCTTGGCGTCCTCGACGCGCAGCTTCTTGTCCTCGACCTCCGCCTCCGTGAAGCCGCCCACCTTGATCACCGCGACGCCGCCCGCGAGCTTCGCGATGCGCTCCGACAGCTTCTCCGTGTCGTACACCGAGTCCGTCTCGCTGAGCTCCTTCTTGAGCTGCGCCACCCGCATGTCAATCTCCTCCCGCGACGCCGCGTCCGCGATCAGCGTCGTCGCCGTCTGCGCGATCGCGATCTTCCGGCACGTCCCCAGCTGCTCCAGGTCCGCGTCCTTCACGCTCATCCCCAGGTCCTTGGCGATGAACTCCGCGCCCGTAACAATCGCAATGTCCTGCAAGAGCGCCTTCCGGCGCTCCCCGAAGCCGGGGGCCTTGATCGCGGCGACCTGGATGATCCCGCGCATCTTGTTCACCACGAGCGTCGCCAGCGCCTCCTTCGCGACGTCCTCCGCGATGATCACCAGCGGCGCGTTGATCTGCGTAATCTTCTCCAAAATCGGCACGAGCTCCTGCACCGACTCGATCTTCTGGTCCGTGATGAGGATCTTCGCGCCGTCGAACTCCACGAGCGACCGCTCCGCGTTCGTGATGAAGCTCGGCGAGATATACCCCCGGTCAATCTCCATGCCCTCCTGAACCTCAATCGTGGTCTCGAACGAGTTCGACGTCTCGATCGAGAGCACGCCGTCCTTGCCGACCTTGTCGAGCGCGGCCGCGATCATCTCGCCCACCTCGTCGTCGTTCCCGGCGGAGATCGCGGCCACCGACTTGATGTCCTTCGACCCGGACACCGGAGTCGCGAGCTTCTTGAGCTCCGCGACGACGTGCGCCGCGGCCTTCTCGATGCCCTTCTTCACCGCGATCGGGTTCGCGCCGGAGGTGACGGCCTGGAGGCCGAAGAACGCCATCTCGCGCGCCAGCACGGAGGCCGTCGTGGTGCCGTCGCCGGCCGCGTCGTTCGTGCGCCCGGCGACCTCCTTGACGAGCTGCGCGCCGGCGTTCTCGATCGGGTCCTCGAGGTCGATCGCGCGCGCGATCGAGACGCCGTCGTTGATGACCAGCGGGATGCCGTAGTCCTCCTCAATGACGACGTTGCGCCCACGGGGGCCGATGGTCACCGCGACCGAGTCGACGACCTTGTTGATGCCGTTCAGGAGCTTCTGGCGCGAGTCGTTGTCGAACACGATGTCCTTCGCGTCGCCCGCCGCGCGCGTGGACTGCAGGCGGGGGAGACACGCACGCGTGGTGGGTGGATGCACCACGGTCGAGCACGCGACCGCGGCGGCCGGTGCGGCGCGGAACGCGACCGGATAGGACTGTCTAGTTGGTGGAGAAGGACGGAGGGCGGCGGAGAGGGCCGTTCGGCGCCGGAAAAGGCGCGGATCGCGCGTGGAGGGTGTGGGCGGTCAGCGATGCAGTCCCGAGCGTATTGCGGGGGCTCTGGGCGCGGGAATGGTCGCGGCGTGCAAAGGCCTGGTGGCGCAGGTCGGGACGCCGCTGCTGGGGCGGAGTGCGGCGCGCGGCGGCGCGGGGCCGGGCGGGAGCGGGCGCTCGCTGCCGGCGGCTCCGGACTCCGCCCGTGTGTGGCGCGTGGGAAGGTAACCGCCGCTGCGCGCGGCGCGTTTCGGGGCGTGCGCGTTGCGAGAGGGTCGGGGGAGGCGTAGCGGAGAGAATTGGGCGCGCTGGGGCGCCGGTGCGGAGAGGCAGGAGCAGCAGTGGGTGCTTCGGCCAGGGCGGCTGCGCTCCGTCTGACAGGGGTGCGGTGCCACATTTGCCGCGGAGCGCCGGGAAATAATATGGGAACGCGGCTCGGATGGTCGAGGCAGCGCGTCGGGCGGTTCGCGCGGTCGTGGGGCGGTGGGAAGGGGGCGCGAGTGAACTCACCAGGGAGGCCCGCTTGCGGGCCGCCGCGGTCCGCGGCAGGGCCGTGCGGCCGCCGACGAGAGCCTGCGAGTACGCGGGGAGGCCGGGGAGGGTCGGAAACGCGCAGCCGGGGCCGCGCTGGTGCGCCTGCGGCCCCCCGAAGCACAGAGCTGCCGGTCCAGCCGGCAGGTGGATAAAAGGCGGCCGCAGCGCGCCGCACGGGCGAGATTTCGCCGTTGCGACAGCTGCGGCGGTCAAGGGAAAACAGCGGCGTGCCGCGGCGGCGAGAAACGGCGCGTTCCGTCGCCGGAATCGCGCTTTGCGGGAGGTTGGTTCCGGAAGCTTGCCCGGGTGAGCGCCGCGGCGGACCGCCTGCGCGTGTCACAGGTTGCGACGCACCTGACCGTGCATGGGAGCTTACGACGAGTGAGCCAACCGGGCCGAATCTCGCAAGTGCCGCACACGCAGCGCGCGCGGTGCTCTTTAGCGGCCAGTGGTCCCCGGGGGTGTCCCGTGGAGCTCCCCCCGGGGCCGCGCACCACCCGCGAACAACACCTCCGGAATCCCACCGCTCTCTGCGATGGAACGCGTCCATCGCGGAGGCCGCCACTGCGCGTGAGGCCGCAGCTTGCACCCACCGCGGCGCCGTCCCACCCCGCGCAGGACTCCGCGCAGTTCCCGGGGGTGTTTGCGCGGGTCCCGCGGCCCCGGGCCAGTTCTGCGCGCGCAGCGGAGCACCGCGCTGCCGCGTGCCGCCAGACCTACCTGAATCAACAGCTGACATTCGAGAAACACCAATTGCCAGCTTCCGTGCTCACAGGGCCGCGACGGCGGCTCACGCGACGCGGCCTCGCCCTGCGCTCGCCCGCGTGGATATCCGCGCCGGCGCGCCGTTGCCCTCCGCTCGCCCACCAGCCCCTGCATGCGGCCACGGAGCACCCAAGCGTCACCGCCGCGCGAATGCGAGCACGCCGCGCCCCGTCCCCGCCGCGGGCGGTTTCGGCGCGCTCAGCGTCGCACAGCCGTGCGCTGCAGCCGGGGCTGCGACGCGCGCGTCCGAAGACAGGAAACAAGGTCTCCCGCGCGACCGAAACACTTGGGGACAATCAGGGCGGGTACGCACCTCGCGACGACGCTTGCCCGGCCTCCCGCCGCCGGTAGAAGAGCAGGTACGCGGCGCGCGAGACGACTTCGTCGTCGTCGCCGACCTCGGTCACTCTAGAATCGTCATAGCAGTGCCATTTGCCAGTTTCCCTGTGAAGGCAGTATGCAGTGTAGTGGCCGCCACCCATGCCGCCGTAGTGGTTGGAGACCGCGAAGAGGTCGTACACGACGCCGCGCTCCTCCTGCGGGCCGCGGGGCGCGGGCAACCAGACGCTTGGTTGGTTGGCGGAAATCAGCGCAACATAGGAAATCGTGTCTTGTTTTCCCAGCGAAGAAACACGCGGGCAGGCGGTGCGCAGGCCACCGGCACGCGAGCGCGGACGCAGCCAACGCGACGCGGCCACGAGGACGGCGGCGTCAGACAACCAACAACACTCCCCCCGACAGCCGGCGCGCGCAGGCGCGGCACGGCCGCGCACGCACCGGTTCGCTCAGGATATACGGCGCGAGATCGAGCCCCTCGAGCGGGAACGCCACGCGCGTGTCCAGCTTGTCCCGCCACGCGCTCGTAAAGGAGAACCGCTTCAGGTGCACGACGAGGATCTCCGGCGCCCGCCACACGTGCATCTGCTTGTACGCCCGCACGAACTCGCGGCACTTCGGGCACCGCCAGCTGTCGTTCTCGCCCAGCGTCTCCTGGTTTGTGAACGCCGCCAGGCAGTCGTCGATGGCGACGCCGCCTTCCGCGCCGCCCCCGCGCGACCCCGCGCCGGCGAAGGGGCCGCCCGCCTCGCGCAGCTCCTTCGCGCTCGGGTGCTCGCCGGGCCGCCACAGGCCTGTGAGGTCGTAGGCCTGTTCCCAGACGCCCGCGCGCCACCTCACCTCGAAGTACTGCCAGCTGTCCGCGCGGTCGCGCTTCGGCGCGTACGACGCGCCGCCGCGCACCGGCGGGGCGGCCGTGAGCGGCGCGTGCGTGGTGCGCATGCGGTCGGTCCGGCGCAGCACAAAGGACCTGCTGATCGCGGAGTCGAGCGCGGCGGCCGCCTGCTCGCCCTCGTGCTGCTTCGTCCAGATGTCGAGCGCGCCCACGCCGTCAGACACCCCCCCGGGAGTCCCCGACGCCCCCACCACCATGCGGCCGTCGCTGTCCAGGCGCTGGTGCTTCTCGCCGCCGCGCTCCGGCCGCAGCTCCGCGGGCACGTCCTTCGCGCGCGCGCGCGTCACCACGCCGCCGCCGCCGTCGGCATCCGGCGCGTCGTGCGCCGCCGCGACGCCCCCCCCCACCCAGTCGGCGTCCTCCGCCCCCGGTCGCCGAAACGGCGTCAGCGCGCGGAACACGAGCCCGCTCAGCGTCGAAATCTCCTCCGCGAGCGCCACGCGCGCGCCGTCGGCGCCCAGCCGCACATCCGCGGGCGGCGCCGGCGGCGCTACAACCATCACCGGCACCACTGCCTCCCCCGCGGCCGGCCCGCCCGGCACGTTCTGGTACAGCACGAGCGTGCGCGCCCCCGGCGCCTCGTACGCGTCCCGCGGCACGCGGAAGCAGTAAATCGTGTCTTCCTCCCTGATCGTAGACACCGGTTCCGATGATTCGATGTGGCGGTATATCTTGTCGTTGAAGCCCTCGGCGACGACGAGCGCCTCGTCCTGGCCGATCCCGAGCATCTGCGCGACCGCCGCGGTCAGGTCCGCGACAGTGTGCGACCCCGCGACCTCCGGCGCCACGCTAAGGGGCACGCAGAAGCCGTTCGCCGAGACGACCGTCACCGGGACGACGCGCGGGGCCGACTCCGACGGCAGCGGGAGCGTGAGGTACATGAACGGGTCGAACTTCGCCGTCGCGAACCCGCAGTCCGGGCACTCGACGCGCGACTTGAACTGGCCCTGAAAGAGGTCGACCACGAAGCTGTCGTTGCGCGCGCGGTGCGCGGACCACGCCTCGTCCGCGACGACCGCGTCGGGCCGGCCGTCGGCGTCCTTCTCCTCGATATACGGCTTGGCCTTGATGCGGTTGAGGTCCTCATGCAGGCCGTCTAACAGGAAGGCGAGCAGTTCCTGGGAGTCCTGCTGTCTATAACCTCCGAACTGCGCGCGGAACTGCGTGAGCTTGGACTTGAAGCCGCGCGGGACGACGACGGACACGCCGCCGGCCCAGAGCTTGGAGACGAGGTCCGCGTACGCCTCGGCGAGCTCGCCCGCGCACCCGATCGGGTTCTCGCGGTTCAGGTCGCGCTGGAAGTCCCCGGACACGAAGAACTGCGTCAGCGGCGCCGCGTGCGACAGGCACTGCACAGACGAGTTCATGAAGCACGTGTTGCCGAGGTTCTGCAGCCCCGCGAGGCCCGGGCCGCGCGAGGCGTCCTCGACCACCGCGTTGCTGCCCGCGCCCGCCGAGGACAGCGTGGTCGCCGCGAACGCCGGGGCGGAGCGCCCGACGGACGCCGACGGGCTTGGGGTGGACGCAGCGGGCGGGTCCAGCGGCCACCGGTCCCCCGTGCGCGTCTCGACGACGATGAAGTTCACCGGCGACGGACCCATCGCGATCAGCTGCTGGTCGAACACCGCTTGCTGCGAGGCACGGACGGGGCGGGGGGGTGCGTGGGGGGTGCGTGGGGGGTGCGTGGGGCCGGCGCGGCGCGAACATACACCCCTGCACAGAAAGATGAGGCGCATTGACACACGGGGACATGTGCACATGAAGAAAGAGCCACAAATAAATAAATAAGTAAATAAGTAAATATAAATGTAGAAGTGTTTGTGTGTGGTTTGTGTGGGTGCGGACCTTGTTGAGGAGGAGGTCGGGTTTCTCGCCGGCCTCGAAGCCGTCCCAGCAGCGCGAGCGCCGCCCGTCGACGTTCAGCGCGCGGCACGCCATCCCGAAGAGCTGCCGCAGCGTGCACGTGCGGCTGATGCCCAGCGCCACCTCCGCGCCGGACGGCTCCCCGCGGACGCGCACCACGTGCGGCCACAGCTCCGCCTGCGTCGCCGCCTTCGATCCGGCCGGCGCCGGAATCACGCGCCGCTTGATCGCGGGCCCTCCGCCGTACATCGCGTGCAATTCCTCCCACACCTCCTGCGGCGGCGCGGCGCGGCGCGGCGTCGTCGGCGGGGCCGGCGGACGCAAATGCGCGAGACGTACGGCGGCGCCCGGCGCCGCCGCACAGCGGTCCGATCTGTGCGCGTGCGCGTGCTGCCACAGCATTAGATTTCGTGTCTGGCGGGAGCGCGGCGCGCCCCGGGCGGATTCTTCGCGGCGGGGCCCAGGGCTGCGATGCGCGGCGCGTGCACGCGCGGCGCGCGGGCCGAGGCGGCCGCTGCATGGCCGTGCGGGCCGGCATTGCCGGTGGGGTTGGTGCGTGGTGTGGGCTTGCCTTGGAGACCGTGCGGACGTCCTCGTCGCGGAGCGTGTCGCGGACGTGGGGCTCGAAGTGCTCCGCGTACTCCTCCGTGACCTGGAGCGCGCTGTCGACGTTCTCGTCCGGTATAAGCTCGCGATTGTCCACTTTGCCTGGCCGGTGCCTTCTTGGACTTCCCATGCTGACGTCATCGTCCCCGTAGTCCACATACCGCGCCCACTGGTCCCACCACCTGCGTCCGGAGCAGAACTCGCCGCCAGGTGGGCGTTTGGGCTGTCCCAGGCGCTTATACCTCCGCGAGCGGAGGAACTGGAGTGGTGTGCTCCGGGAGGGGACAGTCGGCGGGCCGCCACGCGCGGCTGCGGCGCGAACGCGCGGCGTGTGGCCGGTTAAGCGATTGTACGCGAGGGGGGCGACGCGCCGGGGATCCGTTTGGGCGCGAGGAAGGCCTTGGCCGGCGCAACGGTTCGGTTTTGGGTTGAAAGAGCAACGGAGGTCGACGGCAGCGGCAACGTTGCCGGGCCTGTCGTGGAGCCGACAGTCGCGTTCGCGGCCCGAGCGGCCGGGACCGCGCGTCTCCAATTCTGCCCCGCCCGCGAAACGCCGCCGATTGACGCGCGAGCCGCGGCGGGTGCGCGAATTCGTCGAGCAAGCAGCGCTGAGGTTCTCCTCAGTGCACAGCGGGCTCTCTCACGTCCTCAAGGGGCGCTGCACTCACTTGCGGTTGACTATATACGCCACATCGCCCTCCTTCAGCGCCTTGTCCTGCGCGCGAACTCTCTCCCTCTCCCGTTCGGGGCCCCCAGAGGTGACCACCATCACGTCGCGGTGCGCCTCTCTGCCCCGCCGGGGCAGCACACCGAACGAGCGAGGCGCGGAGGCCACAGGGTCGTGGCGGTGCTCCGGCCTCCGCGCCCGCGGGAAGCAACGAGCGCCGCGCTGGGGGGGTCCGTGTGACGGACCCGCTACAGTACAACAAAACCTTCCTGTTGCGCGTCACGCGCGATGGCATCGTCGCCGGAGGGCTGCCCAGGGCAGGCCCAGTCGTGCCGCTATCCCTCGGCGGCGGCGGACGCTCGGGTTCGGGCACGATGGATCCGGAGGGCCGTCAACGAGGACATGGGTGTGTGCTGAGGTCGCGGGCGCGGCCTCCGTCGCCGGAGGAGGCGCTGGCGTGGTGGAAGGCGCTGCCGCTGACGCAGAGGATACGGTCGTCCGCTCCTGTCGCCTCGGCGCCGCTGTCAGTGCCGGGAGACAGCTTAGTTGCAGCGCCGCATTGCACCGCACGCGCGCGTCCGGCCTCCATCGACGCGAGCAAGCAGCAGCCGGCCGCGCTGATCGACCGCACGGGGTCTCCTGGCCCTGGCATTGCAGAAACACCACCGCGTCCCGCGCACGCGACGCTGGATTCCTCACCGGGCGCTCACGAACGCGCACCCTGTGCGACTCCGAGCGTCCCGTCCGCGTCAGCGGCCACGCGGACCTCGACCGAGGCGCACAGACCTCGCCTCGCGCCGGAAGCGCGTCCGGCAGCGCCGCACACGCTGCCCCAGGCCCGGAACGTAGCAACCACCGCGGCGGTCCCCCCCGGCGCTCCAGCCGCGGCGCGCGAACCGGAGCGCGCGGCGAAGCGCCAGCGGACGGCCGCGCGGCCCCTCCCGGGCCTCCTGCAGGCCGACCTCTCGCAGCGGGCGCAGCCACCGTCATCCTTGGAAGTTGAAGTGGCGAGCAATCAACCCGCTGCAGCACGGGCGCGGTGGGGCGCAGCGCCGGCCCCTGGGGCCGCGCAGCGGGCGGCTCCGAGCGCGGGCGGGGCGGCCACGGGGTCTGCTGCGGTGCGGCGGGCGAGCGGGTCGGTGGAGGCGGTCGCGGTGGGCCGCAGGGGGTCTGACGCGCGGGGGGGGGGGTCAGGGAGCGGGCGCGGGGCGGGGGCGGGGAAGAAGCCGAGCGGGAAGGTGGCGAAGGCGATTGCGGATATTTCGGAGTGCCTCACGTTCTGGGACCCGCGGGAGGCCCCCCGGGGGTGTGGCGGGGGAGTCGAGGTGCACGCAGTCACGGAGGGCGGCTGCGACGGGCTCCGCAGGGCGCTGGAAGGATGCGATATGCTCGTCGCGGCGCCAGTGATGGTGGACGGAACGGGGAGCCAGGTGCGCGTTCGACGTCGCACAAGACCCCCCCCCCCAACTGCACGCGCACCGTCTGACAGCCTCTATCCGCCGTCTGCCGGCGCCTTTCTCTTGAAGGATACGTCACAAGCGTCGCGCGAGCGGCCCCGGCGCTTGCGTGCGACGGCGCGCCTCATCACCCCCCCATCAACACCCCCCCTTTTCCCTGCTCGCATCCTCGCAGGTGTACACCGCGACGGCGGGCATGACGGCGGCGCAGCACGAAGCCGCCAAGCGCGTCTCGCGGCGCATGGCCGTCCTGAACGGAGCGTCGGACGCGGAGCTGTCCGCGCTGCCGCGGACCGTCGCGTGCGCCGTTCGCGCGTGGTCGCCCGCAGGCGGCGTGGGGCCGCCCCGCACCGTCGGCGTGGTGCTGTTCCCGCTATCCGCCGCCGACGCAGTGCAGTGCGCGGCGGCGCCGCCGTCGCAGTGGCCCGCGAACGGCGCCAGTGCGTCGTATCAGGCGCACTTTGTTTGTCTCGACGGCGGCGGCGGGGAGGGCGCCGCGGCGCTGGCCATGCGCGCAGTCAGCGAGCGGCTGTCCGGCAGCAACGCGGCGCCGCTGGTGTGCATGCACAGCGCGCCGGCGCTCGGGACGCTCAGCGCTGCCGGGTGCGCGCTGCCGCCGCCGCTGGAGCTGCGCGTGGCCGACGTGTCGGTGATGGCGTGGCTGCTCGAGCCCGACGCAGCGCACGAGTACGACAGCGCGAGCAGCAAGGCGGCGTACCCGCTGTATCCACTGCTCGCGGCGCGGGTTGGGGGGGGTGAGGTGTCGGCGACCGCGGCGTACGGCGCAGGGTCGCCGCTGGAGCGCGCCGGCGCGGACTGCCGCGCGCTGGTGACGCTGTGGCGCGCGTGCCGCGCTGCGCTGGACGACGCGATGCCGGTGGAGGCGCTGCGGCGCGAGATGCGGTTAGCGGCGGTGCTGCAGGACATGGGGCGGTACGGCCTGCCGCTGGTGCCGCGCGTGCTGGCTGGCTGGGAGCAGGCGGTGCGGGTGCGCGTGGACGAGCTGGTCGCGGCGGCGCGGGGAGACACGGGGCTGCCGAGCCTGAACCTTGCGTCGCCGGCGCAGGTGGCGAATGCGCTCTACGAGACGCTGGACATTCCGATCGAGGTAGGCACGGGCGGGTCAACGGCGCGGACGAAGACCGGGCGGCCGACTGACGAGGGGGCGCTGACGGCTCTCAAGGTGTGCGTGTTCCACGGCAGCGCCCGTTCCCCGCTCGATGCGTCTCTCACGCACACACGTGCGCGCTGTGCAGCTTCTCAGCGGCCCGGCGGGCCCGCATGCTCTCCCTCGCGATTGCATCGCGATACCGTCGCGGACCAACCACCGCCGCTGCACACGCCCCTCTGCCACGAGCTGCCCCGCGACACGCCCGCCTGTGGCCCTACCGGAGCCACCCATCCCATCCCTGCAGCGCCACTGCGAGGCCGGGCCCGGACACCGCCTCCCTGGCATCGTGCTTGAGTTCCGCCGCCTCAGCAACTTCCTGCATCGTTTCATCGAGTCCGACTGGGCCCAAGCGGCCGCCGCCGCGTGCCGCGCCGCGGGCGCGAGAGCCGAGCGCGACCCCGCGGGCCGCGCGGTCACGCGCGTGCGGTGCGCGTGGAACCAGACCTCCACCGCGACTGGAAGACTCAGTTCCTCGAATCCCAACCTCCAGGCAGTCGACAAGGGGTCCTTCGTGATCGGCGGCGCCGGCGGCGGCGACAGCACGACGGTCTCGGCGCGGGACGCGTTCGTCGCGCCCGCCGGGCGCGTGCTGCTGTCTGCGGACTACTCTCAGATCGAGCTGCGCGTTTTGGCGCACCTGACGAAGGACGCGGCGCTGCTCGAGGCGCTGCAGCAGGCCGGGACCGGGGGCGACACGTTCCGGATGGTGGCGCGGACGTGGCTGGGGGTGTCTGGCGAGGGGGGGGTGTCGGACGCCGAGCGCGAGAATGCCAAGCGCGTGGCTTACGGGATCATCTACGGGCAGACGGAAGTCGGGCTGGCGCCGCAGGTGCGTGCGAGCGTGCCTGGCGCGTGCGTGCGTGCGTGCGTGCTGTTTCCGGTAACGGTGCGCGTGGTTGCTGTCGCCGTCGAAAGGCGAGTGCATGTGTTTGTGGTGGGATGGCGCGTTGGTTGCTGCGCGACGCGTGGTGCGTTGCGTTCCGTGCGTGCAGCTGAACGTGACGGCGGAGCGCGCGCGCGAGCTGATCGCGTCGTTCCTGAACCACTTCGGGGGGGTGTCTGCGTGGCTGAGTCAGGTGCGCGAGCAGGCGACGGCCGACGGCAGGGTGGTGTTGCCCAGCGGGCGCTGGCGGCACCTGCCGAACATCCAGTCCGAGGCCGCCGGGCTCAAGCGCGCCGACGAGCGCAAGGCGGTGAACACGATCGTACAGGGCACCGCAGGTGCGAACCTGCGCATACACGCACGGCACTGCACGTGTCACGCACACACAACCTCTTGCTCGCGCACAGCCGCGCGAACAGCGGGATCCAGGCGCCGTGCCTGACCTCAGCGTGTCCTGGTGCCGGAACGGTTCCGAATTGCTCGACATTACATTACTGATGTTTGATTGTTCGTGACGTCAGGTCTGCGCTCGCGCCGCGCGCCCGCAGCCGAGATCATGAAGGACGCGATGCTGGCGTGGGCCGCGAGGCAGCACGCGCTCGCGGCGGCGAGTCCGGACGGCCAGGGCGCACCAGTAATCATGCTGGGAACAATACACGACGAGTTGCTATTCGAGGTCGACGTGGGACGGACGACTGTGGCGGCGGCGGCGCAGATGGTGCGCGAGGCGATGGAGGGCGTCGCGGGGCACATGAGCGTGCCCATCGTGGCAAAGGTGCAGGCGGGGGCAACGTGGTCGACCCTGGCGGCAGTCGAGGCTTAGGCGGGGGCAGGCAGTCGAGAATTGGTGGTGGGCGTGGCAGGGCGAGACTGTGAGCGGCAACGGGGCTTCGCGCGGCGTGCGGCGACCAGGCGTGCCGTGCGTGCGGGCCGGACGATGTGGTGCGAGGCCAGGGCGAGCCGTTGAGGTCGCGGACGGACGTTTCTACGCGCTGGAGATGTTCGTGGGGGCCTCCTCTGGTGACCCAGGCCGGTGGTTGCTTGATGGCCGCACGGCCGCAGCGTCCGGGGGCAGTTCTCCGGATCGACTAACTCTTCGGGTAGACGCCAACACGCTACGATGTACACGGCCGCGAAGTCCACGTTCGTTGCTCAGGTGCGCCGGAATCCGCGTACTGTTGCCACCGCGTTGCGCTGCACCTCTAGAGGCAGCTCCGCGGCGACACAGCGCGTCATTGTGCTCCGTTCCCAGCCAAGTCGCCGACTCCTACATCTGGCCACGAGATGCACGCCCGGAAAAGGGCGCATCTCGCTGCGACACGCGTCACGCGAGCCATCTTGCTCTCTGTGGCACAGAGGACAAAAGAGGCCCGGGCGCGGCTTTTCCCTGCTCCATGTCGCCTTTTCTCGAACATTTAGACCGAGTATGAGCTATATAATTCACGGACGAGCCGCATTGCGAAAAACAAGCCGTATTCGAGCGACCAGCGCGACTAGTTGTTGGCGCGAAGCAGCATCCGCGCTCTGCTCGTCCCGACGCGGTCCCCCGGCCGGCTCACCCGCCGGCCCTCGCGTGACGCATCCGATGGCCGCGGCCGCGCGGCCAAACCCGCCGCATCAACGCCCCGCGTCTGCAGGCCCCCGTCGCTGCGCGCCGCGCACAGCCTGCGCCGCGCCGCGCGGCGGTCGTCGTGCGCGCGGACGGCGACGCCAAGATCAACCCCGACATCCAGAAGGACTCCGAGAAGGTCGCGACCATGATCAAGTACGCCCGTCGCGACACACCCAACCCCAACCCTCCTCTATCAATCACGCCGTCTGCCCGCGCAACCCCCTCCGCGCCAGCCACCTCGACGCCAGCGCCTGCCTCTGGCCCTCCAGAGCCGCGCGCGCCACTGCACTGCTCCTCGCACGACGCGCGGGGCTGACACGCTGCGGTTGCATGACGCGCGGCGCGCGCAGGTGCTCCGAGATGGGCAAGAAGGGCGTGTTCTGCCGCTGCTGGCGGTCCAAGACCTTCCCCATGTGCGACGGCGCGCACGTGGAGTTCAACAAGAAGACCGGCGACAACGTCGGGCCTCTGATCGTCACCGACGACACCTGAGCTCAGCCCCCCGCCCGCGGCCGGGCGCCGGGCGCCGGGCGCCGCGCTGCAGCCGCGCACGCGTTCGCCGCGCGCCTCGGCCTCGACGGCGCCGAACCAGCGGAGCGCGGTGCAGTCGATGTGCGATGTGCGGCGCGTGGTTGTTACGTGCGTGCAATGCAGCGCCGAACTGTGACTCGATCACGGGCGACGCGTAGCGTGCGCAGTCACACTGCGCGCGCTCCGGCACCGGAAGCAGTGCCGCAACGGAGACCCCCCCCCGGTCACCCCCCCCCACAACACGACCAGCCCGCCTGTGGCTGCCCGCCCTGCCCGAGCGCGCTCCCCGCGATCCTGCCCGCGCCGCCCCCCGCCGTGAGGTTCACGTCGACCATCCGCCCCGCCTGGTCCCGCGACCCGCCCGCGTCCGCCGACCCCTCCGCGCCCGGCAGCGCCGCCGCTATCTTGCGGAACAAGGCCTTGATGTTGAAGCCCGCCTTCGCGCTCGTCTCGAGGAACATCGCGCCGAGCTCCTTCGCGCGCGCCTCGCCCTCCTCGCCCGTCACCTGCCGGCTGTCCATCAGGTCAGTCTTGTTGCCTACCAGCACCACCAACACATCGGAGCCACGCTCCGCCCGGACCTCCTCGACCCACCGCGTGGTGTTCAGGAAAGACTGCTTGCTCGAGATGTCGTAAACGACGACCGCGACGGAGGAGTCGCGGATGTAGGACGGTATAAGCGAGCGGAACCTTTCCTGGCCAGCGGTGTCCCAGAGCTGGAGCCGGACCGTCCGGTCCTCGAGGTACATGGTCTTGGAGAGGAAGTCTATGCCGATTGTGGCCTGGGAGGAGGGGGGGAAGGCGGGGACGGCGCGGGGGTGTTTGCGGGGCGTGCTGGAGGGCGCGTGTGCAGGGGGCGCGCCCCGTGCGGGCGCGGCGCTCGCTCGCGTGGCGTGCTGGGGGCGCGAGCGATCGCCGGGGGCGGTGGCGGTGCGGTTCCGGGCGCGAGGCGCGCGGGAGGCGAGCCGCGCGGGCGCTGTGCGGGCTCGGACCGCAGCGCTCAACAACACACTGCTGCGAAACAGCGCGGTGGGTGCAAGAGCTCCGGGATTTCAAGGTCACTTGGGACGTTGACATGTCTAAGATGTGTGTGGGGGCGGTCGGGGGCGCGGGGAGGGCTGCGGGGCGGCGGAGGAGCCTCGTATGATGCCCCGTCACCCACCTGGTAGGCGCTGTCGAACTTGTCGTACATGAACCGCGTGATGATGCCCGTCTTGCCCACCGACTGATCTCCCAGGAACACCTGCGCGAGCACACAGCGCCCAGCGGCCCGGACAGGTCGCGCGGAGCTCGCCCCGAGGCAAGGGCGGGGCCGGTGCGCAGCGCCGGGGCGCACTCACCAGCTTATACTTGGACATCGGCGAGATATGAGGGGCCGCCATGGTGCCCGGGCGCCGCGCGGGAAGGCCACCTCCGCCCCCGGCCAGCGACAGCTCGCCTCCACCCCTGCTCCCAGACGCGCGCCGCGGCCGCCCCTGCCTCTCCAGCGCTGCGCGTGCGACCTCGCGAAAGATTCGGCCTAGGACTCGCCGTACCACTCGCCCACTGCCCGCGCGAGCCACGCCAGCTCCGCAATCACGCCGCGCTGCAAAACGCCCTCGCCTCGTACCTGCAGCCCGACACACCGAACTGCAGCCGTGCGCTGACCTGACGGCGCGCGCGCCGCGCGGCGCGTCACTTGGCGAGCAGGCTCCCGTCGGACGGGCTTCGAGGACGCGGTTGCGGCGCAGCGGAGGCCGTAAGGATCGCCCAGCGCGTCACAGCGTGACGCTGCAGGCTGCGCGGAGGCTCGGGAGCGCGTCGCACGTCCCCGCGCGCCGGGTCGCTGTTTCCGTGGCCCGTACGCGCGCGGAGCGGCAGGCGCGCCGGACGCGGCTCGCGCGCTCGGGAGCGCCGCGGAGCACCCGTTTCGCGGGACGCAGTGGCGGGAACGTGAGCGCGCGTTGGGGAGGCGTCCGTTGCGGCTGTCCGGTAGCCCACGCGCGAGGGAACGTAGGCAGGCGATGGTGTCCGCGACGGAGCGCCTCGAGCGCTCGTATATCAACAGGCGTTTCCGGGAGGAGGGGCTTCAGTGCCACAGGGATGCGGTAGAGTACCTTCTGGGCCCCGCACGGCGCGCGGGCGGCGACGGGGACGCGGAGCTGGAGCCAATCGAAGAGGTAGGGCGGTTTTCGGGCCGCGACGGCCGCGGCACTGCGCGCATTTCCGGTCCCAAGGGGGCCAGGTGTTTGGTCCGAGCGCGCCGAACCCGCGGCTTGTTGTTCCGCGAAAGCGCAGGTGGTGGACCGTATGCTGCTTCTGCTGGACGTGCGGCAGCTCGGCGGCGAGGCAGCGGTGTCCCGCGAGATGCTGGAGGGCGCTGTGGGGGCGCTCGACGCCACGACCGCCTCGGACGAGGACCTCATCGTCGTCCCCGCAGACCAGTGCCCGCGCATCGTGTACGACCAGGTGCGGCACGGGGCCCGAGCGCCGCTCGGCGCGCGCCCTTCCACACCGCCCCACCCCCGTTCGTTCCCACAACCACCGAAACCGAGCCAACACCGATCGAGAATCCTCGACTCCCAACTCGCGCGTCCCGCCCGACCCGCGCCGCAGGTCCGCAAGGCCTTCCACCGCGACGACGCCGGCGAGCCGCGCGTCCTCTCCGCCTCCGCGGGCGCCAAAGCCGCCCTCTACCGACAGCGCCTCCTCCTGGTGCTGCAACGCCTGCTACGCAACCGCATCTTCACGCGGCCCGACGTCGACTTCGGCCCCTCGATGGCCCGCGAGCACTGCGAGCTCGTGCCCGTCCAGGCGCTCCTCGGCACGGTCGGCGAGCGGCAGTTCGCGCTCGGCTGCCTGAGCAAGCTCGACGACGGCGGGGGGGTGTGTTTGGAGGACCTGACAGGCGCCGTCCCGCTCGCGCTCGACGGCCTGAAGGAGGACGTCGCGCCGGGGCTGTACCCGGAGAACTCGATCGTCGTCGTCGAGGGCGAGCTGCGGCACGACGGCGTGTTTGCTGTCGATGCCATGGTGCAGCCTCCCGCCGAGGCACAGGTGGATTCGAAGGCCGCGGCGCACGGGCTGGACTTCTTCGGGGGCGGGCACGTGTCCGCGGAGGCGCGGGCGCGCTGGGACGAGGGGGTTTGGCGATGGGTCGGACGCCCGGGTGGCTGTGCTGGCGGGGGTGTGGATGGACGCCCCCGGGACCGCCGAGGCGCTGCGCGCGGCGCTGCGCGAGATGGAGGCGAGTCCGCCCGCGGCGCTGGTGCTCATGGGGGACTTCGTGGGCAACTCTTCGGGGGGTGCGGGGCGGGCGGCGTCGGCGGCGGCGACGCGCGAAGCGCTGGCGGCGATCGGGCGGATCGTCGCGCAGGAGTTCAAGAGCGTCGCGCAGAACACGAGGGTGATCGTGATGCCCGGGCCGCGGGACCCCGGGCCGGGGCGCGGCCTGCTGCCGCGCCCGCCGCTGGCGCCGTCGCTGGCGGGGGGACTTTTGCATTACCTCCCCCGCGCGGAGCTGACGTCGAACCCGTGCAGGATGCGGCTGCTCGGGAGGGAGATCGTCGTGTTCCGGCACGACCTCATGCACCGCATGCGGCGCCTCAGCGTCACGTCCCGCACAGACATGGGTACGAACCCACACAAACAGATATGAACGCATATTTCTTTTCGATTTCTGTCATCTTCGTCTTTCGGCCCCAAACTGACTCGTGTCGCGCATCCGATCGACCCGCGCGACCCCGCCCCTGGCCCCACAGCGACCCCGAGACGTTCGCGGCGCGCGTGCAGGGGCGAAGGCGGCGCCGGAGACACACCTGGGGGAGGTAGCCTCTGTCTTGCTGAGTCAGGCGCACTTAGTCCCCCTCCCGCTCGCGGAGCAGCCGATCGTGTGGGAGATGGACCACGCGCTGCGGCTGTACCCGATGCCGGACGCGCTCCTGCTCGGGGACTCGGGGCAGGCCGCGACGTACGAGACCCCCGAGGGGTGTGTTGCGGTAGGAGCGGGGTCGTTCACCGCGCACGGGACGTACGCCGAGTACTGGCCGCTGCGGCGCACGGGGCAGCGGGCGGCGGTGCGCACGGCCAAGGCGTAGCGGCGGCGCGGTAACGGCCGCGGACCAGCGATACTGTGCGCGTTCTGTGTGTGAGGGTCGCGGCGCGGCGAGACGACGTGGCACCCGAGTTGCTCGCACGCACGACGGAGGGGGGACTCGCTGCCGCGCTGGCGGCTCGATAGGGGTGGTGGGGGGTGTATTGGGGCCTATTTCCGCCGTCTGCGCTTCACCGCTGTTTCCAGTGGCCGGGAAGTCGACCGGACGTGTCGGACCCGGTTCCGGGACGAGTTCGAGCTGGGGCTGTCGCTGGGGGTCCGTGGGGGGCGGGCGACCGACGCGTGAGCGCGTCACGGCCACCTGCGTCAGTCGGTCATGCGTGCACGGCAGCACCCGCGCGCCGCGGCCGCAGCGGGGGCGCGTCGCCCCGCAGCACCACGGCGGCAGCGCACTGCGTATCACGGAAACGCACATTCCGTCCAAAAACGCGCCGCGACGCGACGACGTGGATGCCGCGTCTTGTTCCGCAGCAGCAGCAGGAAGCACCAAAGTGACCAGCAGCACCTCCACGGTGCAAGTTGCGGCGTTCTCGCGCACCCCAGCCGACGAACACCGCGTTCACCTCCCCGCGCTGGCGCCCGCAGTCGCCCTCGGGCCGATTCGAGTCGTGGCGGACCGGCAGAGCCTCGCTGAGTGCGCTAGGTAGTGTGCGCCGTCCGACCGCTCTGAGGCACCGTCCTCGCCTGGCCCCGGCGCCCCTGGGAGCGTAGGAGGTGTCAGCGCTGGACGCGGGCGGGAGAGCGTCGCGGACCGGCGCCGCTGCGGCGGGGCAGCCCTGCTAGGGATGCTCGGCAAACTGGCGCAAAGCTTGCCCCGTTCGACGCTGTCGGACTCGCGCTATGACGTCGTGCTCGAGTACTACAGGTGAGCGGGCCCGCCGCGCGCAGCAGGGCGCGGGAGCGGCCGGGAAAGCGAACGCCCCAAAATCGCCTGCTGGCACGCGGGCGGTGCGCGCCAGCCCGCAGTGCTCTGCGCCTGCGGCGCCGCGACGCGTCCGCCGCTGGATTCCGACGGACCACCGCCCGCGCGGCAGCGCGCCTGGAGCTGCGGCGGCGCCGCAGCCGCCAGCCGCCGCATCGCGCCCGGAAGCTCGCCGTGCCTGTCCGCTGAGCGCCCTCGTCCCCGCCCGGCCCATATCCTCTTTCGAGGCCGTTTCTCCGGCGCCAGGTGCACGCACACACGATATTTTGTCCGGAAATCGCGACGTTCCGCGGCGTTCCGTGCCCCTGCAGGCGGGTGCGCCAGGAGCTCACAGTTGAGCTGCCGCTTGTGAGGCGCAAGTGGAAGCAAATCGCGACATGCCTGGCGTTTCAATACGTGCACGGCATCTTCACGCAGCTGGCGTACTTCAACCACGCGCCGCAGCCGGAGCCGCTCCCTGACGTCGGGTTCCAGGCACGCGCCCCGCTGCATGACACGCACGTAGCGACTTGCTGGCTCCCGGGCGGACGGCGCCCGCGGCGGAGACGCCGCGCGAGCCCGCGGCTTCGCTGGGGCGTCCGCGGCCTGCGAGCGGCGCGTGTCGCGTGGGGTCCTCGTGCGTTGCGTTGCGTCTGGTTTGTGTTTGTGTGCCACACGGTCGATGTTGGGGCCGTGCCGAGGCGCGAGCGCGGCGCAGCGGCGCGGCGCGGCGCAGAGGAATATGTTGGCTCGGCCGACGCGCTCGCCGGCGCTGCGGCGTGCGTTCCGGCGGCGTCGCGCGGTTCCTGACCCGGTCGACTCGAGCGCGCCGCTGCTGCTCCGCAGGCGCTGCCCGAGCTCGGCCGCGAGAACCACTGGGCCTCCGAGACTATTTTCGGCGCGCTGATGGGCGGAACGATCCTCTGGAGCCTCTCGCCGTTCGTGGTGCCGCGAAAACGCTTCTACACCGTCCTCCTCTACGCACGCGCCCTCAGCGTCATCGTCTTCTGCCAGATCCTGCGCATCATCTCCTTCCTCTCCACCAGCCTCCCCGCGCCCAACTACCACTGCAGGTGCGCACCAGCACCCACCGCACGCACCTGCTTTCCACCCCAACACACACGCGCGCGCACGCCTCCGCCTCCCGCCGCCGACGCCCGCAGCTTCGCGCCCCCGGCCTCCCCCGCAGATCCGGCGAGCCAACTGCGCGGCCGCCGCCCCCCGAGCACTGGTGGGACTACATAATTGTCGACGTTAAGCGACAATCCGCTTTTGGGTGCGGAGACCTGATCTTCTCGTCGCACACGACCCTGGCGCTGGTCTTCACGCTCGCCTACACGACGTACGGGTCGTACCGGTGGATCAAGGCCGCGGCCTGGGCCGCGTGCGTCGCCCTCTCCATGCTCATTGTCGCGTCACGCAAGCACTACACCGGTGAGTGTGCTCGCGGCGAGGACCGCGGATTCGCGATCGCACGCGGGTCCCCTGCGATAGTACAGACGCGATGCGCCGTGCCGGTCCCGCCGCAGCGCGCCGCCGCTGATGCGTGTGCCTGGGGTGACGCCGCGCACCACTCCCCGTCCCGACGCAGTCGACGTGGTGGTGGCGTGGTACACGGTGCCGCTGGTGTTCAGCCTGCTGCACCGCTCCTGGACGACGAAGCGGCCGCTCCTGGACGACTCGCCGTCCCGGCCGCCGTCGCCGGGCACCACCGTGGAGCTGCAGGCGATCAAGGTGGACGCGAACGGCGCCGCGGGCGACAGCAGCGGCAACGGGAGCCTGTCCGGGACCATCGGCGCGGACGCGATGCTGCTGGCGCCGGTGACGTCCCCGCCGCGCAGCCGAACAGAGGGCGACATGACGAAGCTCGGCGCGCTGGCGGGTGCGTCTGCGGTGGCGGGCAGCGCGGGGACGCGCATGGTGAAGATGCCGGGGCCGCACCGGGCGGCGACGGCGAAGGGGGCGCGCATGGGTAAGGAAGGGAAGCACTGAGGGGGTGTGAAGCAGTATAATAATCGTGGGCTCCGAAGACGTTGTGATCGTTACTGGCAGAGCACACGCGTCTACCCGACGGCCGAGTGGATGCCAGGAACGCGGCCGTTGAGGGCAGCGGCGGCCGTGGGGTGCAATCTGCAGGACTGCAAATGGCGGCGCTGCCGTGGTGTGCTTGCGCCGCCGCTGGGGCTGAATGCGCCTCGCGGCCAGCGGGCGTCGGCGCGCTCGTCGGCGCGAAGCCGGGCTCGCGGACAGCCGTCTCGGCCGCAGTCGGGCGACGCTGCTGCCTCCTGCGAGGACGGTACTCCCCCCTGTCAGGGAGGGGGGAGTCCGGAGTCCACCGACTGCGCTGCATCGTCGCGTGGCGTCTCGCCGCCCCTCTGCCCCTGCTCCGCCCCCTGCGCTGGCCGCCGCAACTCAACTAGCATACCATACCCGGCGGCTGCTGCGCACCTCTCCTTGGGAAGTTGGGCGAATGGGCAAAAGGGCGGCGCGAAGTGCCACCGACGTGACGGCAAGTGCATGAGGTGTCTCACAGTCACGCAGTCGAGCGCGGACGCCTTCCGGCCACTCCGCAGGTGAGCGGACCTCCACAGGCATCGACACGACGCGCCGCCAGCGAAATCGGCAGGCGGCCTGCAACGCCCGAGGACCCGCGCCGACAGCGAGCGCTGCGAGAGGCAGGACCAGGCCGTCGGCGTGCGGCGGTCTGGCAGATTGCATGTGGGGACGCGAGGCGGCTGTACGTGCGCGCGCACCGTGGGAGGCAGTTCCGCGTGGCAGGTACACAGAGCAGGGGGCGGGGCGCTGCGCCAGAGCAGCAGCGCAACGAACGGCGCTCGCAGTCCGCCGGCACGTTGGCAGCATCCGCCAGCATCGCGGCGGCACGGCCGTCTTGCGCGGACTGTGAGACGCAGGGCTGCGCGGACGGCGCACTTCATCGGAAGCCGATGTGTGCAAGCGCCCGCTGCGGTGGTTGGGTATCGTCGGTCTCAGGCAGGAATGCGTGTCCCAGGAACGGCCGGGGCGGCCGCACGCGAGGGGTCAGTGGACGCCCAGTGAGCGCCCGCGGGTCGCTGTCCCGTTTCGACGCGCACCGCGATCGCGTGCGAGGGTCGTGGCTGGCTGCAAAGGGGCTGTGCCATCCTGCTGATGCGCCCGAAAACGCGATATGGGTCAAGACGTCAGGCGGGCAGCATTGAGAACATCGGACAGGCTCCATCCGGTGTTTACGGTGCAGGGGAGATGGTGTCCGCTCAGTAGTGCTCTCTCGTCCACGGACACCTCGGGAGAGCGTGAAAGGGGCGGTGCTGCGGCTGAGATTCGCTTCGCAGGCTGTGGGAGCATGCAGCGGGGCTGCGGGGGCTGCGGCAGCGCCTCGTGCTGCGTTGAGACCGCTCAATACAGGGGCGCCTGCGCGGCTGGGGTTTCGAGTGAGCCGAAGAAAGTAGGCGAAAAGAGGTGGGGGCGGCTCGCTCACATGACCAGCAATGTGCGCAGGCGGCCTGCGGGGTGCTCCCGCGCAGAAGCCGCCCCTGACGAAACGGCTCAGCGAACAGCGAAAAAGTTCGGGACCAGGCAAACGGGTGCATGGGGGGGTCGGGGTCATGGGGGGGGACAATAGGGGGGGGTGTTGCCACGGCGTGCTGCTGCGGCTAGTCAGACACACTGCAGGCGGCCCCGGTGCTCCCGGGATCTGCGGAGGGGCGCGCCAGTCTTGCAGTTCGGCGACGTCTCGGGGCCATGGGCACCGCAGGCTCGCGGACAGGGACGCTCGTTGTTGTTGGAGAGCTACGGCAGCGTGTCGGGGCTACGCGACACGGAATCTATCAGCGCGCCCAACTGAGCAGCTTAGTCAGGACATGGGTGCGGCGTCGCTCCGGTCTAGCTGCGTGCGGTGGCTAAGCGGCCCTTCGCCGTAGGCGTGCTGCCCGGCGGGGACAGACAGCAGCAGAGTGCGCATGTGTGTGTGTGTGTGTGTGTGTGCAGGCGGGGGGGGTTACCGCGCAAGCCGGGCCAGGCATGCTGCCTGGCGGAGCGTTTCCGGGGAGGGGGTTCGCGCAAGCAGCTCCTACGCGTCGGCTCCTCGCGCTCGAGGCCCGGCGTCGGCGTTGGGGGCCGGCGGGTGGGGTCTGCTGGCGACGCGCTGGTGCTCAGCGGCGGCGCTGGGCGGCTCGTCGCTGCTCGTCGCGGGCAGCGCGGGGCGCGCCGGCTGCGGCTGATAGCTCATGAGCCGCATGTTGCGCGCCTTGTCCTTGAGGTCGACGTTCGTGCGGCCCTCGAAGTGCGGCGGCTTGCACGCCTGCCCTTCGTGCAGGATCATCGTCCATTTCTTCTTGTCGTCCGCGTACTTGGTGTACAGCTCCGCGAGCTTCGCCTCGTCGCGCGCCGACCAGTCCCGGCGCGCGCGCTTCTTCGGCGGCGGCGCGATCGCGGGCGCCTGGAGGGCGCGCAGCGCGCCCGGAGTCAGCACGGCCAGCTGGGCGTTCGAGCGCGGGAACGCGCCGGCGCCGAGGAGCGCGATGATGTCCGCCGTCGAGGACGGCACCGCGGGCGGGCCCTGGCTCACGTGCACGGGCCCCGCGGGCGCCCACGCGTCGAGGTTGACGCTTCCGGGTGCGACGCGGACCGTGACGCCCGCGTCGCTCGTCGCCAGGCCGCTGCTGGCGAGCTGCTGCACGGCGCCGACCTGTCGGAGCTCGAACAGCTGCTGCAGGAGGCCCGGCGTGACCGCGCTGAGCTCTTGCGGCGAGCAGCGCGACAGGATGGTCGCTGCCTCGGACGGCGGCTGGATCGGGAGGCTCGCGAAGACGATCAGCAGCCTGGAGGCCTCCTCGGCGCTGAGCAGGCGGTGTCGGACGGCCGCCTCGATCTGCGACACGACCGCGAGAGGGATGGTCTGCGGCGCGAGCACGCTGCCCGCCGGGACGCCCCCCGACGCCGGAGGCGGCGCTGGCGGGTGCGGCGGGTACTGCTGCGGCGCCGCGCGCCAGGGCTGCGGCTGCTGGGGCTGCACGTGGGCGTTGGCGCTCAGCAGGAGCTGCCGCAAGTCGTTCGAGGGCTGAGTGGGTACGCCGTGGCATGCCGGCCCGCCGCCGCCCGGATCTTGCTGCCCCTGCCCGCTCTGGGACCACCCGCCGCGCTGACGGGGAGCCGCGGCGCCGAGCGCGCCGCTCCGGGGCCAGGGCGGGCCGCAGGGATCCCCGTCGGCAGGGCTGGCGGGCCCGGCGGGGCACTCGAAGGGCCCCGCGACGGCCAGCTCGTCCATGGAGAGCGCCGTCGTGCCGCAGCAGGACACCTGGCCCGGGCCGGCGCCGGGAACGAGGACGATGGGGGCGCAGGGGCGAGCGCGCTTATGGTCCGTGGAGCACCAGCGTGGCAGCGGCGCGCCCGGCGGCGCAGATCGCGCGGCTTCGCTGTCGCCGCAGGTCGCTTGTGGGCTTGCATCGACGTTGCCGCGTCCGTCTCGGCGCGGGGTTCCGTCGGGCGCGCACGGCGGAGGCGCTCGGGTGCCGCCAGCATGCAACCGCGCTGCGCCCTGGCAGTGGCGCGTCGCGCGCTCAGGCCGGTCGGTCGCGCCCGTAGACTCGCTGCAGAGCGTGCCACGCGGCGAGGTTCTCGCTCGCTTGCATCCATTGGGCCAGCGCGCGCCGAGCGAAGGCTCGTGCTCCTTCCCAGCGGTCAGCGCGACGGCTCCGGCGTCGCTCGCTGCGAGGTCGTCTCCGGCTTCGCTCGGCTCGCGTGACGGACGCGTGATGCGCTCATCGGCAGGGCGTCGCCGCTCGTCGCCCGCCATTTCCGCAGCCGGGAAGCCTGGAACCTGCTCACAAGGGGCCGGGACGCAGGGCCGGTGGGCGGATGCCGCGAACACGGCCGCCCTTTCGCAGCTCGAGAGCTTCTCCCGTCGTTGGCGGGCAAGGCGAGGCAAGGATAGCGCAGTATAAGGCGGCGAGGGCCCGTCTTTCTGTCTGCAGGGTATTCCGGCGCCGCAGGCACCCTCGGCGCACCTGTGCTGCGTGTCCGTGTGTGGGGCACTCATGCGCTTGACATTCCGGCTCCCTCGGGCCACCGTCCTCGTCCACTTGCGCCACTGCTGAGAGCAAGGCACCGATGCTGAGAAGCCTGGCCTCCGGAAACGCGCCCGCAACGGCTTGCTTGGGCGGCGGTCCCGGCTCTTCGCGACGGGACGAACCCTGAAATGTCCGTTTCTTGCCGCCAGGGCCCGCAACGAACGGGGTGCGGCCCATACCGGCGTGGCAACTCAACCCCTGCGTCGTGCAGAACGGTGCACCTCGCGCGTCCGTGGGTGAAATCGATTCGTTGCGGTGCGATATCCGCATCGGGACAGTGTCACGCGACTTCAATGACCCAGCGGCGCCCGGAAACCTCCACACAGGCCGCGAGGGAGGCCAGTAGCTAGTGCTTGTCGCGTGCCGGAACCGGCGCGCACAGGCCGCCGCCGGCGCGCAACCGCGCTCAAGAGGTGCACGTGCGATCGATTGGCGGGCGTGAGCCGATCCGAACTGCCTCTCGACATCGACCGGGCCCCCCATGGCACGTGCAAGCGAAGCGAAGCGATCGCCGCTCGGCCGTGGCGCCGCCCACGCGGCTCTCGGCTCCGACCGGCTCGTCATGTAAAATCATGACGACGTGCGCGGCGTCGAAGCGTCCGCTTCGAGCGATGCGAGGCGCCCGCGCGGCTAGCGACGCCCGCTCTCCGAGCCGCGATTCGCAGGTTCAGGGGCGCCACGCCGTCGCCGCACCTGGACAATGCGCCGACCTTTCGTCCGCTCGAGGAGGGCTGGTCGCAGCAGGCCCTCCTCGGAGCCCACCGCGCACGCCACAGATACCCCGTCCCCCGACGATTCCCGCCGTCCAGGGGCACGACGTTCGAAGCCTTCATTCACGTCAACGCAAATGCCACGCGCGACATCCGCGACGGCCTTCGACGGCGCCGGGCCGGCGGCCCCATCGACCCCGCACGCAGCACCCCCTCTCCCCCACACAGCATCTGCCCGCCTGGGCGCGGGACGCCCGGCGCGCGCGGCGGCGCACAGGGCGCTCGCGCGAAGAGCGCGGCGCGACGCACGCGCGCGCGCAGTGACCGCGTGCCGTCCGCCGGGCTGCCAGCGAGTGGGGGCGAGGGCGCACCCGCGATTGGCAGAACGGGCGCGGCTCGCGCCCGGCGGAGGCGGGGACGGCCGGGGCCGCCCGGCGCGCTCCCAGCGGCGCGCGATGCGTGCCGCGGTCGCGCTTCGCGACCTCTGGCACGGGGCCCGCGGGCGACGCAAAGCGCGCGTGCTAGAGACGCGTGCGCTGGCCGGCGGCAGGGACTGCGGGGTGAGCGGCATTCGGGCGGAACGGCAGCTCCGCCTCCGTGTCCGGTGCGAGGACACCGGCCCCGCGCGCGCGGTCGGCGCCACCAGCGCGCCCATGAGCTCGCGCGCGCGGGTGTGCCCTGCCGGTCGTCGCGGAAGCAGTGTGTCGCGCAGTGGCGAGCGACAGGTGGCTTGCGCCGCAGAGCGGCCTAGAGCAGCAGCACGAGCTCACACGAGGGATCCCTGCACGCCCGCCGCTGCAGTGTCGCGCCCCCGCAGCACGTCTGGCGCCCCTTGCAGCACACAAAGGCAGGTGACGCGCCAGGCGGCCCGTGCGCGCGTTCCCAGGGCCCGCGCGGCGCCCGCCCGGCTGCCGTGGCGCTACCAGCACGCGGGCGAGCCGGCCTGCTCTGAGACGGCGTTTCGCGAGCGACGCGACCTGGCGACCCACGCTCTTGCGCTGAAAACCTTCAGCGCTTGCGCGGGAGGCTGGGGTCGGGGATCCGGCCCTCGTACGGCAGCAGCGCGAGCGTCCGCGCCTTGCGGATCTCCCGCGCGACCTTCTTGTGCCGCCACACGTTCAGCCGCGTCAGCCGTTGCGGTGCTATCTGCGCACCTGCACACATCGCGCGGCGTCGCAACCGTGAGGCGCGCGCGCGGACGCGCCGCGCACCGCCAGCGCAACGCAGGAGCAAACCACGGCGGGCCGCTGCGGCCCGCAGGCCGCCGTCGTACCGCGGCTACCGCGCGTGCAAGGGCTGGGTGCACCGGCCGGTCGCGGCGTGCCGCGCGGGCGACGCACCTTGCGACAGGAACTTCGAGAGCAGCGCTGTGTTGTACACGGAGCAGCCCAGCTCGGCGGTCAGATCGTCCACGGGCGCGTACGCGTGCGGCTTCGGTTTCCTCGACATGGCACGTGCCTTCGCGACGCGCCGCTCGTCCAGCTTGGACGGCAGGAGCTCCGCAGGGACGTACCGGTCCTGCGGCACCGGCCGGAACTTCCTCCCGGGGTGCAGCCTGCGCACGCAAGGGAAGCGCGCGCGCCGCTGGCGACGTCGGCGCCGTGCGCGCTGCTGCGGGACCAGCACGACTCGCGCAGGCGAGATCGAAGTCGCCGGCGAGCTCAGCGGGGAGCGGCGCGTCGCGCGGGGAGCCCGGGCGGCGTGGCGGGACGCAGGCGCGGCGCACAGCTCCCCGCTTTATGCTGTGACGGCGCGCAGGACGGCGTTCGCACTCACCCTGCCTCGAGCGCGCGCTGCGGGAGGACCGTCTTGATCGAGCGCCCGCTGCCGCGCGCGTCCTCGCGCTGCGCGACGACTCCCAACAGCTGCTCCTCAGGCACGCCTAGATACGAGAACATCGCGGGGCCGCCGCCGTGCGGCGACGGCGAAGGAAGCTCCGGCACCGGCCACGGAGCCTGCGCGACAGCGGAGCGCGCCGCGGGGTCGCCGTGCGCGGACGTGTGGCGACCGCGGTGTGCGTGTGTGCGCGCGTGGGGGCAGGGGGAGGCGGGTGGGCTGGCAGGGGGCGGCGTGCGCGGACCTCGCGCGCGGCTCCGTCGTTCCCGGGCTCCGCGGGCGGCTGCGCGGGGTCGTGCGCGAGCGCGGGTTGTGCGGAGGGGGGCCGGCTGAGCTGCGTCTCGACCCACTTGCGCCAGTCCCTGCGGTCGAGGTTGTCTTCGCCCGCGTCCTCTATGAAGTCGTCGGTTCCTGCGGGCGGCGGGCGGGGTTCCAGCGGGATGGGAGGGACTGGTGGTGTGCCCTGGGCGCGGCGATGTGTGCGCAGGAGGCGGCCTTGGAGGATCTCGTGTACACGGCCACGACGCTCCGGGCTTCTCCTCATGCTCGGAGATCGGATTCGTCGCAGGCGGTGTCTGTGCGGGCCGCACGCTGCTCTTCCTGCGGTGCGTGAAGAGATGCGGGAACCGCGGCTCGCTCACCCATCTCTGCGTCGGAATCGTCGCTGCTGCTATCGCTACTGGACGTGTCCGTGGAGAACCCGCCCGCGGCGCGCCTCGCCGCGGCGCAACCGCCCCACGACGGCCATGAGAGTCCTACGAGCCTCTCTCCCGCGCCCAGCATCGCGCGCCCGGCCCGCAACAACGCCATGCGGGCCCGCCCTCGCGCTCTCCACACAACGCAAAGCCTCCCCGGAGCCGTTCCTCCTTCAGTCAGTCTCCAGGCTGCCCGAGCCCGCCCCTCTGTGCCTCGCGTCCTCCTCGGCCGCGCCGTGGTGCGCACTCCTGCTCCGTCCAGTCAGACTCCTCGAAAGTGACGCAACCGTGCATTGCATCGGCTGCACAACGGCTCCGAGCCATGGCCCCCCTGCGTCAGCCGCGACCGGTGTACAAGCAGCACGCCCCGGGGAGTCTCGCCTCTGCGCACAGGGGCCGCCCGGCCGCGCCTTCGGGCCGCCGCTGCGCTCTTCCGTGCCCAAACACTGTGATCAAGGCGCCCCAGCCCGTGTCTACCCCGAGGGACCGCAGGACGTGGAATCAACCTTGCCAGCTCAAGTCTGCTCTGGCGCCCGCGGTGCTGCCACCCTGCGCCCCAGGCTGGCGCCGTCTGCTTCTTGCGTAGCACTCGTCAGCTCAGCAGTGATGCGGCGCTGAAGGGGCGGCCCCGCGAGCCGCACGAGGAGTGTCGAGAGCACCAGGGGTAGAGTGCGCAGCAAGCATGGCGATGATGCCGAGGAAGCTCACGCCGGAGGTGAGCGGCTGGGCCTTGTTCGTGCGCCGCGCTCCGGGCGCCCGGAACGGCGCGGCGCGCACATGGCGAGCGATGCGGCACCAAATATGCCACCTGGTCGTCTTCTCTCCGCGCGCGCCGCGTCTTTGCGTTGCCCGCTCTGAGACGCGAGAATTTCGGACCCTTGTATCCTGTTCGTTGTGAACGCGGGCCACAGCGGCGCGGTGAGGCTGCATGCAGCGTGGAAAGCGGCGCTTTGTGTGCATGCGTTGCAGCTGGTGACCGCCGCGTATCGGCTGGGCATCGACCCTGACGGCGGCCCGGTCTGGACGCGGGTTTCCTGGATCCCGGAGCAGTTCCTCAAGGCGCCCCTGCCCCCGCATTGGACGAAGCACGCCACGCAGGTCGGTCCAACGCAAAGCCCACCACTTGCCGGCCCACGCGGCGCTCCACGCCCGGCCGACCCCAAATCCAAGGCGCACGGACAGCCAGACCCATTGTGCGCCAGCGGCGCCGACGTGCGCTCCCCCACGTCGTCTGTGTGCGCAGGACGGCCAGTGGTACTACTACAATGCCCAGACGGCTCAGTCGGAGTGGGTCCATCCGCTCACGGAGGCCTACCGGACGCTCGCGAAGCGCTGCCAGCGCACTCCCAACATCGCCGCGCACCTCGAGCACCAGTTTCCGGCCATGCGCAGGTCCGCACGCGCCCTCCTGTGCCTGCCGTGCCGCTCGCCCGCCCCGTCCCGCGCGCCCACGCACGCGCAGCGCCGCTCCGGACCCCGCAGGTACTGCGACGCGCACGCCCACGGCTGGTGGGTCCTCCAGGCGCTCGCGACCGGCGACGCCATGGCCACAGCCTCTGCCACCGAAGTCAACGACATGTGCAAGTTCATGGGCGTGGACCCGCTCTCGGAACCGCACGTCCTGTGGCTTCCGCAGCTCGCGCTGTCGTGTCCGCTGCCGAAGGGGTGGTTCGAGGCCCGGGACGCCGCGGGGCGGCCGTACTTTTACGACGAGGGGGGGGCGTCGACGTACGAACACCCCCTGGACGCGCTGTTCGCGGCGGTGCTGGCCGGGGAGCGCGAGCGGCTGCGGACGCGGCGGGAGCGGCAGGCGGGCGCCAGGGGCGCGGACGGGCGCGTCAACCTGACGCAGCTCCGGCTGGCGCACGAGGAGCAGCTCGGGAGGTGTGTTGCAATGCATGTCTGACTGACTGACCGGGCGCGGACGTGCGCGGCGGGCGGCGTGCGGGGCCTGAGTGGTCCGTGCGAGGGCCGCGGCGGCCGCGAGACGCGTGGTGTGCTCGTGGACTGTGTTCGCAGGTGGTTGTTGTTCCGGGGGCCCGGCGCTTACGATCCGAGCTCGCGGGACCCCGAGCCGCACGTGTTCGTGAATATTGCGACGGGAGAGACGACGCAGTACTGTCCGAGCGTCGCGGGGCGCGACGAGGCGGCGGTGAGGCTGCAGCGGGCGTGGCGGCGGCACGTGGAGCGCCGCAGCCGCGCGCGCCGCGCCGCGCTGCTCATCCAGGCCGCCGTGCGCTCCTTCATCGCGAGGCGCAAGCTCTTCGCGCTCCGCGTCGCGCGCCGCCGCGACATGCGCGCCCTCCGCGAGAAGTGAGACCCCCCTTCCCCGCCCGCGACATCCACGCCGAAACGACGCCTCGCCTGAGCACGCTTCCCGGACCACGCTGCATCCGCGAGCGCTTGCGTGCTGAGCGGCGCCCGCCCCCGCGATGTCGCACATCGGTCACAGCCGCCCGGCCCCGCGCGTGCTGGCGCAGGGAACGCGAGGTCCGCATGCACCACAGCGCGCGCGTCATCCAGCGCGCGTGGTGGGCCCACCGTCGGTACCGCGCGGAGAGGTTCGATTGGGCTGTCGTCACTGTCCAGAAGCACGTCCGCGGATACATCGCGCGGAACAGCTACCAGCACGCCGTCCTGCAGGAACGCAAGCGGCAGGGCATGGCTGCGCGCAGCGCGGCCGCGCGGGAGCTGCAGCGCGCCGTTCGCGGCTGGCTGGCGCGGCGCGTGCGCGCGCGGCACCTGCACAGCGTAGACCGCGAGCGCCGGCGGCAGGACGCGGCCGTGATGATCCAGAAGCACTTCCGCGGGCACGTCGTGCGCAGCGCGTACGTCAGGCGGCGCGCCGCGGTGACCATCCAGCGGTACGCCCGCGGGTGGCTGGTGCGTCGGCGCCACGGCAAGCACTCGCGCAAGTCCGCCGACGAGAAGCAGACCATCCGGGAGCGCGCGGACAAGAAGCTGCGGACCAAGCTGCTCGAGGCGCAGCAGGCGCGGGAGCTCGCGGAGGCCGAGGCGCGCGGCGAGGGGGCGCCCAGCGCCGGCGGGCTTCGGATGTCGCCCTTCGGCGACGGGGGGGGGTCCGACGAGGAGGGGGAGTTCCTGGACGACGAGATGCAGCAGCTGCGCGCGGCGCGCGCGCGCACGGCGCTGGCGTCGGCCGGCAACAGCGCGCGCAACGGCGCTGAGTGGCAGCTCAGCAGCGACGCCGTCGCCTCGCCCGTGACGGCGGACGCGATCTTCGACGCGCTCAGCACGCCGGAGAAGCGAGCGCGCAGCAAGAGCGCTGCGCGGCGCAGGACGAACGAGAGCAGCAAGCACGGCACGGACAGCCGCGCCGGCACCGCAACATCGTCCAACTACAAGATGGAGGAAATGATGCGCGACGTGCTGGGGACGCCCGGGAGCCGCCCGCCTGGCAGCGCGGGGGAGGGCGAGGCTACGCCGGCGCAGGCCGCGGGCGGGCGCGGCGACCCGCAGCAGCCCCCTGGGACGTCGGGGAGTATAATGGGAACGGCGCGGAAGGAAAGGATGCGTGCGGGGCGAGATTTGCAGGTGCAGGTGTCGGGCGTGGGCGCGAGTCATCGGCACCGCGGGCCGCTGGACGGGGACGCGGAGTTCGTCGGGAGCCCGAGCGGTGCGGAGGCGGTGGTGCTGCACCAGGCCGGGCGGTCGGTGGCGGCGGCCGAGGCCGCGAACAGCAGCCGCGAGTACCGGGCGTTCCAGGAGGCCGTGACGCCGCGGAGGGGCGGTGCGCGTGGGTTCGGCGCGGAGGGGGAGGAGGGGGAGGAGGAGGACGGCGGGGCGCGGCGTGGGGTTGGGCGGCGCAGGCGGCGTAGGCGGGTGGGCGGCGAGGACGACGACGGCGGCAGCCTGAGTAGCCTGGGCGACGAGGAGGACGCTGGATCCGCGGACGGGAGCGGGCCGATCGTCGGGTTCGACGACGGGGCGCGCCGGGATGTGCACACCCCCGGGGGGCGTGGGGTGCGCGGGGGGGGTGAGGCGGGAGAGCGCGACGGGGGCGAGTACGTGTACGACGACGAGGGCGAGGACGGTTGGGACGAGTCGGGCGGGTTCGGGACGACGCGGAGCTGGGACCTGGACGAGCAAGACGAGGAAGTGTGGCAGAAAGTGTACCAGGATTTCCTATCTGGCATGGCGTCGAAGATCCAGGCGTCGTGGCGCGCGGTCCTGCAGGTCCGCCGCTTCCGGAAGCTCGTCGCGTACTACCGCGAACACCGCCGCCGCCGCCAGACGCTGAACGGCATCCTCGTCGAAGCAAAGAGGGCGGCGAGTCGTCCAGCGTCGGTGACGGAGGGCGACGCAGAAGGCAGCGAGGCCGCGGACGACGACAGGCCGCACGCGGCGCAGCCCGCTGCGGCGAGCGGGACGCCGCCGCTGCCGACTGCGGTGCGCGCGATGCGGTTCCTGGAGCGGTCGCCGGCGTCGGTGGTGGCGGACGTCCGCTCGAAGATCGCCAAGCTGCACCCGGTGCCGCGAGGGCCGTCGAAAAAGTGGGCCGACGCGATCAGCCTGCCGTCGGACGAGGAGGTGCACGCAACCACGGTGCTGCAGGCGATCGCGCGCGGCTGGAAGGTGCGCAGGACGCTGCGGGAGGCAAAGGTGCGGAACCCGTGCTGTTTCCGTGTCGCTGCGCGCTGCTGGCCCCGCGTCGCTCCGCTCCGTTCGCAGCAAGCGACCTCGCGTGTCCCTCACCGCCCCGACCCGCGTCTTGCTTTCGCTCTCTCAGCCGCCCCGTCCAACCAGCACCCGGGGGGTGTTTGCCGCCGGGCGCTTCTGAGTGCGCGCCGACCGCTGCCGTGCGCGTTTCCCCGCCAACACGTCGCCGCGTGCTGTCGTGCAGGACCTCCGTGCCGCGCGCCTCGCGAACATGATCCGGTTCGAGCGCGTCTACCGCTGGGTGTACAAAATACCCCCCCTCCCCCTCGTGGAGACTCCCCCCAAGGCCGCGGCCTCGCCCTCGACCGCGGCGCCCTCCGCGGACGGCGTCGCTCGCGCCAACGGGCCCGCCATACGCGCCGACTACTGCTACGTCCTCTCGAAATGCGCGCACATGGAGGAGCTAACCCCCGGCGTGGCGTATCCGCTCGCAAGCGAGCACGCGGTCAACGCGCGGCTGCGGCGGCGCGCGGACAGGCTCGTCGCGAGCGCGACGGCGAAGCGGGGCCGCCGGGAGGAGCTGGTGGCGCAGCTGCGCGTGGCGTACGAGGTGTGTGGGGTTGGGCGGGAGAAGTGGATGCGCATCGCGAAGAAAGGGGAGGACTGCTGGCTGTCGGACGACAGCCTCGCGGCGCTGGAGGCGGAGGTCGCGGCGGTCAAGGCGGCCGCGGCGGAGGGGCCTGGGGCCGCGCAGGCGGCGAAGCGCGCCACGGCGCTGGTGAACAAGATCTGGCACCGCTGCCGGGTGTGCAAGGTGCGCCGCGCTGGACCCGCGTGCCTTGAACGAAGCGAGGCGTCTGCGGGATTTCGGTTGGTAGAAAAAACTTTTACGCATGCGCGATGGAGGCCTGCACGGCGCAGCGCAGCGCTGGTTGTGGGTAGCGTGTGCCTGTCGCGGGACGCGCGCGGACGACCCCGGCGCGTCGCCGCGGGCCTGTTCCGTCCGCAGCAATCACGCGCTTGCGTTCGGTCCGGCGTCCGCACGCTCGCAACAATGGAAACGGCACGGAGTCGTGACATTCTCGATGTGGGTGTGCGTGCGACGCAGGAGTGGCAACGGTCGTCCGGGATCGCGCCCGTCGCGCCGAGCGCCGCGTCCCTGGACACCGCGCAGCACCACATCATCCTCCTGCTCGCCCTCGAGCGCGCCCTCAAGCCTTTACTCCCCCTCCTCGCCGAGCGCGAGACCCTCCTCCTCCTCTCCCGGCACCGCGCCGTCGCGCACGGCGTCGCCGGCAGCGCGCGCACGTACACCGAGCAGGAGGTCAGCAAGGCGCGCGCCGCGGCCGAGGCCGGCGCCGCGCGCGTCCCAACCCTCCGCGACGATTTGAAAAAGGTCCTTGTCAAGATCAAACACTTCGTGGCCGCCATCGACTCCGCGGCCGCAGACGGCGCGGCGGAGGGCAGCGCGCCAGCTGCGTCCTCTCCGCGGGGCATGTCGGCGCAGGCCAAGACCCTGCTGGACGCGCTGCCGGTGCCGTGGGAGGAGGTGCGGAAGATGTGTCGCGTGCCGGATTCGCGGCAGCTCGCGAAGGAGTACCAGACGGTGCGGCGCGAGATCGCGGCGGTCGAGGACGTGACGGACCCGGTCAAGATTCGCGAGCGGCAGGAGCGGCAGGCGGCGACGGCACTGGAGGACATATCGCGGGGGGGCGGGGGCGCGGTGCCGGACGTGCCGATGCCCGAGCAGATCGCCGCGCCGCTGACGGACGGGCGGCGCGGCGGCGGGTGGGCGACGCTCGACCCGTACGGGGCCGCGCGAGAAGGAGGACAGTCCCCCGGGGGTGTTGCGAGCGTGCCGGGGTCGTCGTCGCTGCGGCAGCGGGCTGCGGAGTCGCCGCACGGCGCTGGGCAGACCGGGGCGGTCGCGGGCGCCGCGACCGGGGCCGAGGCGGCGTGGAGGACGGCGGAGATGAGTCAGGGGGGGGGGATGTTTTCGCCCAACGGCGCGAGCCGGCCTGCTGCCGCCGTGGCCTGGTCGTAGCGTGCGAGCTGCGCCTGTAACAGAAGAACCGACCCCTCGTGACAGCAATTGTTCGCCGTCGGACTTCCCGTGCAAGCTCAGTTCCGTCATTTGAGTCTGCCCAACTCCGATTGTTCGCTGAACTGCGACGCCGGGACGGGGGGCATGCAATCAAAAGGGACGGAAAGTATCACAGGTGGAGACGCCCGGCCTTCCATCCTCCGTGGTCAACAGGATGGTGGTGGCCAGAGGCGTGGGGGGGGGACTCGGTGGGGGAGTCCAGGGAGAGTGCATGGTGGGCGGGAGGGGGCAGCAAAGGTCCGCTGCGCACTGCGCGGCATGATGGCATGAGGCGCTGCGCAGGGGTGCCGAGGCGCGACAGGAGACGGCGGCATTGCTGCCAACGGTCGAACAAGCGCGCTTCCGAGGCGGGCTACAAGTACGAGTACTACAGGCAGGAATCGCTCCCACCTTCGCCAACAGGAGCTTGCGGGCTCGCAGGGCGTGGGGCTAGGTGGAACGATCGCGTGGTACAATTAGGATCGTCCTTGTCAGTGTAGTGGCGTCATGTGGGGGACTACGGTACACCCGCATTTCGTTTCGTGCGCGGGTGGTCAAATACTGCTCTGTGTGCAGCAAGGGAGGCAAGGCCGGTCGGGGGCCGCGGACGTCGGCGACGGTCCAGGGAAGGCAACACGCGGCCTGGGTGGCTGCGTAAACCTGCAGGGTGATGCGCTGCGGCGGGAGGGAGGCGGGGGAATGGGCGGTTACTGCGGTCTGGTCGATGATTGTCCGCGCAGAAGCTGCCGGGCGGGGGCAAGGGTCGCGGGAGAGGCGGGCAGGCGAAGTTCCACGTCAGCAGGGAGGGTCCCGCTTTCAGAGCAGAAGAAGAGCAAGCACGCGCAAGGACAGGTGAGGCATTGGGATCAGTGTGTCATGGCAAGCAAGCGCCAAGCGGACTGCTTGGAGCGAGGGAGGGGCCGCGAGGGGGCCGAGAGTCTTGAGGGTCGCGTCGCTGGCGTCTCTGCCGCGTCGCGAAAGATCCGAGTCCTGCTGGCGTACGCGCCCGGCACGTTCCGCGCTCAGACGCCCGGCATGGGCATGTTCCACTCGTCCTTGAAGAGCGTCGCGATCGCGGCGTAAAAGCCCGCGAGGCCAGCGACGAAGAGCGCGTAGCCCGAGGCCTTGCTCACGCCCTCGTCGTACACGCCGCCGGCGAGGAGGAAGAAGGCGGTGGCGAGCGTGAGGAAGACGGCCATGAGCGCCTTGTTGAGCTTCAGGCTGAAAATAAAGAGCACGCTGGTCAAGACACCCCACTGACTGTACAACAGCGCGGCGCCCGTCTTGAACGCCTCGGACCCCGCGAACTCCGTCGTGATCGCCATGCTGTTGAAGTACCCGAACGCGAGCCAGAACGACCCGTACGTGCACATCACCGTGCCGCCAAAGGTGTTGCCTTGCAGGAGCGCGAGCACGCCGGGCACCCACATCGCCAGGCCGCCGAAGAACAGCGCGAAGCCGAGGACGAGGTGCACCAGCCTGCGCCGCGGGGAGCGAACAGACACGCACAATCACCAGGAAGCGAGCATCCTCGACGCCGGCAGCAACCGCCCCTAGGAGAGGCGGCAGCGCGCAGGCGGGCGTCGCCGGTCGCGCGGCGGCGCGCGCGCTGCACGCAGGGCGAGGGGTCCGGCGAGGGCGCACTCACTCGGGCTCGCTCCAGGTCGAGACGGCGAAGGAGAGCGAGGTGATAGTCATGGCATGGGCCAGAAGGCCGAGCACGAGGACGTTGGCGGGCTTGGGGGGCCGCGGGGGCTCCGCAGGGGCCGCTGGCGTCGGCTGGATGGCGTTGGGCTTGAGGTTGTGGAAGTTCATCGTGCTCGCGGGCTCGGGGCCGCTCTCCATGGACCCCTGGCTCATCGCTGCGTGCAGGGGGCACGCGGCGCCGTGGGGTGAGATGCGGCCGCGCGAGCGCGCGAGGCGCGGCCGCCGCGGAGGCGGGGACACGTGGGGCCTGGAAAGGCGGACGGCGGGGTTCGGAGGGCGCGGCGCGGACGGAGGCGCGGCGAGCTAGGTGGCCGAAACTGCCCCGCGCTGCAGGCGCGTGAAAGTCGGTTGTACGCTGGCGGCGTTCCGACCGCGCACGCCCGTGGGAGTACGTGGCGAGCCGCGCGGGGCGGCGCCGTGCATGGTGCGTTGCCTCGAGAGCCGGGCTCCAGGCGCACCTTTGCCTTTGTCCACGCGCTGCGGGCCGCGCAGTGCTTCAGAGGTAGTCGACTGCGTGCGCTGCGCTCCAGTGCTGTGGCATGCGCGTAACGCGCGCAGGCGCAGTGAGCGCCGGTCGCCCTCGACGACGCGCGTCAGGGGAGTCAACCAGCTGCTCAACCGCAGCTGTCAGGCCACGGTCGGACTCCTTCCGGCGCGCCCTCTCCTTCGCGCGGCCGCGCGCAGGGCCCGCAGTGCGCCATGCTCGCACCCGGACCGCCCGGCTGCGACGGCCGCGCCCGCGGCGCCTCCAGCGGAGGAGGGCCACACACGGCGCCCTCGCTCTGGCCGCAATGGCGCTCGCGCAACCCGCTGGCGCGGCGGACCTGCCCGCGGACGTGCTCGACGTGATCATGACATTCGTCCTGCGCGCCCCGGCCCCGGACAACCACCGCGGTGCGTGTCTTTCGCCTGGTGATGTCGTCTGCACCACAGAGGCCGAAACCATCCCTCGCGCGGCGCGTTCCGGCTGACTCGCGCCCCGACATCGCCGTCGCGCCACTCTCCGTCTCTCGCAGCCGCCCAGGTGTCGCGCGCGTGGCACACGGCCTTCCACCGGCAGGTGACAGCGGCGTCGCCGCCAGGGTGGCAGTGCGGCGCTGCGGGGTCGTCCTCGCCCCCGCTCGAACTCCTCGCGCGCCGCCGCATGCGCCTGCGCCTCATGGGCGTGCCGGACGCCCAGACGCGCCTCCCAGAGCTACGCCTCGCCGGCCTAGACCTCTCGCCGCCGACAACCACGAAGCTCGTTGCGGCAATCGCGCCGCGGCACGTGCATCTGCGCCGGTGCTGCGGCATCGGCGGGCCTGCGCTGGACGGCGTCAAGCCAGAGCACCTTCAACCGCCAACCCTCCACCTGGACATGTGTTCTATTTCGTGCAATCAACCCGATCAGATGCGGATCCTGATGCCTCGGGTACGCCGCGACGCCTCGCGCACGTGCTTGGCGTGCTCGTCGCGCGACTGGCCCGCCGTGCGACCCCGTGCGCGTCCGTGCGCGTGGTGCTGCGCAGCTGGCGCCGGTGGTGACGAAACTGACCGCCAACGCGCCGGGGGAGACGGACGGGTGGAGCAGGGTCGCGCCGGGGTACATGGGCGACCTCGCGGGCTACCTCTCGGACCTCAAGGGCCTGACGAGCCTGACTCAGCTGACGTTGCTGCGCTGCAACGCCACCACGGACTTTTCCTTCCTGCCGGCGCTGACGAATCTGACGGGCCTGCACCTCGCCGCGGAGCCGAAGAAGCCCCCCGTGCGTCTCCCGCTGTCGGCCGTGCCGCCGCTGGAGTCCCTGCGGCTGCACCGCGTCACGCTCGACGCCCCCGCGATCGCGGGCGCCCTCGCTGGGCGCCTCTCGCGCCTGGAGCTGCTCGGTCCGGCGTGCTGGGCAGGGTCCCTGCCGGCCGGCGCTCCGCTGCCGCTGGCCCTGACTCACGCCGTCCTCGGCGACGACCCCCGCCCTGACGCCCAGCGCGCCGCCGCCGCCGCCGACACCCAGGCCCTCATCTCTCCGGTCGCGCACGCCGCGTCTCTGCGCTTCCTGCGCGTCGCCGGCACCTGCAGGCACGCGCACGGCGCAGCCGACATCCCCCCGCCCGACTGGCCGCACCTGCAACGCCTCGACTTGGCATGCTTCTGTGCGCTGCCGGCGCTGCTGCCGCTCCCCAGCCTGCGCGCAATCCGCGCCTCCCTGTGCGAGGCGTGCCGGGCCGGCGCGAACGCCCACCGCGACGCGCAGCTCTCGGCCGCGTGGGGCGCCATGGCGTGTTTGCCTTTGCTGGAGACGCTCGAGGTGAGGGGGGTGTTGGACCCGGCGGAGCTCGGCGACGGCGAGCTCGCGTCGAAGCCGCTGTCGCCGGCGCTGGAGCCTCTGGAGCGTCTCCGCGCGGTCCTGGTCGTCGACTACGCGACGGAGGGGACGTTCGGGCTGCGTGCGGCGGCGCTGAGGACGCTGGCGGTCGAGAACCGCGATCCGAAGGGCGGCCCGCGGCCGCTGGACGCGACGCTGCTGAAGTGCACGAAGCTGCGCCGGCTGGACGCGTGGTGGCCCGGCGCGCGCCTGCCGCGCGGGGGCGGCGACGGGAGCGTGTCGCGGGACATGTTGGAGCTGCTCGGGCCGTCGCTGGAGTGGGGGGCGTTCCGGCCCGTGAACTACGTGGAGCCGCCGGACCACTTCATGCCCGCGTGAAGGACGCGCACCGATGGAGGCCCCTCGCAGCGATCGGTCGCTGCCGACGACGCGTGTTTTGCCGCCCCGCAGCGGCGGCAGCGTCTCCGGTTTCACATTTCCCGACAGTTTGAGCGCCGATATCATCGCACGAGCCCGCGTGCCTCGTTCCCTTCCTTTCTTTTCCTCCCACCCCTGCATCAAGGGGTCGTCTGCATCAATTGTCTGCGTGAGCTGTGATTTGCTCGCGCCTCCTGCACTCACAACGACCTCGCTCGCGGCGCTACGGCGCGAGCAGTGCCGAGATGTGCCGCATTACGTCCCCCGCGCACCCCCACGCCAGCGTTACCCCTGCGCCGCCGTGCCCGTAGTTGTGCACCACGCGCAGCGCTCCGCGATCCGTCTCGATCACCTCGCGCTCCACCCGGACGCTCGGCCGCGCCGGACGCAGGCCCGCCCACGCACGGACCTCCGGAGCTCCGCGCAGCACCGGCAGCAACGCCTCGCACTTTTCGCGGATGGCGCGAACGTCCTCCTGCAGCGCATGAGCTCGTTCGGAGAAACGGGCTGGGGTTGTGCCACGCGCCGGGTCCAGCGGTGCGGCGGGGTACATGACAGGGGGTGTGTTGGAAAAACACACCTCGCGGTTGCCCTCCTCCCAGTCCCCGACCTGACGCGAGCCCCCGAGCACGACCGAGTCGACCTGCGGTATGATATACGTCTCCTCGTCGTGGAACCAGACGTGCTTGACCTGCGGGGCCTGTACTCGCACAACCTGCGCACAAACACACCAGCGCACACTCCTGCACGTGAGGCGCGTGCACAGCCCGGACACGCGAAGAGATTCCCATCCACGCCTTCGCAGCGATCCTGCGCACCTGTCCGCGCACCGGATACACCGTCCGATCGCCTCCGTTGCCCGCGAGACTCCCCCCCCTGATGCCGGCGCAGTTCACGACCACCACGTCGTCGCCGCGGCCGCCCTCGCCGACGCACTCCAGCGCCACGCGCTGCATATCATCGCAGTCCCGCACCGCGACGCCGCGGTGCAGCGAGACCCCCGCCGCCTCGCATGTGCGCTCCAAAAATGGCATCAGCCGCGACATGTCCGCGACGTAGCTCGAGAAGGTGTACGCGCCGGCGATCGGCGGAGCGCGCGTGCCGGGCGGGCTCGGGCCGCGCTCCGGCCGCAGCCGCCGCGCCTCGTCCGCCGACAGCACGCGGAAGTCCGGGGGGATGTTGCACCACGTGGGGGGGGGGGTGTCGCGGCCCGGCGCGGACCACAGCTGCCGCACGCCGATCGCGAAGACCCCCGTCCGCGCCGCGTCCTCCGCGTACGCGAGGTGCTCGAGGTGCTTGTACGCGTCGCCCGCCCACCTGCAGCGCGCGTCGCACAGCACAGGTGTGCGTCTGTTTCGGCCGACCGTCTGTCAGCGCCGGGCGGCGCGTCGCGACGCCTGGCCAGCGCACCTGTTCACGAGGTCGTCCGGCGTGTCGGCCAGCGTGTAGGGCTCCCAGAACCCCCCGCTATGGTATGAGGTAGTGTCCTCCCCCCACCTGTCCGACACCAGGGCGACCTTGGCGTCTGCGGTGCGGGCGGAAGGGGGGCGGTGGCTTGCGAGTGCGTGGGTGGACGGCGCCGGTTGGTATCTCGGCTGCGTGAGGAGGAGGCGCCGTTGAGAGAAGGCAGAAGTGCGGCAAGGTGCGTGTGCGGGAGAGGGTTGTACCGGGCCACTGCGTCGCAATCCGCAGTGCTGACATCAGTCCCACTACCCCCGCACCGACCACACACACGCGAGGACTGCGTCCGGCCGGCGGGGCCGGCACTTGGGGCCACTGCTCTGCTGCTCCAGCCTGCACGAACGTCAGGTATGAGGAGGAGGTACAAGAAGGACATGATGCCTCCGAGGGGATGATCATCATTATTCCCGCTCGTGCGACTTGCTGCGGCGCCAGCAACGTGCGGACGCACGCGGGGGGGCAGCTCACCCAGGCGCAAGAAGCAAGCAGCCGCCTCCGTCCGGTCTTGACGCATCCTGCGCTCGGATACCCCCGCGAAACACACCCTTGTCTACTCCATGCCACACCGGGGCGGCCAGACACCGCAGCGGACGCTGCTCCACGCGGCCGCAGGGGCGCTCGCAGCGCGAGTGACGCAGCGGCGCACCGCGCGCAGACGCTGCGTGCCGACATCCCGCGCATGTCCTGGCAGCTGCGAGACTGCGGGCTGGCGCCGGGCGAGCGGCGCCACGTCGCACGGACGTGCCCGCTGGGCAGCGAGAGTCCCCGCGGAGGTGTTTTGTTCTACTGCGGTGGGGTCGCACTCGCGGCCCGTGACACCGCCGCTGGCGCCAGCTCGCGGGAAGGACAGAGCAAGCGCTGCACGGAGCACTGCTCTAGGGACCGCGGCAGGCATGGCACGACGCGCATGCAGCTTGCCAACGGTGCGGGACCGCCTGCGATCATCGCGAGGCACGAAAGCGTGCGGTGGGCCACTGCTGCTGCTAGATCCACACCGAATCAGACTCTGGGGCCAGCTGTTCCTGGCCAGGCGGCGTGACTCGAAGACCTGGGGGCTGCTGCCACGCCGAAACGCAACAGGGGGGTGTGGGCGGGCGCAAACCCTCAGCTCGAACCGCCGCCAGCGTGCGGCAGACACAGCCTTGGTCCGTCTCGCGGCGATACGACGGGCGGGGAGCAGTTGGCGTCAAATATGATCTTCGCATCAACAATGATTGTCACGCCGCGAGGATCGAGAAGCGCACTCGCAACGACCCGGAGACGACGATGCACGCTATGCGCCAGCCGCTGGACGCGGGCGCGGTCGTCCGCCTGGACGAATTCCTGATCGGATCGCGGAACAAGAATCTGTTCTTGTTCTCCCGCGATCCGATCAGGAAATCGTCCAGGCGGACGACGACCCACGTCCAGCGGCTGGCGCAGAGCGCGCGAACGCGAGGATGCCCTCGCGACTGACGTGGCGACCGAGGAACCCCCCCCCTCCGTCGCTGAGCCACACACACACACAAACACCCCGTCCACCTGCGGCCCCTACACGCACCACCGCCCCGCGCTCCTTGCGCGAGTACTCCGTCCCTGCCGCCCCTACCGAGCGCACGACCGGCCGGAGCGGCGTGCTTCTTGCGTAGCTCGCGCCCGCCCTCATGTCAGGCACGGTCTGCCTCACCGCGGCCCCCGTCGCGGTGTGGTTCGGGCCCGTCGAGGTCCCGCGCGACGCGCCGGGCCGCCCCGCGCCCCTTGAAGGCGCCCGTGGCGGGGGACGCGGTGCGCCATCCGTGCAGGCCAGCACGTGGCGTGTTGCGGCCGGTCGGGCAGAATCGCCGCGCGTCTCGTCGCCCCTCCGGCACCGCCACTGCTTCCGGCCGTCGCCGGACGCCGACCGGCCCGCCACGCGCCCCCCCCGGCCGCCGGCGCGTGGCTCCCCACCTGCTACGACTGTCGACGGCGCGCCCAGGGGGGCGTGGTGTGTGTGTATATTCCGGTCGACGTCCCACGCGGCATCAGGGTGATTCTGACGCGTTCTCGCCCGCTCCGCGCGCCCGGCCCGTTGCGGCGCCGTGCAGCGTCACCGACAGTCGTGCGTGGTCAATTGCTCGCCCGCGCGTCGCCGTGTGCGGCGCCCTGTTTCAGGCGCATTCGGCCCAGAATGACGGCTCAGGGCGCCGCCCGCGCCGCCCGCGCCGTTGCGGCAACGACGGCGCCGTCGCGGGCGGTCGAACAGGCTCTTTCCAGTGGCCCGACACTGGCGATGCGCACGCCCCAGCGCGGCGCCTAGGGGCCGCGCGCGGTCGCCGGCGCGCCACATCGCCAGTCCGTGCTCATTCTCGGCGCACAATAGGCAGCACGCGACGGGAGAAGGCGCCGGTGGAGCCCACAGCGAGGCCCTGGCGGAAGGTCAAAACCGCCGTTTGCGGTGTCGACGCGCTTTGTAGCGGCCACCGCAGCGTGCCCCGGCCTAGATAGTGTTTCATGCTCGCGGTCTCGTGCGGTTTCGTTCCCTGACAGGCCCTGCGGATGCAGAAGTGATCATGGTTGAATGCCTGCTCCGCACCCCTGTTCGGGGAACGGCCTGCCGACGGGTGAGTCGCACTCACGAGCGCACAATGTCGCCGACGCGTCGCGAGACTCGCCGCTGGAAGGGCCGCACGAGCGGTCTCGCCGAGGTCGCTGCTCAACTCCCGGCTTCCGCGGATTCGTCGACGCACCCACGTCTGCAGGCGCCGTATTTGGGGAGGTGTGCGCTGTTCAAGCATCCGCGGTGGAGGTCGGTTCGCCGCTCCTCGGCCCAACGGCAGGAAAGCGTGCGGCAGCCTCCCGTTTCGTCGAGCTGCGTGGACGTATCGCATTCCCCGCTTCCACAGCCGGAATTCCAGCACGAAGAAACACACTACATAGGTCCCGAGTGAGTTCCCCCGCGCGCCCCGCGACGCGCCCACGCGACCGGCAAGTGGTTGCTCCCCTGCTGATCAGCACCCACCCGCCGCGCGCCCCCGCCGCCGCGCCGCCCGCGACGCGCCCCGACGGCCTCCCCCTCCGACTGAATTCGCCGCTCCGCCCCCCCACCGGCCCCCTCGCCCACTCGCGCCGCCGCCACAGCCCGTGCTGTGCTGGCACTCACCACTGCATGGCGCGCCGGGCCCCGCTCGCCCCCGCCCCGCCGAACCGCCCGCGCCCGGCACCCTCCGCCCGCAGTGACTTCTATCCGTCGGTCGACGACGACTCCTGGTGGGGCGACACCGAGGAAGGCGTCGAGTCGTTCACTCAACCCGCAGTCTTCGGCAACATGGCCGAGCGCCTCGCCAACGCCAAGCCGCCCGTCCCAGTCTACCTCATGAACCCCCTCTCGGGCGTCTGGATCAAGCGCAACCGCGACACGGGCCGCCTGGAGTCGGGAATCCCCAACCCGAGGCAACTCGAGGCGGGCTTCACTTCGCTCCGCAGTGCTGGCATCCACGTGCGCTCCCGCGCGCCCCCGCCCGCGCACCGCCCGTCCCGCGCCGCCGCGGCGCCCCTGACGCCGCGCCCTGCCCCCACGCCGCCCCGCGCGCCCCGGACGCCCCGCGCGCCCCCAGCGCCCGCCGACCTCCCCTGGCCGCCCCGCCGGGCCAACCTCCGACGCCCCCGCGGCCCCGCAGCGCGCCCTCCGCGGCCCCGCGGGCCCCCACGCCGCTCCCCTCGTCGTAAATGGTTCGCAGGGGGTCATGGTGGACGTGTGGTGGGGCATCGTGGAGCGGGAGGAGGGCGTGTATGACTTCGGCGCGTACCGGCAGCTGTTCGAGATGCTCGACCGGTGCGGGCTCAAGGTGCAGGCCGTCATGGCGTTCCACGCCGTCGGCGGGAACGTCGGGGACGGCGACCTCCGCCTCCCGCTGCCGCGCTGGGTCCTCGACATTGGCGACAGGAATCCCGACATCTTCTACAGAGACAAGGTGCGCGGTGCCGGACGGGTCGCGCCGCCTCGGCGGCGCTGTGCGTGCTCTGGCGGGCGCGCGCGCGTGCGTGCGTGGGGGTGTTTTGCTGACGCGTGGGGGTGTTTTGTGGTGCGTGCGTGCAGCAAGGGACGTCGAACCGGGAGTACGTGTCCCTGGCGATCGACAACTGGTACGAGGACTCGCAGGGCCACCGCGTGTGCAAGGGCCACCCCGAGGCGCGCGGGCTGCTCAACGGCCGCACGGCGCGCGAGTGCTACCGCGACTTTTGCGCAGCCTTCCTGCACGAGTTCCGCCCGGACCTGGGCCGCATGGTCACCGAGGTCACCGTCGGCCTCGGCCCCGCGGGCGAGATGCGCTACGGCGCCTACCCGGGCGCGCGCTGGACCTTCCCCGGCATCGGCCAGTTCCAGTGCCACGACAAGTACATGCGCACGCTCCTGCGCGAGCACGCCGAGGCCGCGGGGCACGCGGACTGGGGCCTCATGGAGCCGCACGACTCGGGCTACTACAACTCGCACCCGGCCTTCGAGGGCTTCTGGAACTCGTCGTGGGGCCGCTTCGACTCGGAGTACGGGGTGTTTTTCCTGCGGTGGTACAGCGACATGCTAATCCGGCACGCGGACGGCGTGCTCTCGGACGCGCACCGCCTGCTGCAGGCCGAGCACGACGGCGCGATGGAGTACCACCACCACGAGCACCGGCACGACGGCGCGACGGTGTACCGCTTCAAGCCGACGTGCCGGCTCGGGATCAAGCTCGCGGGCATCCACTGGTGGTACAACTCGTGCGCGCACCCGGCGGAGTGCACGGCCGGGTACTACAACACGCGGGAGCACGACGGCTACCGCAGCATCCTGCAGATGGCGCGCAAGCACGACGCGCGCGTGAGCCTGACGTGCGTGGAGATGAAGGACTGGGAGCACCCGTCGGAGTTCCGGTGCTCGCCCGAGGGCCTGTTCAAGCAGCTCCTGGGCATCGCGCAGGACCTCGGCGTGGACCTGTGCGGCGAGAACGCGCTCCAGCGGTACGACTCGGGCGGGCTGGTGAACATCGTGCACTCGGCGTTCGGGCAGTCGGCGTCGGAGCACAAGCTCGCGGGGCTCACGTTCCTGCGCATGTCGCCGCACCTCTTCGAGTCCCCCCACAACTGGAGGGAGTTTTGCAAGTTCCTGTCGGGGATGTGCTGCCCGCCGGACGACTACGTGCGCAACTTCTACATGGAACTCCTGCTCGCGTCGTACCCCTCGGGCACCCAGGCGCGCGCCGAGTTCTTCGAGATGCGGTTTCGCCGCCTCGAGGCGCTCCCCGGCGGCGCGGGCGGCGGGCGCGGGCGCGGGCGCGGGCGCGGGCGCGCCAGGCTGAGCGGGGCCTGCGACGACGCGAGCGGGGCCGCCGCCGGCGACGGCGCGTCGGAGAGCGTCGACGGCGACGGCGACGGAGACGGGGAGGGCGTCATCGGGTCGGAGGTGGAGCTGCTGGCGTTCGGCGCGGGGGACGAGGCCATGAGCGAAGGCAGCTCGTCCGCGGGCATCCCGATCCACCACCGCTGCTGAGCGCGGCGCCCCGCGAGCGGGGCGCCCTCGCCGCACGGCAGGACGGATCCCGAAGCCCCCGGCCCCCCCCCCGCAAATGCTCGCGTCCTTCCCGGGGACCGCGAAGCTTCCGCGAGAGGCGTGCTGCATGTCCTCTGCACGACGCGCCGCCTCGGCGCTGCCGCAAGTCTCTGCAAGTCGATTGGCCGCCGCCCGCAACGCAGGGCCCATGCGTGCCCCGCGTGACGTGGGCGGCTGCAGCCCTTTCTTCCCACGGCCGCCTGTCGGTCGACCGGAGCTCCGCCCACAGCTTGCAAATCACCGCAGAATCATCCATGTTCCCTAGAACTTGGACACGCGGCTCTTCTTTTGGTGCCCCCCAACCCCCTCCCCCGGCCGCCCGACGGCCCCGGCCCGCAGCCCGCACTGCGTCGCATCGCCCGCGAGGTGATGGTCGGGCCCGTCGGCGCCACACACAAGGTTTCAGCACCTCCCTGGTCTCATGTCGTGCCGCGAACGCGTCGTCTGCGCCGCCCTGCGGCGCCGCGCCACGTCAGCGATGCCTCCACCTCCAACCACGGCGGGCGCATCTGTGTCCGTCTGAGCATGTCCATAGACTCCCCCCGGGTGCTGTCTTCCACGGCCCCCGTCGGGCACCCAGCGCCCGGAGCGCCGGCGGGGGTCCGCCGCACGCCCCTCGACGCTCGCGCAACATCTCGCGCAACATCAACACCCCCCCTGACTCCCCCCTGCTTCACATCCTTGCGTGCACTATCGGCAACGGGCGCGGCGCGCGCCGGGCCACTGCCGCGACGACCCGCGACACCAAGACTTTCAGAATCCCGGGCACACACCAGCGAGCCGGCGTTTCCACTAGGCGCGGCACACACGCACAGCGCACAGAGACGCCGCCCGGTGCAGTCGAAGTGATCGAAGCAACAGTCAGACGTGGGTTGCAGGTTTCTGTGATCTTAAGCTCAACTTGCGCCGTCGTGGCCCACGCCCTACGGCGGAGCCACGCGCCCCTGCTTGCTCGGGTCTCGCGGCGCTGCCCTGGCCCTCAGCGAGCTCGTTTGCTTGGCTGAAGCTTTCATCAGCCACCGCGCGTCGGCCTGCGTTGTCTCTGCGATTCTGAACAGCAGGCCACCCTGCCTCGGTCGTTTCCTGCTGCGCTCAGCAAGCGCGCTTGCTTGGCTGAACGGTGTTCCACCACGCGGTGGCAGCGGACGCCGAACACGGGTGCGGTGTCGCGCAACACCCCCGGGGTCTCTGTCTGTGCCAGACGGCGCGTCTGCACGGTCCCTTCAGCGCTCGCTGACACCATCACGCCTCCCCGTGCGTCACACGATCTGTCGGGTCCCGAACCCTCACCTCACGCCGCGGCGCCCGCCCGCGGCCTCACGCGCTCTCCGCAGCCGCAGCCTCGTCCTCGGGGTTGCGCCAGTCCGGGTGCTGGATCTCCGGCCAGTCGCCCCTGCACCCCAGTTTGATGTAAAGGGCCTTGTTCCTCGGCAGCTCCGACTGGCGACGCAGGAGCTCCTTCAGGCCCCGCATCGCCTGCGCCGCCGCCGCCTGCGCAACCTGCGACGGCGTGGCGTCGTCCCCGGCCATTGCGGCCGCAGCGGGGAGGTCGATCCGGATCTCGGCGTTGTCGTACGCGCCGCGCTGGGGCGCCTCGGCCTCGCTCGCGCCCGGGTCGGTGTCGAGCCAGATCGAGAACATGCCGAACATGTACCTCCAAGCCGAACCACTGCGCGCAGGACGACGAGCGCAGAGCTCTCAACGCGATGTGATAGCAAAAACGACTTGCAGCGCGCCCTGGCGCCCCGGGTTGCCGTCCGGGCTGGACTCGAGCCGGGAACGTGTTCGCGATGCCCGGTACGGTGGTCCGGGCGCGTGTGTGGGTCGTACCGGGCGGCAACGCCGACGCCGTCACCCGCAAAGGATACGACGGACCGGAGCTGCGTGGAGAGCTCGGACGCGACCTGCAGCTCCACCGCAGCGAGCGCCGGCGCGCCCTCCTCCTTGACTATGCTCGCGACCGACATCCCCGTCGCCTGCACGCCCGTGGCCACGCGCAGCGCATCAGAACGCACGTACGCGATGTGCGTGATGGTTCCTCCCGCGTGTCGCTGCATCACGCGGCCTGAGCGCACCTTCTTGATGATGTCAGGAGTGTGCAGGACGGCGTAGGACAGCGACTTGCCGATGACGTCCGCGACGGCCCTGTTGGCCGCCGCGTCGTCGCCCACCACAGCCACGCTCATCGACTGCAGGCGGTCCGCGAGCCCAGACCTGCGAACGTCGCTCGAACACTGCGTGAGAGAATGAGCAGAACGTAGGGCGCGCCAAGCGGAGGCTCTCCAGCGCTGCATGGAGCCCCCTCCGGGTCCTAGGCTTATGCTCTGCGGCTCGTCGACGGTGCGCCGAACTCGCCTGTCTTGCGTCCCCGCCGGCTCCTTCTTCCCGAAACCCTTCGCCGCGCGCGCGCACGGCGAACACCGCGCCCGCGCTTCCGCGGGAGGCCGTGCGGCAGTCAGCCCAGCGCACAGCCGTGCCGAACCGTGGCTGGGAAACGCGTGCGAGTCCCTACCAGCGCGGGCGCGCGACGCCGCGGGGACCGCGTGCACGGCGTGAGAGACGGGGACCCGCATGGCGTCCGTCTGCCTACGTCGCGAGCAACCTGGGCGCTACCGCGGGACCGGATGAGGCGGAATGCTCCACAATGGTGCAATGAAACCAAGATTCCGGCGCCACAGCGATGCTCTCGTGCTCTGTTGTTGTCCTTGTGCGAATTGCAGGTGCAGAGGTCGTCCCATGACCTCCCGGCGAGGTCACCTGGAGGAGTGCGGTGGTGTGTCCTGCCGCCCGCGGCAGGGGCGGTGTGTCCGGTTCGGCGCCGTCAAGGCTGCGCGCCCGAGGGGTGCCCGCCACACTGCGCGCCCGCAGCCCTCGGCCTCATCTCATGAGCGCGTTTCCACGCTGCATCTCTTCCATCATCTTTTGACAGCGCTCCGGCCCACGGGCGCGAGGAGGAGCAGCCGCTTTTGACCCGCTCGCATAATCACGCTCGATTCTTTGCGGCTGTTGCGCAAACAGGCCCGCAACCGAGCCATGGCGGGCGCAATCGCCCTCCCAGAGGACCCGCTCTTCCCGGGGCCCGCTGCGCGTGTCCTGGGGGCTGTCGACGGCAATGTGCGTCTGTCGCACCTCGAGGTGAGAATCGGGAGGCACGGCCCGCGCAACGCGCGCCGTGAGACGCAGCACGCACCACAGAGCCACCTGCCTCGTGTGTCCAGCAGTCCAACTTGAATTCCGGGCGTGCGTGGCAGACAATTCGTCGCGGCGCTGGCCCCAGCAAGACCGACGGCGCAACCAGCAGCTTGCAGAGGCCTCCGTGACCGCGTGGACCGCCGTCTGCAGCAGCGTCGCGGCCGCACCGAACGCGTCGTTCCTCTTTGCACGTTCATGTTGCGGGAAACCGCATGGTCCCGCCGCCATATCGCGCAAATTCTCGATCCATTGCACTTCCTACATGCAGAAGGAGATAGAGGCGGTCCGGACGAGACGGAGGAAGGTCGAGGGCGCTCCGGCGGAGTCCTTTAGTAGCGCTGCGATGCTTGCGCAGGCGCTCCGCCGCGAGGCCGCCGAGCGCGACCCGAAACGCGCCGAGGAGGTCCACCAGCGCGTCATCCGCGAGGCGCAACGCGCCGAGCGCGCCGTGCTGGACGTCCTGCACCGCCTCACGCCCAGAAGCGCCGCCACGGCAACGCGCTTCAACGCGGCCGCGGAGGCCCACCGGCAGGCGGCGCGGGACGCGCTGCCGGCCTACCTCGCCGAGCTCCAGCAGGCAAGCCCCTCCCGGCCCACGCCCGCGCCGCAGTGCAACCGCGCCTGCCCGACCGCGCCTTTCTGATTGTCGACACACAACGCATCTTATGTGCGTTTCATCTCTTTGTTATGCTCTTTTCGATTCACGATTCGGTCCCCGCCCTGTTCGTTGCAGTGGGAGTCCGACCAGGCGACGCGCGCGTCCGCGACCGCGGGCCTCTCGGCGATGGAGCACGTACGCCACGTGAGCCAGGCGAAGCGCGCCGCACAGCAGCAGCTGTGGCAGTCCGTCGCCGACCTCCAGGACGCGATCAACGAGAGCATGGACGTCGACGCGGGCCTCGCCGCCGGCCAGCAGCAGCTCAACGAGCTCCTGGTGCAAGTTGCAGCCCTCTCGCAACAAACAAGGACCTCGAACGCGCCATCGACGGTCGCGGAGGTCGCCCAGGCCGTCGCGAGGCTCCAGGCTGCGCGTACGACGGTGCCCGACGCGCAGCCGCCCGCCCGGAAGCCCCCGCACCGGGCGGAGGCGGGGGGGAGTGTCGCGCACAACGCCAGGGCGCCGGACGCGGCGGCGACGCCCCCCGCGGACCAGCGCCCCGCCGCGGCGCCCAGCAGCGGTGGCCCGTCGAGCGGGAGCCGCAGCGGGCCGAGCGATCGCTACGCCGCGTCGGACGGCAACCTACTAGACGAGTCGAGCAACAGTGTGCGCGAGGGCGAGCACCCCGAGGCGTGCGACTCGCCGCGGATGCGCGACAGCGACGGCGCCGGACGCCGGGAGTCCGCGGGCAGCGCGGCCGGGGTGTCGGCGGACGGCCTCCCGCCGCTGTGGTCGGGTGCGCGCCCGGCGGGGGGCCCGGCAGCGCACAGCGTCGAGTCGTTGAGCCACAGCGGCGTCGGACGCATCCAGATGCAGATCGAGAGGCAGCTGGCGGGGCACGCGGGCGCCGCCGCGGCGTCCGCGTCCCACAGCGGCCTCCTGTCTGACCTGACAGCGGGCGCCACGCGGGTCGAGGACTCGGCCGCGCGCTCCTCCGCCGTGTCCCTCTCCGTCTCCAAGACCTCGCTCGACATGTCCTCCGTGCTCCCCGAGGGCGGCCCCGCGCGCGCGCCCGCCGCGCCGCCGGAGGCGCGCTCGCGGACGCCGCAGAGCGCCGCTGCTGCTGCTGCCCTGGCGCAGCCGCCGGACGACAGCGTGCTGGGGTCGGGCGGCGTGGAGGTGGCGCGCCGGCGGATGCGGATCGCTTCGGTCGGGCCTGACTCGTCCAGCAATAGCGGGCACGAAGACGTGATGCGTGTGTCGGTGGGGAGTGTGGTGGGGGGCGACGCGGACGGGGCGGCGGGGAAGGACGACCTGGATCGGCAGGCGCGGCAGGTGCGGCGCGCGGCGCGGGACGCGGACGCGGCGGAGCGGGAGGCGGCGGCGGCGCTGGCGGGTGCCGGCGGGGGGAGTGATGGCGAGGACCCCGGGATGAGTCAGGAGAGCTGGCCGGAGTCAGTGGACCTGGGGGCCGGCGTGTCGTCGACTGGCGCGTGGGCAGGTGCGTCGCGCGCGTGCGCGGGGACGTGCGAGTGCGCGGTTCGGCGGGGATTGTGTTTTCGTGGTTGATGTTAGGCCTGTCGATGTTCGGGTCTGTCCGTGCAGGCGCGGCGGCGATCAAGGACAGGGACGCGCACGCCGAGGAGATGCGGCGCCGGCGCGAGGAGGTCCGGCGCGAGCTCGAGGCGGACGCCGCGCGGCAGGAAGCGGAAGCAATGGGCATGGCAGAGGCGGTGAGGCCCAACTTGCCCCTCCCTCCCGCCTGCCGACGACCTCCCGTCCCCGGGCACGGCGACCCTCACGCAGCACGACACCTCCACCCAACCACGCGCGCAGGTGGTGCAGCCCCGGCGCACGTCCGAGGCGCTCGGCTCGCCGGACTCGGCAGAGGCCCCCAACGCGCGCGAGAGCCTCGGCGCGCACCTCGCAGAGGCGCTGCAGCGGGAGGAGGAGGTTCAGGACGTGCCGGAGTCCCCGGGGGAGGAGGGAGAGGAGGGGGGGAGCGGCGACAGCTTTGCCTTCCCGGAGCGAGGGTCCTCGCCGCCCGAGAACAGGCCCGCGCGCGAACAGAGGTCCCAGGTCGCGCCCGCCGTCGCGAGGGTCGGGGCCGTGGAGCAAGCGGGCACCATGGGCCGCGTGGGGGGACTCAACCTGACCATGCCGAAACAACCCCCCGTCCACCGGCGCACCAAGTCGGCCCCGCGCGTCGTCGAAGTCCCGCCGGACCAGTTCGGGAAGCCCGGTACGCGACACGCCGCCCCGATCGCGTTCTAACATCCCCCCCCCGGAAAAAACACCCCCACCTGCAACGCGATGCCTCGGTTGCGCCGCAGGGTACCCGGCGGTGACGATCGACCGCTCGCGGCGCTCCAGCCGCGCGCTGGACGCGGACGCCGGCAGCCCGAAGCGCGCCCGGTCCCCGCTGGGCAGCCGGCAGACCTCCATGTCAGACCTGAATCGGTCGATGCAATCGCAGAGGTCCGCGGGGTCCAGCGCCACCTCGCCCGCGCAGAGCATCCACGCCGCGTCGCCCACGGGCCGGCACGTGTCGTTCGTCGACTCCCCCCCCGCGGCCGAGCGCTCGGACACCTGGCGCGGCGGCTGGGGCTCCGGCGCGTCCTCGGGAGCGTCGTCCGGGCGGTCGACCGGGGCGAAGGAGCGCCCGAAGAGCGCGTCGACGGTGCCCGCGGCCAGTCTCTTCGGTCTGGCGCGCTCGGGGGGGTTCCTCGGCGAAGGCGGCGCGCTGGTGCGTGTGTCTGGCGCTGCGAAGAGGTCCGTGACGCAAGTGGCCCGGCCGGCGACGAGCCCGCCCGCGGCGGGCGCGCGGGCTGGCGCGGACGCGCCGCCGCAGGGTGCGAAGCAGGTCGGGATCTCGTGGGGCGCGGGGCTGGCCCAGGAGGCGGACGCGGACGAGTTGGAGAGTGCGCTGTTGGCGGGGTTGGGCGCGGGGCCGCGGGGCGGGGCGGGGCGGGCGCGCGACGACCCGGAGAGCCCGCCGAGCGAAGGGGAGGTGCGGCTGAGCGGCGGGTCGCGGCCGTCGTCGGGGGCGGTGGGGTCTGGGCCACGGCGCAACCTGGGGGGGGGTATGCCGCCGAAGACGACGTCGGACGTGTTCGCACGCGAGGGAGTGCGGATGGGGAAGGTGCAGGGGATCGTGTCGGCGGCGGTCGGGCAGCAGCGCGGCGCGGCGGGCGCGCGGGCGACGTCGGCGGCGGCCGGCGCGAGTGCGGCGCGGGGCGGGCGCGGGATGGGGATGGGGCTGGGGACGGGGGAGATGGGCAGCGATGCGCTGGGCCTCGACGACGGCGACGAGTTCGACTTCTGAGCGTTCGGGGGCTGTTTGGCCTCGTTGCAATTTACACAGGCCTTGATGATTTCAGGGCCCCCGGTGCAACGCCGCGATGTGATCCTCGCTCCACGCTGCCCAGTCTCCGGACCATGCGCTCCAGAGCGCGGTGCATCGTCATCGCCGCTCCTCCGACCTCGCGCTCTGCTGGGAGGCGTACTGCGGCACTCCGCCGCGCGCAGCCTGATGTGCCCGCACTGCTGAGCGACGCAGCGGCAGCGCCTCCGGCGCCACCCCCACCGCCGCCAGCGCCGTGTGATCAGGCGAGCGCCCGCGTCCGTGCAGACAGCTCACGCACGCCCCGCCTCACCGCCGCCGGTACACCAGCCGCGTCGCCACCCGCCCCGTCTCCGGGTCGCGCCGAAGCGGCAGCGCCCACGACCACGGCTCCACCCCCACCGCAGTCAGCACTGGGTGGTCTGACACGTACCCGCGCCCTCTCTCGTACCTCGGGACGCACGCCCTCGCCTCCGCCGGCGAAATCGTCCGCCCCGTGGCCCATGTGAGGAGCTGCGACATGTAGTCTGCCCACGGAACACCCCACTCAGGGCGGGGGGCGTCGCCGAGGACGCGGTCGAGATACCGGCGCACGTCACGGGGCTTGAGGCGGTTCGTCGCGCACTCCGGCTCGCTGTGCGGCATGAGAGCCACCAGGATGCCCACCAGCCCGCGCATCCTGACGAACGCCGACCGAGCACCCTTGCTGACGGGGGGTGGGGAGTCCGACGCTGTGCCGTCGCCCTCAGAGGAGCTCGACACCTCCTGTGAGTTGATGCTTGCGAGCGGCGTTGCCGAGGCGCTGCGTTCGTGCGGCACATGAATGACGCAGTCATGCGTGCCATCGCGATCGGATAGCCGAGCCCCCGCACTTGGGTCAGGCGTAGGCCGTTTCTTGGCTGCCGCAGCCCCTCGCTCCCTCGCTGCTGCCTGCTGCATTTGCTGCGTCCAGTTCTCCGGCTCGACGCCTAACGCCCGCAGCGCTGACTCATTTGCAGCAAAAGTCCCCTTCGGCCCGCTTCTGTTGACGCAAGCCCCTGCCTGCTCCTCGGTCACCTCCCGCCCCGTGAGATAGGTGAACAACCGAGAGAGATAGTGTGCCGGGGATGGAACGCCCCATTGAGGCCGCGGCGCCTCGCCGAGGACATCGTCGAGGCATGACTGGATCCGTGATCTCGGCACGCGTCCAGGCCCGAGGCACGCGTCGAATTTGTCCTTCTCTTGGGGAATGACTCTGCGGAGGACCCGCAAGAGCGTGACCATCCGCGCGTAGGGTGTAGGACCGCTCTTTCGAGGCCCGCTGTGCGCGGACGGAAGGACCGAGTCGGACGCCTTGCCGCCCTCCGCGCCGCCCGCCTCGGCCACGGGCTGGTCACCGGCCCCGTCGTCCGCGTGCCGCGCTGGCATCGTCGCACGCCGCAGTGGCAGCACCCACGACCCCGGGTCCACGCCAATCGCCGCCAGTGCTGGCTGTACGGCGGTGTATCCCACCGACCCCGGGTTGTACCCAACGCACGCGGCGGCCTCCGCTTTCGTGACCTCCCGCCCCGACGCCCAGGAAAACAACTCACTGAGATACTCTGCCCACGATGGAACGCCGCATTGGGGCCGCGGCGCCTCGCCGAGCACGCGGTCGAGATAGCTGCGCATGAACGATACAGAAAAGTTCCGTGGGTAGCCCTCCTGCGGCCTGCTCTGCGGGATGAGCTTGGCCAAGATGCGGACCATTCTGGTCATCCGCTCCGTTGCACTGCCCGTGCCGCATCGACGGGGTCGTGATGCAACCACCAGTGGTGGTGGCTGGGGGGTTCGCTCTGACGTGCGCGCGCCGCCGCTCGCTTCCGGCCCCCAGTCGCCTCCCTCCTCCGACGACTCCACCACCACCGTGCTCTCCACCGGCGTGTCGCTGGCGTCCCGCTTCACGTGCACGTCGGCTGTTGCACGCAGCCGCGCGAGCTCGCGCTCCCCCGCCTCCTGCGCCGCGCGCAGCGCTGCGTTCTCCTCCCTCAGCCGCGCCGCCTCCGCCAGCGCCCGCTCCAGCGCCTCCTCTCTCTCCATCGCCCGCCGCAGCATACCCACCGCGTCGGTGTGCGTCCCCTCGTGCGGAGCGGCACCGTCGCCGCCAGCGGCCGCGAGCTGCTCGACGCGCCTGCGCTTCGCCGCGCACGCGCCGCCCGCCCACGTCGACGGCGTCGCGCCCCCTGCGTCCCCGCTCGCTGCCGGAGACCGCTCAGGCACATGGTCGCCCCCCGCGCCCGGCTCGCGGCCCGTGGTCATAGTCGGACCTGCGCAACATGGTAAGGGCCTCATCAGAGCCGATCAGCTCAGAATCGACGGCAGTCTGATGCGCCACAGTGCGCGTTGGCCAACGTCGCGAGGATCTCTGTTGCACAAAAAAGATCGCACAAGAACGGCGCGTTCCCGGCCGTTTCGCGTCGACCCCCGACCACCAGCCCGCACGTACTATCTCATCGTCACGCCTCGACGTGCAACAACGCCCACCCAGCGCGTGTCGACCCCGTGCGACGTGCAACCACCTCGAAGCATCATTCCGAGCGCAGCGCGCGGCGCGGCTGGCGCAGGAGCGATCCGCGCGCTGTCTCGCAGCGCAGCCGCGTCAAGCAGTCGCCGCGCGCCCCCAAACGTCGACGCTGTCCCGCCTCGCGTCGCCACCCTAGAAAGGTGGGCACTCGCAACCAACTGATCGCGCGTCGCCGGCCGGGAGCGTCGCGGGGGTCGACCATCCCGCACAACACCAGGGCACCAGCTACCACGCATTTTCCGGTTGCCTCGTTCCGGGGATCGCCGCTCACCTGTGTGTGCCCTGACCGATGCTTGTGCATTGACAGCCGGTCGCGTCCACGGTCTCCTACGCACGCCGACCCCGGTTTTTGCGCGTGCAGTGGTCGCTGACTGACGCCACCGCGCGCTCGAGCGGCGTCATGTGCCCCCCAGCCGGCCAGGCAAGCGCCCGTGTGCACGTGGGAGGAGTGAGCTCTCCCACCACCTGGTGGGTGGCCAGGCGCGCTCCGAGCGCTGCATGACATGCCGCGTAAGCAACGCTGCGGTTTTGCAGATCGGTCCGGCTTCGCACGGCGAATACGATCGCGCAGTGCGAAGCCCACAGTGCGAGAGAGCACACGGCCGGCCGTCGTCGCGTATGACCCTGCGCAGCGAGGCGAGACAATCTGCACGTCGTGTGAGCTCTGGTGAGCGAGCTGTTAAGCGATATCGGCGCCTGCAGGACCAGTTTCAAGCCGCAGTGCGATGTTGGCACGGCACCAGGCGCTGCCGCTTGGACTGGGGGTCGACCGCACCTCGTCGCGCTCATAGCACCTCGCTGTGACATGAGTGAGCAATCCAGTCGAAACCGTCCTTCAGCTACGTCCAACCACCGCTACACGCCCAAACAGCCCACGCGTCCCAGCGCTCACCCTCCGCTGCTGCGTCGCGCGGCGAATGCGTCCCGCTGCTCGAGCGGCTTGATTCTGCACCCTGTACGCGTGTGTCCCCGCACAACATCCGCGTGTCCCAGGCCCTCACGTGCCCCCAGCTCCACGCCTCCCCGTCCTCGCCGCTGGTCGTCGAGTCGCGTCTCATGATTGATGCTGGACGCGCCGACGAACGTCTCGACGCACACTACACGTGCGCGGCCGCTCCGCCTCGGCAAGTAGTCGCCTCGGACGCGCACATGACGACGGTGACATCTTAACCCCCCCAAGCAATGACTGACTGACGGTCAACGCCGTCGCGGGGGCAGGCTCGCGCGGACGGCCGCTCACGCTGCAGCTCAAGGAATGGAGCTCGCCCGCAGCCATTGCCCATGTGCGCAGGAGCAGCTGCATCGCACATGACAACCATCAACTGAAAGAGTGGCCGTTCATGCGTTGTTATCACCGCGCGGGCCACGAACACAGCCGGGTCGTCCTCGAGGTGCGGACTCATGTCCTGGCGAGAACACTTCGAGGCGCGAGCGGTGCGTAAGCGACGCAGCGACTCACAGACACAGTGCACGCGGAGAGAGGGGCCGCAGGTCCAGTCCGCTTACCGCCGCCGGCGGTGCATCCGCAGTGTGGTCTAGGTGCTTCGTCGTTGCATCCCGCTTCGGCGTCCATGACCAGGGCTTCAAAGCTGCCGACTCTGGCTGGCACGTCGCACCACACCGTCCACGACGGCTGGGGCGCGAGGCCGTTGCGTTCGCACAGGAACGCCCCGCAGCGGCAGCGCCCACGACGCCGGGTCCACCCCCACCGCCGCCAGCGCCGACGCGTTCACCTGCCACCTGGAGCGATTGCTTGTGCTTGCCTTGCATACGCATGCCTTCGCCTCCTCCTCCGTGACCTTCCGCCCCGCCCCTGCCCACGTGAAGAGCTGTGCTACAAAATGTGCAACGCCCAAAGGAATGCCCCAATCCGGCCGCGGACCCTCGCCGAGCACGTGATCGAGGAAGTCGTTGATTTCCGGGGTTGACATGTTTGAAAGGCGCCGCGGCCTGTGTGTGCTGTGCGGGAACAGCTTGATAAGCACACGCACCAACGACTCCATCCTTTTGGCTGGAGAGGGCCTGTCGCGCGGCCGCTGTGATGCGGCACCGCGCACTGGTCCTGACCCGACCGCCTTGTCCTGCGAAGACCTGCAGACCTCGGTGCTGTCGACGGTTGACTCAGATGCGTTGCCCCCGGATGTATTCTGTGCCCTGGCGCCCCTCACGCGCACATCCCCCGACAGCACATGAGCCACAACCTCTCGCCCTGCTTGTGGGCCCTCCTTCTTCCCTTCCCCGCGTGCAGTCTGCTGCGCCCGCACGGCAGCGCGTCGCAGCGGCAGCGTCCACGATCTGGGCGCCACCCCCACCGCCGCCAGCGCCGACCGTACAGGAAAGTACCCGCGACCAGGCAGAAAACTCACGCACGCCCCCGCCTGCGCTTTCGTGACCTCCCGCCCGGTGGCCCACGTGAAGAGCTCCGCTAAATAATGTGACCAGGAAGCACCCCACTGCGGGCGCGGAGCGTCACCGAGAACGTCGTCGAAGTACTCCCGCAGGACTGTAGAAGAAATCTTGCGCCCCAAGGCCTCCGACGGCTTGCTGTGCGGCATGAGCTTGATCAATATGCGCACCAGCGTGTCCGTGCGGGACAGCAGATCGCCCGTGCCGCAGCGACGGGATGTCTGCGCCATGCGCCCGCTCGTTTCCGACCCCGTGTCATCGTCCTCCGACTCCACCACCACCGTGGCCTCCACCGGCGTGTCGCTGCCGCTGGCGTCCTGCAGGGCGTCAGCTCTCTCACGCGGCCACGCGAGCTCCCGCTCCCCCGCCTCCTGCGCCGCCCGCAGCGCTGCGTTCTCCTCCCTCAGCCGCGCCGCCTCCGCCAGCGCCCGCTCCAGCGCCTCGTGCCGCTCCAGCGCTCGCTCCAGCGCCTCGTGCCGCTCCAGCGCCCGCTCCAGCGCCTCCTCCCTCTCCATCGCCCGCCGCAGCAGACCTACCACGTCAGTGTGCCTCTCCTGGTGGGGAGCGGCACCGTCGCCGTCAGCGCCCGCGAGCTGCTCGACGCGCCTGCGCTTCGCCGTGCACGCGCCGCCCACCCACGTCGACGGCGTCGCGCCCCCTGCGTCCCCGCTCGCTGCCGGTGACCGATCAGGCACATGGTCGCCCCCCGCGCCCGGCTCGCGCATTGTGGCCATGGTCGGACCTGCGCGCCGTATTGAGAGAGTCATCAGAGCTCAGAACCGCTGGCTGCCTGATGCACCACAGTGCGCGTTGGCCAACGTCGCGAGGATCTGTTGCGCAAAAAAGATCGCACAAGAACGGCGCGTTCCCGGCCGTTTCGCGACGTCTACCAACCACCAGCCCATAATACTCAGCACACAGTACTCCAACGTCACGCCTCGACGTGCAACAACGCCCTCCCAGCGCGTGTCGACCCCGTGCGACGTGCAACCACCTCGAAGCATATTTCCCAGCGCAGCGCGCGGCGCGGCCGGCGCAGCAGCGATCCGCGCGCTGTCTCGCAGCGTGGCCGCGTCATGCAGTCGCCGCGCGCCCCCAAACGTCGACGCTGTCCCGCCTCGCGTCGCCACCCTAGAAAGGTGGGCACTCGCAACCAACTGATCGCGCGTCGCCGGCCGGGAGCGTCGCGGGGGTCGACCATCCCGTACAACACCAGGGCACCAGCAACAACGCATTTTCCGGTTGCCTCGTTGCGGGGATCGCCGCTCACCTGTGCCCTCACTCGCAGCAAGGTTGCGCTGCACGTCCCGCCGTATCGGGGCCCGACAACCCCTCGGTCTTGCTGCCCCGCGACGCAGGAGCTCAGTGACGTCCTCGCGCGTCGCCATCGCCACGTGTGCCCGCCGAGCCACCCGGGCGCACTAGTTTGTACTCCCCAGGGTGTGCAGTTGCCGACTGACGGCCGGCTCCGCGCAGGCTCCGCCCCCCAGCGCCACGGTTCGGCTGCTGCGTGCGTCTGCCGCTCGCTCCGCACGCAGCCCTCAGCACGACGTGCGCGCTTCCCTCATACTTGCAGGTGTTGCTGCCGTAGCTGTCCGTGCGGCACGTTCCCGTCGTGTTTGCTCCTGCGCTGCAGATCCCTCCATACATTCAGATGTCAGGCAGCGACACGCATCGATCAACGCGGGCTCGCTCAGCTGCTGCGTGCTCTACGTAGCTGCGGGGGCTGTTGGTCGCGTTGTGTGGACGATGGCGCGACGTGGGGCCCGAGCCGCCACTGCTACAGACAGCGATCACCGACTCGCGAGTGACGTGGATTGAAACCGCCCTGATTGACGCCCGCACAGCCCACACCACCGGCAGTGGGCACCCAAACTCCCCCGTACCGCGGCCCCAGCCGCGTCCCGCGCTCCGCAGCGCGCCCGGCTGACAGTGCTACATCCATGCATGTGCACAAGCGCCGGTGCGTCTCCCTCGCGGACGGGCAGGGCCGTACCTGAGGCGCACTCACTGCCCAGGACCCGTCGCAATGCCAGCCCGTCAACTCGACCTTGTCCGGTGCGCTCACGGACAGAACGCCGCACTGCCGACGCACGGAGGGGCCCGAGCGGCCACGACGCCGCGGGCAAGCCATGACCGGGTCAGACCGTCGCTGACGGGGGCGTGAAAGCCCCCGGGGGTGTCATGCTCCATGACGGTCACGTGCAATGCATCAGAGAGGCAACGGCGGCATATCTGAAGCGAGACGCACTCACACGCGCTCGCGGAGGAGCGCATCCCGGCACGACATGCACCCACTGTCAGACCCCACCTTTCTATGTCCCCCTCCCACTTGTGCCTTTACTCCCCCCCCTCCTCACCCAAACACCCCAGCGCACAGCCCGCGCAGCAGAACCTCCCCAGCCGCGTTCCTGTGACTCGGGAAAGCCCGCGTTGCGTCATCACCCATGCGTCCACGCCCACTCGTCCTTTCCGCGGCCCAGCCACTCCTGTACGGCTCTGTACGCGGGTACCTTCACCAGCAGCTCCTCGCAGTCGTCGCACGCCTCGCGCCCGAACACCCCCTCCAAGACCCCCCCCCTGACGCAGTCCAGGACCGCCGCTGTCAGCTCCGGGGAGACGAGCTGCTCCTCCAGCGCCTGCAGGATCAGCGCCCAGTCGCCGAGCCCGCTCTCGCACGGGTCCGGCTCGAAGCTACCGTCCCCGCCCGCGACCACGTCCCGCTCTTGCAGCACATCCCCGCGCCGCCAGATTTCGTCCTTCCGAGGCGCGTGGAGACAGAACATCCTCCCGGCGCCGTAGTTCGCCAAGAGGATGCACGCGAGGCACGGCTTGCACGTCGCGCTCACTGTGCGCTCCCCGCCTGCGTACTTTCTGCACGCGTAGTCCGGGAGCGAGTTCCCGAACGTCGACTCTTTGCGCAGCGGGAAGACCTTGAGGGCGCCGCGGCCGGTGCGCCACGGCTGCCCCGTGGGCCGCAGCGCGCCCAGAACGAGCCCGCCGAGGACGCTCTCCACGCACCGTCCGCGACGGCCCACGGCGAGCCTCGCTGTCGCCGGATGCGCCAGCAGCGTGTGCCACTGCTCCCGCAACGCCGCGCCCTGCAGCTCGAGCGCCTGCTGGATCTCTGCCGGCACCTGCACGGGCCCAGACGGCGGCGCCACCGGCTCGCTGTGCCCGACGGCGCCCCGAATGAGCACGAGGCTCTCGGTTGCGTTGCGCATTTCTGTCATGCCGCTCCCGCCCTGCGGCGCCGTCGCCGGGTTCGCCTCGCTGCGGATCCGAAGCAAGACCGGCGGCGAAGGCTGGGGCGGACGGAAGCTTGGCGCCGGCTGCAGGCGACCTGTGTCGCCGCGCACGTGCTGCTGCAATGGCAGCTTCCAGGTCCACGGCGGGTCGTCCATCATGCCGATTGCGCGGAACCCGGCGTCCACCCGCTCCCAGCCGACTCCCTGCGTGTACCGAAAGCACCTCGCCGCCTGGGCTTCCGTGACTTGGCGCCCCGAGCCGAAGGTGAGCAGCTGAGCGATGTAGTCCGCCCTGCCCCTTTCGCGAAGGCCCCAGTCGGGCTGCGGCGCGCGGCCGAGGACGGCTGCGAGGTGCTCCTTGACCGCTTTCACCGTCATCGCGCCGACCGGCGTGGCGGGCTTGCTGTAAGGGAATATGCGCGTCAGGATCGACACGAGCCTGCGCATCTCGCGTGACGGATCCCTCGACCTGGGAGTCGCGTCCGCGACCAGCTGCGGCGTCTGGGTGTCGCTGGGCGCGCCCTCGGGCGCCGGAGCCCGTGCGCTGGGAGGAGACCCCCCCCCCTGAGCAGCCGCGACTTCCGACTCCACTAGCGTGGGGGGGACGTCCGAGCTGGCGGCGCCGCGTCGACTTGAAGCTGTGTCGCCGTGGACGTTGTTCTCCGCCGCATCGCGATGCCCCTGCAGCGCGACCGCCGCAGGCTCCGTCATTGTAGCCGCTTCGCGTGTTGCTGGGGCAGGCGCGGGGGGCACCGGGCTGGCGCCGGGCGCGCGGTGCGCGGCCACGGAAGGAGAATCGAATGCGCCGGCGCTGTCCTCGTCCGTTTCCGACGAGGACACGTGGGCAGGCATCGGCCGGCGCGCTGGTTGCGCGGCAGGGTTGAGGAGGCCTGTCCCTCCGTAGACGGCAACCCGCTCGAGGTGGTAGTAGGCCTCGCGCTGTCTCTTGCTCTCCGCCTTCAGCGCGTCCACGTCCGCGCGCAGCTGCGCGACGCTATGCTCCGTTGCCGCGAGTTGTACACGAAGGCGCGCGTTCTCCGCGCTCAGGCGTGACGTTGCCTCGAGCGAGCGCTCGAGCTCCTGCGCGCGCTCAATGTCCTGCCGCAGGGCGCGCAGCACGCTCGGGGAGTGCTGTGCGCCGGGCGCGTCGCCATCGCGCGTGTTGCCTGGCAGCGGACCGAGGCGAGTGGCGGCCGCTTCGTCGAGGCGCCTGCGCTTCGTGGTGCTCGTTTGTCCGCTCCGTGTGGTCGGCGGCGTCGCGCAGGCGGGCGGGCGCGCGGGGTGGCCCGCGTCGTCGTCGTTCGTGCCATTGAACGAAAGAGGGCGACCGCCGTCGCCCACGTGAGCGCTCATCGTCGCGCGTTCCCTGCGGAGGAGGTCGCATGATATTTGTGAGATGGCCGGCACCGGTCGTCGCGGCGCGACGTGGGGCCCAGAGCGCGAGGAGACGCAACAATGTTGCCGTTCGAGGATTGGTCATCAATGGGTGCCGCGAATGACAAGACGACACGTGGATTCATGACGAATCGCCAGTGTCGGTCTAGTGCGGGGACGGGGACGGTCTCGGCGTCTCACTTCGACGAGGCGCGAGGAAGACGTCAAAGAGCCCAGCAAGGAGGGCGTGCCGCTTCGCACGGCAGCTCAGACGGTTCAACGTTCAGCGAGACGATCGTTCTTTGAACAGGGATTCGGTCCTCGGATTCGAACGAGAGCAGGCCGGACCGTGCATCCACGCTCGCATCAAATCAATACTCGAAAATTAGTTCTCTCGTTCCTCGGGTACTTGGACCCTCCGCGCGTCGTTCGGCGCAAGAAATGCGCCAATCTGGGCTCGAAACGCCGTTGGGTTGCTCGGCGGCGCCGCGGACGCTCACCTCTGCCCTGCACCAGACGTGCCCTGCCTTCGATTTCGGTTCCCGCGCCCTGCGCTTCGGTCCGCGGCGCCCGACTCCTGTTCCAGGTCCTCGCGAGACCGTAGTGCCACGGCGCCGCGCCCTTTCCGACCAACCTTCGCACCGACCGAGGCGAACGCGCCGAGTTTGTCCCCCAGGGAGGACCGACACCCTCACGAGCAGACCCACACCGACGTCCACGCGCCGCAGCGCCACCGACGCCAGCTCCGCACCCCTCGCGACTCGACGCATCAGCGCCAGCACGCCCGCCGCACCTCCGCCCTGCGCTCTCGCCCACGCCCCCTGCACCCAACGCATGCGCTTCCGCGGCCCCGCACAACACGCCCCGCGCCGCGCGCCACCTGTCCACCAGTTCGTCGTCACACGGCGGGATCGTCACGGCGCGCCTCTAGGCCCTACGATACACTGAGGTTGCGTTGCTAGCAGAGAGTCTCGGAAGGAGCTGTATGTACACCGGGGGGCCGACGGCGCACCTCACCCCTGGTCGGCAAGCAGGCTGTCGAGGTCCACGCCGCTGGCGGCCAGCGCGGCCAGGATGATGAGCACGGAGCCGTTCCACGCGCCGTGGATGACCATGGGCGCCATCAGATTGCGCGACCGCACGTAGCTGAAGCCGAGGACGAGCCCGAGCGCGAACAGCTGCGGGAGGTCCTTCGTCGACAGGTGCGCCAGCGCGAACGCGCCGGACGACGCCACGACCGCCTGCAGCTTGCAGCGCCACACCAGCGACAGCAGTTGAGCACGCCGCGCAGCACACGGGGCCAACCGGCACGAGGACGCGGCGCGAGCACTCTCAAGCTCCCGCCACGCAGCGACGGGCCGTCGTCCCTCGCGCGGCAGGCCGGGCGGGGCGGCACAACAGCTTCACGCGCGCGTCGCGCGCACCTGCCAGGGCCGCATGACCCGCGTGAGCGACGTGAGCAGGAACCCCCGGAACACGATCTCCTCCAGCGCGGGCGCGAGCACCGCCGTCACGACCAGCAGCGACCCCAGCTCCAGCCCGTTGGGCGTCGCCAGGATGTTCGCCACCTCGTCCGCGGTCCCGCGGCCGCCCCCCTGCGCCGCCTGGTACCCCGTCACCTGCGACAGCGTCGCCGACAGCGTCAGCACCGCGGGCGACACGGCCGTCCCCAGCATCCCCCAGAAGAGCCACCCGTCAGGCTTGCGGAAAGGCCCCCGGAGGTCAATGCGCAGGAACGACTCGTCCGGGCCGCCGTCCTCGCCGGGCTTCTTCCAGCCCGTCGCGAGGCCCGTGACCGCGCGGATCACCGCGATGCCGACCGCGACTTCCGCGATCTGGTTGACGAGGAGAAAGATGGACTTCTCGTCGGGCGTGAGCGATGAGATGGGCGGCTGGCCCGCGGCGCGCCAGAGGACGGGGACGCCCGCGAGGCCCGTGGCGAGGAAGGCCGCGAGCCAGGTGAGGAAGCCGACGCTCGTGGTGCCGAAGCCCCACGGCACGTCGAAGCCTTGGTTGTATTGGCTCCAGTCAAATAGGCCCCACTTGACTTCCTCGCCGCCCTCCTCCTCGTCTGGGCTGCCCCCGCCCCCCGCGGCCTTCCCCTGCTTGCTGCGCGTGAGCTGCGCCACCGCCTCGCGCACGCGCTGCGCCCGGAGGACGACGCGCGCCCGGGAGGCGTGCCTGCACGAAGCCGGGGGCCGTCGCAAGCCCATTAGAGACTTGAGAGCCATGCGCAACCAGGATTGCTAGGTTCTCGACTCGCGCGGCGCGGCCCGTCGCGCACGCGGCGGTTCCGTGCCGCAACCGGCACAGTTTCGATCGGGGCAGCGCGCGAGGCTGCTCCACGCGGTCCGACGCGCCGCGCAGGGCGCGTGCGCGATAGAAGCAGTGTGTGTGGGAGGTGCAGAGAGGCCGGACCAGCGACGCAACGGGCCTCGAACGGCGCGCGGTCGATCTGCGCGATAGCGAAGTCGCGTCGGCGGCCGTACGGATCGCTCGGCACCGTCGCCGAGAGCCGCGGCACCGCCAGGCCCTGGGCAAAGTGCCAGGCAGCGGCGCTCACCCGTGCGACGTCTCCACATGGCTCTGAACCCCCAGCTGCGTCCTTCGACCCCCCACCACGGGCACGCGGCACGCGCAAGCCACCTGCGCGGCGCGGGGCCGCGTGGCCCCGCCCCTCGCCTGCATGGGGTGCGCCGGGCGTATCACGCCGGCGGTGCGTCCGCACACTGCGCCTCCGACCTCCATGACGATCTCCAGGCCGCCTCTGAGCACTCTGCCACGCGGTGGCCCACCGGCGGGCCAACGGCGCGCGCCCCAAGCGCCGCGCCGCGCCGGTCCGTCTCACAAGCGCAAAGTATGAGCACCGGAGCCGCGCGTCCGGGCGCGCAGGGGCCGTTGCGGCGCATCGCGGCCGCCGCGGTGCATGAACGCGCCGTACTGCGCGCGGACGCGAGCGCTCGGCGGCCAGTTGCGCTCGCAGATGCTGCCAGCGCACACGTAGCTTCGCGCCAGCGCAGTGACAGAGAGAGGTCGCGACCATGCCCGTGGCGGCCCGCGAGGTGAGAAATCGTGCGCGTTCCGGGCTCCGAGATCGAGGGAGCGCTGCCGCGCCGCGGAACGACCGCGCGGGGCACCTCGGCGCGCCTGTAGTCGTCACGCTTGGTTCAACCTGCGTTTGCTGCGTGACGGTTCGACCGCGCGCCCATGTGGCCTGCAGATCCGGTCCAAGGACCCAGCAACGAGGGAGCTCCTCGCGATGGGCGCCAGGGAGCTGAACGACCTCGAGTCGGACATACGCTCGGCGCGAACGTCTGTTGGGAAGCGAGGGGGGGCCGGCGCCGCGCAGGCGCCGTCGTTCGACCGCGACGACGACTCGACGAGCTTCTCGTCGGAGCTGAGCGACGTGGAGGTATCGGGGCTCGTTCCTGGGGCCGCGGGGGCCGCGCCCGCGCCCGCACAGCCACACCGCACGCCCCTGGAGCCCCGCAACGGCGCGTCCGCGCACCGCCCGTCCGCGGAGCGGCACAAAACGACGCGAGCCGTAGCCGAGAAGACCGCGGCGACGCCCCCGACCATCGGCGCGGCCCGCACGCCGCACAACGACGAGGCCCTGCACAGCACTGCTCGAACGCAGCAGGTGCAGCTGCGCGCCCCCGGCCCCTACAGCGCCCGCCAGACCGCTTCCGCGCCCACATTCGCACGAAACTTACACGTAAATCCGAGAAATACAAACGTCGCGGTCCTGTTGCCTCCGTAACCCGCGCAACGCGCCGCTGTTGCCCACTGGTGCCGCGCTGCCGATGCGTGCAGGCGTCCTCGCGCGTCAAGGCCGCGTTCGAGGTCTACGCGGGCCGCGGCGGGGCCAAACACGGCCTCGTGCGCGACTGGGTCCGCCGGGACAGCCGCCGGGCCGCGTCGCCGGCTGCCGTGGGCTCTCCCGAGGGGCCGTGCGACTCGGGCGCGACCCTGGAGGCGGACGCCGTCGCCGCGCGCGCGCACGAGCACGCCCGCGAGCGCCAGCAGGTCGCGGAGCTCGAGGCCGAGGTCCAGCGCACGCGCGCCGCCGAGGCCGAGCGGTAATACCCCCCCCCTGCATGTCTGTGTCCCCATGAGAAGTGTTTCTCGCACCGCACCGACGACGGCCCCCGAACGCCGCGCGCGTCGTGCAGGCAGGCGGCTGCCTTCCGGCAGGAGCTGGGCTCCGTGCGGTCCGCGGCGGACGCGTTGCGTGCGGAGCTCGAGGCGCGGCGCATGGAGGCGGGGAGCGCTGACGAGCGGCTGCGGGCCGCGGAGGCGGCGGGCGCGAGCGCGCGGCGGAGGCGGCGGCGGCGGAGCGCGCGCGCGGCGAGGCGCGCTGGAGCGCGAGCGGGCGCGCGCGGCGGCGCTGCAGGGGGAGTTGGAGGGGGAGTGTGCCGCGCGGGCGGCGGAGGCGAAGCAGGCGCGGGAGAAGGCGTCGGGGCTGCGGGCGCAGGTCGGGGCGCTGCGGGAGGAGCTCGCGCAGGCGCGGGAGCGCGCGGAGGAGCTCGGGAGGGGTCTCGAGGGCCTCGCGGAGCTCAAGGGGAGGTGTGCAAAGGCTGAGTCAGCGCTCAGTCAGACGCGGCGTGCGCTGCGGGAGCGCGAGCGGGACGCGGCGGAGCGCGTGCGGGTCGCGGAGGAGGCTGCGTGGGCGGCGGAGGGGCGTGTGCGCGCGGAGGCGGAGCGCGGCGCGCAGGCGGCGGCGGCGCGGCGGCCGCGGCGGAGGATCGCGCGGCGGCGGCGGCGGCGGAGGCGGCGCGGCTGCGCGCGGACGTGGCGCAGACGCGCAGCCGCGCGGAGGCGGCGGAGCGCGAGCTGACCGCGGCGCGGGCGCGCGTCGGGAGGCTCGAGACGGACGCAGAGGTGATGTCGGCGCGGCTGGCGGCGACCGACGAGGCTCTGGTGCAGCAGGCGCGCGCGGAGGAGCGCGCGCAGCTCGCGGCGGCGGAGGAGCGGCTCGCGGCGTTCGAGGCCGAGGCGGAGCAGCTGCGCGCGGCGCTGACGGCGCAGCGGCGGACGTTGTGCGACCCCGCGCTGTGGGCGTCCGTCGCGCAGGTGCTGTCGACGTTCGAGGGCGGCGCAGGCGCGGACGCGGGCGCCGGAGCGCTGCGCGAGGTCCTGCCGCTGGTGGAGGAGCAGCTCGCGCGGTGCGGGGCCGCGGGGGGCGGCGACGGCGCGGGGCTGCAGGAGGTGGCGACGGGCGTCGCGGACGCGGTCGCGGTGCTGCTCAAGGCCAACGCGGGGCTGGCGCGGTGCGCGCGGGCCGGGGAGGATCTCGGACGCGAGCTGCGGGCGCGGTGCGAGCAGCAGCAGGAGCGGGCGGAGGGCGCGGAGGGGCGGTGCGCGGCCGAGGTGCGGCGGGGCGCGGCCGCGGCGCGGCGCGCGGAGGAGGCCGAGCTGCAGGTGAGCCCGTGCGGCGTTCGTCCAACCCGCGGCGCCACATTGCCAGAGTCTCATCTGCAGCAAAAGAAACCATGAATTCCCGATATGCGCGGCCGCAATCAGACAGGCTCTCTCGCGCCCCATGCGTCGCAGGTGCGCGAGGCGGCCGCGGAGCTCGACGCCGCCCGCGCGGCCCTCGCCGAGCGCGACGCCCAGGTCAGCGCGCTGGTAGCAGCGGTCGACGCCGCCCGCGACGAGCTGTGCGCGCTCCCCGCGCGCGTCGACGCCGCCGAGGCCGCGGCCGCGGACGCGCGCGGCGAGCTCGCGCGGTGCCAGCAGGCGCTCGCGGACGCGCGCGCGGAGTCGGCGGCGCGGCAGAGGCGCGTCGCGGAGCTGCAGGGTGCACTCTCCGAGGCGCACAGCGACGCGGAGGCCGCCGCGCGCCGCCTGGGGGAGTCGCGGGTGGAGGAGGCGGTCGCGAAGGAGCGCGCGAGCGTGCGGGCGCGGCTGGCGAGCCTTGCGCAGCGCGTGGAGGGGTACGAGCACGTGGCGCGGGAGCTGGACGAGGCGAACCGTGCCAGGGGGGAGTTGACCGCGCAGCTGAGTCAGGCACGCCGGGAGGCCGCGGCGGCGCGGGAGGAGAGGGGGCGGGCGGAGGTACGGCGCCCGCGCGGTGGGCTTTGCTGGGGACGCGGAGGTAGATAGGGTTTTGGTATCTGTTTCCGTGTCTTGGTTTGCTGACTGACTGAGCGAGGTCGTGTTCGTTTGGTTCCGTGCGCAGGCGAAGCTCAGGGCGACGGCTGGCGAGGTCGAGGGCGCGCGGCGCGAGCTCGCGGCGTGCCGCGAGCAGTTGTCGGGCATGGAGGCTGACGTCAGGCAGAGCCGGAGTCAGGCCGCCGAGGCGGGGCGCGCCGCCACCAGCGCCCGCGCGGAGGCCGACGACCACCTCCGCTTCGCCGCGTCCGTCGCCACGAAGCTGAACGCCTGCATCGGGGGCCTCGCTGCGCGCTGTCCGCCCGACGACGCGCAAAACACCCCCCCGCCGTCAGACGGGCCCTTCGGCGCGCTCGCGGCGGCCTCCGACGCGGTCGCCGCGGCGTGCGCGCGCGCGTCCGAGCGCATCGGCGGCCTCGAGCAGGCCAACGCGGCCGCCACCGCCGCGGCGGCCGCCGCCGCCGCGCGCGAGGCAGACCCGGGGGCGTGTCGGCTCCCTCGAGTCGGACCTCGCCGCGGCGCGGGCGGCGGCATCGAGCCTCGAGGACGCCGTGCGGGGCGTCATGGAGGACCGCGAGGGCGCGGAGGGCCGCGTGCGCGCGCTGGAGGCCGCGGTGTCGAGCGCGTCGGACGGCGTCGCGCAGCTGCGGCGGCAGCACGAGGACGCCGCGCGGGGCCTGCGGGAGGAGCTTGCGGCGGCGCGGAAGGCCGAGGAGCAGGCGCGCGTGCGCGAGGGCCGCGCGCAGCGCGACGCCGCGGAGCTGCGCGCGAAGGCGACGCGGCTGGGCGGAGAGCTGGAGGAGGTGCGCGGCCAGGCGACGGAGGCCGGGGGTTTGGCGGCGGCGCGGGCGCGGCAGCTCGCGGTCGCGACGCAGGAGCTCGCGGAGGGCGCTGCGCGCGCCCGCAGGCGCGGGCGGCGCGCGGCGGACCTGGAGGCCGCGTTGGCGGAATCGCGGGAGGAGGCGGCGCGCCCCGCGCGGGTGCGGGTTCGGCGGCGGAGCTGCGCTGACTGCGAGGTCGGCGCGGGGCTCGTGGCCGCGGCGGAGCGCGGGAACGCGGCGTGGCGAGCGACGCGCGGGGCGCGGGCGCGCATGCCGCGCCGCACGGCATCGCGGCGGTGGCGATGTACGCGGGGCTGCTGCAGCGCGCGCTCGGGGAGGCCGCGGGGCGGCTCCGCGCGGTGACCGCGCAGGCGGGGCGGCAGGTCGCGGCGCTCGAGGGCGAGCGCGCGCGCCTCGTCCGCGACCTGACGGCGGCGGAGCGCCGGCTGAGTCAGGCTACGGAGCGCGCGGACGCGGCGGAGAAGGCGGCGGCCGGCAGCCGGACCGCCGCGGACCGCGCCGCGCGGTGCCTCGCGCACGTCGAGCGGAAGCTCGCGCACGAGGCCGCGCTGCTGTCGAAGTCGGAGGCGCGGGCGGCGGAGCTGGCTCGGGAGGTGGACGCGGTGCGCGCGGGGGCGCACGGGCGGGCGAGGCGCGGGCGGCGCTCGAGCGCGAGCTCGCGGACGCGGAGGCGCGCGCGGCGGCCGCGCGGGAGCACGAGGCCGCGGCGGTGGCGCAGGTGGAGGCGGCCAAGGGGGCGCTGACGGCGGCGGTGGCGCAGAACCGCACGATGGTCGCGGCGCTGGACCGCGCGTTCGAGGAGCGTGACGCGGCACGCGAGGAGCTCGCGCGCGTGGCGGACGCGCGGCCCGCGATGCAGGACATCGCGGTGGACGCAACTGCGTTGTTTGAGGGGCGGGACGCGAGCGCAGAGGCTGGGACGGCGCTGGCGGTGCGGGACGCGGCGGTGGAGGACGACTGCGACGTCGCGGCGCTGCGGGAGCAGGTTGCGAGCAAATCGGATCGGATTCGGGAGCTGCAGGGGGTTCTGGCGGACGTGGCGCAGGAGCGCGAGGACCTCGAGGCGGCGCGCGCGGCGACTCTGGAGGATCTCCGCGGCATCACGGAGCGCAACGCTGCGCTGTCGTCGTCGCTGGACGCCGCGGAGGCGCGCGTGGCGGAGCTGGAGTCGCGTGTGGTGGCGGCGGACGCGCAGGCGCAGGCGGCGGCGGGCGACGCGGCGACGGCGCAGGAGCGGCTGAGGGAGGCGCGGGCGCGGTGTGCGGCGATGGAGGCGGAGCTTGCGGCGGCGGCGCGGGCGAGGGAGGAGCTAGAGGGTGCGCTGCGCACCGCGACCGAGGATGCGGACGGGGCGCGCGAGGCGCTGCGGGTGGCGCGGGCGGAGATGGGCGAGCTGCGGAGGATCCAGGAGGAGGACGTGCGGAACCTGTGGGTGACTGTGGCGGAGATGGGCGGCGGGGAGGGCGGGGGTGTTCCCGGGGATGTCGGGGGGGTCCCGGGGGCGTCCGAGGTGCTCGGGCAGCACCTGCGGGGCATCGGGGAGCGCGTGGAGCGCGTGGAGGCGGAGCGCGATGCGGAGAGGGAGCGTGCGGAGGCGCGCCGCGCGCAGGAGGCCGCGCAGACAGCGCAGCTGTCGCAGCGCTGTGCGGCGCTGCAGGGGTCCCTGGCGGAGACCCAGGCGTACCTCGCGTCGGCGATCGAGGAGCACCAGCGCGTCCACGCAGCCAAGCAGGTGAGACGCACGGCACGGCATGGGGCGGCCGACCCCCCCCTGAGTCAGTCAGGAGCATGTTTAAGACTCATACTTCTGTAGCAGCGATCGATGTTCTGACGACCGACGCCCTACAGACGCTCGCCTCTACGGTCCGTGCACGCAGGAGGCCGAGGAGAGGTCGAGCAAGCTCGCGGCGGACCTCGCAGCGCTGAAGACGGAGTCCGCGCGGGCGCAGGCGGGCGCGCAGGAGCAGTCCGAGCGCGCTGCGGCGGAGACCGAGAGCCTGCGTGCTGCGGTCGCGGCCGCCGAGTCGCGCGCCGCCGCTGCGGAGGCGGAGGCGCGCCGCGTCGCGGAGCAGGCAGATGCGACGCATGGCGTGCTTCGTGCGGCCGCGGAGGAGGCCGCCCTGGAGGCCAGCGCGCTGCGGGGCGCCCTCGAGGAGGCCGAGGCCGCGGCAGCGGCCTCCGCGTCTGCTGCGGAGTCGGCGCGCGGGGAGCTGAGGGCAGCGCTCGACGCGCTGTCGGCCGCGCACGCCGGCGCGAAGGACGGCCGAGCAGCCGCCGACGCGGCCGAGGCGCGGGCGGTGGAGCTCGAGCGCGCCCTTGCCGCCGAGCGCGAGTCGCTCGCGGCCGCACAGATCCGTGCAGACGACCTCGAGGCTCATGCACGGCGCAGCGCTGAAGAGGCGGCACGTGCGCGCGCGCAGGCCGAGGAGCGGGAGGCGCAGTCGCGGGACGAGGCGGCCCGGGAGCTGGAGGCGCGCGCGACGGGTCACCGGCGCACGATCGAGGACCTGGAATCGCGGGTGCGGTCGCTGGCGACGGCGATCGATGCGAAGGAGGCGGAGGGGGACAAGCTGCATCGGCAGGTCGCGCGGCTGAAGCAGGCGCTGCAGGCGCGGTCGGCGGCGCTCGAGGCGGCGGAGGGGCGCGCGAGGGAGGCGGAGGAGGCGCGTGCAGAGGCAGCGCGGCGCGCGGAGGCCCTGGAGGGCGCGGCGGCGAAGCCGGCGGGGGCGGGCGCCGGCGAAGGGCTGCCGTCGCCCGCGCACTGGCCTGTGGGGCAGGTGCAGCGCTGCGAGGCCGCAGGGGCGCTGCCGGCGCCCGCGGCATGGCCGGCGAGCTCAACGGTGCACACGGGCGAGGGCACGCGCGGCCAGGACGCGGCCGCGGCGGACGTGGAGGGTGATGCGCATGAGGAGCGGCCGCAGCCGGCTCGGTGGCCCGCTGCGGAGGCGGACGCCAAGCCGAGCGACGCAGGCCGAACCACGGCACGCGGGGGCGGCGCCGAACGCGCGCAGGCGAAGCCGGCCCCAGGGTCGGCGCGCGAGGAGCGTGACGCGGCTGTGGAGCAAGCGCCGCGCGCGGAGCAAGGGCCGGAGGTCGCTGGCGCTGAGTCCGGTCAGACAACGGACAACACAGGCACCGGCAACGGCGATGCGGTCGCGGAGCACGCGCACGACGGGGTCGCTGACGCGTGCGCGGTGCAGGAGGCGAGCGCCTCCGCTCCGGCGACGCTGTACGTCCCGGAGGGCAAGCGGCGGCCGGCGGGGCGTAGGGAGCCCACGCAGGCACGTGTGGGCGACGCGCCAGGCGACGCCGCGCATCCAGCGCTGCAGGACCTGCACGAGCACCTGCACGCCGCGCTGTCCGCGGTGCCGCGCGGCGCGCCCTCCGCAGCGCCCGACGCGCCCACGCCCGCCAACACGCCCCCGTGGGCGTCGGACGCCGCCTCCGCGCTGTCTGCGGCGGTGGAGCGGCTGGACGCGTTCGGGTCGCGCCTCGCGGACGCCGAGAGCCGCGCGGGGGCCGCGGAGGTCCGCGCCGCGGGCCTGGAGGCGGAGGTGGCGGCGCTGCAGCGCGGGATTCGCGAGGCCGAGGCGCTGCACTCGCGGGCGGCGTCGGCGGCGCAGGCGGCGGAGTCGCGCGTGCGGACGCTGACGGAGGAGGCAGCGGAGCTGCGTGCGGCGCTCGAGACGGCCCGCGCGGCCGCCACGGGCACGTCTGGCGAGGTGGCGCGGGCGATGGCGCCGCTGGAGCGGCGGCTCGCGGAGAGCTCGGAGGCGCTGACGGCGGCGCGGCTCGAGGCGGCGAAGGCGAACGAGGCGACGGATGCGGCGGAGGCGCAGGCGCGGCGGCTGGCGGCGGAGCTGACGTCGGCGCGCGCCGGCGAGGCGGACCGGGCGGCCGAGGTGGAGCACGCGCAGCGGTTGGCGGCGCGGCTGCAGGCGGAGGTGGCCGCGCACCGCACGCAGGCGAGCAAGCTGCTGGAGGCGCTCGGCGCGGCCGGGGCGGGCGAGGGGGAGGGGGGTGTCGAGGGGGGGAGTGCGGGGCTCACGTCGGGCGTGGAGCAGCTGCAGGGGCTGTGGCGGCGCGCGGTCGACGCGGCGGAGAGGGACGCGGAGGAGGCGGACGCCGCGGCGCAGAGCCTGCGCGCACAGCTCGAGCGAACGGTACGTCCCCTGAAAACCCCCCTACCCCAACGCACTCGAGCCAAGCGGCCCGCCTGCTGCGCGCAGTGCGTCGTCTCACACTGCGTGTATCAGCACGCAATCCCTGTGTCGTTGCCGCCGCAGGAAGCCGCCCGGGCAGCCGCGGAGGCGACGTGCGACGAGCTCGAGGACCAGCTGGCGGCGGCTCGCGCGGAGTCGGAGGGCGCACGGGCGTCCGCGGGCCTCGCTGCGCAGGTGGCGGCGCTGGAGGTGGAGCTCGCGGCCGCGAACGCGGCCCGCAGCGAGGCCGAGGGGGCGTCGCGCGACGCGGCTGCCAAGGCGGTACAGCGCTCGGAGGAGGCGCACCACGCGCGCAAGGAGGCGCGGGCGGCGAAGAAGGCGGCCGCGGACGCCGCGGCGGAGGCGGAGCGGCTGCGGGCGCGCGTGGCGGAGCTGGAGGCGGCGGCGGCGGCGGCGACGGAGCGCGGTGACGGCGCGGCCGCGGAGCTGAAGGCGACGCGCGCGCAGCTTGCGCGGAAAGAGCGGGAGTGCGTGGAGCTCTCGACGATGCTCAAGGCCTGGGAGCGGATCCGGTCGTCGCACGCGAAGCAGCTGCAGCAGATGAGCACCGACAGCGGGGGGGGTGTCGAGGGGGGTGTCGACGCCGGCGCGGCGCGGGAGCCGGCGCCGGGTGCGGGGCAGGAGCGCGCCACGCGGGCCGCGCCGCCCGGAGCGGTGGCTGCGTGGCTGCCGCCCCCGAACCCTCGCCCGGCGCGCGTCAAACGCGGGGAGAGCGGCACAGACCGGAGGGCGCTCGCCTTCCTGGGGACGAAGCGCATGAACGCGGGCGCGAGAGTGTGATGCGTGTGGCGGTGCCAGGGGACGCGGCGCGGTCGCGGGGTGCGTCGCGGGTGTGACTCTGTACGTCGCAAGAGCAGCAGCACGAACGGGTGCGGTCCGGCGGGCGGCTCGGACTGCGGGGGCGCTGGGGCGTGGCGGCGCCGGTTGCGCCTCGATCAGCGACAGAGCGCGGTCGTTTTCCTTGCTGTTCCGCGGCCCAGGGCGCGCGCGGGGGGGCACACGCCACCCCGCACACCGCAGTGCGCGCGCCGCCTGCTTCTACCGACACGCGCATTGCTTCTGCGCCGCTGCGGGGCGCGGCGGGCCTGCTGAGCGCCCGGGCGCGCCGCGGGGCGCCGCCCGCCCCCGGACTGCGTCGGAACCCGCGGCCCTTCCACTCTTCTGTCACAGGTGTGTTCATAACGCGCGCATTCCCGCCTGTCAGCGCCGCACGGCCGGACCGGCGCCGTGCGGGCGGGGTTCGCACGTTCGCGCGGCCGTCCGCGCTCGTATGCGCGAAGGCGCGCTTCGCGGGGCCCCGGGCGGCCGCGGCGGCGGTTGGCCGCGCGGCGGGGCCGCCGGGTGGAGGGTGGGTGTGACCTGGGGCGGGGGGTGGCGGCGTTGTGGGCTCGCGGGCGGGCGCGCGCGGCGCAGAGCGAGCTGCGTGGCTGCGTGGGTGCGACGAGGGTGCGGCGCTGAGCTAGTGAGCTGATCTTCGGTGTGTCGGAGGCGCGAGGCGGCCTGGAAGGGCGCAGGCTGCGGGCGCCTAGGTCTTCGTGGGCGGTAGCGGCGCGATGGACGGTGTGGACGAGGCCTTGACGGCGCAGGACGGGAACAGGGTGAACGGAGCTGAGGATACGAAGCCGCGCACGCGCCGGCCGACGAAGCTGGCCGCGGCGACGCAGGTGCTGCCCAAGCAGTGGCAGGAGGCGCTGTCGTCCACCGCGCGGGCCAAGCTGGGCCTCAAGGTCAACTTCCACAAGCTGGACACGAACTCCCTGAGGAAATACCGCAGGTGCGGGGCCCACTAGGCGCGGCTGGCGCTGCCTTTGACGAGAAATCGGGGGCTCTGAACCATCTCTGCCCCCCGCCGCGTACCGCGCAGGTTCTACAAGCTGCCGGACGTCTCTCCGGACGCCACGAAGGAGAACCTCGTGATGGCCGTCGGTAGGCACTTTTCGGCGCAGAACGTGGACGAACAGCGGGTCATCAATGCGTTCCTCGGACGGGTGCGGAACTCCTCGCGCTGAAGCATTCACAGGCGACGCTGCGCCGTCCCCGGGGCCGCGTAATGTGTATACGGCCAGCCTGTGAGCCGTCCTTGCCTGCTGCGAGCGCAGCCGCGCCGCCGCACCCTCACTGCGCCCGCTTGTCTCGCGCGCCCCGTGGCGCGCCGCCCGCGGCCCAGGCGTCGCGAAACCGGGCGCTTACGGGCTCCGAAGAAGCGCTGCCCCGGGCCCGCGGGGGAGAGAGCTGCCAGGGCTGCCTGTCGCCGCGCCCGGAGGACCTGCCGACCCTGCCTTTCGACGCCACGCCGGCGCGCGTCGCAGACCACGGATCCACGATCGGCCTCCGCAACCCCCTTCTGCGCGCCGACAAGCGCGCCTCACGCCGACTCCGGGCCGTCCGCCCGCAGCAACTCGGCTCTAGGACATGCCCGCCACGACGGGCAGTGCCAAGCCGGCTGTGGCGGGTCGCGGCGGCAACGACCGACCTCGCCGCGCCCTCAGGCCGCGCTCACTGACTTTGAAGTGTCCCGTGCGCGGCCGTGGGCGGCGGAATACCGATCGTCGAGCGCCGCAGCAGCCCGTCAGCTGTCACCGACGAATCTCTTTCAGGCGTTGCGGGGATGCACTCGCGAAGGCCCTAGCGCGCGCCTCGGTGCGAAATTGCTCGGTTTGAGTGCGAATTCGCGTCCCCACGCGCGTGCGGCGGGCGGGCCACGCGGGTCGCAGTGCGCAGCTACGCACGGGCCAACGACCGCAACGGGCCGTGCGGCGCGGCGCCGCGGAGCGCGCCCGGGAGGCCCGCACAGCGAAACCGCGCAGCCGTCGCCGCACACAGCCCGCCTCTTGCGGCCACGCCAGCCCGCGCACGCCCCAACTTTCCTCGACAGTCGCACGAGCCTTCGAGCACACCCGCCGGCCCTCGTGCCGCCCGCAGTCAGCGCTGAGCGCACGTTTCATCACCGGCAGCCCTCGGAACTCCGCCCGCATCCCGCCCTCAGCCCCGCCAGCGCCCGTTCCCTCGCCTGCACCCCCCTCAAGGGCCGTGCGCGCGCCGCCTTGGACCGCCCGCCGGGCCACGACGCGCCAAATCGCGCCACACCAGCCCAGCTACGACCCGGCCGCGCCCCTCGCCACGCACGCGGCCCGCCTGCCCGCGCCCAGGGCTCGTCAACGACCACGCGCCAACTCCAGGTCACACACGCGCCGCCGACGGCGCCCGCGCGGCCGGCCGGCCTCACAGGCCCTTGCGCAGAATATCGCGGTACTCCTGGGACTCGAACCACCGGTCGATCTCCCTCGCGCGCATCACGGGCAGCGGGTGCGACAGCTGGCGCGTCTGTGCGTTGCGCAGGTACCAGCCGAGCGGCGACGACGTGGCCTCGTCGTACGAGCGCGCCTGCTCGAGGAAGGCCTCCACGTTGAGCTCCGTCGCGAACTTCGCCGTCCCGCCCGCCAGCTTCATCAGCGCCGACACCACCACCCTGGAATCTTGCGCCACCAGCAGCGCCGCGCGGTCGCACGTGAGCTCTGCACGGCGCGCACGGGCGGAGCGGCGGTGGGGCCGGCGGCGCCGCGACAAACGGCGCGCGGGCGCGGACCGCGCAAGCCGCTCTCGTGCGTGTGCGCGCAGACGGTGTGGGCGGCGCCGGGGAGGGCGGCCGCGACGCGGCGGCGCCGCCGTGCGCGCGCGTCCAGGGGCTGGTGCGGCGCGAGCGGGCGCCGCGAGGGCGCCGCGGCGCAGGGCGGCTCGACGGGGGTTAGAGAGCTGCGGGGGGGGGGGCCTACCAGCGGCACGGAGCCAGCGGAGGAGGTTGTCCTCGAGCGTGGCGCCGACCATGGGGATGACGGAGGCGGTGCTCATGGCGAGGAAGTTCGCGAGCGTGAGCCACACGCCGTGGTCGCACTTGAGGTGCCCCAGCTCGTGCGCCAGCACGGCCTGGAGCTCCCGCTCGGACAGGATCTCGATCAGGGAGGTGTGGACGACGACGAAGGGCTTGCGGCCCGCGATCGCGAGCGTGTAGGCGTTCGGGACGGGGTTCTGCCGGATGTAGAGGTCTGCGGGAGCGCGGGGTTGGGAGTCGAGAAACGAGGTCTGTGGGCGCGACGAGGCGAGGGGGGCGCGGGCGGGTCGCGCGGGCGCGGGGGGGCGCGGGGGCGCGGCGCAGCGTGGTGCGAGCGAGGGGAAACGAGAAGGGAAACGGTGGTAGGGTTTCCCTCCGCACCTGGAGCATCCATGCCGAGCATGGTCGCGGCCTCCTGCATGCTGTTCCAGACGCTCGGGAGCTGGTCGGGCCCGACCTTGACCGACGTCGAGATGTTCTCCAGGAGGAGCACCTGCGCGGGCGCGGCACGGCGGGCGCGAACGGGGCGTGGGCCAACCGCCGTGGGCCCGAGGGAGAGACACCGCCCGCTGCGGCGGGTCCGCGGCTTCCCGCGCCGATCCCGCTCGAGATTCTCGAGGGTTATCGCTATTTAGGGGCCTGAGGGGGGGTGCGGGCCGGGAGACCCGCCACAGTCGGCGGAAAACGACATCCTAGGGATGGGCGAGGACGGGCCGTCCGTACGCGACGGGCGCGCTCCACGGCCTCGCGGCCGTCGCAGAACGCCGCTTCGCTGTGGCGCGAGCGCGCTGCGGCGCGCGAGGCCCGCGGAGGGCGCGCTGCGCGGCCGTGCGGGCGCGGTGCAGTGCGCACCTGCTCAGCCACGGGGCCCATGATGTTCTTCGCGATGGCCTCGAGGCCCGGGAGCGAGCGCAGGAGCTGCGTGTTCTGCTGGTCGAGCGGGTGGCGGAAGTCGTCGCCCGTGAGGCCCTTGAACAACCGCACGCGCTCGCCGGGCCCCTCGCCCGGCTCCGACGCGACCCTCCCCGCCACCTGCGCGGCCTCCACGGCCGCCGCGGCGCCCGGAGGCATCCCTCCCCTCGCCCCGCGCCTCGGGCGCCCCGTCGCCGGATCGATCTCCATCATCTGCAGCCCGTCTCCAGCGGCGTCCCACGCATCGCGCGGACCCGCACCCTGCCGGGCGCCCGTCCCGAACACGTCGCCGTCCTTCGAGCCCCAGAACTGCACGGAGGCACGGGAGAAGGGTGCTCGGTCTGGGGGCCGCGGGATGGGTGGCGGGAGGGGGCCTCGCGCGCGCAAGCGGGAGAGGGACTGGGGAGGGGAAAGTGGGGACATGTTGCGCGGGGGGGGGGTGCGGCGCGCGAGGCAGGCGGGCGTGCAGGTGGTGGGACTCACCGCAGCGCAGACGGGCCCGAGGCGCGCGGAGTGTGCGGGTGGCGCTCCGCGCGGCCTGCGAGCGCGGTGACAAGGGCAGCTCGGAGGGCGCGCCCCCCGCAGCGCGCCGGCCGAGAAGGCCGCGCCTGAAGAGGGCATCGTTGCGGAAGGGGACCGTGCGCGGGGGCGGGCCCAGACGCGCGCCGTGCTCGCCCGGCGAACCGCGCGGGCGGGTCACCTACTACAGCGGGGCAGAGGTTGCTCGCAGCCGGGGCGCAAACACGCGTGGGCGAGCAGCTGCGATGCGAGCGGACGTGGGGCGGGCGCGGCGGCGGCGGCGCAGACATGCGCGGGCGCGGCGGGGGCGTCGCGCGGTCCTGTGTGTGTGGCGCGGGGGGGAGAGGAGTCAAGGTGGGGGTCTGGTGGGGCGGGGCGGGGGCGAGGAGGGCGCGCGGGGCGCCGGGAGCGTGGCATGTGGTCGGTGGAGTCTCCGGAGACGGCCTGACCCGCCTGTGGTGGCCTTGAGAGACCGGGAGGCGCAGGAAGTGGTGCAGGCTCTGGGGTGCTCCCGCGGCGAGGCGTGGGCCCTGTCGGGCGTGTTTGAGAGCCAGTCGTCACGATGGCGAACCGCATGGACCAGAAGGGGCAGTGGCAGCAGGCCCAGTGCGTCCCCGGCCCGAATCGCGCGGGCTTGGTTGCCGCCCCGAGACGCGCCCGCGGCCCCGCGGTCGACGCACATTCCGCGTCCGTTTCCGCGCGAAGGGCGCTCTATACCCCCGGCCATCCCCGCCGTCCGTCGTCGCGGGGCCGCCACGCCGTGTAGCTGCGCGGGGCAGGCGAACAGCCTGGCGCTGGCGTGGTTGGAATCTGGCTGCCGCTTTCGGGGCCCGCGGCCGTGTTGTGGGGGCCGCGGAGCACCGCCCCGCATGGATCTACGCCGCTGCCTCTTTCCCGGCTGCGCTCCGTCCGTCGAGCCGCATCCACACGCAGCAGCGGCGAGACTAAAGGCCACCACGTTGGTCCTCCAGCACGCCCCGCCCGCGCGTGCGTCCTCCAACAAGCCGCCTTCCCGCCCCCCCGCAGATCCCAGCTGCGCAATGCGCGCAAGGAGGGGTACAACCAGCACTGGGAGGTGCGAGCACGGCCGGAGCAACACCCTCCCGCCCCCACGCCGCGCGATCCTCCCTCGCAACGCGCCCTCGAGACGCGCCCGGCGCCCTCCGCCCCCCTCGCAGGTCGGACTGTGCAGCACGTGCATCACGGACCCCCTGTACTGCTGCTTCGCGATGTTCTGCCCCTACTGCGCCTCATGTCAGCTGCGGTACCGGGCCATCGGGCGGGACTGGAACCGGTACATGTGCTGCCAGGGCTACATGCCGTGCTCGGGCAAGTGCGGCGAAAGGTGCGCTCCTCCCACGCACCCACACCGCACATACATCCTCTAGCACACGCACGCACACGTGGGGAATGAGATCGCCCTGCTTCGCCGGGAAGTGCGCGGCCAGAGCCGCACGGCGCGCAGCAAACCGACGCAGCGTTGCCTCGCCGCCCGCAGGAACTGTCCGGCGTTCTGCATGTGCATGGAGGCGACGTGCTGCTTTGCGGCGTCGGTGCAGGCCACGCGCTACACGCTCCAGGACGAAATGCACGTCCGGAACACAAAGTGCGACAACTGCCTCATCGCCACCATGATCTTCTTCCAGGTCAGCGAACGCCCCCCACCACGACGCACGCGCACACGCAGCAGCGCGCCGCAGTCCCGGCGCCGCCCCTACGACGCGCCTGCCTGTCCTGCCGCGCAGCTCCTCTCACGCACTACATCTCTACAACACTCCCCCCCCCCTCCCGCAGTACCTGGCGTTCATCTGTCGCATGGTGGCGTGCATCACCGGGAGCGACGAGATCGACGCGATCGCAGACATCGTCGAACTCATCGCAGATATCCTCTGGTGCACCGTCTGCGCCTGCATGCAGACCCAGGCGCGCCGCCCCCGACGCCCCGCGCCCACAACACGCGTTGCGCGTGCTCAACGCCCACCGTTCCGCACCTCACCGCGCCGCTTCCCGCGCGCCGCGCCCCGGACACGCAGGCGAAGATCCAGATGGACAAGCGCGACCAGCAGCCGTCGATCGTCGTGCAGCAGCTCGACCCGTGGCAGGCCCCGCCGCCCATCCAGTACATGCAATCCGGGGGCTGGGGCGCCGCGCCGCAGCAGGGCGCGTACCACCACGTGCAGAGCCGGCCGCAGGGGCAGCCGCAGTACCCGCCGCAGCAGGCCGGGTACCCGCAGGGGCCTTACCCCCCCCAGGGGGGTTACCCGCCGCCGGGACGGTACCCCCCCCAGGGGGGGTATCCGGGCGGTGCTCCGCCGCCGAACTACGGCGCGCCCGCTGGATACCCCGGAGGCGGGCCGGCGATGGGGTACCCTGCGAGGAATTACTAGGAAGTCGACGACGACACGCAGTGATTCAAAGTGTGACGGACTTCGAGGAATCGTGACTGGCGCGCAACCTGTGGAGATATGGCGCGCACGAGTGACCTCGGACGCCCCGCCAGACAGCGCTGCGACGCACTGAGGCCACGCTGCACCTGCCAGGGTCGCACAGCTGCCCTGACGCGCCCCGCACTGCCGGCTGCGCCCGCCGTGCCGCCCCCTGCCGACCCTCGCCCAGCGTCATGTGCTGTCCGGCGCCCCAGCGCGACGCCAGTGGCACGCGCCCCGTTACGTGCGTTTCGTCTTCCTTACAGCCCATCGTACGCGGTCGGATGAGAGAGAGTGCGCGGGGGCGGTGGATCTGGGGCCGTCGGCAGACTAAAAGATGGACTTGTTGCAACAATGTTGCAAGGTCATAGTTCTTGACGTCCTGGTTTTGGCGGTGATGTCGGCGTGTGGAGCGGCAAGACGGCGAGGCCTGCGGGGTCGCGGTCAACACTCGGTGGCTCACATGAGGCCGCGTCGCCAGGATGTTGTGTTGGGCGGCGGCGAGGCTCTCCGGCACCGTGCGAGAGAGGTGACCGCGGGTGCGGTCAGCGGAGGAGCTGGCGACGCGCGAAAGCTCACGTTCTGTGGAGGAAAAGGGAAGTCACCGCCCCCGGTGCCCTCAGGTCGTGTCTCAGAAAGTGCGGACCCATCCCCGTTGGCCGAAGCCTCTGGCCACAGGGAAAGGCCTCTGCGCCGTGCGGCGGGCCGTGCGGCGCCGAAGCGCAGGCCTGGACGCGCGCGGCGTCCGACGGCGCGCGTTGTCGCCGTCGGCGAGCTGCCTCGGCCCAGAAGCCTACAAGGGGGGCGCACGTGCTGCAGTCGAGTCCCGAGGACAGCGCAGGTGCGAGGGGGGCAAGAACGGCCCAAGAGGGTGTGTGGACGGCTGGCCGCTGGGCTGGAGAGGGCTGCGTGACGTGGCAGGAGCAGGAAGTCAGGGTTGGGTTCAACTGGCAAGGTGGGGGGGTAATAGATTGGGAAGGTGTTGCAAGGGCTAGGTGATGTGATCGGTGTTCCGAGATGCGCGCGAGGGGCCTCGCTGCTAGACAGCGCACGCCCCGCCACGGGAGCGGGCATGTGGATTGTCTGTGGTGAAGGGGGGGGGGTGTTGGAGGCGAGGCCGAGGGGCGCTATCCCTGCGCGCCCTCTTTCTGCTCGTCCTCGCCCGGCCCCGCCTGCCCGCCGCCGTCCTGCGCCCCCTGCCCTCCCTGCGGCTGCTCCGGCCCACCATGCTGCTTCAGCAGCCGCTCGTGCTCCTGCCTCATGGCGGCCGCGGCCTCGCCGACCGCCTTCGCGAACACCAGGTGCCCCTCGTCCATCGAGGCCTTCATCAGCGCCTCGCCCAGCGCGGCGTTGCTGACGCCGGTGTTGGGGGTGTTGAGCAAAGACCCCGGGTTGAAGTGACTCAGGGGGGTGTCTCCGGGCGGGTCCCCCCCGCGCACCCACTTGGCCATCTGCTGCAAGCTCGTCGTGCGCTTCGCCTCCCCGCCCCCCGCCGCGCCCTCCGCGCCGCTGGTCGGCGGCGCGGCCATGGCTTGAAACACCTGCGCCATGCCCACGGGCGACGCGAGCAGGTCCGCCATCAGCGCCTGCTCCGTCGTGAGGCCCGCGTGCGCGCCCTCGCCGCCCTGCGCCGCGCTGGACACGTAGTGCTTGACCAGCGTGTTCATCAGGCTCGCCGTCGTGCCGCCCTGCTCCCCGCCCTGGTGCACCCGCGGCTGGCTCGCCAGCTGCACGAACGCCTGCCGCTGCTGCTCCGCCGCCTGCATCGCCAGCAGGCTCGACGTCCACGGCGTCGCGGACAAGTCGTCCATGTTGGGCAACATGCCCGGCGCAAGCTGCCGGGCGTCCCCCGCGCCGCCGCCCGCGAACCGCTTGCCGCCGTCGGCGGCCAGGTCGCCCATCTGCGGCGGCCGGAACCCCGCGTTGCAGCTCGCAGGCCCCCCCGTGGGGTCCACGAGCCCTGCGTTGCCCGCAAGCGAGTTGCCTCCGGGGGAGTTCAGCGACACCAGGCACTCGGCCACCTCGTGGTCCGGCATCAGCGCGCCGTTGCGGCGCTTGCGGCCGCCCGCGGCGGCCGGCGACGCGCCGCCCTCGACTTCGAGTTGCAGGTCGGCGCGCAGCCCGCGCCGCGCCTGCAGCGACATCTTACGCGGCGACTGCGAGCCCCCCGAGCGGTTCGACGGCGAGCCTCCGCCGCTGCCGGTGTTGAGCGGCGGCGGCCGCCCGCCGCGCCCCGCGGCGCGCCCCTCGCCCCACTGCGCGGCCACGTTTGCCGCAGCCTGCATCTGCAGGTTGCCCGGCGCGCCGCGCACGACGCCCGCGGGCGCCGGCGGCATCCCGGGCGGCGCGTCCTCGCCGCCGCCGCTGCTCTCTCGCGCGCGCCGCGACGTCCTGCTCCGCGGCTCCTTGACCGTCGGTTTCGGCGCCTCGTGCGTGTGCGCGCCGTCGTAGGTCGTGACGAGGTACGACGGGTCCTCGTCGTCGCGCTCGACGTGCTTCCGCACCATGCACCCGGGCGCGGTGCACTTGTAGTAGCTGCGCGGGAAGTGGCTGCCCTTGACTTGTTTCTGACCGTACTTGCGCCACTTGAAGCCGTCGTTGATGACGCCGCTCTCGGACTGCACGCGCACGACGCGCTTGCGGCCCTCGCCGTCGTTCGGGCCGCCGGGGAGCATCATCGCCTGCGCGGCGCGCATCCCCGCCGCGGCGTCGTCGTTGCCCGGGGGGGGGTCCTCGACGACGCCCCCGCCGACCGCGGCCGTGCGCCGCTTCTTGCGCCGGCCGCGCCCGAGCTCCTCGTCCGGATGCGCGTCCTGCGTGCCGTCCTCGGCCTTGCTCGCGTCCCCGCCCGCGCGCCCCGCGCCACCGCCGCCGCCGCCGCCGCCGCCGGCCTTGTCCTCGCCGTGCATGCTCGCGCCCGCCGACGTGAGGCCCGCATCCCCGAAGAGCGCCGACATGCTCAGGTTCGCGTCCGCCCCGGCTGACGGCAGGTCAGAGGGCAACAGCAGCCCTCCTGCACGCACATGGGGGCGCAGCGCGCGCCGGCTCAGCGAACCGGCCGCGCGGCGGAGCTCGACGGGCGCGTGCGGTCGTCGGGGGCGGGCGCGCACCTTCGAGGCCGTTGCGCAGCGCCAGCGGAAAGGCCGAGCCTGGGGTTGCAATGTTGACTGCGAGGCCGCACTGCCTGCCGGCGGCGTTGACGTTGTTCGCGGCGTAGGCCGCGTTGAGCACGGAGCGCATTTGTGCGTCGGGCTCCTTGTCCGCGGGCATGCGCGTCGGGATGACGTGCGCGCGGGGGGATTCGACAGCCACCGCGTGGAACGACGTGTTGGGGGACTGCCGCGGGCTCGCGCGGCCGTACGGTGGGCGCGAGGGCCGTCTCCGTGCGACGAGGGCGTTCGCTGCGGGCGGCGGGGGCGCGGGGCGCGCGGGCGGCGTGAGCGGCGCCGCGGAGTGGGACGGCGGCATTCTATCCGACGCGCGCCGAGCGGCGCGCCGCGGGCGAGGCGCCGCGTGCGCCGCGGCAGGGGCCGCAGACGAGGCTCAGCGGCCGCGGCGGTCCGTCAGGCCGAGGACGCGCGGCGCGCGGCAGGAAACCGCGCGCGCGTGCACGCGGTCAACCGGGCCCACCTCGGCCGCGCGGGGGCCGCGCGGGGGCCGGACGGGGCGCGCGGGGGCGCGTGGGGGTGCCTCACCTTGCTCTGTGTTTCTGTCCGCGCCGCCGTCCGCCAGGGGCATGTTACGCTCGGCGAAACACCGGCTCGAGTGGCGCCGACTGAAGCGTGCTGTCCGCCGCGCTCCCTGGCCGCCACGCGCTGGGCGGTCGCCGGACGCGGTGCACGCGCGCTCTGCGGTCCGGGGAAGCGGCGCGCGCGAGCGGGGGTGAGGTTCGGGCCGGGGGCAGGCGGCGCGCGCCGTGGCTCGCGCTGGGCAGCACGAGCGCGCAGTCGGTTGCGAGACCCGCGCAGCCGGGCGTGTAGACCGCGCGTGCGACGTCCGCGGGGGGCGAATCGTTGTAGGGCGGTTCCGCGGCGGACTAGGGCGCCCCGTGCGGCGCGCTGGGCGCACGCTCTGTCCGGTAGCTGTTGGGACGGCTAGGCCGGCCGGTCGCTGGGCGGCGCGCCCGGGGCGGGCGGCGCGCGCGACGACGGTTTCGTGCGAGGCCGCGAGCTGGCGGTCGCGCGGGATTCGCGGGCCGCGTCGGGGCGCTGCGGAGGCGCACCTGCGCGAGCCGTTCGGTCAACGCTCCTAGCCCGCGCCGCCGGGTCCACGACGGATGAATCCGCCGCCCAGGGCCCTTCCGTGAGATGAGACCAGCCCGCGGCGCCCGGAACGAACGCGAATGCGCGGCTGCGCGGCCGGTTGCGCGGGAGCTACCTTGCTTAGCGAGGGAGTGTCTTTGGCAGCGCTGCGGTGGGCAGTCGACCCTCAAAGATGTCCGACACGCTACAAGTGCCTCTGGAGGGCGCGGTGCGGCGCCGGTGAGCGCGACATGCCCCCCACAGGCGGCGGAAACACCCTCCAACGTTTGCGCGAGGCCGGCTCAGTCGGACGCCGCGTTGTCCGTCACCGTGGGCGCAAATCACCCGACGCCGTCGCGGAGACGTCGCCCTCGCACTGCGCTACGCTGCCCCGGCGGATCTGTGCCCATCGGTCCGAGGCATCGCGCGTGCGCGGGCCGGATGGCTAGGTATCTCCCAGATAGGCCACGAAGATAGTTTTGGTCACAAACCGTCGACTCGAGTGACGTGGAGGTCCTCGCGACGCATCGAGGCGCCGCACGGTGCGCGGCAGCCGGCCCGCGCGGCGCAAACGCCTACCGCCCCTCCCCCGGCGTCACCCTCACGAGCTGCAAGTCGAACCTGCGCGCGACCTCGTGGCACAGTGTGCGAGGGCATTTTGGTGCTATGCCGCGGTGGCTGCGGGTCGCGCGAGCACGTCGTCCGCCGGCCAGCGCCGCACGCGCGTCCGCGAAATACCGCATGTGCAGAACGGGGCGTGCACGTTGCATTGCGTGCGACGCGGCGCGCTGCGCGGCGTGTTCGTCTGCAGGGAGGAACGCGGGCAGTACGTCGCGTGGCGGCGGCGCGGGGGCGGGACGCACAGGAGGGTCTTGTCGATCATGGCGCCTGGGTTCGGCTTGACCACGAAGTCGAGCGCGCGCGTCCCCGCGAACGTCGACGGCGTCGGCTTCCAGTTCTTGAAGTCTCCGTTCGGGTACCCGAGCTCCGCCGGGACCACGATCCGCCGAATCCCGCCAGGCTGCGCCACGCAGGAACGAAACCGTCAAAGTTCGCGCCGTGATGCAACGCAACCAGCTCTTTCGCACTCGACGCGGCCCCCGCGGGCGCAGGCGGGCCGGGGCGCGCACCTTCATGCCACGGAGCGCCTCCTCGACGCCCGGGATCACCTGGTCCTTGCCGAGGGTGAACATCAAGTACTTCTTGTCGTCCCCGGCAAACGACGACCCCTGCGGCTTGTTGCGCGCCTCGAACGGGCGCCCGTAGTACCCCAGCGTGACGCCGCTCCAGTCCACCGTGAGCCTGTCGCCGTCCCTCGGAACCTCGCCCTCGCCCAGCTTGTAGTCCTGCGCGAGGCATCGGGACACCATGATGCGCGTTGCGAAACACCACGTGCGGTGTTCCGATGCGCCTCTGACCGGACTGCGGCCGGTGGGCGCGCTGGGCTGGAGCGCTGTGTGCGGGTGTACGTCGGGGCGGGCCGCGGTGGGCGAGCGGGGGCCGCGTGCGTCCGCGGCATCGGTTGCAGCGGGGGCGAACCTTGTATTGGAGCCCTGAGTCTGTGAGAGTGAAGTCAGGGTACTTGATGCGCGTCTTCCCGTAGTCCTTCCCCTCGAGAATACCGAGGCGCTCGTACTCCCCCTGCACCCGCGGCCCCTCGTCCGCATCGGCCTGCAAAGCTCACCAGGCATACGACGTCCTGACAGGGCCTCACGGGGCGGTCGCGCCTTGCGCCGGGCAGGTGCCTTCATGTTAGACACAGGGAAGCCTCACGCACCGTGTGCGCGCCACCGAGCCCGACGAGCGGCGCCGCAACGAGCCCCAACAGCAGCGCGGTGCGCCGTTGCGCGCTGCGCGGGGCCGCGCGGGCCGGGGCGGGCCTCCGGGCGCAGGCCGCGACGTCGCGCTGCGAGACGGCGCCGCCGCTGCGGCAAGACAGACTCCCCCCCGGCATGGCCTCGGCCCACCCTGCGACCTCGAGATGGACGCACCAGACGTGTGCTCTGCCTGCGCACAGGACGCTGACGGGCGCTTGTCCCGCGTTGTTGGGCGTCGCGTGTGCGAGTGCGTCCAGAGAACGCATCCGGACGCAAAGGGCGCCTGGACGCGCCGCGCACGGGGCAGGCGGTGGTCCTGGGGACCAGCGTTCAGTCTGCCTGGGGCTGTCGTGGCGGGAGCTCGCGTTGGTTGCGAAAGCGCGCGCGCGCGTCGGCCGGGCGCAGTCGGAGCTTCTGCACGTCGCGCAACGGATACCGAGCCGGGCTCGTGCACGCAGCGGATCGGCCATAGTCGAGGGCACAACAGACTGGCGGCAGCCGGCGCGGCTGGTGGGAGAGAGCGGCCGTTCGAGGGAGCTGGGGGTGCTTGGTATCCGCTGGGGTCTGGCTGGGCCGGAACGAATCGACAATGTCCGGCGTAGACGGCCTCACTGCCCAGATGGGCAAAGCCTCCATGGGGCCCGGAGTGGCCCCGTCGTACGTCTGCAACCCGCGCGTCGGTGCGTTTCCTCCCGAAATCCGCCCTGTCCTGGCGGGGGACGTGCCAGCATGGCGGGACACCCCCCTTTCGCGACGCGCTTGCTCTCGGTGAGGCTAGAGCTGCCGTTCACGGGCATGCCTGGACGCAGCGCGGCCATCTGTGCCGCGAGAAGGCCGCACAGCTTCCCGACATACTCGATTCGTGCCGACGCGACCCTCGCGGCCGCCCCCCCGCCGCTGCGCACCGCTCTGAGCTACCCATCAGCCCACGCTGCCCCCCCGGCCAGATCTGGCCCTCGTTTCCCACCGCCCGCGCTACCCCCCGGCCAAGCTCCCACACGCCGTCGCACCCAGCCACCCCGAGCGCCCCCCGCGCGCCCCCCGCCGCCGCCCCGGCCCCCTGCCCCCGCTCCTGCAGAGTACTCCACGGTGGCGGGCGTGTCGGGCCCGCTGGTCATCCTGGAGAAGGTCAACAACGTCAAGTACGCGGAGATCGTGGACATCAAGCTCGGCGACGGCTCGACGCGCCGCGGGCAGGTTCTGGAGATCGACGGCAACAAGGCGGTGGTGCAGGTCTTCGAGGGGACGTCCGGGATCGACAACCGCGCGACGAAGCTGGAGTTCACGGGCGACGTGATGCGCACGCCCGTCTCGAAGGACATGCTCGGCCGCGTGTTCAACGGCTCGGGCGCGCCCGTCGACGGCGGCCCCCCCGTGCTGGCCGAGGCCTTCCGCGACATCAACGGGTCGAGCATCAACCCCTCGCAGCGCACGTACCCGCAGGAGATGGTCCAGACGGGCATCTCGACGATCGACGTGATGAACTCGATCGCGCGCGGCCAGAAGATCCCGCTCTTTTCCGCCGCGGGCCTCCCGCACAACGAGATCGCGGCGATGATCGTGAAGAACGCGGGGCTGGTGCGCCGCGAGGCCGAGGGCGAGCACAGCAAGGCGGACGACGCCTCGCAGGAGTTCGCGGTCGTCTTCGGCGCCATGGGCGTCAACATGGAGACGTCGCACTTCTTCCGGGAGCAGTTCGAGCAGACGGGCGCGATGCAGCGGACGTGCCTCTTCATGAACCTCGCCAACGACCCGACGATCGAGCGCATCATCACGCCGCGCATCGCGCTGACCGTCGCGGAGTACCTGGCGTACGAGTGCGGAATGCACGTGCTGGTCATCCTGACCGACATGAGCAGTTACGCCGACGCGCTGCGCGAGGTCTCGGCCGCGCGCGAGGAGGTGCCCGGCCGCCGCGGGTACCCGGGGTACATGTACACCGACCTCTCCACCATCTACGAGCGCGCGGGGCGTATTGAGGGACTCCCCGGGTCCATCACGCAGGTGCGCGCACGCCGACCAGACCACGTGGCTTTTCGTTCTCTCTGCCAGGCACGAGCAGCGCTCGTCACGCGTTCCTCGGGAACGTGCTGCACGCAGCCGCCCGTGCGCGACGCAACGGCATGTTCCGTCCCCCACGTCGCGCGCGTGCGCGTGCGTGTCGCGCTGCCTCACATCGGACCGTGCACGACCGGCTCTGTCCCCCCGCCCTCGCGCCCGCGCAGATCCCGATTCTGTCGATGCCGAACGACGACATCACGCACCCGATCCCGGACCTGACGGGGTACATCACGGAGGGGCAGATCTTCATCGACCGCGCGCTGCACAACAAGCAGATCTTCCCGCCGATCAACGTGCTGCCCAGCCTCTCCCGCCTCATGAAGTCGGCCATCGGCGAGGGCATGACGCGCGGCGACCACTCCGAGGTGTCCAACCAGCTGTACGCCAACTACGCCATCGGGAAGGACGTGCAGGCGATGAAGGCGGTCGTCGGCGAGGAGGCGCTGTCGAGCGAGGACCTCCTGTACCTGGAGTTTCTCGACAAATATGAGCAGCGCTTCATCCAGCAGGGGTCCGAGGGACGCGACATCTTCGAGAGCCTCGACCTCGCGTGGGAGCTGCTGCGGCTGTTCCCGAAGGAGCTGCTGCGGCGGATCACGGGGAAGACGCTCGAGAAGTACTACGAGCGGCAGCAGGACTAGGCGCGCGGCAGAGCGGCGGCGAACACCGAAACACGAGTGGTGGTTCTTGCGGTCCGCTTGACTGGGATCCGGTGCCCCGAGCCGCCTGGAGGTCGCTCAGGGCTTGGGCGCGCGAGGGTGGCGTGGCAGGGGCGTCCGCGACGTCGTTGCGGAGCTGTGAGTGATGACGTGCGGGTTTCGAGAGGTGTGCTCCGGATCAGGCCTGTTTCTGCGTGGCTCGGCGCAGCTCGGCGGCGGCGGCCGCAGCGGCGGCGACGCCTGCCGCGATGTGCTGTGCCGGGTGCAGGACAGGCACCAGCCACAGCGTGCCCAGCGGCTGGATCGCCGCGAGCAGCCCGCAGACCGTCGCCGAGAGCAAGAAGGCCTGCGGTGGAGCGCCGGGCCGGGCGGTGAGCGGGCGGTGAGCGCAGTGGGCGTGTTCCTTATACAAGATGGTGCGAAAGAGAGCGGCTCGTTTCCACGCGCGCGCGGGTTTGCCGTGGGCGGGCGCGGCGCACCTGGCGCGGCCGGAGCGGCGAGCGCGTCACCGCGAGCGCACCGAACACGGCGCCGTGCACGAGGGCGACGGAGCATGCCCGCCACGCGAGGAGGTGTGGGGGCTCGACGGGCACCGCGGAGAAGACCTGCAGGGCCGGTTCTGCGAGCGGCGGCACGGCGCCGAGGCAGAAGCACGCGCCGACGGCCGCCGCGAACGCAGCGGCGCGGAACTGCCACTGCGGGGGCAGCTGGCGCGCGGCGAGACTGGCGGCGAGCTGTGACGCCGCGAGAACGGGCCACTGGTACGTGAAGGCGGACCAGACGCCGGCCGACATGCCGCTCGCGTAGGCGAAGAACCATAGGGCCATGGAGGGTGCGAGGCCGCGTAGGTAGACGACGGGGAGTTGTGACGCAGGGCCTTGGGCGCGCGTCGAGAGCAGGGACAGCGCCGCCTGAGCCGCGATGGAAGCGGAGAAGGCTCCGGTGAGCTGTACGGTGCACACCAGCGCAGGCGTCACCCCGCGCAGCGCGATGGCGCCTGCCGCGGTGGCCTCGGCTACGCGCGGCAGGACTCCGCTCGCTGCGAACAGTGCTTCGGTTCCTACGAACGCGACTGCCGCGGACTCGATCGTGGATGCAGCAGGGCTTGATTTCGCGGCCCGTGTGAGAACTCGCGGTGCCCCTGCCGACCTGCACGGACGCGAGACCTACCCACAACTGAAGCGCTCTCCGCCCCCTCGTTGAAGGACATGTTCCGACGCTGCACCGTTCAACTGATAGCACTGATGCATGAGCTCACTGCGGACGTCTGTCTGTCTCACCTCATCCTTGCATCATGTGCCGCGGACACGCCTCCTCCCGCGAAGGGCACGGCACCACGCAGCCCAGACGTCAACATTCCGGCTCCGACTGCACGACAGAAGGCCCTGCCTCCTACGTGGCGCTAGAACATGCGTCGTAGCACCTCGGTGGAGCTGCGCAGCGCGGCAATGGTCCGCAGAAAGGAGTCGAGGTACAACACCAAGCAAACGACTCAGGGGGGGTGTCCGGGATGGGATTCAGGCCTGAGAGGTGGACCAACGCTCGCGGCCACGTTCGAGGGAGCCCACCCGTCGGCTGTTCGCCGTCGACCCCGCTCTCAGGCGCATGAAAGGCTTCGGAAAGTCTTTCGTCCAAAAAGTGAACGTGCGCTCTGCGCCAAAAGCTGCAACGACCGAAGCCTGGCTCAGAGCGGAGCTCCCGCGACGCGCGGATCCCCGGAGCGCCAGCACCGCCAGCAGGCAGCGTGATGCTCCCTTGCGCACACGTCACACGTTGGCAGCTAGGCCTCCGCCTGCACGTCCGCCTTGCCGTGCAGCGCCATGGTCATTTCGACCGTCGCCATCGGCTCCCTCGGCTGCCGCGGATCGGCGAGCCCCATCATGACCTGCGGGTGCGGCGCGGCACGGGGCCAATGAGCGAGTGCGTTGCCCACTGGAGCAGCATCATGCGTCGCGGAGGCGCACGACGCGGAGCGGTTGCGTGCCCCGTGTCGTGTTCGCGACGCCGGTGTCTGTGTGTTGTCAGGGAGGGAAGGGGTGTCGCACCCCGTTCTCGTCGAAGAGTTTGGGGAGGGGTATAAGCTTGAGTTTGACTGACTCAACGTCACTCCCCAGGCCCCGCAACAGCGGCGGGAACGTTGCGCGTCCCTCCGCGAGCTTCTCCGACCTGCGACGCAGCCGCACAGCGCGCAACGCTCTCGCACCGCAGTACAACACCAACATGACACCTCGACAGTCTGACTCATGCAGGGGGTGTTTCAGCAGCGGCAGGGCAGGATTCCGCACGCGAACAGCTCCGGCGCGCGCTCCGGCAGCGGCTCCTCCTCCTCCGGCTCCGCGTCCGCGGGGGGCTTCTTCCCAGCCGCCTTATCTTTCGCTTCGAGTTCTCGTTTTTCCATCTCCCGTTGCAACCTTCGCTCCTCGTCTGTCATGCGCTCGTACCGCCGCCACAGCGTCAGCCTCACGCCGCTGCGCATCAGGTCCCGCAGCCGCACGTCCACGGGCACCCGTCCGACCCACCGCAGCTTCCCGGGGGACTTCCCGACCTCCCTCTCCTCCGCGGGGGGGGGCGCGGCAGCGCCGCCTCCCTTCTTGTCCTGCGCCGCTTTCTTCGGCTCCACGGCCTCCGTCGGCCGCTCGCGCAGCTGCACCTTCAGCGGCTCCGTCCGCAGCGGCGGCCTCGCGTCAGGGTCGGCGTCCAGGAAGGATGGAGCACTGACAGCAGGAGGGGGGGGGTTCCGGCAGCCGCGCCGCCGTGCGGGCCCGCCTCGTCGGTCTCGGGCGGAGCCGCCTGCTCGGGCGGCTCGGGGACGTCCTCGCCGGTCTCGTCGTAGGCGAAGGGGCACTCCCATTCGCACCAGTACGAGACTGATATGACATCAGGGTCTGTCGAGTCAACGGTGGGCTCGTGGTCGTGCTCGAGCTCGAGGGCGTCGACGCTGATGCGCACGGGGACGCGGGGGAACTCCTCGCTGTACTCGCTCGGCAGCGCAACGCGGAAGCTGCACGCACGACGTGGCGGCGCGTTGTTGGGTCAGGGGGGGGTGTGCCCGGGGCAGGACGGGCCGAAAAACGGGAAACGATCGCCATGCGAGCGAGTTTCGCCCACGGCAAGGAGCGAGGCGGCACGTCTCGAGTTTGTTCGGGCCGTGGCGGCCACGGCACGCACCTTGCATCCCCCATGGCGTCCAGGCTGCGCGACACACGGCGAATCCGGGACGTGCTGTGCGTGCGCGTCTTCGCGAGCGATCGTCCGCCCTCGTCCTTGTCCCCCGACGCGCTGCCCTCCTGCCCGCTCCCCCGCTGACTCCCCCCGCCCCTGCCGTACCCCCCCCGGCCCTCCCCAGGCATCACGGCCTCGCCCTCGCCCTCCTGGATCTCGACGTCGTCGAGCACGAGCAGGTTCGAGAGGCCCGCGACCACGTCGCGCCGGTAGCTCTGCATCAGGCTACATGGGTTGCCCCACAGGTAGAGAATCTGCAACTTGGAAATCACGCGCAGCGCATTGATTGCCGCGGGGAGGTCGCTGATGTCGTTGTTCGACAGGTCGAGCGACATCAGCCCGAGCTGCGCGCCGCGGCTCCAGCTCAGCAGCGGCAGCGTCGTGACGCAGTTGTAGCTCAGCCCCGCGTGCAGCAGCGTCGGGCAGCGGAGGACCCGCGTGATGTCCGTGATGTGGTTGGCGCCGAGGGAGAGCCGCTCGAGGCACGGGTGCTTCGCGACGCGCTGCGGGACCTCCCGGAGCCCCGTGCCCGCCGCGGAGAGCGTGCGGAGTTTCGGGGGCAGGTCCAGGTCCGCGTCAGCGCCGGCTGCGTCGTTCTCGTCGAGAATGAGGTGGCGCAGGTGCTTGAGCTCCGCGAAACCTGCGAGGGCGCGGCGTGGGAGCGAAACACGCGGGGTGTGCAGGTCGAGGTGGCGACCCGCGGGCAGCCATGACCAGCAAACACAAATCAGCCGCGCGGTTGCAGATCGACGGTGCAACCGCGGGCCCGCGAGCGTGGCTGAGCGCCTATCACATTGCTGCTAGAATCCAGCGGCCGGGTCCGGGGCGCCGGGCGCGCCAGCAGGCCTCGCGGGGGCGGTGCGACAGGTGCCTGCATGGTCGCCCGCGGCGGGCGCGGCGCTCCTGCTGCGACGCACAGGCATCGTGCGGCACGCGGCTGTGGTCCCAATACGACGAGGAAGCTCCGGGAGTCGCACCGGTCGGAAAGCGCTCCAGTTCCATGCAGCTTAGGTCGAGAGTCTGAGACTTGTGTTCTCGCGCCTCCATCAGGCTCCTCGCGGGCGCCGCGGCCCCAGACTCGCCAGCTACCATCGTCTCTGCAGCGACCATCTCTGCGACGCCGCTCGGGAGCCACGAGCCGCCTGTGCGGCGCTGAGCGCCTGCAATCTGAGCTCTCTCTTCCTCTGCCTCTCCCTGTGGTCGTTCTGCGGGCTCAGACCTCAACGTGCGCGTGGCCGGCCGTGGCGACCTCCTGTGCACCCCCGCGCCGCGCGCGGCCCGTCTTGTCTCCGCGCCGAGCTCGCGGGGGCCTCTTTGGGTGTTGCACTCTTGGGGTGTTGCACAGAAGGAAGACGCGCAGTTTTTGCGCGGTACTCCGCGCCAGGAGTGTGCATTTCCAGCCCGTACGGCGCCGGCTGACAGGTCTGTCATCAAGGAGGCGGCGGACTCGTTTTCGCAGCGCGGGGAGCGCGGGTCCGGGAGGGAATCGACGGCAGCGGTGGGTGGGCTGTGCCTGGGGAGGCAGGCGCGGTTCGGGCACGCGGATACGCGCGACGCGCCTGCAAGGACTAGGGCATTCCGGGCGGCGGAGGCGCGGCGAGGGCCGAGGCGGGGCCAGGCGGCTGTCGGTCCTGGTGAGAGGAGCCTGGTGTTCCTCGCGGCACGGCGATGGCGGACTTCCAGGCGCAGCGCGAGCCGCTGGAGAAGGCGATAGAGAGAGCGTTGAACAAACTCGCAGAGATCGAGACCGCCATCAACGACCCACAGCCCGGATCCAAGGCAAGACCCCTCCCCGGGACCCGTTTTTCGCGCTACAGAGCCCGCGTATGACGGATCAGCCGCCCTGAGACCATCGCTCATCTTCATTGCTGCACGGTCATCCAGTGTTCGCGCACGAAGCTCCGCCGGCCACAGCCGCCAAGGCCTGATGTTGTGCTGCGCAGGAGGAACTGCACCACGCGATCATCGGCCTCCAGTTCAATCTCCAGAAGATGACCACCCTCAGGGACCTCGCGAACCGCGGCGAGACCAAGACCGAAGTCCCCGTCCGCCTCCTCAGGTGCACCATAGCCCCACCCCGCGCCGCACATCAACCGCACTCCCCCCCCAGCTGACGCCGCAACCGAAGTCCAGCGTCCGCGCGTGATGTGCAGGGACCTCGACGAGGGCTGGCACCCGGATGCCTTCACGAAGAACGCCCTCCAGGACGCAGCGAAGTTGAACGCGCAGGCACGGGACCTCTCCGGGCGGGTGCGCGCGCTGCAGGAGGCGCTGCTGCGAGGAGCCGCGAAGGCCATGCCGGAGGTGCGCGTCGGATGCGCTGCGTGTCGCGTCACGCTTCGTGCGCGCCGCCCCGCATCAACATCCCCCTGTTCTTGTTGGGGGGGGTTGGGGGCCTGCGCAGGCGCCGACGTACGGGAGGGCCCTGCTGTCGCTGAGCAGTGGCCATGCAGCGCGTGCACATGCCGCTGCGGGCCGCCGCGGCGCCTCAGTCGCCTGTGCGGCAGTTCTTTCGGGCGGGCTGCGTAGTGACGCTGCGCGCAGGGGCTTCTAACCGTTGCGTGCTGCGCAGGAGGTGGAGGAGTATTTGGCGCTGGACAGCGAGCGAACGGACCTGCGGCGAGCCGCGCAAGGTGCCGCGGAGGCTCAGGGCCAGTAGCAGGCGGGGCGCGCTATCCATGACGGACGCAGTGTCGGGCTTCGATCTTCTCGGCGGGTGGACCGAAGCCGACATTCCGTCTCGGGTGCCGCTGGATCTGAGCGAGGTCTCAGGCGGTCGCCACGACTCACAGCAGTGACACCGCACCTGAGCTATGCCCTGACATCGTCACGCCTTGCCCCCGCCCAGGGCGCGCGACGACGCACGCAGCAGCCACCACAGCGCCCTGCTCGTCGTGCTCCCGGCCCAGCCCTCCGTCTCGCCGCTCGCTCCGTGCGCGACCACCAGCAGCGCGTCGCACAACATCTGCACACCCGAAGGCCATAGGCGCGCCAGCAGCGTCACCAGCGGGTGCACGGCCACCCACAGCACCTCGAGCCCGTTGTCGCTGAGCTCGCTCGCCGCCACGCCGCCCACGAGCAGCGGCCAGCCCGACGCCGTGTGCACCACGTGCAGGCCCAGCTTGCGCTCCACCTCCACAGACGTCACCGCCTCCCAGCCCGACGTCTTGCCGCCGCCCTGCACCGTCGCGACCTCATGCATGCCCGCGCGCACCTCGTCGAAGCGCACGCGCTCGAGCCCGCCAGCGCAGGCCTCGCAGCGCACGTAGATGTAGTGGCTGGGCGTGGCGCTCAGGACCTTGGTGGCGGTCCGCACGGTGACCATGACCCGGACGGCGCGCGGCTCGTTGTGCAACACGGCGACGACGGGCGAGTGCGCCACGTCGCCGCCGGGAGCGCGGACGGCGACGCGGTCGCCCACGCGCACGTCGCCGATGCGGACGGCGAGGCCGCGCTCGGTCGCGAGGGTCGCGTCGCCGCTGAAGCAGTCGATTGGAGGGTCGAAATTACGAAGCACACACCGTCCATCCCGCCTGCCGTTGACAGGGACGACGGGTAGTTCCCATTCGCACCCCTCAGCTAACCGGGTCGTCTGATAATCACTCACCGCCAAGCATTCATCGTCGGTCTTCGCCATGTAGCAATGTGTGAGATCCTCGCCATCCGAGTTAGTCGGAGGAGGAGGCGGAGTCCCCTGCTGCGCGCGCCGGGCACGCCCTGCGCCGTTCAGCGCCCGCCGCACTGCACCATGAAGCGTCCCGAGCTCTGCCAGCACGTGGCAGTCTGCGCCGCCCTCCGTCTCCGGCGGGCACACCAGCGCGCCCCTCATGCGACGGGCGCTCCACCGGGCCGCGCCCCACCCGTCGCCTGAGCGCATGCCCCCGCTCACGTCTGCAAGCTCGGCCAGCGATCGGCCCCCGTCCGTCGTGACGTGCACCATCCGCTGCGCCGACCCGTGCAGCGGCGCACCGTCGACCAGCGCGAGGCCCTGGTTGCGTCGGATGCTGCCCAAGTGCGTCAGCTCCCCCAACATGCCCAGGTGCCGCGCCGCCGCCGCGCGGACCTCGGACAGCGCGATCCGTCCGTGGCCGCCCTCCTCCAGGAGCCGCCGCTGCGCCGAGGTCGAGTCCAGAGCGGTGTTCGTGGCCGTGAGGAAGATCGGACACGCGCAGTCCGCGCCGGCGCGGACGGCGCCGTCCGCGGTCAGGTCCACGCCAGCGCAATCGACCAGGTACTTGTCCGTCGGCACGGCCTGGTTGTACGCCTCGATCGTGCGCGGAGGCACGGCGACCGTGGCACGGGCCGAGATGGACCGCACTGCGGGATCCTGGTCCATGACGATCTTGATGTCCGCGTCGAAGCCTTCCTTGGCGATGTTCTGCGGTGGGCATGTAAGGTCGGCGCACCGCAGCCTTGGCACCGCGTCTACGAAGGGCGCAGCCAGTGACTCGCGAGTGGCACGCAGCTCGCTCCTGACGGGGTCCGTGCCGCGCACCTGGAACCATGTCGACGCTTGAGCGCAGCTCGCCTCGGCCACCTGCGGGGGGGCGCCCTGCAGGGCCCGCCGCGAGGCGCTGGCCTCGAGAGAGCTCACCACGCTCACGGTTCCGCGGCGGTTCGCCGTGCGCACGGGTGTGTCGGACCCGTCGGCGGAGAGCAGCAGCCCGCTCGAGTCCACCTTGGACTCCTTCGTCACGACGATCAGCACCGCCGTCAGGCCCACCGTCGCGCCGACCAGGAACAGGCACAAAACCACCGCCGCGATCAGGACCTTGCGGATCAACGCCTTCTCTGCCCGCACGCGCTCATAGGCCTGGTGCGCCTGAATCAGCTCCGACGTGTCGATCTTGCCGTCGCCGTCCCTGCGGCTCAGCAGCGGTGCGTGATGCCGCCTCAAGCGGCCGCCCGGGCCGTTGCAGCTCGCGAGAGCGAGCGACCTTGCGACGCCGCTCCGTGCAGGGGCAGCTGCCCGTCCGCGCGACGCGTCGCGACGAGCGGCCCGGGAGCCGCTTCCTTACTTCTCGGGTCGTGGGCCCAGGTTAGGCCCGGTCTGCGCAGCTCGCCGCGGCGGGCGGACGCAGCAGCTCAGATCTGATGGCTACCTGGCCCGCAGGCTCGCGTCGCACCTGTCGAACAGCTCGAGCGCCGCCATGAGGTTCGCGTCGCCGCTCGCCAGCAGCTCCCTGTACGACGTCGTGTTGCCCGCCAGCCGCGGCTTCGTCGCCTGGCGCAAGTACGGCGCGTCGCCGTGAGAGGGCTCTGTGGTGGCCATCGAGGCTCGCGCCCGCTTGGGACCCTCGTCAGACATAATACACTGCGTTTCGGGGCGTAGTGAGCTCGAGTCGGCGAACGATACCACTTGACTGGGCACGCACGCAGCAGAAACCTCCCGAAAGCCCGGTCAACAGCAAGGTCAATCAGAGCACGTATCGCATCCGGGTGCGATCCCGCGACACCCGGGCGCAGACAGCCTGTCGGCTCGCATGTGCAGTGCCCAACGTGCCGCCTCCGGCACGCACGCTCCGCCTCGCTGCGCGCATGCCGCGGGGGGGGGGCCTCGCAGCAGTTGGCCAGGGCCGGGTCGCCCGGGGCCGCCTCGCACCTGGAGGGCGACGCGCGTCTTCCGCGTCCAACCGTCGGCGTCGCTGGCCCCGGTGATCCGAAGGCCCGAGTGCCAGCGGCCGCAGGACCTCCGAGGGAAAGACCTGGCCGACCGGGCGGCCCCACTGGGGCCCAGTGACTGACAGTTGGGGATGTTCAGAGGCACGTGGCTCTGGGACCAGGACGCCTGGTGGCCCGGTCAGCCAGGGCTCTCGCCGCGCTCGCGGGGTGGCCCTCGGAGACCCTCGTGGCACTGCCTCGAGCCTATTCTGGGCTGTATCTAGTCGCACCTGATCTGATTCGTCCGTCCGATCATCTGATCTGATTCATCATCACGTTGTGTTGAAGCGCCATCGGATAGGCGCAGGCCGGCGCTGCACGAGGGCATCTGCTGACGCTTGCACACCGGCTGGTCCTGCGCGAGAGTCGCGCCCTGGCTTCCCGCGACAATCCTCGTCGATGTGCGCACGACGCTCTCGAGGGACATCGACCGCCGCCGGCGACCACCCGCCACGAGCAGCGAGGCGTGCCGCGTGTGCCCGCGGAGGCCCAGGTCGCTCTTGCGCTCCGGCGTGTAGGACTTCGCCCCGCGCCCGTCGTACGGCGCCGTCATACCCTGCTGCAGCTCCGACTGCACAGCGCGTGTACACGCGCGCGCGGGGGGGAGTCTTGCGTTCACCGCAGCTTCGAGAAACACGCACCGGACGTACGCTACGAGGCGGGGCTGCGCAGCGGGGACAACGCACAGCGCAAGTCCGTGCAGCTCGAGTGGGCGCGACAGGCCTGCTCCCAGGACAACACTCAAACAAGCGGTGTGGCACGCGTGCTCGGGACCGAGCGAGCGCTGCTGGCTCGACCAGCGCGCCATGCGTTGCAGGTCGTTGCTAGACACACCAGCCCCCGTGCGAGGGCCATCTGGGCGTTCCCGCAGTGCGCGCCCTTGGAACGCCCGCTTCGTCGTGAGGGCCGCCGCGAACCGCCGGATCGCCCCCGCCGCTACCGCGTGCCCGGGACGGCGATCGGCCCGGTCACGGCCTCCGCGGCCTGCTTCCGGCGCCAAGAGGGTTGGCACAGGTACACGTCCGCGCACGTGGATGGAACTCGTGTCGATCCCGCGGGCACCGTCGACTGCTGGCGGGGCTGGACGGTTCCAGCCTGGCGCACTCCTGACACGTGTGGGAGGTAGGAGCAAGTGTGCGAGTCGGACTCAGGTAGTGGCCGCGGGCGTGCTAGGGCTCGGAGGGGCCCGCGTCCGCCGCACATTCGCGTCCGTGTCCGTCGACGGGGCGCGGGGTCCGTAGTTTGTTGTGCAGTGTTGCCACGGAGCGAGGAACGGAGCACGAAGTCGACGGGGAGTGGTGCAGCGTGTGGGACGTTGGACGGCGTGCCGTGAAAGAACAGCTGAGAATCTACATTCATCATAGCTGCAACAGTCCACTGAGGAGGGGGCTGCGCGGTGGGAGCGGATCGGCGCGACGCAGCGGCCCATGTCCGATCCTGGCACAGAGCCCGCACCCACGGAGCCTGGCGCGCCGGCCGCGGACCCGCTCACGGTTCTCCGCATCAAGGATGTCCTCCTCCAGCGCGTCCGTCCGCACGGAGACCAGGAGACTGTCTCTGCTGGGGAGCCTCTCGTCGTGAAGGTCGGACCTCACTCGGGCGCATGGCTCCGGGAGGTGACGGGCGCACCGGCCGGACAGGACACCGGCAGTGCAGGCAACGTCCATGAGGCGTCCGAAGCGCGCGAGAGCGAGGGCGACGCGCCGTCAGGCCCCCTCTGGGCAGCTTTCTGCGGCGGAGAGACGTGGCCTCTGGACCGCCGCTGCAGCGTCCTGAAGGCAGCCGACCTGGTGTACAGCTTCCGGATAGAAGGCAGACCGCACGTTCTTGCCGTCGCGGTCGCGTTCGACACCCCGGAGCAGGTTCTCGAGGTGCTGGAGTCGGTGCTGCTTCAGAGGACACGGTTCCAGCTGGCGCCGTCCGTGGCGCCGCTCATCGACCCTGCGAGCCCCGAGGAGGTCCTCGACTGCGACCAGGTCGAGCGCGGCGAGTCCCTGGTGCGCTGCGCGCCCAATTATGGCGCCCACGTCACATGAGCATGCGCGTATGAGTGTCCCGCCGCGCTCGAGATGCGAAGCAGACGGTGCGGCCGCCCCAGCGGTCTCTTGAGGTGAAGGGAAAGCTCTGTTCCAGGTCGGACCTCACCGCGGCGCCGTGATGCCTCATCGTGGCACACATCCCCCCTCCCCGCTACGGCGCAGGTCCGGGCTGGGAGCGGCGGCGGCATCGAACGCACCTTCGACGAGGGTGCCGCGTGGGTAACGGACGCGGTCGAGAGGGCCGGAGGGTGGCTGGCGTCAGCGATCCGGGCCGGAGCGCTGGCGATGGCAACGAGCATGGAGCGGGGCAGCGAGGCGTTCGCGAGCCGGACGAAGTCGTTGCCGCCGCGGCAGGTGAGCGAGCGCACGAAGCGGGTATCGTCGTACGTGCGGCGGGGAGCGCAGGGCACGGCGAAGGCCGCGGCGGTGGCGGCGGGGGCGGCAGTGCAGGGCGCGACATGGGTGGGGACGCGGGTGGTGCGCGCGGCGAAGGACGGCGCGCAGAGGAACCCGGCGACGGCGCGTGCGACGAGCTCGCGCGGGCTGCGGTCAGTTGGCAAGGTGCGACACACTCCACATCATATGGTTTCGGCTCTGTCATTCCACCCGTAACCGTTGGGGGCGCAAACACGCCACGCGCACTGCGCTACATACTCGCTGGCCTGCGGAGCGGACAGCAAACCGTATGTCTTCGCATTTGTGCGGAAACGTCGGCGTTTTGTAGTTGGGTCCTGCAACCAACTTTCCACACTTGCTGGAGGGGTTGAGCGCTCCCAATCTACCGCGGGACCGTTCTCGCCCTGTGCGTGCAGTTGGCGATGGCAGGGATCGTCGCGGCGAGCGACGTGGCCGCGTCGTTGGTGGAAGCCTCGCACACAGTGGTACGGTCCGCCGCGAAGAACACGGCGCGGGCCGTGGGACACCGGTACGGCCCGGACGTCGGTACGATCGCGGACGACTCCGCGGAGGCCGTGTTGAGCGTCGCGGACGCCCAGCGCCACGTGGGCGTGCTCAGCACGCGCGGGGTGGCCCGCGCGACCGCGCGTGCCACGCTGCGGCAGGCGGGTCGCGACGGCACGGAAGAGGACGCGGGGCTCGACGGCCTCGAGGACATGCAGGAGCCCGCGACGGCGCTGACGCCTGACCGCGGTGAGCAGAGCGCCCCCGGGGGGACTGCTGCGCAGAAACGCGACGTTGAGAGCGGCTGACGAATCGCCGCGACGACACCACTGTACATACCAGAGTCGTCACATCCGCAGCGGCCGTGATCGTCGCCCCGCAATGAATCATCGGTCATTCGCGGCCCGAAATATGCCTTGTTGCGTCACTGCCGCAGCATGGCGAGTCACTCTCCGTCGCCGTCGCCGTCGCCATCGTCGTCGTCGTCCTCGAACGTCATCACCAGCCCCCCGCCCTGCCTCCGCGCAGCCGACGCCGCCGCCGCCGCCGCCGGATTCGCCCCGCGCCCCCCGCGGCCCCCCCGCCCGCCCCGCCCGCCCTGCTCCTCCGCCGTCCGCGCCGCCTTCACCACCGGCTTCTCCTCCGCCACCCCCGAAGCCCCCGCCTCCGCCGGCCGCTTCGCCCCCGCGCCCGCGCCCGCCCCCGCCCCCGCCCCCCGTGCTTGTGCCTTCTTCGCTGCTCTATCCAACACGTCCAGCACGCGCCGCGGCGGAGGCGGCTTCACCTCCTTTGCGTACTTGATCAGCGGCCGCAGCAGCTCCTGCCCCTCCTTGCGCTCGAGCAGGTCCATGAGCTGCTCCCCGGGCAGGAGGAACAACGTCGACAGGGTCGCGGGCGCAGCCTGCTTCGCTAGGATGATGAAGCCGCGCCACTGGGCCTCGTCGGACCAGACCTTGCGGCGCATGAGCGAGTCCATGACGCCGAGGAGGGCGCCGAGGAGCGACGGGTGCGCTTTGAGCGCCAGGATGACTGTACGCATGAACAGCATGGGCAGCTCGGCGAGGTTGACCATCTGCTGGATGGCGCGGGAGACGCTCTGCGCGGGGAAGACATCGCGGACCGCGGCCCCTGCGATGCGGGGAGCGGATGTGGGGGTGTGTGGGAACGCGGCGGCGCGTTGCGAAGAAAAACAAGACCAAGAGTTGTTTGAAGTTTGAAGACTGCCTGGGCCCAGGCGGGGGAGTATTGAGGGCGGTCAACCGCAACAGAAGTCGGACTGATGCGCCGGTAAACAGCGAGCGGCGGACACAGGTCGGAAGCGGCACTCACGCCGGCGAAGTCAAATCGAAGCAACGGCGGTGACAGTACAACAACACGTCATTGCGCGCGCAGGTGGGGCCGGCCCGGTGCCGGCGCCCGCCCGCAGGCCCCGCACCTGTCACGCAGAGTGTCACGAGGTCCCTCTGCCGCGTCTGCCCCGGCTTGGTCGGCGCTGCCTCCATCCGATGCAGCGCCACGAGCACCTCTTCGGCCTTCAGCGGCGGTCCGGCCTGGCCTGCGTTCCGCACGACCAGCCGCCGCAGCGCGACGACCTGATCGCGCTGCGGGATCTCCGCGAGCCGCGGGAGGCCCTTGAGCGCGTCGGCCCGCGGCAGGAAGGGCAGCTCGAGAGCCTCGAAGCGCGCATCTCCGGTAGCACGTGCGAGCTGCCGCAGCAGCGGCGCGAGGAGCTCCCCCGGCGCGGCGCGCTCCGTGAGCTCCTGGATCATCGCGGCCGCGAGCGGTTCGGCGCCCCTCGGCGTCTGTTCGATCGCAATGAGCAGCGGCGTGCATTTTTGCCCCAGCGTCCGCGCGAGCCTCGGCGCGACGCGGAGCGCGGCCTGCTGCGCGGCCGGGCCCGCGGCGGCGTACCCGGCCAGCAGCGGCTTCAGCAGGCCGTGGCTGCGGACGCACAGGGCGCACAGCAACGACACCGCCGCTGCCACCTCCTCCCGCAGCGCGCCGTCGTCCTGCGCCTCCGCAGACCCCTCGCCGCCGGCTCCGCCCCCGCTGGCCGCCGCCGCGCCGCCCTGAGCCGCGGTGTCTCCTATCCGTTTGCTGGTAGATGCTGCATCCTCGAACTTCTCGCGCGCAAAGTCCTCGATTGACGGCTTGAGGAGCACGTTCGGGTGGAGCTTGTTCCCGATGAGTTTCAGCGCCTTGTCGCGCGTCGACGGCGTCCCCTTGATCGCCAGCGCCATCACTTGCTGCAGCAACCACGGCACGGTCCCGGGCTTCTCCACCAGCAAGTCCCACGCCGTCGCGAGCCCGACCGTCGCCGTCGTGTCGCCCTCGTTGCACAGGTCGCGGATCAGCGCGCTCCCGACCTCCGGCGGGATGTATGGCACTTGCAACAAAATCTTGCCGAGCGTCGTCTCCAGGCCCGCCTCGCGCAAGCCCGCGATGAGCTTCGACAGCACGTCCGCGTACGGCCCGCCGTTGAGCGACGCCGGGTCGCCGTCGGTTTGCCGGGCCGCCAGCGCGGTCAGCCACTGCACGGCGAGCTCCTGGCCCTCTTCGGAGCGCGCCGTCGCCGCGATGTACTCGAGCGTCTCCTGGTGGATGAGGCTGCCCGGGGCCGCTGCGGCGCACAGCCGCGCGAGGGCGCCGACGCGGAACGCTGCGTGGGGCGGCCGGAAAGCCAGGGGGGTGTTGGGGGGGGTGTGCGGCACGGGGCGTGCTGTGAAGCGCGTACAACATAGGTGGTTGAGCCGACATTTCATCGGCCGCGACGTGGATGTTTGAGGTTGCGTCTGGCCCGCGGTGCGACTGGGGCTCCGCGTGGCTCATGTTGTGACCACGTCGCCCGCGCGTGCTTGCATGCTGCCGCTTCCATCGAGACTCGAATCGCAACTGCGGTTCTGGACCGCGCGTGGCTAGTCAAGCTTGAGGCTGACAAGCGCCGCGAGCGGTGCCCGCGCAGGCGGAACGACCGCCGAGGCTGCGGCGCTGTACGTGACAGAAAACCCCCCTCGGGGTGTTCCCGCGCCGCCCGTTTCGCCGTGCCCGACCGGACCCCCCGTGCAGTACCCGCCGCAGCGCGCTGCACCACCGCGCAGCTCGCACCGCGACACGCAGGCCCCCGGACCGACAGCAAACCTATGGCAGACAAATGTCCAAAGCCCGGCGAAGCACGGCAAGAAACGACCGAGCCGAGACAGGCTGCCGCAGCTCTGAAAGACCCTACAGCGCAGCGGCAGCGCTGGACCCCCGCCTCGCGCGAAGCAAACACGCACACACGCACACACACGCACACTTCTGTGCTGATCGACTCACCTCCGCCGACGCCCGCCTCGCACTGCAGCACCCGCATCACCGCGTCCTCCATCAGCTCCGCCACGTCGTCCTCCGGCAGCCGCTTCGCCTGCAGCTTCGGCACCGGCACCGACGCAGGCTGCCGCACCTTCCTCTCTGCCGCCGCCGTCGCCGCCGCAGCCGCCGCCGGCGCCGCCGGCGCCCCGCCCGCCGCGGCCTCCTTCTGCCGCATCGCCTCGCTGTCCCGCACGGCCTCGTCCAGCTCCTGCCGCACCGCATCCGCCCCGATCTGATTCCCTGTAATTGCATGCAGCAAACCCGCGATGCCAGGCACGTCCGGAGCGAGCGCCTTCTCCTCCGACGGCAGCCCCTCGGCCTTCTCCAGCACCGTCATCACCAGGTCCGCCACGACCTCCTTCGGCGCGTCGTCCAGCACCGCCACCATGCGCGCGTGCAGTCCGTCGGAGAACAGCTGCCAAAGAAACCTCCGCAGCCGCTCAACTTCCTCAGGAGCCGTCCTCAGGGACTGCCCCTGGAACTCCCCGGGCACGGGCTCCGCGGCGAGCAGCCCGCCGCGCCGCTGCCAGGGCGCGATCGCTTGTGCTGCGCGGGGCGGCGCGCCGGCCGTCTGGGCCCACCGCGGCGCGGCGCCCGCGGGGACCGCGCCGTCGCCCGCCTTGGTCGCCGCGGCCGCCGCCGGCGCCGGGCGCCCCGCAGCCATGCCCTGCGGCCGCGTCGAGCGCGCCTTCTCCTGTCGCCGTTTGGCCTCCGCTGCTTGGTTGTTGATCTGGCGGTCCGCCTGGCGGATCGCGGACTCCGCCTCGGCCTTGGAGCCGAGCGCTGTGAGTCCGCGCTGGATCCTGCGACGCACGCTCATCGGGCGGAGGACACGCTGCGTCATCGACAGCGCAACACATGCGCGGGACGGGGTCGGACGGTGCCGCCTGCGCTCGCCGCGGCGCGCGGTGCCGGGCTGGCGTGGTTCCGTGCGAGGGAGCGGTGCGGCGCGTACCTGGTCCGCCACGGCAGCGCGGAGGGGTCCGTGGCGCGCAGCAGCTCCAGGAGGTTGGCCCGGAGGGAGCGCGCGAGGCTGGCGCGTCCGACGGGGGCGGTCGGGGCGAGGAGATCCTGGTCGGCGGCGCGCTTGGCGAGCTCCGGGACGACCTTGCCGTACGTCCGCGGGTAGCTGCGGGCCACGGCCGTGATGGAGTTGCACACGGCGAGCGCGACGGGGGCCGGGAGCGCGGGCTCGGCGTCCGCCTTGAAGGTGTTGACGAGGGCCTGGAGGTGCTCGTCCGCCTCGCGCAGCATCTTGTCCTTTTTGAGGAGCGGGTGCGACGGTGCGATCGGTTGGGGCCGGGCGCCGCGGCCGACGAGCGGGGGGGGGAGCTCCGCGGCGAACATGACGATCAGGCGCTCGAGGAACTTCACGCAGAGGATGCGTTCGCCCGTGGTCGTGCTGGCGGGCGGCGCGAGGGCCGCCTGACTCAGCCGCTCGATCAGCGAGGTGCAGAGGGTCCAGAGCTCCTTCAGGTCGGCGGAGGGGTCGTCCGTGGCCGCGCCCTCGACCGCGACGAGCGCCAGCGCTGTCTGGAAGACCCTGATGATGTTCGAGAGCGCGAGCTTGGCCACGAAGGCCGCGCCGGGCTGGCTTCTGTCCGGGTTGGAGAGCGTCGCCAGCACCGAGATGGCCTCCCGCAGCACGAGCGCCTCCGGACACGCGTTGCTGAGCGACAACACGAGCTCCGCGATCTCCCTCCTCACCGAAACCGCGGGGTCCGCCACGAACGTCGCCACGTCCTCGACGAACTCCGGGATGACCGACCGGCCTCTTGAGAAGAGGTTCTCGCGCAGCTGCTTCAGCGAGGCGATCTTCTTCTGCGCCGTGGGCGCGCATTTCGCCTCGTTCAGCGCCTGCGCGATGTCCTCCCGCACCACGTGGAGCGCCATCGCGTCAAACGCGGCCCCAGAGGGCCCTGCAACGTTGCGCCGCTCCCGTCGCGATCGCGCCCGCCCAGGCCGGGATCGCTGCCTGCCGGTTCAGAGCCGCCTCGCGCTCCATGCAGCGGCCAAGCGGCGCCAAAAACGACGCGGGCGGGCCGCTGGGAGCTGCGTGTCTACAGCTGCCAGGTTCCCCGGCCGCCCACGGCGGTGTATCGCGTCCAGACGCCGCTTCTGCGCGTCCACGCTGCAGCAGCGCGATCCCGTGTGGCGTCCACCGCTGCCGGCGATGAGTGGCGCTGTGCTGCGGCTCTGAGGGGCCGTAACCCACCGCGTGCGCAGCCAACTTGGGGGTCTTCCGCTTATACGCAGCCTGTGCGTGCACAACAGGCAAGGATGGGCTGCGAACGGAGGCCTCGAAGTACACAGCTCAACGTTTGATCAAAGCCGTGCTGACGTTGCGTCTCTAGACACGTCGAGCGAGGTGGACGACACAGCTTGTCTGAGGATCGGCGTCGTGCTATTGTGCACGGCGACGCGAGCCAGTCGCGGCATGGACCTGTAGCTTCTCTGCAGACGCGCTCTGACGCCCACCATGGACGGCGTCTGACAGCCAGACGACCCGCACAGGTGCTACGATCGCACTGCGCGCGCGTCGCCACCGAGCACCCCGCGGCGCGCCCACCGCGCCTCTCGCGCGCCTCCCGGCCCGCACAGATGCGAATTTGACGTACGCCATGACGTCTAGGGCCGAGGAGGCCTCGGACCCGCAGCAGGGTGGCAGCGGCGGCGACTACAACTCCTTTGCGGACTATGTGCGTTTCCTGCGGGCGTGCGCGCCGTACCGGACCATCATGCTGGCGGAGACGCTCAGCATCGCCGGGAACTGGTTCGCGTGGGTCGCCACGCTGTCGGCCGTCACGGCCACGGGGGGCGCCTCCGGCCTGTTGCTGGGGACAGCGCTGGTGATGAAGTACCTGCCGTCGCTCCTGGCCTTCCCGATCGCCGGAGCCGCGGCCGACACGTGCGTCCCGGTCCCGCCCCGCGCACCGATGCAGACCCACGAAGCCCGGACAACCCAGAAACCCATATCTAATGTGCGCACTTGTATGATATGATTTCTGGTGGTGCTGTTCGCGTCGTTGCAGGTTCAACCGACAGCGCATCATGGTGTTGTCGTGCGTGTTCGGGGGCGCGATGTCGCTGCTGCTCGCGGGCGTCGTCGCGGGCACGGCGACGATGCATTCCGTGGACGACACGACTGCGCTGACGTCACAGGATAGGGACGTGCCGCGGCTGGTGGCGCTCAACGTCCTGGTGTTCCTCTGGGCGCTGTCCTCGGCGTTCTACGAGCCCGCGAGGAGGGCGGTGGTCCCCGCGGTCGTCTCGCCGCGGCAGCTGCCGCTCGCGACGACGCTCGACTCGATGGTGTGGAGCGTCATGACCGCGGTGTTCGCAGCAATCGGTGGCTACAGGCAAGCGTACTCTTCGTCTGAACGTCGTGCGGGGCCGACGCCGCGTCGCGCCCACGCAGCGCTTGCAACACAACGAGCTCACTCCCCCCCCCGCCCGTTCCCGCGCATCGCGCCTCGCAGCCGGGCGTTGCTAGGGCCGTCGCCGTGCTTCTTGATCGACGCGACGACCTTCGCGCTCAACGGCGTCCTCGTCGCGCGCATGGACCTCCCGCACAACGCCATCCTCCCCGCCGACGACGCGCACCACGCCGCCCAGCCTCAACCGGACACCTTCGGCGCCTTCCTGCGCTCGAGCGCGCGCAAGGGCGGCGCCATGGTCGCCGAGGGCCTCTCCTTCGTCGCGCGCGCGGGCAACAGGGATGTGCTGGCGATCGTGCTGGTCAAAGGGTGCGGGTCGCTGGCGTGGGGGGCAGCGGACGTGCTCGGCGCGCGGCTCGCGGAGCTCCCGCAGTACCAAGCGCTCGGCGACGCCCCGGCGACGATGGGCTGGCTGTTCGCCGCGGTCGGCATGGGGTGTTTGGTGGGGCCTATTGTGTTCAACCGCCTGACGCCGGTCCGCGGCGACGCGCTGCTCAAGGGCATCTGGCAGTCGTTCGCCATCATGGCGGGGGGCTACTCCCTCATGGCGATGTCTCCGGGCATCTCGACGCTGATTGCGGCGACCGTGGCGCGGTCTGCCGGGTCGGCGGTGCTGTGGAACTATAGCTCGCTGATCCTGCAGTACCGGGTGGGGCACGAGATGCTCGGGCGCGTGTTCGCGCTGGAGCTCGCGCTGTCGACGGCGGGCGAGTGCGCTTCGGGGCTGGGGGGGGGGTTGCTGGTGGATGGTGTGGGCGGCTGGGGGGGTCTCAGCATCAAGCAGGTCGTGCAGGTCATGGCAGGTGAGAAGGCACCCTTCTCATTCACAGCGTATGATCCTTCAGGCCGCATATCGCCGAGGTTGCTTTCGGACCCACCCCAAAGCCGCACCTCGCAGCTCGTCACCGGTCTCTGTGCTGGCTTAATCGACCCCGATCGTGCGTGGTGCGGCGGCAGGTCTGGCGGGCGCGGTATGCGTTTCGTGGTTGTTGTACTGGCTGCGATCCTGGCGGTCGTTCTCGCGCCTCGGTCCTGACGCGGAGCCAGCAGCAGCGCGGGAACACGAGCTGGCGCCGCTGGTGAAGGCGCCGGGGCAGGGGCCCGGGAAGGTGCACTGGGACGAGGCGGTGGTGGAGCGGGGGGACGTGGAGGAGGCGGCAAGGGGGGAGGTGCGGCGGAGGTCGTTCGCGGGGTCGGAACGCAGGGTGTCGCGCGAGTCCGAGCTGTGAGCGCGGCCGGCCGGCGCGGATGATCGAGGGGGGTCGGAGGCGTCGGGTTCAGCCGGTCGGTCGTGAAGCATGTGTCGTCAGGCAACTGACACCACCCAGCCCGGCCCCTGAAGTCGCTCGGCAGATGGTCAAACATGACTTCCGGCGGCGGTGCTGTGTGCCGCGCGCTAGGACGTGTTCGGGAGGCCGGAGTCTGTGCTGCGGGGGAGCGCGGGTCCGGGACATGCGCGGGCGCGGTGCTCCGGGGTAGTATAACAGGTACAACACTTGAAGTTGCTGTGTTTGGTGACTGATGGGCGGTGTTTGGACCGTCGGGGGGGCGCGCGGCGGCAGATGGTCGTGCTGGGATACACTATGCTGCAGGTGGGCTCGCTCGCGGTTCGCGCCGCGCGGCCGTCGCAGTCGACCGCGATCAAGCGCCCGCGCACCGCCCGCGCACCCTCGCGCCGCGTGCTGGCGCGTGTGGCCGTGCAGGGCACCGACGGCGGGCCGGGTTTCGAGGACTACGAATGGACAGGTACGTCGCGGGACGCGTGATCGGCGAGTTCGTCCACGCACGGCTGCGGAATTCCCTCACTCGTCCACCACGTAGCAACTGCCGTGGTTGTGTGCGCTCGCGCTGACCGCTGGGGGCGGTTCGCCGCCGCTGCGCAGGCGCTGACGAGTGGGAGCACGTTCAGGATCGCCGCGACGAGCCCCCGCTGCCGATTCCGCTCCTCGAGGGCCACCGCCGGGTGGCCATCGTGCGGCACGGCCAGAGCACCTGGAATGCGGTCGGGCGCATCCAGGGGAGCTCGAACCTCGCCGTGCTGACCGGGAAGGGCGAGCACCAGGCCGAGATTTCGCGGGACATGCTCCAGAATGACGACTTCGACAAGCTGTACACGTCGCCGCTCGCCCGCTCGGACCGCACTGCCGAGGTGATCTGGGCCAACCGGCGCCCGCCCTTCGCGGAGCGCACTGTGCTGCCGTCGCTGAGGGAGGTCGACCTGTACGAGTTCCAGGGGCTCTTCAAGGCGGAGGGCAAGGCCAGGTGCGCGTCGGCCCGCGGAGAGAGCGGTCCGTGACTAAGCACCCCCTCAGCCGGGGCGCTCTTGGGTCCTCACGCCAACTCATGGAGCTGTGCTTGCTGCTCATGCACAGAATAAGTTCGTGCGTGGCGTGTTCTTCCCGCAAACGCGTCGTTCGCGCGGTGAGGCACGAGGATGGTGCTCTTTGGTCGTTGGCTGTCGACGGGGCCCCCGCGCCGGCGCCGGTCCTCTCGCGCGGTGAGACGATCGGCACGCGCGCGCTGGCACCTTTCTGCAGGTACGGCGAGAGTTTCAGGGCGTGGCAGAAGACGCCCGCCGAGTTCGAGATCCATGGCCACGCGCCAGTCAGGGAGCTCTGGTGGCGCGCGAGCCGGGCCTGGCAGGACATCCTCGACAGTGCGCCCCCTCCCACAGCATGTTCATCCAATCCGCGCCGCGCCACACATCTACGGGTCGCTGCAACGCGCATATCAGCTGATATACTGCAACGTAATACGCACAAGGGAGCTCTCACGGTCCGCGCTCCCGCCAGACCTCCTCGCCGGCACTCACTACCCACCCCCTTGCCTCTCCCCCCCTCGCCGCAGCCCCGGACTCGCAGTCCGCGCTCCTGGTCGTGGCCCACAACGCGGTGAACCAAGCGCTCATCGCCACCGCGCTCGGCCTCCCGCCGACGCACTTCCGGCGCCTCCTCCAGAGCAACGCCGCGGTCACCGTGCTGGACTTCGAGCCGCGCAAGCACCCCGACGGGACCCCCGCGCCGCCGCGCGTCACAGTCGACAGGTTGAACCAGTCGCCCGACCAGCCGGTGCGCGCGCAGGGGTCCGGCCGGGCGGCCCAGACGCGGCTGTTTATCGTCCGGCACGCCGAGACGGACGGGTCGAGCGACGGCGTGCTGCTCGGGTCGATCGACGAGGCGTGCAACTACGTGGGCGAGGACCAGGCGGCTGCGACGGCGGCGATGCTGGCCGAGGGCGACGTGCGCGCGGTGTTCTGCAGCCCGTCGGCGCGGACGCGGGAGACGGCGACGGCGATCGCGGAGCGCGTGGGGCTGTTCGCGGACGGGGGGAGCAGCGTGCCGGCGGTGGAGGAGGTGGGGGGGCTGTCCAACATCAACCTGGGGGAGTGGGAGGGGAAGAAGATCATGGACGTCAAGGGAACGGGGCTGCCGGGAGATGCTGAGGCGCGCGAGGTGAGAAGCGCGCAAACAGCTGCGAACGAATCAAGACCACACTGCGATGCATATCTCACGATGCAACGGCGTTCGCTGTCTGTTGTGCAGGCGTTCTGGGCGCGCATCTCATCCGCGTACGGGACGGTCCTCGCGGAGGCGGGCCGGCGCGGCGGCGACGCGGTGCTGGTGACGCACGCGGCCGTGCACGCTGCCATCCTGTGCACGGCGCTGGGCCTCAGCCACGAGGATCTCTCGCGGTTCCGCATCGGCACCGGCGGCGTCACGGTCCTGGAGTTCCCTGACGGCATCGACGGCGACGCTGTCGCGCGTTGCATCAACTACACTGCGCACCTAGGACCCGCCGCGGTGCCGGTGACGGTCGACGACCTCGAGCTGGTCTGCGGCATCGACGGCTGCTTCTGACGCGGCCAGGTGCGGCGCTACGGAGCGCCGCTGGTCGCCCCGCGGCCTCGTTTGTTCAACGAGTTGTTGTTTCCCTAGGAGTGTTTTACTACTGTACGAACTCAAGCGCAACCAAGACGCAGTCGGGCTGGCCGTGTTCCGCGCCCGGGACGCGGCCGCGACATTGTGAGACGCCCTCGCCGCCTCCCGCGCCCGCACACGTCACCGCGGAGCTCAGAGCCGGTGCTCGGTGCACATCACATGTTACGGCCGCCGCGCGATCACCGGCGCGTCCCTGTGGATCGCCACGAGGTAGACGAAGATCGGGAAGCAGAACTTGACCCCCATGGGCTCGCACCGCACCGCCAGCGCGAACTTCACCCCCTCTGTCGCCATCGAGTGCAGATCTGTGTTCAACACCGCCTGCGCCACCTCCTCCGTCGTCGAGAACGGCATCTCCAGCAGCGTCCCCGTCACCGTGCACCCGCCCGTCTCCGTGCGCAGGTAGTCCAGGTGCGACTGAGTCAGCGCGCTCACCACGGTGCGGCTGTACCGACCGACGCGCAGCCGCCCCGCGCGCACGTGCACGGGATCCTCCGCGCGCCGCGCGCCGAAAATACCCTGCGCGTTCCCCGCCCCGCCGCCGCCGACCGCCGCCGCCGTGTCCGTCCCGACCGCCTGCGGCGCAGACTGTTCCAACCCCCGCCCAACCGTATCCGCCAGGTAGTGCCCCGCCATCTCCGAGACGTCCTTCATCGAGCGCTCGACGTACTTCCGCACGTCCCGCGCCAGCACGTGCCGCAGCTTCGTCGAGATGCTGTTGTCCCACCAGGTATTGGTGTTGAGCAACTCGAGGCGCGCGTCTTGAATCAGGTCCTTCACCTCCTGCTGGATCTTCGTCGCGAGGTCCTCGTAGAACCGCGGCTCGTGGTCCCGGTACACCATCGGCTTCTGCAGCGACGCGAGCTTCCGGATCGGCTCCTGGAGATCGAACAGCGCCCGCCACTCGCGCGCGTTGTCCAGGTCCCAGCTGATGTGCAGCGGGTGCGTCTGCGCCTGCACGTTCGCCCACGCGTTGTCCACGCCCATCACCACGTCGACCTGCCGCAGCGGCAGCGTCCCGTCGCGCACGTCGTACGCCTGGCCCGACACGGGGTCCCACAGCGTGAGCGCCGCCTTCGGGAGCAGGCCGACGCCCGTGGGGGTCCGCGAGGACCGCGACGTCGTCCACGCCTGCCCCGTCGTGAGCACAAAGTACGACTCCGGGCCCGTCGTGGCCTGCCCGCGCACGATGAAGGCCTGTCGGCCCGTTTGCAGGAAGAGCCCGCACAACAGCAGCGCGTGCTCCTCGAAGTCGCCCGCGGCGAGCTCGACGAACTCGGAGCTCGACATCCACACGTCGTCGACGAGGTCCGACACGGAGCTGTCCGGCACGAACGGCACGCGCGACACGAACCACGCCAGCCGCGCCAACAGGCTGGGGTCCGACTGGGGGACCGCCTCGAAGCCGGGGGGGAGTTCGAGGGGCGCGACGAAGCGCAGCGCCATCCACGACGCGCCCTCGACGGTGCGCATCATCAGGTTGAACTCCCGCGGCGGCCGCGCGGGCACCTTGGCCGACGCTTCTTCCACAAAGTGCGCCACGCGCTGTTGCACCTCGAGGGGCTCCGCGCAGAACAGCGGCATCGCGGTGACCTCCTCGGGGGGCTGGTACTGCAGCTGGGGCGCCGTGGCCATGTACAGCGCGATCGACGGCGCGCCGAACGCTGACTCAGGCGCGCCGTGGTCGTACCCGAGCAGGCAGAGGGGGACTTCGAGGCCGAAGGTGCCCTCGATGACTCCGAGCTGGTAGAGGCCGTTGAACGGGACGATGACGGAGCCGAGGAACCGCCGCTCGACGCGCACGGCCGTGCGCTCCGTCGCCCGCGTCTGCCCGCGAGCGCCAAACCGCGCAGCAGTGCCGGCCGCCCCCGCGCGCGCCTGCGGCTCCGCTGGGACCGCGATCTCGTCGAAGACGTTCACGATGATCTGGAAGTCGCACCCGTGCAGGAACGACGGCGTCAGCTCCTGCCCCTCGGGCGCGGTCAGCATCACGCGCACGGCCTCGTTGAACACGGGGTCGCGCCCGGTGCCCGACGACGTCCGCGCCGCCGTGTCCTGGAACAGCACCTCCACGTACGGCGACGCCGCGCCCGCGCCCGCGCGCCCCGCGGCCCGCACGGGCAGGTTGTTGGCTTGCAACACGTGTACGATGATGGACACCTCCTTGTGTGCCTGCTGCGCGGGGACGGCGTTGCGCTGGCGGCGCGGCTTGAGGCGCGACCGCGGCGCGAACGCGTCGAACACCGCGCCCCAGATGAGGTGCCACTCCTTGAGGAGCCCCGGCACGAACAGCTCGCTGACCACGTCCCCGGGGGACCGCCGCGTGAGCGAGGGGTCCTTTCGCGCGAGCTCGCGCCCGACCTGCTCGATGCGGTGCCCGAGCTCGCGGATGGCCTCCTCGCGCTCCCGGATCACCTTGAGCGACGGCGCCGCGAGAACCCTTCTGGCTATATCTGTGTCACGCGCCTCCCCCAATTGATCAGACATCTTCCCCGCAGCCATGCGCTCCGGCACGCCCGCCTGCCGCAGCATGCGGTACCCGTCGAGCTCCTGCACCTCGAAGTCCGCGAGCGGCACCGGCAGCGGCGCCCGCTCGGGCTGCCCCAGCCGTCGCTGCTCCCCCGCCGCCTCCCAGCGCATAGCCAGCAGGCGCGTGCGGCGCGCCGCGAGCACGCGCCGCCGCCCGACGACGACCTCCGCGGGCGGCGCGATGCGGAACGGCCCCGCGGGCGCGTTCGCCGACCCCGGGCCCGCGCCGACCGCCCCAGGCGCGGCCGTCGCCCCACGGTATGCCCGCAGCAGCTCCAGCAGCTTCCCGCCGCGCGGATCGTTCGGGTCGACCCCGGCCAGATCGGCCCACTGCGCGAGCTGCGCCTGCGCGAGGAAGGCCGTGCGGGAGTCCGCGACCGCGAACGGCGGAGGCGGCGGCATGAGTCGCTGTGCCGCCGCATCAACGCCCGTCTCGATGTCGGCGGCGCCCGGCGGCCGCGGGGCGTCGGAGGCTGCGCCGGAGTCGAGGAGCGCGCCGGCGGGGCGCGGGGCCGTGCCGACTGCGGCGGTGCTTGGCTGCGGCCGCCAGGCAGCGCGCACGAAGCACGCGCCGGAGATTTGCAGGGCTGCTTCGGTGATGGCCGCTGCAGCGGCGGACGCGCGCTTCCGCGCCGCGGAGCTCGTGGCGCCCGCGAGCGCGGCCTCGTGCGCGGCCGCCGCGGCGGCCTGCCGGCGCTGGATCTCCTCCGCGGGGTCGCCCTCGACTGGCAACCACGGCGGCGAGAAGGTGTTGTGGGACTGGAAATCATATCTGACCGGCTGCACGTCCTCGGTGGGGAGGCCGCCGGCGCCCGGGAGGAGGACGCGGCACTCGCCGAGGAGGAGGTCGAAGGACTTGCGGGCCTGGTAGATCGCCAGTCGGACGCTGTCAGGCCAGCGTACGACCTGGAGGGAAAACACCTCCCCCACGTCGACGGAGAAGTCGGGCTGGAGGGCGCGCGGCTCGGTCTCGGCGACGACGCGCCCGTTGACGATGAGCTTCGCGAACACCCGCGTGCGCGCCAGGACGGCGGCTCGGTTCGCCTGGTGCGCCGTCAGGGCATCGGGGCCGTCCGGGAGCGTCAGGAGCGCCCGGAGCCGCGCGGGGCGATGCACGCGCAGCGGCCCCTCCTTCTTGACCTTCTCCCGCGTCCTGCGCACGCACGGGCACCGCGGCCGCGCAGTCAGCCCCCCCGGAATCATCCACAAACACCGAACAACAAAGTTGTTTCTCTCCTTCGTTCGGAACAGGGCGCCCGGGGCCGCGACACTCACCGCTTCTCGATCTGCGCCGTCTTGTCCTGCGCCCGCGCAGCGCGCCGCGGAAACTCCCCCAGCGCCGCCAGCTCCGCCGCCAGCTCCGCCTGGCGGTCCACGTCCCGCTGCTCCACGCGCGCGCCCTTGCCCACGACCCGCTCCAGCTTCAGCAGCTCCGCCTCGAGCTCCGCCCTCCGCGCGGCGTGCGCGCGCACCAGCGTCTCGACGCGCCGCAGCTTGATCGTCGCGCCCCCGAACGCCGCCGCCGCGTCGCTCGCGTCGACGACCCCCCCCGCGCCGTCCCCTTCCTCGAACCCGGGGAACCGCTTGGGTGGGCGGTGCAGCCCGACGATGTCGTCGACCTCGGCCACCGCGAGCCGCACGTCGAGCTCCCGGCGCGCGCGCTTGTCGACCCCCGCCGCCACCCCGACTCCGGCGTCTTTTTCCACCTGCAAATACACCCCCGTCATCGCGAACCCCTGCCGCGCCCGCTCCGCCTCGATCTGCTGGTAGATGTTCCGCATGTGCACGCACGCCCCGTGCTCCCACGCCGCCTCCCGCTCCAGCATTGCGCGCGTCGCCGCCACCTCCAGCTCCAACCGCCCGGCCTCCTGCGCCCGCGCGCGCCCGAGCTCCGCGCCGTCCGCGCCGCCGGCCGCGACGCCGAACAGCTGCTCCCGCGCCTCGAGCAGCTCCTCCTCGAGCGCCATCAGCCGCCGCGAGTACAGCGCTTGCAGGCCCGCGTGCTCGCGCGTGCGGTAGCCTTGGTACACCGCCGCGAGGCGCGACGCGAGCCAGTCCTCGCGCGTCATCGCCGGGTGCGCCGCGAGCTGCACGCGCGGCACCTCGAGGTCGAGCCGGTACTTGCGCACCTCGTCCGATGACGTGAGCATCGCCACGCCGGGCTCGCGCACGACAAGCGCGAGGTGCGGCGCCATGGGGTCGTGGCGTTTCGGGTCGCGGCCGAGCTCGCGTCGCAGCGGGTTCGCGCCCTGCAGGACCAGGCCGTTCTCGTCGATGAGCCCGCGAGCGCCGTTGGCGTTCTGGCGCGTTGCGACGTCGGCGGCGCCGAGCAGGCGGCTGGTCTCGGCGTCGTCCGCGGCCGCGCCGTCGCGCTCTGCGGCCTGCTCGTAGTGCGCGAGCCGCTGCTCCGCGCGGTCGATCCACTTGTCGCGCCACTGCGGCTTGTCGTCGACGGCGATGCCGTAGGTCTCGACCTCAGCGCGGCCCTCGAGGCGGGCGAGCGCGCGCGCAGGCGTCGGGCCCTTGCGGACGTTGATCAGCACGGGGCGGAAGGGGTCTTCGGGCGGGAGGGCGCGCGGGGCGCCGCGGTCGGGCCGCGTGACGCGCGCGACGGACGCCAGCACGCCCTCCGCGACCGTGCCCGCGGCGGCCGAGGCGTCCCGCGCGGAGTCCTCCGCGAGAGGCACGTCCTGCACGCACCGCGCGTCGTGGAGCGAGAGCGTCAGTTGCAGAACGCTTCACGGCAAAAGAGACACCCCCCTATGTTTGCGTGTGACGCGAGGTGCGGCGCGGGGGCGCTCGGGCGCGCGGAGCGCCGGCAGGTGCGTGGCTCGCGAGCGGGGGCGCGCGGCGGGGGCGTGCGCTGCGTCGTTGTTGCGGTGCGCACCCTGACGGACAGCAGGGGCGCCGACTCCTCCTCGTCGGCCGCCTGCGCGAGCTGAGGCGCGGTCGGAAGCGCACGGAACGGTTCCTCGGCGCCGAACATGCTGCGGAGCGAGCGCAGCCGCGACGGCGACTGCGGCGCTGGCGGCCCGGGCGGCGCGGGCTCGGTCGGTTGCGCCAGGGGTGGTTGGGGTTGGTTCCCGTACGCTGTGGAGGTCGCCGGGCGGCCCCCGAGCGTCGGGAAGAGCCGCGATGCCGTGGAGGACGTCGCGGGCTGCGCCGGCTGCGCTGGCTGCGGCGCGGCCTGGGCGGGGGCTGCCGCGGGCGCGCCCGCTTGAGGTGCCGGAGCCAGCTGCCAGGTGAAGCCCGGCGGCGCTTGCGGCGGCGCGACTCCCGGAGGGAACTGCCCGGGAGGCGACTGAGCGCCGTATCCCACGTTACCGGGCGCCTGAGGCGGTGAAAACGCGAACGCTTGCTGCGCAGGAGCAGGCGGGGGCCCTCCGCGAGGCGCGGCCTGGGCAGCTGGCGTCGCCGCCTGTGCCGCTCCGGCACCTACATATGGCCGGTAGCCCGCCGGGGCCGTCGGAGGCGCTGCGTACCCCTGCGGCGCCGCGGTTTGCTGCGGCATTGCTGGGAGCAGGACCCGAGCGGGCGCTCCTGGCCCGGACACGACTTGCGGCTGCACGTACGCCCCCGTTTGCGGCTGGTGGTATGTCGTGGGAGCCCCTCCGGGCGCGGGCGCTGCATATCCTCCCGTCTGCAGCGCCCCAGGCCCCTGTGAGGGTGCCGCACTCATGGGCGGAAGCCGCGAGCGCGGATCCATCCCGAACGCCCAATTCCTACGCGGCCGTCAGCATCTGACCTGCTCTGCCGAGAAACGGCGGCGCACCGCGCCAGGAGGCCCGCGAGCGCGCGGACACGCAGAAAGGCGGGTGCAGGAGTTCAAACCAAGACTCCGGACTCTGTTTCGCGCGTCCCACGAACGCGTTCACGCTACACACGACAGCGCGCGACCCCCTTGCGACGGCGCAGCGAATGCGCGACGTGCCCAGCGAGCGGCGCGCTTCTGGCGGTCCGAACGGGGCGCCCGGGGTCCGTCACACCGAGCACGGGGAGGCAGCCTGGTCGCTGCGGTCGCTGAGGGGCCCGCGCGGCGCCCGCAGGGCGCCGTTGCGCCAGAGCGTGGTACGTAGGAGCAGGTTGCGGTTTGTTTCGGAGGGTTCGTGGTCACACCGGGCGGCTTGGGACGTGCGCAGGGTGCGGGAACGTTCGCGGGCGGCACAATGACGGCCGCGGGGTTCCTGGCGCGCTTCCACGAGAAGGCCGAGCACAACCAGTACTGGTACAGTCCAAAGACGATCGAGGCCATCACGCAGGTGCGCTGCCCTGCCGCCGCTGCCGGCCCCAGCTCTCCGCCCAGCGCACGCACGCGGCCCGGGCAGCCGCGGCCCCTGCGACGCCGCATCCGCCGCCCCCGCGCGCACGAGCGGTACCCCTGGGTACAAGCTCCTCATTCCGACCGCAAGGACGCGGCGTGATTGCGTACGCGGGCCGCCACGCCCCTGCATGCACATCACCAGCGCGCGCCCCCTTGGCACGCAGGAGGTGCTCGACGGCGACGCGACGCGGTGCGCGTTCCTGTCGACGCCGTCGGTGTTCTACTCTCTGCCCCCGGACAGCAAGGCGCGGCAAAACAGCGCCGTGTTCGATCTCGACCCAGTCTTTGGCGAAGACAAGGAGGTGACCGCGCCTCGCAACTCCCCCCCCCCGCGTGCGTTGCAGTGCTCCTGCGTTCGAGACGTCAGCTGCGCGGCCCGTCGAGCCTCACTCGGGCCCCGGCGCACCGTGCAGCTCTCTGTGTGTGCGCGTGCTTCTGTCTGTCGTCGCGTCGAGCGCACGCCCACCCGGCCGCGTCCGAGGCGCTGCGCAGGTGGAGTACGTCCAGTACGACTTCAACAAGCCCGAGGCGATCCCCGCGTCGCTGCACGGCACCTTCGACATGGTCGTAATAGACCCCCCCTTCATCACGCGCGACGTCTGGGAGAAGTACGCCGCCGCGACGAAGCTCCTGCTCAAGGAGAACGGACGCATTCTGCTGACGACGATCGGGGAGAACGCGAAGATGCTCGCGGAGCTGATGCCGGGCGTGAAGCCGCGCGTGTTCAAACCGGCCATCCCGAATCTGATCTACCAGTACTCGCTCTACACGAACTACGACAGCGAGCGGCTCGCGGAACCCAACCCGGAGATCCCCGAGGACGACGAGATCTGACAGGAGGCGCTCACGCGCTGCTGGTGCGCCGCGGCCACGGTCCACAGGTTCGGATTCGCCGAAGACAGCTCGTGGCGTCGATTCAGCGATGCCACGCAAATTTTGAAAGAACATCCGATGATGCCAGCGCCTCACCCGCTGTGCTCGGCCCCCCCATCGAGCATGCGCACGGGATGCATCACACCGGACCGCTGGCGCCGCGAGCTCAGTCGCTGTCCGTCAGGCTCACGTCGCTCTCCTCGCTCTCGCTCTCCTCCTTGGCCTTCTTCTTCTTCTTGCCCCCCGCCGCCGCCTTGCCCTTGGCAGGCGCGGCCCGCTTCTTCCCTGCAGCGCCCCCGCCGCTCCCCGCGCTGGCGCCCTCCTTCCGCGCCTTGTACGCGGCGGCCATCCGCGAGATGCACTCCTTCCGCGCGTCGTCGTGGTCCACGATCGGCTTCGGGTAGTCTTTGCCGATGACGCAGTTGGCCTTTTGCTGAACGTCGCGCGGCATCTTCCAGGGCTCGTAGATGTACTTGTCCGGCACGTCCTTGAGCACGGGGAGGAACTTGCGCACGAACTTGCCGCTCGGGTCGTACTTCTTCCCGAACCCGACGGGGGAGTAAACCCTGAAGTACTGGTAGAAAAAGGAGGACGCCGACAGCCACATCCAGTTGCCCGAGTTGAGCGACCAGTCGCTGTCGATCAGCAGCGCGTCGAAGTGGTCGCGCCCGCGCTCCCACGACACGTACAGGTCCCCGCGCGTCAGGAAACACGCCACGCTGTGCCGCGCCAGGTGGTGCATCCAGCCCCACTCCTTGAGCTGCGCAGGGGCCGAGCAGCGCAAGCGGGGCGGCATGTGAGGGACCGCGGGGAGCAGTGCGCGGCCAGCGACCTCTTCGGACCCAGGTGCGCTGCCCGCAGGGTGTGCGTGGGAGCGCGCTGTTGATTGGAATCTTTCGCGCCGGAGGAGCCCTGCCCAGGGTAGGCTGGAGTTTTGGACCGCTGCTGACCGTTGCAGGTGCGGTGGGCATGCTGTCCGAGGGGACGTGAGCTCGGCGGCAATCAGATGTTCGCACCTGAGTCATGATGGCGTCAATCCACGGGTAGCCCGTCTGGGCCTCCTGCCACGCCTTGAAGCGCTTCTCCGCGGCCTCGTCCTTGTCCCACGGGATCTGGATGCAGATCGGGTTGCCCTCCATCTTGTCGTAGTTGGGGGTGTGAACCCCGACGCAGGTGTAAAAGTCCCGCCACAGCAGCTGCCCGCGCAGCGACACGGGCGGGGCCGAGTGCTTGCCCTTGGCCTCCTTGTAGATCTGCACCAGCTTGGCGTGGAACAGCCGCGGCGACAGGCTCCCGTTGCACAGGTAGGGCGACAGCACCGTCGTCGCGGGCTCAAGGAACGCTGACGGGTCCGTCTTGGGCTTCTCGAACGCGCACACCCACTTCGGGTCCGACATGGACGCCGCGAGCCGCGCCAGGGCCGCCGTCTCGCCGCCCTTGAACGGCGTCTCGGGCCCCGCGGGCGGCTGCAGAGAGGGAGCGGAGGGGGGTGTGTTGTTGGGCGCCGGGCGATGCGTGGCGCACGAGCGGGTGCGTGTAGGGGTGCGCACGCGGACCTGCTCGTGTCCGAGGGCTTTCAGGTCGGGAATCTTCGATTCCTTGTCTCCGGTGTGTTTGGCGCCCGAGGGGACAGGCGGGAGCTTGGATGGCGGATCCGGCGCGGGCTTCGGCGCGGGCATGGCGTCGACGATCTTCGTGAACGCCTGCAGCACAGCGGCACGCCGACAAGGCCGTCTCAGGCAAACGCAGGCCACCAGCCGCCATGACAAACAAAAATGCCCGAAGACACAAAAAAGGCTCTTACGCGGGCTTCTTGCGCGCTGCGGCGCCGTTCGAGCCCCCCCGGGCGGGACGTACCGTCATGGTCAGCGGCGCCTTGCCCTTGTTCTTGCGCACGACTTCCTCGACGTCGTAGAGCGTGTGGGAGACTTTGCAGTGCACGGCGACACCCATGGACTTGCACGCCGCGTCGACCTTGGCGTCGCGCTCCTTCGAGTACGGCTCGAGGTCCTGCTCGTAGCACAGGTCCGTCGCGCCCCAGTCCTTCATCGCCCTGCAGCCAACAACGCATTCGGCTCCCTCAGACGCAAAACACCACGACTGTTCCGACAAAAATCAACCATCGGTGCGTCTGACTAGCCTCGCGGGCTCGCCCTGACCACCGAGACGTGGTCGATGCAGGACGTCGCGGTCGGCGACGCAACACGAGCGATGCGTGGCCAGTCTTTGTGGGGCACTCACCGGGGCAGCACCTCCGTGGGCTCCCCGCGGAGGACGATGAGGCGGGACCCACGCGCGCGCAGGGACTTGTCGAGGTCCTCCAGCGTCTCGATGAGGAACTTGGCGCGGTTCACGCCCATGGTGGCGGGGCCACATCCATGCGCCTTGTGATCGACGCAAAAGACCGGGTACAGCGCCGAAGCTCCCTGCGATGCCATGCACTCGCGTCAAGTTCCGTCTCCAACGTCTCTAGCGTGTCACTGGCGTGCCCGGCGAGTTCGCACGCGCATCAGGTGGGAGTGGGGGCGCGCCGCGGTGTGCGCGTTGCGCTGAACGCACCTCGGCGGCCGCGAGCAGCGCGGGGTTGTCGTGGAGGCGCAGGCCCTTGCGGAACCACATGACGGCGGTCTTGTCATCGCCGGACTTCGCGGCCTTCGGCATTGCGGAGGCGGAGGAGGCTCTGAGGCTGAGGAGCGAAGGGCGGCAGGTGCGCGCTAGGAGGCGGACGCGGGTCGGACGGAGTCGCGAGGCGCAGGAGACGCCCTTGTGCATACAGACGGGCGTCCAGCTCGTCGGTTGGAGCCACAGTGCCGCGGCCAGGTGCGGGTCTGTGGCGCTGAGGGAGGCGGGCGACGGCGTCGATTGAGCCCGTGAACAGGGTGGTTTCCCGACGTGTCGGCGACAACGGTAGCGATGAAAAGCCAGGGAGAGGCAATGTGAGTCCCGGTAGGGGGCGAATCTCCAGTTGCGGGCCGAAGTGTGCCAGCAAACTGACGGCGCGTGAGCCGGCGCACAAGGCTGATATAGTTGTCAGACTTGGCGTGCCGTCTCGAGTGCTACTCTGTGGTATCGTCTTCACACGGGGAGTAGCAAAGAGCCCAGACCCCTCAGCCACACGGCAAGACCCCAGCGGGCCTGATGTCAGGCAGCCTGCACCAGCCCAGACGGGTCCTCCATTGCTGAGTCTGTCGAGACAGGGAGGCACACATGCCACCAGTCCAGACCCCCACTCGCACCCGACGCGAGTCGTGCGCGCGCTGAAAGCACTAAGGAAAAAAGGTGGCCCCGTAGGGCGATGCGGAAGAAGGCCAAGGCCGGGTAAGGGATGTGGCAAGTAGGTCTGCAGGGGTTTAGTTCACCGCCCATCGGGGCAGGGACCGGTGCAGGGCACCGAGGGACGTGACGTGGCTGGACAGGTGCTGGGGCCATGTCCAGTGCATGGGCTGTGAGTCTGTGGAGGTGAAAATGAAGCCCTTCAGGCTATAGTTCGCTGCGAAACGTTTGATGGACGCTTTTGAGGCGGAGTTTGGTAGGCGGCCAGCCGCCCACGTAGCCCCCACCATCAAGCGACTGTGCACCCAGCGCACAAGGCCCTGGGCTCTCTGTTCAGTCGTGCCTGGTCGCGCGGTCTCGAGGATCGCTGCACCCGGGGTATCAAGGGCCACTGAGTAGAAGTAGGTGTACAAGGAGGAGTGTCACTCGAGTGCTACTCTGTGATCCTGCATAGACGCAATGGGGCGCCCGGATGGGCCCCAAAACGACGCTTGGAGAGGCCCCTTGAGGAGTCCCACTTGGACGCCCCTCGCGCCCGCGTGCGGCCTGTTGCGAGGCCACTTCGGGCTGTAGGCGCTTGGATCACACACAAAGAACACGGTTGAACATAGTGAGTTGCGCGTGTCCCATTCGAAACGTGCCAGGAGCCTGGGAAGGTGGAACCACCACGCACAGGTCCGCACCGAAGCGATGTCGGACTCGGCCCTGTACGAAGCGTGCAAGGCGGCCAAACCTGACGAGCTGGCTGCGCTGCTGGACCAGCCGGGGGCCAAGGACCTTCTCTCGAAGCCCCAGCCCCCAGTTGGGTTGTGCCCACTGCACGTCGCGTGTGGCGCCGACCGCACAGAGAAACCAGGTGCGCTGGCTGCACGCCCCGGCCAGCATACATCAAGACCACGTCTTGACGCTCGCGAGCGACCAGACCCGCCGCTGACCCCCCCCCTCGTCTTGCAGGGACTGGCGGGCTCATCACGCCCGAGCATGTGCGGTGCGCTGAGCTCCTCCTGGACGCCGGCGCCGATCCTAACGTCACAGCGGACTCCGACTGGCGCCCGATCCACTACGCGGCGATTCGCGGAAGCCCCGAGCTGGTACGAGTCGCCCAACCGACCGCATGCTCGCAGGCACAAAAGCCGCCCGCAGAGACCGTCAATCACGCATGTACACGCCCACGCAGCACGCTGTAGCACGCGCACGGAGCGGCGTGGTGCCGCTTGCTCGACGCTGACGGGCAGGAGGGCACTAGGGCTGTTGTTGTTGTTGCGGCGACGCAGGGCCTGTGCACCGTTCCCGTTCCGCAGGTGAAGCTTCTCATTGAGCGCCAGGCGGACGCGGCGGCGAAGAACGCCGGCGGGTGGAGCGGGTATGCGTTGGCGAACAAGCACGGGCACGCGGAGGCGGCGCGTCTGTGTGCAGAGGCGGGCGCGAGCAAGGCGAGCATAGGCGCGCGGATAGCGGCGAAGATCGGGTTCGCGCACTGGTAGCTCCCACGACTGCGCAGCTGCTCGCTGGGTGACTCGTCTGCTGTAATCTTGTCCCATCTGGTTTGCATTTCATTTTTCCTCTTTTGTGTGTTTGTGCGGAGCGACGCGCTTGATACGCACTGGCAGCATACCGTTCCAGACCAGGGCGCTCTGCGTGCGACGACGCAGCGCCTGTCGGCCACCGCGCAGGGCCGTCGTGCGTGCGACCCCCCCGGCCATGCTGTCGGTGGCCGTGCGGACGAAACCAAATAACAGACCACGCGTAGGCGTCACGTCAACATCCGTGAGGGCCTGAATGCACAAGCAGCGTTGAAAATAAGAGCGACGAATCGCGGGCACAACTTCGGCTGGGGACCATGCTCGCAGCGCCGTCACCCGCTGCGCGTCGCGTTCGCCCCCGCGCCCGCACCACCTGCCTTCCGAGTCCCCCACGCCTCCGGACGCGCGCAGAGCTCGCCCTCGCACACGGATCGAGCCGCCTCAGCCTCGAGCTGCGCCATCACGTCAGCAGCACCCCCCCCGGCCAGCGTGGCCCGCACCACCGCCTGTACCGCCTCCGAGGGGTGTTCCGCGAACGGCGCGACCACCTCGTACGCTACCCGCGGCGTCGCGGTCACGTGCGTCTGTTTTGAGCGCCACGTGAAGTCCAGCGCGCCCTCGCTAAACAACCCCCCGCACTCCCCCTCAAACGGCGCACGCCAGTCCTGCGGGGGGCGCCCGTCCGCGACCTCGGACGCGCATCGCTCCCCCGCCGGGTCAACATCGCAGAAGTGCGTACGCCGCATCTCGCTTGTTGGCATCCACTTCCGCACCCCCCAACCCTCCCGGAGGAGCATGTGCGGCACGCAGGGCTCGGGGGGGTCCAGAGGGAGACACCCGAGGAGCCCCGCCGCGGTGTAGTACGCCCCGAGCGCCGTGTCGGACGCGGCGCGAGGTATAACTGCGATCGAACGCCACGAACTCCCCCGGGGGGGGCCACGCGTGCGCTGGCGGCAGCGTGCAGTGGATGAGGTAGTCCGGCCGCGTGCGCAGCACCCACGCGTACGCGGCGCCGCGTGCGGCCTCGCGGCGCCGCAGCGCACGCAGGAGCTGCGTCCACCGGAAGTACAAGTGGGGGAACGGCAGAGACTCCCCCCGCCAGCCTGGCGCGCGCTCGAGCTCCGCGTGCTCTGCGATGACCAGGCTCGCGAGGCGCGTTCCGAAGGCCTGCGCCGCCGCCATGACGTCAGCAGCGCTGCGTGTGTACAACAGAGCTGGGTCGGGACGAGCGTCGGGGACGTGCGGAGACATGCGCTCCTCGGAGCCCAGCGCGACGTTGATGAAGACGTCTGCGCCGAGGGGGTCCACGACGGCCTCCTTGAACCGCTGCGACGCGCCCGGCAGCGTGAACGTGCGCACCTCGCCCGACAGCAGCAGCGCGAAGCCGGTCTGGTCGGACTGCCCGCGCGGGGGACGCAGGAGGCCGTGCGCGGCCCAGGCGAGCGCGGCGTCGTCTGCGTTCGTCAGTCCAGGGCGCGCGGCCCAGAGGCCGCCCGCACAGGCTGCGTGCGGCGCTGCGAGCCCCCTGACGTAGACGAGCGCCGCCGCGCACACGGCCAGGGCGATGCCGACTCTGCCCGGAAGGCCCCGGCGCCGGCGGTCGCGCTGCATGGCGCGGAGCTACATTCAGAGGCCTGCGGTGCGCACAACGGACCGGGGATTGTCGTGTCGTGGTTGTTTGATAGAGACCTTGCACCCCCTCAACTTGCGCACTTGCGCAGCGGCCGGGGAGGAGAGCTGGACGCTCAGCCGTTCGGAGGGGCAAGACGGTCGCGCGGGCGCGGGCGCGGGCCGGAGCAACGGCATGAGTGCATGTTTCGAGGAAAGCGTCGCGCTGCGGTCGTGCTCTGCGATGTATCTGTCGCAAGAAGGCGCGCGTCTGGACGACGAGAGAGGTGTTCATGTCCGTGCGGGTGCAGGACCGCTCGGAGAGCAGCGTTCAGCGGAATGCGGTGCATCTGGATCAGGGCAGATAGACAGCTCGTCATGGTTGCCTCGCTCGTCGGTGGCAACCGTGCGTCGCAGTAACGCCACCCGTGTTCACGAGTCATGCGGCCTCTGGGAGCGGAATGACGCACCTGCGAGCGCTCTCCCCCCAATGCGAGGCTGAAACACCCAGCGCAACACAAAGCTGCTCTCTTCTCGTGCTTCAATTCTCGTGCTCGTCATCGGTGAGTCGCAACGCGTCTCTCACTTGACAGAGGTCCCAGCAACGGCGCTGTCTTGTTGCAAGAATGCCGTTGCGTGCTTTCCGAGGCGCCCCAAACCAAGCGTAGGCAACGTGCGCAGTCCTCTCGATGCTGCCTGAAGAGGCACCCGAAGAGTGGGTACGTCGCGGCTGCACCATGCCCATGCCGCGCCGGTACGAGGCTGGGGGCTGTTTCTCGGGGGCGTACCGTAGTCACGTCGCACCGCAGTCAGGTGGGACGGTTCCGAACTGGACGCCCACACGCAGCTCGAGGACAGCGGCGCCCCCTGAACGACGCCAACGTAGATGAATATCGTCGAGACGCATATTTCTCCCGGGGTCCTGCGACCGACCGCGCAGACGCGGACAGATTCGTATGGCACCCATTCGGCTCGCCCTCGCCATCGAGGCGATTGCACGCGTGCGTTCTGAATTCGATCGACTTCCTGAGCTCCAGGTCAGCGCGGCTGAGGTGCACGCTCGAGCCTTCACTCCCCCCCCCCATCGTTCGAGGCTCATTCCAACCAGTCCTACCTGCCCGCAGCCTCGGGTGCCCGCGACCCTTCAGCAGTCTCTGCACCGGACCGAAATCGTCCTCAAAGCTGTCTCGGCAGCCGCCCCGCATATACAAGCATGCGCGCTGGCCTCCACGCTGCGCTGCGGGGCACGCCTACTGGCGAGCTTGCTACACACCCTGGCCGTTCTGGCGCGTCACAGCGTGGCGCGCAGCGCGTCGTTGGCCGCATGCTGGGGGACAGCTGCGAGAACAGCGTCCGGCCTCGCGGAGCCGGTCCAAGCGATGTCTGAGGCTCTCCGCGACATGCACACAGCTCTGGCGTCCGCGCCCCAGGTGAGCGCGAACGACGTCGTCCGCGCACGGCCTGGCCTGCCCCTCGCACACGAGCGCACGAAATCCCAGCGCCACAAGCGCTCCTGCGTCGCCCGCAGTTTGCGGTCGCCGCATCATGGCTGCAGCAAGCGAGCAACATGAGCGGCACCGCAGCCGAGGAGCTCGCCGCTGGGGGTCGCGGACCGCGGCTGGAAGTGCCCGGCGCGCCGCTGGGCGACTTCTCCGGCATCCGCGCATCGATTGAGAAGCTCGTCGAGGCGGAGAAGTGGAGCGAGCTGCGCCAACTAGCGTCTGGTTCGACGCCCTTCACCGGAGTCATCGCCGACGACCTCAACCTCGTCCAGCGGCTCCTCGGGGACGTCCTCCGCAGCAGCACTGCGCAGCCAGCGAGAGCCACGACTCCGCCGCGCGCACAGGAGTTGCTGGAGCACGCCAGTTGCGGCATCTGTTTGGACGTGATGCGGACGCCGGTCGTTCTGCGCACGAGCAGCGGGGCGTCGTTCTGCAAGCACTGCATCGACGCCCACATGCGTGTGGCGCGGGAGGGCGGCCGCGTGCCGACCGACCCTGTGTCTCGCGAGCCCATCCCGCAGCGGGAACCTTACGTCAGGAACCGCCCGCTCGAAGCGATGATCGAGGCGCTGCTACAGGGCGAGGGGCGTGACGGCGACGCCGCTCGTGCGGAGGACGGCGCGTCCACGCCCGTGCTGCCGCCCGTCTCGAGCGCGCCAGCGCAGGGAGGAACACCACACACCGCGCAGCAGGGCGCTGCGGTACAGGGTGGGCGGGGCAACGGCGGCCCAGCGGTGGGCGGCACGATGGGGAGGCGGATACTTCGAGCGCGGCGGCGGCTGTAGACCAGCGCAGCACGTGTGCGGCGGCGTTGTGTGATGGACGAATCGAGCGCCGCTTGGACACCGTGACCCCGACGCCCTGCGTGCTCGACTGGCGCGCGTGTCGGCGCGCTGGATGCTTGCGCGCCGCGTGGGCGCGGCCGAGCCGCTGTGTTGGTACGACACAGAGGACCACTACGCTGCACGAAACTGGGCGTTCATCGGACCATCTTGCGCGGATCTCGGTGAAGTTCGTGAGTGAATTCAGATACATGCAAAGTTGTATCGAAAATTCTCAACCATGCGCGCGGGGACTGTGCGAGTAATAACTACACAGCGGGGAGGGCTCGGAGGGCTCGACCGCCGCTCTCCCTGAGATTCAAGGTCGCACCGCGTGCTCAGCAACAAGCACAGAACCCACGCATCAACCGCGGTCGAACCATCCTTCGCAGCGTCCCGAGGGGAGCGCCTCCGGGCGGAGGCCAGGCCCGCGCATTGCAGGCATGAAGCTCACCGACCTGGCCATCGAGGCCCTCGAACAAATCGAAGTTCAGTTCCACCAGCAAGCACACCTCGAGGTGAGCCGCACCCCGGTCCGTTGAATCCACAGACGTCGCCGCGCACCCCCCACGCACTTCCGCCCTCACCACGCCCCGCAGAACCTGGTGTCGCCCCTGGGGCGCCCACGGAAGCCCGGTGCCGGTCCTGCGGCCCTTGTGGCTCGTCTCCGGCGCATGCTCCAGGCCAGCGCGCGTCTGGCGGAGCTGTCCGCGTGGACGTCGGTGTACGTGGCGGACCTCCTAGTGGTGGAAGTTGAGCTGCTTGCCGTGCTCGCAGCGAGCCGCAACCGACACAGCAGCGCTCCCGGGGGCGTGTTCTGGGCCTCCATCGCCCCGATACCGGCCCTGATCTCATCGGCATTCCTGGAAGTGTCGTCAATCATGCGCAAGTGGCACGCGGCGGTGACCGGGGCAGGGGCGGTCTCGCAGGTGCGCGGTTCCTGCCATGAATTCCGCCGGCGAGCCTCAAGCCCCCCCGCCGATCCAGTAACGTTCCCTGTCTCGGACGGCTTCTGCAGGGCGCGTCCGTCGCGAGGGAGTTGCAGCGTCTGACCGAGGCCTTCCTGCGAGCTTCGGGGGAGGCAGCGGCAGCGGGCACGCCGTCCTCGCAGTCCACGTGCTGCGGCATGTTCGCGGGGCTCCGGCAGGTCGTGGTGCTCATGGTGCACGAGTGCATGTGGGCTGCGCTGTCAGGCCTGACGTCAGGAGAAGTACAACTCACCGGCGACGCCATGACCGACCAGCGGGTCGCGCAGCGCCGGTTCGAGGACGAGGCACGCTTCCGGGCCGACGTCCAGGCCGCCAGACTGCGCGGCGCCGCCCAGGACAGCGCCCCAGCGCCCGCGCACCTACAACAGGCGCAGCGCGGCACCGACGCGGCGCCAGCGTCGGCCGCGCTCGCGCACGCCGAGTGTCCGATCTGCTGGAACGTGATGACGGCGCCGGTGCTGCTCAACACCAACTCCGGCACGTCCTGCTGCCAGGCGTGCATTGAGGGTTATATCACCAACGCCCGATCCAAGGGGTTCCAACCCCGAGATCCGATCTCAAGGGAGCTGATCCCCCCGGAGCGGCCGTTCATCCGGAACCGGACGCTTCAGGCCGTCGTGCAGAGCCTCCGGGAGCTCCCTGCGCGCCAGGAGCGCACCGAGGCGCCGCCCGCAGCCACACCAAAGCTGACGCAGCAAGGTCAGGGGGAGTTCATCGACCTGCGCGTCGAGACGGAGCCTTCGGCGCCGCCGTACGCAGGAGCGGGCACGCGGGGGTGGGCGGCCGACTGGGACTGGTGAATGGCGCGGCGCCGATGGTAGGAGACATGCGCAAATGCATTGTGGGCTTGTTTCGCGATTTTTTCTTCAATGTTGTGAGCACTCGCGCGGTACCTTTGTGATCTGTGCCGTGCCACGGGTCTCAGTGTGCAGGGGGCCGAGCCGGCAGCCCCATCGTGCGGGCCTGAGTCATGCACAGTACAACACTGCAGGACTTGAGTCAAGTTGACGCGCTGCCGGCGAGCACCTCGCCGCGGGACCGCTGCGCCGCGCAGCAGCAGTCCGTGCGGCGATCTCGCTGCGGTCGACGAAGCTCGCGCAGAGACTTGCGGGTTTGGTGCGGCCCAGCCGCCAACACACCAGTGCCGCTGTTGGCTGCCCGATGCTGTGAGTTGGGACGATGGCGGGAATGGGGAAGGAGGAGAAGAAGAAGCGGAAGCTAGAGCGGGATCCGGCGAGCAAGGGGGAGAAGAAGGCGAAGAAAGCGAAGAGGAAACAGCCTCCGGTGTCTGGCAGCGGCGAGGGGGTCAATGTGGAGGGCTTCGACAGCGCAGGCGAGTCTGGCAGGGCGCGACGCATGCTTCGCTTTGGCCCCGGTCTCCGAGTGGCCAGCGAGCGAACGCAACGCCTCGCTCGTCGCGCACGGGCGCGCTCCGCGCCGGCAGTGCCCCGTGCCGCCGCACGTCGGCGCAGCGGCGAGTTCGCACGCGAGGTGCGCGCTGCGGGCAGCCTCGTGGCTCAGAGACGGCAGAATGAGCGGCTGAATCCGGAATGTGTCCTCGCAGAGAAGGTGAGCGAGCTCGGGATGGAGAGGGTGACTGCGGAGCTGCAAAGACGAGGGATGAAGTGCGGCGGCAGCCTCATGGATCGCGCCGAGAGACTCTTCCTGCTCAATTCTCACAGGTGCGCCCGCAGCGCTCGACGGCCCGGGCTTTCCGCGCCTGCCACGAGCGCCAACGCCTGACGTGCTCCGCGTCGGCCACCGAACCGCAGCCTCGACGAGCTCCCGCCCAAGACGCTGGCGAAGTCCACGCGCTCGGCGCTCGCCGCGGCCGAGAAGGACAGCGGGACGCGTCCGGACATGGTGGTCTGGCAGGGCAACTTGGTGCTCGTCAACGCGGCCCGCGAGGAAGTCTACGACGCGAAACGGACCGTCAAGGACGCCTCAGGCGCAGGCACGACCCCTCGCAGCCCCAGCAGCACAGCGCTGCAGTCCCCGCTCCGTGACGCAACAAAACACTCTCGACCTTTTCTACACATCTTTTGTTCCGCAGAGAAGCCGCTCGTGATCGGCACGTGGGACATCCCGACGCGCTCCGTGCGCCTGGACCCCGCGCAGGCCGGCGCCGTCTCCGCCCGCGCCGCGAAGAAGGCCCGTTTGGAGCAGCAACTGCAGGCGGCGCAGGAGCGCAGGGCGGGCACGCTCGAGTCCGTGGAGCACGCGTTCCAGGCCGACGAGGACGACCACTGCGAGACCAGCCTCGAGGCGTACTGCGACGTCGCGCCGCTGCTCGACCGGCTGGCGTCCCGCCTCGGGAGGACGCGTGCCACGCTGCGCATCTACGACCCGTACTACTGCGCGGGCGGCGTGGAGCGGCACCTCGGCGCGCTCGGTTTCCAGGACGTGTACAACCGCAACGAAGACTTCTACGAGGTGCGCCCGCCGCCACACGCGCCGCCGCCGCAACATCACGCCGTCGCGGTGCTGCTGTGTCGAACGGACGCCGCGACGGTCGGGCCCGGTCCGCGCGCAGGTGGCGCGGCGCGGGGAGGTCCCGGAGCACGACGTGGTGGTGACGAACCCGCCGTACAGCCACGAGCACATCTGCAAGCTGCTCAAGTGGTGCCGCATCAACGGGCGGCCGTGGCTCCTGCTGCTCCCGAACTACGTGTACCAGAAGGACTACTACGGCGACGTGTGCCTGGGGCGGAGTCCGGCGAGCTGGACGAAGTGCGAGGGGCTGTTTTACCTCGCGCCGCGGAAGCGGTACTACTACTGGACTCCCAAGGCGCTGAAGAGGGGCAAGAGCACGCACGGGGGCAGCCTCGGGGAGCGCACGTCGCCCTTCATCTCGTTCTGGTACATCTGCATGCAGGCACGTGTCCCCCGCGCCGCTCTGTCGCGCGGCAGCGACGTTGCGTGAATGCGTACGTGGGTTTGCCGCGTTTGACGGCTCCTTGCGCAGACGCCGACGGGCCCGCGCCAGGAGCTGATTGTACTACGAGTCAGAAGATGTTCTGTGCGCTCGTTTGATGTTCGTGCGCCCCTCTCGGTCCCCGCAGGACCATGCAAAGGACATCACCAACTGGTTTCAGTCCAAACAAGGCATCGAGAAGAAGCGACGCATCGTGGCGGCGCGGAAGGCCGGTACGACGACGACCAGCGCTGACGCCGATGCGGATCCGGACTCCGGCGCGCCCGCAGATAGGCCGAACAGCGGCGCGCAAGATAGGGAAGCGAGGTCTTTCGATTGCGTCCTAGCGCGGGCTCTGGACGGGCTGCCCGCGGGGTGCATGGACGAGGGCGACCCGAACATGCCGGCGGCGCGGGCGCGTGACAGGGAGGAGCGCATTCGGGACGAGCGGCGCATGGGGGTTGCAGGTGGAGGCGCACGGGGGAGGGGTCGCGGGAGGGGCGGCGGACGGCACGGGCGCGGGGACGGAGGGCGCGGGCGGGGACGTGGCCGGCGGCGGGAGGGCGCGGAGGGGTCAGCGGCGCGGCAGGAGGGGAGTTATCCCACGGGGAAGCTCCACACTGCCGAGTGAGGTTGTGATCGAGTCAGGGATCGGTGGGAGGAGGTCCAGCGCTGGGAAGTCGATGGGCTCATGGGGCGTTGTGTGGCAGGTGGCGCTGCGCGAGGTGGAGTCTGACAGGGCAGCCTGACGTGGTTCACTGCCCCTGAGCAACGTGAGGGGACGTTGGGGGCGATTGCGTCGCGTGGACTGCTGTGAGGTGCAGTTCCGTGCCCGCCCGTGCACAAAAGCGGTGTAGAGAGCATTGAGGGAGTTGGTTGGAGTGCGACGGCGGCCTGACATGCCGGAGCTGCCTGAGGTTGAGTCGGCGCGGAGGTTGCTGGAGGAGTTCATCGTCGGACGGAAGATCAAGAAGGTGCGGTTCTGCGCGATGTCATGGCACATTGCTCCTCTACGGCGTGCGGTTTCCGCGGGGCTGGTGAACGGCCTGTGCCGGCGGGCCAGGGACCCATCAGGTGCTGTGTGGTGTGGGTCCGCGCTCGCCCGAACGCACCGCGTCGCGCTTCGCGGTGCGCGCAGGCTGTGGTGGAGGACGACGCGAAGGTGCTGCAGAATGGGCTCGGGCACAAGGAGCTCCAGAAGGCCCTCGAGGGCGCCACTGTTGATGAGGCGCGGCGGAAGGGCAAGGTGGTGTGGGCGCGCCTGAAGAGCGGGCCGAGCGTGTTGTTCCACTTCGGCATGACAGGCAGCTTCTCGATCAAAGGGAAGGCCGCGATGGAGGTACGGACGGCCCTCGACGCGCCCGCACCACGCACGACACAGATGGCCCCCACGCACCTCACGGCACTCTGCAACTTCGCGCTGTCGCAGTACAAGTCGTTCAGGGTGGACGAGGAGTCCTGGCCGCCGAAGTGGACCAAGGTCGAGCTCGTCATGGACGACGGCACGGCCCTGGCGTATTCCGACCCGCGGAGATTCGGCAAAATATGGTTGCAAGACGACCCGTTCAACCAACCGCCCGTGTCCGCCCTCGGCTGGGACCCGGTCCTCTCCCCGATCGACCTCGACGCCTTCCGCGCCGCGATGCTCGCCTCGCGCAAGCCCGTCAAGGCCGTGCTGCTCGACCAGGCGTTCTCCGCCGGCGTCGGGAACTGGGTGGCTGACGAGGCGTTGTACCAGGCCCGCGTGCACCCGGAGCAGCCGTGCAACTCGCTCACACCCGACGCGGCCGAGGCGCTGCACCGCGCGGTCATCGGGGTGTGCAAGGACGCGTGCGACGTCGGCGCGCGCTCGTCCAAGTTCCCGCCCGACTGGCTGTTCCACTTCCGGTGGACGGGGAAGAAGGCCTCGAACGACTACCACGGAAACAAGGTGCGCGACGCGTGGCGTGGCGCGGCACGCCCAGGATGCGCCGCGCGGCACATTCATTGTGCACGTTGCGCTGCTTGCACGAGCAGCACAGTGCGGAGTAGGGTGGGCGCGGCATTGTGGACGCTGCGACTGACTGGAGACTGCCTGTGCTTCTCTGTCGCGCAGATCGAGTTCATCACGGTCGGCGGGCGCACGTCAGCGTACGTTCCAAAGCTGCAGAAGAAAACGTCGGTCAAGCCCGCGGGCGACGGCGGAGACGCCAAGCCCAAGGTCAGCAAGGCGAAGAAGCCCAAGGGCAAGATCGCGAAGAAGCGGAAGCGCGCGTCGTCGTCGGAGGAGTCCTGCACGGACATGTCGGACGACGACGTCATCGTGGAGCCGCCCCCGAAGCCGATCCCACGCGCGCGCGGTGGAGCGAAGAAGGACAGCGAGGATGAGACGAAAGCGGTGGCGAAGAAGCCGGCGCCGAAGAAAGCGTCCACTGCCCCGAAGAGGGCCGCGGCCCCACGCGCGGCGGCGACCAAGGCGAGGAGCCGCATCGCGTCCCCGCGACCACGGTAGCATGCCGTGACGAGTGATCGAAATCTCGCTGATTTGTTCCTTGTCTGAGCAGTCGTTGCAAGAACAGCTGCGTGTCGCGAAGGACACCGCGGAAACATCCACTTGCATATTTCTGAAGCATGCGAGCGCGTCGTCCGGAGACGTTTGAAGTGGACGGACAGGCGTTGTCACACCACGACAATGACCGCTGGGTCAGTCACGCAGGAGCGCGCTTGTGCCCAGCAGTCGGCCCTCAAAACGCCGATCGCTTGATAGCGTACTTGTTGGGGGTTGTGTCCATCGCAACTCGCGTGACTCCACGATACAGCGCCCAGCAGTGCCTGTCACGACCATCATCATGGCCACATCGTTGTTGCGTTCATGCCCCGCCCGTTCACGGCGCAAGCGTCAGGGAGCTCATCCCGCTCATCGAGCTCATCGCGTCATGGAACTCGATAGCGTCGTCGTAGTTGATCGCCTTTTGAACGTGCCCAGCCGGATAGGTGGGCTCGAGCGGGCCGACAGTCTTCCAAACCGCAACGATGTCCTCCGCGTCCTTTGCACCACCCTCGAGGAACTCGACGGGGGGAATGAGCTTGAAGTTACCCAGGAACTTCCTGGCGGTGTCGCCGTCGGTCTTGAGGAGCTCGACGTGCTTCTTCGCGTGGTTCCAGATGTGAATCTTCGCGACCTTGACCACTGCGTGCGACGCGGTGTCCGAGCTAGACGCGTACGTGTGCGTGTCCCTCAGCAATCTGACTTCGCTCGGGAACCCAGCAATCGTCGCACACTAGGGCATCGCATCGCGCAAGTCATTAGCAGCCGGCACGCGAGCTGATCAAACGCGAGGCCGAGAGCGCAAAGATCGTTCAGCGGGGCTTATGAGGCAACTCACCACTGTTGAACACCTCGTTCACGGCAGACTGGATGTCCGTGATAGACATGCAGAAGAGGGAGAGGTTCTGCTCGCTCTGCATCGCGGTTTGAGCGGAGAGAGCCAAGTCGTACCGTGCATCACGCCTGCATGAAATGAAATGACTCAGGTTGCCCCAACTTGTGGCGGGGCTTGAACTCACCGCGGTCATGTTCAGCTTCATCGTGGCGAGGTGCAGCTTCAGCCTCTGTTCGAACTTCACCTCCATGCCCGGCGAGAACTTCAGCGCCCCCACGCTCGGGTCCTTCGTTCCAGGCGTGGTCGTCACGGCGGGCGTCTTGGCAGCGTCGTCACCCGAGAAGTGCTCCAGCACGGCCTGCTTCGCTGCGTCGACGATTTTTTTCTTGCCATCGCTCGGCGGTTTCTTGACCGCCTCGTGGAATTTCTTGATAGCCTCCTTGGCGTTGAACTCCTCCTTGCTCTCAAACTCGAACATGTCGATGACGGTGAGCAGGTAGTGCATCTTGGTGAGCAAGTCCCCGGCGTTGCCCATGTCCTTCAGGCCCGTGTCGGCAAAGCCGGACAGGTGAGCGGAATCGGCTTCCTTGATCAACTTGAGCGCGTAGCTGGCCAGCAGCTTCGTGTTGATCTGCACGCCGCCGTTCTTCTCGTAGGTGGTCTCGCCGGGCATCGTGCAAGTCTGGAGGATCTGCGAAGGAGAGCCCGGCAACGGCGTGCGTCAGCGACGGGTGAAAACAGTGCAAGGTGCGGTGCGGACAGCGCGCTCGCTGCTTCTCCCAAGGACCAGCGCGTCCGCGCGAACCTGATGAGCACTCACTACTTCATGACATCAAGCGGACTCTCTGATATACGAACATGCTTGTCACGCAAGCATCGCATCGTTCGAGGGCCACCAAGCCCGCAGGCTCGCTTGGTCTCCAAGCGCTAGGCACCAGCATTGACCCCGGCGCACGGCAACACCACGCACGAACGGGACATCGGCACCACAGCATCGCGCTGTACCATGTCTGAGAAAGCCATCCGGCGCACAGACGCACAATCCAATGCCGTGAACCGGCCGCACGCGACGTGCGTGCCCCTCGAGGTCAACGGCGACACAACAGCGCTTGCGGTGCGTCTCTCACCTGTTCTCGGCGCGTACCGACGTCAACACTCGATAAGTAGGAAGCGTAGTTGCCGTGTCGGCCGCCCGCGTCGCCCAACATGCCGCTCACAGCTCAGGAGCGATCACTCTCCCAGATAGGGTCGGACGTGTCGCACAACCATCGAGTGGTGCTGGGTGGCTGCTCGCGATTCACGCGCGATGCCCAGCACCCAACGCGCGCCGCCCCCCGTCCGCGCGTGCCCAGGCCACCAGCGCGCCCCCGGAAGGCGATCTGCGCTCGTTCTGCTCCCGACGAGCCCCACTCGCACGTGGGGTGGCACGGGGCGAGCACGGCGGGCAGCCTGTGCCCTAGTTCGCATCAGGACGGACCACTCGCGACGTGCTCGCGGGCCGCAGCGCCCTGAAGATGGGAGACTGGGCCGGTGGCGCGCGGCCGTCGTGCGGGAGAGGCCGCGCACGCGCTCAATTGCGTGTCGGGTGACTGCTGTGCAACGTGGACAACATGGGGCGTGCGGTCGCATGGCCGTCGCGGCGCTGCGACCCGGACGACATGGGTCGCTGTCGCGTGAGACGAGCGGCCCGTGCCGGAGCGGTCGACGGCAAACGAAGCGCACCGAGCGCTGGAGAGCGTTCCCAAGGTGCGACAAATGACCGCATTGCCTGCGAGCGGCCGCGAACAGCGAGAGTGGGGTGCCGCAGCGCTACGTGGTGCACGGCAAATCGAGCCTTGCTGCGCCTGAAGGAACGCGAGTCTCGTCGAACGATGAAACAGCGCGATGTTTCTGATTGTGTACGTGGTTGCGAACGCGCCGGCGACGATGAAAGGTGGTCACGCCCGGCGACGTCGTGGAGGACAGGAGCGTGGCGTTACAGCTGGCTGTCTCGGTAGCATGATCTCACAAACGGGACTGGGACGGACGCTACAGGGACAACCCGCAGGCGTCACGCGATCGATCGTGGCTCCGCGGCACTGACCCTTCGATCGCCGTCACGCGTCGGCCGCCCCCTGCCCAACACCGCTCGGGCCCGCTTCCTCGCGTGCCAGCATGGTGGAGAACTGCTGCGTCGGGGTAGTCGTTGCGGCCGAAAAGGTATCGGTCTGATCGTCGCTCACGGTCATCCGCGCGACTGCCTGTTCCAGCGGCTGTACGGCGCAGCACTGTTCGCCGCACAGCTGCTGCTGAACACTGCGGAGCTTGTCGATGAGCTCGCTGAATTCCCTGCACGCAGCCTCGCGCGCAGCCTGCATGTTGGCGCATGTCCTGCGGCACTCGTCCAGCTCGGCCTGCAGCCTGCGCACGGTCTCCAGGAGAACGTCCACTCGGACAGGGGGCGAAGGGGGTTCCGGAGTGTTCACGGGGAGTTCCGGATAGTCCATGGGGACGATTCCCGACCCATGCCACGCCTCGCGTGCATCAGCATGCACCATCGCCCGAGCAACCTCCTGAGCATCTCTCGTGCGATAAATCTGCAAGTGACCGCAACACCGAGGGCAGGCCATTGGATGCGTGGATCAGGGGACCGCTATTGAGCGGCGTCGTGACGTTGCTTCCAGCACGAAGCGCTTTGGTCTGCCCCAACATGAGTGCTCTGACCTTTTCCCTTTTGTCCCTCGCATTTCTCGCGACCGCGATGGCCTGATTGTCCGTCAATGGGAGATTCATCTCCTCCTTGTGCCCCCTCTTGGCGGCATTCGTGTGGAAGGCGGTACGGAACTTCTTCTCCAGGAGTTTGTGCCCGTCGGGGATAAGGCCCTCCCTCCGCAGGTAGGCCATGACATCGCTGACAGTCCAGAAATCGTCCGCCATCTTTCTGCAGACACGGGGGAACACGGCACACGTCCACTATGTACACATGTCAGCAGCGTGGCTGCTGACTCGCAGATCGCGCGTGATCGACAAATTTTCGGGCTGTTTGATGGTATATCACGGCGCACTAGTTCATTTACATCCGTTTCATGCCAAAAAACGAGGAGTTGAGAACTCTTTTGAGCCAATCGAGCGCAGTCCTCTGTGGGCGCTGCGAGCCTCACACGCTCCCGCAATCCGGCCGCTTTCGACAGAGACACGCATCACTGTTCGCAGGCCGGCATGCTATCGAACTCAGGATGCGCATCAGTCCCACGAGAGGCGCGCATGGGCGCGCATGCACCTCTCATCGCGCGGGTGCCCAGATGCGTGCGGCGGGCCTCTCACCTTCGTTCGCCGTGTACGCGGTACTTTCACCCACTTTACTGAAGCCGAACAGCCATGTCTACCCATGTCCGCGCCCCCATGTACCGCACACAGCCCGCAGCCGCCCTCCCACCCCAGCAGCGGGGCCTTTTCCACACAACTAGGGTCATAGTAGACCCTCTCTCCCCACCGCGAAATCGCACGTCCCCAACGCGTACCGACACGCACAGCCGCATGTTCCAGTCTCTGGACGGCCCCTCCGCCGCAAGATGTCCTCACTCCGCGCCCCGCCCTGCCGGCAATCCCTCTGTTTGCCATCAGGTAAGCGCTGAGCCTATTTCGCGCCCCGCAGACCAGCCAAACGCGCGCCCCGCGACACCGCGCAGCCCAGCAGCACCGGGCACTCCGCACGACGCGTCCCGGCCCAACCGTTCGCAGCCGGCGTCACATCCCAGGCGCAAGACTAAGCGGTGACTACCCAGTCTTGGATCAAGGACGTTGGAGTCCACGGCACCTGCACCTGGAACAGCGGGTCGCCGAAGAAGAGCAGGACCTTCTCCCAGAGCGTCCGCGGCGGCTCCCAGGAGTCCTGGAAGAAGTACTCGTCCACGTCGGCCTTGATTCCGCCCGCCTCGAGCAGCGCCGCCACCGACGCCGACACCAGGTGGCCCCAGTCGCCGTCCTCCTCCGCGCGGAGCGACACCGCGCCCTCGATGTCCGCGGGCCGCAGCAGCCGCACCTGCACGCGCCGTGACCGGGCGCCGCACGCTCGCACTCGAGAGACAGGAATGCGCATTGCCAGTTGGGAAATCGCGACTGCCGGGCGCTCGCCTGGAACACCTCGCCCGGGGCGAGCCCCGTGACGCCCGGGAGCACGGCGTCGCCCCCGATGTCGATGCTCGTGCTCGGCATGTACCCGCGCCCGTCCGCCTGCGGGTTCCCCACCGACGGCGTCGTGCCCCAGATCGCACTCGATCCCAGCACGTAATTGCCCTCCTCGAGCGCCGTCAGCAGCTTCCCGACCTCGGTCTTGACGACCTCCGGCTTGGCGCGCCCGCCGTTGGCCTCCGCGGACGCCCGCAGCGTCGCTCGCGCGTCGGGCAGGCACAGGTCGGCGAACTTGACGCCCGCGGTGCGCACGAGGCGCTCGCGCTCGGAGGAGGTCTGGACGAGGCCGAAGGCGGCCTTCCAGGTCACGTAGAGGGAGAAGTTGAGGAAGGTGGGGTTCGATTGCCCGCCCGTGCCGTCCGCGAGGTCCGGAACCACGGGGAGCTTGTCCTTGTTGGCTTCGTAATAGTAACCGTACTCACGGAGACGGAGCCTGGTCGCCCGCGCCTGGAACTGCTCCTCGGAGGCGAGCCCGAGGTCCTGCGCGGCGTGTGGGCGGGTGTTGTCGCGGATGAGGGTCCGGGCCGGCGCTCGGCGGGCAGCACGGCCGCCCCAGTGCGAGGAGGGGCAGCACCTGTACCGCTCCGTACACGGCCGAGCCCATGGCCGACGCCAGCGGCCCAGAGACCTTGCGTGAAAGTGCCTGCGATGCCAGGGACCCCTGTTCCATCCCGCCGTCGCCCTTCACCAGGCCCCACGCGTACAGCTCCTCTGCGGGTCAGCGGCAGAAGCGCATTGCGATCGCATCTAGGGAGCTCGGCAGGGACCCGTGAGACAGCTGCTCCGCATCCACACCCTTGGGATGCGCCGCGCCGAGCACTACGAGCCACGTCGGGCCCGGTCGATGCACGTGATTTGCGTGCCAGAAGCAGATGAAGGCGGGCGCGTGTCATTCGGTGCGGTTGCGGCGGCGACGTCGGCGCTGCGCACCTGCTTGCGCTGGCCGCGGCAGCACCGCAGGCATCCCGAGCGCGCCCAGGAGCGCTCTCCTCCCGACTCGCATCGCATCGCCTGCTCCCTCAACCACCGAGCGCGCCACCAGCCTCCGTGCGCGGGACTCCCCCCTCCCCTTGACGCGACGCCCGCAGCTGGGACACGGCGTGGAAACAACCGCGTCCGGGCCGGACGCCCCGCGCAGCACACCCCGCGCGAGTGGCATGTTCATTGCGCGTGCTCTACGTCTGTCCCACACGCCAGCGCCCGACGCACCAAAGGCGGCCGTCCTGGCCCCCAGAGCAAGACACCCCCTCCCTGACACTTGATCGCATGACACACAGAGTAGTAATTGATCACCCGCACACAAACCTGCAGCCGCCAGAGCAGCCATCGCGGCGGACTTCCACATCACTAGACCTCGCGGCCCACGCGGTGTCCCTCCCCGCACAACGGACCAAACCACTGTTACATATCTGGCGGCACCCGCCTCAGCCAGCCCCTCAGTACCCGAACCTGTCGTTCAGCTCCGTCCGCCCGTCCCCCGTCTGTCCCTTCGGCGCCGCCCACCCCGCGCCCTCCCCGGCCCCGTCCCCCACGCCCACCTTGCCTCTCCGCAACAACGCCAGCTCCGCCTGCAACGCCGCGTCCACGCCGCTCGCAGGCGACTCCTCCCCGCCACTCCGCGCCCCCCGTCCCCCGCCGCCCCCCGCCACGGACACCCCCTTCGCCTTCAGCGCCCGCAGCGCACCCCGCGACACGAACCCTCCCGCCTCCGCCTCTGCAGCCTCCGTCGCCAGCGTGCCCCCCGACGCCCTCTCGTCCTCCACGCTCGGCTCCGTCACCGCCGTCACCACGCTCGGCACGCGCGGCGGCGCCGGCGCCGGCGCACGCGGTGCAGCGGCGGCTTGGTCCGTTGCGCGGCCGGCGTCCTCGCGCACCGTGCGCTCGGCCGCCGCCTGGGCCTCCTGCGCCGCGCGCGTGGCCACGTCGCGCCGCCGCTGCTCCTGCTTCATCTTCTCGAGGTGCATCCGCGCCTGCTGCTTCGCCTTCTCCGCCTGCAGCTCGCCGTCGCGCGGCCGGTGCTCCCCGTCCGGGTCCGCGATGTTCAGCATCTTCTCCACGCGCGCGAGCTGCTCCTCGAGCTCCGCGCGCTCCTTGCGCATCCGTGCCAGGCGGTCGCGCTCCACGTCGGTCTCCAGGTGCGCCATGTACGCGTCCAGGTCGTCCGCGCCGGGGTCCTGCTCCTCGCGACGCTGCGCAGCACGACGACGGAGCGACGACCGTGGGACGGAGCGGCGACGCAGGAGCTCTCCGTGCCGCGCGGACGGCTACCTGCCCGCGCGCAGGCCGGCAAGACACACGAGAGGCAAAGATTGACAACAAGCCCTCTTGGGGTTGCTGCGCACCTCTTCTTCGGCCTTGTCCTGGACGACCGACTCCTCGACGAGTATCTCTTGCTCGAGGCGGCGGATTTCGGCGCGCAGGGCCTCCTGCTTCCCCGCCAGGCTGTTGACGGTCTCGGCCTCTGCCGCCTCGGGGCTCCCCGTGCCGCTGCCGCTGCCCTCGGCGCCGCTGCCGGAGAGGTGCCCGTCGCGGCGGGTGCGCTTGCTGCTGCGCTCGCGCGTGCGGTCGTAGAACTCGTCGTCGTCGTCCTCGTCGCTCCCAGCGCCCCGCGCCGCCTTGCGCGGCGACAGGTTCTTCCTGCACACAGGATAGGATGCACCGCGCGCCGTCGCTCAGAACGCCCCAACAGCGACGCACCAGCACTACGATGCTGCCTCTGACAGGGCACGAGCGGCCCCAGGGAGCCCGGGGCGCGCGTATTGCGTCGTCGCGCACCTCTTGTGTCCGGCCTTGGCCGACAGCGAGTCGTGGATGCTGTCCTCCAGCACCGCCTCGAGGTCCTCGATCTCCTCCCGGATCGCGTCCACGCGCTGCTCGCACCGCAGCAGCGCCTCGGCCTGTCCGCGCCCCAGCCCCTCCCCGCCCCGCTCCTTGGCCTGCAGCCGCCCGCGGTCCTCCTCCAGCCGCCGCATCTTGCCCTCGCGCACGCGGATCTTCTCCACGATGCCGCGCTGCCGCTCCGTGAGCTCCCCGCGCGCCTCCAGCGCCCGCCAGTCCACCTCCCCGCTCATGAACGACACCAGCAGCCGGTGCGAGTGCGCGCAGCCGTGCGCGTGCGGCGCCGCGGCGTCGGACGCGGGGACGTCGACGCCGCGCTCCCTGGCAGCCTCGGCGCGCTGCAGGGCCCGGAGCTGCGCGCGGGAGGGCGCCTCCTCCGGCATCAGGTCCACGGGGCCGTTCAGAATGTAGATGCGCGTGCTCTGCGTCGCGGGGGGGTGAGCGGGGTGGACGTGCGCGTGAGGGTGCGAGGGGGGCGGCCCGGCGTCTGCCTGGTCGGCTCGGGGTGTTGATGTGCGCAACGACGTGCGGGGAGTCGAGGATCCATGGTTGTTTGTTTGGTGTTGCGATTGGCAGTTACCTGGCCGAGCTTGAGCTGGTCGCCGACCGCGAGCGGCGCGAACGTGCGCGCCTTGAGCCGCCGCTTGTTCAGGAACGTCCCGTGCGTGCTCCCGCAGTCCGCCACGCGCGCGCGCCCGTCCTGGGCAAACGCCACCACGGCGTGACACCGGCTGCACGACGGGTGCTGCACGACCACGTGCGCGCCGGGCGACCGCCCGAACACCACGACCGCGTCCTCCCCGAGCGGCCGCTCCTCCACCACCGCGCCCCCGCGCATCACCTCCAGGCTGTACCCCACCCCGCGCGGGGCCTGCAGCCAGTCGGGCTCCGGGAACTGCGGCGTCCACGGCGACGGCGCGCCGCCCTCCGGCGCGGCAGCCGCGTCGGGCGCCGCGCCGCTGTGGTGCCGCGCGACGATCTCGCCCGCGGCGACCTCGAGCTGCGCCGGTGCCACACTGCCTGCGAGGGCCGAGGCCGCCGACATGACGGCGTGGCGGCGGCGGTCGCTCTCGGTGAAGCTCGCGGCGGTGTTGTCGTTGCCCTGCGGCGCGGCGGGGGGTCGGTGCGCGTGGTGGGGCGCGGGGCGGCCGCGGGGTGGGTGGTTTGGGAGCGTGGCGTGGAGCGGAGCGCCGGGGTCGGACGGGGCCGGGCGGGATCGCGACGCACCGCTCGTGATGACGGGGTCTGCTCCGCGGCCGCCACGCGCGCGGCGGGCGCGGGCGGCGGCAGCATGGCGGGCTTGGAGGTGGGCGGGGGCGGTGGAACCATGCTCCCGCTCGCGGGGGGCTTTGGCCGCGGTGGTGGCATCGCGTCGCCGTCGTCGTTTGACGCTGTCATGTCCGGGAGTGGCTCGCCCCCGCGGGTCCGTGCGGCGCCGTGAGGCGAGGCGGTGACTGGGCTCAGACCTGCAGGCGAATGTTGCACCGAGCTGGAGGGCGTCAGAAGCTTGGTGCTCGGCGCTCGGGGTCCCGCCGGCGCGCGGGTGGGCGGCGCGAGGGCTCGCGCCGCGCCGCCGATTGCGCGTCGCTGAAAAGCGGCGTAACCGCTGGCACGGGCAGCCCCACGCTGGGGCACGACCGCGGGAGGGCGGTCGCACGGTGCTCCCTGTCGAAATTTGTGCGGCACCGGACATGGAGGGTATCTCGAGGTGGCGGTTCGCGCACGCGGTGGCGCCGCTGCGAGCCGCGTCGGCGGCCACGAGCTGCCGACAGGACGCAAGGCACCGCGCGAATGCTCGAGCGTGGGCGCCGTCGCAAACGAGCGCGGTCCGCGGGCGGGTCTAGACAGCCACCGCGATCGCGTCGGTCGACGTTGCGACCTGCCGAGAATACTCACCAGCGCTGCTCCGCTTCTCGCGCAGCGACTTGACTCCTTCGAGGGTCGCGCTCGCTCGTACGCGCCAAGGTAGATTCTGTGTCAATACGAAAAAGATCGCTGGTGGTTTTGACGAGCGCCCGGCGCCGCCGACACCCGTTGCGGCGGCTCACCGCGCCGGCGCGAGACCCTCTCAAACAGCTCAGGTGTGTTCAGTTGGCTAGTATGCCCGGAACCGGGCGGGACGGGCCGCCACAGCACATCCCATCCGCCTTTCCACCCTCTCACAGCTATGGGCCTCCCTGCGAGGTGCTCGCCGGGCCTGGCGTCCCCCCCGGCAGCGCGCGTGCCGGCCAGGAAGCATCCCCTCACCGCGGGGAGAGCCACGCGGCGCCCTCGACGGCGACGCCGCCGCGCGACGCCCGCCCGAGCGCCGCGCCGAGCTCCCACCGAGCGCGCTGCCGACCCCGCGCGCGCGCCAAACGCGCGCCCCGTGCCGGGAACCCAGCGTTATCCATAATGTTCGATGATGTCACACAATTAAGGCCGGGAACCATGCTCGCCCCAGACCTCGCCGCCGACACCCCAGACACCGCCGCAACACCCCACACGCGCGCCGCGCCCCGCGCGCCCGCCGCGTCACGTCAGGTCCACCGCCACCTGCGCCGCGTCGCCCTGAGCGAAGGAGAACCCGTCACCGCCGCCACCCGCCCCCGCCCCCTGCTGCCGGCGCTGCGCCGCGGCCCGCCCGCGCGCCCCGACGCCGCGCCACCACGCCCGCTCCTCAGTCGGCCCCGCCGCCGCGCCCGCCGCCGCGGCGCCGTTCCCAGCGCCTGCGCTGTCGGCGACCGGCGGCGCTCGTCGCCGCACCGGCCGCGGCCCGATCGCGGGCGCCGTCCTCGGAGGCGGCTCCTCCTTCGCGGGGCCGTCGTCGGGGGCCTGCACGGCCCGCAGCACGTCCTTCGCGGGCGTCCCGTGCGCGCCGCACACTCCCCCCCCCGCCCGCAGCAACACCCCCACGTCCGTGTCGACGGCGCGCTGCCCGCCGGCGAGCCACGCCGGCGCCGCGTCCGCGTCGGCCCCCGGCGCGTCGTACGCCACGTCCTCGATGATCCGCCGCAGCTCCACCGCGCCGCCGTCCCCGCCCGTGCGCGGCGCGATGATGGCGTCCAGGATGCCCGGGTCGACGGGGTCCGCGCAGTAGCAGTCCGGGTGGTACCGCTCGAGCACCGCGGCGACCTGGTCCGTCGTCAGGTGCGGGCACACCTCCCGCCGCGTGCTCGGGTCCGCGAGGAGGTCCTTGGGCACCATGAGGAGGTCGGCGACGCTGCGCATGAGCGGCAGGACGCTGTTGCCGGCCGCGGGGTCCGCGCCGACGGCCTCGAGCACCGTGGACAGGCCCATCTTCGACTCCATGCCCCACCCGAACGTCAGCGCGCCGTCCTTGGGCAGCTCCGGGAGCTTGCTCGCCGCGGCCTGGTAGTCGGGGTGCAGGTCGCGCCCGCTGCACGCCAGCGCGGCGTCGCGCACCGCGGCCGCGACGGCGGACCCGCTGCCCGCGGAGAGCGACCCGGGGACGGGCAGCGCGAGCGTCGTGTTGAGCAGCACCGCGTCCACGAGCCGCAGCAAGACGAGTTGAATGGGGCGGGCGAGGCGGGCGGCCTCGGCGGTGGACTGCGCCGCAGGCAGCACGGCGGCGCACGCGCGGCGGAGCGTGGTCTGCGCGCCGCGGAGCGCGGCGCCCCAGCCCTCCACGCGCGACACCCACGGCGCGTCGGTGTCGGCGTGCACGCGCAGCGTCTGCGCGAACAGCGCGGCGGCGAGGGCCGAGAAGCACTCGCGCTCGACCTTCAGCGCGGCCGCGCCGTTCCCGGCGCCCGAGGCCGCGAACGGCAGCCCCTGCCGCACGCGCACCGCGACCACGTACACCCACACCAGCGCAGGGAGATCTGCGCCCGCGAGGCCCGCGCGCGCCCGGAGCGCCGCGACGACCTGCGCCGCCGCCGCCGCGGGCGCGTGCGCCGTCGCGACCGCGTGGAGGAGCAGCCGCGCGGCCGCCTCGGGCGCGCACAGCGGCCTGGAGGCTGCTGCGCTGCGCGGGGCTGCGACGAACAGCGCCGCGTCGATCCACGCGTCGATGCGGGTGCCCAGGCTTGCGCGGACGGCCGGCGCGGCCGCGGCGGGGGACTCGGCCTTCGAGGGTTCGGGCAGCGAGCGGAGCTCCTCCTGAGGTGTGGGCTCAGGGGCGTGCGCGGCGGCGGCGCGCACGCCGAGGCCCTGGTCGCCCCAGGCGGCGAGCGAGGCTTGCGTGAAGACGCCTGGTGGCGAGACGGGGTCCTCGGCGCTGGCCTTGCTGCTCCCGCGGCCGTGCTGGCTCCCCCACTTGTGCAGGGAGGTGCTGCCGCCTGTCGGGGACAGCTGCGACGCGCCGTCGTGGCGGCCCGAGTCCGCGTTGTCGGGGCTGAGGCCGGACGTCGCGCCGCCGAAGTTGGCGTCCGACGGCGTCCCGGGGGTGTGTCGCCCGCGCGTCAGGCCCGTGGTCTCCGATGGCGTGGTCAGGGGGAGGTCTGTCTCGCGCGCCGTGCCCCGGCTCTCCCCAGGCGTCCCGGAGCGGTCCCACAGAGGCGTGCTCGCATCGTCGCCCGCCGTCGCGGCCGTGTCCACGTGCAGCCGCTCCCCGCCCTGCACGTGCCCGCCGGCCTGCGACGACGACCGGTGGCTAGCGGACTGCTGCTCCGCCGCGTGGCCCCCGGACTGCGACGCCACCTCCGAGTTCCGCGAGCTCAGCCGCGACGACGCCTTGCTCCGCCACGCAGCCATCTTCTTAATGCGTGCCTGCCGCATCGCCGCCGCGCGCGCCGCCGCGCCGTCGCCGCCGTCCGCTGGCGCGCCCAGCGGCGTCGCCTGCAGGTTCCCCAGCCCGAGCCCACGCGGGGGCCCTGCGACGCCTCCCCGCGACGCGCCAGCCCGGTCCCGCGGGCGCTGCTGCGGCCGGCGGGCCCTGCTCGCCGCTCGGCCGCCCCGACGACGCCTCCGCTGCGTCGCCCGCGCGGCTGCTGCCGCCAGCCTCGCCCGTCTCGTCCTCCTCCAGCGTCTGCATCGGCATGCGGCCGGAGCGCGTCCGCTGCACGGCGTTACCCAGGAGCGCGGTGCCGCCGCGGCCGTCCGCGGGCTCCGCGCCGTGCTCGTACGGCCGGCCCTCGAGGATCACCTCGCGCGCGATGTTGTCCGCCGTGAGCCCGCTGTTCATCCGCGAGCGCTCGGTTCGCGGCGTACGCGGCGGGCGGCCCCCCGCGGCCGCGGCGGCCGCGGTGCCCAGCGACGCGCGCGCGGAGCCGTCCGCCTTCGTCGGCGAGGACGCCTGCGCGAACCCGCCCTCCCCGCGCCCCCCGGACCCCTGCCGCGACGGCCCCGCTGACCCCGCGCTCGCGTTGCTCGCAGAACGCGTCACCGTGAACGCCTCCGCCATCGCCGCGAGCCCACCGCCGCTGCCCTGCTTCGCGGCCGGCTGCCGCGCGCTCCGCGGCCGCGCAGCGCTCCCGAACAGAGCTGCGCGGTCCGCAGCATGCTGCGCGCCCCCGCCGTCGTCGCTCCCGCTGCTGTCGCCGTCGGCCAGGAGCGCGGCCGCAGCGGCCTCCTGCTGCGCGCGCTCCTCCGCGAGCCGCGCCGCCCGCTGCTGCTGCGCCTTCTGCTCCGCCTCCTGCTGCGCAAGGCGCGCCGTGGACTGAAACGTCAGCGCGCCCGCCATCGCATCCTCGTCGTCTGCGACACACCGACACGCCGACGCACACGCCAGTCAGCGCAAGCGCGCCGCCCGCGCGGCCCCGCCCTGCACGTCACAGCGGTCGAAAGAGCCAGCAAGGGGTGTTTTTCACGCACCTGAGTCGATGAGGATGCCGTCCGAGTCGTACCCGCCCTCGACGGGCGGCGCCGCGGCCGTCGACCCCGACTGCACGGTGTCGCCGAGGAAGTCCGCCACGTGGCTGCTGTCGGCGGTGCTGCCAAACCGCGAGTTGCCGCGCCGGTGGCCCGTCTTCTTCCCGAGGCCCAGGAACCCGCGGCGCTGCGAGGAGCCCCCCGCGCTGAGCTGCGAGCCCGCGCCGCTGCTGAGCTGCGCGCTGCTCCCGGCGCCCTTGGACATGGAGCCCGTGCGCTGCATCATGCGGCAGGCGATCGACAGGCGGAGCATCGGGTTGCCGACGGCCTGCGCGATCTCGCGGCCGCACGCGACCGGGATCGCGAGGGTCTGCACGCTGCCCTCGGTGTTGCAGAAGTCGGACAGGTTGAGCACGACGGAGCCCAGCTGCACTGCGCCACGGCCCGCGCGGGCGCCCGACGCCTCGCCCATGACGTAGAGCGTGATGGGCTTCTTCTTCAGGAAGGAGGCCGCGTCTGTGCGGCCTTTGCCGCTGGAATCCTGCGAGGGGCGCGGGGAGCGCGGGCGAGGACGTTGGGCAGGCTGGTGCGGGCCCGGGGCGCGCGGGCGACGGCGCAGGGGCGCGCGGCGGTCCGAGACGATACACGGTAGCCGCATTGGTCGAGAAAGACGGCCCCCGGGGCCGTCCGCTGCCGGACGTTCGAAAGAGACCGGTTGGTGATGGTGGGCTTGTACACCGGCCTCTCCGTGCCTTGCTCCGCGGCACCATGGGCCACGACGTGGGTGAGCGAGCTCAGCTGGTACTAGGCATCGTTGGGGGCGGCCGTGCGGTTTCGCTGGAGCACCTACGACGCGGGTCTCGCGCCTGGAGCGTCCAGCAGGGACCAGCGCGTTGGTTTGTGCGGTGGCAGGGCGCACCTTGTACAGCGTGGCGGGGAGGCGGATCTCCGACATGAAGCTAAACCGCTGGCTGACGTCCGACAGCGGCTCCCCGACCACGTCCTCGCAGCGCCCCTTCCTCTTCTCCCCGCGGCTCCACGCAATGTGGAGCTGCCCTTGCGACGCGGGCCAGGGCTCCAGGACCTCCGCGCGGATCGCATACTCGAACCGTGTCGCTTCTCCCCGCTTCGGCATGCGATTCTGCGCCCCCCGGCGTCCACGTGCCACGGCAGCGGCGCCCCACAAGGGCCAACAGAGCCTGCCACGAAGTGCGTGACAGCGGCGCCAGCAGCGACCTAGGCGGCTCGCGCGCGCGCCGCTCGGTCCTCCCTAGCAGCGAGCCCGAGAGCGGGAGCTCAGCGCGACATCCCGCAGCGGCCCGCGGCGGCTGGACGCGGGGCGCGCCCTCAAGGCTCGGGTGCTCGAACGGTCCCTCGCGGCGCCGTTCGCGGGCTTCCGAGGCTGAGAGGGCGTCCTAGCGGTAGCGCTTGTGGCGCTGGAGCTGCGGACGTGCCGGCATTCGTGGCTCGCGCCCCGGGGACGCGGCGGGGGGGTGTGTGTGGTCATCGAGGTGAGGACTCCGGGGCGGACGCGCGCAGAGACGACGAGGGCTCGGACGGACGCGCGGACCGTGCACGGGCTGTGTGTGGCGCCGCCGGTCGTGTTGTTCGCACGTTGCGTTCATTGCCTCGGCTCGTAGGGGCACAGCGCTGAAAATCATCGGCAAGTTTGGCGCTAATTCTTCGTGCGGCGCGATGAAGACGGGCGCGATGGCTGGTGGTGCTCTGCGAAGCCTGCACTCCGCGGCTTCGCGCAGCGTGGCAGCGAGGTGAGGCAGGACAGGCTGGGAACCCTCCAGGACTCGAGATGGCGCGCTTTGTCGCGCACCCGTCTTTGTTTCCGCGATTTCGGCCATACCTGGACGTCCTAACAGCTGATCGTCCTGTTCGCCGCGACGCGACCGACATTTCGCTATGTGCGCTGCGCACCCGGCAAGGCAAGGCACCCACCTCCACAAACATGCCGCAGGGCGACCCCGGACACGACGCTCGAGGGGCGGAAGTACCTCGTGACGGGCGCGACCGACGGCATCGGCCGGCACACCGCGCGCCAGCTCGCCCTGCGCGGCGCCACCGTGCTGCTCCACGGACGCTCGCAGGCGCGCGTGGAGCAGACGATCGCCGAGATCGCGAAGGACACGGGCGTGGAGTGCCAGGGCTACGTGCACGACTTCAAGGCGCTCGCGGGCGCGCGGGCCCTGGCGGACGACGTGCTGCGCGACCACGGCTCGGTCGACTGTCTCCTGAACAACGCAGGCGCGCGCCCTGGCCGAACCGATGCGCCGCCGCGACGCACGCCCCGCGCGCGACGAAGCCATGCAGCGGCTGCGCGAGAAGGAGTCGGGGGTCGATTCCGCGGAGCGTGCGTGCGCGGTTGTTGTATTCCTGAAGTCTGCGTGTGGTGACTGCAGGTGTGTACTTGCCGAGCAAGGAGGTGTCGGACGACGGGTTCGAGATGACGTGGGCGGTGAACGTGCTCGCGCCGTTCGTGCTGACCCAGGCGCTGGTGGGCGCGGTGTCGTGGCGCATCGTGAACGTGGCCTCGCTGAGCGCCGCCCACAGCGTGGACTTCGGCAACCTGAACCAGGAGCGCGGCTACGACGGCCACAACGCCTACTCCCTGAGCAAGATCGCGAACATCTGCTTCTCCAACTGCCTCGCCGACCGCCTCGCAAAGGTGCAACCCTCACCACGTCACCCGCCCCTGCTCGGAACACGAGGCCCCTGCTCGCCGGACGCTCCACCCACCGCACGGCCTCGGTCTCCGAGAGGCGACCGCACGCCGCCCCGTCCGCGCTGCCCGCAGGCTGGATCCCCCGTCACCAGCAACTCCCTTGACCCAGGGACAGTCGACACCAAGATGCTGCGGGCCGGATGGAGCATGGGCGGCATCCCCGTGTCCACCGCGAACAACCAGCTGCACCTGTGCACCAGCCCCGGCGTGGAGGGGGTGTCTGGGGCGTACTACGTGTCGCAGCGGATGACATCGCCACCGCCGCCAGCGACGGACCGCGACACGCGCGAGCAGCTGTGGGCGACGATGGAGGAGCACACGGGCGTGAAGTTCTCGCTGTGAGCGCGCTCTGTGACGTCCTGAGACGACCGCAAGGGGCAAGGGGGGGAGTCAATCGTATATCAGTCCAACACCCCCGCGCGGTGTGACACCAGGCCTGCACGGCGTGATGTGTGCGTGTTTGTCGCTGGGTCGACAGAGCACGCCCAGCGTGTCGTGGGGCACGGCCGATAAGCACAGCGGGAGCGCCTGTCGGCCGCAGAGCGCCTCTGGGCTGTTGGCACGCACAATGGCCATGGAAGTTGGCGCGGGCGTCGCGCCCGTGGTGGGCCCGCCGCGCATGACGAGCGTGATGCGATCCCTGGAGTGTAGCCAGCAGGGGCTGCCGATCCCGGACCTGAGCGCACTCACCATTTCGCGGCAGAAGCAGCTCGATGGTACAGCACCCGAGGCACCACGCCGCGCCGTCCCCCACAGATGCGACGCGGAATCTGCGCGCGGAATCTGCTCCTGTCGATAGTGGATCATTCGCGATTGCTGACTGCCTGCATGTGTCTCGCCACCGACTGCGAGCGCCTCGTGTTCACTACCTAGCGGCCGAGTCGCCGCGCACGAACCCTCTGCCATTGATACGGCGATTTCGTCGACATGACGATGATCATACCTGACGCTGCATTGCAGAAGCGCGGAAGCGGTCCCCGGGCGCCGCCGTGAAGCGCTCAGCGCTCGCACACTCCATCCTGGGCGACTGGAACCGCGCTCCCAAGGCCGCCCGCGACGCATACGACGGGTTCATTCGCTGCGTGGGCCGCCTCGCTCGAATCGAAGCCGACCCCAACGAAGTTCAGGCACGAACGCCCTCACCCCGCCCACCTCGCGTCACCCCCCTTCCGTGTCTGCACCCACACCAACTCCCCGCCGCCCGCTCCGCAGGACACAGCGCCCGCTGTATGGTCGGCCCTGTCCTCGGCGGGCCCGCCGGACGTCGACCGCTTCCGCGGCGCGTCCCTGGCACGCCACAAGCAGGCCCTGGCCGCGCACGGCGTCCCCCACGTGGACGAGAGCGCCCTCCCCGCGGCCGTCGACGCCGTCGCGACGCTCATGCACTGGCAGCTCCAGCTCGTCGGCACCGACGCCGAGGTCGCGAACGGCGACGCACGCGCACGTGCGCAGGCGGGGGAGTTTGCCGCTGGTGCCGCGGCGCCGTGTCTGGGGGACGACCTGCTCTTCGTGCCGCCGCGCAGGCCGCAGGGCGACCCGGTGTCCGCGGTGCTCGGCATGTGCGACGTCGACCTCGCGGCGGCGGGCGCAGGCGGGGATCTACTGGAGGCTGTTTTGGGGGTCCCAGGGGGTCCGGGCGGCAGGGGGGACTCGCGGACGAGCTGCGGCGCGAAGCGCGCGCGGCAGAGGCGGAGGAGGGCGAGCGCGCGGCCCGCGACCTCGCGGATGCGGGGGCCTCGTCGGACAGCGACTGGTCGGACGAGGACGCCGACAAACACCCCTGGGGCTCTGTCAAGCTCGGCGAGCTCATGGACTGGTGCGAGCGCGCGGTCACCGTGTGCCAGAGCCCCGTCATGAGCTCCGTCGACGCGATGACGCAGGCCACGTGCCGCGCGCTCCTCACAGCCACCACGGCCGACGCCGCCGCTGCGGAGCTCTTCGACCTGCTGGGCGAGGGCGGGTTCGAGCTCATCGGCGAGCTGCTCGCGAAGTTCGAACCGCTGCGCGCGCTCCTGCAGTACCGCGTCCGCGAGGCGCGGGAGAGCGAGACGCAGTCTGCGCAGGCACAGATGCCGGTGTTCGCACGCGGCTTCTCTGTGGCGACGGGGAAGATGAAGGAGCGGGAGAAGGCGCTGCGGCGGGACCGGAGGAAGGGGGCGGGGGCGGTCGCGGGCGACCTGGAGTGGCTGCAGCAGGTTGGGCTGCAGCAGTTGGTGGACGAGGAGGTCGAGAGGGAACAGGCCGAGGCGGACGCCAGGGTGGCGGAGCGGCAGGCGGTGGGCGAGGGGGGGCCGGGGGGGCACACGGCGGGGGCGCTGCCGGCGGGCACGGTGCGGAAGAACTTCAAGGGGTACCAGGAGGTGCGGGCCACGGACGTGTGGGAGTGTTGGTTGCGTCGTTGCGTTGTCTTGGCGCTGCGTGGTGTCTCACGCGGATGCGGGGGTGCGGTGCGGTGCAGGTGCGGGTTCCAGCGACGCCCACGGGGGAGATGCAGCCCGGGGAGCGGCTGGTGCCGATCTCGGAGCTGGACGAGTGGGCGCAGACGGCGTTCGAGGGATACAAGACCCTGAACCGCATCCAGTCGCGGATCTTCTCGACGGCGTACACGACGAACCAGAACATGCTCGTGTGCGCGCCCACGGGCGCCGGGAAGACCAACATCGCGATGTTGACGGTGCTGCACGAGGTGGCGCAGAACATGGTCAACGGCGTGGTGCAGCGCGGCGCGTTCAAGGTGGTGTACGTCGCGCCCATGAAGGCCCTCGCCGGGGAGGTCACGGCGGCGTTCTCGAAGCGCCTCCAGGGCCTCGGGCTCGTGGTCCGCGAGCTGACGGGGGACATGCAGCTGACGCAAAAGGAGATGGCAGAGACGCAGATGATCGTGACGACGCCGGAGAAGTGGGACGTGATCACACGCAAGGGCGGGGACGCCGCGGTGACCGCCGCGGTGAAGCTGCTAATCATCGACGAGGTGCACCTGTTGAACGACGACCGCGGACCGGTGATCGAGACGCTGGTGGCGCGGACGCTGCGGCTGGTGGAGGCGTCGCAGTCGATGATCCGCATCGTCGGGCTGTCGGCGACGCTCCCGAACTACAAGGACGTGGCGACGTTCCTGGGCGTCAACCACACGGGGGGGTTGTTTTTCTTCGACCAGTCGTACCGCCCCGTGCCGCTGGAAACGCACTACCTCGGCGTGACCGAGACGAACGTCATGGCGCAGAAGCAGCTCATGAACGAGCTCGCGTACGACAAGTGCGTCGAGACCCTCCGGCAGGGCCATCAGGCGATGGTGTTTGTGCACTCGCGCAAGGACACGGGCAAGACGGCGCGGGCGCTCGCGGAGATCGCGCAGGCGCGCGGGCACCTCGACCTCTTCGTGCCCGAGGAGCGCACGGAGGCGTACGAGATCCTGGCGCGCGAGGTCAAGAAGAGCCGCAACCGCGAGCTCCAGGAGATCTTCAGCAGTGGGTTCGGAATGCACCACGCGGGGATGCTGCGGTCCGACCGGAACCTCGTGGAGAAGCTCTTCGCGCGCGGGATGATCAAGGTGCTGTGCTGCACGGCGACGCTCGCGTGGGGCATCAACCTCCCCGCGGCCACAGTCATCATCAAGGGCACGCAGCTGTACGACGCCGCGCGCGGGTGCTTCAAGGACGTGGGCGTGCTGGACGTGCAGCAGATCTTCGGGCGCGCGGGGCGCCCGCAGTACAAGATCCCCGGCCTCGGCGTCATCCTCACGACGCACGACAAGCTCCCGAAGTACCTGGCCATGCTGACTGCGCAGGTGCCGATCGAGAGCCAGTTCGAAAAGGGGCTCGTGGACAACCTGAACGCGGAGATCGTGCTCGGGACCGTCACGAGCGTCAAGGAGGCGGCGACGTGGCTCAGCTACTCGTACATGTACGTGCGCATGATGAAGAATCCGCTGGCGTACGGCATCGGGTGGCTGGAGCTGCAGACGGACCCCACGCTGGAGCAGTACAGGCGCAAGCTGGTCACCAAGGCGGCCAGGGAGCTCGAGAAGTGCAAGATGGCGCGCTTCGACGAGCGGTCCGGTGCGCGCACACCCCGCGGAAGCAACCGGGCCCTGCATGGCGGCGCATGTGTTGGTGCCGACGTTTCCACCTCCCGTGCGGCGCAGGTCTGCTGTACGTGACGGAGCTCGGCCGCGTCGCCTCGCACTTCTACATCCAGCACTCGACGATCGTCCTCTTCAACGAGCAGCTCCGGAAGAACATGTCTATCGAGTCGATCCTGGCTCTCATGTCGGGCGCGTCGGAGTTCGAGAACATCGCGGTGCGCGAGGAGGAGCTGCAAGAGCTCGACTCGATCCAGCGGGAGTGGGCCGAGTGCGACGTCCGCGGCGGCGTCGAGAACCGGCAGGGCAAGGTCAACGCGTTGATGCAGAGCTACATCTCTCGGGCGCGCATCGAGAGCTTCTCGCTCACGGCCGACCAGAACTACGTCGCGCAGAACGCGCCGCGCATCGCGCGCGCGCTGTTTGAGATCTGCCTGCGCCGCGGGTGGCCGGGGATGTCGGAGACGCTCTTGACGCTGTGCAAGGCCTTCGAGCGGCGCCTGTGGCCGTCGCAGCACCCTCTGCGGCAGTTCGACGGCGCGCTGACGTTCGAGGTGATGAACAAGGTCGAGGACAAGCGGCTGTCGCTCGAGCGGCTGTGGGACATGGACGCGGCGGAGATCGGGCGGCTGATGCGGTTCCAGAAGGCGGGGCAGCAAGTTCGCGAGTGCGTGGAGAGCTTTCCGGCGCTGGAGCTCGACTGCCAGATCCAGCCGATCACGCGGACGGTCCTGCGCGTGGTGCTCAAGGTCACGCCGACCTTCCGGTGGAAGGAGCGCTACCACGGGCAGAGCCAGCGCTGGCTGATATGGGTCGAAGACTCGGAGAACGAGCACTTGTATCACACGGAGCTCTGGCAGCTCAGCAAGCGCATGGCGAGCGAGGGGCAGCACACGGTCGCCTTCACCATCCCCATCTTTGAGCCCCTGCCCTCCCAGTACTACGTCCGCGCCATCAGCGACTCCTGGCTGCACGCCGAGGCCTTCTACGAGATGAAGTTCGACCAGCTCATCCTCCCCGAACGCTACCCGCCGCACACGGAGCTCCTCGACCTGGACCCGCTCCCGCGGTCGGCCCTCGGCGAGCCTGCCTTCGAGGCGATGTACGAGCGGCGCTTCACGCACTTCAACCCCGTGCAGACGCAGTGCTTCCACGTGCTGTACCACACGGACGAAAACGTGCTGATGGGCGCGCCGACGGGGTCCGGGAAGACGGTCATGGCGGAGCTGGCGATGCTGCGCCTGTTCCGCGCGCACCCGGACATGAAGGTCATTTACATCGCGCCGCTGAAGGCGCTGGTGCGGGAGCGGCTGTCGGACTGGGGCGCGCGCGAGGGGGGCCTGTGCGCGCGGCTGGGGAAGTCGATGGTGGAGCTGACGGGCGACTACACGCCGGACCTGCGTGCGCTGCTCGCGGCGGACATCATCATCGCGACGCCGGAGAAGTGGGACGGTATTTCGCGCAACTGGCAGACGCGCGCGTACGTCAAGCGGGTCGGGCTGCTGGTGATCGACGAGATTCACCTGCTGGGGGCGGACCGGGGGCCGACCATCGAGGTGATCGTGTCGCGCATGCGGTACATCGCGGCGCAGACTGGGAAGGGAGGTGCGAACCACCACCACGTGATCGTGCGGGGCGCTGCGGGTCGTCGGTCCCCGCGACCCACGCGACGCGAGCTGTGCGTGCCCGCGCTGTCCGCTTGCAGCCCCCGCCTGCTCGCGAAGACCCCAGCCTCTCGTTCGCAACGCCACTCCTGCCTGCAGTTCGCATGGTCGGGCTTTCGACGGCCCTCGCCAACGCCCACGACCTGTCGAGCTGGATGGGCGTCCCCGACGAGGGCCTCTTCAACTTCAAGCCCTCGGTGCGCCCCGTGCCCCTCGAGGCGCACATCCAGGGATACCCAGGGAAGTTCTACTGCCCGCGCATGGCCACCATGAACAAGCCGGCGTACGCCGCCATCCGCACGCACTCCCCGGAGAAGCCCGTGCTGGTGTTCGTGTCGTCCCGGCGCCAGACGCGCCTCACGGCGCTCGACCTGATCGCGTACGCCGCCGCGGACAACCGTCCGCGCACGTTCCTGCACACCGACGACGACGAGATCGCCGCGCTGGTGGCCCAGGTCCGCGACGCGAGCCTGCAGCACACGCTGCAGTTCGGCATCGGCCTCCACCACGCCGGCCTCGCCGAGATCGACCGCAAGATAGTCGAGAAGCTGTTCGTGGAGGGCAGCATCCAGGTGCTGGTGGCGACGTCCACGCTGGCGTGGGGCGTCAACACGCCCGCGCACCTGGTGATCATCAAGGGCACGGAGTACTACGACGCGCCGTCGAAGCGGTACGTCGACTACCCGATCACGGACGTCCTGCAGATGATGGGGCGTGCTGGGCGCCCCCAGTACGACCGGCACGGCGTGGCGGTCATCATGGTGCACGAGCCGAAAAAGTCCTTCTACAAGAAGTTCCTGTACGAGCCGTTCCCTGTCGAGTCCAGCCTCCCGGACCAGCTGTCCGACCACATGAACGCCGAGATCGTGGGGGGGACTGTCCGGTCGCGTCAGGACGCCGTGGACTACCTGACGTGGACGTTCTTCTTCCGCAGGCTGCTCCAGAACCCGTCGTACTATGACCTCGAGGACGTGCAGCCCGAATCAGGTGCGCCGCGGCTGCGCGCGCCTCGTGCGGTGCCATGAAGGGAGGTCCGTGGTGCACGTCAAACCCTCAGCGCACGTGCCCCATCCCCTCGCAGTGAACACGCTCCTTTCGGAGCTCATCGAGGACACCCTGATCGATCTCGAGTCCGCGGGGTGCCTGACCGTCGCGCCCGTCGAGGAGGGGGGGGCTATTACCCCCCTGACACCAGGAAAGATCGCCTCGCTGTACTACCTACAATACACCACCATGGCGACCTTCTCCGAGGTCATGGGCCCGGGCATGGGCATCGCCGAGGTCCTCGACGCCCTGTGCGCGGCGTCGGAGTACGACGAGCTGCCCGTCCGGCACAACGAGGACCGACACAACATGGACCTCTCCGACGAAGTGCGGTTCCCGATCCCGGCGCGGTCCGCCGACGACCCGCACGCCAAGGCGTCGCTGCTGCTCCAGGCGCACATGGGCCGCATCCCCCTGCCCATCTCCGACTACGTCACCGACAGCAAGGCCGTGTTGGACAACTCCATCCGAATCCTGCAAGCAATGATCGACTACTCGGCGGACGCCGGGTGGCTCGACACCGCGCTGTCGTGCATGGCGCTCGTCCAGTCCGTCGTCCAGGCGCGCTGGCTCGACGACTCCTCCCTGACTCAGCTCCCTCTCGTGACGCCGCGCGAGGCGGCGCAGCTGGCGCAGCGCGGGTTCGGGGTCCTGCCGCAGCTCGTCGAGGCCGTGGCCGCGACCGAGAAGGACGGCAAGGGCGGAGGCGCGGTGGAGGCGGCGCTGAAGGACGCTCTGGGCCCCAAGGGCGCGCGCGATGTCATGGGGGTGTGTGGGAGACTCCCCTTGGTTGACGTCAGCGTCGAGGTCCGAGAGCACGTGGGGGCGGGCGAGATTGAGGACGAGGACGGCGTGCCCGGCGACGTGTCTGCGGCGGTCGCAAAGGCCGCGGCGGCGAAGGCGGGGGGGTCTGTTGCGGCAGTCCCCGCGGGGGAGTGGGAGGTGTGCGTGGCGCTGGAGCGCGCGTGGGGCAAGAGCCCGCGCAACGCGCCGCCGCGGGCGTACACGCCGCGGTTCCCGAAGGTCAAGGACGAGGGCTGGTGGCTCGTGCTGGGCGACGCTGAGGGCCGGGAGCTGCTGGCAATGCGGCGCGTGTCGTTTGGGCAGAAGGGGACGTTCAAGCTGACGTGCCCGCGCGCCGGCGGGTCCGGACACGCGCTGGACCATGCCACGCTGTACCTCGTCTCCGACTGCCTGCTCGGGCTGGACCAGGAGGTCGAAGTGTCGTTCGCCGACGCCTTGCCAGCAGCCAAGGCGCAGCGGGCGCCGCGGGGGCGGCGGCAGCCGGCGCGTGACGGCGACGAGGACGCGCGAGCAGCGGGCGACGCGCCGTGTCGCGGGAAAGGCAAGGGTCCGGGCGACGAGTACGCGGACGAGCCACCTTGTGGGGTACAGATACGCTTCGGTGACGCAACGAAGGCAGACGGCGGCGCTGGAGGGGGCTCTGCGGGCGACCGGGACGACGACGACGACGTCGACGAGCTGTGGGGCGTGTGAGAGCACGCTTCCCGACACGCCTTGCCTGTTTGATTCGCTGCCAGACATTGCACTCCTGGTATCTATCTCGCGCTGACTTTATGTCTCACGCGTCCTGCCCGCGCCTGCCGCACGCGTAGCGAGCGCCGACTAGTCTCGTGCGCCGCGCAGTGCCGAGCCCAGCAGCCCGACGACCCTCGTCTGTTTGCCATGCACCCTAGCGTATCCTGTCTGTGCAGCCTCGCCGCTCGCCTCGACGACGCGCTTCGCCACAGCCGTCCCCCGGCCGCGGTACCCCCCTGCATGCGCCGCGTACCCTCCGCCGCCCCCCGCCTGCACGGTCCGCACCACCCCCCGGAGGGTGTCTGCCGTCTTTTTCTTAGACACCCCCCCCTTCACCTCTGCCAGCGCCGCGCTCGGCTTCCCCGCTCCGGTCGTTCTTGCGGCTGCGGAGACCTTCCGCTCGGCCGCCCGCGGCACCGCTGGCTCGTCGCCGCCCGCGCGCGCCGCGTGCACCACTCTGTCGCTCCCAGCATCGCCGAGCCTGGCCACGATCGGGTGCCGGTACGTCGGTGCGTCCTTCGGGCCGCCGGGAGCTTGCGGATCTCCGGTAATCTCGAGCTCGAGTCCGTAGGAAGCCGCGACGTCCTGCGCAAGCGACGTGGCGATCTTTGCAAGGATGAGGAAACACAGCGCACACGTGCTCGCGCAGGCATTGTTGCCGCACGTGCATGCATATGTGCGCTGCGAAGCGCCCCCGTGCTGAAGCGGGGCGCAGCGGAGCGAGTCCTGGCGGTCCGCTGTTGACGACAACGGTCGGCTGTTGTTGCGACGGGTGAGGCGCTCCCTGCACGCGATGAGGCGCACCTTGAGCATCGCGACGCACTCCATGCGGTTCTTGCGGTCGCGCACGAGCCCCATCGCAGCCGTCCGCTGCTTCTGCGGGAGCTTCGCCTGCAACGTGATGCGACGCAGCAACTTACTTGCAGCAAGCAGGTCGAAGACACGACAGCGAGAGACCAGGCGCATACCCCGCACGCATGGCCCTGTACGCCGGACTGCTGGCGTCGATCGGCGCGGAATGCGCGCCACGGCGTGAGGAAGGAAGCAACCCCTGGTGGCTCACCAGGACAGCCGCTTCCTGCTCCGAGGCCCCCATGGCCGTGGCCATGTTGACCACGATCCTCTCCGACGAGAGCTCCTGGTCCATCGCGAGGGCCCCCTTCGCGGAGCCCCTGTTCGGCCGGCCGACGACTCTTGCCTGCCCGGACGGTCCGTCTTCACCCCGTCGTGTTGCGAGGGCATTCGCGCCCCTCACGTCCGCAACCGCCATCCTGACATCCCTGCGCGCCCCGCCGCGGGCGTCGTCCCCGCCAAGACCGACCCGGCGGGCCGCGGTGGCGCCACTTCCTTGTGCAACCGCCGCAACCGCGCCCGCGGCGTCGAGCGCCCGCGCAGGCCGCGCGGCATCGCTCTCCACTACTCTGTCATTCTCCTGTCCCTGCTTCCCCGTCGTCGCCAGCGCCCTGCCCCTCCCACGCACCATAGCTCTCACGCGCAGCGCGCGCCAACCTACCAGCACCACCAGTGCGGCTCAGCGGCAGCGCCCCAGACGCACGTGGCCCTCAACTGAGCCGCTGACCACCCGCCGTGCCCCCGACGAAGCCCGCGTCAGCCGTCCGCATCCTGAGTCGCCACTCCACGCCTTCCAACCCCCGGTCCCCTCCCCGATGAGCGCCAGGCCGTGAAATTCAACCCCAACGACCGCCTGCACCCCCATGCCACGCCACCCGCAAGCACACGACCGCACCGCCCGACCCTGCGGGTCACCGCCCTGCATCACCATGTGCTGCCTCACACAACCCGAGCTGCGGGTTCCCACGAGCCCGACCGCGGCCGCCGGGGCGCAGGGCAGCGCGGCGCCGTCACCGGTGCAGCTCGAACTTGGCCTCGATGTTCATCACCGTGGAACACTCCCCCGTCTTCTCATCGACCTCGCACCAGTCGTCCGAAATGTCGCAGTCCTCGTAGGCCGCCCCGCTCGACGCCACGATCGTCGCGCCGTTCTGCGGGCGGAACGCGGGGCGTCTGTGGGCCGGAGCGCCGCCGCGGCCGTGCGCTGGGTGCGCACGCGTGGTGGGGGGGTGGTCGCACCGTTGGGTGGAAGGCGATGGGGTCGAGGCCGCGGCACTCGAAGGCCACCACCGGGACCCACGACCCGCTGTCGTCCTCCGTGATCGGACGCGTCACGTTCTTCACCTGCGCCGCGACACCGCCACAACGCGCCTCAGGCCGCGCGACCAGCGCGCGCAAAGACCGACAGATCGGGAGCTGCGGCCGCGAGACGCATGCACTGATGAGGGACCCGGTCGTTCGGCTGGATTTCGGGACCGCGCCGGGAGTTGCGCGCCTGTTGGACGCACGCGTAGCACTGCTTCTTGCTGGCCTTGTCCCACTTCATCACGAAATTCGCCGTCCCACGGCTCCCGTCCAAATCATGCTCCTCTGCATGAACATTCGAGGCGAATGAGTCTTTCAGGGAATGAGCTCACCAGGACGCTGCAGTGACGCCCTGCCCCCCGCTGCCAGCAACCGACGCCCGCACGCCGCTCCCCGTGACCAGAAACGCCCGGTGTGGGCCCTCACGGCCCCTTCATCGACTCGAAGGGACGTACCGGCGGCGCTGACCCACACCTCCTTCCGCACGTCCTCCCCGAGCGGGTTCTTTATGTCCAAACACCAGCGGTGCGCAGGGTCGAACCGCACCTCGCGCACGTTCTCAAGGTCGCACTTCAGGTACAGGACGTGCACGGGCATGCTGATGCGGTGGGCGGCGGCGGCGCAACTGGTGCCCGGGCGCCCTTCCTGGAATGCAGGAGGCAAAAAGGGTGTAGCGGCCGGCCCCGAGCGTCGACGGCGAGGTGTCTCGCGCGCACGGCGAAGGTGAGGGGTCGGCGGGGGGGTTCGCGCGGCACTGGTTCTGGCCGTCTGGCCCGCGCGCGGAAATGCCACCCGAGGGGGAGAGCGAGCACGAGGCCTTGCTCAGGTGCCCCCGCGGCCATCGTAGAAGGGGCCGCGCCCCGCGCGGGAGGCGCATTTGTACACAGCTCGCCGGCGCTAGCGTAGGAAGGCGTGTTTCCGCCCGTGGACGTTCGCACGCGAGAGCGAGCTCGTGCTTTGGCGCACAGACACCACTGCGGTCACGGAGGCGCGAGAACGCGGGCCAGGCGTATTTTTCGACCTCGTTCTCGAGCGAGGGTCGCCGTACACACCCCGAGGCCTTCTCGCGGGACGCATTTCACTCGCAGCGACCCACATTCCCCTCCCGGACAGCGCTGCGGGAGAATCCGGGCCGTTGTGGCCCGGGAGACACCTGAGCAGGGTCTGTGCGTCGCACCCGCCGCGGCCGGACACGGTCCCTCGGCGCATGAGATGAGAACGGGGCGTGCGATGACGGGAGCGAAATGAGCGACCTGATTCTCAAGTGCTGCGCGCGCTTGAAGCCCCGCGCCGCACCGACGCGCATACGAGTGTACCTCAGAGAGGTAAGCGTACGCGGCGACGCCCTGCGCGACCCAAGCACGCTCGAGGCGCCGCTGCTCTCGCGCCCAGCCATGCATGGACAGCAAGCGACGGGCAGGCTGCGCGCGCGCGCGCCGAGCGCCCGCCGCGCGAGGCTGCGGCGTGCGCGGCCTGTCCGTGCCGCCTGCGCGAGCCGTCGCCCCCGACGAGGGTCTCGCGCCGGCCCTGCGTCGCGGCGCGGCGCTGACGCTGCCCCTCATGCCAGCCGAGGGCCGACTGCGGCCCGGCGCGTCCGAACGAGCGTGCGTGCCGCCCTCGCGCCGCAGGTGCCTCACGCGGTCGCCGAGAAGTACGACGCGGAGGTCCTGGTGGATCTGGAGACGAAGTTTCGGCTCTTCCTCAGCCCCGCCCAGTCCACGATCACACTCCGAGACGCCCTCGTGGTGCTGCGCGGCTCGGGATGCAACATCACGGACAGCGGTGCAACGGTGCGTCTCCCCTGTCGCTCGCGGGCCCGCGGGCCGCGGCACCGCGGTGCAGCGGCCCCAGTTGACTGCGTGCCTTTCCCGCGCCAATGGGCCGCCCCGCGGGTCTGGGGCGGGCTTTCGCGCGCTCACCGCGCCGTTCATCGCCGCACCGCTGCAGAGCTTCGCCACGGACATGGGATGGCACCTCGAGGGGCCGACGGGGCTGCCCGGGAAGGTGAGCAAGGTGGTGACGACGCCGTTGCGCGTGCTGCCCCTCAGGGGGGGCGCGGGCGGCGGTGAGGGCTGCGAGGAGAGCGAGTTGCAGAAAATCCGCATCACGTATCCGGAGCTGGTGGTGCTGTGGGACAGGTTTTCCGTCATGGACTCCAACTTCGAGGCAGAGATCGCCGCGCGCGCCTGGGCGGTGCTGGACGACGACGAGAGCGGCTTCATCTCCATGGAGGAGCTCCGGGTGCGCCGCGCTGCCCGGCGGGCCCTCCCCACGCCGCCTCGCCGCGCCGCGGCCCGCGAATGGCCTGCGTGCCGTGCCCGGCCCGTGCCTGCGGCGCGGGAGACGTCCTTGCTCGCACGGAGAGCGGCTCGCGGGGCGTCGCTCCGCCGCAAGCACGGCCCGCGCGCCAGCACGCTGTTCCGCCGCGTGTCGCCCGGCCGTGCCCCGCCGTGAGCGTCATGCGCGTGCACCGCCCGCCTTGCACCGCAGATGGTCATGTCGCAGCTGGGGGAGCCGATACCGGAGGAGGACCTGCAGCTGTTCTTCCAGCTCGTCGATCTGGACGGGTCCGGAGGCCTGTCGTGGGACGAATTCGTGACGTTCGTTGTTGACGCCAAAGTGCGCAACCAGGACGCGGTGCGCTGCCCAGCCCGGCCCGCGCACAACGCCCGCCCCTGCACCTCCGCCGCTCCCCGTCTCCGCCTGCGCACGGCGCTTCGTGCCCGACGCTGCGTGCGACAGCGCGCCCCGCTGCAACGTGCCGCCACGTGCCGCCTGCCTCGCAGCGGGGCGTGATGGTCGCGCTGATGGAGGAGGCGCGCCTCGACGAGCTCGAGATGCGGCGAGAGATCAACGGCCGCACCGGCCACGGCGGCGACTCCACCGCCAAGCCGCGCTCGGTAGGACAGCTCCCGCGACACAGCCAGGCCTGGATGGTGCGGCGCGGGTCGCTCGACGCCTCGTCGTGCGGCTTCGGCCTCAACCGCGAAGACGTGCGCCCGCAGCTCCCCGGCAGCGCGATCGAGCACCTGTCGGCGGTGGAGCGTGCCGAGGCGGCCGCGAAGCGCGCAGAGGCCGAGCTCGCGGAAATCCGCGGCTCGCACCTGTCGGAGAGGGCCTCCACGCTGCCGTCGCGGCCGCGGGCGCGCCCCGGCAAGGTCGTGTGCATAGAGTCGACTCCGCGGACGCTGGGCGAGCAGGCAGCGGACCTCGCGTCGCGGATGAGTGGGAGCGCGAACAGAGACGCGGTGCGCCCGGTGTCGGAGATGGAGCACAGCGACAGTGGCGACGGGCGGAGGGAGACGACGGGCCGCGTGGCGCTGGTGTCGGGGTCCGGGAACGGGCGCGGCTCGCCGTCGCTGGTGGCGTCGAGCGGGGGCGGGGCGGTGGAGTACCGGAGAGAGGCTGGGGGGGCGGCGGGAGAGACGGCGCGGCGGCGGGCGAGCGGGGCGGTGTCGGGCTTGCAGGGGCCTGACTCGAGTCGCACCAACCTGACGGAAAACATGTTGGTGCGCGAGGGGCCTGGGGGCGAGGAGGGCGGGTCGTCGAGGAAGCGGGTGCCGCGGCTGTCGCAGCTGACGAGCCCCGTCGTCGGCCTGCAGGGCGCGCCTCCGGGGGACCCGAATGAAAGTGGCGAGGTGGCGCAGGCTGGCGGGAGCCGGGCGGGGCTGGACAGTGGGGCGTGGGACGAGCGGCCAGACGCGGGGAGGGCTGTGGAGCTGCGGAGCAGCGGCGAGACGGGCGAGCATGCCGCGGCGGGGAAGCACGGCGAGGGGGACGGGCCGCCGTCTGGCAGACACGGCGGGGGGGGGTCGAACACGACTCAGGAGAACGAGGTCGGGGGCACACATTCTTGACACGAATGCGTCGGCAGCTCCGGCGCAATTATCGGCCTCCGCAACCCCCTGAAGAAGCCCTCACTGACACCAGTACAATAGTCTCCCCCTGCCGAATTCCCGGCCGCCTCGCTCCGTTTTTCCCTCGTGGCGCGTCCTTCGTTCGGGACCCCACCACCTCGCATTCCACCCATCGCTCCGCTGGTCGACATATGCGCACTCGACTGCAGCGCACCCTCTGTAGACTGCATTTGTTCAAGTCGTCCTTACCCTAGCCCACGGGATGATCACGCTGCGACGACGCGAGGCACGTGACGTGTAAACCGATGACGTCGTGTGCGCGGGGCAGCGCAGCCGGTCGCGTCGCGTGCTGGTGCTGCGGGCCCCTGGCATACATACGCCATGCACGTGCGTACGGGAACCCGCCTGCCCTGCTCCCTGAACCACGAACCACTCGTTACGTCGGCATCCGAGAGAACGCCACGCACTGCACCACCAGCGAAGCGGCTCACAGTCAGACCGCCCCCCGGTCTCAACCCCCGTCAGTGCCGCTTGTCCCGCCCCGATCCGCCCCCGGACCTATCTCCGCGTCCGCCGTCGCCTCCGTGCGGCCCGTCGAAGAACTCCCGCCCCCCCGCCCCGCCCCCCCGCCACCTGCCGTTGCCCGCCTGCTGCGAACCAACTGCCTCCTCGCCGCCGCCGCCGTCGCGCCATTCCCGCCGCCGGTCGCCCTCGCCGCGCCGCCGGTCCCGCCGGTCTCCGCCGCCATGCCGCCGGTGGCCTCCCTCTCCGCGGTGCCCCCGCCTGCCGTCCCGGTCCCGCCCATGGTCCCTTCCCTCCCGCCGCCGCCCATCGCGGGGCCGGTCGTCCCGGTCGCGGCGGCCCCGGTCGTCCCGGTGCCTCGAATGCTCACGCTCGCGCTCGCGCTCGCGATCGCGCTCGCGCTCGCGCTCACGGTCGCGGTGCGAAGGCCTGATCTCGCCGTCGGACAGCTCCGGCGACCGACTGCGCCGGGCGTCGGGCTCGCGCGGGGGCCCAGGCGGCCGTGGCAGGGGCGGCGGCGGCGGCAGCGGCCCCGCCCCGCCCTGTCCGCCGGCCGCACCGTGACGATCCGCGGCGGCGACCACCCGGCCGCGGCCGCTCCCCGTCCCCGCCCCCCCGGCCCCTCCTGGGAGACTCCCCCCGCGCGCGCGGCGCCCCGTGCCGAACCTCCTCCTTCTCGATCGTCACCCGCCGCCGAGCGTCGCTCTTCGGCTCCTTCTCCGCCCGCCGCCCGCCCGCGTCGCCCGCCGGCCCCGCCTCCGGCGCGGGGCTCTTGGCGCGCATCGCCGTCCACGGGGAGCTGTCGGGCGAGCGTCCGGGGATCTCGCGGGTGTCCGCCGCGTCCTGCGGCTGCAAGATGAAGCCGCTTGGCCACGGAGTGCGCAGGTCGCCGTGTTCGATGTCCCCGGCGCAGGGGCCGGGCCGCCAGCAGGGCGCGGTGGTGCCGTCGGGCGGCGACAGAAGCTCCTCGATGGGGAGCACGCCCTCGCGCAGGGTGTATCCGTGGCGGCGCATGGTCTCGACCATGTCGCGCGAGGTCATCTGGGTGAACAGCTGCGGGACGGGGGCGTATTGTTCCAACTCCCCCCCGCCGACCATGGGTCCGCGGTACATCCGGCACGCGCCCGCGCTCCGCTGGATGGTCTGCGCGGGGACCTTGCGCTCCGCGATCTCGGCCATGCGCTCCAGCTGCGCCCTGAGCGCCTCCCGCATCGCGTCGTCCCCGTTCGCGGCCCGCCGGTGCAGGTCCCCTAACAGCGACTTGCACACCTTCCGCATGCGCTCCGCGGCGGCGGGGATCTCGCGGCGCAGGGCCGCGTCGAGGATCTTCGGCCACGTCCGCATGATGGCGTCCGGGAGGAGCTGCGCGGCGCAGGAGCCCGGGCCGCGCACGGCGGCCGACGCCAGCAGGCTGGGCACGAAGTCCATCAGGTGGCGCTGCTTGTTCCAGCTCTCGCCCATCTCGCGCGGCTTGTCGTCCATCGCCGCGACGATCGTGTCCATCGCCTTGTCGACGAAGCCCCTGCGGACGGACGGCGGGGCCAGGCATGTTGGCACGCAAGCGACGGGGGCGGAGAACGCCACCACGCTGCCGCGGCGCAGCAGCACGCTCCCGCGCGTGGCCGTGGCAAGCATGTGCAAGCTAGGCTCGGCGGGGGCGCACTTTTGTTCGGCATGGGTGATGCAGGAGTCGAGGGCGGATTTCGTCGACTGCTGGCGCGCGCGCGAGTCCTTCGCCGCGAACCCCCACAGGTAGCTGACCAGGTTCCCGGTGTGGTACGCGAGGCTGTTGTCGTCCGCGTCGAGCAGCGGCTGCGGGTCCTCCCGCGTCCACCTCTTGGGCGGCGCGACCGGCGCTGGTGCCGCCGGGCCCGCCTCGCCGGCGCCGGACCCCGGCGCCGCCGCGCTCTTCCGCTTCTCCTTCACCTTCACCTTGAGGTGGTTGAGCGCCTTGCGCTCCTCCTCCGTCACCGTCACGCCGCTGGGGGCCTTGGGCGCAGGTGCAGGCGCTGCTGGGCGCGCCTGTGGACGCGGGGGCATGGCGGGCCTCGCAGGCGGCGCCGCGGTCGCCTTCGTCGGGCCGCCGCGCACCGTCTCGCTCCCGCCCTTGATCGCAGACAGCATCCCTTGGAGTTTGAACTTGGCCGGCGGGCGGGGTGCGGCCGCGGGCGGAGTGCTCTGCGGCGGCCTGGCCGCCGGGCGAGGAGCCTGGCGCTCGGCAGTCGCTGGCCGCGGCGCGCCCGGCGCAGGTGTGCCCGTGTCCGACGTCCGGCGCTCCGCTGCTGTTGCAGGTGGCTTGCCCCCGAGGTCTTGTTTCTGCGCAGACGCAGTCGGCGCGGCTGGCGCGGGCGCCGGACGCGCCGGCATGTTCGCGGGGGCGGCCGCTGGCGTGCCCTGCGCGGGACGCGGCGCCGCTGTCCTCGGCGGCGCCGCGCCACCTGCGGGAGGGGGGTTCCCCTGCGGTGGCAGCGCCGCGGCGTCCGTCCGCTTCGCGCCGCCGTCGCCCGCGGCGCTCAGACCCGGCCTCGTGCCGTTGGCCGCGCTCGGACCCGCGGGCGGGGCCAGTGGCACCTGTTGTGGCACAACGTCGACGAGGCACACCTCCATCGCGGCAGCGGGCTCTGCGGCGGGTTTGGGCGCCGCGGCGGGCGCGTCGCGCTCGGACGCCGCTGTCCGGGCGGGGTGCGAGGGCGCAGGGCTCGGCGACGCCGCTCCGTGGTCGGTTGGGGTGGTGCTAATGTCAAGCGCTGGGCTGCTCTGCGGACGGGCCGCTGGCGGGTGCGGGGCGCGCACGGGCTGCTCGCTGCCGGACGAAGACGGAGATCCGGGAATTGCCTGCACGGGCGATGCGATGGGGGGGTCCGTGAGCTGGTACGCGTTGCATCAGACCTGCTGTAGTGCACACATACACGCGGCGCTGGCGTCGGCGGACATGTAGTGCGCGTGGCGCTGTTTGCGCTGCGCGATGCGCGTGCGCTGCGCCGTGCTGGCTCACCTTGACGGCCCCCTTCCCGCGCGTAGCCACGACTGCGTCGGCATCCTCGTTGCTGTCAGGCGACGAAACACCCCCCTTCGCCGCGGCGCCCGCGGCCGCGCCACTCGCCCGGCGTGCCTGTGTCGCCCTGCGCTTGGCCACCTCGCTCGACCCGCGCGCGCTGCTCGCAGCGCCCCCACGACCGCCCCGCCGCGACCCTTCGTCCCTCCAGCTCTCGCTCCCGGACGTGCTCTCCGGGGCGCTCTCGCTCTCCTCCTCGCTCGCACCCTCGCTCTCGCTCGCCGTCAGCGCCGGCCCCGCCCGCGCCGCCACCTCCGCCGCCCCGCGTGGACGCTGCACGGGCGGCAAGGTCGCCCGCTCCTCCTCCTCCTCCGACTCCCCCGCGTCCTCCTTGCTGGACGCGCCGCGCGCAGGCGCACTGCCGTTGGCGTCCCCGTCGCTCCCACGCGCCTCCCGCGACGCGCCCCCCTGCCCCTGCTGCTGCGCTTGCTGCCCTGACGCCTGCCGTGCCAGGGAGGCGCGCGTCGGCTTCGCGGCCGGATCGCGCTGCGCCGGCGCCGCAGCCCGGCGCCCTCCGCGGCCCCTCCGCGACGCCGCGCCGGGCCTCTTCTCCGCGCCGCCCCGACCCCTGCCGCGCACGGCCTTGCGCCCCGCCTCAGCTGGCGCCCCCGCCGACGACGCGATGCGCGCGTCGCCGCCCGTGTCAACGCTGGACGACGGCACGCTCTTGCGCCGGGCCTTCGCGGCCGGCTCCTTCGCGCCCGCCTCGGGCGGCGCGGTCTGCTGCGCCGCCAACGGTGCGGGCTCGTGCGGGGGCGGCTGCGGGGAGTGTCCGAGGCCGGCGTTGCGGTGCACCTCGTCGTCGTCGCTGTCCGGCACGTGCGGCTTGGCGGCAGCGGCTGCCTGCTTCACGCCGCCCGCGGGCGCAGGTGCTGGCCGCGCGTCGACGCGGGGAGACGCTGCATCCGATTTGCGGGCCTTGCTCATCCTCAATCCCGTGGCGTACTGCGGCTGCGCGAGGACCTTCCCTGGATCGAAGTGCTCGACCTGCTTGCGGCTCCGCTTCGGGCGGTTCCCCTGCGCGGACTGCGTGTGGAGCGGAGGCCGCGGCGCACGAGTGAGGGTGGGGTGCGAGACGTCTACCGGTGTCTGGCGCCGCGGACTCGGCGCCGTGGTGGCAGAAACGAAGTGTCGGTGCTCGGGGGGGCGACGCGGCCGGCTGCTCTGGCCGTGGGCGGGCGCAAGCGGGTGGAGCCGATTGCAACGAGGAAAAGCAGGTCGGGACCTGACACGCGTTGCAGGCCGCGAAATACGCGTGAACGACTCACGCACGGCACGGAGTGCTGCCATAGCATCGCCGGGGATGCCAGGGACCCCGCTTCTGCGCGACGGCACGTGTGCGAGGCGCCACACACCTGGTCTGTTGCCTTCGCCTCCTCCGCCTTGCGTGGACGCTTCTTGCTCCCGGCATCCGTCTTCGCGTCCCCGCCCGACCTCTGAGCGCCCCTGCTCGGCGGCCCCCTCCCCGCGTCCTCCCCGGTGTCCGACCCGCGGGAATCGTCCTTCAGGGACTTGCTCCGCGACCGTGGGCGCGCCGGGCCTCCCATGGCTACCGTGAGGGCTCCCGCCGCCGGATTAGATCGTGCACGACGACCTCGCGGGACCTAAACGACGGCTCGCGGCTCAGTACATCGCCGTCGCAGGTGTTTCTGCACTCAGTGCAAAATACCTCGGCTGACGCCCAGAGCCGCGCCTGTCACGCGCGGATCTTTCGCGAGAGCTCAGCTGCAGGTATTTCGGAGGGAGTGGCGCTACTGAGCGGCAGCGCGCGACGATCATGGGCCGCGGAGAGCTCCTGCAGGAACTCAATGGCGCCCTCTCTCCGCGCAGCGCATCAGGGCGATGAGCGAGCGCACATCACCCAGACACGAGGGGATCGTTGCTGTCAGTGCGCAGAGCCAGTCTGGGGACGTGGTTTGCCGTGCTACCAGGCGGGGGGCTCGCGTGCTTTCTCAGCACACGTTCTCCGTCCCTACGCGGCTCGTCGGCCCGAGAACCCGCGCAAAGACACGCGGGATTTCACGAACAGGCAGTTGGTGTGATCCCTGACGGTCGCTGGACGCACCGGTGTTCGCGCTGGGCAGCTCGTGGCCCGGGTTTTTTCCCGCCCAGGCTGCTGGCCCCTCCCAGCGCTGGAATATACGACTCTGGGTCCCTTCCCGCGACCGTTTCCGAACCGGCGGCCAAGCGCCCGTGCTGCTGCGGGCAGCGCACCGCCACTGCGCCCCTTGTCGCCCGTTACACCCACCATGTGTCTGACACGCGGCCGTCCCACCCCCCCGGACCCCCTCGGCAGCACACCCGCGCCCCGGGACCCCCGCACGCTCCAACCCAGCACGCCGAGCACCACGGCCGCACCAGGCCCCCCCCCGCTCCCGCATTTAAACCCCTGCATCACATCACACACCCCCAGCAAACCCCCCCGGGCCGCCCAGCAGCGCCCGCCCGCCCACGCGCGCTCAGTACGCCGCTGCGGCGTGCTGGTGCTCTTTCGCGTACACCTTGACCGCCTCGTTCAGGTTCGCCACCTTGCTGCTGATGGCCTGCACGTCCTTGCTGAACTCGAAGTCCGCGCGCTGCTTCCGCACCTTCAGCCGCGTCTCCTCGTTCCGCCGCTCCACCGCGCGCAGCTTCTCCTCCAGCTTCCTCAGGTCTTGGTGCCCGGGGCTCTTCTCGAGCTGCTCCAAGCGCGCCTCGTGCTTGGCCCACCGCTCCCCCGCGCCCTGCGCCGTCAGCGCCTCCGCGTCGCCGAACGCCGCGCGCTGCTGCTCGAGCAGCGCGCCCTTCTCGCGGGACACCGCGCGCGCCTGGTCCACCGACGGCAGCGCGCGCAGCTTCCGCTGCAGCTCCTCGATGCTCTCGCGACACTTGGCGATCTCGCCGTTGAGCTTCTCCTCCATGTTCGTCATGCGCGACAGGTCCGCCTCCTGCGCGGCCAACACCCCCCGGAGACGCCCCCGCGCTTCCTGGGCCGTCTCCATCTGCGCCCGGCGCTGCTCGAGCTCGTCCTGGAGCTCCTGGAACTCCTTCGCGGACGGCAGCGAGCCGCCCTGGAGCGTCTGCTGCATGCGCGACATCGCCTCGAGCGACCCCTGCGGCAGACGGGCCGGGCGCGCATGCCCGTGCGTCAGGCGATGGCGCACACGTGGCGGCGCGACGCGCGGCGCGCTTGCCGCGTCTGTGCGAGGACGCGGTCTGCGTGGCAGTGGGAGGCGAGCTGGAGCGCGGGGCCGCGGGCGTGCCCTGGCGTCGCCCCGGGCGGTTGCGCGGGGCCGCCGTCAGGGATCGTTGCGCGCGCACCATGATGGTTTCCTGGCGCGTGTGCATCTCGCGGAGAGCACGCTCGCGCTCCGTGGGCAGCGTCTCGAAGAACGCGCCGATCTCGTACTCCTGCTGAGTCAGCTCCTCCAGGCGCGCATGCAGCTCCTCGGGGTCCATGTGCGCCGACGGGACGGGCGCCGGGATCGCCGCAGCCGCCTTGCCGCCGCCGACCTTCCCGATCTGCTCCTCGAGCGTCCTGATGTGCGACAGCGCCTCCTTGATCTGCAGCGACGCGACGCAAGACACCGAAACATGTCTCGCGGCGCCCCGCACCAGATACGCGCGCGAACAACGACGCACGCACGGCGGAGCGGCGCGCAGAGCCGCGCTACCACGGCGCAACTAGCACGCCCCGGAGCACCGAGCGGCGCAACCACGGCATCGCCCACACGCGGTCGGGTCCCCCCCACACAGCGGCACCGCCACGTGCCGCCGCGCCGCCCCGGCGCACCTGCTGCTCCGTGCGCGCGGTGTCCTTGTTCGTGTCGCGGATCTTCCCCATGAGCGCCCCCTTCTGCTCGTCCACGGGCGCCTTCAGCCGCGCGATCTCGCTCTCGGCGTCAAAGCACTTGTCCGTCAGGTCCCGCAGCTCCTCCTGCAGCGCCAGGCTCTTCTCCTTCAGCGGGTTCCCCTGCAGGTCCTGCCGCGCCGCGGCCGTGCTCTCGTCCACCGCGGCCAAGCGCGCCTGCAGGCGCTGCAGCTCCGCCCCCAGGAGCTTCTCCTCGCCCTCGAGGTCGACGTACTGCTGCCGGGCCGACTGCGGGAGCTCCATGATGCGGGACTGCATCGCGCGCTGCTGCGCCTGCAGGTTCGCCTCGCCCTCGTGGACCTGGCTCTCCAGCGCGTTGCGCGCCATGATCGTCTCCTGCAGGCGCCGCTCGTCCATCTTGTTGCGCTGCTGCAGCGTGGGGAGCTCCTGGAGGATGTCCTCCGCGCTCATGGCGCCCTGGTCCTCGACGACGCGGTTCATGTCGGCCAGCGCCCCCCGCAGCTTGCCCACCTGGCGCTCCAGCTCCGCGTGCCGCTTCTGGAGGCGCGAGAACTGCGGCGCGCTCGCCTGGAGGTCCTCGGACTTCTTCATCATGTCCTGGTTCGCCTCCGCGATCTCCTTCAGCCGCGCCCGCAGCTCAGACAGGAAGTAGTTGCGGTCCAAAACCTGCGCGGGACCAACGCAGCTCGCACGCGGCTCGGAACGCGACACGCGCGCCTGGGACTCGCCGCAGGGGATGTCCGGGGCATGATGCGTGCTTGCGGCGACGGAGCGGCGCGTGTGCGGACCTGGCGGCCTCCGGAGGAGGTGGCGAGTCTCATGCCAGCGACGCCCTGCTGGGTCACCGGGCGGTCCACGACGTTGCGGGGCGCGGCCACGGCGCCGCTCTGCCCGGACGGGGGGCGCATCTTGCCCGTGCCTGGCCGCATCGCGCTGGACCCTGGCCGCGCCCCGATGCCGCCCTGCGCGGGCATCGCCGAGCCGGGTGGCACGAGCGCGAAGCCTGCATGGGACAAACGCGGCGCGAACGGCGTCAAACCTGCGAAGATCTCGAGGTTGTGCGGCGAGACAAGCGTGTGTGGCGTGCCCGGGCGACGCGCAGGGGCCGTTGTCGCACCACCAGGCATGCCAGCGCCACCACGGGACCCCGGACGCAGCACTGCGGACCCGTATCCGCCTCTGGACCCCGGACGGTCCATCACTACCACTATGCCTTCCCCCCTGACGCGCCGCGCCCCTGCTGGTGCCCCGCTGTCCCCTCAGAGGCCGGTTCAGGGGCTGTGCTGAAGCTTCAGCGACGGTGCCCGCGCCGTTCGGGCTTCTTGGACGCGAAGCAGTCGCGCAGCTCGACGCGAGCGGTGAGAGTGCCCGCGCGCCGCGCCGCGCGGGCCCAACAGGGCCCGGAGCGGCCGCGTTGGCGCCAGTGCGACTCGAAAACTGAGGTGGGACGCGGGCCCAGGAGCGGCACGAATCACGCACTGGGCCGCCCCTGCGTGCCGTAGTCTTTGCGGAGCGCGTGCGGTCAACACGGTTTCCTTGCGGGAACGACGCGCACGCCCCCGCGGGCGCCCACGCTCCCCTGCAGCTCCCCTCACGTGACCACCTCAAGACGCCGGTGCGCTCGCTCGTACATGTCGGCGGCCGATGGGAACGCGCACGACGGCGCTTGCGGTTCGGAGCGACCGGGGTGCCCGACCGCGCGGCGTTGAATGACTGCGCGTCATGTCGATGCCGTCGCGGGACGGCGCGGCGGGCCCTGACTGACGGCGACGCCCGTGCGAGCGCCGCCGTCATCACGCACGCATGCACGGGCGAGCCAGTAGCTGCGCGCGCTGCTGACATGCCGAGCCGGTGACGATGGCTGCGTGCCTTGCGCAGCGCAGGGCGCACGCGACAGCAATTCCGGTTCGCACAGTCCATCGGCACCGCAACAGCATGCGGGACGAAGAGGAAGCTGCGTGTTCGCGCGCCGAGGCGGCGGGGCGCTCCTTTCGAGCGCTGCTCCGCACCTGACGCATGGTCATTCCCTTGCCAGTGTCCCCCGCCCTCTTGGGTCCGTTCGGGGCTCGGCAGGCGCGTGGGCGCCATGGATGCGCCACTTTCATACGTCGACGGTCGCTGACAGGACGTCGTTTGCGAAGGAGATTGTTCACTGCGCGAACCGAAGCGTTCAATGGTAATGCTGTCTCTCCCACACATCCTCCTCGTTTGCACACGATGCGGCGCTACAGCCCCTCGTGTACCGCTCATTACCATGATGCATGATGTTGGAGGCCCCTCGCGACGACACGTTCATCCTCCATTGCGTGACACGCCGTAATTCGTGCCGACATGAGAGGTGTGCTACGCTGCACATTGAACCGCGCGGCACATCGTTTCCGCGCAGCGTAGCAGGTCCGACGCTATTGCGAGCTACATCGCAGACTATGACCGACCGTTATCGATCCCTCGGCACGCAATGCGGCTGCACATGACGCCCCGCCGCGCGCAGGCACTCACTCTCACTCCTTTGCACACACTCGAAACACCTCCGTCAACGCCATGAATCGCAGGACTACCAGGCCCAGAGGCGCGAAGCCGCGCTGTCTCTCCTCCTCGCCCTCAACGCCACCGAGCGCCATCGCGCCGTCGGCGCTGCTCAGGATGACGACCGCGCGTCGTTCGAGCCCGCCCTGCCCAGCTGGTTGCGTCACGCACCTGACGTGGCACGTGGCGAGGCGTGGGCCGTGCTGCGCGCGCTGGTGAGCGACGGACACGGCAAGGACGTGGTAGATGGGACCGCGCACCCCGGCGGCGCGATGGCGGGGTTCCCCGGTCGCGTGCGCGAAGAGGGTGGCCCTGCAATGAACGACCCTGACAACAAGGCGTACGCGGCGCGGCTGGTGAACGAGATCGTGTCGTCGCTCCTGGCCGAGCGCGACGCGGAGCGCCTGGAGCAGGCCGCGCAACTGCAGGCCACACTGACTCAGCGCGACGCGGAGATTGAGCGCCTGCGGGCACTCTCGGCTGGTCGCGAGGACTTGGCGCCGGTGCTCGCTGCAATCAGCAGCGGATCACGCCGCTCTATCGTCGGAGCGGTGGAGGCGAACGACCGCAGCAGATTCAACGCGGAGTTGCCAGTCCTCCAAAATGCCAGCATCGCCGTACAGGACGACATGTGGATTATGCTGCGCGCGATGGCGATGGAAGGGCGCATCGACTTCTTTGAGCACAGCCACCTGCATCCAGATGGTGCGAGGGCCGGTTTTCCCGGCGTATGCCGACTCGACGGCGGACCAGACATGAGACACGCCCCGAACAGGCAGCACCTGTCGACGTTGTTGGGCAATTTCACCGAGCCGAGGCTTGAAGTTCAGCAGCTGCGTCAGCAGATTCAGGCGCTGAACGAGCTTCAGCCCCAGGAGCCGCAACTTCAAGTTCAGATTCAAGTGCAGGAGGCGGGGAATTCCGCCGCAGAGATCGAGGCTGCGCGTCGGGAGGCTGAAGAGCAGCGGGCACGTGCTGAGGCCGTCGCGAGCGAGGTCGAAACGCTGCACAGCGAGGTCGAGACGCTGCAGTCTCAGTTGGAGGCAGCGAAAATTGAGGCTGCTGCGGAGCCAGCTCGTGCCGAGGCAGTGCAGAGCGAGCGCGCGACTGCGCTGCTGCGCGTGCAGGAGCTACAGGCGCAGGTCACGGCGGCGGAGAGCGCGGCGTCGCACGCGCAGGTCTCGCGTGCGGAGTCGACCGATGACAACGAACAGGTCTCGCACGCACCGCAGACGCCGCAGCGTGGCGGCACGACATCCCCCTCGGGCACAGTCTCGTACGGCAGGACCGGGCCCTCTGACAAGGGCACCACGCAGGCGGTTGCGCAGAAGACCGCTCATGGGGGAGACTACCGCAAGAACGGGGATCAAGAGCAGGGTCTTGTTCCCCGGACGCTCTTCAGGTCTTGGTTCAACACGTTGTTCCGCCTCGTGGGCTTCTGTCACACGGGATGAACTGAGCCGCAGGCCTTCCCAAGGCCGGGGACTACTGGCGTCATATTCCCGAGTCAATAACGACACGTGGCAGGGCGCTTGTGAAGCGGTGGCCGTCGTCAGGCCCCCGCGTCTGAGTCAGACCACGTGTGATCTCCCTTCTCACAGCCCCGTGCGTCGTCCTGGCTGCAGCGTACACGTGCACGTCACCCGTGTCTCATGTCGACGTCGACGTCATCGTCCGTTCCCCGCTCGGCGTGTCGAGAACCTCCGCGACGAGTGCCGCAGCGTGCTCCGAATCTGCAGGTTAGCGCCCAAGCTGGCGTGGTCGAGAGTCCGTCCCTCCGTCAGCCCCACGAATCCATCCATGACAGGCCAACGTGAAAAACATCTCCCCCGCGGCACCTCACGTTCGCGCCGCTATGCACTCGCCCCTGTATGCAAGTGGATGTTGCGACGCAGGCGCCCCTGGTGCAAGCGACGTAGCTCCCGTCCTTCCCGCGCGACCGTGAATCCGTCCGTTGCTGCGCATGCGCACCTAGCACACATCACGTGGACGCATGCGGCGGGCCGAGCGATCACACGTGGCCGCCCTCGGGGCACTCTCGGAGCTGGCGGTCGTTGCCGCTGTGTCCTCAACGACGCAGCACCACATTGTGATGCTGTTGAGTGTCTGGCACACACTGCATCAAACCTTCCCGTCCCACTCGAGCCAGTGCTTGTCCTCGGGGCGCAGCTTGGGCTTTGGGAGCCGCGAGGGCGTCGCCTTGGGCCGCGGCTGGCCCGCGCTCCCGAGGGAGTTCCGCAGTCCCCCCCCCCGCCCCGCAAACGCGCGCTGGTCGTCGCTCATCAGCCGGTCCAGGTACTCGTCACTGCACGGCGCGGTAGCGCGTTCAAAGGATTTGTGCCCAAAGCATCCTGAGTGGCGGAGCCCAAGGAGGCGGGGACTCCCCCCCCCGTGTCCGACCCAACAGCACCCTGGTTGCCCATGCTCGAGTTGCTGGTCAACAGCAGTTGCTGGTGGATGCGACGCTGCAGAGACGCGCGTACGCGCTGTCAGCAGGCGTGGTGGGCGGACCTGTACAAGTTGACGCCGCGGGCCTCCGCTTTCGGGGACGGGAACGTGTCGATGCCGGAGTTGGTCCGCTCGTGCAGCACCTGCGTCTTCGGCGCCTTGCCCCGCGGCGACGCGGCCTGCTGCTGTGGCGAACTCGCGTCCTGCGCCGCCGCGGCGGCCACGGGCGGCGACTGGCAGACCTCGGGCGACGCAAGGGAGCATGAAGGTGTCGCGCGGGCTGCGACCTCGCTGTCCGCGACGGGATCGTGCGCCGTGCCGTCCTGCGAGGTCTCGAAGCGCATCGCCTTGCGCGGCATCTCGCTTCCGTCGGACGGTCGCGCGGAACGACCCCCAGCGCTGCGGGAGCCCGACGACAGCGGTGCAACGGGGGACTCCACGGCGTCGAAGGACCGCTTCGACGAGCGCCTGCGGTCAGAGCGAAACACTGACATGTTCCCGTGGGCGCAGCAACGGGCTGCAAAGCAAGGCGAACAAGGAGGGAGGAGGGGGTATGATTCCGGAATGGGCGTGGCACGCACCCGCCGCTGGACGCACGGTCCGCCGAGACCAGCGCGACGGCCGCCCGGTCGACCTTGACCTCCAGCGACGGCAGGCCGTCCGGGAGCTCGAAGGCCGCCGGCGCCCCTGCTGGGCTGACGTCGCCGCGCGCTGCTCGGGCGACGACCGCTGGGTCGGGCGTAGCTGCGTCGCGCAGCTGCTTGATCTGTTGGCGCAGCAGCGCAATCGCGCTCTCCGGCGTCGGCGCGTCGCCCGCGAGCGCCGCCGGTCCTCCGGGGGTGTTCAAAATGACGTGCCTGTTGTCAGGCCTGGCGCCCGACGAGGACGGCGCGTCCACGACCGGCGGCGGCGACGCGGACCGCGGCGTGGGGATGATCTCCAGCTCGCCTGGTGACTGCCTCGCGGACGGCACGGACACGACGGGGGGGGGAGTGCCACGAGACCCCCCCTGCTTCTCCGCCGTGCAGTTGCTCCGGGAAGGAGTGCTCGCGGCCGGCGGCGACAGCGCCTCCACCACCTCTAATCCTGCTTCGTCTCCCTGGAACGACCGCCCGACCGCACCCTCAGCGGGCGTGTCGACAGCGGGCGAGAGAGCTGGCGGCACTTCAGGTGCCGCCTCCACCGGCGCCGCGCCTGCACTCTCCCGCCGCTCCGGCTCTCCGTTCCCTGCGTCCTCAGACGCAACTCCCAGGCCGCTCCCGGCCCCGTCCGCGCCGAGCAAGCCGGGCCCTGACTCGGCGTCGCCGTCAGACTGCCCCGGGAACCCGACGGGCGACGGCAGCGCGGGCTGCTGCTGCGGCCACCACGTCGCCTTCAAGGACACCTCGCTCGCGGCCCCCGGCTTGCCGCAGACCGCCTCGACGCGCGTCGGCGACGGCACGAACGGCACCAGGTACGCGCTGTTGTCGGGGTCGTCGCCCAGGAGGCCGGACTTGTTCGCATCGCCCTGCGGCGTGCCCAGGTCGAAGTCGTCCATCTGCACCAGCCTGTTGACGAGGGAGCCCCCGGCGTGCGCGAGCGCCGCGGGCCGCCGCGGCGCGGTGTTGGCATCCGACGCAGGGGGCGCGGGGGGCTGCGCGCTGGCACCGGCGGCCGTGGACGCCGCGGGCGTGGCCGTGGGGGTCGGCCGAGGGATCCGCGACGCCGAGGACAGGGCGGGCGCGGGGGGCGTTGCGCAGGGTGCCGGTTGTTGGGCCCAGCCCGCCGCTGGGGTGCCGTCGTCGCCGAAGAACACCGCGGTGCGTTTGACGACCTGGGCGAGTTTCTTGCACGCGGCCTCGCCGTCGGGCCCGAGGGGGTTGCCGCGGAGGTCGAGTTTGGCGAGCGCGAAGCCCGTGAGGCGCAGGGCGCCCTCGGACATGAGTCTTCGCACTATGGATTGGGCGCCCGATTGAGAAATCATGTTCCCGGAGAGGTCGAGCGTCTTGAGTGCGGAGCGCCCGCGCAGCAGGCTGCCGTTCGCCACGACCGACGTGGCGGTCGCGTCGTCGATGTCGCACTCCGCGAGAGTGAGCTCCTCGAGGTGCGCGCAGTCCGCGAGCGGCTGCAGAGCGGAGGCGAGCCCGCCCGCACCCTCAGCAAGGCACCGCGTGAGCCCGACGGTGGTCGTCGAGGGGCAGGACGCGACCGCTGACACCAGCTTGAGGAGCACGGCGGCCTCGACGGCGATTCCCTCCACGCGCACGGCGGAGAACTCGCATGACGGCAGCACTTCAGCAACAACCGTGAGCGACCGGGCGGCCTCCCGGGACTCCTCAGGGCTGCACAGAGCGCCCGGACCGGTGATGTGGCATGAAGACGTGCGACCAAGCCTGCGGGGGGATGAGAGGGGGGTCGACGCGTTTCGAGCGCTGCATGCGGACGGCATCACCATGCCCAGCGTGCGCGTCATTGTTGCCCACGGGCCGCTGGCACCCATCGCGGCTCAAGTGGGCATTCCCGGCGAACGCACTGCTCTGTCATCGATTATACGATGTGTTTCAGTGCGTCGATGTGTGAAATCATCGGGGAGGTCTCGAGAGGGGCCGTTCGTGCACGCTGGAGGTGATGGGGGGGCGCGTACAGCGCAGCGGTGAAGGAGTCAAGGGGCTTGACGCCCGCGCGCGAGCACTTCGCGATGTAGTCTGCGACCGAGACCGGCATTTTCGCGGTGCGGTCAAGCGAGCGACCCGAGAAATCGGTTTTCCCAGGAACAGCTGGAGAGCTCCTGCGAGCCTCGACAACGCCCGCACACGCCCCGACCGAGCGCCTCGATCCGCTCAGCTGGATGGCCTATGTGCGGAAGGACTGTGTCGCCGCGTCCACATGAACTGCTGCACGAACCGGAGGTCCGGGACCGTCCTGGACCGTCCCGGGGGACTGCCCGCTCTGTTGGACTGTCGGCACCAACATGACGTACGTGACGGACGCCAGGAACGCCGAGCAGGCGGGCCAGCTAATGGACGAGATCGCGGTCGCGCCTCAGCAAGGCCGAGACCGCCCGCCTGCGCGAGGTCATCGTGAGCGCCCCGCACACATCGCAGCATACATCGACGAGCGACGCCCTTGCTGCCACGCGGCGTCCGCAATGTTACGCACCACACACCTAGAGACTGTCCTCGTGCCCTCCCAGGGCATTCTGGTCTTGTTCGTGCCAGTCATGAAACATACAAATTACTCGTTTGATCTTTTTATGGGGTTGCAGTGGCGCCGGGCCGAGCGTCGCCGGTCTGCATCAGCTCCCGTGCTTGCGGTGGATCTGGATAGCTGGAGAGCAGCAGTCCAGGCAGCGCGGTCCGGCAGCGGCGCTGACTTCGAGGCGTCCGCGCTCGCGTGGCTCTGAACGTGCGATGTCGCTGCACGCGGCGAGACGTGGGAGCTGGTGCCCGGGCTTGTCGCCGAAGACCGGAGCGAGGCAGTCGTCGACGGCGGGACGCTGCACCCTGCGGGCGGGCTTCCCCGCTGGCGACAGCGCAAGCGGCAGACCTCATCGGGCGTGCCAGCAGGACGGCGGGCCGGACATGCAGACAAGGAGCAACATGGATCGCACAGATATGCTGACGCGGCACATCGCGGCGGCGCGCGAGCCCTCGCACGATGTTTGTGCAGCCAGCGCGCTGGAAGACCCTGCGAACGTGCGCGCCCCCCTTTGAGGCGGGGCGCGACGCCCAGACGGCGCGCGAGGACGCGGCAGCCGCGCGTTCACGGGCCGCTGCAGCCGAGCGCGGGCGCGACCAGGCCGTGCGGGACCGCGTGGGGGCGGAACGTGGTCGGGAGACGTTGGCGGTGCAGATCCACGTCGTCAGGGGCAACCCGAGGCGCTGCAGCCCTCGCCGGCGCGATCCGCGGACACCGCAGGCAGTGACGACGCGATGGTGACGGCGGCGGCGGCGCGGGTGCCCGAGCGAGCAGCGAAGCAACGTGGGGAGGGGCGAGAGGTGTGGACGCCAACCGGTGGTGCGTGGACGGCAACCTGCCCGCGGGGCACGCGTTGAGGTGGGCGACGGCGCAGTGGCGGCCGTTGCTATCAGAGCGGGCTGCAGGGGCCCAGGGCGGAGGGCGGGAATGCTTGAAGTCAGAAACACACACCTCTACTTGTGACGGAACAATTCCAAGACAAGTTTCGTTGGCGACAAGTTTCGAGCATGTCCGGCTGACGAGCCAGCCTCGCATTCCCCGCAGCCGTGCGAAGCGAGCCCGGCCGCGCAGGCCCGGCGTAGAGCGCCAGGTGAGGTGCTCTTCCGGGGACGTGCGCGTTGTTTGCGTGTGCGACCGCGACATGTCAAATTGTCGCTCTTTTCACGACAGCGTCGAGTTCCCGCCCTTGCCGACTCCGGCCAGCAAGACGACGCGAGACGTGGGTTCGGGGCGGCCAACGGGTCGTCCCGCGCCCCGAGCGCGGGCCCGCAACGGTAGATGGTGTGGTGGTGTCCAAATCCCGCCTCTGCGCGTCGGGGCGACGGTGTCCCGCGGCACAAGGCATCGCAGGAGGTAGCATGGACCGTGCGACGACGCGCGCGCCAATCGAGGGCGCCTAGGACTCGTCGCACCGAGCGCACGGGCGCAGGGAGTGCAAGGTCAAAAAACGTGAGGGGGGGACAGTTGGAGTGTGTTGACTGGGGCCGGTAGGGGCTCAAGAGGGGCAGGCGCGATGCAGCGGCGGCACCCTCGCCCTCGTCAGTGCACCGTCACGCCGTTCGTCGATCGAGCTCCTCAAGCAACCTCATCGCACTTCCCTGAAGCGCACACCACCACCGCACGCAATGGTGAGCCCATCCACCGCACTGCGGCGCCACACCCGCCGATGGGCCGATCTCTCGGCACTACACGACGCAGTTGATACGACATATGCGACTTTCATCGCCTGCTTCATCCGACAGCCCTCGTTCACTCGCGGAGGACGACCTTGCTCTGACAAGGGGGCGCGAACGCCACTGCGCGGCGCGGGCCCGTCGTGCCTTTTCCCCGACGATTTCGTATCGCATCGCACGCAATCATGTATGGACATATCAACGAGGCAAAATGTCGCAGCCGTCTGCCCCGCATTGCCCCACATTGCGATGGATAGCCCTCCGGTGCCCCACAACTACTGTCCGCGGCGCAGACCCATGACGCGACTCGTCCCCGATTTTTCGTATCTGGACGCGCTTGATCGTCTCCGATGAGCGAGACGAGGTGCCTCGTGACGCCACCGTCGCAGCGGAGAGCCCCGGAAGCGCAACAGTCATCCCCACAACGTGTTGCTGTGCAGGAGTACGTGAGGCAGCGGCACGAGGCTGCGGCCGCCCTGCTGGTCGCGCTCGGCGAGACGGATCGCAGGAATGCGGTCAAGGCCGCCGAGGACAACAACCTGGACGCCTTCGAGAGGTGTCTGCCGCAGTGGCTGAATTCCGCGCCCAGGCTTGTGCGCGGCGAGGTGTGGCAGCTGCTCCTCGACTCGCTCCTGGCCGGCAAGCGCGACGACGTCATCAAGGCCGGGCCGGCCCTGCACCGCGATGCCCCGCGCGCCGGCTTCCCGGGCCATCAGCGCAACGACGGGGGCCCGAACATGGAGAAGTCGCTCAACAAGGCGTATGCGGTGACGCTGTTCGACAGGATCGTCGACGCGTACCTGAGCGACCGCGCGGCCGAGATCCAGAAGCGCACGACCGAGATCAGCCGCCTGCGCGCCCTCGCCGCGGACCGCGAGGACGTGGCGGCGCTGCTGGCCGCGACGCGCCCGCAGCAGCGCGTCGCGTTCGTCGCGTTCGCGCGCAACAACGACCGCACGGGCTTCGAGGAGTCGAACCTGCCCAGCTGGCTGCGCAAGGCTCCGACGTCGGTGCGCAACGAGGTGTGGCTCATGCTGCGCTCCGTCGCCGAGAGCGGCAACGAGCAGGCGTTCATCGACGGGACGCTGCACCCGGAGGGGGAGGGCGCGGGCTTCGGCGACGACGAGGGGCACGTCCACTGGCGCAAGTACCGTCAGGGCCCTGACATGCGGTTCAAGGAGAACAAGGAGCACGTGGAGCAGCTCATCAGCAACATCGCCGACGCGCAGGGCGCGCAGCAGCACGACGCTCTGGTGGCCGACGTGCAGCAGAAGCTGGAGGACGCGCGCGCCGAGGCGCAGGAGGCACTGAAGGCGCGCGACGATGCGCAGGCGGAGGCGAAGCGTGAGCGTGAGCGTGCTGAGGCGGCCGAGCGCGAGCTCGAAACTGTTCGCAAGATGATGGCCAAGCTCAACATCGAGAAGGAGGACGCGCTTGCGGATGCCGACTCGCACCGCAAGCGCGCGAACGAGCTTGACCGCGTGGTCGGGATGGCGCGCTCGGTGCTCGACAAGGTGCTCCCTACTCCGCCTGCGTCGCCGGCCCAGATGAATCCCGCCTATTCGCAGACCAGCACGGGCAAATATAAGACCGGCCAGGACGGAAATGCGGGGGCTCCCATCAGGGACACTCGTCCCCACCCGTACGGGAACAACGCAACGGCGTGAACGCGTTCACGTTGTAAGCGCCGCGAACATCACGCTGCCTGGCCAGCACATTGGTACCACGCGGCACTGTGACCCAACCATGTGTTCAGACATTCCGCCGCCGTCCGGGTGCCCGAAACCCGTCAAGTGCACCGCGACGCACCGGGGGGTCGCGATCGCGACGCCCATGGTGCGCGACGACGACGAGCGCCCGCCGGGGCTCGACCGTGCGGAGCTACGCGAGCGACTCGTTCCCCGCGGCCCGCGCGTCCCCGGGCGCCACGCGCGCGTCTCCTCACCACCACTTCTCTGCTGCCCCTCGCGATGCCTCTCCGGGGTTCCGGAGCGTTCCACGCGGCGCTGGCGGACGCGACTTTCGCTGACGCCGGACCGCGCGGCGCGGCGACGTCCAGCCCGGCCCTCACGCCCGTCCAGCCCGGCCCGCGCACACAACAACATGCTCAGGGCTCACAGTGCACGCGACCGCGCGCTCGCATGACAAAGTCTCGCGCCACAAGGCATCGGAGCAGCGAGATCATTCGCGTGGCGATGCATCAGACACCAGTATGCGTCCTGCACGCGCCGCACGAAGTCCTGTCGCCCGGGTCAGAGGTCATGAAAACGTGATCGTCGTCCAAGGGCACGCATGGGTGGGTGGGGGTCTCCCAGGCGGTGCGGCGGGGGCTCATGGCCCGCCCTCGCGCTGCGCGGGCCGCACTGCTCCCTTCCGGTGATCTTGCACTACCTCTCTGTCAATCCACGGCCCCGTGCACCCTCCACGACGCGTTGCTTGCAAGCACAAGGTGATTAGCCCTTCCGCCCCAAGCGCACCGCGTAATGCCGACACAGCATTTGCGGCGCGACTCCTCGACGGTTCTATATCGAAGCATGGGTTCTACGTGGCGCACATCGTCTCGCGACGTCGCGACGCCCGCGGAGCACGAGCCTTGTCTGTTCGATGACCTTCCCGCGGCACGGGACAGTGACGGCATGTCTCGAATTATGTCTTGCGTAATCGCGTACTTCAGTGTTGACACTGCGCGACAAGATTAGAATTGGCGCAAGAAAATCCCAGGGACGTCCTCCATTGCGACGCGTCTCCTCCACCGCCACCGCGCCCTCCGACGCGCGCAGGATCCTCCGATGTCCCCGATCCAGGGCCACGAGGCGGCCGCCGCCGCCCTACTCCTCGCTGTCGACAAGCCGCAGCGCAAGGCCGCCGTTGAGTTCGCCAAGAAGGGCGACAGGGCCGGATTCGACACCGACCTGCACCAGTGGCTGTCCGATGCCCCGACGGTCGCCCGCGACGCGGTCTGGGACCGTCTCCGCGAGCTCGTCAGTAAGGCCGGGGGCGCCGAGAACGTGGTCGCGGGCTCGGACGTGCACCCCGAGGGCCCCGGCGCCGGGTTCCCGAAAGCCAGTCGCAAGGACGGCGGGCCTGACATGAAGGAGCCAGAGAACACGAGGCACGCGGCGACGCTCGTGGACGCCATCGTGAAGGCGCACCTGGACAAGCGCGACGCGGCGCTGGAGGCGGCGCAGAAGGAGGTCGAGCGGCTGCGCGTGTTGGCTGCGGGGCGCGAGGAGCTGGCGGCGGTGCTGACTGCGCCGAGGACGGATCACCGGAAGAAGCTCATCGACAGCGTCGGGACGGCGCAGGACTTCGAGCGTGCTCTCGCAACGATCAAGTACCTGCACGAGCCCTCAAACGCCTACACGCGCGGGCAGATCTTGTACATGCTGCGCGCGTTCGTCGAGGAGGGCCACGCGGACGCGTACGTCGCCTGCACGGCGCTGCCCCCGGGCAACCCGAGCGCGGGCTTCGACGTCACCAAGGGCCGTAACGATGGGGGCCCGGACATGAGGAAGACGGAGAACACGAACCACATCGCAGAGCTGCTCAAGGACATGGCGGACAAGCAGCCGGCTCCGCCGAGGTCGCCCAGCACGCCGACGGACGCGCCCATCAAGCCTGCCAGCTCGGGAACGAGCACCGTGAAGGTGTCGTGCCCGAAGTGCCGCAACGACTTCACGGCGGAGATTGACAAGACTACGTCAACGGCCAAGAAGCTCGACTTCGACGGGAACGACACCGCCACCTCCAAGGAGCAGAGCGCGCAGTCCGGCTCCCCGGCGCTGCTCCCCCTGGTCCTGGCCTTGCTGCTCACCCTCCTCGCCACGCTGGTCCTGGCCGACCAGTTCGGCCTCACGGCTGCGAGCCCGAGCTGGGTGGCGGGCACCGCAAAGGCCACGAGGGCCGTCGTCAGCGCGGCGGCCAGCCACGCCGCGGGGGCCACGAAGCAGGTCCTCGCGCGCTTCAAGTAACGCCGCTTGCACCATGCCGAAACGACCACCCGTTGAGCGAGGCAGGGGTTCGATGTGACGATTAAGGAACCGATGGTGTCGTGTCTGATTCGCGCGCACCAACCGCAGCAAACACGGGGTCCAAGACGAGGCGTTTTTGTTCAGGCAGGGCCGCCGTTGAGCGCTCGGTGCTCAGAACGGCCTCGACGAACGGTGGCCAGCGCGCGGCGCACACGGGGTGGCCGACGAGCGCTCGTTGCCGCGTCGGCTGGCGGCTGGATGCGCGGCGTCACCGCGCTGCGAGCCCGAGTGCGCCACGAGCGTGCATCGCTGACGTAGCAAACTGTCGATCTGCGTTCGCCCGACGACGCGGTCGACGTCGGCTCACGACGAGCAAGCCACCAGCATGCCCGTCCGCTGCGCGCGCGCCCCTCGAAGTAGCAGGCCTCGAGTGGCTCGGGCCGTTGACCAAGAGCCGGCAATGACGGCGCCGCGGGTGCACTGCTCAGCTCCGCACGTGACGCGGATCCACGCCTCGCCATGCTCCGAACTTCCACGAATCGAGCAGCGTACAGATGAAGATGCGACGCAAGGGCGCTGGGATGCACTCGTCGTCGCACAAGGGCCCTGACGCGCCACCTGCGTCAAGCGCGTCCCCCCTGATTGACGTGCGCGGCAGGGGGTCAACAGGCGCGGCAGCGATGCGAGCCTGACATTCATGGGACCGACATAGCTTGAAGTTGCGTGTTTCGTGCATCAAAGTCCCCGTCCTTTGCTGCTGATCGAGCCCGAGCGCGCTGCTTGGCACGCCAATGGTGAGTTGCTTCCGCCGCAGCACACGCGATGCCTCGCCACTGATGCACGCACACGATAATTTCGTATATACACATGTCGTCCAGATCGCGAACGGCGGCGATAATTGCGCTCCTGGCGTGTGCACTGAACATCTTCATCTCAGGATTGGGCGTGCGGCGCTGCGCCTCCAGTGTCCAGACAAAGACTCCAACACGCCATTATGAACCTTAAAACCATGTTTATCCGCCTGATATCCATCGACGTGCCGTTTGAGACCTGAAACCCCCACCGCCCCCTCACGCTCCCTCGCTTCCTCCGCAGGACTACGAGGCCCAGAAGCGCGATGCCGCGCACGCCCTGCTGCACGCCGTGGACCGCGGCGACCGTCGCCGTGCTGTGCGCGCCGCCGAGGCGGACGACCGCGCGTCGTTCGAGCCCGTCCTCCCCACCTGGTTGCGTCACGCACCCGACGCGGCACGTGGCGAGGTGTGGGCCGTGCTGCGCGCGCTGGTGAGCGACGGACACGGCAAGGACGTGGTCGATGGGACCGCGCACCCCAGCGGCGCGATGGCGGGGTTCCCCGGTCGCGTTCGCGGAGAGGGTGGCCCTGCCATGAACGACCCTGACAACAAGGCGTACGCGGCGCGGCTAGTGAACGAGATCGTGGCGGCGGAGATAGCCCGCATGCAGGCGATGCTGGCCGAGCGCGAGGCCGAGAACCAAGGCCTGCTGACGACGCTGTCCGAACGCAGCGGGCACATCTGCCACCTGGAGACGACGCTGGGTGAACGCGACGCTGAGATCGATCGCCTGCGGGCGCTTGCGGCCGGTCGCGAGGACGTTGCGGCGGTGCTTGCAGCGATCAACGAGCCCAAGCGCATCACGTTCGCTCGCGCGGCGGAAGCGGGGGACCGGGCAACGTTCGACGCGGCGCAGCCAGAATGGCTCCGGCGCGCCAGCTCGGTCGCGAAGGACGAGGTGTGGACCATGCTTCGGGCGTTGGCGAAGGAGGGACGCCTCGATGCTTTCAGCAGCGCAGATTTGCATCCAGGAGGGGCGCAGCCAGGATTCCCGCAAGAGGGACGTCTTCGGGACGACGGCGGACCGGACATGAGGTTGCCGCAGAACAGAGCTCACGCGGCGAGGCTGCTGGAGCGCATCGCCGAGCCGCGCAGGCGTACCGAGCGCGAGGCCGGCGAGCTGCGTGCCGTGCTGCAGAGAGTGCGGGAACAGCTCCGAGCGACGCGCGAGGCGGCCGAGGCGGTCCTGCGACAGAGCGCAGCGAACCTTCGCGAGGACCAGGCTGGCGGAGCACAGATTTCGGAGGCCAGAGCCCCTGCAGCGCAGGCTGACGCATTGCGAGGCGAGATGTCGTCGTCCGGGTCGGCAGATGAGAGCGAGCAGGGCTCGCGCGCAACACCGCGGCGCGGTGCGGCGCTGCACGAGGGCGGGTTGGACGCGAGGAATCTGGGCCACGATAGCGTTGATGGTTCCATTCAACGTGCTGCAATGCAGCAGGCTGCAATGCAGCATGCGTTGCGCGAGGACTCGTTCCGGACGCCGGCGCGGGAAGCTAGCTCGCAGGCAGAACCGTCGGAGGCGCCGACTCAGCCGGTTTCGCGCGCGCGGGGAAAGTCATCTGACGCCTCGGATAGCACGGAGTGATGTAATCGTTTGGGGCTGCTGTCGGGTGACTTCTGAACCAGCCCAAGGCTGTCGACGACAGCGACGCGTGCTCCGCGCTCACCGGCGGCATGCACCGCAGCGTTGTGATCTTGCGTGGTCGCGGTGTGGGTCTACGCCACCTCTGCCCACGCACGACCAACAACTGCACGCCGCGTCAACTGTTGACTGTTCCGCTCTCGACTCATCGCTGCATTCCAAGAAACAGAGCGCGCACCTAGCGCCAGCTATACCGGGGCCGTAGCCGCCCGTCCGGACGCGTTCCACGCGCAAGCAGCCGCTCGGCGCGCGTCGTCCCTGCACGCCACCTGTGCCACCACATCCCGCACGTGCGCCGCACCCGCGCCCAGGGCTTCGAGCTGTCGCGTCGCCCGTGGACCGAATTCGCATGGTGCATCCTCGGGGTCCATGACGATGGCCCCAGATCGCGTGCACAGCCCCGTGCGACCCTTCCTCTTCTCAGGGCCCTCGGACGTGTCGTGCCAGGGCCCCCCGTGGTTGCACGCGCGGCGGGGCCTCATGTGGCGCTGCTGCGGCATGCGCTGGCCACCGACGCATAGTTCGCCCCTGAGCTACACGTCCGTTGTTCGTGCATCTGTCCTTCTGCGCCACATTCGCCGTCCCGTCGGAGTTGCACTCACAGACCAGGCGGTGATGACTTCCGCCGGTGCGTCCCGCATTGCTTGCTCGGTGGCCGGCAGCGGCATGCTGCTGCACTCACCTCGCTCGTGCGCGGCGCGCGTTGCGAGTCATGCTCGCACGACGACCTGCCGTCGCTGTGCCCCACCCATCGTGCTCGTGGCGTGACGGGCGGCAGCGCCGACGTCGGGCCATCGGAGCCTCCAGCGCGCGCTCCAGACGCTCACGTAGGAATGAACGGCATGATTCCGCAGGAGCTTCGGCGAACGAGACCGCCACGGAGCCCGCGCGGGGCGACCCTGCCCAGCAGCGTCTCCTCGCTGCAGCCCTCCTGGCGGCCATCCACCCGAAGGACCGGAAGCGCGCTGTTGCGGCTGCGCGAGCCCCAGGGCGCCCGAACCGCGCTGAGTTCGACATGAACATCCGCCCGGCGTGGTTGCGCGAGCTGCCCAGCGCCGCGAGCGACGCCATCTGGGACCTGATCGTGGAGGAGGTCCAGGCGAACCGCGACGACCGCATCAAGCAAGGGCGCCTGCACCCAGAGGGTCCCGGTGCGGGTTTCCCGGGCAAGAAGCGGCTCCGGGGAGGTCCGAACATGGCCTGCAAGGTCAACCACGCACACGCCGCGAAGCTCGTGAGGGAGCTCGTGGACCTGCGTCGGGCTGCCAGCCAGGCGGCCATGGTGAGCGAGGTGTCGGACGCGACGACGGTCACCAGGGAGATGGAGGAGGTGGCTGACGCGGGGGTCGAGGTCGACGTCGAGGTCGCGCAGCCTGAGGGCGTCGCCGCGGCTCCAGCAAAGCCGGCCGCGGAGCCCGTGGCCGAGACCCGGGAGCGCAGGGGGTGCTTCGGCTTGTGCCGCATGCCGCCGGCACGTCCGGCGGCCAACATCCAGAACAACGCGTACTAGTGCGACGGCAATTAAGATGTGACGATCCGCGCTCCCAGTGGGCCGGGACGCGTCGCCTCCGGACGCGCCGCTTATCCGAGATCCTAGGATGAAATTCGGGAGTGCGAGGGGCCGCGTGCCCCAGGGTCCAGCATGTCGGGCTGACTGTTGCTTGGTCTGACATGCGTTCGAGTGCGCGCAGCCCGCCCGGAGCCGCGTCGACAAAGGCCTGGCTGCCGGGATGGTTGCTGCAGAAGCGGGCGTGAGTTGGAGGCCAGGAACGCCGCGAACGTCACGTTTCCTCTCCCTTGCTTGACGTAGCAACCAAGACAGCGATAGAAGCTGGCGCACGTTGCGGACACCGGCCTCCCGGGCCTCTCGTAGGAAGGGTACAGAGATGTCGAACAAGCACGAAGCAATAGAGACGCCGCTGCTGCAGGTAGTCGAGCAAAAGCGTGCGGTAGTCCGGCCAGCTCTTGCCCCGCACGTTCCAGCTTGCTCTCGGCACCAGCGTCGCGCTGAGCACATCGCGGTCATCTCTGGACACAGTATCTCCGCGATCGTGTAGCCCAACCCGCGAATGAAACATAGTTCGCCGCGTTTCAGGCCCCACGGGCCACCTGCGTGCCTCGCACGCCCGCAGGTGCCGCTAGACTCCTTGAAACGGAACATCCGAGATCGCAAGTCGATCATGGACGACACGTCACAGCTCAGCGAGAAGGCGCAGCGTCTAGCGAAGGAGTTCGAGGAGGTTCGCAGCTCTCAACCACCTGCGCCAAGTCACGCCGCGCCAGCACGCGGCGTTCGACCCCCCAGCGATCCGAACCGCTCGGCGCCTGAATATCCTGACACTGACCAGGCCGCTCGCCGCTTCGCGTCCTCGCAGTCGCCGCAGGAGGATCAGACGCTGGCCCAGCTTGCCAGCCTGAACGAGATGGAGAAGATAGTCCTGGGAGCCAAGGAGAAGCTCGAGCGGATAGCAGCGCTCGAACGCGACGATATCCACCGCCTGCGTGCGCGGATCCAGGTACTTGCGCCGCGACTCCGCAGCAACACCGGGGCGTCGATTGCTTTCAGTCGCGCCTGGCCATTCGACGCGGTCATCTCGTTGCACGGCTCACCGCCGAGCTCGACAGCCCCCCCGATAGCCGCCCCGTGGCACTGCGTGCGAATTGGATGCCGAAACCGACGTTGAGGGTTAAATGTCTCCTGAGATGTCTTGTCTTTTCTTTACGACGGTCGCTGCGGCCCGCCCGCGCGCAGCACCTCGGGGAGCTGGGGTCGCCGGAGAAGGACGAGACGCTGCCGTGGACGCGGCGACGCATCGACCGCATCATCGTCGACCACATGCTGCGGACAGGTGCAGACACGCGCTAGAACACACGCACACCGGCCGCGTGCGGCGCGTGAACCTCCGCGTGCAGAGCGCGCGCGACGTCGCACGCAACGAGCACTTCCTCGCCCTGCTGCTGCGCGAGCCCGTGACCGCCCGGGACGGCCCTCGCGCGCGTCCCAGCCGCACGTCCACGCGTGGTGTGTGCTTGCGCAGGCCGGCTCGACAGCGCGGACAAGCTCGCGGAGGAGTGCGGGATCACGGATCTCGTGGACTCGCACGTGTTCCGCGGCGCCCAGGAGGTGGCGCGCTCCCTGCAGCAGCACAGCTGCGGACCCGCGCTGGCGTGGTGCCGCGAGAACCGCTCGCGCCTCAAAAAGATCAAGTCCACGCTCGAGTTCCTCCTCCGCGTCCAGGAGTATATCGAACTCGTGCGACAGGAGCGCCCCACCGACGCGCTCAAGGTACAATCCAAACAACCCAACACCCCCCCCTCGACCCCTCGGGCCCCCGACGCCACGGCGCGACACGGTTCCCGGCCCCCCACACGTGCTGCGCAGTACGCTCGGCAGTATCTCGCGCCGGCCGCGAAGGACAGCCTCCCGGCGCTGCAGCGGGCGGTGGCGGCCATCGCGTTTGGGCCGGCGACGAAGTGCGCGCGGTACGCGCACCTGTTCCACCCGGACCGGTGGGACGACCTCGTGGAGATCTTCCTCGGCGACGTGTACCGCCTGAACTCGCTCCCGTCCAAGTCCCTGCTGGCCATTCACCTCCAGGCGGGGCTGTCGGCGCTCAAGACGCCGGCGTCCTACGGGACCGAGACGAGCAAGGAGGACCCGCTGCACCTCCCGGCGTTCCAGGAGCTCGCGAAGGAGCTGCCCTGGGCGAAACACGTGCACTCGAAACTGGTGCGACTGACGACGGCCCGTGGTGGGCAGCACCTGCTGCGAGTCGTCGTTGTTGCCCGCCGTTCGGGCCCGCACGAGCGCGGCTTCGTCGGATGCCGATCGTTTCCGTCGCCGCTGTGCTCGCCCGTTGCGGCGTGCGCGCATTGCAGGCTGCGCTGCGCATGTACCTCCGCGAGGACGCCGCCCCCCACGGTGTTGCGCCGCTGGTTCGCTGCAGGTGTGCGCGCTGACGCGGGAGCCGATGGACGAGCACAACCCGCCGATGGTGCTCCCGAACGGCGCCGTGTACTCGGAGCGCGCCGTGGGCCTGGTCGCCAGCAAGAACGCGGGGCACATGGTGTGCCCCGTGAGCGGGGAGTCCTTCCCCGTCGCCGACATGCGCAGGGCCTACATCATGTGAGACGCAGCGCCTCACGCACCGGCTTGAGTCCGTCGCCTGAAACGAAGGGGGGGATCTAAGCGGCGCAACCATGCGCGGTTGCATGAGACGGGCAGCAGCGGGGTAGTCCGAAGGGCCAAGCCGTGGCACGAGAGATCAGGCGACAGCCTCGCGGTCTCTGGTGACACTGCCGCGCGCGCGAAACACGTCACAATCCGCTGTGCAGGTCAAGGCAAAACTGCGAGTACAAGTGGTTGCGTTGTGGCGCGTCCGGGCGCCGCCAGGACGCAGCGCGACGCTCGGTCGCCTCATGAGCTGCCGGGTGGTCCGATCCACCCGTGCCGGCGCCGCGGGGGCGCGGGGCGACAGCGACGGCGGCGCTACCGCCCTCCGCCGGCCTGGCCAACGTTGCAGAGGGAGCCCTCGCAGTCCACCTCGCCCCAGCGGTGCGCGACCATGTCGCAGTTGAACGCGGGCTTCCCGATGCTGCGGTTCACGATGTTGTGCACGTGGCACATCCACATGCGAAAATCCTTTCCAGATTCTACCCGGGGGGGGTTTGACCGGATGATCTCCGCGAAGTGCTTCCGGCACTCCTCGCACGGGTACCGCCGCGTCAGGAGGTCCATCAGGCACCGCGCGTCGCGCTTGTCCCGCGCACTGGGCCGCTCTGCGCGCAGCAACACAAAAAACACGATGCCTCGTGGTGATGCTCCAAGTTCAGGCCCTCGAGCTCCGCGGCACGGCGCGGGAGCTCGCCCGCCACGCGGCTGTATGGGCGCGCGGCGTCCGTTTCGTTCGGCGGCGTTTGCGACGCAGAATGTGCGTAAACAGGAGCAGGGTTGTGTCTGGTCGAATTGCTGCGGACCTGGGAAGTCGGCGGCGACCGAGTGGAGGAAGGTCCAGGTGGCGCGCCCGATCTCGGACTTGGTGACGGGCGCCTGGGAGTAGCCGCCGCGGAGGCTGCCGGGGGGCGCGACGCCCAGCACTGCGCCCTCGGGGTCGGCGAGCTCGCGCGCGCCGGTCAGGCCCAGGGTCCGCAGAATTCTGTCCGCGACAGCCGTGATAGGGTTCGACGCGGGGTCGATGGCCGCTATCGCGGGCGTGGCGAGCGCCGCGGCGCTCCCAAACGCCTCGTGCCTGGCTGAGCGCCTGCACTCGGAAGCACGGGATGGGAGGCTATATTCTGCCAGCGAGATCCAGGACCAGTGCTGTTCGTATCATCACAGGCATCGCACATGCGCAGAAAAAGCCAGCAACAGCTGCGGCAGGCGGGATTGTGTAGGAGGAAGGATTGTGCCCTTCCAGGACGTGCACAGCGCAACAACAGGTCGCGAGTCTCGCGGACGTCCGTCCTGTGCTTTCGTGCGAAGCTAGGCGGCGCTATATCCTTACCTGGACGGGCGTCTAGACCCTGAGCTTGGCTGCTGAAGGTTGCGTGGTGGGGGAATCGGCATAAGCGGGCCGTGCATCGCGGATCTGAGCCCCTGGGCGAGCTTGGCACAGTCAGTGCAGCGCGGAGTGCGAGGACGCTGGCGCCGCAGGGCCCTATGTGGCGCCTGTCCTGGCTCCGGGGTCATACCTGGCCGCGCGCGCTCGGCGGGTGGGTTGGAGGCCGCCTCAGGCGCTGCGGTGCTCAGCGGGGCAACGAGGGGCCGCCCGCCGACGCGGCCAGGGAGTGCGCAGAGCGAGTGTCCGAGGGAGGAAGAGGGTTCGCCGGCAACGAGTCGCAGTACGCGTGTGTGTGTGTGTGGACGTTTACAGCGACAGGTGAGTCTAGAAAGTATGAGAAAGGTGCCTCGTGGCATGAACGGGCCGTGCCTGGTGGATGGCTGCGAGATGGGGGGGTGTTAGGCGCTCGGGCGCGCAGGAGCGGCGGGGCGGCGACGGGCCAGCGCAACCGCCTCTTGCCGCCGACGCCCCGCGAGCTGCCTCGACGCGCGAGGCCCCTCTGCTGGCGGGAACTTGCAGCATACCGCTGGAAACGGGCCGAAGCTGCCTCGCGCCGCGGGCCGTGTTTCGCACAACCTCCCGCGCCGCCCTACCACCTCCCGTCACTGCAACAGGGGCCCCGCACGCGCAGCGGAGGCAGCGACGCCGCCGCGTGCGGCACCGAGCACGTGCACACATACCCGGACATGCCTGTTGCGACCGCAGAAGGCGCCATGCAGGCCGTTCGCGCCCCTGCGGGCGCTGTGTCGTGCCGCGCTGGTGTGGCCAGGAGCGGGCCGCGGCGGGCGGTGCAGTGCCGCGCCGGCCAGCGCGTGACCAAGAACAGCAAGAAGATCGCTGACAGCGTCACGGAGCTCATCGGCGACACCCCCATGGCCTTCCTGGACAAGGTGCGCGCCAGCCCAGGTCACACAGGCCACACCACCACCGCACAGCGCCCCCACGCGGTCCATGCGAGATCCGCCCCCATCACCACACCCCAGCGATACTAGCCCACGCGGCTCCGTCGCCCGCGCGGCCCCAGCGCCCCGCACCGTTCCCACGTGCCTCCCCATGGGTGCACTTCACGCAGATCGCTCCCGGGGCGGGCGGGCGCATCGCCGCGAAGCTGGAGATGATGGAGCCGGCGTGCAGCGTCAAGGACCGCATCGGCGTCAACATGATTGAGGAGGCCGAGGAGGCGGGCCTCATCACGCCCGGCACCACCACGCTCATCGAGCCCACGTCCGGGAACACCGGGATCGGACTCGCCTGGGTCGCGGCCGCCAAGGGCTACAAGTGCGCCCCGTGCCCACCCCCACCGCGGCGTCCCGGTTTACATCCACCCAGCCTCGCGCGCCGCCGCGTACCCCCTGGCACCGGTAGCGCAGCTCCCGCTGTGGCGTCGCGACCGCACGCCTCGCTCCGGCGTCTGCCTTGTCCCCAGGACAGCAGCCTGCGGGCAGCGGAGTGGAATCAGCGAGCTCGCCCGCCCGTCCGCGCTGCAGGCTGATTCTGACGATGCCCGCGTCCATGTCCGTCGAGCGGCGCATCCTGTTCCGCGCGTTCGGCGCCGAGCTCGTCCTGACGGACCCCGCGAAGGGCATGAAGGGCGCGGTCGACAAGGCCAAGCAGCTCGCCGCGAAGACCCCGAACTCGCACATTCTGCAGCAGTTTGAGAACGTGGCGAACCGCAACATCCACTACGCGACGACGGGGCCCGAGATCTGGCGGGACACCGCGGGGCAGGTCGCGTACCTCGTCGCGGGCGTCGGCACGGGCGGCACGATCACCGGCGCGGGGGAGTACTTGAAGGAGCAGTCCCCCGGGGTGAAGATCGTCGCCGTGGAGCCCGTCGAGTCGCCCGTGCTCTCGGGGGGCTCCGCGGGCCCGCACAAGATCCAGGGCATCGGCGCGGGGTTCGTCCCGGGCGTGCTGAACACGAACGTCTACGACGAGGTGGTCCAGGTGGACTCGCAGGCGGCGCTGGCCATGGCGCGGCGGCTGGCGGCGGAGGAGGGGGTGTTCTGCGGGATCTCGTCCGGCGCGGCGGTCGAGGCCGCGAAGCGCATCGCGGAGCGCCCCGAGGCGGCGGGCAAGCTGATCGTCGTGGTCATTCCCTCGTTTGGGGAGCGCTACCTGTCGACGGCGCTGTTCGCCGAGGTGCGGGAGGAGTGCGCGAAGCTGGGCGTAGACGAGCGCATCAAGTTCGTCGACATCGCCGGGCGGGAGTGGTTCGTGCCGTCGAAGTGAGGGCTCGCACGTGCGCTGGGGGTGTGTGGGGGGTGGGTGGAGCGCTGACGGGCTGGGCTGCGCGGCCGGTGGCCAGATCTGGTCGCGGTTGCTGGGGTTCCGCGGCGGTAGAGAGCTGCTCGCGGGTGTGAGGGCCAGCACGTGCGGCGGTCTATCAAGCAGGCATGCATGGTCGCTGTGCAGTTGGGCTCCGCCGCAGCATCCGGGGCGTCGCAGGAGCACGTTCGTGTCACGAAGAAGCGCTGGGTCATCGGCGTAGGCCCGCACGGCCCTCTGCGTCAGCGCGTACGCCCTCGAACTGTTCCACGCAGACACCAGCACGGTGTCGCCCGGCGAGGCACGTTCGCGCACGCTCTGGGCAGCTGGCTCACAGGCGCAGCCTTGTCGCTCAGTCGGCCCGCTCCGTCGACCGCAGCCGCCCCCCCCCGCTGCCGCCCTGGTTCTGCCAGAACACCGCCACCATCGCGACCATCAGACACGCCACCAGCGCCTGGAACGGCAGGCCGCCGGGCGTCGGCACCTGCGCCAGCGCGTACAGCCCGTCCTGCGTCATCAACAGCAGGTCAGACAGCCCGTTCCCGTCAAAGTCGATCGCCACGAGCGGCTGCACGGGAACCGCCGGTAGGTCGATGTTTTGCAGCACGTGCCCTGCGACGCACCGAAACCGACGAGAATCAAGCTCAGCATGCTCTACATCAGCTGCTGAGCACACACGCGGCGGCGCGGCTCCGCAACGGCCACGATTGCGGTCGCTCGCTCGTGTCGGGGCGCCGTACCTGTCGCGGAGACGACCGACGCGGTGTGCGCGCCGGCGGCCACGACGACGAACTGCGTCGAGTGGCGCACGAGCGGGAAGGCCGAGAGCGTCGGCCGGATGCGGTGGGAGTCCTGCATCCCAGGGTCGTTGTCCCACGCGACGGACGTGAACACGTGGAAGGACTCGCGGCCCGCGGTGTCGTACGCCATGATCTCCCCGCGGCTGGTGAGGAAGACCGCGATCGACGGCGCCGAGTCGTCGCGCCACGCCTGCCTCGGCAGCGGTAGCACCGTTGGCGCTGCGACCTGCGAGCGACAGAGTGACGGCGCCGGGGCACGGCGTGAGTCACGTGCCAGGCACGTGCGGCATGCACGCGCTCTGCCTCGTGCTGCGATGCATCGCAGCGTCCACGGCGCGTTCGGTGATTCGCGCGCAAAGCGTGTGGGCGTTGCGAGCATTGTTGGCGCCGGCCGCGGGGGCTCACCTCGACGGCATCCCGCGTGGGGTCGTTCACGAGGACGACGTTGTGCTGGTTCCGCGGCCCCCCGATGCTCCCGTGCCGGCATATCGTCCCGTTGAACAGCGGCAGCTCCTGCGCGATGCCCGACGTCACCACCGCCCAGCACCCGCGCATCCCGCGGTGCCCCGGCGGGAGAAGATCCGTCTGGTGCCGCTTGCCCGGCACGGCCGCCACGTGGTCCACGACGCCGTCCGAGTTGAGGTCGACGTGCACTTGGTTGCGCTCCATCTGCAAGGAGCACATCGGGCGGCCCGACGCGAAGTCCAGCACGACGACGCCGTCCCTGAGGTGCGCGACGATCGCGTTCGGCGTCGCGTCGTCCGCCTGCGCGCTCTGCGCCCCCGCGGCGTCCTTGCGCGGCAAGCCCCTCTCGCCGCCCGCAATCGCCTCCGCTAGGCCGTCCACGGCGCCGGCGACCACCGCACCGGCGAGGCTACCGGCGTCCGAGCCTCCGCCCGTCGCTCCGGCGCGCGCCGTCGCCCGCGCCCCGACCTCGGCGACCTTCTGCTTCCCCTTCTGCCCCGTGCGGTGCTTGTGCTTCACGAAGTGCGCCAGGTGCAGCTGCGTGTCGTAGAGGCCCGTCCAGCGGTGCGGCAGGGCGTGGATCAGCAGCGACTCGCGGTACGACGAGCAGTCCTGGTCGACCGTGGTGTCCACGAGTGCCTCCGCTGTCAGCTTGTAGTTCTGCTGCGGCTCCAGCATGTCCGCGGACGCCCCGCGACCCTCCGTGATCCTGCAGGAACAGGTAAACCCGCGCGCGAGCGGCAAGGTCAGGCCGCCGCGGGGACATCCCTGCAAGCCGCGCGCGCCGCAACCATGATTCGCTATTTGAAGGTGCCGCGCTCGTCACGGGCTGCCGCGAGCACCGCTCTGGGCACGCGCCGTTGCGCGCGGGCACCGTGCCGTACCTGTGGTAGTCCACGCTGTCCCGGGACCATCGGAACACCCCCTTGCCCCCCTCGAAGGCGTAGAACGCAGTCTGACGGGAGGTGTCCGCGCCGAGCCGCTGCGTGTCGTCGTCCACGTCCGCGCCGGCGTCGACGCCCCAGACCTTGTCGTCCCCGGCCTCGCCGTTCGCGGCGCCGGAACCGCCCCCGCGCAGCTTGTCGGCGCTCAGCTGCAGGGGCGCGCGCCCGCGGCGGCGATTCGCGCCCCCGAGCCCGGCCGCCCCCGCCGCGTTCTTCTCGATCTGCTCGCGCATGAGCTCGACGTTCAGCGCGTCGCCGCCGCCGCCCGTCGCGCTGTCGTCCCCCACCGCGCCCAGCTCCAGGCTCGCTGCGCGTTCCAGAAACGACAAACGCGCCACGTCAGCGCCCGCGACGCCACGCCACGCACGAACACCACGGACGCGCCACGCCCCCCTGCGCGCCACGCCGCCAGCGGCCACGCAGCGCGACCACCGGCGCACACCGTCGTCGCGGTCGCCGCGTCGCACCTGCGATGACGATGCTGCCTCGGTCCGTCTTGTCGGTGCCGCGGATGCGCTGCTCCGAGATCACCGCGGCCGCCTCCCGGAACCGCGCGTTCCGCGGGAGGTACCGCGCGATCTCGTGCGTCCACAACAGCCTCAGGTTGTGGTCGTAGCACAGGACCTTGTACCCCGCCGTGACGACCACCACGACCTGCTTGCGGAGCGCGCGCACGAGGTCCTCGCTGGGGGGGTCGATGTAGCCCGTCGCGATCGTCACCGGCCTGCGCACGCAGCACACGAAGCGGCGTCAGGAGTGGTCCGGGCCGGCCGGGGGCGGGCGCAGCGGGCGGCGCTGGCGCCTGGACGGGGCCCTTCAGTCTGAGGTGCAGAGGTGGCGGCCGTGCGGGGCGTGGGGGGGCGGCGGGCGCACCTGAACGCGGGGTCCTTGGCGGAGAGGCCGGGTCGCGCTTCGATTTCGATCTCCTTGAGGACCTCCACGGGCGCGTAGCCGCCCTTGGGTCCTCTGGACGCTGGCTTGGGGTTGATGACTTGGAGTTTGTTGTCGTGCGTGGCCACCACGAGCTCGTAGTAGCCATCACCGTTCAGGTCCGCAGACACGGGCCGTGGCAGCGCCTCCCCGGCCCCCTCTGCGCGGACGCGTAGGCGCTTCGCGCGTCACCGCCGCTGCTTTGAGCGCGGCGACGCGCAGCAACGAGTCGTCCGGGGGCGCGCCGAGCAATGCTGGGCAGCAGGACCGGCGCTGCAGGGGGCGCCACCGAGGCGCCGCGTGGGGGCAGCCATCTGCGACGGGCGCTGCGCGGCTGGCGTGTGGGCTCACCGAGCTCGAGGATGACGCGGGAGAGGTCTTCGAGCGGGTGGAACCACGCCGGCCGGAAGGACACCACGCCGTCGCCTTGCAGCGAGATGTACACCGTGACGATGGAGAGCACGATGGCGAAGAAGTCCCTGCGCAGCAACATCGCGCCTCACCCACCGCGCCCGGCGGCGCGCCTCACTGCCTCTCCAGCGGCCCCCCAACGCGCATGCAGCGCGCCACCAACGCACTGCCTGCTCCGAGCGCCCAGGCCGTTGCGAGGGCAGACGGCAGCACCGGGACCTCGCGGACTATCCGGAACTCAAAACCTCGGGTCGAGCGCTGCGGTATATCGCGCGCGTCGGGCTGCGGGGCGCAATATGCGCAGCGCCAGGTGCCCCGGACACCGACGTCGGTGTTCCCGCGGCCGCGATACCGTGCGGACACCGCCGTGTCCCACTCCTGCTGCGCCCTCTCAAGGCGCTGATTGCGCCGCGGAGCGACCGGGCACGGTGCGGGGGAGGAGGCACAGTGCAGAGGTACCACACACACACACGACGGGACTAGGTGCTGTTGATGACACAGAGGACGTCGCGGGGTTCGCGTGCGGATACTCGCCGGCGCTGGGCGCGCGCCGCGGCAACGTCCGCGGGCGTCCGGGTGCGGCCAGTGTGAGGTGTACGACGGGTCGTTGGGGGGGGCCGTCCGGAGCGGTGCGTCCGGGCTCGAGGGGCGGCGGCCCGCGGGCGCGCCGGCGTAAAACATTCTCACCTTGTCGAACGCACTGCCCGAGGCCCTTGGGCAATCGAGTGAGAGCTCGACGGCAGCGCAACTCCGTTCCCTTCCACGGCCTCACCCGCACCAGCGCCGTCTGCACCGGCGCCCCTGCCCCCACGCGCGCACTCCAGATGGTGATGTCCGCGCTGCGCGATGGCCTGAGCAGCCCCCAGCTCGCCCCCGCGGCCCTCAGGCGCCCCTGGGCGCGCCTGGCCGCCGCCCCCCGCCCGGCCCGGGCGCGCCTGGCGCACCAGGCGCGGCGCGCGCACGCCTCCTCCGGCGGCGACGCGGGGTACTCCGCCGGGAGCGGCGCGACGTTCGACGAGCTGGCGAACGCCAATAGCATGCACTCGTCCACCGCGGCGGTGCACGCGGGCGAGCGCGACGGGCGGCCGCGGGTGTCCGACTCGCTCACCACGCCGATCGTGCAGACCTCCACGTTCACGTTTAGGGACAGCGACGAGCTCATCGCGTACCAGGAGGGCTCCTACGGCTCGTTCGAGTACGGGCGCTACGGCAACCCAACCACGCGGGCTTGCGAGGAGAAGATTCGCGCTCTCGAGGGCGCGGAGGACGCCCTGCTGTCCGCCTCCGGCATGAACTCGTCGACCACGATGATGCTGGCGCTCGTGCCGCCCGGGGGGCACATCGTCACGACCACAGGTGCGGACGGAGCGCCTCTGCAGGCCAGGTCGGCCGCCTGCGCGCCGTGCGCGCCCGCCGCGGCCCGCCACGCCCCGGGCGCCCCCGCGCGCCATCGACCCATGCGGCACCTCGCAGCCGCCCGCCCGCGCCGCCCCGCGTCCCCAGCGCGAGCGCGTGGCGCCCCCGCCTCAGCCTCTCGCTGCTTCCGTGCCACCTCCGCGCCCGCGCACGCCCCGCGAGCCACCGCCCCGCATCCACACGCGCCCCCCGGCCCCTCCCCCCGCCTCTCGCCGCACCGCCCGGCCTCCCGCGGCCCGCGAGCGCACGCGCGCCGACGGCTGGCGCAACCGCCACCAGCCCCCGGCCCGCTTCCGACCGCTCGCGCCGCCCACGCGCCCCCGCGCCCGCGCAGACTGCTACCGGCGCACGAGGCAGTTCATCCAGACCGTCCTGCCCCGCATGGGCGTGTCTGCGACCGTGATCGACCCCTCGGACTACGACGCGCTCGAACAGGCGCTCAAGGACCACGACGTGTCGCTCTACTTCTCCGAGTCCCCCACCAACCCCTACCTGCGCTGCGTCGACGTCCCGCGCATCTCCGGTACGCCCCCCGCGCCCCCGCCGCCCTGCACGGCACGCACTCCCCCAGCTGCTCTCCGCGCTCCCCCTCGCCCGTCGCGCACGCCGTCTGCGCCGGCCCTCCGCCGCAGCCCCTGCGCCCCCGCGCGCTCACGCCCGTGCTGTGTGTTCGCCCGCCGCGTCGCAGCGCTGTGCAAGGAGCACGGGTGCGTGTCGTGCATCGACTCCACCTTCGCGACGCCGATCAACCAGCGCGCGGTGGACCTCGGCGCGGACCTCGTCATCCACAGCGTCACCAAGTACCTCGGCGGGCACAACGACGTCCTCGCCGGCGCCATCGCCGGCAAGCGCGAGCTCGTGCAGGCGGTGCGCGCCATGCAGGGGGTCCTGGGCGGCGTCGTGGACCCGCACGCCGCGTGGCTCGTCATGCGCGGGATGAAGACGCTCGGGCTGCGCGTGCGCCACGTCAACGAGAACGCGCTCGAGCTCGCCAAGCGCCTCGAGGCGCACCCCAAGATCGCGCGCGTGTGGTACCCGGGGCTCCCCAGCCATCCGGACCACGAGATCGCCAAGCAGCAGATGCACGTGCGTCCCCCGCGCCCCCTCGCGCCCGGCGAGCTCGCGGCCGGCGCCGCCGTCGCCGCCGTGCGCCCGGCTCGTGGCCTTGCGCGCCTTTGCCGGGCGCTGCGCCGCCGCAGATAGACCCCCCGCGTCGCGCAGTCTCGAGTGTCCACCGTGGTCTCGTGCTGCGGCGGCCCCTTCGCCGACACCCCCTCGCGCCGCCGCGGATTGACGCTGACCCCCCCCTCCCACCGGACATTGTGGTCGCGTCGCAGGGGTTTGGCGGCGTGGTGACGTTCGAGGTGGACGGCGACCTGAAGCGTACGTCGAACTTCATCGACGCGTGCAAGCTGCCGTACATCGCGCCCTCGCTCGGCGGCGTCGAGTCGCTGATCGAGCAGCCGGCCATCATCTCGTACTGGGACCAGGGCGCGGAGGGGCGCGCGAAGCTGGGCATCAAGGACTCGATGGTGCGCTACTCGTGCGGCGTGGAGGACTTCGACGACGTCTGGGCGGACTTCGTCCAGGCGCTGGACTCGATCTGATTCGCGCGGCGGGCGCCGGTTGAGGGGCGTGGGTGGCCGTGGCGGTGGCGGAAGCGGCTGGCGGGTTGCTTGTAGCTGGCCCTGGGAGGTGAGACGTGGTGCGCCGCGTGCGCGCTGCGGCAGCCTAGGTAGAACACGTGTCCGGGCTCCCGGACGACTGACACCGTAATAGAACCCTGACGCGACCTGAGTCGAACGCACGTGCGCCACGGCGCCGCCTCACACCGCGCCGGCGGCCTCCCGCGCGCGCCCGTCGCCCAGCAGCCTCACGTGCTCGCAACACGTAACACACCCTGTCTGTATGTCAAATTAGGACACTATGCCGAAAGTGACGGCCGGCGCCGGCGAGACCCAGCCCGTCATCGCTCGCGATACCTCGGGCTCGGCCCGCGCTCGCGCCGCCGCGGCGGGCCTCTCCCCCGCGCCCCCCCGCGCCACCCACCGTCCTGCGCCGCGCCGCCGCCGTCCCCCCACCGGCCCCGATCCCGCAGCTCGTCCGCCGGCAGCGGCGACGGAATCCGCGCGAGGATATCCTGCTCGGACCACGACCGCGAGCGCGACCGCGAGCGCGACCGTTCCGGGGGCGAAGCGGGCCGCGGCGAGCGCGCTGGCGACGCTGATGGAGAGCGCGACGGGGATCTGTCGGCGCGCCGCCTGGGGCTGCGGCTTGGCGCAGGCGACGGCGACCGTGAGGCGGGCGACCGGGACCGGGACCGGGACCGGGACCGCGAGCGGCCGGAGTCGGAGGAGGACGGTGAGGGGCTGCGCTTGCGGTCGGCGCGCTTGGCGCGCTTGGCCTCCCGCTTGGCGCGCTTGGCCTCCTTGCGAAGCCGCTTCTCCTCGCGCTTCTTCTCCTTCCTCGCCCGCCGGCGAGCCTCCTCCTCAGCGCGCCTGCGGCGAGCGTGAGCGTGCAGTTGTGATAAGTCGCGCGTGCTGGCGACGGCGCCCGCTCGGGGGACACGCCTGCCGTGCCGCAGGAGGCGGGCATGGCCCCGCCGCGCGACGCGAAGGGGTCGCTCCCTGCGCCGGCGCAGCCGCGAGCGTCGCGCGAGCTAGCGCGTGCACGCAGCGCAGCCACGCACCGTCTCTCCTCGACCTCGCGCTCGCGCGCCTCGATGCGCTCGCGCCGCCGCTGCTCCTGGAGGTCCTGGTCGAACGCCTCGCCCTCCTTGACGTCGCCGAGCCCGAGGGCCGACTTCAAGCCCTGCAGCCCTCCGCAACGCACAGCTGTGGGCTGCCGCGCCTCCCGCCCGATCAAGCAAACGCGGAGCTCGAGCCGCAAAAGGTTCATGGAGTTAGCGTGCGCAATGAAACGGCGCGGGGGTGGCCGGGTGCGCCGCGGCACGCACCTCCATTTGCCGCTCTTTGCGTGCTGCGACAGCGTGCGTCTCCTCGCGGCGCGTGGCCTCCTCCTGCTGCGCCTGCTCCCTGGCCATCTCCTCCTCCATCGTCTTTCGCATCTCCGCGACCTCCCGCTCGATCTCCTGCACCCGCGCAGCGGCGACACCGCGCGACGACGTTGAGAGTGCTCTTTCAGGCTACGCACCGCGCGCAGCGGGCCCCTCACGTGATGGCCCGCGCCGGCTCGATATCACGGCCATGTACAAGTCGGACGGCGGCCGAGGGACTCCGCAAGCGGCCCCACAGAGAGTTCGCGCCACAAGTTGCACAGCAGCCACTCTGCGTCTCTGGCCGGCGCACGGACGCGCGGACAGGGCCGCGCACTGGAAAGGCAGCAAGAATCTGACACATCCGCCGCGGAGCCGCCCGTTCGGGCCTCGCCAGCCTCGCAGCACGGCGCGGCGACCGTCGTGGAGGTCCAGCGCTCACCTCCTCGTCCACGCCCTGCTCCTCCAGGGACTCGCGCAGCTCGAACAGCTTCACCTCTATCGCCCTCTTCCTGTTATGGTCGAGGATGTCCTGGTTCGGCTTCCGCGCGAGGCGGTCCACCTTGCTCCCCTCGGCCACCTGGTGGTGCGTCTGGTGCCGCCGGAGGTTGAACTTGTTCGTCTGGACGTACCCGGACGTCCCCGACCCGCGGGCCGACTGCAAACCCACACCATTGTACATCCTCGGCGATGCGCCCCGCGGGACGCCCGGACAGCGCCGCGCGGCGACGGTGCGACCTCACGACCCCAGAGCTTGCGTGGCAACAGCGACGGTGCGTCGTCGGGGTGCGAGGGACGTGGCGCCAGGGACCGCACGGCTGCACGAGGTGCCTGCCGCTTCTGTGCGGGTCCAGGAGCGACGCGGGCCTGTGTCGCACCCGTGAGCGCCACAGGGGGGGTGTTGCCCTGACGCATGTTGCGACAGACCCCCGCGCGCGACCATGCGTCCTCGGCCGCGCGCGCGGGGTGTCACAAGGCATCGAACACGCAAGTACGGCGCAGGTTCGCGCCATGGGGGCGATGTCAGCAGCACAGCACAGTCACTTTGAGAGCTGTCAAGGGGCGCCCGCGAGACGACACGTGCGCAGCGGTTGCGGCGGCGCCCGCGCGCGTACGCGCACATCGAGCGTCCCCAGGGCGGCGGCAGCCATCATCCATCCATCAGGCAATGCGATTACAAGATATCAAGGTCTGCACAAGTCACGATGTAAACATTGGAGACTGTCTGCCCCCGGGCCGAACCGCCGCAGCCCGCGCTCCGGCGCTGCCCGTGGGTGCTCAGCAGTCGCAGCAGCCGCAGCCGTCGCACGCGGCGGTGCGTGGGTCCGTGGTGACGACGTCGCCGTTGCCCGTGTGGTTCGGGCCGGGCGTGACCATCACGAGGTCGTCGTTCAGGTGCGAGCACAGCAGTACGCCCAGCGCGTACCCGCCCACCACGCACAGGAAGAGCCCGACGTTGAACGTCATGGCCACGAGCATCATCGCGAGGTCCAGCGCCACCACCGCGGCTGCGGACAGGGCCGGGCGGAGCAACGCGCGGTCGGCGGCGCGACGGGCGCCAGGCGCCAGGCGTCAGGCGCGGCGGGCTTTCAAACAGCGCAGTGACAGGTGGCGCGGGCGCGGGTGGGGGAGCGGGCCGCCGCACGCACCTGCGATGCCGGCGCGGATCGCGTTCTGCCGGAGCTGCGTCGTGCTGATGATGCGGCTGCGCTGGGGCGTCGCGTTCGTGCGCGGGGAGCCCGAGGAGTTGCACCCGCAGCCGTTGCCCATCAGGTTGGTGGTCTTGCCGTCGAGGGCGCGCCACGCGGACACGCGGTCGCGCTTCCACCGCAGCTCGAGCCACACGCGCGAGGCGCGCAGCAGCTGGATGATCACGCCCGTGGCGAGGATGGCGAAGCACGTGGCGGCGTACGTCCCGCCGCTGCTGGGGACCCACGACCGGAACAGGACGATGTCGCGGAGCGAGGCGTGGAAGTACATCCGCATGGGCGGGAGGGCCGACGAGCGCTCGGTGCCGCACACGGACGGGAACGCGGACGACGCCTGCGGGGCGGGAGCGGCCGGAGGCGGTTGCGTGCCCCTTGCAACCGCTTGCGCGCTAGGGGCGCCATAGGGGGCGTCTTGCGAGGTGGTGACGGACGTGGCGTGGTCTTTGGTGTGAATGTGGGGCGGGAAGGGCGCTGCGGTGTTCGTGGGGCGGGCTGCGGACCTGCGAGCACATCGCCTGGAAGGGCTGGCAGTTTGCCATGCCAGGCATCCCCAGGCACAGCTGGCTGATGGTGCTGAGCGTGTTGGGGCACTGCGCCATCATGCCAGTGCAGTCCTCGCATCCGGGCATTCCGTGGTCGTCGCACATCTCGAGAATCGCCTCCTGTGTCTCTTTCGTGGTGAGGACCCTCGGGAGCGCGGGGTGCGTCGTGCACGCCGAGACGACGCTCCGCGGGTCCGAGCACAGCGCACGGAAGCGCTCGCAGCCGGTCATCCCCGGCATGTCGTAGCAGAGGTTCGCCAGCAGGCTGAAAGGGGCGCAGTAGGGGCCACTCGCGGCGCCGGAGTCGCACTGGCTTTTCAGCCCGCAGCCGATCATCCAAGGCATCGACGTCTCGGGGTCCGTGCACAGCGCGCTGAGGTCCGCGGCGATCTCGGACTCCGTCGGGGAGAAGGATCGGCAAGCTGTGTCCGAGGGCTTCGAGTAGCACTCGTGCGACAGGTCGCGCGCCTCGCCGCCCATGTGCATGTGCCCGTCGCCCATACCGGTGTCGTCGTGCGCGTGGCCGTCCATCTGCAGGACATGGCGCCCGTGGGGGCGCGCGCTGGCCGCTCCCAGGAGGGCCAAGCCCAGCACCGCCAACAGGCGGGCTGCGCGCGTCATGCCTGCTGAGCGACGGCCTGCCGGGTGGGGTTTACGCGGGAGACGGCGCCTCCCGGTGGCAAAGAGCGGCGGGAGGGCGCAGAGGTGCCGGGTGGAGTGATGGGTAGGACAGGTGGCGGACTCCTGCACGTCCTACCAAGGCCACGTTTCGGTGTCTTCCGACCTCGGGAAGGCCACCCGAACGCAGCCGGGTGAGAGCGGTGCTTGCTCGCCGCGCGACAGACATCCAGGCGGTGCGAGGCCGCATGTTGTTCTTGTCTTGATGCCAGCATGACAAGAACAACATGCGGCCTCGCACCGCCTGTTGTGTTGTCATCACGTACTGGCGCGACAGGTTGCTCGCCCGGCTGCCGGCACGCGGTGTCTGCGGGCATGCTGCGTCTCCCGACCGGCCGGCATCGCAAGTTCGACCCGCACCCCACCTGCGCGGGCAGAAAAAACCGCGTTCTCTCTCTAAGGCGTGCAGGTGCGGGCCCCGCCGCGTCCACGGACACAATCGGCCATGTGGTTTTTTTGTTGTACGCGACGGCACAGCTGCGCCCGCCGGCGATAGAATTCCCATGTCACACAGACCGACATTTTAGCACCTCCAAGTCACTCCCTTTCCCCCTGGTCCTCGCCCAGCCGCCCACGCACCCGCGCGTCCTGCCGCACCCACCTCTCCGGCACCCCGGCCATGCGCAAGTCCGCCGCCATCGCAGCCCGCCGCCGCCTCCGACCACCCGCGTCCCCCACCCCAGGACCCTCCCCGTCGCCCTGCGTGCCGGGAGACTCCGAGTGTGGGGACCCGCCGCCGCTCGGCGCCGACAGCACGCCGCCCCGGTCGTCGTCGACGTCCCCCGAACGCTCGCGTGGTGCGGGGGGCGCATCCATGCTCCCGGGGGAGTGTGCGGCGGTTGGCCCAGCGCCGCGCCGCTGCCGCTTCGGCGCTGGCTCCGCGCCGCGGTCGCCCTCGTCTGGGCGTTCCTCGACAGCAGGCAGCGGCGCCTGCGGGCTGCCAGCAGCGGTCTCACCGACCTCCGGGGGGGTGTTAGCGCGCGTGTCCGTAGCAGGCACGTCCACGGGCATTTCGCCGTCCTGCTCCGCCTGCGCCAGGCCCACCTCATCATCGACAGTCTCCAACACAGGCGCTGGCTCGTCCGGACGGTCCGCCTGCGCGCCCTCCGTGCGCAAGGCTACAGGCACCATGTCGCCGTCGCCGTCGTCGCCGTCGTCCCTAGCACCGTCGGCGTCGTCGCTGTCTGAGTCCACGTGCATCACCTGGTCGTGCTCCGCGTCGCCCGCCCTCGCAGCGAGGCGCTGCTGCTGCTGCTGCTGTTGCGCCTCGGCCAGGAGGCCCTCCTGCGACGCTATCTCCGGAAGCTGGTCCCACGCGTGCGCCCAGAGCGACGCGTACCTGTCGTGGTGCACCTGCTCCGCGGGCGTCATCGACGCGCGCACCTGCTGCTCGGACAGCCTGTTGTTGTTGTACGACTGGATCGCGAACACCACGTCGCGCGCCTGCGCCGACTCGAGCAACCTGCGCGGAACGACACGCCGGAAGCAGTGAGGGAGCGCTGCCGGGCGCGTGGGGCGCAGTGCGGGCGGCGGCGGTGACGCGCGAGGCTGATGTGTGGTGGCAGGCGGGGGCGTACATGCGCTGCATCGTCGGGAGCAGGATGTCCGGCACGCCGAGGTCGACGGCGAGGTCGCAGGCGCGCTTGAACGGCAGGTCGTCGACGAACGTCTTGGAGATCTGGTGGCGCAGGTTGGGCGGCTTGCGGTCGCGCCACTTGTCGCCCAGGTACGCCCCCTGCCCGTGGTTGCTGCGGATCTGCGCCGCGCGCCGCCGCCACGCCGTGCACGCGCCGCACGAGCACCGCCCGCCCCCGGCCCCCGTGCTAGAGCACGCGAACGCCTGCACCAGCACCGTGATGGCCTGCAGCAGGTCCTGCGTGTCCACCACGTTGTCCGGCAGGGGCGCGAGGTCCTCGCGGCGCCCCCGCGGGCCCGAGTCGCCGCTGCTGCCGCCAGAGTCGCCTCCGCCGTCGCTGTCGCCGCCTGCGCCATCGTGCCCGCCCGCTTCTTCGTCGTCGTCGTCGTCGTTGCCGTCGTCGTCCGAGCTGAGCAGGATCGCTTCGCGCTGCCGGCGCGAGCGCTGGCCCACGGTCCGCCGAATCCGCTGCTGCACCCGCTGCCGCAGCACCACGCCGTCGTCGCTGTCACTGCTGCTCTCCGCCCCGCCGCCCCCGGCCGGCGCCGCCCCTGCCGCCTCGTGCACGTGCGGCGCGAGCCCGAAGTCCTCCGCGCCGTGATACTCGTCGTCATCCTCGTCGTCCGAGCCCCCGCCCCGCGCCATCTCGCCGTAGCCCCGCCGCGCATACCCGCCCTCCGCGCGCCGCTGCCGCCGCTCCTCGCGCCGCAGCGTCAGGTCCAGCCCGTACATGCCACGCCCCTGCTGCCCGAGCGCCACGCGCGGGTCGTCCTCCCCGTATCGCCGCGTCCGCGAATCGAACACGTCCCAACCCCCCAGCTCCCGCCGCAAGTGCTGGTTCTGCCGAAACCGATCCTCCAGACCATCGTCCGCGCCCGCGCCCGCGTCCTCGTCCCGACCCGCGTCGTTCTGCTCCTGCGCGACCCTCCGCGGCTCGTCGTCGTCCTCATCCGACGACACCGCCAGCACTGGTGCGCGCGGTTCCTGGCCCCCGCCGCGCTCCCCGCCTGCGACGCCCGCCGTCTCCGAGGGCCCCGCCCCGTCGGAGCGCGCGGGCGGCGCCGCGGGCGCGTGCGGGGCGAGGAAGTGCCACTGTCTCCCGCGCGCCAGCTGGTCGATGGCGATCTCCTCGCGGGAGGGGTCCGCGCGGAACACGTAGATGCGCACGAGGTCGTCGCTGAAGCGCTCGTAGACGACGCGGTCGCCGCGGCAGAGGAACGCGTCGCGCGCGACGTAGAGCCACCCGCCGGAGAGCGCGTACTCGGAGCGCCCGCGCTCGTCGGTGGCGTTGAGCCACACCACCTGCCAGCTGCCGCTGACGACCCACTCGCCCGTCGCGTCGTCGCGGACCATCTGCTGCAGCGCGATCCGCGTGGAGCGCGCGTCGTGGCCGAACGCGTCGCCGAACGACCTCGGCAGCGCCATCTTGTAAGACCTCGAAACCATATGTTCCGTGAGCGTCTTGATCGTGTACTGCCGCCGCCCGTGCCCGAGCTGCTCCCGGCCGTCCGGGCTCCGGATCCACTCCGAGCACCGCGCGGTCGCGGCCCTCTCCTTCTCGGGGTCGCAGGGCGCCCCGCGCACGTCCGCGTGCGTGTCGTCGTTGCGCACGTACGGGTTCCGCTCCACGCGCTGGGGGTCGAACCGGCGCGGCGCCGCACGGGGGCCGCTGGGCTCGTGCCCCGCGCGGGCTCGCTCGCTGCGGTCCGACTCGCTGCCGGAGCGGTCGCCCTCGTGAGCGGCGGGGGGGGTGTTGGTGGGGTCAGTGCGCACGCGGCGGCCGGTGTCCGGGTCGATCTGGTACCGCTGCCCGCGCGCGCGGTCGACCATCGTGACGGGGCCGTCCTCGACCACGAAGTCCTCCAGGTCCGACCCGTCGTCCGAGCTCGATGAGTTATACCCTCCTCCTGAGTCATCGCCAAACCCCCCCTCCTCCCCGAAACCGCCGCCGCCGTCCTCGAAGGCCACGACACGCCCAGGCGAGCTTCGATCCACCGCGCGCCGCTCGCCGTCCCGGCGCTCCACCCGCACGGGCGGACCCCCCCGCCGCCTGCGCTGCACCCCTCCTCCGTCATCCATCCCCAGCGCACGGCCGGCCTCCCGCGCCTCCCGCGCCTCCCGCCGCTGCAATGAGTCCGCCAGACCCCCCTCGCCGCCCATCGAGGGTCCGCCACCGCCACCGCCGCCACGGCCCGCCCCCGCGCCCCTGCCACGCTGCCGCGCGCCCTGTGACCTCGCCCCCGCGCGGTGCGCGCGCTCCGCCGCTCCCGCGCCCGCAAACACCTGCGCGAACGTCAGGGCGCGAGTGCCGCGCCCCGCGCGCGCCGCGGGAGCCCGCGGCGGCGGCGGGGGCATCCTCATGTTGTCTGTGTCGTCGCGCCCGTCCTCCTCCTCCGCAAACAGCCGGCCAATCTCGCGCTGGTTCCGCGCCGTCTGCGCGCCGAGCGCCGGCGTAGATCGCGCAGCGCCACCTCCCGCCCGCAGCTGCTCGCGCGACCGCTGCAGTCGCCGCTCGCGCTGCGACGCGGGCCGCGCGCCGCCACCGCCGCCGCCGCCGCTCGCCGCCGGGGCGCCGCGCAGCCCGCGCTGCGCGTCCATGATCCGCGCAAACCCCTCCGGCCCCATCTGCGCCGCCCGCCGCGGCACCGACGGGTCCGCGAGCTCCCCCACGCGCCGCTGCCACGTCGCCACGTCGTCCCGCAATCGCACCAAACGGTCGCGCTCCGGCCCCGGACCCGCCCCGTCGATCGCCCAGCCCACCACGTCCGCGAAGCGCTCGTACGCCGCGCGTCCGGGCGCCGCGGCGCTCGCCGGCGTCGGCGTCGCGCCGACCAGCACCTGCTGGTGGGCGCGCGCCTGCATGCGCAACTGCACGCCCTGCAGCTCGCGAAGCATCCTGCCGAGCCGGAACACGTCGGCGTTCACCACAGACGCCGTGGCCGGCCGCTGCGGGGCCGCGAGAGGCCGCCCGTCCGGCCCCAGGGTGAGGAACGGCGCGGAGGGTGCGCCGCCGCTGGCCGGTGCCCCGCCGCGGTGGAACGGAGCGTGCGGTGCGTGGATCGCGGCGGCGCGCGCCTCGCGGTCGTTGCGGCTCGCGAGCTGCAGCCGGAGGTTGGCGTTGTCGGCTTCGAGCCGCCGGATGCGGTCGGCCTCGCGCCGCCGCGCCGTGAGCTGCCGCATCTGCAGATCGAGGTTCGACCGCAGCTGCGCCTCCTGATCCTCGATCGTCATCGCGTGCGAGTCCCCAGACCCCTCGTCGTCCATCGCGCACGCCTCGGCGACAAGCAGGTCGGCCAAACACAGGAGGGGGTCTTCTGCGTCGACACCCCCCACGTCCGCGCGGATCCCCTGCGGCGCCGCCGCGCCGTGGACGCGCGTCGCGCGCTCGGACCGCACGGGCGCCTGCGACGCCTGCACGGGCGTCCCGGGGGGCTGCGTCGGCAGCGCGCTGTCGTGGATTGTCCCGCCCGCCGGCACGTCACGCACGTCGCCGCTGTCGCCCTGCGCGCCGACGCCGCCCCGCAGGCGCCGGTCCGTCAGCTCGTCTACCAGCGCCATGTCCGGGCTGTCAGGCGCCGCAGCCATACCAACGCTGTCGCCGTCGCTGCTGGCGTCCGCCGCAGGTGGTGCCGGCGACGCATCACGCGCCGGGGGTGCCTCGCGACCGCGGTGCCGCGGCGGAGAGTCGCGCTGGGGACCAAGCCGACGGAACGCCGGGGGGTTCAGGCCCCGCGGGCTGCCCGGCACGACGGAGGGGGTGTCAGCGGGGGGGGAGTCTTCGAGCTCCTGCACCAGCGCCAACATGGCGTCAGGCGACGTCTCCTGCGCGTCTCCCGCGCGCAAGACGCGCCGCACCACGCACGGCTCCTGTCTGGGCGATGCCGCCCGCGCCGGCGCAGGCACAGCCCTCGCAGGCGGGGGCTGCGCTGGCGGCGGCGTCGGCGGCGGCGTCGGCGCGCGAGGCGGAGGCGGCCGCAGCTCCGGATGCGCCTGCAGGTGCGCGTACCGCTCCACTGCCTGTTGCAGCACCGCGTCGGCCTCGGCGCCGGGCGTCCGCGGCGTCTCCTCCGCTCCGCTGTCATCTGCGCGCACGACGTTGTGCAGGGTGCCGATCCGCGCGCTCTCCGCGGTCTCGAGGCGCGCAGGAAAGGGCACCTGGTCCCCGTCGAATGCGTCGAAGCAGCTCCCGAGCGTCAGCCTCCGCGCCCGTGCGCGCTGGTGCAGCCCTGACACGGCATGCTGACTCAGTCGGGCCAGGGACAGCACGCGGAGGGCCTCGAGGGGCGACAGCGCGTCCAGGAGCCTGTCGAGCACGGCGGCGTCCGCGCTGCTCGCCGCCGCCGCCCTCGGCGCGAGGGGGCCGATCTGGAGAGCGTGCAGGCTGTACGTGAGTCTGCTCATGGCCCCGGCGAGGCCCTGGGCGCCGCGGTGGGGCCCGGGGGCGCTCGGGAGGAGCAGCTCGGCCCAGTCGACGCCGGTGTCGGCCAGACGGAGCTCCAGCGGGCGCATCGGTCCTCCGCCAACGCCCTGCACACACACAAACACCTGGGACGCGATGGTGGGGCTCGGGGGCGCGAGGACGCGGGCGGGAGATCGGAGCGTGGTCGCGGGCGAGTGCGAGAGGCTCGGGAGCGCGGTGCGGGGCGGTCGTTGCGTGCGCGGGGCGTGCCTGCAGCAGCTGGAGGACGGCCTGGGTCGACGCGAGGACGTGCTTGCCGCCCGTGAGGTCGAGCAGGCTGAGATTGCGGAGCACGCCCGGCCAGTCGGGGCGCAACGTCACGGCATCCGCGGGCGGGGCGAGGAGGAATTTCAACGCGCCGCCCGAGGCCACGCCGCGGCAGGCCAGGGCCCGGACGTCGACGTTCGACGCGGCCGCCGCGATCTCGAGCTCACGGAAGCCCTGCATCGGAACCTTGCAGCCCGAAATGTCCACGAGCGCCACCGCTGGGCGCGCCCTGCTGCTGTCCTGGTCTCTCGCTGCGTTGCCCGGCGCGGCACGAGCGGCGACGCCGCCTTGGTCGGGCGCACCGGACGCCTCGACAGCCGTGGATCCCGCTCCGCTGCGTCGGGCGATTGCGGGCGCGCTGTGCGCGGCTGCAGCGAGCGCCTCGAAGGATGCCTTCATTGCGGCCCTCACGTCCTGGAGGCCGGGCCCCTGAGGAGCTGGCTGTGCGCCAGCGCACGCAATATCAGGCGTGAGCAGCACCGCGGGGCGTCCGGCCTGGTCCCGCGTCGATTCGGACGCCCACAGAGCGTCCCGCACAAACGCGTTGAATTGCAGAGCACCAGACGACGCGCCGGCGCGCACCGCGGCGTCGTACGCGGCCAGGAGGCCCGCGTCGGGGTACCTCACGGGCTCATCTTCGCGGCTGGGCGTCGGTCCGTCGCCCGGCTGCGCGGGGCTGCCTCCCGCGCCGTCAAGCTGGCCCGCGGTGCTGGGCGGGGGCGGACACGGAGCGCCAGGAGCTGAAACAGTCACGCCGTTGACGTGCTCGCGGAGCACGCTCGGCGACGTGTTCCTCCCTGCGTCGGAGGTCCCGGGCCGCGACGCCCCCGCTCCGAGCGCGCCCTCCTCTGTCATTGTCGAACCTCGCCGCCGCCCGCGCCCCTGCTCCGCGCGAGAGCCTGCCGCTGCCGCAGGTCTAGTACTTCATCGTGTGTGGGACCGGCGCCGGGCAGACGCCGTTCTGAAGCGCGCAGGCCTCGAGGACGAGGGCGGGCTCACTCACTCACTCACTGCGGGCGGGCTGAGCGCGCGCGTACGGGCCGCGACGTGGCCCTCGTGTGCCGGATCGGGCTTCCTCACGCGCGAGGTGCATCCAGCTAGTTCGTCCGACGGCTCCGAGCGCGTGGCATTGCCAGGCAATCGCGCCGGCCGCACCCCCCCAGGCTTACCCAGCCACGTGCGGGCGACGCTCGATGTGAAAATCGCATTCTACCGAGACAGGGCGTTCGTGCTATCGTCGGCGGCGTCTCACCACGTGTATTTCCGTCGCGATCGTCCGACTTCGGCGCTCCCAACCCGAACTTGCGCCGTGACTCACCCTGTCACCGCTGCCTCGCGAGCACAGCGACGCGCGGCGCGGCACCCCCGAGCGCGCCCCAGGTGGTCCAGCTCAGCGGCGCAAGAGCTTGCCGCATCACCCCCCTCACCGGCACTGGTGTCCTACTGCTGTGGTGTCCTCATCCGCGATGCAACGCGGATGGTTCGAGGGCGCGGTGCTGGCGTTCCGACTCGTCGCCTGCGCCGCCGGGATCCTCCTGTACGCTGGCAGCGGCTGCGCCGAAGCGGCAGCGGGGCGGTGGCGGCGGGGGCCGCGGCCACGGTAGAAGCACTGTGCCAGCAACGACACGTGCGCGGGCGTTGAGGGCCTGCGCGCGCAGGCTTCGCGGCCAGAATCTCTTGCGGGCCCATCATTGCGTCAGAGAGCGGCAGTGCGTCACAGAAGTATCGCCTGTGGGTCTAGGGTAGCGCCGGGGCGCACCGTGTGTTGCGTTGCATCCACTGCCAGATTTCACGCCCGCGCGCAGTGCAGCGAGGCGTTTCCGCGAGGCGCGCAGGCGGTTCGAGCTGCGACGCGTGCTGCTCGCGGGCGACAGCGGGGCGTCCGACGTCGACCCGGGCGCGGTCGCTCCTGCTGCGCCGTTGCTGTCCTGGCCGCAGCGACGGTCGCGCGGGGCGGGCAACACCATCCGCCGCGAAAGAGTAGTTGGATTGTAGAGGGAGGGCGTCGTCACGATGCCGGGGCACAACATGACGACGGCTGCGCTGGACCGGAAGAAGGCGTTGGGCGGTGCCAGCAAGAAGTACCTGAGGGAGGCGCGGGTGCCGGCCAAGCTGGAGGTGCGCCGCTGGACCGCGATGCTCCCGTTGCAGTTGTGCAGCGAGCGGTGCGGGGGCGCGGGGCAGGTCGCGACGGCGCGTTCTCGCCCGCACTGGAAAGTTGCAGCATGTGCGCACTCGTGCGCGACAGGGGGGTATTTCTTGGCCGGTAGGGCATGACGAGGGACTTTCTTGAGCTAGCCGCATGGCGGAGCCGTCATTCCGCTGTTCGCGCGCCACCACGTAGGGTATGCATAGAACTTGCGACTGGCAAGGCATTCGCCGCGCCGCCTGGCTCCTGGCGCGATGCAGGGCCAGTATTACCAGCGCATGCGGGTGCATATGCTTTGTCAGAGGCACCCATCTCCACCGCGCTCCCGCTATACCCCTGGGCACCGCGCCTGATGGCGTCGCCTGTGCCTGGGTGCCCTCGGACACCGCAGCACGCAGCCACACCGCCGCATCATGGCCCGCCTGCGCTGCCCAACACCCTAGATGACAGGTAGTCCGCCGTGCGCTCCTAGCGCCGCGCACCGCGTACCACTGACACACTCCATGTGCTGCACAAGGGGCCCCCGTGCGGCCCGCCGGCGTGCCCCGGGCTGTCGACCGGCCGACGGGCCGGCCGCTGTCTCGCACTGTGCGCAGGGGAGCATCAAGCGCGACCTGACGGAGTTCATCTTCAACACGTGCGACTTCAACCACGACGGCCAGCTGGACTTCCGCGAGCTGCTGTCCGCCGTCCGCTCGATGGGCCTCGTCGTCACGCACGACGAGCTCCTGGCGATCTTCGAGAAGCACGACCTCGACAAAAGCACCGCGCTCAGCCTCGACGAGTTCACCGCGCTGACCACCGACATCATCGAGCGCAACACCGACCCGCAGTTCCAACGGAAAGTCGAAGCCGCGTTCCGCGCGCTCGACAAGGTCAGCGCCGCGCCCAGCCGCCCTCGCCCGCGCCGCGCCGCGCCGTGCGTGCCAACGACGCAACACCGCGACGTCCATGCGTGGCAGTCCCACCTGGCGGCGTGCGTGCGTGCAGGACGGCGACGGGTTCGTGAGCGTGGAGGAGCTGCGGTACATCCTCGTGCGCGACGGCAAGGAGGAGAACCGGCTGTCGGAGGCGGACGCGGAGCGGCTGCTGAGCGAGTTCGACACGGACGTGGACGGGCGGATGGACGTCTCGGAGCTGACGCGGCTAATGCTGCACGCGCCGCTCGTGCACATGATGCGCGACGCGCTCAAACGCGGGGGCATCACGCTGTCGGGGAGCGTCGCCAACGCCAAGGACTAGCTAGCTCGGTGGGCGTGCGACGGGCGCCGGGGCGGAGCGCCGGGCTGCGCTGCGCGCGTCCGTCGTGCGCGTGGCATGCCTGGCGGCGCGCGGGATGCGGGACGTGGGTGCGGGGAGGGGGAAACAGCGCGGCGTTTCGTTGATGACGAGGCGGGCGTGCAGGCGCCGCGCGATGTGAGGAACGCGTCGCGCTGCGTGCGAAGTAGTCTGGGACGAGTATTTACAGTCCGCGGTATGTACAAGTAGGCCGTCAGCAAGCTCGTTCGCATTGCTGCGAAAGTTGGTCATAGTCTTCGAGTCGTAGCGCGGGCGTCAAGCCACTGTGGTGTGGTGCCAGGCGCGCCGCAGGGCGCGCTCCGGGGCGCGGGGAGCGGGCGGGCGTCACGCGATGAAGTAGTGGCTCTGCACGCGGTCCACGAGGCCGCCGCCCTCCAGGATGGCCTCCTTCAGGCAGCGCGAGGTGCGCGACGCGAACCACAGCTGCGGCACCGCGACCGTCATCTGCAGCTGCTCGCTCAGCGTCCCGGGCCGCACCTCCGTGCGCGCGAGCACCACCTCCCCGCCGCGCCGCGCCACCGCCAGGCTCACCGCGTCGTACAGGGACTCCACGCAGCGACAGAAGCCCTGGTACTGCAGCCGGCGGCCGACGTCCAGGCCGTTGGTCGCCTGCGGGCGCGGGCGCGGGGGTGCGACGCGTCAGACGCGGCGGGCTTGGCGGCGCGCGGTGGGTCGCCAAGGCAGCCGCGCAGGGTGGTGGGCTTCGGGGGGTTTCGCTTGATGTGGGGCCACGAGATGGAACTGGAGCGTGCTGCGAGAGCCGCGTCGGCCCAGTTCGCCGTGCGTTCGCGGAGCTATCGGCGAGATGCCTATGTGACCATCTGGCCCGGTGCACGCACGTACCTGGAGGTTGAAGGTGGCCCCGAGGAGCAGGCTGTCGAGCGGGGCGTCGGCGAGCCCGTCCCGCGACGCGAGGGCCTCGTGCCCAGCTGGGCGCAGCGGCGGGGCCGCGCGTGGCTCGCGTCGCGGACTCCGGCGGTCCTTGATGCTGAACACCCCGTCGGGCGTGAAGAAGTGCGTCACCTGCGCGAAAGGCGCGGAACGCTCCAGTCTGTCCGACCTCCCGCGCGGGCTGCTGACTGCGCGGCCCCCGCGTCGCGCGCATGCCGCACCTGTCCGGCGTCTCCGTCGCCGAGGTCCTTGGGAGCTGGCTGGCGGAAGTAGTAGAACCGGTCGTCCGGTCCTTCGATCGGCTGCGCGGCACAGGAGGGCGCACTATGCACTATGCAGCTGAGAATGAAACTGTGACACGAGAGTTCGTTCGGGCAGTAGCGGGGGGTGTCGCGGTCGTCAGAGCACCCACAGAAAGGGGACGTGTCGGTCGGGATCGGCATCGGCCCGAACGTGCTGCGTGCGCGGTGCGGGGCGCGCAAAGTCCCCAGAGTCGATCGGGAGCTCGAGCGCGGTCGTGAGGGCACGACGCGCGCCTCGTGGCAGCGCCGCAGGTAGGGTATGGACGGAGACGCGTAGTTTATCGGCGCGCACCTCGGCCCGAACGCTCAGTTTCCGGCATCCGCGGTGGGACGACAGGGGCATGGCCACAGCCCGAGGCTGTCCGTGCAGGGCCCGCCGCGGCGCGACGACCGCACTCCAAACACTCGAAACGCACATCGTCGCTACCCACGTCACATCTCGCGCCACCGCACACGCAACCGCGCCCCTCGAAGCCCCGACCGCGGACCCAGCTGAGCTCTGTGCAACACCTCCCCCCCCCCGCCGCGCCGCGCGGCCCCGGCCCTGCCCACCCGCCGCCCTCCGCGACCCCGCACACGCACGCGCACCGCACGCGCACCGCACCGCGCCCACAGCGTTCGGGATTCCTGCTGTTACATGCATAGCGTGTCTCTCATTCGTTTGCGCCCCTCACCGGGCGGGCCCTACGCGCCATGCTCGCAGCACACGGCCCCCGGCACCCTGCGCAGCGCTGCGACCGCGCCGTCACCGCTGCGCGTCCTGCGCGTCCTGGCCGCTGCCCACGGGCACAAACACGGGCGTGGACGAGCGCTCGACGAGGTAGCCGTCCGCCTTGATGCGGTGCACCCACGCCTCGGAGATGTGCGGCATGCGCTCGTCGCCGTCGCTGACCGGCGAGCTCGCGCCCGTGTCGGCGTCCGCGGCAGCGGCCTCGACGCCGTGCGACCCGCGCGGGCGCTCCGCGGCGCGCCCCTCCGCCGTGAGGTGCACGAAGGCCACGCGGCCGCCGGCGCCGAGGTCCTCGATGTGCAGCAGGTCCATCTCGTACCCGCGCGGCGCGTGCAGCTGCCGCCCGCACCACGCGAGCTGCGCCGCCAGCCGCCCGCACGGCACCGAGATCGCCACCGTCATGCGGCCCGGGCCGAAGATCTCCGCGGCGCGGCGCACGACGTGCGAGGGGCGGAAGTGCTCCGCGGGCGACGCGCCCAGGCTGCACACCTCGAGCGACGCGTACGAGCACTCGGGCTCCGGCGTCACGTGGATGGTCGAAAACGTGCCGCCCTCGAGGCCGTTCATCGAGTACCCGCACGGCTCGAACACGTAGTCGTCGATCGTCGCGCGCGGGAACACGCTGCGGATGCCCGTCGCCTCGGTCGTCGCCGGCGCCGACACGAAGTCGGCGGTGCGGTAGAACTGGGCGGCCTTGGCCTCGTCGAGCTCGGTCATGCAGATCTCGAGCTTGAACGGGATCGAGTGCTGGCGGTGCGGCGGCGCCTCGCCCTCGACGTCCGCGACGTAGACGTGCCACTGCAGGCCGTGCGCGGCGTCGCCCATGACGTACGTGTGCGCGCCGTGCGGGAACGCCGCGAACTGCGCGTCCAGGAACGCGACCTCGTCGTCCCAGTTCTGGTAGATCGCGGGCTGGTTGTCCTGCGGGCGGGGCGCGGGCGGGGCGCGGGGGTCGGCGGGGGCCGGCGGGGGTTGTCCGGCAGGCTGTGTGGATGCATGGCGGCGTACGGGTGCAGGCAGGGCCGCCGAGGCGGCGTGGCGGGGATGTCGGGGAGGCGGGCAGGGCGCAGGCGCGGCGGGGGGGCGGGTTGCGGGCCCGCGCGCGGCGCCGCGAGGCGGATGGGAGGCGGGAGCAGTTGTGGGGGTGCGGCGTACCGGGAACAGGAACGAGGCCCGGGAGTACTTGCAGCGCACGACCTCGAGTCCGCGGGCCGCGGCGAGCTCGATCATGCGCGGCACGGCGTTCAGGAGGCGCGTGGTGCCGCACGTCTTGAGGACCATCTTCGTCGGGTAGATGAAGAGGGACGACTCCGAGAGGACGTACGCGTCGAACTCGTCGTTCTGGCGGAGCGAGACGATTTCGCACGCTGCGTGGCGGGAGGGCGAAACGCGGTGCGCGTGAGCACGCGCGCGTCGGCGGGCGGCTGCAGCGACCTCGAGAGAGACAGGGGCCCGCGCGGGCGCTGCGGGGCCTCCCGCGGGGAGTGGAGTGCGGCGCCGCGCTGGCGGAATCGAAACAATGCAGGGTGACCGGAACGCAGCGCGCGAACCGCGGCCGCAGCGCTGCAGCCGCCGTGCTGGTTCGCCAGCTCGCCGAGGCTATGCCGGCGCGGCGCGACGGCGTGCTCCGGCGCGGCAATGCCGCGTGCTGGGACGGTGACGGGCATCGTACGGGGGGCAGCGCACCTGCCAGGCGCAGCATCGCGTCGAGATCCGAGCGCGGAATGGCCCTGAGGCTGCCGGCCTCCGAGGCCGCGTCGAAGTCGAGCTCAACGCGCTTCTCCGACCCCTCGAAGTGCGGGGCCGGGTAGACCTCGGATGCAGAATTGTTTGCGCTCATTGCGTGGTCGTGGTGTTCTCTTCAAGCGCCAGTAGCAGGCGGCTGTGGCCGGTGCTAGCCCGGCTGCTTGAGGGCGAAGTGCGTCCACACGCGGGGCTGGTCTCCGCCGGGCTCGGCGATCTTGAAGTGCCAGTAGTAGCTTCCGAAGAAACCACTACTGGCACAGGTATGTTGACTACTGTCCGCTTCCTCACCACACATGCGAGCTTGCGGTGCGAATGGTCTTCAGCTTGCTTGCCAAAGACCGGCCGGCGGGCGTGGGGGGCTGGGGCGAGCGCGCAGGGACGAAGGGGAGCTCGGGTGCCAAGTGCCGCGCCCGCGCGGGCCCCACCGCGCTCGTAGCGCCGCCGCAGCCCGTGGCCAGTATCTTCCCTGTCACTCCCCCCAGGACCCCTCCGCGCGGCCGGCGGCGTCGTGGGCGCGCCCCGGGACGCCGCACGACACACCCAAGCAGCGGCGGTGCGTCAGGCGTGCGCGGGGGTCGTGTGCGAGCGCAGCGCGGGCTGCCTAGGAGGCGAGTGTCCGTGGAGCGTCGGAGCGGAATCTGCGTGGCCCGCGACCGCGGCGCGCGGCGGAGCGGCGCTGGTGGGCAGGGAGCGCGGACCGGCGTGCGTGCGAGGGGCCCGGGCGTGGCTGGGTCGCGGGGGCCGCGTGGAGCCGCGCGGTTGTTGGTGCGTCAAGTAGCGGGGCACGATGGGGAAGGACTTGAGCGGGCCGAAGCAGCTGGCGAAGCAGATGAAGGCGAAGGGCCTTCAGAAGCTTCGGTGGTACTGCCAGCTGTGCGAGAAGCAGTGCAGGTGGGACGCACGGCGCTGAGGAGGGGCCCGCGCCGGGCGCACCGGCCGCACGCCGCTCTGCGCGAAGCAGCGCCGCAGCGCTCGCGGCCGCCGCTCCCTCGGCCGTTGCTGCGGTCGGGGGCGGCGCGAGCGGAGGCCCGCGGGCGCAGCCTGGGTGCGGGGAGGACCACGGACTCGCTGCGGAGCCCACGCTGGCTGTGCGTGCGTTGCCTGCAGGGACGAGAATGGGTTCAAGTGCCACCAGACGAGCGAGGGACACAAGAGGATGATGATGTTGTTCGGGCAGAACCCGGACAAGGTCATCGACGACTACAGCAAGCAGTTCGTCGAGGGCTACTTGGACGTCATACGACAGCGCCACTGCAACTCGCGCGTGGAGGCGAACAAGGTGTACCAGGAGTACATTGCCGACAGGTGCGACGCAAGAGCGCGGCCGCCCCCCGCCCTCGCGCGACATCACTGCTGATGGACCAAGCCGGCCACTTGCGGGCCCCGCTCTCCCTCCCCGCGCTGTTTGGCCTCGAATGTGCATGGCGCCCGCCACCACAACGGCGTCGGCGGCGTCCCACGCGGCCCCGGCGTCGCAGAAGACCAGACACGCGTGAGAGCACGTGCAGCAACAGCGCCGCCGCTGCCGCGTCCCCGCTGCCCGCAGGCACCACGTGCACATGAACTCCACGCACTGGCTCACCCTCACGGACTTCGTCGCGCACCTCGGCCGCGAGGGTCTCTGCAAGGTCGAGGAGACAGAGAAGGGGTTTTTTGTCACTTTGATTCAAGAGGACCCTTTCAAGAAGCTCCAGGACGAGAAGCGCATCCGCATCGCGCGCGCGGAGGAGCGGGACGCCGAGCTCGAGCAGCGGGCCCTCGAGGAGCAGATCCGGAAGGCGCACGAGGCCGCGCAAGACGACGCCGCGGCAAAGCGTGCTGAGGCCACGGACCTGCAGCGCGGCGAGGACGAGGGGCCGATCCAGTTCGGCGTGGCGGTGGGGCGCACTGTGCGGCCGGGCCTGGCCGGGGCGGCGAAAGCGGCGCCGGCGGCGATCGCTGCGGAGGACGACAGCGGCGCGCCCGGGAGCGGGGCCGCGGGGCGCGGGCGGAAGCGCACGGCGCTGGACGACATCATGGAGGCCGAGCGGAAGAAGAAGCGCGAGATGAAGGAGGCCGAGGAGGCCGCGCGGCGCGACGCGGAGGCTGCGCGGGCGGCTGCGGCGAGGGCGGTGGCCGCGGGGTCCTGGCTCGAGGTGGGGCTGGTGGTGAAGATCCTGGCCAAGTCGCTGAAGGAGCACGGGCTGTACAAGAAGAAGGGCGAGGTGCGGGCGGGCCCGCGGACGCCGCCCACGCCGCGCACGCGGCGGTTGTCACGCTGCGGGAGACGCAGCGCTGCGGTGGCTGACTGCGGGGGTGCGGGTGCGCGGTGCGTGCAGGTGCTGTCGGTCAAGGGCAAGACGGGGGAGATCGAGGTGCTGGACTCCGGCGACGTCGTCAGGGTGGACTACAGGGAGCTCGAGACTGTCATACCGTCACCGGGAGGGCGCGTGCGCGTCCTCGCGGGCCCGCTGCGCGGCCGCACCGGGGAGCTGCTCGACATCGACACGGCGCGCTTCCAGGCGCGCGTGCGCGTCCCGGGCGACGGCGGCGGCGAGCACTGGATGGAGTACGAGCATATTTGCAAAACAACTACCAAGTAAGGGACGGTTAAGATAAGACCGCCCGGGGCGCGCACGGCCCCGAGAAGCCTGCCGCGGTGTGACGCGTGCGCAAAGCGACCGCGGGGCCCGCTCGCAGCCCCTGCGTCCCGCGGGCGGCGGTGGTTGGCCGCTGGAGAGGTTGCGTGCGGCGTGCAGGGTGCGGCGCTGTTCTGGGTCACACGCCGCGCCGGCGCGCTCGTACGGCGCGGCTGCGCGTCGCGGCGGTCACTGCGCCTTGAGCAGGTTCGGGTAGGTCCGCAGGAGCTCCTCCATGTCCTGCTTGGTGCTCTTGGCGAGCTCCTGGACCTTGTCCGCGGCGGACTTGAGGTTCTCGATCGACGCCTGCGCGGACGCCGCCTTGCCCTCGTAGCTCTGGATGACGGCGCCCTTGGCCTCCATCATGTAGGCCCTGCGGACGGAGCAGGCCAGGCAAGTCACGGCCGTGCCGGGCGCGCCCGGGACGAGGGCGGCCGCCCGCCACGGGTGCGCGAAGAACGACGCTATGCACGCCCCGGGATGGCCGTGCGCGATGGCGGAGGGCACGCGGCAGGCCGGGCGGGTCGGCCCGCGCTGACCAGCGCGCGCTTGCACGCAAGCGGGCGCCCTGCCATCGGGAGACCTCAGGGCGAGGTGGGGACCGAGCTCGCGGGTGGTGGGACTCCCATTGCTTGTTACGGACCTGCCGACGTTCTTGTACATGATGACGTTGTCCGGGAGCGGCCCGACCTCGGCCACAATGAGCTTGGCTCTCCTCATGTCCGTGCTGTGCTGCACCGCCTGCCGCTCCATCTGCACACGCGGTCCCCGGGAAGGCAGTGCTGAACTTGAGGTCCATGCTCGCACCATGAACGCGGTCGGAAAGGTCCGGGAGTCCGCGTCGGAAAGGTGCAGGCCGAAACGGTGCGCTGGGCCGCGCTCTGGTGCGAGCAACAGCGGGGACGCTTGGCCGCCAGCGAACGCCCATCCGCGAGCGTGCACGGCGAGGATCCGTTCGGGCCGCCTTTTGCATCGACGGGGCAAGCGGCGCGGACGCTGCCGCGCGAGAGCTGCGTCGACGGAGCGCAGGACGGGGCGCGGGCGCGCTTGCCTGCCGCAGCTGGTGCGACGTCTGCAGGAGCTTCTGCTGGAGCTCCATGAACTCCCCACGCTTGTCGGCGTCGCCCATGATTCCAGCCTCGCGCGCTGCGCCCCTTGAGACGAACCTGGCGGTTCTTTCTGCGGCAAATCGATGCGGTCGCCTCCTCCGTACGTGATCAACGCAAACGCCGACGCTCAGTGCCCCACTGCGCGGCACGAGCGGGCGCCCGCCGCATCATGGGGCGCTCCGAACGACACAAACTGCTAGTCAGACTGTCTGCCAGAGTCAGCCCGTGCCGCTCACCGGCGACGCGGCCGGGGAAACGGCCAAGCAGCCGCAGCTCGGTGCCGCCCGGAGCTCGGAAATCGTCCCGCCAGCCACGCAGCACGATTCGCCGGCCCGCACACATCTTCCGCGCGAGCACAGAGGGCACTGTGACCGTCGCCGAGTTGTGGACGGAAGCACGCGTCGGCCAGGGCACAGTCTTGCGGCAGAGAGCAGTCGGCTGGCACGGAGGCGCGGGGAGTCGACAGAAGTCTGAGGATTGGCTCACAGGTCCTTGCTGGCCCTGCACAGGCGTGTCGCGAACAGAGACCGACGCGCCGAGCCACCGGTCCAGGGGCTGCACGAGACCACCGGTGTGCACCAGTCCGATGTGCACCATCAGTTTTCGAATCATAAACCACTTGAATTGCCATCATTTCTTTGTCTCTCTCTGATCGTTTGTTTGTCTCTGTAAAGGTGTAGCGAAGTGAAATACGGCCCAGACCGCGTGCGGCCCCGGCAGCGCCGACGCACCGCAGCACCGCCCCGCGGCCTCATCGCCGGGGCCGCCACGCGCGGGTCCATCAATCTTCTGTGTGTGTGTGTCGATCGTGCAGGTCCTCACCCGTTGGGTGACACCTAGTACGTGAACTTCGGCCGGTTGTACCCGAGCCACGCCTTGCCGGACTCAGGGTGCCACCCGCGCGCCCCGGCTCGCAGCGGCGGCGGCAGGTACAGCTGCGGGTCGATGAGCGCGGGGGGCGCCGCAGACGCCGTCGCCAGCGGCATGTGCTGCGCGCTGTGCCCGACCCTGCGCGCAGCGGAACGGCGGCACCGCGGTCGGTCGACGCTCGAGAACCACGAAGCAGGCTGGGGGGGCGCGACAGGGATGCAGGCGCGTAAAAAGGTGTTCGCGGCATTACGCACCTGCGAGCGATTTGGCGGTGGCGGTTGTAGAGGACGGCGACGAGGGGCCAGAGGAGCGCGGCGGGGATGTAGGCGCGGCTGGTGACGAGGACGGCGGAGAGGAACCCGATGGCGACGCCCATGATGATCATGACGCGCGACATGAGGTAGGGCCAGTACGCGCCGCCGCTCTCGTACGCGCGGAGGTAGTAGTACAGGACGTGGTACCGGGTGATCATCCACTTGAGGACGAAGTAGAGGAGGCAGAAGGGCAGCACGATCGGCGAGGGGATGGCGTACACGCACGCCACGAGCAGCACCAGCAAGTGGATGCCCAGCTGCCACCCGTAGCGACACGTGCGCGGCTTCTCCTTCCGCTGCCGGTCGCGCGCGGTCAGCGGACCGCACCAGCCCCAGAACACCGGCCGGCCGCACCCTGCGTTGCAACGCAATCGACCGACCCTCACTCAGTTGCCGGACGGACGAATGAACAGCACGCGGTGGTCGGGCGGGGCGGGCGGGGCGGGCGGGGCGGGCGGGGCGGGCGGGGCGGGCGGGGCGCGCGGGGCGGGCGGGGCGCGCGCACCGCAGAAGAAGTACCCGATGAGTCCCATGACGGGGAGCGGGAGGCTCAGCGGCACGAGCAGGAGGCTGCGCATGGCGATGAAGGACAGGAAGAAGTTGCTGCTGGCGGGGAGCGCAGTGCCGGCGAGCGTGACGATGCGCCCCGGGTCCTCGACGAGGCGCTCGACCTGCTGGAGGATGGTCGAGCCGAGGAGTCCCCCCACGAAGACGTTGAAGATCCCCCAGTAGAAGTTGAAGCTGAGGATGCGGCGGTCGACGCCCGAGAGGCTGACGGAGGTGCACTGGATCATCGTGAGGTAGTACACGGTGTTGGGGAGGATCCAGGACTGGTACAGCACGACGAGCAGCGCGGGCACGACCGCGGTGAACACGTTGCGCAGCATCGAGTCCTGCGAGCTGCAGTACCCGGGGACGTACGCCCAGTTGCCCGGGTCCGAGCAGACTGCGGTGTCGAGCTCCGCGGCGGCACCGGCGACGAGGCCGACGGGCGCGGCCGCGAGCAAGAACAGCAGCGGGCGCGTGAGCAGCCAGCGCCAGTAGCGCTGGCGCGGCGTGGCCCAGAGCGACTGCCAGTTCACGTCCTCGGGCGACGGCGCGGGCTGCATCGTCATCAGCCGGCCGTCCTCGTGGTGCATCACGGCCTGCGACGCCATCGTCGCCGCCTGCTGGTTCCGGAAGATGACGAAGCGCGCCTGCGTCGGCTTCGAGGTGAGCGCCTCGTGCTTGGCCTTGCGGATCTCGCCCTCGATCGCGCGCAGGCGCTGCCGGTAGAACTGCTCGGCGTCGTCGTGGACCTCGCCGGCCGCGCACGAGCAGCACGCCTCGTCCGGGTCCTCCTTGGGCAGGCACCGGCCGGGCTGGCAGCCGCAGGTCGCGCAGCCGCCGCGGCCGGTGATGACCGCGTCGTGGCGCCCCATGAGGCGCTTGCGGGCGATCACCCGGTCCAGCTGCCCACACGTGCGGTCCCACTCCATGAGCATCTCGTCAACCTGCGTAGCGGGGGGGTCGCGCACGAGGTTGCGCTCGGTCCGCGCTCCACGCACACGCCAGCCTATCTGACGCTGACGGACCGGAGAGACAGCGAAGACCGAGGGCGCGCCGTCGTCGGACGGCCCGGCGCTGCAGAACGCCCCTGGAGGACTGGGAGCGTGTCCGCACGCTGCACGCACAGGAGCGGCAACGGCACCGCACCTGCTGGTGGCACCGGACCGGGACGGTGCACACGTACTCCTGCGGGAAGAGCTCAGAAAACACTCGGTGGACCATGTCGCCCGAGTCGGCAATCACGGTCTTGTCGTACCCAAGCTGGAGCGCACGCCTGAACGCCAGCTCCGCAGGGTCGCTTGGCCCCAGCTCCGACACGCTGCCGTCCATCGACCAGCCCGACTGCGACGAACGGCACGCACACACATTCGCATACGCTCAGCGCCCCTCGAACGGCGCGGCGCGGCGCAACCTCCCGCCGTGGCCACACGCAGGCGCAGCATGCGGTCGCCTGCGGTCGCGCACCTCGGACACCGCGCGGGGCGTCACCCGCGGGGACTCCCCGTCCCCCGTCAGCCGTGGCTTCACGTCCTGCGCGTCCACGCCGTTGGCCGCGCCCGAGCGGCCCTCCTCGACGTCCCCCGCGTCCGGCTTCGTCGTAGGCACGCCCCCGGACGCGCGCCGCTCGATCCTGTGCGCCCGCGACGCGAAGTTCTTCCCGACCTTCTTGCCCCACGCGGCGGTGCGCAACACGTCCTTCGAGGGGATGTCCGGGACGTCCGTGACGAGGACAGCGTAGTGCATGGCGCGCACCAGGATGTCGTTGCCGTTGGCGTCGCTGCCGGGGAGTGCGAAGACCGACATTTGGCGCACCGAGGGGATGCGCCACAGTGGGCGGGCGGGGCGGCCCTCGAGCTCGGCTTGGTCTTGCTGGACCTGGTTCGGCTGCTTCTTGAAGCCCCAGAAACCGAGCTTCTTCTCTTCGAAGTTGGACGCGCGGAACCCCGGCACGTCGAGCTGCACAGCGCCGCGCTGCCAGCGCTGCACGTCGCTCGGTGACAGCAGCCCGCCGGCCTCGGAAGCATCGGGCGGGGTGTCCGTCATGCCTTGGTCCGCCGGGATCTGCGGGAATGGCGCAACCGAGCGCAACGGTGACGCAACACCGTTGCGGAAGCTCTGGCAAGCGCACGTGCGGCATGTGGCGACGCAGGGTGCGGTTGGGTTCGCGCTGGACGTACCGTCAGGTGCGGCGCTCCCTCGCGACGAGGCGCCGGGCTGCTTGCCGCCAGCCCGAGCTCGCGCATCGCGCCCACACCCGCGTCCTCGTTCGACTGCTTGCTGACTGCCGGCTCCGTGCGCGCCTCCTGCGCGGAGCTCGCCCCCGCCTCCGTGCCCACCCTCTCCTCGCGCGGCGTTCCATTCTCCGCGAACGACGCCACGACCTTCTCCTCGTCCAGCTGAGGAGTGTGCCCCACGCCGGCCGAGGCGCCAACCCTGGAAGCGTCCAAGGGCTTGTCCCCGGCGACGCTCGCCATATCGGAGCCGTGCATCGAGTATCCGTCGAGGCCCATGCCGACGGGCCGCGCCAGCTCGCCAACGTCGATCGCGCCGGGGTTGATGATCATGTTCACCGCCAGCGACTTCGCGCTCTCCGACTCCGCGGACCGCTCCACGACATAAGATTGGTGCCGCGTGTGCCCGCGGCGACCCAGGCCGCTCTTGCGCTCCGGCGTGAAGGACTTCGCCCCGCGCCCGTCGGAAGGCGCCGTCATACCCTGCTGCACAGCCAACTGCACATCGCATCCACACGCGCGCGCGGGGGGGAGAAGGTCTGCTTTCGCCGCAGCTTCGGGAAGCGTGCACCGCACATACGCTGCGAAACGGGGCTGCGCAGCGCACACAACGACCGCGCGAGTCCGACCAGCTTGAGGTGGAGCGGGAGGCCTGCTCCCAGGACAACATTCAAACAAGGGGATTGACACGCGTGCTGGGGAGCGACCGAGCGCTGCTGGGCTCTGCGCGCCATGCGTTGCAGGTTGTTGCGGGGACGCACCAGCCCCTGCTCGAAAGGCACGAGGGACTTGCCACGCTTGTGCCCCTTGGCGCCCCGCTTCGTCGTGAAGGCCGCCGCGAACCGGCGGATCGCGTCCTTCGACACCGAGTGCCCGGGGACGGAGACCGGCCCGGTCACGGCCTCCACGGCCTGCTTCCTGGCGTAGCGCGCGCGCGACAGAAACGCGATGAGCGAGAGGCCGGCCTGCGCGACCTCGTCGTTCTCGAGGATCCTGGGCTTCCGGCGGGCGCCGATGAGGTCGGGCCGGACCAGCTGCAGCATCGGGTGGAGCTGCCAGTCCTTGAGGCGCCGCTTGCTGACGTTGCTCTCCTTGCCGCCCGCGCCGAGCGTCTTCTCCCACCGGTCCCCGTGCATGAAGTGCGCGTGGCGCAGCGCGGTGAACGACCTGCGGGCCGGAGCGCGGGCGACGGAGGTTCGCATTCGCGCCGCAGAGGTCGACGACGCCAGCGTCTTCTGATCGGGCGGCAGCGCACGGGGCGTCGCGGCCGCCGGTGGCTCGCCGGCGAGGGACGCACGGCAGCTACGTGGGCTGCGTGGGGTGGTGCGGGGTGCGCGCCTGAAGTGTTTCGGGAGGAGCCAGCAGGCGTAGGCAATGAACCCGTACATGCACGCCGCGTGGATCCAGTAGAGCCCCGAGCCCTCCGAGACGTTGGAGGCGGTCAACCGCATGAACTGCGAGACGTTGGCGTCGCCCTGTGCCTCCTCGACGCCCTGCGCGTGGGCGTGGGAAGGGGCTAGGTTGGGGCAGCGTGCTCCCTCGCTCAGCGCGGCGCCGGGAAAACGGGATCGCGAGGCGTTACCGCGCGGCGTGAGCGCAGGTAGGGCGGGCCGCGTACGTTCCCGGTGATGTGTATCGGGAGCAGGACGATGATGGCGACCACTGTTGCTGGCAGCAACAGATGGATGCACATGAGCAGCATGCGGACGTGCATGAGCGCGTCCATGCCCGCCGTCTCCAGAATCTGTTCATCTGCGACCGGGGACGGAGCGGGCGCGGGCGGGATCGTGCGGAGACGGTAGGACGCGGAGATTCATGAGTGAGAACATTGTGAGCGGGAGCGACCGGCGTCCGCGCAGCCGGCCCACGGGCACGCCTGTGGGCCCGACAGTGCAGACAACGATCGGGGGGCGCGCGTGGACCCGCGTACCTGTCGCATGGATGACGGGATAGAGCCAGGCGAAGGCTCCTGAGATTCCCGTGGCAATTGCGCCGAACCTGCCCATTTTCGGCGGCCGGAACATCACGTCCGGGTGATGCAGCCGCACAGTGTACACCTGCGTGCACGAGTTCCGGCGCGAAACGATGAGGATCGACGACACCTTGCGAGCCAAGCATCCACACCCGCTCCGGGCCGTGCGGCGCCGTCTGTGCGGCCGCGAGTGGGAGCAAATCGTCCTCTGCAGCCACAGTACGCCAGCCAGGCGCCCGAGCAACCCGGAGCCGCGGTGCCGGCCGCCGGCCGCAGGCATTGCTGGTGTTGGATCCTGTGACCGTTCCCGCCCCACAATGGGCCCTAGGTTCCTGTCTGCCCGGCGCGAGCTGGGGCGCTGGAAGACTGGCGCGGCGTCGGTCCGCCGTTCGGGCCCATCCGGCGTCGGAGCAGGCTAGCGCCGGATCCTCGCACCCCGTACGCACAGACCTACACGCGACGTCGCGTGTACGGGGCACGTGCCTTGAAATGGCGGTGAATCATGATGAACACCAGGATGCAGAAGATCCCGATCGCGCCGTAGACCCAGAACGCGGCCACTACATTGGCGTCCTCGGCCTCGGTGCCGCTCCCACTGCTGAACTGCAGCAGGCCGCGAAGAGAGCCCGCCGTGGCCCCGGCCCGGCCGACTGCGGCCGGGGCCGCCAGGCCCGCCATCGGCGCGCCCCTTGTCGTGGCCAGGCGGGGGCGGAAGATAGCGCTGAGAGTTGGGCCCTTGGGGGAGCTGTGAGGGCGGCCGGGGTCGATGGAACGCGGACGGATCCACGCGTGCGGGTGTGCGGTGCGTCAGGCGACCGAGCGGCATCGAAACGCTCGCGCCCGCGGCGGGGAGGACGGTCCTGGACCCTGTCGTCAGGAGTAGAAGCCCAGCGCGGCGCTTGGGCCGCCGCGCCTGCGAATCCGCGCGGCTGGGCAGAGACGCACTCAGTCCTGCGTCACGGTAGTGCGCGACCCGTGGTTTCGTCCGGCTCCTCGGCACGGTTGTTCGCGTTCGACTGAAGGGGGGCCGGTACACGCATATTGCGGGAGGGGTGGGGCGAGCTTGACGGTGGCCATGTCGCTGAAGCTTGCAAGTCTTGCGCGGCGGGCGGCCAACGGCCTCCTCGGGCCCGCGCGGGGGCAGCAGGCCCGGACAATGGCCGGTGAGTTCCACCACGCCCCCTGCCAGCGCCATCCGGACGCCCAGCTTCGTCGTTCCGAGCATGCTACGACCCTCCTGCTGCAGCGGGCGCCCGCGCTTCGTCGTACGGGCCGGCACCCACGGCGCTGCGCCCGCACTCACCACTGCGCAAGCTTTGGCCGCTCCTGTAGGGCCCTCTCACCCGCCCTCCGTGAACCGCCGCGCGAGCATCGGTTGCCGCCGCCGTCGTGCGGCGATGCGTGTTCGCGAGCGTGAACGGCTGCGTCCCGGCTCTGAGGCCGCGTTTTCCTCGCAGGCGCTGCACAGTCGGAGTACGCGGTCACGTACAAGGGCGTGACGATGTACCTGCCGCCCGCGAAGGACGTCTTCATCGCGGACGCCATGGGGATCATGTTGTGGTCGTGGATCCTCGTCATGCTGTACGAAAAGGGCATGCACCACTACGGACCCAACCACTGGGTGCGCACCCGCGCCTGCCCCCGCGCACGCAACCGCTCCCGACCCCCCCCTTCTCAAAGCCTCCATACCACGCCAGCGAGCCGGCTGCCTCGCCCGGCTCGCGGCGGTGCTCGCCGTTTCTCCCCTCACCCCTGGGTCTGCTGCGCGCTAGTGTTGCAGGACCACTACGGCCTCGACATGGAGACGGACCAGCTGTACCACGTCTCCGAGGTCGACGAGAAGCGCGAGCTCGAGGAGGCCAAGTACCGCGACGGCGCGCTCGGGCCAGCCTACAGGGAGGGTCTGCTGGCGGGCGTGCAGCGCAACTACTACGCGTTCAAGAGGTGCGGCACGCCCCCGGTGACCGCGCCGCAGCTGCACAGGGCGCGCGCGCCGTGCGCCGCTCCGCCTGACGTGCAGAGAGGCCTCATGTTCATTCGAGGTCAAAATTGTGTGTGTGTGTGTGTGTGTGTGTGTGTGCTTGCAGCCTCGGGAACCCGTTCAAGGGCTGGGTGAACAAGCCTGGGCACGAGAAGGAGTCGAAGCCGGAGGTGTACGAGGCCCGGAAATAGATCGCTCCGTTACAGCACGCGCGGGTGCAGGCCCCAAGGTTGTATGTGATGGAGACGCAGCAGCGCGTCTCAGCCCTCCACGATCTTCACCCGGTAGCCCTGCGCGCTCTTCTTGATCGTGAGCAGCTCCAGGTCGAGCGTCAGCGTGCTGTTCGGCGGCACCTCGCCCACCTGCTTGCTACCAAAGCCCAGTTCCGGCGACACGAGCAGGCTGCGCTGGCCGCCGACGCGCATGCCGCGCACGCCCAGGTCCATGCCCTTCAGGAAGCAGCCCCCGGGCCTCCCGAACTGCCCCACGTCCATCCTGCAAACGCACACGCCGCCCTGAGCGGCAGATGAATTGCCGCCCAGTGACTTGCACTGGACGCACCGCCGGCGAGCATCCGCCCGGCGCGTGCGTCCGCAGCACACGATGCGCGCGCGTGCGGGAGACGCACCCGTAGGGCTCGCCGCCGGCGACCCCCGCGCCGATCCTGCTGGAGGCGATTGTCACGGAATTGAATTTCAGGTCATAATGGACCACGATGCGTTGGCCCTCCTGCACCGCGTCGCCCGCGCCCTCCGAGATGTCGTACACGCGCAGGCCCTCGACGCCGGGGAACTCGGAGTACTTCTCTGCGGGTATCTTCCGTGGGCGCTTCTTCAGCTCCTTCTTGAACCCGGGGAGATTGCCGGGGGCGTCCGCGAGGGCGGGCGCGGGAGCCGCGGCGAACAGGGCTGCCGAGAGGCCGGCGGCCAGGGCGCCGCGGCGCGCGAGGTACGGCGAACGTGTCACCTGCGATGTCAGACGGGGGTCTCGTGCTTTACCGCGGTGCCGGCCGACCGCTCCGAGTTCTCGGGAGCGATACTAGATGAAACCTTATGTCTTATGTCGCTGATTGCGACGGATTGAGGTTCGACGCGCAGAGAACCGCGCACAGGCGGGCTCACCTCTGGTGGTCCAGGTCTACGGCTGCAGCGAGGGTGGTCGGCATTGACTGCCCCTGTTTTAATGCAGGCTGCCTTGTTCATGGCCCTGAGATAGCAGATTGTAGGTGGGTCGGTGTCGAAAGTCTCGTGAAGGCGCAGTCAGGGGGCTTGATGAGTGCAGCAATCTACGGGCAGCGCGTCGTCGATCGACCCTGAAGGACGATGTATCGCTGGCGAATCCCTCGTTCGGACAACGGACTGTTGCAAGATGCGCATCATGGTACCAAATCAGCACCCGAACCCTAGAGGCACCGTGCCACAGTGTGGGGACATCTCTCTGGTATGACTTGTGCTTCTGGTCGTCACCCCCTGCCTGCAACGAGCAAATCTGCGCAGCCTCCACCAAGCCGACCGACAGCAGCGCGCTCGCACAGGCTACATAGAGTAGTAATTGATTACATTTTGCGCGGGGCGTCAAAAGCCGTGCATGACACCTCGGATCACAAACAAACAGCTCGCGGCTGGCCGCGTCCGCGCCACCGGCCCTCGATGCGCGCTCGCCCCCCGGAAAGGCAAAGAGTCGTGGACTTGCAGCCAGGAAAGTTAAAAAAACCGCAAGTCTCTGTCGGGGGCAAGAGAGCACACGGGGGCGGAGTGGTGGCGGCGCAGGACGCGGCGCGTGCAGGGCCGCGGCGAGCGTGATGTCGAGCTGTGAGGAAAGGGGCCGGGACAACAGTTGGCCGCTCGTCCCGGGGGGGGGTCGAAGAGTAGGACATGCGAAGGGAACCATGCGGCGCGTCGCCGCACGGATCGGGCCCCGCGTCGGGGCAGGGAATGATTTGTTTGCACGCACGCCGACAATACGGTCGGCGACGCGTGGCGTCGGGTGCACAGCAAGCGCGTGCAGAGCGAAAAAAAAAAGAAACAAAGTACAGAACAGCAGTAGTGTCCTGCGGGCCACCAGCGCACGGCCCGCGGGGACCGCTGCAACGAAACCTAAGCTACCAAGGGCGTGGCGGGGAGATCGCATGGGGTTCGGCCTCGGAGTGCAAGCCTGCTCGTCCGCAGGTGAGGCCTCCCGTCACCGCTGCGCCTCCTGCCACGCCTCGCAGCGCCGCTTCAGGGCAGCGAGCGCGCCGAACAGCCGCCGCTGCGCCGCGTCCATCGCGCCCGCGGGGCCCCGCACGGCGTCTCCGAAGTGCCGCGCCGCGCGCCCGCCATCTCCAACCCTCCGCAGCGCCCGCACGTGGTCCTTGAGCTTCCGCAGCGCGCTCTGGAGCTCCGAGTACACCCTGTGCGCGTCGCGGTACAGCCCCGAGACCTCCACGAACGCCTCTCGCGAGCGGATCCCGGGCAGTTGCCCAGACAGCTTCGCGACCGTCGGTGCCCACCACGAGTCCTCGATCGAGACCCCGATCCTCGCCAGCGCGACGGAGGGGTCCTCGAGCGGCGCGGCTGGCTCCGGCGGCGCCTTCGCCGCAGCGGCGCGCGCCGGCGCCGTCGGCAACGCGTCGCCGGGATGCACCGGCGTGGAGGTGACGGAGGGGAACGGGGACGCGAGGCCGGCGTAGTCCGCGCATGTCGTCGCGTTGCTGCGCGCGGAGGCGCGGGTGACCCGCCGAGTCGCCGCGCTGGCGGGCTGTCGTGCGCCCGGCTGCGACGGCGCGAGGGCCTTGCTCAGCTCGGCCTCCAGCTCCGCCTCGAGCTCAGCGTCCAGGTCGTCTTCGGAATCTTGGTCGGAGTCAGACGCGCACGGCGCACCGTGGGACCGCATCGCCCTGCCACGGACGGCTGGGCGCGACGACGTGGACTGCGACGCCGCTCTGGTGCCTCGTCTCTTCGGTCTCGGGGCGGCGGGCGGCGCGACGTCGCGCTTGCGTGACGCTCTGCTGCCCTTTGCGCCACGTGATGTGGCGCTTGCTCTCTCGGAGGCAGTTGCGGCCCCGCTGGACCGAGTCTTTGCTCCTACCAGGGTGTTGCGGGCAGTCTGCGTGCCCGAAGCAAGGTGCTCGCGGCTTGCGCCCTCGAAGCACCCCGTCATCATCTCAAGCGACGGGTCCGCGCCCAAGGCTGCCCCGCCGGGCGCCATCTCGGCAGCTGTGAGGTGCGGCCGCCCGCCTGCAGGAAGAAGGCCGCTCCGCTGAAGGTCGGCGCGCGCAACGGTCAGATTACCGGGAAACATCGTGAGAATCGTTCTATACGAGCTACGGGTCGCGACGTCACGCACCGAGACGCCACCGTCTGTGCGAGGTGCGAGTGCTGAAGGGCGGGAAGCTCGAACGGTCGCGCACCTGCTCACGCACCACGTCCTACTGCTAATGTATCGTCGTAGGGTTACTGCACCGCCCGGGTGGGGCTGTGTGGGACTGCCCACCACCTCAGGAGGCGCGATGCTGCGCTGCCAACCAGCTCTGCCTGTTCGAGCGCAGACCCACTCGATTCTGCGTCGGTTCCGCGCCCCACTCTTCGCTGACGAGCCAAGCGGATCGACATGACCGGCCCGCGCCGCCAAGCGCGCACATATAGCCCGCGTGAGACCACCCGACGCCCGCGCAAGGCTCCTGACATCACTCAAAGACCTACACCCCCGACACCCCGACCCACGCCGCCCGGCCGCGCCGTCACTCGCATAGCCCCGCCACGCACGTTCGGCACCCGCTCGCCCCTCGTACCGCCCCGTTGTATCACACCGGCATCAAACCACCACAGCGGCAGCCGCCGCACCTAGCGCCCGTACCGCTCGAGAAGCATGCGGTACAGCGCGCGCAGTCCGAGCGCCTCGCCGCCCTCGGGCTTCCCCGGCTGCGCCCACTGCCCGAGCGTGTAGCCCATCGTGTCGATGTGCAGCCAGCGCGGCGCCTTGTCCGCCGGCACGAACTCGCGCAGGAACAGCGCGGCGGTGATGGCGCCGCCGTACCCGCCCTCGCTGCACGACCCTATGTCCGCGACCTTGGAGTCGATCATCTTCCGGTACTTGTCCACGAGCGGGAGCTGCCACAGCGGGTCCGCTTCCGCCTCGCCCGCGCGCAGCAGGTGCCCCGCCGTCTCCTGGCACGTCGCGAACAGTGCCGGCATCTCCGTCCCGAGCGCGACACGCGCAGCGCCTGCAAAGCGGGGTCGTGGGCGCCGCGTCGTTCGCAGGCGTCCGTTCCATTCCGCGCTCTCACGGCGCGGCGGCGGGGCTGCGCGCCATATACCTGTGAGGGTCGCGGCGTCGATGAGCAGATCGGGGTTCTCCTGGGCAGCGTCCCAGATGCAGTCGGACAGAATCAGGCGCCCCTCGGCGTCCGTGTTGCCGTTCTCCACAGTGATGCCCGCGCGCGTCTGGAGGACGTCCAGCGGCCGGAACGACCACGACGACACCGAGTTCTCGACCGTCGGAACCATCACCTGCACGGGCGCGCACCGTGCGGAATCGCGCGGGTTCGCACGCGCCCGCAACATTGCGTCTCTGTGCACGCGACGACAGGCAGGCAGTCCGGGACGCACCCGCAGGTTGACGGCGAGGTTCGTCGACATGATGGCGTGCGCGAGGCCCGCCACGAGCGCCGCGCCGCCCATGTCCTTCTTCATGAGCTTCATCGCGCCGCCCGGCTTGATGTCCAGGCCACCCGTGTCAAAGGCGACGCCCTTGCCCACGAGGGTCACGCGCGGCAGCGACGCGGCGTCCTTCCCGGAGGGCGCCCACCGGAGGTCGACGACGCGCGGCGGGACCGGGCCGGCGCGGCCGACTGCGCGGAAGAAGCAGGCACGGACGTGACTGTTGAGCGGAACGGGCTTTGTGGCGCGCACGCACGACGTGCACGAGCATCCGTCGACGGTCCGCGCGTACGCATGACACTGGAGGTGGCGCGGACGGCGGCACGGTGTCGGCATGTTCGGTTCGAGGTGGCGGCAGTTGTGCGTTCCGAATTACCTGTGTGGACCGAAGGGTAGTAGTTCTCCCCCTGGACCAGCAGGTCGTCCCCAACGACCTCGCGGTACGAGGCGCCGTGCTCCTTCGCGAGCGCATTCAGCTCCGCGGCGATGTGGTGCGGGCCCATGTCCTCCGCGGGCGTCGTCACCATGTCCCTGTGGAGCCAGGGGGGCCGACTCTCTCTGTCAGACAGCCGAGTGCGCGGTCGGGTCGCGGCGGCCGACCCGACCCTCGCAGCCAGCGTCCAGGACGGCAGCGTCCTCGCCCTTGCGACACGCAGTGCGCAGGCAATGGGCAAGGTGTGCGCACCTCGCGAACGCGATACCGGAGCTCACCGCCTCGACGACGTCCCGGCTGCAGCCTTCCGGCCACACCAGCGCCGCCTTCGGCTCGCCGTCCTTCGCGCCGGGCTTCTTGTACCTGTACACACACAGCGATTGATGTGTGCTGATGGTTTGCCCACGGGGCGGCTGGACCGAGGCCGGCTCTGCGTCGGGAGCGCTCGCCCGACTCACCTGTCGAACTTGTAGCACCCGAGCGCCCAGCCCAGGGCCGCGGCCGTGCCGTCACCGCCGCTGAGGCCCTCGCAGACGTACGTGCCGGGCGGGAGCTTGCCCGGGAGCACGGCGTACGACCAAATGTCCGTGGAGCTGTCCGCCCCCAGGTAGACTTGTGCAGCGGATCCCTGCGGCAGCCAATGAGGGGGCGTGTGCTCGCTCTGACGCGCCATCGCCCGTCTGATGGCTCAGCAATGGACGCGCTCGAGCGCGCCAACGCGGCTCGCTCGCGCGCTTCGAGTCGCGCGGTGTCATGGACTGTACCTTGTCGTCGGGAATCACGCAGCACTCGCCGGTCTTCCCCTTGAAGTCGGCCAACGACAGCAGGGAAAGCGCCAGAGGGCTGGCGCTGCTCTTGACGGCCTCCAGCGTGTCCGCCGTCACCACCGTGATCGGGATCGCCTGATCCTCGGAGCCCTCAACGAGCCGCTCCACGCATCTGCAGCAAGGACGGTCAAAATGCGGCCTCCTCAGCGATCCACGGCGAGGGTGAAGAACAGCCCGGCACAGCACGGCCGCCGATCGGGGCTGACGGTCCCCGCCGAGGCGTGTGCGCGAACGAGCTGGAATCCACATACACTGAATGCGCGATTCGGAACATTATCAGTGCGACCGATGCGCGCCGCGCTGCGCTGCTCGTGTGTGCAACCATGGGGTGTTCGCACCGCGTCGCGCGCTGGAAACAGTACGCGTCCGCGTCCCCAGCGGCCGCGAGCGCGGCGCACATCCTGCGCGCCTGGCGAGCAGGCAGGCGCGCCGCGGACCGCGGCAGCGCCCCGCGCGGCAGCCCTGCCCGAGCAGCACCACGCGCAACGCTGCGCACGGGCGCGCCGCGCCGCCCGGAGGCGACCGAGATGCGCGCAAACGTCCGCGCGATGCCCGACATGGCGGCCTGGAAGTGGCCGGGCGCAGCGCCGCCCGCGCCCTCGTCGCGGCCGCTGTTCACGGTGTCAGTCGGGCGCAGCGCGACGCGCGGAGACGTCGGGCCGTGGCGGGCGCCGCGGCGCGCAGTTCGCTTCCGGCGCCCCGCTGACACGAGAGCGCGCTGGCACGAGAGCCTGACGTGGCGGACTGGCCCCACGGGACCGCAGGCATGCCGCCGCGATGACACGGGAGTAGTAGCTGCTGTGGGAAGCATCCAGCGCTGCGACGCGCAGCATGGTGCGCGCGAGCGGCCCAGGGGGCCCGCCCGAGGGCGTCAAGGTCTTCGTGAGGATCCGTCCGCCCCAGGAGCGCGAGTACAAGTTCGCGCAGTCATGCTCCTCGCTGGTGCGTCGCAGCAAGCGCCCCGCGTCGCGCGCAGAGGGCCCGAGCGGGCCGGGAGCGTCGCGTGCGCGCGCACTGAGGTTGTGGCTTGCTGGGCGTGCGCGCTCGTCGCGCCTGGCGCGCGGTAGCGAGCGGCCGAGGCCGGCAAAGGAGCGTGCTAGAGGGAACCGCGGGGTGGAACGAGCTGGGCGTTCCGTTGGTGTGGCCGCAGGGCAACTCCGTGCGCGTGGAGAGCGACAACGTGGTCATGGAATCGAAGTTCGACCGCGTGTTCACGCCCGAGGCCACGCAGCAGGACGTCTTCGAGTCGATCGAAGGTGAGCAGGCTGAACGAGACCAGCTGCTGAATGCCTCGTCCTGCTCGCTGCGCTGCCAGCTGCGCCGCCACACTTCGATCTTCCTGCCTCCATACTACCTAGGGGTACCACCACAACCCCATGGTACACCAAAAAAGCGCGTGACGCGCTCGCGAGGGCACGGAATGCCCGCTCCGGGCTCTGCCACGCACCGGCACCGCAGCTGTGGCTCGTGCTACACCCGGAGGCCGCCATTTCCGATCCACACATGTTCCCCCTTGCCCGACACGCCCACCTCAGGCCCGCATGATCGCGCACACGCGACGCATTTGCGCTCCAAAGCAGGCGCGGGGCTGTGCCCGCCAGGCCGCCCGAACCCGTCCGCCGTCGCCACCCTCCGATTGCGGTTCGCTCAGGCTCTGCCAGACGCCGACGACCGACGGTGCCGGGGCGTTCTCGCAGACTCGATTGACGGCGCGCTCGAGGGATACAACACCACCGTCTTCGCGTACGGCCAGACGGGCACCGGGAAGACGTTCACCATGGCCGGCGCAGACTACGCCGGCGGGCACGACTACCGCTACCTCGCCGAGGCGATGTCCGCGTCCAGGCCCGCCACGCAGGCCAACGGAGACATCGCCGCGCTGCCAGGTACGCGCCCACGGCGCCGCCCGACGCGAGCGCGGCCTGAGCGCGTCTAGTGACACCGATCACCGGCGTGGCTGCATGCACACGGCACAGCGGTGCGCGCGGCATCACCTGCGCTGGCACACCGCGTGCGTTGCTGGCGCAGACGGGGCGCCGGACCCGAGCAAGCCCGGGCTGATTCCGCGCGTTGCGGTGGCGCTGTTCGAGAAGGCCGCGTCCCTCGCGCGGCGCGACGGCAAGAACATCGCGGTGTACGCGTCGTACCTCGAGATATACAACGACAAGATCCACGACCTGCTGCAGCCGTACAAACCGACGAAAAAGGACTTCCTCGCAACGCTCAACCGCAAGACGGGCCTCCAGGTGCGGCACAGACGGTCCCGCCAGCGCCCGCACCCGTCCGACGCGTGTCGAACATCCATGCACACGCATGGCGTGTTGCCGGTGGAGCGCAGGTCCGGGACGCGCCCGGCGTGGGCGTGTTCGTGCCGGGACTGTCGATCGCGCGCGTGCGGGACCCCGCGGCGATCCTCTCGGTGCTCAAGCGCGGCAACCGGCACCGCGCGGTGCGGCACACGCACATGAACGTGCACTCCTCGCGCTCGCACACGCTGCTCCAGATCCTCATCGAGCAGCGCAGCACGGGCGTCGACGGCGGGGAGCTCGTGCGCTCCAAGATCAACCTCGTCGACCTCGCCGGGTGCGCCGCAGACCCTCGCATCCGAACGCACACGCGCACCCTCCGTTGGCCGCCTCACGGCGCGCCCGTGCGCCCCGCAGGCCCCGGCCAGCTTACTGCACACGTCGCGTCCCGCGTCCCCGCCTGTCCGCCACCGACCGTCACTCCCCCCCGCTCCGCCGTCCGCAGGTCGGAGAAGTGGGCGGCGGCGACGAACGAGGCGCGGCAGGAGCAGATCCTGGAGATGAACGCGATCAACCAGTCGCTGTCCGCGCTGGCGTCCGTGGTGTCCGCGCTCACGACGGGCGCGTCGTTCGTCCCGTACCGCGACTCCCGCCTGACGCACCTCCTCCAGGACAGCCTGGGCGGGAACTGCCGCACGACGCTCATCGCGACGGTCTCGCCGTCCTCGCTGGCGTTCGACGAGACCGTCTCCACGCTGCGGTTCGCCGACCGCGCGCGCTCGATCGTGAACCGCGCGGTCAAGAACGCAGTGCCCGACGTCAGCATGCAGCTCGAGGTCAAGGACGCGGAGATCAACCGGCTGCGCAACCTGCTCGCGCTGGTCTCGCGGAACCAGGAGGGCGCCGTGGACGAGCTCCAGCAGCAGCTCGAGGCCAGCGTGGCCAAGCTGGGCGACATGGAGGCGCAGCTGATGGCCATGGAGGAGGTCGTCAAGAGCGAGCGGGCGCGGCGGCGGCAGCTGACGGCGACGCTGCGGGAGCGCGACGACGAGATCATGCAGCTGCAGGACCGCGTGATCAAGCTCCAGGGCGCCGTGCAGCGGCGGCAGGGCATCCAGCAGTCGGTGCGCGACCGGGAGCACGCGGAGCGCAGCGCGCACGCGCAGCGACAGCAGCAGGAGCAGCGGTACGCGCAGGACGAGTCGTTCGATATCCAGCAGCTGTCCGACGGCGACGCGAGCTCGCCGCGCCGCTTCGGGCCCCTCAGCCCAGCGCGGCAGCCAGCGCCGAGGCACCAGCCGCTGCAGCCGCAGCACCAGTCGCGCCGCCGCATGGATCTGCAGAACGCGGTCGCGATGAGCCACTCCGCGTACGAGCCGCCGTCGCCCGCGCCGCGGCAGCCGCCGGGGCAGCTCCAAGTGCCGCAGAACGGCGCGAGCGGTCACCCCGCGCCCAAGTCCGCGTGGGCCACGCCAACCGGGAACGGCGCCCCCCCCGCGCTGTCCCCGCGTGGCCCCGTTCCTGCGACCGCGTCCGTGCCGCAGAACCCCCCCCACCTGTCGATCGGGGACGGACCGCCCCCGCACCTCTCCGAGGCGGAGCGCCTGCTGTGGGAGAAGCGCGCGCTCGAGAACAACATCCAGAAGGCGGCGCAGGACCTCCGGCGCTCGCAGATGGCCGGGATGTCGCGCCAGGGCCTCGGCCTCGCGTCGAACGGCGAGGCCCCAACTGCGCCCGCGACGACAGGCCACAGCAAGGCGGACAGCCCCGGCCAGCGCGTCCTGGAGGTCATGTCGCCGCGCTCGAAGCATGCGGCGCTCGAGGCGAGCTGGGGCGGGAGCAAGCGCGCGATGGAGGCGCTGGTGGCGGCGGCACGGGAGGAGGGGGAGTATGCCGACGCGATGCGGTTCTACGCCGCCGCGACGAAGCAGGCGCAGGAGCGGATGCAGCGCAGGCAGGCGTCGCGGACGGCGTTGGAGACGCAGGGCGTGCCGGGGACGGCCGGCACGGAGGCGGAGCTGCCTCAGATCTCGGAGACCCCCCGGGGGGGTTGGGGGCGTTCGAGTCTGACGGGCGGCGCCATGACGGCGCAGGTGCTGCAGCAAGCGACCGCGGCGGCGAACCGTCCGCAGCCGCTGCGCGCCCCGGCGACGACGGCCTCGAACGTCGGCGACGGCGAGGCGTGGAACATGGTGCCCGGTCCCGCTGCCATCCCGCGGCCAGCCGGCGGCGGGTGGGGCCGGAGCGCGCTGATGCGGTCCGCGACGGAGAACGACGAGGGGGGCAGCGTGGGCGGCGGGTGGCCGGGCGCGATGCCGCCGCCGCTCGCCGGCGCGCGCCAGGCGAAAACGGCGGGCAACAGACAGGAGCCGTCGCTGCACGCGATACAGGAGGCGCCGAACGGGCGGGCGCCCGGGGCCTCGGGGCGGCCGCGGAAGGGGAAGGGCCCGGGGATCGGCGCGGGCGCGTGGACGTACATTTTGGGGACGCGGGCGTCGTCGGTGCAAGCCAAGAAACTGGCGCTGATGGACAACGTGGCGGGGCAGTTCGGGCTCGACGGGCCGACGAAGAAGCTGCTCAATTTGCAGTGAGACACGCTGCGTGCGCGGCGGGCTAGACTAGGACACCGCAGTCGAGGCGGTGATGTAAACGCGTTGACTCGTGGCGACGCGTGGTGCTCGATTACCGCCTGCAGCGAGCAGGCCCGCAGTCACGACCCGGGCTTGCTGCCGTTCGTTCCCGCGTCTCCGTCCCCGCCGCCCGCCCCGAACCAGCCCCCATGGAATCCGTACGGTATCTGGTGCGGCAAGCGACAGCGCGCCACCTCCTGCATGGTCCGCGCGTCCAACACCAGCACCGCCGCCCCGCCGTCCGCCTCCGTCAGCACCGACAGCACCACTCCGTCGTCCTCCTCCGTCGCGCCCGGCCGCGCCACGAAGCACGGCTCCCCAGGGATGGCGCCCTCCTCGTGCCACACCACCACGCCGCCGGAGGAACAGTCCACGCGGGCCAGCGCGTTCCCGAACCGCGTCGGCTGCACCGCGCACACGCCGTACACGTACCGCTGCCGCCGCCGCCGCCACGCGGGGTTGATCGCCGGGAACTCGAAGAACGCGCCCAGGGACTCCTCCGGCTCCGGAACCAGGTTGCGGCCCGCGTGGATGTCGATGATGTCGTCGTCCGAGGTCGGCGGGCCGTTCAGGGGCAGCTCGACGCGCAGCAGCCGCGCGGGCGGGATGCCGCGGGACGTGTCGAGGCTGGGACCTGCGATGCTGAGTCGGTCCACCACCTCCAGGTCCTCGAACTCCGCGACGTCGACGTAGAGCGTGTTGCCGTCGGGGGACTCGTGCGCGTTGACGAAGTGGAAGGCGAAGGCCGCGGGGGCGCGGAAGGTCTTCACTTCGCCCGACTGGAGGTGCACGGCGTGGTAGAGCGTGCGCAGCGCGGGGCGCCACTCGACGAAGTACGCGCCCTGCTTCACGTGCCTGGAGGAAAGCGCGCAGACGAAGGAGGCGGGGTCAGGGCGGACGCCGGGCCGCGCGATGGCAGTGGCTCGGTGCTGGTGAGTGGGGTTGCAGCGCGGGACGGACGGACCTGTCCGTCATGAGCCCGAGGAGGTTGAAGAAGGCCGGGTACTCCGGTACCACGGCCCAGTTCTCGGACACCGCTATCGAGTGCACCCAGCAGGGCGACAGCGCCCGCCGGTGTGGTATGTGTGCAATCACCTCCCTGCTGTTCCCTCCTGCAACGCAGCGCGGTCGGGAGAACGGCTCAAACGCGCCCTCGGCATCGTCAGCTCAGATCTCGAGCTGCAGGCCCAGCCCAAATCATGTGTTCGCACGACCGCACCCACCCTCACTCAATGGCTCCACACGAGGGCGGTTGGCAGCGCACCTAGTGGTATGCGGTACAGCGTGAAGCCCATGACGGGGTCCGACGCCACGTTGATCATTCCGCCGCTCCCGTCCGGCTGCGGGTGCGCGGTGGTCAGCTGCCCGAGGAGCGCGTCGTCGTACGTCACCTTGCTCGTGGTGTCCAGGGAGGCGCTGTCGAGCGTGTAGGTGCCCGCGACGGTCTCCGTCATCGCGAGCGCGGTGCCGTCGCCCCAGGGCACGACGTTGACGCTCGCGTTGTCCGTCACGCCCTGAGTCAGGCCCAGGGACCCCAGGATGGTCGTCAGGTATTCCGCGGCCTTCTCCAGGGGCGAGTCCGCGGGGATCGCCGTCCCGAACTCGCGCCACCGCATGCGCCCTGTGTCGCGTTTACTCTTCCACGCCTCCGTCTCTATGAACCTGCACACCAGCGCCGGCGTGGCACGAGGACAGATTTGCACACCAGCGCCACCGGCGCGGACGGCGGACCGCGACGCACCCACGCGCCGGGGGCCGCGGAGCTCGCGGCACTAGGATCGGGGCTGCGGCCGCGCCGGTGCTCCGCCCCCGCCAGAGATCATGCACCTTGGATCGCGCGACGTGCGCGCCTGCGCGCGAGGCTCTCACCTATGTGTACAGAAGCACCTCCCTCTATCGAACTCGACCTTGAAAACCATCGCGTACCCGTCGAACAGATGCCGCATGCCCTCGAAATCCCCGGGCCCATTGCGCAGGTAGCTCCCCGACAGCCATCGCGGCACCTCTCCGTGCACCTCCGCCTCCGTGCGGCGCGCCTGCGAACATAACCGCGCCGCCCCCCTCGTCTGGGCCGCTCGGCACCGCGGGCGGGGGCCCGCCGCGTCGTCAGCGGGAAAGCGTCCTACCGGAGCACGCAGCGGACGGGAGCGCGGCTCTGTGCGCGCACCTCTGGGGCCCTGACTGAGGAGAACGCCGCCCGGACCGCCTCGTCGCTGACTCTCCACTGTGGCGGCGATTCCTCGGGCAGCTGCGGCGTCAGGCCCCCGTTGGACGGCCCGGGTTGCTGCCCGATGTAGGAGGGGCTCTGAGGGGGGCCCGGACGTGCCGCTGCGCAGGGCTGGGGGCCGCGGACGGGCGGAGCGTGGAGGCGCGATGGTGACCTAAACATCCGTCCGAGCTCGGGCCCGAGAGCCGCGCCGCGTGCGCGCGGGGCCACCGCTCAAGCACTCAGGATAGCAGGCGGATTTCGCATCGCATAGAACCTCCAGTCATCGAACGAGCGGATGGAGAGATGGCGAGGTGGGAGTGCCTGCGCAGGGCCGGCGCGCGCGCCGACCAGCGCACTACAGCGCCCGCACGGTCTGACGGGCCCGACTGCCGGGACGGGGGGGGGCACCGGGTGGGCGTCCCCGCGCGCTGCTGGGGCGGGCTCAGCGGCGGACCCGCGCGGCTCGCCCGCGGACATTTGCCTGCGAAGCTACACGGGGTCTCTACAGCGCTTGGTGCGGGGCAGCGGGAGATAGCCTAGCCTCCCCCAGTGCTGTCGTCTGGGATGGGCTTGCTGCGGCGGGCGCTGGCGCGAGCGGTGTTCCTCGCGGTCGTCGTCTTCTACGTCGTGCCGTACTCGTGTCTGATCCTCGCGCGCGTCCTGTGGTGGTTTTTCACGAACCCAACCACATGCTTTTACACAAAGGACCGCACGGGCGCGCCCGACGTCGCGGTGCCGCCGTTCGCCGACAAGACCTTCATAGAGCACGATGACATCAAGCTCCACGTCGTCCACCGCAAGCCTGGCGCCGGCACGCGCAACATGAGGAGCCCCAGCGCGCCAAAGCCCAAGCTGCTTCTGATGGTCCACGGATTCCCCGAATTCTGGTACTCGTGGCGCCACCAGTTCAAGGTGAGCAGCCGGGGCGCCACGCCGAGCCCCACCGCTGCCCCTCGCCTGCCGTCCGCCACGACGCCCCTGCACCGTGGCGCACCCCGCAGGCCCTTGCGCCGCACTTCCACGTCGCGGCGATGGACATGCGGGGCTACAACCTCTCCGGCAAGCCCCGCCTCGTCTCGGACTACGACGCCGAGAAGCTGGCCTCCGACATCCCCGCGGTTGTCAGGGGCCTCGGGTACGACACGTGCATCCTGGTGGGGCACGACTGGGGGGGCGCCGTCGGGTGGCTCGTGTGCCACCTGCACCCGGAAGTGGTGGAGAAGTACATCTGTCTCTGCGGGTGAGCCGGAACAGCAGCGCCCGCGCGACCGACGAGCCAAGGAACGGCGCAACGGTGTGCCGTCGCGCGTCTTCGTCGTGACGCCTGCGTCCGCCCCCGCGCCCGGTGCCCCCGCAGGCCCCACCCGCGCATGTTCCAGCGCAACATGACCCTCGGGCAGGCCCTGCGCTCCTCCTACATCATGGCCTTCCAACCGCCGCTCATCGCCGAGGCCTGGATGTCCGCGTTCGACTTCCGCGGCGTCGCGAGCGCCTTCACGAAACCACCCTTCGGCGCCGTACAGCCCGGCGCCATCACGAGGGAGGACGTCGAGCGCTACAAGGTCGCCATTTCGCGCCCCGGCGCCCTCACCGCCACACTCAACTACTACCGCGCGGCTTTCCGGTGAGTGCCGCCCCCGCCCTTCTCCCCCCTCTCATGCTCACCCGATCGAGGGGCGACCTCGTGCGCACGTGCGGCGTGTGTGGTGCAGGAGGATGGGGTCTGGCGATCCGCCCGAGACGCGACAGGCGATGCGGCGGCGGCTGCGGATGCCGGTGCTGGTGATGGCGGGTGCGCGGGACGCTGCGTTGGGGACGGAGTGTTACCGGAACATGGAGGAGGTGTGCGAGGACGTGCGCGTGGAGATCGTCGACGACGCGTCGCACTGGCTGCAGCAGGACCAGCCCGACCTGGTGAGCAGGCGGATACTCGAGTTCGCCGGAGGGGGCGCCGCCGAGTAGCTGAGGCGCGGCGAGGTGGGCGGTCCCGTGTCAGGCAAGTAAGGAGTCGTGTCAGACACGGGACGGGGTTGTGACGCCGCGGCTCCGCGCACGGGCCCATGAGATGCGGAATCGCACGAGGCCTTCGCGCACGCGGCGGCGCGGCTCGCGTCAGGGCCCCTGAGCTTCTGCCCCGCATCCTGAGCTGGCAGGGGGGGGGTTCTGGCGTCTTGCGGCCGATGGGTCGTGCCGGGAGACGAGGCCCACCGAGCGCGTGTGCCGGTGCTATTGAATCAACTCGAGGTCACGCACGCCCAACCAGCGTCGCTCGTGGCCGCGGAGGTCCTCTCACACATAGGACACGTGTGGCCGCGAACACATCATCCGCGGGATTCGTGTGGCGCATCGAAGCGTTGAATTCGTGGATCTGTGCGTCTGCAACGCCTGAGCGTAGTCGACGTCCCGACATTCTGCCGCAGCGCGTCGGAATCCGCGTCTGTGGACCTTTGCTGTGGCTCTCTCACGCCGGCGTCGGCGATGGGCACGGGGCTGTCGCGCGCGAGCCAGGCGGACCGGTTCCACGTTGAGAGAGTCGAGGCGGAGGCCGCCGTGCGCTGCTTGACCTCCGTGACGTATCTCAGGAGAGCACGCTCCGAAGCGCGCGCCTTCCTCGTCTTCCACGGAGCGCTGTGCAAGGACGCGCCTGCCGGAAGCGCTGACGTCTCACCCTGCAACGGTTGCCATGAACTAGGCGAATCCGCACCAAGCGCTGGAGGGACGGCCGAAGGGGCCGCATCCGCGCCGGTGGCGCAAGCACTTGCCAGCGGGGCGCCGGGGACTGCGGACAACAATACATTCCTCGACGCCGAACGGCCCCGCGGCTGCTTCAGGATAACGGCTCGCTCGAGGAGGCAGACCGACGGCGGCGAGACGCGGGCGGCGTGCGGGGCGGCCGAGGTCAACCGGGCCGGTAGCGCACCACTCAAGCTCGCCTCCGGGACGGCCCGGAAGCTCGCCGAGCGTGTCGCGGCGCACCGCGAGTCTCTCAAGGTCGTCAACGCCCTCTCGCGCCTGCCCGACGCCCTCGTCGATCACATCGCGCGGCTGGTGGCGGGGTACGAGGCTGTGCTCCCCAGTGACCCAGCGCCCGAACGTCGCGTGTCAGAAGGCGGCGGCCGGCGGGGCTCGATCGCCTGCGAGCGCATCCGGCTGGATATCCCGAAGTACGAGGCGCTGCTCGCGTCGCGTGCGGCGCGCTGCCGCGACCGCGGCGTACACGGCGCAGACGGGGCGGAGGTCGTCCCGCACGCGGCCGTGCAGCGCGCGCTCGACTCGCCCGGCGTCGCGATCGTCGACCTGTGCGGCGCGCGCGTGTCCTCTTCCCCGCACGACGGCCCGCTGCGCCTCCGCCGCCCGGGCGTCGCGCTGGTGAACGGCACGTTGGAAGGCGTCGTGGGGGCTCCCGTCTCGTCCAGCCGCTCGTACAGCCCGCTGCGCACGGCGCTCTCGATCGAGGCGCCGGGGTGCCGGCTCGAGAACATCTCCGCGAGCCTGGCGCCGCGGCGGCGCGAGGGTCGCAGGTCCGCGGACACCTCCCCCACTGCCGTGTGCCTCGTGCAGGGGGCGGGGACGCTCCTGCGGCGGTGCCGGCTCGTAGCGTCGTCGCGGGTGGGGTACGTGATGGCTGTGCACGGCGTGAACACGACGGGGGTGCGCGTGGAGGGCTGCGACCTGGTGAATCTGGTGCAGCCCCACGTGCTGCTGTGGAACGTCAGCAGGGCGCGCGTGACGCTGCGGGAGGCGCCGGAGAAGCCGCAGACGTCGTGCCGGCGCTGGGGCTCGCACATCTCGATGAAGTAAGGGCGCCGGTCGGCCCAGACATCACGCGGGGCCTGTCGTCGCGAGGGCCTGCCCAGGGACTGCTCTGAGGCACGCCTTCCGTTTCGATCGATTCTTTCCACCTCCCCCCAGCCGTGTGAGTCTCACCCCACGCCGAATACGACTTTCGCGTCTCACACGATCCTCCGCCATCCAACAGACACTCGATCTCGCCGGCATGTGTGGGCACACACACCCTCGCACCCTCACGCGCCCTCGTTCTCGTTCTTGAGCCCGAACAAGAACTCCAGGTCCCCGAGGCTCAGGCGGTTCGTTGGCCCGCCCGCCTCCGTCCCCGCGGGCCCCTCGCCCAGCGCCGCGCGCACCATCTCCTGCTTGCGCTCCTGCAGCTGCGTGATGCGGTCCTCGACGCTCCCGGAGATCGTGATGCGCGTCACCGTGACGGCGCGCGTCTGCCCGATGCGGTGCGCGCGGTCGATGGCCTGCTCCTCGACCGTAGGGTTGAACCACGGGTCGAGGAGGATAATGTGGTTGGCACACACGAGGTTCAGGCCGAGCGCCGCCGCCTTCAGCGACATGATCATCACCGTGACCTCGGGCCGCTGCTGGAAGTCCTCGATGGCGCGCTCCCTGCACGGACGGACGCAGAGGCGGTGTGAGCGAGACAACCAACACAACAGAGCCGTGCTGGTCGGCGCCAGCGACGACACCGCGCGGACCGCGCCCGCTGCGTCGCCGCGCTCGCGTGTTGCTTGCTTCGCGCGGCGCCCACCTGTGCGCGATGCTCATGGTCCCGTCCAGCCGGCGGTACCCGTACTTCTTGGCGTCCAGCCGCGCCTGCACGAGATCCAACATCGACGTCCACTGCGAAAACACGATCGCCTTGTCGGGCATCGCCGCCGCCGTCGACGCCGTCCCGCTCCCCGCCGCCGCCGCCGGAGCCACAGGCACCGGCGGCAGCTTCCGGAACGACCCCAGCAGCTTCCGGTCTGACTTCACGCGCGAGTACCCGCCCGCGGCCCCCGCCGCGCCCGCCCCCGGCTCCTTCTTGCTCTTGCTCTTGCCCGCCATCTCGTCAAGCTGCCGCATGAGCTCGTCGAGCTTGCTAGACGACGGCACCTCGCCCACGGCGCACGCTCTCCCGGCCGCGCTCTCCCGTGCGAGCGCCTTGCCCTCCGCGGCCTTGCTCGGATCGGCGGCGGCGAGCGCGTCGGGCGTGAACAGGTCGATCGAGCTCAGCTCTAGGCCGCAGAAGGGGCACTGGAAACCACCAGAGTCCGCGCCTGGGCCACCTCCCAGCGCGGGGGCCGCGCACTGCGCGCAGAACACGTGGCGGCAGCGCGACGCCATCGGGTCCTCGGGGATATCGCCGCACGTCGCACAGGTCGCGGGGGGGTCTCCCGAGAGAATTTGCAGCAGGTCCGTCCTGCGGGAGGAACGCGCGGGGAGCAGGAGAGCGACGCGTCAGGTGAGCGGAGGCGCTGCGAGCAGGGGGCCTTGCGCGACGACGGGCGCTGCGACGGGGCCTGCGCTGGGCTCTGCCGGGGCCACAGTACGGAGCGTGCGAGCGGACGTGTGCGGGGTGCACCTGAGTTCCGCGGGGAGCTTCTTCGCCGCCTTGACCTCCGCGGAGATGTGCTTGGAGTGGTCCGCGGACCGCGCGGCGCGCATGGTGAGGAGCTTCCGGTGGTTGCACGCCTGCCGCAGCCGCAGCAGCAGCAGCAGCATGTTGGCGTACTGGCTCCCCGGCGCGCCCGCGCCGCCCTCGCGGATCTGCCGTATCTGCTGCAGGCTCTCGCGCCGCAGCCGGTCGTAGAAGGCGCGCTCCTCCGCGTTGAAGCTGCACACCTTGCGCACCTGCCGCCGCTCCGGGAGGCTGATGATGGGGATGCCGTCGATCTTCGTGCCCTTGGTGCGCCGCAGAAGCACGCCCTGGAGGATGGCCTGGACGCGCCGGAACGCCGTCGCGGGGTCCTGCGCGGCGGGGTCCTTGACCATGACGCGGAACGTCGACGGGTCCGAGTACGGCTGGTAGCGCAGGAACATGAAGAAGGCCAGGAGGTCGTCGAGCGAGTTCTGGATCGGCGTGCCGGACAGGCACCACCGCGACTCGGCGTGCAGCGCGCACGCCGCCGCGCACGTGATCGTGCGGTGGTTCTTGATCATCTGCGCCTCGTCGAGCACCACGCGGCCCCACAGGATGCCGAACAGCGGGCCGCCGCGCAGGAGCTTCTTCCGGGACGTGCCGGGCGGGCCCAGCATCGGCCGCCCGGGCCCCGCCACCTCGCCGCCCTCGCACGGCGCGCCCTCGGGCCGCGCCAGCTCCCCGTGCGGCATCTCCTGCCCGAGGATGGCGTACGTGGTCAGGACCACGTGGTACCGGCTCAGGATCGAGGGGTCGCGCACGCGGCTGCTGCCGTGGTAGACGTACAGGCCCATGCCGCACGACGCCCCCACGCGGTCCTGGAACTCGCGGCCCCACTGCTGCAGGACCGTCGTCGGACACACCACCAGCGTGCCGCCGCGCCGCAGGCCCGGGCGCGGCGCCCCGCTCCGCGCCGCGCCCCCCGCGCCGTCGCTCCCGGCGCCCGTGCTGCCGCTCCCGGGCCCGGCGGACCCCGCGGAGGCCTCGGAGGCCACGCGCGGCATGGCGGGCTTGCCGTTGGAGGGCGCCGCGGGCGGGACGACCTGGCCGAGGGAGCCCTCGGGCGGGCGGTTCGTCGCGATGAGCGCGAGGACGCTGATCGTCTTCCCGAGGCCCTGGTCGTCGGCGAGAATACCCCCCTGGGGGACTCCGCCGTCCTCGCGGCGCGCCATCCACGACAGCCCGAGGCGCTGGTGGCGCAGGAGCGGGACGGTGAGCGCGCCGGGCGGCGGCGTGCGCTCCTCGTTGCCGCACGACTGCAGGGAGTCCATCACCGCCTTGAGGGCGCGGCGCGCGTCGGCGTTGGGCGGGGACGCGTCGTCCGGGGGCGACGGCGCGCGCTGCTGCGGGGGCGGCGACGCGTCCTGCGCGGCCGCGGGGGGCGTCGTCGAGCGCCCGGCGCGACCCGCGCTGCCCGTCGGGGCCGCGCTCGTGCCCGCCGCCGCCCCGACTGGGTCGCCCGCGCGGCCGCGCGCAGGGGCCGCCGAGCCGTGCGGAGCGCCGCCGTCGGAGGGGGTCACGGGAGGATCCCGCGGCTTCGCTGCTGGGGCGGCACCGCGGCCGGGTTTGGGCGCGGCGGGCTGGAGAGAGGCCAGGCGAGCCCTGCTGCCTGGTACCGTCGCGTCGGGCTCGTGGTCGCCGGCAGACGGACTCCTGGCGGTGCGAGCGGCGGCGTCGCTGGCTGGGCCCGCTGGTGCCGTCCCGTTGGTGCCAGTATTATCGGTGGCGTTGGGCTGGAGGCGGCGTCGCTTGCGCTGCAGTGCCTCCAGGTCCCCCTCGCGCGCCGTGCCTGGCTCGACGCCGTCGTTTCTGGCCGCCCCGGTCGGTGTCTTACCCTCGGAGCCAGCGCCAGCGGCGGACGCATTCCTGCGCGCCTTCCGGCCGCGCCCGGCGGGCTGTCCGCCAGAGGCTCTGCCTGGTGTGCCGGCCGGCGCTCCTGGGGCGTCGACCGTCTTCGCGCCGATGCGTTTTTGGCCGGGACCCGAAGCTGCCATTATTTCAATATCGCTGGATCCCGAATCCTTGCCAGATCCACCCATGTCGCTGCGATATTGGGCGGCTTCTCCCTGTGCCCGTCGATCCGGCCGGCCCTACTGGCGGCGCGGACGGCGGATAACGGCGGCTTCCTCGCTCCAGAGTACAACGGTCATCCCCGTGAGAACCCAGAATGCGGACCACGGGCCCAAAACAAGCCGCCTACCACAGCTCCTGTGCGGCGGACACCGCACACGTCGCCTTGCTCTCGCGCCGATCAGGGGACTCTATTGAGGTGCTCCTATCACGTGCTGGCGTAGAATCACACGTCCCCGTACGGCGAAGTCCCAATATGTCCCTGACGGTGAGTAGAGCCCCCCCCCGGCCTGGTCGGTCTGGGCCCGCCCCATGTTGATGCCAACCTAGGTCGCACCGACCCCCCCCCCCGCCACGCGCCCGGCGCGCCGCGGCCCCCGGCCCGTGCGGAGCCGGGTCCCTCGCCGCAGGTGCGAGACGGCCGGGCAGCAGTCCGAGCCCACACGGTGCAGCGGAGGCAAACACCACCGTCGGCAACGTGCATCGACGCCCCGCGTCGCACTGGCGACGTGAGCCGCTCCAGGCGACCGGCTGATGCGGCGCGCCGGGCCTCGCGAAACACGACCACCCCGCACTCAGCCTGGTTCACACGGGGGGAGTGGGAGAGAGTGGTCTCGGAGCCTCCCTCCAGAGGGCTATTTCTCCTGCGCTGTGCTACCGCAATGCAGCGACACACAAACGACGACATTTGCGACGTGGCCTGCACGCCACTGGCGCACACGGCACTCTTGCATCGCGATCTGATGCGTGGGAGGTTCCGTGGGTTCAACGGGGGGCGGGGGGGCGGGGGCGCGTCGATACAAGGCGCGGTGGTTACGACCGCGCGGGGAAAAACCGGCTGCGTGTGTCACGGCCCTAGGGCTACCAGGGCTGACGGCCCTGGTGTTACGGTGGGGTGCGTCCATGGTGGTGGGCGCCCGGGGGGGGTCGGGGGACGAAAGGATAGATGCGAATGCAAAGGTCGGCCGACGGAAGGGGCCTGTTCCTGCGCGGGCGGCCCGTCGCCGCTGCCGCGCGTGCGAGCTGGTGACGGCTCCGCGCCGCTGGCACGCGACTCGAGGCGCCTACACGACGTTGGAACTGTCGTTGTCCTTCACGGTCAGCGCCTTGCTGCTCCTTCTGCGCGAGAACAGGCTCTTGCCGCTCTTCTCGACGCGCTGGCTGGTGCCCGGCGACTCCGCGCCGGTGATCTGGCGGCTCTCGCGGGTCCCGAGGGCCGAGACCACGCTCTCGACCTTCTGGCGCATGGCGTCGCGCAGGGCGTCGAGGTCCATGTCCAGCACCGACGCCGGGATGCCCTCCGTGGGGAGGAAGATGATGGCCTGGTGCTGCAGGAGGTCCATCGTGACCCTGCGGTCGCCCACCGAGGCGCGCCCGGCCGCCGGGGTGCTCGCGACGCCCGGGCCGTTGCGGGTCGGCGTGGCCGCGCCCGCGAAGATGCGCCCGGCGTCCTCCGGGAGCGAGCCGGCCGTGGACAGGCCAGTGTCCGCCTCGCCCGCGGCGCGCCGGCCGCGGCGCTTCGGGTTGGCGCTGTTGTCGGCGAACAGGGCGCTCGACGCGATGGTCGAGGCCGCCGCCTTGGGCGCCTCGTCGGCCGCGCCCGGGAGCGCGTTGGTCCACTCCTTCTTGGTGGTGAACGACTTGCGGTGCACGCTCGTGGTCATCACGTCGAGCATCACCGCCTGCGGGATCGGGATCCGGCCGTTGCCGTCCGGTGCGTTGCCGCGCGCCGCGTTGCTGGCCGTCGTGTTGTTGCCCGCGGTGGTGGCGACGCCTCGCGCAAACGCGCCGCTGCGCCGCCCGGTGGTCTTGCCGTGGTCCATCGAGGCCCGCACGCCCATGCGGTTGAGCGCCAGCGACGGGCGGCCCGTGCGGATGTCGACCGACCCGCGGGGGCGCCCACCCTTGTCCAGGGACTGGCGTGCGTTGCCGGCGGGCTGGCCGCCGCCCGTGTGCGTGATGCGGAGCAGGTCGCGGCGCTGGTACTCGATGATGTTGAGCCAGTAGACGTACGTGGACTCGAGCCCCTCGAGCATCCACTTGTGCCACGGCGCCACCTTGACCAGCGCGGTCAGGAAGGGTCGCACCACGGCGTCGAGGAACCCCAGCTGCCCGACCGGGACGTAGTCCGCGAGGCGGTCGAAGATGGGCACCGTCGGGCCGATCCCGAGCTCGCGCTCCATCTCGCCCTGCCGGTAGAACTCGGCCACCACGCGCGTGGTCCACTGCGCCACCACCTCGCGGGACATCGACAGGTACCCGATGTCGGCCGCGTGCAGCATCGCGGTGAGCAGGTCCGTGCGCTGCACGTCGTCCGAGGGCACCGCGCCGCGCCGCGCCTTGCTGGCCAGCGCCTCGGCGAGCCCCTCGAGGCCCGCGGTGAGGTCGAAGTGCGACTTCATGTCGGTGCCCTTGATCATGGCGATGATGTTCCTGCGGATGGCGACGCGGTCCTTGCTCGGGAACCGCGCGAGCACGTCCATGTTGGGTCGCTCGCGCATCAGCTGGAAGAGCACCGACGTGTGCAGCTGCTCCTGCGGCGACAGGTCGTTGTACTGTATGGCCAGCGCGTGCTCCGTCTTGACCAGGAACTCGTTGCTCGTGCCCGTGTGCCCCGCGTCGTGCGCCAGCGCGGCCAGCAGCAGCGCGAACTTCTCCACGGTGGTCCACGACCCCAGCACCCCTGCCGAGTCCAGCAGCAGCAGGTGGCAGATGTGCAGCACCGACACCGCGTGCTGCCAGTTGTGGTACGGATTGCTCTGGTCGTACTTGCCCTTGAGCGCGTCGATCAGCGCGCGCAGCGTCGCCTCGTGCGGGCACCGCGCGTCGTGCTGCACCAGCAGGCCGTGCGTGCGGAAGATGCGCACGATCGCCGAGGGGAGCAGCGAGGGGGGCAGCGCCAGCACGTCGAACGCCGGCGTGTCGATGTCCTTCAGCCGCATGTCCCCCTTCGTCGAGCCGTTGCCGTTCGCCGCGTGGCCGTTGCCGTTGCCGTTGCCGTTGGGCACCAGTGCGTTGCCCCCGGGCCACACCATGTCGCTCAGGGCGCCGTTCGCGGGCGCGCGCCCGTTGCCCTCAGCCATGCCGTTCGCCACGTCGACCTTGTCGGTGGTGCGGTCGACGCGCGTCTGGTCGTCCATGTACATCCCCGCCCAGTCCCCCAGGCCCACGTCCGTGAGCTCGTTGCCGTCGGCAGCCGCCTGCACGATTCGCGCGGAGCCGCAGGGCCGTGAGCCGCGATGTCGCAAGGGCAGGGGGGGCAGTGGCGCGCGGTTCGGGAGGAGGGGGGGGCTGAGAAACACACCTCCTCCATCATGCGGGTGATGACCAGCTTGCCGCGCTCGTTGGCGCGGAAGACGAGCCGGATCGTCTCTCCGACGCGGCGCAGGGCCTCTTCGAGCGGCATGAGCTCGTCTGCGTCCTCCGCCTCCCCCACGGACCCCACGCTGTAGCGCACGCTGTTGGCGCCGTGCTTGATGAGGCCCTGCTGGTCGAGCCGCGCGCCGAGGTCCGTCAGCGACGCGAGCATGCTGCAGATCGGCTTCAGCACGAGCTCGTCCGACACCCACGTCATCCCGACCACCCACACCACCAGGAAGCCCAAAATCACCACCTTGTGGATGGCCATGAACCTGGGGGGGGTGTTTGGGAGGGCGGGGGGGTGTGACGGAGGTGCGGTAAGGGTGCGGTAAGGTGGGGCGGACGCTGCGGCAAGACGCGGGCTGCGCGCGACGTGCGCGGCGGTGCGCATGTGGTGTGTGTGCGCGCAGGGGGGTCAGGTCCGGGCACGCACTCGGCGAGGTTGACGAGGAAGGGCGCGGTGTCGAACGCCGCGGACGTGGACTGCGCTGCGTCGACGACGGTCATGACGCCGTCCTCGCGCCCCGCCACGCCGCCGTTGACTTCGTACACCGCGGTCCCGCTGGTGATGGCCAGCAGGCGGTGCGGGCCCGTCTGCCACTCGTCCTCCATGAAATCGTCTGCACGCACAGACACACGGGCGTCGCGTTCGGGCGCCGCGCGGGGACCAGCGGCGCTGGGCGGGCGGCGCTGCGGCCGGCCATGCTGCGCTAGGCGGCCAGCAACTCACCTCCGAGGGCCGCGAGCGCCGCGGCGTCCCCCAGGGGCACGTCGTTGATGCGCTTGATGACCGACTCGATCGCGCGCGTCCGCAGTATCGACGAGCGCTGCGCGAGCCCCCACGACACGAGCATCACCAGCAGCAGCGTCAGGCCGCCCAGCATCAGCATCAGCTCGCGGATCTTGAAGGCGAACCGCGCGCGCATGAGCTGGGTGCCGTCGCCGCGCAGGTCGCGCCAGGTGCGCTGCCGCCACACCACGATCATCGTCTTGAGGATCACCAGGGGCTGCGGGCGCGCGTGTGTGGGTGCGGGCGGACGTCAGGGGGCCGCGGCGGGCTGGGCGAGGCGCGCGGGTGCACGGCGGGGGACGGGCGGGTGGGCGCGCGGACCTCGACGATGAGGGCGAGGACGAACGCGCCCTGGAGCAGCTGGATGCGCCCGGTGCGGATGGAGGCCACGTCCTCGGTGCCGCTCACGAGGTCGTCGCGCCAGGTGACGCCGAGGTTGATGGCCAGGGAGATCGTCGGCACGAGGAGCGCCAAAGCCTCCATGCCGAGGACCATGACTGCGCGGTGCGGGGGCGCGGGCGCTCGATCAGTTGCCGTGGAGCGAGCCAGCGGCAGGGCAGCGCAGGGGGGCGCGGGGGCGCTGCCGGAGCGGCGGGGCTCGTACCTGAGCGCAGCTCCCGCTGCTTCCCGCTGATGTAGTGCGAGGCGACGGCGTCAGTGAGGAACACTAGGAGCGGCACGACGCAGATGGCCACCTGCGCGGCAATCGCCCCCGCGGTCCAGACCTCGCCGCGCGTCGCTCCCAGGACCAAGTTGTCCGCGAACACGAAGAAAAGCGACATGAACCCGACGAGGACGAACCATGGGAGCGACGTGAACACCTGCACACCGCCAAAAGGGCACACTCAGCCGGTGAGGCTCCCCGCGCGCGCCGCGGAACGAGCGGGCCCGCGCCCACAACGTTGCCCGTGGCGCAGCCGCCTGCCGCGCCCAGGCGGCGCTGGGCCGCCCCGTGGGCGCGAGGGTCGCAGAAGGTCCCTCTGCGAGGACCGCCTCAGTGATCGGCGCGTGCTGCCCCACGGCGCCGAAACACGGGATCACCTCCGCCCTCAACGCGCGGGACACCATGAGGGAGGGGGCGGGGCCACCAGCCGCACGCGAGCGCGCCCTCAGGGCCCGGAACGCGGCCGGGCACGCTGCCCTTGCAGGCCAGGCAGGGCGGCACAACCGGCTGCGCCTCAGGCGCTGGTGCGCGGGGGCGGGCGCGACGACGGAGCCTCGCGGCTTCCGGTCGACGCGGGCGGCGTTTCCGGCGATCCCGTGCGGCGGCAGCGCTGGGCAGCCGGCCTCCCCTCTGCAGCCAGGTGGTGCCTTGCCTTGATGTACTTGGGCTCCTCCTCGCCCTCGAAAAAGGTGGACAGCCGCTCCACGCCGGGCTCGAAGATGGGGTCGTCCTCGAGCATCCTGCCCCGGCCGTGCCTCGCCGCGGGCCTCGCTGTGGGTCGTAGCGCGGGCGGTTGTGTGTGTCGTGGGCGGTGGCGTAACGCGGCTGCCCGCTAGGTCGGAGCAGGTGCGCGACGGCACATCCAGCTGCGTCCGCAGTGGGGAGATCTGGCGCGGCGCGCGCGCGGGGGGCGCCATGGCCCCGGGCGGGCGCCCGGCGTCCGTCGTGGACATGGCGTCGGTTGGTGCACCCCCGCGTGCGTCACGTCGGGCTGTGGCCGCGGCGCCGCGGGCGTCAGGTGCGCGCGCCGGCGCGGGCATCAGGAGACAGCTCGTGCGCCCGCCTGGGAACGACGAGGCAGTGGTCGCTGGACGTGATGTGGGGGCAGGTGCTGGAGAGCAAGCTCTGTGGGGCGCGCCCCGCCGTGGGACGGCGCGTCCGGCGCCGCGTCGCGGGGCGCTGCGCGGTGGATGGCGCGAGGCGCCGGCAACGCGTGCGCACGTGGTCCGCCGCGGACTACTCGCAGCACACGGAGGGCGATGGTTGGGCGCGGGTGACGCTGCTGCGCAGGTGCGCGAACGCCGTCGACGGGCCGCACAGCTCGACGAGCGCGTTGTCGCCGATCACCCCACCTGCTTGCGGGCTCCGTCGGCACGCGAGCTCGGCGTTCGAGGAAGCGCGGGGGCTGGCCAGTGTTCCGTGGACTTCAATGCCGTCCGTGCGGCTGTGTCGGCCTGACACGGCACGCTGTTGCGGCCTTCGAGGTGTCAGACTACTGTCCTTGCCGGTGCGATACATGGAGAGGTCACTCGGCGGCCTCCCTGCGCCGGCGAGCGCTGAGCTTGAGCCAACCTGATGGGTGGTGGTGCAGGCAGCTCCAGGTCGCGGTGAAGGACGAGGATTTCGCGGCGGCGGCGCGGCTCCGGGACGAGATCGGGTCGCTGACGGAGGAAATGACGCCCATGACGCGCCTCCTGATGGAGAACATATCCCGCATCAGCTCCACCGAAACAGCCGAGCGAGTGGCCGCGATCAACGCCCTCGGGGTGCGTGACGGCCGCCGTCTCTCGCCCCGCGGAGGTCGCGTGACGATGTGTGCAGATTCCTCCAGAAACACCACGCTCGCGGAGCGACGGGGCCCGCTCCGGCCGAGCACTGGCCTGCGTTGACGGCGAGCAGCGGGCGCCCCACGCACGTCCGCACGTCCCGACCGAGTCCGCCTCCCCGCCTCCCCCATGCCGTGCAGGAGCTCGGTGACGCGCGGGCGTGCTCCGACCTGAGGCGGGCGCTGCACGGCCCGGAGGAGGTGCGCGAGGCGGCCCACTCGGCGCTGTGGAACATCTGGATGCGGCACCCGGACCCGCAGATCACCGCGCTGATGGTGCACGGCTGCAACGCCATGATGTCCCCCCACACCCTCCCGAGGTGCGCCGCACAGCCCTGACGGTCAGCCGCGCAGTGCCGCGACACTGCTGCGACGCGCACGAGCAGCAGGGCGGCCAGACCAGGTCGGCGTGACGTTGCTCTCGCGCAGGGCGGACGACATCTTCACGGAGATCATCCGGAGGGACGCGAACTTCGCGGAGGGGTACAACAAGCGCGCGACGGTGTATTACATGCAGACGCGCTACGACGACTCCGTGAGGGACTGCCTCACCGCGCTCGAACTCAACGTGCGGACCCACCTGACGCCTCGCTAGCCGGCCGTCTACAGGCTGCTCCGCGCCGCACCCGCGCGTACAACCCCGCATGAGACGCCGAAATGCATGTCTGACACAAGAACGCCCTCATGCCGCCTGGCTGGCCCGCAGCCGTACCACTTCGGCGCGATGTCCGGGCTCGGGCTGTGCTACACGGCCCTGAACCAGCCGGACGAGGCGGTGACGTGGTGGCGGCGCGCCGTGGAGATCGACCCGGGCCTGGACTGCCTGCGCTCGCTGAACGACAAGCTGGACGACGACGGGAGGCCGGGGGGCGACGCGGGGCCGACGGCGCTGTGACGGGCCGCCCGCGCGAAGGACCGACGTGAACGACGTGTACATACCAAACGATCGGCTGCGACCATGTGATGGCAAACCGCGAAGAGTGTCCATGCGTGGCAGCCCCGCGTGCAACACCGCGATGGGAAGGGGACGAGCTAGAGGCGGCGTGCGGGTTTGGAGCTCAGCGTGCAGCGGGTGGTCGTTCTTCGCTTCGCGACAGGAGCTGGCAGGGAGGAACACTACAGTTCAGCGGCGGGCACATAGTTCTTCGCTGACCTACGAGCACCCTCACCGCGAGGATGCCGGAGCGACCGAAATGGTACGGCAGGCGAGACTCACACAGCAGACAGGGTAGACAATGTGAGCAGTCATGCATGTCGTACACACACCTGCAGGACGGTGAGACAATGCGGGGATCGTTCAGGAAGCGCACAGCGTGCTGCGTGAGTCTCTGAACGACCCCACGTGACGACGGGCCTTTGTGCCTCGGTCCAGCAGCACGTCCAGAGTCCAACCGACATGAGTCAGTGTCCCCCCGGGGGTGTGTACCCACGCTGCCACCGCGCCGCCGTAGGGGCACGGCTGCAGCAGGCCTTCACGAACTTCGTGGGATTGTCGGGCTGGGTGGAGTACGCCTCGGAGAGAACAAGCGCGGACCATTACTGGCGCATGGGGGCGCGTAGCACTTTCGGTACGGGTCCATATCCCGCCTACCCCATGCGAGGCCGTCGCCCGCATTCCTGGCGTGCCGGTATCGCGGTCAGGCCAGTTGGGCACCGGTCATGCGCGTGGTCGCTACGGTGGGAAACGTTCGGCACAGCGAGCGGGCTGTGCGCTGGCGCGGCGACGTGGCTAGGAGGTGTCGGTTCGCGCGGAGCGCGTGACGCCGTGCTTCGCACTTGGTATTTACAAGCACTTGATCCTGCGACGAAAGAGACGCGTCACCCCGAGCGCTCGGCGATCGCTGCGCCCTCGATTCAGTCGACCCGCACATCGTAGCGCGCGCACGCCGCGTCGAGCTCTGCGGCGGCGGCGTCCATCGCGGACAGGAAGCGCGGCACGTCTGCGCCGGGGGGGGCGTGGTGGCTGCGCAGCATCCGCTCGTCGAGGAGGCTGCCCCCTGCCGGCACGTAGTCGTTCAGCCCAGCGCTGTTATCTGCACGCACGCCGGTTCAAGCACGCTGTCAGTCAGTCAGGATGACAAAGAAAGACCAGAACAGCAGCAACAGCAGAGGCACGCGCTCCCGGTGCGCTCGTGGGTCGGGTGCGCACTGTCGGCGTCCATGAGCAGGCCGTCTTCGTGCCCGTTGTTGACCACGGTGCAGGAGCGGTGCACGACGGCGCAGGACCGCCGCTCCGTCATCACGCCCACCGACCGGTTGCCCACCACCTCGCAGTCCCTGAGCTCCATCAGCGTCCCGCCGTCCACCGCCCGCGCCCCCGCGTACGTGTTCTCGTTCAGCTTGCACCCCAGCGCGCGCACGTGCGCCCCCTCGAACACGTTGAGCGCCAGCGAGTTGGCCAGCGAGCTGCACCCGCGCATCAGGATGGTGCTGCCGCGCTGCACCGCCTCCACCGCCTGGTAGTTGTGCCCGCGGACCTCGCCGCCCTGGATCAGCAGCACGCCGCCGTCCCACGTCCCCACGCCGGAGCCCGGGTTGTCCCTCACCGCGGTGTCCAGCAGCACCAGCTTCGACCCCTCGCGGAAGCACCACGCGCCGTTCCAGCCGTTGTTCTCGATGCTGCACCGCACCAGCGTGCACGTCGCCCGGCCCTCCGCGCCCCGCGCCGCCTCCGCCCGCGGCGCCGCCGGCACTCGCGCCAGCAGGGGGGCGTACAGCCTCTTCCAGCGCGCAGGGTCCAGGTGGTGCCGCACGACCCACTTCGGGACGCCCGTGACGTCCACCGACGCGCCCGCGCCGCCCCGCGCCGGCGGGGGCTGCGCCATCCCGCGCCACCACGTCATGATGCGGTGGAAGGTCCGGAAGCCCTGCGGGCCGCCCGCGGCGCCGGCGGGCAGCTCCGGGGCCGGGGGCGGCTGGGAGGCCTCGTTGGCCTGCAGCGGAGTCGACGGGTTCCCGGCGGCGGGTGCGGCCGGCACGGCTGCGCTCCCACCGGCCGCACCGGGCAGCGCGGGCCCCGCGGCCGCCGCTGACACCGCGTCCGGCGGCTGGCTGCTGGGCGGCGGGGTGGTGGTGGTCGAGCTCCGTCCGCGGGACCGCTGGCCGCCGTTGACAGGGATGTCGATGAAGTTGAACGCCCCCTCCCTGACAACGATGACTGCGTACGACCTCCGCGACTCCAGACCCCACGTCTTCGTGACCGTGACGCGGTTGAGCGTCAAGGAACCGCCTGCACAATCAAGTCCGCTAGCGAACGGGTGTTCCTGGGCGCGGCGAGCGCGCGCAACAGCGGCGAGCTCCTCCCGTCTCACGCGCGTGTGCGCACCTGTCACGATGATCCCGCCCCACCGCGCCATGTTCCCCTCCGAGCCCAGTCCCGGGGGGCGCTCCAGCCAGTTGCCCCCCGCGGCGGGGCTCCGGTGCAGGCACAGCGCCTGCACCCCGGGCATGATGACTCCGTTGCGCAGCTCGAGCTCCCGCGTCCGCACGCGCTGGCCGAGGTCCAGGTGCAGCGGGCCCGGCAGCCGCACGACGCGCCCGCCCAGGTCGACGCAGCGCACGCCCTCGCACTGCGCCACGCTGGCCAGCTCGTGGCCCTCGCCGGTGCGCAGGTGCACGGGCAGCGCCGCCGCCGCCTCCGCGATGCAGTCGAGCAGGTCGCCCGGGAGCCGGTACAGCGAGCGCACCACCGCGACCTCCTCGTCGTCGTCCCCGGCGTCCTGCGCGGAACGAGGGCCCCTTGCAACTGGCGTGGGCACAGGGCCGACCCCGGCCAGCGCGGGCGACGTCGCGGGGGACGGCGCACGCACCTGCGTGGGGCTGTCTCTGCGCGAGCTGCGGCCGCTGCTGGACGGCGTCCGCGCGGCTGCGTCCTCGCGGGCGGCCAGCACGCGCTGCAGGAAGTGCCGCGTCGCCAGCACCCTGAGCACGGCCTCGGGCGCCATCGCGGTGTGCACGGCGGTGACGCCGGCGTACGACTGCTCCGCGTTCAGCTCCAGGTGCTCGACTTCCCTGCGCGGAGACGGCCGCGGTGCGTGCCGGCGTGGGGCAGGGGCGCGCGACGGTCGCGTTCCGCGGTCTGCGGGCGCAGAAGAGCTGCTGTCGCGGCGCGTCGGGCACCGCTGGGCTCGCGGGGGGCACCTGTGCAGGTCCCCGGTGAGGTCCTCCCCCTCCAGCGAGGCCAGGAGGTCGTCCTGGGCCGAGTGGTCTGCGTCGCCCGCCGAGGAAATGCTGACGTCCTCGACGTCGTCGTCGTCGTCGACGGGGAACATGTGCGTGTCCTCGTCGTCGTCGTGCTCTCCCTGGAACTGCATGCGGGGCGTCGAGCGGGCCGAGGTGAGAGCCAGAGATTGGTGCCTGTCTGCTCGGCGACGGCCGGTGGCAGGAGCGGGGCTCCGAGCCGACGGACGGGAACTCGCGGGACGTTGCGGGGGGGCCGTGGTCGGCATTCGTGGGCGGAGCGCCACGCGCCATCCGCGCTGACACAGCGCCAAGAGCATGGGTTGGGCAGCACGCGACCTAGACGTCGCAGGTTCGCAGCCGTGGACGTCGGGTGGAAGGACAGCGGTAGAGCGAGGCTGTCATGCGCACGAACGGCGCTCAGGCTCAGCGGGCAGCGCGCTGTGGAGGAGACGCGACGCAGGGTGCATCTCGGCCCGCGTCCGCCATGTTCCCGCGCACCGTTGTGAGGTACGACCGGAGCTGCTCGGTCGACGAGGTCTGCAGTATCTGTTGCTGCTGTTCCCAGCTCAGGCCGTTGAGGGTCATCGCCTCCTGGACCCGTGGGAGGAGATCCGCGTCTCCGGGGGCTGGGCCCGCGTTCTGGCCCTGCATCGCGCTGCCTTGCGAGTGGTGACCCTCCCCAACGCCCTCGTCATCCATCGTTGGCTTCTAAGCGGAGCGCCGTGCTGCCGCCAGGGCAACCATCAAGCTGTGCTTCGCTCGCCGAGGGGGGGGCGCCGCTGCACGAATATGACACGCACGGCACGCCGCTCGGCATAAACGGCCGCGCAGGGGCTGGAGGTGCGGTCTTGGCGACGTCACGCACGCGCTGGGGGGAGCGACGCCAACTTCCAGACAGACCGTCTGACATCGCGACGCGCGCGCCAGGTGCGGTTCCTGGCTGATTTCCGTGGCGCACAAGCATCCCGCACATTTGTTCTTGCGTGAGGTGATACGTTCACGCCATGACTTAGTATCGACGACCCCTTCGGAAGCGTTTTCCCTCACAGCAGCTGGTACGAGCGCTAGTTTGTGGCCTTCAGGAGGTTTTGAGGCTAGCACAACTAAGTCGGGCATTCGCTGAGCAGATAAGTGGGCGTCCGTCAAGATGAGGCGGAAAAAGCACAAGTCAATGCGACGAATAGTGCGCTACTATCAGGTAGGGTGACTGCTCGCGCGCGGCTCGGACCAGCGGCAAGCATTGCGCCCCGCTGGAGCCCCGGGCGGTCCTTCAATGGCACATCTTTGCCGTGAGCGCGTCGTCGCCGCGAGCGGACCCGGCAGGCTGCTCCCCTGAGGCACCATCCGCCCTGCGTGGCGTTGCAGGTGACGCACGGCTTCCGCACGCCGTTCAAGGTTCTCCTGGACGGCAACTTCGTCCACGCCGTCGAGAGCGCCCAGCACCTCGGGGCTCCGCAGGCGCACGTCGAGAAGCTCCTCGGAGCCACTTGCAAGCTGTTCGTCACCAGGTGAGTCGGCCTGGGCCCCTCCCCGCGGGCGAACGAACGCCGTGCGTCGCTGTGACGAGGCCGCGCACGCTCGGGTCCGTCCCGCCGCGCAGGTGCGTCATGAACGAGCTCCGCGCGATGGGCAAGGAGTTTGCGGGCACCACCGCAGCTGCGCGGAAGCTCGCCCTCGCGCACTGCGACCACGAGAGCGCGCCCCTGAGCGCCGCGGACTGCATCCTCAGCATGGTGGGGTCCGGCAACCGCGACCACTTCTGGGTCGCGACGCAGGCACGCCCCACAACGCCGTCACAGGCCTGTGGTGCCGATTGACCGCGCGTCCGCCATGGGGACGACTGTTGCTGAGTGCGGGGCTCCAGTGCGCCGGAGATGCAGGACAGGAAGGTGAGGAAGCGGCTCGCGGAGGTGCCGGGGGCCCCGGCGATGTTCCTGACGGTGAACGGCTTCATGCTCGAGGCCCCCCCGGGACTGGACCTGGAGCGGACCAAGGCGGAGCACGACAAGACGCTCGGGCTCACGGACCACGAGCGCGAGGCGCTCAAGGGCATGACGTTCTCGGACATCGGCATCAAGACCAGCGTGAGGTTCAAGAAGCAGGGGGCCAAGGGACCCAACCCGCTCAGCGTGAAGAAGAAGGAGAAGAAGAAGGCGGGCGCGGGGGCGAAGGTCGACGGCGGGGCGCAGGGCGAAGCGGGGGGCAGGAAGCGCAAGCGGAGGCGTGGGAGGGCAAAGAGCGAAGGCGACGGCGCCGGGGGTGACTGACGGGCAGCGGACTGCGCGGCGGTGCGTTGCCGCGGTGCCGTCACAGCGGCACTGTGACGGAGCACGAGCCCGAGGCACTGCACGGCCGTCTTCGTCGAAGAGAGAGACGCTGGCGTCACAAGTCATGGCGCGGCCCGGGCAGCGTGGCTCAGTCGTCGTCGTCCGAGTCGAACGTGACCTTGGTGGCCTTCTTCGTCATGTCGACCTCCTTGAAGTGCGCGCCGTACAGCTTGCTCTCCTTCTTCTTCACGTGCGTGCCAAACTTGAGCAGGTCCGAGGGCACCTCCATGCCCGCCTCCCGCAACACGTTCACCAGCTCGCCCGCCCGCGGCTTGTCCGTCTGCCCCGAGAAGAACGTATGCGACACACCTGCGGCGGCCCGGTCGCGCGCGCGTGCGTGGGTGAGCCAAGAAGCCAACCCTCGCGCAAGAGGAGTAAGAGCACGTGGACCGCGGGGAGGACGGACCTGACTTGCCGGCGCGCCCCGTGCGTCCGATGCGGTGCACGTAGTCCTCGATGGTGAGGGGAAACGAGTAGTTGAGCACCACCTCGACGTCGGGGATGTCGAGCCCGCGGGCAGCGACGTCCGTGGCGATCAGCAGCGGCACCGAGCCGGACTTGAACGACTCCACCGCTGCAGCAGCCGGGGGCACCGCAGAGCGCGCCAGTGAGCCCGCGGAGGCCTGGGCGACGTCGCGCGTGCGAAGCGGCCAGGCATGTGATGGGCGTCGCGTACCGCGCGTCCGCTCGGCCTGCGAGGCGTCTCCGTGCACCGCGGCGGCCTTCCAGCCCTTGCTGTTGAGGAACTGCTCCACGCGCGAGGCCTCCTTCTTGTACAGCACGAACACCATCACCCTGTTCTTGCGGCCCTTCTTGCCGTGGTACGTCTCCAGGAGGGCCAGGAGGCGCTGCGGGCGGTCGCTCGGGTCGATCACCTCGACGATCTGCTTCACGGAGTGCGACGCGGCGAGGTCCTGCGACCCCACGACGGCCTTGGCGGGGCGCGCGAGGAAGTCGTTGGCCAGCTGCTGGATCTGCATCGGCCACGTGGCCGAGAACATCGCCGTCTGGCGGTCCGCGCGGACGTTCGAACAGATCGCCTCGATCTCGGGCTTGAACCCCAGGTCGAGCATCCTGTCCGCCTCGTCCAGCACCAGATACGTCACCTGCACCGCACCACGCAGAACGCCGCCGCCTCGCACGAGCCCACAGCCTGGCAGGCGAGCGCCGGAGCACGCCGAGCTCGTGCGCGGGCATGCACCTGGCCTAGGTCGGCCGATCCGTCCTCGATGAGGTCGCGCAGGCGCCCCGGCGTGCCCACCAGGATGTCGATGCCCGACCGGAGCGACTTCTGCTGGGGCACCTTGGGCACCCCGCCGTAGACGCACAGCACGGACATGCCGCACGGCCGCCCCGCACCGTCGAGGACCTCCGCGATCTGCATCGCCAGCTCGCGCGTCGGCGACAGCGTGAGCGACGCAGGCCGTTTCCCCTTGACCACCCCGGCGGCCTTCTGCGCGCGGATGTGCTGGATCATGGGCAGACCGAACGCAAGCGTCTTGCCCGATCCCGTCGCGGCGATCCCCACGAGGTCCCTGCGTTCACGGCAGCCCGCGACGCCGCGTCGGCAACCCACATACACACACACAGCACCACACGCGCTGTTCACGACGCACCGCCGCCTCGGCCCGCACGAACTTCCGGGCCAGGGATCCGCCACCGCGCGCGCACCTGCCGCCGAGCAGCACGGGCCAGGAGATGGCCTGGATGGGGCTGGGCTGCTTGAAGGTGGCGCAGCTCTTGAGGACGTCCGCGTCGAACCCCGCGAGCGCGAACTCCTCGACCGGCCGCGCGTCGGAGTTCTCCACGGTCAGACCCAGACGCTCGTAGGCCGCACGGACCTCCGCGGCGCTCTGTGCGGCCACGCGCTTGTGTTCCTTGTACAGGTCCTGCAGACAGACACACGAGCGGTCGGGGGGGGGGGTGTCTGGCCGGGAGGGCGGGCGGAGCCGCACGCGGGTCCAGGTGCGCGGCTGCTGCGTCGCGGCGGCGCGGCGCACCTTGACGATCGCTTTCGCCGTCTTGGCGAGCTGGGCGTCTCCGACGACAGCCTGAGTGGCCGTGGTGAGCGGCGCGGCCTGTTCCTGCGCGCAAGGGGGCGCTGGGACGTGGAGGATGCTCAGTTTGCGCATCAAGCTGCGCGGCGCGGACGGCGCTGTCGGGACACAGGGGCAGAGGGAGCCCGTGCGCACCTTGGGGACCTTTGCCTTCTTCTCCTTCTTCTCCTTCCTCTCCTTCTTTTCTTTCTTCTCCTTCTTCTCCTTCCTCTCCTTCTTCACCTTCTTCTCCTTGACTTGCTTCACGTCCTCCTCCTCCCGCGCCCGCTTCTTCTTGCCATCGCTGGCCATTGCAGCCGCAGCCGCCGACAGGCAGCCCGGGCCCAGACGCCCTCCCGCGACTGAATGCGCGGCTGCGCTCCCCGCGGGCGAAACAGATCCGCGAGCCGCGACCGTGCGAGATCAGAGATGCTCTCGCGTCACGCCTCGGACCAGCTCTCCCGGCCTCCTGCAAGCTGTCGACGCACTCGTCCGGCCCTCTGGCGTCGATGCAGGGTATAACCGGCCAGTGATGCGACTCGATAGGACAAGGTGCTCGCCGGCACTTCGATGGCTGCCCGATGACTCGCGCGACCCCGCTGGCAGGCCGGTGCGGCTAGGACCCCCCCCTGACGCACACAGGGGGCGGCCGGCGAGGCGGCACGCGCGGCACCACGACCGGCCACCGCCCGCCGGCTTCTCTGAGCGATGCCTCACAATCGGAGTCGATCGGTGCGCTGCCCGACTATGTAAATATCTGCGCCTGGACCAGGCGGCGCCGCTGTGTTGTGTCAAACGCACGTGACCCGACCATGAAGGTGCGGCTCAGACGTTGAACCCCTCCTTCCGCAGACACTGCTTGTGCGCTTCGATCAGCTCCTGCGCTCGCCGCGGGCGCGCTTGGCGGCGTGTGTGCAGGGCGTGCACGACCGTGTCGTCGCTCAGGCTAGGGAACGTGCTCGCTCTGGTCAACGAGCGCGCCTCCGCGAGCCTGGATCCGTATAATGGCAGGGACTGAGATGCGCGAGGTGTTGCACGTGCGAACGGGCGCCCATAGAACCGGAAACGTGCAGCAGGGAGGCCGCGAGGAGCCGCGGTGCAGCCACACAGGGCCCGCGGACCGTCCACGAGGGCTGCCGTGCCGTGGATGCTGTGCTGCGCGGACGGTGCCATGATACAGGCGCCGTCGCGGCGGGAGCGCACCTGGCAGCGCGGGTCCTCCTCGCCGTTGAGCGTGATGCACTCGTCCCTTGCCGTCTTGGTCTCGGGGCAGGCGCAGCAGATCTTCTTCTTGGGCTTCGCCGCCTCGGGCTTGCTGCCCCAGCCCATCCAGGAAAACCAGCCCATCTCGGACTGCGCGGCACTGCGGGCGGTACCGAGGCGCCGGTGAGTGTGAGGCCCTGCACAGCGGGAGGGAGGGGCGCGAGACGGCCCCAGCAGCAGCGCCTGCAGGGTGGGCGCAGCGGGCAGACATCAAGACGTCAGGCGCTGGCGTCGCTGTCTCGTTCGCGCGACGTCGCGTGCGCCAGGCGGCGCCGTACCTGGCAGAAGGAAGTGTTTGCTCGCAATTCGACGAGTCGCGCGGCACGAGACGGTGTAGTGACGGCGCACGCGAACGACGACACGCGCTGGTGCTAGAATTCACCTTGCGCGTTCGCAAGTGCCAAACATGAGCGCCGCGAAGAGCTCATACCCTTGCGTCAGCTGGGGTCCGTCCCAGCGTGGCCCCGCGTCCCAGGACGTCCCGCGACGCCGTTGCCCGTCACGGTCACACCAAGGGCGAGGCGTAGCGAGGTCTGCGACGTGTGCCCCCGGCCGGAGACGCGCTCTCGACCCGCTTCCGTTGCAAGGAGCACAAAGCAGTTCTCGCTGCACCAGCCATGCATAGGTCGTAGGGATCCGACTGTAGCATACTTGTAGTGCAGAGTCCCTGCTGGAGCTTCTGCGCGCGTTCGATGCGGGCTGCGACCAGGCTGGCGTCCTGCCAGACCTGCGTGCCGAGTAGAGGGCGGAGGGTGCCGCCGCAGCAGCCGCGTATCGCACTGCGCGGGGCGCGATGCGTCGAAGCGCAGCACAGCTTTCGTGCCGCGACGGTGTGCCGCGCGGAGGAGCCGGGACGGCAGCGCGGCGACGCCCCCGACAGTGGTGATGGCCCAGAGTCGTCGGCGCGCGACGGGTTCATCCCCGACGCGGAGGTCCCCTTCCCCTCGGCCCGAAACGGCCTGGACTACTACTGCTACTGGGTTCTCGGCCTGCTCTTCCTGACCGACTTCACGCCGGCGGGCGGTCTCGTGTCATCGTCTGGCGTCGTCGGCAGCTCGACTGCGCAGCTCGCGACGCTCGCAGGCGTGCAGTGGGGCCTCTTCGTGGTACCCACGCTGGTGTCCGCGTGGAGGAAGGTTCAGGCCGAAGGTCGCGGGTTCGACGGGTTTCGCTCCACGTTTGGACTGCGGGGCTGCAGTGCGGGGAGCATCCTGCTGGGGCTGGCGGCCGGGCTGCTGACGTGGATTCTCGTCTACGGCGCGGTCGACCTGCGCATCACCGCCGTCAACGGGCTCGTCGGGCCGCCTCCCGACGCCGTCCCGCGCGCGGTCCCAGCTGCCAGTGCCGACACCATCGGAGCGGCGGCGATCGCGCTCGTGACGCTCTCCCCGGCAATCGCAGGTGCGCAGACACGAGCACGTCGCCCCACCCCGCGGCACGTGCGAGGCACAGCAGCCGCGTCGTCGCACGGGCACTCAACACCCCCCCCTCTCTTTCTTGTTTCCGTGCCCGCAGAAGAGCTTCTGTTCCGCGGACTACTGCTGACGGCGATCCGGACGCGCCTGGGCTCCGTCGACAGCGTGGCCGTGTGCGCGCTCGCGTTCGCGGTCATCCACTTCGACGTGCAGCAGATCTTCCAGCTCACCATGCTCGGGTTCACGTGCGGCTTCCTGACGCTCTCGGCGGAGAGCGTGCTGCCCGCCATCGTCGCGCACGCCGCGTACAACTGCGCCGGCCTCGCCTCCGCCGCGATCGTGGCCTCGGGCGCCACCTAACGCCCCATGCGGCCAACGACGCGTGCTTGCTCGCGCAGCGCTGCCAAGCAGCAGCTAGCTTCCGGAGGACATTCGTGTAACGCGCGCCGCATCCAGCACTCGCGACGGCGTGAACCCGGCGGGACCTGTGACGTCGTCGGCACACGTCACACGCTCCGCGCCCCCCCTACGCCCAGTCGTCGCAGCCAAGGTCCCGCAGCGCCGCGGAGCCGACGTCCTTGCACGCGCCGGCGTACTTGGTCATCGCTGCCCGAATCAGCCCCTCGGCACCTGCCTCAGCCACCACGGGCCGCAGCTCCGCGTTCCGCGCGACCAGGTTCCGAACGAGCATGCACCCCTGCCGCTGCACGGGGCCGGAGCCCTCGTGGCTGCGCATCGCCGCTGCAACCGCCGCCGGCCACCCGCAACCAGCAGCTCGCTCGCATCCGTCGGGGTTCCGTAGCAGCAGAGCCGCGACCGTCCCAAGCGCCTGCTCGACGACGTTGGACGCCGTGCCGTGCGCCTGGCACGCCGCCAGCGCCAGCTCGAGCGCCCCGGCCTCGCAGGCTGCCAGTCGCGCGGTGTCGCTGGCGGCCATCTGCCGCAGCATCGCCAGGCCGTGGTACGCGACGGCCTTCGACTTCATGTGCGTCTCGAGCAGCTTGAGCGCCACGGGGATGCCCCCAGCGTCCATGAACACCCCCACCGTCTCGTCGTTGACCGACACGCGCCGCACCGCACACTTGACCGCCGCGATCGCCTTGGGCGACCGCTCGGCTTCTGCACCCGCCTGCAGCACCCGCAACAGCGCGGGGTTCGCGATCTTACCCAGACGGATCCCCGTCGCGAACGCCCGGGACGCGGACAGGCCCGGGTGTCCTGGCGCCGCCACCACGCGGTTGCCCTCGTCGTCGTTCACGCACACGATGCCGATGGCGCCGCACATCGGCACGAGCGCAGTCTCGGGGATGACGGCCGCGTGCGCGTCGATCATCTCGACCAGGCGCTCCACGGCGCCGTTGTCGTACAGTGCGCACTTGTTGCCCTCCGCCTTCGTGGCCGCAGCCTGCGGGGCGCGAACAGCCGACAAGCGACAGTGAGTGCGGTGATTCAGCGCACCTCCGGGCGCGCGGCGCACGGGCTCGGGACCAGCGCTGCCCACGAGGCGTTGCAAGTCATCGGTGCGTTTTGGCCGCGGGTCGTGCCGGGCGCTCACCTCGGCGATGGTTGCCGCCGCGGCCACAGTGTCCCAGTCGTCCTTCTCCGCGTCGTCGATGATCTTCCGCACCTTCTGCCCGCCATCCGCGGACTGGAACGCCTTCTTGTTGTCCGGCGAACTCATCACCGCCGCCAACGCCCTGCTCGCCGCCGCCAGCACCTCGGCGTCCTTCCTCTCCGCCGCCACCGCAGCCACGTCCAGCAGGTGCTGCACCCCGAACTCCCCGTGCACCGTCTGCGCACAACACGCCAAGCACGTGAGTGTCGTCGACAGCCCAGAGTGGAAGGGGGGCAGCACGCTCTTCGGCAACGAACCGTCCGGCCAGCGGCCAGCTCACGCACGAGGATGCGGCGCCACGCCGGCGCGCGGCGCGCGTCACGCACGCAGGTTCGCGCGGGTCCGCACCACCAGCGCGCGCGCCTTGTCCTCGATGGCCTCCGCGCTCGCCTCGCGCGTCACGGCAGCCATCGCCTCGACGCACTTCGGGCTGCAGGCGTCGCCCCCGGCCAGGAGCTCGCGGACGACGTTGAACGCGGCGGTCACGGGGTGTTCCGTGCGCTCCGAGGGCAGGTTCTTCTCCACCGCGGTGATGTCCCCCCCCTGCATCTCGAACTCCTCCCGCGCCATGTCGATGGCCTCCGCGGCGTCGAGGTCCAGCTCGTCCATGAAGTCCTTGACCGCGGCGTCGAACTCCGCCTGGGAGACGGGCCGCTTGGGCTCGCTCGACGTCATGGCTGCGGGCGGGGGGCGCGCGGGGGGCGTCGGTGCGGGCGGCGCGGTCGAGAGACGCCGTGGCCGCTCGTGGCGGGGCGTGCGACGTAGAAGGGAGCCGCGGGGGACGGTCAGAGGCGCACGGGAGCTGCATGGCAGTGAAATGGACAGCCCGTTGTTCGTGGCGTGTGCCGAACAGCGGCCCACTGCGGCTGTGCAGGAGCATGGACTCAGTGATCGCAGAAGTCGGGTGGGCGGCGCAGACGTCGTCGCGACTCGCCAATTGCGCGGGAAACGGACGGGCATGGCACGGCGAGCGCCGCCAGGGCCCGCGGGCGGGTGTCCCGCGCGCCCCGCAGGATTTGGCGAGGATAGACGTGCGAGGGGCATCAACATGATACGGACACGACGCCGGGGCATCCGTCCCAGGCAGCTGCCGCGCTGTTGGGCGGCCGCGGCGCTGTGCAGCAACATGCGCTGCGCTGTGTTGGCGGGACGAGCCAGGACGGGCGCCAGCGCGGCGCCGGCGTGCCGGACGACGCGCGGCACTGACAGAGATGCTGGACGTGGCGAGAGGGGGCCTGGCACGCTCGCGGGCGCGCGCACCGCCCGCGCGGAGGGAGCGCACCGTGGGATGCGCTGCTGGTGTCAAGCCGCTGCGTTTCAAGCGCGTCCAGAAGCTCCTACGTTACGCAACCAGGTCCCTCCGCGCACGTGCGAGTCCGGCCCTGCTCGCTTCTGCGCAGCTCGCCCGGAGCGGCCCAACAAAGAGCGACAGAGACCACCCTGGTTCTACCCGCGGTTGTCGAGTCTGTTGGGTGTCGCGGCGTTGTTACCGGCCCGGGGGGCGCTCCGCAAGCAGTTCTGCGCAGCGGACCACACTTCATCTCCGATACACCTGTGTTCCGCGCCGTGCGAGGACCTCTCTGTTATCGAGGGAACTAGCCCAGGTGAGGCGGTGTGGGACTATCGAGTGTCGTCGCGACGTGCGCTCGTACAAACGTGTTCCTCCATCCCCGCGACGCTAGCTTGGAGCATCGAGGGATCGCCCTCGACGCGCGTCGGGCCATCTCGAGGTGCATGCAGTTGCCGATACCCGCGGCCTGCCCGCGGGGGCCCGCCCACGCGCGGATGCCGCCAGCGATGCGCGCACGCAGCAGCGGCCAACCTGGCCGGCCCAGTCGATGCGGTACACCGTCGCTGGCGCGCGTGTCGCTCGCGACGCTCCCGCTCACCTGGAAGGCGTGCGCTCCGCTCCTGCGGGGCTTCCGCACCCTTCTCGTGCGCAGCGCTACCTGATCCGGTCATGTCTGACGCCGCTGGCGACCGGGATCATCCGTATGTGTGCAGGAGTGCGTCGCGAGACCTCAAACCTCGAGAATGACTGTTGGCCACGCGCCCTCGAGAGACTTCGACGTCATACGAGGCCCCCGCGTCCATGGCGCGTCTCAGAAGCACACGACGCTGGGCGAGGATGTCGCCGCCGTGAGCCCCGCCATGGAGGTGCGCCGCCGTGCCCCCGCGAGCCCTAAACCTCGCGCGCCTCGCACCAGGGGCCCTCCGGCCGCCGCAGCGCGCCAACGCCGCGCTCCTCGGCCCCCGTGCGTCACACGATACCCGGGCGTCGTCCCAGGCGGCCCAGACGGCCGCGACGCCCGCCGTGCTCTCCGCGCGCAGGCGACCGTTGCTGGACACAGGACCTCCATCGACTTCTACGGCGTGTTTGACGGGCACGGCGGGAAGGCGGCGGCGGAGTACTGCAAGAAGCACCTCTTCAAGCAGATCGTGTACTATCTGGAGAAGAACCTGGCCAACGCGAAGCTCCCGAAGGCGGCCCTGGGGCTGACGCCCAACGACGGCGTGTCGCCCGCCCTGCGCGAGGAGCTCGCGGTCATGGACCTCGCGGTGTCGGGCTTGCCGCGCGCGATGGAGCAGGCGTTCGTCGCGGTCCACAACATGTACACCAGCGCGCACGACGAGGCGGGCACCACCGCCACGGTCGTGGCCGTGTGCGGGTGGGAGGCGGTCGTGGCGAGCGTCGGCGACTCCCTCGCGTACCTCGACACGGGCGCGCAGGTCCTGATGGTGTCCGCGAACCACCGCATCGAGGACAACGCCGCGGAGCGCGAGCGGCTGCAGGCGGCCGGCAGCGAGCTGGCGCCCAGCGACATCGGCGGGCCGGTGCGCGCGTGGCCGGGCGGGCTGATGATGTCCCGCACGATCGGCGACCGCGACGCCGGCGCGGCGGTCACGGCGCAGGCCGAGGTGCGCCAGGTGACGCTCCCGGCCACTGGCGGGCGCATCGTGGTGGCGTCCGACGGGCTCTGGGACGCCGTGAGCTGCAAGAACGCCATCCACAACGTGCGCGGGATGGCCGCGGAGAAGGCGTCGTCCGCGCTCGTCCAGGCGTCGATGCGTGCGCGCGGCCCTCGCGACGACATCACGGTGGTGGTCGTGGACCTCATCCCCTCCGCGGACACCGGCGTGCGGGTGCCCCCCGCGCTGTCGAAGAACACCCGCGCCGTGGACGCCGCGGCGATCGGCGACGTGCACGTCTCGTTCCCTCTGGAGTCGCGCGCTGCGGACCGCGACGCCGGCGGGCAGGCGCTGTGGCGCGAGCTCCTGGCGGCGCGGCGGCGCAGCGTGCTGGAGGGCCGCGCTCAGGAGCGCGAGGAGCGCGAGGCGGCGGCCGCGGCCGAGGCGGCGGCGCGGCGGCAGGCGGAGGCAGATGCGGAGCGGGAACGCGGTTTGACGCAGCTGGAGCGCGACCTGGCGGCGATGAAGGTGCCCATGGCGGACCTGCTGGACGACGACGGGTGGGAGACGCAGGGGCGGAAAAAGAAGCCCGCGGGGCGGGGCGGGCGCGGGGGGCGGGGCGGGCGCGGGGGGCGCGGTGCGGGTGGGGGGGAGCGGGGCGTGGAGGTCGCGCGGGGGTCGGAAGGGACGGACGAGGGGGACTCGCCGGTGCCGGGGCTCGGGCACAGGCGGACCGTGGAGGTGGAGGAGGCGGGCGGGGGTCGTGGGCGGGCGGGGCGGCGGTCGCGGGCGCGGCGCTGGCCGGGGCCGGGGCGGGCGCGGGCGCGGACGTGAGTCGGTGGAGGTGGCGGACGCGCCGAGCGAGGACGCGCGCGACGGCGGGCGAGGTGGTCGCGGCGAGGACCCGGTCGAGACGACCGCCGAGGTGATCAACGGCGGCGGCCGGGGGGCGGGGCGTGGCCGGGGCCGCGGGAGGGGCCGCGGGCGCGGCGGCAGCGTGCCTGCGACGGCACCGACGTCTGCGGTCGGCGACGCAGCGACGGCGGCACCGGCGCCGGACGTCGCACCTGTGGCGGTCGTGTCCAGCAACGGCATGGAGACTGCCGAGCCCGCAGGCGGGCGTGGCCGTGGCCGTGGCCGTGGGCGCGGGCGCGGTCGCGGGCAGGGGCGGTCTCGCACGGAGGCCGAGGGCACTGCCCCCGCCCCCGCCCCCGTCCCCGTCCCCGTCCCTGTGCCCGCGCCAGCTGCTGCCAAGAGCGCCGCGGAGAACGGCACCGCCATCGACGCGCAGACTGTCGCCACGAAGCCACGCAAGAAGTCTGCGCGCGGCGCGAGGGGCGGCGCGGAGGCCAACGGCGACGCGAATGGCAGCACGGACGCCGCCGGGGGTCCCAGCGACGCTGCGAGCGGCCCGAAGCGCGGCGCTGGGCGTGGCAAAGACAAGGCAGCGGGCAAGCCGAAAGCGAACGGCGCGACGAGCGAAGCCCCGGCGAAGGCTCGTCAGACGGAGAAACCGTACGACGTCATGGAGCTGGACTAGACACAGACAGGCAGGGGGAGGGGGGTTTGTCATTCGTGCAGGCAGCGGCCGGCACGATTGGTCCAGAGGCGCCGTCTGACGATGCCGCGGCTGCTGCTCATGTCACAGCCTGCCCTCGTGTGAAAGGGCTATATCTCCGTTGGGCGCCTTGCGGCCCTCAGACGCGCCCGCACCGTGTGCGCCGCCGTCCTCGAGGTCGCGCTCCGCCTCCACCTGCTCGCGCCCCTCGGCGCGCGGCCGTGGTGGCGGCGGCGGTGAATGGCTCGGCCCCTCCCCGTCAGGCCCGCGGGCTCGCGGCGCCGCCGTCCTGTCCGGCGTCTCGTGCACGCGAATGCCAGACACCTTGCCCTGCCCCGCCCACTCCACGCCGATCCCGTCCATTCCGTGCACGTGCCCCGCCCCCGCCTCGAAACCGCTGAACCCGCCGTGCGGGTGCCCGCCGCCCTCCGGAATGTCGTAGAGCTGCGCGGGACTCAGCGCCGCCGCCGCGCCCCGGGCCTTGCTGGACCCGGCCGCCCCGGTCCGCGGCTGGTCCCCTGACAGCAGGTCGCCAGTGTGTCCGACTGGGACGAAGGTCTTCGTCCGGTGGAAGCGCTTCTGACCCTGCGAGCGACCGCACTGGAACGCCGCACGTCGGCCACCCGCGGCGCACCGGCGGCCGCTGCACGGGACAAACGCAGTGCAACAGCGCAGGTGCAGGGGGTGCGCGCTTGCCTCGGAGTAGAGCACGTAGTCGTGGTACTGCGGCGCGAACTGGTGCACGGTGTCGGAGACCACGTCCCGGAAGGAGATGGCGTGTCCGATGTTCTGTCCGAGCGAGCGCGCCTCCCCGGCCTCGGCGACGGTCTTGTACTCGTGGTGCGGGAAGGCGTACCAGAGCCCGACGGCGGCGGCGGCCATCTCGAGGCAGACGAGGAAGTCCTGCAGGTCGGCGGCCTGGTCCTGCGAGCTGAGCGTGCCGGCCTGCACCATGACGGCGAACAGGAAGCCCTGCCAGAAGGTCATGAAGACCACGAACTTGACCACGACGAACTTGAGCAGCGGGCGGAAGGGCGCGAGGACCTCGCGCGTGCCGGCGTAGAACAGCGCGAGCGCCCACAGCGCGGTCGTGTAGCTGACGTTGTACACGATCTGCAGCCACACGAAGCCGCTCGCTGGGGACCAGTTGCCCTCCTCCCAGTGGCCCGTCTCGAACAGGACGAGCGTGAGGGCCGCGAGGACGGGCTTGACGAGCACGAACTGCAGCGTGTACTGCTTGCACCTGCGCGGCGGCGGAGAGAGCGTGTGCGCGGTGCGGCGAGTCAGGGGGGCTGGCGCGGTGGTCGGGGGGGTCGGCGCGCGGGGCCGGGGGGCGGGGCGCGGCACCTGCGGACGAAGCGGCCGTCGACGGGCATCTCGCTGACGCAGCAGGTGCAGTGGAGGAGGGACGGTTGGATGACCTGCCCCTCGCACTTGACGACGACGGCGCCCGGCCCGCCGACGTATTCGAGGCACAGGGTGAGGAACTCGTAGATGATGAACGCCTCGTAGCAGTCGCGGATGGTCTGCGGCGAGCGCCGGCGGCGGCGCGGCGTGAGGCTCGCTCCTGCGGCGCGTGCGCCTGGCGTGTGCTCGGGCGGGGGCGGGGAGCGCACCATGAGGTACACGGACGCGTCTCCGAGGAAGAGGTTGATGAAGGACGTCACCGCGTAGATGGGCACGATGAGCACGATGCGTATGATGTGGCGCTGGAAGTCTGGCTCTGCGTAGTACCGCAGGTGCTGGTACGCCAGCGCGAGCGCCGCCGCGGAGGCCCCGGCCGCGAAGAGGCCCGCGATGACGAGGGCGAACGTGGCCATCGCCATGGTGCCGGGTCGCCCAATTGCCCGCCCGGGCGGAACCACCCAAGTGCGATGTCTCGCTGCGCGGCAGCGCGCGCCGGCCGTCCTAAACCACCCTGGACGGCCTCCGGCGGTCTGGCTACTGCGGCTCGGGTCGTTCTTGCGTCAGCGGGCCCGGGAGGGTCCGGCTCGCGCTACGCGTGCCACCAGTGAAGGAGTGTTCCACGGACCCGCCGTGTCGGCGTATGTTCCCGGTCGAATTCGCTCCGCAAGACGTGAGTCGAGCTATCAAGCTTTGAAGTCCGCGCGGTACGCTGCGGCGTGCGCGCGCTGCTGGCGGTGCGGCCACGGCGGGGGCGAGCAGGTCAACCAGCGCGGGCTGCCCTGGTCCAGGGCGAACGTGACTCCGTGCGCCCGCAAGTGACCGGCACGGCACGCTGCGTGTGCTCTCGTGGAGCCCGGCCCGCGCGTCCGGCGGCCAGCGTACACGGCCGCGCGCGGTCCCCCCGCGGGGCCTCTGGAGACTCTCGCGCGGGCCCGGCCGCGACCCTGACGGGCCGCCAAGTAGGCCCGCAGGCGGCCGTGGCGGCCATGTTGACGCCGGGCGCCTTGCTTGTTCTAGTCGCACTGACATTCTGTCCCAGGAGTGCCGGCAATCCAGTACAGGCAGTGGCGCGCGCGTGACGGACATATCAAGCGGGGGCGAGGACGGCGCGTCCGCGGAGCGACAGGGGTAGCGGAGCTGTTGAGATCGTCCGCGTCGTGCGTTGGCACCGGGCTGTGCGAAGTGCGGACGCGGGGCATACGCCGCGGAAGGGCACACGGGGGCGCGTCGCCGCGAAGGCGCGCTGGGAGGCGGAAACTGGCGGCGCCGTGACTGCGTGAGATGCCAGCATGCAGGGCGGCGGAGGGGACGATGGCTGCCCGCGCGTGGCGACCTCCGTGGAGTCCTTGTTTCCGCCCACGTTCAACCCGGGCGTGTCCAACGAGCGCGTCGTCTCGGTCATCATTCCGTCCTACCGCGAAACTCCAGAGGTAGGCACGCCTGATCAGCGCGCACGTCTCTCGTGCGAAGTGCGGCCCCGAGCGCGCCACGAGGGCCTCACATGCTCGGCATGAAGCGAGGACTCCCGACGCCCCCTGCCCCACCGCGTGCAGGAGATGAGCCTGTCGCTCGGATGCTACACCAAGGAGGCACTGCCGGTGCGTGCGCGCATCCTCCGCCAGGCCGTCCACTGACCCCCGGACGCCCGTTCGAGCGGTCTGTTCTCGCCGCCGCACGTCTGCCCCGCGCCCGCAGCGCGCCGGCCTGACCCGTCGCTCCGCTGCCCGCGACGCGCGTGCAGGACGAGATGTTCCGCCAGCGGCTCGAGCTGTTCCTCATCCTCGACGGCCACGACGAGAAGGAGCCCGAGGAGTCCAACCCCACCCTCTGCGGCATCAAGGCGCTGCTGAAGAAGCGCGCGACGACGCCGATCGAGCAGGTGGACACGCGGCTGTTCCGCCTGTACCGCGGGAAGTACTGCGGCATCCCGTTCGGCTTCTACATCAAGCGCGCCGGTCTGAAGCGGGGGAAGCGCTTCTCGCAGCTCTTCTACTACGAGATGACGCAGATCCGGCGCGTCGTGCTCGGGTGGGAGCCGTACGCGCTCTTCCAGGGCGACGGCGACACGAGCATGGAGCGCGGCGCCCTCCAGAAGCTCGTCAACAGCCTCGTGGAGAACCCCAGCTGCGCGGCCACCACGGGACAGATCCTGCCGCTCAACTTCTCCAGGTGGTCGGTGCTGAACCCGCTCGTGGACGCAGTGGCGCCGCAGGTGTGGGAGTACACCATCAGCGGGGTCGTCGACAAGGCGGTGCGCCCCCTCCCGCGTCGACGTTGTTGCGCGAGTACGGCTGCCACGCACCGCGCGCCCACGCACTGCCGCCGCGCCGCGTCGATGCAGTTCTACGCGGCGAGCAAGTGCGTGCTGGTCATGCCCGGGGCGTTCAGTCTGCTGCGCTACAGCGCCGTGCGGGACTGCTGGCCCGCGTACAGCGCCCGCACGCGCGCGGGCGACCTGATCAGCCTCAACTGCCTGGACCTGGGCGAGGACCGGTACCTGACGACGCTGCTGCTGATGTGCGGGCACGACACCACGTACGTCGAGGACGCGGTGTCCTACACCTCGGTCCCGCAGACGTGGCGCGAGCTGCTGGTCCAGCGGCGGCGCTGGTTCAACAGCGCGGTGCTGAACGACGTGATCCTGGCCCTGAACTGGCGCACGCTGTTCCGGTGGCACGCGTGCCGCTGGCTGGTGTACGTGTTCACGGTGTGGTCGCTCCTCTGCGGCGTCCTCCTGCAGCCCGCCATGACGCTGGCGCTCTTCGCGACCGCCGACCTCCCCACGGACGCCACGATCCGCGGGCACAGGCTCCGGTACCGCTCGTACGAGTCGCACGGCCTCCCGCTGGGCTGCCCGATCGGTGCGCTGATCTACGCGTCGACGTCGTGCGTGATGGTCGCCCTGGGGACCATGATGGTCCTCAACCCGCGCTTCCACGCCGGCACGCTCAACTACGCCTTCCTCCTCCTCCTCTGCCTCGTCGGCGCCATCGTGTTCGGCAGCACCACGTGGCTCATCGGCGCGCGCCTGTCCTACTTCGTCCTCGTGCCCGTGGTGGTCATCCCGACCGTGCTGCTCAGCACCGTCGCCCTGCGCGTGCGGCCCAAAGAGTGGCTCCGCGTCCTCGCGGGCGGCATCCTCGGCGCCGTCATCTTCCTGCCCATCTTCAGTGGTGCGCTCGTGCCCCCCCCGCGCGCTGCTCGCGCCAAGACCGGTGCCCATCACGCGATGCCTGGCTGGGACCCCCTCCCGGGACGTCTCGTTCCCGCCAGAGAGCCGCCGACGACCCGCGCACGTGCGTGTCGCTGCACTGCAGTGGTGATCCCGATGAACGCGCTGGCGAACCTCAACAACGGCTCCTGGGGCACGCGCGAGACGAAGAAGGACGCGAAGACGTGCGCCCGCTGCTCGCCGCTCCCCACGCACTCCCCTCCCCGAGCGCAGCCACCGCAGAGCCGCGCCGCACCGCGTCACGCCGTTCGCCGCACGGCCCCGCGCCGCATCGCAGGACCGAGCAGGAAATCGCCGCGGAGGCTCGGCAGGCGCAGTCCGAGCGGCGCATGGCGCAGAGCTTCGTCCGCCGCACCGCGCTGGAGCTCGTGCAGCAGATGCGTCGCCCAATCAAGTTCCTGACGCGGGGGCACCTGGACCTGGCGAAGAGCCGCACCTGGGCCGGCGACGAGCTCGTGAACCTCGAGTCAGACTCGGACGACGCGGAGTCTTCGCTGCCGGGCCACCCCCACGCGCTGGCGGCGGTGCACCCCATGTCGAACGAAAGGGGGGGCTCGCAGCCCGAGGTCAGTCTCATCGACGCGCTCCCCGCGACGCTGTCGTCCATGCTCACCGCCGCGGACGGCGGCTTCGAGGCGATGAAGAAGGCGCTGTTCCGCCTCCTGCGGCGGTCGGAGCAGCCTGAGACGCGCGGGCAGGACGGCGACGAGGAGGACGACGACGTCACACCGGAGCGCTTCGTCGCGAAGATCAAGAGCACCCGAGAGAGCGCCGGCCACGGCGCGTACACCGCCGCCGCCCTGTGGGCCAGCCCCGCCAAGAAGCCGAAACTGGGAGCCGTGGCACCCGAGCCCCCCGCGGCGGCGCCGGCCCCGAAGCGCGACGATTCCCAGCCCGGGCCCGGGGTGCAGCGTGCGGTGTCGCGCATGATGAACGGGTCGCTCCTCGCGGGCCACTCCGGGCTGCTGAAGACGTCGGTGCAGAACTCCAGCAAGAAGCTCCTGCAGCCGATGCAGGTGCGTGAAACGCACGCGCTCAGTAGTGCCCTCCCAGGGCTTGCTCGCGTCGTGCGGTCGCGCGCCGTCCCCCCCGCCGAAAGCAGCGTGCACGTGTGCTTGTTGTTGTGTGCAGCCGGGCGTGTCGCGGCAGAACACCCTGCAGCGGCTGCAGAACGGCAGCTCGAGGGCGCTCATGGCGGGTGGCCCGGCGCCGCCAGGCCTGCCGGGCAACCGCGAGGCCCCCCCGGGCCCCGCGCGGCAACTGACGCTGGACATCCCGCAGCTGCCTGACGCGCCCGACGCGGCGTCCCCGCTTGCGGCCGAGACCGCAAAGGTCCGGTTCGCGGCACCGAGCCCGAGCGAGAGCCCGAGTCCGCCCGCGCGGAAGCAAGCGGCGTTCCTGACGCAGAGCGACGACGGGGGAGTCGAGGCGGAGACCGTGGAGGACGCGCTGGGCCTGCTGGCGCACTCGCTGCTGGAGCTGCCGGCAGAGGTGCTGCTCGCGGAGGTGGCGATGGAGGAGGAGGCCAAGTACGAGAGCATCCTGGCCTCGCGGCTGCAGCGGCGCCCGTCGAGCGTGCAGCGGCGGCTCAAGAGCGGGCGCCACGGGCCGCCGCGGAACCTCAGCCGCGCGATGAGCCGGGCGCTGTCGCGCGCGGGGCAGTCCACGACGCTCCTCCGCGGGGAGCCGCCCGTGCTGAGCCCGCGCAAGCCGTCGTCTCACGCGTCCCCGCGGGCCCCGAGCTCCACGTCGCGCGGCACGCGCCGCGGCGTGCGGTTCGCGTCGTCGGCCACGAGCGCCGTCGCGTCGCAGGAGGAGGACAGCCAGGCGGAGGATCAGTTCGCACCGGACCAGGACCTGCCCCCTGTGCGCGAGGTGTGGGCCGAGGGGTCGCGCGTGGTGTCGCGCGTGCCGAGCAGCGTGACGCAGTCGCGGCGGAGCATGGAGCTCCCCGGGGGCGCGGTCCGGCGGGTCGTGGGGCCGTCGGAGCCGTTCGCGCCCATCGACGCGCTGGCGCGGCTGTTGCGTGTGCGCAAGCTGTCGCAGAGTGCGCGGCGCATGCTGGTGTTCTGGGTGTGGCTCTGGACGGTGATCCTGCTCGGGGCGGTGTTCGCGGCGTGGCGCATGTGGGCGGAGAGCAACGCGGCGGACTCCGGGGAGCGCGGGGGCGCGCCGATGAACTCCTTTGTCATCACCATGGTGAGCGTCTTCGGGCCGGTGCCGTACACGATCCGCGTGGCCATCAGCATGACGTGGGCCGGGCTGCACCGCAAGATGTGGGTTTGCTGGCCCGAGTACGCCTTCGCGACGCGCCGCCGCGCCACGGGGCGGCCCGTGAGTGGCCGCACGGACACGGGGACCCCGCACAAGTCCACGGGGCGCGCGGTGGCGCCCGTCCCTGACGTGGAGGAGGGCGCGCGCGGGGCGTGGTGAGCGGGTGAGCGCGACGACGATTCGCCATGCTACGCTGCTGTGACTGTAGCCCGCACGGGGCTCTCGGAGGACGATTACGGGCCGACGGGCATCGAGACGTACGAAACGCCACAGCGCGATCGCCTGGCACTGCGCTTCTGGCCGCTGCGTGCGGCTCCCGCGCGACACGTGAGCTATGACCTGAGAGCCGATTGCGGCCGCGAGGGAGGCTGCGGGGGGCGAGAAATCAAGCTCGAGAGGACGGGTCGTGACGTGGAGCGGAAGCTGGCGTGCTGACGTGTGAGTTTGGGCCGAGGGCGAGCGCAGAAGAAGATGACCTCTTGAAGCAACGTGACCGACTTCTCACAATTTGCCGGCCGAAGGATGCTCTTCGGGGCAAGAATGACGATCTTTGGAGCAGCGAGATGTCAAACTCAGCGTTCTTCAAGTTCATTAGACGGCGGGGAGGCACCTACAGTGGCCTCATGGAGAGGGCCAACAGGGAGGGCGCCGTGCGGAGGGAGGTCGGTCACGAACGTCGATCCTTCCATGACGAGGAACCGTCCCCGAAGTCTTGATGCTTCAATGCAACAGGGGCGTGCTGCCATGTCGCGAGGGGGCCGCAGCGGCGCCAACCTCAACCTCAACTCGGCGCCATTGCACTGGCATCCCGGCGCGCCTGTGCGCAGGGCAGAGCGGCAGTGTGCGTGGCGCACGGGGCCCGGTCCCACGATCCGGCGAGGTTCGCGGTCCGGGCGGCCCTGCCCGCGGGGTGTGCACCGAGCGTCGCTGGTGGGCCAGGTTTGCTGGTACAGCAGTGGGGATCGGTGGGAGGGTCGGCCTGCCCCGCGAGGCCCTCCCTGCGGGGGCTGCGCTGCGGGGCGGTCGCCCTGGGAGTATGTAGTGGTGCGAGGCTTGGTGGGTGGCGGCCGTGCGATTCGTCGGCGGCGCACCAGCGCATTTGCCACGTTGGTCCAGTGACCAGGCGAGGGCGATGCTGCGGCTGCACGGTTGCGGAGCGCGCGCAAGATTGCCGTCGAAGGAGCCTCCGGAGCCCGGAGAACCCCTCTTCACGACAGCTTCCAGCAGTAGCGCGGTTGTGATCCGAACACGACCTCGCTCTGGCTCACTAGGGTGGCATCGAATGCGAATCTGCGGGCAACGCGCGGCGAGTCCGGTCGGCACACGCAGCGCGGCATGGAGGCCTACGGTGCGGCAGCGGGGGCTCGGCGCGGCTGCGCGAGCGACGCGCGAGCGAGGCGCAGCAGTGCCACAGGGGCGCGGCGCACCCGTAGCCCTCCTCGGGCACCAGGTTCTTGTTCGCGCACGCGATCGCCAGCGCGACCTGGTCCGCGACCGTCACCAGGTCCGGCGTCGGCCCCCCGGGCTCGGGCCGGTAGGGCGCGCCGCCGGGCTCCTGCGCCGGGACCAGGACCTGCCTGGGCGGGATGGCGGGAAAGCCCGGCGCGGGCTGGAGGTGCGCGTAATCAAGCGCCTGCTCCGACGCGCCCGGCTTCGCCTGCTTGACCACGAGGCGCAGGAAGGGCTCCGCGGTCGCGGCGGCCGCCGGCAGCGTTTCCCGGGTGAGCGGCACTGCCGTCACCGCGGGGTTGGGCAGCAGGGCGAACACGGCCTCCACGTCGCGCGGCCGGTCCGCGCTCATCCCCCCGCGCCACACCCCGGCCTCCTCGAGGCGCCGGCGGAACTCCGCGGCGCGTCTCGCGCGCTTCGTGCCCTCGCGCCGCTTGCCCGCTCCCCTGGGCCGGCACATCATGATGAGCGCGGCAGGCATCGGGGCGTCATCGGGGCCCGACTCGCCCATGGGGACGCCACTGCTGCTGGCCATGAGGCGCCCCCGCCGCAGGGCCGCCCCGTCAGCGCCGGGGCGCAGGTGGGCCCTGCCAGCGTTGCAACCCCCCTGGCCGCTGACACCAGGCGCGGTGCGGGAGCGCAGGGCGCCGGCGGGCCGAAAATGCCGTGTCTGGCTGAAATGTAGGAGCCCGGCGGCCCCGGGACACGGGCGAGTGCGGCGTGCCGGGGCGCGTGCTCCGCCGATCGACCGATCGACCGATCTCCGCGTGCCGTGGGTCCGGCCACGCAGCGACGGAGCGACTCGTCCTCAGTGCATCTCATTCGCGCCATTTGTCTCCCGCGGTCGCAGTGCGACGCAGGGGGAGATCGTAGCAGACCCCCGAAGTACGAAAACAGCCCCCGAGGTCCGATAGCATCGAACGCGCTGACGAAAGGCCGCGACGCGCGGCGCCGGACCAAAAAAAGATCGATCGCACCTGCGTGGGCGTCCTTCAAGCGTCCTGAGAGCGTGTCGAGGAAGCAAGGCGCGCGACCCTTGGCACGGTCGAGCTGGCGTGGCCCGAGCGCGCCAAGCTGCACGAACGTCGTGCGCACGTGCAGTTTCGCGCTGTGCGACCGCGAAACTGTCGGCGAATTCGGAGCTGCTGACCCGAGCGTCGGCGGCACAGGAGGTCGTTACTACGTCCTGTTCCCCGCTCGCACGCTCGCCGTGGACCGCGCGTGGACGTGACGCCTGGGTCCGCGAGCAGGCATTTCATGGGCTGTGAGCGCCCGGCCTCAGCTTCGCACGACGACATCGGAGACAGCCAGGGAGAGGCCCGCCCCGGTGCAGAGGCGATGACCTGCGCCACCAGCGACGTTGCGGCGCGGGCAGACGCGGGCGTGGCGTCCCCGACAGCCACTCTCAGCTCACACAGACTCCTCGTGCCCGGATTCGTGTCGATGAGAGAGCTTGCGGCGAAAGAACGCACGGGCCTCGACGGCGGCAAGCCCAGTGCGCTGACGGAGGCCGACCTGGAGCAGATCAGGTGCGAACGCGCCCCGGCGCGCGAACGCGATGCGCCCCTCCGCACGTCGGCAGCCTCCCCCGGCGCGCGTCTCGCTCCGCGCGCCGCCGGAGCGCCCGTTCGAGCGGGTCGTTGTGCAGGGTGCCACTACGCCAGCCCCGCGCACGCCCGTGGTCGCGCGCGCGCACGGAGCGTGCCACGGGAGCGCGAGCCCGACGTTCTGGTGCCCCGCGGGGTCGCACGTGCGACGGCGCGGAGGAGGCCGCCGCTGAGCACCCCTGAGCACGCACTGCTTCACCTCGCCGCGCCTGTCCTCGACGCCGCGCAGACGCATCAGGGCCCTGAGCGCCGAGAACTCGACCCCGGCCGTCGTGGTTCCGGGGCTACTGTTGGGCGGATCGGCGACCGCCTGCGACTGGGACTGCTTCCAGGAGCACGGCATCACCCACGTCGTCAACGCGTGCCCGTCGCTGCCGAACTTCTTCCTCTGTCGCGGCATTCACTACCACAGGGTCGATATCGAGGTGCGGTGCCGCGCCAGATGCTCGCTCCCTCCCGGCCACGCCCCCACCGGCCCTCCTGACCTCGTGCAACCGCACAGCGCCCCTCGAGCCCGCGCTCCGCCCCCGAACCCGCCGCGACCGACCCCCCCGAGCTCGCAGGACGTCCCGGAGGCGGACCTCGCCGGGCAGCTCCCCGCAGCGCTGGACTTCATCGAGTCGGCCCTGGCCGCGGGCGGCATCGTCCTGGTGCACTGCCACGCCGGCGTATCCCGCTCCGTCGCGGTCACGTCCGCGTACCTGATCCTCAAGAAGGTCCGCGCCCGCGCATGCACAGGCGTGTTGGCCGTGTGGGTGCCGCGACGGCGCGTTTGACCCTGCGCGCCTCTCCACCTCGACAACCGCGCCCGACTCCTCGCGCCGACCGCGCCGCAGGGTATGACGTTCGAGCAGTCCATGGAGACCATCTGGAAGGTGCGGCAGCAGGCGCGGCCCAACATGGGGTTCGCCCTCCACCTGCGCTCGCTGGAGAAGCACCAGCCCGGCAGCGACAAGGCGCCCCCGCGCCGCTCCTGGTCGCGGCGCTCCAAGGACCTCAGGAAGTGACGCGGAGGGCAGCCGGATACGGGTCCACGCGTGGGAGCTCGCACGACGAGGCGCCCGACCGCCGCTCCCACGCTCACCCGCCCCGTGGCGCGCAGCAGCTGGCCCGGCCCGAGGCGCCGCCGGCGTGGCGCCCCCTCACCCTGTCCGAAGCGCGGCCACGTGCCACGCGCCCGAACCCCCCAACCTGTCCGACGCAGTCCGCTCCTGTCACATGTGCTTTTCGGAGCCTCGCCCCGTGGCCGACGCCCCCGGCGCGGACGCCACTTGCATCGCTGAACCACCCTGCCCAGTAGCCTCTCTCAACCGTCGCCATTGACGCCAAGTCCCGACGCCCAGCAGCTCCCAAGGCCACCCGGTCCACCGGGCACCGAAGGGCGCGACGCCCCGCGACGGGGCCCGTTCGACGCCCCCCCGCCCCGACCCACACCCCTCTCCTCGATAGCCTCCCCCCTCCCCTCCCTCCCCGGTGCTTCCCACCTCGGCTTGTGCGACAGGACATGGTGACCCTTGTCCCCCTCCCCCCGTCTCCCGCCCCGACCCTTGGGCGCCCCTGCAGCGGCCGCCCCAGCGCGCGATCGCACGCCGGGCCTCGTGCGCGCCGCTCCACGTCGAGCGCACGGAGGCGCCCCCGCAGCCGCACCACCTGCGCGGGCCCCCACGACGCCACGGAGCAACCCCTGCGCCACGCACCCTGTTCTGCCGGTCGGCGGACGCCCAGAAGATGCTGGGGCTCCTGCCGGCGGGACGGTGCGCGTGCGTGTGGTCGCGCCGCTGAGCACGTGTAAGCTAGAGGCTGCAAGGATGCCGTTGCCCCCTTGGGCAACGAATGGACCGCGCCGTCCGCCTGGACTGACAGGCCTCCCGATGACGCCCTCCGCGCTCGCCGCCGCCGGTCCATGGCCGCCAGGACTGCTCCGCACGGGACACCCCCCCCTTGGTACAAGAGAGTCGCACGCGCCGCGCCCGATTAGGGGCGAGCGCGAGGGGCCTGCGTCGTATTCTTGCGCGCCACCGCCTCGACGAGGTGGGCGACGTCGAACGAAGGTTGGTATCCGAGGCGCGGGCGACGGGAGATTGATGGAACGGACAGCTAGTGGAGCGTGGTCGCGGCCGACGACGCGCGCATAAGCGAGCCGCGCAGCGGGGGGGCGAGTGAATCACGTTGAGGGAGCGGGTCGAGTTGGGCAGGCATCGCGAGGAGCGCCTGAGGGGGCGGGCCAGCGGTACGCGTTGAGGACGACCCCTTTCAATTTCCCCTGCACCGACGGAGCCCCGTCGCGCCGCGGGCGGCGTCCAACCGCGAACGTTCCATAACTCGACGCCCGGCCGGGCGGTCGCGCGCGCGTCCGCGGGACGTCGCGCGGTGCGCGGGCCTGGTGTCGCTCGGCCGAGCAAGGAAGCGTCCGCTACGCCGCGAACGGCCACGGCTGGCTCCCTCGCTTGTTGATTCCAGACGCTTTGTTGATCATCATGCGACGCGACGTTGCAAGTGTCGGAATGCGCGTTCCTCATTCGAACAATTGGGCTCTTGATGCACCACAGGGCCCCGCCCGTAGGTAGCCATGCACACAAAGGGCAAGCCGCTGACGCGATCCCTGAAGAGGCGACTCGACCTCGGCGAGGCGGCCGATCTCGCCGCGTGCGATGACAACGTCGCGCCGCAGCGCTGTTCATTGAGGAGCAAGGCAGTGAAGCCCTCGCACGCGGATGCTGCGGCACAGACGCGCGTCACGCGCGCCTCCACCGCTTCAAAACCGAGGCTCCGTGCTCTTGGGGACCGCACGAATGCGTGCGGGGCGGCGCGGGAGGAGGAACCCAGGTGAGACCGTCTCCCACAGGCTGTTGAGGCCGGCCGCGGGCGTTCCCGGGCGCAAATCGCCCGTCTCCCCGCGCGACGTACGTGTTGCGGTCCCGAGGATCCTCTTGCGTCCGTTTCCGGGAACAGACACGGGCTGAAACAGCGCGACGCGGACTTGAAATCGTTGCACCGCCCGCAGCTGTCCGCCACCCCAGACCGCGCCCGCCGCGTCGCAACCAGCCCCGCGGCTCCAGCCCGGCTCAAACCCGGCACTTTGACGCGCATCACGCGCTGGCCCCGCTCCTCGCGCCCCAGGCGGCCCCGCTGCGACGCCGCGCCGCACCCCGCTCGCTGCCGCTCAAATGCGGCCGCTACAGCTCGCCGCCCCGGGCCTCCGCCGGCCGCACCGGCTCCGCGGCGCCCCACCGGAGCGCGCCCGGGTCCACGCGCGCCGCAGGTCGGCTCCCCTGCGGCGCAGCACCCGCCTGAAGCGCACCCGGGGGAGCGACGCGGACGTGGCCTCCCGCGAGTGCACGGTGCTGCCCGGCACCGCCGACAAGACGCAGGGCGTGGTGGGCTGCAGCGCGACGCAGCACCGCGCGACGGCGGAGACGCACGAGGACTCCGCGGCGCGGCGGCCGCCCGCCGCCACCGCGGGAGGCGCGCCGGGCGCCGTGGACGGCGCGCCGGGGGCGTTTCTGCCCGAGGCGCGGCGCGGGCCGCCGGGGCTGTCGCTGGCCTCCCTGCCGCAGCCCCGCATGATGACGGAGCGCATGACGCACGAACACATCCTGCTGAGCTCCATGACGTTCCTGGACAGCGTCACCGCCCCGTTCCTGCCAACGGTGCGCCACCCCCTGCCCGCGCCGCCGCCGCCGCCGCCGCCGCCGCCGCGCGCACCACCTGTGCGTCCCGTCCCGTCGCTCGCTTCCTTCCCCGCCTGGACGCCGGCCCTCACGGCGCTGGCTGTGTTGCGACGTTGCTGTTGCAGGGGGCGCGGCGGGCGTACGAGGCGAAGCGCGTGGCGCCGCCGTACGTCGACGCGGACACGTGCACGAACTTCACGGCCGCGACGCGGCAGGCGATGGTCGACTGGGCGCTGTCGCGGAAGCCGCTGCTCAACGTGTCGTCGGAGAGCATCCACCTGGGCGTGCGCCTCACGGACCTGTTCCTGGCCACCCGCGGCCCCGAGGCCTTCCTGGGCAAGCACGTCACGCCCGCGGCGGTGCGCGAGGTGCGCGGGGACTACGTCGCCGGCTGGGGGCCCGCGTCGGTGCTGCCAGCGCGGAGTGCGCCGCAGACGGCGGCGGAGGGCGCGGCGTACCGCACGTCCTTCCCATGCAAGCTGCGGCGGCTGACAGCGACGGCGCTGATGGTGGCGGCGAAGCTCGTGGAGCGGCAGCTCGCCCGGCCGCGCGCGCACGTGTTTGCGGAGATGAGCGACGCGGACGGGTTCGGGGGGCGGGAGATCGTCGCGGCGGAGCAGGCGCTCTTGCGCGTCATAGAGTGGCAGCCCAGCATCCCCACCGCGACGGGCTTCGCGACGGCGTTCCTGGAGTTCCGGTGGGCGCAGACGGGGCAGCACGCGCCGAAGCACCTGCTGCGGCGGGAGCAGGCGATTGCGGTGCACGTGCTGGACGTGGCGCTGCTGTCGCACGATGCGCTCGCGCTGCGGCCGTCGCAGCTCGCGGCGGGGGCGGTGTGGATCGCGTGCGGCCGCGCGTACGCGGACGCGATGCGCGACGCGACGGGCGCGGACGTGACGGAGGGGAAGCGCTGCGGGGAGCCGTGCGTGCTGCACACGGCGGCGTGCGCGAAGACGGCGACGACGCTGTCGTCGGGGTCGCGCCGGCGGCTGGTGGAGTGGGGGTGTCACTGTGGGGGGGAGTCGGACAGCCCGGAGTGGGACGAGTTCGCGGACGAGCCGGCGTGCACGGAGCTCGCGACGTGCATGTTCGACGCAGAGTCGGTCGCGAAGATCTCCGGACACGGGCACGGTGCGTCACCAACCAGCCGCGCTGTCGGGTGCCTGGCAGGGCCGCGTTGGACGTTGAATAAAATTCGGTCGCCTCGCTCACACGTGCCGCGCGCTTTGATGCTGCTTGCAGGGATGGTGAGGCAGGTCGCAGCCTTCCTGGAATCGATTGTGCGGGACGCCTTGCGCGCGGGGGGCCTTGCTGTCAACGCGGACAGCCTGGCCACCGCTGCTCTCAAGTCGCGGCTGCCCGCTGACGCGAGGGATTGCGGTCGAGTTGGCGGTTCGCCGCGGGAGACTGTGCGCCGCAGCCCGTTCTCCGGCACGTCGTCGTCGTTGCAGAGCGAGGACGACAGCGAGGACGACAGCCAGGACGACAGCGCCGCGACCGGTGACAGCGGCGACACCGCCGATGACGGCTCCGGGGCCGACCGCAAGCGAAGTACCCGCCGCGGTTGCCGCTGAATCACAGGGTCGGGCGCGCAGACGAGACCGCGGATGCAGCCGGCTGCGGACCGCCGCACTCTTTGTTTCTACCGGTCTGTCAACACCCTACGGCCGTGTGACGCTGCACTATCGCGAATCGAAACCGCACGTGGGCGTGCAATACCTGCGCCGCCTCACAACCTCAGTGCTGGCGGCGGGCTGACTCAGTTCTCCCACCTTCACCCCTCTGCACTCCCCCACCCACCTTCGCCCGGCGGCTGCACCGGCACCGGCGCGGGAACCGGCGGCGCCCCGCCCTCGAAGCCTTGCGGGGCAGTCCCTGCGGCTGAGGCCTTGCTCCCGTCCGGCGGGTGCGCGCTCCCCATGGGCGACGCCGAGGGCGGCGGAGCCCGCATCGCCGCTGCAGCGTCCGAGGACGCCTCGCCCGCCCCGCCGTCGGCAGGGATCGCCGTCACGGGTCCGCTCGCGGCCGCGACGTCTCGTGGCACGGGCTGCGGGCGCGGGGGGCGAGCGGCACACGATGACGGTGTGACGCGTGCGAGGGGCAGCGCGTGCTCGGGCAGCAAGGTGGCAGGCGCGTCGCGTCGCAGCCGCGCGTGTGCGTGCATGCCTGCCGCACCTGGACGGGGTGCTGGGGCACGGGCGGCGGCTGCGCGCCCTGCTGCGTGGCGGCGCTGGGGTTGGCGCGGAAGAGCACGATCTCCTGCTGCTTGAAGTAGCGGCGGTCCTCCTCGTCGACGAGGACGAGGTTGAGGAAGTACTTGACGTTGAACTTCTTGTTGACGTCCGCGTACGACGGCGTCAGGCCGTACGGGGCGAGGAAGAGGCGTATTGGGATGGACTCCCCCTTGACGGGGGCGCCGTCCATGATCTCGTACCGCGCGACGGTCTCCGTGTGGCAGTGCGCGCTCGCCCCGCCGCCGACGGTCTCTCGCCGCCGCACCTCGAGCTCCATGTGCTTCAGGCGGATCCGCACCAGCAGGAAGTGGATCCGCCCCACCACCACGTCGCTCAGGTGGAACCGGTCGCGCAGGTACTCGAACTCCAGGTGCAGGCAGTCCTCGATGCCCACCTCCATCTTGATCGGCGCGCGCGGCGCCGCGTCGTGCCCCTCGTACCGCCGCACGAGGAAGAAAAACTTGCGGTCCGTCTTGCCCACGCGCTGGGGCACCGTGACGCGCACGAAGTACAGCAGCTGGACCTGCGACCCCGCGTACGACTCGTACCGCATGTCGGTGTTCTCGAACTCGAAAGGAAACGCCCCGGGGCTCCGCAGCTGCCCTGCACACACACACCCCCGCGGCAGGCCGTTGGCGGAGCGACCGACGGTGCCACGCGCCGTCGCCCCCGCAGCGGACGCGCGACCGCCCGCCGGCCGTGGGGCGGGGCGAGAGCGCGCAGGGGCGGCGCAGCGACGGAGCGCGCGCCCGGGACCAGCGGTCGCCACAGCACGGGCATGGATCGCGCAGAGCCGGGTCGAGGCGGACCGCGACGCCGTTGCCGAGGCCAGCGGTCTGTGGGGCACGCGCCTGGTGGCTCGATCTCCTTCGCGACCGCCATGAAGTCCGACTTGTCGCTCCCGCTCAAGATGCGCCCCGTCAGGGTGACGCGCACGCCCTGGTGGTCGAACACCTTGCCGGGAATGGGCGATATCTTCACCTCGCCGACAACCTTGTCACCTGTGACGTGCGCAGCGGCTGGACAACGGGTCGGGGGGCGGCAGCGGACGCGGAAGCATCGGCCTGGGCAGGGAGCTGCTTGCGGGCGCCCAGAGCGCGTGCGCGCAGGATCGGAGATGGAATCATGTTGCACTGCACGTTGTTCCACTCTCTGTCCCGCTCCCGGACGCCAGCGGTCGCGCAACCAGCAGTCTGGGCGCGGTCGCGCGTGGTGCGGGCGAGGTGCAACCGCCCTGCGGTGATGGCCGCCCACGCAGCCAGCGACGCGGAGCGAGCGGCCGCGGGCTCGACAGTGCCGCACCTGCGTTGTATACGCTGAGCATTTCACCCTTGCCTCCCTTCGCCGTGGGAGGTCCTTCAGCTTCTGGGGCTGGATTCCCGTCCGCCGTCATGAACTTGACCTCTATGCGCGCCCCCTGCCCGATACCGATGTTCGAAAAGAACTGCTTCATCGTTCAATCGGGCTGCCGCGCCGGGACTCGACGGGGATGACCCGCACGGGAGCACACAGATGATGGCGCGGACCTATGCTCGCTCACAGGGCGCGGTCGCTCGAGGTAGCCGCCCGGTGGCACTCCCAGTGAGCCGGCCGAAGGGTGCCGCGATGTCGTGCTTCCGCCACGCTCTGCGGCGCATCAAATGCCATCGTGCGCACGACAGACCACCACACTCCCCCGGGGGCGTCTAGCCTCTGACCGGCGCGGCCTGGCACCCCGCTGCGAGTAGTAGTAGTAGCTTGACGCGCAGGCTCTTGCCGGGGCTACATTCTCCGGACCGGGTGCTGCGAACTCTGACACTGCCTCGGCATCGGTGCGCAGCTGCCTCCTGCCCGCCGGATGGAACGTACTTCCAACGGGCGAGTGCGCGAGGGCGGTCCGGAGAGCAACGTATGCGCAGCGTGCGCTGGCGCACCGCGACCGGTCATCGCTGGCGTTGCACGTGCGGAGACATCGTGGAGGAATCCCTCGTCGCGAAGCACTGACCCAAGCAAGAGGGCCATCCACGCGTCTCGCGGAGCGGACGAAGCCTAGTCCGGGCAAGACTGCGGGCCTGTCTTGTCCCCCCTGCCGGACCGTTGACGTTCTCCGCCGCGGTGGCAGAACACGTCCGGGCGAGGACTCCCACCCGCAAGTATGACCTCTTTTTGTACTTCGCTGACCTACAGACACCCTCACTGCGAGGATGCTTTTCGTCAGGGCCGTTGCGTCACAGCTTCTGTGCAATCGAGCAGTGTTGCGGTGGACTGTGAAATTTTGTGTCAACAGGGAAGCCGAGGCATTCTTCCGCCGATGTCCTCCGCGAAGGGGCGCAGCCGCGACGGTGCGGCTGCGCTGCACGGCAGCTCCTTGCCCCGTGTTGCACGTGTGGGGAATGTTGGGGCATGATGATGATAAGGTGAGGGACAAGTGCAGGAACAGCGGCCAGGACGCACGTGTGCGAGTGCCACTCGCTCCGAGCGCTGCTCCTGGCTCAAAAGTGCTCTTGTGCCTGAACGCCACGCAACAGGTGCGTTGCGGCCGCTCGTATCCACGAGCGGCAGGTTGATTCTGTTCGGTATCAATCAAGGGGGTTCCAGGGGGTGAAAGCGTCACTTAGGATTACGTGGGGTGGGAAATGCATCCGTGACATCTTGAAAGCCTGGCGCCGGCGACGTGTGCTTGCAGCGCTGGGGCGGCGCAAGGCTTTCGCAAGTTTGCAATGCAGCTACTGCGGGGGTCAAGCCCGACCCTGCGCGGTCAGGCCGTGTCAGGTAAGCGCCTGACTGATTAGCGGCCCTTGCGCCGGTGCAGGGAGGCGCTCGTCGTTCGCTGCTCGAACAAGCCCGAGGACAGGGGGGATGCCGCAGACAGGCTGTCGTTCGACGTCCGGCCGGGTTCCCCGTGGAACTCCCCGGCGACGACCCGATTCTTGAACGCCCTCAGGCGCGCCTTGAGGTCCATCTGCAGGACGGCGGGCACTGCGCTGATCCCCACGCCCGTGGTCGTCCACCACCCAGCCAGCGCCTCCACCTGCTGACTGCTGCCGGACCGCGACGACTTGACGCTGCCCGTGCGCTCCGACGAGATGCGTGGGCGATGCTGGTTGCCGCTCTGGGCCGCGTGTCCGCCCGCCTCGATTTGCTGCGCGTGGCACACGTCGACCCACGCGTGGAACGTCGACAGCAGGCCGAACCGGATGTCGGGGGCCAGCGAGGGCAGCAGCCCGGCCACGGCGTTGCAGAACGGTCGAACGACGAAGTCCATGAAGTCCATCTGCGGCGAGGCGCTCGGGGCCGCGGCGGTCGTCAGCGGGTCGCACCAGGGAGGCACGCGGCATCGCGCCGCGCGGGGGCGCAGCCAGGGCGGCGACAGCGCGGCGGGCGGCGCACCTGGGTGGAGGGCACGTGCGTGCGCGAGGCCTGCATGAGGGGGAGGCTCGGGAGGCCCATGCCCCTCTCGCGCTGCCCCTGGGAGAAGAACTCCTTGACGACGCGCTCCGTCCACTCCAGGACGATCTTCCGGCTCTTGAGGAGGTAGCTCAGGTCGGCGAAGTGCAGCAGCGTCTGAATCAGCACGCGATGCTGCTTCGCCGTGAGCTCCTCCGTCGAGGACAGCGCGCGGGCGTCGGCCAGGACCTCGACTGCCGCCGTCAGGTCGAAGTGGATCGCTGCACGGGTCGGACGGGAGCGCGGGCGCTGAGGCACGCGCGCGGGGGTGGACGTCGAGGTACACGCGGCGAACGGGGCGGCGTGCGCGGGGCGTTGCGTGCGGGGCGCGTGCTCACCCATGTCGGTGCCCAGGATGGCGTCAACGATGGTGGTGCGCATCTTGCGCCGCCGTTCGCGCGGCACGCCGTCCAGGGGGTTGGTCTGCGGGTCGCGCATCATCTTGAACAGGCTGGCGGCGTGCATGTTCTCCTGCACGGCCATGTCGTTGTACATGAGGGCCAGCGGGTCGTCGGTGGCCACCAGGAACGCGTTGCTGGTGCCGCGGTGCCCGACGTCGTGCGCGATCGCTGCCAGCATCAGCGCGACGTGGTCGCTCTTGTCCAGGTGCTTCCGCAGCTCCTTGGCGTTGCGCAGGATGAGGAACATCCCGTGCGTCACGTCCACCGCGTGCTCCCAGTTGTGGTACGGGTTGTCCAGCAGGTACCCGCGGCACAGCTTCCGCACGAGCGCGTGCACCTTCTTCTGCGGCGCCTGCCCCTCGGGCGTCATGATGGGCTCGTTCGTCAGCAGGTCCAGCGCCCCAAACATGCCCATCACGGCCTGGATCAGCGCCTCCGTCTCCAGCCCGATCGACGACCAGCCCCACCCCAGCATCAGCGCGTCAGGGAGCGTTACGGCGTCCATCGGCTCCACGGCCGACTCCTCGCACGCGCTCGAGTCCCCGTCGCGCGAGCCCCCCGCGCCCCCCACGTTGCGCCGCGACAGCCACCAGGCCATCCCGCGGCCGCCGCCGCCCCTGTTCGAGTTCGTGGAGTGCTCCGATGCGGTGCGCTCCGCCCGCGGGTCCGTGCCTTGGCTCTGCGTGTCCAGCACGCGGCTCCCGGTCTCGCTGGGGATGGCGTCGGGCGCGCCCTCGAACATCCGCGCCCAGTGCTTGGCCGCGGTGATCGCGCGCGTGTTGCCCTCCGCGGCGTCGTGCGCGGCCTGGTCCATCAGCTGCTGCACGACCAGGTTCCCGCCCATGGAGGCCTTCTGCAGCAGCGACATGAGGTGCAGCACGCGCCCGATGGCCTCCTCGATCGACGTGGGGTTCTCCGACCCCATCGGAACGCCCTCCGCGCCCGTGAGGCTCAGCAGCGACGTCGACGACGCCAGCGCCGCGAACAGCTGCCGCATCGGCCGCACCATCATCATGCCTGCAAAGTAGTAGATGCTGAGCAGCAGGAGGCCGCACACCGCCAGCATGATGGCCTTGCGCTGCGCGTCCGTGTCGATGTCGTCCATGAAGATCTCGCGGTACAGGTACCGGCACAGGACGGTCCCGCGCGTGCTGACCGTCCACATCGCGGGCTCAGGGCTGCGCAAGCCGTCGAGCACGGAGCCAGCGCGGTGCTCGCGCAGCAGGATGAGGTCGTACGCGTCGGGGTCGTCGCCGTCCTGCCCCTCGGCGCCCTCCTTGCGCACGTACACGTGCGTCAGGAGCCGCAGCGGCCCGCCGGTGAGCTCCGAGGCTTCGGGCTCCGCGAAGGCCACGGCGAGCGCGCTGTCCTCCGCCGCGCCGTTCGGGCTGATGGCGCGCGCCTCCTCGACGAGCGTCGGGTACCGTCCGAGCTGGTCGGAGAAGGCCATCAGGGTGTTGGGCAGCATGTCCTGGAGCACTTTCATGAGCATCAGGCACAGGCACGACAGCGCGGTGACCATCATGAGCCACTGCGGAGCGGACGGGGGGCGCGCGTGCGGCGGTCGGCGGTCGGAGCGGGCTCGGGGGGCGGGCGCGCGCGGCGCAGGCGGGCAGCGGCGGTCGCAGGGAGTCGCGGCGCGGGCGGGGCCGCCGGGCGCGCGGCGCGCGGCGCGGGGCGGGCGGGCGCACCTCGCTCCACTTCTTCGCGCGCAGGGCGCTGCTGTCCTCGCCGTTGATCTTGAGGCGCGGCCGCCCCCCGCCCTGCGCCCCCTCCGGGCGCTGCAGCTTTGACCGGCGGGAATTGGCCCAGTCCCGGCGCACGCGCGCCATGATGGCGTGTCGCCAGCACGCCGATACGATTTTGACGAAGGCGGAGGGGAGCAGGATGAAGGTCACGGCGGAGCGCGTGTGCGCGACGTCGTCTAGGAAGCCCTTCAGGTCCCCGGCGCGCAGCGCGTCGTCCCAGCTCGGGTGCGCGTAGTTGAGGTGGTGCAGCGCCGGCCACGTGAGGATGAGCACCGGCGGGATGAGGTCCATGATCAGCGGGCCCGGCGCCAGCAGCTCGGGCACGCCAGCGCTGGTCCCCACCAAGGCATGGAGCGCCGAGTCCGCCAGCAGAGCCACCGCCACGGGCCCCGCGACCGCCCACAGCACGTCCGCGGACGGGAACGGCTCGTTCAGCGCCTCGCTGATGACTTCCGCGAAGCACACCGCCAGGCACCCCAGCCCGAGGATGAGCGGGTACAGGTGATTGCCGAGCACCTGCACGGACGACAGAGACTCCACGCGGCGTGTTGCGGGGCCCGCGTGCTCGCGCCTACATGGACACAACCAGGGCGACGCGAGGGGCCAGCGGACCCCCCCCGGCTGGAACGGCCGCGCCTCCCATCCAGCTGCAACAGCGCCGGCTCGGCGCGGGAGGCGGGGGTCTCCGGAGCAGGGCGCGGGTTCCTGGCAGCAGCATACCTTCAGGGCGACTCCCGCGAATTTCCGTCGCAGCTCGCTGTCCCCCTGCTCGGAGTCGGCGACCATCCACTCGTGCACCTCTCTGCCGTCGTCGCGCGGCGCCGCGCCGAGGCCCTGGCTGTCCCGCGCGTCCACGAGCTGCAGATCCGCGAGCACGTCCGGCCTGGCCTCCGTCATGGGCTTGACGGCGCTCGTGTCCACCGTTTCTCCCGACGCCTTGGACGAGCCAAGCACCTGCCCCGCCATCGAATCCGTCGGAGGTTCCCGCCGCTGAGCGGACGCGCACCGGGGCCGCGCTCAGAGCAAGCCGAGAGGTAGCCTCTACGCGGGGGCGGCCCACATTCGTCCAGCCCACGCTCGCGCGAGCGGACGCCGCAGCTGCACTGCTGCGAGCCTAGCCACTGCGGCGCGAGGTTCGTAATCGGGTTGAGTCAGCCTCGCAGGCGTACTACCAGGTCGAGTATGCTGCCCTCTTGCCTGCGCGGGGCCTCGTGAGACCCGCTGTGTGCCCGGGACGAGCCGACGTGGCATTTGTCACAATTGGGACTGAGCCCGAGGAGCTCCTCTCTCGGGACGCCGAGCGTCGTCGAGCCTCCCTGCGACGCGCGCGCCTTCGCGCTCGGAATGCATGAAAAACGGAGGTGGCTGGCAACGCAGCGAAGAAGCAATCCGTGCCGCCAGCGGGGGCTGCTGCGCAAACGAGGAAATCGGTGACGTTGTCGGCGGCCTGCGCGCGCCACGCGCCCAACCACGGGCACGGCGCTGCAGGTCGACGACATTGCTTCACAGCTGCGCGACCACGACTCGAGATTCGGAATGCGTGGACGTTCACGCGCCCCGACTCATCCCAACCGTGTGGGCCCCCCGTGCGCTCGACAGGGCCGTGCCCAGCTCCAGCAGGGGGAGCGCGCGCCGCGCCCCTCCGCCCGCCGCGGCTCATCGTCCGGCCGGTCGGTCGGGGACCACCTTGCCGTAGAGGTGCCAGGTCGCCACACACAGTGCCGACGTGACGGCAAACGGGAAGTACTGGTGCGCGGGCATGCCGACGGTGAGGCTCGCGCCCCAGAGGAGCCCCCCGAGCATCGGGCCACAGGCCCTCATGAGCGCGGCGACCGTCATCGCCAGGCCGTTGATGGCGCCGATGGCGTTGGGCGGCGAGGCCTTGTTGATCAAAATGATGGAGCCGGTGAACATGCACACGCTGCACACCACCTTGACGACCACGGCCATCGCCAGGAGGGCGAGCACGACCGCGCGCGGCGCCCCCGCGCCCGCGGCGACGGACGTGGCTGGGACGAGGAACGTCGTGGGGGCCTGCCCCGCCAGCGACCACCGCAGGACGCGGTGGACGCCAAAGCGCTTCGACAGGCGCGGAAACACGTACACGGCCTGCGGCGTGCGGGGGCGGGACGGCGGGCGTGTGAGGTTGCCACGTCGACCTGAACGACCAGATAGTGCGCGAAAGGCCAGCGGTGCGTGAGCGGCCGCGTGTCGGACCTGAACGACCAGAACGATCCCTCCGACGGACAGCGGGAGCGCGAGCTGGTGCTCGAGGAGCCCCAGACCCCCGTCCGCGACCGCCGCGGACCCGAAAATCGGCGTCACTTCGTCCATGATGCAGTACAGCAGCGCCACCGCCCCGTACCCGAGCACCGTCGCGCGGACCTGCCCCGACCGCCACCAGTCCCTGTCCGACATGCTCGCCGCCCCCACCTCGCTGCCGTCCTTCCACCGCCCGTCTGCGGCCGACACCGGTGCGACGTCCGGACGGCCCGTGCCGTCGCCCTCGCCGCTCGGGGGCGACCCCGGCGCGTGCGGCAGCGTCGCCGCGCTGTCGCTCCGCCGCCACGACGCGTCCGCCCCGCGCCCGTCCGCCATGGCGGCCATCTCCACGTCCTTGCCCACGCGCTGCCGTGCAGCGGCCTCCCGCGCACGGAGCACCCTCGGCGCCGTCTCCGGCATGCCGAGGACCACGAGCGACGCCAGCCAGAGCGCCAGCGCGGTGGCCACGCACGGCAGCAGGTAGGGCTGGCGTGCAAGCAGCCCTGTGTCGGGCGCGCACAGGGGGGCGTCTGGCACCGCGTCGCAGGGGCGCGAGAGCAGCCCCGCGAGCATGGGCCCCACGACGCTGCCGGCGCCCCATGCCGTGGACATCAGGCCGAACGCGGTGGCCTGGTTCGCGCCCACTGCGTCGCATGCCTCGGCGATGGCCGCCTTGATGGCGCCGATGGTGCCGTTGAAGAGCCCGCCGCTGAAACGGGCGAGGCACGCGAGCCAGAACGCCGGCGCGAGGGCCATGAGGATGATGCTGACGCCGGACGCGACGCAGCCGACCATGACCACGGGCCGGCGGCCCCAGCGGTCACTTGCGAAGCCCCACGCTAGCGCCGTGACGCAAGCGCCGGCCGACCCCATGCCTCCCAGCATGCCTGCGCCAGAGCGCGCTCGGTCGCGGAGTGGGCTCGGGCGACGCGCGAATCTGCGTGCGTGCGTGCACTCTTGCGTTGCGCGCTCTCTCCGCACCTGCCATGCGCCCGATAGTGTCTTCGGAGCCATCCGGGCCGACGAGCTGGCGCACGAGGTACACGCCGACGACGAAGGGCACCTGGTACTGCAAGGCTATCGCAAACTGCGGCACTTGCACCGCCCAGACAACAGCAGGTAACTTGACCTCCTTCTGCGGCGCCTGCGCGCGACATGCACGAAGAATCACGCGTGAACATCGCGAACAATGTATCGAAACGTCTCGTGATACCAGGGGGCGTTCGAATCAATCGCCCTCGCGCGGCGCGATCTCGGGGCACGCGCGGGAGGCCCACCGTCTGCGTGGGGGCCGCAGCAGTGCCGCGATCCCCCTCGATCAGCAGTGCCACCTCCTCCTCCTCGCTAGCGCGCTCCTGCGACCGCTCATCTGGCATCGCGGCCCGCCCACCCTGGGCGCGACCTGACTGGCTGCCTTGTGGCTGTCCACCCACCCAGGCAGCCGGCCTCCCACCGCAGTGGCGCGTTCACGGCCCGCCAGCAGGTCGCTCCGTGAGCGAGAGCGGATGGTTATTCGGGGCCTGCGCTCGTCTTGCAACGTTGACCTGGCGCGGATCGATGCGGGCGACTGGGCTGTCCGCCGCGCAGCGTTGCCACAGGACTCCTTGTTGAGAACACCTCGCGCGTGGGCGCCACAAGACGTGGTACAACTGGGCTGCACACAGGTGCCAAGCGTCGCAATGTCCCGCGCAGCCACCCTCGTCCCACGACGCACGCCGCACATACCTTGTAGGCTGACAGACTGCCACCGCACAGCCCCCCCAGCGACTCCCCACGGCACACGGCACGCATGACGCGCTCCTCCCCGCATGACGCGCTGGCTCGCCCGCACCACCAGCGACGGCGCGGGCGTTCGACAGAGCACCCCAGTGACAGAGCACCACGCGCTCACATGCGCACCCGGCGCGGGCGCGGAGGCCGCGGTGGGAGCGTGCGCCGTCCCTGCGCGCGGCGGCGTCACTTGATGTACCGTTCGAGGAACTTCCGGTGGAAGTCGGACCGCACGGTGTCGTTGATGAACCGCTTCTGCGCCTTGGGCTCCCCCTTGGCCTGGTTGCGGAACACCGTGTCCTCGTACCACTTGCGCTTCAGCGTCGCGTCGCCCGCCGCGCCCGCGCCCGCCACGTCGAGCAGCGGGTTCCCGGCGCCCACCTTGGCGCGCTTGTTCGCCTCCTCCGCCGCCGCCTCCTCCGCCGCCTTGCGGGCCGCCTCCTCCGCGCGCTCCTGCTTGATCTTCTCCAGCTCCGCCATCAGCGCCGCCTCCTCGTCCTGCGCGGTGCGTGGGGGAATCAGGGTGTGTCGGCATCAGCAGGGCGCGCCGGGGGGGCGCAGCGGGGGGGCGGGGCTGACGCGGGAGCGCACGTCGTCGTCGTCGTCGTCCTCGTCGCTGTCGTCTTCGGAGTCGATGTCGTCCGCGTCGACCGCTCTTGGAATGAGTTTCATGCCACCGCCCCCGCCCTGTTGAAGCAACTCGAGGTCCCGCAGCCTCTCCTCCTCGAAGTCCATGGGCTTGTCCAACAGCTTCTCTCTAAAGTGCTTGCGTTCCTTCTCCGCCAGCTCCGTCTTCAAGTCCTTCTCCTGCAGGTCTCCAACCACGCAAGGCAGCCCGCTCGGTGCTGAGGAGCGCGCGACGTGGCACGCTACGCCCCTGCTGCGACCTCGACCTCGCAGTGGATGCAAGCGCGGCGCGGTTGGGCGCGCAGGCGGCTTCTCAGCGTCGATTCTTGGGCCCCCCAGGAGAACGCACCACAAGGCCTTCGAGATCGGCTCGACGTTTCATCGTCAGTTGCCCTGGCAAGTCTCGAGCACTCTGCATCCGACTCGGTGCGTACATCCTGTTCCCGCCCTGCTCCTCCGACCCCTTCGCCGTCACCACGGTGGGCATATGACCGCGCGACATCCTGCCGAATCCTCACGGCCTTCCGGGCCCCGGAGATGCAACCTCGGCGACGCTTTCTTGCGGCAAGTACCAAACGACAAAGAAATTCGCGCCAAGACGGCTGCTCGTGAGCACCAGGATGCAGTGGAGCGGCCGTGGTCCTCACGCGGGACGTTTGAGCTGAACACACGGCGCGGAACGAGCAGCGACCGGCAAGGCGGTGCAAGTGGGCGGTGCGTCGCTCCCAGCAGCCCATCACTCGCGCGGTGGAAGGAGCTGTGTGGTACTTCCAGTGACCCCTCCCCGGAACGCAAGGGCGCAGCATATCGCGCCCAGGTGGCGCGAATGCGTAGCACTGTCGACGGTCAAGGGTTCAGCGAACCGAAGATCACGAGGTCCAGCGATCGTTCCTAGTGGGGGCACGCTTGCAAGTGGACCCGTCACCAGACGCGAAGCCCGTCCGGGTCGCGGCGACGGGCGATGGATCGTGGCCCACGTGGGTGCCTACGTAGACCCTGCCACTCTCCGTCCGGAGGCTCCTTGGTCCTGTCACGCCTCTGCTGGGCGCGGTGAGGGTGACCGCAACAGAAACGCACCCGGAGCGCTCCGGTAGCGCCTGGAAGCGAGGGTTCAAGGCACAGATGCGCTGTCGCTAATCTCCGGGCCCGATGGCGAGTGCCTTGTCTGCGTGGCTCGCGGCGGTATGGGCGGCAGCGCTGGCTGTGCAGGGCTGTTGGGGGGTGCGGCTGGCCGTCGACATGCACGACGAGCGCTCCTGGGCGGCGAGGGCAGCGGCAGACACGGGGATGCAGATGGTGTCGGAGCTCCCGGAACACGAAATTCGCGTGCTCGCGGGCGTCTCTGGCTGGACTGGGGGCCTCGCGCACGCAGGTGCGGCACTTGCCGCCCCGTGCGGCGCGGGATGCCGAGCGCGCCTGCGCCCTGCTGGGCCGCACGGGCGCTCCGGCGGTCCTGTCGCGGCCGACCCCCCCCGGAGGCGCGATGGAAACTGTCACATGTGCTCGAGTGACGGAATGTGCGACCTTGCAGGTGGGGCGGTGCTGGCCGACAGCACGGAGGGCCCGGCGGACCTGGATCACCTCGCTGCGATCATGCACGGTCGCATCTTCGTCGGAGGCGTGGAGATGGCGCCTGCGCCGCTGTCCGGGCCTGCCGCACAGCGCAACGCCGCCACGGCGCTGCGTTGCCCCGCGACGCTGGTGAGACACCCCCCGTTCGCGCGCCGGCGTGTGCGGACGGCCCGAGTGTCCGTGATCGGCACTCCGAGCGCGTGCGAGCTCAGCGACACCCGCTCCCTGCGCCCTCCTGCGGCGCAGCACCTCCTGGCGTCTGCGTGGCGGAGCGCGGTACGCGCGCTGTCGCTCGGCGATCTGTCGCTCCTTCGCGACGCGAGCGGGGTCGGCGCGGCGCGCGAGGTGCTGCAGAGGGCGTGCCGCGACGAAGTGCCGCTCGCGGTGTCGGCCACGCACGTCGTCGTGGCGCCAACGGGCTCGCCCTCGTCGGACGGCCTGCCGCGTGCGATCCCGAAGCCGCCCGGATGGAAGAGGAGCTACGACGTGGAGGCCGCTGCGCGCGGGGCGTGCGACGCTAGCGCTGCAACGCTGGGGCGAGACATCGCGTGGCACGTCGCTCACAAGTCCGTCAGCGCAGTGCAGGCCCTTGTCGCCGTGCGGGTACGACGTCGGCCGCTGCGCCGCCCCATCGTCCGCCCGTGACACCGCGATCACGCTGCTGCGGTGCGACTGCGGCCGCTGCAACACCCTGCCGCGCAGATGCTGATCGAGCAGTCGAATGCGAAGCTCAAAGCGGAGACGGGGAGCGGGCAGGGGGCGTTGCCGGTCGCGGGCGCCGTCCTCGACGTGGGATCCTTCCTGCGGAACCTGCTGGACCAAACGGTGCACAACGCGACGTGGGGGAGGCTCTGCAGCGACGCGGACGTGCGCGCCGTGTCCGAGGTGCGCCGCGCCACCCGTGCTGCCGCCGAGCCGTCCCGGTCCCCCCCCACCCGCACGCACCGCAGCAGCAGCAGCGCTTGACATCACGGCGCGTTTGCGCCACCGCTCCTGCAGAACATCGGCCTGGCCGCGCACCTGCGCCGCGGGCCCCACGCCGCCGACGTAGACGCGGACCACGCGAGGGGGCTCGTCGTGCGCTGGCACCCAGAGTTGCAGCACGTCAAGCTCGCGCAGCCCGACACGCAGCGCCCGGCGGGCGGCGGACCAGCGCCGTCCGCTTCGGCGCCCCCCTCGGACCCGGGGCGCGGCGCTCCGTGCGCCGACCACCACCCGGACTGCGCGGCCCGTGCGAAGCTGGGCGCGTGCACCTACGACAAGGCCTGGATGCACGCGCGGTGCCCGAGGTCGTGCGAGACGTGCAAGGCGGCGGACGGGCCGGAGCAGGCCGCGGCCACGGGCCCTCGCGGGCCGACGAACTCGCGCGCGTCGTCGTCGTCGCCGTCGTCTGCAGCCCAGGGGGGCAACGCAGCGTCCCAGGAGCGCCCGCGGGAGCCGCCGCGCGTGCCCGTGCCGGACTGGGCGTCGCTGCCGGCCGCGGAGCTCCCCGAGCAGATCCTGCGGCACATCGCGGGCCGGCTCGGGACGAACTGCGCGGTGTACGCGCCGCCGAACAACTACTGGGCCTTCCGCGTGTGCTACGTGTCGGGCAAGGCCACGCAGTTCCACATGGAGTTCGGGCAGCCGCCGACGGTGACCGCGGAGCACCTCCTCGGCCAGACGACGCCGGGCGCGCGGCCGTCGCTGGCGCGGCTGCACCCACAGCAGGCGCGGGACGTGGGGGCGCCGGACGCCGTGCTGGTGAAGCAGGAGTTCTCGGGCGGCGCGTGGTGCGCGGAGGCGGGGCGCGCGCGCGCCCTCGACCTGCTGGTCGGGTGCAGCGCGGAGGTGGACGTGAGGTTCCACGTCAGCGAGGACTCCCTGTGCCGGTACACGGCGGTGCTGCTGACGCGACACGCCTGCGACGCCCCCGTGCTGGTCCCCGCGCGCCCGGGCTGACGGCGGGGAGCTGCGAGGCGCACGCGATGTGACGCACTGCGGCGCGGGCGCAGCGAGGGCGCAGCGAGCTGCCGGGCGAAGGGTGCGCCGGGGCCGGGCGTGCTGGGCGTGGAGGGCGCGCGGCGTGGCGCCTGGTCGCGGGCGCAGCGCCTGTGTGTGCTGCGGGGGCTCCTGCCTCTCTGCCTGGGCGTCGGTAGGGACGTGGGCACTGGGCGGCCTGCCCCCCGCGCGAACGTCTCGCAAGGATGTTCTAGGGGCAAGCGGCGGGCACCTGGCGGCGCAGCCGGAGGGGCAACGTGCGTGCTCTCATGCCGCGGGGCCTGGCAGTGCCCGCAGCGCGCGCTGCCGTCGCGAAACTCTGTGACCACTGCGGAACCTGAAGCGTTGACAATGGTTGGCCGTCACACAGCGCCTTCTCTCGACTGCACCGGCTTTGACAGTGATGAGTGCGCCTCTGTTGCCTCTAACACACTTGCACGTCGCGTCGCGGCCGGACACAGGTCCCGCAGCCGACTACATGGCCGCACTGAATCGGTTGAGAGCCATCCGCGCACCGCACATCATTGTCAGCGCTGGAGTGCCCGGCGCTGGCGCGGTGGCGCGGCTGCACTGCACTCTGCGGCGGAGGTGGTTGCACGCGCGCGACAGCGCCTACGGGAACGCGAGAACGCGCCGTCCCGGGGTCGGCACCTTCCAGCTCCTCGGCAGGAACCCAGCCCCCGCGCGGAGCGAGGCTCGGCGTCGCGCGTGCCGTGCCACCTGGCGCCAGGCAACACAGTCCTGGGGCGCGGGAGCGGTGGTCCGTCACATGGATCCCTCATGTCCGGAGATCAGCGACTCCAACGGAAGGATTCGGATGGGCGGCATGCACGAAGGGGGCGTTTTTCGCGCGGGCGTTTGAGTACGCGCGACCTCATGCAGGTGGCTCCCAGCTCGCAGTGATTGCGCGCTGCTCTGTCGCGATGAGCGGCGATCTGCGGTCGAATCGCTCGATCCGTGCGAAATGCATGCGAGTCAGACGGCCCGGAGAGGCTCGGGGCGGCCGCGCGGCCTCGCGTTTCGCAGGCCACGAAGCACGGCTGCAAGGCCGGCACCGGCCGCCTGCGCAGCCATCTTCGATCCGGGCCGCGGAAAGCGATTCCTCGTGGAAAATGCCTCGAGGGCGCCGCGGGCGCGGTCACGCGCGACGCGGACGTGGCAGGGGGCGCGGGCAACACGTTGCTGGCACCCGACGGAAGCAGCTCCCGACGGGCCGCGCGTGCGCCACAATGCGGGCTCGAGCACGTGCCTGGGCAACGAGCACGGCGCGATGTGCCCGCGTGGACCGCCGGAACGCTGCGTAGGCGCCCCGGCGGCCCAGGACCTACGACGGCAGACAGCTCCAGAAGCAACACCCCACCTCCTGCCCGATCGCCTTGGCCGCGCCGCTCCGGCGCGCATCGGCAGTTGGCAGACGTCAATCTGCTGTTTAGAAGTAGTCCAGGCCCCACAGCAACGGGTATTGGACTCTTGCACCGCCGGTGATCGCCCCTCGAGAGGACGGTGGCGACCATGGCGGCCCGCGGGATGGCTGCGACGGTTTGCCTGGCGCTCCTGGCGCTGCTCTTTAGCTCTGCAGGTGAGCAGGCGGCACTACAATCGCGGTCGCCGGGGCGGAGACGCGGGGCCGGGACGCGGCACATGCCTCGCGCAGGGCTTGCTCGATCCTCGCACCCCCGCGCCGCGTGCCGCCCTCCCTCCGCGCCTCCTCGCACATATTCATCCACGCGCCACCGTCGCGCGCCGTGATGCCCGAATCGCGGCCCCATCGCGACGCGCCAGCGGTCGGCTGCTCGCACTCCGCTGCCGTCCACCTGTCTCGTGCGCGCACCCCGCGGCGCCCCCGTCGCGCCTCCAGGAACCTTCGCACACAACGTGCGCGGGCGTAGCGTTGCGCGGCGCAATCGGGCCGCCACGACCGCCGTTGTTGACGGGCCAACGAAACCTCCTGTCTGCTCCCCCTGTGCGACGCAGTTGCCCTTCCCACCGCGACTGGCAGCTATGCCACGGTAAGTCATCGCCCCGACATTTCAAGCGCTCGTTCGCAACGCGTCTTGCGCGCTGCGGTGCGCAGCGGCGGCACCCTCGGTGCCCTCCCGGCAGCGACCGCCCCCCGGCGTCGCTCGCGCCGCGCACGTCGCGCGTCGGCTGCCCATTCGCGCAATTGAGCTCTCATGTGCGCACCCGCGCGGCAGCGCGGCCGTTCCTGGCCCCACGTGCGCGCCCCGGGCGGCCCTGTCGAGCCCGCGCTAAGAATGGAGCCCGGCGCTCCGTTCGATTTCGGCGCCCACCTGCGACCTGTTTCCGCCCTCCGCAGTTCTCGATGGTGATCAAGATTCTGGACACGGACGACACCGTCGCCACGACCTCGAGCAACAACATCCGCATCGGCACGGCGAACCTCGCCGGCGATGTCTCGGATGCCGAGGTCGTCAAGATCAGGAACGCCGTCAACACCGTTGCTGGCTTCACTGCCGGCCAGACCAACGAGTGCCTGGTGAGTTGCCGCGGCGACGGCGCGCGAGCGACGGACCCCGGACAGGCCGCTCGCATGGCATCTGTGCCCGCCTCGCGCCCCGCCTCACCCGCTCGCGCGTTCCTTCCCCGCCGCGCAGACGTACGTCGACCTGTCGGAGACCACGGGCACCATCTACACGTACCTGCACGTGCGGTGCTTCTGCGACACGGCGGCCAACTGCAACACCGCCCGCGAGCGCTTCACGGACAACGGCGTGACGAACGGCAACTCGGGCGTCCGGGCCATCCGCGACCAGCTGGTGCGCACCCCCGCCGCCCTCTGCGCGCACCTCGGCCCCTGGACGCGCGGCGCCGAGCTCAACCCCCGTGTGTGGCCCTGCTTGCCTGCAGAACACCAACAGCGTGCTCGGCCTGGACGAGACCCTGACCGCGACCGGCCGCACCGACTTCGACGACGGCGCGATCGAGATCATCCGCACGAACGTGTACACGATGGGCGCCCCCGGCGACGCCTACGAGGTCATCTCGGTCAAGGTGGACCTGGCCGACAACGACAGCACCGGCACCGTCGCCTCGTTCGCCGCCGACGCGGTCGTGAACCAGCTCTGCCAGGCCGCCGGTCTGCTCGGCCCCACGCTCGTCGCCGCGGATGGCGAGATGCAGCCGGACAACCGGTGCTACGTGTTCGTGCCCCAGGGCGCCACCACGAGCCCGGCCTCGGCCTACATCCGCATCTACCTGCCCACGGGCGCCGCGGGGAGCGCGAACATGATGGCCGCGTCCTACGTGAAGTCGCTGATCGACGGCCCGACCTCGATGGCCACGCAGTACGCGCGCGTCCTGCAGTCGCGCACGGCCGGCATCGCCGCGAAGACGGTGGTGGCGAACGTGAACTCGCTCGGCGTGACGGTGAGCACGACCACGCAGGTCACGGTGACGCTGTCGGCCGACGCCGACATCACCACGGCCACGAACGAGTACTACACGGTCATGTTCAAGGTCGACACCTCGGAGCAGTTCCAGGGCGGCACCGGCGCCACCGCCGCCGGCGTCAACATCAACGCCGACGCCCGCGACGAGATCTGCCACGCCGCCGGTGTGTCGCCCACGACGGCCCGCATGGGTCTGGCTGAGGGCACTGCCTACGGCCTCACCACCACCACGGGCACCTTCGACTCGGCGATCCGCTGCATGGTCGTGACGCTCCAGACCGACTCGAGCAACACGCGCACGGCCGCGTCGTACGTGTACATCTACGTCAAGGACGCGACCTCGGCCGCCTCCATCTCGACGCTGGTCAACCTGGACTACTTCGACGCGTTCATCACCTCGGAGAACAAGGCCGGGTTCGAGGACGCCGCCACCGCGACGCTGACGGCGCCGACGACCACGCACGTCGGCCGCTACGACGGCGACACGGTGCAGTACCACACGGCGGTCGTCCCCGCGACGCTGCAGTCGGTCGGCTCGGGCACGGGCACGGCCCAGGTGGCCGTCGCGGACGCCACGCCCAACGGCGGCACCGCCGAGGCCGACAACGGCCGCGTCGACATCGCCCTGAGGCTCGGCCTGATGCAGCACCCGGCCGACAACGTGCGCGGCGCCATCATCGTCGCGCCCTGGAAGAAGAACTCGGGCGACAACAACGGCGTCAACTACGTGATCATGCACCGCTACGTGACGCACGTCGAGGACGTCGTCACGACGTTCGACTCGAGCTCGCTGCCCAACATCCTCGACGCCATCGTGGACACGGACTTCAGCGGCGCCGCCGTCGGCATCCCCGCCGTCTCGGCCGCCTACCAGGTCCGCATCAACGAGATGAACACGAACTTCCTGTTCGACGAGGAGACGAACAACGGCAACACCGCCGACCGCGAGGTGTTCACCAACCACTACGGCGAGGTGGTCACCTTCGCCCGCGTGTCGACCTCCAACGCCGCGTTCGACGTCGGCACGACCACGGAGGCCGCCGGCGTGTACGGTGGCGCCATCCAGATGCTGTCGGGCCTCGCCGGCGGCGACTACGACGCGGCGGTGGACGGCTACGCCAACACCACCCCCGAGCAGCTGGAGACCAAGGCCACGGATGTCACGGGCGTGAACAACAAGTACACGCTCCGCGCCTACCTGTCGACGAAGGACCACCTGGTGGCCCTCGACCTCAAGGCCAAGGTGACGAACTCGGCCATCAACACGCTGATGCAGAACATGTACAACCTCGAGACGACCACCGTCGACACCGCCGCCGGCAACTCGTACGAGGAGACGACCTACACCGCCGACGAGGTGTTTGCGGGCGGCAACGTGGGCCTGTACTCGGGCACCAACGAGTTCACCGACATCGACCAGCTGACGACGACCACGACGACCGACGCGCCGCTGGCCAAGTACCTGATCTCGTTCGAGACGACCATCCGCCGCGGCGCCAACTCGCGCGCCACGGCGCTGCCCGTCACCACCTCGGCCGACATCATCAACCTGAAGCGCGCCCTGCAGTTCGTGTCGGGCATCCACGCCACGAACATCGAGGTGTTTGACGGCGAGGCCGACTCGACCGCCGCCACGGCCACCACGGACCGCAAGCTGGTCGGCTTCATGTTCTGCTACGAGTCCCAGCTCGCCACGTACGCCGTGACGCAGCTCGCCTCGGCGACCCGCATGCAGACGTGGCTGCGCCGCGAGGGCTGGCTCGAATCGACCGGAGCCAATGCGGGCAGCGTGGTGGACTCGGCGGCCACCCAGGCCACGGTCACGGAGCCCCTCCACACCGCCACGGGCACGGACGCCTCGGCCACGGCCGAGAAGGAGTTCATGTTCTACATCGACTCGGCGGCCGCGGGCACGGCGGGCATCAACTTCAACCCCGCCGGCACGGCCACGGGCGGCGCCTCGGGCGCCACCACGAACGACAACGACGACGCGCTCAAGGTCGCCGTCTCGGCGGTGACGGGCGTGCCCACGGACAACATCAGCCTGCGCTACGGCAAGAAGCTGGCCGCCGACGGCACCCTCGACACCACCGCTGGCCGCGAGCGCCAGCGCGCGTTCGTCAAGGTGCAGACCAAGTCGGGCGCCGCCATCTCGGAGCCCACCGACGCCACGGGCCTGCAGACGTGGTTCCGCCGCGTTGGCACGGGCCTGTTCAACGAGGCCGCCCTGCTCACGTTCGAGAAGGTCCGGACGCTCGACCACACCGCCGAGGTCAGCTACGCCTCGTCGCACTTCAAGATGATGTTCCAGCTGACGTTCACCAACGCCGCCGGTGCCGCCATCAACAACGTGGACGCCGGTGAGCTGGCCCAGGCCCTGGGCGACGCCGTCGGCGTGTTCCAGGACCCCCTGAACGACAACGCCGATAACGACGCGTCGGCCACCGCCGCGCCCAACTTCCAGCCCACGGTGCAGCAGGTGCCCAACGGCGGCAACGTCTGGTGGTGCGTGGTGCGCGCCAACACGGCCGCTGAGCTGGAGACGTTCCGGACCTCGTACCTGGGCAACTCGGAGAACCTGGAGAAGGTGCTGCGCTTCTACAACTCGATGGAGGACGTGCAGACCGCCGCCGTCGCCGCTTCGGCGACCACGGACTACCACAACCGCCAGGTGGCCGAGCAGGAGCCCGCGCCGACCACGACCCCGGACACGACGACTGTCGACCCGATGCACGAGGACAACGTCAACACCGCGTTCGCCGTGGTGTTCGCCGTGCCCACGGGCACCGCCACGACGACCATCTCGAACAACGTGGCCACGGTGGACTACGCGGTGCGCGAGTACTTCTTCCGCATCGACCAGCCCGACACCAAGATCTTCTCGACCACCACGGGCACCGTCCGCGGCACGGCCACCACGAGCGGCCAGACCGTGACGGTCACGTACGGCTTCCGCTTCAACGACGCCGACAAGGCCCTGTTCGAGGCGCGCCAGGCCGGCTTCGACCAGGTGCTGTTCAAGGCCATCATGAAGTACGTCGGCACCGCGGGCCTGAACGCCGGCGGCAGCGCCACCGGCCAGACGTCGGTGAACACGGCCGCCACGGTGACGATCACCGCCGGCTCCTTCACCCGCCGCGTCCCGGCCGTCAACTACCTGCTCGACAACGAGATGGCGTACACGACCACCAAGTTCACCGTCACCATCACGGGCGCGGAGGACCTGGCCGTGCGCAACAACTTCCTGGCCGAGAGCAACCAGAACCAGGTGACGGACACCTCGGGCACCCAGCTCGACTACACCTCGGAGATCGCCAAGCAGATCTACACCGACCTGGGCCTGGACGCCACGAAGGAGAACACCTTCAAGGGCTTCCCGCTGTGGTACAACAAGCAGGCGACGAACGCGGCCAACCCGCTGCAGTCGACCGCGGACATCTACGCCGACACCATCATCATCACGGGCATCGTCTCGCGCGAGACGACGCGCACCCTCAACATCGGCGGCCTGCAGACGGCCCTGGCCACCTGGATGGGCGGCCTGACCTACGGCCGCTACTCGGGCACCGTCGCCGTCGCCACGGTCTTCGAGTACACGTGGCCCGCCCGCGTGTACGAGCTCACCTCGACGCAGATGGAGGCCGAGCACTGGGTCGTCGAGCAGCTGTCCGACTACACCGACGTCGCCAAGCCGACCGCGGCCACCCTCAGCGCCACCACCTCGCGCTCGCGCGCCAACTGGTGGGCGTACCTGGGCTTCAACCCCCGCGAGTCGGTCCCGGCCCGCGTGAACCCGACCTCGGCGACCAAGCAGCCGCGGTTCTTCGCCGACTTCCCCTTCTACTCGGTGTCGGAGGCGGAGGCCACGGCCGTCATGCAGGGCGTGAACTACTGGGTCGAGGTGGGCCTGCCCAACACCCTGCCCATGGTTGAGGGCGTGAAGAAGGCCTCGGGCACCGGCGCCATCGACGGCTTCTCCACGGGCGCGGACCAGTACACGACGCACTACGACGAAGTGACCGCCGCCAACAACGCGTTCCAGAACACGCGCACCAACACGGCCAACCGCCCGGTGTGCAAGGTCCGCATGTACAAGCGCCCGGCCGTGGCCACGGTCACGCGCGACGACGGCTTCTACCGCGTGTACGCCCAGATCGACTCGACGGAGGTGCACAACTCGATCGGCGCCGCCAGCACCGCCGGCGCCATCGCCACCACGGGCGGCGGTGACTACGGCACGGCCTCGACCACGGTCGTGGTGACGTACGACTCGGAGAAGATCCTGCGCGAGAACGTCGCGGGCATCAACCCCCTGGACACGCGCATGTCGATCCGCCGCGAGTTCTTCTACAACTTCGTGGACATCACGGCCAACCGCCACCACGCCGACGCGCCCCAGGGCAACAAGTACGACATCACCAGCCCGCAGAACTCGGTGATCATCTCGCTCGACACGGACTCGGAGACGGAGGCCAACGCCATCAAGACGGGCATGGACGCGATCCTGGCCTCGCAGGTCGTGGGCGGCCTGTCGAACAAGCAGAACAACATCCTCGGCTACGGCCTGGCCGCCGCGCTCGGCAAGGGCCTGACGGACGTGACGCCCATCATGGACACCACGGTGACGGCGGTGACGGTGGCGCCCAAGGTGGTGTCGCTCTTCCCGGTGAACAAGGTGTGCCAGACGTGGTACGAGGTGACGTGGTCGATGACGATCGACTCGGACTACCACCTGAACGAGGACGCGGACCAGCAGAACGCCGTCCTGGACGTTGTGCGCTCGGAGATCCGCCGCACCGTGGGCGTGGACAAGTTCGACGCCATCACCATGACGGCCCCCACGGGCTTCACGGCCCTGCCCACCTCGCGCCGCAAGCTCTCGTCGCGCGTCTACACCTTCTCGTTCACCTACGAGGCGTTCACCCAGGACGACGCCGCCTCGGTCACCACCGCGCTGACCACGGGCGACGGCCAGACCTCGTGGATTGACTCGGCCGTCGCCAAGTCGCTCCGCGGCCTGGTCGACGAGCGCCTGGACGAGAACGACGTCTCCGCGCCCCCCGTCTCGTTCGACGAGGCCAACGGCGGCGAGACCGGCGACCTCGACGTGGACGCCACGGCCCACACGGCTGCCGTGTCGCGCTCGGGCATCCCCCTGGTCCGCACCACCTCGTTCGCGACCCGCACGGTCCTCGCGACCAACCCCACGGCCACGGAGTGCACCAACGTGGTGAACACGACGGCCCCGGAGAACACGTTCGCCTCGGCCACGGTGTCGTACTCGTCGACGCTCCGCACCGCCGCGCAGTGCAACTCCACCGCGGGCAACGCGACCACCAACGCCGCCCTGCTGGCGTGCACGGCCGCCGAGATCGACCGCGTCGGCCCGGCCGACACGGGCGGCGTGTGGACCACCACGGGCTCGCTGGCCTCGCGCCGCGCCATGCTGCAGACCACGGGCAACTTCAACACCCGCATCGTCATCGAGGCCTCGGGCCGCACGGACGTGATCAACAAGCGCACCGCGCTCGAGACGCTGATCAACAACGGCGGCAGCGGCCTGATCGCCATCATCAACAAGGCTGGCGTGACGGTGGACACGGCCACGTTCCGCGTCGTCAACGCGCCGCAGGCCACCCTGGTCGGCGTGCCGCTCGGCGGCGCCGCCATGGCCACTGTGTCGGCGCTGCTCGCGGCGCTGGCGCTGCTGGCCGTGCTGGCGTAGGAGGCTGATGTGGGACGAGTGGACTAATCATGGAAGGGCTTGGGAGGCAGAGGTAGGCAAGCGCCGCGGGAGAAGCTGGGCCAGCTCCCCGCTCGTGGCTGCCACGGGCGCGAGACGGGCCGGGGGGCACACCGGCGCCTGCGGGGCTGCCTGGTGTGCCTGTGTGATGTAACTCCTGCAACGAAACGCACCGAATCCACGGCGTCTCACCAGCGACGACACGCACCCGACGGGTTGCCCGCCAGCAGTGCGGACGCGGGCCGCTGCGGGGCTTCTCACGCACTGCGCAGCACCATGCCATGCTGTGGTCGAGAGCCTGCGTGCGAGACGTATACAGGTGTACGCAAGAGTCGACGCTTGCTTGCTTCAAATGTCGCACACGCTCACGCGGCCCGTGGCGCTAGCTTCGCAACACTGAAATGCGCTTCTCTGTTCTACTACTGGGAGCCGCACCCCCCCCCGCTGCACAGGCTCCGTCTCCAGCGGTCAGCGAGCGACAGCGGACACCTCACGTGCCTGCGGTGCGGCAGAGGGGATCAGTATCGCGGCTCTCCGGCGGCGGGGGCGCTGCGACCGCGGAACGACGATGCCTGCGGCGGCCGGGACCTCTTGGCGGACGGAGCAGGCACTGGGCGGACACGTGGGCCCGGTGCTGTGCGCCGCCGTGTGGAACGACACCTCGACCATCGTCACGGGAGACGAGGCGGGGAACGGATGTCTGTACGACCTCCGAGCCGGTAAGGACCCTCCCAGGAACATAGAGCCTCCGCGAACGTCGGATTACCGCGTTCCGGTGCCGCCTGCCTGTCCGACGAGCGCACACACAATGGTTCGACACGCCGGTCGAGCCCGCGGTGCTTCACGGCGCCTGCACGTCTCGGCGACGGGGCCACTCGGACATCCCTCCGGAGCGTCCAGTGGGCCGGGACGGCGCTCGCGGCACGGTGGGGGCGGAGCCAAGGCGCGCGCGAGAGCCGCGGCGGGCCAAGATCACGTCCCGATCGCGTGCGTGGACGCGCCATGACGCACCGGGCGGCACATGGGCATCCGGCAGCTCCAGCACCCCGGCAGCGTGCCAGGGGCGCCCCGTCGGGCGCGCATCCTGCGGCTGCACGGGGTGCAGCTCGTCGGAGCTGCCGGCCAGCGCCCCGTCGGCCCCTCACGCGCCGCGCCGCCGCGAAGGCGCCGGGGGGTGCAACCAAGCCGCCGTTCCCGCGGGACCCGCTGACGAACGAGCGCCTGCCGAAGTCGTCCGGCATGCGCGTGTGCGTGTTGAAGAGCTACTCGAGCACGTGCGCGATCCTGGACCTGGGGCAGCGCGTGTCCGGCACGGAGGCGCGACGCCTGGCCGAGTTGGCTGCCCGTGGCACGCAGCAGCGCAGGGCTCTCCCGCTGCTGGTCGCGGCGATCCGCGCCATGGGCCACAAGCACCCTGACAGGGGCGTCGGTCGTCCGGGGTCCCCCCTGTTCAGCGAGGGTCGCCTGAAGCAGCTCACGGAGCAGTGCAAGCTGCGCAAGTCCAGCATCACGCTGCTGTACGCGGAGGCCAAGATGCTGTGGGACGAGTACGTCTGCGGGGACGACTTCTTCGAGAAGTTCAAGCCCGACATGCAGCTGGTCAAGGACGTACAGGACGTGATGCGCGCGCGGGAGCACGACCTCGCCCCGCTCATCACTCTCGACGTGCTCGACACGCTGACCTCCTCCGAGGTGCCGGAGGTCGCGGAGGAGCTCGAGCTGCTGCGCGGCGAGCTGCACGCGGCCGGCTACGACGTCGGCGCGGGCGACGACACGTACAAGCTCAAGATCACCGAGGCGGGGCCCTCCATGTCCATTCCGGGCCGCAACGGCGCCGTCACGCCGGCGACGAGCATCGTCGCGGCCGGCTGGAGCGTCGCGCAGCTGCTTCCCGGCGCGATGAAGGTGCCCGTGATGCACACGCGCGCCGAGGTCGCCGACACACCGCACATCACCAGCGCGGAACAGTGCCGCCCGTCGGCCGCGCCGGTGCACGCCGCCCAGCTCATGGCCTCCTTCGGGGACGTCGTCGAGGGGCGCACGCGGCTCGCGGGCGTCGACTGGATGTTCGTGTCGCTCCGCCGCCCAGCGTCGGCGGTGGAGGCACCCCCCGGGGGAGCTCCCCCGGACGGCGACGGGAAGGAGGCGACCCCGCCCGCCGTGCTCGTCACCCTCGAGAGCATGATGCTCGAGGGCGACGCGGGCACCCCCCTGGACGACCTGCGCGCCGTCGCGTCCTGCACCGCGCGGTACCTATCGGGGGTGGTCGCGAGCCCGGACGACGACGAGCTGTGGCGCCGGCAGCAGGACCTCTGGGTCACCGCCGAGGACGACGCGCAAGCCGGCGCGCTGGGGCTGCGGCGCAACGTCGCGTCCGACGGCGGCGCGATGGAGGGCGTCGACCGCAATCAGAGCGACGCGCGGCACGTGATGCGCTACGTGACGGCGGAGGGCGAGTACTCCATGGTCGCCCTGCGCGACGAGGAGCTGGGCGGGCTGCTCGACGTGCTCACGGCGGCGCTGATGGACCCGGGAGTCGACTTGGAGCTCGAGACTGCGCAGCCTGCGCCGCTGAGGGCGCACCGGGGCGCGGCGGGCTGGCTCGCGCGTGCGGCCGGGGGGTGGGTGGGCAGCGTGGCGCTAGGCGGCGTCGTCGGGCTGGTGACCTGGGCGCTGTACGGCACTCGGCGCGCGCCCGAGGGCGCTGCTGCGTCGCTGACGGCTCGGACCGCCGCGCGCGTGGTGGAACAGTCGAGGCACCGCTGACGGTGGCGCTCTTGGCACGTTCCTGCGTCGTGCCTGCCGACCTTCGCGACCGCGCCCCCACGCACGCCCGCAGCCCCCCCCGAGACATGACACGACCTGTTTGAGCGCTCCTGCTGCTGCTTGCAGGCCCCAGCCCCTCTCTGCACCTGAAGCCCCTCGGCCCCGACGGCAGCGCCGTCTCCGGGCTCCAGCACCGGGCGCGGGGCGCCCATCACGAGCACGCGGTCTTCGCCAGCCACGGCACTTGCATCAGCAGCGTGGACCTGCGCACGGGCAAGAGCGTCTCGACGATCGACGTCGGCGCCGGGGAGGAGGTCGCCGCGCTCGCGCTGGAGGACAGGGCGCGCAGGCTCGCCGCCATTGACGACGGGGGAGGCATCGCTCTCGTCGCCGTGTCGGACACGTGCCAGCTCCAGGTGACGCGCACGCCCCCGCCCACACGCCGTCCCCGCCCACACACCGTCCCCGCCCTAGCCTGGAGGCAGTCGCTCGTCCTGACGCGGGCACACCCCGTGTTGCGCGTGCAGCCGGAGAGGAGCCTGCTGCACGGCGGGCACACCAGCGTGGGGGGCGGCGTGGCCTTCCGGCGGCACCGCCCGCACGAGCTGCTCTCGGGCGGCCTCGACTGTCGCGTCCTGCGGTGGGACACGGCCACGGGGCGCGCGCTGGCCGACGTCAGCTGTGCGCAGGAGTCCTCGTCCGGCGGAGCGCAGGCGGGGAACCAGATGATCAACCCGCCGATGGTGCACGGCGTCGCCACCCCGGACACGACTCTGCGGCCGCACGTCGGCCTGCTCGCGGCGGGTGAGCTGCGCACACACAGCTGCGCCATGGCAGCCGCTGCGCCATGCCTCGCGTCTCCGCCGCGGGACCGGACGCACCCATCGCGCGCCCTGCCTGTGCGCTGCAGCCCGGGGCGACGGCGTCGTGTGCCTGTACGATGGGGACCTCGGCCAGCGGACCTCGAGGCGGGCGAAGAAGAGGGGCACGTCCAGGTCTCAGGGCGCGGCTGCCGAGCCGGCGGGCCCGCGCCTGCACGCCGCGGACGACGGACGTATCGCTGTGCTCAGCTCGCCCGGCGCGGGGGGGCACACGCGGGCCGCGTCGTGCGTTGCGTTCCTGCCCGGTGCTGGCGAGGCCGACGCGGCGCCGTGGGTGGTGTCCGGGGGCGAGGACCGGCAGGTGCTGGCGTGGGACTGCAGTGCGGTGGTCGCGGACGCGTGCGCGGGCCCGCCAGGCGAGGCCAGTTTTGGGGGGTTGGTGCCTCACGTGCGCGGCAAGGCCAGGGGGAAGGTCAACTGGGTGGGCGGTTCGGTGGGCGCGGACGGGCGCATACGCGTCGTTGTGTGCACCACGGCGAGCGCCGTCGAAGTGCTGACGGCGAGGTGAACACCATCCGGCATCCGCTTGTGATGCTGGGACGCCGCTGCGTTGCCCGCGGTCCACCGCGCAGGGGTCGCTGGCTGCGATCACGCGATACGAGCCGAGGGGTCCTGTGCGACTCGGCGGCGCGGGGCCGTCTCCTCGCGCGCCGATGAGCGACGTGTGATCCGCGCCTTGCTCGCGAGACTGCTTCGGACTCGGGCGCGGGACGTCACGAGCGCTCTCCCGAGGCTGGGACTGTCGCTGGAAGGGTCGCGCTGGGCGGCGATGCCACGGCACAGCTGGCAGTGCGCGGCACACGGCGCGGGACAACTGCGCGTAGAGCCTGGCGGCCGACGATCCGCGGGGGGGCGCGTTCGGAGGCGCGCGATGGTCGTACGCGTCGCGCAAGGCGAGGCGAGGCGGAGCACGGGCAGGAACTTGTCCGCGGCGACCGCAAAACGCCGTGTCAGTCCCTGGGCGGTGCTGCCTGACGAGGCTCGACGCGCCAGCCGTCAGCTGCGGGGCGCCCGGGCGCAAGAGCTCGTCCGCCTGCTCTGCCCCGTCCTTTTCCCGGGTGGAGATCGTCGCGTGCGTGGGGAATCATGGCTCCCAAGGACGAGAAGAAGGCCAAGAAGGCCGCGACCGCGGTCAAGAAGACGCTGGGGAAGAAGGTGCGCGAAACGCGCGCGCAGGGCCTACCGTCACAGGCGTCGCCGGGCCGAGCGCAGCCCCTCGCGGCGCCCCGGCGCCGTCGCGGGCGAACAGCAGAGTCGACCGTGTGGGGGCCTCGGCATGCGGACGCTCACCGCTTCCCGGCCGGGGAGCGCGGTGCTGCGGGCGGGAAGGTCGCTGCGTGGCGTCGCCGGCGACGGCAGGCCCGCTCTCGGCGCCCCTGGGTCGGAGGCCGGCGGGGGTGCCCGCCCACGCGCGCGCCGCAGACCGCGGGGCAGCGTTGTTTCGCGCTCCGGGGGACATTCTTTCGCAGAGCCCCGCGTTCGGCTCGCTCCTTGAGCGTGCGGCCCCGCAACCTCGCGGCGCGGATCGATGTCTGCAGGTGCTCAAGCCTCGGCTTTCGGCGTCGTTCTACCGGCCGAAGACGCTCAGCAAGCCCCGGGACCCCAAGTACCCCACGCGGTGAGTGAGCGGCGCTGGTCCCCTGGAGCCCTGCTGGCCGGCGTGCCCGCACGCGGGCTCTCCTCGTGCCCAGCACTGACTGCTCCCCGCCCCACCGCTGCGGCGCCCCCCTGGGACGCCGGCGCTCTGGCTCCGGGGCACCGTTGAGCGGCGCAGAGCTCGTCGCCTGCGCCTCCAGCGTCGGCCTGCGCGTTCCGCGACGCGATGCGCGAGCACCAGGCAGCCCGCCGCGTCCGTGCCGCCGCTGCGCGCGCTGCCGGGCCCGGCCGCGCGCTTCGCCCCGCACCGCGCCGCCGTTCGCGCCCCGAGCGCCCCCGCCCGCGCCCGCGCGTCCTCGCAGGGCGGCGCCGCGGCTCCAGAAGCTGGACGACCACGCGGTGATCAAGTTCCCGCTGTACAACGAGTCGGCGATGGCGAAGATCGAGAAGGACAACACGCTGGTGTTCATCGTGGACACGCGGGCGAACAAGCCGCGCATCAAGGCGGCCATCCAGCGGCTGTACGACATCCAGGTGAAGAAGGTCAACAGCCTCATCCGGCCCGACGGCATGAAGAAGGCCTACGTCAAGCTCACGCCGGACTACGAGGCCCTCGACGTCGCCAACAAGATCGGCATCATCTAAACGCGCTGCAACATAGCCCCAGCCGGCGACGCGCTGCGCCGGCGCGGGGACGGCCCGTGTGAACCGGCGCGCCCACGGCCCCCCGCGCGCACGCCGCCGCCGCTCTCGTGTGTGCGATGCCCGACGCGCACGCGGGAGCTCTCCGCCGCGCTGCGCCGTCGAGCTGCGCTACAACCTCCTCCACCCCGCGCAGCTGGGCAGCAGCGCCCCTGGGCGCCGGCCCACGCATGCGGTGGCCCGCCTGCCCGCGCCCATGCCCGGTGGCCCAGTCGGCCCGCCACCGAGCGCCCGCGGAGCCCGCGGCCGCGGATGCCCGCGGCCGGCGAGCACGGCGCCGCGCACCCGACCCGACGATGCAGCCGCGCGCCACGTACCCCTCCGTCGCGACAGCGCACCGTGCCGTCGTGCGCGGACGCTGTCGATCGCTGCAGTCGCGCGCAGGAGCGCACGTGCGGCCACGGCGGGGCCAAAAGTGTCGGGGGCGCGTGGAGGTGGTGCACCCCCGGGCCCTGGCGAGCTCCCCGGCCGTCGCGCGTCGCGCAGAAGGTCGGCACGGGCATAAACGTCGCAGATCCACTCAGGGAATCGAACCCTGGACCTCTCGCACCCAAAGCGAGCATCGTACCACTAGACCAAGTGGACATAAATTCTGCATGCGCAATTCCATTTTCATGTGTTTATAAACAATAAAATGAGATTACTGTATAGCACACAATAATATCCACAAGGCATGCCTTCTATACACCTTTTCGCGTCAGTGCGGAGCCTGTGGGTATGTCAAGGTGCAACCACCGCCTCCCAGTCGGACGCGCCGCGCGTGCCGGGCACGCGCTGCCGTCGCAGGCTCCAAGTCCCCCTCGTCGGCCGCGGCTGCGCCAGATCCATCCGGTCCGGCCTCACGCCGCTGGGACCCCGGCCCCGCGCTCCGCGAGCGGCATGCGCAGGGCGCTGACCTCGAGGGGACCCGCGTGCTGCGCCGCGCGCCTGCTCGCTCGGTGCGCCTCCAGCGCGTCGACGACGGCCTCCATGGACCACGCAGACCGCCGCGGCGCTCACCACGCCGCGGCCGCCGACCACGCCGCCGACGGCACGGCTTGCACCTTGGACGAGGGGCATGGGTGCACGCGCTCGTGCAGCAACTCGGGGCGTTTCAGCGGCATGAAGGTGGCGGACCTGGCGCAGCCGGACGCCGTCGACGCGTACAGGCCGTCCCTGTACCGCAGGTGCGCCGCCGCCGCGCCCTCCTCGGTGGGGCGCGCAGCGCGGCTCGCTCGCACCCAACAGCCCTCTCCGGCGCGGCCGGCACCGCCCTAGCCCTCGCGGCACGCACGAAGTTTCCTCCGTCGCCTCGACTTCCTCGCCGTGTTCAGCACGCGTGTCCCCGCGGTGCCCTGGCAGAGAGGCTTGCCCCAACCACCAGGAAGGGGCGCGTGCGACGGGCGCGTGCGTGCTCCTCGCGCGCTCTGCGCCCGACCCGCGCGGCGCCCATCGCCGCGTGTGCGCCCTCCGGGCCCCCGGGCGCCGTTCCGCGCGCCGTTCCCCGCCGCACGCACACACCGCCACCAGCCCTGTCCTCCCCGCCTCCCGCGCGCAGGACGCTGCCCGAGGGCCTGTGCGTCCCGTTCTCGTCCGTCGAGGGGCGGCAGGTGTTCGCGGAGGCGCTGTCGCAGGGCACGCTGTCGGGGTTCTTCAACCTCGTCGAGCAGTACAACACGCAGATCGAGCCCGCCTTCTGCGGCCTCACGTCGCTGGCCATGGTGCTCAACGCCCTCAAGGTGGACCCGCGCCGCGTCTGGAAGGGCCCCTGGCGCTGGTTTCACGAGGAGATGCTCGACTGCTGCGAGCCGCTGGACAAGGTGCGCCGCGACGGCATCGTGCTCGCCAAGGTGGCGTGCCTGGCGCGGTGCAACGGCGCGCAGGTGCGCCTCGTCGGGCACGAGGACGGCGACGTCGAGCGCTTCCGGGAGGACGTCCGCGCGGCCTGCACCGCGGGGACGCGGCACGTCATCGTGTCGTACGACCGCAGGTGCGCGCCGCCGCCGCCGCCGCCGCCGCCGCCGCGCGCTGCGCCGCGCGCGACTCCCGCGGCACGCGACCCGCTCCGCCTCGCCTTCCCCCCCCCCGCGCCCGCAGCTCGCTGAAACAGACGGGCACGGGCCACTACAGCCCCGTCGGCGGGTACCACGCGGGGCGCGACCTCGTGCTGATCCTGGACACGGCGCGGTTCAAGTACCCGCCGCACTGGGTGCCCCTCGACGAGCTCTTCCGCGCCATGGCCCCCGTGGACCCCGCCACGGGCCGGCCGCGTGGGTACATCGTCCTGGAAGCCAAGAGCCCCAGGTGCGTCGCGCGCGGGCCGGGGACGGCGCGGACGCCCGTGCCACGCGGCCGCGAGCGCGCGCGACGACGCGGGCCGCTCGTCTCCGCCCCTGCAGGTCGCTGCTGTTCTCGCTGGACCTGTCGCAGCGGGACTGGCGGGACTCGCACCGGTTCGTGGCGAGCGACGTGGCGCGCATCGCGTCGCAGTACCGAGGGGCCGAGCTGCGCGAGCTCGTGGCGGAGCTCGTGGCGAACATGCCGCGCGGGGCGCCGGAGTTCGTGGGCGTGCGCGGCGGCAGCGTGGGGCTGGCGGAGCGCTGCAGCCAGCTGCCCGATGGCACGTGGGACCACCGCTGCGTGCCCGTCGACCAGCAGCGCAACCTGCTCTCCGAGATCCGCGCCACGCAGGCGTTCGGCGCCGTCCGGGGCGCCCTCGGCGACGGCAGCGACGGCGCAGGGGCCCTCTTCCGGTGCGGCGCGCCCCGCACCCGGCCGCCAGGGCCGACGCGACCTCCGCCGCACGCGCCGCCAGGGCCGACGCGACCTCCGCCGCACGCGCCGCGCAACCCCGCGTCGCACGCGGCGCCCCCGCGCGTGGCTGAGCAGGCACATCCGCAACCGCTTGCGTCGCTGCTGCCTCCGTCGTGGCCGCTGACCCGGCGCCGCGGCGTCTGCGAACCTCGCTGCAGGGCGGAGCGGATCACGATGCTGCTGCTGATGGCCCCGCCCGGGAGCTGGGAGGGCGTGGCCGACGCGGCGCTGCGGAGGGAGGCGCTGGCGGCGTTCGACACCAAGCAGGAGACCCTGTCCATCGTGGGCAGCGAGGCGACGTACCTGCAGGAGCAGATGCGACACGTGAGCGGCATGGCGGCCGCGCAGCCGGACCCGCAAGGCTCCGCTTGAGGGAGAGGCGCGGGGGGTTGTGTGTGTGTGGGTCCAGATCGCCTGTGAGCGACCGCGTGAGACGCCGCCGTGGACGTGCGTGTGCCGACGTATCCACGGGCCCTCGGGAGGGCCCCGCACAGGGTGAACGACGATCGCGTGCTGCACCTCTCCTACTCAACCACCCCCGTCCCAACCCAACGGTGGGGTGGGACACCGCGCTAGGACGGCCGCGGCTGCCCCGCGAGCGTTCGCTGGCGCCCCAGCCCGGGCCGGCAACAGCACCCGCGTCGACAGCCGCCGGTCGACCGCTCTGCACCGGCCAGCGAGCTGCACACGTGCCCTGCGCGCTCGTGGCTGCCGCCGACACGGCCCGCGCATCTCATTCAGGTGCGTCGCGGCGAGCGAGTCCCAGCTCCGTCGCTTCGTCGCCAGCGACCCACCATGTAGACAGGAGACCGCTCCAGGACTCACAACGTCATCGGCATGCTGCAGTACGGTCAACACGCAGGAGCTTCCATGGCGAGGCACAACGCTCCCATGGCGATGCACCCCCACCCCTGCCAACCACCACGCGGGTCCGCTGCTCAACGTGTGCTTCCAGGAGCGGCCCGAGCAGCGGGTGACGTGAGGGGCTGTCACCGCCTCACCTGACGTGCGTGATGTTTTGCGTATGTCTCACCGGGCAGGGTCGCCGGCCGACGACATCGGGACGCGTGGTGGGGCTTGCCGACGAGTACCCGCACGCCCGCGGGGCTCGTCACTCATTGAAGACTTCATTCGAGCTGCATGCGCAGGTGCTGGGACCCCGACACCTGTTGCTGCAGCTTGCTCATCCTGCGTGCGGGTACTCCACCGCGTCGTTGCTCTCGGCCACCCCTTTCCTTGGTTATTGTGACCTCCGGTTTGACACCTTTTGTCTGAAAGTTCATTACAGACACGCGAGATGAGGACAAACACACTCGGCCCTCCCGCGTGCGTGCGCGCACCACCGCCCGAAGGCTTCGCCGCGGGCCGGACGTGCCGTCGCGGAGGCTCCCAAGGCTCCTTCCGCCGCTGACCACAGGAGAGCGCTCGTCGACCGTACAGCCCGCAGGCGGAGGCACAGGCGAGGCCTGGAAGTGTCACCCGCGCAAGGGGAGCGGCGCGGGGTGCGGTGCGCCGCCGCGCAGTGTGACAGGGGTCCGGTGCGCGCGAACCGGCTGTGTGTGTGCGACTAGTGATGCAGGGCGGCGCGCAATATGCGAGGCGGGGCGCGCGAGATGCGGGGGGCTCGTCTGGCCAGGACAGCCCGTGCCGGGGACGCGTGCCACGTCACGTCCGCGGGTCATCTCCATCCCTGGTCGCACGTGCGCACACTGGGGCAGCTGCCGAGTCCGGGCACACGTCTGCGAATGACTTTACCGTGGGTGCGTCGACAGGGCGCATCGCGAAGGCCTGCTCCTCTCAGGCCCCGCTTCTCGCGCCGCTGTAACGCACATGCGCTTCCCTTCCCCCCTCGCAGCAGCCTGAGGGCTGGGTGCTCCCCGACGCAAACGCGCCCGCCAGTGGGGTCCACCCCGGCGAACGAGGATCTCCATGTATCGCCAACGCCCCGTCACGGCCGCCTCCGACCGGGCCGCTGGCCAGCTGCGACGCGGGAGGGCGGGGCAGCTGCCAACCGCTGCCAGCACCATGGAGCGCGCGCCGTGGGCGCCAGGTTGCGCAACAACGACCTGGACCGCTGGAGAGGAGCTCGCTCTGCGACCGTCGCCGCACGGGAGCACCTTTCCGGCCCCGAGACCGTGGGGGGGACTGTGTCAGTGCGGACTGAGTCGACTTTCTGGCAGGGGGCCGCGGCGGGCCATGGGGCGCGCGAGCGCGCTGCAGGCGGCATACTTCGACGCCAGTGGCGAGAGGCTAATACAAGGCCGGCACTGGTAGGGAAGGTGAGACACCAAGGCCGCGCATCGCGCCGCGAGCGGCCCCCCTCGTGAACGCCATGTTGCCTCCGCGTCTGCGCCGCCCGCGCGCCGCCATCAACCGCGCTCGCCGCGCAGATGGGATGCTCGAATCACGCTAGGGCCGCAGACCGCCCCGACGCGGCCGCGCGGACCCGCAGCGCAGCCCGCCCCTTTTACGTCCAGGGCAGGCTACCTGTTCGTGCGCGGAACGCTGCGCCTGCGCCGCCAGCTCCGCATCGCGCGCGCATTCCCGCCCCTCCTCGATATGCTCGAACGGTTTCTGCGGTCGTTTGGCGTGCGCGTTCCCCGCACGGGACGCGAGGGCGTGGGAGGCCGCCCCACCACAACAGGCGGCCGCCTGCGCCTTGGCGCCCCGCAAGATTGAAATCACGTCGCCTAGTCTCGCTCTCGCAATCGTTTCATCGCGAATACGCGCACCGGCGCCCACGCGCGTGTCCGAGAACGCGGTGCGCGGGCGACGTCGCATTGCCCTCGACAACCTGTCTCGGTTCCTCCGTCCCCTCTGCGGCAGCACAGTTGCATCGCGGCCGCAGCGCGTTTCTTTTATCTGCACTCGCGTTTCAGAGCGGCCTTGCCACGCATCGCCCCCCGAGCGCGGCGGCCGCGCTCGCTCCACTCGCCCTAGCTTGCGTCCCCACGCTCGCCCGCACCGACCGCGGCACCCCGTCACCTCTCACGTTGCGCAGGGTCAAAATGAAGGCGATCCTATTGCTCGCCCTCGCCCTCCTCGGGCTGGGCTCTGCGAGCGCCTTCCACGTAACTGAGGACTATGCTATCACGGCCACGGACGTGAGCCTCAACGACGCCGGCTTCTCCGGCAAGGGTGCGCCTCACAGGCCCGCCTGTCGCGCCTCATGCCAGCCCCGCGACTGTTGGACGCCCTCCGCGCGCACCCCGCCCGCCCGCGCGTCCCCCGTCGAAAATTGCCCTCGCCGCCACACCGCCCCGCGCAGGTGTCCAGGAGCAGTTCGGCCGCTACATGTGGACGTCGCTGGACGGCGAGTGGCTGGTTGTCGCCCACTCGGTGGTCGTGAAGGACGCGTGGGCCACCACGACGGAGCTCGAGTCGGGTGGCTTCAACTACTTCCAGTTCGACCAGGCCACGTACGACCAGGGTGCGCGCCCGCCCGCGCCAATCGCACCCGCGCAGCCACGCCACCGCGCCCGGAGCGCGCCGGATCGCCCGCACGAACGCCCGCCCCCCGCCTCCGCACCGCGGCCGCCGCCCACCTGGCTGCTGCTGCCCCTCCCTGTTGCTGCGCTGCAGGCAACCAGCCCTGGGTGTCGCGCGGCACCATCGCCCCGCGCCTGGCGTCGGCCGACTCGAACGTCGGCACGAACAACGAGCAGACGCCGGACCCTTCGGTGAACGACGTCTACACGAAGTTCAAGTGGGAGCGCACGGCCGCCAACGGCAACCGGTGCGCCCGCTTCGACGTGGACGCCAACGGCTTTGGCGCCACCGCGGACCACACCTTCACGGACGGCGTGCCGGTCACGGCCACCGCGCTGGCCGCGCAGACGGCCCCCGTGCAGACCACGTGGTGGGAGTACACCCAGGACGCGGGTAGCGGCAACGCCAACGCCGTGAAGACCATGACCACGGGCTGCTTCGACTGGCTAACGTCGTTCGCGATCAACGAGGACGGCTCCGTGCTGGTGTACGGCTACACCGGGTCGGACCAGGTCGCCACCGTGCGCCAGCCGTACGACGGCTCGCCGGTCGAGAGGGTGGCCGTGAACGCGGGTATCGCCTACGTGTACGAGCGCGAGTCGCTCTCCACGGGCGGCCTCTCGCAGACCTTCACCTACAAGGCCACCATCACCTCGTCGGTGCCCACCCCCAACGGCAACTGCGGTGCCTCGGTGTCGGCCTACGGCAAGCGCGTGATGGTCGGCTGCCCCGGTGACGACGTGCACGCCATCACCGACTCGGCCAACCAGAACCCCGACAACACGCTGGTCCAGGCGATCCCGGGGGACAACACCCAGGTCGAGGCCGCTTCGCCCGCGGTGACGGTGACCACCGTCACGTCGGCTGGCGGCGCCGTCGGCGACTCCATCGAGGACCGCTCCAAGGTGTACGCGGTGGGCGCCGTCGAGGTGTGGTTCCGCGCCGCCACTTCGACCGGCACCCTGTCGACCACCTGGACGCGCGAGCAGCGCCTGATCGAGGACGTCGCGGCCCGGACCAACGGCCGCAACTTCGGCAACCTGGTGCTGGCCTCGTCGAACGTGCTCCTGGTGCAGAAGCCCGGCTCGACCGGCTTCTACGCCTACATGCACGACGGCGCCACGCCCTCGTCGCTCGCCCGCGCCGACGGCACCACGACGGGCGGCGGCTGGACCATGGTCCAGGAGCTCTACCCCAAGTTCGCCCCGCCCACGACGTCGTCGCTGGACGACCAGAGCGTCGTCTTCTCCGACACGTTCCTGGCCGTCCGCAACGGCGCCAACTTCGTCGTGTACACGAAGATGACCAACATGGACATGTGCGTGTCGCCCACGGGCTTCTGGATGCCCGCGGGCAACCAGTGCGAGAACGAGTACATGTGCGAGGAGGCCAACACGCTTGCGGCCCTGCCTGACACGGTCGCGAACCCCAGCTCGTTCGCGATGAACCTGGACATGATCGCCATTGGCGTCCCGGGGGCCGACTACGACTACCGCGAGATGACGCGCAACCACGTCAAGGATCTGTTCATCGCCTCGCAGTACACCACCGCGCAGGGCTCGGTGCTGGCCGGCGAGCGCATCCGCAACGCCGGCCTGGTGCACTACTGGGAGCGCCGCACGAACCTCAACTCGGTCAACATGATGGACACGACGCTGCTCGACGTCGCCGGCAACGCGTACCAGAACACGCCCTTCATCCGCAACCTGCGTGTGCGCAACACGGCCGACTCGTACTTCGTGTACGGCGGCCGCATCCAGCCCGCGCGCATGTACTGGGAGGCGCAGTGCGGCGCCTCGGTCGCCGTTGCCAAGGGCCACGTCCTGGCCGGCTGCCCCGCCAACCTGAACACCAACCTGAACGACGCCACCGCGCCGGGGTCGGCCATCCACGCCTTTGACGGCGCGGACGCCCTCTCGGAGATCCCGACCAACTCGGCCACCAACGGCGTGATGTACCGCCGCCCCGTCCTCACGTCGGGCACGGGCACCGCCGCCAACGACGCGACGACCACCCTGGGCGCGACGGACAACGACAACGAGCAGCTGAACCCGTACACGTTCAACCCGTACCACTCGGCGGCGTTCGACGACTACGTGGTGCAGAACTCGCTCTACATGTCGAGCCTGCAGGTCGACCCCGACGGCTACGTCATCCTGATGGACATGAACAAGCTGGAGCAGAACATCAAGGACGACCAGAGCCAGCTCGTCGACTCGCCCGACCTGCTGTTCGGCGACGAGACCGGCATCAACTTCGCCGGCGGCTGCCTCGCCAACGACGGCGACATGCTCCTGGTCGGCGCCCCGGGCGCGGCTCGCAGCGGCGTGGCGGGCGCGGGCGCGGGCGTGCTGATGAACGGCGCCTCGGGCGAGATCATGGGCAAGCTCTGCTCGAAGATGCCCATGGCCGGCGTCGCCATGGGCACGCAGCCGTGTGCCATCAAGGGCAACTACCGCGCCATGGTGATCGACATCACCAACGTGGAGCGCACCAACCAGAACGGCGACACGGACGCGCTCAACGTGCAGAATGACGTGGACGGATTCGGGGCCCTTGTGGACGGGGACCCCAACACAGCCGGTGTGCAGCCTCGTGCCGCCGGCGGTGCCGTGGAGGTGTTCGAGGGCACCACGCACGTGGCGCGCGTCTTCCCTAACGCCCCCAACGCCAACATGCGGTTCGGCGTGGCCTCGGTGTCGTTCATGGAGGTGACGAGCACCACGGCCACGGACGTCCTCCTGCTGGTGTCGGCCGACAGCGACGACCTGGTCGCGGACGAGAACGGCGCCCGCCACAAGGCCCAGGCTGCGTACAAGCAGAACGCCGGCTCCATCCAGATCTTCCGCCGCACCGTGGCCACGGACGGCACCATCACCTACCCCTACGTGTCGTCGGTCACGGCCTCGGACACTTACGGCCTGGTGAACCAGTACAACACCGTGGGCGGCAAGGCCCAGGCCGACACCTCGAACGCGAACGGCAACACGGTCGCCGCCGCGTGGGGGACCTGGGGCGCCCAGTACACCCGTGCCCAGCAGTTCTCGAACCAGGGCTTCTCGGTGTCGGGCTCGCTCCTCGCCGTGCCTGACCAGTACGCCGCGCAGTCGAGCAACCTGAACTTCTACGACTACACCAAGCGCCCGGGCTGCAACTGCCAGGACGACCAGGGCCACTTCCGCAACCCCACGACCACGCGCCGCTGCGCCACCAACCACCAGACGTGTGGCGAGGTGCTGCACGGCGCCGTGTACGTGTACTCGTGCACTGCCTCGGGCTGCACGGAGGCGCAGCGCGTGACGCCGCCGTCGATGTACACCACGTTCGACCAGGCCGGCGGCACGGACTACACCTTCCGCCAGATGCAGATCAACTCGCGCTCGGCGAGCAACCCCTACGGCAGCTTCGGCTCGTTCGCCTTCACCTCGACCTCGACGGCCGACTCGACCTCGGCGCTCGGCACTGACACCAACACCAACGCCGCCGCCGTGACGATGTACACCAAGAACGCTGACGTGTACCTGGACAACAACGCCCGCTTCGGCTACCAGTCGGCGCTCTGCGACAACGGCGACCTGGTCGTGTCGGGCCGCTACCCGGCCTTCTACGGCGAGGACACGGGCGTGCTGTTCTACTACTCCAAGTCGACCACTGCCAACACGTGGACGTACTCGGCCAACATCACGGCCTACGACTCGTCGGCTGGCAACCGCCTCGGCAGCACGGAACTGGCCTGCACGGGTGGCTTCGTGCACGCCGTCGGCAACAACGGCAAGGGCTTCTCCAGCCACTACGTGTTCCAGGTGGACACCTCGGTGGCCGGCGCCCCCACCTGGAAGCAGGTGGCCCGCTTCGACGACAACCCGACCGGCCTGCTTCCCGGCGATCAGGCCGTCGTCAACGGCCGCACGACCTACTTCCGCGCCCCCAACTGGCAGAAGCAGGAGTTCCACGACTCGGGCACTGGCATGCCGCTCAACATGTTCCTCGACCGCCTCAACACGGGTTCCAACATGGACGACATCTTCGAGGGCGGCGACGCGGACCCGTACCTGTGCCGCAACTGCCGCAACGGCCAGACCACGAACTACGGCGCCATCGCTCGCGTGGACTTCAACTTCGACGGCGCTGGCTGGTCGGACCCGGGCACCACCAACTGGCCGCAGGGCCGCGGTGCCGGTATCACCGGTATCGTCATCGGCTCGATCATCGGCGCCTTCCTGGTCGGCAGCACCATCTACCTGCTGATCACCGTCCAGGGGCTGTCGGCGGCCAAGGGCCCGGCTGTTTAAGCAGACGCCCTCACGGGCACATGTCTTGGGTACGGGCCGGGTCGGATGGCTCAGATTTAGCTGCATAGGCGGACGCTGGCGCGGGGCAGCGGCAGGGGATTGGCGGTGGTAAGTTCACTAGTCTTGGAAGGGCTCTGGGAGTGCAGGAGCAGCATACAACAGCGGAGGGCGCCCTCGAGGAAGGGCGCGCCGGTATATCAAGTGGAGTGGTCTCCGTAGGGGAGCCACGTGTCGCAGCAGTGACTATTGTGATCACAGCACTGAGGTCGGACCGCGTCATCCTCGAGATTAGCCGTCATCAGAGGACTAGCATTATGGGAGCTTGTCGCTGTCAACCGACTGACCCGGGCCCTAGCGCGAGCAGTGTCTTCACGTCGCATTCCCGACCCGCACGCCCACGTCGTTGCTCTCGGCCACCCCTTTCCTTGGTCAATGTGACCTCGGGCTTGTCTCGCTTGTCTGAATCTTCATCACCTTTCTCGTGCGACTGCGTCCCCTCGCGGCGCTGTCCAGCAGCCCATGTGCTCCTGCGCACCACTGCAGCTGCCCTCCAAGACGCCCGGCGTTGGCCTGCGCACGACTTCAGAATGTCCAGTCCGGCGCAAAGCGCGTCACGGGGTCATCAGTCAGGTGTGCTGGACCACCACGCCACCTGCACCTCGTCGAGCCGCTCTCGCGTAGTCCAGACACTCCAGCTGCTGGCGTGGCTCTTTGCCGCCCCTCCTCCTCGCAAAGTAGTAGTAGTAATTCGCCGCTGCGACCTCAGTTGGACACACACATCCATCACGCTGATCGTGCATCACAAGCTTTCCAGCCCGTCGTCGCCCTCCCGTCCCCGCTGCCGCCCCAGTGGCCCCATCTGCACGCTCCTGGGCGTGCCCGCGCCGGCCCCGTTCGCGCTCCCCGGCACGCGCCTCCGCAGCGCGGGGTGCGGCGGCGGCCGCGCCGCCAGCACGACGTCCTTGGAGACGCCCTCCTCGAGCAGCTCTGGCACCAGGTCCTTGCGCGTGATGACGCCCACCACCTCGTGCGCGTGCGGGATCACGAACAGGTGCCGCAGCCCGAGCGTGCGGAACAGAGCGTACACCTTGGTCAGCGACGCGTCGGACTGCACCATGTACGGGCACGGGTTGACGTACGGCGCCAGGTCCAGGAACAGGTCGAGCTGCCCCGCCGCGCCGTTCAGGCGGACGTCGTCGACGGATATCCCGTGCGTGGTCGCGGGCTTCGTGAAGTCGTCCAGGTCGAACGAGTTGGCCAGCTCGATGGCGCGCTGGTTCGGGGTGGGCTCGGGCTGCAGCATGCGTCCGTCGGCGAGGACGTGCAGGATCTGCGCGCGCGTCACGATGCCGAGCAGCCGCTGGTCGCTCGCGTACACGGGGAAGCCGTTGTGCTCGCACCCGCGCAGGGCCCGCATGAGCGCCCCCGCGCGCTCGAAGCGGTTGAACGACACCACGGGCGCCGCCATGGCGTCCGCGGCGGTGAGCGCGCGCGTGAAACGCTCGGGCTGCGCCTCGAGGAACGGCGCCCTGCGCACACAGTGAACCGATCAGACAGCTCCTGGTCAGCCCGCGCGCGGCCCTGCGATCGCACGCGCGCTGCAACGCGAGCACCAAGAGGGCCCAGGCTACGCGCGCACCTCTTCAGCTCGACGTGGAAGTCGTAGATCGCCTTGACGCCGGTCGCGTCGCCGACGGCCTTGCTGACGATGAGGACGAGCATCATGAGCGGGAGCAGGTTGAGGTTGTTGGTGAGCTCCAGCAGGATGACGCACAGGGAGACGGTCATGCGCATGGCGCCGCCCATGAAGCTGGCGGCGCCCAGGAGCGCGTACGTGCCCTCGTCGATGTCGGTCCCGCCGATCTCGCTCATGTACACTCCGACGATGCGCCCGTACGCGGCCCCCGTGAGCAGCGTGGGCACGAACAGCCCCGACGGGATGCACATGCCTGCGCGAGGCGCGGGGCGGAGGGTCGCGGCGCTGGGCGCGCGTGCGGTGAGCGCAGGCGTCGCTCGGGGCGGGCGCGGCGGGCGTCGCACCGTAGGTCAGCATGGCGAGGAGGTAGAAGAAGAGCCAGAAGATGAAGAGCGTGGAGATGCGGAACTCGTGCGCGGTGTTGGACCCGAGGAGGTTCCGGATCGCGTTGTCTTGCGTGTTGAAGAAGAGCGTGGCCAGGTCGTTGTACTGGTTCTCCCCGGGGCACATGTAGGGCACGAAGTTCCCGTGGTGCGTCTCGCGGCGCGGACACTCCCCCTCGCTCCCGGGCGGGCACGGCTGGCACGACACCATCGCCGGCACCGCGAGCGACACGAGCGACACGAGCGCCGTCACGCACATGGCCTCGATCACCTTCCACTTGGGCCCGCGCGGCCCCAGCACGTCGCGCCGCCACTTGCACAGGAGGCCGTTCGCCCAGATGAACACCGAGCTGCTCAGCCCGCCGAACACCCCGAGGAGCGTCAGCGGCACCAGCTCCCGCAGCTGGAAGTCGTCCTGCGCGCCGTGGCCCACCTCGAAGATGATGAACCCGCCCGACCCGAAGACGCCGCAGTTGGACCCGTGGCACAGCTTCACGAGCATGCGCACCGTGACGCTGACGACCGCGGTCGTGAAGAAGCAGCGCCAGAGCAGCTGCGACCGCCAGAACGACGCGCCCTCCTCGAGCGCGAAGAGCACCCCGCCGACGGGGGCGCGGAACGCCGCGGTGACGCCCGCGGCGGACCCGCACGTGACGAGGTCGCGCTGGTCGCGGTCGTTGCGGAACCGCTTCATCACGCCGCGCCCCACGCTGTACCGCTTGCTCCCGCCCTGCCCCAGCAGCGAGGCAATGCACGACCCGATGTGCACGAACGGGCCCTCCTTGCCCACGGGGAGCCCGCCCGCGACGGACCCCACGGAGCCCACGAGCTTGGCGATGAGCGTGCGGAACAGCAGCACGCCGGGCATGTCGACGCCGTTGAGGTAGATCTTGACGTCGGGGATGCCCGAGCCGGCCGCCGCGGGGGCGAAGTACGAGGTCAGGGACGCCGCGCCCGCGACCAGGGTCACGTTGATGGTCCTGCGCGCGCGGGGGGCTCGGGGGCCGCGTGGGGGCGCCGGGGGGCGGCGCGCGGGGCGGGCGGCGGCGACGTGGGTGCGGGTGGGGCGCGCACGTGTAGACGATGAGAGCGGCGAGCCACGAGGTCTTCATGACTTCGAAGGTGGCCCAGAACTTGAAGTTGGAGATGTTCTCGACCGACATGTTGACGACGACGCTGAAGCACCCGAGCAGGATGGCCGTGACGGCGCAGAGACCCCAGCGCATCGCGGCGTACGCGACCGTCTCCTGGGCCTGACGGCGGTGCTGCTCGGAGCGGTACACGAGGTTCTCGGGGACCTCGTAGTCGAGGGACTCCATCTTCGCCATCGTCGGGTGAACGTGGACGGATGACCTTGAGGCACCATGGCCTCCCTGCAGAAGGGGACGCACCGAACGAGAACCAGGTCGTTCGCAGGACTACGAGCGATGTGATCGTGTCCGATGGAATGCCCTGCATCAGGACCCCTCTACGACTGGCAATCGGGGGCGGTGCATGACCGCCGCGTTGCGCGGGTCTGTGCCGGCGCGTGGGGTGACGCTGCCGTCGAATCGCTCGGCTACACGAGATCGAGATAGACGTACCTCGTGGGATCCTGCACCGAGCAGGAGAGTCGTGGACGACTCGTTGTGCAAGCTGTCCCCATTCAGCCCTGCAGGACTCGCCGCTTTCTCCTTCTCCCCCGCTCTGGGCGCCCCGTTCGCTGGCATCGCGTGGACTATAGAGCTACGAGTGTTCAACTGTCCCGAAAACTTGCGCAGGATGCCGCGTGACAGCCCCGCACTCGGCCGATCAACTCGACGAGGCGCGCCCGGCCCCGCAGAGGACGCGGCGCTCGCTCGCAGTCACGAAAGGCCGTGCCGCTCGGCGGACGCCCACCGACAACGCTTGAAGAAACACGCGTGCCGACCTACGAGCGAGTCCAGCGCGCATGCGCCTGCTAGGCTGCTGCACCTCCCTCCGCCTGCCACCGCCACCCTCTGCGCGCCTCTGTGGGGATCTCGTCCCGTGAAACAGATGGCAGCGAAACAAGGCTCGAGTCTGGGCGCAACGAGGGCGCCAGCGTCTCCCCACACGCGGCGGTGCAGGCCGTCAAAACAGCACAGGCAGTGCCACGTCTCGGGGCACGGGCACGCCGCGCAACGCGTCGCGATCGGACGGGTCGAGGACGCCTCGCTCCCGCCGGGAAGTGGTCCGCGGGGGCGCACGCGCGTTCCGGAAGTGCCGGCCCCTCACAACGGCATCATGCTGCGGATCACCCCCCCCTGGCTCGCCGCGCGAGCACGCGACGCGCGCGACCGCCACTCGCCCGCGCGTCGACACCTCCGGCTGCCCGCACCAAGCCCGCACGGGCGCGCACGCGTGCGTCGCTGCCTCTGCGCCCCATCGCCCTGTCCCCGCACGTCACTCGCACCCAACTGCCGCGAGGTCCCGGCCGGGCGAACGGGCGCCCCGCCGCCCGCGACACGCAGCAGCACGGGACCGGCTGCGCCGCGCGGCGGCGCCGGAGCCCGATCGGTGCGCTTGCTCGCCTTGCGCGGCCGCGACCTGAGATTCCATGCCACGGCGCCCTAGCCTGCAACTGATGCCGCATCTGCGCACACAAGAGCCCTCGACCCTCCTCGCGCAGCGCGCAGGATCGCGCCCAGCCGGTGACGCACCTCTCGCGGCTCACGGTCCCCTCGCCGCCGCGCAACCTCCCGCGCGCGCGGCCGCGAACACCCACATGGACGCCGCACGGAACGGGACGCGCGGGCGCACTGCCGACGCGGCGCGGCCGAGCACCGAGATGCACGTCGACGTGCGCGCGCAGGCACCCCGCAGCGCCGGCGCGTCGTCGCACGGCCGCCACCGCGCGAGTCGCACTGCAGGGTGCAACATCTCAGGGCCCGGGCGAGCCGCTGAGGCCAAGGGGACGGCCGCGCGGGCCGCCCGGGCACCCGCGCTGGTTGCTGAGTAGTTGCACGCGCCCGATACAGCATCCTCGGCCTCCCGCTGCAAGCAGCGCGGCCGTGGGCGCACCTGGGGAAACGCGGCCTTTGGTCGGCAAATTGATCTACCGGGGACTCGGGGCGCAGCCGCAGCCGCATTCCCGCGCAGGCGGCGAGGAGGGGTTATTTGGTGAGCGTCTGTGGCGGAAGGAAGTCGTCGAAGCCCACATTCAGGGCTGCAGGAGCCGAAGCTTCCACTGCTCTCTGGCGCACGGAAATGCCGGCCCCGACGGCGAGCATCGGCGGGTCCGCCTCGTCGCTGCGGGCGGTTCGCTCCCTGCCGTCACTACAGGATGCGGTAACCAACGGCGGTGCGGAGCCAGCGAGCGACCTTGAGGTTTACGTCCTGTCGCGTCCCTTCGAGGAGTTTGGGAAGGGCGTCGTTCCGTCGAAGATCCGTCAAGACCTGGTGGAAATCGGCATCTGGTGAGCTATATCGCCGCGCGTTTCCTGCCCGCGAGCGCGCGGCGTTGCGGTCGTTCGCTTGCTCAGCGCTGGGGCGCCTCGATTCCCCTCGCAATGCAGCCATTTCATGCTGGCGTTCCGGAACCCGTCCTCGGGGAACATCACGCAGTTCGACTTTGGGCCCTGTGGAGGTACGCCCGCGGACATCGCCCCGCACGACCTTCGCTCGCCTTCGAGGCCCCGACACGCGTTGCGCGGGCCTGCGCGGCGCCTGCGCGGTCGCCGCCGCGCCCACGAAACGCAAGCCTCCCGCTCCCGAGCGCGCGGGCGCGCGGCGCACCCCGCGCGGGCGGCGGGAGCTCTCCCTCGCTCTCGAGGCATCACGCCGCGGAGCGCCCGCCACGCCCGCCCCCCGCGCTCACGCCCCGCGCCACCACGAACACGTGCGCAGGCGACGTGCACAAGGTGCGGGGCCCGCTCGGAGCGATCCTGAACAAGAACAAGGGCAAGGAAGTCTCGGCCGAGCGCGTCGCCGCGGGCGAGATCCGCGAGAACACGCTCTCGGCGCTCCCGTCCGAGCACTTCTACGTCGGCCGCACCCGCCTCACCATCGAGGACATCCGCGCGTTCAACACCGCGCGCCCGACGAACTACGAGCTCCACAAGAACGACTGCAGGTGCGCCGCGCCGCCATCTGTGCCCGCGCGCGCGGCGCCGCACCCGCGAGATTCCCGCGCGCAGCCCCCGCCCCGCGCGCCCCCGTGCGCCAGCTGCCCGCCGCGCCGGCGTCGACCCGCGCCACCGGTGGGCGACGCCGTGCCGCGTGCGTGGCCCCGGCCGGCGCCCGGCAGCACGACCCTCCGCCCTCGCGTCGCCCGCGCCCGAACCGGCCGGCCCGCCCCCGCGCCCCCGCAGGCACTACGTGAACGAGCTCGCGCACTACGCCGCGGGCTTCCGGGGCGCCGTGGAGATGCACAAGCGCAGGGTCTTTCTGCAGCGGCGCAACGCGGAGGACCCCGCGCAGCTGCGCCTGCACGACCGGTTCTGGAACACGGTGCACGTCGCGACGGACGCGCAGAACTGGCAGTACGTCGCGAAGCTGATGCACGGCTCGATGCTCGCGGCGACGGCGCTGGTGATGCCGCGGCACCTGGTGGCGCAGCTGGGCGAGCTCGGGAAGCGCAAGGTGGCGCCGCTGGTCGCGCCCGCGGCCAAGGCGATCGCGAACCGCCCGCTGGTGGCCGGGAGCGGCGCGGCGATCACCACGGCGCTGGCGTCGACCGCGGGCAGCGTGCAGGAGCACGCCAACGTGGGCGTGGTGGTGGCCGGGCGGCACCGGAACAGCCTGCTCGGGACGGTCGTGCGCGACTCGTTCGGGGGCGCGGCCGAGCTGGCGTCCGCGGCGTCGCGCGCGACGATCTCGTCGCTCGTGTCGACGGGCCGCGTGGCGCTGAGCTCGGTGGCGGCGCTCACGGCCACGACGCGCGAGGCGACGCGCGGGGCGGTCAGCGCGGCCGGGTCGCGCGTGACCGGGTCGATCGAGCGCGCGACGGCCGCGAGCCGCGCGCTCCTCTCGCGGCGGCCCCCACGCGCCCCCACGGGCACGGCGGTGGGCGCGGCGACCAAGGCCGGGCGCGCGTCGCTGGTGGCGTCCGGGGCCGGGCGGGCCGCGCTGGTCGTCGGCGCGGGCGGCATGTCGATGGTGCAGTCGCCGACGGGCGGCACCGCGATGCACCGCGTGCAGTCGGCCAGCGCCCAGCTCCACACCCTCCCCAACACCCCCCTGGAGTCCCCCTCGCGGCGCGCCTCCTTCCGCCTGTCCATCTCCGGCCGCGGCGCCGCGCCCGTGCCCGGCCGGAAGCTCGTCGCCAGCGGCGCGCGCCGACATTCCCGCCCAGGCTCGCAGGAGCTCTCGGCCTCCAAGATGCACCGCAGCGCGAGCTCGAGCGCGGTCGTCTCCCTCGGGGGCGCGGGCGTGCTCGCCTCGCCGCTCGCCGCCCCCGACGCGTGACGCCCCCCGGCGCCCGGCGCAGACGCTCCGCTCCCTACACCCCTGACACCCTCCGCAAGACCGCCCTCCGCAAGCGCAGACGGCGAGCATCCACAAGTCCAAATCTCAGCCGCGCGCACGCGGCGCCGGGCCGCACCTCGTGTACATTTATCGGCCCGGCCCTCGTGCGTGCCGCGTGAGAGCGAATGTGACCAAACGTCAGCTGCTGTCCTCGCGATCGTCACAGTTGCCCGCGAGGGGGGGACACTACAGCTTCTTGAGCGACGCGGCGATGTCCGCGCCCAGCTTGGGCAGCTTGCCCTGGTACTCCTTGGCACACGCACCCACGCACTTGCCCACCTGCGCCTGCGCCCTCGATATCTCCTTCTCGGACGGGTCCGCGGACAGACCGTCGCGCGCCTGGTCCTGGCAGCGCTCCATGCAGCGGTGGATCCTGCCCTGGAACTCCTGCATCTGCGCTTGCACCATCTGCACCGCAACACAAGGGGGCTCTCTGGGCACACACGCGAGGGCCTCGGACACGACGCTGCGCGTCGCTGGACGGTGTGATCCGTGGATGTCGTATCGCAGCGCGGGGAGGCCATGATTGTCTCTATGTGCGACACCGCGCTGGTGCTGGGCCGAGGTGCTGCACGGGGAGCCACAGGCCGCGAAGGCCGCCGCTGCGCACGGGCGACACGACGACGTGCGGCTCGTGGATAGAACACGCCATCGTTCGCCGATTGATGCGTCGTCGGGCACGCACCTGCTGGGCAGCGGCCACCTTTTGCTGGCACCTCTGAGAGCACTGCTGGAAGTCTGCCGAGTCCTGGGCGGAGTCGCAGCAGCGAACCTGGCACATCAGAGCTTCCCTGATCATCGGTCGCAAGTGCTTCTTGTCGACATCCGCCATCAACGCATCGTGCGCCTGCGCACAACAGCCCCTCGCTCCAAGAGGCGGTTCCGCACGCCCCCGATACCTGAAGCCCATCACCGTCGCGTATGCATCGCTGTGATCCACTGATCGAGCAGCATGCGCGAGGATTACCGGCGGGACTCACCTTGCTGAAGGCCTCAGCCTCTGCAGTCCCAGACATCTTGGATGAGTCGGCGCGTGGAGGGCGGACGCGCGCGCTGACAACGGCACCCACGTCAGTCGACCAGTCCCCTGTGCTGCCACCTCCGGCCGTCGCCGCCCACTCACGGCCGAGGTGGATGTGCGGGGGAGTCTCACGTGCCGACGTCCAGTGTCCACGTCGTCGCCGGCGCACCCCCTCGTTGCACGCGCCGACGGCCGTCCCCCGATATTCCTGCCGCGCTCCTGCGCCTCGGCACCCACCGCCTTCAGACACCGCGACGTCGCCGCGGGCGCGGTATTCCGTGTGGTGAGCAGGGCCTGAGAGCAAGCCCCCGCCCCAGCCCGGCGCAAGGCGGTCCGGCCGGCGGACGCCGCCGGCCGCGCCTGTAGTATGTGTGTCGAAGAGGCGAGGCGGATACACACGCTGCTGATAGACAATTATGACTCGTACACGTACAACCTCTACCAGATGGTGGCAGCCGTCAACGGAGGTGCGCGCGGAGCGGAGATGCGTGATTCCTTGCCTGCTCCCCCGTTACACTCACGCGATGCGGTGCGCCTCGGACGGATTCAGCACCGCCCCGTCGCGACAACGGGGCGAGTCGTCCGTGCAGCCACAAGCGTCGAGACGGGCGCGCACTGCGCTGTGCTGGACCCCGCGTTGGCTCCCACGCCACCTGCTGTATAGCTGTGCTTCTTCGTGATCAGGGCACCGCATCCGGGCTCTTTTTGGACCGTGCTCGAGCGCGCATTCCGGCCCCACATCATCCTCAGCATCCGTTCACCGCGCGCCGCGCACTGCAGCCCCTCCGACGGTCGTCCTCAACGACGAGTGCCGTTGGAGCGATCTAGAGGCGCGGGTTCGGGCCGGGGAGTTCCACAACATCATCATTTCGCCCGGCCCGGGGACGCCAGAGCGGGCCTCGGACGCAGGCGTCTGCCTCGATGCGCTCCGCACGCTCCCCGACGTCCCGATCCTGGGCGTGTGCTTCGGGCACCAGGCCCTCGCCCTCGTGCACGGCGCGAGCGTCGTCCGCGCCCCGGAACCCATCCACGGCCGCCTCTCGGAGATCTCACACACCAGCCACGCGCTCTTCCGCAACACGCCCACCGGACAAGGCCAGGTGCGCCGCGACGCGGACCGCGGCCGCGCTCTACACCCCGCCTGCCCTGCTGTCTCGGACAGGCGCCCGACGCCCGCCCGGCCCCTCCCTCCGCAGGGCAACGACGTGGTGCGCTACCACTCGCTGACCGTCGACCCGGCGTCGCTGCCGGAGTGCCTCGAACCGATTGCGTGGACGACGGGGCTGGACCACGCGCTGCGGCTCGGGAAGTCGGCGACGGAGCACGCCGCGTCGCTGAACGGCGGTGCCGCGGCGCGCGAGGACGCTCGTCAGGCGTTCGAGCGGGGCGCCGTGCTGATGGGCATCGCGCACACGTCCAGGCCGCACTACGGCGTCCAGTTCCACCCGGAGAGCATCGGGACGTCCCACGGCATGGAGCTCCTGCGCAACTTCCGGGACCTCACCTGCCAACACCTCCGCTTGCCGCTGGAGCCGAGGCCGCCGCCCGTGCCCGTCCCTACCGCCCAGCAGGCGGCGCAGGGGTGGAGAGGGGGCTGCGACGCCGGGGAGACCCTCGCGCTGACGTGGCGCAAGCTCGCGGGGGTGCTCGATGCGGTTGGGGGGAGTGAGGGGGTGTTTTCGAGGGTGCTGGGGCAGGTGGAGGCTGGCGGGGACGTGTTCTGGCTGGACAGCGCCGCGACAGATCGGGGACGCTTCTCGTTCATGGGGGGGCCGGGGGGCCGCCTGTGGAGGCGCGTGACGTACCGGCTGCCAGAACCAGACGCCGAGGACGGGCCGTACGTGTACGCTGGGTGAGTCCGTGCCCACGTTCACCCTTCACGTGCGCGATGTCTGCAGCGCGATCGGCGGGGACGAGCTATGTCGGCACGAACAGACCTGGGTCCTCGATTCTTTGTGTACTTGCAGGCCTGGTGCGCGGACCAACCCCCCTCCTGGAGACCTCACGGTCAGGGACTCCGCTGGTGGCGTCGAGGTGCTCAAGCAGTCGATCTGGGAGTTCCTCGATGCCCAGCTGCAGCGCTGGACCGCTGCCAGCGCCGCGGCGTCGCAGGAGCTGCCCTTCGACTTCTGGGGGGGGTTCGTGGGGTACCTCGGCTACGAGCTCAAGGCAGAGACGGGCGCAACGCGCTCGTACCGCAGCGCGACGCCGGACGCGGCCTTCTTCCTCGCGGACCGCTTCGTCGCGGTCGACCACCACGCTGGCGACGTGTACGTCGTGAGCGTGCACCCAGCCGAGGACGCCGCGACCGACGCCCGGACGTGGATCGACGACGTCGAGCGGCGCCTGTCGCCTGATGCGGCGCCCCCGCAGCCCTCCGCGGCCGAAGCGAACGGCGCACACGCACACGCCGCTCCCCAGCCGCCGTTCCAGCTGCGGCGGACGCGGCCGCGCTACGTCGAGGACATCGGCGCGTGTCACGACGCCCTGTACGCGGGGGAGTCCTACGAGGTGTGTCTGACCAACGCGCTGTGCCGCAAGCCAGCGCCGCCAGCCGGGCAGCTGTACCGCACGCTCCGCAAGGGCAACCCCGCGCCGTACGGAGCTTTCTTCGACTTCGGCGGTGGCGCCGATGGTCCCCAGATATGCTGCTCGAGCCCGGAGAGGTTCCTGCGGCGCGGGCGGGGCGGGTGGCTGGAGGCGCGCCCCATCAAGGGCACCGCGGCGCGCGTCGCGGGGGACCCCGCGGGCGACGCGAAGGCTGCCGCGGCGCTCGTTGCGTCCGAGAAGGACCGCGCGGAGAACCTGATGATCGTCGATCTGCTGCGGAACGACCTCGGGCGGGTGTGCGACGTCGGCAGCGTGCACGTGCCCGGCCTCATCGAGCTTGAGTCCTTCGCGACGGTGCACCAGCTGGTGAGCACCGTGTGCGGGTTGGAGAGGGCGGGGTCGCGGCCGACGGAGTCCATCGTGGCTGCGTTCCCCGGGGGCAGCATGACGGGCGCGCCCAAGGTGCGGACGTGCGGGATCATCGACCGCCTCGAGGGGTGCGCGCGCGGCGTGTACTCGGGGAGCCTCGGGTACATCAGCTTCAGCGGGTGCTTCGACCTGAATATCGTGATCCGCACAGCGGTGATCCATCAAGGTGAGTGCGCAGCCAACCTGGTTCGCAGCGCAGATCGCGACGGCGCTTGCGTTCCCGCACGCGAAGACTGCCGTGATGCTGGTCGGTGCCGCGCAGGGGAGGTGACGATCGGCGCTGGCGGGGCCATCGTGGTCCAGTCAGACGCTGAGTCAGAGTACGAAGAAATGCGCCTGAAAGCGAGGGCCCTCATGCGCTGCGTCGGGCTGGTGGACGGCACGGGGCAGCCGGCGGAGGTCGACGATACCGTGCCGTACGGGAACGGCGCCAAGGGGACCGCTGCGCCCCCTGCCAGCTGAGGCAAGTTGCATTCGGGCGTGAGTGACTGGTTGTTTCTTCGTTCAGTCTGCGCACGTACGAGCTCTCTCTCTCGCTCACAGCGACAGGTCAAAGACTTTGTCGCTCGGGCGCGGTCTCGAGAGGCGCCCCACGACCGTCATCGTGCCCCCAAAGTCCTCCAAGGCCGCCAGCGCGAAGTCCGTCGCCCAGGCGATGTGATCTGGCGTCAGGTCACCGTACCGCTTGACCTGCGATCGCATGACACGCCACGGGGTGGGCGTACCGCCCGGTGCGCGCAGGGGCAGTCGGCAGCGTGTGGTTTTGCAATTCGTTTCTGCTTCTCAAATCAGCATCCCTTGCACGTCCGACGTAACTCACCGGTCCGAGGCTGGGCTCGAAGACGGCCTGCGTGCAGACCATCGGGACGTCCTTCCCCCCGATGAGGTAGGACGCCGCGAAGTACTTGATCGGGTTCCATCCAGCGTCGACCTGCACCACGTACTCGCCAATGGTGCACAGCGGCCGCACGCGCGCCATCGCGTCCATCTGCTCCGGAGTGAAGATCCCGAAGTCGTCCTCGGGGAGCCAGTCGACGCTGGGGTGCGTCTCGAGCGTGCGCCACTGCTCACGAGGGCGCGCAGGCCTGCAACGTGACGAGGGGGAAAAAAGCCCGGTCGCGGTCGCTTTGTGCAAGCGTGAGTGGTCAAAGGTGGGCCATGCTGTCGAGCGGGGCCTCACTGGCACTCGACCGACCGCAGGTGATCGATCCAGGTGCTGACGACACCGTGCTGCTGGCAGCCCTCCAGGATGATGCGGCGGTAGCGCTCGGACGGCTTCTGGTCCGGCATCGGCGCCTTGATGTGGAAGACCTTGGCTTTCACGCCGTACATCCTGGCGCCCTGGGGGAGGACCCCCTGTGGCGCGACATCGTTCCCACCCGCCGCGACGCCCTCCCCGTACGGGTACACCGTGAGGTCCTCCACGTCGTACCCCGCCTCTATCTGCCGCAGCTTCTCCCACCGCTCGGCGTCCATCGCGTGCAGCACTCCGTGCATCTCCCCCCCCCACGCCGGCCGGATGTTGCCAAACCCCCCCCGCAAGTCAAACGCCAGCCTGCACATGCACCAGTTAGCGCCCGTTGATGCGCGGTACGCGATCGTGTCACTGAACGCCGCGGTCAAGATCCGCGTCGCTCGTGCACGGACCTGAAGCCTGGTAGGCGCGCCGCCCATCCTGCTCTCGACTCCACGCCCCGGCGCCGCATTCCCTCACGGTTGCACATCGACCCGATGGCGAAGTAGAAGATGACGTCGTCGCTCCCCGTGCTGTTCCCGAAGAGTCCCCGCGCAGGGACGGCCTGCGTCGCGCACGCCCTGTGGTGCCCAGGTGCATGCATCGTTCGCGTGGTGTGAGCTGGAGGACGTCGTGCTGACCATCTGGCGCCACTCCTGCAATGAACCTGCAGCGTGGATCCGCACAAGCTGCAGGGACCAGTCAGCAATCCCAGATTGCGTGGGATTTCGGCCTCGAGCCCTGCTGGGCCTCAGATTGACGCGGGTCTCTGCGGTGGCGATTCTTGCGGTGCATCGCCGCAAGGCCGAGCACTTTGGGATACAGGGCTTGTGTACTACGTACGTGGGCGCGCACATGCGCGAGCGAGTGCTGGTGCCCCCGAGCAGCTCGCGTACCGCTGCCTGGACAGAATGTCATCCCTGGCCGCCCTAGCAGCGCGCCAACACGGCAAGATCCCCGCCCAGCGCGCAACTGATTGGCGCCCTTCGCGACGGCTACGCAACGACGCGAGCTCAGCGGCACGTCGGGTGTCGAAACACATCTCCATGGTAGAAACATAACTCCTCCCCCTTGCCCGGGGCACGGATCCGCGGCGGCAACGCCCGGCGGAGGATCGCCCAAACGCGCGCGCCAGCCGCGTTCTCTCTTCGCGAGTCTCGGTCACAACGCACACGCGCCACGCCCCTGCAGCGGCGCTCATTGCCCTCCGCTCTGCGCGGGCGGCTCGTACCCCTTGGGCCGGTACGCCGTCTTCGCGGCCTCGAGCGCGGAGAAGAAGACGCAGCCGCCGACCCCGATCCACGTCACGCGCGGCTCCCACCCGCGGAACATCGCCCCCACGCCCTCGTCGCGGATGATCTTCACCGCGCAGTCCACCACGCCCTTGTACTCCCCCGCCGCCCCCTGCGTCATCAGCCGCGTCTTGAGCACGTCCAGCGGCGTCGTCGCCCACCCCGTCACCGCCCCCGCCGTCGCCCCGATCAGCGACGTCTCCGCGGGGTGCAGGTCGCGCCCGACGAACTCCCGGTACGCCACGCGCGTGCGCTCGTACGCGAAGAACTCCAGCGCGTCGAACGGCAGGTCCCGCAGGAGGAACGAGCCGTACCCGGCGTACAGCCCGCGCACGCCCTCCTTGACGGCCACCGTCCGCAGCGCCACTGTGGCCTTCTTGAACTCCCCCGTCTGCATCCGCTGCTTGATCACCTCCGTCGGAACGCGGATCACCGACGACGCCAGGCCCGCGAGCGCCCCCGCGGCCATCGGCGACAGGTGCCGCGTCCCCTCGGGCATGTGCGCGGGCAGGTAGTTCTTCGCGGGCTCGTACACCGCCATGAACAGCGCGGACGCGGGAGCGACGCCCGCGAGGTTGCCCCACAGCCCGGCGTACAGCGCCTTGCCGCCGCCGGACTGCAGGAGCGCGCGGATCCCGCCCCCGCTGCGCATCGCTTGCAGGCGCGTCTTGATGGTGTCGATCGGGTACAGCGCGGCCTCGACCGCGGCGCCGGCGGTGGCGCCCGCCGCGAGGTCGCCGGCGACGATGCGCCAGCGCGGCGGCGGGGCGGGCTGCGGCGGGGGTCGCGCGTGGCGGAGTGAGGTGGTGACGAGAGCGGCAGGGGAGAGGACGGGCGTCGCGGGGGGTCGCACGGACCTTGTCGTCGGTCTCCTTCATCTTGCTGGCGGCTGCGACGGTCGCCACGGGGTTCCCCACCGTCACGGAGGCGAAGCTGAAGGTCACCTGCGGATGGATGGAGAGCAGAAGCAGGGGGTGGAGTGGGGGCGGTGAGGTGCCGCGAGAGGTCACGCCGCTCAACGCGATGGCATGTGGGCCAAGTGCAGGTGGAGGTTCCAAGGATCTCGCTGTATGTGATGCCCTCGATGAGCCCGTTGCCCGCTGCAAACCCTTCCCAGAGCAGGGCTCTCGAACGGCCATCGCCCGCCGCACCACGACCTCTCAGGCGTTTCACGACACTACCAGAGAATCAGCGGGTCCGCGACGTCGCCGCACGTCTCCCCTGCGGCACACGCCTCGCGCCCACGCACCTGCGACTTCCTGGCCTCCCTCTTCGCGCTGCGCCCCACACGCCCCGCTGCTCGCGAGGCCCTCCGCGCGAGGTCGCGCCTCACACCATCCACGCGTGCACCCACCGCGCACAGCCCGGCTTGCAGCTCCTGCGCACGTGGTGCACTAGCCCGAACAGAAGATCAGCACACCACATCGGCAGCGCGGGCCTCGCGCGACGGCACTCGGCGCTGAAAGTCCGCCCGCTGACACGCCGGCAGCTCCACAGCAGGGCTGAGCAGGGCGAGGGGGATCAGGCGCGTGTGTTCGGCCTCGACGCGCCCGCACAAAAGGAGATACCCTGAGCAGGCCTCCGTTCGCACGGGCGGAGGCCGAGCCGTACCTGTACCGGGTTCCTCGTGTGCTCCATCTCGAGTCAACTGCCAGGTGCGCGCATCGAACGCCGCCAACGCACCCCGGGCGCGCCTTGGCGGCGGTCCCCCTCCCAGGCGAGCGGGGCGATGCTCGCGGCGAGCCCAGGCGTTTGGGGTGCGGCGCCTGCGGGGCGCGCTCGGCTGCGTGTAGCGTAGCTGCCGGCCGAAGTGCATGTCCATGCTGTCGACCAGGTCCGAGCGGTATTTTCAGCGACCCGTGTCCCCGCTTCGACTGGTGACAGAGAATGCGTGTCATGCGCTCACGACAACACCTGTCACGCGTGCCAATGCGGTGAGGTGTGCCCGTGGCCGAGTCCTGCTCAGGGCTCAGCGGTGCGCGCGCGTCTGGTCGCTGTCTGAGGCGCCAAAGCCGAAGCCGCGTGCGCTGCAGGGCTCTAGCACCAGGCTGCCAAGTGCCTGCAAACAACACACTGCTTGCGTGTCGGCCACCTGTACACCCACCCCCACGTTGTCCCGCGGCGGCCCTCGCTGCGCCCGCCGCCCACCTGCGCACCTCGGAGCAGCTTTGGGCACCATCGCAGCCGGTGCGAGTGCAGCGGGCATTCTGCTGTTCCGATCTGCGAGGCGGCTCAGGGCGCTCGAGGGAGGGGGCTCACACGATCGTACCAGACACAGAATTTTGCCCCCCACTCGCCTGTGCAGCTGCAATGCGAAGTATGCAAGCTGCAAGATGAGTAAGTCCGATGTGGCATCTGCAGCCTCGCTCGCAACAGGCACGCAGACGTACATGACCCTTCAGACACGTCATGGAAGGTATTGAAACGTTGGCCGCGCCCGTCGACGCGGTGAAGCCCGGTGAGTGGAGATGCGCGTTTAATATGTCATGCAATGCAACGCGGTAGTTTGGAGCGCACTCGAGCGCCAACCGCGATCCTCTGCCGTGCGGAGCCAGGAGTGAGACGTGGCAGAGGGCGTTGATGGAACGAGTTCACACCGCCAAGGGCTGGCGAAATGCCCGGTCCGCATCGTCGATAGTCGTTTGTGCATCTGTTGCACAAAGCAGCCGAGCGCAACAAAGGGGATAGAGCGGCTTGAGCGTGGTCCACGACGCATGTGCGGCCCAGATGGAATCCCGAACAGAGCATCACGCCGCGAACCGGGCGTCTCGCATGATCCCCTGTGAATCAAACGATCGCCCTCGGCGACGCGGACCCGCTGCGGGGAGCCACGTAACGCCGATCGCCCATCTCGTTGCTGAGCGCATCGAATGCCTGGTCGTCCGAGGTGGCTGGGACGACAGGCGCTGCAGGCCTGTCGTCAGCGGAAACTTCCACAGTCCCGCCGTGTGCAGGCACCGCTTCGTTCGACGTTAACCTCGGAGACTCGAGGTCTCCAGCAGCGGAGCCATGGGAGCTATGTCCAACTCGCGGCCCATTTCGCCGCTTGTGGCGAATGACCAGCACCACGACAGCTGTGAGCGCGACCACGCCAACCGCACCCAGTACCGGCCCGATGATGATCCCAGCGTTACCGCCGCTCGACGGCTCCACCGTCAACACAGGGGCTGGCGTGTTGGCCGGTGGCGTCGTTGCCTCGACCACGTTCCCTGCCGTGGGCTGCCTGACCGTCACGTCACCGTACTCCACAGCCGCCGTGAAGCCCCGCGAACGGAGGTACGCGTCGAGAACACCGTTGATGGACTGCCGGCGCAGAGAGGCGGCAGATTGCACGGAGAAGGTCTCCGGAAGGCTGGCAACGACCTCGAGCGTGAGCGCCATCAGGCGCCGGCGCGTGACCGAGATGACGCGGACGTCGATCATGGAAGCCTCGATGCCCGGGTACGTGGTCCTGAGGGCGTCCACGAACGCATTCTGGATCGCGCTGCGGGCCCCGTCCGTCAGCGTGGTGATGTCGCCCAGGATGGTCAGAGTTAGCACCACCTCGACTGTGTTTCCGACGGTCGCAGGCGTGGCCCTCGGGGGCGCCGTGCCAGCTGTCACCGATGCGACCGCCGTCGCGGACGAGGTGGCGGCGGCAGCCGTCGCGGACGAGGTGGCGGTGGCAGCCGTCGCGGACGAAGTGGCGGCGGCAGCCGTCGCTGACACAGCGGTGGTGGCTGTCGGCGTAGGTGCTGGCGCGCTGGTAGTGGCGGCGTCCGTCGTTGACACAGCGGTGGTGGCTGTCGGCGTAGGTGCTGGCGCGCTTGTAGTGGCGGCGTCAGTCGTTGACACAGCGGTGGTGGCTGCCGGCGTGAATGCTGGCGCGCTGGTAGTGGCGGCGTCAGTCGTTGACACAGCGGTGGTGGATTCCGGCGTGGATGATGGCGTGCTGGTACTTGCAGCCCTCGTCGTGGAAGCGCTGGTCTCTGGGACGAATGTCGTCGCTGCAGCCGTGGTGGTGGCCGCAACCGTAGTGCCCGCTGGAGACGTTGCGACAGCAGCGGAGGTAGCAGGTGACGTCAGCGGCGCAGTGGTGTCCGGGGCGGTCGTAGTCCTGGATGGTGTGCTAGACGCAGCCGTCGTGACCGGCGCCGGGGTGTCCTCGATGACCGTCTCCTCGATCTGCAGCGATGGTACAGACCAAGAAAAAACGCTCGGTCCGCGCTGGCGACAGCGGAAGGAAGTTAGTGTGAGTGTGTCTCACGCCATGTTCCGCACCTGTGCTGCCTGCTCCACCGCCACGCTCTGCACTTCTGTGGGATCTCCACCTGCTTCCGCGATGCTCGTCTGAATGAGCGTCAGCAGCTCGTTCTGAGACTCGGCCGTGTCCTGCGTGAGCCTCTGCGCAGATGTGGCCGCCCTCTGGGCCTCCTCCTGGTTCTCGGTGACGTACTCGATCCGCACCTGGTACTCGAAGACCTGGAGCAGGCGGCGCCCCGATGGCACGCGTTCAACCACAACGTTGACGCCCGGGGCATCCAGCAGCGCCTCAGGCAGCTGGAGGAGACGCAGGGCAACATACTTGAGAGCCAATTCCTCTTGTTGAGTGATGGAACTGTTTAAGGTGATCTGCGATTGTGCAAGTGGAGATACTGTGAGAATGCCACGCATGTGATGCGAAACACAGCAGCGGTGTTGAAATAATTGTAACGTGTATGCTCTGCATGATTGATCCTACCTTGATGGCGGTGGTGACCTTGAACTTCTTCCTGACCGCGCTGTTGCCGGGCCGGGTCGCTACAGCCGTAACCGGCGGGCTCGTGAGGGTGGGTATGCAGTCCGCAGTGAGCGGCACGGAGACGATCGTGGCATCTGAGGACCCCTTGCCCTCCTCGAAAACAAGCTCCCTTGCTGCAGTGTCGACGAAAACCTTCCCAGGTCGGCGGATCGGTTGCAGGTTCGCAGCCTCACCGAGGCGCGGCCGTGTCTCCGTGGACGTCTGGCCCGCGACGATCTTCACCCTGCCGTCGCGGACCCGCAGCACTACGTCGAGGCTGTTGTCCGACACATAGATGTCGCCGGTAGCCCTGTCGATGGCCACGCCCTCGGGGTAACTGATTGCAGTCTTTGTCGCGACGTCGCCGTCGATGGGCCTCCCAGTCCTCCCGCAGACTCCCAGGACCGGCGTTGATGTGCCGTTGCCCAGCAGACGCTGGACGCAGCTGTTCGAGAACGCCGCGAACACACTGCGCCGCTGGCCCGGCTCGACTGTGAGCGCGCGGATGCCGCTCGACGAGAAAGACGAAGGGTGGAAGACCGAGCTGGAGGTGCTGTTCACCAACAGGACACTGCCCTGGTCGGTTGCGACAAACAGCAAATCCTCCTCGGCAACTGCCAGACTCACTGGGCGGCCGGGCGTCGTCGCGAAGATGCTCTGAGTCCCGTCCTGGATGCGCACGACCTGGTTGCCGACCGCCACGTACACAACGCCGCTCAGCGACACAGCAATGTCCTCTGGGGTGGACGCGAAGTTCGAGGCCAGCACCTCCGTCCTTCTGTTGCGCAGGATCCTCAGCACCCGGCGGCGCGAGTCCTGGCCGACGACGTACGCGTTGCCTGCTGCGTCGATGTCCCTGAGCTGCAAGCCCTCGGGAACATGAGTGCTGTTGGCACGGCCGGCGATAGGGCACGTCGGCTCCGCGCTGTAGCGGCAGGTGAAGCACATCTCCGTGCCGACGCTACCGACGTCACCAGCGAAGTCGTCCTGCACCCACACCTTCCACAGCCCCGTGTTGTTTGTGCCTTGCATGAGGTTCGACAGCGAGCCCGAGCCGTACCCCGGCTGCTGGCTCCCACCGTACCCGTACGACTTCGAAACAACGCCGTCGATGCCCTCCTTAAAACCGTACTCGTCCGTGATCACGCCGAACGTCCCGGTGGGCGCCTGGAACCATGCCCTGATGTCAGTGTGGTGCGTGTGGTGCACGTCCGTGACGAAGCGGGCGCCCTCGAGCGTGCAGCTGCGCTCCGTCGTGATGTTGAGCGTCTGCTCGAGCAGTGCGGCGTCGGGGATGCGCTTCGAGACGGCCACGTGCTCGCGCAGGCTCTGGTGGTTGCCATCCCGCGTGGCAAGCTGCACTTTGAAGCTCTTGAAGATGTACCTCACCGGAGCGGTAGACGGCTCATTCCGAACCTGGAGACACCATGATCCGGTCGCAGGCTCGTCGACGAGGGCGGCGAAGGCCTCCATGGGCCGGTACGCCCCCCTGTAGGGCATGTCGCCCTCGGCAGCCGTGTCGGCAGCCGCGTCGGAGAAGCGCGTGCGCGCCAGCCGCATTCCGTAGGTCGAGTTCGAACGCACGAGAGGGACGGCCGTGCCGATCGGCGAGACGAGGTCCAGCGAGAGGCGGCTCAAGTCGGTGTGCTCCAGGTCGACGGTGATGTTGATGCCCGTCACCCTGGCGTCGCGAGGCACGCTCATCCGGTCAACCGGTCGGTTCGACGCCGGTCTCTCGTCAGCGTAGACGCAGATCGCAGTCGCGTCGCTGAGTTGAGTGGTCGGGGCCGTCTGCGCAGCCTCAGCGTGCGCGACATCAGGTGCACAGTCGCCCTTGACAGGCGCCAGGGCCAGCGGCTGGACATCGGAGCCCGGGAAGCGGCACGTCGTGAGGCCGCGCACCTCGACGGTGGCGTTCCTGGACGATGTGCCGATCACGCGCGCCCCGACCGACACCGAGGTGCCACGGGCTGCCATGAGCATGTAGCCCGGGAGGCGCTGACTGTACTGCTGCGAAGAGAAGCCCAGGTAGAACAACGCTTCTGTGCGGTACGCATCGAAGCCGACGTTGATTTTCACGAAGGAGAAATCCGACGGCTCGATCTCCACGACGAACAGGTGCCACTCGTCACCAGTGCAGATCTCCGAAGGCAGGCTGTAGTCGTTGTCGGATACGGAACTGCTCCTATACGACGACCCGCGACCGAGAATGATGCTGCAGCTCTGTTCGCTGCGCCACTCGATGCCGATGCGGAACTCGTGCTCGTCCAGGTCGTCCGTGATGTCGTCCGTCGAGAAGTAGGACCGCGACTGCCACGCCTGCGCAGGTGTCTCTCGCCCGAAGCTGAACCACAGGTGGTTATCGCGAGAAAATGCTGCGCCTTGGCGCCGGAACTCGGACCAGAACTTGAACGTCGCCCCAGTCAAAGAGAGCTTTACTGGGAGACGCGCAATGTGCGAGGCCTCCGTGTCCGAAGAGAACACAGCGCTTGCGCTCTCGACGCTGGACGCGAAAGTTCCTGCTCCGGCCGAGTTGAAACGCGGCACGCTGGCAGACTCGATGTCGGAGAGAGGGTGCACCACAGCATCAGCGTTGTAGCACGATGCAGGCACCTTGCGCCGGCAGGCGAATGTCAAGCTCCAGGATGAAAGCGACCCCAAGTCTGACCCGAAGTCGTCGTAGACATGGAGCGTCCAGTTGCCCGACACGTCCTGGCCGCTGAACTGGCTCCACAGGGAGATGGAACGTTCCAGGTCCGCAACGCCGTCCAGGCCCTGGGTGTCCCCGTAGTACTGCCGCTCGGCGACGCCGTCCGGCCTACCCAAGTACACGACGAGGTCCTTGACGTGCCTGTGCTTGATGTTGAGGTTGGCCTGAACCCCGTCTACCAGGCAGCCCCGGATGTTGTTGATCTCGATCGTGTCAACGAACTTGCCGTTGTCGGGGACAGCGGCGTCGAGCGAGCGCGTCACGTTCCCTCCTGAGCAGGACAGGCGCAGATTGGCACTCACGATGTGCTGGATAGCAGCGTGCCGGCCCTTGCGGCTGTCTGTGACCTTCAGCGTCCAGGTTCCCCCGCGCCCGTCGATTCCCGCAAGGGCCGTGAAGGGCTCGAGCGACTCAAAGAATGTCCTGCCGTCTGTCGCGTCAGTCGCCTTCCCGCCGATGGTGTAGCGAGTAGTGCCAACTGTGGCCGACGGCAGCTGCGTCTCGAACACCGCGCCCGGGCCCGATTCCGTGGTCTGAATGCTGAGCCTGGTGCGATCAAACGCCGTGAGCACGTGATCACGCGAGAAAGCGACCTGCCCGTTGGTCTCGGGGAGCACCATGTCATCGGAGCACGGCCGCAGCAGTGGCTGCTCGTCGAGGAGCCACGCACCGTCCTGCGCGCGGTTCATGACGTACATCGCACCGAGAGTGCCAATCTGACCGTCACTGCAGTTGCCGACGTGACCGGGAGCCATCAGGACGGCTGTTCCACCCTGCACTGTGATGGAAGACCCGAACTTGTCTCCCGTGCGCCTATCGACTGGCTGGATGTAGCTGCTTTCCGTCAATGCGTCCGTGATCGTGTAGACTGCGACGCGCCCGAAGCTGACGGATGCGTCGCCGACGAGCAGCTCGTTGTCGCTGAAGGCAAGGGCAGTTGTGCCAGAGCGGTCGATTCGCTGCATCAGTGTCCAGCGCCCATCTGCGCCCTTCTCGAATATGACGAACGACGTCGCAGACTGGAACAGCCTCGGCACGTCCGCTACGGCAATGAAGCCGGACGAGACCGCAAGTGCCCCCGGCTCTCCAGACGGCGCCACGTAATTGAGCTCCAACGTCTGGTTCAACTTCCAGGTCGACGCGTCGTTCGAAGCGTACACATGCAGACTCTTCTCCGACATCACGACGAGCGTGCCGTTCCCGGCGACGTCTACAGCCGCACCGAAGTGGTCGTCACCAAGCGACATGAGCGTCTGACTGAGCATCCAAGAGCCGCCGGTGGCGCGGACGTACGAGAAGACTGTCCCTCGCGACCCCCCGAAGCCCGGGTCAGAGACAATGATGCGGTTGTCCCCGATCACTGCAAGGGTGCGTGCTCGCGCACCGAAGTTCGAAGACGCGTTCACGGGAGGTGGCAGCACGTCCACGGCAGACCACGCTCCCTGGGCGTTGCGCTCGAACACGTCGACCCCTGCGTCGCTCGTCGTCACGAGCAGGCCCGCACTTGCGGCCATCGCCCCCCCGTTCACGATGCTCGACACGTTGCGTGGTGCAACAGGAGACTCGGTGTGTGAGGGCTCGACAGTCGTGTTGGTCGGAGGAACGCGCAGCGCGATGCCGTACCCGGACTGCGCATGTAAGTAGAACTGTAGGCTCTCGGGATCCGCGTGGGCGACGTCGATGTCGATGGCGCCGTCTGTGACGTTGCAGTCGAAATCCGTCGAACTCAAGGTGCGGCTGAGGGAGAGCTCGGTGCTGCCCCCAGCTGGAACCCAATGCGGCTGACTACTCGCGACGATGTACGTGGTCGAGCTGGAGGACGCCGTCTCAGCTGTGTCGGGATTGGCAGTGGCAAAGTTGCCTCTGCAGAAGCTCATGTTGCCCACGCGCACCTCCTGCACCTCCGACCACAACGCATACACGCCCACGCGCACCCCCTCGTGCACCGGCGTGTTCAGGAACTCGTACGAGTCCATGCCGTAGTACCGCTCCTCGCTGCCCACCTCGATGCGCGCCTCCAGCGTCGTCAGGTCGTGCCACACCCGCAGCCTGTACGTCTCCCCGGACACGATGCTCTGCAGCACCCTCATCTCGGCGCTCCTGTCAGACGTGCGCAGCCGTGCGTACCACGTCCCGTAGCTGTGCTGCAAGATCACGCGCGCCGCCCCGCCCACCGAGTCGGACCAGTCGTCCAGCGTCGTGTACGAGTCGCCCTCCACCTCCGCCGCGCTCTCCACGCCCACGTCCACAAACACGTACCCAATCCAGGACGGTCCCGTGAAGTCCACCTGCACGTCAAACGTCACGTCCAGCGTCCCGCCCGCCAGCACCGCCGACGCGTTCACGCCCTCCACGTACGCCATCGCCAGCCGACTGGTTGTGCTCCGCGGCCCCTCCGGTCGCAGCGCGATGAAGTCCCCCACGCTCGCGTTGTACGTGCTCGTGTTGGTACGGGCCATGTAGCCAGACCCGTCCAGCACCAGCGCGCTCCCCGCACTCGCCGCCTGTACAGCCAGCGCGCCCTCGCCCTCGCACACCTGCTCCACCACACCAAGCACCTCCGGCGCGCACGTCAGCGTCATGTTCCACGACGCCAGCGACCCCACGTCCGACCCAAAGTCGTCGTACACCCGCAGCTCCCACGCGCCTGCGCTCTCGTCCAAGGAGTACGACGTCGACTGCTGCACCAGCTGTCGCGTCACGTTCGCCTCCCCGTCGCGCCCCTCGCTGTCGCCAAAGTACAGCCGCCGCACGTCCCGGTTCGGCGCCGTCAGGTACACGTACACGTCCTTCACGTGCCGGTGCGGAATGTCCACGCTCACGTCCACGTACCGCAGCGGGCAGCTGTCCTCCGCCGCCACCTCCAGCGTCGACACCAGCACGCCCCCGTCCGGCACCGCCTCGCCCACGTCAGCCGTATACCCGCGCCGCGGCCCGACGCACACAAACTCCAGCTCCACAGCCCGCACCGCCTGCGCGCGCTCCGCCAGCTCCGCCGCGTCGCTCGCCCGCCCGTCCGACACCTTCACCACCCACGTGCCCTCCGGGTCCTCGCCAAAGAAGTCCCGCAGCCGCCCCTGCGGCCGCACCACGCCCGTCAGCGGCAGCGCCGCGTCGCTCCCGGCCGCCACCGGCGCATCGTCCCAAAACACCGCCGCCACGCTCGACCGCCCCGCGCCCGCGCCCGCCGCCCGCGCCACGCCGTCGCCGCCCCACAGCAGCACCTCGCGCTGGCTCGGCGACTTCACCCGCAGCTCCAGGTCCCACGCCGACTCGTGCGCCCCCTCCACACGCACCTGCATGTCCTGCACCCTGCAGCCCGCGAAGCTCGACAGCGCCGACCGCGACACACGCGTCTCCACCTCGACTGCTCCGTGGTCCGGCACCTCCGCGATGGCAAACTCGGTGCCGAATTCCAAGTTGCCCACATGCAGGGCATGCAGCCTGGACCTACTGCGGTCGAACGCTCCGACGTTCACGCCCGTCAGATGCCCGCGTGCCTCCAGCGAGCGCTCCAGGTAGAAGATATCATTCGAGCTCATGTCCTCTCGTCTGGCCAAGATGCCGTCCAGGTAGAACTCCATCCTCCTTTCCACCACGTCCACCGTGAAGCGCACGCGGCGCACCGTGCCGGACTGCAGCGTGAAGACATCGGTCATGAGGAAGTGGTTCGGGACCTCGATCGCAGCCCTCCAGCTCTCAGACCCAAAGCGGGTGAACCCAAGTCGCACGACTGCCCACGGAAAAGACGACTGCGCGAAAATTCCAGAGCTCTCGCCCCCCAGTCCCTCCAGGCCCTCCGTCCCCACGTCGACGAACACAAAGGTACTCGAGTCCGTCCCGTCATAGTCGATCATCAGGTCGAACGCGACATCGAGCACCTTGCTGCCGTTCGAAAGCAGCTGCGACGGCGCCACGCCCTGCAACACCGCCACACCAACAGCTGTGGACCCTGCTGCACTCTGCGGCACCACCGTCACCGCGCCCGTCGTCGCGTTGTACGCAGACGTGTTCGTCGCCACCAGCCCACCACTGCCTGGCACGACCAGGTTGCTCGCCGCGCTCGCGTCCACGCTCTTGGCCTCGACAACCGTGAGAGCGTTCCGGTCAGCCCCCACCCTCCGCCACTCCGGCGGCAGGTCCCTCCCGCTCACCGGGCCCTCGCCCATCACCGCCGCGTGCTTGCCGCCGCAGAAGCTCATGTTGCCCACGCGCACCTCCTGCACCTCCGACGAGCTGGCCCCCGCGTACACGCCCACGCGCACCCCCTCGTGCACCGGCGCGTCCACCTGGTGGAAGGTATCCATGCCGTAGGACTGCTCCTCGCTGCCCACCTCGATGCGCGTCTCCAGCGTCGTCAGGTCGTGCCGCACCCGCAGCCTGTACGTCTCCCCGGACACGATGCTCTGCTCCACCCTCAGCCCGACGCTCCTGTCAGACGTGCGCAGCCGTGCGTACCACGTCCCGTAGTTGTTCTGCAAGATCACGCGCGCTGCCCCGCCCACCGAGTCGGACCAGCCGTCCAGCGTCCAGTACCCGTCGCCCTCCACCTCCGCGGCGCTCTCCACGCCCACGTCCACAAACACGTACCCGTCCCACGACGGTCCCGTGAAGTCCACCTGCACGTCGAACGTCACGTCCAGCGTCCCGCCCGCCAGCACCGCCGACGCGTTCACGCCCTCCACGTACGCCATCGCCAGCCGGCTGTTTGTGCTCGGCCCCTCCGGCCGCAGCGTAATGACGTCGCCCACAGTCGCGTTGTACGTGCTCGTGTTGGTCGCCGCCACACGACTGGACCCGTCCAGCACCAGCGCGCTCCCCGCGCTCGCCGCCTCCACAGCCAGCGCGCCCTCGCCCCCGCACACCTGCTCCACCACACCAAGCACCTCCGGCGCGCACGTCAGCGTCATGTTCCACGACGCCAGCGACCCCACGTCCGACCCAAAGTCGTCGTACACCCGCAGCTCCCACGCGCCCGCGCTCTCGTCCAAGGAGTACGACGTCGACTGCTGCACCAGCTGTCGCGTCACGTTCGCCTCCCCGTCGCGCCCCTCGCTGTCGCCAAAGTACAGCCGCCGCACGTCCCGGTTCGGCGCCGTCAGGTACACGTACACGTCCTTCACGTGCCGGTGCGGTATGTCCACGCTCACGTCCACGTACCGCAGCGGGCAGCTGTCCTCCGCCGCCACCTCCAGCGTCGACACCAGCACGCCCCCGTCCGGCACCTCGCCCACGTCAGCCGTATACCCGCGCCGCGGCCCGTCGCACGCAAACTCCAGCTCCACAGCCCGCACCGCCTGCACGCGCTCCGCCAGCTCCGCCGCGTCGCTCGCCCGCCCGTCCGACACCTTCACCACCCACGTGCCCTCCGGGTCCTCGCCAAAGAAGTCCCGCAGCCGCCCCTGCGGCCGCACCACGCCCGTCAGCGGCAGCGCCGCGTCGCTCCCGGCCGCCACCGGCGCATCGTCCCAAAACACCGCCGCCACGCTCGACCGCCCCGCGCCCGCGCCCGCCGCCCGCGCCACGCCGTCGCCGCCCCACAGCAGCACCTCGCGCTGGCTCGGCGACTTCACCCGCAGCTCCAGGTCCCACGCCGACTCGTGCGCCACCTCCACACGCACCTGCATGTCCTGCACCCTGCAGCCCGCGAAGCTCGACAGCGCCGACCGCGACACACGCGTCTCCACCTCGACTGCTCCGTGGTCCGGCACCTCCGCGATGGCAAACTCGGTGCCGAATTCCAAGTTGCCCACATGCAGGGCATGCAGCCTGGACCTACTGCGGTCGAACGCTCCGACGTTCACGCCCGTCAGATGCCCGCGTGCCTCCAGCGAGCGCTCCAGGTAGAAGATATCATTCGAGCTCATGTCCTCTCGTCTGGCCAAGATGCCGTCCAGGTAGAACTCCATCCTCCTTTCCACCACGTCCACCGTGAAGCGCACGCGGCGCACCGTGCCGGACTGCAGCGTGAAGACATCGGTCATGAGGAAGTGGTTCGGGACCTCGATCGCAGCCCTCCAGCTCTCAGACCCAAAGCGGGTGAACCCAAGTCGCACGACTGCCCACGGAAAAGACGACTGCGCGAAAATTCCAGAGCTCTCGCCCACCAGTCCCTCCAGGCCCTCCGTCCCCACGTCGACGAACACAAAGGTACTCGAGCTCGTCCCGTCGTAGTCGATCATCAGGTCGAACGCGACATCGAGCACCTTGCTGCCGTTCGAAAGCAGCTGCGACGGCGCCACGCCCTGCAACACCGCCACACCAACAGCTGTGGACCCTGCTGCACTCTGCGGCACCACCGTCACCGCGCCCGTCGTCGCGTTGTACGCAGACGTGTTCGTCGCCACCAGCCCACCACTGCCTGGCACGACCAGGTTGCTCGCCGCGCTCGCGTCCACGCTCTTGGCCTCGACAACCGTGAGAGCGTTCCGGTCAGCCCCCGCCCTCCGCCACACCGGCGGCAGGTCCCTCCCGCTCACCGGGCCCTCGCCCGTCACCGCCGCGTGCTTGCCGCCGCAGAAGCTCATGTTGCCCACGCGCACCTCCTGCACCTCCGACGAGCTGGCCCCCGCGTACACGCCCACGCGCACCCCCTCGTGCACCGGCGCGTCAATTACGTTGCTGGAGACCATGCCGTAGGACTGCTCCTCGCTGCCCACCTCGATGCGCGTCTCCAGCGTCGTCAGGTCGTGCCGCACCCGCAGCCTGTACGTCTCCCCGGACACGATGCTCTGCTCCACCCTCAGCTCGGCGCTCCTGTCAGACGTGCGCAGCCGTGCGTACCACGTCCCGTAGTTGTTCTGCAAGATCACGCGCGCTGCCCCGCCCACCGAGTCGGACCAGCCGTCCAGCGTCGTGTACCCGTCGCCCTCCACCTCCGCCGCGCTCTCCACGCCCACGTCCACAAACACGTACCCGTCCCACGACGGTCCCGTGAAGTCCACCTGCACGTCAAACGTCACGTCCAGCGTCCCGCCCGCCAGCACCGCCGACGCGTTCACGCCCTCCACGTACGCCATCGCCAGCCTGTCATTCGTGCTCGGCCCCTCCGGCCGCAGCGCGATGAAGTCCCCCACGCTCGCGTTGTACGTGCTCGTGTTGGTCGCCGCCACACGACTGGACCCGTCCAGCACCAGCGCGCTCCCCGCGCTCGCCGCCTCCACAGCCAGCGCGCCCTCGCCCCCGCACACCTGCTCCACCACACCAAGCACCTCCGGCTCGCACGTCAGCGCCATGTTCCACGACGCCAGCGACCCCACGTCCGACCCAAAGTCGTCGTACACCCGCAGCTCCCACGCGCCTGCGCTCTCGTCCCCCAGGTACGCCTGCGACTGCTGCACCAGCTGCCGCGTCACGTTCGCCTCCCCGTCGCGCCCCTCGCTGTCGCCGAAGTACAGCCGCCGCACGTCCCGGTTCGGCGCCGTCAGGTACACGTACACGTCCTTCACGTGCCGGTGCGGAATGTCCACGCTCACGTCCACGTACCGCAGCGGGCAGCTGTCCTCCGCCGCCACCTCCAGCGTCGACACCAGCACGCCCCCGTCCGGCACCGCCTCGCCCACGTCAGCCGTATACCCGCGCCGCGGCCCGTCGCACGCAAACTCCAGCTCCACAGCCCGCACCGCCTGCGCGCGCTCCGCCAGCTCCGCCGCGTCGCTCGCCCGCCCGTCCGACACCTTCACCACCCACGTGCCCTCCGGGTCCTCGCCAAAGAAGTCCCGCAGCCGCCCCTGCGGCCGCACCACGCCCGTCAGCGGCAGCGCCGCGTCGCTCCCGGCCGCCACCGGCGCATCGTCCCAAAACACCGCCGCCACGCTCGACCGCCCCGCGCCCGCGCCCGCCGCCCGCGCCACGCCGTCGCCGCCCCACAGCAGCACCTCGCGCTGGCTCGGCGACTTCACCCGCAGCTCCAGGTCCCACGCCGACTCGTGCGCCACCTCCACACGCACCTGCATGTCCTGCACCCTGCAGCCCGCGAAGCTCGACAGCGCCGACCGCGACACACGCGTCTCCACCTCGACTGCTCCGTGGTCCGGCACCTCCGCGATGGCAAACTCGGTGCCGAATTCCAAGTTGCCCACATGCAGGGCATGCAGCCTGGACCTACTGCGGTCGAACGCTCCGACGTTCACGCCCGTCAGATGCCCGCGTGCCTCCAGCGAGCGCTCCAGGTAGAAGATATCATTCGAGCTCATGTCCTCTCGTCTGGCCAAGATGCCGTCCAGGTAGAACTCCATCCTCCTTTCCACCACGTCCACCGTGAAGCGCACGCGGCGCACCGTGCCGGACTGCAGCGTGAAGACATCGGTCATGAGGAAGTGGTTCGGGACCTCGATCGCAGCCCTCCAGCTCTCAGACCCAAAGCGGGTGAACCCAAGTCGCACGACTGCCCACGGAAAAGACGACTGCGCGAAAATTCCAGAGCTCTCGCCCACCAGTCCCTCCAGGCCCTCCGTCCCCACGTCGACGAACACAAAGGTACTCGAGTCCGTCCCGTCATAGTCGATCATCAGGTCGAACGCGACATCGAGCACCTTGCTGCCGTTCGAAAGCAGCTGCGACGGCGCCACGCCCTGCAACACCGCCACACCAACAGCTGTGGACCCTGCTGCGCTCTGCGGCACCACCGTCACCGCGCCCGTCGTCGCGTTGTACGCAGACGTGTTCGTCGCCACCAGCCCACCACTGCCTGGCACGACCAGGTTGCTCGCCGCGCTCGCGTCCACGCTCTTGGCCTCGACAACCGTGAGAGCGTTCCGGTCAGCCCCCACCCTCCGCCACTCCGGCGGCAGGTCCCTCCCGCTCACCGGGCCCTCGCCCATCACCGCCGCGTGCTTGCCGCCGCAGAAGCTCATGTTGCCCACGCGCACCTCCTGCACCTCCGACGAGCTGGCCCCCGCGTACACGCCCACGCGCACCCCCTCGTGCACCGGCGCGTCCACCTGGTGGAAGGTATCCATGCCGTAGGACTGCTCCTCGCTGCCCACCTCGATGCGCGTCTCCAGCGTCGTCAGGTCGTGCCGCACCCGCAGCCTGTACGTCTCCCCGGACACGATGCTCTGCTCCACCCTCAGCTCGGCGCTCCTGTCAGACGTGCGCAGCCGTGCGTACCACGTCCCGTAGTTGTTCTGCAAGATCACGCGCGCTGCCCCGCCCACCGAGTCGGACCAGCCGTCCAGCGTCCAGTACCCGTCGCCCTCCACCTCCGCGGCGCTCTCCACGCCCACGTCCACAAACACGTACCCGTCCCACGACGGTCCCGTGAAGTCCACCTGCACGTCGAACGTCACGTCCAGCGTCCCGCCCGCCAGCACCGCCGACGCGTTCACGCCCTCCACGTACGCCATCGCCAGCCGGCTGTTTGTGCTCGGCCCCTCCGGCCGCAGCGTAATGACGTCGCCCACAGTCGCGTTGTACGTGCTCGTGTTGGTCGCCGCCACACGACTGGACCCGTCCAGCACCAGCGCGCTCCCCGCGCTCGCCGCCTCCACAGCCAGCGCGCCCTCGCCCCCGCACACCTGCTCCACCACACCAAGCACCTCCGGCGCGCACGTCAGCGTCATGTTCCACGACGCCAGCGACCCCACGTCCGACCCAAAGTCGTCGTACACCCGCAGCTCCCACGCGCCCGCGCTCTCGTCCAAGGAGTACGACGTCGACTGCTGCACCAGCTGTCGCGTCACGTTCGCCTCCCCGTCGCGCCCCTCGCTGTCGCCAAAGTACAGCCGCCGCACGTCCCGGTTCGGCGCCGTCAGGTACACGTACACGTCCTTCACGTGCCGGTGCGGTATGTCCACGCTCACGTCCACGTACCGCAGCGGGCAGCTGTCCTCCGCCGCCACCTCCAGCGTCAGACACCAGCACGCCCCGTCCGGCACCTCGCCCACGTCCGTGGCCATACCCGCGCCGCGACCGTCGCACGCAAACTCAGCTCCACAGCCCACCGCCTGCAGCTCCGCCAGCTCCGCCGCGTCCCCGCTCGCCCGCCGTCCGACACCTTCACCACCACGTGCCCTCCGGGTCCTCGCCAAAAGTCCCGCAACCGCCCCTGCAGCCGCCACGCGCCGCGTGGCGGCAGCGCCGCGTCGCTCCCGGCCGCCACCGTCGCGTCGTCCCAAAACACCGCCGCCACGCCCGCCCGCCCCGCGCCCGCGCCCGCCGCCCGCGCCACACCGTCGCCGCCCCACAGCAGCACCTCGCGCTGGCTCGGCGACTTCACCCGCAGCTCAAGGTCCCATGCCGACTCGTGCGCCACCTCGACACGCACCTGCATGTCCTGCACCGTGCAGCCCGCGAAGCTCGACAGCGCCGACCGCGACACGCGCGTCTCCACCTCCACCGCCCCGTGGTCCGGCACCTCCGCGATGGCAAACTCGGTGCCAAACTCCAAGTTGCCCACATGCAGGGCACCTAGCCTGGACCTACTGCGGTCGAACGCCCCGACGTTCACGCCCGTCAGATGCCCGCTCTCCTCCAGCGACCGCTCCAGGTAGAAGATATCAGTCGAGCTCATGCCCTCTCGTCTGGCCAAGATGCCGTCCAGGTAAAACTCCATCCTCCTGTTGCTGACGTCCCCCGTGAAGCGCACGCGGCGCACCGTGCCGGACCGCAGCGTGAAGAAATCGGTCATGAGGAAGCGGTTCGGGACCTCGATCGCAGCCCTCCAGCGCTCAGACCCACTGCGGGTGAACCCAAGTCGCACGACTGCCCACGGAAAAGACGACTGCGCGAAAATTTCAGGGCTCTCGCCCACAAGTCCCTCCAGCCCCTCCGTCCCAACGTCAACAAACACGAAGGAAGACGAGCTCGTCCCGTCGTAGTCGATCATCAGGTCGAACGCGACATCCAGCACCTTGCCACCGTTCAAAAGCAGCTGCGACGGTGCAACGCCCTGCAATACAGCCACACCAACAGCTGTGGACCCTGCACTCTCCGGCACCACCGTCACCGCGCCCGTCGTCGCGTTGTACGCAGACGTGTTCGTCGCCACCAACCCACCACTGCCTGGCACGACCAGGTTACTCGCCGCACTCGCGTCCACGCTCTTGGCCTCCACAGCTAAGAGAGCGTTCCGGTCGGCCTCAACCGTCCGCCACACCGGCGGCAGGTCCTGCCCGCGCACCGGGCCCTCGCCTGCCACCGCCGCGTGCTTGCCTCCGCAGAAGCTCATGTTGCCCACGCGCACCTCCTGCACCTCCGACCACAACGCATACACGCCCACGCGCACCCCCTCGTGCACCGGCGTGTTCAGGAACTCGTACGAGTCCATGCCGTAGTACCGCTCCTCGCTGCCCACCTCGATGCGCGCCTCCAGCGTCGTCAGGTCGTGCCACACCCGCAGCCTGTACGTCTCCCCGGACACGATGCTCTGCAGCACCCTCATCTCGGCGCTCCTGTCAGACGTGCGCAGCCGTGCGTACCACGTCCCGTAGCTGTGCTGCAAGATCACGCGCGCCGCCCCGCCCACCGAGTCGGACCAGTCGTCCAGCGTCGTGTACGAGTCGCCCTCCACCTCCGCCGCGCTCTCCACGCCCACGTCCACAAACACGTACCCAATCCAGGACGGTCCCGTGAAGTCCACCTGCACGTCAAACGTCACGTCCAGCGTCCCGCCCGCCAGCACCGCCGACGCGTTCACGCCCTCCACGTACGCCATCGCCAGCCGACTGGTTGTGCTCCGCGGCCCCTCCGGTCGCAGCGCGATGAAGTCCCCCACGCTCGCGTTGTACGTGCTCGTGTTGGTACGGGCCATGTAGCCAGACCCGTCCAGCACCAGCGCGCTCCCCGCACTCGCCGCCTGTACAGCCAGCGCGCCCTCGCCCTCGCACACCTGCTCCACCACACCAAGCACCTCCGGCGCGCACGTCAGCGTCATGTTCCACGACGCCAGCGACCCCACGTCCGACCCAAAGTCGTCGTACACCCGCAGCTCCCACGCGCCTGCGCTCTCGTCCAAGGAGTACGACGTCGACTGCTGCACCAGCTGTCGCGTCACGTTCGCCTCCCCGTCGCGCCCCTCGCTGTCGCCAAAGTACAGCCGCCGCACGTCCCGGTTCGGCGCCGTCAGGTACACGTACACGTCCTTCACGTGCCGGTGCGGAATGTCCACGCTCACGTCCACGTACCGCAGCGGGCAGCTGTCCTCCGCCGCCACCTCCAGCGTCGACACCAGCACGCCCCCGTCCGGCACCGCCTCGCCCACGTCAGCCGTATACCCGCGCCGCGGCCCGACGCACACAAACTCCAGCTCCACAGCCCGCACCGCCTGCGCGCGCTCCGCCAGCTCCGCCGCGTCGCTCGCCCGCCCGTCCGACACCTTCACCACCCACGTGCCCTCCGGGTCCTCGCCAAAGAAGTCCCGCAGCCGCCCCTGCGGCCGCACCACGCCCGTCAGCGGCAGCGCCGCGTCGCTCCCGGCCGCCACCGGCGCATCGTCCCAAAACACCGCCGCCACGCTCGACCGCCCCGCGCCCGCGCCCGCCGCCCGCGCCACGCCGTCGCCGCCCCACAGCAGCACCTCGCGCTGGCTCGGCGACTTCACCCGCAGCTCCAGGTCCCACGCCGACTCGTGCGCCCCCTCCACACGCACCTGCATGTCCTGCACCCTGCAGCCCGCGAAGCCGCGACACACGCGTCTCCACCTCGACTGCTCCGTGGTCCGGCACCTCCGCGATGGCAAACTCGGTGCCGAATTCCAAGTTGCCCACATGCAGGGCATGCAGCCTGGACCTACTGCGGTCGAACGCTCCGACGTTCACGCCCGTCAGATGCCCGCGTGCCTCCAGCGAGCGCTCCAGGTAGAAGATATCATTCGAGCTCATGTCCTCTCGTCTGGCCAAGATGCCGTCCAGGTAGAACTCCATCCTCCTTTCCACCACGTCCACCGTGAAGCGCACGCGGCGCACCGTGCCGGACTGCAGCGTGAAGACATCGGTCATGAGGAAGTGGTTCGGGACCTCGATCGCAGCCCTCCAGCTCTCAGACCCAAAGCGGGTGAACCCAAGTCGCACGACTGCCCACGGAAAAGACGACTGCGCGAAAATTCCAGAGCTCTCGCCCACCAGTCCCTCCAGGCCCTCCGTCCCCACGTCGACGAACACAAAGGTACTCGAGCTCGTCCCGTCGTAGTCGATCATCAGGTCGAACGCGACATCGAGCACCTTGCTGCCGTTCGAAAGCAGCTGCGACGGCGCCACGCCCTGCAACACCGCCACACCAACAGCTGTGGACCCTGCTGCACTCTGCGGCACCACCGTCACCGCGCCCGTCGTCGCGTTGTACGCAGACGTGTTCGTCGCCACCAGCCCACCACTGCCTGGCACGACCAGGTTGCTCGCCGCGCTCGCGTCCACGCTCTTGGCCTCGACAACCGTGAGAGCGTTCCGGTCAGCCCCCACCCTCCGCCACACCGGCGGCAGGTCCCTCCCGCTCACCGAGCCCTCGCCCATCACCGCCGCGTGCTTGCCGCCGCAGAAGCTCATGTTGCCCACGCGCACCTCCTGCACCTCCGACGCTGGCCCCCGCGTACACGCCCACGCGCACCCCCTCGTGCACCGGCGCGTCAAACTTGCGGAGTCCATGCCGTAGGACTGCTCCTCGCTGCCCACCTCGATGCGCGTCTCCAGCGTCGTCAGGTCGTGCCGCACCCGCAGCCTGTACGTCTCCCCGGACACGATGCTCTGCTCCACCCTCAGCTCGGCGCTCCTGTCAGACGTGCGCAGCCGTGCGTACCACGTCCCGTAGTTGTTCTGCAAGATCACGCGCGCTGCCCCGCCCACCGAGTCGGACCAGCCGTCCAGCGTCGTGTACCCGTCGCCCTCCACCTCCGCCGCGCTCTCCACGCCCACGTCCACAAACACGTACCCGTCCCACGACGGTCCCGTGAAGTCCACCTGCACGTCAAACGTCACGTCCAGCGTCCCGCCCGCCAGCACCGCCGACGCGTTCACGCCCTCCACGTACGCCATCGCCAGCCTGTCATTCGTGCTCGGCCCCTCCGGCCGCAGCGTGATGAAGTCCCCCACGCTCGCGTTGTACGTGCTCGTGTTGGTCGCCGCCACATCGTACGACCCGTCCAGCACCAGCGCGCTCCCCGCGCTCGCCGCCTCCACAGCCAGCGTGCCCTCGCCTCCGCACACCTGCTCCACCACACCAAGCACCTCCGGCTCGCACGTCAGCGTCATGTTCCACGACGCCAGCGACCCCACGTCCGACCCAAAGTCGTCGTACACCCGCAGCTCCCACGCGCCCGCGCTCTCGTCCCTGAAGTACACCGTCGACTGCTGCACCAGCTGCCGCGTCACGTTCGCCTCCCCGTCGCGCCCCTCGCTGTCGCCAAAATACAGCCGCAGCGCCTCCCGGTTCGGCGCCGTCAGGTACACGTACACGTCCTTCACGTGCCGGTGCGGTATGTCCACGCTCACGTCCACGTACCGCAGCGGGCAGCTGTCCTCCGCCGCCACCTCCAGCGTCGACACCAGCACGCCCCCGTCCGGCACCGCCTCGCCCACGTCAGCCGTATACCCGCGCCGCGGCCCGTCGCACGCAAACTCCAGCTCCACAGCCCGCACCGCCTGCGCGCGCTCCGCCAGCTCCGCCGCGTCGCTCGCCCGCCCGTCCGACACCTTCACCACCCACGTGCCCTCCGGGTCCTCGCCAAAGAAGTCCCGCAGCCGCCCCTGCGGCCGCACCACGCCCGTCAGCGGCAGCGCCGCGTCGCTCCCGGCCGCCACCGGCGCATCGTCCCAAAACACCGCCGCCACGCTCGACCGCCCCGCGCCCGCGCCCGCCGCCCGCGCCACGCCGTCGCCGCCCCACAGCAGCACCTCGCGCTGGCTCGGCGACTTCACCCGCAGCTCCAGGTCCCACGCCGACTCGTGCGCCACCTCCACACGCACCTGCATGTCCTGCACCCTGCAGCCCGCGAAGCTCGACAGCGCCGACCGCGACACATGCGTCTCCACCTCGACTGCTCCGTGGTCCGGCACCTCCGCGACGGCAAACTCGGTGCCGAATTCCAAGTTGCCCACATGCAGGGCATGCAGCCTGGACCTACTGCGGTCGAACGCTCCGACGTTCACGCCCGTCAGATGCCCGCGTGCCTCCAGCGAGCGCTCCAGGTAGAAGAAATCAGACCGCATGTCGTCTCGTCTGGCCAAGATGCCGTCCAGGTAGAACTCCATCCTCCTGTTGCTGACGTCCACCGTGAAGCGCACGCGGTACACCGTGCCGGACTGCACCGCGAAGGAATGCCTCAGAAGGCGGCGGCCCTCGCCCGGGGCCTCGATCTGTGCACTCCAAAACGAACCACTGCGGCCGAAAGCAAACCGCACCGCTGCCCACGGATGAGACAGCGACGCAAGTGTTTCGGTACTCTCGCCCACCAGTCCCTCCAGGCCCTCCGTCCCCACGTCGACGAACACAAAGGTACTCGAGTCCGTCCCGTCATAGTCGATCATCAGGTCGAACGCGACATCGAGCACCTTGCTGCCGTTCGAAAGCAGCTGCGACGGCGCCACGCCCTGCAACACCGCCACACCAACAGCTGTGGACCCTGCTGCGCTCTGCGGCACCACCGTCACCGCGCCCGTCGTCGCGTTGTACGCAGACGTGTTCGTCGCCACCAGCCCACCACTGCCTGGCACGACCAGGTTGCTCGCCGCGCTCGCGTCCACGCTCTTGGCCTCGACAACCGTGAGAGCGTTCCGGCCAGCCCCCACCCTCCGCCACACCGGCGGCAGGTCCCTCCCGCTCACCGGGCCCTCGCCCGTCACCGCCGTGTGCTTGCCGCCGCAGAAGCTCATGTTGCCCACGCGCACCTCCTGCACCTCCGACGCGCTGTTCCCCGCGTACACGCCCACGCGCACCCCCTCGTGCACCGGCGCGTCCACCTGGTGGAAGGTATCCATGCCGTAGGACTGCTCCTCGCTGCCCACCTCGATGCGCGTCTCCAGCGTCGTCAGGTCGTGCCGCACCCGCAGCCTGTACGTCTCCCCGGACACGATGCTCTGCTCCACCCTCAGCTCGGCGCTCCTGTCAGACGTGCGCAGCCGTGCGTACCACGTCCCGTAGTTGTTCTGCAGGATCACGCGCGCTGCCCCGCCCACCGAGTCGGACCAGCCGTCCAGCGTCCAGTACCGGTCGCCCTCCACCTCCGCCGCGCTCTCCACGCCCACGTCCACAAACACGTACCCCTCCCACGACGGTCCCGTGAAGTCCACCTGCACGTCAAACGTCACGTCCAGCGTCCCGCCCGCCAGCACCGCCGACGCGTTCACGCCCTCCACGTACGCCATCGCCAGCCTGTCGTTCGTGTTCGGCCCCTCCGGCCGCAGCGTAATGACGTCGCCCACAGTCGCGTTGTACGTGCTCGTGTTGGTCGCCGCCACATCGTACGACCCGTCCAGCACCAGCGCGCTCCCCGCGCTCGCCGCCTCCACAGCCAGCGGGCCCTCGCCCTCGCACACCTGCTCCACCACACCAAGCACCTCCGGCTCGCACGTCAGCGCCATGTTCCACGACGCCAGCGACCCCACGTCCGACCCAAAGTCGTCGTACACCCGCAGCTTCCACGCGCCCGCGCTCTCGTCCCCCAGGTACGCCTGCGACTGCTGCAGCAGCTGCCGCGTCACGTTCGCCTCCCCGTCGCGCCCCTCGCTGTCGCCAAAATACAGCCGCCGCACGTCCCGGTTCGGCGCCGTCAGGTACACGTACACGTCCTTCACGTGCCGGTGCGGTATGTCCACGCTCACGTCCACGTACCGCAGCGGGCAGCTGTCCTCCGCCGCCACCTCCAGCGTCGACACCAGCACGCCCCCGTTCGGCACCGCCTCGCCCACGTCAGCCGTATACCCGCGCCGCGGCCCGTCGCACGCAAACTCCAGCTCCACAGCCCGCACCGCCTGCGCGCGCTCCGCCAGCTCCGCCGCGTCGCTCGCCCGCCCGTCCGACACCTTCACCACCCACGTGCCCTCCGGGTCCTCGCCGAAAAAGTCCCGCAGCCGCCCCTGCGGCCGCACCACGCCCGTCAGCGGCAGCGCCGCGTCGCTCCCGGCCGCCACCGGCGCATCGTCCCAAAACACCGCCGCCACGCTCGACCGCCCCGCGCCCGCGCCCGCCGCCCGCGCCACGCCGTCGCCGCCCCACAGCAGCACCTCGCGCTGGCTCGGCGACTTCACCCGCAGCTCCAGGTCCCACGCCGACTCGTGCGCCACCTCCACACGCACCTGCATGTCCTGCACCGTGCAGCCCGCGAAGCTCGACAGCGCCGACCGCGTCACGCGCGTCGCCACCTCCACCGCCCCGTGGTCCGGCACCTCCGCGATGCCGTACTCGGCGAACGTCACGTTGCCCACGTGCGCCGCATGCAGCGTGTGCGAGCCGCTCGATCCGTCAACCGCGCCGACCCTCACGCCCGTCAGATGCCCGCGCTCCTCCAGCGAGCGCTCCAGGTAGAAGATATCAGTCGAGCCCCCGATATACCCGCCGTCCAGGTAGAGGCCCACCACGTTGCTCACCAGGTCCACCGTAAAGCGCACGCGGTACGCCGTGCCGGACCGCAGCGTCACGAAGGAACTGCCCAGAATGTTGCTCCCAGCGGTCTGCACGTAAACGTCCCAGTACGGCCAGGAGTACCCGCTGCGCCTGTAGAACGCGATCCGCACCGCCGCCCTCGACTGCGACAGCCCGCTCGAGTAGTCCTCGCCCGCCAGGCCCTCCAGCCCCTCCGCGCCCACGTCCACAAACACGTAGTCCTGGCTCAACGAGCTCGTCGTCCCGTCAAACTCCATCATCAGGTCGAACGACACGTCCAGCAGCTTCCTACCGCCCCTGATCAGCTCCGACGGCGCCACACCCTCCGCCGCCGCCACCACGGCCGCCACGGACCCGCTGCCCTGCGGCACCACCGTCACCGCGCCCGTCGTCGCGTTGTACGCAGACGTGTTCGTCGCCACCAGCGTCCGCCCGTCCGTCGAGCTCACGACGACCGCGTCGCTCGCCGCGCTCGCGTCCACGCTCTGGCCTCGCCCAGCAGCACAGCTCTCTTCCGGTCAGCCCCCACCGTCCGCCACACCGGCGGCAGGTCCCTCCCGCTGTCCGGGCCCTCGCCCGTCACCGCCGCGTGCTTGCCCCCGCAGAAGCTCATGTTGCCCACGCGCACCTCCTGCACCTCCTCCCCGCTGAACCCGACGTACACGCCCACGCGCACCCCCTCGTGCACCGGCGCGTCCACCCTGTGGAAGGTATCCATGCCGTAGTGCCGCTCCTCGTTGCCCACCTCGATGCGCGTCTCCAGCGTCGTCAGGTCGTGCCGCACCCGCAGCCTGTACGTCTCCCCGGACACGATGCTCTGCTCCACCCTCATCTCTGCTTCACTGTCAGGAGTTTGCAGCCGTGCGTTCCACGTCCCGTAGTAGTTGCGCAGGATCACGCGCGCCGCCCCGCCCACCGAGTCGGACCAGCCGTCCAGCGTCGTGTACCGGTCGCCCTCCACCTCCGCGGCGCTCTCCACGCCCACGTCCACAAACACGTACCCCTCCCAGAACGTGCCCGTGAAGTCCACCTGCACGTCAAACGTCACGTCCAGCGTCCCGTACGCCAGCACCGCCGACGCGTTCACGCCCGCCACGTACGCCATCGCCAGCCGGGTGTTTGTGCTCGGCCCCTCCGGCCGCAGCGTGATGACGTCGCCCACAGTCGCGTTGTACGTGCTCGTGTTGGTACGGGCAACGTTACTGAACGCGTCCAGCACCAGCGCACTGCCCGCGCTCGCCGCCTGCACCGCCAGCGGGCCCTCGCCCTCGCACACCTGCTCCACCACAGCCAGGGGCTTGCCATAGCATATGGTCTCCAGCGACCATGACGCCAGGGTGCCAACGTCTGCCTTGAAGTCATCCTGAACCAGCAACGTCCAGTTGCCAGCACTGGACGTCGACTGGAAGGACGTCGAGGTGTACGCGTTCGAGGAGAAGTTGTATGGGGAGCCACTGAAGCCCGGCTCGTTGTACAAACTCTGAATTCGCCCCTGGGGACTGCGCAGGAAGACGCGCAGGTCGTCGGTGTGCGGGTGCGTCAGGTCCAGGCGGACGCGGGTCTGGAAGATCTCGCAGCTGTCCTCCTCGGCTATGGTCACGGTGTCTGTCGCGTACGAGCCGTCAGGGATCGCCATTTCTCGGCCCGTCGTGAAGGCTAACACCTCGTGACACTCCAGCTCAAGCTCCCAGTCTCGCAGGACCTGCTCACCGACGCCGCCTGGCACCCCATCCGACGCCTTGAGGGTCCAAGTGCCGTCTGGGTAGAAGCCGGTGAACGCTGACAAGGGCTCGTCGGGACGGGCTTCTGTCGACGTACCGGGGGTGAGGGCGCCCATCTCGGAGATGGTCTGCGCCGCGCCGTCGCTGAACACCACGGTGCCGTTCGCCCCTGCGCCGGAGAGCAGGACTTCCTTCCCAGCGGGGGACTTGAGGCGCAACTGGAGATCCTCGGGCCGCGGGTGCACGACGGCGGCGGTGACCTTGACGCCAACCAACGGACAAGCGTAATACCCGCTCTGACCGTACGAAGAAGAGACGGACGTGCGCGCCTCGGTAGCGCCGTGATCGGGGATACCGCGGTTCCTGTCAAACGTGCCGAACGAGTAGGAGACGGGCTGGCGCGGCAGTGCTGCCGACCGCACGGCGTCACTTCCGGGGGTACGCGCCGAGGGGCAGAAGTTGACGTTCCGCACGCGCTGCCGCACGGCCGAGGAGGAGTACTCAGGATCAGTCCACGTTCCGAGGAACACCCGGGAGCCCTCGCCGATCTCGAGCACGACGGGTGCCGGCAGGGAGAACGACACGGACTCGGCCCCGAACCTCACGCGCCCCGTCAGAGACGTCATGTTGAGCACCAGCCTGAACGTGCGCCAGATGTTCTCGAAGTAGACGGTGTCCGACAGCCGCGCCGTGAAGCGGTGCCACCCGGCCTGCACGAAGACCGTCGGTGCATTACGGGACTCGCCCCACTGCAGGCCGGCGCGAATGCTCATGCGGTCTGCCCTGTGCGGGTTGAATCCGATGTAGGAAGGGGGCCGCTCGATTGAGGGATCCTCCTGGCCGACTTCGATCCACACTGCGCCACCTTGCTGGTACATGTCGCCGAACAGCGACAATTCCGCAGATACGTCGATCATGCTGCCGAGGGCGGACGTGTTTGCGACGTCCTGTGGAAGGAACAAGAAGCCCGCCAGGTCCTCCCTCGCTCCGGACGCGAGAGTGGTCACGTCTGACGCCGTGTCAACCACCAGCTCGCGCGATGCGCGCGACGTCGTCGAGTAGCCGTTCAGCCAGTAGAACTTCTCGCCCCGAGACAGATCAGTCGCGTTCACCTGACGCCGCGGCCCGCCGTCGCACTCCAGCTCCTCGGTGCGCGGGATCTCGCTGCGGCACATGATCCTCAGGCTCCAGCTGTGCAGCACGGTCCCGTTGTTGTCGCCGCTGAAGTCGTCCTTGACGCGCAGCGTCCACGTCCCCTCACTCGAACCGCTCTCGAAAGCGCTGGCCCTGAAAGTAGTGTAATCGGTCGACGTGAACCTCGCGTACGACGGGGTCGAAAGCATTTTGCGCCGCCATATGCTGGGTGTTAATGGCAGCGTAAAGTCCTCGGAAACGTCGTCCCCATACGTGATGACCTGGCTGTCCAGCCCCCCTGCGCCAAGCTCCCTGTACATCTCGATGGACCTGAACGACCGGGTGAGATACACTCCGAGGTCCTGAGCGTGCGGGTGCGAGATGTTGAGCGTGACGTCGACGTCCTCGACGATGCACGAGTCCTCCGGGGCGATGGTCAGGGTGTCCACCGTCCACCGCCGGTCCCCCAGGGGCACCTCCGGCTCCCGCGTGAAGTTTCTCACGGGGTCACCGCACACGAAGCCCAGGGCCCAGCTCTTGATGCGGCGCGTGTCGTCGGGGGGCGCTGTCGCGCTTCCAGCAGCGCTCGGAGTGCGGTCGGAGACCTTGAGCGTCCAGGTGCCTTCAATCTCGTGCCGACGCATGACTCCGAGCGCATGGGCCGGACGCACGCCCTGCCCGTCGCGGCCAGCCTCGAGGTCGATCGCCCCACTGATGTAAGGACCATCCACGCTGCCTGGCGGGACCGAGGAGCCGTCCCAGAACACCGCGCGGAGGTCGCTGCCGGTCTGCTGAGCGTCGCCCGCCCACAGGAGCGCCTGCGTGCCGTCTGGTGCCCGCACGGCGATGTCGAGGTCGCCAACGCGGGGGTGCTCCACCTCAACGGCCACCAGAAGCTGCTCGAGGACGCATCTGCTCGCCACTTCGTCCAAAGATGAGACGGAAGTAGAGACCTCGCGAGCACCGCGTGCCGGGATCGACATACCCGAGCCCAGGCTGCTCCCCTGGCGCCAGGCGACAGCGAGCCCGACGTCAACCCCAGGAGTGGGGTTCTCGGGCGCCGTGCGGGGGGCGCCGAGCGGGTTGCCGCAGAAGAAGATGTTGCGCAGCTCGTAACTGGCCGCTGGCACGTCTGAGCTGGACAGGCTCCGGGCGGCGGCCAGCACGGTGCCGTTGTGCCGCAGGTCGGGGACCCAGAGCAGGTCCTTCGGGACCACCAGGTCGTACGAAACCTCGCCGAACTGCAACACATGGTCCAGAGTCAGATCAGTGCGGTTCAGGGAACGTGACGGTGGGCACGCGGCAGGCTTGGCGGCGCACAGATGGTCCTCATGATATGCATAGCATCATGGTTATGTCATGCTCGCAGACGGCAACGGGTGCAGTCAACAAGGCGTGGACATCCAGAAGATATCGGACCCTCGGGGCGGAAGGAGCGTGGAGCAAGACTTGCCTGGATCAGTCCGACGCCTGTGTCGCGATCCAGGTGCAGATGGAGCGTGCGCCACATGCCGTCATCGAACGACGACATCCTCTGGCTCAGCGCCACGTGGCGTCCGACGCGGACGTACAGGTAGTACTCCTCCACCGCGCGGTCGTGGGCGACGCCAGCCCGAATGTTGCGACCCATCTCGTCGAGCGACTCGTGCACATCGTATCCCTGCGCACTCCTGGTCGTGTCCTCATCGGCTCCGCTGATGGTCAGCCAGAACTCGCCCGAAGTGGCGAGGTTGGCGTCGCCAACGCGTACCTCGGCCCAGACGTTGATGGCCGCGCCCAGCTCCTCCGCAGAGAAGGGCATGAAGACGAGCACGCCGCTGTCGCCGGTACTGCGTCCGTTGAAGCGGATCACCTCGGCGTCCGTGTCGACAGTTGTGTTGATTGCCAGAGGCTGCAACCTCGAGGACCGCGAGAGCCACTCGAGCGCCGTGAGGCCCGCGGTGGTCGACAGGTCCAGTGCGTACTGAAAGGTAGTGTTGAGCGGTACCATGGGCGCGACGGTGGCGTCAGGGGCGACCGTCGCGTTGCTGGTGGTTTTGGTGGCCGTCTCGCCCGCCATCATCCTCCTGGTCTCATAGGCGAGCAGCCGCCTCTCCCGCTGCAGCGACGCAGGCACGGTGTCGTTGTACCCCGCAGGGCACGTCGGCGGGAAGATCCGCGTCGGCCGGCAGGACACCGACACCGCCCAGGACAGCAGCGCGTCCTCAGCCGCCACGTCGTTGTTGACCAGCACGAAGAACCAGTTGCCCTCAGAGGGTGCACCGTCGAACGTCGAGATACCGCTCGCGGCGACGTTCACGGTCTGCGCTCCCGGCGAAGTCGGTCCCGCGAAGTTGATGTTGATGCCAGGCAGCGTCCCGTCGCCGAGGCCGTCCAAAAACGCGGTCGTGTTCAGCAGCGGGACGCCCGGGGGGATCTTGACGATGTACGGCACCACCAACTTCTCCGCGCTCGTGTAGTCGAGCCGCAGCGAGAAGTCAAGATCAATGGCGTCGACAGTGCAGCTGTCCTCGGCCGCCACCTCCAGGCTGTCGATGACGGCCAGTGCGTCGAGAGCGAGCGGGTCGCCGTTCAAATCGCGCGGCTCCTTCTCGAACTTGACGCGCTCCTCGCCGCGGCACTGGAACAGCAGCGCGAAGCCCAGCAGCTCCTGCAATGGTGTGGGCCGCGCGGAGCAAGCCTCAGGCGCGGATCGGGTACCTCCAGCGCGCGTGCACTGTGCTGCAAGCATGACGGGGTCGCGCGCACGGTCGCGCACCTGCGTGGCGTTAGAGGGAGATTGCGTGGCATCCGACACCTTGAGCGTCCACGTGCCCGCCGGCGACTTGCCGCGGAACATGGGCGTCAGCCCCTCCTCAGGAGCGAAGTCGCCTACGAGCGGACCGGACGCTTCGTCGACGCGCACGAGCACCGGGCGCCTGCCGTTGCTGTCGACGTCGCCAGCGTCGTACAGCCGCAGGGTCGCGTTCGCCGACCCGCCGCGGACGTCGGCGGCGAGCTCGACCTCGGTTTTCGCAGGTCCCTGCACGTTGCACGACGATGGGCGCGGGTCGTGAGCGCCATAACGGCGAGTCAGGCCTGTTGCGGCACATGCACACGGTGGCGACGGGCAGCGGCCGCTTCGCTCGCTGCCGACCTGGGGCTTCGAGGACATCGCGGGTGTTGCCGTGTGAGGGCCGCGGCCGGCCCCGCGTGGTCGCAGTCAGCGGGGGCGGTCGATTCTGTTGCAAGTGGTGTCTGGCCTGGCAGCGGCCGCACCTGGAGGTAAATGTCCAGTTCCTGGACCCTCGGGTGAGTGATGTTGATTTCGACGCCGATTCTGTCGATGATACAGCCGGTCGCCACCAGAGCGTCGCTCCCCGAGATGAAGATGGAGGTCTCAAGAGCGCCCGCATCCGGGATGGCGCGCGGCAAGAACCCGGCTTCCTTCCGCCTGAGCGGCGCCTCCACAGTCTGACCCGGCGTCAGGAACCCGAGCTCGCCCTGGGGCTCCGTCTCCGAGAGCAGGCGGGCGTCGCGCGCCTTCAGGCCAGCGCGCAGGATGTCCTGGACGGGCGTGTCAGCACTCACGCCCGAGGAAACGCCCAGCGCGCCCACGAGAAGCGCGAGGACACAGAGCAACGCCATCGTGAGCGGCGCCCTGACGCCCATGCTGGTCGTGCAACGTGGAAGCAGCAGCAGATGGGCAGCCTGCGTTCAAAGGCGACGGAATCCGCTCGATTTGCGCCCCGGACGGTCGAGCGAAACATGAACATGCCCGACGAGGCACCCGCGCGCGAGGCCGGTGCCGTCGCGCCCTGCTCAAGGGGCATCGACAGCGCTCAGCAGCCCCGCTGCGCTCCCGCCGGGACGGGGATCGTGTGCGGCCGAACATGTTGCTCGGGCTCGCGTTTGTATCACGGAGAATGCAATGCGCGCAGCGAGGGCGCGGCAGCGGCATCGAATCGTCCGGGACCACGGCCTGTGGTGCACGGAGCTTCTATCCAGTCTGTCGCGGTCCCGGCGAAGGGGCGACGCCGGGCAGAGGTTCGACCGCCCCGGGTGGCCACTCTATGCCGAAATAACTGGACTGTGCCGTCGAGGTGCTCGTGACGGGCTGGAGGGGGCGACAGCGACTGCCGGCGAAGCGGGGTGCTGCAGCGGCGCGCTGGAGAATTGGGCGACGATCGACTCCAATGCGCCACTGGGCGGCGCTTGAATCGTTCAAGGGATTCCGTGCGCTGCCAGGCGGCGCGCGAAGGTCCCTCGCGGTCGAACGAGGCGGGTGGACATCCTAGCAGGCCCACGCACGCTCAACGCGCCGTCGCAAAAGCAATCGAGGCGTGTAGCGGTGCGCTAAGGGGATATATTGGAAATATGGATCCCGATCGGGCGGTATTCGGTGGCAAACTCGGACACTGTCGTCCGCGATGGGGCGCCGTGACATATCCCTCACGCTGTGTGCCGTCGCGGCCGCGTGGCAGCATCTCACTAGAAGCGGCCCGCCAGGCCCGCCCTGGCACAAAATGTTGGGCGGCCGCCGCCGGAGAGTCAAGTCGCACCGGCGCCGAATTGGGCCGCGCAGACGTGTGTGTCACACACAGCAATGCTGTTGGAGGGACAGCTTGGGCGCTGCACGGACGGATGCGGATCTCGCCGCACCATCGGAGCGAGGGGCCGGAACGAACGGGAGGGAGGCGTGCCTGTGTCGCTGTAGCGCGAATGCGTCGATTCGCCGCTGTGCTGAATCTCGCTAGCCGACCCTTTCAGCACACACACACCAGAGCCGCAGCCTCACGGCCTCCCGGTGGGAAGTGTCGACGTTCGGCGTACCGAGACGATTCTCTCGGCTCTGGACAGTCGATTTGTCACAGCCCCGCGCGCCGTGCGGCCCATGAGCTGCGGTCCGGATGCACTGGGGCTGACTGCGTGGCCCGCGGCACATCCCCACGCCCCCGATGTCTCCCCCGCGCCGCGCACGGGAGACAACGGCCCCGCAAGCGCATGGACACGTCTCATTCAGCGGCTTCGGTCTCAGTCTGACTTGTTTCATGGCTCCTGTCACCCTCGACAGCGCCAGGCCATGGCAACAAGGCCTGCGGGCGCCCAGTGCATCTCCGTCTCCCAGCCCTGGTTCAACTGCATCGAACGTGGGGCCAAGACGGTCGAGGGACGCCTGAACAAGGAGCCCTACGCGAGCATCGAGCCGCCCTGCGAGCTGAGGGTCACCGAGACGGGCGGGACAGGTGCCGCGGTGGTGCAGGTCGTCTCCACAGCGCGGTACGAGTCGTTCCGGGACATGCTGGCCGGCGAGGGCCTCGAGAAGACGCTGCCTGGCGTCGATTCCGTGGACGAGGGCGTGCTGGTGTACCGCAGTTTCTACTCGGCCGACCAGGAGGCAGCTGCAGGGGTACTAGCGCTGCGCCTTCGAGCTGCGTCCAGACCTGGGAGCGACAGCTCCCGATAGAGCACAGCTACAACATCATGCCAGATATGCAGCGCGACCGCTCTGACATCGATCGACCAGAAGGCAGAAGCGCGGAGAATGCTGACGCAACAGCCGACGTTGCCGTCCCCGGGACCGCGAGGGCGCAATCGGCCCACGGAGCGCCGGACCTGACCAGCGAGCAGGGCGCTGCCGTCGAGGCCGCGCTGTGCGGGGAGAACGTCTTCATCACCGGGGAGGCGGGCTGCGGAAAGACCGAGACGCTGCGCGCCGTAGTGCGGACGCTCAAGGTGAGCCGGCAACCACTCGATGCGTGCTTGCCCCGCCAGATCGGAACTTTGCGAGCGCAGCCGCGTGACGCCCTCGAGGCGGTCGACCGGCGATCATGCGTGATGTTGTTTCACGTTCCTGTGCGCCTGACCTCGTGGTCTCGACGACCCTTCTCGCAGACCCAGCACGGCGACGACTTCGACCATGTCGTGGCCGTCACGGGCAGCACGCCGTGTGCGGCCGCCGTCCTCGAACGAGGTCTCGACGTCAGCGTTCGCTGCGTCGGCGAGGCGCTGTCGATGCCGCCGGGCCTGTACCTGGGGCCACGCGAGCCGCTGCCCCCGACGAACGTTCCGCGGAGGAGCAGCCCGGCGTCAGCTTCGCATCCCGACCCGACCTGGGAAGACATCTGCAGCGCCATCACCAAGCACTTCCATGCGCGCCCGAACCTGCAAGTCCTGGTCATCGACGAGGTCTCGTCGCTCCCGGCAGAGCTGCTCTATCTCATCCACAGAGCGGCCGCGCGTGCACGGGCCGCAAGTGGCGCGGAGCACACAACCAGTCATGTCGACGGCTCTGGCGGGCTGCAGCTGATCGCCGCGGGCGACTTCTGCCAGCTCGGGCCCTATCGCGTCGGCCAGGAGCGCGGACCGACGCGGGCTTCGACGCGGACGCCGGGGACGGCCTACGCCGCCTGGGGACATGCGTTCGAGGCCCCCGAGTGGTCCCGTCGCACGACGCTCCACATCCCTCTCACGAGCAACTTCAGAGCAAGCGATGGTGCCTCCCTGGAGCTGCTTCGCCGCGTCCGGCGAGGCGACGCGCAGGCGGCAGCGCTGGTCGTCGCGCATGCTCGGCGCCCGCAGGTGCCGGGCGCCCTCCCCGGCACACTGCTCCTACCGTCGTCGAAGAGGGCTCAGGAGGAGAACCTCGCGGCGCTTTCTTCTCTGGGGAGCGAGGTGCACGTGTTCACGGCGACTGACGGCGCTGCATCTGCAGACGCGAGCGCCGCACGTCAGGCGCTGCTGAGCAGCTCGTGGTACAAGCACGGCACTTGCCCGGCGCCAGCCGAGGTCGCGCTCGCTGTCGGCGCCGTCGTGCGCACGACAGTGGACCTCGACGCCGCCCTCGCCGCGGGCACGCGCGGGCAGGTCAAAGCGATCTGTTCGGCGCGCGAGGTCGCGGCGCGAGAAGGTGCGCCGTGGGAGGCGATGGCCGCACGGATGGTGGCTGCTGCCGGAGGTCGCGCGCCCGCTCGCCGCAGCAGCAAGCTCTTCATGCCTCTGGTGGAGTTTGTCAACGGGCGCACGGAGTGGATCCTCCCGCACACCTGGCGGCGGGAGGAGCCGGGCGTCGGCGCGTGCACGCGCACGCAGATCCCACTCGCGCTGTCGTGGGCGCGGGGGATCTACGACGTGCAGGGGCACGAGCTCGACAGCGTGCGCATGCGCCTCCCGAGCGCGACGTCCGGCCCGGAGGACGCTCTCAGCCCCGAGCAGGTGTACTTCGCGGTGTCGCGGACGTCGTCTCTCGCGAGCGTGACCGTGGTGGGGGGTGTGCTCCCTCGCGGTGCGCTCGCAGTGCCCACAAAGTCTGCAGCAATGTACGCGCAGCTGGCTCGGGGGTGGGACTGCGACTACGATCCGGAGAAGCTCACGTGGGCTAAGGAGCTCGCACACCGTCTGACAGACCCCTCGCAGCCTGTACAGGCGTCCCCCGTGAAGGACGCATCCTTCGTCAGAGAGCTCAGGCCGCTCCGGCGCCTACGGGACCGACCGCCCTCGATTCGCCGCCTCCAGACCACGCCAGAGGCGGCAAAGCCGGCGCGGTCGGTGCAGAGGCCCCAGGCGCAGTTCCGCCCCGCCAGCGGACACAGCAACATCCCCCGGCGCAACGTCATCCGTCCAGCGCAGCCTGAGGTCGTCGCATCCCCGGCTAGCAGCCCGCCGCCAGTTCCACGGCCGAGGGCTGCCGCGGCGCCAGACCCGCGGCCAGCGGCTCCTCCGCCTCAGCGCGCGCCCGCGCAACGCACGGCAGCGGTGCGGGCGGAGCCCTCCGAGCCGCCCCTGCCCCCGTCGCTCGATTCCTCGCGCATCGCGGACGTGACATGGAGCGAGGTGTCGGCGTTCAGCAGCCCCTCGTTCGCGCCTGCGGCGGCGCGGCAGAGCACACTGACGACGACCGACACGTCGGGGACGCGCAGTGAGACGGACGTGGTCGACTTGCTGCGCCAGGTGCAGTCGATCCGACTAGCCATCGACAGGATCACGACGCAGTGCGCGACGAGCATCCAGGACATCGCGCAGGAGCGCGCTGAGCTGGCCGGAGCTGGCGGGGAGGAGCCTGTGTGGGAGGGGGGGCCTGTGGCGGGGGACTCGTTCGTATCCGACGCAGGGGACCTCACAGAGCTGACTCAGAACCTGCGGTCGTCGCTCGTGGCGGCCGAGGCCGCGATCGCAAGCGACCGCCTCCGTCACGGGCAGCCACTTGCGCCGCACCACTAGCAGCACGTGTGAACGAGCCAAGGCGCGCATCGCGGTCGGTAGCCGTCATCATCCCGCCCGAGAGACCGCGTGCTGCGATACTTGTGTCTTCGGCGTCGTGGTTTCGCGATCTCCCGCGCGACAGCGTTATGGAGTACCTGTTGGAACAACAGATGTTATGGACGTCTGCCGCGAGGCGTTGCCCCGCGAAGCTGGCAGGGTTCCAGCAACGGACGTCCGGGGTGCTCTCGAAGCGTCGATCTTGGGCGTTCGATCCGTTCATGGCTCGCGAAACGCGTGCGTCATCTTCGGCATGATCGCCTCCGCCACGGCCCGGTACGAACACAGACCCGCTGGGTCGATGGCCGCTGCGCGACCAGCACGCGCCTGGAGCGCGGAACCACCCCTAGAGTAGCCAAGCGGAGCAGGCCCACCAACCTCCGCCGTCGTCATACCGGTGGCGCATCTCGTCACTGTCTGACAGCACAGGTGCGCCGTTCCGACAGATCAGCGCGCGCCAGGGGCCCGTCCGCCCTCTACGGTGGCAGAATAGCCCACGTTCGCCGCGACCAGGCACAGAGACTCGGTGGTTGTTCGTGGTCGGGCAACCGCTGGTGCAGTGAGGGAACTTGCTCGCGTGAGTTGCCGTCCTGCGCTAGCTGCAGGCATCGCGGCTCGAACGTAGTCCTGGACCATCTGACCAGCTCATCATGACGTCCAACACGGCGACGCCGCTCGGGGGGCACCAGGCGGAGCCGGTAGACAGCTCGCAGGCAGGGAGCCGCTTCGTCGTCACTGGCATGCCCGCAGCGCCCAGGTGCGAGGCGATCCGACGCCGCGGGATCGTTCTCGCCGACGCGGTGGTCGCGATGCCGGTCCATTCCACGTTGAACGACGCTCGCGGGTGCAGGTCCCGTAGCTGCAGTTGGCCCGCCCTAGTGCGTCGTCCCGCGCGCACACGGGTCCGACGCACGCGTTCTCTACTGGTTCTCGGCGTGCATGCCATGAATTCCCGTCCACACTGCTTTCTTTGTGCCCAGCGCGCTCTTTGGAGACCGCCCTGCGCGTGCACCTCGCCAGCTGGCTTCCCAGGGGGCGCGCGACGACGCACGCCCCACGGAGCTCCTCCCGTGCAGAGCCAGGGGTGTGTACGAGGATCCTCTGGACGAGGTGGACGGCGACTGGTCCGAGAACTTCTCCCAGACGCTGGTTCTCGGCCCGTCCATCACCCGCGCCGTTGAGGAGTACCGCGCCGCCCAGAACGAGCGGCCGCAGCAGCCGCCGCCGGCGCCAGCGCGGCGTCCCAAGCGGCCCCCGGACGCCGCGGAAGCCCCCCTGTCCCCGCCGCCCTCGGAGCGCACCAGCAACGCCGGCGTGTTTGCGAGTTGGCAGGTCCCGGGTGCCGCCAACGCGCACCCGCAGCCGCCCAGCGATGCCAAGCCCCCCGTCCCGCCGATGACGCACCTCCCGGCGGCTGCGCTCGCGGGCACCGCCCCGTCCGACCCCCGGGGCGCTGCGGCACCGCCACCAGCGCCAGGCGAGGCTGCGACCGCGTCGGGGGGCGACATGTCGCTGTCGTTCTCGCTCCCGGACAGCCCGACGATGCGCGAGATCGCGCGGCAGCTGTGCGCGACGGAGCACAGCGGGGACGACGACTGGATCCGGCAAGCCATCTACGGGCCCGAGGGGAGCGGGGGGGTCGGGGGGGTCGCGCCCGGGGACGGCGGCGGCGGCGCGGGGACGACGAGCGGGGCGAACGACAGCGCGGGGGGCTCGGAGGGGTGGAACGCGGGCGTGGCGGCGCTGCAAGAGTACATGGAAGGGGGGGGTGTCGGAGAGGGGGAGTGGGCGTTCGGGTCCCGTTTGGGGGGGGGCTGGGTGGTCCCTCCCGGGCGGCCGGTGTCGTTCGAGGTGCTGCCGAACAAGGAGTCGCGCAAGCTGTCGCAGAAGCACGCGCGGCGCAACGCGGGCGTGCTGTTGGCGGGCGCGGGGGTGTCGGCCAACGGTCTGCGCGAGCGGTACAACCACCTGCTCGACGACCGCATCCCGCAGGAGCTGCGCGAGCAGGGTCTGACGATCAAGACCCCGCGCGGGTACTTCGTGCGCGCGCTGGTCCTCTGGATGGTGGAGGGTCTCCCCGACGTGGTGCTGGAGCAGTGGGGGCTCGGGGCGGCGGCGACGCTGCGGGCGGGCGCGGACGCGACGGAGGAGGTCATCCAGGACCTGCTGCCGCGGGCGCGCGGCGGGACGACGCGGTACGAGGTGGGGGCGAAGCTGCAGCAGGCGGGGCTGGCGGCGGGGCGCATGTGGCCCGGGGAGGCGGCGGCGGCGGACGAGGACTTCAAGGCGAGCATACGGGCCATCTTCGACCAGGGGAAGGGGGAGATCCGGGCCGACGTGCGCGCCGGCGCCGCGGGGATGTGAGTTCAGCGAGTTTGTGCTGCCATTGTGCTCTGGTGTCGGTTGGCGCAGGCAGTTTGCGGCGGCGAGGCCCGCGCGCGGTCGCGATGCATGGCGCGCTGGCGGGTGCGACGAAACTGCGGGGCGCAGCGCGCGTTGGTCCGTGGCGGGTGTGGCTCTCGGGATGTCGAACGCTGTGCTGGCGCCAAGGCAACACCCCCTCGCACACCTGTCCTGACGCACCGCCGCGTCGCCGACGCTGGCTTGAGTGCGCCTGGTGGACGGGGCGCCTACCCATTCCTCTGCCACGGCCGGGAAGCGCTAGGGTGGCGAGGGGAGCGGCTCGCGGAAGGCGGGCAAGTGGCATATTTGTGTCACCCGGCTGTTCGACGCTGGTCCGAGGGAGACACGGGATCGTCGTCGCCGGAGGCTCCGACGTCCATGCCTTCCACGCGATCCAGCAGCCACGCAGACCGTCCCGCCGCCGACAGCACGCAAACGAACCGAACGAGAGGTGAGCCAGCAACGACGCGAGTACGGGCCGTGTGGGAGGGCAGGACCCCGAGGTTGCTGCTGCTCTCGCCGACTGAATTCTCCCTGCTCGCGAGACGTGGCAGATCTTGGCCCACGCGCGTCGCTCGCTCCCTACACGCCCGGTGCCAAACTGCCACGGCACCCTGCTGGTCGACACTGTCGCTCAGGACGTCTGGCGCCGCAAAACCGTCTTCAGCACGCACTGGAGTTTCTACGCGAGGAGCAAATGATCGGCATGAGCTCCGGCACGGTCGTGGCCACCCCTCAAGTGTGTCCCCAACAACGACTCCCGAGATCGCACTCGCCCGCACCACACAGCGTCCAACAGCGCGCCAGTGGCACGTACTCACTACACACAGACACTCCCCTCGCTCCTTCTGTCACCTGCGCCGGCTTTCCGCCGCACGAGCGCCCCCTGTGACGCGCCCATGTTCCCTGGTGCAGCGACCGCCATGTGCCCCACGAACAGCAGGCCAACGCGGCGCGCGAGGTGCCGAGGACCGTGGACGCCCCTCCGCGCCTCCAGGTGGAGCCGCCGCCCCCCGCACGCAACTCCGGGCTGCCCCCGCGCTACGGGGAGTCCCCCCGCGCACGGGCCAAACAGCCCAGCACGCCCAGGGCAGGGGGCGGCCGCGGGGGCACCACCGCGTTCCTCGGACCCAAGACACCGCCTTCCGAGCGCCCCTTCCCGCGATTCAGGCGCGCAGTACCCCCCGTCGACCGCGCTGCTCTGTGGTGTTGTATGCTCCTCCGGACCTGCGAATCGAGGGCTGCGTGCCGCTAGCTGCGCCAGTCATTTCATGGTTATCCGTGTGTGAGAGGTACACGCGGGCGCGACCAGCAGGTGCGTCCGTGCGGCTCTGCAGGGGTGTTCACCGCCCGCTGTGGTCCGTGCACTGGCACGCCCACATTCGCGGCGTGGCCGGTGAGAGCATCGCGCTCGGAGCGTTCGACACCGCCGCGGAGGCCGCACGCGCCCACGACTGCGCCGCCGTGAAGCTCCGCGGCAAGCAGGCCGTCAAGGAGCTCAACTTCGGTGCGTACCGCCCCGCGCGATTCCTGCGCGCCGCAGAACAGACGCCGCGGGAGATTCGTGCTCGCGCGAGGGGGGGGCGTGGCGTGTTGCGCGTCCCTGACTCAGCGCGCCGCGTGCGTGCGGGTGCAGAGTTCGACAACTACCGGGCGCTGCTCGAGGGGGACATGGACGGGCTGCCGTGGCGCACGTTCCTCGAGAGCGTGGACTCGGTCGCGGAGCAGGGCTACGACGCCTCGCTGGGCTGGGAGCGCTGCTCGCGGTTCAGGTGCGCGGGCGCCCATCGTTGGAGGTCAGCGGCGCGGTGGTGCTGGTTGCGGTTGTGCGCTGAAGCCCGGGCCCGATCACGCGCCGCTCGTGCGCGACTGCAGGGGCGTCGTGCGGACGCCCGCGCACGAGAACCAGTGGGAGGCGTTTTACGCCATGCCGGACTCGGACAAGCCGCTGAACCCTGCGATGGAGGCGGAGGTGTCGGCGCTGGTGGACGAGGCGGGGCGCGGGGGGCAAGACGGCGAGGACGCGGTGATGGCCGACGACAGCTCGCGCACCGTGCTGCGCGCCGTGGCCTCGACGCAGACGGAGGGCGAGCCCCTGATCCTGCGCCCGGTGCACGCCGGCGGGCGCGGGGGGGAAGGGAAGCCGGCGCAGCGCACCAGCCCGCGGTTCGCGTAGGCGACGCGCTGGTGGCGGTGCGCGCGGGCGTTCGCGTCGGGTCGGACGCAGCTGGTCGCGAGGGGGAGTGTTCGATGACGTCGTCCGCCAGCTCACAGCAGTTCGTGGCAGAGAGAAATGTAAGATCGACCTCGTCCCTACGCGTCGCGGCCATCAAGCAGTCCCTGGTTGATTCGTGGCAAACGTGCGTGGGGATAGGGGGGGGAGCGCCAGCTGCGCCTGACAGCTCCCTAGTGGAGGCGTGGAGTCCACGCCTTCCGAGACGTTCGGGGATGCTGAGCTCCCCGGCTACATCGTGCCGATGGACATGTTGAGCCGCACGATGCTCGTGGAGGGTCCCGGCATCTTGCCGCCGTGGCTGGGCTTCCACGATGCCTGCCCCGCGGTCCGCTCGCGCTCCCTCAACCGCTCCGTGCGCGCCTTCTCCAGCTTCAGCGGGACGGGGTCCATCTCGTACTTCGGGAACCGTTCCAGCGTGGCGTTGTAGCCCCTGCGCGGCGGGTGCGATGGCTTGAACGGTGGAGGCCGCCCCTCCTCCGGCTCGGGCGGCCTGCGGTGCACGGGCTTCGATCCCTCGATGATGTAGTCGTACGGCTTCCCGAGGGTGCGGTCGGGGTACCCGGGCCCGCGCAGCCCGGTGTTGCCCACGTGCGACGGCTTGAATGGCACCTCCGACACGAACTTGGCCTTGTTCGACCCGCGGGCCTTGCCAAGGCTGTCCACGAAGGGGTCCGCCTGGTAGGAGTACTCGCCGGCCAGGCCCTTGGTCCCGGCGATGCGTTCCGAGAGCGTCGTGCCGACGTAGCCATACGTGCCCTTCTTCGCCGGGTTGGTGAGGATGTTCCGCGACTGGTGCATCACCTCGCCCTTCTTGCGACGCGCCGGCGGCTCCTCTGCGAGCGGCGGGCGCACGCGGCGGTCGCGTCCGTCAGGGCGGGTCCCCAGCTCCGCGCGCATGATTTGGAAGAGGCGTTGCGCGGACAGCACGCGAGCAGCGCGGGCACGAGCGCATCGCTGGTGATCATGTGGATCGGGAACGGACCTGCGATGTGCGGGAACGGCCCGCTGAGGGTGCCGTAGTAATCCCCCAGGCACACAGACTGCTTCATTGGCCCCGAGGGCCTGAACGGCGCGACTTTCACCTCATCGCCCTCTCCCGCGTCACGCTTCTTCTCCTTGCCGCCCGTGAGGAGATCCCTGCGGCGGGCACGCGCGAGGGCCGTTCCTGAGGGCTGCTGCCATCAGTGCGAAGGACCGCCCCGCGACCACCGGGCGAGGAGCCTGGATGGATGCATGGGCCGCTTGTTCGTGACCACATGCGACAGTGTGTGAGGAATCGCATGCCGCGGGGGCGGCGGGGCGGCAGAAATCGATCAGAGCTGCGACCTGCATGTGGGGCGTGTGTGGCGCCGTACAACGATGATTCGGGCATCTGGAGCCTCGGGACACATCGAGTAGACTCATGGAAACTCGTGCACTGCGCATCACGACGCTCAACGAACGTCGGCCGCAGTGCGAGCCCAAACGACACAAGCCAACAGCAATGCGGGCGCCAACGCCCGTGCGTCCGGACATTGGTCCTCGAACGACGAAGGCCTGCTGCCGTACGCGATCAAGGGTGCGAATCTGACGGGAATCCCGGAGAGTTCGCGTCGAGAGATGGTCGACGACGACATTCAGCCGCAGGCTACGGCATTGCGACAGCTCTCCGACAGGTTCCCGCGCGGCCGTACGTGCGACGCGGGCGCCTCCCAGCGCCCGACAGCGCGCGACCGCCGCGCCCCGCGGACACGGCGCGCGCCCCGCCAGCGCTGCACGGCCCGGGTCCAGCCCGAGGCTGCCATGGAGCCGGGCGGCGTCGGTGCGCACCTGTACGGCTCCCCCGAGAAGAGGGACCTGAACCCGGTGGACTTGAGCTTGTTGTTCGTGTTGCCCGCGGGCTTGAATGCGATCGGGGCGACCGCGCCCTCCGCAGTCCCCGACTTGCCCACTCCGCGGTTGCGGCCGGGCCCGAGGTACTGCGGCTCGCTGAAGAAGCCGAACTGGCTCCCCATCTTGCCACCGCCGTCGTGAACTGCCGGGCCGCGCCACGCACGCCGCCCCTCGGGACCAGGGCGCGCGGTCCGGGGTCGGTTGCGGGTCGGGGGTTGTTGACGCAGGATGGTCGGACGCGTCACGGACGCCGCCGGGCTACGATGCGGTCGGGGCGGCGCGCCGCGGGGCAGTGGGGCTCGTGACGCAGTACCTGTGATCTGCCCGGGCGCGCGGCGTTGAAGCTGGGCGGTCTCTGCTACATAGGCGCCACTTGTAAGGAGGCAACCGCGGGTTGCTGGGCAGGCGGCGAGGATCCGCGTTGCCGAACCGGTCGGCCCAGTCAAGCAGCGCCGCAGTTCGCGCTCGCCTGCGCTGGGGATCCGTCGGCGCATCGCCTCGACACCAGACCTTCAGCCACAAGCTGCACTGAGATCGCGGGAGAGCCATGTCGAACCCGTTCAAGCCTGGCACAGGAGGCCTCTACGATGAGGATCCAGGCCAGGTGAGACACGGGCAGCGTGCGGCCAAACACGGACGGTGTGCTCGACACCACTTGGCGCGCACTCCGACGCGCCCAGCGCAACGAATCTGCGCCGGCGACGGGGCGAATCCGCCGGGGCCGCACAATCTCTGCGTGCTCCTGCAGCGCGTGACACGGTGCTGCCTGTCAGTGCACGCACTGCGCGTGGGGGGGCTCCGCGTGGCGCGCAGAGCCCCACTCGAGACGTTTCGTCCGCGTCTGGCGCCTCAGCTTGCCCCTGGGGCGTATTACCTTCAGGATACTGTCCGGAGACACTGTTCCTTGGTGACCGCGTTGTCACTGGCCTGCTGCGGCCGCAAGGCGCGCTGTCGCGGGCCTCGGCCCCCACTGCTGATCTTTGCTAGGCCGCGGCCCCCGCGTCCCGCGGACGTTCCCGACGCGCGGCACGTACATTCTGCACACGAGTCCACAGTCATGCAGGCCGTGCTAGGTCCGCCGCCTTCGCGCCCGGGGCGTGCGCGCCCAGGCCCTCAGGCAATTGCTCTCTGGATCGCCTGGCGGACGCCGCCTTCGCTTTGACGCGCCCTCACGACCCCACCCACCGCCCCTCCAACCTGCAGGGAGCGCCTCCGTCCGGTGCCTGGGGCGGAGCGCCCTCCGTCCCGCCAGCGGTGCGCCCGCTCCACCAACAACGACACGCTCAGCGACGCCCACCGCCGCCGCCCTCCCGCGCGCACGACGCCCACGCGCTCTTCGCCGTGCCGCCCTGCCTGCAGGCCCTCGAGGGACAGATCGCGCGGCCTCCGCCCCCGCCGCCCAAGAAGAAGGGCCTGTTCTCGCGCGGGGCACAGGACCCGCCCCCGCAGCCCCCCGTGGCGTCCGCGCCGCCCCCCGGCATGGTGCGCCCCCCGCCACCGCCAGCGCGCGCCGCCCCGCGGCCCGTCTCTGGCGCGCCCGCCTGCGACACCGCCTGCTGTGGCGCGTCCGAGTGCAGGACCGCGAGCAGTACCTGGCGCAGCGCGAGCAGCAGCTGAACCAGCGGGAGGCGGAGCTGGCGCGGCGCGAGCAGGAGATGCGTTCGTCGGGCTTCAAGAAGAACAACTGGCCGCTGTTCTGCCCCATCATCCGCCACAACATCAAGGAGGACATCCCCGAGGACTGCCGCCGCGTCGTGCGCCTCGGTAACACGCCCGCGCCCGCCCGCGCCCGCGCGCACGCCGCCGCCCGCGCCCGCGCCGCCCCGACCCCGCACCGCGCCCCGTGCGGCCGCAGGGTACCTGACGTACCTGGCGACGGTCGTCATGTGCGTGTACCAGTTCGTGGCGGTGTCGTGCGCGTTCGCGACCGAGGGCGGCGACGTGATCGACGACTGGTTCCTGTCCCTGATCGTCGGCGGCTTCACCATCCCGCTGTCGCTGCTGCTGTGGTACATTCGCCTGTACAACGCGTGCCTGAAGGGGTCCTCGCTGACCTTCATCGTCTTCTTCGTCTTCTACTTCGTGCACATCGTGTTCTGCGTCGTCATGGCCATCGCCCCGCCCATCCGCGGCGACGGCTTCTTCATGACGGGCTTCCTCTCCGCCATCAAGCTCCTCGACCGGGACGACGACAAGTGGGTCGGCGCCATCTACATCATCGGGGCCGCCCTCTGGTCGGTGCGTGCCCCGCGCCGCCCCGCGCCGCGCTCGCAGGACGCGGGCGACCGCGCGACGTGCCATGCTGACCTGCGGGGTTGTCCCACGAGTGCTCGCGCAGGGTCTCACCGCGGGCTGCGTGCTCGTGATGGGCATGGCGAACTCGACGTTCCGCGGTGCCGGCGGGACCGCGGCGGCGCGGCGGGAGGCCAACGCGCGCGCGGCGCGGGGCGCTGCGGACTACTACGCCAACAGCCAGGTGCAGATGCAGCCCACGGGCGGGGGCGGCGCCGCGAACTACGCGTAGGACGCCGACGGAGCCCAGTGTGACGCCGGGATCAACGCGACTCGGTCCTCGCGCAATGCACGACTCACAAACGCTGCGGGGCGCACCGCGCCGCGTCCAACGACCGTCTCAAGCCGTGCGAGGGCAGGTGCAGCTCGCTCATGCAACATGCGGTATTCCGCGAACAGCGGCGCGCCCCTACATGGGCGGGGGGTCCATGGACTTGAAGTAGGGGTGTTTCAGGGCCTCCTTCCCGGTGATGCGGCGGGCGGGGTCCATGTGGAGCAGCTTCGACATGAGGTCCAGCTCGACGGCGCCCATCTTGCCGCGGTAGCGCCGCTCGAGCGTGGTGGGGTTGCGCACGGGCTTGAACGCCGCGCCCTTGTTCTGCGGGTTGCAGTAGAACTGGCGCACGTGCTCCCCAATGGCGGTGCCGAGCATCTGCTGGATGCGGTGCATCTGGTCGACGTCCGAGTCGCCCGGGAAGAGCGGCTCGCCGTCCGTGAGCTCGCCCATGAGGCACCCGATGGCCCACATGTCGACGGCGGCGTCGTACGTGGGGCGCCACATCTGCCCGTTGTGCTGGCGGAAGGGCGGGCCCAGGAGCAGCTCGGGCGCGCGGTACCACCGCGTCGCGACGTAGTCCGTGAGCACGTCGCCCTTGCGCACGCGCCGCGCGAACCCGAAGTCGCACAGCTTGAGCCGCCCGTCGTTGTCGATGAGCAGGTTCTCGGGCTTGATGTCGCGGTAGATGATGCCCTGGCGGTGGATGAACTCGATCGCGCAGATGAGCTGGTACATCACGCTGCGCACCGTCGCGCGGTCGAGGTGCCCCGACGGCTGCGCCTCGAGCAGCTCCAGCACGTTGCGCGGCACGTACTCCATCGAGATGAACAGGCGGCTCGAGACCATGAACCCGTCGATGTAGCGCACCACGTTCGGGTGCTGCAGCATCCGCAGCAGCCGCACCTCCCGCAGCGCCGTCCGCCGCACCTCCGCCGCGTCCGGGTCCGTGTCGTCCACCTTGAACTCCTTGATGGCCACGTACACCCCGCTCTCGCGCGACCGACACTTCATCACCATCCCGTACGCCCCCTCCCCCACCATGTCCAGCATCTGGTACCGCTGCTTCAGCTCGTCCACCGTGATCGCCTCGGGCATCGCCGAGTCCTCCTCCAGCGCACGCGCCGAGGCCGCCGGGGCGGGGGCGGGCGCCGGGGCCGGGGCCGCCGGCGCCTGCGTGACCGACTTGCGCGAGTCCTTCGACTCCCGCGGCGTCGCCTGGCTCGACTCGCTCTTCGACGGCGTGTGCACCGTCGCCGCGGCCGCCGTGTGCTTCGGCGGGGCTGCGTGCTCCGCCCGTGGCGCCGGGACGACCGGCTTCGAGTCGGCCGTGGAGGCGGCGTCGTGGGCGCGGTGCGCCGCGGTGGTCGCCGCGGTGGTCGCCGCGGGCGCGGCGCGCGGCGCGGCCTGCATGGCCGCTGCGGCCCCCGCCGCCACCGGGGCGTGCTTCGACTCGCCCTGCGCGCGCTTCGCCGCGGCGCCTGTCGGCGACAGCGACGCCAGCGCGCCCGATCCCGTCGCCGCCTCCGTGCGCTGGATCGTCACGGGCGTCGGCCGCGTCGCCGGCGCCACGTCCGACGCCACCGACTCGTCGTCGTCCGACGCGAGCGCGCTGCCCCGGCGCGTCCGCTCCGCGTCGGCCGCGCGCGCCGGCGCGTCCGCGTCGCCCTCGCGGCCCGTCCGGAGCTTCTCGGGCGGCACCTTGACGCGCTCGCTCTCGCGGACCACCTTCTCCAGGGGCTGCGCCTGCGGGGCCGGGAGCGCCTCGACGACCTCGAGCGCGGAGGGCTCCGCGGCGAGGGGCCGCGTGAACTCGTTGAGGCGGCTCGCCGTCTTGTGGAGCGAGGACCCCGTCGCGCCGAAGCCCGCCACCGGGTCGTCGGTGCTGCTGTGCCGCGACGCGCCGCCCTCGTCGAACCGCCCGACCTCGTCCATCACGTGGTCCAGGTGCGCGCGCGACGCCTCGGGCGGGATCGACCCCTGCGCGTCGAGCCCGCCGTGCGCCCCCGCGCCGCGCCGCGCCCCGGCGTGCCCCTGCTGCGGGTCGCCCTTCCCGGCGTGGCTCGCGGGCTTCGTGGCGGGCGCGCCCTGCGTGCCCGCCGCGCCGCCGGCTGCGGCGGCTCCGCCTGCGCGCCCCAGCGCCCGCCCGCCGCGCCCTGCGCTGCGCCGGCGCCGGCTGCGACGTCCCCGCGCGCCGCGCCGCCGGGCCAGACAGCGGCAGGAGCTGCGGGCCCCCGCGCGGCGCCGCGTGGGCGTCCGGCGGCGGGGAGTTGCTCCGCGCCGCGCGGCTGGTGCTGGTCGCGTTGGCGTGGCCGTGGCCGTGGGCGTGGCCGTGGTGGTTGTTGCTGCTGTGCGAGAGGTGCATCTTCAGGTGCTGCACGAGCTGCTCGGTCGCGGTGGGGTGCCCGCGGTGGTCCAGGCCGTCGTCCGCGCCGGAGCTGGTCGCGCGGCTGCCGTACTGGCTCGCGCCGTGCGTCGTGCGCGCCGCGTGGCTGCTCCCTGCCGCGCCGTGGCTGGCGCGGCCGGGCGCGCGGTGCCCGCCCGGGGCCGCGGGGGGCGTGCGCCGCGCGACCATCCCCGCGGGCCCGACGTGCCGCCGCGCGTTCGCGGCCGCCGCGCCGTTGATCGTGCTGCGCCCGAACCCCCCGGCGCCCCCCTGGCTGTGCGCCGTGAAGCTCGTCGGGGTGTCGCGCGGGGAGAAGGACAGGTCCTCGCCCGCCGCGGTGTGCGCCGTCTTGCGGCTGCGCAGCACAGCGGGTCCCTGCGGGGCGGAGCGGGGCGGGCGCGCCGCGTGTGACGTGGCGCCGCGGCCCGGGACAGGTGGGGCGGGGGCGGGGCCCCACGGGCGCGCGCGGGGCGGGCGGCGTGCCTGGATCGAGCTGCGCGTCGCGTTGCCGTAGACCCCCTGGTGGTGCGTGTTCGTGGACGCGCCCTGCAGCGGGGGCCCGTGCCGCTGCCCGGCGCGCAGGAGCTTGGGGCCCTTGTTGACGGTAGTGCCTGGCAGGGCGCGGCGGCCCGCCTTGTGGCCGTGCGGGCCCTGCGCGAGGCCGGACGCGTCGCTGGGGGGCAGGAACTGCTGCTGGTAGCCCGAGCGGACGCCGTACACCCCGTGCGCGCCGTCCCCGCCGCGACTCCCAGGCCCGCCTGCCGGGTTGGACGAGGCGTGGCCGGCGGGCTGGCGGCCGCGGGCGTCGCGCGGGGTCAGCTGCGGGACCATGTGGTACGGGCTGTACCCGTAGTGGTCCGGGTGGGCCTCCTGGCCGTGCGAGGCGCGCTCGCCGGGCTGCTGCATTCGCAGGACAGCCTGCAGGCCCAGCGACCCGCCCCCGCGCGCGGCTCCCGCGGTGGGGAACAGCGGCGAGTGGCCCTTCGCGTCCAGGGAGATGCCGCGGTCCGCGTCGACGAACCTCCTCGCGTGCCCTGCAGCGAAGCGTGGCCCAACGCCTCTCAGCACCGGACTTAAGCTGCGCCCGTCCACCGGCGCGTCCGCACGGGCTCTCGGCGCTCCTCGGGGCGAGGGCTGCTCCGTCTGGGTGAACGGACGCGAGAGAGCAGGGCGCGCGGAGCGCCAGGCGCGCCCCGGCCGCGCCGCGCCCGTGCTGGCAACACTGGGGGCAGGGCGACTGCGCGGGAGCCATAGGCTCGCTTCCGGCGTGGCCGGGGCAGACGGGGCGGAGCACGTCACGTGCGGGGGCGGCGGGCTGCGCGGCGCGGGTCGCGGGGGTCGGGGGCCGCGCACCGGTGGCGGAGATGGAGTGGAGCTCTGCATCCGACAGGTGCGCCCCGCGCATGGCGCGCTCGTGCCCGTCACGGGCGGGTGCGCGGCGCACGGCGGCGGTGTTCACGGCTCTTGGCCAGGCGCGGCCGGCGGCCTCCCGGGCGCACGCAGCGTCCCCGGGGCCAGCAGGTGCGTGCTCAGCGCACGGCGAGGCGCGGCCGCGGTGCAGGCGCGCGACGGCGCCTGAGGGGGCTGTGCGCGCGCGCGATGAGGGGGTGGCGCGGTGCGCGGCGCGGCCCAAGGGGACTCGGCGTCCACGCTCCACGCGGGGGGGGACGCGCAGCTCTGGGCAACGTGCTCACGCGGCCGATCGGGCGGCCGAGAGGCGAGCGCGAGCGGCAAAGGCGCAAGCTCAGTTGTTTGTCGCTCAGACGGGGGCCCCAGCGAGGCCCGCTGCCAGCTTGTCGGGGAGACGCAGGCGCTCGGCGACTCGCAACGAGGTCGAGGCTGGGGCGCGTTTCTTCGACGGCGCCTATGACAACTCGCGAAGGCCGTGTTCTTCTCAGCCCGTTGTCCCGCCGCCGCCGCGTCGCCGCACGTGCGTCGGGTGGGGGGGAGGCACGTCGTAGTACAACAACTGAGGCACACGCTGCCAGCGAGCTCATACCACCCCGCGGCACCGCGTCCCTTCCCTGACACTTCGCTCCCCATGATACAGCGACACTTGCTGCGGAACACGCGCCGCACGCCCGAGACCGCGACGCAACGCGCCCCCCTCACATGGGTCGCATCCCCTGCCCGTGCACGCCACGTTGCCGGCGCGAGGCGTACGCACGCTCGTCGACGAACATCGTGTGGCTCATGCGGACGGTGCGGCGCTGTGAATCCGTGCGATTTCTTGCAGGAGCGGCGCTATGCATCGCGAGCACGTGCCATGGCATGTATCACGTGCGCTTCCTGCGCAGCCGAGAGCCGGAGCGCGGCCGTCAGCTGCGCCCAGGCCCGCGTGCACGCAGCGGATCAGCTCGGCCCGTCGCGACCGGGCGGCGGCCACCTCTCGCATGCATCGCGCCGTGACATTGCGCACGTGACCTCCCGAGCCCGTGTAGCCGCGGCGCGCGGTCGGACTCGTACCGCCGCCTCGGCGCGATCGGGCGCCGACGTACGCGCTGTGTGCGTGGTCTGACCGCTCCGTGCGCGGCCACTGCCTGGTGGTGTGTTGCTGGGGACCTCCCAGGGGGACTCCGCGCACCGGGGGGCGACGGTGCCGCGCTTCTTCCGCTCGAGCTGACACCAGGGCAGACAACTGCTCGCCATCTCCTCTGTTCTGACGACCTCAGGACACGGATCCGCCCGCGAGGCCTTCTTTCCCCTGCTGGTGTCACACAACGCTGAGACAGGCACGCGGATCTGGAAGCGCTCAGGGACTGATATCGTTCCTGCGCGGATCAACTAGGAAGTCTCATCTATTATCTAGCCAGTCGTGTCATGGCACGCGCCTGAGGCCCGCCATGGGTCCGTGCGGGCCGCAGTAGGGGAACAACACGCCTGCGGGGATGGAGCTGGAGCGTGGGACGCGGCGCGTCGATAGACACGTCTCGGACGTTGACCAACGTGTTGCTTGGGGTCCACTGGGGGTACAGGAGCGGCCACGGACCTCTCCACCAGGGAGCACCGATGCGTTTCTGCAGCCCAGGAAGAAGGGCCAGGCGAAGCGCGACGTGGTCTCGGGCGGCGACAAGTTCAACAGGCAGCTCGGAAGAGCAGCAGGTGTCGACAAGCGCGCGGGAGGGATCGGTCCGGTGCCTCAAGGGCCACCTATCGTGAGGTAACCACCACGCTGCAGTGGTGGACGGGCCCCGCACGCACGGGGGGGAACGTCCCTCCGAAGAGCATGCGACGCGGTAGCTCAGTCGAACCACTCCTCTATTGCGCGCTGAGGCCGCGCGTCCTCCTCGTGCTGATCGGCTGCGCAGGAGGCATCCAGCTGCGGCGGCGGATGTCACGCGGAGCAACTCGTGGTTCCGGCGGAAGGATCCGAACACGGCGCCAGACAACCGCAGAGGACAGGGCAACTACGACAACGAGCTCGCGGAGCACGCCGTCCGTTTCCGCGAGAAGTGGTGTACGCAGTGTCGGTGAGCTGCACCCCCCCCCGCGCGCTCCCACCCCCGGAGCCACGCCTCCCAGCCGGCGCGACCCGCCCCGCACTCGATCCGCGCCACCCGCAGCGACCTCCACGAGCCCGCCAAGGTCGGGGACCCCACGTGGCGGCCGTACACTGTGCGCGAGCGCATGACCAACCTCGGCATCCTCGTCTCCTCGTTCCGCGGGGAGTACGAGTCCGGCCGCCTGCCCGTCGAGCTCAAGGAGGCCTCGGGCATGATCCAGCCGCACGGCGGCAAGGCCGCGTCGCTCCCGTGGGAGGAGGTGGGCACGCGTGCGTCGGTGCAGGCGGAGCAGGCGCGGCCGGCCGAGGTGCGGTGGAAGGAAGGTCTGAAGCCCGCGACGATGCCCGAGGAGCGCTTCCGGTCGCTGCTCCCGCTGCTGGTCGACGGCTGCCGGGAGCAGCACGAGCCCTACCGGCACCTGGCGCTGCGTGCGACGGAGGAGCTGGCGGAGGCCGGGGCGCACCGCGGACTGCTGGCGGGCGTGATGCCGCAGATCGTGCACCGGCTGCGCCTCGCGGTCAACACGTTCGAGGTCTCGCACGTGTGCATGGTGATGCACCTGATGAAGATGTTTCTGAAACTGGTGCGTGGGGGGGCGCGACGGCGCATCCGTGCGCCTCGCACGATCCGCGAGATAGCGTTACGCGCCGCGCGGACCGATACGACATGGGGTGAGGCGGTGCTGTCAGGTTGGCTGTGCCCAGAGTGTATGTGTGCTGACTTGCCGGTCCGAGTTTCGCGTGCAGGCCGAGGTCGAGCCTGCGGTGGCGGCGGAGCTTCTCTCCGCGGTGCGTCAGACCTGTCCGGTGCTGCTCCTGTTCCGCAACAGCGCGAAGAAAGTCAAGGTGCCCCCCGTGGGCTGCCTGCCGCTCGCGGGCACCTTCTCGGGCCGCCCAGCGCCCCCGCCGCTCCCGGGCGACCCCCCGCGGACGTGCGGCGTGTGCGGCAAGCCCGTCGACCGCGTCCCGATGATCAAGGTGCGCGGGCGCTTCGACGAGCTGGGGCAGCCGCTGATGGTCAAGAAGACCATGGACCGCGTGGCCGAGGGGCGGCGGGGCGTGCGGACGTGGGCGATGGCGGAGCTGGTGCAGAGCACGTTCGAGGAGGCCATCGAGGTCATGGGGGCGCCGGCGCTGAAGGTCATCAAGTCCTACATTCCCACGTTTGAGTACATCCTGTGAACGGAGACGAAAATCAGCCGACGCGCCGATGCACGCAACGGAGACGAAGTGCTGCGCGGAGCGCGGAGCTACGCACGCATCGAACGTTACCATCACAACTGCATCGCCATCACCTCGAGCGACGGGGCCGCGCTGGCGACGCAATGCTGATGCAAGGCAGCTCGCGCTGCGTTGGATCCCACAGACGGCCGCGCGCGAGGGCCTCTCATTGCCCGCCCTCCGCGGCCGCCTTCTTCTTGGCTCTCCGCTTGGCGTTCTTCGCGGCCGACTTGCTCGTCGCCACCGGCTCAAAGCCCGGCACCACGCCCCCCACGCCGCTCGCGCGCGCGCGTGCGCCCGCGGCGGCCACCTTCCCGCCGATGTCGTCCTCGTCGTACGCGAGCGAGAACCCGCCCTTTTTCTGCGCTTGTGGCTGCACGCCCTGCTTCCGCAGGTGCGGCGGAACGTACCCCACGGCTCCCGCGCCGCCCGCCGGCGCGCCTGCCTTCGCCGCCGGGCCCCCGCCGCCGCCCGCGGCCTTGTCCTTCGCGGCCGCTTGCGGGGGAGTGAAGGGGCGCTCGGGAATCGTCCCCGCGGGCACCGGTTTCCAGCTGGCGTCGAGCATCTCCGCGAAGGCCTCGTGGTGCAGCATCTCGCCCTTGTACGACCACACGCGGAAGCCGTTGTCCACGCGCAGCCGCGGCGAGACGGTGATCGTGAGGAGGTGCCGCCCGTCGGGCGCCCACATGACGTCCGTCGAGTTCGGCGCCCGCATCTGCCCGATCGTCTTGCACTTGCCGTCCGCCTTGCGGTCGTACACGAACACGTCCCCGGGCAGGTTCCCGAACCCGGCCAGGCAGATCCACTTGCTGTACGGGTTCCAGCGCACGGTGTTGATCGGCATGGCCCCGAAGTCGAACAGCGCCTTGCAGCGCGCGTTGAACAGGATGGCCTTCGCGGGCATGAAGCCGTGCACGACCACGAAGTGCTCCCCCGACGGGCTCCACGCCACGTCGTACACGGGCCCCTCCTTGCCCAGCGGCACCGCGCCCTCGTCCGACCCGTCCGCCTGCATCATGTGGACCGTCTGCCGCCCGTAGTACGACTGGTTCGTGTTGTCCACGTCTGCGCTCGCGATCATGACCACCGCGGACCCCGTAGTCGACCAGAAGAAGGACATCTCCGTGGCGTTGAAGAACGACTTGCCCACCACCGCCGTCGGGTGCTCCTTCTTGTCCGCGCCCGCGTCCGGCAGGGACGCCACGCTGAACAGCGACGCGCGCGCGGGCGCGCCCTTCTTCTCGGGCACGAACGCCGCGACCATGGGCTCCCCGGGACCACCCTGCGGCACAACAAACCTTGTGCGGCCGCGCGTGGGCGGCGGCCCGCGAGGCGCGGCAGCGCGAGGGCGCGGGCGCGGCGGGGCGGGCGGGCGGGCGCGCACCTCGAGGGGGCTAGGGCTGAGCTTGAACCCGTTGACGTTGGGCAGCGGGAGCTTCTTGGAGATGGTGAGGGTGCCGTTGGAGACGGAGTGGACGTTGACGAGGTTGCTGACCATGTTGGCGGCGAGGGACTCGTCGCTGTTGAACTGGATCGCCGGCCACTGGGACTTGTGCATGGTGCGCTGGGACAGCTGCGGGGGCGCGTTGGCACACAGGCGCTCACCGGTCAGCAGCGCGTGGCGCGGGTGCGGTCGACGCGGCGGCGCGGCTGGCGGGAGTCGTGCGCTCTCACCGTGAGGACCTGCTGCTTCGACTTCAGGGACCAGAGCAGCAGGTTGCGCCCCTTGTCGGGGATGGCGTCGGGGCGCGACCATGTGGCGAGGAAGGTGTTCCTGGGCGAGAAGTGCAGGAAGGACGCGCCGGGGACCTCGAGCTCTGCACAGACGAGAGACCACGAGCGGGCTGGGCGCGCGCTGCTCCCGCCCGAGCGGCTGGGTGCGTGACTGGGATGGGACACAGCGGAGGCAGTTGTGCGGCTCTGTGGTGCGGCAGGCTCACGGCGCCGAGCGTGGGCTGCGGGAGGACGGGGCGGGGCGCGCCTGTGACGAGCGTGTCGTCCACGGCGTTGAACACCGTGACTTTGTCCGCCGACGCGATTGCCAGCAGGGACCCGTCCGAGCTGAACGCATATGCGCCGCCGTTGTGCACGAAGGCGCCTTCCTTGCAGTCTGGCGCACCGTCGAAGAACGAGAGCTCGTTCGGCCTCCTCGCTGCGTCGACGGGGCACCGCGGGCACGTGTGGAGCGCCGTGCATGGGGGAGCGTGGCTCTGTGCAAACTGCGCGGGGAAACAACGCACGGAAAAGACGCCCATCGTTCCAGGAGATCAGCAGGGGTCCATCGGACCACTCGCTGTCCTCGGTACGGGCCGTGCGCGCGCGCGGCTGGCGCGCCTTGCTGCCAAGGGAGAGCATGAGCGGCGGCGCAACCCTCGTGGTGCGCGAAAGCGGCGGTTCGTCACCCTCAGGTCAAGTCCCAGAGGTGATGTGGAGGATTCAAGGACTCCGGCAACCTTGAATGCGGCCGTGCGTGCCGCCGAGGGCCAGGATGTGCGAGGATCCCTTGCAAGGAATGTGCGCGGGGCAGGCAACAACAGTGCCCATCTCTTGCCCCCTAGTGCGGTGGATGACTGTGGCCTTCCATCGTTGCGCAGAAACGGTCGTTCTTGCGTTTGACAGGGCCTCACCGAGCACTCGCAACCTGGCTTGCGCGGACATGACGTTCCGAGGGCGACCGGAGCACTCGCGACGCGAACCCCTCCCTCGTCGGTCCACTGCTCCAATCAAGCGCCAGCCCTCAGGTCGGAACGGCAAAGGGGGGCCTTCGCATGCGAGCGGCGACGAGTCTTACTTGACCGCGGACGCAAGACACAGCGCCGCGGCGTGGTGCGCCGGCAGCGGGACATGTGCACGCTGCGCGCGGCTGCGCTGTACTGTGTACTCTACCGAGGTCTCGTGGCACGTCGGCTTGCGTGATCCCGTGCGGTGAATTCTCCGAGAGAGTGACCGGTGCTGTTGTGTGGTCGAGCTGGATCGGGACGGATTTCAAGCGGCGCCTTTCCCTGGCCAGCCCCTCGGACTCTGGTAGAACTTCGGTCCTGGACTTCGCTAGCGTGCCTCGAGGGCCGCTCCGTCGCGTTCCCCGCGGCAACTGTACTTGGCGCCGAAACCGCGGTGGGCCAGCGCGTCCCCCCGTCCCGGGCGGTCCAGAGCAGCGCCGCGGCCTGCCCTCCGTCCGCCCTTCGCGCCCCGGTGCCCAACATGGGTGCCTGAGGCCCCGCAGCAGCGTTCCCGCGGCGGTCCCTCGCAGTCAGCGGGCACAGGCGCGCTGAGCGCCCGGCCTCGCGGCCATGGCGTCGCTGGACGGAGAGCTGTTCTGGACCGCCGCGCAGCCCATCGTCAAGGTGGTGCTGCTGTGCGGCGTCGGCGCCGTTGCCGCCAGGAGGGGCCTGCTGCCCCCCGAGATGCGGCGCTACCTGAGCGCGCTGATTTTCAACATCTTCATCCCCTGTCTCCTCTTCGACTCCCTGGTGCCCGTCATCGACACAGGCACGCGCCCCCCCCGCACCGCGCCCCCGCCAGGCCCTCCGCGCACACCACCTGCACTTTCCCCCGCGCGGCGCCCGCCTCCGTCCCGTCACGGACGCCGACCGCGGCGGGCGCGCCCGCTCGCCACCACGGCGGCGCTCACGCGGCCGCGCCGCCCCTCCCCGCAGAGAGCGTGCGCGACTGGTGGCCCCTCCTGCTGTGCATCCTCCTCGCGGTGGTGACGGGGTTCGGGGTCGGCTGGCTGGTGGGGCTGTGCACGCGGTGCCCCAAACACCTCCGGCGAGTGCTCGTCGCCGCAGTAGGTGCGTTCCCCCTCGATCGAACGCGCACGCCGCGCCGGAGCCTCTCACATAATGTGCCTGCATCCCCTAGCTAATCGTTCGCGGCGCCGCGCGTCGCCCTGCAGGCCTCGCGAACGTCGGGAACCTCCCTCTCGTGCTGATAGAGGAGCTCGGGCGCGACGAGGAGTCCCCGCTCGCCGGCCTCGGGCGCCGCGGGCTGGGCTACGTGGGGGTGACGCTGGCGCTGGCCACGCTCTCGCACTTCCTGCTCGGGTACCAGCTCCTCAAGCCGCGGCCCGGGGAGCGGATCGGGGGCGGGCAGGGCCCGTCGCAGGCGGCGAGCGTCCGCCGCCCGGGCGGCGACGAGGGGGCCAGTCCGAAGCGGCGTGCGTCGGACCCGGGCGCGGAGCACTCGAGCCAGAGCACGGAGTCGCTCGGGCGCGCGGTCGACGCGGCGGCGCAGCGCGCGGGGTCGCAGCACAAGCCGGAGCACGCGGAGGCGGAGCGGGCGAACAGCGCGCACGTGTCGGTGAGCCCCCCCGCGGCGGCGAAGAAGGCGGGGGGGCTCGGGGCCGGGCTGACGCGGCTGTTCACGCAGCTGGGCGGGCACTGGCCGTCGCAGAATAGCCTGACCGCCTCGGGCGACGAGGAGGCGCGGGCGCCGCGGGGGGCGTCGCGGCTGGTGCGCGCGTGGGCGTGGTGGGGGGCGGTGGCGCAGCGCTGGCACCTGAAGGAGGTGTTCACGCCGCCGACGGTGGCGACGCTCCTGTCGTTCGTGGTCGGGTTCGCGGAGCCCGTGAAGTGGGAGTTTTTCCGCAAGCCGGGCAGCGACAACGACCCGGCGCTCAAGGTGGTGACGTCGGCGGTGCGGTCGCTGGGGCAGGCGGCGATCCCGTCGATGATGGTGGTGCTGGGGTCGAACATCCAGAACGGCCCCCCGCGGGAGTGCGAGCTGTCGTGGTACACGGTGCTGGCGACGCTGGTCTGCAAGCTGGTGCTGCTGCCCGGGGTGGGGGTGCTGCTGGTGTACGGGGGGTACAGCGTGGGGGCGTTCAAGGCGCCGGACCCGGCGTTCCTGTTCGTCATGTTCATCACGTGGTCGATGCCCAGCGCCATCAACCTCCAGACCATGAGCAACATGTCGGGCTACGCGGTGGCCGAACTGAGCACGCTGCTCTTCTGGCAGTACGTCGCGTGCATCGCCGTGCTCCCGCCCTTCCTCACCCTGTACCTGTCGCTCTCGGACGAGGTCGCGGTCTCGGAGAGCTGACCCTGTCATCACCGCAGCAGCGGCGCCCTGTGGCACGGGACAAGCGCAAGGGCCTCCGCCGCGACCGCTCCGGTCGCGCAGACGGCGTCCGAGACCAAACGGCTAGTGTCTGGCATGAAGATCTGTGCATGGTATTACCCTACGAGCGTATGCTGTTGAGCAACGTCGATTCCGGCGCATGTGATGTCCACCTGCTGACTGGACGAGGCGAGGGCTGCGACGGCGCTCTGTATACTGCGCACCTGCTCCTGCAAGGAGGCCGCTCGCGAGGGTGCTGCGTGCATTACCGGGAGCGACCGCCGAACAGCCCCTGCTAGCATGTCGCACGCACCCATCCCGAGCGGCAGTGGACCGACTCGCCGCGCATCGCCGTGGCCCCCGCGACGCGACCGCGCGTCTCCAGGAGCACACTGTTCCGCGCCTGGCCAGCGCACATGCAGCGACGCACACGCACGACATGCGTCTCCAGGTGGCCCCGTTGCCTCCGTCGCAGGGCCACGTCGGCCCTCTCGCGGGCCGAGAGGCCCTGCAGACGGGCGTCTGGCTGTGCGTCACAGGGGCTCCGATCGCTAGCTGGAGCTGACGTACCCGCTGTTGTCGATGAGAGCACCGTCTGATGTTTCCACGAGCACCGTCACGGGGCCATCGTTCTCCAGGGACACGCCCATCATGGCCCCGAACACGCCGTCCTTGACCCTGCAGCGCGCTTCGTAGCACCAAGGCAGCCTCGTCGCCGCCCGACCGCACAGCGACGCACCACCTTGGCAGCGAGGCAGGCAGCGCTTGCGCGTGGCTGCCCGCGCCCTCGCACCTGTCTGGGCTGTACGCCTTCCGCACGCGCTCCACCAGCCCCTCGTAGACCTCCTTCGCCTCCGCGGGCCCCTTGCTGCGGGAGAAGTCGCACTTGTTGCCCTTCAACCTCCCGTACAGCGTGAAGTTGCTCACCATGAGCAGCTCGTAGCCCATCTGCGGCGCGCTCTGGTCCCACGGCCGGCCGCTCTCCGGGTTCTGCCAGATCCGCATGCCGAGCAGCTTCCTGCACGTGGCAGCACCGCACAGCGAAGTCAGGAACAACAGGCGATGATGATAGCAGGGGGGGGCTCCGCTGACGTGGCGCAAGCGCAGCGCTCCCGGAGCCCGTTGCTTCGGCCGGCTGTTCGCGTGACGTTCCAGCCCCGGGCGCACTCGCCTCGCTATCGTCTCGCTGTCCTTGTCGCCGTCGCTGGCAGAGATGCCCACCAGACAGAGCAGGCCAGGCCCGATGCGCGACACGATTTCTCCATCTATCTCGACCGCTGCATGCTTGACCCGCTGCACGACGACGCGCATCCCGAAACGACCTCTCTTCGGGGCACGGCGAGCGAGACTCTGTCCAGCCAAAAGACCACGCGTTTGAGTCAGTATTCCGCTATGATTTGTTCTGAAGAACGCGATGTGGCCCTGCTGAAGAATGAACGTCGTCCCGCTGGGCTCGCTCTATCGTCTGGGGCTCCGTCGGGCTCCCTTGGGAGGTGTTTCTCTTGGTTCCCCCCAGGTGCTTGCATCAGCATTAGGCCCCATGGCCTGGTCCCGAGTCGCACGCGGTCGACTTTCAAACCGACACGCCGCGTTGGGCGGACTGCATTCTATCAAAACTTTGTGATCTAGCTGAGCAGGTTTCGTCCGCGGTTTCGCCGCGGTTTGCGCGAGCGAGCGTCACGCACTCAGCGCCGCAGCCAGCAACCTGCGGGCACAGCTCCGTGGCCCACATCAGGCCGCTGGTGTCCCACGACCCCACAAAGTTTCGCGGCGTGCCCCTCGCACTGTGCGCAAGGCCACGGCGTTCGGGATCGCGACGCCGCGCGGCCAAACCTGAGCCTCAGGCTCCACGCGCGCTGCGCCGAGCGGCCCCGCGCGCACGGGCCTCCTGGATCGCATGCACGGCTCGCCATGTCACAGCAGCCTCAAGCTGTGGGGCCCGGATCGCGGCTCACCGTAAAGATGCCGGACGCGACGGGCCGTCCCTCCCTGCGCTGCGCTGTCCTCGTTCGCGCCGTCCCTTCCGGGCCTGACGGCCTTTCTAAGGTGGCAATACGTCACAAAGTTTCGGGGGGATGGTCCAACGTGTACAACGTGTACGCGGCGCAGTGCTCGCCGGAGCTGCGGGTCGGGCAAGCAGTGTTGCTTGGTGACTTCCTCCCGCACGCCTGCGGGAGGTTCAGACATTCAATCCCGGACTCATTGTCCCGAGGTGACTTGTGACCTTCATACACGACCGGGAGTCTGCAGAACGGGGCCAGAAACGCCCGTGGCGGGCGCGGGAACGCGGACAGAGCTGAGCATGGATTGTGGCGGCCACGCGGGTGGCCAGAGGGGGCGCCGCGGATACGGCGTGACAGCGCTGCGACGGCAAGAAACTTTCCAACCAATGGAGACCATCCACAGTCGGCAGTGTGCGCCCTGCACCGCCGGGGGCGGGCTTGTGTGGCGGCGCCCCGAAACACGCTGTGTGCGCCGCCCCTGGGCAGCTGGGACCGAAGCGAGCATGGTGAGGCCGCGCGGGTCGCTGCCAAGGTCCTCGGCAAGCCGATGTGCGCGGTCGCGGGCGAGACGGCGACACTCGATTTCGGCCGATCGACGCGAGTGGGGACCATGATTTAGGTAGGGAGTGGGGCATAATGAGGGCTCTGGGTGCCTGGCGGCGGCGTGATACCGCGCGCCGCGTCAGAACACGAGCACTCTCTCTTGTCGTCGCATCTCGAGGAACCGCGTGCGAGCTGGAGCCCTGCACGCCTTTCGACGGAGCGCTTGCTGAAGTGTGCGGCAACAGCGCTCTCGTGGTTTCTCCAACGCGCCCAGCGCGGGTTTCCCATAGCTCCGCGTGTTCAGCTACGAGCTTGAAATTGCCACGCCGCGCGAGCGGCTGTTTCGTAGATGGCTGTGCGGGGGATTCGATCTAGTGCCTGAGAAGGTTCCCTCTTGGGCTGAAGGATGTTCGCTTCCGGGTATGTAGGCTCCAGCAAGGACATAGAGAAGCAGAAGAAGCTGGAGAAGCAGTCCGCGGCGTCGAGACAGGCGTTTCAGGATGCCAAGGACGGGGTGCAACATGGCCAGCACGTCCCATGTCAGTGCGACTACCCCCGTGATTGCTGCGATGCGCTCCTGCACCGCGGTGCTCGTGATCGCCGTGAGGATCGCGGAGGGCGCGCTGACCGGGTGTTTCCTCGCGTCCGTCGCCCGGTGTGCAGCGGGGGAGGTGACGAAGTTCAACACCTCGGCGAGCATCGAGCAAGCGGACGCGGCCTTCCGCAACGAGACGGTCGGGCTCGTGACCAAGGAGCAGTTCATCGCCAAGCGCGACACCATCGCGGACCGCCTTGCCGCGCGGGAGGCCGAGCGGAAGGCCCAGGAGGCGGACGACAAGAAGCGGGCGCAGGAGCGGCGGCGGAAGGAGCGGGAGAAGCGGCTGGCGCAGCAGAAGCTCTCGTTCCTGGATGAGGAGGACGCGGAGGACGTCGACGCGCCCCCCGCCGCGCGCCCCCCGTCGGGCGCGCCCCCCCTGAAGCGGTCGCGCGTGGCCAAGGACCCGACGATCGACACGAAGTTCCTGCCGGACAAGGCGCGCGAGGAGGAGGAGCGGCGGCTGCGCGAGGAGCTGCGGGAGCGGTGGCGGCGGGAGCAGGAGGCGCGGAAGGCGGAGAGGCTGGACGTGGTGTACTCGTACTGGGACGGGACGGGGCACCGGCGCAAGGTGCAGGTCCGGAAGGGCGACACGATCGGGCGCTTCCTGAAGCTGGTGCAGGAGCAGCTGTCGCAGGAGTTCCGCGCGATGAAAACGGCGCACAGCTCCGACATGCTGTACGTCAAGGAGGACTACATCATGCCGCACGACGTGACCTTCCACGACCTGATCGAGAACAAGGTGCAGGGGCGCTCGGGGCCGCTGTTCGCGTTCAACGCGTCGAACGAGGGCGCGCGCGCCGCGGACGTGGCGGCGGCCGCCGCGCAGCAGGAGAGCCACGCGGGCAAGGTCGTGGAGCGGCACTGGTACGACAAGAACAAACACATCTTCCCGGCCTCGCGATGGACGCTCTTCGAGAAGGACCGCCACCTCCCGCACCTCGTCCGCGAGTAGCAGCGGGCCTGTGACGCACTCGTGTGTGACGCGTGGCGTGAGGGGACGCTTCACTCGCCCGGGTCTATCTTCGTCTGCTCAGGTCCCCCGGCTCGTCGGCCCCACCGTGCCCCGCGCCGGCCCCGACCGGCCCCACCACGCGGCCCCACCCCGCCCGCGCCGCCCCCCACGCGCGGTCGGCCGCCGCCCGCGCCGCCTCCCACGTGTCCTCCTCGTGCGCCGCCACCATGAGCGCGTCCCACCACCGCCGCAGCGCCCACCGCGCCGCCCACCGCGCCTCCTCGTGCCCCGGCTCCTCCTGTATGTATATCATCAGCTGCCGCCACAGCCACCGCGGGTGCAGCATCCCGCGCGCCTCCTCCCACGTCAGGTCCGCCGACGCACACCGCTCCAGCCGCTCGCGGTCCGTCCTCGGCGCCCGCAGCGCCGGACCCTCCCCGTCGCCTGGCGCGCGCTGCTCCGCCACGTCGGCGTCGCGCAGGCCGATCGCGGACCGCAGCTCCGGCCGCAGCATGCGCGGGCTCACGCCGCCGCCCGTCGCGAGCGCCCCGCGCACTCCCCCCCCCGTCAGACCCAGGGACGCCGCGGCCTCCTTGTACGCCAGCTCCCGCCGCACGCCGTCGATCTTCGCGAGCAGCGCGCGCCGGACGATGTTCAGCCGCGACTGCGGGTGCTCCTCGACTGCGTCCGCGATGCCGGACTCGTCCGGGGAATCGGCGCTCTGCACGGCGCGGCAGGGAGGGAGGTGTTTTGTTGGCGTTGCTGGGGGGCTCGCTGTGCGTCGGTCGCGGGGGGCAGCGAGGCGGACGCCCCGCCGCAACGGGGTGGTGGAGCTGCGTACGCGGGGTGCACACCTCGATGACGCGCTGCAGGCGGCGCTCCATGCCCCAGGCGTGGAAGCGGCGGCGGCGCCACCACTCGTGGTCGGCGAGCCAGAGGATGACCCACGCCGGGAAGGGCAGAATGACCAGCCACAGCACGGTCTGCTCCCAGCCGCGCGCTCGCTGTGCGTACGACGCGAACCTGCGACCGCACCGAGCTTGCCACGGGCCAGTTGGTTGCAGGTCGCCGAGCGCGCGCAAGCGGAGAGAACGAGTCGGCGACTGTCGAACGCGAGCGACTGCTGACGACCGCATCAACCTGGTGCATCCCGGCGCAGCGCTCTTGCCCGGGCCAGGCGCCGGCGAGCTCATCATCATCAGCGGGGCTTGCCTCGGGTCGTTCATGATCTCCCACGACGCCTGCAGCCTCTCCCACGTCGTTCCCTGGTCGAGCCTTCGCTTCGCCGCCTCGACCTGCTCCCTGGCCGGCGATACCCGGGCGCCACGCCCCCCCGTGACCGACCTCAATGCAGACGTTGCAACGCACCGTCCATCGACGCGCCCGGACCAAACGCTCCCGTGCTGCGCGCTCTCGAATGACACATCACCGATACGTGCGATGACGCGCGCGAACGCGGGGCTGCGCGCGTGCCGACCGCTGCACGCCATCGTTCCTACCAGGGCCCCTCCTGCAGCCGGCACACGGCCATGACGCGCTATGCGGCCGCCAGTCGGGCACGTCCCTGCCTTGACACGTGCCGGGAGCGCGCAGCTGCCTGCGGCGAGCGTTCCGCGCGCTCCAAGAGGCGCGGCGTGTCCTGGCAGGACTGTGTGACCCAGAGGCCTCCGGACCGCACTCCTCCCCCTCGGGGCCGTGCGCGCGTGGGCGCGCTACATGCACGGGGGTCCTGCGGCCCCGGTCGCACTCCCAGCTACCCAAGTGCTCCTGGTTCACACACAGGTGCGACGAGTGGACCAGTGGTGCCGCTTCCCTGCAGGGCCCACTCGAGGCCTGGGCATCGATGGCGGTGGCATGTGGACCCACACGCCCCCCGCGCTGTGCGCATGTTGCGAGCACGAGCCGCGCCGGGGACGCGTCGCGCTCCGCCGCGTGCGAGCGGCGGGGCACCCTCACCTCATTGCGTCTCAGCGCCACATCGTCGCGTGCGACGTTGATGCAGGACAACTTCGCGGATTCCACGCCCTTTCGGGACACCAAGTTTCTGAACACCCTTCAAGATGGGGCAGATGTGGTCGTGCGTCCCTAACCAGGAGGTCCGTGCGCGCACCACACCGCCACGACAGCACCTCTCGTCTCGCCGCGCGGCCTCGCGCGGTGCAGTCGATTTCTACCCCACATCTCCTCCGCATACTGCATCCAAACGCCACCTTCTGCGTCATTAGACCTCGCGGGGACGATATTTTCCCTCCGCGGCCCATTCGCTGTTGAGCCCAACCACTTCGCGCCGATGGCCGGCATACCCGGGTCGGTAGCGCGATTCTACCCGTCAGCAGGGGGTCATTTCGCACCTGAAGCGCGCATTCTTCGCTGCCAGGATTTCCGCCGCGGCGATCCGCCCTCCGCGGCCCACGGCACCGCCCGCCCGCGTGTTGCACGTCGCACCTCCCCGGAGCGCGCCGCGCCGGCCAGTCCTTCGCACCACCAGCAGGCGCACGCGCTCCCGTCTCGCCACGCCGCGCGAGAGCGAGATCCGCGCCGGCGGACCCGCCGCCGCCAGCTCACCGCCGCGCCTGAACGTGCCCGCGGTCCTCGACGGCCCACACCGCCCGGCGCCCGCCCCGCGCCCGCTCGTGCAGATCCAGTTCGTGGAGCGGTGCGGCAAGTTCAACCGCACGGCGGGCCCCGGCTTCAACTGCGTGTGCTGCCTCCTGGGGTACACCGTGCGCGGGTCCATCTCGATGCGCGTGCAGCAGCTGGACGTGCGCTGCGAGACCAAGACGCAGGACAACGTGTTCGTGTCCGTCGTCGTGTCCGTCCAGTACCAGGTCATCAACGAGAACCTGTACGACGCGTTCTACCGCCTGACAGACCCCCGCACGCAGATCACCGCCTACGTGTTCGACGTCGTGCGCGCCACCGTGCCCAAGATGACGCTCGACAACGTGTTCGTCGCCAAGGAGGAGATCGCCAACGACGTCAAGGTGCGACCCGCCCCCCGACCACACACACACACACGCGCACCCGCCCAGCCACCGCGCGCCCCGCCCCCCGCGCGCCCACGCCCCCGACCGCGACCTGCACACGCCCCCGCAGGAGGAGCTGTCCAAGACGATGACCGGGTACGGGTACAACATCATCAAGACGCTCGTGACCGACATCGAGCCCGACCACAAGGTCCGCACCGCGATGAACGAGATCAACGCCGCGCAGCGCCTGCGCGTCGCCGCCGTCGAGAAGGCCGAGGCCGAGAAGGTCCGCGTCGTCAAGGCCGCCGAGGCCGACGCAGGTGCGCCACTCTCCCCCCATGGCCTCCCACCCTGCGCTGCACATGGTACCGCCGGCGCCCCTCCGCCGCCCGCGTCCCGACCGCTCGAGTAACCTCTACGTACCCCGCGCTTTCCCCGGTCGCAGAGGCCAAGTTCCTCGCGGGGCAGGGTATCGCGCGTCAGCGCCAGGCCATCATCGCGGGTCTGCGCGAGTCGGTCGTGGGCTTCCAGGAGCACGTCACGGAGGTCGGGTCGCGCGAGGTGATCGAGCTGATGGTCCTGACGCAGTACATGGACACCCTGAAGGACCTGGGGAACAACAGCAACACGCAGACCATCTTCATGCCGCACAACCCGGGAGGCCTCGCCGACGTGGCCTCCCAGGTGCGCACGGGCATGCTCGAGGCGCAGGCGATGAAGCGCTAGGCGACTGCGCCGCGCGTTCGGGAGCGGGCGAGGCCAAACCCGCCAGCACGCACCGTTGCTGGGGCGCGTGTGACGAACGATTGTGCGGACTAGTACTTTGCTGACCTACAAGCGGACTGGCAGGGGGATGGAGGTGCGTCAGGGGGGTCGGCGGCTGCGCCTGAGCGATCGTGACCGGGCAGACCGCGCGTTGCGAGGGAACGATCGTCACGTGAGACCGTGCCGCCCCTCCGGTCACGCCTCGCGCCGGACGACGCACCTCGTGCTCTGCGGTGTGTCACAAGGGCCCGCGTGTCGCCGAGCGACGCCTCGGCAACAGGCCGCGAGGGGCAGACTATGGAAAAAAAACGTCCGCGGGGGCGTGGTCACTGGCGAGGTGGCTTGCGCGTCGCGTGCGGACGCTCGGCACGGTCCCGCCGGCCGTGGTTGTGTTTCCGCCTCGCGAACTGCTCGAGCCGCTCCCCCAGGCCCTGCCGCAGGTCCCCTTGACCCCCCTCCTTGTTCTTGACCTTCTTCACCTTGCCTCGGTCGTACTCCTCCTCCCACTCGTCGTACGCGCGCGTGCGCTTGCTCTTGCGCTTCGTTCGGACCACGTCCCGCTGCGCCGCGCCCGTGCCGCGCCCGCCGTCCCACCCCGCAGCCGCTGCGGGCCGCGCCGCCATGCCCACCGCCGCCGCACCAGACGCCACGACGCGCGCGGGCTTCCGCTCCGCCTCGTCGTCGTCGCCGCCGCCGCCGGTCGGCTCCTCCCGCGCGCCGGCGTCGAGGGTCGACAGCACCTCCCGGGCCCGCGCCCGCGTGAGCACCGCGCGCGGCGCCCCCGTGGGCGAGGCGTGCTTCCCGGTGCCCTGGACGGCGCGCAGCACGCGCAGCGAGCCCTCGAGGTCGCCGCGCCGCCCGGCCGCGCGCAGGGCCCGGAGGTGGCCCGTGCGGCGGACCCAGCTGGCGAGCACCTGCAGGATGCGCTGGTGCCCCGCGCGGTAGAGGCGCGTGACGGAGGAGCTGCTAGCGGAAAGACGGGCGGCGGTATGGGTCGGAGACGCGGCTCGACTGCCGCGTAGCGAGGCGCGCGGCAGTGAGACGGTTGGAGGGGTTGGCCGTGGGTGCGTCGCCGCGGGCGGGCGAGGACGCGCTGGGGATGCGGACGGGCCGTCCTGGTCGAGGGGGGGGCGGTTGCCCGTCGCGGGCAAGTCGGCAGCTGGGGGTGTTTTGCCAACTCGAACCCCACCCCCCCCCTCCCAGTTTTTTGACGACAGGCGCTGCGTCAGCTGGCCCTCGCGCGACGGCGACGGCGGCAGGCCGTCCTTGATCCGGCTCGCGTGCGCGCGCAGCTTCGTCGCGCCGGCCGAGCGCTCCGCCGCGGGCTCGTCGCTGCCGCCCGTCCCGCGTCGCGACGGCCCCTGGGCCACCGCCGTCGCCGCCGCCTCCCGCCGCGACCCCACGGTGGCGTGGCTCGCCGCCGGCACCGCGCTGTACGTGGCGGTGACCGCGGGGAGCCCGCCGTGCCCGCCCATGGGCAGCGTCGCGCCGTGCCGCGACGTGGGCGTGTCGGGCACGTCCTCGCTGGTGCGGCGCGACAGCGGCGTCTCGAGCGTCGGGCGGGCGTGCGTGCCCTCGGGGGAGCGCTTGCGGTAGAAGAGGATGTACGCGCGCTGCGACATGGCCTGCGCGGTGCTCACGGGCGACACGTCGCCGTCGTCGCAGCAGTACCACTGTCCCCCGGGGGCCTTGACGTACGAGTAGTAGTGCCCCGAGTTCATGCTCGACCCCGCGTGCACGAGCACCGCGTACAGGTCGTACCACTGCGGCGTCCGCGACGCCCCCGTCGTGTACGCCGCCATGTCGAGCGCGTCCTCGTACTCGACCGCGCGCCCAATCTTGGACCCGAACCCCCCGAACGCGAACCGCTTGAGGTGCAGCGTGAGCACCAGCGGGAGGCGGTCGATGCGCAGCGAGCGCACCGCGCGGACCTTGGTCTTCTGCTTCGGGCAGATGTACCGGTTGTCGCCGTCGAGGGTCTCGCCGCGCACAAAGTGCTGCAGCGCGCGCGCGACGCCGCCCGCGCGCGGGATCTCGAGCGAGATGTCCATGCACGGGTCGTACGTGTTGCTCTCGTACCCGCAGTCGCAGCACTTGACCTGGCTCCGCAGCCGCCCGCCGAAGATGCGACTGACAAAGGTGGTGTCCTGCACGCGCTGCGGGAGCGGCTTCGGGCGCAGGCCGCGGATGCACGCCTCGTGCAGCTGGTCGAGCAGGCAGCGCAGGAACTCGTGGCTGTCCTCCTGCCGCCCGAGCCGGAACGACTTGGAGATGGCGCGCAGGTTGTGCGCAAACTGCGCCGGCTTGATGACGCGGCGGCCCGCGGCGCCGAGCGCGTTGCGCACGTGCGCGCGCAGCGCCCCGATGACGTCGAACTTGCCGTCGCGGAGGTGGCTGCGGCCGTTGCTCGAGTCCGACGACGCCGAGCCCGGCCGGCTCCCCGGGCGCAGCGGCGCCGACGACAGGCACATCTCGGCCAGGGGCGCCGTGTGCGCGAGCGCCTGGAGGACCGCGTTCATGAAGCACGTGTTCCCGAGGTTGTAGTACCTGCGGCGGCGGGAGCGCGGCGGCGCGGGCGCGCGATTGCGATGGCGCCGCGCGCGAGGGCGAGAGCGCGTGCAGGGACGACGCAGGGCCCCCCGTCGCGCGGCCGGCGGGGGGCGCTCGCCCGGCGCAGGGGCGCTCGGGAGGCAACGCGCGGCGCGAGCCGGCGCCGGGAAGCGGCGCGCGTCTGCGCGGCGTGCGTGGGTGCCAGGCAGCTGAGGGACACAGGTGGACCGGCGCGTCGGGCGCGCACGGCGCGGCGCGCGCGGTCGCGGGGGCCGCGGGCGGCTGCGCACGCGGGCAGGGCGGCGGCGCGCACCCGGCGCCCACGGAGCGCTGCTTGGACCACTTGGTGGGGATGTCCTCGGGGCGCGACAGGACGAGGTCCTCGCCCTCGGCCGGCTTGGAGCTGTGCTGCCGGACGGCCTTGCCCGGCGGGGTCGCGAGCTGCGGGGGGTCGCGGCGGGGGCGCGCCGGCGGGGCCGCGGTGAGCACGCCGCACGCGGGGCGGGGTCAATGGTCGGCTCGCTGGGGGCACCGACGGCGGTGCGCACGCGTGCGCGGGCCGCGAGCGCGCCCGCCGCCCCGGCAAGGCGCTTATCGTTCGGTTAGGCGGAAATGCAGACGCGGCAGGGCCGCGCGCGGCGGCCATATGCGCCGCGCGACGGCGACTAACCCTGGGCAAGTGTTGCGGGCGTCGCGCACCACGGACTGGTTCAGCTGCCGCGCGCCGATCCTATCCAGCTGCCTGTGGTCGTCATCGAGCCCCAGGCGCTTCGAGCTGACGTACTTGATCGGCCTGTACGCCGCGCTGTAGCTGCTGCTCATGGCGCCCGCAGCCGTCCCGCGCACCGGGGCGTCGCCCGCGCCACCGCGCCGCGCCCCGCGTGCTGCCCGACGTGTTCAACGACCGCGCGCACCCCACGACGCCGTGCGCCTCCTGGTGCGCGCAGCACCGCCCACCTCCTTGCAGCGGGGGGGAAAGTGCGCGCCAGCGTGTCGCGCAGATCGTATCGACGGCCCAGCGACGTGCGCGGTAGTGCGCGAGGGCCGGCCGGGCGCCGGGCATCCGCGCCCGCGACCGCTGGCGCCCCTCGGTCGTCGACCCCCCCGCGCTGTCGACCCGCGTGCCAGGCCGGGCCTGCGCCGCGTCGCGCGGGCCCTGAAGGCCGCGCCGGGGAGCCCAGCCCGCGCACAGCAGCAGTGCAGCCGCTGCCTTCCCCGTCGCAGCTCCGCACCGTCCGCGCGCGGCGTCCGTGGCTCGAGGCACGCGGCGCCCACGGCTTGCGCCCCGGCATCGCGCGATGGGGGCCGCGGAGGCGGCGGTCGCGGCGGCGCGCGACGCCGGCGCTGCGATGGGGTTCGACCTGGTGGAGCCGGCCGACCTTGACCGGTACAACGCGGCCTGCGCGGAGCGAGGCACCCCGGCCATGGTGGCCCCGCGCGGCAACACGCGCGGCGCGCTCGTCCTGCTGCTGGGGGCGAGCTCCAGGCTGTGGCCCGCGTTCCTGGACGCCCTCGCGCAGGACGGCGCGCTGCAGCGGTGCGGCGACCCGCTCGACGCGTACACGGAGCGGTGTGCGCTCTCCATCGCGGAGGTCGCGCACCGGGCCGCGTGGCCGTCGGGGGGCGGGAGCGCGAGGGTCATCTTCGCGCACCGGCCGTCCCGCGAGGTGGTCTCGAGCGCGGAGGAGGCCACGGACGCGACGGAGGGCCGCGGAGGGGACGCCGGTCCAGGTGCCGCCCGCGGCGGCCGCGCCCCGCACCGGCCGCGGCGTGCGTGCGCGCGTCCAGCCCCGCGGCGCCGCCCGCGCCCCACGCCCCGCCCGTGCCCCGGTGCCCCTGCCCGCAGCGCGCTACATCGCGATTCAGAGGCTCGCGGAGGTCGCCGGGGTCGCCGCGCTCGACGCCGACACGCACCTGTGCATCCACCCCACGTTCGGCCCGTGGTTCAGCCTCCGCGCGGCCGTCGTCCTCGACGGCGTGCCGGTCCCCGCCGCGGTGCGCGACCGCCAGGTGCCCGCGGTCGACATGCCGCCCGAGGACGTCGCGCGGCGGGCCGCGGAGCTCTGGGCGACGATCGGCACGTCCTACACGTGCGCCCGCTCCCCGTCCGTTCCCACGCCGCCGCTGCTCCGCCATCGCTGGGTGCGCTCCGTCGTCGTCGTCGTCGTCGTGGTCGGTGCCGACGGGCACGCTCCCAGGCCCGCCGCGTGCAGGGCCGCGCGCGAGAGGTGGCGCGAGCTGGTCGAGGTGCGGCGCGCGGCCGCCCCCGGCCACCCGTGGGAGTACGGCGAGGACCAGACGCGGTACCACTACACCGCCGACGTGGCCTTCCTCCGGACCTGCGTGGCGCGCGGGCGGACGCACGCCGCGTGAGGGCGCGCGCAGCTGCGGTGCGGGCGGGGCCGCGGCGGAGGACCGCGTCGTTGCGCTGCGCTCGTGCGTGGGCGCTTGTGTGATGATGATGGGTGGCGGTGGTTGCTGCGTGCGCCGGGGCGGGAGGCTGCGCGCGGCCGCGGCGGGCGGAGGAGGGGCTCGCGGGGGCGGGGCCCCGCCGTCGCCGGCGCTGGCGGGGGGCGGTGCCGGGGCCGTGCGGTGCGTCCGACTGGGTCGCTGTGTCGTACGCGGAGCAGCCGCCGCTCTCCGAGGGCGTGTCGCGGCGCGGGGCGCGCGCAGATCGCGTTCGAGGCGCCGTTCTGCGACAGTTCCGGCGACCTGAGGCCACGCCGCGCGTATATCTGTGCCGTGCGACCCCTGCACGCCGCCCCTTGCCCTCTGCGTTCCTGGGCCCGCCCCCTGCGCAGCGCGCGCCCGTCGGCGCCTTCGACCCGGCCCTCACGCGGGGGAGTGCGGAGCAGTCCGAGTCGGCGGCATGGCGACCCGCTGCCAGTTCGAGAACTCCAACGAGGTGGGCGTGTTCGCCAAGCTCACGAACGCCTACTGCCTGGTGGCGCTGGGGGGCTCGGAGAACTTCTACTCGGTGTTCGAGGCGGACCTGGCGGACCACATCCCGGTCGTCAAGACCAGCATAGCGGGGACCAGGCTGGTGCGTCGCGCGCGCGCCGCGGGGGCGGCCCGCCCCGCGCACGGCCGCAGTCGGGCGGCCGCGCTTCCCACGCCGCTCGCGCCCCCGCGCGGTCGCCCCGCGTCGCAGAACCGCCCCGGGCGTCCCGGCCTGTCCGCCCCGCGACGCCGCGCGCCCACCGCCCCCGCGCCGCGCCCCGCGCAGGTGGGCCGCATGACGGTTGGCAACAAGAACGGCCTCCTGGTGCCCGCGAGCACGTCGGATCAGGAGCTCCTCCACATCCGCAACTCCCTCCCGGACGAGGTCGTCGTCCAGGTGCGCGCCGCGCCCGCGCCCGCGCCGCCCGCGCCGCCGCGCCCCCCCCTCTGCGTGCGCCCCCCGCGCCGCTGTCGCGCCCACGCCGCCGCGCCCACGCCACGCCGCGTCCGGTGCAGCGCGTCGAGGAGCGGCTGTCGGCGCTGGGGAACTGCGTGGCGTGCAACGACTACGTGGCGCTGATCCACCCGGACATTGACCGGGAGACGGAGGAGATCATCGCCGACGTGCTGGGCGTGGAGGTGTTCCGGCAGACGGTGGCGGGGCAGGTGCTCGTGGGGACGTACTGCACGTTCACGAACCAGGGCGGGATCGTGCACCCGCAGACGAGCATCGAGGACCTGGACGAGCTGTCGAGCCTGCTGCAGGTGCCGCTGGTGGCGGGGACGTGCAACCGCGGGAGCGACGTGGTGTCGGCGGGGATCGTCGCGAACGACTGGGCCGCGTACTGCGGGATGGACACCACGAGCACGGAGCTGCAGGTGATCGAGAGCGTCCTCAAGCTGCGCGGGCAGCAGCCCATGGGCATCGTCGGGGACATGCGCAGCACGCTCATCGACAGCTTCGCGTGAGCACGGGGACACTGACTGTGACGCACGAAGAACCCGCGCGCGCGCACTCCGCGCCACCGTGCGCTGTTGTTGCTGCTGCTGTTGTTGTGGTTGTCGTGTCTTACACGCACGCGCGCACGCCGAAGCCGCAGCCGCGTCGCCCCGCGTGCCCCCCTCAGCCCTTCTTCCGCTCCGGGTGCTGCTTCCCGTCCACCCCGTACTGCTCCTGCATCTTCCGAATCGCCTCCTCCTCCTTGTCCAGCGACACCTTCTTGTGCTGCTGCACCGTGTTGTGGTACAGCACGATCAGGTACCTGCGCGTGCACAGCGGTGCGTGCGGTGGCCGTGTGTGTCCGCGTCGCTCTCCCTGCGGCGGACAGACGTGCGTCGGCGCCGACGCCGACCGCGTGCTCTGCCTGGCGCGCTGCGACGCCCGGCGCCCCGCGCGCACCTGTTGTTGACGTTGAAGCCGGACAGGTGGTCGCAGGCCTGCTTCGCGTCGTAGATGTCCTCGAACACCACGTAGGCCGTGCCCTTGGTGCCCTTCGCGTTGCCGAGCCGGACCTGCCGCAGCGCCCCGTACTTGCCGAAGATCTCGTAGATCTCCTCCGCCGTGATGCTGAACGGCAGGTTCCTGCAAGGGGCGCGCGGGCGGGCGGGAGCGGGGTCGTCCTACGTTGGTGCGGCAGGGAGGGGGCGCGCGCGTCGCGGACACGCGCGTGGCGCGGGATCTCACTTGACGAAGAGGATCCTGTTCACCTCGGGCGGCAGGCGCGTCATGCGCTGCCGCGTGACGGCCGCCATCGCGCCGGGGGCCGCTCACTCCCAGCGGCGCCGGGTCCCGACGCGCTCCGGGCCGCGCTGCGGAGCCGTTCCGGCGCTCGCGCGCCGCGTGCCGCCGAGCCTACGCGCACGGGCGTCCAGTGGGCCGGCGGCCGCCGCTCGGGCGCCACCCGGGGCGACGGGGCGCGCAGGAGGAGCAGTGGCGCGCGGGAACGGGCGCGTCTCGACAGGTGTTCTCGAGAAGCGCGCTGCGCGAAGGCAGGGAGTTCGCACGGCGTGTGGGAACGCACCGTCGCGGGGACCCCCGATGATGGGGCGCGTCGGGCGGGAGAGGGTGGGGGACTCCAGCGCCAGTCGGACGCTGCTGCCGTGGGCCGCGAAGGGCCGCGATGGGCCGCGAAGGGCCGCGAAGGGCCGCGAAGGGCCGCGCCGGCGCGTTGGCAACGGCCGGCGCGTAGGCTGGCGCACCGGCGGACGCCGTCGTCGTCGAGCAAGGTTCCCAGGTGAGGTGTCACATTCTTCGCGTCGTCAGCCACAAGGCTTTGGGACCTGAAAAGATCATTCGACTGTGGAAGTCAGGTCGCTGTTGTCAGGCCTGATGGCTGAGCTGAGGGCTCATGATGAGAGCGCGAGCGCTCCCATGGTGACTACTGACGTGAAACGCGGACTCAACAGCATTATTTATTTATTTGAGAGCAGGGCCTCGGCTGTTCTTACATCGGGAGTTCATCGAACACCCTACGCGACATCCTCGGCGAGGCGGTTCTTGTGTACTCACGGCAGCGGCCGGCCGTGGCCTCGAAGTCAGTGTCGTGCACGGACTGGTGGCAGCACGTGCGGCGTTTCTTTCCGTCGTGCTCATAATTGTACCTCATGTGGACGCCCTCGCGCCGACTGGTGACGCCGTTGTCCGTCGTTCGGAACGCCCAGGCGTACTGGTGTGCCGGGCACACCGTGTTGGCGCAACAGGCCATCTGTGCCAACACGGTGTGCCCGGCGCACCAGTACGCCTGGGCGTTCCGAACGACGGACAACGGCGTCACCAGTCGGCGCGAGGGCGTCCACATGAGGTACAATTATGAGCACGACGGAAAGAAACGCTGCACGTGCTGCCACAAGTCCGTGCGCGACACTGACTTCGAGGCACGGCCGGCGTCACCAGGCAGTCAGTCATTTCTGCGATGGCCGAGGCGACTTCGGGGCGTCAGTGACCGGGAAGGGGGCATAAGCGCACCGTGCGGGAGATCTAGATCTCGTGAGATCTCCGGAGCGCGTCACGAAAAGGTCCTCGCGAGCCGCGAAATGCGTGTCGACGCTCGTATTTGAAAACGAAGAATCATCTGCGGCAATTCATGGCACCGCAAATGCGCGGCAGGGGCGCGTCGGAGCGCCTAGGAGCTCGGCTTCGATCTCGACGAGGTGTGCGCGCCTGTTGGCGGATGAGATGAGTGTCGCTGCTTGGTCGTAGAGACGCCCCGGCTTGTGCTGGTGCTTGTAGCGGTGCGGAGCGCCTGGACAAGCCGGTGAGCCCAGGGACGGTGTCGACAGCGTGTCACACAGCGTTCGTGTCAGGAGCCATGTTCTACTGCGCTGTGCCGAGCGCGAAGAGCTCCTCCCGGTCCTCTTCGCCCTGCGCTTGCTCCTCGGCCTCGGGCGCCTCGTCCCTCTCGACGGCTTCTTCGTCGCCCTCGCTGCGGCCCCGCACCTGCAGCACATGTGTTGCAACGTCGAGGGGCTGTCGCGTCGCGCATGATGCTCGGGCGCGGCTGCACACGCGCGCCGACGCTCGCCAGGCGCAGGAAGGACGAGGGCGCGCGCGGGACGACGAGCGCGCGTGCACACACCTGCCGACACGGTCGACCGCCGTTGGCCGATGATCCACGGGACCCGACGCTCCGCCTCGCCGCCGCCGTCTGACCCCGGCCCGGTCCACGCGAGGCGGCGCACGATGCTGTTCGTGGCCGCCAGGAACGGGTCGGACTCCCGGGCGCGGGCCCGTGCAGGTCGTACAGCGCGTAGATGCGCTCGTCGAGCAGGCGGTAGCGCGCCCGCGGGTGGACCGCGGGGCTCCCGCGCAGCTCGAGAGGCTTCAGCCCCTTCACGGCCCGCCGCGCGGGGTCGTGCAGCGCGCGGGGAGTCTGCGGGAGAGGGAGCACAGCCACGGCATTGGTGCGGCACACACGAACCCGGCCCCGCGGAACGACAGCAAGCGCGGCGTCGGCCCCGTAGAGGCCGTGCACGCACCAGTAGTAGCTTGGCGTGCTTCGTGATCTCGAGACGGACGTCCTTGCGCGCCCCCGGCTGCAGCTTCAGCACCGCACACGCAATGCAACTCTCAACTCGTTCCAGACGGACGGGCAGCAGCGCGCCGAGGTCCACGCGAGGCGGCGCACGATGCTGTTCGCGGACTCGATCAGCTCGCTCCTCGTGCGGTAGAGCTGCCGATCGGGGCCCTTGGCACGTGTGCGAGCTCGAGCTCAACACCATGGCCGTGGGCGTGCCGGAGCCGGCTGGCGGCCAGGACGGCGGCGGTGGCGACACGGAGGGCGCGTAGGCCGGCGCGGTCGTCCCCTGCGGGCGCAGGTCGGCCTCGCGAGCGCGGTCAGATGCATGATGGGAAGGGAGCAGGGGCGGAGGAACGGGAGCCACTGGCTGAGCAGATCGGTGTGCGCGCGGCGCGTCGCGGGGCGGCGTGGCTCGAGGACGGGGCGCGCCGCGACACTCTCAGTGTCTGTGAGCCTGAGCCATCGTGCGATATCGGTATCGATGCAGCGGCGATGTCCACGTGCAGGCGCGAACCTCGGCTCCTGCCGTCGGCGCTGGCAGCAGGTCGGCACCGGCGTGGACCTCCTCCGAGGGATCGTCGTCGTCGCGGATGCGCGCCGAGCACGCGCGAGCGGCGGCTCTCTGTGGTGCGGTGCAGGCACCTGGCCTCACCTGGCGGTCCCCGTCCTCGTGCCAAGCCTGCACGCTCGTAGCAGCGGAAGGCCTCTGACATGCCGCCGTCCCGCGTCGCGTGCACGTCGACGTGCGTCGCAGGAATCCCCCTGAGTGGCCCTCCTGCAGGTCCTCTCCGGGCGCATCGCTGCGGAGAGGAGCCAGCCCCGGCCGCTCGGCGCGGTGAGCCCTCGGCAGTTTTGTCCCTCCGACGCAAGCTCCATGGAAGCGAGGCACACCTCGGCCCCTCCGGGTCGTCCAGCTCTCCGCTGCTTCATCGCGCGACCATCGCGCGCAGAGAGGGAAGATGCCGGCGAGTTTGCGCCCGAAGGCGTCGTCTGAAGGTAAAAGAGAGGCACGGTCGCTTCATAGATGCCCGCACGACGCCGGGGAGCCCCGTGTGCGGCACCTGTTCCATCAGCCCGCCGACATCTCCTCGGACGCTGCGGGCCTTTGCTGGGCCCGGCGCAGCAGAGAGTGGGAGAGCCAGCGGGGGCTGCCTCGCAACGCCGCCCCGTCGCCCGCCGCGCGTCGCCGACAGTCGGGCGGGGCCAAAGGGGGGGGGTCGCAGAGTGCCCCTCTGCCTCAGGAAGAAACTTGTGCGGACACTACGCAGCGCTTGGGCGCTCCGACCTGCAACTCTCGTGCACGTCCCACACGCACGCACACACGCACACACGCACACACGCGCACACACGCACACACGCACACACATCCCGATGCGCCCCGAGGCCGCGCCATCAGCCGGCCTCGAAGTGGGCCCCGCCGGACGCATGTGTCGAGAGCCCGGAGCCAGGATCCCCCCCGGTGCGCCTCCCCGCTGGGGCCGCGACGATGCGGTTGGAGGCCTCCGCCGGTGTCGGGGGAGGGTCCAGAACGCGCCGCGGACCGTGACGAAGCCGTTCGAGTCCTTGCGGGGCGCCTCGCGCTGGCAGTCGGTAGGACTGCGCGGGGCGCGGGCCGGGGTCCGTGTCGCGTGCTCCGCGCGGAGCGCGGGGCCGGCAGCCTGGGTGGCGCGCTCAGTCACGGGCCGGAGCGTGGGCGTCGTCGTGCGTGGGGCGCGGTGCGAGCGCGGAATGGCTTCGACCAGCGGCGTGGGAGCAGCGGAGCGGGGGGGGCGGGCAGACTCCCTGTGCGGCGCGCCAGCGGTGGAGTCCAGGCCTCGATGGCCTAGGCGTCCTGGCCGAGGGCGGAGGCCCTGTGCTCGGGGGGTATCGGCGCGCTGCCTGGCGCCGGCGCGTCGGCTGGCGGTTACAACGCTAAGCATGGCTCCGTGGTGGTGTACACACGTATATGTGTGTGGTGTGTTGGAGTGCGTGTCGCCGGGCATGTGCTTCTTGGGTCGTCGAAACACTACACTGTACGCCCGCGCAGCGAGGCATGCGGACGCCCCACGGCGCCCTCGAGGGTCCGCGGGGTCGTCCCGGGAAGGTGCGCAACGTTGTGCGGCCCGCGCGTCCGGCACGGTGCGCGGCCTCGTGATCCGGAAACGCGGTGCACGGCGAGGATCATCACGTTTCTTGGGCGAGGATGCAAAGAAGCAGAGTTTCTCGTCTATGCGGTCGCGGAAACTCCTGGTGAGCCACCGACGTGGTGCATCATGGATATCTGATGCGACTTCGATGGCAGCCCATGTGCACGGTGAAAGCGACACACGACGGAGATCCTGCTCCGTAGATTGCAAAAGTTGCGTACACTGCCAGTAAGTACAAGTATAGTTCCAGGTTACACGAATTTCACTTGTATCACAGTAACCGACTATACCTGCTGAACAGCAGGGTGAATTCCCCTATAGTCTAATCGGCTAGGATACACGGCTCTCACCCGTGAGATCCGGGTTCAATTCCCGGTGGGGGAGCGCGACCTTTTGCGCGTATCTGCGACCCCTGCGCGACGTGCGGGGTCGCCTGGAGCTGCCAGGAGGGAGCTGGGCGGCCCCCGGGGCACGCACGCCTTCTGCACCGCTCTCTGCGGTCCGCAGACGCCCCCAGGCGCCCATTCGCGCCTATTGCGGCGGCGCGGGGGCGCGGAAGCGCTCAGCGGACGCGGGAGCGATCCGTGGGCGACGCCCGGCTCCCCGCTGCGCTCGCAAGACCTGCTGCCCACGTCCCGCCGAGGCGCGCAGCCGGAGGGTCCCGCGCCGATGTTCGCGGCTCGCTGCGGGTCTGCGCACGCCACAGACGGCGCCGTCTTCCGCGGCGCGCCCACCCCTACCTGCGTCAGCAGGGGAGATGAGAGAGCTCTCCCGCCGCGGGCGAGCTCGTTCCGGGACACGTTGGTTCGCGGCGGAACATGGGCTTCGGTACCGCATCTCGTGGCTCGACACAGCTCCAGCCCGAAGCAGTCGCGTTCCTTCCGTCGCGAGCCCCTCGCACCACCGTAGCAGCAGCGCCGAGCACGCCGGTTCCGGGCGTCCGACGGCCCCGCGGCGCACTCGTTCGACCCTTCGGCCTCGCATCATCTCGCAGCCGCGCCATCGCGTCCGAAGCGGCGTGTGGGCCGCGCGTGGGCGCGGCTCTCGGCTCGGCCCGCAGCTGCGTAACCGACCGGGACCGGCAGGCGGCCTCGCCGCGCATCGGCGCCCGGCGGCGGTCGCGGCGCGTCCGCCATGAGCCTCGCGTGGCCTGCGGAGGAGAGGAAGCTGTACTACATCTCCGGTGCGCCCGCGACGGCGCCATGTGCACGCTCACACGCACGCGGCAGCCGGCCCCGCGCCGCCAGGTGCGCGCCCGCACCGCGCGGCGCCGCCGGCCCGGACGCGATGCCATGCTCCATCGTCCGCAGGGTCCCCGTACGCGCTGCGCGCCCAGCTCGCGCTCACGGAGAAGGGCATCCCGTTCACCGCGGTGCTGCTCGACGCCACCAACGGTGGGTGCGCGCGGCCTCCCCGCGCGCGGCCTCCGCGCGCGCGGCCTCCGCGCGCGCCGCATGCTCCTGGACTGCGCCGCTCGCGCGACCACCGCGACGCCTTGTTTGCCCCGCCGCCGGTCCCATGGACCGAGCCCCCGCAGCCTCCCTGCCCCCGCAGGCGGGCTCGGCGGCGACCTGGTGCGGCGCGTCAACCCGCGCGGCCAGAGCCCGTCGTTCGCGGACGGCCCCGACGTGCGCGTGCACGAGTCGCTGGCCATCCTGCACTACCTGGAGGCCGTGTACACCGACGCCGCGCCGCTCATGCCGCCGCCCTCGGACCCCGCCGCGCGCGCCCGCGTCCTGCAGCGCATGCACGTGAGACGCGCGCCCGCGCGGCGCCCCCCCGCGGCGACCCATCTGCTGCGCCGCGCGGCCAGACCATGGTCGTCGCGGAACCAACGGTCCGCTCCGTTCCGCCGCAGGAGAGCGACGCGCTGATGGTCCCGGTGCTCGCGTGCCTGTACAGCGTCTTCGGGAACCCCCCCCTGTACCCGAAGCTGGACCTGGACACGGACGACGGGGCGCGGCGCCTGCGGGACCTGAACCGGCGGGTCGCGGCGGAGCTGCTCGCGTGGGAGGGCCACCTCGCCGCGGGCGCGGGCACCGCCGCGGGGGGCGGGTTCACCGCGGCCGACTGCGCGCTGGCGCCCGCCTACCTGCACCTGTGGCGCCTGGGCGGCGAGGCGCTGTTCGCCAGCCTGCCGCAGGGGAAGAGGTGACACGACCCCGCGACGCGCGTGAACACGAGCCGCTGCGTGCTGTCCTCCGCCACGCCGCGGCGGCGTTGTTGCTGACGGCGTGCATGACCGCGCGTGTGCGTGTCGTCCGTCGTGCGGCGCAGGTACGTGGAGATGCTGCTCGAGCGCCCCAGCGTGCGGGCGAACTGGCCCCCGCACTGGCAGCGCGGTCCCGCGCGCCCGCCCTTCTCGACGGTGCACGACGACCTGGTCGACCTCACGCGCAACGCAGAGGACCGGCAGCGGGCGCCGCCCCCGGGCTGACGCACCACGAAACCACTGCACTCGTCCCGCGTCACACGCCCTGCCTGGCCCTCGAACCTAGCGCCGTGTGAGACGCAACACCGGCCGGCGGCGCGAGGAGCAGCTCGCGTGTCCAGTCGGCAGCGCCGCCGTCGTCCGCGCCCGGGCCGCGCGGCTCCGTGCCGGCCCGCGGCGCGACCGCCTCGCGGACCGCCTCCAGCGCCGCGCGGGCGTCCGCGAACGCGGCGACGACCGCCGCGACGGGGCCCGCCACCGGCTCCGGAGACAGTCTCCGACCCGCCACCGCTCCTCCTGCCGTCGCCCCTCCCGTGTCCTCCCTGCGCGGACGCACCGCGGCGGCCGTCCCGGCGACGACAAACGCGCCGTCGAGCGCGCCGTCGAGCTTCTGCGCGAGCACGTCCCCGGCCCGCCGCAGCCCGGCCGCGACCTGCCTCTGCCTGCGCGCGTTGGGCGCCTCGCCGCCGGCCGCCGCATGCCACGCGGCGCGGCGGCACATGCCGGCCAGGCGCAGCGTCTCCGCGCGCGTGAAGGGGCCGCGCTTGGCCCAGCCGTGCGCGAGCGCGGCGTCGGCCCACTCGACCGCGGCCTCGGGGTCGCCCAGGCCGCACAGTGCGCGCGCGACCAGGAAGTAGGCGGCGTGGCGCAGCGCGGCGTCGTGCGGGAGGGCCAGGAACGCCTGCACGGCACGCGCGTGCTCGGAACCGCATCTCGTGCGCGTGTCCAGGGTCTACAGTGCACGGGAAACACGCGCTGCGCGCAACTCCGTCGTCGCGAGGCCGGTGCGTCGCTGCAGCGCAGCAAACGCGCCGCGCCTCACCTTGGCGTCCGCGAGGGTCGCGTCCCAGAGCTCCAGCTCGCAGTGGCACATCGACCGCCTCAGGTGGGGCTCCGACCACCCGGGGACCGCCCGGATCACCTCCCTGCGCGCGCACGGAGCGCCACGTGGCAACAGCGACGGTTCGAATTCGTCCCTGCAGCGCGCATCGATCACCTTCGCAGCGGCGCGCGCGGCCAGCGGTGCGGCACGTCGCCGCACCCGTAGCACTGCGCGGCCCCGCTGTACTGCCGCTCCTCGAACAGGCGCCGCCCCGCGTCCGCGAGCTCCGTCAGACGCTGGGTCCAAAACGCCTGCCACGCGCGGTTGGGCGCCCGGTCGCGGACGCCGCTGCCGCCCTCGTCCTCGTCCGACGAGCTGGACCACGCCTCCTCGACGCGCAGCCCGTCGGCCGCGAACGCCGGCCCGGCCACCACCAGCGCCCGGCGCGCGTCGCTGCTGCCGCTCGAAGTCCCCGACGTCCCCGCGGCGAGGCGCGCCCGCCCCAGGGTCGCGGCCGGCTGTACGGGGTCGGGGCAGCGGCTGCACGGCAGGCCGCGCGGTGCGGCGCCCGCGTCGGCGACGTCCTTGGACGTCGGTGCGTGGAGCCTGCGACGCGGCGCTGCGGACCCACCGGTGGCCATCCGCACGAGGAACGACCTGAACAGAGCGCCGACTCGCGAGGCGTAGCGGCGCGCGGCCCGAGCGAGCGACGGCAGGCCCCCGCGCCGTCGATCGGCCTCGGGCGTTGCCGGGTGCACCCACAGCCCTCGCGACGGCCCTCCCGTCGCCGCCGACGGCATCGCGGGGACGTCGAGGAGCACGCCGAGCGAGGAGCGTCCCGGACGAGGGTCGAGAAGGCGCCCCGCGACGCAGGGACGCGGACTGCTGCGTTCCAACGAAACAGATCAAAGGCTCCTCGCGCGGACTTGACGAGGGCGTCTCGCCGGGCGGGACCCCCGCGGGCTCGACCCGGTCGAAGCTGGCCCGGAAATGGGGCTGGCGCGGGTATCCAGCTCCCGTGTGACGCGCTGCAGCCACACAGTGTTCAGGTGTGGACGACCCATGGCGTCAAGGGAGGAGCGAGCGAAGGCTCGGCTCCCGCGGCGTCGAACGGGCGGCGCGACGAGCCCGCGTGATAAAACCGCACCTCTCAAGCTCGGTCGGACGCTCGGTCGCGCAGGACAGGGCGAGCGCATGGCCGTTCGCGCGTCGAAAGCAAGCCTCGCTTGAACGCGCGGCGTCGACGATCCCCGCGCCCGAGGTGAGCCCGCCCGCGCGCTCTCGACGGGAACCGCTCGCACAGGGCCGTCGGAGAGCGGCGACCCGCGCGCGCTCCCCGTGCGACCGGAGCTGCGGAGGCTTTCCCTGCCGTCGTGCGTGCGTGCGAGACGGCCCCGGTGGGCGCGACTCGTGATTGTTTCGGGCAGCGATCAGAGCCACGTGCCGACTGGCTCCGTCGTTCCGCGCTCGACACCACGCGTGCGTCGTTCCAGAGCGACCGCGAGCGTTCGAAGCGCTGAAAAACGCTGCCTGGCGAGCGCTCGACCGCCCGGGCCTGCCCGCTGCGCGCGTCGGTGCCTGTCGACGGATCGGAAGTCCAAACGCCCCGGCGCACCGCGAGGCGTGCCGACGACGTCCCAGCGCGCGGCGGGCGGCCACGATCGACCTGCACCGCAGCGATCGCGTTTCCGGCGCGCCGCGGCCCCGCACGAGGTGACGTTCACGCTCCAGGCCGACGTTCGACGTGCGTGCAGTCTATGTCCACGGAACAGGACGCGGCTGGCGGGCCGCCGAACGGCAGTGCCGCCATCAACGAGCAGACTCAGCTTGCTCCGCCCGCACCGACGCCGCTCCCGGCACAGCCTGCCAGCTACGGCACGCTCGCGGACGTGCCCGATCAACAAATCAGCGTCTACGCGAGCACGGGTGCGAGGACCTCCCGACGCGGCCGCGCTCCCCCTGTGCCCCAGTCGAGCCCCCTCGGGCCCCGCAGGGGCCGCGACGCGCGACGCCCGCGTGCGTGCTTGCTCGCAACGGCACGACGCATTTTTCTCCATGCGGAAAACGAGCCGCACCGCCGCCCGTACCGTGCAGGGGCGCTCGCATCCCAGGGAACTGCCTGCCACGCACCTGGCCCTCGCGCGGGCTCCCAGGGCAAGGACGTCAAGTACGACAGCGCCTTCATCGCCAAAGTACGGTCCCGCCGTCGACGGCGATGCTCGCACCTGATCGGCGCAGCTGTCTCTCCCGCATGAGGCAGCAGCTCCTACACGGGGGCCCCGAACGTGTGTGTCGCCGCCGAGCCCCCCGCTGCAGGTCGCCCGGGCCTACGAGCACCTGAAGACCAGGCCCGATCGCGAGGGCATATGCGGAGACAGGAACCCCGCCCAGGTGCGGCACACGCACGCACACACACACATGCCGCGCCTGTCTCGTGGAGGTCGTCGCGTCCCTCTCGCGTCCCTCTCGCGTCCCTCTCGCCGCCGCCGTTGAGCGAAACGGCGCGGCGCGCAGCTCGTAGCTCTTGAACGGCCGCGCGGGACGCACCGACGCTGCCCGCGCCACCGCAGTGCATGCCCCACACCGCCGTCCACGAGCTACGAGCGTCGCGATCTCGTCCGCGGCCCCTGCACGCACGGTGGTGTCCTGAGCACCCCGGCGCGTCCGTCCGCGCAGGTCGTCGGCGAGGAGTTCGGCGTCTCTGAGTGGACGGTGTACCGCCACTACAAGCGCGCCGTCGCAGAGAACCTCATCGAGAAACAGGGCAACGGGAAGCGCTTCCGGTCGGGCGCGGTCAGCGAGGAGCGCAGCACGCGCCGCGCCAGCGAGGGCCGCTGGGTCCAGAGCGAGATGAGTGAGCGCCCGCGCACCCACCCACGCCTCGCGCACCGACGCCACCGACGCCACCGACGCCCCCGACGCCCCCTTGCCTCGCCGCAGCCCGCGACATCCCCCCCGTGCACCGCGGCGGCCCCGGCCGGCCGCAAGTCCACGTGAGCGTCATCCAGGGCAAGCCCATCGAGGGCTCGAGCTTCGCGGTGCGCTACGTGGTGCCGGGCGCCCACGCGGCCGTCGCGCTCCCGGGCGCCGGCGGCGAGGAGCTCGCCGCGGGGAGCGCGTTCCTGGCGCTGCCGGGGGAGTACAACGTGTGGTGCACGCTGCCCGGGGTGGGGAGCTCCGAGCACATGGAGCTCCGCTGCCACGAGTACGGCTTCGTGCTCGTCATGGTCAACCCGGCCGGGCGCGAGGTGCCGGACGCGGAGTGGTTCCGGCGCCCCGAGGTGGTCGCCCAGGCCAGGAAGCACATCGGGACCTTGCGCATCAGCGACGAGGACCTCAAGCAGCCCTTCGAAACCAAGATCGTGAGCCGCCCGCCCTCGCGCGTGCCGACGGCCGATGCTGATGCTCCCGACGCGCCGCGTGCGGCGAGGTGCAGACCGCGGCCGGCAACGTGCGTGGTGGGTGCAGGCGCTGCAGTTCCCGACGCCGCTGAGGCCGGCGACGGCGGTCGCGAAGATCACCGGGAACGGCGCTATGTTCTTCAGCGTGAGCAAGAAGTAAGCGGGGCCGGTGGGGGGGGCGCCGCACGACAACGACAAGGACGACGACGACGCAGCGCGGCAACAGAGGCCACGCGCGACGAGGACCCGGGCAACGAGACTGGACGCACCGACCGCACGCTGTGAGCCTCGTCCTCGTCCGCCTCACAGTCGCGGCCCGCGCGCTGGCCGCCCGTCGCGCCATGCGCCCACGGGTGCCGCGGGGCCGTCATATCCGCGTCGTGCGCCAGAGGCCGTCCGCGAGGTGGTGCATGTTGTCCACGCCGACCCCCTTGTTCACCTCGCGGATCTGCTGGCTCGACATCTGCGTAAACCCCACCGCCAGCGCGTGCTGCTTCCCTGCAACACACGCGCGCGTTTTTGTGTGTGCGTGCGCCCGTTGCGAGGACGCCGCGAGGCCGGGGGCGGACGGGGCAGCGCGAGGGACGCGCGCATCGCGCGGACGCACGGCGCGGGTGCGTGCGGGGCGCGTCGCGGCGCTGCGGGGGGCCCGGGCGTCGGCGCGCACCTGCGGCGTACACGGCCACGGGCTCGTGCTCGTCCACGTCCGCCATGGACGCGTCCGGGTGCGTGAGGCCCGGGCACATGATGTGGGCGCCGGACAGGACGAACTTGATCGCGCCGGCGTCGACGGTGAAGCGCGGCATCATGTCGGGGTACTTGTGCAGCAGGCGGAGCGTGGGCATCCACGGGCCGTCGAAGTGGTTGAAGAACAGCGGCTCGTCGCCGATGACGAGCAGCTGCGAGCGGCGGGGCGGGGACCTCGCGCGTCGGCGGAGCAGCACGCGCAACGTGCGCGGGGCGGGACCGCCGTGCGCCGCGCGTGTCGGAGACGATTGGGGGCGCGTGGAGGCCGGGGCGACGCCGGCCAGCGCAGGGAGGTGCACGGCGCTGCGTGCGGTGCGCAGGGATCGCCGCGGCTGCAGCTGCGGGCCCCGGCGCAGCAGCACGTACCTGGACGCGGTCGGCGCACTTGGCGAGCTTGACCGTCTCCTTCTTCGGGAAAATCACGTCGAGGACTCCGTTCTCATCGAGCCAGGGGTACTTGGCCTGGATTTTCGCTGCGGGGCAAGGCGGGGACGAACCCGGGGGGAGGAATCAGCCGCCAGCGCCAAGCCGTGTCCGGACGGCGGGCCTGGCCTCGGTTCCGGGATCTGGGGGCGCGAGCGCACGGCCGCTACTCGGATGGCTGCGGCGGCCGCCCCGGCGCGGCCGTGTCTGCCGCGTGCGGGCGCGCCTCCGCGGCGCGTGTCTCGTCGGTTGCAGAGCACCGCCGCGCCCGCGCACCTCGAATGCCACGCGTCACGCTAGACTTGAGGTTGGACACGTTCGAGACGCTCTCTTCCCTCGTGAACTTCTTCAGGAGGGACATCCCTCGCACGCCGGCCCGCGAGCCCCCTCCTGCAGCCACACGCGCCGTGCACACTCACACTAGCAGCCACGCGCGCCCGCCGTTTCACCGAAATCCACGCAGGGTCGCACTCCCTCGACACGCGCGGCAAGACGGACCTCTGTGCGCCAGGCCGGGTGCGCGCGCCCATCAGCGCACGCTCCGCGGAGGCGGCATCATGCCCCGGGGTACTTGCGCGCGTCAGGGACCGGTGTCGGGGAGGCCGCGCGGGGCGATGCGACCGCGGCGGGGGGCCGCCCCGCACTTCGCGTTCGCCCGACCGAGCCCGCGGTTGATCGCGGGAGCGCGCGGCAGGACCTTGTGTGTGTGCAGTCAGGTGGGCGGGGGACAGCGCCCATGCTGGGCTCCCTGTGCGGCGGCGGTAGACGAGCGGCATGAAGAGTTCGAGTACCGGGTCCGCCGCGTGGTGGCGGATGGTGTCGATCGTCCTCGGGGCGCTCCTGTGCGTGTCGCTGTTAGGGCGACCGGCGTCCCTGCAGCTCCACTCGCGCTCCTTCGCATCGGACCCCCACGCGGACGCGCACCCCGTAGCGAGCGACAAGGGCGCAGGAGACGCGCAAGGAGGCGGGCTCGGGGCCCGGGAGACGGCGGGGGAGCCCCAGAGCGCCTCGGCGACCAGCCCGCCAGAGCCCGAGCCGGCAGGGCTCGCCCCGCCGCGGCTGGACCCGTCGAAAAAGTACGCGTACGTGTACTACGGCACGGACGCGACGTACTTCTGCGCGGCCGTCGTGAGCGCGACGCGCATGCGCGAGCTGGTGTCGCCCAGCGTGGACATTGCCATCCTGGTGCCCACGCACCGCGCGCCCATGTTCCGGGACGTGATCGACCGCGCCGCAGAAGACGGGTTCACCATCATCGAGGTGCCGCGGTTCGTCCAGCCCTCGGGCGTGCACGCGGGGTACTACGCCGACGCGTTCACCAAGCTGCGCGTCTTCCAGCTGGTGCGCCGCCCGCGGACGCCGAAGCCGCGCGCGCCGAGGCGGGCACGGGCGAGGCGCGGGCCTCCCCCTGCCGCGCCTCGCGCGACGGCGGGGGCGTGCGTCGCCCCGCGCAACTAGAAAGGCATCACGCGCATTGCCTCGTGCGCTGCGTCGACCGCGGGGTCCGCTGCCGCGGCGAGACGCGTGACGAGCAGCACGCCTCTCTGGCAGGACGGCCGGGCTAGCGGCTGACGGCGCGCACGCTTACGCTGACGCCCACGTTTGCGCGTCCCCCGTTTGATGGCATGCACGTGCAGAAACAGTACGACCGCGTGATCTTCCTGGACGCCGACTCGATCCCGATGAACAACCCGGACAACCTGTTCTTCCTCCCGCCGGCGATGCTCGCCATCCCGCGCGCGTCGTGGCAGAACCAGATCTCGGTCACCACCGCGCTCATGGTGATCCAACCCTCGGACGTGGCCTGGGAGCGCGTCACCATGTGGATCGCCGACCGCTTGGGCTGGGGCAACGGCGACTACAACGAGATGAAGCGCGTCGTGAGCCGCCCGCCCCGCACCACTGTGTTGCGCGCCTGACACCCCACGCCTGCCGCGTCGCGCGGCCCCGCGCGCTCACCGCTCACCGCACGCCCGCGCCCGCGCCCGCAGACGGGCGACTGCGACACGAACGACAGCTGGGGCGCGCACATGCTCCCCGAGGACATCTACGACATGGACCTGGTCAACATGGCCTTCCGCGACGACATGACCATCCTCGGCGGGCACGAGCTGCTGCTGGACGCGCAGATCATGGACGAGCCCATGTGGGAGGCCGGGCGCCCGGGCGGGCCCAACTGGAAGTTCAGTTTCCGGTTCGAGGCCAGCAGCGGGATGGAGATGCTGGACATCGTCAAGGTGGTGCACTTCACGGCGGGCGGCAAGGTGCGCGCGGCGGCGGGTCGCCCGTCGCGTGGCGCTGCCGGGGGCGCGGGCGGGCGCGCGGGTGCGCCGGGGGGTCGCGACGAAAGCGCTGCGAGGCCCCGTTCTCGTTGCGCGCGCAGATTTGGACCAAGGGCCCGGACCACCACGACCTGCAGCACCCGGAGATGAAGGTCGTGTGGAAGGCGTGGCAGGACGCCGCGAACAAGGCCGTGTGCCACCCGTGACGCGCGCGTGCACGGGCCCTCCGTCACACGGGCCGCCGCGCGCGGCCTCCTAGCACCGCGCCATCATCTGCATCTCTATCGCGTCCTGCCGCGCCGCGCGCGCGTAGCTCACGTCGCAGGACCCGGGCTCCCGCAGCCCCCCGCGGTCCCCACCAGTGCCGCCCCCGCCGCACGACGTGAGCGCCCGCCAGAGCGAGCCCACGCAGGTGCGCGCCGGCCCGCGCCCGGCCCCGCGCGAGGCCGCCGCCGCCAGGTACTCCTCGACAGCCCCCGTGCTGCACAGCACCGGGCGAGGGCCGTCGCACATGGGCGCCGCAATCGTGTGATCGACGCGCCCCGCCTCCGTCGGACCACTCGCGACTCGCACGCCCGGCAGCGCAGCGGGGTGCGGGGTGCGTTGCGCTTGCCTGAGGGGCGCGAGCGCGTCGTGGTGCGCCTCGACGTCGCTGCGCAGGATGGCCACGCACTCCTCGAGCCGCCCCGCCTGGTCCTGCAGCGCGGCGACGGCCGCGGCGCGCTCGGCGCGCTCGTACGCGAGCTCGAGGCGCAGGTCCTCGACCTCCTGCGCGGCGGCCGCGCGGGCGGCCTCCTCCGCCGCGACGACGGCGTCGGCGACGCTGTCGGGGCCGGCGGGGGGCGCGGGCTGCGGTGCCGGCAGGGCCTCGATGTGCCTCCGGACGTACTTGTCCACCATGGCCTTGAGGTTGTTCGCGGGGCGGCGTTTGTCGTGCGACCCCGCGACCTCGGACGCGGCCGAGTGGGGCGCGGTGCCGCAGCTCGACCCCGCGCTGCAGTGCGCCGGGGGGCGGGTCAAGCATCAGACGGCATCGCACGGGCGCACGTGCAGCCAGGTCCGTCGGTTGCAGGGGCCGAGCGTGGCTGCGGAGGGGCCCGGCAGCTCTCGCGCCAGTTTCAGCGCAGGCCAGGTCCCCGGCCGCGCGCGCGTGTCGTCAGGGGGGGGCAAGACGGTCCGGCGTGCCGCGTGCGGGCGGTCCCTTACGTGTTGAGCGGTGTGAGCTGGTCATCGTCGACGCAGTCGCGAGCGGCGCCCCGCGAGGCTTGCACAGGAGTTGCCATCTGGCACGTCGCCCGTTCGAAGTTGAGGGTCCGGGGGGATGTGATACGCACGTCGGCAGCGCGTAGCGTGCGGAGAACAGCGCCTCCGATGGCCGCGGTGGCGCCGCAACGATCGCACGCGCCGTGCAGGGGGGCCCCTCCCGCCGGGCGGTCCGACTCGCGGTTCCGGCGAGCTTGTTGCCGCGAACTGCGAGTTGCCCGCGCGACAACGATCAGCGCGTCGCAGACTCGCGCGGAGCAGTGGTTTGCAGCGGCGCAGGCAGCTGGCGGCTCCCGCGCTGGCGTCGAAGCGACCTGTGCGTGGTAGTAGCACGCCTGGCCCGCCGCAACGGCCACGGCCGATCGGGAAGCTGCGTTTTCCCGAGCGATAGCGTGGAGCTACATCTTGTGCTGGCCGGGAGAGTGCGCTGGGAGTGCGCTGCAGCCTGAGGGGCCGGCTGGGAAGGGGAGCCGAGGCTCTACCCCGTGCCCGGCAGGATGGCGATGACGGCGGAGGGCCATCCAGTAGCTAGGGCGGAGCAGTTCCAGCTGATCACGCTCCTCGGGCGTGGTTCGTACGGGAGCGTGTACAAGGCGAAGAACACGGACACTGGGGACTTCGTTGCCATCAAGGTGCGCCCTCCAGCGGACCGCGACCGCCGCTGCCGCGCGCCCCCACTAGGTCATCCCTCCCCCGCGGCGCGGGCGCCCCCGCGTTCCTCCCGGGCGGCCCTGTGCGGCCCCGTGCGGGTGCATCTCCTCCCAGTCGCAGGGCTCCGCGCACCCGGTGCCTCGCACGCACACTGCGCCCGCCGTCGCCGCACGTGCACTTGTTTCGCCGTGTTTGACCTGGCTGCGCACCGCCGATCGCCGTGCGCGCCCGCGTCGGCGTGCGCGAGGGACCGTGGCCCGGCGCGGCCTGCTCGCCGTTTCTTCCCGGGCGCCGTCCGCGCGCACCGCCGTTGTGGCGGGACGCCCGCCCCCGCGTTCCGCGCGGCTGCCGCCTGCGAGCCCGCCCCTCGCCCGCGTCGCGTTCCGCAGGTCATCCCCACGTCGCTGGCGGACTCGGGGGCGGCGGCGACGGTGCGCAAGGAGATCGAGATCCTGAAGGACTGCAACCACCCGAACGTGGTGCGGTACCACGGTTCGTTCCAGGCGCTGGACTCGCTGTGCATCGTGATGGAGTACTGCGGCGGCGGGAGCGTGTCGGACATCATGCACGCCAACGGGAAGAACCTGACCGAGGAGCAGATCCGGTACATCATCTACGAGTCGTTCAAGGGCATCGCGTACCTGCACAGCATCGGGCGCATCCACCGCGACATCAAGTGCGGCAACATTCTGCTCACCGAGGACGGGCGCGTCAAGCTGGCCGACTTCGGCGTGAGCGCGGAGCTGTCGAGCACGATGACCAAGCGCAACACGTTCATCGGGACGCCGCACTGGATGGCGCCCGAGGTCATCCAGGAGTCGCGCTACGACGGCAAGGTGGACGTGTGGGGCCTGGGCATCTGCGTGATCGAGATGGCCGAGCGGGAGCCCCCGCGGTGGGACGTGCACCCGATGAAGGTCATCTTCCTGATCAGCAAGGACGAGCCGCCGAGCTTCAAGGACCGCGACAAGTGGGGGCGCACCATGCACAACTTCGTCCAGCAGTGCCTCACCAAGGACCCCCGGAAGCGCCCCACCGCCTCCAGCATGCTCCAGCACCGCTTCCTCGCCGGCACCGACAAGGACGCGCCCACCATCCGCGGCAAGCTCCGCCCGCTCATCACCACGTGCAGCAAGGCCCTCAACGCCAAACCCCTCCCCTCCCAGGTGGCCTCGGGCCTCCTCGGCAACGTGCTCAGCAACGCCGAGTCCGCGCCGCGCGCGTCCGGGACCGTCCTCGTCGAGGACAACACCACGAGCTTCGGCGACGCCGGCGCGGGCGCGGCGCGGGCGCGGCGGGCGGGCGGCGGGCCCACGCACGCGCGGCACGGCACCATGGTGCAGCACGACGGCACCGTGGTCGCGCCGGGCGGCACCGTGGCCGCGTCGGTCAGCAGCGGCGGCGAGGGCGGCGGGGACTACTTCGCGGCGATCTCGGCGGCCGCGGCGGAGCGCGAGTCGGAGCCCTTCAAGAAGGCGGCGGACAAGCGGGCCAAGGAGCAGATGAGCAAGACGCGGCAGCAGCGGGACCACCTGCGGGCGATCTACGAGCGCGGGGGGGTGATCTCGATACCGTTCCTGCGGGCGCGCGAGGTGCCGCCGCTGGCGCTGCTGGGGTGGGGCACCGCGGGGGCGGTGGGGCCGGGGGGCGCGGCGGGGGCGCCGTTCGCGCTGGAGCTGGGCACGCTGATGGACGCCGTCGAGATGGACGAGGAGGCGGGCGGGCGGAGCGACTCGCGCTCGGTGTCGTCGCTCGGGGGCGGCACGCACCAGTCGGACGCCGCGGGGGGCGCCAAGCGCCCGCTGCCCGCCAAGGTCGTGCGGCAGCTCCAGGCGAACCCCGCGCTGCTGAACCTCGCACGCGCGCTCGCGTACAAGCGGCGGATCGTGGCGGACCTGCCGCTGCCGCCGGACCAGGTCCGCAGCGTGTCGGACCAGGCAGCCGACATCGCCGACACGCTTCGGGTCGCGCTCAGCACGCAGTGAGACGCGCCGGACGCGACGTGCGCGGCGCCGGGCGGGGGACCGTGCGGCGCCGGGCGGGCGGAGGTGCAGGCAGCGCAGGTGTCCATAGGGTTGGCGTCGCAGCAGGTGTCCTGTGCAGGCCACGTGGTGCGCGACGCGATAGGTGCGTGTTGAGTTAATGCACAGCTGTGAGACGAGGGAAACAATGGCCGCGGTGGACTCCTGCGTCACAGAGCAGCCTCGGTCCGCAGCTACGCGGCCGCCGTCTGCATCTGGGCGGCGGGCGAGGCTGCGGCCGCGGCGAAGACGACGTCGTTGCACGACGCCACGTAGGCCACGAATCCCTGCTGCGACGCCATCGCCGAGACCGTCGTGTCGGCCGGAATGAGGTACACCGCGCCGCGCCCCGCCTCGCCGTCGCTCTCTGCGCCGGGGAGCTCGCCGCACGGCCCCGACGCCCGCACCTGCGCCAGGCCCATCAGCACGACCATGATGCGCGGGCCCGGGTTGGCGCCCAGGTCGGCCTCGGTCAGGGGGGGGATGTCGACGCGCTCGATCTGGAACTCCTCGAAGGGGGGGCGGTACAGCGTGCGGCAGGGGGCGACGGGGTCGCCGCGGAGGACCACGGGGCTGCCCGTGCCGTAGGTGAGGCTCGCGCACAGCACCTCGGTGTCCCGGAGCTTCGGCGTCAGACCTGCAGCGGGCGCGCAGGTGGTCGCCGTCGCTGAGGGGCGGTGCGAGCGGCAGGCTCGACGCGGTCGGGGGCGTGAGCGTCGCATCGTCGCTCCACAAAGCCTGCACGTGCACGCGCGGGCTGGTTCCGCGCGCTGCGGGAGGGCGACCGCCCTGCTTGTGGCGGTGTGCGGGGCGCCTCACCTGCGCGGATGACGTTGTCGGACGTGGCCATGCACTCGACGAGCTGCCCCGTGACGTACGCGTGCGGCTCGTTGGCGGGGAGGTAGATGCACTCCCCCGGCTTGAGCGTCACCACGTTCAGGAAGTAGGAGGACAGCACCCCCACGTCCCCGGGGTACTGCTCGTCGAGACGCAGGACCAGCTGGTCGCGCTCGCTCGGCGGCGCGGCATCCTGCGACCGTATCCGCGCCACCAACGCCGCCAGCGCCTCCCGGAACTGCGCAGGGCCGGCCACGGGGCGCCACGCAGTTGTGCGGGTGCGGCAGCGGCGCGTGCGGGCCGTGGGCGAGGCGCGCAGCGACACGGGCGCGCCGTCGAGGCACCGCGCAGGTGGGGCGGTTGCGCGGCCCGCGCGCGCCCCGCGTGAGCGCTCTGCGCACCTTCTCCTGTGGACACGTCATCAACGCGGTGAACGCGTCGCGCAGGCACTGCTGGGGGTTCTCCGTCCACGACCCGTCGAGCCAGCGCTTGGCGCTCGGTCCGCAGCACGTCGCCAGCTCGGGCGTGGAGGCCATCGACGCGGCGAGCTCCTCGTGGGACACGAACCCGCACAGCGCCTGGAACGGAGTGAGCGCGAGCGCCATCTCGGGCTTGTGGTTGGGGTCCTGCGCGGGAGGGGTTGGGGGCGGGGTGGCGATGGCGCGTCCGGGAGGGAGGCGCGGGGGGGTTGAACAGCGACCGGTTGCGTCCACGCTGTGAGGGGGGCGTGTGCAGACTCGCCTTGTAGATGTCCGGGCGTTCCGAGTGCAGACGCTCGGCGAGCTGCTTGTCCGGGTGCGACTGGATGGACAGGGCTGTGCGCACCGAGAGCACCTGCGGGTGCACGGCGGTGGTGGCGTGCGTCAGGAGTGGCCGCCCGTGCCGCGCGCACTGCGATCGCTGTCCGGTATCCGACGCACAGCGCGCGGCGTTCGATATGGTCGCCGCGTGGGTGCGGTCCCGGCGCCGAAGTGTTGCGCGTGGGGAGGGCTTTGAGGCCGTGAGGTGGACGGTGCATGTTGTTCTTGGGCTCACCTTGAAGAGATAGGGCAGGTCTGTCCCGAACTTGGCGATGACGGGCTCTCCGAGTGCCTGCGAGTTCGCCTGCAGCCAGTCGCGCAGGTTCGCACCAGTCGCGGCCACCGTGGACGGCCCCGAGGGATGAGTGCCCATCCACAGCTCCGCATACGGCTTGAACCCATCGATGTGCTCGCCCGCGGCTTCCGCTAGTCCGGCCACCTGCTCGCAGCGAACCAGACCGGGGCGCGAGTGAGCACCGTGCAGCCAGGCGCCCGCAACCTGCCGCGAGCAACCACCTCCCGATCCGCGGGGGCCGCCCTCGGCACCGGGAGCGCGCGTCGATCGCGCGGCGTCGGTCCCGGCATGTGCCTGGGTTCCCCTCCGTGTTGGAGCATGGGTCTCGTGCGAGGAACGCGACGGTGGCCTGTGCGCCGCACCTCGCTCTCCCCCGCGGGCAGCCCCCACGCGTAGTCTTTCGCCTGGCACTTGATACGAAACATGTTCGCGGATCCTCGACGCACACGCAAGGGTCCACGTGCCGGCTGCCCGGGCGGGCCATCGAGCCAGCAGGGGCGCGGGGACAGCGTGGGGCTGACCAGCGCGACGGTCTCAGCCCGACCAGAGCGCGCTCCCATGTGCGTGCAGGCGCGCGTGCTCTCGCACAGATGCGCGCGCAGGGACAGGCAGCACTGGGGAAGTGGTAGAGGAGTTCAAGATCGCCGCCACCATCGCGAGGGCCGCGCTGCGGACGTGCCGCGCCGGGCGAGCAAGCCTCGCGCCGGCCCGCACGTCCGTGCGCGCGATGGCCACGGAACAGGCGCACGTGCGCGTGGGAGTAGGTGTTTTCGTTGTGCGTGACGGCAAGATCCTGACAGGACTGCGGTGCGCGCCCGCGAACACCATGTTGCGCGTACGCACCGCCAGGCCGTCCGCGCGCGCGGCCGCGTCGTCGACGTACCGCACCACCTGTACACGGATCCTTACAGTCTTGACGGCGCGTGCGTCGCGGTGCGGCGTCTCGGTCCTGCGCAGGGCGGGCAAGGTTCCGGGGGCGGGTCAGTGGGCTCTCCCCGGCGGTCACCTCGAGATGTACGAGTCGTTCGAGGAGTGCGCTGCGAGGGAGGCCAAGGAGGAGACGGGGCTGGACGTGTCGGAGTGCTCCGTCGTGGGTGAGCCCTCCCCCGCGGCCAGAGCGGTCACACGCGCACTTTGCATGTGCATACACAGCATCAGGATGTCGCTCAGCGGCGTGCCGCGTGTCCCGACGCGCAGCGATCGAGAACGTGATCTCCGAGAAGGACCGCTACCACTACGTCGTGGCGTTCGTGCGCGCGGAGGCGGCCGATGGCCAGGAGGCGGTCAACAGGGAGCCGCACAAGTGCGAGGGGTGGCACTGGAAGAGCCTCTCGGAGCTCAGGACCCTCGAGCCGATGTTCTCCTCGCTGCGCCAGGTCCTCGACAACGGCTGCGACCCAACCAAGGGCTCGGCCGCGCGGTGACCGCGGTCGCCGCGTTCCGTCCCCTGTTCGGGGTCCCTCGTGCTGACGTGAATCGCCTCAGAGAAACCGGCCATCTGAGAACCATACCCGCGGGAGCGGCCGTCCACAGTGTGACCATCGCCTCGACTGTTGGCACCGCGCTCACGCTCCGGCCGCGGCAGCCCGTGCAGTCCCGCGCTGCGACAGCGCGAGGTACACGGCTGCCGCGACGCCGAACCCGACGAACCACGAAGCGCTGTAGCACGCGTGGAAGACCCCTGCGACGGCGGACGCCGGCACGAGATCGACCGCTGCGAGGAACCCGGGCACGCACGGCAGGGCGCCGGAGAGCAGCGCCACCACTGCGCTGGGGTTCCACCCGTTGCGGTACCAGTACGGGCCGCCGCGGCCCCGGTAGAGCCCGTCGATGTCCAGCTTGCGTCTTCGCAGGATCCAGTAGTCTGCACGCACGGGCAGCCGGGCGGCGAACGCCTCAGCGTCCGCGGTCGGCGCCCCCACGCGACGTGCAACGTGCGGTGCGGGCCGCGCGCCGGGTCGCGCCGCGTCGCACCTGCCGCGGCGATCCCTCCGAGGGGTCCCAGGAGCGCGGAGTACCCCACCAGGTACTTGAGTATGAACCCAGAGGCAGACCCCATGATGCGCCAGGGCATGATGACCGCGGCGAGGCCGGCGGCGAGGAGGCCTGCGGAGCGGAACTCGAGCCGGCGCGGAACGGCCGCGACGAGGGCGTTGGCCGGCGCCACGAGGTTCGCCGCGATGTTGGTGGAGAGCGTGGCCACCACGAGGCCGAAGAGGGCCGCGAGCATCGCGCCGAGACTCCCGAGCTTGGCCAGGAGGTCCACCTGCGCGTGTCGTGCCGCACGGCGCCGTTGAGCGCGCGCGGCTCCCGGACGGGAGCGTCGGCAGGCCAGCAGCAGCGTCGGGGGCACGCACCGGGTTGGGGATGGAGTGACCGTAGATGACGATGGTGGCCGACGTGACCGCGAGGCCGACGAACGAGAACGCGGCCATGCACAGCGGGAGCCCGACGGCCTGCCCCCAGACCTGCGCGCGCTGGCTGCGCACGTACCGCGTGAAGTCTGGGATGTTGAGGCTGAGCGTGGCCCACGCGCCCACGTTGGCCGTCACCGCGGGGACGAACGCCGCGAGAAACTGGCCCTCCCTCGCGCCGCCGGGACCGAACGCGGACTTGGTGGACAGCATGGGTCCCAGGCCGCCCGCTGCGTTCCAGGCCCAGGCCATGAGCAGGCCGACCAGCACGATGAGGATGGGCGCCGACCACTGCTCGAGCTTCTTGATGGAGTCGATCCCGCGCACGATGATCGCGGCCTGCAGGAGCCAGAAGGCGACGAAGCACGCCACCTCGGGCGCGGAAATCCCCAGCCAGGGCAGCGCCGCGGAGGCTGTCACGGCGGGGTCCAGGGCCGCCCACATCGCGTGTAGTGCCTGCGCCCCCACCCACGTCTGCGGGAGAGGAGGGCGGCCGAACACGGGCGTTGCGCGCGCGGACAAGTGTCGGCACTCACTCGTGGCTGTTAGACATCGTCACTGCGGTGGGCCGCGGTGGAACGGTTCGCGACGCGCACCTGTATGCCGTACCACGCGCAAGCGACGAGACCGCGGAGGCATGACGCCAGGAGCGCGCCTCTGACTCCGAACGCAGCGCGGGCAAGGACGGGGAACGGAACGCCGTACTTGGTGCCTGCAGCGATCCACGCTCGGGAGTGGCGGCTCGCGCGGGGCGAAGTGTTGCCAGCTGTCGCGGTAGCACGGCCGTCGACAGTCCGGCCGCGACGCGCGGAAGCCCGCGGCGCGCCGCACCTGCGTGGCCGTTGACGATCATCGGCAGAAGCGTGATGACGTTGCTGAGGAAGATGGTCCCGATGCCCTGCGACCACGACATGCCCATCTCCACGAGACCACCTGCAGCGGCCCCGGACGCGCCAGAGTGGGCGTGTGGGCACCGTGTATCTGATTCCAGTCGAGGGGACACAGAATCTCGGTCGTGTGGCCGAGGGTGGGGGGCAGCGCGTGTGCGGGCGCGGCCGGTGAACGCGGCGCGGACCTGCGAGGTAGTAGTTCGGGAGGCACACGACGAGTCCCACCCAGAGGGCCGCAACGTCCATGCCGGACATGATCCGCTCCCTCTCCGTCACGGGGGCGAGCGACGAGTTGTGGAGGCGCTCGTCCGGGTCAGCGGGCTCCTTTGCCTCTATCGCATCGTCAAGAAATGACGCCTTTCCAGGCGTGGCCCGTCGCGCGTGACGCCAGCGGGCTCCCCAGTGGGAGCTCTGGCTGCTGGTTGAGGCGCGATGCGGTGCCTGCTGTCGTGGCCTCGCGGCGTGAACAATCTCCCTGGCACTCACTACGCTCACTCTTGCACTGACATGTAGCGCAGAGTGCTGTTGCGCCGGCAACTGGGCGCGAAGAGCGCCGTTCATCCCCGCTGAAAGATGCCGCTCCCTTCCCGAAATTCAGCTCATCATCACGCGATCGACGTGACGCGAAATCTCAGCCGCTCGACTTCCTCGAAGGTCCGTAACTTTGTCGCCCGCTTTGTCGCCCGGACGACGCAAAGTGACGGGCGCACGCCCCGCTTGACGGGGGGAGGTCCTCCAGTACAAGCAAGGCCGACCAGCGACGACCCCGACGGCAGCGGCACGAATGGAGGCACGACGGTGTGCTCGGAGTACACCAGCATGCGCTGTGGCTTCGAACGGAGTGATTGGACCGGAACTCGCTGTAGGCGCCGCCCTCTCTCTGTGGTGGTTGGAAGCCTCCGCCTCGCGCGGGGTGACACACCTGTGTCAGGCATCGACGATGTCCTCCCGATGAGCCACCAAGCTACGCTTTCGTTCCAGGACGAGCGGCGAGCGCGAGCTGCGGGCGGGAGGAGGAGGCACCGGTCGGAGCATGGCTGAGCAACCGGTCCCGGAGCACCGATTCACGTCGGTCCCGCTCGCTCGTTCTACGCTAGAGCGTCACTGTGCCTCGAGCCGGCCCGTCGTGGTCCGCGGCGCTCCGTCCTGGCCCGCGCACGACCTGTGGCGCTGGCCGGGCGTGCTGGACCGATGGCGGGGCCTCGCGGGGCACCGGCGCGTGCACGTCATGCGCTCCGACTCCCCGTCCTTCCACGGCGACATCTACCGGCACAGTCCGGAGCCGATGCTGCTCTCCGAGTTCTGCGACATGGCGGCGGCCCCGCCCGCACACACATCTCACTTGTACATGGCGCAGTCGCCGCTGGCGCGCGTCGGACCGGGCAGGCGGGACCCCGAGGACCAGCTCCGGGAGCTGCTCGCCGACATCGCCCCGGCGCCCGCGCTGCTCCCGCGGGAGGCCCTGCTGGCTGACAGACAGGTGCGTCCTAGTCTGTCTCGCACTTGACGTCGGCGAGAAGGACTGCGTGGCTGTGCCGGCGCGATCCAGCGCTCCCGGCAATCGGACGCGCGTGCCCGCGTCCGGCCCCGCAGGCCGGCGCCGGCCTCTTCGCGCACTCGGACGGCGCGGACGGCCTTGCACCGCAGCCCAGTCCCCCCGGGGACCCAGGACCGTCGCTGGAAGTAAACCTGTGGGCGAGCGCGGGGCCGACGACGTCCTCCCTGCACTCGGACCCGTGGGACAACGCGCTGTGCGTGGTCGCCGGGCGCAAGCGCGTCGTCCTGGTGCCCCCGTGGGTGACGCCGGCGGTGGCGCCGCACCCCGTGTTCTCGGAAGCCCCGAACCACTCCACGATCGACGCGGCGGGGCGCGGCCTCGGCGGGACCGAGAACGCGCGGCCGAACCAGGGGCCGGAGCCGCCGGGCTGGTCGGGCGTGGTGGCGAGCGCGATGGTGGCAGACGTCGGTCCCGGGGATCTCCTGCTCATACCTGACGGTTGGTGGCACCTGGTGAGCAGCCAAGGTGCGCGGACCGCGTGATAGCAGTGTCCGTGTGCGCCCCTGGGCTGACGTGCGCCCTCCCGACATGTTGCGCCCCCCGAACACGTGTGCGCAGGCGGGACGATCGCCGTCAACTTCTGGTGGGACTCCCCTGCGGGGCAGCTGCTGCGCTGCGGGGCAGGGCAAGTCCTGCTCCGGCGGTCGCTCCGCACGCTCGGCGACGAGACGCGCCAGAGAGTGCTCGCATCCGCGCCGGTGCTCGAGACGACGCCGTCGGACGCCGAGGCCCTGGTGGCCCTGGCGCAGCTCGGCATCAAGGGCCCCGCGTGGGCGCCGGGCCGCGGCGCCGACGCGGAGAGCGACGACGTGCTGCGTCTCGTGCGCAGCGTCCCGCCGCTGGCGTTGCGCCGCGTGCTGACGGAGTGTGCGCGGCAGTTCCCTCGAGCGCTGGAGCGGCTCGTGACCGAGGTGGCGTCGCCCGCCGCGATCGAGCTCCTCACGCAGTCCTTCGAGGCCGCCGACGCGCTGGAGGGCTCCGTCGCTCCCGGCCGGGCGCCGGGGGAGGAGTTTTACAGAGAGTTCTGGGGGGCGTTCGAGGACGCCAAGGCGGGGATGGCGCGGGTGGTGCGGGCGAAGGAACGGTTCGGGCAGCAGTGTCTGGAGGACGTCGTCCGGCAGGCATGCGGGCCGGCGGCGCAGAGCGATGTTTGAGACAACATGGATCGCCACATGGATCACATACGTCGACGCGGGCGGCGTTCGACGCTGATGAAAACTACCGTGCTCGAGCCTCGCGAGGCAGGCAAGTGGACGAAACGTTCGTCTCTGCGAGCGAAAATATCAGGCTCGAGCACGCAACAATGATGAATTTCCGTCCATATTTCTTTGTCTATTTGTCCGATCACGTGTGCGGGAGGGCCAGCTCGTGTTCCCCGCGAATGATGATTCGCATGTTCTGGCGATGGCTCAGAGAGCGATCATCGCCAGCAGGGCCGCGGCAGCGACGGCAGCCGCCATGGCCGTTGCCGGGGCGCCCGACGACGACGCGCCGACACGCGCAGTCGTCGCCGTCTGCGAGCGCGCCACCGTCGGCTGATTGTCGTTTGCCGCGGCCCAGGAGCTGATCGACCCCTCCGACACGGCGCTGTTGAACATCTGGGCCGACATCGACGCCGCCTGCTCGTCCTGGTAGCGTCCCGACACGGCGAGGTCGTACTCCATCGTGCCCATCTGCTGCATGCCGCGGCGCATGACCTTCTTGCGGTTGCGCGCCGACAGCGCGGCGCGCACGGGGCAGCCATCGTCGTTCTCGCAGCTGGCGTCGATGCGGCGGCGGACCTCCTTCTCCACCTGCACCATCTGGCGGCGCGTGAGCTGCGCGTTGTACGCGAGCGTGATCTGCACGTCCCAGCCGAGGGCCGTCGCGAGCTGCAGGTTGTCGTCGTCGTTCATGGTCATGATGTTGCCGTTGGCGCGTGCGTCCAAAAAGTCCTCCGAGTACGACAGCGTCGCGGCGGGGCACGCGTTGGACTCGGTGGCGTTCGCGGCGCACTCGTTGCCCCACGAGCGGATCGCCAGCAGCACGAAGGGGTCGCTGTTCGCGCGCACGAACTCCGCGCCGTCCTCCTCGAAGCACTCGTTGGCGGCCTCGAACCACTGGCAGTCGTCGGCGGCGTTGCACGAGGCCGGGTCGCGCAGGCGGCGGCACTCGCGGTCGTCGTCGTCGCTGAACCCGGCGGCCTCCGCGGCGATCGCCTGGCTCAGGCGCGCCACCTGGCAGCTGCCCACCAGCTCGCTCAGCAGGTCCTCGTCCTCCGTGTCGGAGGCCGCGCCGTCGTCGTCGCTGTCCGAGTCCAGGTTGCGGACGATCTCGACGATGCGCGTGAGCTGGCCGATCTCGAAGCCGGTGGACACGCACAGCTCCACCTCGCGCGGCTGGTTGTTCGGGGCCGGCGTGCTGGTGCTGTTGGTGGGCGCGCCCTCGTCGTCCGAGTCCGAGTCCGAGTCCGAGTCCGTGTCCGAGTCGGCGCCCTGGCCGTCGGAGATGGCGCGCACGATGTCGCGGATGTCGAAGGTGCGCGTCGTGCAGCGCGGGTCCGGGCACGCCACGTCGCGGTTGTTGCCCGTGCCGTTGCTGACGATGTCGCCCAGGCGGTCGAACGCGCCGCACGTCTCGATCGTGCGGAAGAGCTCCGCGCCCGTGGAGTCCGAGCACATGAACTGCGGGGATTCGCGAGAGAGCGCACGGTTGGATGACGTCTTTCGGTGTGAGGCCCAGGGCACTGATCGCGCGCAGAAAGGAAGCGCAGGCACGCACGTTCAAGGCGCTGGGCCGGCACATCCCGGCCTGGTTCCCGCGGCCCTCGTCCCACGCGCACTCCTCGCCGTTGCCGAAGCCGTCGCACTCGGCCTCAGTCTCAAACCCCTTGCACACCTGCACGCGCAACCACACGGCCGCTCCCGCGCGTCAGGCCGCGTCCGTGGCGCCAGCTACGCAGCACACAGACGCCTGGCTCGCGGCGGTTCGGCGTCGTCGCGCACCTCCTTGAGCGCCATCGTCTCCCAGAGGAAGCGCGTCATGGGGAAGGCAGGGCGCCGCAGGGCCAGGATGGTCTCCGGGTTGGCGTCGCAGTCGTTCGCGTCCCCCTCGCACTGCTCCACAGAGGTGTGCGCTAGCCGGCGGGATCTGCGGGGAGGGCACCGAAGGGCAGAAGGGGTCAACACATTCCGATTTCAGCATCAGGTCCTGGGCAGTCGTCGCGACGGGCCTCCGCGGCGATTGCTCGGGGTGGAGATGCCGGGCTTACGAGGGGGTCGAAACCAAGGGGCTGGTGGGCGCGACGGCGTGGATATGATATGTGGCCGCGGGGTCCGCGGCGGGGCGCGGTGCCAGGTGGCGTGCGTGTGGGGCCGTGGGTCGAACCCGCCGCGAAACGCGTGATACGAGACGATCTTGCACGAAGAAGCGATCGCCGTGCCAACAAGATCGAGATCGTCTCGCGTTCGACGGCGTTTGATCCGAGGGGACGGACAGCGGGAGGGTGATGGGGCAACCGATGGGGGCGGGCCGCGACCAGCGGCCGCAGCGCGTGGGGAGCGGAACTCACTTGGGCACTGCGGCCGTCGTCATTCTCCGGAACATCTTGCGCACATCGTCGATGCGCGCGACGCCGTCAGTCTCCAGCGCGGCACGCGTGCTGAAGGCCGCCGCACTCGACAGCACCAGGGCGGCCATCGCCGCGAGCAGAAGCCGACGCACGTAAATCATCGCGTCTGTGTGAGATCTATCAGTTGCGTGGAGTGCATATATCGAGAGCGGTGCGGCGCGCGCCCAATGTCCCGCCGCCGCGCCGCGGGGACCTGTGCTCGGGCGGACTCAGGTGTCGACACCCACCCGCGGCCGCCGCGGCCCGCGCCACGGAGCGCCACGTGTCCCATCGACGGGCCACACACACTGGATCCGGACGCACGCGCGGGCGGGAATCACAGGCGCGGTGCCGCGCCGGGTCTCCGCGCGGCCCGATGGCTAAGCGCGAGGTGAGGGATGTGCGCGGCCGGGCGTAATCGTCGCGCGGCACCCTGTGTTTGGCGCGCGCGGCCTCTCCCGGGCCGCTCAGACCTCCACTGTCTCCGCGCTCTTGTTCGACCGTCCCTTCCCGCGCCCCTTGCGCTCGAGAGACTCGAGGTACTCCTGCGAGACGCTCTCCGTCACGTAGTGCCCCGAGAAACTGCGAGGACGGCGGGGGGTGGCGGCTCAGGCGCAGCGGCGGGTGGGCGCGGGCGGTGCGGTGCGGGGCGGTGCGGGCGGCCTCGGAGAAATCCGCTAAAAGTCACTTCAACCGGCGACGGCACAGGGCCGCCTCGTCAGCGTGTGTAACAACTGAATATGGGTATCGTCATCGGCCGCGTGCGTCGCGGGGCGGGCGGCGGTGCTCACCAGGAGGCGTCGAACTCGTCGATGTTCTCGTTGAGGCTCTTCCCGAGGGCCACCATGTCGTCAATCTCCTGGTAGATGAGGCCGTCGGCGCCGAGGACGTCGCGGACCTCGTCGGCGGTGAGCTCGTTGGCGACGAACTCCTTCCGCGAGGGCATGTCGACGCCGTAGACGTTGGGGTACTTGACCGGGGGCGAGGCCGAGGCCAGGTAGACCTTCTTGGCCCCCGCGCGGCGGACCATGGCGACGATCTGGTTCATGGTCGTGCCGCGGACGATGGAGTCGTCGACGAGCAGCACGCTCTTCCCGTCGAACACCGCGGGCATCGCGTTGAGCTTGCGCCGCACGGAGAGCTCGCGCGTGCGCTGGTCGGGCATGATGAAGGTGCGCCCGACGTAGCGGTTCTTGACGAGGCCCTCGCGGTAGGGGATGTTCATCTCGCTCGCGATCTCGATCGCCGCGGGCCGCGACCCGTCCGGCACGGGCACGACCATGTCGATGTCCCACCCCGTGGCCTCGACGCGCTTGGCAATGAGCCGCCCGAGGCCGAGCTGGAAGTTGTACACCGAGATGTCGTTCAGGACCGTGTCCGGGCGCGCGAGGTAGATGTACTCGAAGATGCACGGGCACAGGCGCCCCGGCACGCACTGCTGCGAGATGAGCTCGCCCTGCGGCGTGACGATGATCATCTCCCCGGGCGCCACGTCGCGCACGCGCTCGAACCCGAGCGGCCCGAACGCGCAGTCCTCGGACGCGACCGCCCACTCGGGCCCGTCCTCGGTGTCGCGCGTGCCCAGGACGAGCGGGCGGATGCCGTACGGGTCCCGGAAGGCCACCAGCCCCACGCCCATCACCAGCGTGATCACCGAGAACGCGCCCTCGCACAGCTCCATCACGCGCTTCCCGGCGTCCAGCACCATCTGCGACTTCTGCGCGTTCGGGTCGCACGCGCCCTCCGCCAGGCACTGCTGGTGCGCGCGGTGGATCTCGTCCGCAAACACGTTGAGCAGCACCTCCGAGTCCGACGACGTGCGCAGGTGCCGGTTGAAGAACGACGTCGACGAGTTCAGCAGCTTCCGCAGCGCCGCCGTGTTCGTCAGGTTGCCGTTGTGGATCAGGTAGATGCCCAGCGGGGAGTTGACGAAGAAGGGCTGCGCCTCAATCGCCGACGACGTGCCGGCCGTCGGGTACCTGGGCGCGCGGGGCGGGGGCGAGCGGGCGGGTCGGGCGGCGCGCGCGGGAAGGGGCGGGCGCGCGGGTGCGTGCGTGCGCGGCGGGATGTGGGGCAGTCATGGAACCGGCCCGTCACGTCTGTGGGGATCCTGGCCAGTCACGAGAACGCCCGCGACACTGTGCGCTGGAAGTTAACACGTCCTCGGGCACGGGGTGCGTCCCGGGCGCTGCCTGAATGCTCCAGCGGTGCGCGTTGGCGCGGCGAGCGTGGGCAGGGGCGGGCAGCCCGCGGGCGGGGACCGCACCTCACGTGCCCCATCCCCACGGACCCCTTGAGGGACGCCATGGCGTCCGGCGGGAAGACGTCCTTGACGAGGCCGTTGTCCTTGTGCTCGCGGAACTTCAGGCCGTCGGTCGTGACGATGCCGGCCGAGTCCTGCCCGCGGTGTTGCAGCATCAGGAGGCCCTCGTACACCTCCACGGCGACGTCGCCCTCGCGGCGGTAGATGCCGATGATGCCGCACATGCGCGCGACGCTGCGCCGGCCCGGCTGGGCGCCGCGACGCGGCCGCGAGAGCGTCGCGGCGCGGGCGGCTGCACGCAGATAGAGGACGAGGTCGGCCAGTCGGATTCCGCGACCTGACGGCGCAGTGGCCGGACTTGCGCGCGCGCAACGGGTACAGGATGCATCGGGCATGGATTTCAGAGCACGAACGGCGGCAGCGGCGGGGTGTGCAGGGCCGTACCGGAGGACATGAGACGTCCAGCGCCAGGCGTCATCGCGGACACCATGCGCCCGCAGGGCCGCGCAATCGGGCTCGCAAGCGCCCGCACGGACGACGCGCTCGCTTGGGCGGGCGTTTGCCGCGTGCCCTGCGCGGCGGCGCGCGTCGCCGGGCTACAGAGCACGCTCATCTCGTGCACCGGAACGACGCTGCGTTGGGGTCGCGCCAAGCGAGACCGACCCGCGAGCCAGCTGACTAGATATCAAGGACCGAGTCCCTTCGCGGGCACGGCGCAAGTTCCCCCTGTCGGCGATGAATGTGCGGGCTGCCTCCAAGGCCGGCTGCTGGTGACGGCTCCTCGTGGCGACGCGTTCGCCGACCTCTGGCCGAAGGCAGCGATGGCGATCCGAAGCAGCTCTCCGCCGCGACCCCGCGCCGCAATGTTGCGCTGGCGACGGGCCACAACCCCGCTACGTCCCCCCCCTCGCCGCCCAACAACCCCCACTGGCGTGGTTCAGCGCAGGCTGCCGGTCGCACAGCCCCTGTCAGCCCCCCGGACCCCCCGGCCCTCGGCCACAGACCCACACGGTGCGTTGCCGTCACAACGTTGCCGTGCTGCCAAACAAACAAACGCGACACCACCGCTCCCGTTCACGACGTCTTGCTGGCGCCGAAGCACAGGAAGCCCTTCTTCTCGCCCGCCTCCTTGGGCGCGGCCGCGGCCCCAGGCGCCGGCTCGGCCTTGGTCGTCGTCGCGGCCCCCGCAGCCGACGTGCCTGCGCGCCCCACCACACCACTTGCTCGGCTTCAGGCTGCGGCGCAGGGTGGCGGCGGGGACCGATCCACGCGCGGCCCGGCGGCACGACCAGCGCGGGGCCCGGCCGACACGCGCGCGGGCCCGGTCACGCACCTGACTCGAGGAGCGTGGGCACCATGTGGTCGGGGGCCTGGAAGCCGAGGAGCTCGATGTAGGTGGGCGTGATGTTGGCGAGGCCGGCCTTGGGGAGGTCCTTCCTCATCTTGACGCCGTCCGGGAGGCCCTTGCCGCCGATGGCGACGGGCACGGGCGCGAGGGTGTGGCTGGTGAGCGGGAGGGGCTTGCCCGAGTCGGGGTCCATGATGGGCTCGCCCTTCTTGTTGCGCTGGACCATGTCGTCGGCGTTCCCGTGGTCGGCGGTCACGAGCCAGCGCGCGTTGACCTCGTCGCACACCGCGAGCAGCTCCCCCACGCACTTGTCCACCAGCGAGCAGCACGCCGTGGTGGCCGCGAGGTCGCCCGTGTGGCCGACCATGTCCGGGTTGGCGAAGTTCACGCGGACCATGTCGAACTTCCCGGACTTGAGCGCGACCTTGGCGGCCTCGCAGATCTCGCGCGCCTTCATGTCGGGCTTCTCGTTGAACAGGCACGCGTCGCTGGGGATCTCCACGTACGTCTCCAGGTTCTCGTCGAAGTACCCCGAGCGGTTGCCGTTCCAGAAGAACGTCACGTGCCCGAACTTCTGCGTCTCGCTGCACGCGAACGTGCGCACGCCGGACCCCACGAGGTACTGCCCCGAGACCTTGTTGATGGTGGGCGGCGGCACGAGGTAGTTCGTCGGGAGCTTCAGGTCGCCGTCGTACTGCATCATGCCGCAGAACTTGATCGCCGGCACGCGCTTCCGGTCGAACTTGTCGAACTCCGCGTACTCGAGCGCCTTGGACATCTCGACCATGCGGTCGGCGCGGAAGTTGAACAGCACCACCGCGTCGCCGTCCTGCACGGGGCCCACGGGCGCGCCGGACGCGTCCACGACCACGAAGGGGTCCAGGTGCTGGTCCGACACGGGCTTCTCCGGGTCCCCGCGCAGCTTCTCCAGCGCCTCGACGGCCGACGTCATCTTGCAGTCCGCCTCCCCGAGGATGTGCGCCTTCCACCCGCGCTCCACGATGCCCCAGTCCGCCTCGTACCGGTCCATCGTGACCTTCATGCGCCCGCCGCCCGACGCGATCTTCAGGTCCGCGCCGTGCTTGGCCGCCAGGTCGGCCAGGTCGGCCTCCAGCTGCCGCACGAACTTCACGCCCGAGCCGTCCGGGACGTCGCGCCCGTCCGTCAGCACGTGGCACCGCACCTTCTTGCCGCCGCGCTCGCACGCGCCCGCGATCAGCTTGATCAGCTGGTCGTACCGCGAGTGCACGCCGCCTGCACACACACACACACACACGCTCCGTCCAGGGCGCTCAGGGCAGGGGCGCGGCGCCGGCGGGGCCCGCGGGGCGGCGCGCGCGCGGGCGGCTCACCGTCGGAGAGGAGCCCGATGAGGTGCAGGGTGTTGTCCTTGACGGCGCCCGCGATGTGCTGCCACCCCTCCGACTCAAAGATGGAGCCGTTCTCGAGCGCGATGTCGACCAGGCGCGCGCCCTGGTCCACGACCTGCCCCGACCCGAGCGCGTTGTGCCCGACCTCGGAGTTGCCCATGTCGGCGTCCGAGGGCAGCCCGACGGCCGTGCCGTGGGCCTGCACCGTGCGCCAGTAGTCCGGCGCCTTCTGCGCGGAGAGCGGGGAGGGAGGGGCGCCCGGAGCCGGCTCAGGTCCCGGAACGACGCAGGGCGCCGGGAGGGAGCGGAGGCGACGGGACAGACCGGGACCGCGCCGGCATTGCGCTCGGTCAATTCCGGGGTAGGTTGTGCGCGAAGCCGGCCGGTGGTCCCCGTACCGTCGGATCCGGCAGCACGCCGAGGTGCAGGACGGCATGGGGAGCTGTGACGTGCGCGGGCGCGGCGGTGCGCTGCGCGTGGTGCGCGGGAGGGCCTCCAGGCAGAGGTGCCGTGGGGGAGGGCAGAGCCAGGGCGTCCGAGACATCGTGACCGAAACCGACCGTGATGCGCGCTGGTGGGATTCAAGAGAATGCGGCGACGATACCGTCGGGGGGAATGGATGCCCGCGCGGGCGCGCAGAGCGGCAGCCGGCGTGCCATCGGCCAGGCGAGGCCGAGCACGCGTCGAGCTGGAGGATGGCGGAGGGTATAGCCGCCAATTCGGAATATAGAGTTGTGTGTCGCACTGTTCGCGTGGTATGTCGCCCGAATGATCGGCGGTGTGCTGCTAGCAGAGGCAGCAAGTTGCCCCTGCCAAGCCGGTGCGCACCTGGGACAGGCTGTCCATCACGGGCGTATCAGCCATCTCGATGGCGTTGAACTTGTCCTTGTACTCGTTCTCGCCCCACCCATCCAGGATGCAAACCATGACCGGGCCATCAGGCTTGCTGATCTTCGGGTGCGGCTTGAGCTTGAAGTCCGTCATCTTGCTGTATCACTCGCGTGTCGGGCAGCACGACTGCGCGTCGCCAGCGCGCCGCGCCGCTCACGACCCCCGCACCGTGCGGGCGAGGAGCGGCTCCGAGCCACCTGTGTCATGAGGGGCCCACAGACACGCCCCAGGGCCCTGTGCGTCGATGAGGCCGCGCGTTCGGTCGCTCCGTGGGTACTTCCGACCACGCTGCGGCGGAACGTGGACTCGAGACGCGTGTTGTCACTGTTTGCGGAGCCCCTGAGCCCGGGCCTGAGGTTTCGGTGAGGGGCGATCGCAGGTGGCTGGCAGAAGAAGAGCAGCTCCGCGCCGCGCCCCCGGCAGTGCGTTACGTAGGAGACATGCACATCGTCGGGCTTTCCGGGGGCATTGCGTGCGGCAAGTCAACGGTGGCAAGGGAGCTCATCCGTCTCGGCCTGCCCGTCATCGACTGCGACGAGCTCGCGAAAGAGACGACCCGGAAAGGAGGATGGGGGTACAAGTACGCCCGGCACATGCGCTCGCCGGCTCGCTGCCGCGCCGACAGTCTGCGCCATTGAGGAGCTAGGCCACCACGCACACCGCACGTCCGCCGGTCACCACGGAGGAGGCCGGGATCCGCGCTGATCGTCCTGCGTGCTCGTCGCCCCGGGCTCTCACCTGGGCGCGCGTCACGGCCGTCCACGTCGCAGGCGGTTGCTGGCTGCGTTCGGGGATGACATCCTGGACGCTGGCACGGGGGAGATCGACAGGGAGAAGCTCGCGTCGATCGCCTTCGAGCAGGAAGGTGCGAGCGACGCCCTCGTGCTCGCCCCCGCCCGGCTGTGCGTCATGTCCGTTGCGAGCTCCTGGTGCAGCCTGATGACGACTGGACGCAGGGGCGCGGAAGCGGCTGAACCAGGCGACCCACGTCCCGATCGCGTCCTCGATCGGCTTCGCGCTGCTGGGGGCGTGGGTTCGTGCGGAGCCCGTCGTGGTCGTGGACATGCCGCTGTTGTTCGAGGCGGGGTGCGACCGGTTCTGCGGGGAGACGGTGGTCGTCACGTGCGACGCGGACCAGCAGATCGAGAGAGCCGTCAAGGTGAGAGGGCCGCGTGCGGTCGAGGTGCGCGGCGCTCCGGTCATCGGCGGAACATGATGCATCCCTGCCATGTTGCGCTGGTCGTGGTGCAGCGAGGGATGAAGCGCGAGGACGCGGAGGCGCGCGTGAGGGCGCAGATGCCGCTGGAGGTGAAGCGGCAGAAGGCCACGAGGATCATCAAGAACGACGGGGACGTGGAGGACGCCAAGGTGCGGAGGAGTCTGAAAGCAGGACAGGGCAGCCCGCACACAAGCGCGCCCCGCGACTGACCGCGCTACCCGCTCGTGTCCAGCTGCGAGCGTTCGCTGCGCCCTTGCGACCGACGTGCGCGCCTCCCCTCCGTGCTAGCAGGCAGCGGCCCGCGCGCTAGCGGACCGGCTCAAGTCGAGGAGCCGCCTGCGCGGGTTCCTCACGTCGCCCTGGGGGATCGGTGCCGCTATCTGCGTGTTCGTCCGCGTGTTCCGGTGACTCGGCCAGCAAGGGACAGCGCTATCTGCCACTTTCATTGCATGTTATGTTAATGGACGACTCATCGTGCGCGCACAGGGTCGCAGTGCTGGAACTCGCGCCACGTTGCTGCGAGTCCACGCACGGGCCTGCCGCGTGGATGTTCGAGGCCCCATTCACACCCCCTGCCCTGCGCGTTGCTGCGAGCCTGCCAGCGCTGGTCAGCTACCGCCGCCCGCGCCCGCCGGTCTTCTTCGTGCGCGTCGTCCGCTTCCCGCCGCGGTCGAGGCGCGTTCCGGTCCGCCGCGCCTGCTTGCTCTGCGTCGCCTCCTTCCGCCCCTTCTTGCCGCCCGCCACCAGCGGCATGTTGGACGAGAACCCGGGCGTCTCGAACCGCTTCGCGAAGTCCGGGACCAGCGCGTCCCGCGTCGTCACCGCCACCCCGCGCGGCGCCCACACGCGCAGCAGCGCGGGGCCCTCGCAGCCCACCGCGACCCACCCGAGCCCCGACACGCACACGTCCACCGAGCTCTCCCGCCAGCTGCTGCCCTCCACCTCCACGTCCGCCGGCACGAGCTCCCCCAGCGACGCCCCGCGCTCGGCGCTCCGCGGCGGCGACAGCAGGTCCCCGACGTGGTCGCGCAGGAGCGCCGGCGCCCGCTCCGTCTTGCCCATGTGCAGCACCAGGTTCTGCGACGCCCACACCGTGAGGTACAGCGTCGCGTGCGGGGACTCGATCACGTCCACGCGCGCCAGGCCCGCGATCGTCACGCTGCGGCCCTCGCCCAGGCGGTACGTGCGCGGCTGCAGCGTCTTGGCCGCCATGGCGTCGCGCAGCTCCTCGGCGTCCATCCGCGCCGACAGCTGGTACCCGTGCCGCACGCCGGGGGTGTCCCACAGCCGCACGCCGCCCTCGAGGAGCCCGCGCACCTCGATGAGCCCCAGCGTCGTGCCCGGGAGCGGCGCGGCGGTGATGCGCGCCCGCAGCCCGCGCTGGCGCCGCATCGCGTTGATCAGCGAGGACTTGCCCGCGTTCTGCGCGCCCACGACGAAGATCTCGCCGCGCGCCCCGGCCTGCTCCTCGAGCCCCTCCATCAGCGTCGGCACCCCGCGGCCCGTCGCCGCCGACACCAAAAACACCTCGTCGGGGCGCGGCAGACCCCCCTGGCGCGCACGCCGCCGCGCCCACGCCTCGATGCGCGTACGCGTGGCCTGACGCGGCAGCAGGTCGGTCTTGTTCGCGATCAGCACGAATCGCGTGCGCGACATCGTAGTCGGGTTGCCGTCCGGGTCCCGCGGGAGGACGTCCTGCGGGGAAGTGGCGGCGCGCATCACTGCGAGTGGGCAAGGAGCGCGGGACGCGCAGGCGCAGGGTACGTCGGGGCGCGGCGAGGGCGTTTCGTTGCAGCTCCAGGACGGGGCGCACACCATGAGCGCCGCGCGAGGCAGCGAGCCGTCAAAGTCGGCGACGTCGACCACGCAGGCGAGCACCGCCGTGCGGTCCTTCATGACCGCGTTCCGGATGCGTTTCGCCACCGCGCGCCGCAGGGAGAACCCAGGGAGGGCCTCCTCCGCCTCCTGGCTCTTGACGCGCCCGTAGTGGATCAGCGAGTAGCACCGCGCGCACAGAATCGCGTTCGGATCCGACGGCATGTCCTCCGGCCCCATGGGAACGTACCCCCTGCAGCGAGGACGCGAGAACACTACGCGCAATGAGGCACTGTGCACGGGCGCGCTCGCCGCCCCCGCACGCCACGCGCGCGCCCCGCACTCACCCCTTCCGGTACTTGTCGCCGCGGCGGTACTCCTCCTCCGGCTCCGCGTCGTCGTCGTCCAGCCACCCCTCCACCATGTCGTCAAACGCGTCGAACAGCGCGTCCGCGTCCTCCTCCGCCACGGGCTCCCCCGCGCCGCTGTCGCCCGCGAGCATCCCGTCCGCGCCCCACCCGGGCTCGCCCGCCATGTCCACCACCATCACGTGCGAGTCGTCGTCTTCGTCGCTGTCGTCGGCGCCCCCCGCATCCTCCCCGTCGCTGTGGCTCGCCGCGAGCTCGGAGGGCTCCAGCTGGGCTGCCTCGCCCCAGCCCCCCTCGAGCGCGGGGGCCGCGTCCTCTCCCGCGCCTTCCTGGGACTCCCCCCCCATCGCGTCGTTCAGAAGAGAGTCCATGATGCGCTTCGGCACCTGCACAGGAGCGGGCGGGGCGCACCGCAGTCAGGGTGCCGCTCCGAGCTTCGACGGCGAGCGCTCGTGCGGGCTCGGGGCGCTGCTCGTCCCCGCGCCCCCGGGACCGCGGCGCGCACCTGGAAATACCCAGGCGCGGACGGGTCCTTGTTTTGCAGCTTGATGCCGCAGCCCTGACACGTGTCGCTGTCAAGAACCTTGGACAGGTCGATCCCTGCAGGGCCCGAGGAACGTGTAGTGAGGTTGTCAGCCACGTTCGCAACGCGCGCGCGCGCCCCAACGCGTCCTTCCTCGCCCCCTGAACCGCCCGAGGCCTCCATGTGACGGGATCAGAACGGGATGAAAGCGTCCCGGATCTCTCGCGTACATCCTAGAATCCCGGAACCGAGGGAATTCCGCGTTGCAAAAGTCCCGTCCCGGGCAGGCGAGGCGGCTTTCACTCACCGGCTGCCGCCATCTCGCCGCTGTGCGCTGCCAGCCGCTCCGCGCGCTGCATTGCCTTGCGCTGCTGGCTCCTCGCGATGTTCCTCTCCTTGGACGTGCCGGCCATCCCCCTCGCGCCGCACAGCGCCCCTGAAGCGGCGTTCGGCGGGCGCGTTGCTGGCCCCTGGTGCAATGGCACCCGCGCAGCCGTTGGGGCGCGCAAATGCGAGGTTTGCAGCATCGCTGCGAGGCCCGACATGGTACTGGTGAAGCGCTGAGAGCGAAACAGCCTGCTCATCCAGCAGCTGGCTGCGCCCGTTCCAGGAAGACCTCCGCGCTGCACACACAGAAGATGGACGTGCTCGCGGCGCAGTGAGGCGACCGTGCAAGCCGACGCCCGCCAGACTGGCCCGCAGCGATCGGCCCTCCAGCCCCTGGTAGTCCCGCCAGTCGGGGATGTACGTGGGCACTTACTGCGGGAGCAAGTCCGACGCTGTGTGCCGCGGCCGTGGTGCACGCGGGCATTGCTGGCGGCCGCGGTGCGCTCTCGGGGACTTCGTGCACCGACCGCGGGTCTTGTCCGCGCCGTTCAGCCAGTGCTGCTGCCTGCGCGGCCGGTTGGCTTCTGTTGTTCTTCCTCGCGGGCCCACGGGCGAGGACGAGGGCCGGAGCGCACCGGGGGCGGTCTTGACCAACGCGTAGGCCGTCAGAGGGGGGGTTAAGATGGACAGGGGCAAGCATCCCAACAAGGAGTACCGGGATCCCCGGACCTGGATGGTCGATGGCATTCCGATCCCGCAACTGCCGATGTCCGAGGTACGCCTCGCCTCTCCGGTGCCTGCTTCGCCTCGCATGTCTTTTCCTCCGTCCGCGACACGTGCCGCTTGGGCGACGCGAAAAGCGGATAGCGTGCCGGAGCCCGGGGAGCGAGAGGAGGCACAAAGTCGTCGCAACCACGCTCTCTGCTGCCTGCCGCCGTCGTGGTTCTCGGCGAGGAGCATCTCGCTTGCTGTTCCATGCCAGGGCACCGCTCGTGCTGCGCCGCGCCGCTGCCGCGCGACGCATACCGTCGAACAGACTGCTCCGAGGCAACCTCACTGCTTTCCCGCGCTGTGGACGCCCGCCGAGCTGCTCCCCGACCACCACCGGCGACTGCAGGATGAGATGGCGCGTGAGAACATCCCGCGCGCCTACCGGGACGCGTGTGCGCACATCCTAGTGCCGCTCAACAAGTGCCGTGACAAGCACGGCCACTCGCTCTGGTCCTGCAAGCGCCTCCGCCACGACTACTACCTCTGCCAGCACAAGGTCCGTCGCTCCCACGGCGCCGGCTCGCCTCGCAGCGAGCCCGCCCGCCCACCGCCCGCCCACCATGGCGCGACCACCCTCCGCCCCCCGTCCCGCTCGCAGGAGGTGATCCGGAAGATGGCCATCCGCAACGAGATGCAGAAGCAGGGCAAGCTGCCGCCCAAGCGGTGGGAGAACCCGTCGCCGGAGTACGTGAACGAGATGCGTGCCAACGGGGTCAAGGGCTACGAGGGGTACGGCGCGTACGTCCCGGACGCCTCCAAGGGCGCCGACGTGCCGCACGCGCGCCCGGGGCAGGTCCCGTCCGCGCCGACCAACCGCCCCGCGCCGTGGAAGGTCCTCTTTTTCTGGGGCGACTACGACGGCAACCACTCCCCCGTCAAGGTCGAATGACCGCCCGCGCGCATGTGAGCCCCGAGACTCGTGCGGGCGTCACACGCCGCCCGCCGCCCGCGGGGCGCGCCGGACGGCCACGTCGAACGCGCCCGCGCGCTCCACCACGCGCGCCCCCCGCGCTCGCAGGAACTCCGCCACCGCGCGCCGCAGCCGCGACTCCCCGTCCCGGCTGTGCGCGCCGTGCCCCGTGACCACCCGCAGCGGCCGCGCCCCCGCCCCGCGCGCCTCCGCCGCCAGCCCCTCCTCGAGCAGCGCCACGCGCTCCTGCAGCGCCCCCAGCGCCTCGTCCACGTGCAGCCCGTGCAGGTCCAGCCGCCACAGCCCGCCGTCGCCCCCGTCCGCCACGGGGCCCTCGTTCGTCGCCGCCTGGATCGCCGCCGCCGCCGTCCTGCCCTCCGCCTCCACCCTGTCCTTCCACGACCGGCCCGCCTCCGCCCACCGCCGGGCCGCCGCCTTGTCCCCGGCAGCGTCTGCGCACGCGCACGGTGGGCGCGCGAGTGAGCGGGTGCGGGGCCGCGCGTGAGGGCGTGCGTGTGCGTGGGGTGTCTGCCTGCGTACATGCGCGCTGGGATTGCTCGATGCACTTGCGCCACTCCCGCGCGGCCTTGGCCTCGCCCCTGCGCTCCCGGCGGTACAGCTCCTGCTTCTGCTCCGCCGCGCGCTCCCGCTCGCGCGCGCTGCCCCGCGGCACCATCGCTTTCAGCGCAGCGGCCGCCGCGTCGACGTCATCGCCGCTCGCCTCGAGCACCGCCGCGATGACGGATGGCTCCGCGGCTGGGAACTTCGCCGAGAGCTCGTCAAGCGGGCCGCGCGGCGCCGGGCGCGCGCTGGACGGCCGCGCCGCGCCGGGGTGGCGTCGCGCGTGGCGGGTGTGCACAAACTGGGGACCCTGCGGAGCGCCCGGTGCGCTGGGCGGAGTGGCCGACAGCTCGCTCCAGGACGTAAAGTGGTGGTTCTGTGACGCCGGCGTCGACGAGCCGCGCGAGACCGACCGACTCGTGGGCGCGGACGGGCTGTCCGGTGCCACCGCGGCTAGGGCGTCGCCGGCGCGTGCGACGTCGCCGCCGTGCGCCGCCAGGACGCGTGCGACGTCGGACTCACGAAGATGAGGGAAGATTCGCGCCAGCTGGGCTACCGCGGGGTCGGGTCTGGCCCCGCAGGCGGCCATGTTCCTGGTGGCTGCGACACCACGCGCCGCTGCCGCCGCGAGCAACGCGTGTTGTGCAGCCGTTCGGGGCCCGGTAGCGAATGTACGTCGCTGCGGTGCCATCCGGCGGCGATCTTGGCCGCCTGCGCCCTGTGCGAGCATGCCATGTCTGCGGGAGAGTCCCGGCGCTCAGGTCGGGCGCACGTGCGCGTGCGGGGGCCCGGCCAGACTAGCCCGCCGGTGCGTTGCGGCAGCGCCTCGCGCGGCTGGCGCATTTCGAGCCCGGCCGTCGTCTCCAGGACGCCCTCACTTTCAACCGGTCCGAGAGGGAGCGCCGTAGTGCACCTCCCGGGCGCTCCGAGCTGGCGCGAAACGTCGCCCGCCCGGAGGTCCGCAGCTGGCTAGAATCCTGCGGCATCGGGCAAGGGGGCCGGCACGATTTTGATCAGAAGCGGACAGTTCCAGCGCCGGGGGACCGCCCCCGACTACAAAATGACGCTCAGCAGGCAGTGAGCCGCGGCCCTGCTGCGTGGCGCTGAGGCCGACGAACCTGCAGCCCGGGCACGTCATGGAGGTCTTCAAGGCCGCGAAGGGCGCGGAAGGCCCGAAGATAGCCACACCGCTGCCGTCGCAGCTCGCAACGGGCAGCGCGCAGGCGTCCAGTGCTCTGTCCACGAGGCCCGCGTCAGCGTCGCACGCGAGCCGCAACAGCGATGCCTCCGTCTCCCAACCGGGCAAGACGCGCGTCCGGCGCAAGTCGAGCGGCCTCCCGAAGTCCGTTCCGCCCGGGAGGACCATCCCGGAAGAGCACGCAAACGCTGAGGAGGAGGCGAGGCCCGCGAACAAGGGCATCGCGCTGCGGTCCTCGGTGAGGAACTACAAGAAGGACTTCGACGTGTACCCGTCGTGGGAGCCGGACCTGGCGCGGGCGGACGCCGTGGCGGCCGAGTCGGGGCTGTTGAAGGGCCGCAAGGTGGGGGGCGCGCCGGCGGACGCCGGGGCGCTGCGACGGGGCAAAAAGTCGACGAACCAGCTCAACAAGGAGCGGCAAGCCATCGAGGTCAATCGAGGTGCGCGAGGCCGCGTCACCGTGATCCCGCCCGCATGCTCTTTGCAGCTGTGTGCGTTGGCAGTCGTTGTTGTTGGTGGTGGTGCGCGACGGTCCGCTGTCGTCGCCGCGCGTGTCGCAGAGAACAAGCGCCTGTACCGGAAGCTCAAGGACATCTCCCGGGAGCCCCCCGCCCGCTTCCACGCCCCGCTCGGGTCACAGAGCCTGGCGCCCTCCGCCAGGCGGCACGGGCCCACCACCCGGCCGGACGAGCACGGCAGGCCGCCCGAGGTGCGCCGGCGCAGTACCCCGAGCACCCGGCCCCCGCCGGCCCCCTACCTGCGTCCGCAACCAGCCGACCTCCCCCGGAACCTTCCCGCCGCACACCGCAGGCGTGGCCGCCCGGCGGAGATGCCGCGCGTGCGCACGCGGGCGCGCGCGCGTACCAGCTGCACAGCGAGGGCAAGCGGATCCGCGCGGGCAACGCGACGATGAAGAAGAAGGTCACGCAGCCCTTCGCGAACGACCCGGGGTTCAACTCATACGGCGCGGTGATGGGCAGCGTGGAGGTGGACGCCGGGGCGCTGTGGCCGCGGCGCGCGGAGCTGTGGGACGCGCAGCACCCGATGGCGGCGGCGGCGCGGGAGCAGCGGGCGAAGCTCGGCGCGCGGGCGCGGCCGCACAGCGCGGCGGCGGCGCGGGAGCGGGAGGCGTCGCGGAAGGAGCGGGCGCGGGCGGCGCTCGCGGCGCGGCCGGCGTGGGACGATACGGCGGCGGAGTGCCACGCGGCGCCGGGGGGGCCCACGAAGGCGATGGGGGTGGGGTCGTGCGCGGGATGCGGGCGGCGGCGGTTTTGGCGGGGCGACGGGGTGGACCTGTTCGCGTGCGAGAAGTGCGGGCGGGCGCTGTACTGCAGCGAGGCGTGCGCGCTGATCGACTGGATGGTGCACCGCCGGGAGTGCGCGTGGCGCAGCAAGGGCGTCAAGGCGGTGCGCGGTGTGGAGGAGGAGTCGTGGGTGGTCAACGGGGCGTACGCGGAGGTGCGGCGGCGGCTGCGGGCGGGGGAGCTGGAGCCGGACGAGGCGTGGCGGCTGTACCAGGCGCGCCGCGAGAAGGAGCTGCAGCGCGAGGCCAACGCTGCCGAGCTGGTCAAACGGGACCGCCTGGGCATGGACACGGCGCGCCCGTGCTGCGTGCCGGGGGCGGGGGAGCCCTCCAAGGTGTACGACCCGAACCTGCGCGGGGGGCGCGCGGCGAACGGGCGCGTGATGATGGTCAACGTGGGGCGCAGGGTGCTCATGGCGCGCGTGGCCGCGAGCGGGCGAGCGGCGAACGTGGGGCGCGCGGGGGCCGCGGAGCTCGGGGCGACGGCCGTCAAGCGGGCCGCCGCGGAGTCGCGGGGGCGCAAGCTGGAGGGCACGATGACGATGACGGCGACAGCGCGGGCGCGCTTGAACGCCACGGGGCAGTGACGCCGCGCACCGCGCCGAGGCGGGACGGGGATGTGATCGGCAACAACCAGCGCCGTTTGTCGCATGCGCTCGCGTGCGTTCGCGTCACTCTCGAACCAGCGTCACGCGTCTACGCGACACATGGTGACGTCGTAGTCGTACACGGCGATCGCGCGGCCCTTGGCGTCGAAGTAGAGCTGGTCCTGCGGCTGCAGATACTCCGCCCGCCGCTGCCGCGCGCGCACCACCCCGTCCCGCTCCACCTCCCACCGCCACAACACCTCGTAATCCTCCACCTCCACGCGCCGCGGGGCCACCAGCACCTGCCGGCAGAACTCCGACGCGCACCACGCGCGGTCCCCGCCCGCCGCCGCGGGCCCGGACGCGCGGTTGTTGATGCCCACCTCCAGGCGCTTGGGCGGCAGCGGGCGCAGGTCGGCCCCCAGGGTGCTGAAGGTCAGCACGAGCTTGTTGTTGGGGGACTTTGGGTCGTACTCGGCGTCGAACACCGCCTCGAAGCCGAGGAAGGACTTCGTGCGCGCGTTGAACGCGGACCGCGCGTTGAACGGCCGGTCGGACTGCACGGGGCCGCCAGGCTGCGTCCGCACGAAGCGCAGGGGGTACGTGGTCGTCGACCCGACGCCGCCCTCGGACGCGGGCCTGCGCGCCGCCTCGGCACTACCTGCGCGCAGCCGTCAGCGGTGCGCGCGCGCGTGAGGGGCCGCGTGGGAGCCTCGAGAGCCCATATGGGCATGTATGTCATGATCCCGGGATGAGCACGGGCCATCGTCGCGTCGGCGCCCCGGCAGCGGGTACCTGGATGCGCGAACCGAGGTCCGAGCGGCGTGCGGAAGTTCGTGAAGGTGCTCGTGACCGTCCAGTCGCCCAGCAAAAAGTCGGGGAACTCCAGCGCCTTGCTCGCCGGGCCGAACGGAGCGGCCGGGTTGAGACCTGGACTGACGATGTCGCCGTCGGTCAGCACGCGCTCCTCCAGCGACATCGCCGCCTGTGCCGGGGCGCAGGGAACTGCGCCTGCCAGCACGGCCGCGAGGGGCGCCGCGAGGGCCGTGCGTCGCCCCAGCGCGCCCGCCGCTTCAGCCACGAGTGCAGGCTCCGCGGTCTCGCAGCTGCGACTCGTGCTCCTCGCAGCGGGGCGCGCATGGGCACCTGGCGTTGCGTGGCGCCCACAGCGACAAGACCGCCTCGATGGAGCATCTGCCGTCCACCTCACCCGCCACAGTGCGCGTCTCTCGACGGTTTCACGTGTAATCAAGCGATTCACGCGCTCCGACGCCTCGCATCTCGTTGTCAGTGTCCTGGCGGGGCTTGAGACGTGTGAAGTGATTGGGTGGTGCAGCGCCATCACGCGAGGTCAGCCTCGGCGCACGACTCGGCTCGCAGACACTGTCCTTCGGCGCTGGACCCGGTGGGCCGCTGCGAGCGACCTTGTCGAGAGTTGCCGCGCGGGGGGGGCGTGTGAGCACCGCTGTCGGTGCCGCAGAGCCCCCGCACGGCGCGCCTTCGACGCCCCGCGACGGCCCGGCGCTACGGCACAACCGTGTTAGCGATGCCGACCACTGCGCGCCCTTCCATGGCGACCCCAGTCCCATGACCAGGCTCGACGCCTCAACCACCACGTAGACTGCATCTCCCTCGCGCGCACGGGGGCCGCCTGCTCGGAGCCGCGCATCGCCGGCTGCGATCCCCAGCATGCCGAGCATCCGCGACGCCACCGAGCAGCTCGAGGGCGCGCCGCGCTTCTGCCCGATCTTCGAGCTCAGCCAGTTTCACACGCAGCATGGGGCGGAGTTCGCCGCGTACTGGCGGCAGCTGTCGCAGGAAGACCGCGCCTCGCACCTGAGTCACGCACTGCCACACCTCCCGGAGGCAAGTGCGCCGCGAATGCCTGTCTCCGCGACCGGCGCGCGACGGTCGTGTTATGACTCACCCGATCCGACCCTTCTTCTCGCGCCCACGCGCGTGCTCCACGGCGCTCACCCCGGAAACCCTTGTCCTCGTCGCAGAGCCTCCGTTCGTGCTCAATTTTCCACGCGGCCCTTTACCCGGACGCCACCAAGGCGTATCTCCTCTCGGACAACGGCGAGAAGCTCCTCGAGCTCATGCGGGACCGGGGCGACCTCGAATGCAAGCATCTCCCGGAACTTCCAGCGTGAGCACCCACGGTCCTTCCGTGCCGACCGCAATAGGCGCTCCCCGAGGGGTGTGTGGCGCCCGCGCGGGCTGCTGTCCTGCCAACAGCATGGCACGCGACCCGCGCGCGCGCGCGTGGCGCTCCCCGGTGGGCGCCGCCGATCCCGTCCGCGCGGCAGGCGGGGGGTACCAGTCACCAAACAGCCGGCCCGCTGGCCGTTGGCGGCCCGACTCGCCCGTGATTTCGCGGCGCCTCGGCAGCGGTTGGGCCACACCATCGGCAGCCGTCCTCCGCGCTCGCCCGCCGCGCGCCCACGTTCCCGACGTGCGTCGCACGCGTTTCCCTCGACCGCTGCAGGGAGCTGTTCGACGTCGTCGAAAGCCTCCACGCGGGCGCGCGGCCGTGGAATGTGCCCCTGCTGGACCCCACCAGCGTCCTCTTCGCCGAGGTCAAGCACTTCCGCGCGTGGACCCTCCACGTCCACGACCTCCGCGTCTGCCAGCGCGCCCTCGCCCCCGCCGGCCCCCTCCCGCGCGCGCACCCCCTCGACCTGTACAGCGGCGGCATGGTGGGCGAGGGACACTTTTTCAAGCTCGACCCCAGGTGAGAGGCCCCGCGCCCGCGCCGCCGCGCCCCCCGCGCCCCAGCCCGCGCGCCCCGGCCTCCGCCGACGCCCGCGCCGCCGCGCCGCCCTCGCAGCGTGTCGCCGGAGACCCGGTCCAAGATTGAAGCGACGGGGCTGATCGCGCAGGCCGACGTGGCCGCCCTGCTGCCGAAGCGCATCGTCGGCCTCTGCAACATGCTGATGCACGTCGCCGGCGCGTACATGCGCTGCTGGCGGCCCGCGGAGGGCAAGGCGCCGGCCAGCACGCCCGCCGTGCAGGAGCACCCGCACCCCGCGGGGGAACTGAACCAGCTGGAGCGGTTCTGGCACTCGGGCGCGCGCGAGGCCTTCGAGCAGTTCTGGGCGGAGCTCCCCTCGGACGCGTGGCGCCAGCGGCAGCTGCGCGGGATCCTGCGCGCCGAGCAGCAGCAGCGCCTGGCGCGCGGCGGCGAGCTGCTGCTGTCGATGCGGCGCTGCCTGCGCGCGGCGCACGACCCGGGGTCGGACCACGCGGCGCTCGAGGAGGAGGCGGCGGGGTACGTCGCGGCGGCCCGGCGGTTCGCGCGGGAGTGGACGCGGGGCCCGAACGACGTGCTCGCGCGGCTGGTGGGGCCGGACATGCGCATGCCGCGCGTGTGCCTGCAGTGCGGCGTGAGCCCGGAGTTCCAGCGGGAGCGGGGCGTGCTGATGCGGTGCGGGCACTGCAAGCTCGCCGAGTACTGCTCCCCGGAGTGCCAGGAGCGGCACTGGGAGCGGCACGCGGCGCGCTGCGCGTGCTGGGGCGCCCTCGCCGACGCGGCGGAGGAGGGGGCGGACACGCCGTGGATGGTGCAGCAGGCGCGGGCGATCGCCCTGGCCGCCCGACTCCGCGACCGGAGCTTCTTCCCGCCCGACTGAGGAACAACAGTGGACATATGCATGCAAAACTCCCCCCTACCCTCCCCCCCCCCACCCCGGCAGTGTATGCTCCTGCAAGGACCTGCAAGAACGGCGACCCGCGGGCAACGAGAGGCGGTGCGAGGGTCGACGCCTTGCACCTCCAGCGAGCGTTGTGCCCCGCCCGATGCCTCCGGTCTGCGCCGCGTGAAGCCGCGCAACGAAGCATTCCGCAGGCCTCGGACCGCGCAGCTGCGACGCCGCGGGAGCGTGTGGCGATAGACTCAGACATATACTTCATGCAGCTAGTTCAGACATTGACGTTTTCACCCAGCACATGTGCACCAGAGGTCCGACCTCACGCCGTGTGAAATCTCGCGCCTACACTTACAAGTCATTCGACCCTGCGTGCGTCGCTGCGGTCACTTCGGGGGATGGCTAAACAATCAAACTGAAACCTTTTTCTGAAACAGGAGCCTGCGCACAGATCCACCAATGTGCGCTCAGAATGGCAGTCCCGACCCTAACCCGCCTCCCAGCCCAGGCGGCCCGCGGCGCCCGCCCATCCGGCCCCCCAGGCGCCCCCCCAGTCCCCCCGGCCCACCAAACGCACCCATGCCTCCCCCCAGCGGACCGCCCCCCAACGCCCCGAACCCACCCCCCGGCATGAGGTCGTAGTCGCCGCCGATGACGCCCGGCTGCGGCACCGGGCCGAGCGGGAACGGCGGCCCGTGCGGCAGGGGCGCAGGTGGCGGGACGCCCCCCACAGCGCGCCTCCGGAGCGTGTCGGCCGCCCGCGCGCGCCGCCGCTGCTCCTCGACCTCCTGCCGGAACAGGCGCTTCCAGCCGTAGCGGCGCGCGACGTCCCGCTGGTGGATCGATATGCTCGAGGCACCAAAGTGGCGCGTGAAGAGGGGTTGCCACAGGGCGTCGTCCGACGCGCGGATCTCCATCTCACGGCACGTGCACGACATCCGGCACAGCTCCGGGTAGTCCATGAACGAAAGAATCAGCCCCTGCGGCGCGTGGGCGGGCAGGGCCGGACCGCGAGGTTGAGGGGGCGGTGGCTTGCGTGTGTCGGTATGGGGGACGCGTGGGGGGGGGGCGGCCAGGGCATCGGGCGCACCTTGACGTCCGCGGGGAGGTGCGTGATGGAGAACGGCGGCGTCACGCCCGCCACGCGGCAGCACACACACACGGCCTCCCGCGCCACGCGCCGGACCTCCGCGATCGCCTCCTCGGGGCGGCGCGCCAGCGCCGCCCAGCCCGCCCCGCCCGCGACCGCCGGCGCCTGCAGGGCGGCGAGCGGCAGGCGCAGCACGCCCGAGGCGCCCCCGCCCGTGGCCGCACCCTCCGCTCCGACCGAGACCGCCAACAGCGCCTGCGGGCCGAGGCACGTCCCGCGGATGGCGCACGGCACGTCCGCGGCGCCCTCCGCGGCGCCCTCGAGGCCCGCGACGGGGTACGCGTAGCTCCCGGCCAGGCTCTGGGAGGTGGTGGGCAGCCAGCTGAGGGGGGCCTCCGCGGGGGCGTCCCGCGAGGGGCGGAACCCCGACTCCAGGAGGGCGGCGTGCAGGAGGAGGCAGAGGGCGTCGACGACGCGCCCGTGCTGCACGCCGGCCGTCCACGAGTGGTGCAGCGGGAGGGTGCGCTGTGAGGGCGTGTCGCAGCGCGCGACGCCGCGCGGTGGGGCGGACGCCTCGCCGTCGGAGGTGTCCACTTCCATGGCCTGGCCGGGGGCGGTGACTTCCGCGACCGCCGGCACCGGCGGCGCGGCCTCCGCGCGGCTGGCCTGGCTGGCGGTGGCCGTCGAATCTCCCCCCAGGACGAACAGGAGGTCCCCCGAGTGGATGTCCAGCGCGCTGAGGGGCGTTCCTGGCTCGTCGGCCGCAATGACGTCCTTCTTGTTCAGCGACAGCTGCACCTGCGCGCAGTTCCACACGGCGCGGAGGCAGGGAGCTCAAACCCCAGAACCTGCGCGCCCACACGCCCGTCCCGGACGTTCGGCGCAGCTCCGAGCTACACATGATGCAAGGATGATCTGGGGATGCTTGAATCTGGCATCAAAAGCGTCTCGCGACGGAGGAGGGCAAAGGTACGCTGCTTGCACCCCTGCACGCGCGCACGGGCCATCCAAGCAGACGCGCGGTGCGAAACGTGATAAAATCAGCGTACAGAGCACGTGAGGTTGATCCGTGGGCCAGTCGGCGTCCTGAGACCGTCGCAGTCGGCGTGCGGAGATGTGGAAGTTGGTCTGGTTGCGTGCCTGGTCGACGTCTACGCCCCCGAGCACCTCCGAGGCCACCGCCGCGTGCAACGTGGAGATGGTGCTGTCATTCTCGACCGCGATGCGCACGGTCTGCCCGCTCGGCGTCCTGATTCGCAGCTTCATGGCCGCAACGAGGTCAGGGGCCCCAGCTCCCACGGAATCCGCCTGGGTCGGTGCGCAGCCTCACGTCTCTGGTGTCGTCCGCGTCGCCTGGCGGGCGGACAGCGTCCGAGTGCCGCGCGCCGGTGCGCCGGCGGGACGTTGTGCCCGTGCTGTTGGACGCCCCGGGGATGCGAGTGTCCGCGTCCCGTCGGGGCGCCCCCCGAGCGCCGCCTCAAACGTCCGCGCGGAGACGTGGCCAGAGCAGAGGCTCGCCGTGCGCCAGCTCCGAGCCCTGCCTGCTCGCTTGTCGCGCGGCGTCGCGTCCTGTGTGCATACCAGCACCGGTGGCCACGCCCGTCCCGCGCTGCACGAAGGTCGCTGGCCAAGGTCGTCGCTGATGCCACGTTGACATTCTGGCGGAGCCGTCGCGCCCAGACGAGCTGCGGCGCACCGCCCGGCTGGCCTGATGGCCGGCTCGCAGCAGGCGGGGGCGCTCGCCCACGAAGTGCTCTCCGGATTCCCGCCCGTCGAGCATGCGTTCGCGTACGGGAGCGCGGCCTTCTACCAGCCGGGTCTCTACGACGGCGCGGCTCCATCGGAGGCCGGCGGCGGTCCCCCGACCGGCGACGATCGGCGGGCACGCACGCAGGGCCTTGCAACGGACCTCGCGTCGCGGCCCGGGGCGGCGAACGGCCCGATGCTGGACCTCATGTTCATTGTCCGTGATCCACACGAGTGGCACGAGCAAAACATGCAGCAAAACCCATCTCACTACCGCGGCGTCGCCGCACTCGGGCCCGGTGCAGTTGCGTGGTGTTCCGACGCGATCGGTGCGGGCGTGCACTTCAACAGGTGCGGGCCTCGGCCCCTGCGCGCAACGAGCGCTCGTTCCGCAGCCCGCGGGCGAGTCACAGTTCGGGAGCGCGGCCGACCGTGGCGGCGCGAGGGTGTGTTGCGCGCAGCATGGTGCCGTTCCGTGGGCGGATGATCAAGTACGGCGTGGCGCGGACTGGCCGCGTCGTGACGGACCTCCTCACGTGGCACGACCTCTACGTCGCGGGCCGCCTCCAGAAGCCGGTGCTGTTCCTCGGCGGTGATTCCGACCACGACGACGCGGCGCAGGGCCACCGCTCGCTGCTGCGCAAGGCCCTGGCCGAGTCGCGCTTGCGAGCCCTCGCAGCGTCGCTCCTGACGATGCCCAGAGAGTTCACGGAGCGCGAGTTGCTCGCCTGCGCAGCGTCGCTGTCGTACACGGGCGACGTCAGGATGGGCATCGCCGAGGACCCGCGCAAGGTCGAGCGCATCGTGCAGGGCAGGTGCGTCCGTGTGGCCGCGCGGCAGGTCGCACTCGACGCCGCGGTGCGATGAGAGAGGCGTGCGTGACTGCGCCGCCACCGCTCGATTTGGATGCCCTCGCGCCCCGGGCTTGCGTTCCAGCCGCGCTCGACGCCTCTCGATGACACCGGCCGGCCGAAACCCGTGTGCAGTTACGGCCAGCTGAGGGACGCGTACCACGGAGCCATGTCGGAGCTGTACGCGTGGCAGCTGATTCGACCCCGGGAGAGCGACGACGAGACGGGGCGTGTCCGGCTCTGGCAGCCGATGGACGAACCAGCGCGCGCGCGGCTCGTCGCGAGCCTGCCCCCCGCCATCCTGGCGCGGCTGGCGGCGCACTGCGGGGTCCAGGTGCGGCCAGCGCAGAGCTTGCAGACCGCACCCTGCGCCTGGATGCGGTCGGTCCTGGACGACGACCAGCGGCGCGTCCGCGCCGGTCGGAGCGGGGGACGAGACGCCGCGGCGGGCATCCTCGACGAGACCCTGGGCTTGGCCTGGCTGGGGTACGGCGCCACCGAGGCGATTTCGCTCGGGCTCGCGGGCAGACGCGACCTGCCGCGGCTGCTCAAGCGGGCGGTGAGAGGCGTCGTGCGTCGCTCGAGCTTCCGCCAGGCTGCGGGGGGGCTGCTCGCCAATGGGCCCGCTGTGGCCCTCTCGTATGCCCTCTCCAAGGCAAAAAAGGCGTTCCGCGGACGGCTGAGGGGCGGCTGAGAGGCGGCATGGGCAGCCGACGACCAGATGGTGTGAGGCGGCGAGGAGGCGCTCGCGTTGTGATGCGAGAAAGTGTGTACAAGAATCACTGGGCTGTTGACAGCCGTCAACCGTCGCGCATCGAGTCTGGCTGCTGCGCGAGCCGCCTCAGCGACTGTGCCGTCGCCTGCCCGACCTTGAGTCCCTGCGTGCTCCCGCCCGTGCGCTGTATCCGCGCCAGCTTCGTGGCCCTGTACGCCTGGATGGCCTCCTCGCGCAGCGCCTCCTGCTGCGCCTTGGCGCGCAGCCCGACGGGCTTCTCCTTGCCGCCTGTGCGCTTCTTGAACACGTCCGAAGACGCCTTCACGCCCGTGCGCGCCTCCGCCTCCTGCAGGACACAAACACGTGCGCGAGTTGGGCGACACGCGTGGCGTGTGTGGCGCGACGGGGGGCCCATCTGGTCTCGCCGCCACTGCCGCATGCGCGTCGCGGTGCTCGAGCGCGTCGCACCTCTATCCGCCGCGCCAGGAGGTCGCCCAGCTTGGCGCCCTTGCTCGGCGCTTGATGGCCCTTCCGCTGGGACGCCGCCTCCGCCTTCGCCCAGTGTCTCCGCTTCAGGTTGAAGCTCGGGACGTTGTGCACGACCTCGCCGAACGCCACGTTGTCGCTGGGGAGCTCGTCCTCCGCGCCGTCGTTCCGGCCCTGCCTCTTGCTCTTCTTGAGCTTCTTCTTCAGCTTCAGGTGCTCCCTCCGCCTCTCCTTCTTCGTCTTCGCAAACAGCCTCTCGGACTCCCGACCGCCCTTCTTGGCACCGCCTGGGACCACGGTTCAAGGAGCGAACGCAGGAACGGTCAACGCGGCTCCGCCGCACCCCGCGCCGGGGCCAGCCTCGCGGTGTGTCCGAGGGGCGCTGTGACGAGCAGGCGCCGCGGAACGCGCAGGCTGCATCGGCGCGCGCGGCGGGCTGTCACCTCGCGTCTTCTCCCCCTCGCCCTGGCGCGCATCCTGGTCCTTCCCGCCCGTCTCGCCGTCGGAGTCGCCGCCTGCAGCGGCCGCTTTCCCCGCCTTCTCGTCCGCGGGGGACGCCTTGTCCGAACTCGCGGGCGCCGTTGCCTTATCCCGGGAGCCCGCGTTTGCTGCACCGGGAGCGGACCCCGCGAGGCCCTGCTGCTTCGCCAGGCGCTCCGCTTTCTTCGCCCTGGCCACCTGCGGCGACGTGGGTGTCTGGGGATCCTCGGTATCGCGCGACCGTGCGGCGACTGCCGCGCGAGAGACGGCGCTGGGCGCGACGGCTGAGTTGCACAGCAGTCGGCTGTCGGGCCCCGCATGCCGAGCGGCCGCGTCCATTTCGGCAGCGTTGGGCGCGGACGGGTCGCCGAAGGTGTCGCCTGTCTCGCGCGGGGCATGCGCGCGGTCCTCGCGCACGGACGTCCCCCGCACCTCGTCCAGCTCCATCATCCGCCGCATCGACCTTGGAACGTACTCCCGCTCCTTTTTCGCATCTATCTCACCCTCCAGCTTGGCTAGCGCGAACGCGCTCGCCTTCCCGAACTGTGCTTTGTACAGGTTCGACTCGTTGGCCGCCAGCTGGCGCTTGGCGCGCCGTCGAGCGCTGAGACCTCGTCCCATGCTCTGCCACCCGCCTCACGCCTCGGTTCGGGGCTGCGGGCGCGCGTTCATCCCCTGCGTGGCCTGATTCAGGTCCGACCACGCCACGTGTCGCGAGAAACAGCCCGGGGGTCGCCGAACAGCGGGTCAATCAGCCCAGGTGTTGCCAGCGATTGGAAAGCCGGTTGGTGGACGGTAGGCGGCGGAACGACCTTTCGTTCTGCCTTTCCGGTGAACCTCGAGCGCAAGTGCATGCAGTGCGCGGCCGACGCGCCCTCAGTGCCGCACACGCTGTTCGCTTGGGGAGGACACGATGGTACCCCTCCGCACCCGTCTGCCCGCGCTTCGCCGGCCTGCTCTGTCACATGGGCCGCGCGGCACGCCGGAGGCGACAAGTGTCGTTTGCTCGGTCCGTCTAGACGCAGTGTCGGTGCACACGCGGCGCTGGTAGAGGGCACCCAACTTGGCGTGTTCTGTTCGCTCCGAGAGTCTCCTCGCGACGCCCGGAGCGGCGGTGCCTTTCATCGCACAGCACCGGGCATCGCTCACACAAGCGTGTGCCCTCCTGCTACGCCGCTCGCTAGCTTCGCCCGCACGGCGGCCGCACGGAGCCGAGCGGTTGCGCCATGGCGGGCGACGAGGCAGGCCGGGACACCGTCCTCGTGGACACCGCGAAGATCGCCTCCGAGACCCAGTGTGCAATTTGCATGGAGGTCATCAAGAAGTGCAAGACGATTCCAACTTGCATGCACCGCTTCTGTACGGAGTGCATCGAGTCGTCACTGCGCCTGGCGAAGCCAGAGTGCCCGTTCTGCCGCGTAGCCATCGGGAACAGGTGAGTGAGCGACACCGCGGTGCTGCGGAGCGCTCCACGCCGCCTGTGTCCCGCGAGGAGCGCTCGGGAGGCGGCACTCCCTGTCCGTGCACCTGCGTCCCCGCCGTTTGGGCGGGATCGCGAGCGGAGCCTGTTCTGCGCCCTCGACGCAGGCGTGTGGTGAAGCCGGATCCAGCCTACGACCAGCTCATAGAAGCGCTGTACGGCAACGTCGAGGAGTACGAGAGGAAGCGTGAGGAGCAGATGATGGTGGGCTGCACACGCTCACACGCGGACACGCAGCGACGTCGCAGCGGCAGCCGCCCCGGGCCTCCCAGCACCGTCCGCGTCGCGCTGCCTCCACGCCCGCACGTTCTGTTCCCCTCGGCGCGCAGGCATTCCTGCGGAAACGGAAGCTGGAGCAGACGGCGCAGATGGAGCAGGCGCAGGACCACCTCAAGCGGCAGGAGCTGGCCGCGCGCGAGGACTGACCGCACGCAGCGCAGCCGCCGCTGCCCAGCGCCTCTCGTGCGTGGATCACAGCCGGGCACCGATGACGTGGTGCGTCGCGGTGCCGTCAAGCCTTCCGTTCCCAGTCGTCCTCGTCTAGCGTGTAATGCGTCGCCAGCGTCGAGGCGTCGCTGGTCCCCGCCGACGTCGAGGCGTTGCCGGTCCCCGTCTGCGCCGCGTCGCCCTGCGGGGACAGGAAGGCCACGCGTTGCCGCGCGTAGTCCACGACTGCGCCCATGTGCAGCACCAGGTCCCCGCACAGGATGCCCGTCGAGTACACCGACAGGTCCAGCCCCCCCGGCCCCGCGAACAAGCACTGCACCGCCGGAATCTGCACCACAGAGCGAGGCCGCGCGCCGAGTGTGCAAGGGGCGGGCAGAGGCGCACACGGGAGAGGCGCGCACGAGGCCCGCGCGCGGCGGCTCACCTTCTCCCCCGACGCGGACAGCCACGGCAGCACGCCCGTGTGGACGCGCATGCCCGTCCCGCGGCCCGTGCCAACCCCGCGGATGTACTTGACCCCCCCGCCGCCGCCGAGCCCGAGCTCGCGCACCGCCCGCTCGTGGAACATCGCGTCGATGCCCCCCGCGCCCGTGTCGACCATGAAGAGCCCCTCGCGCACCTCGCCCGTGCCCGTGTCGAACGTGACGGGCACGTACGGCAGGTTGCCGATGATCCGCGTCGGCACCCACCGCCCGTCGAGCTCCGGGGGCGCCTCGTACGTCGCCGGGTCGTGCACGACGAGCTCGCACCGCTGCGGGTCCCGCGGCAGCGGCCCGCGCTCCGGGAACGCGGGCAGCTCGACCACCGCGCGGCGGAAGACGTCGTAGCCGAGGATGCCCACGACCGGGCCGGGCGCGCCCGTGACCACGCGCGCGACGGCCATCTCCATGAAGAGCGGGCGCTCCATGCGCATGGGCCCCACGCGCAGGTGGCCGCTGCGCCGGAAGGTGCACTGGAAGGTGTGGCCCATGCCCGACACGAACACCTCCCCGAAGGACGCCATCGCGAGGCGGTCCGCGGCCCCGCGCTCGATCACCAGCCCCGACGCGCCCGTGTCCACGATGAACCACCCCGCGTCCTGCCCGTCCACGCTCCCCTGCACCAGCAGGTGCCCCGACACCGTGCGCACCGCGGGCACGGCGCCGCTGACGCCCGCGTCGAACGTCGCGTCCGGCGGCAGCGCGGGCGTCGGGGGCAGCGCGTACGCCACCGCGTCCACCGACGCCACCGCCACCGCCGACTCCGTCACGTACACGTTGTGCCCGCCCGCCGCGCTGTAGTGCTCGGTGCGCTCCGGGAGGCCCAGGAGCGCGCCGCCGTCGTCCCCGAGCGGCCAGTCGCGCCACGCGGAGTAGAACCAGTGCTCGACCTCCCCGCACAGCGGGATCTGCGCCCCCACCAGCTCCCACGTGTTCTGCGACACCAGCACGTCCGCCCACAGCCGGCCCTCGGGCAGCCGCACGCGCACGCGCAGCAGCGGCCCGGGCGGGGCGCGCCGCGCCGCCGGCCACGAGTCGCCCCCCTCGGCCTCGGGCCACACCTCGAGCTCCCCCTGCGCCTCGGGCATCAGCCAGCGCCCCGTGCGCACCCACGACGACAGCATCAGCCCCTCGCGGTCGTCCGACTCCAGCTCCCGCGCCACCCCCGTGTGGTCCACCTCCCAGCACGGCGCCGCAGGCAGCCGCCCGTGGCCCCACCGCAGCTCGAACTCCTCCGACGCTATCTCCTCCAACAGCGCCCCGTCCGCGCCGTACCGCAGCTGCCACGTCACCGGCACGCCCATGTGCCGCCCGGAGCCGCGCACCAGGATGTCGCACCCCGCCGGCGGGCGCCACGCGCGGGCCGCGCGCATGTTGTCCATCACTTGCGCCGCGCTGAGGGGCGCCGCGGGCGCGTCCTCGGGCGGGGCGCGCTCGGGGACCGCGGACGCCACGCACGGCCGGCGCCGCGACGGCGCGGGGCGCGTGCGCCGCGACGGCGCGGGCGGCCTGCAGGCGGGGCGGGGGCAGCGGGATGGTTTGCTGGGCGCTCCGGCGCCGCGCGGAGCGAGGGCGGTCGACGGGATGGACGCCGCGACAATGGTCCGCATCGGTGCAGGCGTGCGAACCCGTGCAAGAAACGCGCAATGCGGTGCAGTTCCGGCGCGATTCGGGGACGTGGAGCTGCGCAGCAACAAGCGGGGCCCCGCGTCAAGGAAACGCCCGCCCGCGGAGCCAACATCGGAACCGGTGGAGTCGCACGGAGCCGGGGGCGAGCTGCGGCTGCGAGCTCTTCAGGCAGCGCGGCGTCGGCACAGCGGGCCGCTGCAGATCCACACAGCGCCGTCGCTGGCCTTTCCCGGGCATCCCTGGGAGTGAAATCGATACAGGCGCAACGACACACAAAGTCGTCAAACGACGGGAACCTCAGGGGTCGCGCACCTGCGGAGCATGCTGCGACCGCGCATTGGGAGTGAGTGCAGGCACATTGGGTGGCCGCGCTGGTGCTGCTTCGCCGCAGACGCAGCTGGAAAATTGGCCGCGGTCATGGAGACGAATTCGATGGTTCTCGACCGTCCGCGTCCAGCCCACAGCCAGCCCGGAGGCGGACAGGCGCCCCCCGCCTGCCCCTTTCCAGTTGACAAGAACAAAAACGAGGCCCGCACTCTCAACGTGACTGCATTGCTGCGCCGGTCCGCCTGTACCTCCGACGGCGCGAGAGACTCACGCTGGCCCCAGCCGCTGCAGCGTAACGAGGAGAAGCGGGGTCCGGACAGCCCCAGGAGCCTCCCGCTTTTGACGGTCAATTACCCCCTGGGCGCTGACGTCCATTGCCGCCACCGGCGGGCGCGCGGGGCAGTCACCGTTGGCGGTAGCCGTTGCCTTCGATCGTTGGCGTGACTGCGCGCAGACCGCGGCCGCGGGTTGGCGAGGCTGAGGGCGGTGATGGCGGGCACGGTCGCGCCGCGGACGCCGAGCAGCCCGTGGAACGCCCCCCGGCCCGACGCGCTCGTGAAGGATGAGGGGGTGCAGCACGGTCGCATCTGGCGCTACATCGCCCTTCTCCTGGCCGGCAACGGGTGCTGGATGCTCCTGCGCCGCCATCGAGCTCCGCCACTCGCCTGGCCGCCCAGCACCTGGACGGTTGTCACCGTCGTGGCGGACCTCCTAGCCGCAGCTTCGCTCGCGCTCATTCTCCTGGGAGCGGGCAAGTCCTTCGCCGGCCTGTGGGCGGTCAGCCGGGGGCAGGTGAAAAAGAAGCAAGGTGCGTGCCGCGCAGCCCTCGCGCGGGAACGCCGCCGCCGCACGACGACGAAGCTGCAAACGGGTCGGCAGCGCGGCGCCGCCGCGGCTTGGCTCGCTCCCCGGCGCGGTGGGCGCGGCTCGGCCAAGACGCTGCGGCGGACGGCTCAGCGCACCAGCGCCCGCCCCCTCCGCCCCGCAGATGGCGGGCGAGCAGGTGGCGCGCGGCCCGCGGCGTCGCGCGCGGCCCCGGGCGCCGCGTCGCAGGTCCTGAAGACCCCCACGAGCATGCAGGCGGGCGCCTCGCGGGCGGACCGGCGGTCGTGGGGCACGCCGGCGTACTCCCGCGGCGCCACGATGTCGCCGCTGTCGCCGTACGACGCGAACGCCGGCAGCGCGGCGCGCGACCCCGCGCAGGGCCTCTCGCCCGGCACGGTGCCCCCGGGCTCGGCGGGGCGCCCGTCGTCGGCGTTCTCGGGCGCGATGCACGTCCAGGATCTCTTCCAGTCTGTCGACGCGCAGGCGAGCCCGCTGGGCCTGAAGCTGACCCCCGCGGCGCGCGACACGGCGCTGCCCAAGTTCAAGCGCTGGCAGCCGCGCGGGAAGACGGAGCAGCGGAAGCGCGACGGGACCCTGCAGCCGTCGACGTACGAGCACTACCTGCGCGTGCTCAAGGAGCACGGCGTGACCGAGAGGGAGATGACGGTCTGGAAGCAGGTGCGCGCAGCTGACAAATCCACCGGCCCCGCGCTCCCTCGCTGCGCCGGACCCTGCGCCCCAACGCGGCCCCGCTCGGCGTCTTGCTGCAGGGTCTCAGGGAGTGGCTCGCCGAGCGCGTGCTCGCGCCGCTGCTGGACGTGGTGGACGGTGCGCATGTGTCCCTCAACGCGGCCGCGCGCGCGTGCGGGAAGCAGACCAACTTCAGCCCGCTCGCGGGCGGCGTGACGAGGGACGGCATCGGGCGCGTGGAGCCGGGGCCCGGGAAGGACCCGGAGATGGCGCTGGGGCTGTGGGGGGAGGCGGAGAGCGCGCTGCACGCCATGGGGGCCAACGCCCCGCAGCGCGCGCAGGTCGAGGCGTGCCGCGACGCCGCGCTGGCGTACGTCCGCCTCAGCGAGGTCCTCGCGGGGAAGCTCGTCCATTCCCGCAACACCGAGGGGGTGGGGTTCTCCCGCCCTCCGGGGGGGGAGGGTGTGGTGGAGCTGCTCAAGCCCACACCCCCCCCCGGGTACGTGCTGTGGCGCGCGCGCGAACTGGCGGAGGGCGTGCAGCTGAAGAACATGGTGTGGAACGGAGGGAGCAACCTGCCGTGGGAGGAGCGGCCCTGGACCCGCGCCACGCACCCCACGGACGGAGCGCTGGTGCTGTACCTGCTCGCGTGCTACCTCGACGCGCCGGGGTGGAGCTACAGCGGGTCGCACTGCAGGCCGGAGAGGTGCGCCCCGCTGCTCGCACGGCGCGCCCACGCCCAGCCTCCTGACGCAGCCCCACTCAACCCCTCCCCCCCACCCCTTCTCGTGGCGCGCAGCGGGCCGCTGTTCCTCGGCGCGGTGCCCGACACGCTGCCGTCCACGCAGCGCTACGCCGCGATCCTCACGGGCAGCGGGGCGCCGCGGCAGGGCCGGCCGAGCGCGGTGGTGGCGGTGCCGGACCTGCAGGTGAAGGAGAAGATGCCCCCGCGCCCGATGTACGTGCTCGCGCTGGACGAGCAGGAGGGCGACAAGGACCAGGGCAACGCGCCCGTGTGGGTCCTCGACGGCAAGGATGGCCTGTTCGACACCCTGCTGCTGTGGCTGCGGCACGCGCAGCTGCACAACGCGGGGATGCTCGGCGACCTGGACCTGGACGCGACGCTGGGCATCGACCAGGTGTTCCGGGACCGGGGCGCGTTCCCGCCGCGGTGGACGCTGCAGCGCGTCATGGGGCTGTGACGTCGCGACCACAACTGTCTCGAGTTTACAGGCGCGCGCCGCGGCGATCATCATCATGGCGCAGCAGCGGCCGCGCGCTGGCCGCGCCGCGCACGCTGCCGAGGCGCGGCGTCCGTGCGCGTCGAGACCTATCCGTGGTGATATGCTCATGCTCATGCACACGTTGATGTGTCGTAGTGGCAAGTTCCCTGGCCGCGAGAGCATCTGCGCACCCGCCGACGAGGGCCCCTGCCGTAGTACCGGCGGCTGCAAAGCCCGCCTGCTGCGTCGCGCGCGCGTCGGCGCCCCCTCACGCGGGCGAGGCCGCGCCCGTTGGCGAGTCCGACTTGGTCATGTACGAGTCCATCTGGCCGGACGCGGCCATGACGAGCCCGAGGAAGAGCGGCGAGGGTTTGAAGGGGCGGCTCTTGAACTCCGGGTGGAACTGCGCGGCCACGAAGAAGGGGTGCCCCTTGATCTCCACAATCTCCATGCGCTGGCCCGTCTCGTCCTTGCCCACGAACCGCAGGCCCGCCGCCTCGAGGCGCTCGACCATCTCCGGGTTGACCTCGTACCGGTGCCGGTGCCGCTCGTCGATGTGGTCCGTCGCGGGGTGGTAGAGCCGCGCGGAGATGCAGTCCAGGCGCTGCAGGATCGTGCGCCGCGACCCGAGCCGCATCGTGCCGCCCATGTGCGTCTTGGAGCCCTCCGGCATGAAGACCACCACGGGCGTCGGGCACGCCGCCTGGAACTCGGCGCTGTGCGCGTCGTGCAGCCCCAGGACGTTGCGGGCAAACTCAATCACCGCCACCTGCATGCCCAGGCAGATGCCCAGGTACGGCTTCTTCGACACGCGCGCGTAACCCGCCGCGAGGATCTTGCCCTCGACGCCGCGCTCGCCGAACCCGCCCGGCACCAGCACGCCGTCCGCGTTGCGCAGCATCGACCAGGCCTCCTCCCACTTCTCCGGCTCCTCCTCCTTGGCGACGTCCTCCAGGTTGGCCGCCTCGATCCACGCGATGTCCAGCTTGCGGTTGGCGTGCAGCGACGCGTGCGTGAGCGCCTTGATGACCGACAGGTACGCGTCGCTGAGCTCCGTGTACTTGCCCACCATCGCGATGCACACGCGCTCCTCCAGGGCGTCCCACTTCTTCGCCAGGCCCTCGAAGCGCGACAGGTTGATCGGGTGCCGCGGCTGGAGGCCCAGCGCCGACAGGATGGTGTCGTGCGCCCGCTGGTCGCGCATCATGCCGGGGACGTGCCAGATGTTGGACGCCGTGTGCATCGTCAGGACGTTGATCGACGGCACCTGCGGGCGACGCACGGAGGGCGACGGTCGCCGGCGAAGAAGAGCCGCGCAACCAGGAGTCGAAGTCAAGCGATCTGTGGTTGCACGGTGCGCTAGATGCGGCACGAGCGCGCTGGTGCTGCAAAGGGACCTCAGCGGTAGTGACAAAGTGTCTTCGGCACCGGCGACGGCATGCGCCGCCCTGGGTGTGGTAACAGGTATACGAAATCATCGGTCCCGGAGGCGCGCGCGGCCGCGCCTGTGCAGCTGCGTGCGCGTGCGGCGTGGCTCAGTCTCATCCATTCAACACGGCCCCCGCCCCCCGAGGGGCTAGCGGGGATGGCGGCGTTCGCCGCCAGGCGCAACAAGTATTCAGGTAAACACCTTAGTAGAGTACCATCATCGCCACGGGGCGCCGCACGGCACGGACAGGGCGGGCGCGGGCAGGGCGTGTCGCGGGCGGGGGGCGGGCGCGCACCTGGCAGAAGAGCGCGAGTTTCTGGCGCACGGGCTCCTGGAGCATGGCCTCGGCGCGGCAGGCGAGGAGCGTGGGGTTGAGGCCGAGGGAGCGGAGGACGGACACCGAGTGCTGCGTGGGCTTGGTCTTCTGCTCCCCGACGGCGCCGAGGACGGGGACGTAGGACACGTGGATGACGCACAGGTTGCCGGCGCCCACGCGGAACTGGAACTGCCGGAGCGCCTCGATGAACGGCATCGACTCGATGTCGCCCACCGTCCCGCCGAGCTCGATCACGCACACGTCCGGCGGCGCGCCCTGCCCGTCCACGGGCACGTGCGCCACCCGCTCGATCCAGTCCTGGATGGCGTCGGTGATGTGCGGCACGACCTGCGGGGGGAAGGCGGGGAGGGCGAGGCGCGTCGCTGCAGGCGGAGGCGGGGGGCGCGGGGCGGGCGGCGCCCGGTGCGGTGCGCGGGACGGGTGCGTCGGGGGCGGCGCGGGTCGCACGTCGCGCGTGGCGTGTGTCATGCGGTCGTAGTGCGCGGTGCCGTGTGTGTGGCCTCAGAGATTGTTCACCGCATTTCGTGTCCGCACAGGGGGTCGCCCTGGCTCGGATCAGGTCTCAAATGTTGTGTCCATCATCGGCCGGGCGGGGGGCGCTGCACGGCGTTCTCGGGCGCTCGCCTGCACGGTCTTCCCGAGGTAGTCGCCGCGGCGCTCCTTCTCGATGACCTGCTGGTAGATCTTCCCGGTGGTGATGTTGTTGTCCTTCGACAGCGAGATGTCGAGGAACCGCTCGTAGTTGCCCAAGTCCAGGTCCGCCTGCGCGCCACCGGGGCCGTCGCACGCGAATCAACGCTCCGAGCGGCTGCGCGAGCGGCGGATTATCAGCCCCAGCCAAGGACCCAGCGATTCGCATCGACCTGGTGCCGATGCCGTGCGGCGGCGCCTTGCGAGCGCAGGGGCTGAGGGGAGCAGGCCTAGCATGGCTGCTGCGCCGCCGGGTGGCGCCAGCGCGGGGCGACGAGCGCGCGACGGGGCGTCGCCGCGCTGAGTACTGGCCGAACGATGCGCGCGCGGGAGGTGGCGATCCCGCGAGGTCTGTCGACGCCGCGGAGACCAGCGGCCGCTCCACCCCGCAGCGGCGGCTGGACAGCAGCGCGCGGCGATCAGTTCTCAGCGCGAGCCGCAGCGCTCGCAGCACGGCCGGCATGGAGCATGCTTCGGGCATTCGCCACGGGGAAGAAACGGCGAATGCAGCGGGTGAAGTCCATGGAAACGCGACGTGCGAATTGCAGGTGCCTGGGTCCGCCGGGCAGGCGCGCACCTCGCCGCCGTCGTCCAGCACGAACACCTCGCCGTGCTCGAACGGACTCATGGTCCCCGCGTCCGCATTGATATATGGATCTGCGTGCGCCGGGAGGGGGACAGGGAGCAGCGTCGAAAACGAGTCTGAAATCGCGCGGCTGCACGCCGCACGCGCTCCGGCGACGTCCGACTGCGATTGCCGGCGCTTTCAATGGCATCCCAGCCGGAATATCGCGCGAGCTATCCGAGCGAGGTTCCCACGACGCGTGAGCGCAGGGCCGGTTTTCGGATTGAAGGCTGGAAACGTGCGCCGGCGCCCTCGCCGCCACCGCCACCGCCGACGCCGGCGCGCGCGCTCGCCGGCGTCAGGCGCAGGTCGGCCCGCCGCTCACCTATCTTGATGGAGGTGACGCGGAGCCCCATGGCCTGCAGGAGGACGCCCACGGAGGAGGCGGTGACGCCCTTCCCGAGCCCCGACACCACCCCTCCCGTCACTAGCACGTACTTCATCTTGACCAGCCGAGCAACAGCAGCCTTCTGCCGCCCCGCGCGCCGGCCGGCGCCCCAAGGCGCGCCCCGGAGCCGCCGCGGGGAGTCCCTCCCGGGTGTAGTTTGGACTGGGCGGTTGGCGGGCTCGCAGTGGCGCGCGACACGCGGACCGCCTGGCCGCGGCGGCGCGTGCCGGGGCCCGACCTGCCCCAGCGCAGCGTCTGGGCGCACCGGTGGGGCGGAATACTTCGCCCCTACGCGGCAGCGACGGCAAGCGGGGGCGGCGGTGGCTGGTGCGTGCGGCATGGGGTGACGCGCGTCGCGACGTGCTTCGTCCGTCGATTCCTGCTTCTCACACGTCACGCGCGCGGCGCCGCTCCGGGCCGGCGGTCAGCTCGGCACGGAGCTCGCGGGCGGGGGCGCGCTGGCAGGTGCGGCGGGTTGGCTGACGGGGGCGCCGCCCTGCGTCCCGGTGTACACCCCGAGCGCGGAGAGGATGGCGTCGAGCTTCCCCTCGAGCCGCCGCACCTTCTCCTCGCCCAGCGACATCCGCTCGTCCATCCCGGACATGGCCACCGTGAGCGACGTCACCTGGTCCGCCATGCGCGAGATGGACACCGCGAGGCCCTCGGGGACGCCCTCCATGTTCAGCGGGACCGGCGACTCCACGAAGTCCTCCTCCTCCGCGCGCACACCTGCGGCCCAGCAGCACGGGCGGGGGGGTTGTGGCGACTGCGGGCGCCGGCACCACGGGGGGGCCGTGCGCGTCACGGGGGCGCGCGGGCCTCACCTGCGGGCCCGTGTTCGACCTCGTGCCGTCCGGCCTCGGCGGCGGCCCTGCGCTTGGGCGTGGCGGCGGCGTGGCTGGGCGCGGAGTGTCCGTGGGGCGTGGTGAGGCGGGCGGTGGTCTGCTTGACGGTGGGGGCGCCGCGCGTGGGCGACGCGCCGGGCGTCACGGGCGCGCCCTCGTGGCGCTCGACGTCGGCGACGACGAAGTTGTTGAGGATGCGGTCGAAGTTGGACTTCCAGACCATGACCTGCTCGTCGGTGCCGGCGCTGGCGAAGAAGTCGCCGGCGGGGGAGAAGGCGCAGCCGTTGGTGGACCCCTCGTGGGCGTGCAGCGTGTACATGAGCTGCCCCTCGCGCATGTCCCAGAGGCGCACGGTGCTGTCCTGCGCGGTGGACAGCAGGAAGTTGCCCGAGGGGTGGAAGGAGAGGCCCGTGACGCCCCGCGCGTGCGCGCTGTAGAGCTGGATGAGCTGGTGCGTGCGCACGTCCCACACGCGGATGGTGCGGTCGTGCCCCGCGGCCGCGACGCACGTCCCGTCGGGCGAGAAGGCCACGCTGGAGAGCGCGCTGTGCTCGGGGTCCTCGTACACGTGCACGCCGCGCCGCGCCTCCACGTCCCACAGCCGGACCGTCTTGTCGTCGCCGCACGACGCCGCCAGCCGCCCGTCGGGGGAGAACTGCGCCGACCGCACCCAGTTGAGGTGCCCCGAGAAGGAGCACTTGAACTTTTGGTTGGGCAGCGCCCACACCTTGACCGTCTTGTCGTCCGACGCCGAGAGGAGGAACCGCCCGTCCGACGAGAAGTTCACCGACCGGACCGCGCCGTTGTGCGCCTTGCACACCGTCGAGCGGCCCTCCACTGCGCGCGCGGGGCGGGGGCGGGGCCCAGGGGTCGGGCGGTTGGCGGGAGCGCGCTCCGGCGGCTCCGCGGGGCCGGAACGGCGGGCGCGCGGGCGCGGGGCGTGACGGCGGCGCAGCATGCGCCCGCGGGCGTCCGCGCGTCGCGAGGGCGGCGCGGCCCGGCGTGCGCGGGGGGCGCACCGGTGGGCTGCCAGAGGCGCACGGTGGTGTCCTTGGAGCCCGACGCGATGATCGGGTGCGTCGGCGAGTAGGCCACGGAGTAGACGGCGCCCTTGTGCCCCGCGAACCGGTAGGCGCGCAGCTGGGGCTTGAAGTTCCACACCATGACCATGTTGTCCTCCCCGCCCGAGATGAGCTGCTTCATGCTCGGGTTGAACGCCACGCTGTACACCGCAGCGCGGTGCCCGCGGAACGAACGCTCCAGCGTCGGGTCCTGCGCCTGCGCGGAGGGGCGGGCGCCGGCGGGAACGTCGGCGGGGCGGGCGGCTCAGCGCCGGTGCCTCCCTCGCGGCACTGCGGCGCCGCGTGCCCGCGGGCGTGAGCTGGTCCTCGCGGGCGCGCGAAGGGGAGCTCGGGGGCTGCGCCGTGGTCGCGTCGTCGGGGCTTCGGGGGCGCGTGCACGACCGCGGCGCGACAGAGCAGCTTGAAAAGGGACGGGAGGGGCCCACCTCGCTGCTCTCGCCCAGCTTCATCGTGATGTGCGCGCGAATTTCGAGCCAGTGGCACCAAAGCGCGTCTCCAGGGGCGGCGCCGCAGGGGCGGGATCGAAGTCGGAGGAGCTCTCGCCGCTCGGTCCTCAACGCGCGGGTGTCCTATTCTATCGCGGTGGCGGTGCGGGCGGGCGGTTGCGATGGGCGCCTGGGTCGCGAAACTGACGTGCGCCTTCGACGGCGACCCCAAGCCTGCTGCGGCGCCGGATTCGGCGTGCCCGGGCGAGTACGTCGGGGAGCCCAGGGGGGGTTCCGCGCGGCCTCGGCGGTGCGCTCAGCGCCTCGTCTGCGCGGGCTGGCGCGTCTTCGTTCCAAAGCCATCCAGCCCGCGTCCAGTCCTGGCGAACACGCGCAAGTGCGGACCCACGCGGGCGAGTTTCTGTTGCCTCGAAGTATACTACCGCGGCTTCCCGGTCCCGCCGGCGAGCCACACCGCGACGCGCGCATGGAGATGTTCGTCCGGACACAGGTGGCCCTCCGGGGCACGGCCGGCGCCGTTGGGGCCGCGAGAGCGCCGCGCGCCCCGCATGCACGTGCCGGCCCTGGAAAGGCGCTCTCTCCGACGTCCGGCGCCGCCGCGAGGAGCCCACGGTCCACCCACGTGCGACGCGGGATGTACGTCCCGAGTGACAGCTTCGGAGGTGCGACACCCCGATGCCGTGCCGCCTCCGCGGCCGATTCCGCCTTGGCCCAACGCACGGGCGGTCTCTGCGGCCGACGCGCGGCAGACGGGCCCGCATTGCGCGCGTGGCGGGGACGAGGCGGCGCTCCGTTACATGGGACGCCTCGCCCCCGGCCCGGAGCGCCCCGGGCCCCCCGTCGGCGGCCGCCAGCGCCCCCCTGCATAACAGCCGTCAGAGCATTCAAGGGCTCTCGCCGCCGAGCGCGCCGCGGCGCGTGTCCAGTGCGATGTGGGCAGTACGCGGCTTGCCGTGCGCCACGGTGACCGACGGCGCGCGTTTTCGGCGGGTCTCACGCGCCGTGGCGGGCCGCGCGGGCCCATAGGAGAATTCAGCGCACAGATGCATTTGGGCCGCGCATTGCCTCAGGCGTGCCTCGCGCGGACCCCGGGCGTGCCGCCGACCCGGAGATCCGTTCACGGAGGCCCGGCCCGCGCGTCGCCGCGCGAGCTCCCCCCGCTGCGCGCGCCGGCGCCCGCGTGACCTAGGGGGGGGGCGCAGGACAGCCCGCGTGCGCGCGCGCCCCGACCGCGCCGCCCCGCGGCCCCGCTCCGCCCGCAGGCAAGTCCCCGGAGCGCCTTTCGGCGGACCAGCTCCGGAAGCTGTTCACGTTCGCGGCGGCGCGCATCGTGTTGGCGCAGCTCGAGGGGAACGGGCGCGCCGCGCAGGTGGCGGGGTCGTCGGCGAGCTACAACAGCGAGCAGCACTCGACGCTGCACGCGCACCTCCTGGACGTGCGCATGGCGGACCCCGAGGAGTGGCTCGGCGCGCTGATGCGCAAGAACACCAGCCTGGCCATGCGCGTGATCGAGGTGCGCAAGGCGTACGCGGAGGACGACTTCGAGTGGCACAAGCTGCAGGAGATCGCCAAGAAGGACATCGCGCTCGGCAACCAGGCGCTCATGCGCGACGTCGCCGAGAGCAGCTTCAGCGCCGAGGCCGTGCAGGGCGCCGGGTCGCAGGACGACGACGGCGGGGCGCACGCGCCCTCGCCGCGCGCCTGAGCACCGGCGCCGGACGGCGCGCGGACGCCACCACCGTGTACATACACACGCGCGTGCGCCGGCACATGCACGCGCTCGCACGCATGCACGCTCCCCACCTGGCAGCGAGGCGCGGCTGCGGCTGGGCAGGACGTCGACGCGCGGACGAGACCGCGCGCGACGGCGGTGCCGCCGCCACCGCGCCCCCGGGCGCCCCCGCCCCGTTCTGTTCCCGGGCGCGCGTCACCACCAGCCCCCCCCTTTGTTCATACCGGCAGGTGTTACATGACCCACCGACGCGCAGTCCCGGCACCGGGGCCCCGCGTAGCACCGTTGACTCTCTGTGAGCCAGAACTACGCCCGACGCGGTCCCGGAGTGAGACACGCCAGCCGTGACGACGAGACCCCCGATGGCGTTGTTGTTGTGCTGGTTGTGGCCCGCGAACGCAGGTTGTGCGAGCAGGACCTCACACCGCGCGACCGGCCGGGCCGCAGCGTGCACGTGGGTTTCGCATCGCGCGGAGACGGCGGGTCGGCCCAGCGCGTGGCTCGCTCCGGGGCCTGCTCAGGGCTCGCCCATGCTGTGGCGCGCTGCGCCCGCAGCTCCGCGGCGGCCTACTTCTTCTGCAGCTTCGCCCACTCCTCCGGCGTCTTGAGCTTCAGCGACAGCGCGTGCAGGTCCGTGTCGTCCCACAGCGGCTTCAAACACTCGTTCACCATGCGGTGCCGCTGCACCAGCGGCTTGCCCTTGAAGGCGTCCGACACGCACACCACCTGCGCGCGCCGGGGGACGTCCGTGCGGGCGGGTCAGGGGCCCGCGCACGGGCGGCGGGCGTGCCGCCCTGCCCGCGGGTGGCGCGCGGCAAGCCGCCTGGCCTCCTCGCGCGCGTCGACACCCGCGGCGCCGGGCCCGGGGCGCACCGTGAAGTGCGTCTCGTCGCCGCCCGAGCTCTCCTTGTGTCCGGCGTGCTTCGAAGAGTCGTTCTGGATCTCCACCACCTCGGGCTTGAACGCCGCCGCCAACATCCTGCACACGGGCGCGGCGGGGGGCGCGCGCGGTTGCGGCGCGGCCAGGCGCCGTTGACTGCGTCGGAATCCGCCCCTGCAGACGGAGCCACCCGCGCGGGGGGGGCCGGTCGCCGTCGCGCGCGAGACGCCGGCCGGGAGCCTACTCTCTCATTGCGGTAGTGGTCGGCCCGTCCATGACGATACGGAGAGCCGAGGAGGAGGTCAGGAGCCTGGCGAGATGTCCTACGGGAGGCCCCGTCCAGCGCAGCATGCGGCGTGCGACTGAGCTCAGTGCGGCGAGCGCAAGTCCTGCCCAGGGCCTTCAACCCGCCAGAGCGGCACCGAAAGGGTCGTCAGCGATCGCTTCGAGGAGTTTGTGGCAAGAGTGTACCTCAAGGAATACGTGAGGGCTGCGTCACACCGGCGTTCGCCCTACGAGGGCGAGAACGACCGCCCAAACGACTCATTCCCCCGGGTTCGTGGCGACACACCTCCGTCCTCGCCGCTGGAGGGCCTTGCAGGCCTAGGGGCACGCCGGCCAGGGACCCCCCGCATTCTCGTACCCGCACGCTGCACGTTATCGGCGAGATTGTCGGCGTCGATTCGTTGCGGGGGTAGTGGTGGGTGTGCCTGGCTGCGCTGCGCTCCTGGAGCCTCTGCCGGGCTCGTGGGCCCGGGACGCAGCGGTGCGTAGCTCAAGATGGTGCTCTTCATGATCGGGATCGGGCTGTCCGACGAGAAGGACATCACGGTGAAGGGTCTCGAAGCTGTGAGGAGGTGCCAGCGCGTGTACCTGGAGGCGTACACGTCCATCTTGATGTACGGCACCGACACCGCGAAACTGGTGAGCATCCTGCAACCGTCGCGGCAGCGTGCCTGGGCGCCGCGAGGCAGCGAGGCGAGGAGCGCGGAGCGATGCGTTCCACTGCACGGCGGGGGGCAGGGCGGCGCGAACGTGCTTGCGCGGACCCGCCGAGGCGATACGCGCGAGAGTCCACGAGCTCCGGGTGTCGTCGCGGCGCCTAGCGACCGCGCCGCTTTCGACCGGCCGTCCCGGGGCCGCGCGCACGACGTGACGGTGTCGGACGTGGCGCCCGCCCTCGACTGCTCGTGCAGGAGGAGTTCTACGGGAAGAAGGTGACCGTTGCGGACCGGGAGATGGTCGAGTCCAACTCGGACGAGATACTGGAGGGCGCTGCGGAGGTCGACGTCGCCTTCCTGGTCGTGGGCGACGTGTTTGGCGCCACCACGCACACCGACCTGCAGATACGCGCGCGCGAGAAGGGCATCCCGGTGCAGGCGAGTGGTCCTGCTCGCGGTCGTGCGCGGGCGCGGCGCGAACTCTGCCGCACGCAGGCGGCGCGCACCCTCATCGGCAGGATGGTCTCAGCCAAGCGGGGGGGTCTGATGCCTTGCCGACGCATTGCATCGCGCCGCGCTGCTGCAGGTCATTCACAACGCGTCGATCATGAACGCCGTGGCGGCGTGCGGGCTCCAGCTGTACCGTTTCGGGGAGGCCATCTCCATCGTCTTCTTCACAGGTGAGGACATGCGTGCGTGTGCCGCTGCGAGTGACGCGGCGAGCTCGGACCTCGGCCTGCCCGGCCACGCTGGCGTGCGGGGGACCAGGGTGGCCAGGGCTGCTGCGTCGCGCGGGCCCGCAACGTGGCGCGAGCGTGCGTTGTTTCTTGGAGAGCAAGAACCGGGGGGGACGTGCTCCGTGGTGCGCAGAGACGTGGCGGCCGGACAGTTTCTACGACAAGATCAAGCGCAACAGGGACATGGGGCTGCACACGATGTGCCTCCTGGACATCAAAGTGAAGGAGCCCAACCTGGAGGCGCTGTGCAAAGGTGCGCTGGGGGCGCAGCGGGTGGCCGCGTCGGGCGACGCCCCCTTCGCACCTCACTGCATCGACGCTCGCTGTGCGCACCGACGCAGGCAAGACGGTGTACGACCCGCCGCGGTACATGTCGATCAACACCGCCATCGAGGAGCTGCTGGAGGTGGAGGACAAACGCGGGGAGGGGGTCTTTTCGCGCGACACCCTCGCCGTCGGGCTCGCCAGGCAAGCGCGCAGCTTCGATCCGGAGCGACCGCTGCGACGTGCGCGGCCTGCGTGCGTGACCGCCCCGCCCCGCGCGTCCACGGTGCTGCCCTGCAGGGTCGGCGCCGCGGACCAGGAGATCAAGGCGGGCCGCATGCAGGACCTGCTCGAGCACGACTGGGGCCAGCCGCTGCACACGTTGGTGATTGCTGGCGAGACGCACGAGATGGAGCTGGAGCACATGGAGCAGTGCGGGATCCTGCTGGAGCACTGCGTGGGGTTCAAGTTCCGCGAGTGCCCGTCGTACACGTACCGGTCGGGGCGCTGACGGGCGCGGCCGACCGCCGGACGCCGCGAGCGCGTCGTGGCGGAGAGCAGCGTGCGACTCGGCCGTGCCGTTGCGCGGTTGACATAGGGTGCGGGCGCAGCACAGAAGCTGTGGCCGGGCGCGGCCGCTCGAGGCGGGTCGGCGGCATGTGAACGTGTTGCAGTGCCCCGGGGCGTGTGTGGCAACGTGCAGGCCGCTCCGTAGGTTGGGCGCAATCCAGCGGGTCGCAGGCAGCGTCGACACGCCCGTGGACGTGCGGAGACGCCCGCACACCAAGACAGAAAGCACACGGCGATCGAGGTTCGCGCAGCGTGGCGGGAGGGGCAGCGCGGGTGGGCCTGTGGATGTCGTGCCAGAATTCAAGGCCGCCCTGAGCGGCTGTTTGCTGAGTGTTCGCTCGCATTGGCGTACCGAACGAGTGCCTGCCCAGGGTCCACGGTAGGATTTCACATGGCGCATGCTACGTCGAGTGTTGGAACGTCCTCGACGGATGACACGAGTTGTGGGCCATCTTTTGACTTGTAATTCGCTGACTTGGGGTGCTCCCCATCCAGCCCGTGACCGGGTGGAGCGTGTGGACCGAGGGCAGCTGAGTGCACCGGGTTTCTTTGGACCCGCGCTCGACGGGCCGTCCGTAGAAAGTGCGATCCGAAAGCTAGGAGATTTGCACGGAGGCAAGCCGCAGGGAGCCACGTAGGAACACAATGGCTGGGAGATAGGAGCAAACGCCTTCTGGGTATCTATTATGATTCAGCGACCATTTCCTGCCGAAGGCCCGTCGGAGGACGGCGGGGCCATCTAGCGCCCCAGAAGGGCACGATGGGGTCAGGATGCCACATCGTGTAGCAAGCGCGGGTGTCAGCAGCACGAACCGTCACTGGCAAGATTCAAGAGAGCAAGGTGTGGCGTGCTATGCAGGTTGCAAGGGCGGGGAGATTCGTGAGGCTTCAAAGCGGACTTCGAGTGGGGGCATTTCCTGCGTTGGTGGTAGAGTTTGTGATGGAACCGGGCACCGCGACCCAAGAGGGAAGCCTTCCAAGAGAGTGCGGGGCGGGGGTGGGGGCGAGTTGGAGCCGGGCGTGCGGTCACGCTACGCAGGTTTGGGCCGCGGGTGTCGTCATCGTACGCGGGCCCTCCGCAGCAAGCGCGTGTTTGGTGCCATTCAAACACGCGCCTGCACCTCCACAGGTCGCCGCTCGGATGACGCCGCCCGTTAAGGACCTACGGACCGTGGCGTGGTCATACTGGGAGCGTTCGGTCCCCGTCAGGCCTGCTGCGTGACGCGCGGTGCGCATGTCGCCCAGTGTGATACTGCATTGTGGCGCGCCCCTGGGAAAATATGTGGACGTGTGAAACTGCGGGTCGGCAAAGTGTCATCATGCTGCGTCCTTGCCCGTCCCTGTTTGTGCGCCATTCCGAGAACACGCGCAGGTTCGTTGATGAAAGGGGCTGGGTCAGAGGGACTGGAAGTCTTCTTCCTTATCGTCTTTAAGAGAGAAGGGGTAGGGCGGGAGGGGAGGGGAGGGCAGGGGAAGGGGAGTCGAGAGGTTGCAACGGGGCAGGGGCTCTGCCGGCCGCGCACGCGACCTGGCACAGCCTGATGCGCGCGGGAGGTATCGCGTTTGGGGCGCCTTATGTCTCGGCGTGCGTCCCCTGCAACGCCGCCAGCAGCGGTGCGTAGTCGGCGAAGCGAGCGGCCGGGGGCGCCTCCGCCTCGCGCCCGTAGCTGGGCTTGCGCGCGCGCTTACGGCCGCGGCCGCCTCCCTGGGACGAGCTGGGCTCGGAGGACTGGCTGGACCCCGCGGGGGCAGGGCTGCGGCCGTTGCGTCCGCTGGTGCGGTCGACGTCGCGCTTGAGTGTCAGGCGGTACTTCTGCAGGTGCGACGCGACGTTCTCGCGCGTCAAGCCGTCGACGTTCATGACCTGTAGGATGGCCTTGGGCACCGCGTTGTCGATGCCCAGCTGGTTGACCGCCGCCACGAACCGGTTGTGCAGCTCCGGCGTCCACACCAGCCGCGTGCGCTTCACCGCCCGAACTGCGCGGCGGAGGGGGGGGCGGGAGGCGGTCGGCGCGGGCGCGGGCGCGAGCGCGGCGGCGGCGGCCGGGGGCGGGCTCCGCAGGAACTGACACGTGTTGGTGCGTGGCTGCAGTGGCCCCACCTTCCTCGGTGCGGTCGGCGTCGCCGCGGTCCTCGCTCTCTCCGTTGGGGCGGTACGCGTCCGCGACCGGGCGCGCCACCGGCGAGGCGGTCATCGCGAGCGCGCTGGGCTGCGGCAGGCTGACGGGGAAGCCCATGGCGCCGGTCGGGGGCAGGACCGGGTCGGGGAGCAGCGGGCCCGGGGGCGGCAGGGAGAGCGCGGGCGGGTCGCGCCGCGGCGGGGCGCTCGTCGTCGTCGCCGGGAGGCCGAGCGCGTCGATGACGCGCTGCATCTCGGGCGTGCACGTGACGCCTGGCGCTGGGGCCACGGAGAGCTGGAGCCCCATGCTGCTGAGCCCCGTGACGGCCTGCGGGAGGGCGGGCGGGGGCGCGCGCCGGGGTGAGCGGTAGGGTTCCTGCCGCCCGGGCCGGGTCGGGGGGCCGCGCGGGGGCTCTGGCGCGCGTCGAGAGGCGCTAGGCGAGCAGCGGACCAGCTCACGAGGTGGGTTCTCCCGGCGCGGGCCAGGGGACAAATGTCGGACGCCCGCGCTGCCGCCCGAGGACGCGTATCGCGCGAGGAACCGCGCCGATCCACGGTCCGTGCGGGCGTGCGCGCGCGAGATGCCTCGACAAGGGTGCGCCACATTATGGCCGCGGCGCGTCTCAGGGGGGCTTTCATGGGCTGATAACTGCGCGCACCTGCTGGAGTACCGCGATGGTGGACGGGCTGAAGACGGGTTCGCTGGCAGGGGGCGGCGCGGGCGCGGGCGGGGGCGCTTGCTGGCCTGCTACAATGGAGCGAAGCATTTGCGCCAAGCTGTTCGGCGGGCTCGGCGCGAAACTCGAAGCCACCGCGCCTTGCATTTCCCCGTAAGACGTAGGCAGGCCCCCGGCGCCGCTTGCCGCGACCCCCACCGCGTGCGGCGGCGGCGGAGGTGCGGGGAGGGCAGCGCCTCCGCCGGCGATCTGCTTGAGCAGGGCGCTCAGCGACGCCTCGTGCTCGGATCCGTACATTGCGTTACGCCCGTCGATCACGCTGCGGGGTGCGAAAGGGGCGCTCTACGGCGTCTGGACGAGAGCTGTCCGGGGGCAGGCGAGCGAGATACGATCCGAGCGCACTTGGTGCGCGCGCAGACGCGGTACGGGCTTCACGAGGGCACGTAAATCGTCGCGTTTCCGGACCCACCTTTGGCAGCGCGGTCCTGGGCGAGGGTCCGCGCGCGCGCCACCGCGTTCGTGTGGTTGCAGAAACGTTTCCGCCAGCGACGCGCGGCCGGAAGCTCAGGTAGAGACCGCCGTGGGTAGGGGGACGGAGTACTGCCGCGGCTGGGCGTTCCCGGGCGCCTCGAGGCCCGGCGTCTGCCCACGCTGCGGCCCGGCGCAGCCGGACTGCATCAGGGTCGCTCATCACACACCAGATGACAGTCGGTCCGTGGGGGCCGCGCCGTGCGGCATCTGGGGCGCGTATTGCCGCCCGCGCCCGCCCTCGCGCCTCAGTAGTTCACTGCGCGGATCTGCCAGCCTGTTCGGGGCCCACGCAAGCGAGCACCAGGGAGGGCACGCCTTGGCAGGTCTTGGCAACCCGCCGTTGCCGGAACACCCGTCGCCAACCGGTTCGGTCGCGCGGGAGCGGACAGTTGGATCAAAATGTCGCTGGCGTTCGACGAATATGGCCGGCCCTTCGTCATCATCAAGGTGGGCACGAGCACGCGGCCTCGAATGCGAAGCCCGGCGCCCCGCGCGGGCTCCTCACAGGGCCGCGACGCGGCGTGCCGCTTCCTTCACTTTCCACGCCGCCGGTGCCGATTGGCGTCCGGCGCGCGGGGGCGCGGGCGGCCGGCGGCCGCGGTGCCCGCCAGGCCTGAAACCTTTCCCCTGCGCGACGCGCCCCGCGCGGAGGGACCGGCCCGTCCGCGAGCCGGCGGACGCGCGCGCGACCGGCCCGCACCCTCCCGTGCGCCGCGGCGACCCACGGCGGGCGTTTGCTGCCCTCGCTTGCTGCCCTGGCAGCCGCGCGCTGTGCGCTATTTGGCGCGTGGGCGCCTCCCGACGCGCTGGCCGTGCCCCCGCTCCCGCTCCCGCAGGAGCAAGAGAAGAAGTCCAGAGTTCGCGGGATCGACGCGGTGCGGGCCAACATCCAGGCGGCCAAGGCCGTGTCGAAGACCCTGCGCACCTCGCTAGGTCCCAAGGGCATGGACAAGATGATCCAGGTGCGGCGCCCCGCCCGCCCCGGCCGCGAGGGCGCCCTCCGCGGCGGACCTCGCCCGCGGCGCCGCGCGCGCGCCCCGCGGCGCCCCGCCCCGCGGCGCCCCCCGCTGCCTGCCTGCGGCACATGCCCGGCCCGGGGCCCGCGTGGCCGCGGCGCGAGCGGCTGCGTGCGGCGCCGACGTGCTGCGCGGCGAGCTGGAGCACACCCGGTGCGCGCGCCGCGGTGTGGTGCAGAACTCGGACGGCGACGTGACGATCACGAACGACGGCGCGACGATTTTGGACCTGATGGAGGTGGAGCACCAGGTGGGGCGGCTGCTGGTGGAGCTGAGCAAGTCGCAGGACTTCGAGATCGGGGACGGGACGACGGGCGTGACGGTGCTGGCGGGCGCGCTGCTGGAGATGGCGGAGCCGCTGCTGGAGATGGGCATCCACCCGCTGCGCATCGCCGAGGGGTACGAGCGGGCGTGCAAGGTGGCGACGGAGCACCTGGAGGCGATCTCGACGACGTTCGAGTTCAGCGCGGAGGACATCGAGCCGCTGATCAAGACGTGCATGACGACGCTGTCGTCGAAGATCGTCGGGCGGTGCAAGCGCGAGATGGCCGAGATGTGCGTGCGCGCGGTGCTGGGCGTGGCGGCGCTGGACCGGCGCGACGTCAACCTGGACCTCATCAAGGTCGAGGGCAAGGTCGGCGGGCGCCTCGAGGAGACGCGCCTCGTGCAGGGCATCGTCATCGACAAGGACATGTCGCACCCCCAGATGCGCAAGCGGGTCGAGAACGCGAAGATCGCGGTGCTCACGTGCCCCTTCGAGCCCCCGAAGCCGAAGACCAAGCACAAGATCGAGATCGACTCGGCGGAGAAGTTCGAGGCGCTCCGGCAGCAGGAGCGCGAGTACTTTGTCGACATGGTGCGGCGCTGCAAGGCGGCCGGCGCCACGCTCGTCATCTGCCAGTGGGGCTTCGACGACGAGGCCAACTCGCTCCTCATGCAGCACGACCTCCCCGCCGTCCGCTGGGTCGGCGGCGTCGAGCTCGAGCTCATCGCCATGGCCACGGGCGCGCGCATCGTGCCGCGCTTCGAGGAGCTCAGCGCCGACAAGCTCGGGTACGCGGGCGTGGTCGAGGAGGTCGCGTTCGGCACGACGCGCGAGCGCATGATCCAGATCTCGGGGTGCCCCAAGTCGCGCGCGGTGACCATCCTGGTGCGCGGCGGCAACAAGATGATGATCGAGGAGACCAAGCGCTCGCTCCACGACGCGCTGTGCGTCGCGCGGAACCTCGTGCGCAACAACGCCGTCGTGTACGGGGGCGGCGCGGCGGAGATCAGCTGCGGCCTCGCCGTGCAGAAGGCCGCCGACCAGGTGGCCACCGTCGAGCAGTACGCCATGCGCGCCTTCTCCGACGCCCTCGAGGTCATCCCCCTCTCGCTCGCGGAGAACTCGGGCCTCAGCCCCATCGAGGTGCGCCCGCCCGCTCGCCCGCCCGCCCGCCCGCCCGCCCGCCTGCTGTGCCTGCGCAGCCCGCCCTGCTGGTCCTGCCCGCCGCACCGTCCGCCAAACGCCTCCGCGCCCCGCTCGACGCAGACGGTGACGGAGGTGCGTCGGCAGCAGGTGGAGCAGGACTGTCCGCACCTGGGCGTGGACTGCAACGTGGTGGGCACCAGCGACATGAAGGAGCAGAACGTGTTCGAGACGCTGATCGGGAAGAAGCAGCAGCTCTTCCTGGCCACGCAGGTGTGCAAGATGATCCTCAAGATCGACGACATCATCAAGCCCGCCGCGGGGTACGACTAGGCGCCCCCGGACGGACTGTGACTGCCGCACGCAACAACACAGCGCGCGCGCCCGCAGCGCGCGGACGAAGGGCGACCGTCTGGAGGGGCTGTCACAGAGGGCTGCCTCGCGCAATAGGGGGGTTGCGGGGGGGCGCGCGGCCCGGTCGCACTTATGTACACGGGCGCCAGCGGGGCAGTGGTGCTGCGTGGTCGGGTCTCACGCCATTTGCTGGACGCTCGGCCGGTCGGCCTCCGCGTCCGGCGTCGCCGCGTCGCCGCGCGCCTGTCCCTGCTCCGCTGCTTGCTGGTCGGCCTCCTCCTCGGCCCTGCAGGTGGGCGCGGCGGGCGGGGCTCAGCGCCGCGACGCAGGGCGGGCGCAGGGCGGGCGCGGCGGGTCGCGTCGGGCGGGGCGCTCGCCTGTACCAGTCCTCCTCGATGGCCGCCTGCGCTGCGTCGGCGTCGGAGTAGTAGGCGTGGTGCCGCATGAGCCACTCGTACTTGTTCTCGTTGAGGCCGAAACAGTCCGCGAGGAACTCCTCCGTCGCCCAGAACACTGCGGGCGCGGGGAGGCCGGGGCGCGCGGCACGTCCGTGAGCGCGACGTGCGCGTGTCAACAGCACGCTGCACCCTCGCCGTAGCGTCGCAGAACGCGCCGCGAGGAGCGAGCGCTGGGGCGCGCCGGGAGGTGACTATCGGTGCAGCCGCCGGGATGCGACGACCCGGCGCGGGCGCGCCCGTCGTGGCTCGGGCGAGCGGCCAGGGTGGCCACGGCACCCAGTGCGCTGCCCGCGAGGTGCTCGCTGCGTACGAGCGCCTGGCCTGTGACGGTTCGCAGTCGATGGAACTGAATGGCGAAAGAGCCGGCGTCGAGGCGGCTCCAGGCGCGTTCGAGAGCGGGCCGCAGCGCCTCGAGCAGCGCTGTCCGAGGTGAGCAGGGCTGGGCGCAGCCGCGCCTGGCGCGCGTGCTGGGCCCCCAGCGAGCGGCGCCGAGGTCCTGCGCACCTGCTGAGAAGAAGCCGAGCCACGTGCGGGGCCTTGCGGGCTGCGGCGCCTCCGCGGCCCCCGCTGTGGGTGCGCTCCCTGAACCCGGCGGTGCCTCGTGCGCGTCCGTCCGCCGCGCCCCGCCCTGCTCCACGCCGTCGACCGCCTGCATGCTGAGCGCGGGCCTGAGGATCGCTGAGGCCTTGCGCGGGGCCGCTGGGGCACCGTACACGGCCTCGGGTGGATCTGGGATAGTGGACTGCGCGCTGCTACGACGTCGTGGCGCGAGAACGGGCGTGAGGTGCTCTGGCAGGCAGGACTGGCACGTGCGCTGTGCGCGGGCCTCCGTTGTGGGGAGCCCGCGCCCCGCGGGTGGCGGGCTGGTACAACCTTGGAACGCACGCACAGGCCCCGCACGGCTCCTGCGCGGGCCCGAGGATCATCATGCGGATCGGTCGCTGCGCCGCAGGACACAGTTGTGCCCGCAGCCGCGTTGTTGTTGCGATCGTTGCAGGCCCCGCGGGCGCGTGCTCGCCGTTCCCCGCCCTTTCCGCGCGAAACCGAAAGGCGTGCGACGCTGCCCCCGCGCGCCTGCGCCCTGCACGCCCGCGGGACCGTCTCGTCGGAGTGCTGAGGTTCGTCGCAGAGCGGTCTGCCTCGCTTCGCGGCGTCGGGCGCGAGGCATCGGTCGGCGGCGAGCAGGGCGGAGAGCTGGGCAGGGAGCATGTCCAGCGACGCCGCAGCTTGCGCCCCGGGGACGTGGGACGCTGGCTCGGTGCGAGAGGAGGGTCGGCGCTCTGATGACGTCATGGACGCGGCCCGGGGGTGCAGTCCGGGCGCGCTGAAGCGCCCGGCGGAGCTCACGACGCCTGGCACCGCCACGCGCCCGCCGGACGAGGCCGCTGCGTGCGACGTCGCGACGGACCCGGTCGCCGCGCACAAGCCGCAGTTCGACGGCGCTGGGCCTGGGAGTGGGCGCCCCGGGTGGGTCCCTCCGCCGCCCACGACCTCGCGCAGCACGGCCCGCGCACGCCCACCTGCACACCACCGCGCGAGGCGCGTCTGTTCACCGCGCTAGCTCTCTCCGACCCCCGCAGGCGAGAGGTCGACGTGGGAAGCACGAAGAAGCGGCTGCGCGCGTCCCCGGCCGGCGCGCGGCCGACGCAGCGGGCCCGCGGCGCGTCTACCGTGACGGCGCGCTGGGAGCGGCTGGCGCCCGCGGGCAGCGCCCCCGCGGGTCGCTGGGGCGCGGCGGCGTGCGCGATCGAGGGCGGCGTTGTGTTGCTGGGCGGCGCGAGCGCGCGGGAGGAGAACATGCCCGACATGTGGGAGCTGGGCTGGGACGGGCGGCGGTGGGCGTGGAGCGAGAAGGAGGGGCTCGACCGCGGCGGGCGGGCGTGGCACAGCCTCTTCCACTGCACCTCGCCCGAGGGCCCGCAGCTCATGACCTACGGGGGCGAGCGGGCCGGCACCGCGCACGAGGGGCAGGAACAGGTGCGCGGCCGCGGCGCGCACGAGCACCGCGCCCGACAGTTGCTGCGCAGCGTGAGGTGCACGGCCGGGGCGGGCATGGGCCGGGCGCGCGCGTCGCTGCTGCTTCTGGTTGTCCACTCATGTGTGGAACTTCGTGCGACGCCCTGGCCGCAGGGCGAGTGCCAGGTGCTGCCGGACGTGGGCGTGTACGACATGGACGCCGAGCTGTGGTACTACCCGCCCTTCCGCGGCCCGGAGGGGGACGCGTTGCCGGCCCGCCTGGGCCACTCCACGGCGGTGACGGACGACGGGCGCGTGCTGGTCTGGGGCGGCATCGACGGAGGTGCGCGGCGGCGAGGGCGGCGACGCGTCGCGTACACATGCGCTCCGCGCGCGTCGTGCGAGACGAGTGCAGGCCCCCCCCCCCCTGCGCGCAGGAGACGGCAAGTTCAAGAACGACATGTTCTTCTTCAACCCGACCACGCTGTCGTGGCAGCGGCCGGCGAAGGGCGAGCTCCGCGGCGCCCCACCGAAGCCACGCGCGTACCACTCGTGCACTGTGGTCGGGCGCCGCGCGGTCGTCATGGGCGGCACGGGTGACCGCCCCCCGCGCGCTGCGCCTCGCTTCTCCCCGACCGCGCGCACGCCGACCGTTCCCGACGACGCCGCGGGGTGCCGAAACGCGGCTTCCCCCGCGCGCGACCTGCGTTGCAGGTGTGCGCACCTGGTCGATGCGCGAGGTCTACTCGTACGACCTGGACACGCAGAAGTGGACGGAGCACACGGGCAGGGTCGAGGGCGAGGCGCCCGCGCAGCGCCACGGCCACGCGGCGGCCGCGGTCGGCAGCGACAAGGTGGTCGTGTTTGGGGGCATGTGCGCGGACCCGGAGGAGTACTTCGGCGACCTGGCGCTCCTCGACACCGCCTCCTGGACGTGGCGCACCGTGCCGGTGAGGGACATCGCCGAAGAGGCGACCTCGCGCGGGGGCACGACCGCGCCGCGCCGCGCTTTTTCCGTCGCACCGTGGTTGGCCTGACACGTCTGCTGCGCTCGCGGCGGCCCCGCGCGCTCGCCGCCTTGATCGAGCACAGAGCGCCGATGACCACGTGCGCGTGTCGGCCCCGGGTGCGCAGGTTGAGGGGGAGGCTCCGTCCCCCCGCGCGGGGCACAATCTGGTGCCCGTGGAGACGGTCGAGGGGGGCGCTGCGTTCGTGATGTTCGGCGGCCGCCTCGCGGACGACACCGTGTGCAACGACGCGTGGCTCCTGCGCCTCGAGGGCGCGGAGTGACGGCGGCAGCGGCGCAGGAGATGCTGTGTGGCGTGTCGAGGGCGTCAGGGCGGGGCTGCGCGTCGGCGATCCGAATCACACGCTGCGGCGCCGCGCCACGCGTCGCCCATCGCGGCGGTGGCGCGCGAGGGCGCAGCAGTCGCGCGCACGGCCACGGAGGACGTGTGGTGCTAGCTGTGACACCTGCGCGCCGCGCGCCGCGCGCCCCCGCCGTGTGACGGGCGGACCTGCCCTGCGCGCCCGGCCCGCCGCCGGGCGTGCGCTGCTGCTGTCCCGGCCCGCAGACGCGCGGGGCGGTGTCGCTCGGCCAGAGGATAGCCCGGCGCGCCCACCTGCCAGGGCCGCGCGGCGGCGCAGCGGAGCCGCGGGAGCCGGGAAGGGGGGCAGACGCGCCGGGAGAGCGCGGCGGGGGCCGAGGAGTGACGCCACGCCGCGGGACCGCCGACGTTTCTCGCATCTTCTGGTTGGTTCACCTGGACTCCCCGGCCGACGCCCCCTCGGCGGTGCTCCGCGGCGCGCTCATTGTCCCGCCCGGGCGCGTCGCCGCGCAGATATCTTTCGTAGGAAATCCACCCGGCGTCGTCAGTGAAGTCGCCGATAGCATAGGACCATGAAGGCGTCGACGTTCGTCCCCCGCACTGATGGGCGCCTGCGCGCGCCCATGGGCGCGCACAGCCGCGCTGCTAGGGCGCACCCCGGCCGCAGCGGCGCCGTGAAGGTCCGTGCCGAGAAGGTCGTCGGCATCGACCTCGGCACCACCAACTCGGCCGTCGCCTGCATGGAGGGTGGCAAGCCCACCATCATCACCAACGCGGAGGGCGCGCGTACCACGCCGTCCGTCGTGGCGTTCAACAAGCAGGGAGAGCGGCTCGTCGGCCAGGTGCGTCGCCAGAGCGCCCCGCGACGCCAGGGAGGCCGCTCGCCCGTGTCGGAGGCTGCACCAGCTGCCGGCGTGCGCACGCGCGGGCCTCATTCCGCGTTTTCTGTCATCGGCCTGGACGACAGCAATCGAGAATTCCGGTTTCCGCGCAACGTGCGCGTGTGCCGGCCTCCGCGGGGCCGGCTTGGAGGCTGCTTCTAGCACCTGGTTGCCCGTCTCGCGGTGGCGCGTCGTGGCGGTTCCCACGACGGTGCAGCCGCGCCGCACGCGTCGCTCGAATAGTCCCACGACGCCTCGCACGAGGAATGATCGACTCCACCTCGCCGCGGCGCGCCCCTGGCCGCTTTTCCTTGCCCCGTCCTCAGCCAACAGATCAACACGGCGCGCTGCGGGCTGCGGCGGCACCTGCGCGGGCCTGCGCGCGCCCCCCGGATCGCTGCATCCGCACCCTTTCGCCCCGGATCGTTCCCTCGCCGCGTTTCCCGCGGCCGCCCGCCCCGCGGACGCCTCTTACCCCTCTGCGGCGGCGCGTGTGTGTGGCGCAGGTGGCCAAGCGCCAGGCGGTGGTGAACCCGGAGAACACGTTCTTCTCGGTGAAGCGGTTCATCGGCCGCAAGATGTCGGAGGTGGCGGAGGAGTCGAAGCAGGTGCCGTACGAGGTGGTGGCCGTGGACGGCAACGTCAAGATCAACTCGAAGAACGCGGGCAAGCAGTTCGCGCCCGAGGAGATCTCCGCGCAGGTGAGCGCGCGCCCGGCGACGCGACGCGCGCGGACCCCGCGCGGGCCGCCCCCGCGCCGCGGCGTGCGTCTCCCTGGCCCGACGCGCCCTGGCCCGCCCGCCCTCCCCCCCGCAGGTGCTGCGCAAGCTGTGCGAGGACGCGGGCAAGTTCCTGGGCGACGACATCAAGCGCACGGTGATCACGGTGCCGGCGTACTTCAACGACTCGCAGCGTCAGGCGACGAAGGACGCCGGCGCGATTGCGGGCGTGGAGGTGCTGCGCATCGTGAACGAGCCCACGGCGGCGTCGCTGGCGTACGGCCTGGACAAGAAGAGCAACGAGACGATCCTGGTGTTCGACCTGGGCGGCGGCACGTTCGACGTGTCGGTGCTGGAGGTGGGCGACGGCGTGTTCGAGGTGCTGTCGACGTCGGGCGACACGCACCTGGGCGGCGACGACTTCGACAACCGCGTGGTCAAGTGGCTGGCGGCGGAGTTCCAGAAGGACGAGGGCATCGACCTGCTGAAGGACCGGCAGGCGCTGCAGCGGCTGATGGAGGCCGGCGAGAAGGCCAAGATTGAGCTGTCGAGCAGCAGCAGCAGCAACATCTCGCTGCCCTTCATCACCGCGACCGCGGACGGCCCGAAGCACATCGAGCAGGACCTCACGCGCGCCAAGTTCGAGGAGATCTGCTCGGACCTGATCGACCGGTGCAAGCGCCCCGTGGAGTCGGCGCTCAAGGACGCGGGCCTGTCGCTGTCCGACATCAACGAGGTCATCCTGGTCGGCGGGTCGACGCGCATCCCCGCGGTGCAGGAGCTGGTGAAGAAGATGACGGGCAAGACGCCCAACATGACGGTGAACCCGGACGAGGTGGTGGCGCTCGGCGCGGCCGTGCAGGCGGGCGTCCTGGCGGGCGAGGTGCAGGACATCGTGCTGCTCGACGTGACGCCGCTGTCGCTCGGCGTGGAGACGCTCGGCGGCGTGATGACCAAGCTCATCCCGCGCAACACGACCATCCCGGCGTCGAAGTCGGAGGTGTTCTCGACGGCGGCGGACGGGCAGTCGTCGGTGGAGATCAACGTGCTGCAGGGCGAGCGCGAGTTCGTCAAGGACAACAAGTCGCTGGGCAACTTCCGCCTGGACGGCATCCCGCCGGCCCCGCGCGGCGTGCCGCAGATCGAGGTGAAGTTCGACATTGACGCCAACGGCATCCTGTCGGTGTCGGCGACGGACAAGGGCTCGGGCAAGAGCGCGGACATCCAGATCACGGGCGCGTCGACGCTGAGCGAGGAGGAGGTGGAGCAGATGGTGCAGAACGCGGAGGCGTTCGCGGAGGAGGACAAGAAGCGGCGCGAGGCGGTGGACACGAAGAACGAGGCGGACTCGATGGTGTACCAGACGCGGAAGCAGGTGAAGGAGGTGGAGGACAAGGTGCCGCAGGAGACGCGGGACAAGATCGAGGGCATGGTGAAGGAGCTGGAGGCCAAGATCCAGGAGGACGACGTGGAGGGCATGAAGGCGGCGATGAACACGCTGCGCGAGGAGACCATGGCCATGGGCAAGGCCATGTACGAGCAGCAGGCCGCCGCGCAGGGCGGCGCCGCGCCGGGCGGGGAGGGCAAGGCCCCGGGCGGCGAGAAGGGCGGCGACGACGACAACGTCGTGGACGCGGACTTCACCGACAGCAAGTAGGCGCCCCCGCCACCATAGCGCGCCTCGGCGCGCGCGAGGCGGGCAACGATACAACTGGAACGGGCCGGAAGCCTCAGCGCTCTCGGCCGCTGTGACGAAACCAGCTACGCATGCATCGCGCCGGCTCACCCCCCCGCGTCGCCGCGACCCGCGCCTGGGCCGCCCGCGCTGCTGCGGGCCAGCGGCGTGCCCGACGCGCCGCGCCCGCCTGGCGTCGCGGCGGTGCGCTTGACCCATGCGCTGTCGGTCGGTCGCCGCGCACCCCTGGCAAGGACACCCGCGCGGGCCGTGCGTTCGGGGCCTGCACGCACGTGGGCGCCGCGTGCAACGGTTCCTCCAGATCCTTGCTGCTCGTCCCGGGCGTCCGTAGCTGGCTTCGCGCCCCGCGGCGCGCGGGAGGCGTCAATGACCCATGAGCGCAGGCCCTGACGGCAGCGCTGGTGCCAGCCTCGCGTGGTGCGGGCGGGCGATGGAGGCGGGGCCGTCGGCATGCTCCGCGCACTCGTCACGTGAGCGCACGCCCGACACGCAGCACACTCCACGCCTCGCGGACGGCCGAGTTGCGACCTCCCTCACGTGCCGCGACTCCCTGCGAGCGTTCCAGGCCCTCCCTCCGACGCACGTCGCCACGGAACGGGGGAATCAGACTTTTCTGAGGCCTTCCCGCCCAGCAGCTGGTGGCGGATCGAGCGGCCCGCGTGGCCCGCCGCGCTTTTGTTCTGGTCGCGGCAGGAGTGCATGAGGCGCTGGAGTCGGGTCCGCGATGCCTCTCGCTGACATATTTAGGAAGGGGAAGGTCAAGGCGCCCGCTGAGGCGGTGGAGAAGTTCATTCAGGCGGCGAGCCGACAAGCGCAGGGAGGCAAGGATGCAGCCAAGGCCAAGGAGGACGTAGTCAAGTACATGGGCCACCTCAAGGTGCTGCTCTTCGGGAACGGCGAGGACCAGAAGGCGACGCTGGAGGACGCGCTGGCCGTGGCGACCAGCGGCTGCGAGCACGGCCTCCTGCAGACCCTGGTCACGTCGCTGCAGGACTTCGACTTCGAAACCAAGAAGGACGCCGCCCAGGTCCGCGCCCGCCCTCGACGCGATGCGCCGCCCGCCCGACCGTCGCCGGGGGGCCGGCGTCGCCGCGCGGCTCCCGCCCCGAGCCGGCGCGTTGCGAGCGCCCCTGTCTGGAGCCGGAGGGGGAGCGGCCGCGGCGGCACGCGCCACCGCCGCCCCCGCGGCATGCATGCGGCAATGCGCGCGCCCCCCTTCCACGCTCCTCGCTGCCCGTCGGGCGCCACGGTCGCGACGGGGGCGATCGGAGCCGCGCGGCGCCGGGCGCACGGTGGGGCCTGGAAACGGACCGCCGCCCGCGCCCGCGCAGGCGCTTCGTCGCGACTTGCGGCGCCGCCTCCTGCTCGCCCACGCCAGCGTTGTCGCGCGCGGGCCGAGTACACGCGGGCCCGCGGGGCGTGCGCGGCGCAGCCACGCGCCAGATCCCGCGTTGCTGGGCACTGGCGCCCGTCCCTCGGTTCACCGGGACCCCGGCCGGGCAATGTGTCGCGCAGGTGTTCGGTGCTCTGGTCAGGATGCGCGAGGGCGATAGTCCCGGGGCGAACTACGTCCTGGAGCGGCCCGAGCTGCTCCTGCAGCTCGCCGACGGGTGCGACGCCCGCAGCCCCTCGCCCCCGTCGCGGCCCCGCCGCTCCGCGCCCGCAGCCACCGCCGGTCCCGCTCGCCGCAGCCTCGGCATCCGCCGGCCGTCCGCGCCGCGCGTTTCCGCGGCGCCCTGCGCAGCAGTGTCGCCGGCGGTCGGTCGGCTGCCGTTCGCGCGGCCCGACGCCCCGCGCGCCCGTCCCCCGCGCAGGTACTCCACGAGCGAGCTGGCCCTGAACTGCGGCAACATGCTGCGCGACGCCACGCGGCAGGCGGTGCTGGCCGAGCTCATGCTGCGCAACGGCATGTTCAAGAAGCTGGCCACCTTCATCCAGAACCCCTCCTTCGAGGTGTCCTCCGACGCGTTCTCCACGTTCAAGGAGCTGCTCCTGGTGCGCGCCGCGCGCCCCCCGCGCCCCCGCCGCGCCCCTCCGCCCCCGCCCGCCCACCCACCGCCGCGCGCGCCCTCCCGCCCCTCGCCGCAGCGGCACCCGGACGTGTCGGGCCCGTACCTGGCGGAGCAGTACGACGACTTCATGTCGGTGTACAAGGACCTGCTGAGCTCGGAGTCGTACGTGACGCGGCGGCAGGCCCTGAAGCTCCTGGGGGACCTGCTGGGTTCGCCCGCGTGCGCGCCCTTCATGGTGCGGTTCACCAACACGCCGGAGAACCTGATCCAGGTGATGATGCAGCTCCGCGACGAGAGCCGCCACATCCAGTACGAGGCCTTCATCGTCTTCCGCGCCTTCATGGTGGCCTACCAGACGCGCCACCTGCGGGACCCCAACACGCTCGCCATCCTGCTCCAGAACAAGGCCAAGCTCCAGTCCTACATATCCAAGTTCCAGCTCGAGCGCGACGCCGAGGACGAGACCTTCGCCGAGGAGCGCGAGGCCATCGTGAACATGATCGAGGGCCTCAGCGTCAGCGACTGCAAACAGGCCATCAAGAGCGAGAACTCCCGCGGCGGGTCCGGCGCCGCCGACGGATCCACGCCGCGCCTCAGCGCCAGCGCGTCCGCGTCCTCCATCGGTGAGAGCCCACGCCGCCGCTCTGGCACGTGCCGCCCGCCGGGGAACGCCGCCGCGCGCGCGCGCACACGCACCCACGCGCACGCGCACACGCGCCGCGACCGAGCAGCCCACCTTGGCGCCCGACCGGCCTTGCGTCCCCACGCGTGCAGGCCGCAACCTCGGGGGAGGGTCGCAGGGGGACTCGGAGAGGCCGCACGACGGCTGACGGAGGGCGACGAAGAGCTGCGCGCGCGCGCCCCGCCGCGGCGCCGCCGACGCTGCAGAGGCCGCGCGAGCGCCGGCCGGCCGGCGTGCCGCGCGCGCCGGGAGGGTTCCTGTTGCGCGCACTCACGCGTGGGCGGTGGGGGGAGTGTGATTGCGCCGGCGATTGCGCGTCACGTGCCCGCAGACCTGCGCCGATGATGCGCGAGGGCGCCCGGCAGCAGGCGCGGCGCGGCGGCCGTGGTGGGCCCGGCAGCAGGCGCGCGGCGGGCCGGCGCGACACCTTGACGCCCGTCGGCCGGGGTCCGCGATGCACCACCGCAGCCGCGGGGCGCCCGCGCGGCGTCCGAAGGGCCGCGGCGGGGGGGCCTCGCGCAGGGGTAGCTGCCGACGGCCTGACGACGGCGCGCGGGCCCGCAGGTCGGCGTCGGCGCGTGGTCAGAGCTGAGAGTCTTGGACGGGCCGAGGGAGTGTTCCACAGTGTTGCCGGCGTGCGCCGCGCGCTTGCGTGTTCGTCGCGTCGGCGGTCTGCGACACTTCCTCGAAATCTATTCATTTCGAATTGCCGACGAATCACGCACATCATGGCCGCGGTGACCGCCCACACGCCAAGGACCGCGGACTGCCGGCAGTCGTTGTGCCCGCACCGCCTTCCGAGCGGGCCACCGCCTGCGCGCGCCCCGTGGACCCTGCCTGTTCAAAGGAGAGCCCCGAATGTAGTCGCGCGGGCCTTCCCGAGGTGGCCCTGGGACCGCGCCAGCTCGAAAGACAACCTGCCACGGTGAGAACCACGGCGAAGCGTTCCCGCGCGTCTGTTGCCCGGCCGAGGCCGCCGCCTGGAGTGGCACTGCGTAGGTCCTGTGCCTCGCCGCGCGGCACAGGCTGCTTCCGCCGCCCCCGCGCTGGCCGCGACGTCACTCCAGCACTGGACACGCCCGCGTCCGTCCCTCTGCCGGGACGAACGCGCGCGCTGCTGCCCCGAGACCGAACCCCTATCCGTGAAAGAGGCTTCCTGTGCCCGCCGCGTCGCTCGGGGCCCCCGCGCTGCGCCGTCCGGGTGCTCGCGTGCATGTTCGGTTAGCGGCCAGAGGCCAGCCCCGCGTCCGGCCGCGCAACGCCCCCTCGAGCGCTCCTCTGCCGCGCTCCTGCGTCCCTCGTATCGTGTCGACCTCGTCGCGGGACGTCGTTCGGCCGTCGCCCCCTCGTGACGTCGCGCGACGCACCCACGACGACGAGCCAGGGGACCGGGGCCCCAGGGCCCAGCGGCGGCCCATCGGGACGCGGAACCTTGCTCTGCAGCGAGGACCTCTCCAGGCGGTCCCGCGCGCGCGCGCCCGCCGCGCGATACGGCGCGCCCACGGCCCGTGCCCGCGTTCGCCTGTTTGCAGGCACAGGCCGCTCCCGACGACCCTGTACCGCAAGGTGGACGAGGACGCGCTTCCCGAGCACGGCCACAGCCTCACGTACAAAGACAGGTGCGCGCCGCGGACGACGCGCGACCCCCGCGCGCCGCAGGCTGCCCGGCCACCGACGAAGCCTGCCGCGCTGCTCTGCCCGGTGCCTGGTCGCGACGCGCGGCCCGCCCCGGTGCGGGCACGCGGCCCGAGCGTGCGCCCGAGCGCTCCGCGGGTTCTCTGCTTTTGTCTCGCAGGACGTGCGACCCGCGGGTGCAGGACTGCCAGGTCGCGATGCACGTGTGGGAGGACAGCTGCACGGCGTGCAAGGGCCACGGGACGGTGATCGCGTCGATGGGGACCCGGCGGCGGCGGTCGTGGTACGCGTGCCCGACGTGCCACGGCCTGGGGTACGTGCGCCGCATCTCGTCGCGCGTGGACCCGGAGGGGCACGAGCTGGAGATGTCGCTGCTGCGCCCCCGGCAGGCGCGGATCGAGAAGGCGCCGATGAAGAACCTGGACGCGAGCGAGATCCGGCGGATGTTCGGCGCGAGCGCCATGCAGTCGGACCTGCTCCAGGCGGCGCTGGAAGGCGCGCGGGCCGCCGAGCGCCAGCAGCAGGAGCACGTCCAGGCGGGCGTCGACAGCGTGAGCGGCGACTTCAGCGTGAGCGGCGACACCTTCAGCGCGAGCATCGACGCCAACGGCAACGAGGGCAACGGCAGCGGCCCCGCCCGCTCCCGGGGCGCCGAGAGGCTCACCGCCTACATCAACCGCAGCCGCAGCCACGCGTCGACGTCGACGTCGAACGGGTCCGGGGCGCCGTCCTCGAACGGAGCCGCGCACCCGCAGGCGACCATGAGCGTGGACGAGCTGCTGCTGGGGTCGCTCGACGAGTCCGGCATCGAGGTGTAGGTGCAGGCTGCGCCCGCATGCGCGCCTGGTCCGCCGGGGGGCGCGCCGGGTGACGACCAGGGGCGCGGGCTGGCGCGACTTTGACTCGGCTGGCGGCCGGCGGCGAGCACTCCAGCACGACCGCCCAGGCCGTGGCTCGGGCGCCGTTCCGCCCGTCGCCAGCTTGCAGCGCCTCCCCCCCGGGCCTCGCCCGCTCCTTCTACGTCCATTCGCGGCCCGCCTACTGCGCCCTCGCGCTCCGCGCTTCGACTCGGTTCCGCGGCGCGCTGCCGTGCCCCCCCTGCGTCCATTCTTCGCTTGGCTGCACACACCCGTATGTTTGCAGTGCTCGGCCAGAGACGGGTGCGAACCGACGGCGGACGCTTCGACGCGACGTCGCGGTCCGACGCATGTGAACGCAGGGATGAGGCGTGCGCCTCTCACCGTGCCTTGCCACCATGTGCAACGCCCGCTGATGCCGGACGGCAATTGCTCTGCGCATACATACCAGGCGCGCACGCGGAGACAGACAGACGTTCATGGTGTCGCTGTGCCGGAAACCACCTGTGCTTGTAGGTCAGCGAAGAACTAACCACCCTGACGTCCCACCAGCGTTGCATCGCGTCCGAGCGGTGTGCGCGATCGCTGAAGAGCGTCCCGGGCCGCGACGGGACCTTGCCCGCCCGAGTCGGTTGGTCAGATGGCACGGTGGGGACGTGCATTGCCGCGGTAGCTGACAGCGGGATCGTGCGCCGCACTGAGCTGGGCCTGCGCTGGTCTGCGCGCTCTGCCGTCGTGGAGACGAAGGCGGCGTGACTCCGCCGGATAGGAGGTCGTGCACGTGCCGCGGGACAATCATGGACTGTCGGCTCGTCGCTCGCGGGCTCGACGCGCATCCGAAACCTCGGCGTGGGGCCGCCAACGGCAGTTGATGAGTCGCTGCGGCACACACCCCCCCATCGCGCTCAACGCGGCTTGTCCGCGCTGCGTGGCCGTCATGTGTGCGCGCCAGCAACACTTAAGTGCAGATGGTCATCAACGAGGCCATAAAGTAGGCGTTGCTCGGTCCGTCACACGCGTTGCCGTCGAGGTGTGCTCCTGGGAGCTTGCGACAGCGTCTCGCGTGGTCTGTGCTGATCGAGCGCTTACATTCATACGCTATTCGCGAAGTCACATATGTGTTTGAGGATGCTGTGGCCGAAACATGCCGTCGACGCGCTGCAGCGGCTGTTTTCTTGCATTGCAGAGCTCAAGCGTTGATTGAGCGCGCGGGAGCCCGTGGAGAGAGCGCTGCGACGTTGATAAGCGGCGGGCGACAGCACTTGGAGCTGAGTCGGAGCTCGCAGGAGGCGGAAGCAAGGACCGCGCCACTGCACCGCGTGAGCCGAGCCGGACAGTGCTGGTGCAGCGATCTGAGCGCGGGAAGGGCTTGCAGGGCGTGGACTCTGCCGTCTTTCCGATAGTCGCGACGAATATCGACCAATCATGGTGAGAGTCCATCCCGGGCCGCCCGTACGGCTGCCTGCGCGCACGTCAGAGTGCACTTGCGCCTTGCACACAGGCAGATGCGCGCACGCGCACGACAGCTCGAGTCGACGGGCGTCGGGCTGGACATCCTGGTCCCGGACTGCGCACTGACCTTCTCGTACCGGGCCTCTGCCCCGCCCGCAGGGGCCTCGAGGACGAACGCGTGACCTCCTCGACGACGTGTTGCGCGAGGTGCCGAGCGTGCTGGACAGGCTGTCGGACGAAGACAAGGTCAACCTGGCGGCGACACGATGGAGCACGCTGGAGGCGGTGCTGCGCGGGTGCAGGGCGGTGCTGAAAGTCCACCTGAACGACCCGGTGCTGCAAGTGCTGGCGCGGCGGATGGAGGAGGGGCCGTGCCGGGGGGAGCTTGCGACGTGCGGGCCGGGTGTGGCGAGGTACGGGATGCGGGTGGCGGCGACGGACGCGGGGCATCTGCTGGAGGCTGTACGCAAGGTCGGCGGGCCCCAGCCCGGCTCGATTGGCGACCTCCCAGAGCACAACCGCCAGTGGATCGACCTGGCGTGGGCGCTGACGTGCGGGGCGGAGAACGGGGAGGCGCGCGTGACTGGGCTGAAGGTGCCGCCGACGAGCGACGAGAACCACGCCACGATGGAGCTGGCGGCGATCCAGCACATCCTTGCGTCACGGCCTGCCAGGGAACACCTGCGGCGCCTGGAGTGGACGGTACAGCACTCGTTTCCTTTGCCATCGGACAACGGGCACATCGAGCTCCTGACGAAGGCGATGCGCGGGCTGTCGGCGCTGCAGCATGTTCACCTCCATGCGGCCCCAGCGAGCTGGATGTACTTGATCGGCGAGTACAGCCGCCTGACGACGCTCGAGCTGACGACCATGACGGTGAGCGCGCACCAGATGCGGGCGCTCCTGGACGGTCTGGAGCAGGCCAGGGAGCTGCGGCACCTGCGCCTGGAGTGTTTTTACCGCGATGGGGACGGCGTCGGTGGCCGTCAGCTCCCAAACGCGTTGCGGGCCCCGCCCGCGGGCCTCGAGGTGCTCGACGTCTACGATAGCACGTGCCCTTACGACTTGCGGGAGGCCACGAGCCTGCGCGCGCTGGTACTGACTGGCGGGGCAGGTTGCGACACTGAACCGTGGGAGGAGGTGGCGGCGCTGATGGGACGGAGCAAGGAGCTGCGGCGCGTGACTGTGGACGATGGCACAGTCTCGGATAGTGACGTGTGCGCGGTGTTCTCGGCGCTGGGGCGGAGCACGGTGGAGGTCTTCGAGTGCGCGTGGGAGTTCTCGGTGTTCGTTGATGAAGAAATCCGCTCGGCTCTGACGGAGGCGCTGGTGTCGGGGCTGCGCAACAACCGGACGCTGCGGGAGCTAGCCCTGTCGCACGAGGCGGCACCCGGAGAGGACGATCTCTTCCTGGACGTGCCCAAGGTTGCGGCGGCGCTGAAGGACAGCGGGGCGCTGCGGCGGCTGAAGCTGGACAGCGCCGCGATTACCGACGACGATGTGGTGGCAATTGCGGAGAGCCTGCCTTCCATGCGGTCGCTGGAGGAGCTGGATCTGGGCTCGATCAAACACGTGACCGGGAAGGGGTTGCAGTGGGCAGGAAACAGCTTGCGCGTCTTGCGGCTGCAAGGAGCCCAATCTTTAGGCAAGGAGGGTCTTCGGGACGTGTTGTCCTCGCTGTGCGGCGGGTATCGAGGCGGGAATCTGCACAAGCTGCAGATCTCAGGCAGCAGCATCGGCGGCGCGGGCGCAGAACGCGTCGCGGCGGTGCTCGAGCACCCCGCATGCTCGTTGCGGACGCTCAGCCTGACGAACAGTGGCATCGGCGACGCCGGCGCGGAGGGCATCGCTGGCGTGCTGGGACAGAATCGCTCGCTGGTGTCACTCAACCTGACGGGCAACCGGCTCACGGACCGTGGGCAGAAGCGCCTGGCGGCGGCGCTGGCGGACAACAGCACGCTGCGCTTCCTGGAGCTGGGGGAGTGCTACAGCTCTTGGGGCCCGTCGCCGACGCCACTGGCGGGGCAGGTGCTGCATGCGCAGCACTACGCGCTCGCGATGCGGCACTTGAACACTCAGCACATGATCTAGCACCTCTTGGTGGTCTCAAGCGGGCCTGACGGCAGCCGGAGCTCTTCCTGGCGGCACCTGGCGCCTGCAACGCCGGGGCGGTCGTCGCAGCTACGTGCGGCGGGAATCGGATCGAGCTCTGCGCGCCAGCCGGCGGCCGGCGTTTTCGCGTGTGCATGTGCAGGGTGCTCGCGGCGAGCCGCGCTAGCGGAGGAGGCTCCTCACAGACCCTCCCGCGCCAGCAACGAGCTCACCTCGAGGTGTGCTGGGCATCGGGGTGGTCCACGGGCATGGGACGGTGCGTGGCGACAACCTGTACTGCCGGGCTGACCGCCAACGTCGGGCACGGCGGCGGGCGCCTCCCCGACGCGACACAGCTTGCTGCGCAGACCCCGCATGCGGCAAGCTGCACTGCAGCGGGGTCTCTTGCGGCGTGCAGCACAGCATGGGCACCGCGACTGCGCGCTGATGGACGGGAGTGGTGTGCGGGTGGGGCTTGTGCAGCTGCGGAGGATGGTCGCGCCCCTGGTGCACGGCGGCACATGCTCACGATGGGCAGGTGCGCTGGGCGGGGGGCGGGCGCCGGGGCGTATTGGGCGCGTTGCGACGATGCGCGCGGGCGGCGCGGGCGTCGACGTCAGGCGCAGCGGCGGGCGAGGCGGCACCTCGCGGCCCGGCGTGGCTGCGGGACGGGCAGCGCTGCTGCTGCATGCAGCGCCGCAAGAGCGCGGCGTGCGCGCTGGTGGACGGCAGCGACGTCTGGAGGTGCTGGCGGAGCGCGCTCGGCCGGCTGGTCGGCGGCCCCGCGCGCGCTGCGGCTTCATTGGCGGACGTCGTCAGTGCAAAGGTGCGCACACATCGCTGGCCTCCGAGCGCCGGCCCGGCTGCGCGATCCACGTTCTGCACCATCCAGTCAACGGTAGGTCTGCGTGGCCCTGAGATCGCGCGGGCACGACATGCGCACGCGCGTGTCATCTCGCCATGACTTGTTTCGCGCCACCGAAACGACGACGTGCTGACGGGCGGCCCGTTTCTCTGACACCCCGCCCCCAGGCGGAGCCTGTAGGTGTGGCATTCGGCCCGGTCAGCCTGTCCGGCACCTCGACGGCTTTCGGCCACACGTTGTGGCGCACGACGTGCGCGTGTCCCTGCCTGTCCGTCCTCCACCACCGCATCGACGTCCGCGCGGGATTGGCGATCGCCAGCGGCGTGACCATCGAGGTGAGTACCCCCGCGTCCGTGCCCGCGGGCGCCGCCAGCCCGCTCTCATGCGGCCTGCGCTGTGCTGCCGTGCGTCGACAGCCGACTTCAAACCGCAGCGCGACGACCTGACCCTCCCACGGCGGCGTGCTTCCGCAGTTTATCAGTCGGGACCTCGTCCCGGGAGCGACGAGCGAGGAGCTGCGACAGGGCGCTCTGCTGAACGGAGCGGTGCGTGCGACGCTCACGAGCCTGGCGATCGTCGCTCGGTCCGTGAACGCCGGCGAGACCGGTCTCGGGCGCTCTGCGTGGACTTCGTCTGCTTTCTGGCGCTCGGCAGGCGCGTCGAGGTGCGCACACGCCCTTGATCCCTCGCTGTTGTGCCCTGGCTCTGCGCACGTGCAGGTGCCACGCGCAGCTGCGATCCTGCGCACCCACGCGCAGTCCGACAAGTATGCGCGTTGACCGCCGCGCAGGCGATGCTGAAGGAGCTCGCCGAGGCGGGCCACGTGTCCGTGCAGGTGCCGCATGCGGGCATCGAAAGCGTGGGGCGGAGCCGCCGCGGCAGCCCTCGACCCTCCGGCCGGCCCGATCGGCTATCTAGGCGGCGCACAGGAGATCGCGCAGCTGGCCGTGAGCGTGACGTACGAGTGGCTTGCTGCAACGCGCGATGTGCTAGGACCAGATGGCGCCTGCCGCCTCGTACCGCCGCGCTGTCGCAGGTCCGCATCGTGGCTGTTCCGTAGCGGTGCGGGCCATCGTGTCCCAGCCGCACAGCCCGAGCGGTGTCGCGGGGCGAGGTTTCTGGGCGGTGGTGGGTGTTGCGCGGTGGGACGCGGCAGTGCTCGCAGAACAGCTTCGGCGGCTGCGGCAGCTGGCCTGAGGGCGGGCGGTGGCTGCCGTGAGCGGCGGGGTGCGTTCTCGAGGAAGCATTTCCGAGCAGTGAGGGAACGGGGCGGACGGCAGCGGCGCGTAGCGAATCTGTCGGATGTGAGGACTGGAATGTCGGATGACGGCGCGCTGAGCTCACCGGGACGGGCCGCTGAACGAGTGATTGCGACGACGTCCGCTGTCGGGCGGGGCAGGGCCAGAGTCCCCCCCCCCCTGTCGTCATGCACCCACAGTCACGCCCCGCCGGCCGCCGTTGGCGGTGCACGCCGCAGGCCGTCGGCAGATTCGGGAACAGCTGGAATTGTTCGTCAGCGTGGTGTCCATCACGGTGGCAGCGCCGACCAGGGAGCGTCGTCTGAGGGGGCAACTACCACCGCCTGAGTTGCTCCCCCCGTGTAAAGGGTCAGCGCGATCGAGAACTGCCCTAACGGTGCTCCTTGCAGCATCCACGCTCTGAGCGTGCCGCCCGCGCCGGAGCGGCGGCAGTCGAGGCTCTCACGACGAGGTGCGCGCTTTCCCCTCGGTGGTGGGAAGTGCAGCGGGGCTTTGCTCGCTGGCGGACGTCGCCCTGAGTCCCGCCTGATGCATCCACCGCTCACACAGGAACCCGCGATGCCGAATCTGCCCGCGTCACCGTCTCTACGCCCGCAGGCTGCAAGGCACGCTTCAGGCGTGGTGAGCCCCACGCCGCGGTGCGAGAAGCCCTCGTCCTCAGCAATCAGTGCGGGCTACGCGGTCTCCACCCACTGCCTGTCGAGGCTCCGCGGTATCGGCGCGGGTGCGACCGCCCGGCGAGACGAGAGACGGCACCAGAGGCCATGATGCAGGTCCACGGTCGCGAGGCCGACGTGGTGGGCGGGAGCGCGGTCGAGCGCGAGTCGGCAACGGTGAGACAGCCCCACAACTGCTCAATGTGCGACGTAGATACGCCGCCTGGCGCGAGGACTTGCTCACGCGCAGCCAAGCACAGCAGGAGCTGCAGGAGCTGCACAACCCGCGGCTCACAGTCGGCCCTCTCGATCCGTGGTGTGCAGAGACGTCGGGGGCGGTCTGGCGACACCCTCGCGCGCGTCCTCTCGACGGTGCCCTCCATCCTCGACCTGCTCTCGGACGACGACAAGGCCAGCCTGGCGGCGACGCGATGGAGCGTGCTCGAGGCGGTGCTGCGCGGGTGCCGGGCGGTGCTCGTAGTGAGCCCGCGCGACCCGGTCCTGCACGTTCTCGCGCGGCGGATGGATGACGGGCCCTGCGCGGGGGAGCTCCTCTTCTGCGGGCTGCGCGTGCCCGCGATGCACGCCGAGGCGCTGTCGGACGTGATGCGGGAGCTCGGCGAGGACGTGCCGGCGCGAGGCGACGAGAGCGACGCGCGGTACCGGAAGTGGTTCGCGCTGGCGCGGAGGGTGACGACGTGGACTGACGAGGGGGGCGGCCCGCTGCGTTTGACCGGCATCGATGCCCCGGACGTCTACGGCTTCGCTTTCGAGCAGAGTGTCCACATACGGTTGCTTCAGGAGATCCTGCTGTCGAAGCCGGCGAGGGACCACCTGCGGTTCCTGCGCCTCGAGCTGATTAGGTTTCGCACGTTCGAGCACCAGGACCCCAGCACCGGCGAGGACATGGTCGCGGCGCTGCGGGACGCCGTGCGCGGCCTGACGGCCCTCGAACATCTGGAGGTATTGCTGGACGCCGAGGGCAGCAGGGGGTGGGCTCGTGTGTTCGGCGAGCTCGGTTCCCTGACGCGGCTCACCGTGAGTGGCGACGACGACGTGTGGGACGCGGAGGAGACGCGGGCTTTCTGGAGCTGGATACAGCGGACTACGAAGCTGCGACAGCTCGAGGTCCACGTCGAGTTCAACACGGACACGCTGGCAGAGTTCAACATCGCCCCGCCGCGGTGCTTGGAGTCCGTCGACGTGCGCATCTGTCTCAACGGTCATGCCTTCAGATGGCGCGACGCCGTGCACGTCCGCTCCCTGGGCGTGGCGTCGTTGGACGACGATCCGGCAAGCATGCAGGCGGAGATTGCCGACCTGATGCGGTCAAGCAAAGCGCTGCGAGAGCTGCGCCTGGACTACTTCGACGCCCGGGACGTGACACATGCAGAGGTTGCAGCTCTGCCGCACAGCACGGTGGAGGTGTTCGAGCTCTCCATCTCCCGGGAAGCAGCGGCGAACCTCGAACGGATGTCGACAATGTCGGCGGCCCTGGTGGCACCGCTCAGAGGCTGCAGCGCACTGCGAGAGCTGCGTATCTCTGCCCATGCTTATTCTGGGCCATGCGTGTTCAACGCGGCGGATGTTGCCACGGCTCTGGAAGGCAACACGTCACTGCGCAAGCTCAAGTTGGAAGAATGTGGGATTGGCGACGACGACGCCGCGCATTTTGGACGGGTGCTGGAACGCAACGGCTCTCTCGTCGCCCTCTCGCTGCGACATACCATGCTGACAGAGCGGGGCGTGCGTGAGATCGCGTCAGGCCTCCGTCGCAACCGCACGCTGCAGCGGTTCGAGCTCACCTCGAGCGGCGGGTGCGGCGCGAGCGGCGCGAAGGAGGTGGCGGATGCACTTGTTGGGGAGGACTCGGTGTGTCAGCTGCGGTGCCTCGGCCTCGTGGGTTGCGACGTCGGCGACGAGGGCGCTGTGCACCTTGCGTCATGTCTGAAGGATCCGCGCTGCACGCTGCGCAGGCTCAGCTTGAACTCCAGCAGAATCTGCGACGCGGGTACAGCGGCCCTGGCCACAGCTTTGCAGGAGAACTCCACGCTGGAGTGGCTATCTCTTTCGAGCGGTTACACGCGTACGCGCATCTCCGACGGCAGCGTCAACGCTCTGGCAGCGGCGCTGGAGAAGAACTACACGCTGCGGACCCTGCTCTTCCAGGAGTACCCCGTCCTGCGCCCGTGGCATGGCGCGGCGACCGAGTCAACGAAA